ATCGTTTGCATGGCCGTTACTTCTTGTCACAATATTGTCGACAAATCTCCAAGGTCTTGCTGAAAGTCGAATAGTAGAGCCAACAGCATAGTCTCGAGCAAAAGCTGACTTCTTTCCGTTGTCGGAACCAGTGAATCGCAAACACAATCCCGTATCAGGAAGAAGGTTTAACAATCTTTTCTTTCCTGGTATTTTTGCTACTGTACGTTTAGTAGGGAGATCTTCCTTTGTGCTGCTTTCCAACGAAAATTCCCACTTTTCCATTCTCTTGAGTAAGCGATCTCGTTTTGATGACATGCTGGTGGGTGAACGCAACTCGAAAGCACTATTTGACGCTTTGTCTTCCTTCTTTTCCAATGTTGGATGCTCCATGTTTGCTCTTGATGACAAAATTGAAGGTGTATCTCCTTCTGCTAGCCCAGTGCGCCTCTTTGAAGGTGGTTTGAATGGGCTCGATTTTTTAGATGCTGTCGGGTAATGCCACTTGATTGCCGATTCAGGAGAAGTATTTCGCTTCAAAGGTGAAGAGTTTCGATCCTCTGATGACGGTTCTTGTTTCTCTTCCGTGGAAGTTGCCCTTTTAGAATTTCCATGTGATGATGCAGCAGTCGGATAGTGCCGTAAAATATGTGTCAATAAGCCATCACGTTTCTTGAGCGAATTTGTACGATCACGTTTTGTGTTTCGTTTTGACAATGATGGCAAGGAGGCAGGGATGTGCCACTTTGCTGCACTTTCCATCGAATTGTCTCGCTTTGATGGTGAAGCGTTGGTTTTTACAATCTTTTCGCTTGCATCGAGACGAAGGTCACTGTTACCCGTTCTAGGAGCAAGGATATGCTCGTGAGAAGGGAGAAAGAACCAGTTCATGGTGATGATAGCCACGGGCACCCAACGAATTGGATTAAAGGGAGGATGCATCTTGGTGAGAGTATTAAAGTGAGATTTGTGGAAGAGGTGATCATTCTGGACAAAGGAATAGATGCAAATTGAATCTTTTTATAATTTTCAAAAATCTATGTGCTACAAATGAAGAATCAGTTACCACCCCAATTCACCCGGGTCGGATATTTCTGCTGCGATGCCAAGGCAATATGTGATAAAGCACGATCCATTGTCTCACTTTTTCGAAGATGGGTCAATCGAAAAGCTTCTTCTTAGTCTTTCAAAGCTGAGCAAAGTTACTGTGTTAGCGGCCTTTGGCTTTTCAGGGAAGAAAATCTCCTATACATTTCCGGTCCGAATGTGTCTTTGGGTAAATGCCACAATGTTCTCGGACCTGATGTCAAACCAATTTGCGCCTTTCTTACCGGATAATCTCAATTGAAGGATTTCAGCAGGGTCTGAAAAGAAGGGAGGAACACGGAGAATACTAATCGAGCTGAATGAAGTCACGCAATTTAATGGAAATGAAAGAGTGAATTGTGGATTCGCACGATAGCTTTTTCGGATGGAAGCACGCCGAATAAAGAAGATTGCAAAAGAAAAGTATTATTCCACTTTCGACGCTGATTACCATTTTGAAAGCACATCAAGTGACATAATCATAGACCAATTCAATAAGATTTGCTGCCATCAATCGTTGTGTTCTACTAACAAAGTCTGTCTTGTGATGATGTGACACCGCCAATGAATTCTTGTGTGGTTGTGCTAAACAAACTTCTGTTCTTGCTTACGTACGCGCTGTCTTATTCTTTTCTCTCGGCTTTAGCAAATGCGCGATTGGGTTGTTCTCTTAATGTAAATTGCCAACAATTTTCATGCATTTATTCTCCTTATATCATGCGGTCAATCCATGACTTCATAAACAATCACCATCACATCAACGATCAAACGCACAACATAAACACAGATTGTCAACCCTCAACTTAAACTCGCAACATTTGTCGTGATAGCTCAACAATAGGAAGGAAAGTTGACACTCATCAATTCAATCAGTGGTACTCTTCTTTCTGTCCATCTTTGTGAAATCATGCTCTTGATGTTCGTTCAATCATCGCGAAAGAAGGATCTGTGAGGAGCAAGAAAAGCATAACTGAATCCACAGTCAGAAAAAACGTCATTAGATTATGTCTACCTGTCTTTCGAGTGGCCCTTGCGTTTCATAAACCTGCAATAAAATCGTGCTGAGCAAGAGGACGGAAAGAAGATGGCTTCAACATCGGCACGACCCGCAACGGCAGCCACCTTCCAGCCGGTGGATAATGACTATCTTAAATCATCTATAAGTCGTCTCACCATCCCACAAATCAAACCTCTATTGAGAGAGGTTTCAGCAATTGCAGGAGTGGCACTACCGGCAGTCAATGTTCGAAAAAATGTTCTAGTTGATTCTTTGAACATCATGATGCTTCACTTACTGACTGAAAACAGGCAACATCAATACATGGCTGCCCTAAGAGCAATTGAGGCCGCATTGGGCGGCTCTTTGACCTTTGGACCCACTACTTCACACAACAGGCCATCATATCAACCATATCATCCTCTGCCACCTAGGCCTCAGCCTCAGCCAGCCAGGCCGCCGCCACAGCAACATTACAACACGATCGGGCAGAATCCGAACGCAAACTATTATTCGGATTATCATAATGCTGTTCAACAACAAAGAGCAGCTCAAGTAGCACCAAAAGCTGGTACTTTCAAGGAAAGCCCCTTCTACACGCTGAAAGAATGGATTCATCCATCAGTCATGTGTGCACAAGTGCCCGAGCACGCAAGACCGGCGGGATCAGCAAAGATTTCGTTCAACTTGACCGGAGCTCAATGCAATGAGCTGGCAAATGCATCGTCTCGAAAAGAGGCCCGGCTGTTCTGTACAAGTTTTGCCGCTTCTCGAGCATCTGAAGCAAGGCATCCAGCTCCAGTTGAGTTTCCAATCAATTGTGAAGTTCGAGTGAACAGAGTCCAGCTTTCGGTCAACTTGCGGGGCAGAAAAGGTCCAGCAAAAGTACTGCCACCGAATCTGAACAAAGACAAAAAGTTGAACCTCCAAACTGGGCGAAACGAGGTGGAGTTAACGTATGTCCATACGTATCAGCCTTACATTCTTACGATCGGCATTTGCGAAACAGTCTCATCAGAAGAGTTGGTGGAGAAGGTCAAGAAGGAAAGCGTAAAGAGCAAAGAGACTGTGTTGAAAGAGATGAAGAGGGCGGCAGATGATGATGATATTGAAGTCGGAGATGTGACGGTAAACCTAAAATGTCCGCTCAGTTACATGCGTTTGAAGACGCCATGCAGATCGAGCGTTTGCACGCATATTCAATGCTTCGATGCATTGTCTTTTTATTCGATCAATGAACAGACGCCATCTTGGCAATGCCCGATTTGTAGTCGAACAATTGATCCAAAGCAAATCTTTGTGGACGGATACGTATTGGATATCCTACAAAGAGTTCCGGACAGCGAAGAATCGGTGCAGATTGACAGTGAAGGTCGGTGGAAGACACCAAATAACAAGTACCGATCAGATGATGTTGCAGCAAATGGAGCTGCGACTGGGAGTGCCGCCAATACACCTTCAAAGACTGCTGTCGCTGCAAAAGAGGAAGGAACAGATTCACCTCTTCCGCCATTACCACGCGTGAAGGGTGAAGATGAGGCCAATCCTCGACTCGATATCCGTGCAGGCGCATCCAATGAACCTGACACAGCTGAAGGACAGCAGCGGAACAAGAAACGAACTATAGATGTTGTCGATTTGGATGATTCACCAAGCCCGCCAGGAGCTGTACCGCAGGAAGAGGCGAGCGAGGCAGCAAATTCAAGTAATGGAGTGCAACGGAACGCCCTGAATGGAGCATCAATTCAGGCAGCAGGTGGTAGTAGTACAACGAGCGCTGGAGATGCGATCATGGGACAAAGCGTGGATTCCAGTTCAACAGAACCTTCTAGGCCTGCTGTGATCGATCTGACCTTTTCAGATTCGGAGGATGAGGATCAACCTCTTCGACAACAAATGCCTATAGTTCGTCCCATGCCAGGACGTCCACCAGTGCGACCACCAGCGATCCCATCGAAACCATCAGATGTGGCAAACAGAACGTTTGCCGCTCAAAATGGTATTGCGCCGATGCCTTTGCCAGGCCCGCCAAGGCTAAGCAATGGACAGCAGCCTATTGACAGATTTTTGATTCGAAATCAGGCAGGACCGAGCAACGGTCGTTCATCACCTTCTTCATTCAATGATGGGATGATGAATGCGCATCGTAGTTCTTCTTTTACGAATGGCACATTTACATTAAACCCTTTTCCTGACTGGCACAGGATTTCTCCAACACTTGCGAATCGCGAAGTAGGTGTTGCGAGGCCACGATCAGGTTTGCCACATTCGGCTTCATTCAGCAACGAACCAACATTCAGATCTGGAATCTTTCATGCGCCCAGCTCACCGAATGAACCTTTGAATCCTTCTCGAAGTCATACACAGCCTCCTTCAGATCCAATCAATGAGGAAAATGCACCTGCACCCGCTTCTTCTCAAACGCAAGACGAAAACGAAAGTGTTGATGAGGCAGTAGCCGGCAACAATGTGAATGCTGGAAGAACTCCCCCGCATACTGCAGCCGAAGATGAAGATAGCGATCCGGTCTCACGACCACGCAAAAGGGCTCGCGTTGTGGCTGATGCTGAAGAGGAGGAGGAAGAGGATGAGTTGGATCTGGATCCTGATGCAGGATTTGCAACGCCGAATGACCGTGCACCATCTCAAACTAATGGCGACCACGGTAGATCGAACGGCAATGCAAATGCCAACGATGACTCAAACAATAGTCCGACGGAGAGACTTACCGATAGACTTTTCGATCGTAGACCGAATCAAGCACCAAACCGCCCGACTTCTTCTGGTTCAAAAACGGGTCCGATCGCATACAGAAATACTGCGAACGACATGGACGACATGAGTGATGATGATTTCGAAGCCGATGAGCGGGCTGGGTTCGGATTCAATTGAAGTCAAGATAGAGTACCTAGAAGGGGGCAAGACAGCAGTGGGCGTTCACCTCATCATATTTGATTCTTTTACCATCAATTTGTACTTTTAAACATATGTCTATTATCGTGTTTCCTTCCTTTCACTCTCACGCAGAATCGTATATTTTACAAATACAGAATTGCAAGCCTGATGGGGTTGAGTAGTATTACAAATGTGTTTGCGGCAGGAGAAAGCGAAAGATTGCACCTCGGAGTAGTACTATTTACGACATCACCTTGAAAGGATTCAGGTACCAATAATCTTGACCTGCACTTTCATCGCGAACAATGTCCCCGAGGTTGAATTCAATATCGCTGAGCAGCTCGTTCATCAAGTGCAAGGGGCAAGCTTCAATCTGAGCCAGTTCCAAAGTGGTGATTGAAGCATAACTAGATTCGACAAGAGTGGCAGCATTCTGTTGTTGAGAATCCTGTTCAGGTTGCTGACGTTGTTGAAGTAAGGCACACAGCCGAAAGTTCAAATTGGCTTCTGAAAATCTTGGAGTGTGCAACACTTTCAATCCGGAAGATGGGAATGTTTTGCATGTAATTGTTGGCGATGTCAATTTACCCAACAAAGGCAAAACTGCTAGTAAATCCTTTGGTGAAACTAATGCAACACCACGAGCACGATTCCATATACACCAAATCTCATCCAAGGATATTATACCTTGACCTTCTTTACGATCAGACTCAGGTTGTATCAGTTTGGCTGACAATGCTACAACTTGTGATTGTTCAAGGTCCGATCTGGGAGAACTCAACACTTTCCCTTTTCCAATAAGTGGTTTTCTCGGTGCATATAGCAAACTTGCCAACTCTTTTGCTAGTTGCGTATAATATTCCATCTCATCTTTTGCCATATCCGAAGTAATTGCAGGCGTTGGCAGACCCAAACGAACCAAAGAAGATCTAATCATATTGGCCGCTTCATCATTCCTGTGATCAACAGTTTGTGAAGAAGATTCTTGCTTGATCAACTTTGCATTGAGTGCTTCTGCAAAATCTACCATCTTCTTCGCTCTAGTCATCAAAGCTTCCAGATCTCTCAATGCATCTTGCATATCGCTCGTATCTTCTCTCGCTTGAAGATCGACAGCGGACATGATACCTTCAATTCCCACCCTTCGAGAAGGTGTAGAGGCTCTGCCTTCGTCATCCGAGACTGTATTGGCAGATCGTCCATCTATGTTAGCCTGCGTGCCTGCGAATCGCCTTCTTGCAGCATTTGTTTGCACAGTAGAAGTTCTATTTGGTCCTTGTTCACCACCTCTTTGCCATCTTTTCTCCTTAAGTGTAGTCTTTAACGTATCGTAAAATGGTCGATCACCACCTTTTCTGAAGCTGAGTCGAACATGATTATACGTCTCACCTTTGTCTTCCGGAGGCTCTGGTGTTTTGCTCGGTGTTCTGGTAGGAGTCGCTTGAGCTAGAGATGGTGTCGATCGACCGTATGATGCAGTTGCCTGTGCAATATCGGCTGCTGTCGTCAAGGGTGAGTCACACATCTCGCATCGTAGCATAGACGGATGATTGGAGAATGTACAGACCGGACATGATACTCCATCTGAAGGAGGAGCAGGAACAGAAGTTGTCGGTGCACCTCTTCGTGCAGTTGACGTGGGATTGGAATTTGCAGAAGTGGTGGCATTTTCGGCCGTTTTGAGCTTTAAATCTTTCACATCACTCGTAACACCACAAAGTGCACAACGAACTGTCGCACTTTGATTGAGACCAGGATCAAATGTGTTGCTAAATGCGCACACTCGACAAATCCATGACGTTGTCGGCAATGCATCAGCACTTGCATCAACAACTGAGGCGTTCAAACGCCAATCCTGATTCTGACTGGAGTCGTGTGACTTTCTTGATGGTCTGGATGAGCCACCATTTGCATTGACCGAGAGTGATCCTCTTGCCTCACCTGTTTGTTCGCGATCAGTAGCATTTGCACTTCTTTCTTCTTCTTGAATAGGCTTGAATCCAATCGTCACTTTTGGGCTACTCTTCAGAAATCCAGCAAAGAATTGCGTTTCCCGAATGATGGAAAGCTTGACAAAACAACTTTGCTTATGCGGCTCTGCATCATCTATATAGAATAATCTATGGCTTGTAAGATAAACTGTTCCCGAAGCATGTGGAAGTGATTTTACCGGCCCAGAATACAATCCTACACCTGGTGTGAGGAGATACACTTCTTCTGAAGGGTACAAGTGAGCGCCCAAAGACGAATTTGAAGCGTCTATGGGCTGAAATCGATCCATGTTGGAGTGTCTATATCATGATTTGATCGAAGGACCAAAGATGATAAGAAGATGTTCGTGGAGGTGGGGGAGAGTGAGAGAATGATACTTGGCGCGTGCTTTGGTGCAGAAATGCGTTTGGTGTCGATTAACCGCGTTCTCTCGTGCTACTTTCGATAACAACTCATCTTCACCATCATACCTGCACAGTATCACAAGATGGAAACAGCGAAAGATGCAAATATATCAGTAGCCACAAGACTTGCCCTTCTTGAGCTGTTGGTGATAGGCTCTGTACCTAATGGAGCTTCAGTTTTAGGACTAACGCAATCAACAGAAGAAGGCTCAAGCGGCCCTTCGATAAGAAACACTGCAAAAATCGCACCTCATCAATCCATCACTCATAGATCACAAGAGGCTAACACTCAGCTGACACAGAGCATTGAACGATACAAGCCGATCGTACAATTCGTGGAAGATTATCGATCGAACAGGCAATATCTGCTCCCACAACCATCAGCAAATAGTTCCTCTGGCACGGCTTCTACACCTGGCTCGCAGATTAGGGGTACAAAGACAGAACAGCCTCAGACAAACAGCAGTGATCTTATCACACCACAATCTGCCATTTCACTTCTTCTAGATTCAGAAAAGGATCTAAGGCAATTGGATAGAGATCTACAGTCTTGTGATAATCTTGCTCAACGGCAGGTAGCTGGAGCAGGCAAATTGTCTGAGCATGAAGCTCTTCTACCAACATTGAAGGCCTTAAGGGAAAGCGTTGCACAGAAGTTGACGGCTGATGAAGAGCTAGAAAGAGAGGCACTGAGCCTAATGGAGAAATATGGATCACATGTGAGTCATCAAGACACCCTTCTTACCCCTTTTATCTCTGAGCATTGCTGACCAAAATACACTCATCCCAACAGGTCGACACCATCTCACGCTTATTTATTCATTGGGACACAATGCTCACAGGTGTGGAAGATGCACTAGATCGTCTGGAAAGGAGATAATTGCATATCCTTGTATTTATATAATCCTGTAAATTACTAATACTATAATGATATCATACAAGTGTTCAAAAGATTTGCGAAAATTGCAAGCAAATAAAAGTTTATTGATGACGTTGCTTTTTGCTTGACATTTGGCCTTGAGCGATAGCAGATTGTGCCAAAGCGCTCATTCGACCAGCTCTATTTGGAGTTCCACTTCCGTCATCTTTTGAAATACCCGAACCGACTGTGTTTCCGTTCAATGTTGCCCCTGGTCCTTTAATTCCCATTCTTTCATTATAACGATCGATCTCAAATTGCTTCAATCCATCACGACTCCAAGTTGCACTTGAACTTCTTGGTCGCATTCTACGTACACGTGCATGTTCAGATTGAGCAGGCAAAATATCATCCAAAGGAACAGCACCTTGCGGAATACCAAAGATCAAATCTGCATCAATATCTGCTTGTGCTTCTAATGCGCTTGCTAATCCTTCTCGGGTCTCCCATGGTTTGTGTTGCAAACGTTTTCGAATCGTTTCTTCATCTTCACTATCGCTATAGGCACTATCGGGTTCTTCCAGTTCGATATGACCTGTCGCAGCAACTTTCATCTTTGAATTAGGTGAAAGCATTTGAATGTTTTGACTAGTTGCTTGCACGACATTCTTTGCTTTGTGGATTTGCATCTGTTGTGAAACAGCTGCCAAAGCTTGCTGTTGTTGACTGCTTTGAGCACTTTGGAATGAATTATGATTGCTAAAGACATTTGGTGTTGGATTCGCCTGAGCGACTTTCATGGATGCTGTCTTGTTGATTTGAGAGGAGGCAACAGAAGTAGCTGATGCTTTCGTCTTGAGTGCTTGTGAAGAAGCTTGCTTTGTGATTGTCGGCATCTTTGTCGGAACTGCCACGCCATCATTCGACTTACGCTTCTTTGCATCAGGTTGATTGGCAACATCCACTGGTCGTTGAGCAGATTGTGACGAGATTGCTTTTCCGGCTGCAGGTCCAACACTAGCAGGCTTATTCTTTGCAGCTTGTTGTGCTTGTTCATCTCTTACTCGTTTCTTGGCTGATTCTGCCGCCGCTGCTACTGCTGCTGCCGCTTTAGCTCTTTCTTCTTTTTCTTTGACTCTCTTTTCAGCTTGTTCAGCTTCCTTCTTCTTTGCCAAATCTGCTCTGACAACGCTGGCAGGTTTCTTTTCCGTTGCAGTTGATGTTTGTGCCGTTGTTCCTATCCGTGAGCCTGTATTACCTTGACTGCTTGAGATGAAGGATTCTTTGCGTGCTGGAATGCTAATTGGACCAGACCCTTGCTTGCTCTTGATCGAAGATGGTTTTGTACTTGTGGAAGCAGACATATGTGGAGTTGCCGTAGTATTCTTGCCTGGGCTAGTAGAGGAGAAACCAAGGATACCCTTCAATTTAGAGCTTATACTTCCACCCCAACTTGCATGAATACTATTGTTCAACGAAGATGTTGTTGCCGTACTTGCTGCAGTATTCGAAGATGCTGTCGAAACAGCTGACGAGACAGATTGATCTTCGATTGGTTTTCCCAATCGTGATACTGGTCTGCTTGTTTTTGCATTAGCAGTACTGCTTGGCATGAAAGCAGATGCCTTTTGCGCAGAAGGAGGAGCGGTACCAGTCGTCTTTGGAAGTGCAGACATAGGCCGAAGGCTTGTTCCTGGTGGTCTAGGTGCGGTTGCAGATGCTTTCATTGTCGCATTGTTGTCCACCAAATCTACCAAGCTTAAATCTCCATCTGTTGAGGTATCATACGCTCCTAGATCGCTATCCGATAGATCATCCTCCACCTGTTTCTCTTTGGCTGCAGCTTGCTTGACAGCTTTGACCGGTGAGGTGGATTTCGTTGCCTGTCTTTGCTTCTTCTGCAGCTCGCTCAACTTGGGATACAAGGATAGCGCTGAAGGACCGGGTGAGTTGAGAGGTGTGGTAGACACTGGTTCTTTGACCTTTTCCGGTACGGCTTGATCCTTCTTAGCATCAGATTTTGCCGCTTTGGGCGATCGTTGAACGCTGTCTTTGACCTTTGCAACATCATGACTGGGCGATTGAGGTTCTGGTGCAATGGTGTTCTGAGAGTTGCTTCGGGAGAAGATTGGACTTGAGATCTTTGTTGCACCTAAACCAACCGAATGCGTTGACATGGAAGAGAAGTTGCGCGAAGATTTCGTTTGAGAAGAAGATGCATTCGTTGTGAGATTGGAAGTTTTGTTGGTGCTGAAACTTTCAATCTTCTGTCTGAAGGATTGTGCTTGACTACCTGTGGTGCTCTTCTGCTTCTCCTCTTGTGTAGGCTTGCTTTCTGTTTGCTTGGATTTGCTGGTCGTCTTAAGCTCTGCTTCCTCTTCGTCAGCATTTCTTTTTGCTGTCTTTGACACAGGTGCATCCTCAACCGTTTCCAATTCAGCCTCTTCGCTCTTACGCTTTTTATCATCAAGTTTCTTCAATTCAGATGATCTTGGGCTCGAGCTTGAAGATGCAATAAGTTCTAAGCTATCATCGAGAGATTTCTGGTCTTGCTCCACTTTCATGATACTCTTTGACAAGAAGCTGGTCTTCGCTCCGCCTGTAAAAGCTGATGGTGCCATTGATGAACTCCTGCCTTGTTGTCGTACACCAGAAGATGAACCAGCGATCGATTTCTTTGCGTGAGCAATTGATGAAAGCGTTCGCTTTGGTGCTGCTGCATTTTGCACTTTTGTTTGCTCCAAGATCGCCTCTTCCTCAACGGTAGATTCATCTCCAGCATCATCATCTTCTGCTGCTTTGGTCGGCTGCTGAAGTTCTTTCCGTGCGGCTTGGCTATTCAATGGTTTTGCAGCCTTTGGCGCACCTGATGTTCCTTTCATAAGAACTTCAGACATGCTTACTTCGTCCTCGCTATCTTCATCATCAGAAGCTAATTTGAGTAGACTTTCCTCCAACTTTTCCCGTGCCATCACTGTTTGTGCAGCTCTTTGGGCTTTTGTAGGGCTCAATGGAGGCGGCGTGGATTCCCGAGGTGAAGGTGATTCAGATTTCTCTCGTGTCGGTCGTTTGATCTCGTATTCATCATCGCTTCTTTCCTCATCTTCGATCGGAGGTGGAGTCTCCTTCTCAATGATAGGCTCAGGAATTTCTGCAAGCTTTTGTATAGATTGAGATGGCTGAATACGCTGCGAGTGACTTCCGTTCCGACTGGCGGCCAGATCTTCATGAGACGCAACTTGCAGACTGTATTCCACCTCTTGAGAGTCATCCACGAACTCGGTCGCTTGTGCCTCCTTCTGTACGGCTGCAGCCGTGGGAGCAGGCATAGCTTTCTCATCTGCCTTGACCTCCTTCTCGCGCAAGATCTCTTGTTTGTTATCCTTTGACTTCGCTTCTGTTGCATTTTCAGTTACAGGTTTTGCTTTCGTCTTGGTCTTTGCTTTGACGGCCTGCTTCTTGGGCTCTTTGGCTTTCTTTGCAACGCTTTCTTCCTCTGCAGGCTTACTCGACTGTTCTACGTTCGTTTCAGCAGATGATCGAGGCAAGAAAGGATTTGGTAGCTGTACAAGTTGCGACTTATCTCCTCTGGCCCTTGTATTTCTCTGAGGTTCTTTGACTTCATCTTTGGCGTCGCTTACATCCTTGATGTTTTTCTCTTTGACGTTGTTCTTTAGAGTTGAGGATGGCAGGGTGGTCTGATTTTCCTTATTTGCATCGTCAGAGAATGGATCATTTGACTGTGAAGTGTGCATTTGTGGCCTTGCAGAAGGAAGTTTATGTCGTAATGCTGCTGCTCTCTTCTTTTTCGGCGAAGGTGTTTTGAGTAAATCGGCAGCCATTTGATGTTCGAATGCTTGTCTTTCGGTTGCACTGTTTGATTTTTGTGGAGATCTTTGTTGATAATTTTCAATTGAATCTTTTGCATGACTCATCATCATTTCGATCCATGAATAACCCGATTGCGATAAATATGCATCCAATGTATCCAAATTTGCATGTCTACGTACTTCATTTGCATGTCGTAAAAGGCATTCTGGTCCATCACGTTCGGATGATGAACCAGATGCTATCCTTGTCGTATTGCTTGTCATTATGTGTATAAATAAATCTTGCCGTCATGCAATCTCGAATGAAAGCAAAAAAGGATGGACGTGATGTTGATCATAGCAAGAGCGCATTCATTACGCGCCAAAGTGTTGTTTGCGTGCAAGTGTGTGTGTGTGTAACATTTCACTCAATTGCAGCGCGTAAGGCGAACGCGTTCTGTTAGCCTCCCGGAACTCTCTTCCTTTGGATCAACATTGATTCACATACCGAGCATACATCACTGAATTTATCATACATATTACTTTTTTCGAGTATGCGACCATAAATCAGTATCTATAATATATTATTGCTAGCATTGATATCGACTTTCTAATGATGTGAGCAATATATCATTATAGGTAAAGCAGAATGGAGTAGGAGCTTTTCAAGCGGTGGAGTGAATGCTTAAAACACGCCTTCACTTATTGACGCGAATGAACACGTGCGCGGCTGTCCGTAATGCGTAAAGTGTTGGATGCGTGTTAAAGTGGAGAGTGACTACAGGAGTTGCTTATTACACTCAATCATACTCCATCACCCCTCTTGAAATTGTGATGACTGTTATATGACAAAGAGACAATCAAGTCGAGCTTTGTAAGCATCTCAATCATGGCAACATCTGCTCCATTACAGTCAATCTCTATACCAAGAACGGAGAATAGGACTTTACCTACGCCGCATATAGTCTATGCAATCTTGGTCACTTTACCGGTCAAATCATGGTTCATATTTCGAAGATATAGCGAATTTGTAACACTACATCAAAATTTTATCTCTTCGGCTCGATTTGGCGGATCACCTCCTGCAGCTTTACCACCAAAGCATGTCGCCCGGACAACGTTGAAAGCCATTACCGGATTGGGAGGATTAATGCCAAAAGGTGAAGCAGCACGACAGACGGAAGAAGAACAGCTAAGCGAACGTAAAGATGGTTTGGAGAAATACCTTCGTGCGATCCTTGCATCACCTGATGATCGATGGAGAGAAAGTGACGAATTTAAAGAGTTTATAGAATTGCCTAGAGGGCAAAGCACTTCGGCAGCCTTGGGCACAAATGGAACCGCTTCGGCGGGAAAAAGTGGAGAGAATTCTTATACATCAAGAAGGTATATGCCAGGCAGTCTTCCTTCATCGACAGAAGGTGGAGTAGGATCATTCACTCGCACACTAGGCACAAAGCCGAAAGAGCCTGCAAAGGAAACAGATGCAACCCGTACATTGGATGATAGAGGATTAATGACATCACAACAAGCACAAATGGATACGCAAGATCGTCAATTAGAAGGATTAGCAGCAATTCTAAGAAGACAAAAAGCAATGGGATTAGCCATCAATCAAGAATTAAGCGAACAAACGGAATTGTTGGACGAATTGGATGGACAAGTGGATCAAACGCAAGGTAAAATGCGTCAAGCTGATAAAAAGATGGATAAGTTGAAATGAATTTTGTCCCCGTTGCATTAATTGCTGAGTTTTGTACATTAAAGTCATTATGAAAAATACCATGCTCTTTCGTTATGGTCTGATGAATATGTCAAATCGGGCCGAAATACTGGATATTCTCCATGCTTGCCGTATCCGAAACATGTGCAAGAAGATTAAAAGTGGGTAGGGTTCTCTCCATTAAGGTTTATATGAAAGTACGCTTTGACCCATCATTCTTCTTCATCGAATGTGACAATCGAGAAAGATTTGGTTTCCATTTAAATGTCCGACTCACAGGCATTCATTTGTGCACTGTAGAGATCAGTGCTTCTCCGCATATGCACGTCCGATTGGCGTAACAAAACCCTTCCAAAGCTTCAAACTCGAAAATGAGCTTTTCATCGTAAGCCTTTTGATTAAGTTCTTAAAACGGAAGATTTTTAAGATCAAGCGATCCGATCTCTTTATCATTTCATCTCGGGAGAATTATAGGTCCATTCTTTATATTCATTTTCTCTTTATCGCATTACCCGTTCCGTTTTCCCACCCATTTTAATGCATTTTTATTTATAAACAATGAAGCTATAAATTTGATTGCAGTCATCGAAGCTAGAACAATAATGATCATGAGAATCAATATCACAAAAATGAAGCGGGACAACAGGCTAGAAGTTTTTTTTTTTGCATTTAAGCGAGAGCAAGGCTTTCAGCATTACTTTCATTTCATATTCCCACTTGAAGGAACGTTTTGACATACTGCAGAGCCCAGTCTTATCTTTTGACAATTTTCCGGGACCGTTTTCACTTTTTAGAGTGCACTACAGGATTACCGTGAGAAATGAATGACGGAATAGACATTTGCCGCACTTTAAGCGATCGACAAGATCGATCTACAAGGCTGAAATGAATTCCCATATCCCACAAATTGTTCAATTTTGTTTTTCGATATGATCACAAAAAAAAAGTATTCAGACAATGTACCGAAAATGATGATTTGTGTGTCAGGAACCTAATCATGAAAAACACAGAGATGGATTTACCTTGGCATTGGCAATTCGTTAGCCGATCCAGGCTTTAGAAAAAAGAAACACCGTCTGCACTTTAACACTCTCTTGTTCTGCCGTATCGGCCGTAAAAGCAAACACAAACAAACAATACAATTGCAGCAGACAGAGGAAAAACCGTTGAATGAAAAGCGCGCCACGCCACTTTACACGGTCTGGTGCGCGGCGCACGCGTTTCCGAAATGGTATTTATGCAAATTTATGCAAGAAGGGACGGACTAAGAAGTAAAAGAGAGAGAGAAAAGAGAATCGTTTGAAAACCAAGTTTCTTTTTTTTAAAATCCATCAAAGTCCTAATCAAAGCGTTTCTCAAGGCACTTTTACCTTTACAAACAAACAACGTTCCCTTTTGTTCCCAGTATATGTATGTATGAACTTCATATATATATATCTCCTCACTTTAAAAGTCCGTGTGTGATATTAGAATGTAAGAACAGATAAAATGAGTAGAACGAACAAGGGGGTTCGTTCTCTCTCTCAATTTCGCTTATTGTCAATTCCCCTTTGTGACTTTATAAATTTGAAATGAATTATGGCAAGAAGGGGGAAATTCGGAAAGGTTGTTTACAATAATCTATCATACGACCACACCCCTTTTATGCATCGAAGTAGTGTATTCTGGCAAAACGCTACTTTGTCGTCCAATGCATATGCAAATGAGCTTATCTTATTCACATTTATGTGGGAGAGCAGATGCACTGTGGAGAAATTGAATTGCTTATTACAGTATAATTTATTTGGCCGATTTGATGAGGTCTTTGAAGAGGTTGTCAAGACAAAGAATACGTGTGTGGGAGTTTACCTGATCTTTGGAGATTTACCGACAAAAGGATACTTTAAACGAGAAGGTTTTATATAAATACCATCATCCCATTTCAAATCTTTCCCTGCCTCATCGACATTTCACACTGTACGAAAAAGCAGAGAAACAGCATCATTCTTGCCGGCAAAATCATCTATTTCCTCTGCTTTCAGTCTGACCCCTAATCAAACGCCAGCGTATTCTCTACATTCAAGAAGTTTCACCCCTAATCAACAACAAGTCATTCCTTTTATCTCCATCACCATCTAATTGTTCTTTGTCTCAAGATGGATATTCTAGGTATGTTGAAGCTTTATTGTGAATCGTTGCAATCATTGTCCATTTACTTATCAATTGTCTCCTTTTAGAGCTCGTTCATGACGATCAAAAGTCAGAGTCAAGACCATTCCAATGCAGATATAAAGGATGCCCAAAAGCATTCAGCAGGTGAGTATTACAGAATTTCTCAGCAAGAGCGGAATTGTATATTAATATAAACAATCTTCTTTATTTTCCTTTCAGACGTTCTGATTTGGCTAGGTGAGTATTGAAAGAGGTTCTTTCGTAATCGAATTTGTTGAACGGAGCCGTCGGTCGATCGGGACTAAAAAGAAGGAAATCAAATAGAAGGTTTCCCTGACGATCCCTTTGTTATTGGATTATGTGGCTTGAAAAATGACGTAGCACGCGCCCATCTTTTTCACGGTATTATGACAGGAAAGGCTAGTGAACAATCAATTTAAGGCGCACACAGTGCAGCGGATGAATCCGATCCAAAAATGTTCACTAGCGAAGTCAACGGTGAAATCCATGGAAATGGTTTACTCCTTTCCCTTGGACACCATTGTTCCTTTCATTCGTGTTCTCACGCTCTGGGCGACAATCATCTGTGCGGCAATGCATTGCTTATTACTGATTGAGTCTAGATTTAGACTATTTCATGCAATGCAATGTACCTCAACCATGTTGTCCTTCCTTTGAGGAAGAGGCAACGAAGATCATCTTAAGATCAAGCTGCAATGCATACGCACGGGAACGTCTTGTTTTTCCTGGTTTCGATTGTTCGATTTTGTGGAGTGATGGTGTGGTCTGTTTGTACACACACACAGGCACACGGGCACGCGCGCTCGCACAATCATGCATGCATACATTCAATGGAGACGGCATCTATTTCTATCTTTATCCTTTCGGCAACCATGTCAACTGGTCATCACTTTTGCACCCTGCTCCCACATTTGTCAAATCCTTGATCCGAACTGGTGACAAGGGAAGATGTGATGGTAACGCATTTAGCGTACAAATAAGACTCTCTTTTTTTCAACCGTTGGGAACATCAATCGATGCTTTTGGCGCGTTTTCTGTCTGCCTCTCTTTTCCGATAGCACGCCATGGTTTCAATTTCCCTTTGTTCTTCCATTCCTCTGGCGTCAAGTGCATGCACATCAATTCTCTATCAATAGATTTCATCTGATGATGCATGCATAATACGCACAGATGCATGCAAGAACAAGGGTAAATTTCAATTAATTAAAATCGGAAGATGAACTGACACAGACAAACACACTCTCTTTTCTTTTGTTCTCACATCAGACATGCACGTATACATTCAAACGAAAGACCTTTGTAAGTTGCCACTTTTGATTTTGAAATCACTTAATGTGAACTAATGAATCGCTTATTTCTTCCGCTTTTCTTCAGCGGATGTCCGTATCGTGGATGTGGAAAAACATTTATTCAACGATCAGCATTAACCGTTCATTTACGTGTTCATACCGGTGAAAGGCCACACGTTTGTGAAACATGTCAAAAAGCATTGTGAGTAAAGTGTAAAAGAAACAATTAATGTGCAATCCGATCGCTAATAAAACGGTCTCCACTCTCATCAAACAGTTCCGATTCTAGTTCATTAGCACGTCATCGTCGAATTCATACTGGAAGACGTCCTTATCGATGCTTGGTAGAGGTGAGTAATTTTGCAGCAAGAACAAATAAAGAAACTTGACTAACATTCCTTATTCATCCAATTTAGGGCTGTGGCAAGAGCTATTGTCGTAAAACGACATTGACAAAGCATACCCGTAGAAATCATGCTACAGTGCTGAAAAATACACAAGCAAGAAATGCTGCAGGCGCAGGTCCAATGGCGATTGCAAGTAATTCAACTCCAAATTTCATGGGTCCATTTTATGATCCTAGATCTGGTGGTGTACATTTGGCTTCGGCTCATAACCTTCCTGGTCATCTTGATCATTCACAATGGCCAAACAATCAAATCGGCATCTTTATGGACGCTCAAAATCAACAACGTTATGGCCTTCCGTACAGTAATGCTATCAGATCTCGATCAGCCGATGCAAGGATGGGATACGAAGGAATGGAGAATGTTCATTTTGCCGGAAATACTTCTTCGTTCAATGGAAGCGTTCATGGAAGTTATGCAACAGCAGCAGAAGATGATTTGCTATCACAAAACAGTGGTTCGTTCGAAACCACTCAATCTTCTCGTAGTCAACCGTTGAGCCCAATGGATTCAAGTGCACATTATCCAATCTATACTGGCGGCGCAGGTGAGAATGGTCATCATCACGGTGGTCACAACGCCAATAATGCATTACCACAAAGTTATTATTATCCAAACATTCATCCGCTTCCAAGCTTTGAGAATGCTGGTGTTGGACCACCACCTCCGATGCCATACTTTCGAGGTGATAAACAAAGTCCTGCAAGTCCCAACCATGATCATTTGGGAATGTTGAACGATCATGCAAACGGTCATCTTGGTAATGCGCCTTTTACAAACAATCTTGGCGTTCATCCTGCTTATCATGAAGCTCAACAACATCAGCAACAGCAACAACAACAACAACAGCAACAGCAACAGCAACAAATGGCAAATCATGCGTCACATGATCATCCTGCTCCGATGACGTATGAATCAAACTTGTCATCTTTGGCATCTCCGACATCTATCAATACAAATGCTACACCGGTTGCATCCTTTTATGGAACGAATGCTTCTAACAATTTTAATCAAAATGACGCATTATCAGCGGCACCTTAAAAACGACTAACTTAATTTTTCAACGAAAAAAGAGCCATATTTATGCCCATCATTATAATCAGGTCAACACATTCATCATCAACTTATCAATCAATCATATATTTATACATTTCATCATTTGGGTCAATCGTTATTCATCAATATCAAAAAGGACAACTTTGCTATTCTCTTTCACTGCAATTATTCTTTTCAACATCATCTTCATCAATGTTCCACTTCATACTGTATTCATATTTTGTCTATAGATTCATGACAAGCTTAAAGCGAATCTTGTCATGATCATTTCTCCTTGCATCGCTTTTAATACCCATACAATTATTACGAGAGACAGTCAAACAGACAGAGAGAGGGATTTGATTTTATACAAAAAAAAGCTTCTCATTTTTTTGAACTGCATTTTTACCTATAATACATACAACAAAACTTCTTCTTTTCCAACCTCTTTCTTTCAAGCAGCAATGCGCAACCTTACATCCATAAACCATATTTACGTCCCGGATAGGTTTGCCATAGTCTAATCGTTCCGTCTTCTGATCCACTTGCTGCTAATTCACCATCAGGCGAATAGCTTACAGCATGAGCAGGTCCATGATGACCTTTGTGTAGTTCACGTTCTTGTCCCGATTCAAAGTCATAGATGCGTACCCAACCATCAGAAGTTGCACCTGCCACGAATCGATCAGCCAAAGAAGGATGCAAAGAAGCCGAAGAAGGTGCTTGTGCTAGAGTGTGTTCTTTGATCAACTCCTTTTTGTGTGCATCGATGAAGAAAACCTTTTTACCTGAAGCAATTGTGATCAATTCTCCTAGAACGGCGTTGTTGGATCGTTCCATAGACGTGATTGGTTCATTGAAAGTCAATTCGCTCACTTTGCTCATCGATCGCAAATCCCACCATTTCACAACTTTATCCTCTCCAGCACTGATTGCAATATTCTCTCCATCTCCGCGTTGCCAAACTACACTTTTGATCACGCCTTCATGTGCTAGTCCATCAAGCGATTTCTCACGTAACAGGTGTGCTTCTTGATCTGGTTTTGCAAGATCGAACAAGCGCAATTTCTTTTCGTGTCCAGCCGTCAAAATACTTGTGCCAGTAGCATTGATCGCAACCGATCGAACGATATGATTATGTGCGAATGTATGCAAACAATCTCCACTATATGTATCCCAAATCTTTGCCGAGAAATCAGCACTTCCCGTTACAGCTTTACCTGCATCGCCACCGGAAAGTTTACTACTCCAAACAGCACCTTTGTGACCTAAAAATGTACCGATCCAATCACCTAACCAATCACGTAGCATCGGATTTCCATCTTTGCAACTTGACAAAAGTGTGTATGTTCCATCATCTTGCTGTTCTGAGAATTCTAGATGAACGACTGGTCGAGTATGTCCGGAGCATGTGAGCGGTACAGCTCGTGCTGGAGGTGCGGGTGATGTCATGGATGGCTGAATCGAGTTGAGAGATGTTTGCTTTGTTGATTGTTATAAGTTTTGTTGGATAATCTTGCTTGTCTGTTTTTGCTTTCGGGCAAGTGAATCCTATACCAGCCGTAGTGATTTGAACAAGTCAATGAAGTTTTAAGTGAGCTTAGCAATGCTATAGCGTAGCTTCTGCGTCGATAAAGATACACAAACGAGATTGAAATCGGAGAAAAGCGTTGGTAAGAGAAAGAAAGAAGGAAAGAATGCAGCGGAGCAAAATGTCTTGTCTCGCAAGTCTATAGTCGGTAGATTTTTAAAAAGTACAGCTTTAAAGTGTGAAAATGCTGGATTGTCGTACAAAGAGGTTGAGAAGAGGAAGGGAAGAAGGTAAGTGAATGTCGGTAATGATGATGGGAATATCGATAGATTTCATGTTGATGCAATTTTCTCGTAAAGTTTAGCGCGAATGTGTATTTTTTTTTATCTCCCCTTCCTTTGCAACCTCTGGCGCCGCGCTCGCTGGACATTTAAACTGACGGGTATGTTGTCGTCGTCGTAATTAGAGAGGGCCAGGAACCTTATTGGTTTCAAGGTGAGGTACGTGTGCATTATATAATCACCTTTCACTAAATGCATTCATAGGAGGCCTTATTTCCGCTTCTTCTCTTACAAACCATCATCATTTCAGGGACCATTAAGCAATGAGCGGAAGTGTGGTTCCGTCACTGTCTTCAGTCAGCTCAATTCTGTCTAAAGTGGCTCGACAGTACGAATCGGCACTCAATACAAACTCCATCTTTTTCTATCCTTCAAAGGTAACAATACTACCGCAAGATGTCGAAGGATCATCAAAATCCACAACGACAATTCCATGGACTATACGTTGTGTGCCTGCACTTCTAGACAAAGCCAAAGAAAAGCATCAACAAAATTCAGAATCAACATCAGCAAAAGCTTCCGATTTGACAAAAGATGCCAAGAAGCAACAAAATCCAAGCGATGTCTTTGCTCCACCTTATCATCCCGATCTCTTAGTGGAGGAATTGCCAAAGCATACAATCTTACTAAATAAGTTCTGTGTGGTTCCAAAGCACTTTTTACTGGTCACTAGAGAATTCGCATCGCAAAATATACCTCCTTCTCCCGACACTCTCACTATCGCTTATCGGATATTGCAGTCACACAAGGCATTGGCCGCTCAACATCATGATGATGTAGCACATGACAAAGAGCTTTTGGCATTCTATAATTGTGGAAAAGTAAGCGGAGCAAGTCAGCCTCATCAGCATATGCAATTCGCCGAATTAGGAGCTGAAGGACAGCAGCAAGACAATGTACCTATCCCGGTTGAAGAACTACTCTCACGTATTCCACAAGACGGAAAAGAAGATGAGGTATATGCACTTCCACTACCTTATCAGCACTTTGTTTCCATCATTCGTCAACCGCCAACCGACGATGCAGCTAAGCTTCAGGATTATCTCGGGATGAAGTTGCTGTCTTTGTTGGACGCACAATTCCAGGCACGTCTGGCTGCATATGATGCCCACAAGGATAAAGGCGTAACTACAGATGATCATAGATCCGCTCCAAGTTGGAACTTACTCTTGACCACTCGAGCCATGCATCTGATACCGCGTAGACAGGAAGAGTTTGATGGACTGCGACAGAGGGTGGACGAGGAAGGGAAGGAACACAAGGAGGATGGTGTGGACCTGGTAGGATCTTTAAGTATCAATTCTTTGGGGTATGCCGGACATCTGTTGGTCAAATCACTAAGGGAATTAGAATATCTACAAACACATCCTGGTGGTGTGATTGACGTCTTGCGTCAGACAGGAGCTCCACCCGTTGAAGATGTAACCACAGCTACACATCACGAAGGTTAAATAATATTACACAAAATGTACAAATTCTATTTAGAGGGGAAATCTATTCATCAACTCGTTCTTCGAGCTGTCTCAGTCTATTGGCAATTGTATCGCCGTTCCATAGCTCGCCCTTACCATCGTTACATACTGTAATGTTGGGCAAGCCAGTCTGCTCGATCGTTAGAGCTGCTGAAACAGATCCCATTCTGGCCGCCCTGATTATATGTTCCGTGCTCCAGTCCGTCTTTTCAGGTCCTGTCAATGCCAATCCTACTGTGAAACCTCCAAGATAAGCATTTCCTGCTCCTGTCACATCGACAATCTTGTCAACTTGATCATTCGTATGAAAAGCAGGGATCCAATGAAGATCGGCATTCTGTAAACATACCAGAGAACCCAATGCTCCCGCTCGAATACATATGATCGGGACGCTGCCATCTGAATCTTGATCATCGCGTATCCGATGGTATAATTGGGTTGCCAGATCTTCAATACTGGACATGCTGACCTCTTTTGATAGCTTGACGCCAAGCAGCGATGCTGCTTCTTCGTGATTCGGACTGAGTACCGAGACTGACTTTGATACCTTCAATGCTTTGGGTAGATTTTCCTCTATTGCACTGTCAGGTATTGGCTCCCATATAAGGTTTGGTTGACGTCCAGCAGGCCATTTGTCAGGCATTCCTTTAATCTGCTTGATCATTTCAGACGCTCGCTCAGGAGAGCAAATGCAGTGAATGAATGGCGGCAGCTTTGTATGCAAATCATCTAGGAGATCGACAGGGTCCAATCGAATCTTTGGAGAAAGATAAGCAAAGCCCCTTTCTTCACCACGATAGATATTGACTGCTTTTGTCGTTCCATCTTTGCGTTGTCTGAATCGCCAAAGAGAGTGAGGTTGATCAGGTTTTGAGTAAATGTCCAGCTTTTCTTGAATTTCGCTTGTAAAGTCAGATCCTCGGTCTACTGTCATCATCACTTTGTCTGGGGATAAACACATTCGAGCGCCAACAGCAAAGTATGTTCCACCTCCACCTATCTGTTCTCCTAATCCTCGATCGCCTAAGCTTGCACCGGTCTGTTCATCTTCGAATCGAAATGTATCGATGATGAACATTCCAAGTGTTGAGACCAATACTGTATCATCCATCTTGACAGTCAAGCTACCTCATGATGATGAGGGTAGTGAGTAAACATCTTAACATTTAACCCTGTCCGGGTCCGTGCATGAAAATCAAAAAGAGCAACACTTTTTATTTTTGTAATGCAAATCAAAAGTGTAATCAATTATTGTTAAACTCAGCCTTTGTCTTATGACGCGTAAAAGTGGTTAACCCCGATCAATAGAGAATTGTAATTTATCTTTCTTTGTTTGTATACCATCATCACTATCGGACAGAAGGAGAGCATAGCAAAAATGCTCGTCCATCGAGCCCATGATGGTCACTCTTTCGACCTGGCTCGAACATATTCACAATTTCAATCCAAAGAGCATTTATTCGAAGTGATCTCAGAAATGACAGGGATACCGGTTGAGGACCTAATTTGTATGACAAAAGATGGATTTCAAGTAAATGATGAAAGGTTTGAACAGATACAAGAGGAGGAAGAAAGATCTCTTTCTAGTAGCGTTCGAAGAGATATCCCAACGGAGCTGTACATCTTCAATCGTCAATACTTATACGTCGACGATCTAGAACCTTTGATAAACGAATTGGAGGAAGCAGTGCCACTTCGGCCACCGGTACATGAACCAGAACTGCAATTGCCAATTACACCTCGAATGCTTAATGCTCTATTGGAATGGTGTGCGTTGGTGTTGCAGAATATGACTGAGCATGATGCCCTATCAGAGCAATATCTATCGCAGACGCAAATAATCGACGAAAGTACTCGTGCAGCATTCTCAAATGTGCAGACATTGGCAGAGAATACATATACTGCATCATACGACCTCAAAACCCACCTGGAAAAAGAGCTTACTCGGATGAAAGGTCTTTTGCAGGATCATGACCTCGCTTGGAAAATATTCTACATGGTGCAGATCCATCCCAAATTGCTACCGAAACCCACAACGGAAGGCAAGAGTCGACTAGGAGATCGTATCAATAAGAGATTTATCGAAGAAGTTTTTCGAGAATGCACGGATGTGTATGAGAATTTGACTGACGAATGGAAAGCCATGACGACTAAGGACAATGAATTGGTTGAAAATGTCAATAAATGGCAGAATGAGGGACAAAGTACAAGTACTGAACCGGGACAGGAAACTTTTCGAGAAAGCAGACAAGCTCTTACACGAGCTAATGAGATACAAGTGTTCTTACAACAGACTTGTTCCCCGGATGAACATGGCTGGCCAGCTGCTGAGCGTTTAGCAAAAGATGAAAATATGGTGAGAGCGATAGAGGAAGCGGTAGGCGAGCTCATCCTTCTCGACGAGGTTTGTCGTGATTCGCTCAGGCGCCTCGTGGCTGACAAGAATGAAATGGTTCCGCGTGGCTTGGATCTTCTGCATATCATCAGTGAATTGCAGTCGGGCTTCACCGAATTGGATTCAGAGCTCAGAAAGCTTGATGAGAGCTTCAATTCAAAGCGAGCGGAAAACTTCAAGCACATAACGCGATTCCAGAATCTTTTATTCTGTTATGGATCAACAATGATTGAAATCTATCGAAGAACAGCTTTCGATAGACATTTTCTGGGTCGGAGTGAAGCAATCGCCGAACTGATGGCCAATCATACAGAGAGCGAAAAGAAGCGAAGATCAGATTTTCAAAAGCAAGGCGAGTATTTATTACCATGGAAGATCAATCGTGAGCTAAAGGATGACGAAGCACCAAGTCTGGATATGTCTACCCGACCAAGGGAGGAGAATGAACCGCAACTTGTGATCGAGCAAAATGAAGTCGAAGAGCTATTTCAGATGCTTGATGAAATAGAAGCTTCTTTAGACTTGCAGAATGAATCGAACCCCATTGCTGAGGCAAGATCACTCCTTCGCACTCTATTCGATGAAGCAAAGGACTTTGAAGCTAACTTTGCTAGATTGGTCGAGATAAGCCTTCTAGATGGACAAGACGATGCAGAAAGCGAAGATGCAACAGAGCAAAATGGAGCACGACCGCGAGTTGCAACCCGAAAGCTAGAGCAGGAAAAGCATAGGCTTGAACAAGAGCTTCAAGATCTGAAGATTGAGCATGGGAAGAGAGAACGTACACTTGCAGAAGCTCGGGATCAGGAATTGCAATCTGTACAAGCAGAGCTCAGCAAAATCAAGCATGAGCTCAGAAATGCAGAGCATGCCCTAGACCAGGAAAGAACGCAACATGAAGAAACAAAGAAAGACTTGGACGCTGTCAAGGCTGATGCAGATACGGAATCAGCTCGTCGTCATAATATGCAAGATGAACTGACAAGGCTGCGAAGGGAGGTGGAAGATGCACGAAGGGCAGAAAAAGATGCAAAAGTGGAGATTGCTGAAGAATTTGATCGTTTGAATGAGCTAGAAGCACATCTTAATGATGCTCGAGTTGAATTGGAAGAAGTACGCTCTGCTCGCGATGATGCAAGCAAACGATTAGAAGCACTTTTGAACAAAGGTACTTCATTCGAAGGTGAATTACGCATTGCTCAAGATCGCATTGCTGAATTGACGCATCAATTAAGCGTTGCTAGGTCGGAAACTCGTACAGTGCAAATTGCTTTGACCGAAGCAGAAAGTGCTCGTGATAAAGCCCTTCGATCTTACCGTGCTGAAGCCGATGGCGATCGAGCAATCTTGGAAGAGACTCTTCGAAACAAAGAAACAGAATTGCGGGAAGCAGAAGATTTGCTAAGAAGGCGTGATAATGAATCGACGGAACACACAGATAGCATCAAGAATTTGCAAAGTCAATTATCAGCTGCAGATGAAGCACACGAAGACCTTGTACGACAATATGAGACCGCAAAAGAATCATCATTGAATGCAGAAATGGCAAAACGACAAATCGAGCGAAATTTGGATGCTGTTGTGGAGAAAGTTCGCATTTTGATGACCAAATCGATTTCCTTATCAGATGCAATGGAAAGGATGCCTATTCTCTCATCTGGAAGTTCATCAAAGAATGGAACCAAGCTGGCTGCTGAGACCATCGATGAAATTGATGAGAAGAGTGACAAGGCGAGAAGAGTTGCGCTAGAGTCGTTCAAGAATGGCGCAGATGACATTGCACTTGAAGTCTTGCTCGATGTCCTTGGCTGGCTCACAAAAAATTCTGCAGAAGATAAGGCGGTCATCAAGATGGAGTCCCAGATCACCCAATGCAAGAAATGGATGAAAGCTTATAAGCACATCAATGAAAAAGGTCAGAAACAACAACTTGTACTTCGAGAGAAGATCACCTTCCGTCACTTTGCAGTCGGCGATCTTGCCCTGTTCTTGCCAACAAGGAGTAATGCCTTACCCCAACAAAATGGCCAAGATACAAACGGAACAGGAAGAGATAGTTCCAATGCCTTCTCAAATGTGAAACCTTGGGCTGCATTTAACATCAATTTCCCTCATTTCTTCCTCAACTTTGGCGGCAAAGCTGAGAATGAACAATTACGTGACAGTCTGCGCACTAAAGAATGGATCGTTGCTCGTATTACAAAAATTGAAAGTAAGACAGCAAACTCTTCCGTACCCGATGGAAATCCATTCCAACTGGCAGATGGCGTCAAGTTCTATCTTTTGGATGTGGAAAGTTGGAACGCTGCAAACTCAAGCATTGTACCTAGCATTCCACGAAGAAAGAGTACGTCAACGACGGTTACGACGGCAGACAAGAGTGCTCAAGTGCCACCATCTTTGCGTAGATGGGGTAGTACGCCTGACACTCATGCCGATGCAAGCATGAAAGAGATTGTGGAAGATGATCGTACAGAAGTCAAGGCTAATGCCACCGTTGAGTCGATTTCCGAAAGCCCTATAAAAGCAAGACTGAGCCCAACGAACAGATACACTCGCATAACGAATCGTACAAGTGGCGCATTTGCTCGTCCAAGTGAAACACCGACGGTAAAGGAAGCAAGCGCACCAAAGGAGAACAAGTCAGAGCCAAAGCCGATCAAACCTAATAAGACTTTATTGCAAGCTTCTGAGAGAGCTTTTGATCCATTTTCTGCTAGCCCAGCTCCTGGTACCCCAGGTGAGTCAGGCGGAATGAATGAATACTTATTACGAAGGAATGGAACTGCAAGTCGTGAACCATCAGGACTTTCTGCAGGAAGCGAGAAAGGCAAAATGAAAGAAACCGAAAGACCGATGAAGATCAGGTCAAGGCCTGCTGCGATTGCCTCTGCACGAATTCGAGCACCTTCTGCGGCTACACCAACGATGGAAGTTGCACAAGGTTTGAATTCGTTCGGTCATGCTGCACAAATTTCTGAAGATGGAATTGGGCCTTCAACATCTTCTTTCAGCGGTGGATCTCAAAGGACAGGTAGTGGCTTTAGTTTGCCTGCTGCAGGAGGTGGTAGCAATTTCTCAATCGATTCTCGATCGCCTTCACGTAAGAATGCATCCAGCACAAGCTTAGTCTCCGCTCCTTCTCCAGCACTGAACAGAAGGTCAATTTTTGGTTCAGGATGGACATTAGGCAGGAAATCGGGCTCGCAAACACTCAACTCTTCCGGTGAGGCTGGAAATAGTTTTGATGAACAAGAAGATCTATCGGCCACTGTAACGGACGCAACACGTAGTTTGAGGCGATTGACCAGTTATGGTAGCAAGCGATGAGAAGCTCTCTATTTAATTTTGTATTTTATAGCGATTCACTGTAATTTATTGCATGTTGTTAGTATCGATACTGCATTCGCTTTATCTCACAAGCAGAAATGCGTGAAGTCAAACAAGATATTTATGATTTTATTTGACTGCAATTGTTTTCATTGATTGATGATGAACGATGCGAAGTGATGTATATATATGAAAAGGTGTTTGAATGCAGATGATGATGATGTTAGGAGAAACTCATGAGATATAAAACAAAAGGAAAAGGAAAAAAAATGCAATACAATAATCATTCCTCTACTGCCTCTTCATTATCTTGTGCTTGACTTACAAGCGCAACTTCATCAAGAGGTACTTTTACCGTTTGACCATCAATCGTCCGTTCTATCAAGCCAGAAACGGGGTTAGGTTGTGCATCAGGCGCAACTCCAGGTCCGAGGGGATCTTTTTCATCTAAAGCTTCTCCCGCTGCTGCTGCGTCTGTTGATCCACTCGTACTTGGCGCTCTGGGTCTAGAGATTCGTAATGACTCCGTATTAGGAACACCTTCCAATTGCTCTAAACTTGGTCTTCTAGCATGAGCTGCAGCTACCACATCTGAAGCGCGAAGAGATGCACTGTCCAACAAGTCAACGAATGGTGTTCCATTTGTGTCACTGCTACCGCTGTCGGAACGTGCTCGTTCGACTTGTACACCTTCCTCTCCCAGTGCATTGCCGCTTTCTGATGCTGTTGAGCTGTTGTCATCCCCGTCGAAGCTTTGGACATCATCATTGGCTGATGTTTCCCTTTGGAAGTCTGCTGCCCAGTCGGCAGGTGTAAGATAAGCTTGCGCACTGCTTCCGGAGCCCGAATTCGGTCCTCCAATAACAGCTGAAGACGAGGATGAAGAGTCGGCAAACGGTCCCCAATCATCATCGTCGTCATCATTATCTATACTATTTCCTCTGCGGCCGATGCCAGAACCAGATTCGATGTCAGGCTCGAATGCATCATCAAATGCGTCACCAGATCCAGAGTGCAAATTGCGTTGACGAATATCTTGTGATAGCCAATTCGTATCTTCGTCCGAATCATCATCATCAGAAGCATTTGCTGTGCCCATTTGAGAAGATAAATAATTGGCAAACGCATCTGAACCGACTGATTGACCTCCTGATGCACCCAGATCTCCATCTGCAACACCTACACCATGTTGTGGGAAAGACAGCGAGTGCAACATTTGCGGTCTTCCTCCTGCCAATGGGGCTGCCTCCTTCTCGCGATTCTCTTTCAATGGATGTTCAACGAAGTTCGTCCATTCAGGAGAGATGTATGGCTCGATATAGTGTGCAATCTCTTGTGGATATCTCTCCAACAGTTTCACAGTCTCTTCTGCAATCAAATGCATATGTCCCATGTATCCTAATCGAATCTTTCTTGGCGATTTCAATGATTCTTGATTACGCTTTTCTCCCTCGACAATCTTTTCTGTGAGCTTTGCTTGTTCGAAGACTGCCAAAGTGAGTTTTCTATTTAGCCCAACATCCATCCTTCCGTTGAAAAATTGTTGAAGGATGTCGTATACGACATTATGCAGGAAGTTGTTCCAAGGGAACTCGAAGAAGAGCGATAAGATCGTCGGAATTACATCGCATTCGAGGAATTTCTTCTTCAACAAATCCCCGATGACATAATCACGCATATCATCAATCGGAGAGGGCGGCTTTGAGGGAGAAGGTGAAGGAGCGGTCAAATCCGCCAAAGAGAGATGAGAAAGGACAGATCGTATCTCTTCATCATCCTGACCATCAGCTTTTTCCTCTTCGCCTCCTTTCTGCGCTGACGATCCTTCATCTTTCGATTGCGCATCATCAGTTGGAGAAGTGCCTTCTGTTGAAGCTGCTTTGTCGGTATCAGTGGTTGCATCATTTAAAGATACTTCACTGAGTAAAGCCTCATCGTCGGTATCCTCTGAACCAACTCCACCACCAACGACAGAAGATTGCCGTGTATGCCTGCCCGTCTTTGTCGAGGGCTGCGTTTCTTCCTCACCTTCGGTTTTCGTGGTTGTAGATTCGGCTTTCTCAGCTGCTGGCTTCTCGGTGGTTGTATGATCTTGACCGGATTCAGACGCTGCATCAGTTCCTTGAAGCGTTCGTGCCAAGATCTGCAAACCCTCAATTCCGCCTTGCAGTACGCCTTCTTCGGAATACTGAGGTCCTTCTCCTGGAGTACGATTCAGCAATGCCATGTTTGAGCAATGCAAGAGTTCTGCATAGAGCTCCGTAATGCGATATCTCTCAAATGTCAAAGCTGCAGTCTTTCCAAGGCTACTGACAGTCTCTGTACTGTCTACCCTTGGTCTTGAGATCAAACTTTGGAAATCACCCAATCGTTCACACAAGACACGCAACATTGGACCCAAATGAACGATGCCGAGCTTATCAGACAATTCTGCCATTGCTTCTTCCATACCTTCCATCTCGTCATCTTCATCTTCCTCTCCGTCCACTCCTTTAGACTGTTGAGCCTCTTCATCCTTTTCTTCTGAAGCATTAACAGTTCTACTTGCCTTGCGTTCGGCTATCTCCTGTTGCCTTTGTAAGAGATGAGTTCGTAGAGTGTGGAAGAGATGTTGTTCGAAATAGTCGCTGTTATTCTTGCGGATAAGTTCGATCAGAATACCGATACAAGTCACAAGAGTTGATGTGCAGCTTTCAGCGGTAACATTGATCTCAGGAGCCCGAACGGGGGGCGTGAGCGAATTCGTTGATGGTCTGATGGTAGCAGTTGAATCACGGTGATGGTCCAGCACACCTGGAGAACGGCCAATGCCACCATATGCGCTCACTCCGCTGGCTGGCGTGTCTCTTGGATTGAGAGGCTTTCTCGATGAGCCAGCATCAAAGTCCAAATCATCATCATCGAGAGCAGAATCACTACTATTTCCGCTCTTATCCAGTGGATCCAGCGGAACTTCACTCAAGGATGAAAGTGTTTGACTTTCTGCCGCCGTTACTGAAGGTTTATCACGTTTCTTCTTTGCCGAAAAAGTAAATCCTTCTTCGTTTCGTTGTTCTTCGGCTGCCTCGGACAATTGTCTTGACAAACGGGAAGGAAGCGAGGCGTCCAACATGAAACCCACCATTTTTCGCACGATTGTCTCGCTAGCGAGTTCTCTAACCAGTCTGTTGTTCACTCCGCCAACTTGTCCATTTGCCTGACCACCCATTGCATCTGTGCCACCAAATCCAAATGCTTCAGCTCCTGTGCCTTGTGTCAAGCTTGCCGGCGATGGAGCAGAAAGTGCAATGATAGCCTTTAGTAGCTCTGAAACGGTATTGTGCAGGTCCGTTGAATGCGAAGGTGATAATAAATCGATCAAACGAGGCATGAGGTCTTCCGACGAAAGCCAGTCTATAATACCAACATTTTGCACTGCTTCTTCACATTGAATGATGCGATATAACAAATCAACAACTGCAGGTGTTTCCATATGCGCAACGAATAATTCAACGATTTGAGGTAACTCTTTGATGAATGCAATCATCTCTCTAGGCTTCTTGTCCAAGAAGACACCATTCACTTTGGCCCAATAGCCAGCCAAGACACTTTTACCCGGTCCATTATCGCGAGCTGTTGTTAGTGTGGTGCCGTCGTCGTTCGATTTCACCTCTAGTCCCAATACACCAACGTTTGAATTCTCGGCATTAGATGCTTCTTCTCCAGGCACAGTCGGGAGATGTGAAGCGTTCAACTTTGGACCATCAAACGTCGTCTGTGACTTTTGAGATTCTGAGAATAGAGGATGTTGGTGTTGAGTGATTGTTGGTGGATTCGACGTTGCACCTTTTGATAAAATAGAATCCCAGAAAGGTACTAATAAGTCATCACTGTTGGATAATGCTGTATCAACGATTGACCAAATGTCGGACGACAAGACCTCAGAAGCGATGTACGGGTACTTGAATCGCACCTTTTCTTCCCATTCTCTGCCTCCAGGTCCTCCAACCTCAGCTGTGCCAACGACATGTTCGAATAATCGTTTTAGAACTCGAGGCTGTTGTAGATAGTTGATGAGTTTTGAATTTTGTGTTTTACACTCTTGCAGTAGTTCATCTTCATCTAAGATCTCCTCTAGACTGACATTCGGCCTGTCTAAAAGGGTATCCAATGAAGATGTAGAAGAGAATCCGAATCGCCAAAACATAATTAAACGTTATAGCTTTGCACGCATACAAGCTGATCAATGGTGCAAAATCCGAAGTTTGGCGATTGGAAGATGGTAATTTTGATCCTTGTTCAAGCTTTCTCAGACATCGAATGAGATTGAAAGCTGTCGTATGTAGTGTTTGCAGGACAATAGTGCAAAATTTGATACGTCTAATTAGATGCTGGTAGTCGTGCGATGTAGTGTGTCGAGGCTGATGTACAGTTTTTGAGAGTCTTGATAATAATCCTTCCAATAATAATGAGACCAAACTCCAATCGCAATGCCGAGGGCCAATTAAATTGACAAATTCTGATCTGCGAAGGAAGTGCCCCTCTTTGAGATATGGTGGAGTTAGACTAAGGTTTGCTGGAACTTATTACAGCTCAACCGCCACCTTTCCTTTTCTCCTGGGATATCTAGAGTTGTTTGTTGACCTGATGGTCTTTTTCCTTTAACCAACCCTTGTAGTGATTGAAGTAAAGTGTTGGAGGAAGCAATCATTCATCTAAAATCAATTCCGAAACGGATCTCATTTTCTCAATCAATACCGACTAAACCCTGGATTTCATTCGTGTAACTCTTTAAAAGGCCACAACCACCGGTGGTAAACGCCCGCACGCATACACACGCACACGCTTCTTTTTATCTTTTTTTGACCGCAACGCTAATTATTCAATGCAACCCATCACACCGCCAACAATCAAACACAAGAAACCCAATCTTTTGGTTTTTAGACTTGCTCACGTGGACGTGCATAATCTTTGAATTGCAAAAGGCGTAAAGCGCGCTAAATGAACATCTTCTTTTGAATCGGGTCTCCCGGGTTAGTCACTGGGGGCGAATGCAAGTCATGCTGAAAGAAGAAGAAATAGAAAAAAACCCACATTCACTAGCTGCAACGAAACCCCGCTCAGGCCAAGTAAGGCACTTTCATTTCTTCCTCCTTTCCTTTCCCTCCCAATTGTACTTTCTTCTTGATCGAACACCACCTTCATGCACTCTCGCTTGTCCGGCTCATTCGTCGTTCGAGCTTACTCCAGTGCAAAGTGTCAACGTTCGTTTCATTTGACAACAAGAAGTCTTCGAGCAGTATCTTCACAATCTTTGTCTGTCTCTGCTCTTAGAAGCACTCAAAATAACAGATTCAATCTTCAATCACAACCTCGTACATTCACTACTTCCTCTATTGCCAACATGGCTAGTGCTTCAAATCAAGCAAATGCTGGTCCAGCACAAATTCTCGATGGAACAGCATTGGCAAAGAGAGTTCGTTTGGGCGTTCAAGAACGTGTCAAAGAACACAAAGCTAAGAATGGTAACTTTGAGCCAAACTTGGTCATCGTTCAAGTCGGGGATGATAGTGCTTCTTCTACCTACATTCGTATGAAGCGTTTGGCAGCAGAAGAATGCGGTTTCAAGTTCACACACGTTCATTTGGCAGGTCAAACTTCCGAACAAGAGATTATTCGCAAAGTCGGTCAATTGAACGAAGATGTAGGCGTTGATGGTATCTTGGTTCAGTTGCCCTTGGGAAAACATATCGATGCTGAAGGTGAACGCCGTGTTACCGAAGCTGTCAGCCCAGAGAAGGATGTTGATGGCTTCCATGCTTTGAACATTGGACATCTCTCAAGCAAGGCATGCAATCCAATGTTCTTGCCATGCACTCCTGCCGGTGTGATTCGTCTTTTGGAAGAAGCAGGCATTCAAGATATGTCCGGTCTGCGTGCCGTAGTGATTGGAAGAAGTGATATTGTCGGAAACCCAGTAGCAAGTCTTTTACGTTACCGCAACTGCACAGTCACACAAGTCCATTCTAGAACGAAAGATCTTCCCGCTCATTTGAAAGACGCTGATATTGTCGTGGCTGCAATGGGCAAAGCTCAGTTTGTGCAAGCTGAATGGTTGAAGAAGGACGCAATCGTTATTGATGTTGGTACCAACTACATTCCTGATTCTACCAAAAAGAGCGGACAACGTTTGGTTGGTGATGTTGACTTTGCCAAAGCAAGCCACGTTGCCAAAGCCATCACTCCCGTACCTGGCGGTGTTGGTCCAATGACAGTTGCTATGCTTATGGAGAACGTGCTCGTATCAGCAGAAAGAAGCTTGTCACAAGGCAGATTAGGTCGCGGTGTCACAACAGCAAACCCCATCAAAATTCTCGATCAAGTTCCAAGCGATATTGAAGTGGCACGCAGTCAAACACCAAAGCCAATCACCCAAGTTGCCAGAGAGATTGGTGTGCTAAGCACTGAGTTAGAACCATATGGGGACGTTAAGGCAAAAGTTGACCTATCCATTCTTGAGCGACTCGCACATCGCAAGAACGGTAAATACATTGTTGTGGCAGGTATCACACCCACACCATTGGGAGAAGGTAAATCCACAACCACAATCGGTTTAGCACAAGCTTTGGGAGCCCATTTGGGTAAATCATGCTTTGCCTGCGTTCGTCAACCGAGTCAAGGTCCCACTTTTGGCATCAAGGGAGGTGCAGCTGGTGGTGGTTACAGTCAAGTCATTCCAATGGAAGAATTTAATCTTCATTTGACGGGTGATATTCACGCAGTACAAGCAGCCAATAATTTACTGGCCGCTGCTATTGATACACGTATGTTCCACGAAGCGACACAAAAAGATGCAGCCTTGTTCGACAGACTCTGCCCTAAGAAGAAAGGAGTTCGCTCTTTCGCACCAGTCATGTTCCGTCGTTTGAAGAAGTTGGGTATCAACAAGACCAACCCGGATGATTTGACAGAAGAGGAAAAGAGCAAATGGGCCAGACTGGACATTGACCCAGAAACAATCACATGGCACCGTGTTACCGATACAAACGATCGTTTCTTGCGTCAAATTACCGTTGGTCAAGCACCAACAGAGAAAGGACAAGAACGCAAGACAGGATACGATATTGCGGTCGCAAGTGAATGTATGGCAGTACTGGCATTGAGTCGCGATTTGAAGGATATGCGTGAACGATTGGGTCGTATGGTCATCGCAACAAGCCGTGCCGGTGATCCAGTGACAGCAGATGATCTAGGTATCGGAGGTGCATTGACTGTCTTGATGAAGGATTCTATCAAGCCAAATTTGATGCAAACATTGGAAGGAACACCCGTCTTTGTACATGCCGGTCCTTTTGCCAACATTGCACACGGTAATTCTTCCATCTTGGCAGATGCAATTGCTTTGAAATTGGCCGGTTTGGAAGAAGGTGAAACAGATGAAAAGGCTGGTTACGTCATCACAGAAGCAGGATTCGGTGCTGATATCGGTATGGAAAAGTTCTGCAACATCAAATGTCGCGAAAGTGGATTGGTACCTGATGCTGTTGTATTGGTGGCTACCGTTCGTGCACTGAAGACGCACGGAGGTGGTCCAGAAGTTTCACCAGGAAAGCCATTATCTGAAGTATACTTGGAAGAGAACTTGGAAATCTTGGAGAAAGGATGCACAAACTTGCGCAAACATATCGAGAATGCCAAGAAGTTCGGATTAAAGGTTATTGTTGCTGTCAACAGATTCTCTACCGATACCGATCGTGAATTGGAGTTGGTTGCTCGTGAGGCATTGGCAGCAGGTGCTGATGCTGCTGTTCCTGCCAATCACTGGGCTCGCGGTGGTGAAGGAGCAGTGGATTTGGCCAAAGCCGTTATCCAACAATTGGAGGGTAAACCATCCGATTTCAAATTCTTGTACAATCCCGATCAATCGATCGAACAAAAGATTGAGACAATTGTGAAGGAGATGTACGGAGGAGATGGAATTGAGATTTCCGAATTGGCACAAAAACAAATTGATTCGTATACAAGACAAGGCTTTGGTCATTTGAACGTTTGCATGGCCAAAACACATTTGTCATTGAGTCATGATCCATCACAAAAAGGAGCACCAACAGGGTTCAAAGTTCCCATCAGATCTGTCAAACTTTCTGCCGGAGCAGGTTTCGTTTATCCTTTGTGTGGTGATATGCAAACTATGCCGGGTTTGTCTACCCGACCAGGATATTATCAAATCGATTTAGATGAGAATGGACAAGTGGTTGGCTTGTTCTAGGGGTCGTCGTCGTGTAAGGTGAATTGTAAATTTTCTGCTTATAGACTTTTTTTGTCATATAATCCCGCATTCAACATGTGTTTATGAAATGCTAATAGTGAAAAAGATATCTCTGTGCAAGGGTTGCGAGTACATGCCACCCGCCTTGAAGAGTTTAGGCTAAAGAGGTTCGTGTGGGTTCTTCTTTCCCTGTCAAAATAAATGTTACTCATTGGATTGATCTATTAAACTGTACAATGTGATAAATTCTTGATCTAAAAAAGAAAAATGACAAACTCTTATCACCTGCATAGCGTCCTTTATTGTTTTGGTTGGAATGCTTCCGTATTTATAGCATTGAAAAGGATTTGTCTATGTAAAGGGCTGTCGATTAGAACAATTGGTTCATCAATTTCAAACTGACTTCTACACCTAAGAAGGTAGCTGCATTGGCAGGGAAAGCACGCAAGATTGCAGGACCTGCACCTTTGAACAAAGCGCCGAAACCATCTTGAGCAACAGTAACACGGAAGCAATGCAAGAAGCTGTTGTAAGTTCCTGCAGGTGCACCTTGATAACGAGATTTGATCACATCCGGTGGAATTGCGATTGACCACATTGCCATTCCTGCTAAACCACCTGCAGTTAAAACGTTCAACATGTTTAATTGAGATGGATCTTGACCGGCAGGTGTGAGACCACGTTTGATTGCTTCATATGCACCAAAGTAAGCTGCACTTCCAGGACCATCACGAGCCAAAGTGGCCCCTGTTCCACGGAAAATGGATTTCATACCACCTTCTTTGTACAATTGTCGAACGACATCCAAAGGTCCGTTATACTTTGGTCCGGCATTTGAAGATTGTCCTTGAAGTTGTAATAGAACTTTTACACGTTCAGCCGGAGCGGCGATCAAAGTTGTTGGAATGGCAGAAAAGAAACCGGCAAACATTAATTCGGGTAAACTCAAGTTCTTATCTTCTCTATTTGGCGTTGAAGCATAAACCAACTTTTTTCCTAAATCAAAAGACCAAAAAGAAACGGCAAACATTGGCGTAACACCGACCAAAGGAGGACCCATTCCTCTGTATAATCCTTTGATACCATCTGCTGCTAATGCTTTACGAACGACATCCATTGCTCCGGTATATGTTCCTGCAGGTGCTGTTTGTAAACGAGTTTTTGTTAGATCGAAAGGATGTCCTACCAAAACACAAGAAATACCACCGAAACCACCACTAAGGAACGATTTAATAGAAGAAGCGGCTGACTTCTTTGGGTCCAATTGAATCTCTTGTTCATCTTTGATTGCCGCTGATAGTGAATCGTCTGCCATTTTTGTTTATTTTTGTGTGTGGGAGGGAAGGAGGATTAGGATGATGACGGAGTGAGGGGTAAATGATTCAGAAGATTTCTCTTTATTTTTCTTTCCCCGGTCGATCAAAGACCGGAGCGCATAGTGAAATTGAGCATTCACGCTTGAAACATGTACGCGTATGAGACAAGACTGAGAAGGTGCTTCTTGGCTTTTTCGGGGGGGAAGGAGTGGAGAATTGCATATGAAAAGAAAAAGGACAAAGTCTTCCCTCGGCTGTACCGGTTGAGGGCCGGTCAGGTGTTGAAGCTGGTGCGCACTGGACAAAAGAAGAATGCAGAAGAAGTACAGGAACATGCATTTTTAAGGTTTTAACAGAGAATATCATCATTGCACACCATACATATGCTACTTCAAAGTCAAAGAAGCATTTGTAGAGCTTTGCCTAGATTGACATCCATTCCCATCACTCGAACTGCTCCATTCCATACATCCGTCAAAATGGCATCTGACTCTCCCTACAAAGTTGTAACGACAAAAGATGCACCAAGCGCAATCGGACCTTATTCTCAAGCTGTTGTTCATAACGGCTTAATTTTTTGTTCTGGTTGTATTCCTTTTGTTCCTTCAACAATGCAACTTGTAGAAGGGGATATTCAAGCTCAAGCTCAACAATCTTTGGATAATTTGTTGGCAATCGTTCAAGCAAGTGGAAGTGATAAAAGTCACATTTTGAAAACCACTGTCTTCTTGAAGGATATGAACGACTTCGCAAAGGTGAGTATATCCATTACTGCATTTGCTGACTTGATGCTGACATCCCATCATTGTTCACCACCCTCCCAGGTCAACGAAGTGTACGAGCGCGTCTTCGCTCCTTACAAACCCGCACGTTCAGCTGTCGAAGTGGCCAGACTGCCTCGTGATGTTGGTGTCGAAATCGAATGTATCGCAGCTGTAAAGGCATAAAGGGGATGTAAAATCAACCAAACACAATGTTATCTACTCAATCCACACACAAGACAACATAAAGAGAATAGCACAATTTTAATGCTTACACATATGATTGAGACAAAAAGTAAGTGATGATGAAAATAGTATGATCGTTTAAGGTTCAACGGAGTTAGGTGGAAGAAAAAAGAAAAAAAGGAAATATGCAAAAAAGAATGAAAGTAAAAGGAGTGAAAAACGGTAAAGGAAGAGAGAAAAACATTGGTGAAAATGTACACAAAAAAAAAAGAAAAGAGGTTAAGGGAAAATTGCAGAATAAAAAGACAACAATAATCATTCAAGAATCTTCCAAATCGTTGAAATGTCGTGTTTGACTTTGTGAACGTCATAAAACGAAGGGTTCTGCCTAGATTTGATATCTATTTCCCGTTCAGCCGATTTGCTGATCCAAACCCGGTCCTTTGTCTTCCATCTTTTGGATGCTTGACGCGGAATTCGCTCAGGATGCAAATGTGATCTGACGGGAAATGGGCATTAGGGAAACCAACAACCTTGTCGATATACGCAGAATCCACTTCACCCAACAATCCCGTAACAGCAAGTGCGTTTGAATTGTACCAAATATAATCCAAATTACCTTCAAAGTGCGGTGTATAATTTGTGAACGGAAGTTCGCCAATATGTGCATAAGAACTTTTCATCGCTTGACCATGTTCTAAACCATTTGCTGTATAATCTCCGTAAACGTGATTGATGAAATCTTCATGATCTCCCTTCAATTTTCCTTTGCTCAAGAATTCATAAACACCACTTCCAGGCATACTGTTGAAATCTCCACAAAGGATTGTTGGAATCTTGTTACCATTATTGTAGTGAGGAGCAGGAGGATAGCCCTCCTTCACGTCCAATTTGGCGGGATATTTGGCAAATCTTTCACCGATCTTCTCTAGCTCTTCCATCAACATTGCTACTTGCACCAATTTGACATCTCTGAATTCTGGATCCCAATGAACGTGCACGTTTGCAACAATCAATCTACTACCGCTCTCCTTGTTCTCCAACAATGCAATCACTGCAACTTCATCCTTTGTCATCACTCGATTGAACATATCCTCTGTTCGCTTGAAATCCGGTCTACGTAGAGCGGCTTGGTTAAATTCGACCAATTGCCTTTCCACTAGCGAATACTTTGATGACTTGTAAAAGATTGCACATCCATCTACCAACTTACGCTCCTCTTCTCTCATCGTCCTTGCACGGGTCTTGGGAGAGAAAATACCTTCGTAATCCTGTTGCGATAGATGGTGTAAGAAGTACTCTTCGAATTGCTCAGACGCAACTTCTTGCATACAACAGATATCCGCTCCATAACTCATCACCTCTTGCAGGATGAACTCTTTTCTGTATTCCCATGATAGAGCCCATGATGGAGTGTATCCGTACATTTGCGGAGTTGCCATTCGGTCGCAAAGGATGTTATAGCTCAACACGTTGAAAGATTCGGCAGGCGCTTCAGGTTCATCTTCACCTTCTCGATTTCCAAGATCAGGCTCGATCGTGATCCATTCACGCTCAGGAGGTGGAAGTGGAACAGGACAAGAATCCCGCAAGAATGCAACCAATGCCTGTGTACCTTCTTTCTGGATCAATTGTCGAAGATTCTCTTGCATCGGATTTCCCTCGATACCCAAGGTTTCTAGCTGGTACAATGTTCCCAATTCTGGCGGCAATGTGACAAGGTTGTTATCGAACAGGAACAATTCCTTTAAGCTCGTAAGCATACCTAGCTCTGGCGGAAGAGAGTTGAGCTTGTTCCCCGAAACGTCCAAGATGGTAAGATGACGTAATTGTACAATATCAGAAGCCAGCGAAGTGAGAGCGTTGTGATTGATAAACAAAGATGTCAAAAAGGTGTATCGATAGAGTTCTTTGGCGATATTCTTCAACCCTAGACCTCCCATATCTATCGTTGTCCATGACTGACCATCCTTTCCGCTAGAATCCGACTCATCAGAAGATAGGTCGGCTTGCTTCTTCAACGAACTTCCCGAGTTGCTCACATGCAGTCCATTTGCTGCCATCCGCGGTACATGGATTGCACCTCCCTTTGTCGGATCTTGTATAGCAATCGCAGAACTTGTTGCACTTCTGGCGGCCAAAGCAGCAGCTCTGGCATGATGATGCGGTGAAGCTGATTGACGAGAAATGTCTGCTTTGAGTAGCTGTTGTTGCCAATGAGGCGATGAATTCATTGCAGCAGCGGAAGAGGCGGATGTCGAGGTGATCGGATGCATAGGACCAGGAGATGGTATTTGTCCAGGACCGTGCGATTGATGTAGATGATGATGTTGACCAGAACCACCACCTCCAAGCAAGGACGCATATCCGGGTGAAGAAGGAGCATTGTTATTCATCGGACCGATGCCAGGAAGCGAGGATAGAGATGGATTCTGTTGATGTGGGGCATGATGTGATCTAGATACCCAACCTCCAATGCCGGAGGAAGGATACCGTGTTGCGCCTGGATAACCATTTGCGCCGTTTGATCCACCATAAGAGCCTGCCCCATTAGAATTTTGATGATAGAGGTACGCCGGACCCGGTGAGGGCGATGGCGAAGGCGCCGGGGACTGATACATAGGCTGGCGAATCTATATAAGAATTTGAAGCAGCAAGAGCAATTGGATTACGAACGGCAAAGACGACGGAAGAAACAAAAGGAGGCGGCGGCGAAAAAGAAAATGACGGGGAGGATAGCCTCATGATCTGATGTCGGACGATGCGATCCAATGTCGAGCCGATGACTTTGCAACTGAGTGTCGGAAGAGGAAGAGAGAAATGGGTCAGAAATAGATGAAATACAGGACACTGTTAGTCTTGCAATTTACCTAGAAGTGCAAATGTATGCTGATCTATGTTAGCGTCGAAATATGTACAGCAAGTTGATGATCGAATGTCGTCTGACCAGTGAAACATGCAAAACGATCAAATGATCACCAGTATTGAAAGTGGAGCACTGTGTTTATTCGAATAAGTTAAAGATTGCTAAAGGTGGTGCTTACTAACAGGTGTGTATACACCTGATGGTATGTTGTCCAAGTTTTGCAACCTTTCTTTGAGGTATTTTTGTAGTATGTTGATGAGTATTGTTCGTTTGAGGTTTTGCTTTGGTTAAAAAGACCAAGCGCATGAAGATGATGGCGACGACGGAATAATGATCAATTTTACGCATAAAAGCACTGCATCACGCAACAGACAGTCGCTTAGAAGAAAAGCACACGGCACACGCAACACAAAGGGTTATCAAACGCGCACAAAGAAATACCGTTTGACTCTGGTCTACTGCCTGATTTTCAACTTTCGCCAACAAAATACAAAATATGCAAAAATGAAGCATCGCCTGGCGCAGTGCAGTGCAATAGCGCATCAGAAAGACAGCCCAGCCCAAAACGGGTAAGAGTGTGTATTTGATTTGTAACAGAACCTGTTTGTATTTTAAAAGATAAAAAGTTGTATTACTTCGCGAAGAAATGGATCAAAGCGTTGCGCCCGGTTCGACACGGCTTGAGATGGAGGGGAATGTTAGAAGGGAAGCATTTTAGTTGTTGTTCTTCTCATCCTCATCGACACATAGCAACACTCAAAAAATGGGTGCAGCTTCATCAAAGACTGAATCTAGTACAACTAGCGGTCAAGAAAAGCTAGAAAATGTAAACAGAACATTGCTCAACAAGATTGAAAATCCAACAGGATCATCATCTTCGTCCACATTAACACAAACGTACGGATCACCCTCGGAACAGGAAAAACAGAATGAATCAAGAATCCCTTCTCTTGATCGTCAACAATATTTGGATTCTTCCATTCAAGGAAAGATCAAGGAAGAATTATCTCGTCTACGTAAACAAGATTCCGAATTACAAAAGCAAATCGAACAAGCATTAGAGAAAGAAAGTTTGGACATAGCATCACAGAATAAGACGGGAGCAAAAGGTAAATCAAGTATCTTACTCAAACAAGAATTGGACGATGTGAGAAGTAAGATCGAACGTCATAATCAGAGAAGGGAAAAAGTTGACAAGGCTCCCGGTGTAAAGAGTGCTCGTGAAAAAGTTGTACAATGTTACAACAAGAATCCAGAATCAACCTTGGAATGTTGGGCAGAAGTTCGCGATTTCAGACAAGCTGTCTCTCGTGCGGAAAGTGTGAGTAGCAGAGCTTTAAGGACAGTCTGAGTGATTGGTGTACTGACAATGATTTAACCTTTTCACTCCACTTCTCTTAGGACTTTGTCGCTTCTTTGTCTACATGAGAGCTAACCGCAGGAAACAATATAAATTCATCACAGGTGATCACAATTTGATTCCCATTAGAGTATAATAAGTGCAGAAGTATCATTGTATTGTGTAAAGCAATACAGACGATTATGGAATCAATGAGAATATGTAAAGTACTGCCCTGTCTATTCCACATCAGGCATTAATGGTTCATCGTGTTCCTCATCATCGACATCGAACCAATCTTCGTGGTCTTCAAGTGGATTCTCCTTTGAACTCTTTGCATGTTGATCTGAGCGAATATCGAAAGCCTCTGATAAAAGGTCTGCTAGCTCACTTCGAGCCACTTCTATCCGTTCTTCTCCATTTTCGCTTCTGGTAACCAAAAGTCGTTTGATCTGCTCTGATAAGAGCTCTGTAGACCATTCCGTCGTTTGGCTTGCTCGCTTTTGCGCATCTTTCAATACGTTTGCAAACGCTTCAACATTTGAACTTTTACCTTGTCCTTTTGATTTGGCTTTTGAAGCAGCAAATTTCATCTCTTCTGCTTCTAATGCAAGTCGTTCAGCTTCTTCGATCTCTTTTTGCCATGTTTCATAGATGAAATGCTTTTGTGCTCTCGTCAATCCTCCAACGGTACCCATTTCACCACCGGAGTATTCTTCGGCACTTGCAGGAACATGTACCATCGCCGGATCCCAGAACTTTCGTGACCCTTGACCTGGTTGTCCCCATTTGCCATTCTTGGGCAAGAGAAGAGGATGTGCTTCGGTTGAGAAGACGTATTCGTCCAAAGAAATTAGGTTTGGTGGAGAGAAGAGCAAGTAATAATACTTGAACGTTTCTGCGAAAACATAACTTTCCATAGAATCGTACAACATTGCCGGAACGTGAAGAACGTTACTGATCGCAGCAAATCCATGTTTGGTCATACTATGCGTTACCCAAGAACAAAACATTTGCCAACCCCGTTCTTGCCATTGAGGATCACCGGTTATACGCCACATATAAAACACACTTTCAATCGTTTCAGGTCGATTACGATAATCCGGTGAAACACTACGAACGCCAACGACGGGTGAACCACGTGGACGACCACGACGAGAAGTTCCGCCAGTTAAAGTTGCTACTTCGAATCTGTCGATATCCTTGTCTCGATAAAATGTAATCTCTTCTGGACCAATTCCAGTTTCTGTGGAGTTGTAGGCCCAATAACATGCCTCTGTCACACGACGTGCAATGTCCAGGTCATTCTTTCTCGAAAGAAGCTTGGCTCCCATTCCGATAGAGCCTCCAGTGAAACATGTCAAATGTTCCAATTTCGGTGTATACGATCTGCCGTTACTTTGACCCATGACCAAAAGAGGTGTATTGGGAACAGAATTAATTCCACGCAATAGCCAGCGATGAGCGCTATCAACGGAATCAGCAAAGAATTTCCCGTACTGATCCAATCGTCCGCCCAAAAGCTGATGTTCTTTGATCAAATATTCAAACGCAGAATCAATCATACCGCCCCATGAATACCAACCGTACATCGTTCCACGTTCGGGAAAGATAGTAGAAGGTAATAGCGCACCCAATCGATCTGGCGATCCAGTCATGTTGTACTGTAGCCAATCTGTCGTTCGTTGAACTTTATCAAAGTATGTTCGGTTTCCTGTCACTTGCCACAAACGTGTCATTTCGACAAGCATGCTTGCTGCCTCGGCAACGATTACACTACTTGGCGGGAACGGATTACCGGGTTTGTTCAGATTGAGACGTCCGATCGGTACACCTGTCATTGTTTCGAATGCCGGCAAGATGAGCTGTGCCAATTCTTCAGCCCGATCACGCATCAGCGTATCCCCAGAAAGATCATAAGCTGAAAGGAAGCCACCTAGGTATCTGATTGCTGTTTCGAATACTGGCACACGTCCATCACTGCTTCCGTACGCACTTCTAGAGCCGCCGACAAAGTGAAAATCGATGTCGTAAACATGCTGTCTTGCCAAATCGTATTCTCCTGGTAGGTCCATGATCAAAAGAGTGTCTAGAGCATCTACGATTGTCGCACCCCAGCCATTGAAGCTATCCGAAAATTCACCAGAAACTGGTCTGACTTCGTCATGACCCCATGCGTTGGCCTTATAAGCCTCCCAAGAATGCAAGAATGCATTTCTGACCAGCCTTCTTCGCTTCTCGTTGACTGCATCGCGGGCTTTATCATTTGAATCACCACTGAAGCGAGTTGGGTCATTGAAAGGGAATTGGACTCGAGGCATAGTTGAAGCAGCAGGTTTTCTCGTAAATCCGCGAGAATGTGGCATGTTGAATTTGGGTGGCTTCCAAAAATTGTAAGGATCTGGTCTCCAGTCCCGATCCAATGGCTGGGCGTCGGGATCCATCGCGTCCTCTATGCGAGTTTTTGATCCATTTGACGCTCTAGACCATCCTCCATGACTTTCATATCTACCTGAGGGGTATGCAAGAGGTTTTGTTGAAAGCATTGGAGCTTTTCTCGGTATATCTCGTTCTAGCATGTTCAATTGCGCAGGTGGAATGACACCTTGATGTGGATCTCCGTCTTTGTAATTATATACCGCTTTTGCTGGTTTGGCTTTATTATTGAAGGTCACCACATCTGGCGGGAAGGCTTTGTTTGAAGTAATTGTTTGAGATTCTTCTTCAGGTGAGATTGGATTATCATAATCGGTGGGTATATTCCATTTTGGTTTGTAGATCGTATAGCCTGCAATAGAGGTGCCGATCGGTGCATCGTCCATCGATGAGGGGGGTCTGGAAGGGTGATGGGTCTGTGATGGAGGAGGTATTCCTGCCATATCTTCCGGTCCTTTGAATAAAGGGTGCATTGATGGTTTCCACTTTTCCATTGCATCGCCCCAAGCATTCACACGTTCTTCGCCCACAAGTGAGGGTCCCCAAAGCCAAAGCTGTGAGCCAATGAAGATTCCCAACACAAGGTATAGAAGTATTCTTCGTTTCCGCATCACCATACCACAACATCCTAATATTCCGGCTTTGCTCCGTGTCCTATTGCGACTGTCATTATTGCCAGGTAGGAAGGAGGCAAGCTCTTCAGACGATTCTTCTGTTTTTGGAGCCATCTTTGAAGTATCTGTGTTTTTATTTTTTTCCTCTTTTGTTTCTGTTATTATCCTTCTTCTGAGATTGTCACTGTTTATCGAAATTGCCGCTGAGGGCAGACCTGCCAGTGATTGACTATCTTCGATTGTGAATGAAGCCGGTTCAGGCTGTTGGGCAGAGTTGAAATTGCCAAGAGAGTTTGATCGTAAAAGTCGTTTCGTTGCAATTCCAGAAGTATGAAGAGAAGAGGATGAAGATGATGAGGAAGAGGAAGAACAGACTGTTCCATTTGCACAATCTCCATACATGCTATCGATTATACCTTCTTGTCATCCTCTTTTTGTTTTATATTTCCCCGCTCAATAAGACAGTCGAGGTAAAGGTAATGCATCAACTGCAAGGATCTAAACCAGAGAGCGATCCCGCCTGAACGGCGGAAGTGCGTTCGCGGCAGAGTTGTTTGCAAACAGGCACTTCTGCTGCTTTTCACCCTTTTTTTCGTCTTTGTGCACTAATATAGCCTATTTTTATATATTTTAAATTCTGTATTCATTAATTTGTATTTGTATAAGTTACAAGAAATACATCAAAAGCGCTTATACAACTGAAGTAAAGGATATCTACCCAGCCTCGCCAACACTGATGAAGCTATATGTTCGATTGACTAGATTATAGTGCCAAGTGATTTGATTCATGAACCGATGCAAAGTGGCAACAGACACAACGTTATTCATAAATTGCCCCTCGTTCGCCCTTTCATTGGTCGCGTGATATTTCAACAAAGCCTAATACGCCAAATTGTCGTATACGCACCCCAATTTTAATTTTGCCTAGATTTGCCTTCATGGCTCAGTGGCAGAAGCGTCCGCCTCGTATCACACTAGACAATTACACATTAATTCCTAAAAACACGTAATTGGTGAAATCAGAAGTGGAAGGTCGCAGTTTCGAGTACTGCTGGGGGCAACTACTTTTTATCCATCACAACAACACACATATACTTCCAGCGTCATCATTGGGAAATATCCAAAACACTCTTCATTCATACTTTTTTTTTGGATTGTGTACACTTCATTAGCATATTCTAGAACACAGGTGACAAAATGATACATACACATATTGAAGATAAAGGGATAAGAATTCCAGAAAAAGACTATCAAAAAAAAGTAAAAGAAAGCTCGATAACAAATACCCATAACAAATAAGAAGCACAAGAGGGAGAAGAAAAAAAAGAAATGGTCGGGTTATTGGAGGGTGCTTGAAAAGAGACGTATCAGACAGCGGAAGGATGAGCAGCTGTAGCCATGTTGAGATTCACATTGGCAGCAACGACTGCAGCGGCAGCGGCAGCTGCTGCGACTTTGTTTGGATCACTCATCATTGAGACGTCGTTAGATGCCAATGAGCCGTTCATGTCGGCATGATCGCTATTTTGCGGAATGTTTGCTGAAATTGCACCTTGAAGGGATGTAAGATTATTGTTATTCGTCAAAGGAGGTTGCCAAAGACTCATCGGGAACGTACTGCCAACGTCTGGATATGTTGTCAAGTAATCCCACATTCTGTCCATTGATTCAGCATCAGATGTACCTTGAACGTTTCCTGATGCAGCTCGATGATGATTGCGATTGCCATGGTTTGAAGAGGTGGAAGAGCCCCAAATCTCGTCACCGACGGAGTATTGTTGTGTTGCATTATTGACATTCGAGGTAGTTGAAGGAGTACTGGGTGCAGCTTTTGTAATCGGATTGGTGTCCATTTGTTGGGCAGTGGAGACCTCTTCTGGAACCACAGCACCTTGCAAGAGCACTTGCTTATCGATAGTGTTCGAATTGGCGCCTGATTGTTCAGTTGCATTCGAAGATGGCAAAGATGCAGATTTCTCACCCTTTCCTAACACGCTTTCTTTCGAATCAGAATGAGCGGTGACGCTTGTATCAGCAGTCACCTCTTCTTCACCATCATCACTCTCTTTGCTCGGAACACCAACGTTTTCAGTCTCCCATAAGGTCGTGATTCCTTTCAGATAGATACCGAACGGTGCTGCTGCACCATTTCTGTGATCGGGCGTTTGACCTGCTCTCGTTAAAGCCTCTGCCAAAGCTTTGCAACGCTTTAGGATCTCATCTCGATTTGTCCAAGAGCGTTGAGCGTATTGACTTGCATTGCTCAATCGTAAAGCAGCCAAAGCACCATAAATTACATTGATCGCCAATGCATTCGGACCTGCAGATAGATCATCTTCGGATACTTTGCCCAGAACAATGTCGATCATTTGCAAAGATGTTTCCCAACAATCCAATGCTACATTGCTGATCATGAGCTTCAGTTCTTCTTTTTGCAGAGCGAGTGATTCAGTAGAAGCAACAGCAGAGGATGCATTGCTGTCTTCCAAGCCGGTCTTGACTTCCGCGGAGCCATCGGGTTGAGAGCGCAGGGAGGCTGCTGCATCAACAAATCGTTGATATCTCTCCATTGCCTCCAAGACCATACTGTTCAAATGCAAGCGAACATACAACAAATCCGACATTGCTCTGGGGCGCCATTTATCCAAGAAAGTGCTGATCGCCAAGCTTTGGATACCGTCGGTGCTTTCTTCCGTTGCTTCTACACACCAGATATCCTTCCACCTCTCTAGTTCGGTCATTGCTTGCAGACGACAGAGGTTGAGCGATTTGATGCTTTCCTGCGCTTGCACAATAACAGGTGCCATTGTGATCGGATGGGCTCGCAAGATGGCATTGCTTTGACCGATGATTTCGCTGAATGCATCAACAAATGTGGTGCAAGTTCGTGTAAGCTTGACGAGACTGACCAAACGAGCATCTTCAGGCAATGCAAAATCTTCACGGTGCCATAAATCAGATTTGGCCACCAAATCATCTTCAGCAATCGTTGCTGGACGACCCGTCTGCAAGCTCAAACTGCGATCAGTGAGCCATAACGAAATCCAGAGCCTATGACGATTGCGTATTCTTCGACGTACTTGCTCGTTGTCCTTAGCTTCGTCATTTGGTTGTGTGAGTCTATTGACACCGATTTCAGTCGCAATACGAATGGCAAATCCAAGATATTGCCACGAACGATCTTCCGACAATCTGTTGGTTGGCTTATGGTAAATTGCTAAAACGAGGAAAGCCTGCGCCAGCTCAACGCTCTTGTAACCTCCCAAAATTGCTTCAGGCAAAAGCTTTTGCCTCCAATGACTTTCCAACACTACCGCGAGTTTTGCATGTCTGCCTTCATCCGACAGACGAGCAGCCAAGGCCGCAATGACGGTTGTCAAGAGTGCACTTCGATTGCGGACATACGTCACACTATGCAAGAACGGATCAAAGATTGTCAGGAGAGGATTGATCCGAGCAAAGAAGATGTCAAACAAGCTCTCCAATTCGCTTAATTCAATTAGTCCGATTTGCACTGGATCCAAGTCGATATCGTTGTCCATCTTACTATGGAAGATACCCATCGAGAAGAAGTCTTGGTGTGACGCTCCAAGCTTTTCACTGCCTTCACTACTTCCTTCACTCTTTGCGTCTTCAAGTACAACATCATGCTTGTTCGATTGCGAATCATGCTCATCGATCGCATCAATCGCAGGCCTGCTAGGCCTTCTACGCACGACTTCCCATCGACGTTGGGTATCGAAAGAGCCAACGCGAGCCCGAAATTTGTTCTGTTGGGACAATGCATCAGATGATTTGCCGTCTTGTTCTTGTTCCTGCTGTGAGACTGTCTCCGAAGAATGTTCAGGTGAGCGAGCTTCCAAATCTTGATTCGCTGTTTGGACCTCATCTCGTGCTGAGCTCGTTCCACTGCCACTGTGCGTAGGTCCCGACGAATATTGCTTAGAGCGAACACGACCGTTACGGTATTCCCACGCATCAGGATCCAACGTGCTGGCAGTGATAGCCTTTTCGCTAGGAGCAGAACCAATACCCGTAGCAGCAGCGATCTCAATTTGACGACCATCAACATCTGTATGAATACCCAAAACCTCTGCTCTCCTTTCACTTTGGGTGACTGGAGCAATGATTGGCGTTGCTGAAATTTCGATATAAGGTTGTTGTGGATACACAGGTCTAGAAACGCCGACAGCCTTTGCAGCTTCAACAGCAGTATAGCTCTTTGAGCGGCCTACCACTGATAAACTAGGCGGAGGAAAGACGGATCTGGTGAGAGGAGAAGCAAATGAATCATTCTCACGAGTGCGTGAGAAACGATCAAATGTGCGACGGTGAGCGACACTTGTTAACTTGGGCAATAGACCACCTCTATTTTGCACGCCCATACTTGGTAATCGATCAGTATCAAACCACTTTCGAGGAGCAGGAATAGCAGGTACTGGAGGAGAAAGTAAACCCATAGTCGCAGCTCCTTGTGTCGTAGGACGTGGCATAGCATTTTCTGCTTCACCTTTTGCCTGTCGTAAAGCCAGCGCAGCATCTGAAGCATGTGCTAACAACGTCAACGGTGTTGACAAGACATCAATGTTTTGCACGCCTCCCATCTCATCATCGCCCAAACGGTCAACTTGCTCTTCATCAACAGCTTCGAATTGCGCGCGTTGTGAATGAGAGCTGGCGGATGATGTAACAGTGTGTCGCGAATCTCTTGAAGTGTCTTCCCGTGAGGTTGAGCTGTAACGCTCATCGTTCTGTGTTTCTAAGCGTCGCTTCTTGTTTGCAGTGTCGTCATGGTCCACATCATTTCTTTTAGGTGAGGCGGCTGACGAAGCATCTCCCTTGTGAGATAGATTTTGCACATTTGAAAATCGATCAGCGGAAGAATTCGAATGTTGACCTTGCGAGTTGATGGGGACCGCACCTGCGAAATAATCAGTTGGACCTCTACGCTTGCTGTGTGGACTTGTGATCGCAGATCCAGGCCAGGCACTCGGTAAACTTCCGTTCGAAGATGGGAAAGTACCAATTGACGTCATCATCAGATGAGAAGGCGATAACAATGATCGAGTGCCCGGAGTGGGGAAGTCTAACCATGAGCGTCCTGGTGTCGTTCCACTGCCGTACGAAGACGATTGTAGACCAGACGAAGGTGGCGAAGCGAGAGGCTGTTGATCTTGACGATTGATGGAGTATGGTCCACCTGAGGCACTCCTCTGGCCACCGTAAGGATTGCTTTGATGACGCGGCGAAGGAGGTGCAGCATTCATTGGGCTACTTAGAAGGTGTAATTTCAGATGTTGATCGCTCTCGTTTCGGTTCTGTGAGTCCAACGCCCTTCTGCTTCCGTTTTGGCTGTCAGTCTGTGCTGATGATTGGGAAGCGTAGGAAGAATAACCTGGTTGAACTTCACGTCCGTGTGGTGGAGACAAAGACGGTCTAGAGAACTGCGAAGTGGACTGATTCGCTGATTGACTGGTAGAGGCGGGAAGTTGCCGTGAACCTGCAATGCGAGGGCTTATCATGCGTGGATCGTCTGCTTGTATTGTCTGTCTCCATGAATTGCTTTTGTTCTCATTGCCGTGTGCTTGGTGTTGGCTATACGGTGAATGCGTATAAGTTTGCTGTTGTTGCATGTGATGACTTGATTGCGCACGATGTTGATCAAATCGGTCTGATTCGTGCCTTCTTGCAAAGTTGGGAGATGCCATCGAATGTATGCCAGGAGATGGCATACCGTAAGACGAAGACATTCCAGTACTGTAACCACTGTAATCGCCCATACTTCCATGTGAGCCAGAATGCATGCTGGCGTCATCGAGATAATCATCATTGTACATATCACTATCATGCTTTGCATTGTTTGTTCTTCCAGGTTTACGACCTCTTCGATGTTTTTCAAAAACACATTCACGACCATGACGAGCGCATCTTTTACATGGCACCCTTCCATCCGTAGGTGCAGAGCAACGTATTTTGGCAGATCGACAATCGAGACAAGCAATCTTTGCTCCTTGTTTCACATCAGGCCCACCTGGACCCTCTGCGCGAACGCGAGGTCTTTCGAACGGCATGAAGGGAGAGGTGGCTTTGAGGTGGTATAGCGTGTTATAGGATTAGATCACCAAAGTCGAGACGCCGTTGATGTTTGTTTGAGATAAGAGTTAGAAAAAAAGAGGCGAGGTAGAGAAATTATAAAGATCGAATGTGTCGAAACAGCTTAGTTGGCCTTGTGTAAATGATCGAGAGTTGATAAAGGGCTTAACAAGATGACCAAAATATCTCAGCTTTCATTCTGTCGTTTGTATTCGTTGATGGTTGCAAATCGTTAGAATTCAAGCGAAAGAGTAGAAAGCCATGATTGACGTCGTCGTCTTGTTGTGCGTGTAAAGTCTCCTCTGATCAAAGGAGGAAAATGGCAAAGAAAATGAAGGGGATTATGGGGAAAATGAGAACAGTGAGTGTATTTTGCTTGAAACGGAGAAGGCGCTTTTTCTCCTTCCTTCGGTGGGCGGCAAATAGGCTGTATTCGTGTGTTTGTTGCACCACCACTGATGTACTGTCTGTCTGTATCTTGCATTGCATGTTATATCTCTTTGAGACAGATGTGGTACCCCTCTAATAAATTAAACTAATCTATAGAAACGTAAAAAAAGGCTAAAAAGCAGGCACACACATTCTTAATAAAAGTCGCCTTTAAAAAAAATAAAGTACTCATTTACCTGATTAAAAAAACAGCGGTGTATTGCAGCAGCACCCTATCACTGCCTCTCTCCCACAAAAGCGGCCATCAAAAAACACCCTCGAATCAATATCGGCTGACTGTGAATTTCAGGAATTCTCACACACACAGGTCGACAGTACGATAATGTATAAATGCAAAAGTGCCTCTTCCTAAGCAAACCATGTGCACTAAATCCCGTACTGTTTGCACTTGCTTTTTGAACATGCATAATACACGGGTTCAACAAACTAGAAGGCCGGAAAGAGAAATGCGTGAGAGTGGCGCAGTAGGGCGAACGAAATTGCAAGTAAGATCATGTTCCTGACGCTATGAAGATGAGGCGGCGTAGCAAGGCAGCAAAAAAAAGCACGTTATTCGGTAATTAGCCAATTGAATTGCACAAACGCACGCGTTTATACTGAGCGGTTGCCTACGTGTCTATATACTTCCGTCTTCTTTTTCTTCTTGTTAATCTAAACTCAGCCAACATTGGCCGAAAGGTAAACTGTAAAAAAACGCCGCATTGGAACGGTGATTTGCAGTTCACATGTGCAGGGCAAGAAGTGCAGCGCAAGGGAAAAATAAAGCCGTGTCTCCTTTTAAAGGCCTAGCCCTTTTGGAAACACATGAGAGGCTGATCATGTTTCTATGCAACGAGGGGATTTAAGCTCATCCTTTTCACGCTAAACTGTCGTGGCTGGGGTGCAGTCGAGCCCAATTGTAGTGAAATCTTTTCTTCCTTTATGATCTTTATCCCATAATTTGTATTGTTGAAATTGATTCTATTCAACCAATCAATCACCCTGAGACCAGCCCATCAAACTTCCTATCTTTTGTCAGGATCAAAAGCGCCAACAAATCAAATGGCGCTAAGCCTTTAGGAGCGGGATTTGAATGTGGCTTTTTTTTAATTGCTATAAAAGTTATGCATGGTAGGATAAGCGGCATCGGTTATAGAGGAACTAAGGCGCTATATTGAAAAGCCGTTGAATCGTTTCACCGAATCACCGGTATGAGAATAAACCTGAAGTGAAGCAAAGCAAGGGGCTCCCCTAACAGGAAATGCACAATAAATGCAAGCACGGTAAACAATAGATCTTGCATTCAATCGAGGGTCTTTTTTGTGGTGGAAAGGCTTTTTAGTTCATTGTCTTTTTCATGACTCTATTCAATACAGCCTCGGCGATTGATTGTCATTAATTGTCAATCGGACATACAAAGATGCGTACATACATTTCACACTCATCCTGTCATTTTTGCCGATCTTTTTGAATTCATTTCCATGATTCCGTACCAAGCCGTACCCGAAAGAGCGACAAAAATGCCAAAAATGTTTATCGATTGAACTTGCAAGTGAAATAGTTGAAAAGCTAACAAAATTGTCACAACTTGCTTTAAGTTTCCCACAACTGTCATAGTTAGCGGTCCTGCGATCTTGTTTGTTTTGAACGAAACGATGTTGAGTAAAAATGCAGTGAAACCATTACCAGCAAGGAGCAGAAGCAAATACCAATTAAATTGACCTTTCAGTGTTCTTTCGGCAAAACGAATGTAGACTTGTTGTAATTCCCCTGAAAGCTGTGAAGCCAGTAAGCATTGCACGCATGCCAAAGGAGACATCACTTCTAGCAATTCCAATGCAGTATACTGGAAAGCATGCTTCTGAATAGCTGACTGCCACCTTTGCACGGTCGATTGCTGTCGTAGGTCATAGTGCGAATCCTGATTATCCTGTTCTCCATCCCGTATTGTTTCTTTATGTCCACCTTGTAGCAAATTTGTAACAACAGTTTTCATAGCGGCAAGAAACGTTCCCAATACAGTCAAGATGATCCCAATGGTTGTCGCATTCACATCTCCATAACATGCAAAAGCTGCACCAAGAACGATTGGCAATAAAGCAAATAGACTTGCCCGTTGTGGCCTTTTGGCTAAAAGTAGAAATCCTAATCCTAATGTGAAAATCGGACAGGTTGATCGTACGATTTGATGAAAAGGTACGGAAACCAACCGTAAACTTGCATTGCTGATGGCGATATTGGCTGCATACAATGTTGAATAAAATAAAACGATTAATATCCGTGTAGAGTTGAAATTTGATTGAGAAGACACGGTGGAATGGTTTATGGACTGGGAGGTGAATGCTTTTTCGCTTTTGTATATTTGTGCACCCCGTTCTAGCTCATCTTTTGATTCCCTTTTCGAAGTTTTGAATTGAACGCCAATTCCTCTTAAGAACAAACAGCCAATCGTTCCACTGCCTGCGTGTAAGGCTGTTATAAAATAAGGAAAAGGGAAATCGATCATGATGAATTTATTGTAAAATGTCAAAGCGAGATTGAGTGAGAAATAAGCAGAAATCAAAACAAATATTGATATTCTCCCTATCCCCCGTGATTTTTCCGAATTGTCAAACTGGAGATTTGATAGCATTTCTCGCCGTTCGATGTCTTCATCCCGTATGAGTGATCTTTTTGTCATCCAGTGATCGTAGCTATTTGATCTACTCGATCCGGCAGATGGGACAGGGGAAGATGATGTAGAAGCAAAGGGAGAGAAGTCATCTTCACTTTCGTTGAACGTTGTTGATATTGGTGAAACGGTCCGCATGTGTATAAAGGGATATTTTTCCATCTTTGTTCGATTTTGTCAAAAGTGGCTCCGTGTTTTAAAAGTGTGAGATCAACTGACAGCTTCTATGTTATATATGGAATGATGGTAGTGATAAGTAAGGGAACACGATAGTGGATGATGACAACAGGAAAAGCATTGAAAAGGGAATAAAAACTCTTTTTCGATCTCCGTTCCGCCCAAAGTATCGAATTCAATGACGCCTCCACCGCGACAAGACATCCTTTTGCGCCTTTGAAGAAAATCGTTACTTCATCAATGAACGCCTGCATCTGCTTGAGCCCATGAAAACAAATTCACATACAAATCCGATCCAATTTATCGGTTTGCATTTTCCGACCTACCGAATAGTGCGAGGAAGCTTCTATAATCAATTTCAAATAACACTTTCGAATAAAATCATGCACTCCACAGCATTTCTAGATCGTACTAGTATTTAGCGTGAAGAAAAAGAACCCCCAAATCTGAATGAAAATCGAAATGCAATGACGATGGTTCTTAAAAGTGTGTGTGGATCTTTGTTCACATTTATCATTTTAACCCTTTCGGCGTTTTCTTTCCGCCGACGCAAATGCAAGCAAGCAACTGCACTGCACTGCATTCACTTTCAGGCACATAAACGCGGCGGCATCTTTTTCATTGCGCAATGCAACACTCGCTCGCTCTGCTTTCGGTTAAGACTTTTTCTCAATTCCACTTCCATCATTTCTTTTTTTGCCAAGACTTTTCTTTTTAGCCGATCTTATGTGCCTGCATGAGGATAAATCCACCAATTCGAAATCAATAAAATGGCTTTCCTTATGGATGATTGAATCATCACAATCACACTATAGATCGACGGAGCATAAAGCCCGCATGTGGAAGTGTGATTGCATACCTGCTTTTTATTCTTCTCCGCAAATTCTGTATGCAATGTATGATGCATCTTATGGAATCATAAATCTTTTAAACAATTGAGAAATTCCGAATGTTATCCCGCCCTTTTCGCCGGAATAATAAACAGCAAAATGTTTCCCCGTAATTGACGCCCAAAAAGTCAGCCCTTTGCCAAGCATGTTTGCCCACGAGCAATATATGAAAATGAAATAAAACTGACAATAAAAAGGTGACATTGAACTCGATATGTCAATATTCCCAACATATACCTATCCTATCTTTTCTTTATCACATAATGAAAGCAACAGCTGTAAGACATCTTTTACTCCTTTTAACGACATGTGCAACTTTGTACTTATTCATGACTGGAATCGCTCAAGAATTTGCTCTTCGCATTCATCTGACAAGCACATTACTCGGGACGTTTCTATTTTTTCCCATCTCGGATACCCGCACAGTCGTTGTGACGGAAGACGTAATACGAGCCAGAAATCAAGCATCTCTCAGCCAAAGCACGGATTACGAACGAATCCCAAAAATAATCCATCAAGTGAAATTAGGAAATCTTGAAATGCAACCAAAATGGATAGAAGCACGTAAAAGTTGTATGGATTTACATCCAGATTGGCAATTCAAACTATGGGAAGATGAAGAAGCCGGAAAGTTTGTCAATACACAATTTCCACATTTATTCGAAACGTACATTAATTACCCTTTGGAAATTCAACGTTCAAATGTTTTACGGTATTTGGTTTTAGATAAATTCGGCGGTGTTTATTTGGATTTGGATTTGCGTTGTAGGGTTCCTTTGGATGGGCTACGAAACGAAACATTCTTGACACCTCCTGCAAATCCAAGTGGAATCAATAACGCTTTCATTGCTTCTATACCCAATCATCCTTTTTGGACACACGTTCAAGATTATTTAATTACGTTTAATTTGGATTGGTTCAATTCACCGTATATCACAAATATGTTTTCGACAGGATGTCACTTTTTGAGCACAATGCACAGACTTTATGGCGATCAGCCTTCTTTAGCAATCATGGATCAAGCAAACAAACTGAACGGACACGTTCAAACTCCTCTTTTCGAACATCTTGGCGCGAGCAGTTGGCACAAAGGTGATGCAAAGGCAATTCTGCGAATAGGACATCAAATCGAAAACATCAAAAAACATTTCTTTTCTCTTGTTGCTATTCTCTTCTTGTTCTCTTGTGGTATGGTCATTGCGTTTGCTTCTCTTCGTCGTTTACGCCTTTCACGCAAGAGAAGGCTTGCAGGCTATGAAGATATAGAAGCAACCAAAGAACTTGTCGTACATCACGAATAATATTTATACCCTACATCTCTCTAATTAATTCCGTTGTACTTTAATAGCAATCACATTGATCAATCAAATATCAAAACCATTGAAATTGCAAAGGGGTATCAGGCGGTTATATATGTGATACAATATAGAAAAAGTGTGAAATACATGGCTAAGAAAGGCAAGCAAGATAGTCCAAGAAAAGGTAGTCAACGATGGGATTATTTCGCCAAAGGATGTGCATCATCACGTTCGACTTCATCGTCCGTTAGCTCTTCCTCCGGATTCACGCCTTCATGACGTCCTGACATGCCCATCTTCTTGGCAAAGTGCCATCCATCAGAATATGGTTCGATACGCCAAGGAGCAAGGATAGTGAAGATTGAATGATGCGAAAAAGGTCCAATGTTGAAATAAAGTGCAAGATTATGCATGAAACCGAGATCGTAAACGTTGCTAAACGATAAACCTTTTCTCTTGCTCAATTCTCGATAATGTGTATTATCACTATTTTCTACACTTGTTTCTCCCCATCCAATTATAAGTAATTGCCATGCTGCCATCACAGCCAAAGCGAAACCCATGATCGCACAAAGAGCAAAAGTGAGTAAAGGGAATAAACGTGGTGTATACGGAAATTCCCAAGGATCAAATGAAACTGCTTTACGTACAGTTTTCCATCCTGAAAAAACAACAACCGTACAACCGATCGAAAGCCAAACCATAAATAGAACAAAATATCGTTCGTTCCCAATCCCTACACATTGATTGAGCCAAGGACAATGATGATCGAATTTCAAGATGCACGTATCACAAATGCTGCAATGATGCGTCCTTTCTGGCTTTGGAGGAGGAACAAGATTTTCCGCTTCTGCTCCTAGCCATCTTCGAACATCTTCTGCACTTTCTCCCCGTGTTGCATCATCGAGTAATTCTGGCTCGTCTACCAAATAACTTGCTTGACCATCAACGGATGCGGCCAGAACATAATCTGCTCCATTTGGACTTTCTGGCGTTGATGAATAGGATGATCGATTTTGCGATGTACTGTTTGGAGAATGATAACTTCCACTTGATTGCGGCGATGATGATTCTTCTGGTGCAGTATGCATTGAATCATTTCTAGTGTGAGATTGACCAGAAAGAGGACGTTTGCTTCTCAAAGATCTTTCGATAGCTCGTAGCTCTGGAGGCAAACATGCCAATGCTTTCCACAGAGGCACCCTTTGACACTTATGACACATTTTCACATGAACCCATAAATCTTCACCATCTTCCACTCTTTGCACTTCTGCGTCGCTTATACTGTTGGAAGAGATGGAAGTGTTGTCGTTTAAGAGGCCATGTGCTGCCGAATTCCTTCCATTTAGATCACCATTTGACGTTCTACTCGACTGAGAACCGAACTTTCTCCTCTTCGCTTGTCTGGCTGCTAGGATGCTCTCCCGAACTGCACGTCTCCTATACCGCGACCACCATAGCTCGCTTCCAGGACCGTTTCTTCTTTCTCCCAATGCTTCCGATAATCCTTCCAAGACTGATCCAGACGGTTCCTTTACAGCCATATAATAATGATATCCGATACTATAAACGATGAAAAAGCAAGCGAACAAGATTGTGAACCAACGAATCATTTGCCAAGGATGTTCAGCAATTGCCGACGTAAGTCCAAGGATGATATGAGCTGGCGAGTGTGTATTGAAAAGGTGTTGTATGGATGGCGGTAAAGGTGCTAAATTGATAAACATACTTGTAAAAAAAGTCCACATTCCAATCGAAACCAAAGCACAACATAATAAAACGAAAATCGGTCCTGCTGCTCCTGTCATCCAATCAGCACAATGTTCCACCTTTCTGAATGACCGATGAACGGCCTGTGCTAAGAATCGCATGTTGTTGCTGTTTTTATTTTTTTGAATCTTCAATGACCTCCTCACCACCTTTTGAGCTTTTTATCTGGATCTAGTCATTGAGAAGACAAGAGGATGATTTTGTTGCGTTTTTGTTTGACAAGGTAGTACAAAGTCGAAAGGCGGGGTAAGCGTCCGACAGAATATGTTGAAATTAGTTTTGTTTTCTGTTGCTTGGCAAGAATCCAAAAGAAACCCCCCTCTTTCGAATATTGAGAGGAAGAACGTTCTAAACAGAGTGTAAAGTTTAAATCAAAAAAAGGCCCGCACACACACTCTCCACTTTTCCCTTGATATGCATCGGGATTTTGATTCCAGATTGCACTCTCAAGCACCCTCAACGGTTAAAGGGGGAACAAGAATTGTCAAATCCGCTTAACGCCAAAGTGAAAGAAAGCATGCGTTGCAGAGTCACCCAGGGTGCAATTAATGCAATAACGTTGCTCAGCCAAATTGATGCGTGCGCGCCTGGCAAAGTGGAGATCTATGCGATTGCGTACGTAAGCAAGAAAAAAAGTTCAAAAGGAAGATTACGCTACTGATTACCAAAACATGATCGAACAGCATTTAGACAACATTCTTCTTCTTGGTCATCATCTCGATACTTACACACTACAAACATGGTCAGAGCAACATTGATTAGACTGGCCACAGCAAGCGCTGGTGAAAGCTCAAAGTCAACAAGAGGCTTATATGAATCACTAAGTGAAGTAGGAGCACTTTGGCCAAGGGATGCAATAAGACCAGAAACTTCATTCGGTCAATCGATCGTTAGAGCATCAGAAAGAGCACTGACAAACCCTTCACCAGATGCTGCTCCACCACCACAAACAGCTTCAAGTCAAGGTGTACCAACACGAATCAATACGAAACAACTTCAATTTAGACAATTGGAAAAAGGAGAAGAAGAAAAGGTAAAACAAGCTCTGAATGCTTTAAATCAAATCAGAAATGGTTCAGCTTCTAAAGAGTATCCCGTCCCAGAAAGCGCTTTGAGACCTGCTTCCAATCCAATCTACTATGAACGTCTAGCAAAGATGTTAGCACAAGCCGCAAAAGGCAACAAGACAACTATGACGTTTGCTCAAAGAGTTCGTCTATTCTTCGGCTTGTCAATCTAAAGACAGCAGGAGCTCCTATTGTATACTATTCAGAAAAGCCAATACATTCACACACCAATCACATTAGCACGCTTTGTGAATTATCATTGGACATAATCGGTATTCATTGACATGTGAGCATATGCTAATGGTATATACAACAACAAATCACAAAAGAGCGTAATATGAAATAAAGATCTACAAAGAATAAAGACACGACGAGCAAATCACTGTTCTTTACTGACCATAACCAGCAGCAAATTGAGCCGCTAAAGCAGCAAAAGAAGAACCATTATCGACCAATTTGAAAAATTGCCATTCGGTATCCGATCTACTTGTCCATGCTTTTTGATCACGCAAAACCATAGCTTGTTGTGCACCAAAATTACGTTCAGATCGATCAAATGACAGTGCTTTTCCAGTTTCTAAACCATCAATCAAAACATCCAAATCATCCAGCATAGCCATCAAAGCGACCGCTGTTTGTTTGTGTAACCTTTCCCTTTGTTTGCGTGCATGACTGCTACGTGGCTGAGAGCCCAAAAGAGCGGCTTTCGATGGCTTTGCAGAGAAGGAAGAAGATCCTAGACTGGATCTGCGTTTAGGATACATTGATGATTTTGTTTGCCCATTACCTAGATTGCCATCCGTGAGGGGGATTGCTTGCAAGACAGTATCAACAATCTTGCGTGTTTCCATGAGAATTGTTAAAGCTTGAGATTGATTGCGTCTAGAGACAAGCAAAAGGCAACGTGTAATCATATCAGAGACCAGAATCTCCAACCTTCTTCTCGTCACTACAGGATCGGCCAAAGCTGTCGCCGCTCCGCCTGCTCCATTACCATCCGCAGAAGGATCGTTGGTAGAAGAATCAATCTCGATCGTCAAAACACAGGGATCGGGTAACCTACTTGCACCCATTCCTATGCTCGGATCTCTGCATCCACATTGAACTTCCAAAACTGCAACCTCATCCACAAAGTGTCCGTCAAAGTCACCACTCTTTTGACTGTTTCCATCGCTTGTTGAGCTTTGATGATTGGATTGCTCTCGATCTTGACCGGTGATACTCAATCCGTTCAATCCTAAACGCATCATGAAATCATCTGTTGCGCTACCTTTTTCGTATGGATGATGAATTGCAACATTTTGATGCCTTTGTGAGAGATTGTATTGCATCGCATATCCAGAAAAGTCAAATTCCAATTCAAAGAATAATTCTCGCAATTCACCAAATCGCATCTCTCCCAAATCGAGATCGACATCTTTTCCATTGGTTGAGATTATTGATCCAGTGATACCGGTCACTTTACGAACTCGGAAATGATTATCAGACGGAACAGAGATGTGCAATCGTACATCCGTCAAAGCGATCGACATCAATGCCCCAATGCATCCTGCTACACATTCTCGCAATTGATACCATTCACGTACAAACGTGTAGGAACCATGAGTGTGATTGGAAATGAGCCAAAGTGAAGATGGATCGTGACTCTTACCGAATCCGAAACAATGAACTGGCACGTTTGCTGCTTCCGCTCTTGCCATCACCAAGTCCATTTGTCCGCGTTTGGGTGCATCAGCCGTATCATTGATGAGCAACATTCCCGTGATGGGATTCTTGCTCTTGCGTTGTAGAATGATATCAAAACCAACATTGACTGCTGTCACTGTATCTGTTCGATCACTGTTGCCACCCAAGCGTTCAATGTCTTCCTTGAATGGATCTGTGCCTGGACCTTCCCATGGCTTGCCGATCGAATCAACAAACTGTTCAAGCTTTTCAACGCTGCTCTTTTTGGACGTGTTGAGCAGAGCAGTCCTTCGAACTGCACCTTCAACGCCAACATGATAAGCCACGATAGCAATCCGATCTCTTGGTCCCATATTATTGATCACAAAGTCCAGAGTGGATCGAATCAAGCGTACTTTGAGAGCAGCCGAAGAAGACAGAGTAGACGAAGAGACAGAGGGTTGACCGGTAACACTTGGAACAGAAACCATGATAACCAAATCAATAGGCGTATGTGGTAGCAATTCCGGCACAGAACGGTTCGGATCCAATCCTCCCGAAGCTGACCATTGTTGATGACTTGGCATTCCTGTCAACATTGATTGCATGTTGTTGTTTTGATGGGGACTGAAATGGCGATCCGTATGGGGAGATTGTGATTGTGCACTTGTATGTGAAGAAGCAAGGGAGACGTCATTCGAAGTATTACGAGTAGCCATACTCGATAAAGATGCATCCCCTTGTGCAGATTGAAGAGCAGGCGACTCGGGTGACTTTCTGCTCTTGCCTTGATTTTGTCCTCCGTTCGTGTTTTGATTTCGAACATTCAACACTTCCGTCTTTTTGGTTCGAGATTGATTCTCCGCCAAAAGTTCATTCAACTTGACACGCCACTTTTCACGTAAAGCACGATCTTTGAAACTGAGGATAAAGTTATCCAAAGCATCATCATCCAACCGAATGCTCAAACAAGGCATATTGTCAATCTCCGTATTTTGACAGCTTTTGATGTGTCTGAGCCAGATGCGACCCTTGAGCTTCAGTGGAGCACGACTTTTACGATTTATGGAACCGAGTGGTGAGCCAGAGTCATCCGATCGATCTGCATAGATAAGTCTTGCAAGCCCTTTCTCCTTCTTCTTTTCCTCGTTGACGCACAAGAGAGCATCTCTGAACAGGTATACGTAAAAGTTACGAATGATTGAATCTTGACGAACACCCAAGAAGTTGTACAAGGACAAAGCTCCAAATCGTTCAACACTATGTCCTTTCCAGTCGATAATCCTATTGCGAAGATCTTCAACCACACTGTCCAATTCATGATGCTGAGCAGCCGGTGTCGCACTGAACGAGAAGCCTTCGTCTTCATCTTCTTGTTCCTCTTCTGCCTCGCCTTGAGCGTCTTGCTCTGGAAGATCTTGCTGTTCACGAGAAGAGTTTGCACTGTTTGGCACAAGCATATGAAGATGCGAATTCTTGACAAATTTGTTGAACGAATTCTTTGGATCATCATCATCTTCGTCATCATAGCCGTTTTGTGTTTGCTCAAGATCTTCATTTAAATCGCTATAGCTATCACGATTGTCAAGCATTCTGGACTTGCCTTTGTCAGTCCGTGAACTTTTCAAGTCAGGACGGAATTGTTCCGATTTGTGCTTATAGTGCAATTCATCTTCATCAACCTGTTCAGATTGCCTCCTTGACGGAATACCAACAGTAACAACGCAAACCAGATTTTGACGTCCTCCGCCCTCCTTTCGATCTTTACGATAAACGGTCTCAAATTCAGGTCGAACTTTGACGGAAGGCAAAAGCATGAAACGATTACGATGGACATTTCTGCCTTCATCGATTGCACCAACATTGTGCCTTGAAATATCCAATGAATGATGAGCAACGTCTGCTCTATTGCTCGATTGAAGGCCATTGACTTCTAAAGGATCATCTGAAACATTCGTCGATACAATAGAACGATCATGTTCGCTATGAATGGAATTTGAATCAACACTTCCGACTCCCATCATTCCAGCAGCTTTGCCGACTCTTCTGTGATCGCCGCGATCTTCTCCCAATACGATTAATCTTCTGCAAACACCGCACATTCCAGGTGGACTATGCTTATTGCCTTTTGACGATTGGGCTTTGAGGACGGATTCAACAGATCCATACACAGCAGTGAAGCAAGCATGATGGAGAGCATGTCCACATAGAGGAACGACATGTGCCTTTTCGCCTGCCAAGCGGAAAGAAAGCAACTCCAAACAAACTGGACACGTCACTTCTTCAGGGCCTACGTCGGAATTCGAACGAGATCGAGTCTCGTACTGTGTGTCGGTGTTGAGCGAGTGCTTTTCGTCATTGCTCACCTGTCCGCCCATCATACGATCAGCTTTGCTTTTTGTCTGAACGGGAGCAGTTTTTGTTGCTTTACGATATTCATCAATTCGATAGTGCGGCGAAGAAGTTGGAAGGCCTGATGGATGTGCGGTAGCTTGTGGTGTAATACCATCCAAAAGCGGAATCATGTTTGCCAATCGTGCATCATTTGCTGTTCTTTGTTGTCTGGCAATATGTTGAGCAGCCATTTCCCGTTCTACTTGGTTCTCTTGCGATTCAATATGGGCCATTTCATTGCGTGATCCAGATGCGCTAGATTGCATTCGCAAATTCTCTGCGCTTGGTTTCTTGTCCAACATGAATCGATTTAAAAGGTTGCCCTCCTTCGATCCTTCGTCATTTTGAGAACCATTTGCTTGACGCTGTTTAGTGAGCGTACTTCCACCACCAAATCTGCTTCTCCAGCCGCCGCCGGTAGAGATACCGTTGCCGCTCTTTTCTCCGATTGCCATGTCGGGATCTTTTGTTGGTGTTGTTGTTGAAAGTGGTTTCAGGATTGAGAAACTCACAATAGGCTCTTCCCTTTGCGCTTCTTCTCCAGCACTTTGGTTTGAATTGCTGGCTGATGTGATGAGTCCAACCAGACGATTCGCTTCAAATGCTGATAAACGCAAGACCAGAGGTTCTACTTTGTCACCGAAAAAGGCAATGTCTGGTTTAACACGCTGGCGAGATCGATGTGTAGTATCACTGTTGATCCTTCGAAGTTGTGATGAGCTCAGAACAGCGTAAGGATGACGAGATTCTTTTGGGCCTGATGCGGTACTTTTGTAATTAGTACGAAGGTCGTTGAGAGATCGACTTCTTTTGTAACTTTCGCGTGTGTTCACTTCACCCTGCCCAACAAATTGTGATTGAAGAACGTCTTCTGGTGATAATCTGCTTGAATCTCGGGCGAAAGTCGGAATCGGTCGGTTATTACGATCAGGCGAGTTACTACTGAGCGTATCGCGAGAGTTTATACTATTCTTTGATGAATCTTGACTGAGATGATCTCTGGAATCCCTTGCTCTGCCAGATTCACTATCTGTAGGAATGGAGAAATAATCCGGTCCGGTCGGTCTATCTTCAGATTGAAAAAGGTGTTCCAAGTGTTGAAGGCTGTCAGATCCGCCAAAGTCGTTTCTGGAATGAGCAAAGCTTGAATCCGTACGAGGAAAAGAGGTTGTGCTTGTTGCTTCACTTATGTATGGACGATCACCGTCAATCAAATTTCCAGTGTTTGTTGGTCGAACGGTATCGTTTGGCTGAGAATGAAAATATGGATACGAGGTTGGCCAACGAGACTGTACATTTGCTCTTGGAGTTGCAAGTGCTCGTGGCGTTTCAAGATCCGCTTCAGAGCCAAAATGGTTGAACCACTGCTGCTGAGATGATGTTTGTCGAGGAACAAAGTGATTTGATTCCGAGAATGTCCTGTTAGGTCCAGATTGAGCCGTTCGGACGTACGCTGGAATTTGGCCGTTAGGATTTGATCTAGACCTTTTTAAACCAAGGTCTTCACTTTGATGACTGTTTCGACGAAACAATTTATTCGTCACAGTTCTGGCAAGTCGAAAGCGTGGTGGATTAGATTGAGGAGAGGATGGACGAAGAAGGTCTCTTGTAGTAGGTCTGTTCTGACTCGCTGTGGAAAGATGCCTTCTTGTACTTGCACCTGATGTATCGTTCTGTTCCTGCCCGAGTTGAGCAAAGTCCTTTAATCGAACAGAAGATAGATCGAGTCCCGGATCAAGGGGAGACAAATCAGATTGAGGCTGCATGTCGAATCAGCAATCAAAAGATGAATTCAGGCCGATATTCGCGGAGCGGGGTATCAAAATGGAGCCGTTCCAATTTAGAAGGGAGGAATACCGAAGGCACACGGAATCGAACAAGATCACAGGAATTTGAACGCAAAAAGCTAGATGAAATTGGAGTAAAATGCAAAAAGCGGTGTTAGTATTTGATTTCTTCTTCGCGATAAAGGCACAACAATCTCGGCTTGCTGTCCATTGTCTTCCACTCACCGTGTAAAAAAGAGGCGAATCGGTTGCCGCAATTCCAAAACGGGGAGAACGCCAACCAGCCGCGTCGGGGAAGTAAATGAAACGGATGCCGTTGAGTAATGTTAAGCGAAGATGATTGGAGAGATGAGGATGAGTGAGTGGGGAAGAAAGTGTGATGATTGTCAGCAAAACATTGTGTACAGAGAAAGGTGGACTTTAAATCTTGGCCGGACATGTCAAAAAGCTCATCAACGTGACGTAGACGATACAAGCCACCAAAAATTTTCGCATGATTAGGTTTGTGATGTGTTTTCAATGCATACGCATGTACCAGCTTTCGATTCTTGGTTTTCTAGCGTGGCATTTCAAGCTTTGGTACTGGCTCTGAAGCATGCCGGACATGGTCAAGGCTTGATGGTCATAGAGTCACAAAGGTGCACTAGCTCTGCCATATCCGCGGCATCAGCACATTGTAAAAGCACTTTACGATCCCTGGCAATGTCAATTTTGAGCAAGGGCCACATGTGAAAAAAGTCAAGTACTCACCTTTCCTTGTGCTTTTTTGACAAGATAGTCAAAAGACTAAAAAGAAGCGATCCGAGCGCGATCTGAAAAGTTGTTCCTTTTGGCGGAGGGGGAAAATGCTTTGACCGCTTTTGATGACGAAATGCTCACTCTTGTTTTAATTCGATCCGCGTGACCACCAGGAAGGGGTAGGATGAGCTTAAAATCGCTTTGTCCCCCTCGTTCTTTTTTTCTGGAGGAGGATTGTTCCTCGCAATGATGGAAGAACAGAAGAACAATGAATTAGATTGTCACTTTGCATCAGATTTGTTTGAATGACAACTTTTTTTGAATAGAAAGGGGGTCAGGCGAGAGATATCAACTTGACAGCTTGCATATATTCGTGAGCTTGCACAATCACAGCAATCATGACATCTTTCTTGCGTGTATGTATAGTAGACAAAGTCATATAGGCCGGCCGGCCATACACGAGAGAAAGTTTAAAATGCATAAGCATAAAAACACGCTAAGGGCATACAGTGGGGACATTGCTTACCGCGCTAAGGCACAGGCCCAATATGGATCGCGTGAGAATAAATCTGGATTTCATCTTTACGCGTGTACTTTTGGCGCTAAGAGAAAGACAATTCGGTAACTATTTCTCTTTTGCCAGCAGCATTCACTTCCTGCTTTCCGACATTCATAATGATACTACTACTAAATAACATGATGATCGTGATGGGTTATCAGCCCGCTTTCTCTGTAAGACAAAGAGGACAGGTCCATCAAAAATCCCCGAGCAAAGCCACTTCATAAAGGCCCGATCCTTACAAGCCATTCGAATCGGAGACTACCCACATTATTTCGCTAATGCATCATAAAAGTAAAAGGCGAATTCAATAAAACCCTGATAAAACAATAAGGTTTGAATGATATGCAGTGTGAGATAAAGCGCATTAAAACAATCGCGTAAATTACAGAATGAGGCTTATGCAACAAGCAAGGGGGTAATTTTAACGCCGTTACTAATGAGACAAGCACCACTCTTTTCCCTTCGGCCTTTCCCATTCAACGCCCATTTTCATGCGATATCCCGAACATCTAACAACCGGCGTTTTGGATTTCATGCATCTTAGCCAACGTCTATCCGTCCAATTCCTCGGATACTTTCCTAGCTATTTCTTAGTAGTGTGCATGTGCAAGCCACACTTGTATTTGTTCAGATATGAATGAAAGATAATATTAAGCTGCTAGTTAGACACGTCAAAAGGGAACACTGGCCTAAGCCACGGGTATGTCTGCATTGGGAGGTAGAGGTAATTCTTCATCCTTGAATTGTGACACATTTTGTAGTAATTGTTGATCTTCACTTGGTAAAGAAGATGCAATTTGTTGAACACGCGGATTGTTGGCTAACAATGTCCTTAGACCTTCAAATACGGGAACTTGATTCATCGGAGAATAGTAAACCATCTCTCCTTCATCATCATCATCTTCATCGTCTGAGCCATAATCGACTTCTTCTTCGAAATCTTGTCCGGCTGCTTGTGCTTCAGCTCTTGCACGCATCCTGTCACCTTCTCTTGCTAATAATTCCAAATATTCATTATCTTCATCAATCACGTCATCATCTGCATCTTTGCTATCATCGATTTGGAACGATCCAGAGATATTATCTCCACTTTCATCTTCCAAATTTTCAAATGCTTCTTGTTCCTCTTTGGCTTTTTGAACTGCTTTTGGAAGACTGACAAGGTTTTGCAATAATCCTACCAACAATGCAGGCTGTCCTTGCTGTACAGTTGCAGGTGTTTGAGCAGGATCCAAACCAAGGATAGATAAAAAGCTTGCTGCGATCACCTTCTTTTCGTTCACTCTTGTAAATTTACCAATGATCGTCAAAACGCTAGCAAAGAATGCTTGAGTAGCCTGTGCAGCTTCCAAGGCTTGTAGTGCAGGGACTGTGTTGAAACATAAAGCGTCTAAGATGACCAATGTAGCCCATTTACGCAATGGTGTAACTTGACCGTCAGCGAGATGAGGTAAAGCCAAATTGATCACTGCTGGTACAGCTTCTTGCATGTGAGATTTAAGCACAAGCAAAAATACATCAGCCAATTTTAAGGCAGCAATATGATCAGACGTTCCCAATTGTTCGCTTGTCATAGCAGTTTGGAAGATATCAAAGATGATATGACGCAACTCTGCATTGCTTTCGAATGCTTGACTACCATATGTGATTACGTTGTCAAAAGTTGCCAACATTTCGGCAAGGTAATCGATACCACTAGTCTTGAATGTTTGGTACATCAATCTGAAATTACCCCACATATCATCGGAGATTCTTTTTTGGTAGAATGTCAAAACGTCTGTCAAATCGAAACAATCATCGAACATTTCCACGAGATTTTCTTGAAGTGTGAATTGTACCACTGGCAAAACAATCTTTTCCAATTGAGCCAAGATGTCCGGTCGGTGCTCGGCCGACGATAGAACTTGGTACATCGTAGAAAGACAACTCAAAGCAGCAAACATCTTGTCCTCTTCTCCACGGTCTTCCAAAACAGATGGGTCCATCTCTCTTGCTACGCTTCCCATATCCTCGGCTTTCTTTGCAGCTTCGATGTTGGAACGCATTAAGCGGAAGTAGCTTTGTGCCAATTGTTCACACAATTTGGTACTAAAGGGCAAAAGCTCTTCTGAGAATGCATCTACAACTCTCGATTTTGCCTCTGTCAAAACATCAAGTTCCACTTCGTCTGATAATTTCAATAATTCTTGCATCAATCGACCTGCATTTGGTGCCATTGCTTCTTGCACTTCAGAGTGATCAATCAAGGATGAGATCGCGTTTGCGCCTTGAACACGAACAGGGATTTCTGGATCTTCTAGTGTAGCCATAATACCTTGGAATGCACTTTCCAAACTCTTGCTATCTTTCCAAGACATCTTTCCACCCAAAGCCGCAACCACATCTGCAGCTCGGAAACGTAGGAATCTGTGATTGCTGCGTAGGTCAGGCACGACATGTTGTGTCAACAAGCCCTCCAAACTTGGCGCTGTGGAAGGATGGCTCAACATTGCATCGTCCAGAAGTTTGATCAAGTTCAAAGCACCTTCTTTTTGAGCTGGCGTTTTGCTTGCAGGGTAGTTGTTGAGAACGTTTGTCAAGAATTCTAGAATTGGCATGAAAGCACCTTTCATACGCTTCTGTACCAAAACTTGGAATAAATTGGCAGCGGCTGCTCGTGGACTGCCGTAATCGTCCATTGGGTCGAGTTGAGTTCTGACGAAGTCGGTTGGGTCGAGTTCCCACAATTCATCATCAGCCTCTGTATGACAGATCAAAGGGAATGCAAAGTATTCTACCAAGGTACCCAAATGAGGCTTCAAAAGAAGCCATGTCGATTTTGCGCGAACGCATTCAGACATGAATGTGAGGATGAGATAAATGGCACGGTCACTGATCCAGACTTTTCCATTGACTTTGCCTTCAACTTGAGCGAGGTAGACTTTGAGAATTTCTGGAGCGAAAGAGGCAACGAACTTCTCGGCAAATGCTTTGTACTTCTTCATATTGCTGGGTAATTGGGAGGGGTTACCGAATTTAGTGAACAATTTGTTTAGTGAGAAGTAAGCCCATTTCTTTGCTTTCCACCACGATGCCTTTTCCCGCTCTTCGTCATCTGAAGGTAGTTGACTAGGATCAACTTCTTTCTGTACGATTTGCAAAAGCGTCTGTCCCCATGGTACAATATTCTCATCAGCTTGATGGTATGCGGTCAAATTTGTGCTGATACTAGTTTTGTAGATCTTGCAGGCCAGGTAAATCAGGGATCCTGCTTCGGCGGAGGATGAGTTTGAGGATCCCAAGATTGATCGAACGATGTTGAGCACGATTGGTAAAGAAGATTCACATAGGGGTGCCATGATGTTCTTTTCGTCTCTCCATTTGAATGCTCTAAAGATTTCTAAAAGTGCGGCCAGGCCAGCATAAACGCGGGTCACATCACTTCCATCACCTGCACCTAGCAGCTCCTTGACTTCATCGACCAGTTTTGGCCATCTCTCTGGGAAATCATGACGAACGACTGCTCCCAAACTTGCATTAATATGAACGCGTAGTTGAGGTGGACAAGAGACCAAAGTGGGCAACAATGCTTCTCGAACAGGTGAATAATCGGCTTCTGGAATAGGGGATTGCTTCAATTCAGCCAAAGCAGCACTTTTAGCATCCCACGCACGTCTGATACGATTTTTGATATAAATCGTCGTTGCTTGACGCACAGAAAGATCGACATCATTTCGGGAAACCAATTGAAGAGCGGAAGGAAGCATGCCCGGATGGGCTTCCAACTTCCGAAGTTCCAATTCCGCTGCTTTTCGTGTGTTTGGATTTGGGTCCAAAGTATGGGATAAACATTGATAAAGTGCATCCATGATGGTCTTGATCGATTCTTTGTGCCAAAGATGATCAAAAGCCGGTTCAAAAGATGATGGTAAATTAGAATCTTCCAATTAAAGCAGAATGTTCTTTATGCCACTTTAGCACTCTCTTTTTTTGCATTTTGACAGTATAAGAAGTTTTTTGACTGTGAGTGTTAAATTTTAGCTTGAATTACACGTGAATAAAGCTTTAAACGCGTGCACTCTAACACTCAAGCAGAACAACACTTTTAATAGAGCATCATCAATGCAATCATTCTTCTTCTGCATACATTCATACTTTGATGGCAATCATCTCTCCGGATAGTATAAAAAGATGACCAAATGTACATTCGAACAAGGTAAATGGTAAACTCCTACTGCCAACATGGCGCCAAAGGGTAAAGCGGGTAGCTCTACCTCTCGAAACACACAAAAAGGTAAATCCACTTCAAAGCCCAAAATTGGCCTGGCACTGGTCACAGAATCACCTGCTAGGCCATTGACAAGCTTTACTGGGTTTGAAAAATCGCCACAAAGCAAGTTAGATTTCAAAGCATCTAATGATAATGCTGAAGCTTCAGGAAGTATAGGAAGGGATGCCATCAAAGATGCCTCGTCCAGGCAGAAAGAGTCCAGACCGAAGCGGGATCAGTCAATACAGGATGATCAAATGTGGATCGATCGATATACCCCTAGAAGCAAAGCTGAGTTGGCTGTGCACAAGAAAAAGATTGAGCAGGTAGAAGGTTGGCTGCGAGAGGCCTTAGATGGATCTCAAAAGATTCGCAAGTATAGAAGGCTTCTCGTGCTAAGTGGTCCTGCTGGTAGTGGAAAGTCTGCATTGGTCAGAACATTATCTACAAGTGAAGAAATGAATTATGAAATCCTCGAATGGAGAAGCGATGGCCGACAGAATCTTCAAGGGCTTTCCAGTTGGGACAACGGGCGGGCTTATGCAGGTCTCGAATCCCCAGGCGATGCTGGTCCATCACAGGAAAATCGCTTTTCGGCATTTCTCTCTCAATCTTCTCGCTTCAGTACCCTCACGATTGGACAAGAAGATTCTCAAGATGACATGCATTCTACTTCCACTCCATCAAAAAGAATCGATCGTCGGATCATATTGATTGATGATCTGCCCAATCTTCAGTATGAGCCTGCACGTCTCGAATTTCAAGCCGCTCTGGAGAAATATATATGCTCGCCTCATAGAGAGGATTCCGCTCCAGTCATTCTGATTCTGAGCGATACTGTGCCGCGACTTGACGATTGGGCAACGTCCAGTACCATGCAAGGATGGAAGGAGCGCAATGATGAATCATTGAATGTAAGGAATGTCATCTCGGACCCTGTACGGACAAGCCCTGCATTTATGCACATCTCTTTCAATAGTGTAGCAATCACATTTCTCCGAAAAGCTCTTCTTGCTATCATCAGTACAGAAAAGCAAAGATCTTTGCCTGGAGCTCCTGCCCCAACTTCGGTTGCAGCAAAGGAGCTGGTAGATGTGGTTGCCTCAATGTCGAATGGAGATATCAGGAATGCAATCAATTCGCTACAGATAGCCTTGACGTCATCGTCCTCAGGCCCAACGGCGAAGGGGTCGAAACGAACGGCAGACGGGAAACCGAAGGATGGTAAAAGTATCGCTCGAAAGCAGGCCAAGATGATTAGCTTAGCCACAGGAAGGGAGGCATCTTTGGCAATCTTCCATGCATTAGGAAAGATCTTGTACAACAAACGTATCGGGGATCCACAAGATGAAGCCAGGGAAGAAAGTGATTCTGATGAAGAAGATGAACGTGACGGGACGGAAAGTGCATGGCTCAAGTCGGCCATGAATACTTTCCTCGGAGGTCCCATTGAGCAGTCTGCGCTACCATTGCCAGCCCATCTGAAACAACTTGAAAGAAGGCAAAGCAGAGTGGACGTCGAAAAGCTTTGGCGTACGATGCCGATGGATGCAAAAACCTTGCAAATCTTTCTGCATCAAAATTATACGCCTTTTTGCGGTTATATCGAACAGTGTACCGCATTTGTGGATAATCTGTCTTACTCTGACGTTCTCAAACCACAACATGAGGAATGGTTCCATTCCAGTCTTTCGCAGTATTACAGCTTTTTGGTTGCTACGCATGGTTCTCTGATGTCGCTGCCTTCTCCGATACAACGTAACAGTCAACAAAGATTCAGAGGTGTTGCCTTTTTTGAAACGAATCGCAAACTCCGGAAGACGCAAGAAACTTTACATGACATCAAAGCGGCACTTCACGAAGAGATGATATCTGAGGCACAGAACAACGTATCTCCTACCTTGGCCGAAGTTGGCTTTGATCAATTGGCATACGAGGTATTGCCATTAGTGGCGAAGTTTAGAGAATTACCGGAAGAGTTGAGCGATTCAATACGCTTCAACAACCTCGAAATCGGTCGACCTTTTTCGATGAACACTAGTTCAGCAAGTACGACAGCATACCAAGGAGGCATGGACATAGATGAAGATGAGGTGGATACTGCATTGGCTGATGAAGAGGACGTTTTCCCGACTGGAAATCCTCTTTACGATGAGCAAGGCCGTAGAAGACAAGTCGAATTGCTACCTGAATCAACACCAACTGTGGCGAGCAGCAATTCAAGGAAGCTACCGAGCTTGATACCTTCGCGACGCAGTGGCATAGCTGCCAAGATGGAGGACATACGAGACTCCGACGAAGACGAGATTCAAGACTTTGAATGAGACATTAAAATAACCTAATCCACTGTAAAATAATAATAAACACAATAGATGTAATTGTATTATCTATGTTCATTGGAAAGCTTTATATGAAATGTATATTGTACAAATGTGTGCAAAAAAAAAGAGTGCAAATCTCTATATAAGTAGGATGAGCAATGATCAAAAGTCAATAAATGAAAGATTATTTAAAAGGTTGACATGATTGCCTCAACACCACGATCCCAAATTCGGCCAACGAGACCGTCACCAATTTGACCAGCAACAATTCTCCATCCATGTACCATTTCATCGGCCAAGTTCAAATCGATTGCCAATGGATTACTGAGCAAAGGTGTAGTTTCCGGCATAACAGCAGAACAACTGAAGTTGAAACGGTTTTGATGCCAAAAGAATGTTGCTTGATGATGCAAAAGGATTGCAACAACGATTGAAATATGCCAAATTTGATGTGCATGACCAACAACGTCAAATTTACCGGGATAGATGCATTCTGGGAATTGGGTTGCATAGAATACCAAACCAAAGATATAAGCAAGACAGCTTGGTACGATCGCACCAAAGAATCCAACAGTCTTGTATACTCCATGAGATAAGAGAGCATGAGTGAACGGCGCCAGTCCGGTAAAGCACATTGCCAAAAACACTGCAATTCGGATGGGTTTGTTGCGTCTATCGTTGAACCAAGCTTGCCATGGAACAATTGCACCCACAAGACCGACAACAAAAGTAGACAAGGAGTACACCATTGCCAAATTTGGTTGACAATAAAATGCATTGTATACTAACGTCCAGACAGATGCTGCAACCAACCATGCGATACCCGTATAATCAACACAGGCAAAACGTTCGAACAAACAAGCATCTGAACAACCTGCCATAACATGCCACGAGACTGAAAGAATGAGGCACTTCAGAGCAGCGATCAGATAGATTGTCTGTACCATACGATCCATAGGAGTGGTTTGATCGTCATATCGATCCTTGCTTGGCCAAAAGAGTGGAGTGACAACCAGTGCGCCTATCAGATGTGTCATAATATTTCCAGTCTCATTATGAATTTGGAACGTGCTCTTGAGCAACGAGCTCCATTCGTCCTTCGGAATAAATCTGTAGCCCGATAAGATGTGTTCGTTGTTCTTCCACAACTCAGGAAGTTGGTCGTATCTGATAAGTCGTTGACCGTTCTTTGCCAGTTCGACAGCTTTGGCGTAAATGTGTTCTTCTGCTCCTCTTGCCGCCTTGGCAATCGATGAGGCGCGAGCGTGACCCATCGACCTTACTTCTTCTCCTTTTGCTCTTACGGAATCAAAGATGACTTCAAGTTGTGCTGTTAAAGCTTGTTGAGAGGCAATCAAACTTTGCCTGCGTGTTCTGGTGATTGGTTGTTGTCCGTCCTGAACAGGAATCACACCCTTCTCCGACTTTGCACGGAATAGAAGGTCACCCAACGTCATGGCACGGACAGCATCCTGCAAGGTCTCGAAACGCTTTTGAATTGTAATCAAAATGCTTCCTTGCGCTTTTGGTAATCCGTTCGTTAGAGGTGACCAAAAAGCGGCGAAATTGAGATCAGCAAACGGTGATAAAATAGGAAGTGAAGGTAATTCGTTTGCCAATGCTCTTGCATGCTCTTGCGCACCTTTTGGCAATGCTAATGGGAACTCTGGCCTCATTGCCAATTTTGTATGCAGGGTACTGGAGATCCTTTCCCAATCATGAATCAAGGAATCTTTTCTTGCTGAGATTGCATTTGACGGCGATGGTAAAGCTGATACCAGAGCCCTCAATTCCTCTTTTAATGCATCCAGATGAGCATAAAAGACTGCAGGAAGGCTTGAATCAGCTTTTGAAGAAGGTGATTCTAGTCCTGCATGGAAGGGATAATAAGAACGAACTCGTTCCTCTAGCTGGGAGGTGTAAGCCAATAGATGATCTCGCAAAGACACAAGAGCAAACGGAAGCGAGATCGATAAGTCCAAATAGTCAAGTCGATCTTGCGTTTGACGGAGCTCCCAGTCCTCTTCGCCATCTGAGCTGCTATGAATGTCGTCTAATGCACTGCCACTATCCTCGTTCAACACTAGCTTCTTTGATCTTCGTGAGTGTAGGAGTTGGCTATTGACAGGTTGTGAAGCACGACGATAGTGTTGTGGTCTTTTCCTCCAGGTGCGAGGTTCTTCACTTGCAGTGATAGGTTTCCTAGAGCTGCTGGGGATATCGTAAGAGTCTTCATCTTGATATTGATGTTGTCCATTCTTGCGATATCGAATCTGAGGTTCATCGAGCGAGCTGGCAGAAGAGGATGGACCGGAAGAGAATGTAGCGAGCGTCATTTCCCATAGAACAAAATCAGGAACGGGAAGCTTATAGGGAGAGGTGATGATGATGATAAAGATGGAGGGGCAAAAATAGAATTTGAAGTATTTACTCCACGCCATGTCAAAATCTGATTCAAGGGCTAGACCAGTCAAATTTGTACGCCAAGGTATAATATGTTTAGATGCGTGCGGGTATTTGTGGGCGAATCCATAAAACTATAAACATTGCACACGTTCCTTGCACCTCACCAGTGTGCGCTGCGTACGGCGTCCTTCACCTTTGCGGGTTCTCTCTCAGTTGAGGATTTCCTGGAAAAGTCTCTGCATTCACATTTTTGCCTTAATTCAACGCGGAATTAAGAAATTAATCAAAGGCCTGTTACAGTGTATGCAAGCATGTGTGGCAATCTGCCCCCTATAGCGTAGCGCTATGCCCTGGGGAAAAGGCCAAAGAGTAATCTTACCGCCTGAACGGCCTTCCGATATGCTTTTTGACTGTTGCAAGCGTACTTTTATTTTTTAACTTGCCCTAGACTAATTAATATATTGAATGAAGATTTCAAATTGCTTCTCACGCCATCAAAAGAAAGATATCTATTATCATTCTATAAATTGCATGACTCACCTATTTTAATCTGCCATTGAAGACATGGCTCCGCCAACGGATACACCTGCTGCCTCGCAACCGTCTTCATCATCCAAACCGGCAGCTTCCACCATTAAATCAAACCCTACAAAAGAAGTTTCTGCACCTGCTAGAATAGCTCCTTCTATCGCTCCTGCTCCAGGTCCTTCATCCTCAAGGCCTAGCATTACCGGTCCGACAAAAGCAGTGCCATCGTCAAATAATGGATCACATACAAATGCAACACTGCCGCGTTTGAGCAATACGTCATCTGTTCCATCTCCAAACAGATCTGCAATAATGAACGCAGAATCAAATGCGAAGAAAGGTGCCCCGTCTGCATCAACATCTCAGCCATCCGCACCCACAAATGCTCCAACAAGTCGATCAACTTCTATACCGTCCAATTCATCGTCACCAAGAATAACACAAAGTTCAATTGGCGAACAACAATCTCGCGGAATGAGTCCTTCTCCATCCAATACATCTTTATCCAAAACGCAGGATGGCCAACAAAGCAATTCTGTCAATCCCCGTATCAAAAAGACATTGGCTGATCATTTGGCATCACAGCAAGGTGTTACTCCACCCAGAAAACGTAAAAGAGTTCATTATAGCTGTGCAGAATGTCATCGAAGGAAACATCGATGTGATCGTAATATACCTTGTCAGCCTTGCTTGGACAGAGGGCTAGGAGATTCATGTAGACCGTTCCAAGATGGAGACGAGTTCGGAGATGAACGTGATCGATTGAAGAGGCTGGAAGATCTCGTAGAAGGCCTGGCAAGAGCACATGCCACTCTTTCGGAAGAATTCGATCTGTACAAAGAAGGAAAGCTATCGACTATCAAAAATCCGATGAATGGCGCTCTGAAAGTTTTGGGCGAAGCTGCTGCTTCTGCTGCTGCTGCACACGCTGCTTCACCTTCTGAATCGGGAGATAGAGGTAATCATAAAGCCAATCCAAGACCAGATAAACGAGTCCGATTGGCTCGAATGGGTGAAGTTGAAATGGAACGAGAAGAATTGCGAGCTGGAAGTGCATTGAATGACGAGACTGGACAAGCGGGATTGTATGGCGGATCAGCAGGTGAAGTGCTACCTGAAACAAACTCACTCGAAGGTGGACTGACCCGCGAAGGAGATAGCTTCTATGGAGCTCTTGCTCTACCGAGTGTCAGTAGAGGAGTGATCGAAACGCAGATCCATGGCGAACGACTAGAGCTAAGCTCAAACGTACCTCTTCGTTCGGCAAGTGCAAAGGTTCATCGATTGATACAAGAAGGAGGGGCACCACCGAATGTGATTGATGAGCTGATGAGCTGCTTACCCCCGCGACATGAATCAGATGCGATGTTGGAATGGTACTTCCGCGATATTAACGATACCCGATTGCCACTGCACGAACGAACATTTAGAGCAAGCTATGAGGAGATCATGAACTGGAGATGGGGTAATTTAAGAAATGAAGAAGGCGATGATGGTGCAAGACATATCCCGTTCTTGGCGTTCTTGTTCGTCATTCTGGCCATTGCTAAGAGATCTGAGCCCGAAGATCGATGTGCATCGGATGAGGATGCAAGAAGAGGCGCATTGTTCTACTTGCATTGCGCTCGTCGCAGTATGGCCATCGCAAGTGCTGTGCGTGCTGATCATATTGATGTTTTACTAGCCGCATTGTATGGAGCTCGTCTTTTGATCACCTTGCGACAAAGTGCGGAGAGTTGGAGTCTTTTGGGCGTCGCAATTCGTGCTGCTCAGGCCATCGGATTACACAGAGATGGAACCAAGTTAGGATTGGATGCTGTTACGACAGAAAGAAGGCGAAGGCTGTGGGCAATGATCTATTATCTCGATCGTACAACAAGCATGTTGTTAGGTAGACCGCAGGCAATCGATGATAAGACAGCTGATACATTACCACCGAGCGATGTGGACATTGACGTCTTACCAAGATTTGGCCCAGCTCCCACACCACAGCCATTCCCTCCAGTCTCAACACCTCCAACTGAAGATGGCTCAAGACGTCATCCGGGCGTGTTCTGCTTTGTTGCAATCCGACATGAGCTGGCAAGATTGATCGGACGAATCGTGGAGCATTTTCAGGATCTTTCTAAACCTCGCAATTACGCTGATGTATTGCAACTCGATGCTGATCTTCAGCATTTCTATGCTTCTCTGCCAGGATTCTATTTATATCCAGCTTTACGTGGAGAAGAAGCTGATCGATCGTTTGATGACGTTTGTCCATGGTTGCCGATCCATCGATATTTGATCAACATCGAATATCACTACGTACGCAATGCACTTCATCGACCTTACCTCTTACGTTCTGAGAGGTACAAACAATCACGCGAAGCTGCATTTGCAAGTGCTAAAGCAGATCGAGTAATACGAAAAGAGTACGAACGTGAAGTGAGCTGGCCATCGAACAGAGCTCGAAACAGTCACTTGGGTGGAGTATACCGTAAATTTGCAAGTACTCTCATTGCTGGTATCGAATTATTACTGGATCCCAGCAGTCCAAATGCAGCTGAATTGCATGCAGTTTTGGATGATTTCTTGAGTCATTCGACCAAATTTGCCGATCCAAGTCAATGTACCAAACGTGAACTGGCAATCATCAAAATCTTCAAAGCGAAAGCAATGGATCCTTCTTGGTGTGCGGCCAATAGCAGCACCTTGAAGAATGGTGCTTCAGCAACGGCTGCTAGCTCGCCTGCTGATCGTCAATCCGGGGCAGCGACCACGCCAGGTGGCACGAATGCAAAAGTGGATATCGGAAAAGGTAATGATGCAGTACGTGCAACAGCAATTGCACAAAAAGCAAGAGCGGGTGCTATTGGCGGAAATGGAAATGCGCCAACGAGATTACCTCCCACACAAAAGGAGACGAATGAATTAGCACAAACACTTCTGGACAGATTGGGAGGAATTGAGTCTTTGCAAGTCCTCAACCAAAATCAATCTCCTTCCAGCAATTCGGCTTCATCTGTTGATCTATCGGCAGGCTTGCGTCCTGCTCATAATGGACCGTTATCATCACAAGCAGGACCAATTCAAGCTGGAACAGGTGTTTCGGGAGCACCGAATCAAGCCATGACCACTTCCAATCCGATCACATCAATGACGACGATGCAAAACGGTATTGTTGGTGAGCCAATGACGGCTTACAGTGTGCCAACTTCATTCGAAGGATTGTTTGATACGTCAGATGGAACGGATTGGTTTGGATCGTTAGATGCAGGTGCAATGGGAGGATTTGGAGGTGCAGCTATGCCGAACAATATGTCTTTCCCTGGTATGAACGGAAGTAATGCACAAACACCAGGAGCGGGAGCTGTTGCGGGTAATAACGAAGGTGAATCTGATTTTGGTGGATGGGGAACATTAGTAGAGGCGATCGTATCGGGTCAAGAGAATCCGTAAATTTGATATGAAAAGGAATTTTGTAACATCTTCTTTCGAGTATATTTATGTATCATAGTTTGCAAATTGTTGTAAAAATGGAAAATATCATGTCGTTTTATCACAAATGATGGTCACGGACTGAGATTTGAAATCAACTCTCACTGGCTGGCCAATGACAGAAGAGTTTTGCGGCCAGTGTTTAGCCGCGCTGCGCAGCACACGTCTACGCTAACTCTTTCTGCAGCTTGAAAGCACGCGTGTAGTGCCGCTATAATAATGTTACACAGGCGGAAGTTAAGAATTTTAAGAAGAACGATCAAGTCCCTTTTTATTTAGGCAGTCGCAGCGCTCACATGCTTGGTTTTTTTCCATTTTCGAAAATTCTTGCATTGCGTGGTGGCATGAACGTCAATAAACAACCACCACCATCACCTCATCTCAGCTGTAGCCAAGGTCAAAATGCCACCTAAAGGATCTGCATCAGCAGAGCCTGCATCAAAGGAAACACGTATTGCAATCGTTTCATCGGAAAAATGCAAGCCAAAAAAGTGTAGACAAGAATGCAAAAAGAGTTGTCCGGTTGTGAGAATGGGAAGGTTGTGTATCGAAGTAACATCATCAAGTAAGATTGCATTTATTTCAGAACCACTTTGTATTGGTTGTGGTATTTGTGTAAAAAAATGTCCTTTTGAAGCGATCAACATTATCAAATTACCGACAAATTTGGAAGCAGAAACAACTCATAGATATAGCGCAAACAGTTTCAAACTACATAGATTGCCAACTCCTCGTGTTGGACAAGTTTTGGGATTAGTAGGAACGAATGGAATCGGAAAGAGTACTGCTTTGAAAATCTTGGCAGGAAAACAAAAGCCAAACCTTGGACGATATGATGATCCTCCAGATTGGGAAGAGATTATCAAGTATTTCCGTGGTTCTGAATTGCAAAACTTCTTTACAAAAGTCTTGGAAGAGAATATCAAAGCGCTCATCAAACCTCAATATGTCGATCACGTTCCTCGTGCAATCAAAGGATCTACAACAGTTACAGAGATGTTGACCGGAAAGCTAGAGCGAGACAATCTTGATGATATCGTAAGGGTATTGGATTTGAAGGAGGTTATGCATCGTGATCCCAAACAGTTGTCTGGTGGAGAACTGCAAAGATTTACTATCGGAATGAGTTGTGTTCAAAAAGCAAATATGTACATGTTTGACGAACCTTCAAGTTATTTGGATGTGAAGCAACGTCTAAATGCTGCAAGAATGATCAGAAGCTTGCTGGACGAACAAACCTACGTCATCGCAGTCGAACACGATTTGAGTGTTTTGGATTACTTGAGTGACTTTATCTGTTGCTTGTACGGTGTTCCAAGTGTTTATGGTGTGGTTACTGTTCCAAGTCCTGTTCGTGATGGAATCAACATCTTCTTGGACGGATACATTCCTGCTGAGAATATGCGTTTCAGAGACGAATCGCTCACTTTCCGTATCGCCGAAACAGCAGAAGAAGAAGTAAACGACCGTACCCGTCAATTCGAATACCCTGCAATGACAAAGACACTCGGAAATTTCAAGCTGCAAATTCAACCTGGTCAATTTAGTGATTCAGAAATTATTGTCTTCTTGGGTGAAAATGGAACAGGAAAGACTACATTTGTCAAGATGTTGGCAGGTAAATTAGAGCCTGATTCAGGAACAGGAAAGCCACCACAATTGAACGTCTCCCTCAAACCACAAACGATTGCACCTAAATTCCAAGGCACTGTTCGTATGTTGTTGATCAAACAGATCAAGGGAGCCTTTATGCATCCTCAATTCCAAACAGATGTTGCCAAGCCGATGAACTTGGACAACATCATCGATCAAGACGTTCAGACGTTATCTGGTGGAGAATTACAACGTGTTGCTTTGGTTTTGGCATTGGGTAAACCAGCCGATATCTATTTGATCGATGAGCCAAGTGCTTATTTGGATTCCGAGCAACGTATTATCGCTAGTCGTGTGATCAAGAGATTCATTTTGCATGCCAAAAAGACAGCAATGATCATTGAGCACGATATCATTATGGCAACGTATTTGGCCGATCGAGTGATCGTTTATGAAGGTCAACCATCCGTCAATGCAACAGCAAAATCACCCGAATCTTTATTGACGGGAATGAACACTTTCTTGGCAACTTTGGAAGTCAGTATGCGTCGTGATCCAACCAACTTTAGACCGCGTGTGAACAAGATGAACAGTGTAAAGGATAAAGAACAAAAGTCTTCTGGTCGTTATTGGTTCTTGGATGATGATTAAAAAAGCGCGGGATGTGGAAAAAGGGATTGTTTGTCTGGCAATTTAGGCAAAATCAATCTGTGTATTTGTTTCTTCATTTATGGCTTTCATGTACGCGGAAACGTGAATGTCAACCCAAAATTGGATGTTGTATAGCGGGATTTACTATTGTTCATATCTAGAATGTTAACATCTGTAGACGATCTTTCGGTAATTTCATCCATTGAATTCAGACAATGCGTGATGTAGTAGGTGTACTGATATGAAATGGTATAGAAGTGATGTAGAGGAAAAGAAAAGCTTGAGAATCCATCCAGCCTTTCACAACCAAATTAAATCGGGGTCCGTGTTTTTGTCTTTGATTTGCTATCCAACACGGACCCGCTCTAGACTCGTTTAGTTCTTCCCGCTCTTCCACCACCTCCGCATCGGCAGCAAAGGACATCAGCGATACAATTGAACGTAGCGATTAAAGCAGATGAGATTGCATTGACACTGTAAGGGGGGAAGGGTGTATATATATGTCAGTAATGAATGCAATTGCTCGAACTTAGTCTCAACACTTACATTGCACCAACGATGGAAACGATTCCGTTCAAAATGGCCATAATACCGCGACCGATGGCGCTAACGATGGTAGATAAACAACTTGCAACTGCACCCATGATGATGATATGAAGTTTGTGTGTGGGATTGGGTATTCTTTTGTTTGTTTCTTTGTTTCGTAAAAGGTCGTGAAAACGTGAGAAAGAAGAACTTTTTTGTTTTCGTATATACGATGATCGTATCTAAGAATGAAAAAAGAAAAGATGTGGATGGATTTTTACTAGATCTTTATATCTCCTCCTCCCAAAATATATTTTCAGGGATTTATGGGAGATGACCCTTTGACAACTTTTTTCACCTGGTGTATTGCATTTACCGACGTCAAGGTATTGTATGTATGTATGTATGTACACCATCGAAAATAAAAGCAGTTCAACTCGATCATGCATAAAACACAACAATGCAATGCTTAATTTTCCTTGTACCTGTCTCAGAGCAGATTGATTAGTGTCCCGATAAGCTTCCCCCTCCACACACATGAACACACACACAATCAATCTCGACTCCACACCCGTCCGTCACCAGTCAATTGTCATGTATGAGCCAGGTTGAATCGTCATTGATCCCATAAAGGGACAAGTGGCTGTGTTAAAGTCCTGTCAAACAAAAAAAAGTGTGTGCAGGACAAGAAGAGCGTGAGGGGTGGGTGGGTACTCAAATCGTGAGAAAGCCAACAGCTGCTAAGGCTGCAGTGCAAAGCAAAAAACAAGCTTGTACATTACTTTTTTTTGTTTTTTATTGCCGAAATGCAAAAGACTTGCATAAAATTGGCGTAAAAAGGGTTCAAGAGTTAACTTTTTCACTCTATTGTTTTTTTTTCTGGGCTTGCTTATGTCCTACGTCATTTTACGCGTTTAAAAATCGACGTCAAGATCACGATGGGGTGAGTGTTCTCGGCAATCAAGCTGCTACACTCACTCATACTGTCCTTCGCTTTTATTCATACTGTCACACGTGCTGCAAATATTGGGGGGATTGATTGTATTGGCATAGTACGATGTATGATCGTGATGAGGATCAACAAAGGAGAGTATAAAATGGGAAAGACATCTTCACGCCCGTTGTTGCGGGTTTGCTTGTTGAGAGGATTGTTGTTGTTGACCACCTCCTCTTCCACGATTTCGGTTGTGTGGCTTTGTTTGTGTGAAATCTTGACTTTGTGGAATAGTTGTATTGATGAATGCTTGTTGGGTAGGTGGAATGACTGGTGCTCCTTGTTGACCATTTACACCGTTCTTTTGCTTCTTCACATTCTCTTCTTCTTCTGTGATCAAGCTTGGGTTAACGTACAACTTCTTATCGATCGTGCTTGGGATAGGCTTGATCTCACATCCTAATTCTTGTTCGATTCGGTACAAGTTGAATCTGTCTTCATACGTGATCAAATTGATTGCCAAACCCAAATGTCCAAATCGACCACTACGACCAACTCTGTGCAAATAAGTCTCTGCATTTCTTGGAAAGTCAAACGAGATAACCACATTGACTGCTTGAATATCAATACCACGAGTCAATAAATCAGAGCAAACCAAATTACGGCAAGCACCGTTGCGGAAGTCATGGAAGACTCGGTTACGATGAGATTGCAACATCTTTGCATGAGAGTAGAAACAACTGTATCCCAAATCCGTGATCTTCTTTGCCAACAACTCCACTCGATTGGTAGAATTACAGAAGATGATCGACTGGTTGATTTGCAAGCGACTGAAAAGTGTGTTCAAGCAGTGAACCTTTTGTCTTTCTTCGACGAAAGCGTAGTATTGTGTAACACCTTGCAGCGTCAATTCGTCCATCAAGTTAATCTCATATGGCTTAACCATATGCTTGTCCTTGAAATCCTTGACAATGATAGGGAAAGTAGCACTGAAAAGCATAACTTGTCTCTCCTTTGGCAGTAACGCTAGCAATTGTTCAACGACAGGTGTAAATTCCGGTGATAGAAGCTTATCGGCTTCATCCATAACAAATGTTCCACAATTACTCAAATCCGCGATTCCCTTTCCTCCCAAATCCAAAATACGACCAGGCGTTCCTACAAGAATGTGAACTGGTTGTGAAAGACGGATGATATCATCCTTTAATGTAGTTCCTCCTGTCGTAACCATCACTTCGATACCCAAATGCTTTCCCAACGTTTTGCATACTTGACTGGTTTGCAATGCCAATTCACGGGTAGGAACCAATAAAACTGCTTGAATTTGAGCCTTCTTTGGGTTCAGTCTCTCTAATGAGGGGATCACATATGCTGCCGTTTTACCTGTTCCGTTCTTTGCTCTTGCCAAAATATCCCTACCCGTTAGTGCGATTGGGATTGCTTCTTCTTGAATTGGACTTGGCTTTTCAAATCCTGCTTCAAAGATACCCATTAATAATTCTCTTTTCAAATAAAAATCTTCAAAATCGTTTCCTTTTGTTTTCAAAACGTCATCGGTTTGAGGACGTTCATCTTTTCCAACTCTTGCTTGAATTTCTTGACGCCATTGGGCTTCTGTTTGCCCAGGGGCAGGACCGGAGACGGACATTGTGAGTTTGTACAGTAAGGTTTTACAGCAATGCTGATGTTGTAGTATTTGCCCAGTAGTAAAGAAGAGGCAGGATGGTACAAATAAGAGCCTTCTTTGGATGTATGCGAGATACTAATACAGTTGATGGGATTGATCGACCAAGGAATAGGCGCCGGACGGAATCGGTTGAAAGGTGAAAGTTGCTCACTGATAGACTCCTTCAATTACGGAGTGTCTTTCTTTGCTGCAGCGGATTGAAGCAAGAGTGACAAGTGAGACCAAGATATTCTTACACAGAAGTGAAAGTAGACGGAAGTTGGTGAATTTGAGTCTCTACAAAATGAATTAAAGAGAGTCGTAAAAGGTTGTTAATTAATTGTAGTTGAGTTGGTTCTAATTCGACAATATTTGTTATCAAAAGCTATCCTCTTGCTATGAGATTGTTGAAATGCTCCTTTGTGATATTCTAGAATTGATCTTTTTGTTGATAGTCTTTTGTTGTGCGCGCGCACTGTGTTTGATTAGACTTACTCAAAGGGAACAAATAGGAAGAGGTTATGATGGTGAAGAAGATTAGCAGGAGCTAAAATTAGTCAGTTTTTGCGGCGTACACACGCTTACGCTTATAGCTTTTGATGCTTCGTGCGAGCTGGCCCTTGAAGCCCAGAAGAAGAAGAAGAAGCGCATGGACACACTCTTTGTGTTTTGCATGAATTCTTTCTGGCGCTAATATCCGAAATCCGACTTGTCATGCTCGTGTGTGCTTCCTTAAACTCTCCCCATTTCATCATTTTTGATCCCCATTCTACGTCCGCTATTGATGCCAAATCTACAAAAAGATATCAAAGTATGAGGTGACTTCTTTACATTCTTCCACATCAATTGGCAATAGCAAAGCTCCAATTTCTGATCGTGGCTAGCAGTCAAGATGAATGGCCATCCCCGCACTGCTCCACATACGATCACAATGGCAAAGGGAGGCCAAGAAAAGGCAAAAGGAACGCAAACGCCTCCCCAAAGCAGCAATACGATCAAGTATGCATCCAGCAACGTATCTCATCGGGTACCTATCGATGTGGTGATGCAAATATTAACACATTATGCCACTTTATCACCTTCATGTGCTGTGAATTCACTTTTGATCTCCAAAGAGTTCAATTCTACCGTTGAAGCAGGTGCATATAGTTGTGTCTCTTTATTCTCTGTTCGCGCTATGGAAGTCTTCCTTAAGCTGATCAAGACACAACCTCGTATTGCCCGTAAAGTGAACTCATTATGGATCGCACCTGGTCATTCAGATTCGGATCTTATCACAGTTTTGGCACCTCCCACAAGTGATGTCGCATTCGAACAACGTCAAAAAAGAGTACAAGCAATCGCTCGAGAAATCTTACGAAGCTGTCGTCGATTACGTCACCTTGCCTTGGACGGAGGCTTTGTGACACCTCAATCAGCAACTGGGTTCGGAACAGCTTCTAAACCTCAAACGTTATTGTGTATCAACCCACATAGTTTTCTGGGAAACTTTTCCGCTCCAATCTTTCGATCTACAATTCAAAGATTAGAAGTTGTTGATACAACATTAGCCGTTGAAGAAATTGATGAGATTCGTCAAATGAACGGATTACGAAAATTCTTTTGGACAAATCCACGTGCAAAAGCAGATGTAACAAGAGATGTAAGCGTTCTGCTTCGTATCCTTTCACCAAGAGGAAGAGATTTGTTAGCAAGTATTAGTGGAGAAGCTGCCGTATCGATTGGAATTGATTTTGTTGGAGATACAGAAGCGGCTACGCAAGATTTGATCGTTGAACAGCAAGAAAGATTGATGGAAGCGCTTTCGATCAACGGAACTGCATTACCGGAGAAAGCACGCATCAATGATAAATTGCGAACAATCTGTACAACAACTTCACAAGGACGGGCAGCTGCCTTAGCTGCCACATTCAAGAAAATTGTAGAAAATTTAAAGTACCCTGAGAGCTTTGACTCAGAGGGAAAGGCGGTACTCGCAGGCACGCCAGATGCTCAAAACGGAGATGGCGAAGATGATGTGACTGAAGTGATGAAGACTGTCAAACCAGGAAGCTTTTATGTGGATTCTTCACGGGCCAATAGTACCTCAATACACCCTCTTTCAGGGGTTGAGTTGCAAACGAGAGCACTTACATCACTTTTGCATGCATTAGAAAAGCCAAGTGCCAACAACGTTCAAAATAGCGAAGACAGTGAAAACGAAGAAGACGATGATGAAGTAGTAGAAGAATGGGAAGCATTACGCGATCTTGTTTGTCAACGAAAGCTTTCCAGCACTACACCATTACAACGTTACTTTGCAAATATGAATGCAGGAAGTACGAATTCTATTTGGCTTGGTGGTCCGGCTGCCAATATGGATAGGTCTGCGGGTAACAGTGGAAGAAACAGTCAATCTGCGTCTGGAACGCAAACACCTTCTCATGCCCGCACAGAAGAGGAAGTTGACGGGGGTAGAGCTTTACAGCGTATCTGGTATCGCTGGTTAGAACAAGTCGGAAACGGAGAATTAGATGGGGATGTGTTATAAATCGGAGAGTATTGTTGTATTAATATTGTATATAGTAGAATGTGTCATCAAGAAATGCATCAGGCAGAATTTGACAGTGATTTTATCTCATTATAAGGTATGCTTTTTCGTGAATCTAGAGAACAATTCAACCTTGCTTTTTTGGGAGTGGCTTTCAAGAAAGAGGAGCAAGATGACTGAAGAAAAAGAATGTGTGAACATGGAAGAAAGGGTGTGGTATTTTTGTGTTATTGTGTGAGCATATGTCTATGATCCTCCATTCACCCGATCTCTCAACATGCCCAACAATTGTTGATAACTTGGTGTTTGTTCATATCTGTCCAAGATCAACATCGATAATGCCCATAAACGCAAGCTTGGTTCGCCATCCTCCTTGACAACATACACGTCCGGTCTATAAACACCACGTCTTGATGTTTGAATATGTTCAACGATCGCATTTACACGTTGGTTCATACTGTTCTCCAATTTGGGCAATGTAGTCTTTCCTCCTTGAACGGCAGAATAGGTTGGAGCATCAAACACGTCAACGCAAAGTTGCGGCACTGCATCTCTACCCAACCACAGGAAGATCGATTGACCGTTCTCGATGATATACAGTCCATATCGTTCAAAGTGTTCGGATGATAAGTTCAACTTTTGAGGCATCACCAATGCTCCTCCTTCTGGTCGCGTTCCTGCTTCGGGTGACATACTATGCAATGCATACAAGTTTGGAACGAGGTAAGGAACCAATTGTTGACTTGGCATTGTCGTCAACAATGCTTGAGCGTACGAACGCAAATCTGATGGAATTTGTGCACTCGATCGCAGAGCCACATTCTTCATCAAACCAAGAACAAGCAATGGTAACAATGCCATATTGTTGGAAATACTGAGTTGTGGACTCGGTCCAGTTCCTGCACTCGTCATTGTGCTCTTGTACGTCGAGAAGATGTCAACCGCTTTGTTCATCAATGCATCACGAGCATCTTCCAAACGGGCGTGAATACTGCGTTCGACTGCTTTGCTGGCCAACAATGATGCAATGGCAACTTGATCAGCGCTCGAGTAAACTTCTGACATACTGCTGGTCGTTGGCAACGCAAGATTTACCACACGAATTCTACGCTCCCCATAGCTTGTACTGTGCAAGACGACAGATTGGAAAACGACAAATGGCGCATTAATCGTTTCTTCAATCTCGCATTCAATTGCGTAGTTTTGATCCAAAGGAACAGCAGGCAATGCCAAAAGATCTGTTGAACGAACAAAGAAGTTTCCGTAAAATTGAGTTGCACGAAGACCTTTTGTGCAACGTAGACGCAAAACTGCTTCGTAACTGATCGGACTTGCTAGCACTGCTCCAAATTCGTGAGCAAACTTAAGCGCATCCTCTGATCGTGCTGCACTGAATCCCTTGTAGAAGTATGTCTGACCACCAGTATAACGAGGCAAGCAGCTCAAAGTTGCTACGTCTGCATAACCTGATGCAAACAAGAACATATCCACGGATACTTGACTGCGCGAACAATCGATCGGGAATGTTTTGTAAAAGGTAGAAGCTGCTCCCAATAGTGTGCTCTCTTTTGATGTTCCCAGTAGCTTTGGGTCCTCACGCACCTTCAATGCACCAGGTCCGACATTTGGCAAAGATGCAGTCAAGGTGATAATCTTACCTCCAATAGGTGAGATAAGTTTGTAAGCAGCTTGCAATGCAGCTCCCATGGCGGATCCAGAAGAAGTATTGTCTTTGAACATATCTCCCAAACGAGTGAGTAAAGCCTCGAACCCTGCTCTTGATTCGGATAGATTGACGAGGATATCGTTAGGCTTGGGTAGGAAAACATCGTCCAAATCACTGACCACCAACATTTCCGGCTCAGAAACTCCAGCAGGCAAGCAGAAGAAATGCAAGCTTGCATCAACACCAATCAAGGCAACCTTTGTTCGATTGTCAGAATTTGGTAGGCGATCAAGAGATTCCAAAATTGTACGTGCAGCTGTAGCAGCCATTCCTGATGCAATTCCAGCTACAGAGACATCGATCAAGAATACGTAAACAGGAGGTTGAGGTGGACGCACCATATATTCGCGAGGAGCGATGAACTCTACAACGCTGTGATTCAGCTCAGGTCTTGACCATCGATCGGCTGGTTGATTCTTTTCTTGATCCCAATCAAACAATTGCGGAACCTCGTTTGAGATATTACACATACAACATTTCCATCTGTTACCATTTTCAATGAATTGAACGTAAGGATTGATGTACGTTCTACATCTACGACAACGAGCAATGACGGTATCCGTAACAACAGGCACGGGCTCATCACCATCTTCCTCACGAACCGAGCGGTAAGGTGACAGAACCAAACCTAGGGGCAATCTTGATTTGGTCAATAAAGAGGAAGTAGTTGGGATGGCGTTCAATGTGCATCTCTGATAAGAAGGGTCTGCGTTTGCTTTTGGGTTGGTGGAAACGCTGGCATTTGGTGGTAGTCTGATCTCTGGCGGAGGTCGCTCTAAATCGGCCAAATTGGGCTGTGCGTTGGACAGATTGACAGTGACCAAAGGGTTGCCCTTTGCGCCTCCTATGCCCATGCCTTGGAATTGGTTTGCCATTTGATTGAAAGATGATGCTCCATTTTGACCATATCCTCCCATTGCAGGTGCGGCGGAAGGAGCATGTTGATGACCATAAGGGTTTGATGGAGGAGTAGGCTGAGGTTGAAATTGAGCGGGTTGTGCGGGTGCAGCAGCAGCATTTGGTTCAGGAGCACCAGGTGTGAACAACTGTGAATTGGCATTTTGAGCATCTAGTCCAACAGCTGGATTAGCACCTGCGTTATATTGAGCACCAGGATCGAAACCTCCGCTGAAGCTTATACTGTTTGCTGCCATGTGGGCTGTTGGGTAAGCTCTTCTTTTGGAAGCACCCGTTGTTGTTGGTGGAGGAGAAACAGCAGGACTGTTCATTTGTGGCGGTGGATTGGCAGGTGCTCCAAATTGTGGAGCTCCTTGAGCAGCTAATGATTGACGCATAACAGGTGGACCTTGCATTGGCGGCATTGACATTCTTGCTTGACCTTGAGGATGTGTTGGTCTGGGGGGAGAAGCAGCAGTTGGTGGTTGCCAGCTTGTACGACCGGTAGCAGTTTCAATGAATACGAATCTGCCTGCATTTGCGTCATACTGTTGTACCCAACCAGGCGGTAGATTGGGAGGAGGTTGATTTGAAGCCATCTTTTGCAAAGAAGAAGAAGGAAAGACAGAAAGAGATTTACTTCAAATCACCGCAAAAGCAAAACCCAACGATTCCAAAGATTCCAAGCACTTCCACCTCGAAAAAGAGATGATTGAGATGACGGTTAAATATAGTGATCGTAGGGTGAAAGCTATTTGATCAAATGTCGCACGAACGAAGATATGCTTTACAAACACACACACACACACACATGCACACACCCATCACAATTGTACACGACGTATGTATCTACGTGTAAAGGCTAATTACGGCTCTACGCCTGTGTTGTTGTTGTTCCCTTGGAAGATTGTATAAAGCCTGCGCCTTGCACTAAAACCTTCCAGGGCGTGAAATTGCTTAGCTCGCCAGCTGTTAAAGTTCGGTGTGCCTTTTTGCTTAGGCTTATGTAGTTGAATTGAGAATCCTGCGCTGAGCTGTGCAGCGCAGCACACTCTATACACCGATACTCGGCTGGAGGTCTTCTAATAAGACTCTCAGTCGAGAGACTTTAGTGTTATAGCTACAAGTATCACTCATATGAATGTTATCAATTATGAAGAGAAAGACATGTCACATTGTATGTACAGTCTATGGCTCCCTCTATCGATCAGCGCCTCACACGCCGAGACACAATGTTCCTGTCACGTATGCTTGCTCTTCACCTTGATCTTCCTGTCTGACACGCAAAACTCTATTGGCTATGATGTATTCCATCAATTGTCGGGGAAATAAGACACGCGTGTAGAATGGGCAACAATTAGCCGATAAAATAAGACTATACGGGTTTCTTATGCGAGTGCTGTGTACGTAGTAGTGCATCAAGCAAGCTAGTGTGTATGCTTTACATTAAATGCCTTGCAAGATCAACGAAAATCCAAATTGCGGCCCAGGATTTTTTGTGGCTCAGGCTCTGCATGCACACACACAGAAAGAGGCAAAGCAAAAGCATGCCGCGTCAAAACTGCACTTACGCACGAACGCATCAACTGTAATTCATTCATTCACATCCACTCCCCCTTCCATCTTTCTTTGTTACCTTTATTCCATATCCGTCGCACGTCATCTTCATACGCACGGCCTTGCGCGCGCATTGACGGGAATCAAAATCACAATCGATCACTAGAAAACGACGGTGGTGATCGCATACAATATACTTTGATCGGTAAAGTGTATATTCAACTTTGGTTCGACAATCCCAGCCAAAGCTTAAAAATTAACTAGCATTTATTGACGCGAAGATCAAAAACCCGCGCAAAACACACCCTTTCGATGTCATCCAAAATGTATGGAAATCATCGATCACTCGTCCCATCCGGTGGTGCTTCGGGATCAGGTCCACCACCTCCTCCAGGTGCAGGTCCTAATCCAGCTTCAGGTTCGAATGGTGGCCCTCCAATGGCACCCGGCGGTCCTGGTGGTGGTCCAAATGCGGGCCCTGGTTCTGCTCAACCTGTTGGACCTGGCGGTGCAGGTGCAGGAGGTGCATCTTCAGCTTCGGCAGCACGATTAGCAGATTTGTTGGACTTTGTTCGTCATGAATTCGATCTCATCAGTGGAGAAACCAGCACTTTGAAAGGACAGCGTGATGAATTGGACAGTAGAATCGGACAACAAATCAGCGAAGTGCAATTAATGCAACAACATATCATGGATCTCGAATCTCGGCACACTGCAATGTCACAACAATACGAAGAAGAAATTAAAAGACTACGACATATGCTTGATTCACGCGGTCCAGAAAGTCAAGGTGGTGGTGGTGGAGCAACTGCACCTCCTCATTTGCCAACATCCACTTCTGGTCCACCTCAATTGGCTCCAGGTGGCTCAAAGGCTGGCGGTCCTCCTCCTGCTTTTGGTGCTCCACCAGGAGCATACCGCAATGGATATGAACGTGAGCGTGGCCCTAATTCCGCCGAAGGACCAGGTGGTAAACGTCCTAGACCTGACGAGCGTGAACGTGATGGACGATATGCACCCCCTAGTCCTGGAATGGAGAGAGACCGTGATGGCGGAAGACCAGCAGCATCGTCCAAGAAAGAAGGAAGTGCTTATCCATACCCTTCACGCGATCATGAGCCCTCGCCTGCTCCTAATGCAGCGGCAGGAAACAACAGCCTTGCAAATTTGAGCGAACTCGATCCTGAAGATGTACCAAAGGACTTGAAGAAAGAAGGAAGCGATTGGTGGGCAATCTTCAACCCCAAGGTCAAGAGACAATTGGATGTCAGCTTGGTTCACACTTTGATGCACGAAAGTGTTGTTTGTTGCGTTCGTTTCTCACCTGATGGAAAGTTTTTGGCAACAGGATGTAATAAAAGTGCGCAAATTTACGATACCAAAACAGGAGCAAAGACTTGTGTTTTGTCCGATCAACCGCCAAACCACAAAGGAGATTTGTACATCCGATCAGTCTGTTTTTCACCTTGTGGAAGATTCTTGGCAACTGGAGCCGAAGACAGACAAATTCGATTGTGGAATATTGCGACAAAGAAGGTCAAGCATCTATTCACAGGACACAAGCAAGAGATTTACTCTTTGGACTTCTCTCGCGATGGTCGTATAATTGCAAGTGGAAGTGGAGATAAGACTGTACGAATCTGGGATGTGGACAGTGGACAATTGTTGCACACCCTCTATACGTCTCCTGGACAAGAACAAGGGCCAAGCGAAGCGGGTGTGACTAGCGTCAGCATCAGCTCTGATAGCCGATTGGTGGCAGCAGGTGCATTGGATACCCTTGTTCGTGTTTGGGATGCAAGAACAGGTCAGCCACTAGAAAAACTTCGTGGTCACAAAGATAGCATTTACAGTGTCAGCTTTGCACCTGATGGACGTTCATTGATTAGTGGAAGTCTGGATAAGACATTGAAGATGTGGGATCTTTCGGGAACGATTCATGCACTTGATCAAAACGTGCCAGATGAAGAAAAGATGCATAATGCTGTTTGCGCAACGACCTTTTTGGGTCATAAAGATTATGTCCTGTCCGTTTCTTGTTCGCCTGATGGTATGTGGATCGCATCAGGATCAAAAGATCGCGGCGTACAATTCTGGGACCCAAGAACGGCACAAGCACAATTGGTCTTGCAAGGACACAAGAATAGCGTGATTGCGATCCATCTAAGTCCAGCTGGTGGATTATTGGCAAGTGGTTCTGGAGATTTCAATGCGCGTGTTTGGAAATATGAACAAATTGGATCATAGTCTTGACACGATCAAGACAAAGTTCTTTGCTCCCGCGAAAGAGGCTTTATAAAAGGCTTGCAATTACCATGCAAATCACTTCATTCCTCCTCCCTCACTCTTTTAACTTGATTTTATTTATTTATTATATATTTGTGTACTATGAATCGAAAGATTGAAAAAATTCTTCCGTTGAATGCCATTTAAAATTAAAGACTATGGTGAATAAGAATGAAAACACACTGTAAATAGATTAACAATATTTTTCATTGTCGCTGATGAGAGATAAATTAAGAGAATATAACAAAAACAAACACATCAAATACGGGCTGGAGCACGGTCATGAGGCAAGAAGCTGTACAAAGAAGAAGTTAAGAATTCGGCAGGAGCGTTTGAACGAACATCTTCTTTGATAAATCTCTTTGCGATATCGACTGAACGACTTCCCAATTTTTGCAATTTGCTACCTTCATCATCAACCAAACGATCAATGAATTCAGCAGTGATTGGTGTACCTTCGGCAGTCTTTTGGTTATGATAACGCCATTGCCATAACATCAAACGACTAATTTCACCTGTTGCTGCATCTTCCATTGCGTTTGCAATTGGAACACATCCAACACCGTTCAACCAGTTTGTGCAATAACCCAACAATGCAGTCACATTTGCTCTTGCACCTGCTTCTGTAATCTTTCCGTTAACGGAAGAGTTGAGCAAGTCCAAAGCGGAAACGCGAACTTCTTCACGACGGACATGGTATTGATTTGGTCCCAACATTCCTTTGTTGAAAACTTCCAAAGCGATTTGCACAAGGGCAGGGTGAGCAACCCATGTACCATCGTGACCTTTTGAAACTTCACGTTGTTTATCAGCACGAACTTTGTCCATTGCTGCTGCATTTGCCTTTTCATCATTCTTGATTGGGATTTGAGCAGCCATACCACCGATTGCTGCAACACCACGCTTGTGACATGTTTGAATCAACAAATCAACATATGAGTTCATGAATGGAACGGTCATTGTAACATCGGCACGATCGGGCAAGATTGCACCTTTGTTGTAACGTTGACGTTTGATGAATGAGAAAATGTAATCCCAACGACCACAGTTCAAACCAGAAGAGTGATCACGCAATTCGTAAATGATTTCGTCCATTTCGAAAACGGCAGTGATTGTTTCAATCAAAACGGTACCACGGATTGTACCACGGGGGATTTTGATGTAATCTTGTGCCAAGTTGAAAACGTCATTCCAAAGACGAGCTTCCAAATGAGATTCCATCTTTGGCAAGTAGAAGTATGGTCCGTAACCGGTCTCAACAAGCTTCTTTGCATTGTTGAAGAAGTAGATACCGAAATCGAACAATCCACCAGAGATTGGCTTTCCATCAACGACGAAATGTTCTTCGTTCAAGTGCCAACCACGAGGACGGACGATCAAAGTGGCAGTCTCTCCTAGAGGTTTCAATTTGTATGATTTTCCGGTATCTTTTTGTGTGAAATCGATGTTACGATGAATGGCTTGACTCAAGTTAACTTGACCGTCCAAATTGTTTGCCCAAGTAGGACAATTCGAATCTTCAAAATCGGCCATGTAAGTGTATGCACCCGAATTCAAAGCATTGATCACCATCTTTTTATCGACAGGTCCAGTGATTTCAACTCTACGGTCACGCAAACCTGGAGCAGGTGGTGCTGCTTTCCATGTTGTATTTTCACGAATGTGACGGGTCTCAGGCAAAAAGTCTGGAAGAGCGCCTCCGTCAAATCTTGATTGACGTAAAGCACGGTTATTAAGTAACTTTTGACGGGTTTCGTCAAAGTTTCTGTGCAAGACAGCCAAGAAGGCAGCGACTTCTGGTGTCAATACTTTGTTATGATCGCCTTCAAGACGGCCTGTGGGGTGGTTAAGGGAGAGTCAGTGACCTGTTCGATGAGGATGAAAGTGATGATGAACTACTTACCTGCAATACGAACTCCGTCAACGCCAGACATTATGTGTTTTTAGATGTTGTTATAGTAAAGAGGAATGATTTGTAAAAAGAGATTATCCTCTGTAGATGGTGGTGGTTTATATGAGGATCAGAAGGAAGGATTGTGGTTGAACAAGAGTATCACTCCAAAGCAATAGCCGTTACTCTTTTGTTGTTACGCACTTCCGCTCAGGCCGAAGACTGGACTCCACCTTTTTTACTTGAGAAAAGCTGCTAAGAATTTAATCATTGACGTATGTATTCCAATGGTCACCCGGCCTTGTCGGAAAAGCAGCCGGGTAGAAATGTGTGTGTGAGTGCGTGAGAAGGCATACAGTCAGTGTACAACAAAGAAATGAAATTGATTTGTGTGCACGGTTCGGTGAGTGGAGCTTTGAAGGGTACTAGACTGCTTATATGGCTTTAAACATAGTCAGTCTGATCTTAACCCATTCCCCGCATACGCTTTTAGTAAAATGTCGGGCGAAGCGCATTTGACGGTTTTGAAAGCTTGAACGTCAGGCAGGCGGGCACCCAACTATAAGCGTGAAAGGCAAAGAGACATACGCGCGCGTTGCCCATTTTTAACATTCCAAAGCCGAGGTTGGTTCTTGGTTCGGTCTCATCGGCCCAAGAAAAGCACGTGCAGTGTTTTGCAAATCCATCCTTGTTCCGTTAGTGCCGACTTGGTTGTATCGATCGGCCGAGCTGTAGGGTGGTTTTTCCAACACGCGTATTGACGCGTAAACGCGTAAATTCTGTTGTTCTTGACAGAGAAGTAAGGGGTCGGCGGTTTTCATCACAGACAACCAAAGAACGGACAGTAAGGGGCCATCAACAAGCGCCACTTGCGGCTGATTAAAGTTTTACATGAATTAGCATTCATTCGATTTTGGCTTACTCGGATTCTATCAAGACGAGTGAGGGATGTAAATACGGATTCTTTCACTCCATATAGAAGCCGGGACCGTTAAGCTTATGAGACAGCATATACCGGAATAGAATGTCCGACAGTCAGATTCATGGTCGTATGATCAGCTCATTTCGATGTCATTCAAGTGAGGCGGTAGTAATGATTGCATGGCAATGACTATTGTTCATCCAAGACTTTGATTCGATTCATGAATTTCGCAAGTGGCTAAATCGTTTAGTAAAGAGAATAGCCTATTTCAGATCACCGATCTTGATGGAAAGCAAACTATTTTGATCGGTAGTAGGATTCAAGATGCCGACAGTGAGAATACTCTATCTTGAACGTATATTGTTTCCCTGCCTTAGTTTATCTTATTATGCCAGGTTCTGCTTCTTTAGCAAAAAAAAGGATGAATTAGGATTCTTACCGAAGAAAAAAGGGGGTGGCGCAACGCAAATTAGCTGTACGGCTGTGTTTGCATAAGCGTGTGTGCGAGTGTGCGTGTAGTGCGTGTTTAATTTCATCATTGTGTACTGCTGTGCATCAATGCATGCGTCCTTCCCTCACGCCCACAGCAAGAGAGCGTTGGGACCTTGCGCCTTTCGAGAAGAGAAAAACAGGCCCAAGATGCAAATTAAAAGGGGGGCCCCTCCTGTATGAATAATAAAAGAGTAGCGGCTGTTGAATGTGAAGCATAATTGCACATAAAGTGTTGGACCTGCATACCTTTGCAATGCTCTGTCTGGTTTTCGGGGAGTAAATTAGAATCGAAAGGGGTCAGATCAAACAATTGGCCGGTACTAAATTCAATTTTATCAAAGATTGGGCGTGGGAGAGGTCAAAGCTTGCCATAATTCAATTTATGCACAAACTGATGAGCATCGAGAACAGACATCATCAATTAAATATCTCATTCATTGCACTTTCCCCCAGGGTGCATTCGATCAAAGCGTTTGCTTAATGCATTACACTAAATGTATGCCATCATTTCGTACATGTCACTCGTCTTTCAGGCTTTAACACGCTTATTCACTGCTTCCGTTGACAAGGAGGTTCTTGCGTACTTGTCTTTGTTCCTTGTCAAATTTTATTGAACCCGATTCAAACCCTGTTCGCTTGATCTCTTGTTCTTTGTTCTTCACCACCTTCATGGAAAAACCTAAACAATGATGGATCCAACTGGTCTTTATCGGCCATCATTGCAAAGATCAAACGCATCAACTGGGTCACTACCACTCGTTGATTCAACAAATGCACCAAACAACGGAAAGAGAAAACCTTCTATATCTACAGCAAAAATTGCCGCTTTAAACGCTACTGCAGCTTCTGTACAATCTTCACCAATGGCTTCGCCTGCTTTGCCACGGGGCAATGCTCTTCTATCTCCTCAACGATCGTATTTCGACCTTTCCAGTAGACCGTCGATCGATATGGCTCGCACAGAATCAGCAGATTCAACGCGATCACTTCGATCTAAATCAAGTAAGAAAGATTTGAAAGAGTTGGGTCGTTCAACTACGCCACTTTCAAGCTTTGGAAAAAGTAGTTCTTCCAGAAAGGCTTCTAATGCCGATTTGAAAGCGCAAGATGACGATGATGATTCAGGGTTGGATGAATCTTTTACCTGCTGTTATGGTAACGAATTTGACCGTCAACATCGTGCTGCTCTTGCAAAAGTAGCAAATATGCCAACAACAGAAGATAGTGAAGCCGCTCATCAGAGATGGTTAGATGCTACCTTCAGAAAGCTTTCGCAAAAGAGTGTTGCACGTCATTCACAACAAATGCAAGGTTACGGTCATCATCACAAAGGAAGAGCTCCTTCTCTTTCTGCAAGCAATATGCAAAGAGTTGGCAGCATCGATGAAGGATGTGAATCCGAACCAATGTCCCCAAATGCAGCCAAAACTCATTTCCTTGACTTCACGTCCATCATCAGCCCAATTCCATCAAGCAATCCAAATCCAAATGCAATGGCAAAGCAGCAATCATTATCACCTCCCGGCAATACTCTGCAAGTACCAAATGTAGGTTCACTCGGAAGTCACAATGCCAACGTAACTCCAAGGCCGTCGGATTTCCAAAGATTCCCACTTCCTCTTACGCCATCACCTGTCTTTCATGATGCTTTGGAACTTCAACCTGCTTCTCCTCGTCATGCAATGATGCCACCACCTGCACAGCCATTGTTGCGCAGCAGACGCAGTGAAGACTCTTTGACAATGCGTAAACGTATGCAAAGACAACCTTCCCTACCAGCAGCAGGACCAATCTCTCCAACTTATGGCGAGATGACTTTAGATGGTCATCCTGTACCCAGATTACCTGATTGGGCAAAATCAGAAAATCGCATGAACTCTTCTTCCAACGTTCGATCGCATAACGCTCAACATTCTATGGAAATGGCACGTACTGCAAGCCACAATGTGACAAGCAGTCAACAGGCCTTGCATAGGCCTATCGATATGAGTCGTGCCACCAGCCAGGATACAGGATCTTTGCAGTTGTCGCTCGGTACTCCTTTGATGTCTCATTTTGATCAATGGGAAGAGAGGGATAACAGGGCATTGTCGCCTGTGCAATCGGTCAACATGCCTGCTCGTAGTCAAAGTTCAATGGATCAAAGGCCAGTACGACCACATGTACAGCCTTTGAAGCTGACCAATGAGACTTCACATAGACGTAATATGATGAACAATTCGTCAACTTCTTCCGCTGCTTCCGTTTCGACGACCGGATCAAGTTCTTTCCATATCAACCGTGAATCCGTCAGTTCTGCAGCATCTGATTCGGATATCTCTTCCAGCATCTCTTCCGTTCCACAAACACCAGTTTCAAAATTTAACAATTTACCAAACAGTGGGCCGATCATCATGCACCGTGACGGTCATGTAAATTCGGTATATTACGACGCTGATCCAATCTCTGAACATAATATAATCAACAATGCAGGAACGGAAGATCAATTGGCAACCATTCGAGCTGTTGTAGGTGGGTGGGCAGAAGATAAGAGTAAATCTGCACCTCCAACTGCCCAGATCAAGACTCCACGCGCTCATGACGGACGTCGTTTTGGCAGCGTTCCACACGTTGCAAACATCTTTACTGCTTCTGAAGCTTTGTCAAATGTTTCGCAAACGCAAGGCAACAAATCAAGTCAAAGATCGCCTGACAGTAAAGCTGTCTTGCACGGTAAAGCAATTCATGGGAGGCCTAGAGCAAACACGACTTCTTCTATGACACCATCTTCGTCTAGTGATGTGGCAGCACCTGTTGCTCAAATTCATGTGAGAAACGGATCGGAATCTAAGCCAAGCAGGGAGCATGTTACAAGCATTGCTTTACCTACAAGCCCCGAAAGAGTGTCATCCTTATCACATGCACGCAAACATAGTGATGGCTCAAGACGTGCATCAGTGGCAAGCAACATCTCCAACAACTCCGCCTCCCACTCTGTCATCTCTGCAACATCTTCTTCCGTACGCAGCAGTGGAAGCAGTGGTAGTGGAGCATCTGCTTTGTTGTCCTACATGCGTAGCAATTCTTCCAAATCACAAACCAGCTTGCACGGTAGAAAGACATCAGAAACAGATGCAAACAAGACTGCTAAAACACCATCTTCCTCATCCGGAAGCACATTGCATGCTGGCAGTCCATCAAGTTCTTCTGATACCGCCACTTCTTCCCCTATCAAACGAGGAGCAATGTCTGCTGAAGAATTAGCTCATTCGATCGGAAGAAGGTTCGGTAGAGGAATTGCTGCTGCTTCGGCCGCCAATCGTGCTTGAAGGATTTTTCGTCTTCTTCTTTTAACGTTATTCTGTAGCATAGTCACCATAACATACACACACACGCACACTCTCTTTCTCTCTCCTTGTCGCATACAGCACAACCACACGGCACATTCATTCAAAATTCACACACTCACACACTCACTAAAATGTATCTTTATAGCACCATCATCACATTCATTCGTTCGTTCGTTCGCATGTTACTCATACCAACTACTGTATTTATTAATTGTAAACATTTCTTATCTAGCTATCGGAGAAATGTTCTGGTAAGATTGAGAGTTCGCCGTTAGGTTTTTTCGTCGGGGCAAGGCAAGAAGAATATCGCACTTTCAAGGGTTGGACGCCGAAGTACATGCTGTACAGCCTTGTGATATTCGTCATACCATTAGGACGTATAAGCATCTTTTCCATGGACAAAGATCCATCGTACACTGTATTTCTCTCTTCTTCTAAGTAGGAAAGGTCATAAAAAGCTTCTGAAAGTTCAAGCGAACATTCAGCTTTTGGTTGGATATATTTGGCTCATTTACAAAGCAGAAGCACTCTAAGCTGCTTCCAAAAGCGCCATCAGCTTTCTCAAAAATGCAATTTGCCACATCAATGACCGTACTTCTCTTTCTTTTTGCGCATGTTCAGTGTATTCCGGTAAAGGGAATTGACCTGAATAGACTTCCCAGGCCCGAATCACCACAAGAGCAGCCTGAAGAACGCATACCGACCAAAAAAGAACTTCCAGCGAATTTTATCATAAAGAAACGAAAGGATAAAAATGACCCAAACTCACCTGCGTACAAAGCTAGAATGCTTGCGAATATGACAGGACACCCAAGAAATTCAAAGGAATACAAGAAAGTATACGATTCACACTATTTCAAATTACGTAAAGAACAAGGTTCAAAATTCTACGAAGGCATGACGAAAGATCCTGAACTAAGTGCCAAAATGCATAAAGAAGGTCAAAGACGTTCTACAACCAGATTTAACAGGGCTTTACAAGAGCGAAAGAGGACCGGAAATATGACATCTGCCGATAGAAGATACTATGAAATGTCAAATAAAAGGGCAAGGGAACTTTATAAAAAGGATCCCCAAGCCTGTAAAGAGCGTGGTAGAAGATTTCGTCTGAAAGTGAAAGCTTTGAAAGAGCGGCTCAAGCCTGTAGAAAAAGAATCAAAACCGGTTGACGAAAGCCACGCAAACGAATAATATGTTACCCCCGAATACACCGCTTTTTGCATATTTCTAAGAGTTTCAATCATCTCGAATAGCAAAGTTGTAACAATTTACCTTTCTTTCTCTCTTTCATGTGACATACATTCGGTAGAAATGATGTATACGAACAGATTCTGCTCGATCTTCCTAATCTTCCTAAATTTGCAAACGATAGTTGCCGTCTTCGACCTGAATCGAACACCTTCTCCTGAACCTCCAGAAGAACAGACTCCGCAAGCTCCAGCCGCTCAGTCAAATCCGACAAGGAAGGATATTACAGAACTTAAAAGAAGCTCACGAGCACCAGGAATTCAAGCGAGTGCAATAGCAATAGCTTCAGGCTATCCCAAAGGCTCTAAAGAATACAAAAAAGTCTATTTTCATCATTACCACTCGATTAGAAGACAACAAAAAGAGCAATTTTTCGAAGGAAGAGTTGCAGATCCCAAATTGGCTTTAAAACAAGAAAAGCAACGTAAGAATGAAAGTATCGCAAAAGCAAATAAAGCAAGAGCAGAACGTAGGCGTGCTGGCACACTTACACCGGCTGACGAGTGGTATTACGAACGATGCGCAAAATGGCAAAGAGAAAAAAACAGGAAAAATCCCGAATACAAAAGAAAAAGGAATGCAGATGCACGGGAGAGGAAAAGAGCCAGATTGGCAGAACAAAAAGAAAAAGCTAACAAAGAAAAGCCAGCTGATGACAAATAAAGATTCATCATCTTGGTTTTTGACGAGATTTCGATCTGCAGTGGCGTAAATGTATAACAACAGCACAGCATCTCACGAATCGAGCCCCGAGTGCATTCTTGTGTTTTTGTATATGATGTAAGTAATCTTACAAAACCTTCACGAAAAACCTCCTCATCCTTCTTTTAATGAGACGATAGAAAATGCATATCTTGCATACTGTTGGTATCATACTACTTTTCTGGCGTCTGATGCCTGCAGACTACTTCAAGGCTTACGGGAAAGAGATTGATCTGAACAGAACACCATCTCCCGAGCCCAACGAAATGGTGGAACCAAACCCTCCCGCTACCTTACACACTCCCCAAAGATTAATAAAAGTTCCAAACTCGAAAAAGAAGAAGAAGAAACTACAGGGACCTAGAACTGAGGTTGGCAAACAAGCAATTGCAATTGCAAGGGCTTCAGGTCATGAAATAGGATCACAGGAGTACGAACAAATATACAAACATCATTATTATAAAATTCGTAAAAGTCTTGGTTCTAAGATCTATGATCCTAAAAAAGGAGACCCAGAGACACAGTTGAAAGCTTTTAAAGAGAAGATGGTAGAGAAGTCACGGACATATAGAAAACGAATTTACGAAAGAAAAGAAGCTGGACAAATGACAGAAGCCGATATACGTTATTTCGAAAAAAGTCGTGAAGGAGGTCTAAAAAGATATTGGCGTAATCCTGAATTGTCAAGAGAGAAAGCAAACGAGAGGCACAGAAAAGCATATCGAAATGATCCACAAAATGCAAGAGACAAGGCAGCCAAGAGACGCAAAATATCTAAGCCAAAGGATTCTCCGGCGCAATCTCAACCGACAAGTCCGAGTGCATGAGCCGTTGGAAAGAAAAGGTGGTGAGATCACTATGCTAGATATTCGTGGCTTTTAGTTCACAGCCATTGCATTCGCAGGGGGCGGATGGATAGAATATAAAACGCAATGCAAACTTTAGAATAAAGATATGACACTTTTGAAAACAATTTTTTGCTTCCGTTTATGTCTGTCTTCAAAATTTTTTGATTGCCGAACATGATGTGGTCAACAATTTTATTTACACTTATATTGTGCTTATCGTTCTGCGAGCTTGGCTTCACTGCGAAACGAGCAGATAGAGCAAAGAGTATCGATTTAAATCGATCACCATCGCCGGAGAACAGTCCGGATAATCGCAGTGCTCTATCTCAACGGCCAAATACACAGAGGACAGTGTTTAAGAGAAAAAGTAAATTTGATAAAACTTCTCCTGCTTATCAAGCAAGACAGATCTTAGACGGACTTGGCCATCAAAAGGGTTCGAAAGAGTATAATTCAATTTATCGCTGTACCGTGCGTAGAATACGTGATGCACAAAAGAAGGAATTGGCAAAAGTGTCAGAAATTGATAAAGCAGATTGGGAGGCGAGGAAGGAGAAAAGACGGCAATATTCAAGAGAACATAGAGCCAGAATTCAACAGAGAAAAGAACTTAATATATCCACTCCGGAAGATCTCAAGTTCTTCCAAAAAAATGAAATCCGACAAAAGAAAAGATATCTAAGCAACCCGCAAAAGTACAGGGATCGTGCTTTACAACAATATTATAAGAGGAAGGCCGCCAAAAAGGAAGCAGAAAAAAATGGTAAAGATCAAGAACCCGATCAAAATATACAAAGCTGATCACGGCATCACAATTGTTGAGATATATCTGTTCATTGAATGGATGTATAAATTGTACAATGTGATAATATAACAAGATGAAAATGCTGCTTAACGAGAAAATGTCATGCTCTTTCCACCTGCTTGTTCACGTCGATCGCGACCAACAGGTACGTTTGCATAACGTCCTTTATTGTTTGCCGGGGAATTGTTTGCGCTTTTGCCTTCACCTTTCTTCTTACTGGGTTTTTGCTGTCTGGATGTATTTGTCGGAGTGGCCGACTTTGCATCCAAGACGGAATTCGCTGTTGTATAATCGAATGGTTCCACATTTGATAAGGCATCTTCTTGTTGACGCTTGCGTTGTGCTTTCTCCTCTTTTGTCCACTTTCTCTTCTTCTGCTTCTTTTCCTCACCTTCAGAAGATGGGACAGATTGGGCTGGGGTATCATCTGATGGAACGTCATCAGCATTGCGAGCATTGTTGGATGAAGACGCTTTTCCAGAGCTCTTCTTGCCCTTCGTCTTGCGCACGTTACGCAAAACTCCATCATCCATTACGGTATCTGATACATCTTGTTCTGCAACCGCATCCGTCTTCTTGTTTTCAGATTCTGTATCTTGCTGCACCTTTGGCGGTTCTGCAACAGCCTCTGCAATTTTCTTTCCTCGCACCTCTGTGTCATCGTTCGACATCGTAGCACTTTGGTCACCTGTCAATAAGCTTCCCAAAGCCGATGTCAGATCCGATCGAATGCCTTGCAGCAGTTGTTGACTAGCGGCAACGGTTGATGCTGGTGCAAAAAGAGATTTTGCCATTTTTGTCGCAGCTGCGCCGACACCCGACTCATTCTGATTGGCATTCGTCTTGAAAAGCATTGATGCCAAAGAAGATGAGGATGGTGTGGGTGCACTCAGCGTATTTCTTGTCTCGTTGGTCGGCCAGAGTAGCATTTCCTTCAACCTTCCAACATCTGCATCACGGTGGACAACTTCTCCCATCTCTTCATCATCCAATGCATTCCCAGATGCAGCACTTTCCAATAGCTCCTTCTGCTTTGCAGCCTTGTCAGCTTGTGCTCTTTCAAAAGCGATAATTTCTGCAGAGATCAAATTCAACAGATCGGGAACACGTCTCTTGAAGCTTTGACCAACGATTGCCAGAACGCTTTCTGACTTTTGCGGAGCACGAGAAGCAAGGTTGAGTAGATTATGCGAACCTAAAATGAATTTCGGACTTTCATCTTCCAATCTCGCCACTTCATCTCTCCAATTGTGCAATGCCCTAAATAAACGCTCCGTTTGTGTCAATCCAGTGATACCTTCTCGATCCCAACGTGCATCCGTGTCCAAAGCTTCAATTCCACCTAATTGTCTCCACGAATTTCTCCATCCTTCCCTACTGTCATTCGAATCATTCCATTGTTCTTTGGCGTACGTCTTTTGAGCAGTCCTTTTGCTTAGCTCAAAGACCGTACGAATGCCAACGGATCCTTGTTGCTTTTCAATCTCGAATCGTAAGCAGTCATAAATGTGCACAAGTGTATGTGTATCACTTCGGGCGTAATACATCATCTCTTTTGGTAAAGGTCGAATACGCCAATCGGCTCGTTGGTATCGTTTATCTGCCACAAAATCGATATACCTGCTCAACAAGTATGCCAATCCATGTTGCGGGAACTGAAGCACATTTGTAGCATGATACGTATCGAATAAACCCACCAGATACAGTCCGAGATCTCTTTGAAGCCAGAGGACGTCGTGTTCTGCTCCATGCAAGATCTTCACTTTGGCTGGATCTGCAAATGCATCATTCAGTTTGGTAGAGATTTGACGGATGACCGGACTTAGGGCATCGATAATGAAATCCTTCCATCTAGTCGAAATTTGCACCAAACAAACCAAACCTTGATAGGAGCGATATTGGTGATGTTCCACATCTACTGCAATCTCTTTGACCCTTTCTTCCATCAAGTGATCATAGAGGTAATCGAACGATTTCTGGTCGTTGACCCAAATGAACGGTATCGGACCTGCTTCCGGCTCATCTTTTATCAGTGGTGGCGGCGCGACAAGATTCTCTAATGTAGGCACTTGCAGCGCATGCGATGGAGGTGCAAAGCTGTTGATTTCCAGGTAGTATGGGTTAAATCGAGGATCTCCTTCAGCACAATACATCCCTTGTCGTATTCCTGCAGATCTGGCTGCCTCTTCCTCTCCTTCCAATGATGGTGCTCTCCATGTCAAAGGTACTTGTGCATGTGGTTTTTGTGTCAATGAATGCTTCCAGATCGTACTTCGGGAATTGTCTGGCTTTACGCTGAACTTTGTTTGAGGTAGCGGTTTGATAGGCGCATTCAGGATATGAGAAGGTAGTGGACCCAGCACGGGTATTGTTGAATCAGGGTTTGCTGATGTAGAATCTTGTGCTTTGCCATTACGAAGGGAAGAAGAAGCTCTCTTTGAGTTTTGTTGAATCGGAATCTTGCCCTGATACTCGTCCAGTCGCATATCTGTTCTCTCCAGTAGTGTATCGATTGTATCACCCAGATTTCGTTCGAATGCATTTGCATCCACAAGGTCATCAATGTTCACCTTCATTCCATCTTCTTGGGGCCCAGCATATGCAGTATCGATGCATGACAGCAAAGACTGAATTGTTGATACGAGTTCATTCTTGGTTTCATTCAGATCTTTAGTCAATTGCTTGTCCAATGATCGATGAAAGGAAAGGTCGGATGGATTGGGTATTTGAGCAGCTGCTTGTGTTAGAGGATGAACACGTCCTTGAAGATGTTGCAAATATGACAATGTTGAAGTCGATGGATCTGGAGGGGATGTCATGACCACTTTTTTGTTTGTCAAAATTGTCAAATAGGATGGTAGCTTACAAAGTAAAATCAAAATTCTTAAATTTTTCACTTCCTAATTCCGAAAACAAAGAGACTGCAGGATTTAGCGCCAATATTGAATACGCGTATATTAATTGCCATTACAAATAACAAGAGACGATCAATGTAAAAAAAGACTTGCTATGGCAGGGTCATCTATGGATTCCTGCTCGTCAAGATTGGGATACTTCTGAAGATTGGTTGTTGTTTCTTGCAAATCGTTATCCTCATCATCTTGCATACGTTCTCCGATGCGGAAATTCATACTCCCGTTTACGCCTTCTTCGTAATGTCCATTCATGCCTTCTTCCACATGGCCATTCACACCTTCTTCAAAATGGCTATTCAAATCTTCTTCCGAATGGCCATTCAAATCTTCTTCAAAATCGTCATTCATATCTTCTTCATAATGGCCATTCATATCTTCTTCCACACTCTCTTCCATGCCTTCATTCACACGCTCTTCGATACCTTCTCCTACATCTTCTTCTGCACCTTCCTCCGTACCGTCTCCCGTATATTCATTGATACCCTCTTCCGTACCTTCTCCCATATCCTCTTCAACATCATGGAAGTCCACGTCGCTTCGGGTTGCGCTTCTTTTTAATTCTACCCTAGCTTTCTTCGGAGATGGCGTTCGGAAAAGTTTTTCTTCAGATTTGGCTTCTGTTCTATCCAAAGGCATTCCGGTCTTTTCTGAATACCGATGAGAGTAATCCAATCGTGGCAAGACTCGTAGACCCTTTGCCGGGCAACGAATTTGCGGAGTGCCATTCTGAGTGTAAATTCTTCCGTTTGATCGATCGTAGAGAGACTGACTACTTGTCTGTTCTTGGGATGCTCCATCTGTCGTCCCTTCATTACGGTGCAGGATATGTTCGAATTCCGTCACATCTGCACCAATGAGCTTTTGTGCGTTGATCAGGTGTATGAGCTCATTTCGGACTGCACGTATTACTCTCCGAGAGATTTTTGGATCTTCTTCATCATAGGAAATTTGAAGATTTGAGCCGACGTGATCTCTTTGATTCAACTTTTCGACTTTGAGGCAAAGCACAACATCTTCCAGGTCTTCTTCTTCTCTAGGATGTTTCTGTGAGGTCATAACAGGGAGAAAATTCGAACATAAATCGTGTTGGTGAAAGTATGATAAAGATGAAGGTGTTCTTCTGGATAATTTTGGTGGCCGATTGGTTTGTAGAGATAAATTACTTTTTCGGGGCAACTCTGGGAAGGCAAGAATTGACTCTCCGTCATTCACGGAGAGATCATTCATGCATTAACACACAATCAAAGGGCGGTACACCGCTATTGGTTTAAGGAATTCTGTATTCGAATAAAGCGTTCGGACCAATACAAACAAGAGAAGATTTGTATTGATTGCGGCGAATTGAAGTACCATTATTTATCGGGACATGTCTTCAACAAGTGCATTTAATTTTAAAGCTCAGAAAACAAAGCTTAATTGTTTGCATACAAGGCGTGCGTGTGTGTGTACGCCTGTCTGCGCCGACGCTGTGTGCTTGCTGTGTGCTGTTCAGCGCCCAAGACTCCACCTTTTCAGCCGCCTTGACCCCAGCTTTTACAATTAACACTCAACCGCCATCCCGTCCCTACCACAAGTACTGCTCATGACCAGCATACAATCATGGACGGCTGGCAACCATTAGCACCAACAAAACGTGCTTCTGGCATGTATGCACGTGCAAATGCAGGTCCATCATCATCATCAAAAGGGCCAAGTCAATTTAACGGTTTACGATCTTATGATTCAACCACAACTTCAACAGGACAATCACTAAGAGAAGAAAGGCGAGCGGCAATCTTACAAGGACCTTCTGATCCTTTTCCGCCTGTCGGTCCATTTCCAAGATCTGTTGCCATTCGGATCTTAAGCTTCTTATCACTCTCAGAACAAAAGAATTGCGCCTTAGCAGGTCGGGCTTTGGCAAGAGCAGTTGCAGATGAAAGCAATTGGAGTCGCAGGCTGGACGCATTAGATTGGTGCAGGGTAGATGGTCTCTCTATACAATTTGAAAAGGGAAATGATACCATACATGAGGAACGCGAGATCGGTAGAAGGAAGAAAGGCAAGCGGAAAGAAGAAGATGCAGTGAATGAAACGGATAAAGGCGGGAAGCAGAACAATACAATTGATACAAATTCAATAGACACCAGCAGCGTTTCTTTTGCTGATAGTCAAGATGATGATGATTTCGGGGATTTTGCTGGACCCAACACGAACAAGGATGGCTTTGGAGATTTCAATTTTGATAAATTGCAGATTGCAGGTGGATCACTGGCCAGCGGGATGGCTAGTGTAGCAATGGGCGGGGGCAGACCACATGCCTTTTCCTCTTCTGGAAATCCTTCCTTCAAGCCTCTTTCACCCACGAAGCCAAACAAAGGCAATCAATCTCTCGCTACCCCTCAGAATGCGGGGTCCATCTTCTCGTACTCAAGTGAGACTACGCTACCCCTGAGCTCAGCTTCGCCCTCCTTTCAAAAGTTGAGGGCATATGCCAAAGCATTAAGGCCGTTTATCAAATCCCTGGCTGACCTCTCGGGCCCGCCTACAAATTCCCTTATCTTTACATGCGATCTTGGTCTGACGGCTCAGACTGCATTGTTGTCCAATTTGTTACGTTACATTTCTACCAGTGTTGGAGGAGGAAGCTCGCAAACCAGCAAAAGAAAGAGTATCTCATTAGCTGGATATGATGAGCAATTCAGTATTACCACACGAGGGCAAGAAGCGGCACATAGACTCTTGCAGAACCTACTCTCTTCATTTGAGGGTACGCTTGCCCGTCGCATTGATGCAATCAGGGCTTCTTCGCATGGTGCAGATACTTCAAGGGCTGTGAGAAGGGCAGAAGATGATATGCTATCTCATGCGAGTGGAGTATGGGAACTTGGAAATGCACGTTTAGCATTAGCATTGAGCGATGGAGAAGATTTTGAAGCACAGCTGGAGGACCAATTCGGACGAATGCAAGCTGCTAAAGTATTCTTGGACAAATGCGAGATTTTGACTGATCCTGTCATCAAGCACGATCCGTTGGCCAATGTCACCACGCAACAAGGTGTTGCATCTCTAGACTTCACCCCTATGGACAATTTTATTAGCGACATTATCGAGATTGTAAAGAAGGATGGGGAGATTATCGCTAGGGTGTTTCCACCTGAACAGGATGTCTTGCTGGCCTATGCAGATCGTGTTGCTCAAGATGTGATCGGAAAGTATGTGCGTGCTTTGTTGCAGCACACTCAAGAAATTTCTTCTCATCTTTATCTTCGAAGTTGTGCAGCTACATTTGCACAAGCATGGAAGTTGGTCGACGTTTTACTCGCAATCGAGCCACGCGATGACACGATTGTGACGCAAGCCAGATGTGAGGATGTTGTCTTTCATCTGTGGGAGGAGAATATGGAGGACTATCTTTCGATCGAGAATCAATGGGTCCGTCAGGAAATGCAAGCTGTGACAGATAAATGGGACAATGATGTCAAAAACGAACAAGCAACTTCGCGTGTGGATGCCGCTTTCATTGGTTCCCAGAATCCAGCTGCTGTCAAAAGGTCAGTTTTGACGGGTTTCAAAGATGTTCTGCTCTTACCCGTCACTGTTGTTCCTAGAACAGCGGGCATCGTTGGTGGAGCAGTGATTCGTACAGCTGGAACGGGATTATCCACTTTGAATCCTTTACGTTGGCAATCAGGAGGTGCTTCCTCTGGTCAAAAGTCCAGTCAGTTAAAGGCTGATTTGGCCAAGCAGAATGGCACAGGGAACGTATCTACTGTCTCCCTTCCGCGTACGCCGAATGAAGCAAACGAGAAAGGGTATATGGACTTCAGCAATGGTACCATTGGCACGATGGACTCGGATAGTGAAGATGAAGAAGATGCATACGGTAATGGGATTGGAGATGACATGAATGACATTGATGAGTGGAATCAAGAAGTTGCAGTTTGGAGCGCTGTTGCCTCTACACGACCGAACGAGAAAAAAGAGAAAAGGAATAAAGACAAGGTGAAACGCTTGAATCCCACTCCAAGAAATTTCACTTCTCCTCCCGCTTCTGTCGCTACGCCTTCGTCACTTGTCCATAATACAACCGGTAGTGTTCGATCTGCCAGTACTCCAAAGACGAGCACGCCAGTAACGCCAACGACACCAAATACGCTCACGGAGATGCAACTGTTGCTCAGTTTGGACACGGCATTACAAGTCATCCACGTGAATCGTGATTGCCTTAAGAGGATCGAAACATTCAAAAAGTATCCTCATCCGTATGGTGAAAAGGTATTGGAGGCTATTGAAGAAGTTTCCCTCTTACTTTTCCGCGCATTAGGTGAAGGTCACATTGCTTCTGGGTTTGAGAAAGCAATCAAACAAATCCAAGATTGGCGACCGGAAGAACATGCAGCGGTAAAGACGAATGGGAGCGAAAAAGGTGGAGAGCAACAACAAGTTGAGCCGTTAGTGCACTTTTTCGAATTGGTTCATGTTGGTGATACGATTGCTCAAATGGTACAAGTGTACTTTGATCAAGAAATGTCAAGACATATTGACAAAAATGATTTCTTGAATGCGGTCGTCAAAGGAAGGAAAAAGTTTGAAGGAAATTTGGATGAAGCTGTGGCGAGAGGATTGAATGCAGGCGTGGATCTCTTGTTAGGTCAAGCAGAACATATCATCACTTCTCTTCAACAGCCTAAAGATTACAACCCACCTGCCGGACATTTGCCAGATCTGACTCCTACACGAGCCTGTCGTGAGACTGTTGAATGCTTGAAAGTTCATTGTCGCATGTTGGTAGGCGCGGCCGATAAGAACGTCTTAGAGGTATTCTATCAAGAAGTCGGAATTCGCTTGCATACGATTATTTGCAAACATTTGAAATCACAATTGATTTCGCTAGATGGTGGCTTTAGAGTGATTGCAGATTTGAACGAATATCATGCTTTCGTCGTCACACTTCGACAACCTCAACTGACGGCCGATTTCGATTCGTTAAAGATGTTGGGTAATCTGTACATCATTGATAATCCGAAAGAATTAGCCAAATTGGCACGAGATGCAAACATGTTCGGCGGAAGTCTAAGCCCAGAAGATCTTTACGAATTCTTGCAAGCACGAGCGGATTTTCGATCGATCGAAAAAGCAATTGATAAAGAAATGTACGGATTCAAAGTTTCAGAAGATTGCTGTATCTGTTGAAATTTGGATAAAGAGAATGTCATGAAATTCATTTCATAGAAAAATGCAAATGTATAAATAGTAAACAAATTTTGTAAATCATAAAACATAAAACCATCGCCCAAAAGCCCAATTTCTCGTTCTAAAATTTACCAATTCCATCTCCTGGCCAATCGATCCAGTCGACAGCGATTGCAATGCTAACAAGTGATAATGCGATTACGACTCCTGTGCTTGCCCACATCCATATCCGCTCCTTTTTGGTGGTAGATTCGAATGGCAGCTTCACTTCTCCCATACCCATGTGCCCATACTCGTCATCTTCATCATCATAAGGATCGTAGTCTGCTGCCTCCAAATCTAGGTCATCGTATGTGCTACTGTTGTCATATTGCCGATTATGATTCGAATAATTGCCATTCTGACGTGGTGAAGCGGCCGATCGGGAACCCGTCTGTCTTTCCTGACTGAGTCCAGACAATCGAATCTCGTCCTCTTCATCATCTGACGAATGTCCGATATCAAATTGTGATTCATCTTGATGCATAGCAAACTTTGACGTCGTCGTCACTGATTTCGCATTAGGCGTAGAACGATCACTTAGCCCAGTCAAAAGAACATCTTCACTTGCACCTTCACCATCTTCCAAAATTCGTGTTCCGTCCGAATGCAAGCCTAACAAACTCAATTGATGTGCCCTACTTCTACGTGGAGTATGTACACTTAGTTGAATTGATGATCTCCCTGGTTGTGAATCCACAGTCGTTGTGGCAGAATCTGATCGTGCTCGATTGGAACGTAAGGTATATGCGGAATCAACTGTTTCAGGCCCTTCACCACCTCGGGTTGAGGTTGGACTGGTTGCGGGAATAAAGACGGAATCGTTCGAAAGTGGAACTGGACTTGTCAAGCTTTCGTTGGCCATCTTGAATAGATTGTATAGCAGTGATTCGTGCTATCGCCTTCCCTACCTTGAAACTTCCAGAACAGTATTGTCAATTATGCCGACGCTATATCATCCCATCTGTACCACCACCGATTCAAGCAAGAGAAGGCCTTCCTGGACCAAGACAAGGTAGTCTAGAAGATGTTTGATGTAAATTTTGTTGTTCAGAACATTTGATATGTTTGTTGTATGTCACGTTGACGGGGATCATTGATGATTTACCTATCCAGCAAGCGGAGGTGATATGAAAAAAGTGATTGTTTCACCAACAAACACATCAGAATGTTGCTCAAAATATTACCGCGTGCCTCGCATGTCCTTCGTTTCATACATCCACGCTCAAGCCGCGGGCCAAACGTGCGTGCCCTGTGCGCCGCCCGGCCCAGCGCTTACCCGCGCTATAGACCGCGTTAAATAAAGTGTTGCATTTCTTGAAAACCTTTCCGGATTTTAGCTTTGAAAAAAAAAAATATAAGATTGAATTACCTAGCGGAGACAAATTCCGTGGACGTAGTAAGCCTTGACTGAATGTGATTCTTTTTCTCTCGGTTGACGGTCCCGGATCGGAAAGACGGAATGTTTATCAAGTCACTGTGTTTTTGACATTTTTTGACGGCTGTTTTTAAAACAAAGTGCTTACTTCTCAGGAGATAGGGTCGATCTATAATAAAAAAGGGTGTTATTTTGTCTTGGCATGCTTGTCTACCTACCATGATATAAAACCATAATCGACATGATCTCATTAAGATAGCCAGACATCAATAAAGAAGTTATGGCAACAATGTCGATGGTATTATCGCATTTAAATGCATCGCTAGATGCTTCGTCTTATATCATAGCAATGGGCATTGTGGATATACTCACATTTGGAGCACCCGTTCAGCCAGAAAGGGAGAACAAGGTACAACCACGCGGCAAAGCAAGCAATGAACACGACTTTAACCGACAAAAGCCAGGACGATACTTTGCACCTCCAAAGCAACCAAGAAGGGCTGCTAGTGATCCAGGCTGGACAGCTGAAGAAAGTGTGAGATCATCTAGTCTATTCAATCGACCTGTCCCCGTTCGTGCGTGTAGCAGTCTTGATTCGGAATTGAAAACAAGTCCATCATCTGCTTTCACGTTTTGGAAGCAACAGAGGAGAGTAGGATCGCACGAGGTCCAATCAGATCATACAAGACGAAAGGTGAGCGTATCCCATTCAAGCTCCGATAGTGGCTTACATCATTATCAAAAGAAAATCCTTTCTCAACAAATGCAAAGAACGATGCGAATCCAACCTTACGTCAGAGCAACGATCATAATTTCATTATTGGCTTCTTGGTTCTTTTTCAGTATGTTTCTCACTCTTGTTATCAAACAAGGACCAAAAAAGGCAACCTTTACTACCGCACATATGATCTTTGGACCGGCACTATATTCCGGCAGATTGGCAAGCTCCTATGCTAAAAATGGCTTGCGTGCCATCTCCAATTATACCTATACTAAGCTTTCCTCTATCACTCCTCCTGCTTCATGAATGCTGTATTCCAACCTGTATCTTATTTGTATTATAGTATTCCACCTTTTATTCTTGCTAATGAATGACAATGATGAGAGTTTTGAGCATACCAATCACTTTAGAACAAGATTATAGCCTAGGGGCCGTGCGCGTAACGTGTTGGCATACGGGAGACGCTGCTGTACTGCCGGAAACGGGCTTCCATTGTTTCCACCTCCTCCTCCATCAAATTCATCCTCACGATCTTCATCTTCTGATAAAACCTCTCCTCTTTTCTCGGTACGTCATGTCGACAATTGCGCATTCATTGCGTGATTATCGTGAACCGACAAAAGTACAACAAGCAGTTTTTTCGTTCGGTTTACCATCAGAAGAAATACCGCAAGATGAAATACCTTCAGTTTTGTCAATCTCAAATCCACCAAGCGGAGGTGCATCAGAAGCAGTCGATCAAGCCGAACAAGAAGATCAAGTGTATGCCGGAAAGTTGATCTTATCGCATTCATTCTTATGTTTTATCAGCTTGGACAGGAGAAGTTGCAAGATGACGCTGCCTTTGTATTGTATCAGAAGAGTGGAACGATTGAATACGTCCAGAAGTGGTGTGTTTGCATTGGCAATCGTCGTATGGCATGGAATGCGAGTCATCCTACAATTGAACGCTTTGAGACCACAATGTGAATCTTTCTGTGCTCTCTTGCGTGACAATTTACGTGGACAATTATCTCAAATGAAAACACTGAAAGCCTTTGTAGCAGGATGCTACAGCGAAGTACTCCTACAAGAAGCCATAAATGACAAAACGGCAGGAAATTCAACAGGAAAGGATGCAAGCGAAAAGCAGGGCGAAGCATCAACACCCGGAGAGAAAGATCAAGAAGATCTAATTGATGCCTTACCTCCACAGCCTGATTACCATGCCGGATTAGGAGCAAGATTCAAATATCCCGGTGATCCTCGTAAGCTACGGGAAAAGTCAAAAATGAAACTATGGAAAGATTATCTCAGAGTGCATGGAAGAAATCTGACACTTGTACGGTATCCACAATTTCTACGACTCGTCCAAGTTGGTTTGCCCAATCGGCTGCGTGGTGAGATATGGGAGCTCACGTCGGGTAGCATGTACATGCGTTTTGCCAACCAAGGCGTATACGAAAGCATCCTGAAAGCAAACGAAGGAAAAGTCAGCACAAGTACAGAGGAAATCGAGAAAGATCTCAATAGAAGTTTACCAGAGTACGCCGGATATCAGACACAGGAAGGTATTGCTACACTTCGGCGTGTTTTGACAGCATACAGTTGGAAGAACCCAGAGTTGGGATATTGTCAAGCGATGAACATTGTGGTTGCAGCTATTCTGATATACATGTCGGAAGAGCAATGTTTCTGGCTCTTAGATATGCTGTGTGATCGATTGGTACCTGGTTACTACACGCAGTCGATGTCTGGCACGATTCTAGATCAAAAGGTGTTCGAGCATTTGGTGCAAAGGTCACTTCCGATGATCCACGACCACTTCGTCGAAACAGATATCCAATTATCTGTGGCTTCGCTGCCGTGGTTCCTCTCGCTGTATATCAACTCCATGCCAATGGTCTTTGCTTTCCGGATTGTGGACTGCTTCATGGCCATGGGACCGAAAGTGCTGTTCCAAGTTGGGTTGGCAATTCTCAAGATCAACGGAGAAGAGCTGTTATCTGGCACTATAACAGATGATGGAGCGTTTATCAATATGATCAAGAAGTACTTTGCTACCCTTGGTGATTCGGCACATCCTAATAGCAGCAATCCACGTCATCGACAGATCACAAACTTCCAAGAATTGCTTGTGGTTGCTTTCCGTGAATTTGGTGTGGTAACAGACGATACGATTGCAAGTGAGCGTAGACGATTTAGACAAGAAATTGTAGAAGAGATTGAGCTATTTGCCAAGCGGAGTGCCGTGAGGAATTTGAAGACTTTGGGAAGATTTACAAAGGAGCAGGTTGGACTCATTTATGATCAGATGGTGGAAGCCATCTATCGTACCCGACATGCGCCATCTTCTCTAGTCGAAAGAGATGGAACGGCAATCGATGGACATGGAAAGGCACCTGCTTCACCTGCCGTGATCGCAGGAGGAGCACAAGATTATAAAGAGATGCGAATCGATATGCCAACATTCACCTACTTTTTAGCAGAAATTGCAACGTGGGCGCGAGATGAATTCACAATCTCGAACGGGTTCACGGAACGATTCGAAAGAAAGATTCCAGAAAATTCGGATATGTCCAGACGACTATTCCACTTTTGGGATCGTGAACAGAGAGGTTCTTTGAGCTTGCAAGATATCGTATCTGGATTGGATACCATCATCTTCTCACGAGGTGAGCCGGATTCTGCGATCGAATGGTTCTTCAAATTGCATTCACGTGGGAAGGACGCATTGACAAAGGATGAAGTTCTGCGATTGAGCGAATCGCTCTTGTTCATGTTCCGTAACGAAAATAGCGATGGTCATTTGGGAGCTGTCAGTCAGCTTATCACATCTTCTTTCGGTGGTTCAGGATCCGTATAGAAATTGTCAGGACTTTGGTTTTCAGCACGTTCATCTTACACTTTTGTACTACACACACATATCATTGAATCGAATTCACTACAGTTATTGCGAGAAGAAAATTAGGAGATTTATTCGCTCAGCTCATGGTCTTATCATAGTGATGGACGCAGATAGGTAATTCATTGATCATGCGGAAAGAGAGATTATGAAAATGTGGTAAAGTATATAGCCTTTCAAGTCTAAGGGCAGAATGTGATTGTATAATCATGGCCACCGGAGCAAGTCCAAAGAGCTGTACCGGAAGATTCATCGTAAGCATAAGCGTAAGCGTCTTTGCATTGCTTGAAGTAGCTGTAGTATTCAACGCCACTTGAAGGACACTTGGCAGGTGTGTCATCAGCACCTGAGCAGCAATTGTTATCACCGCCCAAAGCCTTGCAAGCTGACAAGCAACCGACAATGTTTCCACTTGCGTCCTTGGTTTGCAAAGGAGCAGGGCAATTTGGATTCAAGTTGATCGGACAACTTGCTGTATGACAACCGTTTGCAGTGATTGCCATTGGAATATTTGCACCATCAACAAGTGAAACGTCATAATTATCTTGACCTTGTTGAGAAAGTGTAAATTCGGCCAAAGTTGCAGGTGGAATGCCTGGTTGAGTGCAGTGTAAACCACCGATACAGCTACCCGTTGCACAAGATGAAACGTCTGGTTTGCTAAAATCACATTCGGATCGACCCCAAATACGGGATGCCTGCCAGTTGTCTGGAACACCAAAGCTGGATGATTGACCTGCGTCTAATTGCCATCCACCTTGAGAGGCAATACCACTTGGTGTACCTTGGGCTGTGTTACCGGTGTACACTGCTGGCCAAATGGTGTAGGAACACTTGTTTGTCACCGTGAACAAACGTGCATCAACTTGCAAAGATGCAATTGCGGCCAAAGCCAAAGCCATCATAGGAGTAGACTTGAACATTTTGTAATGAGAAAGAGTATTAATTGTGGGAAAGTGGATTTGTTTAATGATGGGATATGGGAATGAATTGAATTGCAAAATGGCCTCTATTTATGTCTTTCGAATGTTGCAACAAGGCGAATCAAGAATTGTCTTGGAAGACTGAGTAGACAAAAGGCCTTGGCCCTATCTACCAAACATGTGCAGCATTTGCATGAAAGCTTGCTGGAATTCCGCGTACGTTTTGCTGCTGTGATGGCGTAAAGACGTACGGCTGCGCTAACATTTCAAGTAGCACATGGTCAAGCCGCCAATGCATGACAACAACGTACATAACCATTAATCTTCTTGCCATGTCCCCCTTTTTGGGTTAGGGTGTGCCTGAACTCTGTGATTTTGTTGGGATGCGGACCCCTTCGAAGTAGCTTTTCGTTTTTTGTTTGTCTTTAGTGTGTTAATGTTAGTGAGGTACATACATGACGAAGTGTGAGACTGCCATTTGTTCGATGGCATTGCGACTGTACATCAGTGATTGCAGCGGAACCGTTCAAAAGAGAGATTAATGAATTAACAAAAGAGCAGTGCCTAATCTGTACGCTAAGACCAACTAAGATCCGTCATACATAAAGATGCAGAAAGACAAAGGTAATTAAAAGCCTAAACGCCGGCATAAAAGGATCAAAGTGTTTTCTCACCGTCATGTGTGGCTACTATTGCATTTCCGATGTAAAGTTCATCCTCCTTATTTCCGCGGCTTGCAGCGGAATATGTTTTCCTAGTCTGATTTGAAGTTTGATTGATGAATTGCATGCGTCTATGCGGGGTAAATGATGATCGAATACTTGACGTACAGCAAAAGACAACATGGCATCAATCATATGGAACCTTCTATTCTCGCCGTTTTCGCCGAGATAGCAATTGATGGTAGCGCAGAAAAGAAAAGGAACAAAGACGCTAAATTGCGCAGGGGATGCTCTCCGCTAAAATGATCTTTTAGGCTAAACTCGTTAATGCTGCTGCTGCGTACATGCATTGATTAGCTGATTGTACAATTTCAAAATCATAAATCTAACTTCAGGTACTCACACTTGGTGCAAACGCTAATTTCTCTCAAGACCACGTTGTTTGTTTTGATTAAGTTCAAAGCTTCCTTTTGTGGGGTTGAGACGTTCTAGCGGAATTGGATTGGAGATTAAGCTACAGTAGTGTACATTCGGATGATCGAAGCGGCGGTACGGATATGCTACAGGATGTGTATATTACAGGATGGAACGGAAAAAAGGCCGAAAACACCATTACAAGAGAATGTACCAAGAAAGTGAGGACACAAACCGATTTGAAGACGATGGAAGAATTGATCATACGTTGTGGAGTTGAACTGAGATCGACTGGGAAGACTTTGAAACGGGGAGAATCTTTTGATGCATCTTGACAATATGGCTGTCTAGATTGAAGGGCTTTCATCTTTGACTTTACGTCGTTTAGGGATTACTACTGCACAAATAGTCTCGGCAAGTCGCTTGAATCTATTTTCTGTCGTACTTTTTCCTTCCTTTTCTTCGTCGTTCTGCTCTAGATCACTTTTGCGCTTGGCATCGCTTCTACGCATGAGCTCTTTAAATACCGATTCCTGGATTTCATAGAGTTGAGCGAAGCTGTAGCATCTGAATTGATCTTTCTTCTCTTCAATACGAGGATTCTGTAGGAAGGGCGAAAGTGAGCAGCCGATCAGTATGGTTGCTTTACACAGGTACATTATGCCATATCTCACCTGAGTATAAGCTGTCATGTTGGCCACTTCACCAAAATGGAAAGACGGGACTGCATTCAGTCCGATGATAGGATCGGCAAAAGGCATACACTTGCGTAGACAGTGATTCAACCTACATCATGAGAAAGAGAGAGGTGAGCAAAGAAGCTTGACAGAATTCTTTTCGTTATCACATACCAATCCTTTGTTTGACAAGCCCAAAACATAGCAATGAAAACTGCTTCTGCTGTTTTTAAAAAGCATTCTACCGCACTCTCTTTACAGTCGGATCTAACTCTTGCTCTTTCTAAATCGCGCATGAATGGATCTTTCTCGATCTTGTGTGGAGTTGTTTGCATGAGGCCAATATAGTGAAAGAAGTTCTTGTTCAAATTCAGACCTGCGATGTCCTGTAGCAATTGCAACTTTGTCAGAAGTGCTGAACTTTTCACCTCCCTTGTATGCGATGTATGACGTCTGAATGGTGAAGAATGGAAATTGTTCGTTAAGTTATTCGATATTGGTAAGATTCAGCACTTACGCAGTAAAACTTTTTGTCGTAAGTCCAACATATAAACCATCGACCAAATTTGTGTTTTTGCTATAGCCGAAATGGGCCAACGTTTCCTCTTGCCAATTGACTCCGATCAAGTAAATGCCACAGTATGTACTGTCGCTTACGCTCGGATAGGTCTCAAGGAATTCATCCCAATTGTATCCTCTACCATCAATAAGTCGTAAAAGATCTTTCAGCATTTCCTTTTTAGAAAGTGATAAGATCTTATCGATTATCTCTTCATCAGTCTTTGAAAGGAAGACATGGCGAAAAGCACCACCAGTGCGGTCAGCTCTTTCCATAAGATCAAGACGTATTTGCTTGATAACATCTAGCATCAATCTTTGAAAGAAAATGTGAGCATATGCGCCCTTACATCTTACACTCCATCAATACTTACTGTCGAATGCATTCAGGAGGGACTGCACCGATGACTCTTGGTTTGATTTTTTTGAAGCCAGTCAATTGAAAACCATACTTTCTCGGCCATACTTGACGTCTGCAAGGTATGAATGATGGTCAGCCAAACAAAGAGCCACTAAAGCGTGTCAGTTCTGATACCCACAATTCATCATTGGTCTTTGGCTGTTTTATATCAGCATGCTCCTTAGGCCCTGTTGCAGGAGCTGTATCGAGCACTGTCACAACAGAACGGTTTAATGCGTCCTCGATAGCTTGGATTACCATCGTTAAACACGTTACTTGGGAGATTGGTATGAGGTAATGGTAGAAACGATGAAAGTGTGTGGCAAATCTAACAATGTATGCGCTTCGCTCACTTTACAGCATAAGCAGCTCTGTACTATTGATTGAATCAAGCCCTCACGGTGCAGCTGGTCCAAATTTCCGCGAACTCAGTATTCTCTTCCTCTAAGAAATATACAACTTTGTATCTGAGATGGCCTGTGCTTCAAACGAATTTGTATTCAGACGAATACACTTCTCACCACAAGCCACCTTCACAGTCTTCAAATAAATGCTAGAGATCGTAACAATGCCTTACCGCTGCAGGCATTGTGGTGGCAAGTTGCCAAATACATTGGTTCAGCTCAGCATGACTGACTTTTCTAAAGACCTCACGGAACGGCTTGATCCGAAAACCACTTTAATGTTTTGTTACATTTCAAATTACCAGCATGAACAGTAATACACATTTTGTATTTACCCTGATCAGTGCACTGCAACTATATCACACTGTTGATGCTTGGCCGCCTTTTCATATTTCAACTGAATGCTATGTATCGTAATGAATTGATTACAGCTACGAATAATGTACAAGTGTATTGTCTGGAAGATAAGAGTAGACAGGTGCTAAGACTAGGTGGCTGAGAGTGCGCGCTGGAGGATTGAATTAGTGGTGCATATATGCTGGGGTATTACTGTGTTTGTATTGCTATTGAGCAGTTTTAGGCTCCATTAAGAGAAATCTCTTCCCATCTGCTATCTTGTCGGGTATTCAGATGAACCTCATCCAATCCGTCAACATCTTTTGGCCAAATGTTAACGTTGCTTGGTGTGAGATTTGTAATATTGTATCGACATCCTTCTTTGAAATCCATTTCTTCCATCTTATCTGCATCCCAAATGCGAATCAAGCATTCACGTTTGCATCCGATCAATTTACTCTGTTGCAAAGACGACAAAGATTGTTCTTCTTTGACCGATGGATCTTTTGACTTTTGCTCGGCAATGAAACGTTTTGTATCGATCAATCGAATCGTACGGAATGCACGTCGTTGTCGAGGCGGACAAAGATCAGCCAATCGTCTTTCCATCTCAGCCTGATTGGCGCTCATTAAAATGTCCAAACGTGTTTGAGCCACACGAAGCAACGCGGGCACCATGCCAACATTTTTAACGTAGTCAGATGGATTGTCACTGGCCAGCATTGCGTCCAAAAAGCTTTCACAGCTGCTTGAAGCCAGACCATCGATCACAACATTTTCATCTAGGTCCTGACATTTCTCCGAGAGCATCTCCGTGACAATGATGAGCTTCTCAGACTGGGACTGCAATGTCTTGCGAATTTCATCTACAGTTGATATTCTCTTGTTGTTCCATTCAGATTGCTTCTCCTCTTCCTCTTTCTCATTCCAAGTTTCTGGTCGATTAAACTCTTTGGGTTGATCTTGCTGCTGAGAGGAATCGCCGTTACCGTTAAGCTCTGCTTCAGCTGCTGTCCATGTTGAGCTCATAAATCCTTTGGGATACACCTTTGTCACTACTGCGTCCAAGATAGACACTGATCCTCCATCTACGGTTAGAGATCTGATTGAAGATGCCCATGAAACCTTTTGAAATCCAAGACGTGCATGCCATGGTGCAAGTTTGCAACCATTACCACGAATGAGCAAAGGGGAAGTATCAAATGCTTCGATAGGCTCACACGCAGAGCTTTCGGGATCTAAATGCGCGCCCATGATTGTCATCTTTTGTCCACGCTGAATGCGACCTGCACGTACGGCACGAGACAATACTTCATCCAGTGGCGCATGTATCCGATACCAACCATCCGTCAAAATGAGATGAGGTTCATCTTCATCCGCGCCATGTGAAGCATCATAAACGCACAAGATCATCGGCAGTCCAGACGGTGAATCATGCTCTTGAATGCGCTTGATAGCAGATCTATGAGCACGGTTGACCTCTCTTTCATAGCGGTAACGTAATTGACTGATCACTTCATTCCACGAGAAGCGCTGCTCGTATTCTTCCGATCGATGTGCCAAAGCAGCCAATTTCCAAAGAATTAGAGACCAATGATTCTTTACCCACGTATATGGAATTTTGTCCACCGAACAACCGGCAGCCTCTGCCAGCTCTTTACGTGCTGCCGAAATGTCCAAAGATGCACTTCCCTCAGGATTTGCTGGATCAGTGAAACTGAAGAGTGCCGCTGATGGAGGATCATTCAAGATCTTTGAGATGAATTCGTAATCGTCAGACTGCTTAAAAGATTCACCACGATACCATGCCCACTGAGACGACTTTTCAGCGTCAAGAAGCGTCTTGCGTTGCTCCGGGAGATTATCCAAGTTGAATACTGTCGCGCTGACTCTTTCATTCTCCAGCTTGACTCGTGGCAGAGTCGTAACCAAGCGAGAGCGGTTCTGAAGCGGGCTCGAAGTCAATTGTGTAGCATGTACCGCTGTTTGAGCGATATCCTTCTTGAAAGGAGATTTGAACTTGGGCAAGCTCGAACGTCCAAAACGTAGTGCATTACTCAAACTCTTTCGTGAGAGAGGAGTTTGAGATAAGTGTCCAACCTTTTGGCTACCGCTGGGCATGGAACCATAGCATACCTCCCGCTTTCGAGGTGTAGAGTTGATGACACGATTGTTTGGAAGCGGCATGCGAGCCCCTTGAGAGGCGCCATTAGGTGTACGAAGAGTTGCGGCAGATTGGAACATATGAGCAGGAGATTGAATGCTGGCAATTGCATCAGCAGCTTTGTCTACCTGCTTGCCGGACGTATCTTGTGCTTGCTCATTCCAATTCGTGACTGACTGATTCAATCTTGAAGGAGCGAGAGGACGAAAAGGTGTTCTTGGGGCTACTGCCGCTTGAGAAGGACCTGCGATCTGTGTAGATGGTAACCCTCCTTCCTCTTCTTCCTCTAGAAATTGTTGCAAGCGAAAAGCTGCATCTGCTGCTTTAGCAGTCCCTACAACGCTTTTCTTGTTTGCCCATCGGAAGACTCCTTCAGATTCAGCCAATGGAGGTGCTTGAACTGGCTGTGTTGGCGGATCGATCTGGTCAAGCACATCCCAGTCCATATCCGCATCATCCCAAAACCCGCTGTCATCATCGTATTCAATCACTGCAGAATTGATCTTCTTTGCCGGTGGCATAGGATCTGATACCACTGCTGAAATGGCAGCAGCCTCACTTGTATCCACTCTCGCAGACACTGACTGCCTATCTTGCTCTCCTTCGACATCTTCAATGGTTCTCTTTCGGCTTTCTGGTGTCTTCAAAGAAAGGTCTGAAGATATCTGTTCGCTTGCTTCAGCGGGTGCGACATTGCTGACAAGATCTTCCACCATCTTTTCAGAAGATGAAACTTGGCTCTGTTGAGAAAGTAAGTTGGCCTGAACCTGGTGATTTTCCTGTGAATTAGACGAATTATCGTCGAATGTATGCGCTTGCTGACTGCTGTACGCCTCGCTATCCACGCTTGCCTGAGAGGAGGAAGATTTACGGGATCCAGCTTTTGTGGCCTTTTTCAGCTTTTCATTTGCTTTTGCAAACTCCAGGTTGGCTTCCAATTCACGTTGACGACGCAATTCTTGTTTGGCTAATCCTCTAGCACTCGATGCCAGTGCAGGTCTTGGACGATGATTCGGTTGACTTGCATCCCTGTCACGCAAAGTGCGTTGAGGTGTAATCACTTGGCAATCTCTCGAATCGGACATTTTGCGATCCTTGTGGCGATGTCTGGGGCGATTTAAGCGATTGAACACATTAGAGTGTCAATGTATGCTACTCTACCTGATGGTATTGGTCATCAAAAGAATGGTTCCGGCATGTGTTGCTCTTTCGGCGCCTACTGCTCAGTAGTCCAACACTTTGCGCGTATAAAAATTAAAACGCGGCGCGGTTGCTTCAGCCTTGAGACAATTCTGGTCACTGGGCGGCAATTTATACGCTTCTATCTGTACGCGTATACCGCGTTCACTCACGTTCAATTTCTGCTCATGACCACCACGGTTACAGGTATTGCAATGCATAAAAATACAGATGCGGTCGTACAAAATGCTGAAATAAAATACATACTGTTGCTTCAATAAGAAGCTTTGCTTTAACACACTACTTTTTCTCTTCAACTTTGCTTACTTCAACTCGCAACCCAGCTCGTAAAAGGACGTCAATCCATAACTTCTGCTTATCACTCAATTTGTCACCCGGTCCTTTCACTTCACAGAACCTGACTTGTTTATCGGCATGCCTCCAGACGACTAAGTCCGGCATTCCTGAAGTACAATGACTCCATTCTTCTGCCAACATTTGACAAACAACAGAAAGCGCTTTACCTCCCATACATTCTGCAATCTCTAAAAGATCTTCTTGTGTGTACAAATCCCATTTGCATCCGATCGCCCATGTCTTTCGTTCACGTTCACGATCATCAGTCTGCTTTATGAGATCTAGGCCGCCGGTGTTCTCGATCTCAACCAATCTCTGACGTAAAGCAGGACCTCTAACAATGGCAAAAGAATCCTCGAGGATGTCCAAAGGTTGACGTTGATAAGGTGTTTCAAAAACACCGTCAACATGCATGAACAAGATGTCCCACATGACCAAAGCAAAGAGCATGGTAAGCACTCCACCTTCACAATGGAACCCCTTGAAGTTTTGTTTTTCGTAGTGCTGCAAGACCAAATATTCAACTCGACAAGGCTGGCCATCTAATCCTCGCCAAACACTATGCATATCCTTGCGTACATCACGACGTTCGACTGAGTATTTCGACTTTGGCGATTCTTCTTGATCTTTCGTTGGTGTGTCTCCCTCATCCACTTCGGCTTGCTCTGGCTCTTCTGCCTTTGCTTCCATGCGTTCCACTTTGACAACCTTTCGCAAGGGAGCACGATACTTGAACGAATACTCATCCGACGCAGAAGGATCGCGGGACATGGAACGCCTCTCCTTTTGGCCAGGAATAGGCATTGTAGATCCAAAGATGCCTTTCTTTTCGGTCATCATCTTGTCCAACCTGACACCGCGGAAGATCCTGTCTTCGCATTTGCGCAACTTTGCATATGAGAAATCGTGTTTCTCTGAGAAAGGCAAATTTAATTGATTCTCAAGACGAGTGATCCTCCTTTGCAAGGTATCTTGATAGATCAAATGAGTGTCCCTATCCTCGATACCTTGCACAGATATCGCCAATGCTTCTCGCTTTGCTTTTCGAATCGCGTTTGGCGTGGTGGAAGGCGGGTAGTTTGCGGTAATCAAGGCTAAACGATCATACCAGTCACCTCTACGGCCTCTTCGAAATACACGTTGGCCAAGCAAAGCACGCAAAACTTCCGCTTCTCTTTCATGTTTGTGAGATCTTCCAAGCACATAAACGCCTTTGTACACCACCCTGGTCAAAGGCCAACCAGGGTGAAATCGCATTCGATTGTATGCACCCAAATCGTATGAGTCTTTTGCCAATGCTTCTCCTTCACGCACGGCTTCTTTCCAACGTTCATATACATGTTCAAAAGCTTCCATCGCTTTGGCAATCGCATCGCGACTGCCATCCCATTCGATCCATTGGTCCATCTGAATTTCAAGCTGAAGAGCCTGTTGCATTTCAACAAGGTGTTTACGTGATGCGAACAACTTCTCGCTTCTCTTCCAAACGTAATCAGGATAAGCACGTTTACGACTCTTTGATAAGACTGCAGTCGTAAGAGCAGAAGTGCCCAATTCTGCTCCACGATAATAGACAAGTGCGATTCGATCAATCAGAGATTGTGCTTTCGGACAGACTTTCACACATCCTCCAACGATTGCTGTCAATTGCTCTCGTAACACTGCTGCTTGTGATCGAATTTCGTTTGGGTTGCTGTCTCCAAAACCATGCAAGGTACCTTGAGATTTGGTCGTCAGGAGAGATGAAATGATGGAAGCCTTGTTTGTAACGCCTTTCAATCTGTTCATATTCTTTGCAAGCTCTTTCAGCTCAGCAAGGGTAAGGAGGTTGAGAGGCTCTTCAAATCCTTCGTCCATATCTTGTTCGCTCAAACAGAAGCGTGTAATACTGCCATCCCCTTCTTCTTCAATCTCAGATTGCAGTGCAAGAATATCGGAATGCGGCTGACAAAGAGATGTGACAGCTGTTGCTTTGTCTTTTACATCGAAGTCATATCGTAACTTGTCAACCCGATGCCACGTATTGCGTCTTTGGATCAACCTCGCCAGAAGATGTCGGGCCTCGTAATCCATGCTGGCGAATGATTCGAGAAGTATCCTTTCTGATGCTGTGAACAGATATGCTTCATGTTCAAGCACTGTAGTAATCATCTCTCCGAATATCTCTGGGTACATTGATTCCCTCGGCCTTCCCTTGCTATCGGTGCTCGAAGTTGAGCTATCGGACGAATTTGAGTCTCTGGACACCAGTCCACCGGTTGGTCTTTGTAGCTGAATGTTGGAATCGATAGGCTGCAAAGGTGTCACTTCTCTGCTTTCAGACTTTATCAATTCAAGATTCTCTCCTTTCAGAGGCATGCCTGCTTGAAGATTCTGCCGCGAGTCATCAGCATAGGATGGACTTCTTCTTTGTTGCTTTGGGCTAATTCGTCCATCTTCTTCCTCAGTGAGGGATATTGGAAGTTCCCGCTTCCTTTGCTCGGAATCTCGAATTGCTGCTTGCGAATGCTCGTCCTCCATCTTTATTCGATTTGCTTCACTGTGAAGCATATCATTATTCTCTTCTCTTATTTGAATATGCTCTCTTGTATAGCGCTCATCGCCTTCCATGTTGAAGCGGTTGATGACACTGCTTGTTGATGCTACCTGTACATTTCCCTTGCTGGTGTGGTATTCCTTATCACTTTTGACCTGATTGATATTTTCTTGTTTACAGGGACGATAAGATAGATGCAAATGCATAACAAATCATGGATTCCAGATCCTTTTATATCAATCACCTGTGATGATAGCAGTTATGAGAGAATCCCAGGATGGATGCCGAGTTACTCAGCAGCATGCACTTTACTCCCTCTTTGCATGAGAGAAGCTTTTTTTCCCGTTCGGCTAATTAACCCACGTCCAATGACTGGAAAGTGTTGGTTTGAACCCCTCACAGTAAAAACGCGTTCAGATTCATTTAAATTTACGCGTTTGCTTATTAAGCCAATTAAACCTGCCTGCCTTATTCCCGATTTCCGTACAGCCAAAAAACAAAGTTGACTTTTGGAAATTTTCATTTTGGGGGAATTGCATCAAGGCAGTGAAGCACTAATGAATTTGGCACTCTTCCTCACCGTCACCAAGAATATTACACTGTGAGAACAGTTCGTCAAGATGTCATCGTCTACAGTCGTTGAAGCTGTACAGGATGGATTGACAAATAAGGAAAAGAGACTGGCACGTAAAGCAGAGAAGCAAGCGGCTCGTAAAAGTGGAACGAAGGATGATGAGAAGAAACGAAAACAGGAGGACGTCGTAGAAGAAGATGTTGAAATAAGCGACAAAGAGCACGCAGAAGGAGAAAAGGCTGATGAGGAAGAGGAAGAGGAAGAAGACATCGAAGCAGTCTCTCACAAAGAAAGAAGAAAGCGGAGAAAGATGGAAAAGCAAGCAGCTAAGCATGGTGAGCAAGAAGAAGGCCAGACGGGTGAAGTGGATGCAAAGGCAAACGCTGAATCAGAGAACAAGACAGTGAAAGATGCAACACAACGAAGTCTCTTCTCTCTTTGGGTCGGTAATCTTTCTTTTAAAACATCACCTACCCGACTTCAAGAATGGTTTGAGCAACATGAATTGTTCGGAATCACTCGTGTCTATATGCCAAAAGGCGCACGAAAGTTTGAATACAATCGTGGATTTGCATATGTAGATGTGCCTTCAGAAGAAGAAGTCAAGCAAGGTATCGCACTCAGTGAAGTAAATTTGGACGGAAGAAGGCTATTGATCAAATCTGGTTCTGATTTCGGCGGTAGGCCCACAATTGATGCAGCAGCTCGTGCATTAGCAGAAGGAAATATGGCTGCAAGTACAGGAGAGGAACATCAACAAAACGAATTAGAAGGTATCATTGGCAAGAAAGGAAAGACTGGTCTAACGAAAACAGCACAGAAGATCCTGCGGGCACAAAAGCATCCTCCCGGACCGACACTGTTCATTGGGAACTTGAGCTTCAATGCTACGGAAGAAGGTGTTCGTGATATGATTGAAAGATCGGCTGCTTCTAGATTTGAACATGAATCTGCAAGAGCATCTAATATAGTATCAGAGAAAAAGAAGGAAGCCAAAAAGAGTGCAGAAGACGATGAAGAGGAGGAAGCTGCAGAAAGCACAGCTGTTGAGAATGACGTTGCAGAAGAGAGCAAGAAAGAGACTACTGGAGGCAAACCTGAGCTACTGAGAGGTGCAGGCATACGCAAGATTCGGATGGGAGAATTTGAAGATACCGGAAAATGTAAAGGATTCGCATTCGTTGATTTCCATACACCCTCATACGCAACTGCAACGCTGATTGACCCTAGAAACGGTCATTTGGACGGAAGAGAGCTTATACTTCAATATGCAGGTGCAGAGGCAATTCGTCGTGGTGCACCAAAGGGTAAGATGGGAGAACGACCACAAGGTCAAAAGCGACCTTATGGTGAACGCAGACAGAGACCATGGAAAGTTGAAGAGGAGCGTAAGAAACTTGCAGAAAGTGCACCTGAACCTGGTACATTTGATATCGATCAACCTTTGCCAAAGAAGCACAAAGAGACGAAGGAAGAACGTATTCAAAGACGTGAGGCAGAAAAGGGTGACAGAAAGACTACTTCAACACGAAGAGTCAGACCAGGAGCAGCATTGGCATCTGCACAACGTGGAAAGGTTGCAATTGATATTGACGCACCACAAGGAAACAAGAAGACATTCGGAGATGATGACGATGCTTAAAAGGAGGAAGTGGTGTAAATCAATTAATTCATTTCACAAATTCTGTATATTAATCTTGGTAAACAATCAATTATGAGTGATTCTGTCCTTCAAATCTTGAAGCTTTTCCTTTACGCCACCGCCGGAAGATGAATTGCTTTCGCCAAAGCCACCTCCGCCGCCGCCACTGCTTCCATCACCTTCGAAACCTGTTTGACCTGATTCAATATTTGAAAATCCAGTCTTTTGCGTACCTGTTCCTGGTGCTTGAAAATTTGCACCGTTTGAATCCGGTGCAGGATCATTACGTGAAAAACCAGAAATTGTTTCATTTGGATCAGAAGTGAAATTTCCACTTCCACTTCCATCACCTGCTCCGCCTGAACGATCGAATCCGGTCGTTCCATGGCCTACTCCACTGTTGGAGAAACCTGTCGTACCTTCGCCGGCACCAGGAGCGGAGAAGTTGCGGGCTGTTCGAGAAGTATCATATTTAAGCTAAATGTTCCTACAAAATAATTGCTTTCAATACTCACTGTTACTATCGCTTCCAGAATAACTAGAATTGACACCCGTCACTCCAGGTTGAAAACCTTGTGAGTTATCGTTATTGTATTGAGCGCCGTCGTCCATTTTGAAAAGATGTCTTTTGTGTATAGATGATGTTTGAGAGTGTGGATGTACATTTCATTCAATCAGACATTGATATATTTTATTTCTATTCCATTTGATTCTCTCCACATTTTCGGTATGTCCGAATGCGAAGGATGAATTAAAAGTACACTATCGGCCTTTGATTGGCAGAAGGGTCTTTTTGATCGCCATTCGATTTGAATTTAAGAGTGAATGATAGAAGCTAAAATACATTAGAATGTGGAGTAAAAATAGTGGGGAACAAAAAGAACGAAGCAATTAGCACGTGATGCTTCGCGTGTTTATCTTTGAACGCGTGCCTGTGTTAAGGCGGCGGTAAAATACATGTGAGTAAGACAAACTCTTTTGCATGACAACCATCAAGAAATACACTTATCAAGGCATAGGACATCATGTCCGTATTCGCATCCCTTCGTCGTAGCGTCGGATTCGGAGGTGGAAGTACTTCAACTTCACCAATAGCAAGTAAACCTGCCGAGACAGACAAACAATCAGATCCTGACATCAAAGTCAAAGCTATTGTTCCCAGCACTTTAGCAAATCTAAGCTTGGAAAATAAGCATGGCAAGCATAAGGCAACATACCCAATACGAAAAGAGGTCACAAAGATCGGTAGACTTGCTACCAATGATATACGCATTTATCGGGAAACAGTTTCAAGAGTACATTGTGAAGTGCATGTAAAGGTAGAAGACTCTACAGTGACGGCTTCTCTGCACATCTTTAACCCGAAAGGACTAAAGATAAACGGAAACGAAGTAGAGAAAGAGACAAAAGGCGAACGTGTTGTGCCTCTTTTGGATGGCGACTTGATCGAAATATATTCAAACTACTTCCGTATGCGTTTGGACGCTTACGATTCCAACAAGGAGAATGACGAAAATGCGCCGCAAGCCTCTACCGCCCCAGCAAGTCAAGGCAGAAAATCTATTCGAATGAGCTTGGTACGCTCGAAAGTGACTCAAAAAACACAATCGGATGAAATTGCTTCCTCTTCTTCAGCCCCGCAACAGCATGCATCCTCCAGCTCCGAAAGATTACCTTTGGGATCTTTGAGCTGTGCACAAGTAGGCCAGTCCAAGGCGGAAAGCCCACAGACACAAGCCAGCACAGGTAACCCCTTTGCACCTTCTCCCTCCAAGAAATCTATGCCAAAACAAGGAAGGAGAAGCTTGGTATTTGCTACACCCAAAAGAGAGAGTATCAGTCAGCAGCCATGGACAGCAGAACCTATCAAAAGACTTCAAAACCCAATCAGTCCTAGAAAGCCTGCCCAAGCCCCAAGAAATGAAGCAGAGGGTGATGATTCGATTGTGTTCATGGAAGAAATAGAGGAAGAAAACGATAAAGATGCTGAGCTTGATCAGGAGAACGGAATGCTTCCAAATGAGCTAGATGAGTTGTTGGCTGTAGCACCTGTTGTTGGACCTGACACAATGGAGGAAGACCAGATAGGTATTGACAGTAGCAGCTACGCAAGACAGACAAAGAGCGTATCTCCCAAAAAAGTCAAGAGACGGTCAAGCTTCTTTGGCCGGGCAGGCGTATTCGCCAATTGGAACTTTGGCTTTTATCCCGAAGAGCGCAAAGCGGCCGAAGAAGATGAAGTAGACAAAGAGCTGAGCCCATCTCCTTCTTTGAGTCCAATCACTTCACCTAATGGCACTCAATACCTCCCCGATCCACGACTTGATTCGCAGGGTAGACCTCGTTTGCCGCGTAGTTTGAGCTCGCCCGATGGTCTTGGACATAGCTCGCCAAAACGACGAATTGTAAGCTTGCGAACTGCAACTCTCTTGCGACAAGGACAAAATGCATTCGAACAGCAAAAGATGCGATCTCCGCCTTCTTCTCCGGTAAAGAGTTCATTATCGAATGATGCAACGCCTTCTTTGATGGGACAAATGCAACAGTTGTTCTCGTCTGCTGATCAGCCCAAAGATAGCTGCGATAAAGACGATGAAGATGAAATCGATCAAAGCTTAAGCCTTGCAGATGATGAACCAGAAGAGGTGAAGACGGTTATCCCTGCAAGCAAGCCGAGGAAGTCAGATTCGTCTACGATTGAGCGAGGAAAGCAAGCACTCGAGCTTCGCAAGAGTCGTGTTTCCATGCCTGCAAAATTGTTGAGCATCGTATCCGTTGACGGTCATTCGAACGAGGATATTGAAGATCTCAAAAAGCAATGGCTTGCCGAACAGGAAGAGAGGGATGAGCAAGAGGATCTTAAGAATGTTGTTCAAGATGCTCTAACGAAACAGGATGAAGGTCATGAAACTGATACAGATAGCGAGAATGAAAGTGAGGATGAGACCGGGAAGGAACAAGATGAAGACAAAGCGGAAGCGCCGGCCACTCCTTCGTCCAAGGTTCAGTACGGTATGCTACGCTATATGGTCAGGGAGAATGCTGAATTGACGGCTCTATTGGATACTGTTGTAAATGACGAGGAGAAAAAAGCAGCAGAAAGTACTCCAGTGATACAAGAAGCGCCCATAGGAGTAGCAGTGATCGCTCATGTGGAAGAAACATCATACGTAGAAGAATCTACGGGGAAGAATGATGTAATCACCGATGGAGATGGCGAATGGCAGATTGTGACACCCAGACGTCCTAGATGGGAACCAAGCGAGAGGAAGCCGGTCGAGAACAGAAGAGTTTCTGATACATACGCGACTGCACAAAAAAAGCAAAGAGTGTCTCCCAAGAAGAAATCTAAACGAAGGGTCACTGCAGCAGTCACTTCTTCACTGAACACTGAGTCAGGAAGCAACATCAAGTCATCTACAAATGAGAAGTGTGACACAGAAGTCCAGCCAAGTGAGCAAGCTATGGAAGCTGAAAAGGAAGCCTCGGCAGTATCAAGCACTTCACCAATCGAAAATGTACAAGTGGAAGAGTATGCAGTTGAGCAAAAGTCGCCGAAGAAGAGATCTCCCACCAAGCAGTCACCTATCAAACGATCGCCGACGAAACCAACTGAACAAGCTGTTGAGATTGAATCGGAAGTCTTGGCACTATCAACCGTCTCACCATTCGAGAACGTACACGTAGAAGAGGCTGCAGTTGAGCAGAAGTCACCAAAGAAGAGATCTCCCACCAAGCGATCACCAGTCAAACAGTCGCCAACAGAGCCAATTGAGCAGGCTATGGAAGCTGAATCAGAATTCTTGGCAGTATCAACCCTCTCACCGTTCGAGAACGTACCCGGAGAAGAGGTCGCAGTCGAGCAGAATTCGCCGAAAAAGAGATCTCCGAGCAAACGATCGCCAGTCAAAAAGTCGCCGACGAAGCCAATTGAGCAGGTCGCGGAAGTTGAATCAGAAGCATTGCTAGAATCGATCACTTCGCAATTTGAGACTGTGCAGGTTGAAGAGATTGCAGTTGAGCAAAAGTCACCGAAGAAGAGATCTCCGAGCAAGCAATCGCCAGTCAAACGGTCGCCAACAAAACAAAAGCTGGTGCATGAAGACCTCACTCTATCTGTACAGGCTACTGAAGTGGAAGTCATCCCGCAGCCTGTTCCTAAAGAGTCTTCTGAGGAAGTCCATGAACCTTCTTCTGAAGCTGGAGCAAAGAGTGATGAAAGTACAATTGAGACCAAGCAAGAGTCAAGAAGTCCTCTGAAAAGCATGTCGCCAAGCAAGAAGGTGAAAAGTAGTACAGTTGTTTCCGCACCAATTCCCTCTTCGCCAAAGAGGCTGAGATCGCGTAGTCCAGTAAAGCGAGTCGAGAGGAATATGGAGGAGGACGATGACAAGGAGAATGAAATTCCAATCGTCCTTCAATCTTCATCGCCGGTTAAGAAAACGAGATCAACAGCAAAGAGTGCATCGGCAACAAAGCCATCACAAACTCGTGGAAGGAAGAAAGCCAAAGAAGATTCAGAACCAGAGGCGGACGTGGTAGAGTCAGAACCGGCTGAGAGAGCAACATCTACTACACGTCGATCGACAAGGACGGCGACGAAAAAGACTTCAACTCTTGACGTTCCTGCTTCGGAACCTGCGATGCCAACGTCTGATTCTAATGTGCGCACTACTCGAAGCGGTAGATCTGTTCGTAAACCAAAGGATTTGACACAACCCGCCACTGTGATTGCAGTTCAATCTGACCCTGTTGAGGCTCCAGCGGCTTCAAGTACGGGCAGAGTGACACGCAATCGAGCTCGCAAAGCAGCTGCTTGAGTGGATTTGTCACGTACAATATGCATTTTTATGAGCATCAAATATATATTTCTTGCAATCATCATATACAAGTCCGTAAACATTACATGAGGAGAAAGAATAGAGAGAGCGGGACGGAGAGGGGAAGAGCACAGCAGAAGAAGGAAGTACAAAAGTCCAGAGATACAGCGTGAGAGAAAGAGACGATAAAAGCAGACTAAATGTCCAAAGAGCCAGTCAAGATTGCACCGATGAAAGCGACCAAAGGAGCATAACTCCAATGATTAAGATGACCTTTTCCAACTTTGAAGAAACAGATTGCGCCGTCCAAAATAGCTTGAGAACTTGCAAGTAAGAACAAATAAGCAGTCGTTTGACGGTTTGCAAAGTATAATGCTAAGATCAAAGAAGCACCGATGAACAAATCCCTTGCTCCAACGACATACACCAAAGCATCAACTGCGATTTGTTGTTTAGGTAAAATTGGATAATCAATTTCAAAGAAAGAAGCGCCAAGTTTTGGATTGATGAAATCTAAGAGCCCAAAAGCGATGAATAACACTCCTACAGCATAACCGGCAAAATGAACGTATTTTGATTTTGATGAAAAGACTGTTCGTAATGCTTTTACGCGACTTGGACCTGCAGCTTTCTTTGCTTTTGCTTTTAAGCCTGTAGAAGAACGACGTCTTGAAGGCGTACGTGTCCTCTTTTCAGAGTTGGCAGGCGATGCTGTTGAATCGGATTTCTTTGGTGGCATGATGGTGACAGACAATATGTTTTGCTGATTGGAAAAGATGGATGGAGGAGGTTGAATTACATCCAACAATAACACACACACTCTTTACGCGTTTTACTAGAGAAGTGTTGTTCTCTGCAATAAAAGGTTAATTTTGCATTTGGCAGGATTGGACTTGCAGTAGAATCTACAACGGCGCGTCTCTGCATAAAAGCAGATCGATCTTATTACCCAGAACGCGTCTTCTCTAAGAATTCACCGTCAATCCAAGAAAAGCATGGGAAATAAAAGCATAGTCCTGAGGGACACGTTTGGGGAATTGGACGTGCCCAACCTGCAATGCACACTTGAACAGGGAAGCCATCATGTCGATTTTTGATACTAATTATTATTGAACAGGAGGTTCACTGATTACTCAAATTAAGAGAATATAGTACTGCTAATACTTGAGGAAAAGCTTGAGAACATTGAATGAAGTGGGGCGGGAAGATACAATCTGCTCACGTGAATTTTCGCTCGCCAAGTTGCAATTCATTATGCTATGCGAGCGCTGCGTGCGCGGACGGGAGTGAGAGACTAAAATACTTTATGAATGCCGTTAGTCTATTCTTGTTCGGCCGTCTTAATGGGGGAAATGGATGTGGGTATTCTTGGAAGGAAGTAAATGCAGCTTTGGTGAGACCTGCAATGCAAATTGAGATATAGGCAGATTTATTTATTCCGATTTCGATGGACTATGACCGGCCAAGCAGCACAAATCATAAGATTATGCTTATGTTTAAACAAAAAGAAAGAGATACTTGCATGATGCATATGTTGTGCAGTACACACACTGTCAATCAGATGATGGCTATGACCGAGGCAGCCAAATGCCCACACGCAGATCTAATCACAAACGCGCGCACGCGAATGTGTGAAAGCGAAAGACCCGATTGAATGCTCTGCTCTCATTCTCCACTTCTTGCAAATTTTTAGCGTTTTTATTCGCATGAATTACCTCTTCTTTTGCCCTTTACAATTCTTTTTCGTCATTTATGATGACACTCTTTACCCTCCTTGTTCAGCAAAGAGTCAAATTCTTCCAATCACTGTATGTATTTTCTATTTATTTGCTTTTGCCCCGCCTTTTTCTTAGCTTGTATGGGTAGAATACCCCACGATACTCTCACGTTCAGAAGAAATAAATCATTTCAAATCTTTCCTCTTCTTCCGCTCTTTCGGACCGTTGTTTTGTTTGTTTGTTTGTTGAGAACTATTCAAGATCAGACTGATGTAATAGCGGATCAAAAACGACAAGGCGGCTTACCGTCTTCTTTTTTCATCATCTCATTTCGGAATATTAGGCGAGAGGTGGCAGTTGGCATGCCGCACTCTTCTGTGCATATACGCACACACACTTCTCACGTACATTACATGCATACAAATTTGTTCCAATCAATGCCCCACTTTGTGTTCTGAAAAAGATAAAGTGGACAGAATCTCACAAACAGAAGTGCAAATCCATTCTACTTTCTCCTCTTTACGATCACCATCTGCACAGGTTGTCACATTCGACTTTAGGTAGAGACATTTTATATAATATTCACACCTCCCCCTAATCTTCATTCTCATCATGGCTGTTAAAGAAATTGGAATGGCAGAAGTGCCTCTTCCTGAGGGCTACGCCGGTAACTTGACAGATGAACAAGACAAGAAGCTCAAATCGCTATGGCTAGATGTGAGTATAAAGAGCTTTTGATCTTCGAGTGAGTGCATGTATACTGATTCAACCCCTGTTCCAGTTCTTCAAATGCTGTGACGAAGCAAGCGGAAACAAACAAAAAGGTGAAGGCGAAGGCTTACAAGAAGAAGAAGCAGGAGACGCAAAAGATTCCGGAATTCCAAAAGGAGATGAAGCAAAAGAAGAAGCAAAAAAACAAGAAGAAAAAGCAGCAATGGAAGCATTACAAAAAGAATACGGTTCAGAATCTTTACGTAATTCTTTTTGGCGTTTAGTCAAATTTGACGATCCCGATACGATCATGTTGCGTTTCATGCGTGCACGTAAATGGGACACTACCCGTGCCGTTGCCATGTTGGCAGGTTGCATCAAATGGCGTTTAGATAACGGGGTTGATGATCTGGCCGAACAAGGTGATTTGGTAAATGGTGAAAAGGTTGAGAAATTCTTGGAACAACAAAGAAGTGGAAAAACATACGCTTTAGGTACTGCTTTGAACGAACAACCAATTTGTTACATTCACGTCGCTCGTCATTATACCTTTTCACAACCAGGTATTTCCATGCAAAAATACGTCATTTATGCTATGGAATCTTTCCGTTTGTTGATCATGCCTCCAAATGACAAGGCTGTCATTCTTTTCGATATGACTGGCTTTGGTATTCGTAATATGGACTGGAACTGTATCTTGTTCATTGTGAAATGCTTGGAAGCTTACTTCCCTGAATCTTTAGGTATTATGTTGATCCATAACGCTCCATGGATCTTTAACCAAATCTGGAAAGCATTGGCTCCTTTGCTTGACCCAGTCGTTCGTTCAAAGATTCGTTTCACAAAGGGTCCCTCAGATATGGAAGACAAGATTCCAACTGAACGTTTCTTGGAACCACTCAAGGGAAATATGAAGACCAAGTTTGAATTTATCGAACCTGAAAAGGATGACAACAAATTACACGAAGACAAAGAAAAACGTGAAAGCACGATGAAGAACTACATGGATTTGGCTAAAGAATACGAAGATGCAACTCGTGAATGGGCAGAAAAAGGTGACAATAAAGCATCTGACAAACGTCAAGTGTTGGTCAAGAAATTGCGTGTGGCTCAATTCGAGATGGAACCTTATTGGCGCGGTAAGACTGTCGTTCATAGAGCCGGTCAAATTGATGGTCAAGGTATCGTTACGTGGGTTTATGAACAAAAAGATGGCGAAGCGATCCGTCACGTTGTGGGACGTCGTCATTGTGTTGCAGTGATGAAGCGTGAAATTAAAGAAATCGAAGAAGGTTCATCAATCAAAGATGCCGAAAAGAAATCCGAAGAAGCAGAACAGAATAGCGATTGGATTAAACTTTATGGAGATGAGAAGACTGCTCGTTTTATCGAAGGTCCACGTGTTGACGGTCAAATTCCACCTGTTGGCTGGTTGAGCGAACAAACGAAACAACATGGAGGTGTGATTGATTCTATCAAATCAAAATCTCCTGCTGACGAATCTGCTGAAAAGTCAAATGGTGATGCTGCTGCTGCAGGTGGTGCCGGTGCTGCTGGAGGAGCCGCTGCCGGTGGTGCTGCTGCTGCAGGTGAAAAAGAAGAACTTCCAGCAAAAGACTCATTTGAAGATGCACCACAAGCACCTCAAGAAGCTACTGCCAAAGCCGTCAACGGAGATGCAAAAGTTGATGACAAAGCTGATACAGCAGAAGGAGGAGGTACAGCACCTGATGCTTCCGAAATCAAACAAAACAGCGGAAACGCATCCAATGGCCAAAATGGTGACAGCAAGCCTGCTGCCGTTGAAAAAGTACAAGAGAAAGGTCAAACTCTTGGCAGGAAATTCAAGGGCATGTTTGGCAAGATCAAGGCTTGATTTGCAGTTCTAATCTTTAAATATTCCCTCTTATTATGCACATACAGTAGATCCTGTCCCTAATTAAAAACTCTCTTAAGCACATGTGCTTTTCCGGTTCCCCGCTCTTCCTACTATATACGTATGCTATTAATTTTGCATCTATGAAATGATATCCGTTGCCGGCGATTGATTGATTGTTCGTTGTGAATACAATGATTGTTTGATTTAGAAATACACTGTGATAAATTGACCTCTACTACTGTAATTGTGATTAGAAAGACTGGTACCATCTTCTAATTCGTCTTCAAGCGTTCCCACAATCGCTGATCCCCATCTTCCATGGATTGCGTCCAGAACACGAGCACGCTCCCATTCGTGACTTGCGACTTTCTTTCCACTGACAGGACAACGAGGAGGCGTGGACCAAGAGGAAGATGAAGAAGAGGAGGATGAATCTCCAGCCTGCCTGCCCGAGAAAGGAGCAACGCCATGAGAGATTGCAAAACCTGTAAACATACCTGGCACACCAGCACCATCTGATTGCGCGGCCAACGAAGCAAGATCTGTCATACTTTCATCATCAAAAGCAGATCGCATCCGTTCATTCTCTAAGCCTTGCATTCCTCCTCTACGTGCTGCTTCCAGCTGACGAGAGCGTTGAACGTGTCCATTATGACGTGCCAGAGCAACTACCTCACGACCTACTAGCGATTGCGTATTCCTGTTTGCGTTGACTGAATCCCAAGCACCTATCCCATGTGCTAGAACAGAACGGCCTAGACCAGGTTTATGTGATAAAAAGTAGGGACTGTTCGTAAACCGTGCAACACCATGATGTGCCGCATGCCATTGACCAGTGAATGTACCTTGATTTGGCTTAGCCTCAACATCGTCATCGCCGCGTTTCACATTCTCGTTGAAAGCCGGACAATCCGTTAGTACAAGATTTTGCAACTTTGGCCAAATCAATCGACGAACAGGAATATTTGTTGAATAAATCCCGATATTCGATAATACAGCCCCATTGATCCAATGACAAGCAGAAAGATCCAAAGTTTTCAAATTTGACGTTCTTCTGGCAAGCTTTTTAAGAAAGGCCAATGCTTCAGAAGCAATTTCTGGACTCAAGCCTGTACATGCTTCTTCTGTTGAACCATCTTTGGCTTCAATCTTTTTGGGGATGTACCAATCTTCAGTCCCAGGCAATAGCTTCGTTGCGGCTAAACTCAACATCTCTAAATTTGTCATTTGATCGAGCATATTGATAAGTGTAGTGCTCGTACGTAGGCATTTGCGCATTTTTCCGGCAGAGGACTGTGTTGCATCTTCCCCGTAGCCCCATCCCGCTAGGCTAAGAGCTCGTATATGGTTGGCTTCTATAGATGGGCTCAGCATGAGATCTCTAAGTGATCTAGCACTGATAGAAGCAAATGAAAGATCGATCGTGCTGAGCGTAGTAGTCGTATCCCATTCCGTTTGTTCCGATTCAACGTCCCATGAATCCAAGGTATTTTCGCCGCCTTCTTCAAATGAATCCTCTTCCTCAACTCTCTCAGCTTCTTCTGACAAACATCCTTCACGCTTGCCGAATAATGCTCGCAATGCTGCTTCACCAAGCGCTTCAGTCTGAGCATATCGTCCTGCCAATCCAAGCGTCCTTTCCTTCAAGTGGACTGGAAGGGCAAGAAGCTTTTCCTGAAATTGCTCAGAGGGTGTCCAAATGTTCTTGCTAAGCGCAGTGATGATAGCAATCAGTGTGATATCTGTAAGAGAAAGTATGTCCTTTTGATGCCTGTACTTATCGCCACTTGACTCTGAATTGCGACCATTTTCATAATGAGAAAAGAACATTCTTGATGCCGCGAGTGCTCTCTTACGATTCAGTTTGCGTTCTATGATTGACTCATCTACCATACCTGACTGCCCTTCTCCATCATCGTTCCCATTCTGCGTCCAGCTGGACGGTGGCACTGGTCCAGCAAACTTTCGTCGAAGCTCGTTCATACGTCTTGCCTCCACACTATCTTGTTGCGATAACTGTGTTGCAGCTAGATAAGACGTTCCCGCTCTTGCAGATGCCGATGCAAAAGCACTGTTCTGGGCAAGGCTTGGCTGGAACGATGGAGCATTCGCTCTCATAGACGATGATGAAGAGCCATTCTGGCTCTGCACCTGGTTCCCAGACCTTTGACGGGCTTCCAGATTTCGAGCTCTCCTCCTATCCTCGATTCGCATGCGATTCAGCTTTTCAGACATGCTGGGCTTTTTCGATTCGTCTGAAGCATTTTCTCGTTCTTGACGTCTCAGACGAGGGAGATGCTCCAATCTCGAGGGTTGAGAGGAGGGCGTACTAGAAGATGCCCCAATTACCATGCTGCTTAGTGCGCTGGTGCCTTCTACCGTACTCCTGTAAGCTTCATCGTTGGAATGCTGATCTGAGCCCCATTGTGCGACCATTGAGAGCCCTTTTTGGATTTAATGGTTCCCCTTGTCGTCGTTATGAGTCAAGCAGTAAGAATCAATGAATTGTGTAACACTTTTTTTCCGTATCGGCGTTAAAGATGTGCATGAGCGGAGTTACGCAAAATGCACCGACGCTGCGCCTATTGCCTATACTTGCATTTCCCCACCCTGATCAAGATTAAGCCTTTATCTTTTGTTCTTGACAAACATCTCCTCCTCCTCAAAAAACAACACAAATGCCTGCTATTAAAAACAATCAAGAAGATATCGAAGTCCTTATCACTGGCTTCGGGAGGTTCGGAAAGTATGAAAAGAATCCGTCTTGGTTATGTGCAGAAGGCTTGCATGGACTTGAAGTAGAATCAAAAGATAAGAGAAAAGTTCACATTCAAACCATACAAACATCAGTTGCTTATTCACATTTACTTGACCTGATTCCACGCATACATGGATCCAAGCCAAGTGCACCAGAAGCAAAAGTGTTTTATGATACCGAGAGCGAACGATTTGATCCAAAATCTGGTTTGGGTCCACAAGGGAATGGCTCACCGTTTCCCGAAGGATATCGTGATATAACCATACCCAAGAAAGGATATTTCGATCATGTGATTCATATTGGCGTTGGTTATCCGGATCACGTAGCGATTGAGACTGGAGGACATAAAAGAGGCTATCAATTACCCGATGTTAAAAAGGAAAAAGCACCAATTGCGACCGATCAATCTGACACCCTAAGACGAGAAGCTAAATTAACACCAGCCGAAGAAAGAGAAAGGGAAAATATGCAAATCAAAACTACAAACGGTCATCATTCCGATCCAATCAGAGGTTTTGGGCAAGGATACGAGCAATTCCCTGATGAAATGTTTACGGAAAATGACGTACCTGCACTTGTTGAATGGTTACAGAAAGAGAAGCATCACAAACATCTCAAACAGTCTAAAGACGCAGGTCGGTTCCTGTGCGATTACATATTCTATGCCTCTTTGTGCGAAGCAAAGAAAGCTGGAAAAGGAACGCGGGTTCAATTCATCCATGTTCCACCACTCGATACTCCTTATTCCATCGAAGAATTACAGAGCATCGTCAAAGACGCAGTCTGCTGGATAACATCGCAATGACGTAAAGATGAATTGTAGGTTGTATTCCATTCATTTGCTAAAACATGTTTACTACATCTCTTTCTCGAATTGCATCGGATTTTGTTTTCATGTAATTTGATTTCAATCATAGACCTTCCGCCCTCAGAGGACAAAAGGGAAGATTGCGGTACGTTTTCTTGGGTAATCTTTGAACTCCTTGCGATAGTTCTTGTGCTTTTTCAAAGCCCACAATACCATTTGAACGCTGCTCACCAAGGTGAACAAAGCAGCAGCAGGGTTGAGGGTCAAAATAGTGAAGGCGATCCATACCACATGCTCGAAAAAGTAGTTGGGGCAACTGACGAATTCGAACAAGCCGCCTCTTGGAATGTTTCTCTCTTTTGTTCCCGGTCTACGCAAGTTACGCAAGACTTGATGAGCCCAACCGGTGCCCAATTGGCCTAGCAAAAAGATAGCAGAGAATGTTGCCAGGAAGACTGGGTTATCTTGAATTGTACCCTGGACGGCTTTTTGGCTGTAATAGGGAGAGTACACTCCACCGGCCAAGAGAACACCGGAGAGGATCCAATAATGGAATGAGTTCTTGAAGATGTTGAATTGCGGCATGGTAGCATTACTGAAACGATGAACGAACAAAGTCTCATATTCACGTTTGAGGTAATGAATCAAAACCAATCCTAGAGCGACTTTTTGCATTGTAGAATGCTCGAATTTTGTGCGCCATAGTGTTGGAGCGAATTGATAAATGAGCGGATGAATGAAAAGAGGACCGAAATATTCTGTCAAAAAGACAGTCTTCCATGCGACCTGTGGTCCCAAATCTTTCACATAGATTGTATCGCCAGATTTGATTGATTCTTGTGTGAGGGTTTTACTATCATCTACCAGAGCACGTTTATCCTCGGTAGTCAATCTTTGTCTGTCACTTGTGAAACCTCTTTTAAGTTGAACGATTGCCTTTTTTACATCAAAGATTGTTGCATCGGATGAAAGTTGAATTGTTTTGGGAAACGTTCCAGACTTTTGTGCGTTAAATGGTGTTTGACCGTCAGGTTGTTTGCCTCCACTACTGCGTTTAGCGATGGTGATCTCGATCACTTTTCCAGGAGCCATGTTGATGAGAGGTCAGGGTTGTTGTACTTGGTGGAAGAGAATGAAAGATGATTTAAAGCCACTCTTCTTCTTAGCATACACTTGACCCTTCTTCCCAGCCTTTGTCAGCCTGAATGTCCGGAAGTGTTGGTCAAATTATACGCGAAAATGCAAGCGCAAAAAGGTCAATGCATAACAACAAACGCGGAATACGGACAAGACTTTCTTTTTTTTGTTTTAGAACTTCCTGCTTTTCGAATTAAAAGTGTTGGTGTTCCTTTTACCATTGCATATACACACTCAAAGATGGCTTATAATGATACAATCATTCGTCAAGCCTCTTCATCGTTAGAGGGCTGTAATGAACGACAAACATCCTTCTTGAGATGGTTTCATGAATCAGGAGGATGGCTAAATCCAAAATGTCGCTTTGCCGATTACGAAACGATGGGAACTGGAATGGTGGCAGGAGAAGCTATTGAGAATGATGAAGTATTGTTCTCTATTCCTCGTCATACACTTTTGAATATTCAGAATAGCTCGCTGGGTGTTTTCTGCAAAGCATATGATGGTCAACAGAAGAATTCAATCGTTGTCGAGTCCTCCGCAGCTCCATCAACAAGTCTAAAATGGGATGATGTCAATGTCGGCTGGCAAGGACTGATAATGACAATGATGTGGGAGAACTTTCGAGCAACAGAAGAGGGAAGAGCTGCTTTTGAGGAATTCTGTCAGACGAACAAGGAATGGATAGCTGCCTTCCCTGCAGAGGAACACGACACGCAGAATGAGAATGAGGTCGCAATCGTTCGTGAAGCTCGAGCGAACATGGAATGGGGACCATACTTGAAGATTCTTCCACAATCCTTCGATACACCAATGTTTTGGTCAGATGCAGAAGTAGAAGAACTCAAAGGCACAAGTATACCGAACAAGATCGGCAAAGAAGAAGCAACAGCAGGCTTTGTTGAAAAAGTACGACCTTATATCGAAGAACATGCAAGCATTTTTCTCGGGACATTGGCTGACAAACCAGGCGCACTAGACAAATACTATTCGTTGGAACACTTCCATATGATGGGAAGCAGGATATTGAGCCGTTCTTTCCACGTCAAGAGTGGATCAAATAAGGACGATAGAGGGAATGGAGACAGATCAGGCGAAGATGATGGAGAGAATGGCGGAGGAGATGAATCAGATGATGATTCGGACGAAGAAGGTGCCGAAGAGGATGAATCCATTGACAACATATCGATGGTACCCATGGCTGATATGCTAAATGCACGTTATGAATGCGATAATGCTCACTTGTTCTACAAAACAGAGACATTGGAGATGCATGCTACCAAAAGAATTGAAGCAGGACAACAAATCTGGAACACGTACGGCGAGCCACCTTCAGGTGATCTTTTGCGTCGTTATGGATACGTAGATCTTGCGAATCCATGTGATATCGTCGAATTGCCGATGGAATCGCTCATTGCAGGTCGTTTATTGCTTCCGAATTCACCATCGAAAGAATCATTACTTGCAAGGATGGCTTGGGCCTGTTCGTTAGGAATGGACGAGGTATCACCTCTCACTTATCCTTTCCCTCTTTCTCCTGAACCGCCTTATCGACCTGACCATCAAGGTCTCACTAAACGGGACTATCGCGAAATAGCAATGGGAATGCCTGATGACCTCCTTGTTCTCGCCCGGGTGTTGTGTCTCACGGAAGAAAATTACACAAAAGCAGCGTCAAAAGATAGACTACCGAATCCTAAATTTGATGCGGTTGAGCGATATGCAAATGGTCAAGAAATAGGCGTTACGCAAATTCTACTCAAAGCACTTGAAGAACGCAAAAAGGATTATCCCACCTCAATCGAAGAAGACGAACAACTACTTTATCCTGCATTAGGTCAATCAAACAATTTGAGCTTGAATCGTAGAAACGCAATAACGGTGCGTTTAAGTGAAAAGTATATCCTTGGCGAGACTGCAAAGATGGTAGAAGCAGTTGCAGAAGCGGTCACATTGAAACGTAGATTAGATTCACAAGCAAACGGCTCAAACGGACAAAACAAAAAGTCAAGAAAAGCATAAAATTTTTGTATCCTTATTCACACAGCATTTGATACTATATACATGATTTCATTTCCATTGATTGCATTTCCGCTTGCTAGATTTAGCTCATCGTAGGCATATTAACCGATGCTCTGGAATTCGTTGCATCTTCACTCTTCCATAGACTGGTAATGGTTTTGTTTTGTGTGTAGAAGCTCAATGCATGACGACCGTAGAAACCGTGTTCTCCCAAAACACTTCCTTTGTTACCTGACCAAGAGAACATTGGCAATGGGACAGGAACGGGTACATTTACACCAATTTGACCGACATTGATATCCTTTTCGAATTTACGTGCTGTTGCTCCGTTTGTGGTAAAGATTGCAGATCCATTACCGTATTTGTTTGCATTGATCAATTCGATTGCATCTTCCAAAGTCTTTACTTTCACCACAACGAGTGTTGGACCAAAGATTTCTTGTTCGTAAGCTTGCATTCCCGGACCGGCTTCAACGATTGAAGGTCCAACAAAGTTACCATTTGGGAAATCGGCACTCTTGAATTCACGTCCATCAAGTAGAATCTTTCCGCCTTCTTGTTCCACACTTCCGGTCAATGCGATCACACGTTCACGGGCTGCAGGCGAGATCAGAGGTCCCAAATCAGCTCCCTCTTCAAATCCACTGGAAACCTTAAGACCTTTTGCACGTTGAACGAGATCATCGATCCATTTATCAGTTTCACCAACGGCTACAACCACGCTCAAAGCCATACAACGTTGACCTGCCGCACCAAAAGCGGCACCAGCGATGCTATTCAAAGCATTTTCACGATTTGCATCAGGCATCAAAATTGCATGATTCTTTGCACCAAGGTTTGCGATCACACGTTTACCATTTGCCGTACCTCTGTGATAAATATGTGAACCGGCTTTATCCGAACCGACAAAAGTGATCGCTTTGATTCTTGGATCATCACAAATTGCATTCACTGTGTCCACTGCACCATTCACGACATTCACCACACCTTTTGGCATTCCGGCACGTTCACATAGCTCAGCAATAATCATGGATGCTCCTGGATCACGTTCTGAAGGTTTGAGGATCAAAGTGTTACCGGTAACGGTAGCCATTGGAATTGTCCAAAGTGGAATCATTGCAGGAAAATTGAAAGGTGCAATACTTGCCGTCACACCAAGAGGTTCTTTGCGTACATAAGTGTCCATCTCTTTTGATACTTCCATACGTTCTTCCATCATTGTTGAAGTGATTCCGCATGCGGTTTCAACAACTTGCAAACCACGTAAAACGTCACCTTTTGCATCTGGGAATGTTTTGCCTTGTTCCAAAGTGATACTGTTTGCAATATCGTCCATATGATGACGAATTAATGCTTGTAGCTTTAACATGACAGCTTGACGTCCTAGCAGACTCGTTTCACGCCAAGCAGGGAATGCTTTTTCAGAAGAAGAGACTGCCTCTTCAAATTCAGCCGAAGTTGATTGAGGTACTTGTGTTAGTACTGTTTGGGTGGCAGGATCAGGTAAATCGATCCATTTGTTCGTCTTTGATTCAACAAATTGACCGTCAACGTAATTGCTAGTCTTTCCACCTAGGGTTTTCGTTCCACGCCATTTACTTTCCACATCTTTTGCTCTCGCACTTGCCGTTTGACCGAGCGAAGATGAACGAAGAGCGGTAGTATGGATTGATCGTCTTCCGTTTTGTACGATTGATGTGCGACTTGCAGCACGTAAAGATAGAGACAACATCTTTTGTAAAAGAGAGTGATCGTTGCAAGGAAGAAGAGTATTTCTCCATTGAACGGCTTCTTAATCTTCTACTACCGGGTCAAAGTTGCTATTGGGCACTTTATCACTCTATGCGGCCGATCCGATTCTATTGATACGCTTTTCCCCGCATACACTCAACCCACCGTCGCGCAGCGCTTCACTTCAAGCACTGCACATACCCTTACGGCCCCCGCGGGTAAATGCCCATACTAGCTAGTGTTGCACTCTTCTTCCGAAATCCGCTTGGGCCCAATTCAACTTAATTTTTGGACTTGGTGGAGTATACGAACGATTCTTCTTATGACCATCAGTGGATGATGGCGCAAAATGGCAAGATGAAAATATCGCTAGGGGGCTTACAAAAGCCAGGTACAGTGAAGGGTGCAAATACTGCCCAAATAGCGAGTAAGCCCAATCCCTTTGGAGGAGATGAAGAGGATGAAGAAACGCACTTCACATCCATCAAACCATCTTCATCAAAGAAAGGCGGTTCTAGCTTAGTTGCTGGAGCAGCTCCAGCTTCAAAAGCATCAAGAGCACGAGAAGAAGCAGCACTTTCGGTTGATTCATCTATATTCGATTACGATGGCGTTTACGATTCAATGAAAGAAGGACAACGATCAATTCAAGCAAAACACGAAAAAGAGAATGCAAAACGTGATCCTAAATACATGTCTGCTTCATTTGCTGCTTCAGAACAAAGAAAGATCGACAGACAAAGAGCAGAAGCGAAAAAGATTCAACGTGAACGTGAACAAGAAGGAGATTTGTATGAAAATACAGAATCATTCGTTACGGATGCATATAAACAACAAATGGAAGATATACGAAAAGCAGAAGATGATGAAAAGAAGAATGAAAGTTCCGCAAGACAAAAGAATAAAGGTGCAGCAAGCTTCTTCAAGGAAATGTTGGGTGAGCAAGATCGCGCTCATCAAGCCGCAGTAGAAGCAAGTATTCGGCCTGCTGCATCAACCACAGAACCAAAAGAAGAAAGCGATGACAACGAAAGTCGAAGGAAGGCACGAATAGACGAAGCCAGACAGAAAGGGCTAGATGTTCGCACTAATGAAGAGAATGAAGTGGTAGACGAGCGAAGTCTATTAAGTGCTGGTTTGAACACCTTCTCAAATCAGAACAAACGACAAAAGACAGAATCAGATGAAAGAAGCAGGAGAAATGATAAGGATAGAGACCCTGATGACCTCCATCATTCTCACCGCAAGCTGCCAGAAATGCGTGATGCTCGTCAAGCACAACGTGAACGTCAATCTAGAATGATGGAAGAACAAATGTTAGCCCTTCAGAAAGAACGTGAAGAAGAAGAAGCAAAACAAGAAGCAGAAAGGAAGAAAGCTATTGTTGGAAAAAAGAGAAATGATACCGATCGTATAGAATTGGCACGTCAGCGTGCATTGGAAAGACGGAAAAACAAACAAAGCTCACAAGAAGCAATGGAGTGAAGAGTTGCTCAGGCACTCGTTGTATTATAATATATCATGTAGTAAATTGTATCAATAAGAATCCTGTACTCAATCGAGCCTCAATCTCCCAATGATGATTTTGTGTAAGATAAATTGCAATAGAAGTACATGTTTGAAATCAAAGAATTGAGTGGTGTTGTGTTTGCTATTTAAGCATGTGCTGTATACTATGTTTTACTGGTATAGATGTATATATACATTGGAAACTATCCAAACTGTTTATTGTTGACAGTCTCTCAAATCGAGGGTTGTTGTTCTGTCACTTGAATGGGTGCATCCGCAGTCAAGAAAGAAGATGCTTTCGTGATAATTGCAGGTGGATAACCACGTTCTTTCATACGTTCCAACAAAACGATCGCATTCTCCTTTTGACCGAATTGCATTTCCACTTTAATCATTGCTTCAAACGTAGAAGGTTCACGAAGAACATTTTGGAAGCCATAAAGTCCATCGCCGGCTGATTGTGCTTCGTATGACTTGATATGCGCACCATTTGCATGATGACGATGATTGGGTGGATGATTACCAATTGCTGCAACGCCCATCGGTGGATCGTGCATTTCTGCAAACAGATCACGAGCCGGTTCCACGCCTTGAGCAAATGCCAAACCTCTGATCATCAAATTGGCAAGATAAGCTGTTGGATGGATATCATTTTGACGCAATTTGGCAAAATATATTTGCATGAGATCAAACCTATTATGCGTCAAGAATACGTTCAAAATTGCTTCATACGTGAGCGCATCGGGCAATTTTAGCTTTGACCTTCGAGTTGAAACATGATTAGGGATTGAATCAAAGATTTGAATCGCTCTTTGCAAATCCTGACAGTGTATACCATGAGCAGTAATGACGGATGCCCAGTGTGCACCATCTACATTTACCTTTCGTGCAGCAATTAATCTTCCAAAGATATCCTGCATTCCGACAATATCAACCGGTTCAATGGTACCGTAAGCATCCAAAAGAAGTTTGTACGTGTGTGCTGTTGGCTCGACATTGTGATGCAACATTCTATCATAATATGCCAACGCTTTCGATCGGTCCGGCTGTGAATGAACGTAGAATTGAATCATCGTGTTGAAAGGTGGTGCTTGAGGCTTGAACATACGATCAGATTCCATGACAGCATACAACTCTTCTGCTTTTGCTTCATCCCCAATTCGAGTAGAGCCATTGATCAAAGCTCCATACGTAACGCTAGAAGGGTTGAGACCCCTTTGACGCATTTCTTCGAATAATTGCAAAGCTCTCTCCATTTTTCTGGCCCTGCACAACTTGCTGATAACCGTATTGTACAAAAAGACATTCGGTTCAACGTTTAATCGTTGTGACTCTTGATACAATTCTTCAGCAATCATTGCATCATCTGTTGTGTCACGCACAACGGTGATCAAGGCTGCATAAGCATTTGCCGTCGGAACATGACCAGCATTGATCAATCGATGTCTATGATCCGAAGCAGCTTTTGCTTCGCCCGCATGTGCCAATCCTGTAATCATTTCATTTTCCAACGAAGCCCAAGACCATTGTTGCCAGTCAATGTCGCCACCAAGAGATGCTACTACATGGCAACCAACAACATATAATTGTTGAACGCGATCTAAATTGCCATTCCTTCCAGCAGTAACCATCATTGCACCGATCGATCGAACTGTAGGATAGGTGCCTGTTTCGGAAATGGACGTCATAAGCCTGTCATATGCACCTTCTGGATCGGCTGGTATTGCTTGAGAGAATTTTGATCTACGCGAGCCTGCATTCTGCACCAACAAACCAGCACACAAGTCTTCATCAATCAGCTGGATAGGCGCATATGCTTGCTGGGCTACCGATTCGCCAATGCTGGAAGGTGGTGAGGTAAAGCCGTCCAGAATGCTTTCAAATGTTAATGTTGTTGTAGCCTCTGATGTTGCATCAGCATTACTGCCTCCATCTGGAGATAATCTTGCCTCTGGTGATGATTCCATTATTTGCTGAGCTAAGGAGGGGTCGATAGCTGCCAAAAGCATATTTGCATCTGAAGGATATTTGCTTAGCGCGATCGTGCCTACTCTTGTCAAATCCAATTCTTGAACTGTCTCTCTGGGAAGTTTGGCCAAATCTTCCAAAAGGATAATGCAACCAGAATCTCGGTCAAAGCCGTTTTCCTTCATTGTTTCATGGGCAGCGAAAACATCGAGCAAAGTAGACCAGTCTTTCGAGCTGAATGGGAGATCTTCAGGTGCGACTTGTCCTCTGACGACATTATACAATTCCACCACTCGCTCGTTGAGGTCCTCCGTGATTTCAGATTGATGAAGTGGCACTAAAGAAGGAACAAGCATTTGTACAGAGGCGACAAGCATCTGAAAAGCATATTGTTCCCTCTCGGAAGCATCCAAGGGTTTTCCAATCCGATGCAATTGTGGAACATTGTCTCCCGTGAGGAGCTTGACCGAATCTCGTATAGCAAAGACCGAATCGGCAACATGCATTCCCTCCTCCCTTACCCTTTCCACGCGACTACGAACATCTGGTAAAAGCAAATGATAATGAATAGCATAAGTGAATGCCGAAATTGCGTCTTGGAATCGCCTCAATTCAATTAATGGTTGAATAACTTTTATCAAGATCGTTCTGGCAAAGAACCGGGAATCTTTAGCCAAGTCGGCAGATAATATCTCGTCTTCGCCAGTTGTATTATCGTTCAGCTCAGAGTGTTTCAAGATCAATTGCAAAGAATCATCCATGAGTGTTGAAGTCAGTTCCACGTTATTCTTGAGAATGGAGTCATCGAATACGTGACTGTTCGCAAGTAAGGCTATCCTGACCGAAGAATAAAGGTTTTTGCGACTTTCTTCGTCCAGCTTCGTGTCTCGATAAATTTCAATGAATCCAGAGGCTACGCGATTCAGTATCTGAACTAGCGGTAAATCTTCAATCCCTGCTCGATTCGCTGTGTCCATAGAAGGATATTCTACTACAGGCAAAGGTAGGCAGCGAGCGTGTCCATGAGCATTGTCTCCTTTTGCTTGAAGCTGACTGTCTATGATTTTGTTTACCCACTTCATCGCATCCACAGATTCACCTTTCTCCAGCAGCTTCTTGATAATGATTCTAGATGTTGAAGACGTTGGCAATGGAGCGGAAGAGTCTGTGAGCATTTTTTCAATCAGCATCAAAGCGCCCGGGATATCGTTACAATCATAATGAATCTTTATCATAGTATTCCAGATAACCGAGGAATGGGAAAAGCCGCTGTCATTGCTGTTGTCAATACTATCCACCGCTCTCTTCCGCTCAAAGGTTTCAAAGATTTGCCGGGTCTGTGATATGATTCTCGCGTCTCTTTCTTGTTCTGACTCGTCTTTTTGCAACCTGCGGTCCTTGGCAAAGCAATTTAATAGAAATCTGAACGTTGACCGATCGATTTCGACGTGCTTATTTGAAGCCATTTGCTGGAAGACATCACACGCTTTTTCGGTGTCTCCTCGCAGAGAGCAACACAAAAGTAATTTGTTGTAAGGTCTCTGGGTAAAAAATCCTCCAGCTCCAGAGGCATGAGCTAGCTTGAAGAGAGAAAAGGCTTGATCAAAAGATTCATCATCTTTTCCGGTTATGTGCTCAGAGTTCAAAATCAGATCTCGTTCACATAATGCCCTTGTCAGTAGTTCCCACGTTCGCGCATTAGGGCGCTTGTCGGCTTCGATCATCTGCAAATAAGTGGCAACGATGTCATTGGTATCTTTCTCTGCATCAGTATAAATGATCTGAAGCAGGGCTTGCAAGGCTTTGTTGAATCCTGAGACTGATTGTCGGGATGGATCGAGTTTGCGATATGTATGGACTGCACTTCTCATCTTCCCGCTGTCCTCTTCCTCTATAGCTTGTTGTATCAATTGTTCTTCAGGCGACCGAGATTGACTTTCTTCTATACGAACAGGTGAGAAAGGCCGTGATGCGTCGTTGAGCATCGGTCCGAGGTCGGTCGATTCAGAATTACCAAGTAATCCTGTTCGTCTTCCAACAGTGGCACCCATACTATGACTACGTCCGGGTCTTCGCTTTTGGATTGTTTTCGTTGGTTTTTGATTTGCATTCTCTAACTGTAGTATAGGCTTTTCCTCCGAGGGTGATAAAGCTTCCTTAATTGGCTGAGGCGAGCTTGTGGAAGCATCATTGGTGAGCGTACGAACGTGAGCGGGACTTGCTGAACTATTGAGAAGCGAATGCTCTGCTCTTGGTAAGATCAATTGTAGCGCTGGCAAGGATGTGATGTAGCTTTCACGTTTTGATCGCACAAGGCGAGCATGTGATTGACTGATATGTCTGCCGATCAAACCGCTTCTGTGTAATTGTCCTGGTCGATGGATGCGTGCTTGTTGGGCTGCAAGATCTTCGTCATCGTCTCCGATAGAATTACTGCCGTCGTTGGATGAGCTTGCGTTTGCATTTGCCAAAGCACGTCCAGATTGCTGAAAGCTTGAGTGAGCACCCCTTCCAGCATGAAATTTCGCACCACCGATTCCTGCGCCATTGGTTGATGAAGCACCGCCTGAGCTTAAGCCTTGCGTCCAAGAAGAGGTAGCAGATGATGAACCTGAAGCTGCATTATTCAAAGCTCCACGAAGACCAGACGATCCTGCGTTTCCAGAAGCAGCGGCAAAACGAGCGAATTGTATACCCAATTTTGTAGCCATTGAGATAGGCATGATGGCTTATGAATTGCAAACACAAGGGAGGCGCCTAAGCGGCCTACGTTGTGTTGAGCCAATTATGATTGAGGAGATGTCCTAGAAGACAATCTTGATGAGATATAGTGATTGAGATATAAATTGACCACTTTGATATCAAAGTATGTCAAGATATACCCTCCTTTCGAGTGACCACAAGGATTTTCGTTGATGTTGTTTGTGATGGTGTGGGGTGGAGTTTCCCTTTGAGTCAGAAAATTATCTGCAATAGATCTTCTTATTTATTGTATGTCCCGATTCTAATCAATCGGCATAAGACGGTTAAGATTTATACTGGCTTTGTGCAGGGTAGGAATTGTGCCACTTTTTTTTTTCTTTAATTAAGAGTCAAGCTAAAAAAAATACATTAATAATGTCTAGAGAAGCTACTGGAAGCATATCGCTAATCTAAAGCTCAGCGTAAGCCATAAAAAGGGACACGGCCTCAGCCGATAACACGTGCTGGCTTGGCTTATGTAAGCCCTGAATTTATCAGTTTAACAATGTAACACACCTCATGGTGGATGGACTTACGGTGAATTATATAGATTTGGTCGTCGAAATGAGAAGATTGATAGACCTTTTTCTTTCTCACACTTTTCAAACAGGGCTCAAGCAATTCCAATGAGGATTTTAATAAATTTCATTGGTAAGTACTTAATAGATTTTTCCCTTAAAGTCTTGACAGAGATGAATGAGAATATTATCATGCATTGAATCTATTTTTTCTTGAAACGAATTTAAGTCAATCCAGCCACGGTCAATTTGGTTGGACTCAACTTTTGGTCTTTTCTTTAAGGAAGACATTCTGCGATGGGCAGCACGAATTGATTAGGAAAGATATAACGGTGATTAATGAAAATGTAGATAGAGTTGTTCTAGGTAGATTAAGAATCTTGCTGAAGGATGTATGCGGTGAAGGGAAAGGATCGGTGTAGTTTATCCTTTGAGCTTAAAATGTGGTGGCAAGAGAAGGGAGTAAGAGGAAAGAGGAGAAGGAAAACTTAATTGGGAAAGTGACATAAAAATCTATTTCAGTTCGATTTGACCGATTGTAATTCGACCAAGCAATTAGGAAAAATTATGTACAATAGAACATGGAATGATATGTGACATCAACGAAAAGCTTTGTCACGGTTCAACAGCCGGCCATACTTCCGCACAATGGTCAACCTCTTACCATTCAGTAACGAATGTTTTCGTGCACCTAAAACTCGTCATATAATCAGTCTCTATTTCGAAATGCATCAATGATTGAGAAAAAGTGACGCTTTGCCTATTTTTACATGGTAATTTATGTGTGTTGCAAGCCAGAAAAGTAAAGGCTTTCTTTTTGGGGGTTGAGAATTTGAGTTTTAGGAAAAAAGTACATTGTTCCGACATCTTAATTGGCATCGTGTTTAATAATCATACGCTGGACCTCCCCTTGCACCTCCGCCATTCATACCATAGCCATCGTATACGCCGCCCCCATTGCCAGCGTTTTGATTCCATCCCCCTTCACCAGCATCTCCATTTTGCATCTCATCTTCTTCGCTTGGTCCATCGATCAGAATACCCAACTCTTGTACAACTTGAGCAGTTTTCAATTCAAGAATTCCCAAAGCGGTCTCTACGACTTCCACAGGACTCATACTTCCAACAGTTTCGACATCAAAGTAGAATCGGTTGGCCTTCCTGTTATAGTCAAACGGTGCATTTTCTGGAGGTGGCTCTTCTTCCCTTGCATTTTCACTTAGAGGCCATTCAGCTTTTGCATCCAATTCATACCAATATGCCGTATGCCGAAGGATGTTATGCGGATCATACTCGTATCCGACTGTGCTGACAGGTGACCATTTAGCATGTTCTTTTGCAAATCCTTTTCGTGCGATACATCGAATCTTTAACTCTTGTCCTTTACGCATCTTTACCAACATGATTCCATCCTGTCTTGGATTATCGAATCCGATCGGTTTTCCGAAATCCAAAGACCTTTGTGCTGTTGGCGTTGGACCCATTGAGCCCATATCCATATCAGGTTCATTTTCATAAGGTTGACCGAGACTATTCGATCTGATTAGCATCTTGGATGTAACGGGCATAATTCCACGTTCTTCGCATTTTGCATGGAGGGTTAATTCAACGCTACATCTGTCACATCCTTCTTCACAAATACATTCACGATGATCAACCAAAACTTGAGATGCGTTTGCACTGATCAAAGGGATCATACCTAATCGATGTGCCAAGAATTCATCGGGTAAAGGGGTTGTATTATTCTGAATTTCTACCATATCGATTGCGCATGTTGGAATATCGGCAATCATTGCTCTTCGTAGAGAGTTGGCAAAGCTCATATCAACGTTCTCTAGCACAAAGTTAGCACGATCAGATGTGAGAGAGCGCATTGTGATCTTTGGCTGAGATGTTGCATATAAACCAGAGATGCCATTTGATCCGGATGCCATTCCATTACCATTGATGCCGTTCATAGTGGCCATCTTTGCACCTTCCTCCTCACTTTGATGAATTGATGTAGCCGATTCGTTGATGAGCTGGAGGTGGTTCTGTCGGAGGTGAGTCTTGGATTAGAGGGAGATGATGATCCAACAAGATCAAAAGAGTGCGCACTGCACCATCACGCTCAAATGCTGCGATGAAGAACTGATCTCTCTGTGTGTGTTTAAGCTTAAAGGCGTGTGTATCTTGCACGCAGTCGCGAATCACTCACTCACTCACTCACTCAAGCTTTAAACTTCTCCAGGCCCACGCTGATTCGTTCAAGATTAAATAAAAATGCAAGCACGCGTCAATTTATAATCTCTCTCTTAATTCCGAAACGCCACAAATTATTCACAATTGTGACTCGCGACTATCATCATTGAACCATCAATCATCTGTCTCAGCTGAGTCTTTGCATCATGGCTTTCTCTGGTGCTTTGACGTTGACGGATCTGAATGATTATCTAGGTCCATCACAAGCATGTATCAAGCCAGTCTCGGGAAAAGATGCTCCCTCCACCGAACAGAAAGAAGTAGGCGCAGCTTCAACAGAGATTGCTATTGATGCTGATGGAGAATATTACGAATCGACAGCTGGTCAAATGGGAATCAATACCGCGTCTATAGATGATAAGCCAAGAGCCCGAACAAGACTGGAAACAGCAGAGATCAGCTTGAACGATTGTTTGGCATGCAGTGGTTGTGTGACAAGCGCTGAATCGGTACTGATTGGCATGCAATCTGTCGATGAATTACGCAAGGCTGCCGAAAAGAAAGGTACAAGCGAAGATGATGCACCTACACATATCGTTGTCAGCATTTCACCACAATCCCTCGCTTCTTTGTCGGCAAAATACTCTCGTTCTTTGGCAGATCCATTACCTCTGCAAACGGTACTTGATCGCGTTGAACATTTTCTCAAATCGAAGATGCAGGTTGATATAGTCATTGATACTTCATTTGCACGCCATATGTCCCTAGCCGAACAAGCAAAAGAATTCCGAGAGCGGAAAGAAGAAGGTCTATCCAGTACACAGCCTACCTTACCGATGCTAGCAAGCGCTTGTCCAGGATGGATCTGCTATGCGGAAAAGACCCATGGCGAGCTCATACCTTTAATTAGCAAAACTCGTTCACCACAGCAGATCGCAGGTATTCTAGCAAAACGATACCTAGTAGAGAGCGGAGGATTAAGTTCCTCTGAGCGTGTTACCAGAGTATACCACACTACAGTCATGCCATGCTACGACAAAAAGCTGGAAGCGTCTCGACAAGATTTCTTCGATGATGTGACGCAGAGCCGCGATGTGGACTTGGTAATCACGACTGGAGAATTGGACGATTTGATGCAAGCAGAATCCTTCAATTTAGCCTCATCGATTGAAAAGATAGAGAACGACGTTTCGATGACGCCGCCTGATTCACTTCAGGAAGCAAGTGTTTCGCCGGGCATACCCTCACTCTTCCAACAGCCTGGAAGTAGCTCAGGCTCGTATCTCTTTGATCTCATTAGAAGGGTATGGGTCGAGTATTTGGAAGAATCTCAAGAATCTGCATCCTCGAAGCCATTCCCAAAACTCGCTGTAAAGATGATCAGATCGGCTGATTACACCGAATACGTTCTTTATGCGCAAGATGGAAGCGGTAAGATTTTGTTCAAAGGAGCACAATGTTATGGTTTCCGTAATTTGCAAAATTTGGTTCGTAAAGTTCAACGTCAAACTGGACTAAAGAGTAAGAAAGCCGCTGCTGGCTCTTTATTAGATGGACCATCTACATTGAACTCCGAACGAAGATCTGCAAATGGTTTGAGAGGTCGTGGTCGCGGTGGAATGGTACGTAGAGGAAGAGGTGGATTGGCCGGCCGGTCTAGCACGACTGAGAGTAGTCCATTAGCACGTTCTGATGCGGCGATTGAAAATGTGATGGAAGATGAAGAAAGTCGAGCGTACGATTTTGTAGAAGTGATGGCTTGTCCGGGAGGTTGTGTGAACGGAGGTGGACAGATCAGACCGCCAGGACAGGCTAATGGATCTGCAGGCTCTTCAGCTTTGACCGCTCGTACGATCACTGCTGATGTTACTGAAGCGATCCTTGATGATACTTCTTCCGCGAACAAAGTCAATACTGATGCCAAGACACTTGATCCAGAGGGTTATACGTCCGGTTGGAGCACACCTCCATTGAGTGTTTCTGGCACGAGTGAAGGAAATGCAGGATTGGACGGAGAAGGGCCAAGTACGCCGATGGAATTAGACGAGACCAATGAACCGGCTGTTCAAGGCTGGAAAGGTACTTCGAAAGAATGGGTAAAGCGAGTCGAGTACCTTTACTGGCGAGCTCTGAAAGATACATCTGAAGATGAAATGATTGGAAATATCCATCAAGCTCAAGCTTTAGGTGTCTCACGCGAACAAATTGATAAACGAATCTCAAACACTATCCAAAGAGCTGCTGCCAATTTAGCCGCTTCAGCATCACTTGACATCTTGGCAGAGCAAGTCATTCAGACCATATGCAAGAAACAGAAACGATCTGATATCCTAAGGACACAATATAGAGCTCTGCAGGATGAAGCAGTAAGCGGCCTGGCAGTTCAGTGGTAATTAACGTTTGAGGTTGTACTTATAAGATTGTATTGTTATCACATTGTACATTATTTAGACATATGTCTTTCGCAATTGAATTTGTGCATTTCAATCTTCATCTTCGAAAGGATTAGCAACATACTCCAAATCATCGTCATCATCATCATGATTGTGTGCATCTTGATGAGCAGTAGCATTCTTGTCAGATTCAGCATGACTTCCACTTCTTGGTGACGTGATACCACGGCCTGCACTTCCTTCCATCAAACTGACAGCATTGCGTTGCGATTGAGATTTCGCAGAAATGGGTGGAGAATCGACACTATTGTCACTAATCTTGATCGGTTCAAATGTTTTTTCGCTTGCTTTACCACCTCCTGTTCTACCTGCATCGTCCCAACCAAAATTTGCATCATCAGCATCATCGTCTATTCCATCATTTTTGCTCATAGAAGATGATTTTGATCCGCCTTGTCTTTGTCCTCCTGCAACTTTCTTATACCGATCGGCTATACTGCTTAAGCTATTCTTTCTGGCAGGTGATGACTCTCCACTTGCAGAATCATTCCTTCCACGAGCCAAAATCTTTGCCAATTCATTCTCTCCGACAGGAGATGGATCACGATCGAATCCACGTCCCGATCCTATCGTAGGTGAAGCAGTAGAACCCGAACTTCCCGAAGGATTTCTTTGATTCCATCCTCCGAAAAATGATCCGCCTCGCCCGCTTGGAGGAACCTGATCATTATAAGCTCCGGCACCGGGTGAACCTTGACTACGTTGTGCCCATGCTTGTTCACCTTTTTGACGCAAAGCCGAAAAGGTAGAAGCCGCTTTTGCAAAACCTTGCTCAGCAAATTTATTGATATCCTCTTGCCACTGTTTTGCTTCTTTAGGTCCCGGTAATCCTGCTCCGCCTTGACCATTATATCCAGTAGAGTTCTGTGGACTATAAGTGGGTCTCGGAGCGTTGGTTGTTTGATTACCAGAGGCTGTACGACGAACACGTGGTTGATAGGAGAGATTGTTTGGATCGTATGCCGGCGATTGAGATTGCTCCTGTCCCTGACCTCCCATGCCGAACAGCGATCCAAGAGCACCTCCTCTTGCCGATGAGGGGTTAACGAATGGTCTTTGTGATCTTGCTTGTTGTTCTTCCGAGGCAGCAAGTGATCTTGCGAATTGTTCATCCTGTTCCGTTTGACTGAGTTCACGAGGTGGTGGAGGAACGTAAGAAGGATCTGACATCTGTAAGAGCGTATTGATTGCTCTTTCAAAATCACCACCTTCAGCAACCACAACAGCTTGAATTGTGTCTGTATCTATGTCTGGAAACATTGTCTTGATTTGTTGTGTTGTAGGGTCTAACTGTGTTGCTTGAGTATTTTCGGACGGGATAGCAGGCGTTGCTGTAGCGGCAGATTGCGTTGTTTGTTCTTCAGCAGGTGATCCTGGAGGAGAAAGTGTTTCAGGTGATCCCTTTCCATCTTTTTCTTTTGCATCAACGGTTAATGTATTTGATTTATTCATCGTTTCACGAGCTGCTTCTTCGCTTGGCTTTGATTGTGTTGGAACGTCTTTTGTTCCTCCTGCATTACTTCCACCATCCAAAGCATCGCTCAAAGCGGTCATATCCAACTTGGAATCCGGTTCTGACATCTTAGAATGAGTGTATTGGTAAGAGCAGATGGTGGTGAGGAGTGCCGTGTGTGAAGGTGGCTGTGTGTGTTTGTATTCAAGCTGGAGTGCCTTAGACGCACAGATCTTTTAAAGTGTGCAGCAGATCTGCCTGCTTGCAGCCTTGGCGTAAGAGAAATAATCCAAACAAGGGCCGCCAAATGGGAATAACGCACGGGGCAACAGCAAGCGAGAATAAAAGCGGAAATGTAATAGGCTTGCTTATAAACATTCTTATCCTTTCACCATCAATACCAGCTCGATGAAGTAGAAGCAGCGATGACAACTGTAGCAGCAAATGGGGCTGATATCAACAATGGAGATGCTCCTTCACAGGGTGTGATCACTGCTTCAAGAGATTATGGAACGCCAGCATTAGATCTCACACCGCTTCGACTTTTGGCTTTACGTTCATTACTTTCACTTTTGGACCAAATAGCTGAACCAAAGACGCTTTTACTTGATGCTACACTTGCAGGACCACTTGGACTTGTTTCTGATGTCGGAAGTTTGCGGGAACATGGCGTTGAAAGAATGTTCTGGCTGGAAGAGCCTGAGGATCATTTCCCCAAAACAGAACAAGAAGGCAACGATAGAATGATCGGCCTCGAAAAGGATGTCAATGCGCCAACTCGAGCAGTGGTATACATTTGTCGTCCAACATTGAGTCTAATAAGGGTCATATCAGGTGAGTATTCTCCCAATCCAACCGACCTTGGACAATATTAGCCTGTACACGGCTATCGCTCATCCTTGTACGGGTCAGTCAACGTCCATAGATGCATACAGCTTTTACATCGTCCACCTTTGGAGAATGTAAAGGTGTCAGTCTCATTTTCCGTCTTGCTCCAGTCTGTGCATTACGGATTTGTCTAGACCGACGGACATTCAAACCATACTGTAGATGGAGAGCTTACCTTTGCATCTCATTCCCCTGTCAGGTCATATTCTTTACGATCGGAGGACTGCAGCAAATGCAAACTCCCTCAAACACACCTATCATGCCCTATTTTCTCCAAGAAGAACAGAGCTGGCCTTGCAACTGCTCTCGTCCATAGCCACGCCTTCAATATTGAGCGATCTGAACTTGCATGATCTAGGGCTGGAGTTTGTACCGCTAGAGCAGGATGTTCTTTCGCTAGAGGAAGAAAAGGCTTGGTCTGATATCTGGGCAAAAGGCGATCATGGAGTGATACATCGTTCTGCCATGGCTTTGATGACCGTTCAGCATGTCTATGGTGCTTTTCCACGCATTGTGGGGAAGGGAGATATGGCAAAAAGGCTTTCTTCTCTTCTTTTACGACAGAGGCGTGAGTATCTGGCATCAGATCCCTCTAATCCGTCGCTACAAAACCCTTCACGCTCGATCGACAGTCTGATTATCATTGACAGAAGTGTCGATTTGGCAACTCCATTGTGCACTCAACTCACATACGAAGGTTTGGTGGATGAAGTGATTGGAATACGTAGCGCACACGTTGAAGTCGACCCTGCGTTGGTATCGGATGCTAGGACCAATCTTGCTCCTGCTGCAAGCACAGCTTCTGGAAGTACTACACCGATACCATCTGCTCGGAAAACGAAAAAGGTTCGATTGGATCGTACAATAGATCCATTATTTGGCTCGATTCGTGATGAAAATTTCGCAATAGTAGGAGAGAAATTACACACATCTGCAAAGAGGCTCAATGAAGATTATGAAAGGAGACATAATGCCAAAACAGTTTCTGAGATGCGTGCATTTGTGAGCAAGTTGGGCGGATTGACGAAAGCGCATGCAAGTTTACGATTGCACACTGGATTGACGGAAAGAATAATGGAATTCACTACACAAGAAATTTTTAATGCCAGTTTGGAACTTCAACAAAATATTGTCGCTGGAGTTGATTTGAACGATCAGCTATCGAATATTGAAGATCTCCTCTCAGCACAAGCGCCAGTGTTGACTGTTATTCGATTGCTTTGCCTGTTCAGTGTTGTAAGTGGGGGTATCAAACCGAAGAATCTGGAATATCTAAAAAGGGAAATCGTTCAAACGTATGGATATGAGTACATTCCCTTGCTCGATATGCTGGCGAAGACTGGGCTTATGACACGAGCAACACCGTCGAGCACACGTACTAGCGTTGGTTTTCAAGCGGTCAGATCATCGTTGAGATTGGTCGTTGATGATATAGACGAGCATGATCCGAACGATGTGAGCTATACGTACAGTGGATATGCTCCTTTGAGTATTCGATTGGTACAGGCAATCGCTCAAAAAGATGCTCTGTTGGCTCGGAATACTGGACAATCGCAAGGTGGTCAATCACTTTCACTTGCGTCTGCACCAAAAGCACACCCAATATTGGGATGGAGAGGATTTGAAGATGTCGTGCGCAGTCTTGAAGGAGCAACATTTGATGAAGTGCAAGGCAAGGATGAGATTCATACTCGAGCAGGAATCGATGGCGCAAATGCTAGGAAGACGACTGATACCTCAAATATTGCTGCTAACCCACCCGGAATGGGAAGCTCTGCATTGAATGCGACCACAACCACGATGGTGTTCTTCTTGGGGGGTGTGACGTTTGCTGAGATCTCCGCGTTGCGATTTATGGCCTCACGTACGCGCAACAGACGATTCCTCATTGCGACCACAAACACCATCACAGGCGACACAATGATTAAGAGCTTGCAATAATTCATACATATTCATAGCTAGTGACAATTTGTACAATACAACAAATCTGCATTCGTGCACACACAATATACCATATATTACTGATTTTTTATCTTGCCGATGAGTATTTTGTCCGTAAAGCGATCACTGCCAATGTTGCACCAACGCCAAGAGCTGCTCCTCCGATACCGGCCAGCCAAGGTGAAACGTATCCTACCACAGGACAAGTGCCAAAGAGTGATTTGTACAGTGAATCTTTTGACGGAATGAAAGATCGAATGACGGAAATGCCACGAACGTCTCTAGGTTTGTATACCTTTCCGGCTTCCCAACCCGATAAGATTTTGTCCATTTCTTCTGGCGTAAGTGAAGCAAGTTCATCAAAAGACCAAGCATCGCAAACATCAATCATCCAACGCATCCTTCTAGCACCTTTATTGGGTTCAGGTACCTTTTCACGTAATTTTGCACGCAAAATTCCCACTTTTTCGATTGCCGATCCTATCGAGACCGGTAATGCACGTTCGATTAACGATCTGGTGGTGGCAGCGATTCTTGGACCTTTTCCGCCGGTAGATACCATTATTTGTAGCGGACCGCGTCTTATCAAACTTCCAAAGTAAAAATCACATTCTGGTGGTACGTCTGCCACATTGACGGGAATCTTTAACGATCTTGCAATTTGACAAATTGTGCGTGATGTTGTTGCATCATCGATTGCAGTCAAGACTAAATCGTAACCTGCAATATCTTCTGGTCCTTCGTAACTCTTGTCGATATACTGGTCAACACTCTTTTCTACGTTGATACGATATTTCATCTCTGTACATAATCCGCTCGAGGGACACATTACGGTTAAATGACCATCTGCATCTTTTACGTTGATCAACCTTCCCGCTGCTACATTTCCGCCTCCGACAAGTAGTACCTTTTTGTCCTTTAGCTGCCATGCCAATATCAGTCCACCACCTGGACATATCTTTGTGTATTTCTCATGATCGGGTACCTTTGACATCTTGATAAGAATGATGTGAAGGTTTAGAGAGAAGGCTAGATAAGAAATAATTAATAATAATTAATAATTATATTTTTCTTATCAATTTAAAGTCTGTGCTTTGTATACGCGACTGCCCGCATTTCTTCTTTCTCTACTTAACTCCGATCACAATCACAGTCCGTGCGCAAAAATGAATTCGCCCCGCATGAACCTCTTTCCGTTTCTAGAACCAGATGCAAACGGGCTTAATGCAGTCAAACAAAGGGTGCATACAAAACATCAATTGACGGATATAAGAAATACTCAATAATGCTGCTGAGTAGGATGTTGTCAACCATCAACCATCATAATCTAGCAAAAAAACAGAATGGCAGCTAAAAAGATTGTAGTAATCCTTGGTGCCGGTCCAGGTCTTGGTCAAGCATGCGGTAGAATCTTCGCAAGCAAAGGTCATCCAGTCGCATTGCTTTCACGTAGTATGGATCGATTGGAACAATTGAGTAATGCAATCAACAAAGAAGTTGGTGATGAAAAACGAACAAGGCCATACGCTGTTGATGTGACGAAAAAGGAAGATATCGAAAATACATTCAAGAAAATCGCAAAAGATTTTCAAGATGCTAAAATTCATACAGCAATTTATAATGCAGGTGGTTTATTCCAAATTAAAGCTTTCTTGGATTTAACTGAAAATGATTATCGTAATATTTACAATATTCAAGTGTGAGTACAACTGAATAATGCAAAGATGAACGCTTTCTAATCCTTTCCCTTCTTTGAATACAGTATCGGTGCTTTGCACTTTAGTCAAACATTCATTCGTTCCCTTCAACAACAATCCGAATGGCAAGAATGGCAAAAAGATGCAAATGTGACAACTTCCGTTGGTAATTTGTTCTTTACCGGGGCAACTTCTGCTCTGCGTGGATCAGCAAAAATGTCTTCTTTCTCCCACTCCAGTTTCGCTTTACGTTCCATGACTCAAAGTATCGCACGTGAATTTGGTCCTCAAGGCATCCATGTTGCCCATTTCATCTTGGATGGAATGGTGGATACAGAACGTTTGAAGGAAATGGTGCCCGGAGACTTTGAACCAAATTCAAGATTGAAGCCAGATGATATCGCTCAGGTTTATTATGACACCGCTCAACAAAAACGTAGCGTTTGGGCTTTCGAAACCGATTTGCGTCCTGCCAAGGAAAAGTGGTAGGTACATCATAAAGTCTTTTTTCTCCTTCAAAGATCATCTCAACATCATTGTTGAAGAAGTCCATTCATGTATCCAAATTAAGCTCACTTTCATGACCCGGGAAATTGATTATCTTAAAATGCAATGATCAAGTGCGTTTTCAATCAATAATATGTTGTAAGTCAAAATGAAATTCTGTAATGAATAAAGGGTATGCGTATGCTTTTGATTTTAAACCTATCCTTTGGTATCTTTTTTGTTAGTATGAAAAGAAGAAAGAATTATTATCAAATTATTCCAAGATGTTCCATCGATCGCCCCCTTCAGCGATGTAATTGTCTGTACAGGCTTGACATGCTGAATTGCCATCCGTTTTCAGCATGTGGAAAAACGTGAGCGAGTAATCTGCTTGCCGTTGGACGTTCGTTCGGATCGACGGCAAAACAAATTTTGAGGAAATGAGCGGCTGCTTTGGAAAGTCTTACATCCGGTGGGATTGGAGGTGCACGTCTTTCGGCGCCAATCTTGAACATCGCTTGAACGGCTTCTTCGTCTGACCATGGTCTTCGACCTGCAAACATTTCCAAAACCACACAACCAAGTGACCAAATATCCACTTTGGCCGAATATCCTGCTCTGCTCAAAACTTCTGGTGCCATCCAAAAGATTGAACCTTGCATTGACATACTCGCAACATTTCCATAAATATCTTCCGATTTACGAACCGTTCCGAAATCACTAATTTTCACAATTCCGTTAAAGTCAACCAACAGATTGTCCGCTTTCAAATCTCTGTGTAAAATACCTCGACCGTGCAAATAATTCAAACCGTTCAAAATTTGTTGCAAGAAACTCTTGATCGTAGATTCGTCCAATTTGCCATGCTTGCGTAAACAACTTCCGACACTTCCACCAGGAACGTATTCGAGGAAAATACTAAGATTACTTCGCGTTTCTTCAAATCCGAGATAGCTGACAATGTTTGGGTGATCCAAATCCTTCAACGTTTCAATCTCAGACTTTAAAGCGGCAACGACGCCTTTTTGACGATTATCTTCACGATCTGAAGCTGTCCTAGGTAATTCGACTTGTTTCACAGCAATCATTTCACCAGTGGTCGCGTTCAAAGCCAGGTAGACACGACCATAAGTACCTTTACCGATCAAGTCACCCTTTACCCATTTGAAAACAGGCTTTTGTCCGTCATTTGATGTAGTTGATGTTGGTGAATCAGCCACATTTGGATTACTTGCTGCTTCTGTTCCTGGTGTAACCTCAATCACCTTTCCACCCCACAATTTCGTACTTCTTCTTCTGCTCAAATCTGTTGCTCCCGTCTTACGCTGTTCAGCCGCTTCGACTTTGTCCAAGAGCTTCTTACGATCTTGTGCAACAATACGGATACTCTTTTTATGTTGCATCCTAGAACGAGCAGGTGAAGCGGCCGTTGTAGGTGAATTCATACCTGCAGGAGAATGAGTCTGTTCGCTTGCGCTCTTAGACACAGTCACAGCAGGTGTCATTGAAAGAGCCGGAGTGGGTCCTGCGACTTGATCTGTCCTTGGACTGCTTGCTTGTGGACTTGAAGGTGTAATTCCTGCTCCAGCAGCACCACCACTGCCGGCGCTTGCATTTGGATCGATCACCGGCTTGTCCAAATCATGCTTTGGGAAAAAGTCGTCCAAATTCTCATACAATTGCTCTGGAGGAGGACGGAAAGCCCAATCTCCACGTTCACGACGTGCAAAAGAAGGTTGACGTCCAAGACCAGAGGTGCCTGGAGAAGGTGTTGGATGGAAGCCAGGTCCAGCAGATGATGATTCGGGTGATACTGAAGCATTCTCTAGCAACTTTGCCGATGACAATGATGGAGGAGTTTCGATATTGAGCGTCAAAATAGGTCGTCTCGGACTTAATCCTCCAGACATGGGATCTTGTGCATCCGGCATCAATGTACCGTCTCCCACACTTGCCATCTTTTCTGTGCCAGGAGCCAACGTCTGTGCGGCATGATCTGTATCCGATTTCGATTTCACAGCCGTGTCCAGCGGTTGTGCCCACGTTCCACCTTCAAAGTCTTCCTCATCCTCATCATCATCGAACGTCTTGAATGTACCCTCTCCTTCGTTGATATTACTATCCAGTCCAGAAGATGGAACTGCTGTTCCCAAAGATGTAGTGGATGATCCATTGACAGATGAATCAGGGCCATCAGGAGTATCTGGAGAAGATTCGAAACGCTTTTCTGCCTTTGTCTTTTCCTTTGCACGTGCAGTTCCTTCACCTTCATCATCATCCAATGATTTCATCATATGCTTGTATTGACCCGCTCTGAACGTATCTTCATCTTCTTTCGATGTATCAGCAATATCCAAATTTGGCAAGGTGACAGGAGGCAAACGCGGCAATGGTCGCATGTTGATCAGATCTTCTTCACTAGGCGATCCTTTACGGCCTAGTTGCGTTGCTGATTCATAGCTCTCATTGGTAGCATAAGGCAATTCAGTGTCAGCGGCCACAGTTTCATTCTTTGATTCCATACTGCGCGAAGAACGTGCAGAGGTTGGAGCACTGTATTCGCCATCTTGTTGTCTACGATCATCACTTGAAGTGGTGAAACGTGCATGAGAGGAAGATGAGTTATTGGTCACAAATGAAGAACCCGATGAACGATCATTACTACTGACAGACGCCTGCTGTGGTGCAGCTGCGGGCAATTTTGCTGCACTTGTCATTGTTGGCGTTGCTGGATTGTAGTAGTATTGCATCGAAGCAGGCATACGTCCAGGAGAACCGACATCCAATCTTTGATCGGGTCGAGAGTTGGAGACCTGCGACTGGTGCTGTTGAGGATGGTAGACGTGTTGCTGTTGCTGTTGTTGCTGATGACGAGGATCATAAGCATACGCAGGCGGCATACTTGCAGCCTGACTCATCGAAGCCGATTCAGCTCGAATTGGCGGACCTGGTCTAGGTGATTGCGTATGATATTGCATCGGTGGAGGCTGTTGAGATCGATTCATTGACTCTTGTACAGTCATACCGGGCTGCAATACCACTCGTGTACTGCTAGATCTCTGGAATTCATTCACCGTAAGCGGATTGGAAGCGGGAAAGTGTGCACTCATGAAAGGACTCTCTTGACCGCGCAAAGATTGTTGATGAACCAATTGGGGTGTCGACCCTTGAGGGTAGAAACGTCTATCTTGCATGCTTTGTGGTCTAGGTGGACCATTTCCTCCATAAGCTGCCATCCTAGGATCATAAGGTGACTGACGAGCGCCGAATTCATGCGGCAAATACATTCCTGACGGGCGAACATTGCCTTGTGCTGGCGGTCCCATAAATCTCCTATCTTGTGGATAGTGCCCTACACTCGGCACTGGACGCATAGGTGGACTGCCATAATAAGGATTTCCACCTTGACCGTGCATCATTCCTTGTTGGTTTTGACCATGGCCATGCATAGAATACGGTGCACCTCCATGTTGAGATTGATGCATTGGCACACGAGGCATGGACAGCATTGGTGCTGGACCAGGTCGTCCAACCGACGGTCCACGAGGATCGTTCATATTCTGCGAGCCTGCCATTGTTGTCCTGAATGATGGTGGCAGAGGAGCTGCACCAAAAGAGGACGAGCGTTCACGATCGAATGGTCTTGTGAGCGGGCTGACTGGTGAAATGACATTGTTGTGTGCAATAGGTGGAGATGCATGCGAGGAATGCATTGAAGGGTGATGCAGCTGTCCGAAGGAATTTGCACCAACACGGATCGCATCGCTCGTGCTTGGCCTTTGCCCATGAGGAGCGACCGATTGACTGCGAAGCATTGGGTCTGCTCTACCAGGATCATGCTGCTGATGATGATGATGATGCTTTGATGATGACATCTCTGGCGTGCCCAGAGGTCTAGATGCATTCAGAGCAGACTGACTAGCATAAGCGCGCAGGCTATTACTGTTCGATCCATTGTAATCGTTATAGTCATGCTCATGACTGCCGATGTACATCTGTGCCGCATTATCCGATAATCTTTGTTCTCGTCCTCCTCCAGGCAATAGACTGCGTGGCAGGGTTGAAGTAGCGCTAGAAGGACTCGAGAGACCTGTTTGCACGCCTGGTTCAGACATCGAAGGTGGATGAGATGACGTTCGTTGCGTGGTTGGCCGAGAACCAGGATTAGAAGTCGAAGGAATACCTGCTCCTCTTGAAGGTAGCGTGTTCGTCTCACTTTCCCATTGACCATGAATCGTATGTCGTGATTGAGATGTATTGGGTCTAGCAACTCGCCTATGATTTCCATATCTTCCGTCATCGAGATCTAAAGCATCACTCACTTCTTCAATGGGAGAGCATTGATCTCCGATTGTGTCACTTTGAACAGAGGTGTTCAATTTAGCCAATTGAACTGTTGAAGATGACGATGTTGATTTTGCAGGATCGTATGCATCATCGGCACTTGCTGTCAAGGACAAAGTGCGTGTATCATCGGCCAGAGAAGATGTCGATGTTGCCAGAGAACGTCTGTTTGTTGCTTTGCTTCTTATCAGCCCGCTATGTGGTCTCGAAGACGATGCTTCGGAGCTACTGTCGTGACCAGCATTCGTAGTGTGTTGCATCTGCCCATCAACTGCATGGTTTTGAGCAGGTAATTCGCTGACAGAAGAACGGGATGATGACATACTTCCAGCTTTGGAGTTTTGCTGACGTGAAGCAGAAGTTGGAGTTGTGGTCGTGTTGGTGTTGACCGAGGTCCTCTCCACCAAATCTCTCGTGATAATATGAGGTGAAAGGTTTTGAGGAGGTGGTACCATTGCTCTTGCAGTTCCAGTTGGTGGTGCAATCTGATGCAATAAGAACTTCAACGTTCCTTTCTCATCTCCCATTTCCCAACACATTGCCAATAGTTGATCATCGTCTAAACGAGGACCTGTCGAACCAACTGCTCCAATCTCTGTCTGTGATAGGGCAAAACATGAAGGGTCCTCGTCGTATATATGCAATTTGCTCAACATCGTCTCCTTGATTGCCGCTGCAGAATTCAATCCAGACACATCCACCACCGAGAACCTCTCATTGTCCACAGTGACCTGAATCAGTGTCCTCTCCATAACGCTAACCCTTCTGCTATCGCGTGAGGAGGATGGTGTGGGAAGTTGATTTGCAATTCCAAGTGATCCGGGACTACGATGATTGCTACTGCTTATCGAAATAGGTGGCGATGCGATCGGGGCTTGAGCTGGACTGTTTCCGTTTCTTGAAGAAGAAAGAGAACTTGCAGATCGATCCCTTTGCATCAAAGGTGGAGATTGAATAGTCTTTTGCCCAGTGATAGTGGAAAGACTTGATTCTCCTTCCTCTAAAATGCCGGGAGATTGTACCCTTTCAACACCGCCTGAGCTACTATGTGATAAACTTCTTTCCCAATTAAAAGTCGGATTTGCACTGGAAGTTTGAAGAGCGAGAGGCGAAAATCTATGAGATGAATTTGAACCGCCAGGCGAGTATTCTTCCAAAGAGACTGCTTCAGTAGATTGTGATGCTATATTTGATATACCCGAGATGGATAGAATGGTAGATGATGGACGTTTCGAACTGCTGTTGGAATCGCGTGCTTCACTTCGACTATGTAACCTACGACCAAAGCGATCTAGCATGCCACCAACGTGTTCAAACACGCTGCTAGGTCTACGCGATTTGAATAATGAAGATGTAGAAGAAGCAGAAGGAGGTGTGCTGATAGAAGGTGTCGTGACGGATGATGAACTTGGATCCAGTACTAGAGAGAACTGATCACGATCCGATCTTTTCCTGATAGGTTCACTTGGAGTTCCAGCGGATATCGATGTATTCGGTGAGCCTGATGATGAAGAGACCTCTTCTCTTGTTTGGGATGTATTTGGTGGCATCCCATCTGCTGAGGTAGTTTTGCTTTGAAGAAGGCAACCACGTTAGGTCGCAAACTGTTTGCGAAACGATCACTCGATGCTGGGAGCACAAAGAGACGTCTTGAGAGATTGAAATGGTGGGTCGAGCGATCTCGAGTATGCCTGATCGGCACTTTGCCAATCTCTTTTCACTTGCGCTGAATAGGCATTTACAGGGAGAGAAGAAGGTAGGGATAGATTAGAGACAAGACTTGATTGTTTAAACAAGCTTCTCTGCCCAATCTGCCTTTGACTTCTTTTGCCTGTAAGTTGTCTTGATGACAATCTGAGCCTATTCAGATGTGTTGAAATCGAGTGATGATAGTGAAAGAGATTGAATGGATTTCTTCAAAGTAAGGATGTCATGATGATCTGTTTCGTATAAATGCACCTTATGTGTGACTAAAAGGCCAAAAAGTTGTTTGACTGATTTGGGAGGCGTAGTGAGTATGTATGTAACTGCTCTCAGGCCTTGACTGGCTTTCTCAAGAGCCCACTTCAACAGACAGTGCAAGTAGCGGAAGAGAGTGAGTTATGTGCAGAGCAACAGCCAGAAAAAAAAGAAAGAGGCTAAACGCGTCTCTTTTTTTCCCCCTCCTTGATACTCTCTCTCTCTTTAGCAAAGACCCATGTGGTCGAACATGAGTGTGAGACTGTCTGTCGGCCTTAGCGTTAGAAATACATTTTCATGCAAGTTAAAAAGGAACAAGGTTGATAGAAATCATTCTTTGGTTCTTTGACCTTTTTCTTGCGTTTTTCAATTAAAGAAGGGAAATGAAAAAATAACAAGCATGATGATCATTTCTGTATGCAGAAAGAATACAACCAATTGACAGCTTTCCATATTTGAACGTAAGATCAAGCTTAGATTCATTCGCTTAAGCAAGCCATTGCATAAACACTCCCCCTTCTCTTGACGGATCCTAACTTAACACACGTGGACTACATAATCATGACATCAAGCATGAATACAGACTTGACAAGCCGCACCGCATCGTCAATGTGATAGGAGAAAGCTCTCGTCTTCTGAGAGACAGACGAGAGAAATGCATTTTCGGTATATCGGTTTTTCGCATCGCCTATTTTCGGTGTAAAATAACCCTAATTCATTTTCCCCTCGAATTAATTCCCCCTTTCAAAAATGCCGTTCGCCGTTCGTTGCTCAGCGTAGCGCGTAGCCCAGTGCGCCGCGACGGCGTTTTTGCCGCTTAAAAAACCATACCACTCTCCCCACAATCCCTCCCCCCCTTTTTTTTTGGACATAAATCAATTAAAAAGACGGGCCCTGTATTCGTCGGCCAGGTCGGTATTTGAATTGAAGCCGAGCTTGATCGACTTTACATGCCGATGAGACCTCATGCGTAAGAATAAGATCATACCATATATTCAATAGCCTGTATCCGTGGATGGCTTCATAGCGATCCGTGGAAGGATGATGCTGTGGCTTGGATCCGTGGAAATTAAAAATTGGAAATCAGAATATCATACGTGATGATGTATTGATTAATCAATTAATTAACAAGTCCAATTTATAGTAAAGTAAAGTAAAAAAAATGAGCAACAAATGTAAAATACAAATTATACATTGAGATAGTCATCTTCTCTCATCAAAAAAATAGAGAAGGATCAGCACCGTACCGTTTTGCAAGCTCTTTTTGCAATTCTTGTTTTTTGATCACTAAAGCATTATGTTCATCAATCTTTCCATGAATATGATCAACAACTTTCATCAAAATCATTGCTTCGCTTCTCGGTCCACTTTTGCTGTCCACATTTCCACCTCCACCACCACCATCTCCTGGCTTTCTCTTCTTTCCGCGCTTTGTATCGCCTTCTTCTGCATCATCTTCGTCATCCTCATCGTCTTCTTCTTCATCACCGCCATCTTCATCCATGCTCTCTCGAAGGCTGGGTACCAAAGAACACAAAAGTTCATACCCTTTACGGATGTTCGCTCTTCGCTTTTGTTCACTGGCAATGTGATTCGCTTTCTTTTCCGCTTCCGTCAAAAGAACATGCGATTGCTTCTTCTTTCCTGAGCCCGTTCCTTCTTCTGCATCTTCATCATCATCTGCAGACGTTCCTCCACGTCCACCTTGCGTTTGCTTGGCATCCTTTCGATCTTTGCGGATATTCGCACTCAATCCTTGTGCTTTCCGTTTCATTTGTTCCTCACGCAGATCTTTCAAGTGAGGCTGTAGCCGTTTGAGAGAAGGCGAGAAGAATGCTTCTTGCAAATTTGGCGGGATCACGTTCGACTGTGCTACCTTTTCCACATCCAAAACAGGCAAAGGTGGTCTTGGAGCAGGTGTAAAAGTGTACGTGCCATCCAGTTCAGAACTGGCTGATTGGGATTGCGTCATCTTGGTCTTTGGATTACCGCTCTTCTTGCTCTTTCCTGATTCTCCTCCGCTTGAATTCATTCCATCTTGAGCAGGTATGCCGTTCCAAGTCTGATTGGGTACAAATTGACCTGGCATTTGGTGTTGTTGTTGAAAGTAGGGAAACGAAGCTGGTCGATGATTTTGTAGGTGGCCCATATTCCCACTCCCAGGAAATTGATGGCTGCTAGGGAAGCGTGCACCTAAGTCGCTCAAATCGCCTGATTGGGATGTGACTGGATGCTGCACTGAATTGGAGCTTAAACCAGACATGCCAGCCGGTAGAGCACCATTCGACTGCTGTGCGTTTGACATGAATTGTGCCCAAGCATCCGGTCCACCATCACCATAGAGACTATGTCCAATGGTAGATGTATCCGGTAAAGAAGACGGTCCGGCAAGACTGTGTCTATGTGAGAATTGTGATTGAGGTGCATTTGGCGATTGATCCTGCTTGGGATTTGAAGATAGGTACTTGAATCTCTCTGCTTGGAGAGCTTCGAGCTGTCGTAATTGATATGCTTTATTCTGTCCGTATCCTCCCCTGCTTGCTGTTGTTGAATTGACATCATTCTCATTACTGAAAGCGACATTCGATATCCCCGCTAAGGATGGATTAGCTTCTCCTCCATTTTCGTTCGTTCCTGGAGCAGATCCCATTCCGCCAATATTGGCAGGCAACACATTTGGTACTTTGAATCCTGGTGCTCCAACAGTGAAAGGATCAAATGATTCTGCACTACAAAACGAATCGCTCATAAATCTTGCCTCATCCGAATTGAAAAGTGAAGAAGTAGAAGGAGCAGAAGGTCCTGCGCTACTACTGCTGGATGGTTCAGCGGTCGTCATCTTTGTTGAGATGTCTGCCTTCTCCTTGAACAGAGAAGAAACAAAAGGCGACCGGATGGAATTGTTTCAATCAGAAAGCTTATCTGAAAGTCATTGAGAGAGCGTAATTTCTCGTTTAGGGCCTACTGTCTCGATTCGTGACGTGGATGCAAAATAATGTCGTGGTGATGCCTGATAGAGAGATGGTGTACGTGGTATCTTCGTTGCCAAGAGGATGACACAGCCTATTTCCCACAAAGATTGTTAAGAGATATGTGTGTCCTTTGATAGAAATAAGCTAAGTGGTGGAGCGAATTTCGTTTTCTTTCTTCTCACACAAACCTGTCGATGATTCGATACGGATGGGTGGATGATATGCTGAAGCGGTTGATGAAAAGGTGGTAAGGTAGGGTGTTGCAAGTGAAGGGAAGAGGTGAAGAAAGGGTGGTATATAAATATAAATCCAAGTCTATTTTGTGTGGTGCGTTAGGGCTATGAGTAAGATTTGAAAGTGCTTTGTCTCAATTGGGGGAAAGGTGACGGTTTTGGCAGTGTGGGGCTTGAAAGCACTGTCTGTCTTTAATATTTTAATTTTCATGCCTGCGTCTTCCCTTTCTGCGCCTCTAGTCCGGCTTTACACAACTAACCGCACACACACGCATACCCATACACCGGCGCTACAACACACAAACACTCTCTTTGGCCGAGTCGGGTGTCGTGGGTAGTAAAGAGGGAGATAGCTGTCAGCCTCTTTTTTTTTTGTTGAACGCCATGGATCTATAGATGGCATCCTTCATTCCGATCCACCATTTTGGCGTAACAAACTAAACATTTCACGTCAAGGCTGAGAATTGTTTACAACAGCCCTTCGAGTGGCTTTTCATTTTGATTGTCATTCCGAATGCCAAGTCTATGTATCGGTAGTTTATTTCCTTTGGTTCGGATATTAAGATTGGCGTTAAAATAAGAAAGACAATTACAGAAAGTGGGAATATGTGATAAAATGAAAGAATGATCTGCAAAGACGTTAGCGAGAATGAGAAATGGTACCACAACTCTAAGCATTTCAATGTCCGATTATGCTTAATCTGTATGCATTTAGAAAGCTTGTATTGCCAAGTCTCGAACATTTGAGAATTGAATTTGATCTCTGTAATCATAGTATTTCTAATTCCCTTCTTTCTTCTTTCTCTTGGTTGCACTTTAACTCCATTGTTTTTAAATGCAAATTGGGGTGTACATTGGACGCGGATTTGCGTGGTAATTATAGTGCGCTTCATATCCCCGTACTTATACGAGTAATTTGACTCGTATTCTGCACTAAATTCTTCTTTTTCATTTCCACCTTTTTTTGACAGTTTAATGGTGAAACATTCACCCACCTTTATCACCAGATCCCATTCAAAATACTAATCAATCTGCTTTACCTTGTACTTCTTCCCACCACAAGATCAAGCTGGCAAGGCTGTGGAGAATAAGGTGATCGTCTTTGGTGACTTTGATATCGAACAGGACAAGGGAAGGTACCATTCAGTATACCCCTTCCTCACCTGTTACTGGGACCATCAATCCTACTTCTTGAGCTCTTTCAAGATTTTTTGGATCGGTCACTTTACCAAAAGCACGTTAGCATTGGCCAAATCAGGCCTGTGCTAACGTGATTAAAAGATCGCAAAGACTGATGTCATTCATGAACGGATCGGCGGCGGTCATTACGGTCGATATAACAAGCATTTCTGCAAAACAATCACAAAAGTTATTCACTTCCACAATGGTGACCGAACCAAATTCATTATCACCTTCGTCCAGTATGTCACGTCCGCCTGTCTCACGACCTGCAAGGCCAATGTTGACCAGATTGGATACTTCGGAACGAATAAAAAAGAGCAATACAATCGGACCTATCGAACAACAAACAAAAATACAAAATTCTATAAATGCACTTCCGAAGCCATCCATAACCGCCAGTCCACCTTCTATACCCACAAATAAAGGCTCAAGCAGCTCTACAGGAAGAGCAGGTAGCGGCTTTCTTCCACTTCAAAAACAACCCAGCCCTCGTCTAAGACTCGATACGAGTAGCGGAAGCGGAAGCAGTAGCGGAACGAGCAGTGGCATAAGCAGCAGTAGCAGTTCTTCAGCTTGGCAAAGGAATAGTCCGCATCATGATACTTCAAATGCAACCTCAACCTGGACACCAACTGATCGAAACAATTTCGTCGCCGGGGAAATGTTGCAAAGTGCTACCGGTATTCGAAAAGATTATTTAGGTGAACAGATTGCCGCTCAAAAACGCAGAGATAGCGCACCCGTACACGAATCTGGCAGCCTTTCTGCGATTCCAAAATCTGTCAGAAGTCCAATTTCTCCTACAAGATCATTCTCGCTTTCTTCTGGTGCAATTCTTTCCGCTTCATTTGAACCTTCTGAGATTATAAGCAACTTCTTATATCTTGGACCTGAAATCACAACGGTTAGCGAAGCCGAATATCTACGAGATAAGTTGGGCATAAAGAGGATTTTGAACGCTGCTTGGGAAATTGAAGAAGGTGGTGGAAAACACCTAAATCTTCATCAAGGCACCGAGAGCGGTTTTGAACGATACAAGAAGCTGCCTTTGAAAGACACCGTAGAAGCAAAAGGAGTGCAGAGATATATAGAGGAAGCATGCGCTTTTCTCGATGATGCAAGATTGCACTCTGCACCAATCTACGTTCACTGTAAAGCCGGTAAATCAAGATCAGTCTTATTAGTCATGGCATACTTGATCCACTCGAATCGATGGACATTGCAACGATCGTATTCTTATGTTGTGGATAGGCGGCATGATGTCAGCCCTAATATCGGATTCGTTGCTGAATTGATGGCATTCGAAGAGAAGAGACTTGGACAAACAAAAAGCGCAGGACAGATTGAATCAGGCAAGGATGCAAATGATCAGTCGAATCCCAGTAGCGGAAATCAATCAAGTACAAGACCAGTTCCCACTCCCGATCCGATTACGTCCAATAGACGCAGAAACGTTCGCGAATCGATGCCAGCAAGTTCCAAAAAGATGGAGTTTGGGCTCCAAGATGCAAGCCCATCCGACGTTTCGAGAGATGAAGATGGAATTGAACAAATAGCTAGCCCGATCGATATTTCCGATGAGGACAGGATGTGGCGCACAAATGGAACATTCAACACATCATCTCTTGATACAAATGCAAGCGGCGGAAATTCCAATGAATATCGAGGTATCGATGGACGTTATCATGTCGCACGTCCACCTGCTGATGAACGACTTTTGGCACCCGGCCGTCGAACAACGTTAGCTGCTATAGATAGCGAAAATCTCTTTCTTCAAGCGCAAAACTTGAATATAAATGATCGAATTTGATCATCGTTTGTGGCTGCTTCTTTCCTTGCACCATTCATCGCTTTCACTTCATGGACTATTGTTTTAAAGTTACACTCTTGCTATTATTTCCCTGCTCTACTCACATCTTACTCGCAAAAAAAAGGAACGCAAACCATTCTTCTTACTCTACTGTTACCCCAATTGTACTTTTATCGGCAGAACAGCTCTTTGATGAATGTATACCATTAATCGTAAAGAAAAAGTAAAGCTATTAAGGGGATGCATGAACAAACCGGTTTGAGCTTATTCTATATGTGTATGGTGGAAATTTGGTAGAGAACAAAGAAAAACGGGAAAACCTTATTTGAACGAAGAACCTTCTATAGTATGATACATTTACACGAACCCGAACCATCTTCACCTTGACCACTGCTTTTCCTGCGACGTTTTTCGGAGCCTGCTCCTGTTTTTGCGCCACCTCCAGAGCCACGGACCAGCATGGCAGCTCGAGTGGCTGCTTCAAAGATATCCTGTTAAATGAAAAAGAGAGGGGTGTGAGTATGATTTACTTCAAATTGACGAAAGAGGATACTCACATCAACGCCTTCATTACGCAAAGCAGAACATTCGTGATAGCCTCTTGCACCAATATTCGAAGCCACAACTTTTGCCTGTTCCGCATTGACGAAGCCAGAAGAAGGATTAGATCCTGGATCGTTTCGTAGATCTGCCTTACATCCTACCAACAAGATTGGTATATGAGAACCGCAAATTTGACGAACTTCTTCTGACCATTTATACTGAGCGTTTTCCAAACTGTCTGGTGAATCGATTGAGAAAGCGATCAAGATTACATGTGCTTGTGCGTATGAAAGTGGACGTAAACGTTCATAACCTTCTTGTCCTGCCGTATCCCACAGTGCAAGTTGAATCGGTTTACCGTCACATCGAATTTCTGCAACATAATTTTCAAAAATTGTTGGTTCGTATTGGGTTGGAAATTCACCTAATGCGAATACACACAACAGTGATGTCTTACCACATGCACCGTCTCCTACGACGACCAATTTCCTCCTCAAAGCATTTGCAGTGCTCGTCATTGATGTGAATGATAGGTTGACAGCGAATCAAATACTTTTCTTGAAATTGTTGTTGAGAGTGGACTTCCCTTTCCTACTCAAAGAGGTGATGATGATAGTTTTGTAGTATGAATTCAATTTTCGATTAGAAGGTTGACTATTATTTCATGCAAACCTCAAATCAACTCCAAAATAAAAAGCTGTGCAGTGCCGCCGCCCGCCGTATTTGGTTAGAATGCATTGACATTACAGTACTGTTTGCCTTTCTTTTGGCTTGTCGGACTTTGGTCAAATTATATCATACTATACATGCGTGCGGGCTGAAATTCAAACAACGCGCTTGGCAAATATAATATAATATACAACTTGCATACATCCGTACAATCAATTCCTTTAGCGTATTCCTTCACCATCACGTACACTTTCTCCCGACAAACAATTTCATCCTTTCTTTGGTCCTTGCTAACGTGTCATTTAACACGTTGTATCGATAGATTGCTCAAATACAAGAGATTGCTTTCGATCTCTAGACTTCTTTCAAGGTTCTTTTGACGCTTATTTATGTCCAATCATTCACCTATCGTATTCCGAGAACGAGAACAAATCAATCAAACCAATCAAGCAAGCACTTCCAACACAAACACCCAACATGACTTTGCAAGCACCACTGATGATCCATCAGAGTGGCCATCGCTCAACCCCACTCAACCAACTTCGCATATAGACCAAAGTGGAGCGGCCATCTCAACAGATGCCGATTTACGTGAAGATTTGGGACCTCGAACCCTTCATCGGAAAGCAAAGCCAAAGCCTGGCATACCTTTCAAAGTTCTCAAAGCTCGAGCGGCTGCTGAAGCAGAGAATGAAGATGGCGAAGGTGATCCTTTAGCCCAAATCGCGGTTTTACCACCGGAACTTCTCGCCCGTATATTTGCTCATTTAGATGCACGGTCTATGGTTCAATGTGCATTCGTTTGTAGAGCTTTCAATTTTGTCATTCGTGATGAAGCAACATGGAGATTAGCATTCTCTCTGGCTTTCGGCATAGAAGCCGTAGAAGCGGATCAAGCTACAACGCCGATCTTGCGACGTGTTGAGCCAAGTAGCTGGAAACAAGAATACATGCAAAGAACCGATTTGATTCGAAGATGGAGAAAAGCAAGAGCGCCAACAGTGATCTCTGATGCGCGAGTTGGAGTCATTCATTCAATCGCTCTTTCTTTACCGCATAATTTCATGCTTTCAGCATCTCTGGCACATGGTGTGGCAAGTCGTTGTGATCCATTCACAGGAAAAGTTTCTAAAGGATTTCTTGATGCTTCAGGTCAAGTTCATGCTGCTGGATTAGCAGCTCTGGCCGCGGAACAAGGTGTCCTGGATATCTCTGCTGTTTGTTTGGAAGCAGACGCTACCCGTATCGTTTGGGGCTTTCATTCGGGCGCTGTTGCAATGACAAATCTAGCCAGGCAAGGTACAAATCCAAGAGGTTTGATCAGAGGTGTGCAATTCTCCACGCGATCTTCTCACATCGGGCCAATCATGGATATCGCGATGCCGTTCGGAACAGGAGCTGGTGGAGCACATAGCATCGAACGAAGTCCGGAAAAGATACGTCAAAGGCAAGCAGCACTGGGTGATGCTTCCGAGACTTTCGTCACCGCCGGAATGGACGGTAGTGTGAAACTTTGGAGTCCCAAAAAGGCTGTTCCGCTGTGGACAGATGTTGCCCATCAGAACAAGCAGGCTTCGGGGCCAGCATCTAGACCTGTACCGGTGATGCGTTTGGCCATTCATCTTGAGTCAGGCACAATCGTCGCAGCTACGTCTAGTGGACATCTCACCATGTGGACAAATATCGATATCGCCGGCCTTTTGAACTTGCCAGCGTCTGCATTCGAAGAGCCAAACACACTTGAACCTACACTGGCTCAAAAAGAAGGACGAAAGGCCATGGAAAAGATCCACGCAAGAATCAATCGCTTTGAGCTTCAAACGATTCTAAGCTCTGCAACGGAGCCTGTCATTGTACCGACACTGCTTGCATTGGATATTGACCTATCCGGCTCTGTTCATGATCGGAAGTACGAGAAAGCTCAACTGCTCTGCTTCTCCGAGGATGCCAGTACTTTTGCACGCTACACGGTCAATCTGAACGATGCAAATGTCATCGTCAAAAGAGATGTATTTATTGCTCCAAAAGCCAGCCAAATCTGCTGCCTTCGTCCCGACTTTGAGCTCACGAAAGCTGTCCAGCGCTCATCGGCAACCACTGCAGGTGTGGTGACCGTACCTGGTCAAGATACCGCATTAAGTACAGATCAATATGGAGGACCAGCTCTTTTTAGTGAACGCAAATATGTCTGTGGTGGTACGAAAGATGGCAAATTGATTATCTGGGACTGGGAAGCAGAGTCGAAAGAAGGTGAAGATATTCAAGCTTGGTCGTGCTTAGATGCTCATCATATGGGTATCACAGCTCTAGATGTGACAGAGCATGCGATTGTTGTTGGTAGTTCAGACGGCACGATTAAAGCATTTTGTCCTCTGAGTGGTCAATTGATTCGAATGTTCAACGATCGTTCTGCTACTCGGCATCCTGCAAGAATGTTGGCTTCCGGACAACTGACGGAGGAAGAAGCATCAAGATTTCATGTTGGCCAGATCATTGCTGGAAAAGAGACAATCGTTGCCTGCATTGGATCTCAAGTTTTGGCTTGGCGTGCAGAACGTTTGCGAAATAACAAGACAAATGCAGGCAAGAAGGTCACCTCACGTACCGGTCGTAATGCGATGGGTAGATTGTGGGATCCAAAAATGCAATCTCAGAAAGAGATGGAGAGAGATATCTATGAAACAAAGCAAGAATTGCAACAAGAACAAGAGGATCGTCTGGCTGATAGACAGAGATTGGGCACCCGACCTGAATCTGAATTGGACGATATGACCGAACAAGAAGCATTTGAATATGCAATGATGTTGAGCAGAGACGAGATGGATGAAAAAAGCAAAGGAGGAAGTGCTACAGGAAGCAAAGGGGTTGGTCTAAGAAAGACAAGCGCAGAGGATGAGCTACAAGATGCTCTTGAACAGATTGCACTTGCTGAAAGTAGCGCAGATTCTAGCAAGCTGGTCTCTCAGTCTGCAACAGATGATGAAGATGGCGAGGATGCTTTAGATGAAAGTCAAGATGATATGAATCATACATATCGAAGTACATCCAGAAGCTCAGCCACAAGTCCAAATTCATCGCCATTTATTCATGCATTCTCTTCGCCACCTTCACGTGCATGGGATATTCTACAGAATGCAGGTTCATCAGCATCAAGAAATATGAGAGTTGGAGATGCAAATAGTAAAGTTCAAGCCGTTCATGTTCCAAGAAATGCGCGTTTGCCATCTTATTCCACGGCAAGCTCCTCAAGAAGGCCCAGTAATTCGAACCTTTCGAAGCCTTCATTTGACAGTCCACAAGATTGGCCAGTGTTCGAGCCATCAAACAGTTTTGGAGGCAAATCGCCTTCACGATTAGATCTAGGCTCTCCTGTACCGCATCCGACTCACGCATCTTTTGGTAATGGTAACCGGAAGAATAGCTTTAATGCATCTACCCCTGCATCTACAGTTTCGGCAACTCAATCTCCATCATCATCTTTTCAAGCACGTAGTCCGATTGGGGCATGGGCACAAGGCAGTCCTAGCCTTCGTCCGATCCATTCATCAAAGAGTTCGAGTTCACCTTCTGCTTTGACGGCAAGTAGACCATCGATGAAGGCTAGAAGTGGATCAATTTTAGCACGTAATGAGAATGAGAATCAAACGCGATCTTCTTCTCCTTCAAATGATAATCAAATGGATGATGATTTGCGATTTGCGATTGAATTAAGTCTTGCCGAGGAACGATCAAGGCAAGAAGAAAGTAGGAAAAGAAAAGGAAAACAGCCGCAAGTGCAATAGACATGATTCAATACACCTGTGCTGCTATAACATACAAATGAATTTTGTATTTTTATTCTCTTGCTTTCTGGATGTCATGAAATATTATAGACTTCGGAAAATAATTTAAATATTTGTGTACCAATCCGAATGTCCGGCCCCCGTTTTGTGCACTTGCCACGGCTGTTGTCTTATATGAATGTGGAATTCATTTCGATAAGGCACCCTGCGGCTACACCGTGTATGTTAAAGAAACACAAACAAATCGATCTTTTGGCTTTTGTTTGTTAGATGTTTTCTCCGTTGTGATTATTAAACGGTGACCGTGCCGAGATAGTGTCAGTGAGTGATATGCCGCAATGACGTAACCCAGACAGGTCATCAGACGATATATATCACAACCCACCCACACACGGCTTCTTACGGCCCTTAATTTATGCCAGATCAAATACTAATGAATGGTCTATATAGCTCATAAGTTGTGATATGTATCTTGTCATCTTTTACATCACAGCACATACTCAGGAGATGAGGCGATGAGAATTTGAACAAAGAAATCTCTGTTTGTTCCGGCATTGATAACGTATATGTGTGTATCTCTCTGCAAGATCTCCTCCTCTTATGAATGTCGTGATAGACAGCAGCGGTACTCCTTTCGGACTTTTATATTCCGGCCCTTTTTTCTTCCGAGGGGTAACCACTCAAAAGAATTCATCTTTCCAACGTTCATCAGGTTCATAAATTCAACGGAGCGTGGCTGTGGACAAAACGGAACCGGAAAAAGAGTGTTGTAAAGCCCAAAGCTGATTATCAATTTACAATCATCATTTCAAGTTTTTTAAAACGGCACCGAAAAAAACATCATTCTTGCGCATTTCTATTTATGAAAACAACAGACAAAAGAAAAGCAGTGAAATGAATTTGACCAGCGATGACGAAAAACGCCACCTTTCTCAAATGAAAATTCAAAGTCCAACAGCAATACATTTGCATAAAGATGCCAAGGCAAAACATGGAGTTTATCCGCGCTGGCATTCAGAAAGAAGATTGAAAGATAATCAAGGCGAAATTACGCAGTGTTTGGAAGATCGATCGAATCCCCTGGTTGAGGTAACATCCTATGAAAACAGGGCCGCCAAGTGCTGTCAACGAGGATTATTAGGGACAATCTCGCACAATAAGCCAGATTCTGTACCCCTCGCAGGCAATTTCACTCCTTTACCGAATATAAATAAATTACAAGGCCAAACAACGTCTTTCAACAAATCTATTCATTGCCACTCCATTCCTTTCCATCCATCATCCAATTCCAAACATTCCACAGTCATTACCAGTAAAGCAAGAAGCGATCATCATCACCATCACACACCAATTGCACCATATCGACGTCTGCCTTTGTCATATCGTCAATCAGCCAAAAGGATTGTAAGAAAATCGAATCGACTATTCGACGACAGTCTTTACTCAAATCAAATATCGCCACAACAGCAGCTCATATCAGCTCAAGGCAATCCAGCACAAGATCATCATCAAAAACAAGAGGATCAATCAGATAGCAATATCATACAATCAGAAAAAATGAACAATTTCAATCCATTGTGCGCAGAAATTGCGCATTTACCCACGATCGAAAGCGCAGATGAGGCAAACTCTCCACCTTCTACTCCATTAACAACATCGTCCGGTCATCATAGGCAGAGCAGTACATTCTCAGGTCGTAGGAGCTCAACAGCATTGTCAACACATGCGGACTCGTATCGTTCCTTGAAAGGAAAGGGGAGCAAGAGCAAAGGTTCCTCCGCATGGGATGAGGAAGAAAAGCAGAAGAAAAGTCCCTCAAAAACCCTGTCGAAGTGGAAGAATCTAGGAGCCACTAACAGAGTGGAAAAGAAGAAGGTCAAGAATGACATCGTTCTTACACCAAAGTCTATTCTCAATAAGTCGGTTTCTTCCATCGACTTGTCATCGAAAGAAGACCGTGGTTCGCCCGTCGTCAGTCCAAGGGAACAAGGAGAACTATTGCGCAAATCTGGTTCTTTGTCACCACTAAATATTCGCACATCTGAACCGGACTTCTTTTCTAGTTCATTTGGTAACGTGCTGCAAAGCAATGCATCTGTGAAATCGCTCACAAGTTCATTGACAAACGGCGTCAACCCTTCTTTTGAGATTCAAACAAGGCACAAGGAACATTTTCCTAACCGATCATCATCAATGCAAGAAGGCGATAAAGCACCAAGTGATTACAGTTGGATGCATGGTGCAACTCCACCGAGTCCTAGATATCCTCAAAGCATTTCAAGTAGCAAAAAAATCAGCTCAACACCCAGAGGTCAGGCAAGAGTTACGAGCGGAGATTCATCAATTGGTAGCAGTACGATTCAAAGTGTTCCATCTTCGCCCACACAGGAAATCTTGTGGGATTCAAAGAGAAAGATGCGATATCAAACAAATTCCACTTTCTCTTCTGTTTCTACTTTCTCAAACAATTCTGGCGCAGACTTTGGTACATCCACCGATAATGCTCTTCTTCAAGGTCTTCAGTCGCCCATTGGCTCTCTCGATATATCCAGCCCGCCTTCAAACAACAAACGGGTTTCCAAGAATATTGGTGTCCAAAATATCCGCAAGACTGCTACCAAACTTCAAGAAGCTTTGCGTGAGAGTGAAGAGATTGAAGAAGAGGAAGAAGAAAAGGAAACGGGATACAATGCAAATGGAACTGAATTAGCGTATGCCAAAAGTCAATCGAGTCATACTTCGAGTATAACTGCATCTTCTCCATCAAGCATGGTCACGCCACCAACTCCTACCTGGAACAATTCAATGCCTATCACGCTTGAAAAGCTCCAAATTGAGAACAGTACGTCGTCAATTGATACTACTCGTGAACATGTTGCTGATGACGATCGACCAAAGGAGAAAAGGGAGATGGCCTACAGTCCTCGCGGGGAGGATTTGGAAGCATACAACAAGTTTCTTACTGAATTGCAACAAGACTTCGGAACTGCGGATGATCAAGAGGACGCGGACACTACAATCACTGCGATCAAACAAGTACCCATTCTCAAAAAGGCTCGGCGTCATAGGTCATCTACTACTAATAAAGATCAGCTGTTTACCACCTCGGAAAAGACGCAAATTGCTAAACCAAGAAGGTCTTGTGCTTCATTGACTGTAGACCAGCCTATTGCTACAAGTTCAAAGACTTCGTTGAGCAGTTATAGTGATTCAGATGAAATTGCAACAAATGAATACGATCCTAGCCAAGAATGCTCATCGGAGACCGGAAGTAGTATTGTGGGCGGTATACGACAAAGAAATGGATACCAAGACGGTGAAACGGAAGATACCTCGGCAACACATGATGAAGAAATATTGCAAAGCTCCGTTGACAGTAGTATGAGCTATGCAACAATCGATCAGACTACTGATGCACAAATGGAAATTCTTGATTGTCGTATTCAGTCAGTTCGAAGATTCGACATGACAGCTTCAGTACCACCATCACCACGTATGATCCGATGTGATTCACAACAATCTCTTCTCAGTCAAGCAAAAGCAATAAGCAAAGAAGAGGAAGATCAAAAAAGGGACTCATTGCCAAGTATCTCTCACCGTACTTCTAGAACGCCGAGCGAGACATCATTTAATCAATTCGGAACGCAACCAATCTTTGCAAGAGATTGCCGACTTCAAAGTGTTGATGTGAAAACGGGAAGTTCTGAGGCCAATATGGCTGTGACATTGAATTGGACTTCGATGATTGATTCAAGCGCGCTAAATACCAGTCGGCCATCCCATATCGTTCACGGCAAATTGCAACTTGAAGAGAGTGAAGTGGAACGTATTGCGCGTGCATGGATTGATACACAGCTTGGTCAAATGGGTCGCGAGCAAGCATTGTCGAGCTCTGAGGGACTGAGAAGAGCGTCAGAAAAACTTTCATTAGGATTGACCGAAGAAGAGATACGAAAAGTCAATCAATCAGTATTGGAACAGCGTCAACGTGAAATCTTGGCTTCTGCGTACGCATCTACCCTGCACAACAGAGATCAAATACGTGAAAAGATGACAAGCGAAAGACTTCGAAACACTTCCACAACAAGTTCAGATGATTCTTGCAAACAAAGGAGAAGGTCTTTGCACTTGAAGCCAGATCAACTTCCATCTCCCGGACTTTTCATCGATACAGAAAGTGCAACTCTTTCCGAATCCATCTTGAGTAAAGGATTGACCAGTTCTCCCAGCAGGTTTCATCCTTTGATCAGTCCAGTCAGTGCAACAAGCTCAGCTCGACAGAGCTTTAACAGCATTGCATCTTACAAGCGATTATCGCCAAAGAAGTTACGTGAGTGAAACTGGAGGGGAAAAAAGGGGTTGGAGGTGAAACGATGGAAAGTTAGACTGGGAAAGCTGATAAAAATCCGCTTTCGCGTGTCTTCTTTCTGTTACGTGTAATGTACACAAAAGGCGAATCAACAGTGACCATGAATGAAATTCCAAATGGAACCGAGAAGACATCTTTTCGCCGTGTACTTCAATCATTCTCGATCAACCAAGACAAACACAAGCTGCAAACCAAACGACATAGCCCTATTCACTCAAAAGTGTGGCCGTAGCAAGAGACACAAACACTCGGTACAACATTAATCATCTGCATATGTGAAAGCATCACTCATTGCCACATACTTCTTCGTGAACTTAATCACGCATACTCCCTTTTTAAACATCATTTCAAGTCTCATTCTTTTAACATTTCATCTGAGCCGTTTGATATTCTGTAACTTTATTCTTCTTTCTTTTCTACTCATTCTTTTTGTAATTCGTTCATTTCAAATAGTATCTTTCAGACTCAGAAAAAGTGAAAGCCAAGAAACAAGATCAAGATTGATACAAGTACAACAAAACGAAACGGGTATATGATAGAAGACTATGAAACTATGAAATGATGATCAAACGGTGACAATGAGTTGAACTGGTTGCTTTGAGGTAGCCAACCAAGTGTTCACTCCTTGAGACAAGCTTTGATCGTCAAGAATGGAAGTGTCCTCCTTGACAGCCAAGTAAGCTCTATGAGACTGACTGGCTTTGAGGCGTGCTTCTGCAAGTCGTGCTTTGATACTTTGAGTGACAAGAGAGTCTTCATCTTCAGAGGATGAGAGGTCACATGAGAAAGATGTTTTCAAAGTGTCTTGCAATGATTGATCGACTTGGAAGTTGTCCTTTGATGTAAGACACTTGTTCTCTTGACGACTGTCAAGGTATTGTTCGTGTGATAAGCGAGCACGTCTTCGAGCTTCCTTGAGCTGAAGGGCAGCTTGACTTTTGGTGAGAGATGAGCGGGGTGAGGAGATCCAATCACCTTTAAAAGGGGTGGTAGTCACTGATGATTCTTGATCCGAATCAACCAAAGTGAACTCAGCTTCAGAGCTGGTAGAGGTGAAAGTGGTTTGCACTTCTTGTTCATCTTCGACCAGAGTCCAATCACTGGAAACTGATGTGAAGTCGAAGGCATCCTTTTTGCTCTTCTTTGATAGTGATGAGCGTGAAAGGGAGGATGGGATTGAGGCAAGCTTTGCAAGTCCCCTTTTGATCGATTTGCTCTTTGGCAATCGGAAGGAAGACATTGAAGTCAGCTTGGAAAGTGATCCCATTGGCAGAGAAGTTTGCTCGGGAGTCAAAGCAAAGTAGAAAGAAGTGCTTGCAATCATTTTGACTGAAAAAGTGGTTGATCTCGATGAAGAGGAAGTATGTTCTGTGAAACTTGAAAAAGTTTGTAAAGTGAAAATGACTCGAACAGATGTATTAGAGATCAAAAAGTGGGGGGTCAGATTGAAAAAATTCAAAATGACCCCGACTATTTATACCTTTTGCCATAGTTGCTTGATTTTACTTCCGATAGCATTTTATTCCGTCTCCATCAAGTGTCCACCGAACAAAGTCATCATTTGAATCCTCACCATGCGGAAATGGGCCCATCAAGGCCCACAGGTCGAACCGTCCAAAGTGATATATCATTTTTTAAACCACAAGCAAACCATCAGCTCCTTTTGAGAGTGAATACAGACCCTAAATAGTGCCCTTGTGCCTGTCTAGAGGGTCTGAGTGCGATCATCTCGGAAAGACGGAAGTAAATCTGGCCATGATGGGGAGAAGAGGAAAGATTTTAGGCTTGTTTGTGTGTGAACTAAGTGTATAAATAGGCTAAGGCTGCTGCTGCATGCACTCACTGACTGCATTAAAACTTTACGCGAAAACACGCAAACGCGGAAGCAAAGTGTATAAATACGCGTGCTTATCTACAGAGAGCAACACTTTTAGCTCAAAAGTTATTTTTGCTTACAAGTTTCTTTTGTAATCTAGGCCCAAAAGGCGAATCGACCTTTCTCTCTTCCATCTATCCTCCAAAGATGTCTAGCATGTATGGCTCAAATCCAGTCTTGGAGCTGATGCAAAAAGCAGATCGATTGGCAGAAGGTGAGCGGTTCTCACTAAGAGAAAGATTAACATCCGATTGACGACCTCTCTTTTCTTCTTTTTCCGGCAGCATTCGACAGTACTCACCAGCATACATTACCAATCGTACAGGAATTACTTGGTGTTCTAACTTCTCCTTCCAGTGCAGATTGTGATCCGATGGAACGTGTTGAACAGAAGTTGGGTTACCTTCGCATCGCATTGGAGCACATGGAAAAGAGCGTGACTGAAATGATGTCGATGCTTTATCAAGTTGATGTCTTTCTCGAACAACCTCAGACACAAGGAGTATCGTCAAAAGATCCAAGGGCAGCATTAGAGCACGTCAGTGATCTATTTCATGTATGTGTGAAGGGTGACTAGCGAAATTTAGGTGGGAAGAGAATGACTGACTTTTTTCTCTTGCATTTCTGTAGATGTATCAATCGGAACTTTTGGAAAAGCGGGAAGCATTGGCGGATCTAACGTGTGAAGAAATCTCACCTGCTGATTTTGCACAACGATGGAGTAGTCTAGATTCAGTTAAAAGCGGAAGAAAACAAACAATGGATGACCTAGCAGACCTCTTAGCCGGTCTTGGATGAGACCTGTGTCACCACGCATCAAAAGCATTTTGTACCATTATCGTCCGGCAATGTACTATACATCTATGCAAACGTCTATGCTTCTCTCCGCACATCGGACGCTTATCTTCCCTTTATGCTCTAACCCATTGTGACTCTATCTCCATAATGGATACCGAAACGCCACCCTGAAATAAGTACAAGGCATTAGTAAGGTAGGCCCTTTAAGTCGTCCACAGTATCCTCTACTCACCTTTTCGTCATAATCTGTCCACTCTCCCTCTTCGAATTCCACATCATCAAACTTGGTGTCGGATTCCGTCGATCTGCACTTCCATGTTCCCTGCAAAGCGTAGTGGAAGTTTAAGGCATCAGTACATCTTCCCAGCTCTACCAGCACATTATCGCACTCACTGAAAAGTCTATACTCAAAAAGTCCAATCCGCGAGCTTCAACGATTGCGATTGTCTCGAAAGTTGCACCCGCAGATGGCGCATATGGTCTCCATAGAGGTGCTTTTGCTGTTGGTTCTTCGAATTCTGTTCGTCGGGAAAGATGAGAAAGGCGTGAGTTTTCCAATTGAGAACACTTAATTCCATAAGATCCACTCACTTGCAGATATTTCCTTCTTGCAGAACTGTTTCATGCCGGAGAGAGGAAGGGGCGTGTGAGTGAGAGACTGTACGACAATCAGATTGTTGTCGATGAAAGACCTACCTGGCAGTGCATCACTAAATTTGAAGTTGACCGACCTTTTGACATTTCGACTTCGTCATCTTTCGAGAATCCGACAAGCTTTGCATGTTCTTCTTGACAAGAAGTGCACTTTAGCTTTGCCATTATCGTATAATTATCATCTGCAGGCCGAAGATCAGTCACATTTTCCAACTGAGCTCGAATTTGCAAAGCGAGGCGCTATAAGAGAACAGAGAGATAAAGTCAGCTTCGGGAATATTTATGTTGATTTCCTTTCCATTGCTTACCGGCATCTTTGCTAGTTTGTACGATGATGATGTCGTCTGACAGGTAGAGAGAGCATTACACCAAAATCGCATTTCTTCGAAAATTTGGCAGAACGCGCACGGTCCAGCGAGAAGATCAATGATTCATACCTTAAGATGGTCACTTCGATGACAAGACCTCACAAAGGCTTATCAATCCTGTTGAGATAGATATATTCGAATGCATAGTATACAATGATGTCTGTTTTTTGTAATTAATTATTTATTGATATCTCAATTAGCTTTTTCTGCTGCTAGACGTCTAAAAAGGGTAGAGTATTAATTTAACACATCGTCAGTTCATCGATTCGAAGGTCTCTTTAAGTGGATTGGTATTCACTTATCTCTCCTTCTCTTTACGTCCCAATTATGTACGCGAGCTGTGTTGACCTCCATCGTGGTGATCTGATCTCGAAGGAATTCTAAATCTTCTCCAATCACCTTAAGACTATCCTTTGAACCTTGCAGTCTTTTAGTGAGTAGATCTATAGCTTCTTGAATTGGATAAGAAAGCATTACGTTTGCCTGGAGAAATCAATAAGCATTCATATAAGGTGGTCAGCATTCACTCAAGCTTGTGTCATCGAGAACATAATACTTACACCCAACCACAAATTCACCGATTCAACAGGCGGTATTGTTGCCTTTGCGTATAGTGTATCGTTCAACTCGAAATGCGTCTCTAGTTCCTCTTCCGCTTCCTGAGATAGGAGAAAGGGTCGTATGTGAGTCAGATCGTCCAAACATTAGCTTGAATAACACTTACCTTCTTAGTCTGTAGATGCTGCACCATACTTAATGTCTTTTCGATATCGGGAATCTTTTCATTCAATGCTCTCTGTCTTTGCTTTCTGTCCATTTCCATCATTTTATACTTTGACATTGTTTCTTGGAATTTTCTCAAATGAGGCTCTGCTTCTTCTTCCGGTCCTCCTAGATGTGCTTCTACATCCTCAATAAATGGAGCTTTGGGTATTCCGGTTGCACTCATCTCTAGTCCACCTGCTTGAACCTTTTGAGCTGTTGAAGCTGATGCATTGCTACTGCTTGCCATCTTGATATGTTCGGCGACTTACTCAATTTGCACGATGAATGCGATGACTATCACTGTTATCTGTTATTGAAAGTGTTGCTTTTGTTCTTGCTTCTAGCGTGCTTGTAGTCGCGCTATGGCTATATGCAACCAAAAGGTGGATTTAAGCGTGTAAGTTTCGGCCGAGCCTCTTATGCGCGGCGCGAACATACGTTTTTGCATGCGCAACGCCCTGCGGTTCAAGAAGAAGGTTTTGGCCAAAGTGTAATCGTCTTGACCATCACTACGGTCCATATCGATAAATATACTTTTTATCAACAAAATGTCTTCTACTCAAGATCTTCAATGGTTATTGACCCGCAAAACATCTTGCTTTTTGGTAAAGCAAAAGGGTCTCGCCCGTGTCTTCTCTCGTGAACCAAACAATTTGGCACAAATTCACTCTTACCGTTATTCCGGTTTGGTGAACGATAAGAACGTTAGCGTTGAAGCATCAAAATCCGGTAAAGGTTTGGTTGTTTCCACAAAGAAGGCAGACGTTGCTCAAGGCAAGATTGCCGGTTCCCGTACCACTCAATCTCTCAAGAGAGGTGGTCCAAGACACAAGGCCGGTGCAGTTGCTGAAATCGTCGGTAAGAAGGGATACCGTTCCGACTTGTTGAAAGGTAAGTTTCTATTGTCATCGTCTCGTCGCCTTTACGACATGCTCTTTCTCGTCAAAGCCAAAGCACAACGCTAGAACCCGCCTAGATCGTGCGCGATATGAAAGGATGGGCGTATTTGTTGTGCAAGATCAAGGTTCGTCTTTTTGTCATTGAGAGTGTGCGGATACCGTCAATGTTCTCTCTCAGCACACTTTGCAAAGAGTGAAGCACAAAGACGACACATATCTTCACACGTTTTGCCCATTCTCTTGGAGCGTTGAGCATTGACTGTGCAATTGGAAATAACATATACTGACTGGCATTCTCTCTCTTTTATGAATTCTAGATGCTGTTGCCCGTGCTTCCGCCATCGCTCGTGCTCAACAAGGTGGTCGCAAACAACCACCAGCCAAGAAGGTCCGCGGACGTGGTGCCAACAAGAAAGTTGTGCTTTAAATTGGCATTTGAATCTAGCCCAGCTATGACGTACTAACATGTTTTATGGTTATAATTTGATTATATACCATTGTATCTCATCTTATTTGCAATTCCATCTGTGAATATGCTATACTAATCTCAAAAGTGTGAATAAAGGCGTCATTCATACGCCTGGAGTGAATCGGACTTATGTGAAGTACCAAACTTTGCGCCATTGAGCTGTGAGCGTGCGAGTGCGAGTATAAATGCGTGTTTAAAAGAAGGAGCCGTGCATGTGTGTGTTTCTTGTTTTTTAGTACACTTCTTCTCCACAAGCTTTGGCGCATTTAAAGTGTGTTGTATGGTAGGGTCATTTTTGGTGTGTTCCGAAGAATATCTGTTTGTACCATTGTTTCACCATTGTCAATATATTCTCATCATCCTAACCTTACGCCCAACAAAATCAATTATATGCTTAGGCAAATATCTTCTTTCCTTCAATGATACACCATCACTTACAAGTGTAAAACTCAAAGATGGCAAGTAGACGATTACTACTCGTTCATCTATATTTGCCCAACACTTTAGACTTTCAAGCATGGCCCGATGAACAATCAATTTCACATTATCGTATTCCAAGTCAAGCACGAGGGGATTCTACTGCATCACAATTACCAACTGATGATGCCCCACCTTCACCGCCATCCGCACTTAATTCACGACTTTCAGTACATGAATTAGATTCAAAACTCAAAAGGGCTTCAATAGATGGAGATGATATCGTTGTCTCGACTGCAGCACCATCAAAACACCAAGGTAGTGACGATGGTGCAATTTCCGATTCGGAGGATGGTCCATCACTGGCTCTAATCGGACGTAATTCGGCCCCTGCAGCATACCAGCATCGTCAACAACGTAGCGAAAGGGGAAGCTTTAGTGAACAAAGCAAAAAGGTCAGCATGACGGCTCTCATGAGCGAAGCAGCATCTGGAGGATCAAATTCTATTCAAGCCGAGAAGAACATGCCGACTGGAGGAAGTTTGACTGCTCGTTCTCGTCGCGGAAGTGCAAATGCGCCGGCAAAGCCATCGATCATAGAACCACTAACAGAAAGTAATCAGCAAGATGCATCTTCTCGAATCCCTATTGCACCTGCTTCTGATCATGGTAGAACAGCGACCTCTCAAACAGCTCTCAGCACTTCTCCCAGTCAAATGCAATCGTCAGGAGCTTCCGGCAGTCGACGTGGTAGCATGTCCGGTACTATGAATGCACCTTCACTACCTTCTCAAAGCGGCACTATATCTTCTTCAAAAACTCCAACAAGACAAGCAGCTGAAGGTGCAGGAACACGAACGCCAGGTGCAAGAGCAGGAGGAAAAGCAGGAACAATGACACCATTGAGTATCATTGGAGATTTAGCAGCAAAACAATCTGCTATTCCGCCAAAGCAACTTCCTACTGCAGGTGATACAGATAGACATCATCCTTTTGGTTCAGGAGCTGTGACCCCAATGCGAGAACAAACTGCAATTGGAACAGGTACACGTACTCCAGGTCGTCGTCCAATAATAAGCGGTCCAAATGGGACTGCCCCTTCACGAACGTTTGCTTCCGGATTAACATTGACGAAAGTAAATGACGGTCAAAATAACGATCGAACAGGAAAAGCAAATACTTTGGGTAGTGGCGCAGTCACACCTTTGCGACCTTTGAGACCTACTTTAAGTAATGCAAACAGAGCAACAGAAGGTTCCATTCCAACGGCTGTGGACAATTGGTTCATTAATGAACATGGACGTGGTGCTGATGCTGCTCCGCCTCAGAGTAAAGCTGTAAGGCCGTCACTGATGAGCAGAGGATCTTCACAAGCAAAGATATTCAAAGATAGTACGGGAGCACATTCACCTTTTGTCGATCAAGCAGCCTCGTTCCAAGATCACCAGACAGAGAATCATCAACCCGGAACTGTTCAGTATCATCCTTCAACTGGACCAACCGGCCCGCCTGCTGCACCAAGCTCGACTTGGAACAGATCAGGTTCAAAGAATAGACAATCAGGCAGACAAAGTATGGCAGGTCGAAGACCTTCTTCGATTGGTGGCAGAACATGCAATAGGAGATCGTCTGTTGAAACATTTGGCGAAGAAGTGGTGACTGAAGTGGAAACACCAGTCTTGCCCCCATATGACTTCATTCCCAATCCTTCTAGCAATGGAGGTTTGATGAATGCCGTTAAATCCTTGTCAAACGAACAATTACGAGGCGGAAAGGTATTCATTGGCACTCCAGGCGTAGCAACAAATGAATGGGCAGGTGTTGCAGAGAAGAACAATATCGCAAAACGATTAAAGGATGAATGCGATTCAGTGCCCGTTTGGGTTGAAGATGATACCTTTGAAGCAGCATATGCGCACTTTTGCAAACAAATCCTTTGGCCAACATTTCACTATACACTTCCAACACGTAACGGATTGGAACACGAACATGAAGGTTTTGCATGCTATCGTGAATTGAACAAACGGTTTGCACAAGCAATTGTGGACGAATACAAGGAAGGTGATATCATCTTTATCAATGATTATCATCTCTTACTTGTACCAGAAATGGTACGTGAGAAGTTACCGCATTCAAAGATTTGCTTCTTTTTGCATATCGCATGGCCAAGTTCAGAAATTTTTCGTTGCTTGACTGCTCGTACGCATATTCTAAAAGGAATGCTTGGAGCAGATTTGGTAGGATTTCAAACGCAAAACTTTGCTCGTCATTTCCGTCAAACGGTCTCGCGAATTTTGCAATTAGAAGCAACGCCAAAAGGGATTCAAATCGATGGAAGGGGAGGTTTTGTTACTGTTGCAACTTTCCCGATCGGTATTGATGTGAAAAGTTTGAACAAAAGACGTGCTCAACCAGATGTGGCGGAATGGGTTGAAAAATTACGTTCAAGATATGAAGGCAAGAAAGTGGTGGTAGGACGTGATAAATTGGACAGCATCAAAGGTGTCAGACAGAAATTGCTGGCTTTTGAGATTGCACTACATGAACATCCGGATCTGATTGGAAAAGTGGTATTGCTGCAAGTCGCATTGGCCACAACGGAAGAAAATGAAGAAGTTGCAGCGGCTACAGATGTTGTTTCCCGAATCAACAACAAATACTCCACCCTGACATACCAGCCTGTCGTATTCTTGCATGTTCAAGATATCACTTTCTGTCAATACTTGGCCTTGCTTACTATAGCAGATGCATTCCTTGCAACAAGCTTGCGAGAAGGAATGAATCTGACATCGCACGAATTCGTCATCTGTCAAGAAGTGAAACACAAACCTTTGATTTTATCAGAATTCACGGGAACGTACAGCTCTTTACGAGCTTGTATTGGAATCAATCCATGGAACACCAAACAAGTTGCCGATGCTATATATAAGGCTATCATGATGGATGAAGGTGAAGCATTTGAGAGATGGAAAGATTTACGCAGACAAGTAATGGCACAAGATGCTCAACATTGGATTCAAAGTCTTTTGGGCAGATTGGAACGTGCGCATATTGATCAACAAAGAAGAAATAATCTTTTCGTACCTAGATTAGAGATCGGTCAATCGGAATGGAGAGCAAGCAAGAGCAGATTGATCTTGTTGGATCTTGAAGGCACTTTGATGCGTGATGATCCTTTGTTGGATTATGCCAAGGGATTTGAAGTGCCTGAAGAAGTGATCAACGTACTTTACCAGCTGACCGAGGATCCAAAGAATCGTGTTTATGTTTTGAGCGGTAAAGGTACACAAGATCTTACCAAGGTTGTCGAAAGCGTACCGAGAGTAGGTTTGGTAGCCGAAAATGGGTGTGCGGTCATGTACGCAGGTAGCGCTCCACACGAACATCCATTGCATATTAGCGATCACTACAGTCACAAAGGAGCACCAAAATCATGGACCAGCTTGGTCGCTGGTATTAACATGTCTTGGCGTGACCCCGTAATAGAGATCCTTCGCTACTTTACCGAACGGACGCCAGGTTCGTGGTTGGAAGATCGTGGCGCTTCAATTTTGTGGAGATTTTGGAGTGAAGGGTTCGATGAGAAGACAGCACAACATAACAAGGATTTCCTTTGGGCTCGTAGACAAGCAGCGGAGGTACAAAATTTGATCTATGATTCATTAGGAGAAAGGTTCAGCTTACGCATCATTCCGGGCAAGACGAGCTTTTTGATCATGCCAAAGAACACTTCGCGTGCAAGTGCCATTCAACATGTGGTCAGTATAAGTCATATAGGCATCCAAGATACTTTCAAGCAGGCTGCAATGTCTCCTTACGCTTTATCACCCTCAGCCTCTTCTTCTGTTCGTGATGCGCAAAGTAGACCACATTCAACGATACTCAAGGGTTCCTCGTTGAGCAGATACTATGGCAGCCATGATGAGAAGAGCAATCTGGAACACATTGATGATTCGAATGGAACGTTCGATCTAGACTCCTTGCCGCCACCTTTGCCTGCTGCAGTGAGTGGCATGCACCCGGTAAAGACTGCATTGAAACAAGGAATCGATCTGTTCAGGCAACCATCCAATGCATGGTCAATGACTGGGGTTCTACACGAACAACAATCTCCTCCGACATTCCATTCGCGTGCGAAGTACAACACACATCTTTTGCATCCTTTTGGTTTGGGATCATTTGATCTGGTAGTTTGCATTGGTCAAGATGATAATCTGTTTGCCTTTATCAATTCTTTGGATCTGCCTTTTGCGCCAATCACTTGTACATCTGCAGGTCATAGTGGTGATATGCAACATGGTCATAACAGTCATTCTGTTGGCGTTGGATCAGAGGCAAATTATTACGTCAATGGACCAAAAGATGTTTATGATTCTCTTTACGACATTTTGGCTTTCCGAGGTCGAGATCAAAAATGGGGTGTTCCTGCAATGGTGGACGTATAGATAATTTTGTATGTATATCGGATGTTAATCTTTCGTCATATCACGCCATTTAACTTCTGTCATCGATCCGGCTTTTGCATCAGCTTCAGACTGAATTAGAGTCGTACATGCTGGACAATTTTAGAGAGTAGATGGAAGAGAGAAAGATCGATGTACTTTTGTCTAGACCTAGATTACAGGAAAACGTGTACAAAAATAACTATTCCATGAATAAAGCTAAAAGTGTTGCTCTCTGTAGATAAGCACGCGTATTTATACACTTTGCTTCCGCGTTTGCGTGTTTTCGCGTAAAGTTTTAATGCAGTCAGTGCATGCAGCAGCAAGCTTAGCCTATTTATACCTCTTAATTCTCACACAAACAAGCCTAAAACCTTTCTTTTTCTCCCCATCATGGCCAAATTTACTTCCGTCTTTCCGAGATGATCGCACTTTTACCCTCTATACAGGCACAAGGGCACTATTTAGGGCCCTTGATAACTCTTAAAAGGAGCTGATGGTCGCCTGTGGATCAAAAATGATATATCATATTGGATGGTTCGACCTGTGGGCCTTGATGGGCCCATTTCCGCGTGATGAGGATTCAAATGACGACTTTATTCGGTGGACACTTCATGGAGACGGAATAAAATGCTGTCGGAAGCAAAATCAAGCAAGTTTGACAAAAAGTATAAATAGTCGGGGTCATTTTGAACTTTTTCAATCTGACCCCCCACTTTTTGATCTCTGACTTTTCTGTTCAAGTTATTTTCACTTTTCAAACTTTTTCAAGTTTCACAGAACATACTTCTTCTTCATCGAGATCAATTACTTTTTCAGTCAAAATGATTGCAAGCACTTCTTTCTACTTTGCTTTGACTCCCGAGCAAACCTCTCTGCCAATGGGATCACTTTGCAAGCTGACTTCAATGTCTTCCTTCCGATTGCCAAAGAGCAAATCGATCAAAAAGGGACTTGCAAAGCTTGCCTCAATCCCATCCTCCCTTTCACGCTCATCACTATCAAAGAAGAGCAAAAAGGATGCCTTCGACTTCACATCAGTTTCTAGTGATTGGACTCTGGTCGAAGATGAACAAGAAGTGCAAACCACTTTCACCTCTACCAGCTCTGAAGCTGAGTCCACTTTGGTTGATTCGGATCAAGAATCATCAGTAGTGACTACCACCCCTTTTGAAGGTGATTGGATCTCCTCACCCCGCTCATCTCTCACCAAAAGTCAAGCTGCCCTTCAGCTCAAGGAAGCTCGAAGACGTGCTCGCTTATCACACGAACAATACCTTGACAGTCGTCAAGAGAACAAGTGTCTTATATCAAAGGACAACTTCCAAGTCGATCAGTCATTGCAAGACACTTTGAAAACATCTTTCTCATGTGACCTCTCATCCTCTGAAGATGAAGACTCTCTTGTCACTCAAAGTATCAAAGCACGACTTGCAGAAGCACGCCTCAAAGCCAGTCAGTCTCATAGAGCTTACTTGGCTGTCAAGGAGGACACTTCCATTCTTGACGACCAAACCTTGTCTCAAGGAGTGAACACTTGGTTGGCTACCCCAAAGCAACCAGTTCAACTCATTGTCACCGTTTGATCATCATTCCATAGTTCCATAGTCTTCTATTATATACCCGTTTCGTTTTGTTGTACTTGTATCAATCTTGATCTTGTTTCTCGGCTTTCACTTTAATGAGTGTGAGATACATCAGTACAGACACACTTTTGAGTGAACAAGTTTATCTTGTTTGATTTGTATCATGCATTTGTCGTGATTGTTCGGGAATTATTGGAGCACATGGCGAAAAGATGTTTTCTCGACTCCAATTGAAATCTTACCCATGCTCACAGTTGCTTCGCCACCAGCAAAAAGATCATACAAATTTCTTGATCGTACGAATGAAATTTCCAAAAACAAAGTGATTGAGACAATTCGAGATAGTGATGTACATGAGACAATTCGAGAGAGTGATGTACATACAATTGCTAGTGTGGAGGGATTCCGCTAATGCTCGCTCAACGAGCTTGGCTAATGTGAAGAGTTTCCGCTAACGCTCGCTCAACGAGCTTGATAAGATCAAGAATTTACAATCTGCGTAAGCCAAGATTAAGACCACGACTTTCGATATCGAATAATCTTCCTTTTTTGCATCCCAAAGCAGCGATGATCAAGGTCCAGCCCGTCTGTAAGGCATTCCAAAAGGATGGATCGGTTAAGCCAATCGCCACGCCATTTGCCCATACTGAATTGATACGGTAGGCGATTGCAAAAAGATCGTGGGTAGGTTGATCGGCCAAGAATTCGGTCGCTTGCTGAGAAAGTGACGATCTTGCAAACAGCTGAACGCTTTGTTCAATCCCGAGGAGCGTATTGGTCAGCACGGGCAAATAGGAACCATATGAAATATTGTCGTTCAAAGAAGTGGCCGCGAATTGTTGTTGCAAAGTAGTTTGGTTATCAGATTGCACAATTTGGCGCAAAGGTAAGAGATCCATTAACAAAGCAGCTGCATCGCGATTGTAGATGAATTGATGGACTGGAACGAACTCTTTTGGGCGAGGAACAAGGATAGGAACCACCGGGAACGATTGGCTTGATCCGTTGTTCTCATTCGGTTCCATTGTTACCGTCGATTCGCCAAGTCGAGGCAACGAGACACATTGCAAGACGTAGAGCATGGCATGACACGGAATGAGCATACCATTTTCTTCTCCAGCGTTAGCTTGGCTACTATGAACTGCCAAAATATGTGTTGGTGGCAGAGAAAGACCTGTACCGCTTGCTTTACCATCTTGTAATTTCTTGTTTAAATCAGCTGTTGGAATAGCAAAATGTCTTGGTAAAGCTTGTTTCTTTGCTTGCGCTTCAGACAATTGCTCTTTGATATTGTCGTGAAATGTGTCCATGAGCCAGCATGTCATTTTCAAAAGCCCAGTTGCTCCTTGTGAGCTTGAATGTTGTACCCATTTGGCTAATGCAAAGTCAACAGTGATACCTTTTGCCGCAGCAAAGTTCTTTGCATCTTCAGCCAAACCATGGCGATAAAGATGCTCAGGAAGATCTTCACGAGGGTTCGAGATGAACCTCAGAGGTGCTCGTGGCAGGCGCAAAGGCAATCTTCTGACGTTGGCAAACGAGATTTCTGGAATAGAGTTGTCTTCTTCTAGTTCAGGCAGTTCAGGCAGGTCAGAAGCTACACTTGCATTGTCATCCTTGCTTTCCTCCCAGTGTTCTCCAGCAGCGATGATTAAATTGCTCTCAATAGATTGCAAAAGTTCTTCGCTAGGAGTGAAAGCTTGAGCGTTTCTTGGCCGTGAGGCATTGAGAGATTCTTGAGTGCCTGCAGTATTGTGTTGCAAATTCTCATTAGTCAAATTGGCACCCGTTTGATTGTCATGGTGCGAGAAAGGCGCAGTTTGATTTGCAAGCTTGGAAAAGCCATTTGATGAAAAGTTTAAGGCACGATCATTCTCGTATGCCAAATCTTTTTGGTGAGGCGCGTAATTGTAGTTCGTCATTTCTTGAAGGACTGGAGTCATTTCACGATGCATGGTGGCAGTAAACAAAGCCTTTCTTGTGAGGAGGCCTTCGTTTATACTTGAGGTGGCGAAAAGTCTTGTTCATCTTCAAAAAATTGCTGCCTTTTAACCATGTGGTGTAATAGACCTATCAGGAACCTCATCAAGTCTTGATTAGGGTTTTGACACACAAACAATTCATTCGGAGTGTGGCATTACATGGCGTGACGCGGCGCCCGCACCGCCGCTTTTCTCATTTGATGAAAAAATAATACATGAATTCAATCGCATGAAAAAACAACCAAAAAAAGGGCGCGCCTCTATATACATAAGGTCTATGGGTAGGGGTATGTAAATAAGTTTGAATCTGATTAGGGTGTGATGTACATGGACGGGAGCGTGCATTGCGCAATGCTCATCCTTGGGATTGATCATGACGTCGTTTTTCAATGGCTAACAATCTTTGTTGACGTAGACTTTCCATATGCGATTGCACAGCATCAGCATTAGAAGCATGTGTCGATTGCACAGCATCAGCATTAAAAGCAGGAGTGGGCGGTGAAGAGATATCGATCTGCTGTGCGGAGGTATCCGCTGTTGATGAAGAGCCAGAAGCGGCATTTGCATTCGTGAGAGTGGTTTGATGTCCGCCTCGCTGTTCGGCTTCATGCTCTTCTTCATCGCCGAATAAGCAAGTAATCACATCGACCAATTGAGCAACATATTCTCCCTCTTTATCCTTTCTTGAACCATTGAGAACGAATCCTTTTTGTTGACTTTTGCTCTCTTGAGCTTTGGCAACCAACTCCGCGGAATCTTTGAGATCGTTCGAGACACAATGCTCACGAGTGAACAATGATTGGTGTCTCTTTCTTGCCAAATTGACAATCCTCTGTTCTACTGTATCGATCACTTGATAACAAAACACAGTTGTAGTTTTCATTTGGCCAATTCGATGTACTCGACCGATTGCCTGTAATTCCAATGCATGATTGACTAAAGGCTCTAAAAGGAAAATATTTTGAGCGCAAACCAGATTCAAGCCACTACTTTGAGCTTCAGAATGCAAAAGCAAAACATTCGTATCTGCATCATTCTTGAAATGATCAATTATCCTTCCTCCACGGACTCCGCCTTGATCCAAAGTGACAAATTTGATCCCGTTTAATCGAAGAGCATCTCCAACCAAGTTGATACCACGAGAAAAAGCCGTAAAGATCAGCGATTTAGTTCCAGGTTCTGTGGATTCGATGTATAAGAGATGCCGGGTCAATAGATCCAATTTGCTTCCCAGAGTACTGCGAATTGGCATTCGTTGAATGGCAAGCAGGCTTGTGTCATCGATCACATTGAAATACTTTCTCTGCAATATATCCTTATCGGATCCTGGTTGGTCTCTTTGACGCTTTTTACCCTTTTGTCCGTACGTGACTCGATAGACATTTCGTAGATTCACTTGAGCTTTACACATTGGACATTGGCCACGTAAAGCAGTCCAACGCAAATGGCAAGATTCGCATACTACATGTCCACAAGTATCCAGAACGATTGCTTTTACCATTGGCTCTGTACAGATCGGACAGTTTCTGCCTCGCTTTGCTGCATTATCGTCTTCTCTGCCTTCTTCTGGCGTGCTCGTGATTGGGTGTGAATCTCGATCATCCTCATCTTCTTCTCCCTCTTCTTCTTCAATTGCACACAAGTATCTCAGTCTTCCTGCGCATAACTCTTGACGTCTTTTCAAAGTTGCTTCTTCACGTTCAAAGTTACCCAGACGTTCTTGAATACTCATGTTACCACTCAAGATAATATCGGCAACTTGATCACTCAAATCTTGTATTTGTTTAAAGTAGGCTGCTCTTGCATTCCATGCAGCTGAAAATGTTGCACTCTCTTTCTTCATCTTCTCTAACAAAGTTTTCTGGTTTGCAATCATCTTTCGCGTTTGATCAATTCCCATCCGAATGATCATCACTTCTTCACGACCATCGATCGATTGGACAATTTCGCGCATATCTTTCAAGATAAGCTCAAAAGGTTGAAGGTCTGAAAATTCAAATAAATCTTCATCTGTTCTATTTGCAATTTCTCCTGATTCTTGATCTTGTTGAACTCGATGAGCACGAGATCGCATACCTGCTCGTTGTGCTTCGCGAGAGATGGAAACGCGATTCTTTTGAATTTCCAATTGACGAAGATGATCTAGTTGCTGTCTCATAACGCCAATCTCTTGTTCTGATGGCAGCCAATCATCAGCAAACACTTCGTTTCGTACCACTTCTGTTCCGCTTGCTTGTTGTAACATAATTCTACGTTGGGCTCGTTCATATTGCGGCACTTCACGTTCGAGTTGTGCATAAAGTTGTGGCCGACCTAAAGTACCTTCAATCCTTACGTTCGTCAACATGAATTCACGTTCACTCAACAGGACCCTGTACATTTCTAACAATGCTTCAGCTTCTGCTTGAGCGTCCAAATTTTCTTGATATTGATCATCATTCTCATCTTCTGCGGAAACGACTCTGTTCACAGGCTTTTCCAGACGTTTACGAATCTTTTCTCTCCATTCAAAGATGACGTCACTTTGGGCGTTGAGCCTGTCTTGTAACCTTTTCAATTGATCAAATTGAGAGCTGCTTTTTATGCCGCCAATACCAAAATTCTCTTGACCATATAGATCTTCAATGCCAAAGTCTAGAGCTGTTGATACACAAGTCGAAAGTGCTTGTTCCACCGCTTTGCGTCGATCTTTCAGTAATTCTTGACGAACATCTTCCGCCTTGTCATAAGATTCATCCTCCTGTTTCTTGAGCGCATCAAGCTTAGCGTCCGTTTGCTGTAGGATAGATGTGGCGCTATCATGCACTTTGACGGCTTCCTCTTGTCGTCCGTCTTCGGCAGGTTCAATTTGGGTAGCCGTTTCCCTTATCTTTTCGCCCATCTGGAAATAGATGTTTCCCAAGAAATGATGACAACGATGATACTGTTCAAGATAATTACGCAATCGTTGTTGTAAGGCAGTCATATGACGTCTACGTTGCATACGCTTTTCGCTCAATTCCACTTCCCTGTCTCTGTCAATCGGAAGCCTGGCATCTGCTTCTTTTTGGTTGTCAAGTGGCGTCATTTCGACATCTCCGTCAGTGCCAAAGTCCATGTTTCGCAAGTCAGCAAGCTCGGCTTTTGAAAATTTGTACAGAGGTCCTACCCTTTTTGCATTTTCCAGGTTCAGCTTGACGGCGTCTATTCTATTCTTAACATCTTCTTGCACTGCCATCAACATAGCTTTTGCAATATCGTGTCTTCCATCATCTTCTTTACGTTGAAGCATCAATACTGCACGATCGATACGCTTCTGAATGAGAGAATGCCAGATTGAATCAAATTCAGATCGTGATCCTTCAATCATGATTGTCAAAACTTCTTCCATACTTCGAATCGTTTGCGAAGCTGCCAGTGCCGTACCTCGCACACCAGAGCCAGCGATTTGAGGATGGGTACATGCTTGGCGCAATGCCAAAAGGGTGGTACGAAGTTGCCCAACATCTTCACCGTAAGTTGAGTAAACATGTCGTAAAAGTTCCTTGCGAGAAGCAAAGTTGGAAGAATCTATACCGATTGACGATAAAAGTTTTTGATAAATGTCGCGGTAAAACGTAGACTCGACTGCAGTAAAGTGAACGGGAACCAAAACCCTTGTTTGTTCAGGTAATGCCATCTCTTGACGAACTTGACTTTTGGTATGTCTCACAGCCAGCCTTCCCATCGCTGTCATGAGCGTGGAAATCATACTCGGCTGCAATAACCGTTGCCAATAAGGATTACTGTGAATTGGGCCTGGAACCCTCAAGAATTTGAACAAGGAATGAATATCCGACATTTGCTTGAAAGGCGTACCTGAGACAGCTATACTGTAATTACGAGCAATCATCGAGACAGTCTCAGCCGCTGAAGCATGCCCGACCAATTGAACTTCATCCATCACCACTCGATGAAAGGCTAGCTGGATGAGCAAGCTTCTAGGCCTTTCATATTTGCGCTCAAATCGTCTTGATCGCTGTGGTTCTTTTCGAGCGACTACCAACTCTTTACGAAGTGTGTCAAAAGAAACAACAATAATGTCGAATGTTCTGGCAAATTCAGGCCAAGTCTTGCCATCTGGAATTTCCTTGTTCGCTTCTTTGTATCCCAAATAGCTAAAAGCTCTCAATTCAGGCGTGTGTAATGTTGCTTCATCAAGCCACTGTTGACGCAAGACTTCAGGTGCCACAATCAAAGTCGTTTTGGTGGGAAAGACCTCAACTTCGAGAGAATGATCGAAATATGCTGCTTCTTCTGATCTTCTTTCGTCTCCGTTCAGTAAGATCAAAGCGAAAATCTCAACTGTTTTTCCAAGGCCCATCTCTTCTGCCAGGATTCCGCCATGGGTATCGTCTACTTGTGTCAGAGCATGATTCGATGTGATTGCACCCGCGAAAGAGTTAAAGTATAAATCTGGAGCTATCTGACGCCAGAAGAGGCCCAGATTCTGTCGGTCTGCTCTTGAAATCGGAACAAGGGATGCGGTATCATCTTTCATTTCCTGTACGAGTGTCTTGCCCTCTCGTTCGAGCAAGAAGCGCACTGATTCTCTCTGGAAAGGGAACAGTTGTGCATTCAGTAGTCGTGGTTGCAAGACATCCAGTGGCGACTCAGATCGAGCATCTGAAGAGCGTAATGCTTTATAGAAAATACTTGCATCGATTTGATCATGGGAGCGAACGGTGCTTTCCTCATCATCGTTTGTAAACGCAAAATGGATCAGACGATCAAAATGTTCAGCTTGCACTGCATTTTCAAGCGTCCAAACAGCGTTTTGTAAATCTGAACGTAGGAACACTCGCAAACGCAGTTCCAGAACGAATGCTTCCTCAAAGCTGTCACAGAATCCTGTTGGTCCATCAAAGACCATGTCAAGTCTTGCTTCTGTCCGTATAAGCGTTTTTCTAGAGAAAGGTTTGTTCACTTCTCCACCGGAAAGGAGACACAGAGACTCCAGCCAAGGACCATTGGAGTAGCGGTGAATTTCTTGAGTTGCATCGGATACCCGGCTACTGTCCAGGATAGGTAAGTGAGCGATCGTCGTCCCACTCGTGTTCTGAACTCGAATAAATGCACATATAAGGCCGTCGTTCGATCTATTCTTTGGGAGCGGTTCATATATGATCCGACCGATCGAATCAACCGCTGAGATACGATGGTTGGATGCGAGACGTGACATTCTACTCTTCAATTTTCGAGCCATATTCTTATCGTTGTTGTTCCTCATCAATACCTCAAAACGACATGCAGTGGATATAAACATCTGCTCATTGTGTTCAGTCTTTGCACGTTTGATCGAAGTCACTTCAAAGGATGGAGACAATTCCCTCTTTAAATTTGCTCCGTTTACGACTTGTGAGCTACTTTCACCATTTTCTTTCTTCACTGATCCAAGTGCTGCATCGACTGAATCAATGTCCTTTGCTTCAGCTCTCTCGACATGATGAGAATGTGAAATGAGTGAATCAAGGTTGATGTATGCGGTGCAATCTTCGTATTCTACTTCTGCCAAATCTACACGTTGCAAAGTGGCAATAGGATCAATGGTCGAGTTGGAGGATGGACTGGTCAAATGTTTTAACTGCACTGGAAATATGGACGCCGGATCATTTGCTTCTTTGTCTTCTACTATAGTGATTGGCTCATCTCGATTGATCACAATTGGTTCTGTGTTGGATCCTGGCGCAATTAAGCGATTACCTTGAGCCTTCTTTCGTGCCATTTTCACCTCTTTTGATCTTTGCCACCCTACCGACAAAGTATGCAGTCTTCCTTCAAAAAGCTTCTAATGCAGTGCATTATCAATTGTGGCTCTTGAAAGTAAGATGGATAGCTTTGAAAGTGCTCCAGTCTAATTGAAGAAGAAAGAAGTATCCTACGTATTTTTTGATGAGAAGCGTTTGAATAATTTCATAAAGCTGAGAGAGACATCCTTAACGCCGATTCTAATGTACTTAACGCGGTCAAGGATAAAAATTAGACGCGTTTGTGCCTCCCGCGCCGCACTTAGGGTACTGTGTTTATTTTAGCGTTGTGTTGCATGTTGATTGAAATAAACAAAGCTGTCACATTTGCAATCAAACCATCACCTGTAATATACTCTCTCATTCATATCACTCAATCCAATGAGTCAAACCGCCGGAATCCAAACGGCATCACCAAGAGCATTAAGGAGCAGGAATAAAACATCCAGATTGGATGTGCAAAGTATACCTGTAACAACACGAGCTTCAAGTACTCAGCCATTCGAAGATGCTCTAACAGGTGAAGAAGAGCAACACCAACAAAGTGACGCAGATGCTTTAGAGTTCCCTCAATCCAATCAAAATGCAGCAAATCAACATGCTCTTGAATTCGATCAGAATAACCGATTACGTAGAGCAGATCCAAATCGGACACCTACTAGATTCCCCACAAGACCGGTTAATCGAACACAGGTAGAAGTTCAATTTGACGAAAATGATCCAGATACGTTCTTAGAACGACTCACTGCGAGCGGTCAAGGAAGAAGAACAAGAAGAACACAGTCGTCTCAACCTCCGTCTGATGCTCAAACGCAAACGAATGATCTTGACACATCGTCAAAGAGATACAATTTGAGACGTCAGCCCTCTTCAACACCAAACGCCGAAAAAAATAAAAAGTCCCCCTCTAATAAGATAAATCGTCTATTCAGAGGGCCTATTGGAAGCGAAGATGAAGAAGAAGTGGAGATTGAAAGTGCAGAAAGTGAAGAAGAGGAGGTTGGAGGAAACAATGAAGAACAAGAAGAAGTTGGAGATGGTATTGAAGAAGCTGAAAGCTTACAGGAAAACCAAGAGAACAATGATGAAGATGGCGAGGAGACGGAGGAGGAGGATATCGTAATGCAAGAAGGAGGAGAGCATCAAGAGGCGGAAAGGAGAAAGATTTCTGTCCAGCGAGACCAGACTGAATCAACATCTTCACTTGAACGTGAAGAAGCAAGAAGAGAAGATGAAGAGGAAATGGACGAATTGGAGGAAGCTGAGGATGAAGAAGCTGTAGCCGCTACTCTTGAACCGCAGAGAGAATCGACATCGCCATCAAATTATGAACCAGATAACGAAGGCAACAATGGCGATGACGACGATGATTACCAAGAATTTCCAAATGACAATGCTGACGATGACGATTTTGAGGAAAATTTGGATGAAGAAGCCGCTCGAAAACACAGAGCACAAACATTAAAGAGAAGGCAAAGCAGAAGGGAGGAGCAAAACAGTCCGGCAAAAAAAGTGCAGCAGCAGGAAGAATCTGATGAAGAAGCAAGTGAGATCGAACCCGATGAGTCGGAAAGAGCTGCACAAAATTCGCAAATCGTGACGAAATATCGATACACAATCGGCCAGAATAATGTTGGTCGAAAGAAGTGGACAAATGAAGAAACACAATGTCTAATGTCAGCAATGGATTCGATCATGACAGGAGAAGATGCAAAGTTAAAGTTGCGGCCATACTTTGCAGTCTTGCAACTTCATGGAGAAAGAGGAAGTATTGATAATCTATTGGCCACGAGAAATAATATGCAACTGAAGGACAAAGTACGAAATGAAATTCTACGATTGAAGAGGGGAGGCACTGAGGTTCCGGAATGGGCTGATAGGCTTTTTCGCACCATCTGATGATTTATCGATTTGGACATGTACAATATTCACACGTGGAAAAATACCCAACCAGATCAATTTTCGACCTTAATAATATACATTAACATATTGCTTCATAGAAAAGCAGTAATTACACTGAGTTTTGTTCGTTACTGTAGCAATCACCAACGCCCTTCTCGAGCTCCGCTGCTATCTTCGCGTCTTCCAGGTGAGCGTTCGCGTTGATAGTCACGGCCTGAATTGTTATTTGAGCCATCAGGTCTGGTTGGCAAACCAGCAGAAGAAGGAGGTGCATTCAAAGGTCTACCACGACCTGATTCTGAGCGATCTCTTGAATTACGGTCTTGATCATGATTGCTACCATGATCTGCTGAACCGCTTCTGCCGCCGGTCTTTCTGTTGCCATTGTTGGCCATCGAACCTGCGTTTCCACCCATACCCATTCCAAATCCACCCATGTTAGCATTATTTGACCATCCTCCACCTCCGCCGCCCATCATGCCACCCATATTTGCGGCCATCATCATTTGTTGAAACATCATCGGATTAAAACCGCCACCACCTTGTTGCTGGAAGAAGCTAGCCATTGCATTTGGATCGAATGATTGAGAGCCAGCAGAGTTGAACATTGGATTCATCATCATTGAAGCCATAGGGTTATTACCCATCATCATTGATGACATATCATTACCGCCGCCCATAGAATTAGAACCGTAACCAAACATGTTGGAGTTGCCATCATTGCCGAAATCGCCTCCACCACGTTTCTGATTCATTTCAGGTTTTTGTGGTCCTGTTGGACGTCTTGTTCCATCGGCGTTTCTAGGAGTTGCACGTTTGACTTCAATCATCTTTCCATCCATTGCTAAGTTATCCATTTGAATCAATTGTTCTACAACTTGATCATTCTCATACGTCACAAATCCATATCCACGTGGCTTTTGCGTATCACGGTCCAACATTAATGTACTGTCAAGCAAAGGGCCAAATTGTGAAAAGAATGCTTTGAATGATTCGCTGGTGGCTGATTGAGGAATTCCACCGACAAAGCATTTTGCAGTCTTGACATTCTCTTGTCTTGGAATTGCCCTCTTCGGATCGATCTGGGGAATAAATTGGGATTTTGAGAAAACATGTTCTGTACCATATCACATCTTAAATACTCACCATTTTTCCGTCAAGAAAATGCTCTTTGACCATGACTGAATTGACAGATTTAGGATCATCAAATGTCAAAAATGCGAAACCACGCGAGCGACCTGTACTGGGATCACGCATGATTAGGCAATGATTGACCTTGCCGAATTGAGTGAAATATTGTTTGAGACCATCTTTTTATAGAAGGGGAAGGCAGCATCGATTAGTAATCATCGGACTCCCTACACAATACACAGTAGGGATACTTACCATCAGTCGTGTCCCAATTCAAACCACCGACGAATAATTTGCTGTATCAAAGTGAGAAGAGATTGTGTGAGCCATCTTTCTGAAAGGACTGCAGCCGAGGTTTGTGTTCCTCGATCTAGTTCGATAAGAAAACCTTCAGCCGGATGATGAAAACGAAATTGGAATGCATAATATTACTGTTTTCATTGTAGTTCGTTTCGGTGTCTATCCTCTGATATATGGACATTCTTGGACGTATCAAGCCTCTATAGATAAGACGACGAGGACGCCATAAGATGATGGTCATGGAGCGCATACAGAGCATCAAATGCTACGGAGGTGGTAGCAATGGGATAATGCTGACCCTTCTATTGAGAACGAAACCATGTATAGCGTGATAGGAGGGCGTTACGACAAGTATGACGTCTACTGTGACGGTAATGAAGATCGCTATAAAGTAGTAGTGCAAACAGCAGGCGAAACATCTCGTCAAGGGACTATTTTTTGCCAGTCCGACTGTTAGACGAGAAGAAACCCTTTCCTTTCTCTGCGACATGCAGCAGATCGCTCGAGCGAAATGCTTTCAACCCGAAGCCCTACCCATCTCTCATTTCCCTGCCGACTCTCAACATAATTTACTCACCCTTCGTCCGGCATTTCATGAGGCAGTGTTGGTCTAAGAGCATTTTGCTGCATCAAAGTCATTCCAGAAGTTTCTGTAACGCTTGATCGTCCGTTGTCCGTATTCGTCATCGGAGCAGTTTGAATTTGTGCACGAGGAAAAGCGGTATTCGTGCTGCTCGTTGTGTTTGTCGGAACAGACGTCGATGCAGATGGCGGGATAAAGCTACTGTTATTATTTGATGATGTCGAAGTTGAAGGTGGGATGAAGGAGCTTTGTGTACTTGGCTTCGCTGGGATAAAGGATGATTTTGAAGTGCCTTGATCTTTCTTCGTTTCACCTTCATCATATGCCAAAAGATCTTCGCCTTGGCTATCAGCCTTACCTGTATCATTTCCACCATCTCCAGCACCATAAAGGTCAGCATAAAGGTCGTCCCCGTCGTCAGCCATGATGTTGAATTTGGATGATTATGGTTGTGATTGATGAAGAAGGATAGATCTTTCCTTTTTGCGTGCCGCTTTGTATCAAGCAGAGTGTGATCTTGTGCCCGCCCGCTTAATTGGTTTAGTGCCGCCGCCTTCCGCGCTCAGTAGGAAATCGCCACTAATGAAGCAATGCACGGTCAACAGAAAAAGGTCCACTTAATTACACACCATCACCTAGCACACTCCTTCTAACAAACAAGCATACATTGCACATCAAGTCGATGTGCTCGCATTCGACCAGGTGAAGAGAGGTGGAAAAGGTAGAATCACCCAGCACTGAGCGAACACAAACGATCTTCGACACCACGTATGTCCTCGACGCGATTGACATTACACCACAATCCTATTACCTTTGTTCACTAAACAACAAGAACGTCGACAATGACAACTCGAAGTACGAGAAGCGCCCTGAGCGCCAAAGAACGAATGACAGATGGTGACGTCTATGTGGTAAGTTATAATATTGGCGGTTATCGTCATGTGCTTCTTCTGATCGCTCCGTCTTCTTTCCTTCATCAGTTCTTGTTGCAAAATGCTGTCTTATCATGGACTATACAGTCCAAACTTGCAAACAAAGAAGCCTCAAATTCGGCAAACAACTCACAAAACGCATCGATTGGCAAAAAGGGTGGAGGTGAAGCATCAGCGAGTGCGGCACAATCTAACGCTACCAGTACATCACGAGGAGATTGGATGAGCTTAGGCGGTCTGGCAGACATGGTACGGGATGTATCTGGGAGCAACAAAAGCGTGCGATTTCCAGAAAAGTTCCTGAAACGAATGGGTGAGAGGCTTGAGCAAATTGCGATGGGAAGAGATCCCAATTATCGCGATCAAAGCTTAAGGCGCACGATTGGTGTGTTCTATGGGACTTTCAAAGAAGCAAGCTTTCAGAAGCAATTGAAGGAGAATCGAAAAGTGGAAGATTTGATTTTGAACTTTGTTACCAGTGCGCAAAGCACTTTGAGTAGAACGATGGATGGAGATGCATGGAAGGAAGAATTGGACAAGCAAGTTGGGATCTTTGTACGGATAATACGTGATTGTTTACGATCCATTCATGGCGTATCAAGAGAATTACTGGATAGATTAGATGGCTATTCCAACAAGCTGGCACCTGGTCCAACGTCTCTCAGTCAACAACAAAGCCAAAGTCCTTCCAACAATGGAGCTACTGGTCCTACAACCCCTAATGTACAAGAGGATAACAGAAGAGGAAGTACAGCAAGTTCACTTCACGCGAATGCAACGTCCAATTCGGCCACAAATGGGAGCGTGATCAATGACAGTGTGTTGATTCGTACTGTTGGCATTCTGTTCAAAGTTGATCAAGAGCAATTATTGCGTGATGTAGATTTTATGCGCAAAACCTGCACAGAAAAGAATGCAATGATCGATCTCAAAAGGTGCGTGCAAAATATCAATCTCCAAGCAGCATGGCCAGGACGAAAAGAAGATTTTGAGACAGAAGAAGGATACCAGCAGTGGAGAAGCAATGAATTGCAATCACTGTCGCAAACCATGATGGAAATGTGTAAAGCCAATCCAGAACTGCTCAAAATCACTTCTTCTGAACCTATTGGCGCCAATGCTCCTTCTTCGCCCCCGGTTACAACAGAAGGTAATACTCCCTCCATCGATGCAAGTGTTAGTCAAAGCGACACAGAGGATTCCACCCTAGCTGGGGATGCTGAAGAAGAGGCATCGATCAGCAGTCTCACATTTGTTCCGCCCGATCCCAAAGCGTACTATCGTCGCGCACTAGAGATGTGTATCGATTATGATCTCGAACAGATCCGCATTCAACCTGAAGAAGAAGAAGTTTCGCTCAGCATCTTGTCACAATCCCACATTGACCTGTTAACTGAATGTGCGCTTCGGTGGCGTATTATGCCGACATTTCGAGCAACAAGCAATCTTGACGTTATAAAGTACAAGTATGATCGAGGTGAGGTACCACTAGACTGCATATCCGAAGCACTTTCATCGATCGATCGAACGATAGCAGAACGCAATCTAACACTTTGGACCAAGTCGGATCGAAGATTGCTTTTCTCTTGCACATGCTCCCTCTTCGATTCGTGTATTCGCTTTATACATGACGCTTTCCAAGATCTACAGAATATCGATGTTGATGAAGTTCAGCCTTTCGTGTCATTAGTAACGGAATTACACGATGCAGGCCTAGTGCGTACTGATGCAGACCCAAGCGGTGAAGTGGTCGACTTGGACGGTTATGCCGAAGATTTGAAAGATCGGATACGAATACTAGCCATACACGATTACACAGCCAAGACGACAGACATTTTCAGTCAGAGGATTGATAATGAGGTAGCACCTTTGCTGGATTTGTTGGATTGGATAGAAAAAGGAGCCAAAAAGATGGACAAAAAGTATCCCGATCCTATTCTCGGACGAATTGATCCCGTTTCGCTCATCTTGGAGAAACAGGCAAGTCTTTTCTTGGACGATCTGGAATCTATGAAACATCAGATTGTGGAACATGCTCGTCGTGATAGAGATTCATTGCCTTTCGATGACGTCTTTCGCCTTTATGATAGGACAGGAGATCTTCTTCGCATGCATTCGGCCTTTTGTCCCGAACAAAAACTCAACTTCAATCGTTCAGATTGGTTTGAGCCTCACATTCAACACTGGTTGATGCTCACTGAGAAGAAAACTGCTGAATGGGTGAATAATGCCTTGTCCTCCGACTCATTTATACCTATCGATAGCGAAGGAGCGGTTCATTCAAGCTCGATTGATGATCTATTCGGTGCTTTGCAGCAACCTTTGGATTTCATCCTTTCACTTCAATGGCCTGATGCATATCAAAATGCTCGCTTTTTGACCAGCATGGCACGTACGATCAGCAGAAGTATTGAACAGTATTGTGCAAAAGTAGAAGAGATGTTTATGGAAGAAATGTTCCCTCGAACAAGCGATGGTCAAGAAAAGCAAAGTGCATGGATGGTAAAAGCGAAGCAAACATTACAAGGAGAGAAAAAGGTGGAACCGTTTCACTTCCAAACCAGTACATGTGTAAAGCTGAACAATGTCGAAGCTGCACGAATTTTGTTGGACAAGATCTACAATAAGGTCGACGCTGATACCCAAGCACGCATTATAGGACAAAATGCACCTAAAGTGCCTGATAAGAGGCAAAAACAAAGGTACATCTTTACCGTCAAGGTGGTCTTGGGTGAGAATCTGCAGCCGGTCAAGGACAGTTCGGCAAATGCACGCATTGATTCATTCGTTACTTTGTCAGATGAACGTGGAGCAAAGATTGCGAAAACAAGAACAATCTATGAAACGCCGGATCCCAGATGGGATGAAACATTTGACATTCCTGTCGAGGGTAATCTATGGCTAGCCGCTACTGTTTGGGACAGAAAGCTGGTTGGTGATCACAATCTGTGCGGGCGTGCATACCTCCGATTGGACCCAAGGTATTTCAATGACTTCTTAAATCATGAATTGTGGCTCAACCTTGATACACAAGGACGTCTCTTGATGCGCGTAAGCATGGAAGGCGAAAAGGATGATATTCTTTTCTACTTTGGACGTGCATTCCGATCTCTGAAACGTGCCGAAAGCGATATGATCCGTATCATTGTGGATAAGATGTCTGTCTTCATTCGACAATGTCTATCACGCTCTGTACTTAAATCTTTGGTGAAAACGAGCGGTATCAATCTTGACAAAGCCTTGGGTAACGTAAAGGCTTTATACGCCCAAGCACTAGCAAGTACCAATGTGAATGCGTCCATGATTCCGCCAATCGAGTCAGAAATGCCAAAGAAGCAAAGACCTCAACAATTGACGGATCACGAGATTGAAGCAGCTATTTCGCCGCTATTTGATTATTTGGAGGAGTGTCTAGGTACTCTCAAGAGCAGCTTGAGCGATGACGAGTCTCTGTTGGTTCTCACAAAGGTTTGGAAAGAGGTATTGAATACGATCGAATGCATTCTTCTTCCGCCACTCTCGGACGGACCTTCAGATATGACACAATTATCCGGAAAGGAAGTCGAAGTGGTGTTCAAGTGGTTGAGTATGTTGCGAAATTACTTCAATGCATACGACGATGAATCAGGCATCGCACATGGAGTTCCATTGGAAGTATTGCAAGGACCGAAATATCGTGAAATTGTGTCTTATACCCTTTTTCACGACGCCCCCACAGATGATTTGATGGAATCCTGTGTGCGGGAAATGCAAAAGAGATTACGAAGGGCTCCATCAAAACGTGTGAAGAACAAGAGTGTTTTGCAACAAAGATCATTGGGGACGATTAAGAAGCGCAAAGCAGATAAGAAAAATGAAGAACAGAATGCTGATGACAACTTGGACGTGATTCTTCGTCTTTTACGAATGCGTCCGAATACTACAGACTTCTTGCAACAACAATTCTCTACTATGGGACGCTTACAAGCTGCAATGGGCAGTACTCCAACTACCGCCATTCCAGCCATGCCTCCTACGAATAACATGAATGCAACTCAACAATTTCCACATCCACACATGCACGCACAAGCATCTCCTTTGCATCCGCAAATGGCCAACATTCCACCTTCTTATCCTCAACAACCTGCCCGTGGTATAGCCCCACCTCCTTCCTATAACACGCCAAATAACACACGACCTTCGCTCAATCAAAGGTTGAGTAAAACACTTCAGCAATCCACTTTGGACAACCGGGCAACACCGCCTGCTTCGCCGATGCGGGAATCCAGACAATTCTATCAATGAGCAAGATCTGAAGTTTACTTTTTCAAAAAGTGTTACCAATACATTATTCTCTTAATCCTTTGTACTTCTTTTTTACCCCGATACCCTGCTCTGAAAAGATATATTGCAATTATGTATCTCACATGAGCGCGTGGAAATTCAATCAATGGATTCTAGATGCTTAATAAGTGACAGTAAGCTTTTTTATTTGGGGTGGGTTAGAGCAACTCGATCGCACTTGGCTTACTCATCCTTCCTCTTTTTCTCCTCTGATGACCTTTCATCCTCTTGTGTACAGATCCACAATACGCAGAACAGCAAGAATGCTACCGCTGTACTCGTTGCACCAACGACATAAGGCCAAGCACTGTGCAAGCCGCGAGGATGTTCGTCATGATTAAATGGTCGAACGGGAGAAGTGTCCCTTGTGTGAATGTAACTCCAACCGTGTCTCTTCCAATCAACGATAAAAGTATAAACACCATGACGATCGGGTAATTGAATGGTGGAAGAGTATCTTGTTGCCCGTGCACTTCCATCTTTTCCGTCAACAATTGAAGATGCAACCGTGTTTGCTTGAATTGTATCAGCATTGTTTAGGTTGATCGTCGAGGGTTGTTGTGCGGTAAGATTGGTGGTGATGTATGGGTCCAGCATAACGAGAGAGAGTTGCAAGTCCAAATCCGTTGGTGCGGGTAGCCATCCCTTTGGTGTTCGTTGTACTAAGTCGATTGAGAATGTAACAGTATCTTTGATTCGATACATGCGCTGCAATCTTCTTTCGCCATGCTCGTCAATGACGTCCAATTCTTCGTATGATTCACGAACATCATGTTCATGTTCTTTCACACGACTGTGAGAAGTCTGTTCGACACGTAAGACACCTTGCTGTTGTGTAAGCCAAGAAGTGAGAGCGGACAGGACTGCCAAATTGGACGTTCCTTTAAACGTCTTTCCATCTCTTGTGCGAATTTGACCGCGAGGTGTAGTGAATTTGTCTGAGAATGCTTCCAAACTACCGCAGAACACGGCACGACCTGCGCTACCTTGTCTCTTTGGTCCGTCATTCTCATCACGGCGATTGGTGTCCAATAATTGGAAAGCACTGATCAGAGCTACATCTTCATCACTTCCCATTGCGGCTTCGCGATCTGGATTATCGAGTCGGTCAATCGAACTTAAATCAGAGGGCAACTCGAACGAATAAGCAGTCGAAGGCGCTTTCAAAATCGGGAACGCCAATGGATTTGGTCCCAGTCTGTGAGCAACTCCTTTGAAAAGGAAAGGAAGATCATCTTGAACACCGGCAAAGATACCTTCCACTGATGAACGATACGACTTTGGAACGGCAATTTGTGTATGCGTTTCATCGTTCTGCAATGAGACAAAGTGATCCACAACGGAGGTTCCGCGTTCCTCAGTCTCCAATTCAAATTCGCGTGCCAAATCTCTGTACAATTCACTCAATTCGCTTGACAAGGCAAAGAGGATATTGCCATTTTGTTGCAAGAAGTTGACCAATTTTTGAGGAGCTAGATCAGAAGGTAATGATTTGGCCGTTGGAGCGAAAAGCAAAAGGTGATCGAATGCCACTTCTTCGTAGTTGTACAAAGCAGGCGAGTTCTCTTCCACTTTCCTGAAAGTGAGCTGCAGACCTTGAGCTTCCAGAGCTTTAAAGTATGCAGAGTAATCCGATTTGGAGAATCCTGATCCATTTTCATGAACGACTAGAACTTTGGGAGCATTTGGAACGATTGCTATCACGACTTGCAATAGCAAGAGAATGCAAGCTTGTATGACTATTAGCTGCCGTACCATCGTCCTTATCATATCGACTTGTGCTTGAGATGATGGCAATGAAGCGGGATTTCTTCCAGAGTGCAGGTCCGTGCCAAAAATGGAAGAATTGCCAGCTGCTTAGCGGGGGCCTTTAGGCAGTTAGTGTGTTGTCACTTAAAGCGCACGCATATAGACTACATACACGTGGCTGTACCAACTCAGACAAACGCCTGCTCGCACGGATGTTGATGGCTTCTGCTAATTCCTTCTCCTATCTTAATCACACACGACGCAATCATAACAAGTAAAGGTCTCCATCTGATTTTACAAGGCTAATTGGTCGCCTCTGTTATCTAAAGGAGTAAAGGATACACGAAGAGAGAGGGTCAAAGCATAAATCAGGTCAGTGTATGGATCCAAACGTCATCCCAAAATGGCATCATTCTTCAGCTTCGCATCACCTGTTGATGTTGAAGTTCGACTTGATGGCGATGAAGGCAGGAGACAAGTTGAGGTAAAGGTAGAAAAGGATCGAAGGGAAAGATGTCCGGTATACTTTGACGGAGAAAGTGTGAAGGGACAAGTGGTTGTACGAACACGAGATGGCAAAAAGCTGGTTCACGATGGAATAAAGATTGAATTCATTGGATGCATAGGTTAGTCATTCTTGTAGAGATGCGATTGAAGCCTTCGTCTTGCTTACACTTCTGTTCCACATTGCAGAACTATTTTACGATCGAGGAAATCATTACGAATTCCTTTCACTTTCACATCAATTAGCATCACCCGGTGAAATACCTGCTGGAGGTTCCGGAGCTTTATTTGGATTCGAGTTCAAGAATGTCGAAAAGGCTCATGAGAGCTACAACGGCATCAATGTTAAATTGCGCTATTTTATCCGAGTCAATCTGGCAAGACGAATGGCAGATGTTGTAAAGGAGAAAGATATTTGGGTACACTCTTATCGAATGCCACCAGATTCGAATAATGCGATTAAAATGGAAGTGGGAATTGAGGATTGTTTGCACATCGAATTCGAATACAATAAGAGCAAGTGAGTAAATTTTATGTCAGCTGGGTTGATTTTCATGCTAACAATATTGCGTACAACTCTCACAGATACCATCTCAAAGATGTCATTGTCGGAAAGATCTATTTCCTTCTCGTTCGTATCAAGATCAAGCATATGGAACTTTCGATCATAAGACGAGAAACGACAGGAGCAGCGCCAAATCAGTATAATGAATCGGAAACGATTACTAAATTTGAAATTATGGACGGTGCACCAGTAAGAGGTGAGTATTGATCGGATAGTCAAGATGTACTGTTCACATGACTGAACCCTCTCGCTATCTGCACACACCACTTTACAGGAGAAACAATTCCTATCCGATTGTTCTTGGGAGGATTTGAGCTTACACCGACGTTCCGAGACGTGAACAAGAAGTTCAGCACGAGATATTATCTCAATTTGGTGCTGATAGACGAAGAAAACAGACGATATTTCAAGCAAAACGAGATCACATGTTTGTGAGTAAATTACAAAAGTTGAAGATAGACTCCCTGTTCCATTCAAGCATCTGACCATTCTCCTTCTCCCTTCAGCCGCATACCCGAGAATTAAGCCAGGAAGTCTGGCTAAGATCTGTACCAATGATTCGCATCCTTTTTCGTCAATGAATAAAGGGCTTGTACTATTATTAATATTCATCCTCATCTTTTCTGGCAGTGATTCTGAGCAAGCGATCAATTGTAATGCGACATTACCGTTGAATGAATCTGATTCTAGACAGAACATTGAGATAAATGGTAATCGTAAAAGCGTCCGTCATCAAAAGTAACAAACAACATTTTGAAATGGAAACGCGTCGGAGCAGCGTAAACTGGCGCGGGGCGTAAAGGCAGGCAGGCAGTGCAAGTGATCTTTCGAAGTTTCATACCATTCTAGTCCCAAAAATGCAGCCGAACATTGCATGGTAAGGCGTAGGGTCTGTATTAAAATTAAAAGACCTGCGCGCGCGTTCAACGCCAAAGTGTTGCGTGTGGAATGCCAAGAAATGCGTCTAGACTGGTAAAGTGCAAGCATCAAATATGCATCGTCGATTTCCAAAGGCAGGTAAATTAAAAAGAACACCGCGGCTGTTTGCTTGGGTGTTTTCCCCCTTACTCTCCGATTGTTGGCGGCACGACGCACAAAACTGCTTTGCGCACGCAAATGTTTTGAGAAAGAGGATGAATGCATGTATATGCCCATTAGATGATCAATCTACACTCTCTCATCACCATCATTCACTCCCAATCCCGACTCCCCTTCACTTTCATTTTATTTGCATTCGTGCATTTTATCGATTGACAAACAACAAAGATCTGTGATCTCACCTTAAAAACACGTTAAACACAAATTCACCATGAAGACCACATTTGCTACAGTTGCTGCCCTCCTAATCGGCGCATCCACCGTTATGGGCGCTCTTTCACCTGCACCAACACCTCATCGTCACATCAAACGTCAACAATGGCCTGACGGAGTTGACCTTTCAAAAATGTTGGCAGATCCAAGTGCTTATTTGGAAAACGTTTCGTCCGTTTTGAAAAACCAAAAGAATGCACAAAAATACGTCGAAATGTGGGCAAGCGCGACAAAACAACCTGAATTCGCAAAATCTATTTCTCAAGCTTTGGTCAGTGAATTTGGTACAATGACTGCACGTAACGCTATGGCTCAATATTCAAGCGTTCTTGAAGATTGTGAATCTTCAAGCTCTGCAGCTGCAGCCGCCGCAGAAGCAACAACACAAAATGCCGCCCCTGTAAACAACGCAGACGTACAGAGTAGCACCACCGATGCAGGATCATCTGGATCATCCGTTCAACAACAAGTTTCCAACAGAGTCACAAGTGGTGCTTCTTCCTTTGCTTCTCCGTCTACTTTGGCCGGTATGGCTTTCGCTGCCGTTCCAGCCGTTTTGGTTGCAATTCTTTAAACGGGTTTAAATCACAGATCGATTCACATACACACATTTATCATACAAGTCAATTTACGACAAAATCGTTTGTCCACCTTCTGTCACTCATTCATCTCTTTTCTCGGGTCTCTTATATCAATTTGCTTTCACCCCCTTTTGGCGATTCTCTCAATCGTTCATTGCGGGATGCTGCCCCCTGTGCCGGTCACCAATCTTTCTATACACTCGCTTCCTTTACCTTCTTTAAGCACGGATGACATTTTTGTTTCTTTATTTATATGTTCATCTGATCTCACTCTTCTCAACGTACACTATAACTCCATCAAAATTCTTCTTGATGCTTCATCCTTCTTTGCTCCTTGCTATCATTCACTTGCATCGATTGTACTATTGCTAGTCAGGCGCTCAATTTACTTCTTTTTATTGGGTCCCCTTTGTTTCTATTTGTGTGATGATCTACAATGAGTTGAGAGCTTATGTGAGATAGTTGCTCAGTATCTAGAAAGAGGATTGCAGGGAAATTTTGCGGCCATCTACATGTTTTCGAACTGTAACCATCAACGAAACTCGAGTTAGAGCCGATAAAGCGTCCTTCCGACGTGTGAATCAAGCCTCATGAATTAAAAGCTCTCAATGTGATTAAGATCTACTGTCATATGCTTCTTCGTCAACTTCACGACAGTCACTCATTATCATCATTCTTATTCTGACTCTCTTGATGTCAGATCTGAGCCGTCTGATATTTTGATACTTCTTTCTTTCTATCTTCCCTACTCATTTTTTTGTACTTCTTTCATTTCAAGTAATATCTTTCAGACTCAAAAAAGTGAAAGCCAAGAAACAAGATCAAAATTGATACAAGTACAACAAAACGAAACGGGTATACGATAGAAGACTATGAATCTATGAAACGATGATCAAACGGTGACAATGAGTTGAACTGGTTGCTTTGGGGTAGCCAACCAAGTGTTCACTCCTTGAGACAAGGTTTGATCGTCAAGAATGGAAGTGTCCTCTTTGACAGCCAAGTAAGCTCTGTGAGACTGACTGGCTTTGAGGCGTGCTTCTGCAAGTCGTGCTTTGATACTTTGGGTGACAAGAAAGTCTTCATCTTCAGAGGATGAGAGGTCACATGAGAAAGATGTTTTCAAAGTATCTTGCAATGATTGATCGACTTGGAAGTTGTCCTTTGATGCAAGACACTTGTTCTCTTGACGACTGTCAAGGTATTGTTCGTGTGATAAGCGAGCACGTCTTCGAGCTTCCTTGAGCTGAAGGGCAGCTTGACTTTTGGTGAGAGATGAGCGGGGTGAGGAGAGCCAATCACCTTCAAAAGGGGTGGTAGTCACTGATGATTCTTGATCCGAATCAACCAAAGTGGACTCAGCTTCAGAGCTGGTAGAGGTGAAAGTGTTTTGCACTTCTTGTTCATCTTCGACCAGAGTCCAATCACTGGAGACTGATGTGAAGTCGAAGGCATCCTTTTTGCTCTTCTTTGAAAGTGATGAGCGTGAAAGGGAGGATGGGATTGAGGCAAGCTTTGCAAGTCCCTTTTTGATCGATTTGCTCTTTGGCAATCGGAAGGAAGACATTGAAGTCAGCTTGGAAAGTGATCCCATTGGCAGAGAAGTTTGCTCGGGAGTCAAAGCAAAGTAGAAAGAAGTGCTTGCAATCATTTTGACTGGAAAAGTGGTTGATCTCGATGAAGAAGAAGTATGTTCTGTGAAACTTGAAAAAGTTTGAAAAGTGAAAATAACTTGAACAGAAGTATCAGAGATCAAAAAGTGGGGGGTCAGATTGAGAAAAGTTCAAAATGACCCCGACTATTTATACTTTTTGCCCAAATTACTTGAATTTGCTTCCGATGCCATTTTTTTCCGTCTCCATCAAGTATCCACCGAATAAAGTCATCATTTGAATCCTGACCACGCGGAAATGGGCCCATCAAGGCCCACAGGTCGAACCGTCCAAAGTGATATATCATTTTTTGAACCACAAGCAAACCATCAGCTCCTTTTGATAAGGATCACAGACCTTATATAGTGTCCTTGTGCCTGTATAGAGGGGTAACAGTGGGATCATCTCGGAAAGACGGAAGTAAATCTGGCCATGATGGGGAGGAAAAGAAAGATTTTAGGCTTATTTGTGTGTGAATTAACAGGTATAAACAGGCTAAAGCCTGCTGCTGCATGCAATGGCTGCATAGAAACTTTACGCGAACACGCGTAAGCAAAGTGACAATACGCGCCTACTGCCTGCCTGTGTACTCTTATCCGTAAAGAACAACACTTTTAGCAAAGTTCAAAAGTGTTCTTATAAAGAATAGGCCGGCCTGGACCAAAGTGGATCGATCTTTCTCTCTTCCATCTATTCTCGAAAGATGGCCAGCATCTGTTGCTTTAGTTCGTCGATTGGCAGATTGAAACGGCGGAAGCTAATTTGTCCATTGACGTAGTTGTTTGCTTCTTATCCACTCTGCCAGAACGACTGTTATGACCATAATCACGACTATGGCCTGCAGATGTACAAGTGGTAGGTTCAAAAGGCAGATCTATAGAATCGATGAAAGTAAGCAGGTATCATATTATCAATGGTGAACCAGCACATTGAACGATTTTCAACCAAGGGGATGCAAGAGATGAGTGTTGGAACGTTGGACGGGGTACTCGTTCGTTTAAGATCCGTCATTGACCATGATATGAATGGCTGTCTGAAAAGATCGATTTTTTCAATCAAAGCAGTTTTTACCGCTCGCAATCTACTAACTATACCAGACGAATTTTATGGCAAAGAGTCTGAGTTGAATGTGTCATTTTGCGTTCATCGATGCGCTCTAATTCGCTCTCTTAACCCTACTCCGATCAATGATTGTATGAAGAATGTGACCATAAAGTAAGCAGTCTGGAATATCTCATGATAAATTGGTAATACATATAGCTACATCACGTATTCTGCGGCACCTGATCAAGATGCTGCTGTACAACGGCTTGCGTATTGCGTAAATCTATTGCCAAAGCACGGGCAAGAGGATGATCAAAAGATTTGTGACAACTGTTCAAGAAATGCAAATAAGCTTTCAATTGAGAACCTTTGTGATTTTGTATGATCAACTTTGAATTTTGCGAAATGAATTGTCGTACGAACGAAAAGACGGCTGAAAATGTACTAATGATCACTTTTTGCATTTTTGAGCTTTGCTGAGCGACAGTAGAAAGACTAGCGATAGTACTGCTCATAAATTCCAGACGTTTATCACCTTGCAGCAATGCCATACAATCATTCTGCTCATCTTCCAAATCGAATAGCGTGGAACCGTTATCATCCTCCATAGAGTTTGATTTTCGCTTGCATTCAAATTGGTTAGCGAGCTGGATCAATATCGATGTCGCTTTTACATCTTGAAGCTCCAACACATTGATCAAAACACAAGTCCAAATCTCTGTAAGATTTGAGCAGTAAGCGTCTTCTTCTTCTCCAAATGTATGCGAAGCTCTTGCTCTTGTAGAACCACATGATTCAAGCGATTCTTGCAAAAGAGCAATGAAGAAATGCATCGAGAGTGTATGACGAGTATTGATATGCAAAGATGATCGAATGTCTTCTTTTCCAAATCGGAAGTAGTAGTCCCACGAGCGTACTGCATGTTGTTCCACCAAAAGCACAGCACATTTTGCCCAGCATATGATTGCCAGCTTCCCGATCTGTGCTTTGTGTTCCTCTTCTTCTGCATCAGTGTTTGAATGTTCACCTTCCGTTTGTCCAATTTGATGAAAGCCAAAAGAAAACGCATTCTCGGATTTGCCAATGATGTTGATCATTCTAAATAGAGCACTGGATAATTGTTCATACACGTCGGCATCTTTTGCATTATGTGCAAGAGCCCGATCATCATTCGCTGTTGCAACTTGTGCCTCATCCGGTCCATAGCCTGCAAGTTGGAGTAACGCCGCATTGTCGAAATCAAGATCTTCAAACAGCTCTGAATAGCTCTCTTGACTTTCACTGTTGTTCGATTTTGCATTTTGATCATTTGACCCTTTACCTCGATGTTTTGACGAAATGGCAGTAAAGTGAGAAGAGATCAATCGTAGTGATTCAAACACAACTTGTGGATAATTGATCAAGTAGAAGTTATCGTAAAGTTCATTGGTCCATGCAGGATTCAGAAGGGTTATGTCAGCTGTTGAGGTACGAACATCGGAAGAATCAATACTGTTCTTTTGCAAAATATAATGCACTGCCCGTAAACAAGCCAATAAAACCGTTTGCCTTGATGCTAATTCGCGACTGATACTAGATTTGGATGTATGATCGGCACTTGCTAATTTCGCATGGAGATGCTGGAACAAATTGAGCATGTGAACAAACATACTTTTGAACCAACTCATCGCCGTATTGATAGGCCTATCATGATGACGCAGTATGATTGCAACATACATTACTGCACGTACGCCAACCATTTGACTCTTTTGATCTGCTTTGGCAACGTTGAGGTATTGTTGTACTTGAAGAAGCCTTTGCTGTTCCGACGAAGGTACGAAGAAGAGATAAAGCAAAGCAATCGAATAATGATTGAAAAGTGCACTGCGTTCCAAAGATGTGGGAACATTGTCCGGTGCAAATCGTAGAGTCCGCATAGGACTAAAACGAGAAAGGATGCGAGAGGCCGATCTGTCCATGCCTTGACGATCAGATTGATTCGAACGCCTTGCTCGGTCTACAGCAACGGCGAGGATGCGTAGAAAGATTTGGAAAGCTGTTTCGTCACCATATATTGTATCTGAGTAAAGAATCTGCATATCAAATTCTCTCAGACTATGAGGGAAATCGTGATGCGATTCACTTGGTAGATCTTGCAAACGATTTGCGTTAAAGATGGAGAACAGTTTCGTCAACAATTGCTCCACATTTTCCAATGGCCATTGCCACTTGTGATTCAACACGAGAATTCTCCTAAGTATCAAATGAACGTATTGATCTCTTGCACGGATCGCAGTCTTTGACATGAGTGCTTCAACTCGCTCTTCGAAGCGCAACTTGATCGTAGACACCGCTTGCGATACCAACGACCAGCATGGCTTTTGCAATGCCGGATGGGATGTACACGATCCTGTCGTAGGTGACACACAGCTGATTGCACAAATGGCAAAGATTGAATACCAAGCATTTTCAGCAACGACAAAAGGCGTCTTTGCATCTCTCAAAGCATTATGGTAAATCTTCAAAGATGCTTCAAAAACATTCCAGAATGGTGTATTGCCAGTAGTCGAGTTCATTTCTTTTGCGGCATCACTTTGAAGAACATGGATCAGGCAAACCCAACTTTCCAAGCTCCAATCGTTTATCGAGAGTATCGAGCCAGCCTCCTGAGAAGGTCTTGGTCTTGCATGTTTCATTGAAGAGATTGTCCTGTGTAGACCATGAACCAAGAGGGTAATCATCAAATCTTGACATGCTTGTAGAAATACAGCTTCATGACTCGATCTCGTTCGCGGCTCCTCCACAGTGGTACGGTATAAGAGCTCCACTTTATACCATTGCAATCTTGAAAGGATAGTGCTCTGTGCATCACGAATACTTCTCAACTGATCTTCACGGCGAGCGAGACTGATCAATTGATCAACAGCATCCATCACTTGCTGTATACGATCAATTCTAGCAGACGATTTTGCAAATGTTGCATATTGGTCGCAGATATCGTCCAAGCAGCAAAGTAAACTTGTGTGATTACTGTTGTTCGACAAATTGGATCGTTGAGCAGTTAACAAAAGGTGCTGCCATGTGTCTTCGGTGTTTGGAAAGTCAGGATCGATATGCGAATCGAAGGTATTGCGCCAATCACTACTGTGTAGCAAAGAGAAGAGGCGTCCGCGACCAATATATCCTTCAGGATTACATCTGATGCCGAGGTCGGGTTGGGAAATATCGAAATCCAATCGTACTAATCCTACCGATGACCAAATCTCTGCTTCGGTTCTCTGCTGCTCTACATCGGTTGTCGGCGTCGCAGGTGACATTCCCAGTCGAGTTGAGCTCAATTTTACCTGTGCATCCTCCGCAGATTGGCCGAGAGAATGCTGCTTATTTGTAACTTCAGTTTGTTTTCCTGAGCGATCGTGTGAATTAGGTGCAGGTATCTTGCCATTGATTCCTGCATGACTAGGCGTTCGAAGAGGTGTCATCTGTCCCGCTCCCCTAGAATTGTCAACGTCTGCTATCCATGCTTCAACGGCTCTTTTTGGAGGTCCATTGCCCGAAGTTGCTCTATCAAGGGATATCTTCCTCTCTAATGCTGAATCGTAGGGTAGAAAGAGATCAGCATCTTGAAGTATTGGACGAATTCCTTGTCTTTTGTCGTATGGACGTGCCTCTCGAATGTAACTCAAGCTGTTCGCGTTACCGAATGGATTTGAAGCCAATCTTCCTACTCGATCTGTAGATTTGCCTCCTTCTCGTCTCTTTCTCTTGGAAGATGTGTCTTTGCCCTTCTGATCCCCGGATGTTCTTGAAGTAGGCGGTTTCCTTCTTCCCGCTTTGTCAACAGAACCCGGTTGTCTGTCTCTAGGCTGACGCTTCGTGTGAATACCACGACTACTGCACAACATTCTGTCAATAGCATCGTCGTTCCCATGCATGATGCCCGACCTCTTCGAACTTTCTTTACGATTGTAACTAGTATAGTTTTGCGGTTCTACAGAGCGGCTTTTGCTTGTCAATGGGGATCTATGTCTCTTTTTGCGGGTATTGACCACTCCATCAATACTGAACAGTTCCGAGCCACGCGATGTTTTGGACCGAGATGAGGCTACCGTCGAGTGTGATGTCTCTGAAATGGCAGAAATGACAGAAGAAGCGGATGATTCACTTTCTACTTCTGAGTCTCCAATGAGTTTGAAACGCTCATTGCGCAAATCAGTACCTTTGCGTTGTCTCTTCTTGCTCTGTCCCGGTAGGAGTTCTTGTGTCAAGTCATCATTCGCATCTCCTAGAGACAAAGCGTCGTTCTGGCCACCTCCATCATTTGGAAGAAGCTGAATTTCTTGATCCATAGCCTTCAAGTCTTCTATATATTCGCGTGCCATTCGTGCAGGCATTGTCTTTCTCAGCATCTTTAGAAGACTATCGTAATCTCGATCACGTAATTTCGAATTTCTCTGCTGTCGCTCATTTGACCAGGATGCAGCGCTTATGCTTGAGCTGGCATCATCTATCTCGATATCGACTGGTGTTTCCTGATGTCTGGGCACTTCCTCAATATCGTCATCTTCAATGGTATGATGGACCACATCTTTCGCGACCAAATCCTCGTTCTCATCTGATTCTGACAAGATTCGGTATCTTTTGCGCTTCAACATAGCCATCCTTGATTCAGGAACGTCTTTGAGTGGCGTTGATATGCTTTGAGAATCAGTGGTTGGAGTTGCTGAAAAGTCAGGAATATCTTCATTGTGTGTTTCTGCTTGGTTGATTCGATTTTGGTCTATAGGAGTCAATGACTTTCGACTCTTCTTGGGTACATTCTCGGCACTTTTGTTGATGGATCCTCTTCTCTCTTTCGTTCTCTCTTTTGTATTGCTCTGTCCTGGACGAGTATGTTCCTCTGGTAAGTTTGTTGGACCTTCTTTTGCATTCATGCGTTCTGCTCTAGCAGCTCGCATTAATTCTCTACTGACCACAACTGCATCTTCCCAATCATTTCGCACTAGCCTGCGTTTGTAACGTGCTTCTTCTGTTGTGTATGGAGCAAGTTGTGCAGGCTTTCGTTGACGAAAAGATCGCTTTGGCGGTGAGAAAGCGAATTGAAGAAGTGCCGCGTCATTGCTGATCGACCGTTCCAAATCGGCTGTTTCTTTAATGTTGTCACTCTCGTTCTGTTTATTTGGAGATTTACTTGTGCTTGCTATGCGTTCAATCTCTTCGGTAGGTTCCTGAACAGATTGTAATCGCACAAACCGTTTCGGTGATTCGGTTACGATGGTATTAGCTCCCACCGATCGAGCTCGAATATTCTGTCTTGCACTCGTTTGCTGAATTGCTGATGAGCTTGAATGTGTTCTTCTCCTTATAAGCCTCTTCCTTGATAGGACCTTCTCTTCTGTGGCATGTTCATCTTTATTGTGGGAAATATCTGCAAGCATTATCCCCGCTTTGGACGAGGACGGATCCATTACGAATTGTTGTATAGGTTGAGAAAAGCGCCTAGAGTGCTTCTGTCCAGCTTCTCTGCTTCCTCCATCTCCAAAGGCATCATTAGGTTCAGATATACTCCTTTGATGACCATTTTGGATAGTTACATCCATGGTATTGCATGATCGTAGAAATGAGAAAGACCAACACAAAAAGTGTTATGTCACACTTAACGCGCTATGGTTGTCGCGTTTCCACGCGTGAGGGCAGCAGCGAGAAAGTGTTAATCTGAATCTGGAGAATTATATAAGCAGATCGTTCCTTGCATTTATTGAATATAACGCACTGTATATATGCGGAAGGCGTTTTTCTCATTCGAGTCTTACCGTTTACAGACTCAATCTGGCCTGAGAAATACGCGTATGTAGTCAAGCCAGGCACACACACTTGCTCTCCCCCTTACAAAAAACTCAGCGCATAGCACGCAAATGCAACATCAGCACCTAATCAGTGAAATGTAGGCATATTGTTCATTCATTGGACCGCTTGAACGGGGGTAGTATACCGCGACAAGTGCTGCTGCTGCTGCTGCTGCTGCTGTTGATGCATTTATGAATTTATTGCGTGAGGCAAGGCAGCAAGCAGCAAAAATGCCAAACATTAAAACATCCTCTCCCCATCATCGAAAAGCAAATCAAAGCGGTTCGCCATCACATCAAATTTATAGAATCCGCTGTTGAAGGGTAAAACGGTCCGTTTTATTAGCTTGCTCTACTTTTGGATCGCTGTTATACTTTTTCGATTGTTTGCATCTCTCTTACAAAAACCCGCGGCCATTTTTGTCCACATTTCTCTTGTTCGCCGCTATTGCAGTTCCGTGGCGATTCAATACAGCATAACCAAAATCGCTTTCAGTCATTGAAATCAAAATCAAAAGCATCAAAACAGTCATAAATCTCAAAATAACTCAAGGGAAGCAGAAGATATTCTCCTATTACGTCCACGCCCCTATCACTTCTCCGCCCCCCCCCTTTTTCGTTCCAAAAGTACCTTTTTTGTTGGCGGTCAAAATTTGAGGAAAACAGCTATTCTCGTATTTATCGGACGGAAATTGGGTCTGATTTTGGGCGCAAGGCAATACAACTAAGCCGCATTTCTCCCCCCAAAATTAACATTCTCCTGTGTTCTTTGCACAGCATTCAAGTGGATCGACGCTCATACCTACCGCAATCTTCAGTGGCATTCAATCATCAAACATTCGCTTTTGCATATGCAAGTCGCAATCCCCGAACTTTTGTCGTCAATTCAGCATAAGCTTGTTCATTGGATCTCAAATTGAGTACAAAAAGACGACAAAAGATTTTCTCTTATTACGATCACGATCAAAAAGGAACGACTGAAGTGTTGAACATTGCAAGTCATTGACAAAATCACCAAAACAACACTTTCAAACATATACACAAGCAAGTAGAAGAAATCATTTCTTTTGCATCAAAGGCGTAGCAGGCTGGAAAAGCCTTTCTACGCTTATCATCTCCGTATCTTTTCGCCAAGATGCGTGAGTCAAATTTCAGCAATCCGTTGCAAAACAAGGCCAGTGTTTGCATCTCAGCTGCCATTTATGACCGAAGAGCGCTGGATTGTTCGGCAACTTTGCCGCTGATCAATTCTCTCAATCATTTGGCCTACCTGACATCAACATCGCCACGAATTCGTGAGATGGTATGTTTAGATGGTGGATTAGAGCGATTGATACGAATCTTGCGCCAGGTTCCTAGATCTCCCAGTCAGCCACCAATGCGAGGCGTGATTACGAAAGAGATGCAAGCAGTCTGGAAATGGAGTTTAGCTTTTCAATGTGTCGTCAATATCGGCGTACGTGGAAGTGAAAGTGTGAGAACAAGAGTAGTGGAAGCTGGAATGGTGCCCGTCGCTGTTCGTGTATTGGAAAGCTACCTTCGTATCGCAGAAGCAATTCGTGACGAGAGGAAACGAGAAGCAAGAAGAGAAGAGGCTAAGCAGAGACTCGAACGTGCTGCTGAATCGGCTTTATTGGCGATTGATGTCGCAACTCCAACCGCGAGTACAACACGAAGAGCATTGTTAGAAGCCTCAACAAGAACGCCACAGGTGAATGCTCGCGTATTGGATGAGAGCAATGGCACTCAAAATGCGAACCTGGTCACCACAGAAAGTACGGACGAGACTAGACCAACAACACCAGCAGAAGCAATGATGGGAGAATTCATGATCTCAAATAGCAGCAGCTCTTCTTCACTGCATCCACAGGAATCTGACCTACCCAACGGTAGTGCAACAGCAGCAGCGGCAGTTACTGCAGATGACGTATCTGTCGCAGATCTAGCTACCATTGATGCTATGGCAGTCGAGAATTCGGCTTTATCGCCTTCTTCTTCTACTTCTAGTGTCCGTGTTGACGGCCGTCGTTTGGAGGCTGACAGATCAACAGAAAATGCCAATGGCGCTTCTACTTCCTTAGCAGGAACATCTAGACAAGGACCCTTTCCCTCGGGAACTCTGACAAATGTTAGCTCTGTGGAAGATTTTACTGCAAGCGGTAGTGGAAGTGACGGTGCAGAAGATGGCGACATGGAAGGAGGTGATGATAGTGATCCAGGAAATGTACCGATGCAGCGCGACCAACAAAGTATTGGGGAACAACAGATGGAAGATCTGGAAGATCGTACAACTCCTAGACCGCCGAGAAGGTCACTTGCACCAATGCGTGACGCAGATGCTCGCTATCAGACACCTGCACAACCTAATATTCACAGAGACACCATCACGGCTCACACCGGACGGCAACATTCCCGTCCACGTCCGACTGCGAATGATCAGCATAACCATGTGCATGCGACTCCAATTGCAGCTACGACACAACGTGGAATCGATCTGACACAGACACCACGTAATACTGCAACAATGACGACGGTTCCGCATCACGGTACTCATGCAGAGCGCGGAGCCAACCAAGCGACATCACGCAATGCGATGACAGCAAGCGAGCGTGACAATAGCCAACCACATACTTCTGACATGATCTATCGTGAAGAAGAGGTACTTTTGAGCCTGCAATTATTGGCATACCTCTCAAAGTATGCCCACGTACGTACCCTTTTCCATCGCGATCTCGGTACCCTGAATGTCTTGGATCCTCTCGAAGCCTTTGACGTTCATAGCCGTACCGATGGTAACTTTACCACAAGTTGGAGCCCAAATGACCCGCCAAAGAAGAATGTCTTTTGTGTCGCTGAACGATATACGTTACGATCATCAAGGACAGGCTTGTCACATTTTGCATCTATGGGCGAATCGAGAATTGCTCCAGAGATCCAATATTGGGCTGGCGTAATTATGAGAAATGCATGTCGCAAAGACGAAAAGCAAGGTGGAATACGACAATGTGCAAACATGCTGTGCGGAAAATGGGAGAAGCAACCCCGTGAATTTGCTAAATGTCGTCGCTGCCGTAAGGCAAAGTATTGCAGCAAGCAATGTCAAAGCAAAGGATGGCAAATGGGACATCGCTTCTGGTGCAGTGCACGCTCCGATGATGAGCATGGAGAGGGAAGCAAAGATCGAGCAAAAGAACGCTCAACAAGTACGACAGCCAATGCTGTACCTGCAGGTGATGCAAATCAACCAGGACACACTTTAATGGAAAACGATACCCAGCCGCCACCAACGGACGGCACGATTCTCGGACATCATCATCATCATCATCACCACCACCATCACCATCATATTCCTCGTCGTCAACCTCATGGTCAAGTCGGAGAAGAGGACGAGCATGTCAATCGTACAGCCGTTGCACCACATCCCATTGTTCGTGCTGCTTCGATGGGTGAAGCTGAGAGTGTTATGAGAGATAACATGACAACTCAAATGGAAGATGAAGATCGAACTGCTACCGATATGGCGCCTCTTCACGTACCGCGTAGAGGTGCAGGTTTGCCATCTTCATCTTCGTCTTCAAGCTCTAATCCCAACCTTGGAAGGCGTGCGGTATCTGCTATCCCTCAACATCTCCAACCACCATCTGCCTCACATGCAAGCGGAAGCGAAAGCAATTCGCTACGATCACGCACAGTCTCGGCAGCCAGTAGCAGTGCAGATGTCTCTGACATGAGCGAAGACGAAATGGACCGTGCTTCTCGTCGTGTCCTTGCGTCTACAGTTGCGCCAGTATTACGTAGTCCTGCCAGTGTTTTGACTTCTTTGGCAAACGTTCATACAGCTTCAACCGATGAAGACAGTGTTGATAGACAAGAAACCGTTGGTGGATTACGTGTTAGCCCGGCTGCAGCAGATATGCAAGCAGAAGGAAATACAGCAGTACCAACAAGGACCGATTTGGCAGGAAGACCTCTTCCTCCACCGGTCATTGCCCAACACGATGGAAGAACAAGTCTTGATATCGATATCGCACCTGATAATGATCTTTTGGCGATCGGAGGCAGATTGACGCCAACTGCGGTCGATGAGACGGAAGCAGGTGTGTTTGGACGTGGAGATTTTGATCAAATGATTTGGCGTGGTAGAACACCATCGATGGAAGATCAGCGTATTAGATCACACCGTTTTGCACCTTCTACTGGCACTTCACAAAACCCATCAGCATCTACATCTCAAGAAAATTTGGATGAACACGTTCATGCTACCCGCTCAACAAATCAGGAAACTTCAATGTTAAATTCTGCATTATTCTTGGCTGGTCAGGGTGAAGATGCAAATCCTAGATTCCCTTCGAGTAATCTTCACGCTCCCGTTGCCCGTCAAGGAAACAGATTTGCAAGTGTGAATGCCACACCGGCAAGCGCAAGTGGTAGTAGTGGAAGCGTGAATGCGGGTGCAGGATATTCTACCGTTGGACCGTCCTCACACGCAGCTCGTCCACTCGGTGATCATTGGCGACCACATGTAAGTCAACAAAGCTTTATCGGAAGTGCGCCTGCTACTGCAGCCATCTCTTTTGCAGCTTTACAAAGACGTGAGAATCGAGAGGCGCCAAATCGATTAGGAGGTAGAAATGAGCATCCTTTCGTTGTTCCAAGCGATTTACAAGATCTTTTGGATACGGCTGAAAGACGATCATCTTCGACAAATCAAGTAGACACACAACATCAAAATATGGATATCGATTGATATTTGGAATCTTGATCATATATATTTTTAACATCAATTTTGTACTATTGCCAATACCTTGTGTGCATACGAATATCAAAAAGAAAAGGAGAGAAAGACGAGAAGTTGTTGTTTATGTCTTGTCATCTCATGCGTACATATACCTATTTCCATATATAAGAATATACATTTGATTGTTTCATTGTTTGGCCGCTGTCGTAAAGATGGCTTGTATTATATGAGATTGAAAGTAGATTGCGAATTGAATTCTTTGGTGAAATGATTGGTGGAAGCTCTGAATGCACCCTTTGTACCACTTGAACAAAAGCCATTAAAGCAACCGCCTGGGCATCCACTGCGTGCCTGTGAGAGTAAGAAAAAAAAGGTGAAATCGGGTATTCGTCAGTACAATTTGTCGAAAGTCATTGAATCATAACATACACAGAATACGTAGGCGAATGTACCTGAACATGGCATCTTCTGCAGCGTCAATCAATACCATTAGAAATACTTTGTCAGCTGAGAATGATTGAATCGGAATATCAGAGTGAATCGCTCACATGACATGTATCTTCCATCTTCTTTATCGGCAAAGGAACAAAGACGTACTCCTCAGTCGAGAGCGGCGCTTGAACAAAAGGCGTAATCGTAAAGGAGCACAATCCAGATCCTTCGTTTGAGCCACAACAAGTGGTATTGATTTGCAAGAGTATAAAGACAATCAGAATTGTCAGCAGCTTCATCTAGGAAGTGAAGAAAAATTGTCGTAAAGTCTTGTTTTCTCCTGAGAAGATGATTAAGGTTTGGCAAACATTTGAATGGAGGTGTGTATCCGTCTTGACAATTTCAAGTGTTCAAAACATATTTGACTCTTTTATACTTTTTTTTATTTGAAATCGCTTTTTCTCCCTATCTATGTCGGATCGTAGTTGTTCACAACAATTCTCGCTGTCTTTTTTTTTCTCGCCGACTTTTTTCTCTTTACACCGTCATGCTACTCCTCTTTTGCGTTTCTGTGTGTGTGGGTATGTATGTTTGTGATTAATTTGTGTGTGACAACCGATCAAGCCAAAACTCCGCAAGAGCCGATCGGAGATGGTACCTTGAGTTATCGTGTAAAAGAGAGAAAAGCCGGGGCATGATGATTGAATGTGAAGTGAACTCTGTGAAAAAGTAAAATGTCAAGACTCGATCTCAATTGCGTGATCGTTGAATCGGGGAACAAAATCGTTCATTTGTTCATTTCATGTTGTTGATCATGCCGTGTATAAACGTCATTTCTCGGGTGGCTGAAATGATGAAAGCTTTATTGTGGTCCGTGTGCTGCTCATAAAAAGCAAAATGTGAGATTTTCAATCCTTATCTCGGCTTTGAATTTCGTCATCAGATTGTGATCAACGCCAAACAATAACATAAAAAATAATGAAATCAGGTCGAGACCCTCTTATTTGAAACAGCGATCGGACCGGTTTCCGAGACATCGCTACCGCCGGTGTGATCAATGCAAACGTGAAACTCTAAATGACAACATCTTTTCCTTTCTTTAGTGTCACATTGATATTCAATACGTCACAGTGACATTGAGTACAACACTTCATGCATCGCAAGGTCCCGTCAGGTTTATGATATGATCGGCAACTGTTTAACCGTAGTTCAAACTGTTTATGTGATGAATAAGATCTCTCGTCAGTCATTTGATGTCCTCTATGTGCAGCCAATACTTGCAAACTTACCGGAAGATGTCGTTGAACACAAAGTAGGATCCTGCATCAGGTATAAGTGTGAATGTCTACAAAGAGCAGAAAGGTCAGCATTTGTTCCTTTCTTGCATTGGCAATATTGCAATACTTACTTGACTGAAGCGCATCGGTGAAGGGGAGTCGTCCACCTGAATTAGAAGGGAAAGAAAACATGATTCCGTTCAGCTTCTCAATAGTCGATTTGCAATTAATCACATCACCTTTCTCACCATTAAAGCTCCAGTGACCATAACTGTCAAGCTGTTACCATCTCCTGTTGGTTGAGCATCACGTGTTTCTACTTTGTGTTGCACTTTTTGAAATGCGAGATTCTTTAATTTCTCAGTAATTGCATCTGCCCCTTGTAATTGTTCACCTTCAAATGTTAACATTGATTGAGGGCGATACAAGCCATGCAACTCTGCACGATTTCTGTCGAATGTCGCATAGTAAAAGTCGGTGAACTGTTGTAGGTACGATGAGAGTATCGCTAGTCAGTATCGAGATCGTTGAGCATTCATTCATTCAGCAGCAACATCTTCTCCCAAAAGAGGACTTTTTGCCAACTAGTATCGGCTAATCGATGTTTGATCGCCGACCATTCCTGTACCTGCATCGAAACTTACCTGTTGAGCGATAGCCTCCATCTTGACAATGTCCAGCTAAAGAGGATGAATACAGACAGGTGAAAGGAGGAAGAAGGTGTAATTCAATTTTGTGTGTGCATTGGTTGGATTATGCTTCAGCCCAAGCGCCGCCTCTCTTAGCGTTGGTACATAGCACGGACGTTTGAAGCTCAGGCACTTTTGCGGTCTTTAATTGTATCTCTATATCACGTGTACCTTTACCATACAACTCTCATTACCCCACGATCAATGCAAATCATGTTCTTTTCTATCCCCCTTTCTCTTTCATCGGAGAAGCGGGAAATGATCTGACTTTTACTCTGAGATGATGAAGACTGGAAATGGTCTTGTGGCTTCGGATAAAAGTGGAAAAGAGTATTAAGGTTTCAAGATAGACATGAGCACGAATCTAAATTTAAACCTTGACATTTTTAAAAGAGGAAGTATATCATCTGCACTTGCGATTGCATCGGCAAAGGATATCGTCATGGAAGCCGACTAGGGTTGATACTGTATTGTACCAAAGCCGACTTACGTCAAAATCTATTTAGGAAATGTTTACTTGGTTAGGATCAAAGACAGGTACGAATGATTTGACTGTCAAATATATGCACTTTTAGTAGTGTTAAGCAGGACTGAATGCGCTGCATGAGTTGTGCGCGCCAAAAAGGGAAAGTAACACAAGCGTGGATGTTGGTTGATATTGCAAACACGCCCTGGCAGAGGAGATATATCATATCCTCTTGCTTCTTCACCATTTGGGCAATTCTCATCTCCGATCCTTCCTTTGTGCAACCGATAAGAATCTACAGTACATATGATGACGCATGATACGCATTGTGGCTAGAATTTCTGTGTGCAAAGACCAGAATAGATGGGTGAGGTTCTTACCCGCTTAAATGCAATCTTGTCACTCTACCTGAACATGCAAGCACGGCGAGTTGGTAGGTTGTATGGAACATTCATTAAACCCACCTCAAACCTAATCCTTGGTTCTTTTGCCTCTGTCTTGCCAAGTTGCTCGGCATACTCTTTTTGGCCTTGTCATTATATTCTGCATACTTTCCTTGTTCTATGGGCCACACATATCGAAATTAAGGCTCTAATGCAGCACAGTCGGGCGAGCTTGATGTTGTGCTCTGTGTGTGTGGAGAGAGAGAGACAGGTTTGAACTTTGTTAGATTTAGTATATTATGAATTGCTTCTCGCCATCAAGTTTCTTCTTTACCTTCATCCCAGGTCGATCGGGGTATCTGCAAGTCAGGACCTCTTCATTTCTTTTCTCACTCTTTTCTCTTATTCTTCTATTCTCTGACAAATCGTGCCATCTCTGGAAGAAGGTCGTTACGGTCATTATCTATTTTATTCATTTTCTTCACTTTCGTTATTGCAAATTTTCAGTTTCATCTTCAAAACATCGGTCTCCGATCACATATCATCAAAAGCGGTCAAGAATCACATTCGAACAATACAATCACCAACTTCGGTATTCAAGCTAATAGAGAACAATAATTTGAGGCCGGCCGTGAGTAAAGTCGATTGCGTTGCTCGTGAGAATCTCACTGAACTCTCTCTTCCCTCCTCAGCTCCCTTGCATAGAACGCCTTTCGACCTGTCGATCACGCAAACAAATCTCTCTCAATAACGCTTTTACCGACTTGGTTTATTAGACGACAAAATGGTTTACCTTACCGCCAAATTCATTCACTTCTTTCTTGTACTTGTAACGTTGGGTTTCTTTGATCATTCACCTATCGCATCATTCGCAAATGCTGCACCCACTGGAGCGGCAAATGTTCCTGCTCGAGTCGGAATCGTGATTAAGGAAGCCGGAGCTGGAACGGGTGATTCAACGGCAGCAAGCTCACTCGCACCTTCAAGACGTGGTTCTTCTTTCGAACAATACGATCTTGCTGTCAACAAAGATGCCGTCAAGGTTCCATTGGAACATGTTGATGCTCGCGATACTACAAAAGTTCATCCATTCATGTTATTTCAGCAACATATGAATCGGGCAAATGTCAAATTAGCAAAGATGCAAAAACGATCACCTCCTTCTCCCGAAGATCTCACTAGAGCGCTGTGGAACAGACGTAGATCCATCGAAGCATCTTATGGTGGTCAACGTAGATTCGAAGAGGAAATCACCATCGATCCTCTCGATGTCCAAAAGCGAGAGGATACTCTGGGAGCAGGCACGATGAAACAACGCGCTTTCAAAGCTTCCACCTCCAACCTACCTTCCTCTCACGGTCGTATAGGTGTCAAACTTATTCGAGAATTGCCCTCCGTGTCTGAAGAACAACATGATCATCAGAAAAGATTGTGGCCAGGCGTTCTCAGCTCATTCACCAACGGTGAAAGCAAAAATGATGATAGTAGCAAAGCCAATGAGAATGCGACCAAAACAGGTTCTCTTGGATCAGTGCAGCCTTTAGCAAGTGCAAAAGCGCAAGCAAATCAATATGCATATTCTGATACACTTTTGAAAGCATCCACTCCCACGGCAGCAAAAAGTCTTGGTTTAGCTATCGAAGCAAACAACATTGGTTATGTGGCAACTGTGCAATTCGGTGCCAAAAAGACGCCATTCAAGATGTTGATCGATAGTGGAAGTGCAGATACCTGGGTCCCTAGCTCAAAGTGCAACGACTGCGGTAAATCTCAACAAAGGTTAAGCAAATCAGTTTCCAACACTCTTCAAACGAGTAAGGAACAATGGAGTATCACTTATGGAACCGGAAATGCAAAAGGTTATTTGGCTACCGATGATCTCTCAATCGCGGGCATGGACATAAAAGATTACAAGTTTGCTCTTGTCACTCAGGAGTCAGATGATTTCAGTAGTTCTCCTTTCGATGGTTTGATGGGATTGGCAAAAGAGATTTTATCAAATTCTCGAAGCCCAACGCCTATTGATGCCCTCTACAATGAAAAGTTGGTCACTGCACCCGTAATGGGATACAAGCTAGGAGATGCTACTACTGCCTCTGGTAAGCGTGCAGCTGTGAAAGATGGAGAAGTAACGTTCGGTGGTGTTGATTCTGGAAAGTATACTGGGCAACTTGTTGAAATTCCAAATGTTTCTCAACAGGGCTTCTTTGAAATTCCAATTCAAGGTGTTTCGGTAAATGGTAAATCGATCGCAAGCCTTTCTTCTGGTCGTACATCCATTTTGGACACAGGTACTTCTCTCATGGTCGCTCCTCAACAAGACGCAGAAGCCGTTCATGCTCAAATTCCAGGTGCAAAATCTGACGGTCAAGGTGGATTCACGGTCCCATGTACGACAAATTCCACCCTTTCGTTCAAATTTGGTGGAGAAGAATGGCCTTTGCTTCCGCGTGATATGATCTTTGTTCCTGTTGATGCCAATAATCCTAAAGGTGATTGTATTTCTTCTTTGGGCGGTGGTGATGTTGGTCAACAAGGTGAATGGTTAGTAGGAGCAGTAGCATTGAAAAGACTTTATTTCGCCACAAATGCACAAAAGAACGTGATTGGATTGGGTAAATTACGCAATCCTGGCCAGTAAATCAAAGCTTGCCGATGAGACTGTTATTTGTACTTTATAACGAAATTCATTTCCTTTTCTTATTATTTCTAGTGTGATCGATCATTTGATTTTTATTTGTGAAAAAGGTAACGTCTTAGTGAGAATCTTTAAGTTCAGCTCGCCTCGTTTATCCGTTACTCGCCAGATGACCCTGATGGAGATGGCAATTGACGGAGGGAAAGTGATGCAAGATATTAATGGGATTGAATCCTCCTTAATATTTTATTTTCGTAACGATCATATTTGTCATTGTAATTACCATAATATTCGCTAACATATCGCCACTTGGATAATACCAGAGATGGCTTTCTTGATTGTATGAATCATCAAACTGAATACTATATGATCATAGATACTTAATTTCTAGTGCAAGTTATAGAGTAGATTGGTATAGTTTACCAATTCTTATTAAAATATATAACAGAATTTTGATAAGCCAAAGCTGAGAACAAAATAAATTGCGAAGAGGGGTATTGATACAAGGCTTAAGAAAGATTATATGTGATACCGCATCTCCTCATGGTCATGTCACTTATTTTTGTAGACACTTATACCTAATAATACGGTGGTATCACTTGGAGATGATGTTCTAGATGTCTTTGTAAGCCTCTTGTAATGTAAGCCTCTCTTAAAATAAGCCTTTGTGAATGTAAGCCTCTGTTACATAAGCATCAATCTCCTCAAGCCAAAGACCCCTAAAACGATTAGGCTGTGTTTTAATAACCGCTATCTGGAATAAGGCACCCGAGGGCTTCTTTTTCTTAACTCGTCAAACAATTAAGCGCAGCGCGCGGTCCATTGGCTGGCTGGCCGCTGTAGCTCAATACTAAAGCCAGAGAATGAAACACTTCATAGCCACAATATACATTACAAGTGCACCTTTGCGTGTGCGCGCGCGTAAAAGGCACGTAAACAGTATATTCTATTCATATCTCTCTATATTTCTTCTCGCTGTCCGTGCATTGCCAGGCTGGCAAAGTTGAATTCAAAAGGCTTGTCTTAGTCCAGGCGCGCAAGAATGAGAGAGGGGAAGAGAGGTTAGAAGATAAAGCAGCAAGCACCACACACTTGTGTGCACTGTCAACTCTCAGCTTCCCGAAGTCTTTTTGTTTTGTTCATCATCATCTACCACCACCACCACCACTAGTCGAATCTTTCATTTTATCTTATTGATCTTTTGAAGCTTTCGCTCTATAAGATCATTCTATCTCGTCTTCAACTTACGAACCTCTTTCTTTTTTACGTTTCGCCCACCCTTTAATTCATATTCAACATGGAGGGTAAGTGTTCATTCTTGATTATAGTGACGGGTTACTGTTCTGCAGCACTATCCTCGTTGACAAGAGTCAATAAAGATACTGGATACCGAAAACTCCGAAAGCAGATTCATCAGCAGTAACTTCAGAATTGCCACTTGTCGCCATCTTGGCTTGCATCCATCAATAACAACAATGGCCAGGCAGATCCAAGTCTAGATACTCATCAATCTATCATTTGTTGCTTTGATTGATATACCCCCTCTCCCCGATCCACTACTATACACAAACAAATACTGACTCACCTTCCCTCTCTCTCTCGCCCACAACAGATGAGGTAGCAGCCCTCGTTATCGACAATGGTTCCGGTATGTGCAAGGCCGGTTTCGCCGGTGATGACGCACCCCGTGCCGTTTTCCCTTCCATCGTTGGTAGACCACGTCATCAAGGTGTCATGGTCGGAATGGGACAAAAAGATTCATACGTCGGTGACGAAGCTCAATCAAAGCGTGGTATCTTGACTTTGAAATACCCAATCGAACACGGTATCGTTACAAACTGGGATGATATGGAAAAGATCTGGCATCACACTTTCTACAATGAATTGCGTGTCGCTCCTGAAGAGCACCCAGTTCTATTGACTGAAGCTCCATTGAACCCCAAGGCAAACCGTGAAAAGATGACACAAATCATGTTCGAAACCTTCAACGCACCCGCTTTCTACGTTGCTATTCAAGCTGTTTTGTCTCTATACGCTTCCGGTCGTACAACCGGTATCGTTCTTGACTCTGGTGATGGTGTTACCCACACTGTCCCAATTTACGAAGGTTACTCTTTGCCCCACGCAATCTTGCGTCTCGATTTGGCCGGTCGTGATTTGACTGAACATTTGGTCAAGATTTTGATGGAACGCGGTTACCCATTCACCACTACAGCAGAACGTGAAATTGTTCGTGACATCAAAGAAAAACTTTGTTACGTCGCTTTGGACTTTGAACAAGAAATGCAAACCGCCAGCCAATCTTCCGCACTGGAAAAGAGCTACGAATTGCCTGACGGACAAGTCATCACAATTGGTAACGAACGTTTCCGTGCTCCTGAAGCATTGTTCCAACCCTCATTCTTGGGTTTGGAAGCTTCTGGTATCCATGAAACCACTTACAACTCCATCATGAAGTGTGATTTGGATATCCGTAAGGACTTGTACGGAAACATTGTTATGTCTGGTGGTACTACCATGTACGCCGGTATCAGTGACCGTATGCAAAAGGAAATCACCGCTTTGGCACCATCCAGCATGAAGGTCAAGATTGTTGCACCACCAGAACGTAAATACTCCGTCTGGATCGGTGGTTCCATTTTGGCATCTTTGTCCACCTTTGCACAAATGTGGGTTACCAAGTTGGAATACGACGAAGGAGGTCCAGCAATTGTTCACCGCAAGTGCTTCTAAGAAGTTTACTGGAATCTTTTACGCTGTTGCAGCATGCTGGACATGGAAAAAGGTGGAACAGCAGACCCAATGGTTCAACTTTTGGTTTCTCGAAAGGCTTTTTTTCGTTGCTGTTTCGCCTCTGTATTGTCTTGTAGGCTGTTCTCTATCTCTTGTTTCTCATTTTTAAAGATGTTCATTGTAACGAACTCTTTGTCTTTTTTTGTCCAAATAAACAAAGTCTCTTTTATGACGAGAAATTTTAAACGAATTATATTATGAAAAAATTAGTCTATCGAAATGCAATATCTTTCTGAAGGGTGAATGAGAGAAAGTGAAGCACGATATGGTAAGTTATTTGTTGCACACCAGGAATTGAGTGCCTTTCTTTCGGTTGAGATAAGCCGACGGAAAGTTCATCGGAAATAAGGATCAAAGACGCGTCAAATTAATCGTGTGTTGGATTATTTAAAATCTTCTCGCTAATAAGGAAACGTTCTTCTTTAAAATACCATCATTAGCCGACACAAGATAATAGCAATGTCATCTGCAACACTTCAACAAAGATCGCAGGGGAAACAAAGAGCGGAGGATGACCCATTAGCAAAGTTAGACGAAGATGAATCAGCCGAACCACTTGATGAACAAGAGCAAGAACAAGTGATCCAATCACTCAGGGAAGCCAATGAAAAGTCAAATTATACTTTTCGAGCTTTGATGCTTGTGATGTTGGGATTAGTGGGTGTATTGTACCTTACGCCTATTCCCGATTATATTACTGGAGATCATCCCGAGAGTCATTTGACTATGCTTTTCCATCCTTACCATATTCATGAAGCATCTCATGATGATTTGATCCGATTCCCAGCATTCCCAATCTACCTTGTCTTGCTCTTCTTACAAGGTGGATTGCTGTTCGGTGGTCTTTACGAAACTATGGATCGTATGGGCATGATTCGTTCAAAAGGTCTTGCATTCCCACAACAGCCCCATCAGTTTGGCACAGCACCTTCGATCTTGGCACCCGTCTTGGCCGATATTCGTTGGCATCCTACACATTCTGGCATTCGGGCTGATAAAGATGATAGACCACCACCGGTCTGGACAACAATGTCTCCTCGTTTGCTTTACTTGTGTTTACTCACAATCGCAAGTACGCCTTTACCACTTATGACGTTTGGCGCGGGAAACTTTGTCAATGCTGGTTGGTGGGCTATCACGACGATTGCACTGACCGTTCTTTGCATTTGTGAAGGATTGATTGACAAATTTGAAAGGGAATCAATCGGTCTCAATGGTATGAAGTATGCATACAAAGGGGCATGAGTTTTGTACAGCTCATAGCCTCACCCACCTTCTTTCTCCTCCTCTTCCTCTTCCTCATCATCATCATACATGTACGATATAGCATGCCCCACATATCACAGCCCCTCTAATGTTCATAATTTAAGACGTCTTTTTTACCGTTAAGACCAGTATGTTATCGCCAAGACAGCATCGCATTGTTCAAATGATGTGATCAAATACCATGCCTGCGCCGCGGGAATGGCTGATGGTGCCCAAATTTTCAAGGCTTTGATCGCCCACCCGCCCCATTTTGTGTGTGTGTGTTTGTACGCGGCTTAAAAAAGTTCACACGGCTTCGCGGCGAAAGAGAGAAAGGTCAAAAAGTGTTACACATGCAGAAATGAGCCAATTAACACCGCGTACGTATGCGTTCGTGCGTGCGTGCGTACAGCGATACTGTCTGTATTCGAAAAAATGATTTAAAAGAGAGCTTAATTCTTCTTCTTTTACAATTTATTGTCATCATAATCACTCGTACGACTTCAAAAGAGAAGGGAAAGGCAGTCTGGAACTGCATTCTTTACTTCTTTATCTCTCATAAATATAGCATCGCAATGGATACATTATCCACTCCAAGTGATGCAATGGCTGCACATGGACTTTCGGTAGCATCTTCATTCTCCAAAGCATGGCAAGAAGATCCAAAAGCAATATGGAGTAGCTTTTCAATGATTATAGTATCGGAAATTGGTGATAAAACGTTTTTGATTGCTGCCATTCTGGCAATGCGTCAATCCCGTTCGATCGTCTTTGGTGGTGCTTTTGGTGCGCTTGCATTAATGTCAATCTTATCCGCTTTTATGGGTGTTGTTTTGCCAACTTTATTACCACGTTCAGTTACAACTTTGATGGCAGCCGTTCTTTTTTTCGTCTTTGGTGTAAAGATGTTACGTGATGGAATGCAAATGACAGGTGAAGAAATGGGAGAAGAATGGGAAGAAGCAAAACGTGAAGTTGAAGAAGAAGCAAATGCGGATGATAGATTCGAAATGAATGATTTAGAAGAAGGTAATCATGCACCTGCAAACGGAAACGGACATCCTGAAAGAAGAGGAAGCTTATCGAAAACAAGATCGCCAAATGCCAGCACATTCTCCATAGAAGGACTAAAGGATGGCACACGCAATTTGTGCGGCCTATGCTTCAGCCCTGTTTTCGCTCACGCTTTCATTTTGACTTTTTTGGGAGAGTGGGGTGATCGAAGTCAAATCGCAACGATCGCACTTGCGGCTGCACACAATATCGCTCTCGTATCTTTTGGTACTATTGCCGGACATGCGATCTGTACCGGATTGGCAGTAATGGGCGGAAGATGGATAGCAACACGAATCAGTGTTAAACATGTCACTTTGGGAGGCGCATTAATGTTTATCATCTTTGGACTTTTATATACCTTTGAATCAATCACAGAAGCAAGACAAGCTTCCGCATCAGCAACAACGGTTACCGAAAAGATTATCGCTGCAGTAACGCCTTCTGTATTTGACTCAAAAGCTGCACCACTTCAACCTCTTGTAAACGTTCCTCCTGTGGGTGGAATGGGTATCTCACGTTAATGCGACCTTTTTTTTTGGTCAGATGGAATTTAAGGAAATGCTTTCAAATCTTTTTGTATCTTTATCGAGTACAGCTAAATACAGACCTACTGCACTTCTGCAGCACTCAATTTGTAACACTATCATTCATCCAGCAATACGATCTTATGTATTCTCATAAAGGCAACTTCAGAAAGAATGTGAATAATATGACATTGCTAAAATACACTTCAGGGAAAGACAGGCAAATTATGTTACAAAAGATAGGGCAGGCAAACCATCTTACTGTCCAACAACACGAGCCAGTCCTGTGCCGATGACATCTAACCATCTACCCAGGCTTTCGACCGTATAGTCCAATTCGTTGTGCACATCATCTTTTCGTGTCAATCGGCCAAGGTCAAGGGATCGCAAAGGCGGTAGACCATATGAAGAAAGATCACCCGCATTTTCACCTCTGTTGTGATCAAGCGAAGGTGATGGCTGCAAGGATCTACTGTTCGATGTATGTTGATTTGGTGTCATCGATCCTAAAGCAGAAGTAGTGGTCGGCACACCAGCATGCTGTGTATTGCCTTCCATTGAAGGATCGAATTGTGATTGTCGACGGGCAAGGACTTGTGTTGGATCACTTCCACCATGTTGTCTGCGTTGATGTAATGCAGCAGGTGATCCCAATACCATTGATCCTCCCGGACTAGCTGACGGTCGTACTGGCATGCCTCCTGCTTGCTTCGAAAAGCCTGCCTTGTAATTGCCGGCCATACTGGGTACTGGAGGCGGAGGCATCGCATTGGATCCACCATTGTATCCATTGATATCTATGCCATCCATCTCCATTGCTGCCAAACGGGATCTGCTTCCGCTTCTACTGCGCATTCCCATTCCTGATCGAGCTGCAAATGAAGGCAGAGTTCCAGCACTTGAAGTAGCATTTGTCGCCGAAGCTGAATGTTGCATTGATGGTCTACGATTGCCCTCTGTTATTGGGCTTGCTAGATTTGACATTGCATCATTTTGTCTTCCAGCAATGGAAGAGATTGCCTGAATATGGCTAGAAGGCATCTCGCTCATTGAACGGCCAAATGGCGGCATCATAGCATTAGAGTTCGAATTTCCTGTGATGTTGTTGTATGGGCCATTTGGTTGAGGTCTTCGGTCTTGACCTACAAGGCTGCCAGGTATACTTGATTCGCTCTGAGCTGGTGAGTGCGAATAGATCGAAGTCGAATCCGTCCTCTCGTGAAGGTGTCTTCCAGGGATACCAACACCGTTCTGATAGCTGCTGTCGTAAGGCAGGCTATTGGAGCGTGCACTCATTGTGCTTCCTTGACGCTTGTGCAATCTGCCTGGAGTAGGTTGAAGTGGGTTATTCGAAGGCGGTGGTGGTGGCGGCATTTTAGCTTCCTCTAAGCGTCTCGTAAGATTTGAGGCTGTCAAATTTTGCTGTCTATTGGAAAAATCTTCCAATTCCTCCACACTCTTTCTGCCAGTATCTGATTGATGAGCAGGAGGTGTATTCGACTCAGAAGCTTCCACTGGAGTCACCACTGCTCCGCCTCCTCCACCAAATCGGAAAGGTGTAGCTCCAGTTCCTGTGAAGGCCTTCTTGTCGATGTCGTTGTCATCGATCGCTGCAGCAGGTCTTGCTGCTGATGACGTTGGTGCGGTATTGACGCTTGTAGTCGTAGTCGGTACCGATGTCGTAGCATCTGCACCTGAAACGGGAGGAGCCGGGGCAGGACGAATTTCAGCACCTTTGTATTGCGGGAGATTGAGGGGAGTGTTTGCCTGAGTTGGACCAGGGTTATTTGTAGCAAGTGATTCATCCCCTTCTTGTTCAAATAGTCGCAATAGTGGATGATCACGAACTGGTGCTGATGGTGTATTCGACATATTGTTGAAATCTTGGAAGTTCGCATCGGTGAATTCCCATCCCGAATTTTCCCCATCTGGATTGTCAAAGATAAATGATTCACGATTAGCAGGATCATTGAGATCACTGGCTTCGGCTCCCAGAAGACTCATACGCATTCCACCGCTCTTCGTCCATGCATTGTATAGAGAAATTAGTTCTTTCAAGATTGACACAGGCGTTTTAACACTTGCTTTGATCCATTTTGTCTTACTCAATTCGTCAGAATTTGGACGTTCCTTTGGCTCCTCATTAAGACACAAGGCGACAAATTCACGCAAAGCTGGAGAGAAATTGCTTTCTGCAGGAAGTCTTGGAGGTTTATTCTTGGGAATCATCATGATTACGCGCATTTGATCTTCGTTGCTCAAAGGTGGATTTCCCATCAGCATTTCGTATACCGTTATTCCCAAACTCCAAATATCTGCACTTTGATCGTATGATTTACCTTGAGTGATCACTTCTGGAGCCATCCAATAGGGTGTTCCGACAAACGTCATCCTTCGACTATGAACGCTACTGGAAACCAATGTTGCTGCTACACCAAAATCGGCCAATTGAATTCGTCCTTCGGTGGTCAAAAGAATATTGGCTGCTTTGATATCACGATGAATGATTCCACTTTTGTGTAAGAAGCTCAGTGCGATCAAACTTTCCCGCACGATGATGCAGGCATACTTTTCCGCAATTGGACCCGCTTTCATTAAGGTTCTGACACTTCCTCCTTCAGCAAAATCCATCACGATCCACAATTCTGCCTCACGCAACCAGCAGCCCCAGTATCGAATCACATTCTTGCTCGTGGTTTCCCTCAATTGAGACAGTAGAGCGACTTCTTTTTGGATTTCGGAGACGTCATCATCGGGCGTGTCCAAATTGACAACTTTCAATGCAACCGCTTTCCCGCTGGCGATATGCATACCCCTATATACCGCACCATAAGCACCTCTTCCGACCAATTCTAATCGTTTGAATGTTGTATGAACTGGAGGTGATTTTCTACCGGGTGATTCTGTGCTCATCATTTGTGGTGCAAAGCCTTGCTTTTGTATTCGTTGTTGTTGTTGTTGTTGATCCATCATTCCATTCATTCCCACCGATAGCCCCGCCGCCTGTGATGGGGCGAGGCTACGGAGATCCATTTAGAATGCGAGTTTGGATTGGGAAGAGGTCTACTCTCTAGATCAGGTGATGATTGACCATCGTTTCTTATACTGATAAAGTCCTCTCTACTTTGGGTCACGAGGGTGATAATAGTGAAAGGGAAAACAGGTGAAGCACACAATCTTCAGTAATGCACACACACACACACGCGAGGGAAGCGAATAACCTCCTAGCCTGCATGTGGGCGTTTACAAGGCCTGAGCCACGCTCATGTTAACAAGCGCTAAACTTTAAAAGGTCCTGAGGAGGATCAGGTTTGTGGGAAAAAGTGGAGAGCTCTCCTGAAAGGTCGACATGATCAATGATGACGATTGAATGAATTGAGATATGATACTGTAATTACAAATGATTATGATACAAATGAGGGAAATGATTGAATATGGTACAATTACAACTTTGCCTTTTCTACTTGACCCCGGAAACCATCCCCCGTGATCACTTTGCCATCTTCGATCCACTTTGCAACGCATTCAGTCAAGCCGATCACTTGTTCTTGGGTGTTATGCGCATGAATGCAAATTCGAACTCTTTCTGATCCACGAGGAACGGTTGGATAAACGATCGGACGTACGAGATAGCCATGTGAAACGAGATATTTGGCCAAATCATGCGCGTGAGACGTCAGGATTGGTACGATTGGAGGTTGCGGAATACTTAAAGGATGCTCTTTTCGTTTTTCCGTAAAGGATGGGCTGGAATTCAGCCGCTTTTGAATATCCTTTGGCAATTGCACATGTTTTGTTCCTCCAGTAGCACTGACGTTTCCCATCAAACCATGAAGACGTTCGATGAAGAGATGTGTGAGAAAGAATGTATGCTGTGCTCGTAATGTGCCATCTGGCGTATTGAGTAGGTCCAAAGCGGCTTGAATGGTGAACAGAGCAGGATGCGGCAAAGCGGTTGAATAGATCAAAGGTCTTGCATAATTGATTAGATATAATCGAATAAGGTCAGAGCATAAAGCAGCTGCACCTGAACATCCAAATGCTTTACCGAATGTCGCCAATCGGACGTCAACAGAATCTTGCAAGCCCATAGCCTCGCAGATTCCAGATCCATTGAGACCATATAAACCGACTGCATGCGCTTCATCGACGATCAAGCAGCGGCTGTTCTGTGGTACATGCTTATTCAAAATTGCGATAAGCTGAGGTAAAGGGCAGATGTCTCCATCCATAGAATAGACTGATTCGACCGCTACAATTACGTTTGCATCCTTTGCTTGACAAATTTCCCATGCATCTTGCAATTTAAGCGTAAAGTCGTCCAGATTGTTATGCTTGAATGGTATTCTTCGAGAAGATGGAATGCGGGAAGAACGCATTCCGTCATGCATACTTGCGTGTACCAATTCATCGTATAAAATCACATCGTTTGGCTGTGGCATGACAGATAGCATAGAAGTGTTTGCATCATATCCGCTATTGAACAAGAGTGCTGATTGTGCACTGAAATGTTGTGCAAGTCGAAGTTCAAGTTGTTCATGTTCTTCTGAATTGCCGTCCAATAGCCGACTGCCTGTGCTTCCAACAAGCATGTTACCGTGATCCTGCATTCTTTTGATGGTATCTTGTTTTAGTGCCTTACTCCTGGCTAAACCCATATAGTCATTGGAAGAGAAGTCGACCAGAGGCAAGGAAGAGGTAGGAACATCTTTGGGAGTGTTGGAGGGATCTTGCAAGGTTGCAAAACGCTTTAAGCCTCGTAAGATTCCTTTTTCTTTTCGCTTTTTGAGCGCCAAAAGGAGGTTATCGTATAGCATGTTGAGATGAAGAGTGAGATTGAGAAAGAGGAAGGAAAGGATATCTCATCTTATATAGACATGGAAGAACAGTGAAAACACTTTCTCGATCGCCATAACATTCTTTGGAAGAAAAGCCTTAAAAATACACTGCTCCAATGCTATAAATATATGCGGAACTCTCTTTTTTATTTTCTTCGGAGAAAGCGCTGTTTAATTCAGCCGGTTAAATGCACACACACACACAGACACCCCATCAAATCTTCTAGTGTAGAATTACACAGCTTATGTAAACATCTTCACCGCAAATCACATACAAAGACAAACACTCTTAACACTCTTTAAAGGCTCACGCGAGAATATTAATATTTTTTTAGTTTAGAAGCTTACAAAAGATCAGCATACAATTAGAAGAACCATCATTCACACGATCACACACACACACACAAGTTATAGTGACAAAGAAAGCAAAGATGATCACAATACAAAGAACAAACATATGATGATAAACACTTGAGTTTGACCAATTGTATAACAGCCAAGGGTCCAAAGACATAGAGGTCAGTCAAAAGGTACAGCCCAAGTGGACCAAGACGATCGAAGTCGGATTTTCGATCGTGGAAGATGATACGCCTTGCAAGAGGGCGGATACGGCCGGCTGTACGAGAAATACAGCATCAATCGCCTCTTGCATTCTTGTACCCTTCGATTGGCAGTCTTGATGCTTCTAAAAACCCTTTTGAACGAAGTCGAAATGAAAAAACGCCAGTCGCATCGACATCTTACTCGACCTTACAGCCATCAAAGAAGGTCAATGCGGAAGAAGCAGTGCCGTATAGGAGAGAGTCGGCAGAAAGCTTAGAAGCTGCACTACAATATAGAAAGAGAGGAAAAGCTGCTCTTTCAGACAGAGCATCTTCGATCGACAGTCGCTACGATTCCGCTTCCTATGTCGGAGTTACAGAAGCCCAACGCCAAAGAAATACAAGTGATCGATTCGGAGGGGGCGATGAAAGCGATCCGAAAGGAAAACGGCCCGAAAGACAATCAATCGAGTCAAAAAGACAGGACATCTTACTAGGGAGAACGTTTGTTCGCGATATTATGAAAAAGCCACTCGAATCAGCCTTTACAGTAAATGAAGTGGAATTATTGGACGAAGTATCAGAAACGTATTTTCGAGATGCAGAGAATGAAGTCGAATTGCTGGACAAATTATTGCCAGATTTAGCATTAGCATACTTGCATGTAGGACAAGATCAACGTGCACTTGCACTGTTAGAACGTGCGAGCAAGATAGGTGCGAATTCGGAGTCATATACATCAACACCTCTTCACTCTTGGAAAAAGGTTTTGGCAACTGCATTCACTCGCGGCAAGTATGAGCTCACTGCCGATTTCGTCAAAGCTGCGTCTGGAGGGTTGAATGAAGAAGATGATTGGGCTATGTTGGCTAGATTTGAAGCATTGTTGTTACATCGCAGATTTAAACGATCGGAAAGTTCTGCAACAGATTCGGTCAATGTAGATCAGTATTGGAAGGAATATGAAGCTCACGACAGAAAAGCACCCGAACTTGTGTTTACGACTTTATTAGCAGAGCAAGTGAAAGATGGAAAGGCAGAAGCCGTACGGCAGACATTGATGGCCACACGAGAGCACGGACATGTGATTGACGGCAGGACCTGGGGAACTTTGCTTGGAATGCATCCACGGGGCAGACGGAAAGGTTTTCTGGGCGAACTCGCGAAAGAATTGGACGTCGATGGTCAGCAAGCGTTTGCCAGTGTGGTCTCGCATTTCAGCTCTCATAATAACCCTCGTCGAGTGTTGCTAGCTTTTCGCATGTTTGGTGTAGGAAAGGACCTCCTCAGCAAGCCTGAAAGATGGATTCCCGATTTCGACACCATGCGAGCAGTGATTTCCATGTTCGGTTATCGCAACAATCCTGAAGCAGCAATGAAATTCTTACAGCTAGCTATCGATCTCGACGTCCAAGGAGATTACACTGCCAGCTATTTGGCGATTTCTAAAGCATTGCGCAAAGACAGCAGACCGGAAGATGCCCTCGTCTTTGCATCACATATGGTTGGAATTTGTTTGCAAAATCAAGGCAGGCCACACTCGCTCAATTTTCACTTGCCCAAACCGATTGTGAAACCTTCGAAAAGATGTTTCAGAGAATGTCTTCGTGTATGTTCAACAATATACGATCCCGTAGATGCTGTCGAAAAGGCGCGAGAGGTTTTATTGGATCTTATCAAGATCCGAGAAATTACCGAGGGAGTTCTTCAGGGTACTGTAGCATTATTCAAGGCAATAATGCAAGACGCAAGTTACAAGCAGCTGTCAACTGTTATGACTAATTTATCCAAACATGCTTTGCAACGATCCCAGGAAGACGGCGATCTAGCTTTGAACATATTTATCGACGCTCTCAATTCAGAAGGTGCCATCGATCAAGTGATCGTTGCTAAAAGAGAACAAATCCCATCTCCATCCCGGGACGCAAGGGAAAATCTCGAATGGGTAACAAAATCACACGAAATTTCCAACTTTATCGGTGGATACTCTAATCCCACATTGCAGATTGAAGAAACGCCAGAAGGTCGTGCAGCATCGCTTCTCGAGGCCGAAGAAATGAGCGCAGATCCATATGTTCATCTCACGCCACGACTAACTCCAATGGCATATGCGTTGAGGCTAAGAGTGTTTGCAGTTGTTCGACAAGATTATGGTTCGGCAGTCATCATTTATCGATATATGTTGGCTAATGGGATTAAGCCTACTGTTCATCATATTGCACCTATTTTGGAAGGTTTGGTGACGATAGATCGACTTGAAGATGCGCGCGCTATTCGTGATGGAGCACGACAAACGTTATCCGGTATTGATTCTTCCCTGCGTATCTCTGCTGCAATCATTCGAGGTCATTTACGCAGGAATGATTGGTTAGGAGTACAGCAAGAATTAACGGAAATGAGAGAAAGGCGAGTTCATCCAGATGCTTTCATTCTTTCTATGGTACGTATGGCGCAAATGCATTATAAGGATTCAAAATCTCAAAATCTTGAAAAATTGAACGAAACCAGCGTAAAGGCACAAGAAAGTATGGAACCGTTGCTAAAAGATTTGGAAAACAAAGCGCACCAAAAAATTCGGGAGGAATATGAAAATCACGTTTGGCTACAAAAGAAAATGGGTAAGAAGAACAAAAATGATAATTCCGGCCAAATCGCAATTTCATCAATGCAAAAGCCGACAAAGAAGCGTCTATCCGTGCAGAATACGACCAAATATTATCAAAACTTGTATCAAAGCCAAAAGCACCTACTCGCTTTGCAGTATCTCTCAAATTCGTTGCGCGCTGGTCTTGTTCCAGATGACAGATTACGAACGTCGATACAAAGTCATGGAAAATTCCTTGAAAGAGATTTGAAGGAAAATGGCATGATAATGCAAACGTTGATTGATTATAAAGGTCGACCCAGACAATTTCCATACGATAAAGTTCAGGCTGAAGAAGAAACCGTAGAAGCAAGACGTATTGCTCGTCGTGCCAGATTCTCCAATAGACGTCTTGCAAATTATTGGGGCCCTGTCGCCCAGCTTTGGAATGAGCTTCGCGAGATTACAAGTGGTCTCCATCCTTCCCAAATTGAAAGACAGAAACGTGAAAATCAAGCAATGGAGGATCTACTTCGATTGATTGTGGACTTTTATGGTAGCAATCGATTGATAGAGGAAGCGAAGGAGGAAAGAAACACTGATGCCGAGAGTATCAAAGGAACACCTATACCATCAACACCACCACACTAGAAGAAGTCAAGTTGACTTTTGTCGACCTACATTGCATCTGTACTTTATACATCCATTGTCATCTTTAGAAGATTCTATGAGAATTGCATTTGCGGTCCGTAAAGCATGAATGTTGCTATGATGGACGTATCTAATAAAGGTTTGGCCAAATGTGTCGCTCTTTTATATTCGTAGATGATGTCGGCGCGTAATTGTATACTAGCACAAAGCTTACTTGGCTGTCAAGGAGGACACTTCCGTTCTTGACGATCAAACTTTGCCTCAAGGAGTGAACAGTTGGTTGGCCACCTCAAAGCAACCAGTTCAATTCATTGTCACCGTCTGATCACTATTTCATACTTTCACCTTTTCGTTTAGTTGTACTTGTATCAATTCTGATTTTGTTTCTTGGCTTTCACTTTTTGAGCCTAAGAGAAGTTTATAGCAGTGAGAGCGTTGCAAAAAATAAGTAGAGAAGACATGAAAAGCATGAAAGGCTATCAGACGACCCGCACATGATGTCAAGGGAACAAAAATTGCAATGATGAATAGAGTGACCAAAGTCACCGAAGATCCTAAAATCCGAGGAATACATGATAGATAATTAGTGCAAAAAACTTTTGTATAAGGATGATATTGTCTATGTCTAAATGCCGGTAGTTTGATCTGTATCTGTACTTGATCTACGTTGTTTTACCGGCAAAACACCCGTTTCTGAATCTTGTTCTCCAAAGAAAACCGCTCCTCCTTCTACTTGACCACGTTCTATGGGTGCGTCTAAATGATCAAGGGTGGTTGAATGAGCTCCTAGCTTATTCAAAGCTTCGTCTAAATCGATATGTGTAGTTAAGGGTCTTCGTGGCAAAGGTGTAAGCGCATGCCTTGCGTCCACATTAACCGAAAGGATATTATCGCTATGTGCACCTTCGGATAAAGAGATCAACAATGATCGCATTGGCGTGCCATTCTCGCTACTTGCAGTTGTTGAAGAGCCACCGTTATTTGCATCAACACTACCTTGCAAAGAAACCGAATCTCTTGGACTTGCGTTTGTAGAAGTTGAGGGTGCAACAGTCTTCTCGAAAACTTCAAATGTGATCGAAGAAAAGTAATCCAAAGGTGGCATACTGGGCATCACGATTGGCAGATCTGATGCTAAGATCAAATTGAGTAAAGTGTGAATATGAGATTCTTTTGTGAAGTAGAGAGAGCATAAGCTCGATTTGTCTGATGCACGCAAGTTTCCGATGATGTGTTCCAGTAGGGGCATCGAAGTGAGTAAGCCTATACGAGCCTTCTGGTCTGTGGTGATACCGTACTCTCTTGGACAAATGTAGTTGAACAAAGCCATACTCATACGATAAAGATCTTGTAACGTGCGTAAACGATCTTCCGTTTTATCTTCAGGATTGGTAAAGATTGTCTCAAAGAACTGCCGATTATGCAAGCCATCATGACAGAGCATATCGTACAGCTCGCTTGTACGGCCTGGATCGTATGGATCCTCTTCATAATCGGCAAAGAGTTTTTCCCATCTCTCGCGGAACAAGGCAGGCGTTTCATGAGTACACCAACGCATTTGAACACGTTCAACATCAATCTTGTTCCAATTTGATCTCATGACTGATCTTAGCTCCTTCAAAAGGTCTGAAACGCGCGAACATAAGATTGATGGTCCATCAAGGTCTTCTGGCCAGCCGGTGGGCTTGTCATTACCACCAACTTCGGGACGTAGCAAATGCTTTAAGTCTTTCTTTACAACGTCCATCCAATCTTTAGCCGCATTTGAATCATCCAATAAATCCTTACGAATGATCAACTCCAAAGGATGTTTGCTCGGATCAGCTTTCTCCTCCAAAAAGGAAGCAGCGAAGATTTCAGCACTTGCAGTAACTCTACGCTCAGAAGATGTATAGATTGTGCAATTCTTCAAAGCAGCATCGTTCATGATTACCATATCCCTTCGCATGTTTTGTCCGAAATCTTTTGCTTGATGTCTTGCAGCATGACTGAATTCACCACCCCATTTGATGATCAATTGCATCTTTTCCAATTCTCCAGACTTTTTATCAAACGATGGCTTTATTTGTACTTTTGTACCTCCGAAATTTTTCTTTCTCTCGATCAATTGGATCACCAACTTTAAATCTTCCACATTTGCTCCTTCAATTTCCATCGCTTTTTGTGCTGCTTGACTGATGATTTCTAAATTATTTCGCAAGATGATCTCTTCCCTTCGTCCCTGCAAAAGATCCAAAAGGGGCTTAGCCCACTTTTCTTTCGGCTTGAAGGATCGCTTTAGCTTTTGCTTTGGGGTTCTGTCACCGTGTCTGAATACGGTCACATTCGCTTTCAAAGTCCAAGATGCTTGTTCTTGATCACCTCCTCGTGTTGGTGTATGACCCCTGCTCTGATTTAAGGGTCTGGGTACGTTGACCTTGCAGAATTTAGACAAGATCTCTGCACAATTATCATAGTAGAAATCATTTCCTTTCACGAAACTCCAACCGTTCACATCGATCACATAGCTCTTTTTTCCTACTCGAAGTAGATCAAATCCGCAAATATTTTGCTTAAATGCGTTGGAAATATTTGTTGCCATTTGAACTTCTTCATCGGTTAATTTTGTGATATAACGAATTTCCTTTCCGTCTGGATTTCTCTTCACCATTCCATCCACAACGGGCGATTTGCGTGTTTCCGCATGAACGAAATGCGGTCCGATGGTATATACCTTTACATCTTCGGCATTATCAACGTCCATGAACTCCTCGTAAATGTATGAACCATCTCCTCTTGGATGAATAAGTTCTGCATCATATTCAGATGATTTGTTTCCTACTTTACGAAACAATCTTCTTCCGCCTCCTCCTCTTGATTTGGGAAAGTAGATGTGAATATTATGATCTTCTCCACTAACAGGTTTTTCCACGAATGGCTTCTTCATTGTGGTGGTGTTTACTTTACCATCCTGCTCTGTTTTGGTAATGATCAAAGTATCGATATCATCTTCGGATATTTTGCATTCTACTGAAGGTTGACGACCTTTTCGTAGATCAAGCTTGAGTCTCTTCTTGAGATCTTCAAACACTTTTTCTTCTACTTCTGGACCTCCATCCCTGTCCACTTCCAGTCGACGAGGTGTGGGTACCTTTACGGCATCGAGGATTGCCAAAACAGCCCGTCTGTCCCACAGAACCTTTTGCAAACGTAAATCATTGACGAGAACGGGTTTACGTAAGTCAGCATAAGCGATTGCTTTATCCAATGGGAAACCATCGGAAAAGAATGAAATCAAAACGTCCACCACAGGCCATGATTCTGGTGGTTCATCAAGTAAGACTTTATCACCAAAGTTTACAATTTGACAATTGATTTCTGGATTGTTTAAGATCCTATTTAGGATTTGTGACATTGGCTTACTTCTTGCTTTTCTATCTCTTGCTGCCACACCAAGCAAGATTGGCTCAGTGGCATTGTTTGCCATGATGCCTTTTGATTGCTGAGCCAAATTGACAGGCGAGAATGGTAAGAAGGGATGATGTCGTATGTCGGCTAAACACGTTCCTTCCGCATATATTTGCGGAACTTTACTCGAAATCTTCTAGCGGTGTGTTTAAGAAAAAAGGGCTCGGTATAGTGGAGCATTTATGAGGGGTTCGGGAGAGCAGCTCACATGCTTTAAGCCTTCGACGCGTATAAATAACATTAGGCATGAAAGTGTTGTTGTTGTTTATGTGCAGACGCAGATGCAAGTGTGTTAATCGTAGAATTTAACTTTGCACTGCATTTCATCAGTCTTTGCTTATTGTTTTCTCAAAAATCCAAATTAAAAATGTTGTACGCGCGGAAGAAGTGTTGGTGAATGAATGTGGATCTTTATCTTTTCATCAGACCATCATTGTCGTTCGATTTCTGTTTCAGAATTATCCCACACAACAAAAACTCAGGACAATCGTTCCAGGAGAACGTCGCCAGCATTCAGATAGATCATCCCTTTCTACCGATTCGTCCTTATCAAAGTACAATCAGAGGAAAAGTCGAACCGGAACTATTTTGATCAAAGTTGAACACGGATCATCGAATCTGCTTTCAAGGTATCATTACAATACATCTAATACATCACACCAATCACAATGAACGCACAGCAGACATCCTCTACGCTAAATTCAGCGCCTCCAGGCCAAGGCTCACTACCGAATGGAGGTGGAGATATTCCCGGAAGACCGCATATAGATTTACAAAAGAAGTTGATTATGGTAGGAGATGGAGGGGTAGGAAAAACGGCACTTTTGATCACATATGCAGAAAACAGATTTCCCGAACAATATATCCCAACAGTATTTGAAAATTACGTTCCAATCATTCGATTTGAAGGAAAGACGATCGAATTGGCACTTTGGGATACGGCAGGACAAGAAGAATACGATCGATTAAGACCGTTGAGTTATCCGGAAACAGATGTTATCTTGATCGGATTTGCGATCGATTATCCAGTCAGTTTGGCAAACGTACAGGATAAGTGGTATCCAGAAGTAAATCACTTTTGTGAAGGCGTTCCGATCATTTTGGTTGGATTGAAAACAGATTTACGATCGGATAAACACGGTTTGGCAATGTTGGCCGCTCAAGGTACAAAACCAGTTTCACCCGAACAAGGACAGGCAGTCGCAAAAGAAATCGGAGCAAGACATTACGTCGAATGCAGTGCAAAGAATCGAGATGGTGTACAAGAAGTGTTTGATACTGCCTTACGTGAAGCATGCAGAAAGAGATGGAACAAGAAAAGAATAGGGCAAAAGAAGTGCCTAGTGCTATGATGAACAAAAAAAAGATATCTTCATTCAACTTTTTCTCTTCCTCTTCTTTTACAGTAAATTAAGATCAATCGCTCTGCATCTGCACATTTGTACTAATTCTCACCAACATCTTTCGCATCACAATGGCAAAGCGCACACATGGCATCCTCACGATGGACTCTATTGCTTCTTTCTCATTTATAATTTTTGTACTAAACATACATGATGGAATGCCATTATTCTACTCGAACTCGTTTATTGGACGTGCTTGCGATCAATTGTTCCAAACGATCACATTGTTCCTCAACCGCTCTTCTACTTGTACCACCGGTTGCATTTCTACGTTCAACGCTTTCTTCCATTGACCATACCTTGACAACGTCTTCTTCAAATGCTGGGCTGAGTGTTTTCAGATCTTCCAACGTCAAGTCGCTCAATTGACATTTACGTTCTTCCGACATACGCACAGCACTTCCACTGATGTGGTGAGTTTCGCGGAAAGGAATACCTTTGCGGACAAGATAATCGGCCAAATCGGTAGCCAACATATCTGGAGTCAAGGCGGCACGCATCTTTTCGGGGAAGATTGTCATTGTGCTTAACACTCCAGTAGCGACTTGCAAGCTTCTTCTGATCGTATCAACAGCATCAAAGAGAGGCTCTTTGTCTTCTTGTAGATCTTTGTTGTAGGTTGATGGGATACCCTTCAAGGTCATCATGAAACCTGCCATATCTCCAAAGATACGACCACTCTTTCCTCTGAGCAGTTCCAAACTGTCAGGATTCTTCTTTTGAGGCATGATCGACGATCCTGTACTGTACGCATCGCTCAATTGTACAAAGCCAAATTCAGCAGAAGAATAGATGATGAAATCTTCTGCCAATTTGGAAATGTGAACCATTGTCAAACTTGCCCACATCAATGTTTCTGCGATAAAGTCACGATCACTGACACCGTGCATGGAATTTGTTCCAACAGTCTCAAATCCAAGCTCTTTAGCGATCGCATCACGATCCAATCCGGCGAAAGGATTACCTGCCAAAGGACCGCTTCCCAATGGTAAAACGGAGATACGTGGTTGCAAATCCAAAAGACGTTGATAGTCTGCAACCAAATAGGATGCATGACTCAACAACAAATGAGACCAGCGAATAGGCTGTGCTCTTTGCAAGTGGGTATATCCTGGCATCAATGCATCGATTTCAGCCCTGGCACGAGAAACGATGACTTGAATGAATTCTTTCAACAAGGCAGCCAAAGCTTGTGCTTCATCCATCAACCAAAGGCGCATATCTGTTGCTACTTGATCGTTTCTTGATCGACCGGTGTGTAATTTTCCAGCAACTGTGCCGATCAATTCCTTCAATCTACGTTCGTTTGCTGTATGGATATCTTCATCATCCGGTTGTACTTGAAAAGTTCCATTTTTCCATTCTTCTCCTACAAGAGCCAATCCTTTAACGATTTGATCGCATTCTTCTTCAGTGAGAATTTGACATCCGATCAAAGCACGAGCATAAGCTTGAGAGCCACGAATATCTTGTGCCCACATACGTTTATCGTAGGATAATGATTCGTTGAAAGCATGCATGATTGGATCTGTACTGCCTGTGAAACGACCACCCCAAAGCTTTCGCTTGGTGAAGTCGTCGTTTGATGGTGCAACACTCATGTTGATATGGTGGTGTGTGTGTTAACTCTGATTGGAATATGATGGAGAAAGAAAAAGAAGAAGAATGCATAGATTTTACAAATGCGTCTTAATCAAGATAACAGAAATACTGCTGTTTTGCCCTTTGTGTCAAATTGCAGCTTGCATTAATTTGACTCATTTCTTCCAATCCTTCTTCATGGATTATATAAGCTTTAATGTGGTCCGGGCGTGCAGATCTTAATGCACTCTTGGCAAACAAAATGCAGAGCTAAATTAAAATACACCGCCACTTTCCCCGTCGCTTTGATCTCTGTGAATACATGCATGTCATTCAACCATCATGTCACGAAGGGATCAATTATTACAAGCAGTGAATGATATACAAGGACAAGTATACAATTATATAGATTCAAGAACAACGACTCAATTTGGACCAGGTCATCCCACATCCTCCACTTCACAACAGCAACCATCTTCCTCGTCATCGGATTCGACAGCGTCCAATCTACCACTTTATTCACGAAAGCCTGATGAGAATGCAGATGCAATTCCTCAATCCGTTTTAAATGCACCACCTGGTCAAGCACAAGCAGCAGCTGATCAAATGCCAAGAAATCGAATCGCTCGCGGGACGGGCAGAGAGGCCAGAGCAGCGGCAGCAGCATTGCGTGAAGAACAATTGCAGTCCGGACAATTAAAGACCAAGCATACATTCTTATCTTCTGGAGCAAGAATTATTCTGGATATCAATACTGCAGTTCCGCAAAAGGCGCTCACGTTTATGGGAGGAACGGCTGATCGTGGAAGAGGACAGATGAAAGGTGTTGTCACTATACATGCACAACCGAACGAACGAGTCTCTGCTATTCGCATCAAGATCAAAGCTGTTGTACGGGTCTTGGTGCCCAGGACAGGAACACCTCAGCAACCATTTCCATTGGAGAACACACATCCAGCCGTTGAGCAAAGTGTCGAGAAGGAGCTCTTGCTTCTACAACTTGAATCACAATTGTATGACGCTAATTCGGCTTCAAGTGTAGACAGTGCCGATCCGACAATGATGCATGTTGGGAAGCATGAATTTCCATTTTCCATCGATCTGCCAAGTCAGACAGGTAAGGGCGAAGAGCTTCCTCCTTCCTTCGTCTTGAGTCCTCTTAACAAGCCTGAACAAGTCCAACGCCCTCCACCTAAGAGCAAGTGGGAGACTTTGACATCTTCAATACCCGTACCTCATCTTGCGAAAGACTGGGCAAGTATTAAATGGTATGCAAAGGTGACGGTAGAGAGACCGGGTATCTTCCGAGCGAATGAACGGATTTTTGCTCCATTTGTATACCTGCCGCCTCCACCAAAGAATCTGTCGGGATTGGAAGAGCAATTATTGAGACGATTAAGGTTAGCTGGCGAAGTGGATTCTTTGCTTAGGCGATTTGAATCTATGCAAGGCTCGAGACCAGTAGACCTACAAAGACTGGTAGAACCTCTTGCGCAATGGGAATCTATCAAGCTGGCTTATGGACAGACGAAAGCAAGTACGATAAAGCAAAAGGTGCCGCAGGCAAACAAGAAAGCCGACAAACCGGGTTTCTTCTCAAAGATGTTGTTTGGAACTCAAGTTGAAAAGGTGGCAGAGCGGTCTATCTCTGTGGAAAAGGAGACATTCACACTCCATGTTCCCAAAAGGCCGTTCGTCTTTGCATTGCGGTCAGGAATACCGTATGTTCTATCACGCACAGTACAGTACTCTGGCGATGGAGAATTACGCCGAGAGATGTTAAGCAGGGTACCTACTGTTGGCCTATTTCAAAAGACCAACGTCTTTGCTAAAGGAACAAAAGGCCCATGTGCAGGGACTACATCTCGATTTTTGTCGCCGGGCAGACAGCCACCTGACCTTCATGCTGTACAAGTGAAGGACGAGAGAAGTACAGGAGCGATTGGGAAGCCGTCAACGAGACGAAAGACAGAATATTGGCTTGGAATCATCGATCTTCCACCGACCTGTGCCCCTTGCTTCGAGACACCAGTCTTAACATTGGAATACACAATGGTCGTTCGTCATCCACAATCGCCAAATCCGCTTCATGTAGAGCCAATCGTTTTGGTCTGTCCACCATCTAGACCGGTTCGGATCGCACCCAGCGCTACCTCTTCTATTCGTGCTCCATCACGTACCACTACGCCTGTGAACGCTGCCTCATATTCCCGTCGTCAAAGTTCGGGGCCGGCGGTGACAGCAAATGCTGCGACTCCACCAAGCAAGATTATCAGTCAAACGAACCAAAACGTTGCAAGACCTGTGGCACCGGCGCCGAGTAAGGCTAATCAAAATCGGATCTCCAGCAATCCTACTGCGCCGATATCCCACTCTCCCAGACCGTCACAGCCAGGGACACCGTCCGGTCATGCTCCACAATCAGCGCTGGCATCTCGACCTGTTCCTTCTACTCCTCCTGTTGTACCACCTGTACAACAGGCAGCCAGTAGACCACCTACTTCTACCACGACAACACAAGATGAAAAGAGAGTTATGCAATCTAGACTCGAAGAAGAAGCTAGAATGCAAAGACATCAACAGATTGGCTCATCTTCTTCGTCCGCTGCAGGTAGTTCTGCCACCTCACAGCCGGCTTCTGTTGCAACGTCCTCTCAAGCACCTCCTCCCTCATCATCCTCATCTGCCGCATCTACAGCTATGCAATCTACAACTCAACAAGCTGCCGGTACACCATTAACGGTTGATGAAAGCGATACTGGACATTCTGCCGATCAATGGCAATTTCAAGATGATGAATTAACCGATTTGCCACCAAGTTACTTTGAAGCAACAGGAATGCCAGATGAAGATTGATTGATTGTTGTTGTTATTTATGGACTATTTTCTTTCATGTTTATTATACCCTTTCTTTTTTGATTTAATGATGATTGATTATTTAATCCATTCTATTTCCCGTAAACGCAAACACCTCCGAGATGGCCGTGCTTAGATGCAATGCCAATGCACAGTGCCCGTCATAGCTGCACAGAATACTTCGCATTTTTGTTAATCAATGCTTGTTTATTACGGAGAATAAAAAGAACAGAGAAGGCCGAGTTGATCATTGATTCGCTCGCGTACGAATAAACGAGCCATGCAAACTTGTTTAATTTCTTCCACGCTAAAGCTGCAAAAGCTGCAGCTAATGCTAAAAAAGGGTAAAACTTTCCTATACCATTAAAAGAAGAAGATGTAAACGCTTTGACAATCAATCTAAGTAGAGTCTGTGTGTAGCATAGATGTACTACATTCATTTATGCAGGGTATCCTTCTGCACTTTATCGGCACTTTTTGACATGTTCTTGACCACACGATCGGTTTTCTTCTTGTACCTTTCTCACACTCTGTATTTCAAATTGCATTTGCTGGGTTTGTAATCTATTCAGAGGCTTGCAAGTGCTAAATAGGGACCCTTTTCTACAAAAGAGAGTAAGAATGAATGATCCCCGACTAGAGGACTCGGGGATCTTTTCTCTGGAGGGAAGAAGTATTTTTAGCCCTATGAAAATTTGAGCTCTAAATACCCACTACTTTTCGCTTTTCTTTCCTAATTTGATCAGATAAAGCCAAAATAGTGGCTCAAAAGCTAAGACTAGCTTACAGGAAAACACACTTGTATACAGTTGGGGAAGAGGTCTAAAAACTTTTTTTTCTCCTAAAACGCTAAAAATACTTTCTTCTTCTTCTTTTTCTTCTTTCTGGCTGTTGGCGGGTTATTAATTTTACTCACGCTAACGAATGCAAAGTAAGCATTGAACACCGAGTTAAAACACTGACCAAGTGCTTCCCCTTTGTTTTCAAATGCATGATCTGCATTAAAATTCAAGACATTCAATCCCAAACATACGCTAATACACAACTCGGAATTCATTTTAAAAATATTCTCTTTAACTCACTTCTTTCGGCAGCTTTTTTCATTTCATTGCCGTACCGAAGGAAGAAAGGGGACCCCTGATTGAGAATATTAGAGAAATCATCATGACAGGCAAAATGAAGGAATTAGCGATCACAAGAAGCGAGAGCAATTCAAAAAAGCCATGATTGCATGCAATACCATATGCTCAAATTGAATCTCAATTGCATCAATTAGAGTGGGGTAAGTGACCGTATGTCTGTGCGATTCTTCTTTTTAAAAGTGAATTAAAGAATTGCGAAACAAGTGTAATGCATGATGCAAGATAGTTTTAATTCCATTCAACCTGCTTGCTATAATGGCAATCAGTTAGATGGCCGAAAAATTAGTTGATTAGAGTTGCTGAAATGATTTACGTGAGACATTTGTGTCAAATAAACAATCAAAGCATTTCGATATAACCCTATCAAAACCTCTTTCCCCACCATCCATCAACACCTCACTCTCATTTTGTATCCTCATTTCACTTCAGCATGGCGTCCTCCGCTCCTTCGTTGCAATACAACAATATCGTCTTTCATCATGTTCCTAATCATCAAGCACCCGGTCTATTAGCAGCAATGCTTACGTTTTCATTTTGTCTTGGAGTGATTACGTTGGAAATCTTGTCAAATTTACGATATGATTACAACCTAATCAAAAGACCCGGTTGGAGAGAACCGGTAAAAGCATCAAATCGTTTATCATACTTTTTATGTCGTTATGGTTGTTTCGTTTTCATGTTAATCACTGTGATTTATATGAATTTGCCCGGTTCAAATTGTCATGATTATGCGATCGGAATAAACGTAATGTGGGTTATTCCACTTATCACTGTCGATTTAATCTTCGTTCAACGTACTTTGGCCGTTTATAATTGGAATAAACTCATCACCATCCCACTTGGATTCTTGTATATCTCTTATGTGGCTTTATGTACCTACTCTGTGGTCACGTTTGGATACGGATACAACATTCCTGGAACATCATTCTGCGCTTATCAAACCATCCCTACAAGTCAAAAGCCACATGCAACCGTGTTTATCTGTTACATCGTTCTCGTCATCCTTTTGGATTCTTTGATCTTGCTATTGACAACACACAGATTATTGGAAGGAGGCTTGGGCAATCTGTACCATTTGATCGTTACAAAGACGGCCGAGAACCGTAAAAACAAAGCATTACGTAAAGCAGAAGGTCATTCGGTCGGAGAAGTTTCTTTGAGTGGATTGCTGTTACGTCAAGGTGTTGGATACTTTATGCTTTTGGAACTTTCGCGATTGGCTTTCTTGATTGTTTATTATACAGTAAACAATGAAACTTCTTATCAAGTTTTGGTTTCGGGTATTCTCGTTCTCGTTGGTCCGGTAATGGCAGGAATGTTATTCCGTCAAACTTCTGAAGCTGTTAAACGTGCGGCCATCAGTAGTTCTGATAGAGGTCAAGGACCTGTTTTAAGTCAAGGTAGAAGTTATCGTTCTTCAATGCCAACAACACCTGCAAACTTTACATCATTCACTCCTTTGTCTCCTTTATCGCCAACGACACATATGGCACGCGAGAATGCAATGAACGGACAAGGTCATCTTGTCAATCCAAACTTATTCACACCAATTTCTCCTCATAAAGGTGATAGCATGGATCAAGATACGATCGGAACGGAATACTTTGGTAATGAAAGAAGCAGAACGAACAGCGATAATGCGCCTTTGAACGGTGATCAAACCATCAGTCTACAAGATCCAAGAGGATTACAAGTGTACGTCGAAGAAAAGACTGACGTTGAATCTGTTCAAATGTCACCAATGGACTCTCAACAAAATCATCGTGGAAGATTCAATTTGAATCCAACAGAAGATAGTTTACCAATTCATCAACAATACGCTCGTTCCAATCAACCATACTTTGCAAGCTCACCACATGCTCAACAAGGCAGTATTGGCGGTCATCATGGCCCGGCTTCCAATCACTCTCATTCTACTTCCGGTCATCGTAACTTTTTGGAAGATAATGTACAATTCACACCCGTGCTACCACATCAACTCGAAGAGCAAAGACATAGCGCTTATGGAAGTGCTCAATAATTCCCACACTCTTTTTTCGCAACCTATTCTCCGATAATCTTTTTTCCTTCTCGAGACTCTATCCCTGTAATCTAAGACTTATTAATCGGAAAGAGAAGATGTTGTACAATTCAAAACCAGAGAGTGACGATATAAAGAATGCAATTGACAGATATTCCACAACAAGGGTATGTACATCATCACTTTTTCAACGGTTGACCGCCAGGGTATATTGGAGTAAATAGGTTCAGCAATAAACCTTTTCCTTTACCTAAACTGGTGACCCATTCACCAAAGACGGGCCAAATAACCTGGGTTGCACCACCATCCGGACCAAGAGGAACAGAGATTGCATTGAGGGCTTTTGTATGTTGCTTTACACCCTTTTTCGTATTTCCTGCTTGACCGACAACTTGACTTGCAACGATTGGTGCATGAGCAGTAGCGGCAATATTTGTCTTTGAATCGTTTGAATTGCTTGCATCACCTAAACAGAACCAACGTTCTTTCAAAGGTTCATATTGAACTCGTAATGTACCTTGATCAACACCAACTCGTTTTACTGGTGCTCTTGATCCTTTCACCCCTGCTGTTGCTTCTGATAATGCTTCTTGTGGGACAGCAGATACATTAGGTGAACCTCCCGTTCCGATGAATAGGAAATCAGTTTCAATCGTTGAGCCGTCGGATAGGGATAGCTTGAGAGGTTCATTCAAGAGCTTTTGAGCAGAAGATTGCAGGTCATCCGTTACCTCGACACTAGTATTGAACTTGATTTCGATCTTCTTCTTCTTCAATTGATTTAAAAGATTATTATGCAAAGCTTCTCTGAAACCGTTCAGAATCCTTGGACCACGTTCGATAATTGTGATCTTCTTGTCTGGATAAACTGCACGAATTTCACCTGACATCTCGATTCCCACTGGACCAGCTCCCAAGATGACAACATTCTTTGCTTGTTCAATGTCTTTTTGTAATTTACGTAAAGATTCAACACTTTCTTCGAGAGATTGACTGCTCGGTCGCATTGGATAAGCGTACTTCGATCCGGTAGCGATCACTCCAATATCGACTTGGATCTCATCAGAATTGAAAGGAGCAGGAGCTTGTTTGTCCAATTTAACACTTTGAGCCGAAATACTTGCTACTTTATAGCCAGTCAAGATGATATGTCTTGAATCGGCTGGGAAGAAGTTATCATAAGATGCAAAGATTTCATTCTCAAATCCAGCTTTAACAGAAGCACGTAAAGCACCGATTGGCCAATAAGCGAAATTGTTTGCTTCGATCAAAACGATTCGATGGGTGGATGGTAATGTCTTTTCTAGCTGATGAGCAACTTGTGCTCCAGCAGCAGAAGCACCAACGATGACGACGTTTTTAAGTTCTGACATTGCGTGAAGGTATAAAGGGGGAATGAAAGTGAGAGCCAAACACAAAGATCTTTGACAGGTCAGCCTCTTTATACCTTTTTCCCATAATCTTACGCAAGCCTCAAATTTGTCCTTGCATCTTGATTCAATTCACAAAAGCAGCCGAAAAAGGCAACTGTCAAACATCAAGCCGTAAACGCTCGGTCCTTTTTTGGGGCCCGTCAGGCACGGCGCAGCGCCCCTTGCGAACTTTTTGCTCAGCGTTGCGCCATCGGCTTTAGCAGCAGTAGAAAAATACTGACGTATATTAATGACAACAGTAAGCTGTGCGAAATGTCATCATGAAAGAAAGTGTAATGAATTTGTATTGAACAAAAGGATGACTGTATAGTCATTTGCAGTAGTAATACATGATTGAAGGCGGAAAGATGATGGAAAGAAAGGAATGTTTGAATTCGTCTGCTTGTCATCGGATATATTTCTGACGTCTGTGTGAGTGTGACTACGAATTGCTTTTTCGTGGAGGAGGAGATGACATAAAAGAGGGCAATAAAAAAACATAATATAAATAAATCGCAGCAAAAAGAAAGAGAGCAAAAAGTGCGAACAAGAACAATTAACCACGACACGATCACAAAAATCCACTTTCTTGCAAAAGACGAGCAATCTTTTCATCTTCTCGTTCACGCGGTTCCAATCGAAGACTTTGTTCGAATAATTCATCATCACTTCTTGCTTCGATCAAATTCTCTTCGATGAACTTTTGCAAGCCAGGAACGGGTGTTAAGTTGTATGGTGTGCTTTGATAAATCATAATTTCTTGAATCTTTTCGGCTGTCATTTGACGTTTACTAAAATTGATCAATCGATCATCCGTTCGTAATCGATCCGTATTACCATCTTCAATAAACGTTAAGTCCGTCAAATAAACACCCAAGAAAGGCACACAAGGTGGATTGAGCTTGCGTAATGTTTCACGATATTTTGTAAAATTTCTCGTTGGTGCAAGGATGGCACGCATATTCTCGAACAACTGCAAATGACGTTGATTGACAGCATCCCATGTTCTGCGTAAACGATTGAGTGATGCGTTATTCAAGCCAGAGTAAATCGCCATCATACTTGAAAAATTGTTGAGGTAGAAGCAACGATCGGCGATTGCTACGAAATGTTTCACCCATGCAGCACGCTTCTTAACGTCTTCTTGCACCAAGATGGCTTCACTCACCCAACCACTGACACGATTGTTCGCTCCAATCACATCACGAACACCTTTTGCCTTCCATGCTCCAGAGTCACGACTCCAAGCCTTGCCCAAACATTCCGAAGGTCGGATGCGATTGTACAGTCTACTGTCCATCAATGTCAATTGACGTGCCATTTCAAGTGGATCGATGTCCAAGAATTTAATCTTTCGGAAATTCTTGGGTAAAATTGGTGGTGGAGCAGAAGCAGGCATGACCATTGTAATCTTCATCTGTTCACCAGTTCCACTTCTACGTTCAATAATACGCAACAGCAAATTGGCTGGCATATTCATTGCAGGCGAATGAGCCATTTCATCCAATGCAAAAGCACGGATACGTTTCATATGCTCTTCATCCTCATCTTCCTGGAAATGGGATTCAAGCCAAGATTTGAGCACGTTAAAGACACGGAAACGAATCGGTCTTTGTTTCTTCTCGATCCACATCTCATGTTCATCCAATGTTAATCCATCAGGTTCTTGAATACGGAAACGAGCAAAGAGAAGGTCTAGCAAGATTTCTGTGGTCGTGAAGGATCTATACGTCATCAAGAATGTACTGTTGAAGCTCGAATCGAAAGCATTGTGCATCGTCAAACGTTCCATCAATGCTGCCAACGTTGCACCTTTCACCTGTCCATTCGGGTTCAACATGATATCTTCAGGCGGTGAATCAGGCTGCAAGAACCATGGAACTTCTTCTGCTTGTTTTGTAGATGCTGAATCTGTACCATGATCACCAATACTAGATCCAGGGGCACTCGGTATACCAGCAGATGAAATGCCATCGACTGTATCACGTCGTAATCTCGATACACCCTTAGTTCCGTCTGTGTCATCGTGCGTAGGCAGTCTACTGGAATCATTGGAAGCGGCTGAATTTCCTGTAGCAACTGAAGTAGATCGAGCTCGTTGGAACATCGCTTTGAGCGATGAAGGAGGAATGCTAGCAGTTTTATTTTCTGGTATTGGTGCAGCGGCAGGAGCAGCCGAACCTGCAGCAGTAGACGAACTTGCTGAAGATGCACCATTTGGAACTGCCAAAGCAGTAGATGAGGAGCTGTAAGAAGATGCATGTTGAGATGGGTGCCCAACAGGTCGACTAGACGGCTCAGGCTTATCTTCCAACATCTTCATCCTCACTTCATCAATTCCGTGTACTTTTGCTCTGGCACCGATTGTGTTGAACTCATACTTTGCTTGTTCTTCGGAGAGGCGTAATAATTCTGCCAAATTGCCTTGTAATTGCACCACAGATGAACCAAGCAGGTCAACCAACTCAAGCACCTTTTCGTTCACATCGAACACCCTTCGATGGTCAGGCAATACCATTGCGTCCGAAGTACGGTCTTGAACGCAAAGGAACCACATCTGACATGCATCATAGGCGGCTTGCTTCACATTGCCATAGGTATGAAGTGTTTGTCGTGCATTGTAAACCAGCTTGGTATATTCTTCCGCCTCTTCTGCTGACATGCGCACATCTTCTGGATTTGGACCATCAACATCAAGGAACGAAGCAAGATTTAGCTCTTCTATCCAACTGATCAGAGCGCCAAATCTTCTCAATACCTTGAGGGTGAGAACACTGATTGTTTGTGCTGATACATCTCCGTCATTCTCATGCGAGGCAAGAGATGTGCTCAAATCGGATAAAATCTCAGCGTACTGTGCAAACTTTGATGCGATGACCTCTTCCACAATCTCGCGAGAAAGATCCTGCGTTGGCTTTCTACGCAAAGCGATACTTCCAGTGCAGAATGCTTCTTTTGCTTCTCTTGTCATATCGCTCAATTGCATATCAGGCATTTGAGTCCGTGTTCGTAATACTGCCGCTTCGGTTGCACTTGGTAGCACGAATCCGTTCCCGCGCCAGCCAGCTGCTGAACCACCACCAAAGACGTTCAATCCGATTCCACTGTTGGCTTTTCCACTTTTGAGGTAAGCATTGGTCTTTTGTGAAGTGTTACCGTTTCGAGAAATAGATTTCGAATGCATCACCTCATTGCTGAAAATACCCAAAGCACGAGCAAGTTCCATCGAATCATCTTTGATGCGGTGACGATAACTCAAAATCTTTTCCAATTGAGGTTGTGTGAATGATGGCCTTTCCATTGCATTCAAGCAAGATTGTTCAACGACAGATCGTGCAGAAAGCACCAATTTGGACAATGTGGCGTTGATCTTTTTACCCAAAGGTAATAATGTTGGCGGCGCAGCGGGCGTAGCAGCAAAGATTGCAGATGATAAGTAAGGATCGGTATCGTGGGTATCGTTTAAGCTCATTGTCCTTCCTTGCAAAAGGTGAACGGAATTTTGGAAGCCGGCCAAAGCATCCCCTGCATTCTGGCCGTCGTGAACCAAATGAATGGCTTCTGATGCATTCATTAGATCGATTGGGGAAATATTTAGTGCACCTGCTGCACGCAACAGGTCACAGATCTTCTGCACCACATTCGCAATCGCCAGACTCAATCGCGATTCGTCTTTGAGAGAGTTTTGCTCTTCCCTTAGAGCACGCTCGTCTTCCACACTGAGACCATCTTCGCCAATTTCTTCTGATGCCATAGATGCAAGAACAGCGATTGCATCTCCCGTTTCATCGATCATTTGACGCAATTCGACCAATGAATCGTTCACCGACATATCTGATTGGAAGGCTAAAGTTTCGACTTCATCTTCGTTGCGATAGCGAGAAGGATCTGCCGGTCTTCTTGTACTTCCTTGTACGATGCTATTCTTTCGTCCATTTCGGGATACTGTATCTTTTCTGCTCATCGATCTGACGGTGTCATTGTCTTCATTCGTAGCGCTAGAGGATGACGGAAGGATTGTATCGAGATCATGACTGATCTCATGTGTTTGTCGGTTGAAAAAGTGAAACGTTCGGTCATCGTCACTCGTCCGTACAATCCAAGGGTATGGAACTTGTGAAGAATCGGGTATCTTTTCGACAGTATTCATACGTGAATGACGTGTTGCTGCGGTATGAAGGCTACTTGAAGAAGTTGGTCGAGAATCGCTTGTTTCACTGGATGCTGCTGGTCTTCGGGATAGTTTAGAGTCTGTGCGGGAGCCGTATCGGCTTGTCGATGCCAATGTTTCATCCAAGTATTCCTCTTTCTCTTGACTTTCGGCGCCTTCGGGAAGATCCCTAGCTTGTTGACCTGTTTGTGTGTTGAAATAGAAGATTTCGCCTTGTTCGTTCACTTTTGGGATCCAGAATGAATCAGTTTCACTGCCTGACATCTTTGACCCGTTTCTACTGGGGATTGTTTGACTTCCACTGCTGCTCTTTGTCGAAGATGTAGAAGGTATTCCCGCGTGTGCAGTCTGTGCTCTTGGTCTGCCGGCCAGTAGAGCAGCCAATTGTGAATCTTGCTGTTGACCTTCAGGACCTGATACAGTATGTGCTCGAAGTCTTTCTTTCTCTAAGGTTTCCATCAATGCACTCTGTCCACCCCGCGATGCCGCTTCGGCTGCCATTAAAGCAATCTTACGTGAATTGTCTGCATCAGATAGGGAGGCTGCATTACTGCGTGTGACCATCGAGCTTATGTCGGTTTGAGAATTGTTGCTATTTGTTGTGCCGTTCGATGTCAGCAAAGAACCCAGAGCACTGCTTTGATCACTCATCCTACTTCGTCTTCGAGCGTCGATTACACCCAAGCGATCTTCTCTGGAATCCCTTCCCGATGCGGCAGCGTTTGATGTCATTGCGGCTTCTGCCAATTGTTCAAATGCATCGAAACCTTCATCGTTGGAACTGACGCCGTCCATCAATCGTCTCAAAGCGCTGAAATCTTGTCCAAGTCCAAGTCCAGAATATTGAGCTCCAACAGATTTTGCAGGATTACGCTGGAGTGCTTCATGCATGGCAGCTTCTTCCTGCTGTTGCTTTAAGCTATTCAGGTCATCGTCATCTGCATTATCTTCCATGATAGTGCCATGACTCAACCTTCCGCGCATCAAATCGTTCTGTTCATCTTCTCTGGTTAGATCGGCGAAATCATGCTGTGCTTGTAGTTCTGCTTCGGCCTCTGCGTCAGTGATACGTTCGACATAATTTGATGGAAACCAACCGCGGGTATCATTTCCCAATAATCCATCCCACCAACCTGATTCCAATTGTGTCAAAACTTCTATTAGAGTTCCCTTTTTGAATGAAAGAGAACTACTCTCTGTCGAATTGAAATCGTAAAGAGCTCTAACGAAGAACGACCTTTCTTCACCATCATCATAATCATCCAGCCCGTTCATCGTTAAATGCGCATCGGCAGCAATCATATCTGGAGTACCAAAATGTTCGTAATCTGTATTGGACCCAGCCGAGGATCGATAAGCCATAATCGGCTATTTTGGGTTTGCGTTAAATATTGTGAGCCTTGGATCCCTTAACAAGCCATGCTTTGGTAAAAGCTGAGAAAAAATAAAAACAAAAAAGGGGAAAACCAAAATAGGAGTGACGAAGAATGTCGTAAAAGGATGATGATAAAGTTGATGGAGAGCTCCAATCTTCCTTCACGAACACGCAGTATCAGTTTTTACACTACGCTAAAAAAACCTATCAACGTATCGTGCGTGTAAAAACAAAACTTAGACTGGTAAGATGGCCCGCAAAAATCAAAAAGCAGTCTAAAATCCTATTTAATACGGTCATGTATAACTCCAAGGCACAATACGGGTGACATCTTTTATGCAATACGCTAAAATATGAGGGAACAACTTGGGGGGTCAAAAGCGCATACACCGCTTTTCAAACTGTGTTCCGTGTTTAAAGGCTGCACATCTGCATGACATGGGGGGCATACATACATGACGCACCCATTCGCCAGCAACCGCAATTTTATTCGCTGGAGGAGATGCCCTTGCGTTGTGTGTGTGTGTGTGTGTTTGTGTTTGTCCATACAAAACGGCTTCCGCATGTTGTAACGCATTAAAGTTAGGAACACTTGAGCATGACGGATTCCGTGAACAGATAGCAATGTTCGGAAGAATTCGTTTAGGTTGAGTGATGCTTTGTATGCTCTTCCTCCATGTCAATTGAGGGTGTAGAGGCAATTTCCTTTTTTTGCTCCTTTGGCGAGTGGTCAAATGGCTGATGAGCTGGCGTCATTCTGCCTGAGATGCCAAGAGTTATGTATTTCTTTTACCTTTGAACGAAACGATCCCCACAACCACCACCACATGACAGCAAACAGATTACAAATCTAGCATGCCTTTCACATTTGATTTCGATGCTAACCAGACTGAACTTTGTCGATTGAAAAATGATCGATTAATTTTTCTTGGTGAAATTGAAAATTGGAAAGGGAGTAAAACTTCAACTGGATTGGAAAAGTTAAAACAACAACTCTATTTGTGCGACTTTAAAATTGCCGAAAATGAAAAAGCATTCGATCGTGCTGTGAGAAAACGTATTTCAGGAATGGTGTCACGACGCAAGTGAAAGGATCGGTTTCATCCTATCCGATTCGAAAGCACAAATCGTCAAAGAGCTGGTCTTTTATTTTGACATTGAGCTTGAATCGGGTGACCATCAAACGGACCGTATATGCCGAGAAATCAAGAAAAGGAGAAGGACAGGATAGCAAGAAATACCGACTACTTGGCGTGAATCATATGACCACTTTTCTCAAATCCAATATGACCAATCGAACTTGCCCCCTGTCTCATTATTCACCACCGCCTTCCGATGACGGTAGCGTTCATTGCGCCCGTCACGCCAAGTACGGAAGCCGGATAAATGCGTGTAAAAGGGGCAGAATTCTTTTCTGTTTTTTTGCTTGTAAATCTCATTTCAGCCTCACGCATTGCTCATTTCGATGATCATTGGGGAAAAAATCTTCTTTCAGTGTTTTGCTGGCTTTCAAAACACGAAAAAAGCTTCAATCGATTCCTTATTCTTCTTCTTTCACCATCAAGATGTCATCATGATCTCCATTTGCAGTTCTCAACAGTCTGCTCGTGTTTACATCGTCATTTACCACAATCACGATCAAACGATCAATGAACATACGTAAGTATGCCCGTCCAACACAAAAAAAGTGAACAAGCACTGAGGCATTTCCTCATCCTTCCCGCAGACTTCTTTGGGCCATTCATGTAGGTTCCAATCATGATGAGATGCCAAATGTGGCAAAATGTCTATATCAAGCGAACGATGACCAGAGCGAAGGATCGGAATGTAGTACGATTTCGTGTTTCTCGTTGGTTTGTTGTATCTTGATCGCTCATACGACCGATAAAGCTTCTGCTGTTCGTTGTATCGAAAAGGTGGAAGAGAGAAACGATCAAGAACATACACCTACGAGCTCGAAAGCGTTCGTAAGAGATGCAATTGAAATGCTTGCACATGAACAATCTATCCTTGGTAAACATCAATTGGACTGGGATGTGATCGAAGCAAGAACAGTTCGATATTCTTATTTGCAAAGTGATGATTTTTCACAAGTGGACCCCGCGCAAAACTCTCACGTTGCAAACGGATTGATTGCAACGTACGATTTGATCAACGAACAAGATATCACTCTACGTTTGACAAAATATCATCAGAATGGGCTCGTTGGATTCGTAGCAAGAAAGACAAAGTGTCTGCGTACTACTGTTTATAAGGCTTTGCAAGGTTGACATCCCGGTAGATAGAGAAAGAAAAAGCTTATCAAAACAATTTGTAAATTAACTGTATATCATTCAAAAAGTAACGACGTTTTTATTTCTATTTATGACAGTACATGTTCAGGTTCTCATAGCAAGACAGCCATGCTTGAAACACCGACAACGGCCAACAAGCTCAAATTGATCACGATGGAAGAAGCACCATCCTTTGATGAGAGAGAAGCGGCTGATCCTGTTGTTGCATTGACTGCTCTGTTACCTCCTACGGCAACAGGGTTTGCAGTAGCGTATTCATGAGAGATCGAATCGAATGGACTAACGGTGTGCATAGCTGTCATATTGACAGGTTTGACAGTTGCCAAAGTGATACTCTTGTCCAGACCATCCTTAACCAAAACGGCTTGACCACCTGCACCGATAACGTTTGTATCGTTAGGAGCATAGAAAAGTGTGGTTTGATCAGGGTTGAATGGACCGTTGAAGATACCAGTCAAATTTGTGAAAGGGATAGCATCTCCAGTGAGGTTTTCATTTTTGAATCCAGTAGCAGTGGCGACCCAATCAAACACATTGTTCATTCCTTTTTGAACATCACCACGACCCAAATTTTTCAATCCCCAATTTGCTTCAACGGTAGAGATGGAAGAATAATGGGTGTAATATGTTGAATCGGTTGTGTTTTTCAAATTGGCTGGAAGACCACCTCCCAAAGCGACTGTAAAGATTCGGTTGTTTTCTCCGTAATCTTCATTTTCATCGAATGTCAATAAGATCAAAGTACGATTATCGTTGAACTTTGGGTTGTCCAACAAGGGTAACAACCACCAATCTGTCCAGTTTCCGGCATATTGAATTGTACTGTCATGTGCATCATCAACCATGTTTGGCGTGATGAACATCCATTGTGGCAAAGTGGATGCGTTCAAATCGGCTGCAAAGTCGTTGAAGTTACGGTTGCGGATGGCATAATCAGCGTTTGTACCGGCTTCTTGAGCAAATGCACAAGGATTGTGTTTACGGACATAGTATGTGTATGGCTTGGTTGCATTTGATGAAACGTAGTTTGGTTGAGAGTAGTTGAATTGTTGGTAACCTGTGAATGGCATATTCTCTTCATAACAAGCCCAAGAGACCTTTCCGTCGTTCAAAACGTCGAAAAGACTGGTAATGTTGTTTGGGATGTACCAAAAGTCATCATCACCCAAACCAAAGAAATCACCAAAGGCAGAAGCCATATAGTTTGGTTCGGAAGGATGTGTTACTGCATAGTATGAATCAAACAAAACACCTTGTTCAGCAACTTTTTGAAATTGTGAAAGTGTGGCAGCATCTTCGAAATCGGTGTTTTCCAACCAAATATTGATAATTCGGTCGAATGATTTACCGGGAACGATTGGACCGTTTTTCAATGTACCGTTGTTGGCACCATTGTAGATTGAAGATGCTTGACCGGGTCCGGGTGCGGGAGCTTTGAAGCTGTCACGCACGATGGCAGTACCGCTAACAGCAGAGGTCAAGCTGACCAAACCAAGAGCCAAAGAAGTGAAGCTTTTCATTGTTGTATATCAGCAAAGAGGTAAGTGATTCCTGGGGGCGTGGGTAAGTAGGATAGCATGAGATGTTCATTTATTTATACATTTTTCTTCCCCCTGAAAATCTGTTTCCTTCCTCCTGAAAATCTTTTTTCTTCTTCAACCATCATATTCTGTCGGTTTGTGCTCTGTTTCACCCTTGCTTCTTTTGCATGCAGGCACACTTTGTTTTGAGACTAAAAATGCAAATCATTGACCGAACTTTTTTCCTTCGTTAGAAATTGAAACAATACGATTGGTGATTGAAGGAACGTGATGGCCGGTCAAACCTTTGGAAGAAGAGAGGAAGTCATTGTGATGTACAGGATGTATGCACACACACACGACAATGTCTGCCGTATGCTTGCACAAACAATTAAACTTTTTTTTTCCTGCCAAAACTGTCGCACGCACCTCTAATTAAATAAAATAAAATAAAATCGCGCTAAAATTGTACTAAGCACATGCCTCTTGAGGGATTAACCGGCGGCGGGGGAAGTGCCGGAAAAAGGTTTCTTTCCGTCGGGTACACAATCAATCACTTTTACGGCATGGACCTGCATAAAGGAACGTGCTCTTCTCACTAAATTTCGAATACGTTGAAAAAGAGAAAGGTTACTTCTCCAGAATATACCAAGATTTAAGGTTGATTAGAGTGTGGCAAATTCTATCAACGGTAAGGTCTCTCGAATAGATTAGATCTTGATTGAAAGTTGTCCACGTTTTCGGATGTACCTTGGTGAATGTTCGGCATGAATTGCATAAACTTAATGTCCGCTAAAAGATCTCCTTGAATAGATGTTTCAATTAACACTAATGTTTGAGCAATTTTTGCAGCTATCAATTTTGCAAAAGCCGAAATATCAAAAACATACAAAAGATCCAAAAAAGTGGAAGCCTCTTCTTCAAGAACTTTATTGCCACCCAAAAATTATTTGCAAGTATGGCTGGTAGTCATATCGATAATGAAAGTCATGGCGATGGCTCATTAAAGTCAGACAAGTCTAGTCACGCTAAAGACTTTGAGGCCGTACCAGATAGAAAACCACAAAAGTCACTATCGAGAAAGTTATTGCTATTAATTATTGCTTTAGTCGTTACAGTCGTATTGGGTCTAGCATTAGGACTCGGTTTGGGATTAGGATTGCACAAGAAATCAAAAGGAAATGTATTCAATCCCAATGTTCCACCTCAAAATGTACAAGCTTTAAGCACGATTGACTCAAGTCAACAAAAGTTATATTCTACCTGGGACGTCCATGCACCACCACAAATCCGTGAATACAATTGGACCGTTGAACAAAAATGGGGTGCTCCAGCTGGACTACCAAAGTTGATGTTGTTGGTCAATGGAATTTCACCTGGTCCTCTGGTTGAAGCAAACGTTGGCGATAATATCGTCGTTCATGTCACGAATAATTTACCAAACAGTACTTCTATCCATTGGCATGGTCAATATCAAAACGGCACAAATGCAATGGATGGTACGTATGGATTGACGGAATGTGGAATTGCTCCCGGTACAACGTTCACATACAATTGGACAGTTCAACAATACGGAACGTACTGGTGGCATGCTCATCGTGGATTGCAGTACACAGATGGATTATACGGTCCTTTGATCTTACATTCACCCGATGATCCATTGCATTTCTCCACCACTAACACAACTTCCAATTATTCAAGCTCTCAGACCGTTTATGATGGAGATCAAATCATCATTGGTGCTGATCTGTATAACAATCCTGCCCCAACTTACATGGGTGAATACCAAAGTGTTACAGGTCCACCGGGTGGAGAATTGGGAGATGAACCTGTGCCCGATTGTGGTGTGGTGAACGGATTGGGTGTATGTGCAGGAGGAGAAGCCAATTCACGATTTGCCAATTTGACAAACAATTTTGAAGCTGGAAAGACGTACAGGTTCAGATTGATCAATGCAGGTACATTAGGATCAGTTCGATTCGCCATGGATGGACATACGATGACAATTGTGGAAGCTGATGGTACGATCGTTAAACCACAAGAAGTTCAAAGTGTTACAGCAATGGTTGCACAAAGATATAGTGTCTTGATCACAATGAATCAAAAGCCAGGAGCATACTTTTTCCACGCAGAACAAGCAACTGATATGTTTGCATACACACCCGCAAGTTTGATCACAATGCAATCAGCCGTATTGCGATATGCAGGTATTCCAGACAGTATCATGCCAGATGCCAACGTAACCACCAACACAAATGTTACGCAATCTCTCGATGATTCAACACTTGTGCCTTTAATTCCTCAAATTGCACCTTTACCAAGCAAACAAGATACTCTATCGATCGCTTTTTCGTTAGCAAGTGATAATCAATTGTATGCATTCTTGAACGATACTTCATGGTCAGCCACTCCAGGCGATGCAACATTATATGATGTCGTTTCAGCGCAAAGACAAAAAGTTTCATTCACAACTCAACAATTAGTAATCACAAATGATGATGTGGTGGTTTGGGATTTAATTTGGAATAATGAAGATGATGGTGACCATCCTGTTCATTTACACGGTTACAATCCATGGATTCTAGGATCTGGTCAAGGTCATTACCAATATGGAAAATCCTTGAATCTTTCACAAACGTTCGATAACCCAATGAGAAGAGATACTTTCCGTGTGCCGGTTTATGGATGGGCTGCGATCAGAGTTGTATTGAATAATCCAGGTATTTGGGCTTTACATTGTCATATCGGATGGCATATGGAAGTTGGCTTTTTGACACAGTTGAACGTCTTGCCTTCTAAACTTGCACAACAGACTATCAATCCATACGCTGCCGCTCAATGTGGTAAAGCTTCTCTTGCATCATCTTGATAGTCAGCAGCATGTATCTTATCATATAAAATTTTATTTATTCTTCCCGAACCTCTTTTATTACACGCGTTCCTAGATTTGGTTTGTGCCATCGATTAGATTAAATCTTCCCCGCTTTAAGACAGACAGTTCATGCTCAGAACAACGAACGTGCATTCAGGTCAATCTTGATGATCGACATACCCGGCCAAGGCTCAATAGAAGGGCTAGAGGTGCCTCTCCAGCACATCAAAGGAGGTAAAGATGGTTATAGAGTAAAGGCATACCTGGGTATCCCTTTTGCACAACCTCCTACGGGAAAGAATCGATGGAAAAAGCCACAAAAGCCAATACCAAATTGGACAGGAATACGAAAAAGCGAATGGAAACATGATCCTTTTCAACCTTTGGATCTACCAAGAATTAGTAGTGTTTTAAGAGGCGACAATGAAGGAAATCCAAAGCATACATCCCACCAGGATGATCATTTGATGAGCGAAGATTGTCTGTATTTGAATATTTGGAAGCCGGAAGATGTTGAACAAAAAGACGGAAGACCCTTACCCGTTTTGGTGTGGGTATATGGCGGCGGATTCATCTTTGGTTCTACTTCAGTACCCATCAATGATGGAGCAAGGTTGGCGAGCAAGACTGGTTGCATTGTCGTCAGTATCACCTATCGCGTTGGCGTCTTTGGCTTCTTGGGATCTCGTCAACTGGCCAAAGAAGATGGTAATGAAAGCGGCACAGGCAATTACGGATTATGGGATCTGGTGGCCGGATTTGAATGGATACAAGAAAAGATTTCTAATTTTGGTGGAGATCCAAACAATGTTACCGCTTTCGGTGAATCGGCTGGAGCGATTGCGATACACTATCTCATGCTCAGTCCTGCAGTTCCGGCCAATCTGTTTGTACGAGCAGCTTTGTATAGCGGAACTATTGTTTCCGTTTTACCGCGTACATTACCTTCAGCACAAGCAACATTTGATGCTTTGTCAGAAAAGCTAGGGATCCCACAAAGTGCAGAAGATTCTGAAAGGTTGGAGATGCTGAGAAATGCACCACCAGATGAAGTTCAAGATGTATTCTTGAGCTTTCCCGGCACAAGACCCCGATCGGAATATGTCGTCAATCCAGACAAGGGTCGGCCGAATCGAAGAATGGATCGCGATCAACGTACGCTCAATTTCGAAGCTGTAAGTCTTTGCGGTCCTGTTTGGGACGGTGTAATGGTTCCCGAAGATATTCTACAACGGATGAAGACAAGTGCCTTAAGAGGAGAATTACGTAATGGTAATCAAGGTATCATCCTCGGTCACACAGCTGATGAGGGAACCTTATTCAGTATAGCAATGGCATCTGTTGCAGGTCTAAAGAGAGGTCTGCAATTGTTCGATACAGAGATGCGTGAAAAGGTTGATAAAATATACGGAGCAAGTTTACAACAAACGAACGAATCGGCAAAAGCGATAAGTGGTGCAATTTTAGGTGATTACATGTTTGTTGCTCCGATCAATAAACTTACTTTGGATCTTTCCAAACAAAGTCGGATACCGACATATCGATATGTATGGTCACATAGACCTTCGCCTTCGCTTTTACGATCTTCCGTTGCCGTTTCTACTTATTACGATTTTGCAATGGGCGCTGGGTCTTGGCATTCGGGTGAATTGCCTTTCCTCTTTGGAAATGATGGAACGGAAAGGTATATCTTCTCGAGGCAGAAGTACCCCACTGAGGAAGGTCAATCCCGTGGTCAGTCAAAGCAGAAGGTTGGATTCACAGAAGAGGAACGTAAGCTCAGCAACCAATTCATCGCTCATCTTGACACATTTGCAAGGGGTAGAGCACCATGGACTTCAATACAAGATGATGCAAAGTCAAATTCGCAATTGACTGATCTACTTGTGATGGGCTACGATGACCTTCCAAGCATCGGTGTCAGTATGTCAGAAGCAATTAAAGCACTTTCGCTTCATGCAGAAAACAAAGACCAGAACTACACAATACCCGTCCAGGAGAAGAAGCTTTCGAGTACATTAATGTGGCAAGCTGCAATAGATCCCGACATGAACGGAAACATTGGTCAATCAGATCGTCGAAACGATTTCTGGACTTCAAATGACTTTGAACAAACATTATTGTATTATTATGGTGATGAGAGGATTACATTCCTGCCATGATGTACAAAAGAAGGATGGGTATGTTTTCTCTATGGGAAAGTGTAATAATTACTCTTCTTCTGACGACAGGAATCACAACCAAACTCGACGTTTGAGACCTTCAATCAGAGGTGCAAACAAGGAAGCATTGGCTTTTGCTTGTGCTAAACTTTGAATGGTTTCATCTTTGACGAAATCCGAAAGATCATCCAAATCACATGCACCTGCAGCAGCACATTGATCTACCAAAAGGGAAACGATTGCATCAACGACATCATGTGATGTAAGTGCGGTATTTGAACGTTCGGCACTATTGCGTAAATGAGCGGCAAATTGAGGTGCAGCTTTGATCGAACCGTCTAATCCTTGTAATGTAGCCAAAGAAGCATCATCAACAACTGCTCTAAAAGCGATAAAATTGACTGCGCTAGGTGAGACGGCTTCGTTGGAAGGCTTGTTGCGGATAGAAGAAGTGTTCATCCGTCTTTCTTCGCTGATGTAGGACACGATCAAACCCCAATGATTCTCTGGATGATATCCTTCATTGGGTGAGAGTATATAAGCACCTCTCTTGATACTTAGGATATCGCCCATCTTGATTTTAGAAAATTCGGCAATTTTTTCAGCTGTGAAATCATATCCGCACGAATACAAGGCTTTATTTGTCAGGAGGACAACCTTTTCTTCCAATTTAGGAGTCTCGATCCGATTTGATTCAATTGGCGAGAACAATGTCCAGCCTGCTAGAAGCTTCTCGTTGGATGGGACAACGTCTCTTGCAGTCATTTCGATAGCATGTGCACGCGCTCTGGCCAATCGGTTGGACTGTGATGGATCTGGAGCTACAAGGTCATCGTTGTATCGTTCCAATGTGGCCAAAGATGAGAAGCCATACTGAAAGTCAATGACTGTTTGCTTGAAAAAGTCAGTCACTGCGCCTTGCATCATTCGATAAACGCTATTGGTTGCATCATTCATCATCCCAATGAAATTACGTTTACCCGTTCGAGTAAAGTCTCCTTTCAAGGCTCGTGTACCAGCATAGATTTGACTGATCATGTCACCGTTATTTGCCCACGAATCATTAAAGGCGAAATCGAATGCTTCATCCCTTCCACTTTGTCCGCTTGCGATATGAACACCTATGCGTTCTAGCTGAACACTCAACATATGCCTAGCAAAAGCAGATTGGACAACATTTGTACGATCCAAGCAATCCAAACAAGAAACTCGAAAAGCGCCTTGTTGTTTACTATAAATCACTTTCTCGCCTTTTTCCGCTTTGACGCATTTCCAAAAACAGTCCATCTGTCTTAGTTCGGTTTCTCGCATTTCATCGATCAATTTGCCAACCCGTTCAAATTTCATTCCTTTGCATTCTTCGTGAAAGTCAAAGGCTTTGTAGACGACTTTCTCATTGCTGAATTGCTTACAGGCATCATCATAAGCTTTTGTTATTTGACCTTCTTTTCCATGCTGTTCGGCTAGATTGATACAAATCACCTTGCTATGATTCTGCAATTGCGACTCGAAATGCTTGGCAAACGCTTTTCTATTATCCTCTGCACTTCCTTCAAGCAGAGGTGGAGGCTTCATACTGAACGGATCTTGTGACCAGTACAAAGGAATACTTCCTCTGAATTGCACAAAGCTCATCACATGTGCTTCTTCGTCACCTCGTCGAACAAAGAGGATTTGTTCACTTTCAACAAAATTGGCAACCTGTCCTTGATTATTCAATCCTCTACGTTGGTAGCGTAATCCTGCTCTTTCTTTGCTTCTTCGCGAAATGACCAAAAGTTGAGCATACAAACGTGTACGTGTTGTTACCTCACTTACTGCATCCATTGCGTCTCCTGACAAATCAAGTGTTCGCATCGGAGGAGATGGAGTATCGATGGGCAAATGCGTCACTTGGAAGTATCCTTGCATCAATGGCAAAACTAAACCATGTAGACCCGCCTCAACGAAATCTTTCGAAAGGTTCTCATTGTGCCAGAAACGTCTGTCCACCCTTCTCCACAATGGCAAAGTTGGCCAAGGTTCTGCATTCGGATCTAGTCCTCTATGCGAAGAAGTGGTTGCATTTCCAGAGTTGCCGTTATTGCTCTTCTTTTGTTCGCTTTTGTTTCCTTTTGACATAGATTCTAGTGCATTCTGTTTACGCTGCTGTGGTGTTGTCAGATCAAAGTCATATGCAAACCACATCTCTCCTCGTGAATATTGGCGAGCTGTCTCTTTTACCACCTTCTCTTCCAACTCTGCTTTCGTTGCTTCATGCCATCTTTGATCAGGCGTTAGGTCATCATCATGTGAAGTGCTCTCATGCACTTCAGAATCATTCAGCTGACTACCCTGTGGCACGTCTACCGACTGATTGTTGGATTGAGGTTCAAAGCTTGACTTCTTATCCTCTTTTTGTCCGTTCTCCGATGCTGATCTTGCCAATTTACCTTTATGCCAAGCCTCACTTTTTGTCAGCTTTACCGTTGCCGATGAAGGTAAATGCAAACCATTTTTCTCAAAAGTGGGTATCTTGAAACTATCCTTGTCGATCACTGAAGGAGTACTAACTTCGTCTTCCGATTCATCTTCTTCGCTGCTAGATGATCCTGTTTGCTTGCGGTATAGGCCTTGTTCCATACTTCTATGTGCATCCCATTGACGTTGAGCTTCTTGCTGAACTGTAGAGCAAGCAGCCTCGTAATTTAGCGGGATTGCCAATACGCCGGAGCATCTGTATACAGGTCTCTTTGATGATAGATAATCTCCTACAAATGTCCGACCTGTGATGACGAAAAGATATGCTCCTTTGAATACCCTTAGAATACCAACAATCCCATAACAATGCATTCTTAGGTTTTCCTTCTCCACGCTGACTGTTCTTGCAACCTGCTTTGAATCAGATGCGGAAAGCGTTTTGATAGTTGCATCTCTGTTCCACGCAATCAATGCTGCAGAAGCCGTTAAATCAACACCTGCAGCTGAACCTTGTTTGGTAGCATCAATTTTTGAAAGTACTCTATCGTATGCAACATCTTCACTTTTCGAATCATCGGTTGTTTCTGGCGTTCTGTCACCTTTTTGCGAAGGTTGAACGGGATTAGCGATGGGTAAAATGAGTAATCCATTGGGAGTACATTGAATAGCCAGAGACCGATGAGGTAACGGGTGCGGGAAAGGCGGAACGGAGAATTGCGGTCCTAAAACGGATGTCAACCTATCGGTTAATTTGTTTGTCTTTTTCGGTTGTGATGATCCGCCGTTGTTGTTGCTGCTATGATCGCTATTTATTGAAGTTGCTTCTGATGATGATGATGAGCCATTTCTGACATTCTTTTTGAACATGCCTTTCATCTTCTCTTCATGCTGTGAGGTGGTGATGGTTGATATGATGATGTTCACCTTCCAAAAGGGGATGATTGGTACATTCTACGCCTCTTTCTTGTGTGGGCTTTTGACATTAGTGCCTGTTGTTTGTTGTTCTTCCCCCCCTTCTTGATATATGCAGTTTGCCCCTTTCTCCTGTTTATCCTCAACCATACGCTAAATCTTATTAACTTTTTTCGAAGATGTGGAGAAAATTACGCCCTGTAAGAGAAGGCAACGTGTTGATCGATAGCTGTCAGGCAGATTACGCTAATAAAACTTCTTCTTTTCTTCTCCTGAGAGGATTGCATTTGGTTTTCAGTCTCATTATAGGTAAAAGCCATAAGTTGATGTTGACTTTTGCAGTAATGGATGTCGCTATAAGACAATGTGTCTCTATGCAAAGCTTGATGGAATCGTTGCTCGGTGATAGAGTTGTTGTAGCAATTTAGCTGTTACAGTTTAAACTACTTTTAACCGCTTTAGCGCGTCTTCAAATTGAGTGTGTGGGGCTTAAGAGCGAGCATTCACACGCAGCAGCGCATTGCTTGCTTACTCTCCACAGTGGAATATCTTCTCGTTCCGATCATCATCATCTTCTACATTACTATAGAAATTATCGATCTTTACTATCCACAGAGCGCATCTCCTGTAGCTCAACATGGATTCTCTCGATCTTCCAACCCATCAATTAATTCTCGATGATTTGGCAATCAATTTGGCAGAAAGTGCAAAGAAGGGTCAATTGACTTCAGGCGATACAGCCAACATTTTTGCCTATAATTCTTCATCATCTTCATCAAGATTCTTGCAAAGTAGCGGAAATGTATTGACAACATCAGCTGCCGAAACGCAAATCGCATTATCATCTTTTGCTGCTTCAATCTCTTCTTCAACAGTAAAAGATGGTGAAGATGATCACTTGTCTTCACTCTTGCCTCAAATCTTTACAACGCTCAATGATTTATTAATCTCTTCTTTTGAAGAACGTATGGATTTCAAGGAGTGGCCAGTAGCTGATCAATTGTCTTTTGCTCTCACTTCCAATGTCTTACGGATCGCAAAGAATGCTCTACAACATCGTACCCAATGCATCGATGCAGTCGTTTCATTAAGTGAAAAGTTGACATCTCGCTTAACTGCTGCCACTGGTGACGCACATGCAATCGCAACTCGCATCGTACCCATATTCCATGGTCTTTACCGTGCATTGTCATCCGTTTCATTCCCTTGGGTTTTGGACGAATTTGCACGATTGACAAACGCTTTGGCTCCATTGACGTCTTCCATTCATGTTGTTCGACGTTTGAATGATGCTTTGTTACAATTGCCTGAACAAGATTTGGCTATCAATCAAGCTGCTCGTGCTACACGCCGTAAGCCTAAGCAAGCAATCGTTCGACCCAACGATGACGATGATGGTCGTTCGCACGGCAGTGTGGACACCTTTTGGTCCGGCGATGAAGACAATGAAGAAGAAGACGGTGCTCTTGGTAATCAAGGCACATTCACCCTCAGTCCTGAAGATGATGATGATTCAAGTCATTACCGTTTGGCTCTCTTGTCTCATTATCGCCGTACCAGTCGTCCATTATCAGGTCACTTTGTTCTTTGTGCAGCAACAGAGATCCTTGGCTCATCCTTGGCACAAGGATTGGCAACACTGGCAATTCCACCAACTGATGCTCATTTGGGTCCACAAAAAGTTGGCTTGGAGCAATTCTTGACAGATTCCGAAATTGCTACTCAAGCTGAAAAGTTTGATTTGGATCAAGTTCAAAGTATCTCTGCCGAATCAGCAATTTCACGTAAAGCTTGGAAGTTGCTCTTGCGTCATGCCGTTCGTACTGGTTCAGGAAACTTGGCTGATGGAGCAACAGGTGGTGGTAATTTGTTGTCATCTTTGCCGCTCGTTGGCGGCTTAGTTGCTTCTCCCACTGCATCTTCTGGTGTTTCTGCTGCGATTCGTTTGGCAAGTCGTGTCTTCCATGACGTCCAACGATTTGTAGAAACAGAGCACCTCAAGCATGGTGAATTGCTTATCGAGCTTTACTCTTTGGAATCATTGAGTGAATCGTTGAAGCTCGGTGCTTTGGCTTCGGTTGCACAAAGTATTTTGAGTAATTCGGCCGTTGAGAGTCATACTCTTATTCGTATTCGTTCTTTACTTTCTGAATCCGCATTCGTTTTCGATCCTTTGGTGCAAATGGCTGCATTGCAAAGTACAAGTCTTCTGGTTCGCAATTATCCAAGCCTTTCAATGCCAATGACTACGCAACTTCGTAGATTCGTCGTTATGCCGATGGCCATGTTTGAATTAACGCAAGGTGAACATTCTGCTCCTTCTCCTGTTTTGGCAGCGGCTGCAAAATGTTTGGCAACTTGCGTTACAGTCGTGCCAGGAAATGACTTGGCAGTTTCAACGATGTACACTTTGTTGAATTCTTTGGGTCGTGAAAGTGGTGGTACATCTGTTGGAGGTGTGGCAGGAGGTGCAATGTCCGTTCGTAGTGGCATCTCACGTGCTGTTACCGGTCGTGATTATTCGATGAGCCGTTCTGGCACACAAACGCTTGCTCATGGTGGTGCTTTAGGGGGTAAGACAGACGAGCAACGTAGATTGATTCAAGTCAATACGATTGCTATTGTTTCTCGCTTGGCTCTCGAAGTTGGTACGAGAGATGTGTTGGCTTTGGCAATTTCTTTACTTCTTCAACGTATGCGTTCTTCCGACGAAGCAAGTGAAGCTGCCATTTTGAACAACATCGTTCCTTTGGCTCTCGCAGGTCCTAAGCAATCTTACATGGACGTCATTCGTGCTTTCAGTCAATTCTCTCGTCAAGCTTTGACCGGTGGTGCTAATCGTCGTGCGGGCAGCATCATTCAAAGTCCTCAATTACGTTTGGCTCGTGGATTGGGTCGCTTGAAAGAAGGCGAAGACGAAAAAGCTACTGCTGCTGCTGCTGCAAATGGTTCTGCTGTTCCAGGTTCTACACTCAATGCTCAACCCAACGGCAATGCTGATGGTGAAGCACAAAAGCAAGCAGGCAGAAAGGAATTGTACATGATTGAGCTCTTACAATTGTTCGTCGAAAAAGGAAGCCAATTGCAAACTTCTGCTGCTTCAGGTAAATTGGCTGGCAGTGAAGAGAAGGAGCTGAAGTCTGATTTGCAAGGCTTGTTATCTGTCATTGCTGCCCTCTTGGTACATCCTGATATCAATCCTCAATTGGATCCACGCATCGAAACTGTTTCTTTGTTCCGTAATATGTGGTTACTCAGTACGATTGTGGGCATCACCGATAACCAAAAGCGCCGATCACGTTCTGCATTCAATTCATCTTCTTCGCATGAATCACCATTGACGTCCGCTTTGGGTATCATTTCTCTCAAGACGCCTACATTGGTACCCGAAAGTGCACAAAATTATGTAGAGAGTGAATTGAAGTACAATTCCGTTCTCAAACGTGATTACTCTGCTTCTGCTCTTGATGCTCAACGTAAGGAATTATCTGCATTGATTCCTGCACATAGCGCTGAGATTCGCTCTTTCGGCTTCGCTCAAGTCACTTTCCTCAATACTATTTATCACTTGGAATGCACTCGTAGCAGTATGGGTATCCCCTCCATGGTTCTTTGGTACTTTGTCAATGAAGGTTTGAACAACAGCAGCCTTGTTGGATCTATGCAAACGATTGCTGACAAGGTGATGGAATCTTACATGAATGATCTATCTTACCAAGTTCAAGAACATTCTCTCGATCCACGTGTTTCGGACGAAGTGAAGAATTTCCTTTTGGGAAGCTGTCATCGTGTAGAAAAGGTACGATCAATTTCTCAACGTTCATTGGATCGTTTGATCGGTGCTTATCCTGCTTTGTTATGCGATGAAGAAGTGGTGGTGACAATCTTGGAAATGCTCACTTTATTGCGTCAAAGTTGCGAAGGTCAATACCGTGATGAGTATTTCCCCGTCTACCACTATACTTCAGATCGTGCTGGAATCGCCTTCGATCTTTCTGACTCGTACACTGAAAGAGAAGAAATCTTATCCACCTTCTTGGGTCGTTCTCGTCGTTATTTACAACTTTTGCTCGCACGTGCTCCTGTCGAATTCCAAGGTATTTTACAACGTTATTTGGGCACATTCGATGATGAGACATTACCGCTCTCGACCGAATTGGGTAAATCGATTGCGATTGACTTTGCAAGAGCTTTGCCGACGGTTTCATCTGGTGTTCCTGATGCTTTCTTGCCAAACCTTGGCGGCTGGCGTGCGGATAGCTCAAGTGCATTCGTCAATGAATTGACCGCCAAATCTACCTACTTTGGTGAGATGACCGGTATTCATTTAGCATTAACAAAAGGATTGGTGGAATTGCAACGTGATCCTGAAAGCAACTTTTCCACAAAGAATGTTCGTGATTGTGAATTGCAATTGGCACAAGTGTCGAAATCGTTACGTCAACGTAAGAAATTGCCATTTGCTGATCTGCGCAGATTGTTGTACCGTTCTGCCGCTTTAGCTGTTGCTTTGCCACAGTCCAATTTCGATCTCTTGCACTTCATTGTTTCGATTCCGCTACTCAGCTTTACACCTTCGGCAATTTCTACTGCAAGTCATGTTTGGACTTGGATTATTGGTGAACGTCCTTCTCTCGAAACGAAGATTATGGTTGAAATTACGATCGGATGGGGATTGACGATCAAAGAACGTCGTGGCTTGTTCTCTAGAAAGATGGATTACAGACATGCTTTATTGGAAAAGACAGAAATGACACCTTCCGATCGTGTTGCAACAACCAAAGAACGCGAAGAAGCAAGTCGTCAATTTACTCCTCATCTTACATTGATTCAATTGTTATCCAGTCGATTCGAAGCATTCCGTTACCGTGATCCATCGATGGTGTTGGCTTTGGTTCGTTTGGTTCAAAGGACAGGATCTGCAACCGATCAGATGAGCAGACATCCACTTTCGCGCGAAGTCCGATTCTCCATCGTCTTGTTCGGTTTACGATTATTGCAAGGCAGTCGTCTTGATGGTTTATTGGAATATCAATTACGTACTTCCCTTTACGACATGGCTTTGGATTGGTTTGCTATCCCACCTCAATGGTCATTCGGCTCTAACAGGTTGCAATTGGGTTCAGAAATGCAAATCTTACAACAATTATTGGATGTTCTTGCTAATGATGAAGAACGTGCAGCATTTGTCATTACATCTTTCCCTCCTTCAATCGAGGGAGTTCGCATGCCTGGTCAAAAGAGTATTGGTGCGATCAAGGCCGAGATTCAACAACGCAAGAGTTTGCTTCAAGTCTTACTGGAAAACGAATTGACCCATCTCAGCGTTTGGAACAATCCACTGAGTGAAGGTTCGCGTGGTGTAGACTTTGTCGGTCCAATTTCTCGCAGTCTCACGGATGCCAGATTGAGCTATCTGGTCGACTTGGCGTTCAAGATTAACCCACATATCGCTGTACAAATGGTCAAACGAATCAAGAATGATGCTATCAGACGTGAGGTTGGTATCCTTGTACGCAATCAACCATCTCGTGCAGCCGAATGTCCAGAAGCTTTGGAATTCTTGGTGGAAGATCATTTGAGCCTTGCACGTAAACAAGGAACAGACCTTAAATGGCTGTTGTACTGGGAGGCAGTCACGCCTGTGGAAGGTATCTTACTCTTCTTACCCGAATATGGAAACGATCCTTATTTGTTGCAATATGCTATGCGTGCATTGGAACATCACCCTGTCGATTTGACTTTCTTCTACGTTCCTCAATTGGTTCAAGCATTGCGTGATGATGAATATGGTTATGTCGCTCAATTCATCTTTGAAACAAGTAAGATTTCTCAATTGTTCTGTCATCAAATCATCTGGAACATGAAAGCAAACAGTTACAAGGATGACGATGCAGAAGTACCTGATCCAATGAAGCCAACATTGGACCGTATGACCGAATTGATCGTCGGTGCTTTATCAGGAGAAGCGCAAGACTTCTATGATCGCGAATTTGGTTTCTTCAACGAAGTGACAAGTATCTCTGGTAAATTGAAGCCATACATCAAAAAGTCCAAGCCGGAAAAGAAGGCAAAGATTGATGAAGAGATGGGCAAGATTAAGGTGGATCCTGGTGTTTACTTGCCAAGTAACCCTGACGGTGTAGTTGTCGATCTGGCACGCAAGTCCGGTAGACCTTTGCAGTCTCACGCAAAGGCTCCGTTCATGGCCACATTCAAGGTTCGTCGTGAAGTTCCAAAGCATCATGTTGAGAACATGAAATCAGGAGAAATCGCCAAACAAGATGCGGCTACTTCGGGTAAAGATACATCTGGAGCTGATACAGCGATCGATACTCAGCCTGAAGAAAAGGTATCAGTTGAAGTTTGGCAATCTGCAATTTTCAAAGTTGGTGATGATTGTCGTCAAGATGTTTTGGCTTTACAAGCGATTGCGATGTTTAAGAATATTTGGCAAAGTGTTGGATTGGATTTATACTTGTATCCTTATCGTGTTACCGCAACTGGACCGGGTTGTGGTGTGATTGATGTTGTGCCAAATGCAACGAGTCGTGATGAAATGGGTCGTGCACAAATTAATGATTTGAATGCTTTCTTCTTGCAACGATTTGGAAATGCAAACAGTATTTCTTATCAACAAGCACGCTTAAACTTCGTTCGCAGTATGGCGGGTTATTCGTTAGCATGTCATTTGCTGCAAATCCGTGATCGTCATAATGGTAATATTATGATTGATGGTGAAGGGCATTTGGTTCATATCGATTTCGGTTTCTTGTTCGAGATTGGACCTGGTGGAATGCGTTTCGAACCATTCTCATTCAAGATGTCACAAGAATTTTTGAATGTGATGGGACCAACAGGCTACACCTTGTTCAAACAATTGGTCGTTTCAGGTTTCTTGGCTTTAAGACCTTATACGGAACAATTGATCGGTTTATGCAGAATGATGTATGGAACCGATTTACCTTCTTTCAAGGGTTTGCCAACCTTTGATCATTTACGTGATCGATTCAAGCCCAATTTGAGCGATCGTGAAGCTGCTCAACATGCAATCACTTTGATTGATGACGCTCATTTGAACCGCAGAGCTGTGTTTTATGATCAAATTCAAAAGCTTCAAAATGGTATTCCATACCAGAAGTGATCGTGTTGAACGGATTGAATGCTTTTCTTTGCTATACTTTCATATTTTATCAATTGATCTTTTTCAGTATATTCTCAGCATGGTAATGATCGTTTTAAGTTGACTTAAGAGGCTGTAGGGTTCCCCTCACACGCGCCAGGCTACACTTGGCTCCTTAAGCATAAGCCTTGCACACGCAGGGCACACAGCATTGGATTTATTGCGTGTGTGCGCACGGCCATTTCAAAGCCAGCGATGATGTACAGTACACCCATCCACACGAAGCATTCAATTCACATCCCCACAAACCATCCCCCTCAAACTGAACGACAAGATGATCTTGCTGGAATCTGAGAACCTTTTAATCAAAGATCTATTGGGAAAACATTTCAATCAACCCGGCCCGGTAGATCAAACATTAACAGATTTCGATGGAGTGAGATATCATGTCGAATCAACAAAGACTGGTCCATTAACCTTGAGTATGGGCATTCATTGGTATCAAGATTTAGCACAAAATGGTGCTTTTGATATTTTGAAACGTGAATATGGACCTTATATCAAATCGGAAACAAATGTCGGCTATAATATCACACTCGAATTCGATCAATCCAACATCCCGGCCGATCCTACAGCACGTACCGAATTGGTTCGATCTCTTTCGCTTCTCAAGAGAAACGCAATGGCTGCACCTTTTGAACGTGCATTCGCCATTCAAAACAAGCTGGAAAAAGAAGCAGAAGCTGCTGCCGGTCAACAATTGGAACCCGTCAAACCAGAAGTGATGATCATTCGCTATCGTGATGATGAAGCATTTTACGTCATCCCAAGTGTTGATCGTGTGACTGTGGTCTTCTCTACTGTTTTCCAAGACGAGACTGATCGTATCTTCGGAAAGGTGTTCTTGCAAGAATTCGTCGATGCACGTAGACAGCCTTCAATTCAAAATGCACCGCAAGTTTTATATTCAAACAGAGAACCACCATTGGAAATTCGATCGATTCCCGGTTTGAGTAGAGGAGAAGATGTTGGTTACGTCACCTTTGTCCTTTTCCCACGTCATTTCACAAACCCAGATGTCGCACATTCTACTATCTCACGTATACAATTGTTCCGCGATTATCTACACTACCACAGTGAGTACATCCATCGATTCTTTCCATCATGCTCATTTGCTGACATCATTTTACAACCCACTCAAACAGTCAAATGCTCGAAAGCATACATGCACAGCCGTATGAGACATCGGGTCGCAGAATTCCTTAAAGTTCTCAACCGGGCCAAACCTGAACAAGCAGAGAAGGAGCGGAAGACAGCCAGGTAAGTTGAAGAGATTGTCGCCTGAATTAGGTTAATGTGAGACTGACTATGTACTTCTTATTCCTCTCTACAGTGGACGTACATTCCGACGGGCTTAATACTGTGGATCGCATTTACGATATGAAAGAATACATTGATGTGTTTATTGGATAATTATGTGCGTCTAGATGAGGAGACGCTCTACTTGCTTCCGCCGAACATCTTTCCATAAGCCGCTTTTTGTCGTTCTAGACGTTGCTTTTTCAAGGCAGCCAATTGGTTCTTTTCCTTGACGATTGCAGCATCTCCAGGAGCGTACTTCAATGCGCTGTCTAAGTCTGAGATTGCAAGATCTTCATCACGTTTTACCAATTTAGCCAAAGCACGTCTATAGTATGCTTTTGCCAAATTTGCCTTTGTATCGGCTGAAAGATCATCCCATGATCCTGTGTTTTCTAATCGTTCAATTGCTTGCGAGGTAAGTTTTTCTGCTTCAACAGCCATTGCTGATGCTGTTTTTGATGCTGTTCCCTTTTCGGCTGCTTTTGCTTCGGCTTGTGCTACTTTGATAGCGCATAATGCACCATTCAATTGCAAAGGTGTCCGTAGATTGACGTATTCAGCTGCGAATTCTTTCTTGGAAGCATGTGAATCTGGCAATTCAGGATTGTTGAGGAGGTATCGTAATGCTTTTGTGTATTTCTCGAAGGCGAGTTGAAATTGTCCTTTACCGAACAAAGCATTACCCATCGTTCTAAGCTCTGAAGCAATTTTGAATGCTACATCTGGATCGTCTACGTCCAATCCTGTTCCTTCGCAATCTTCTGGGAAGTCCTCGTAGCTGTCACCTGTTTCGTCTGCCCCAATTCCGTAGTCCGAGCTTCCTTCTGGGATTTGTCCGCAATCTGCAATGGTAATTGGATCTTTTGGTCGATCTTGTTCGCCAGTTGGTGTGTTTTCGATTCGTCTGACGACACTCTTTCCAGCTAACACTCTACCAAAGACTACGTGTTTTCCGTCAAGATGTGGTGTGGGCACGGTAGTGATAAAGAATTGTGATCCGTTGGTGTTCGGTCCGGCATTTGCCATACTCAACAAGAACGGTTTATCATGTTTCCCAGTCAAATCTTCATCTTCAAATTTTTCTCCATAAATTGAAATACCACCTGTACCATCACCTCTTGTAAAATCACCACCTTGAATCATGAATTGTGGAATGACACGATGAAACGTACTATTCTTGAAATGAACACCTTCTTTCTCTCCCGTACTTAAAACTCGGAAATTTTCCGCCGTCTTTGGAACCTTGTCAGCATATAATTCCAACACGATTCGATTACCGCCTTTTCTGGTTGTCGCAGAAGCGGGAGAAGAAGGAAGATCGATATCAAAGTATACGATCGGGTTGCCTGGCTTTGGGCCGGCGTTGGTTGTTGCTTCGGTTGACATTTTCTGTGTTATTCGCTAATTAGGATGAAGGTAAGGTAAGAATTGACAATCTTCTTATTTCTACATTATATACTTTTTTTTTGATTGTCGTGCACGGACGATCTGGAAGCTTCCAGAGCTTAAAACAAACACGGCTTGAAGCACAGCGCGTATTTCACTCTCCCAGCCGTATATATGCATTTACACGCCATCTAATGCAAAATAGGAATGATCATGAAGAATTGGATCAACTCGTCTGCTCACTCAATACTCGTGAGGGTCCCCAGCTTGTGACACTCTTATCTGCTCATTGTACTTTTATCTGCTTGCCATACAAATGAATGTAGAAATGTTTATCATTATGCGGTGACAAGATAATAGTATACAGTGAATTGCTTCCACGGTCGTGATAACTAGTCAATATTAACGCCTCTAGAACCTAAGTAGTCCTTTGCATTTTTGATATCCTGATGAGAAAAAGAGCAAAGAAGATCAGCATTCACCCCTCTAGAAATTGAGCACACATCAAAACTCACAATCATCAAATCATCGTATGCTTTTGGAACATCATTAAACGTCCACAAACCCCAACCGATTTGAAAGAGTAGATATGATCCAGTCGATACGAGAATCCACCAAGGGATCTGTGAAAGGTGCAAGGATGTGAGCAAAATATCACCTATTCCGTTGGAAAGCAGCATATACTTACAACTGATAAGATTTCCTGTTTGGCTGTATGATCAATAAGTGGGAAAGGCAAAATATCGAGCAAGAGAAGTAGCCATATTGCAGACAAGATTGCTGCACTTGTAAAGAATCGTTGAGCTCTAGTCGTCATTTTGATTGATTGGATAGGGACCGTTTGATTGACTTGATGACAGTAATGTGTTAGGTGTTGTTCTTTGCCCGGCACGTGTACGCACTAAGCTTGTGATTGTCCAAGATGCTTTTTTTTAAGTCTAATCCCTCTTTGTTAGCTTAATTTATTCGGTTCACTCTAATTCGCACCCCAGTTTTAGAGTTCTGCGCTTGTGTGTGATTTGTATGAAACACTGTTATTTTGCCCCAGGAAGAAAGTATGCTAATCCATTTACTAACAGATTTAAGACTGAGAAAAATGAATTAAAAAAAAAGATGATCGTAATTCACCTTGGCAAATGCGGTCTGTCATTGTGCTTTTCTTAAACCCCACCCCCTTAAGGAGATGAGCCGCTTGCATGTTAGGACGCGTGTGTGTGTGGTCTTGGCTGTGTAATGCAACTGTATCGACATGTGCAGTGCATTGTATTTAAAATGTTGCCGAAAAGACACTAAGGATTGATCGACTAAAAGAGCATTTGTGTGTGGGTTGAGAGACCGGATTGCATCTTTTTGCTTAAAGTGTCCCTGCATCATTTGCATTAAAGTCACTATCCGGTATCAAGGATAACATCTGAACTGCAATCATTATTATCATCCAACGATCATCAACGATAGCAAAGCAAACAGTGCTGGGGAGTTTGAACAATTCGGTTAGCGACGTAAAATCAACTTGAACCCAAAAAAAAGTGCGACACCTGACCACCAAAATCAACTTTTATTAAGCTATGAGCATTTAGTCAATTCAACAAAGGGAGCACTCCGATCCAAATTGCATCAAGGGCATCTTCCCCACACCATTAATTGACGTCATGGCATTGAGTCCGACTCAAAGAACGTTCTTGGAACCTGATCCTGCATCCCTTCAAGATACCATTTCGGTCAATCCTTTGTCCTTATACGATCGCCGCGGCTCAAAGAATTCTTACGCCTCATCTTCTGCAAGATCACATGGCGCAGATAGTAGGGCAAGTGATGGATTCTATACGCCAACATATATCTCTTCTGCAGAATTTAGAGCATCACGAATATCCAATCGAAGAACTTCTGCATCCAATCAAGGATCACAAGACCAACACCAACCAAATCCAATCTCACCACGTTCACAAGGATCTTTTCAAAAAGATGATTCTAGCCCGTTCATGCCTGTTCGTAAGCCAAAAGCAGAAGTGAACTTGTTTCCGGTCGATGTTGAAGATGAAGAAACAGAAGATGATGCACATACACCTTTACCTTTGGCAACTCCTGTTTCTCCTAGTTCAAATCCGTTAGCGGACTGGCCGCAAAGTCCTTCAGATACGATACCCACTTCACAAGCCGGCTCAACTGAAGGCGAAAGGTCGTATGGATATCTAATTGACTCTTACAAGCGTTCATGGGAAATTGAAGCTACTCCATCAAAAATAGATCCAAGGTCAGATTCAGGTGTCATTTCACCTTATATGGCATCCTTTATCTCTGTTGAAGAACCAAAATCCTCGAACCATGCATTCTACCCAACTCATGACCTTCAATCAAGCCGCCAAGACAATATTGAACAACACAAAAATACACAGCCCACGTTCATAATACCAAAACGAAGGACTAGTAGCAGAAGCGGCGGCCCTGAAACGCCTTCAATACAGAATTTGCGGAATGTAAAAGTGGAAAATGATTCGTTGGATGGAGCGCTTGAGAAGATTGATCACATTTATAATTCTTCAATCACACCTCTCAGCTCGCCGGATTCGATGCCTCAAGGAAATTCAACTACATTTGGCGCCCAAAATTCGGCTTCCGTGTCGGATGTTGAATTCGTATCGGACGATCGAAAATTCACAGCAACAACAGGCTATCCGAACAGTCTTACCTCAGCCGGTGATTCGTCAAATTTGATTGCATTTCCAGGTATAAATGCTCCGAACACATTTGAACAAGAGAACAAATACTTACCTGTGCAATCAACAAATTCATCCAATTCGGAAGTAGCGGCGGCAGCATTAACAACAACGCCTCGATCTCCTCTTTCAAAAGCATCTGTTGCACTGCAAAAGCTGGGCAATTTTAGATCCAATGTGTTTGGAGGCTCAATACAAAAAACCGATAGCGCACCTTCAAATTTCACAAGCAGTTCTGCGAAAGAAGAATATTCGATGACGTCCCCTTCATCGGCTTTAGCGTTGTCTGGGTTACCAGCTTCATTTCAAGCACCAATGAACGAAAATATAGAAGTGAATGGAATCGATGCAAAGAATCATTATCCACCTTCATCATCTAGAAACTTGAACGGCTCCAGTGGACTTGGTGGTTCGCAAAGTGTAGATGGGAACATTGGTGGTGGTAATCACGCAATAGGATTATCTTCCATCAAGGGAAGATTACGTACCCTGTCCGGCAGCCTGCGCAGGATGAACTCAAAAAGTGATCACAGCAATGTAGACGGAGTAGGACAAAGTTTTAATGAAGGGCCAAGAGAGCGAGGTAGCGGTTCTCCGCTCATGCATGCGATCCTCCCTTCCGCTCGTCAGTCTGCTTTGACTCTTGCTTCATTAGCGGCCAAGAAAGGAAGCAGTCCACCTATTTCAACTTCTCATTTGACAACTTCTTCTGATATTCAAAGTGAAATTTTACGACCGGAAGATGCAGCGATGCCTTTTATAGCATCACAAAGATTTTTAAGACCTGCTACTTCCCCTGGCATTCAACGTGGTCCTCAGATGAGTTCAAGTTCCGATACAAGAACATCATCAGGCTGGAGTGCGCCCATCACTGACGAGACAGACAATAGCTCTACTCTGAGACCAACGCTGGACACGATTGCCAACACCCCTTCATCTTCTGGCTCTGTGCCCACTTTGAATAGCATCAAACGCAAACCGGTTCCAAACTTAGATCCGACTGCAAGACCAAGAACAGCCTCTCCCGCCATGATTGAATCAAATTCATCGCCACAAACCCTTTCGGTCGGCAAAGCTCCTCGATTGCGTAATGCGATGTCTTCCACCGCCTTGAATATTCCGACCAATGCAAAAGAGCATAATGCAAGTGTACCTGCCGTTCTTGTCCCAAGCAATTTTGGACCACAAAAGCGTTCTTCTGCAGCCAGTCAATTCGGCCCCGCTTATCCTCGTCGTCGTTCATCTTCGGCTAGTCAACAACAAAATGCAACACCGCCTATTTTGATAAGAACGACGAGAAATAGCGAAGAAGAGTCGGTTTCGCCTTTGACAAAGACAAGACAATTGTTTGATGATACGGTTGATCATCAATCATCAGTTGATACGGTTACTCAGCCTATACGGATGCCCCGTAGAGGGTCTACAAGCAGTAATCGAAAGCCTGTACCTACAATCTTAGGTCTTGCTGGCAATAATGCTACGTCGGATATTACGTATGATACAGCCAATCGCGCAAGAAGCTCTTTGGGGGCTGAAGGTCACTCGATGCCCAGTAAGAGTAGCACAACCTCAAATACAAACATTTCGTTCAATGGCTATTCTCTAACGGCCGGTGGCGGTAGCGGATCTGTGCAACCACTTTCACCCCGAAGTCTTGGCAATTGGCAAGGATACGGACATTCAAACGTTTCGGTTGAATCGACTGGATCACCTTTAAATACAAACATTCGCCTTCGTACTGCACCGGAAGCACAAAGGCCAAGTATCGTCTCTACGACGGGAAGGCCAAGTATTGTCTCTTTGACGGGAAGTCAAACAGGCTTTGGTACTCAAAGTGGCTCTTCACAAGAGCATTCTTCTCACAATTTTCCTACGCAAAATCGACAACAAAGAGTTTCACGTTCTTCTGGCACTGGCATAGATTCGGGTCTTCAAACATATCTCAACGAAGAAGATTATCAAATCATTGAAGACGAACCTATTGTTGCTAAAGATTTGAATTTGGCCAGCATCAGACATAGAGTTGCTCCTGAATTCGTTAATACTGGCTCAAGGTGGACAAATCCTCATCGTCCTCTGTCAATACGATCGCGAAGGATGAGTTCGGATACTTTGCGTGATGATGCTCAAAGCATGTTCGACGGCTCAACGAGCACGTTTAATGGCGAACAAGGAGACATGGGCAAAAAATCTGTCTTGCTCGGATCTGACAAAGAACAAAAGAAACGTAAAGGTGCAGTAGAAGCACGTGAGAAAGAATTGACGGTTGAAGCATTGAGCAAAGCAGAGATGGCATACGCTCATATTGACATCTGGACCGAATCTAGACGTGGCAAATGGATCGTCAAATGTCCCGCACCAGATGATTCATATCCTGCCGAACAGTTACCAGACATTTCTGATCCATGGATGATTCCAATTGATGCAAAGGGAATCGTTCGCCGTAAGAAGTTGAAATCCAACATTGAACTTTCCTCGACGAAAACAATCATCATTTGTCCCGATTGTCGTGAAGCTGCTCAGTTGAACATCGCTCACAACTGTTCCACGTGTCATGGATCCGAAAGGGTTGAAATGGTTTACACGGTACAATGTGTAGTTCGTATGGCTCAATTCTTGCCACTCAAATTGCCCGCTGCTCTTTTGCTTGGCACCAAGCAACCTCACATCAAATACATTGATGCTGCTGATCCTGATCATCGAACGGATATCTTACGTGACCGTGCTTTGGAAGGATTGCAAAGTTCTGCTGCCCGTGTGATCCGCGTTCACAATGTTCAACATGGTTCAAGGCTATTGATGGGCCGTGTGAGAATCACTCGAATTGGTGTTTTGACAGTGAGCATTCATTCTGCAAAGAGTAAAATTCCAAGATTATTCGATGTGGAAGACGGTGCGAATGGTCAGATCAATGAAGTTACACATTTCGCAACTACTTCAAGCGGACGTGCTTCAGTGATGAGCAATGGAACGTCAAGCAACCGTGCCTCGTTCTCTCGTAAAGGATCTTCGGCAGGCCTGAGTGTTGATCATATGCCTTTGCCTGATGATATGGATTCGGTAAAGAGTGGAAAGACGAACAAATCTCGTGGAGCTTCAAGTTTGTTTTATTCACTTGCAGGTAAAAAGAAGAACGGTTTCGGCAATGCAAGTTCTCCTAACTTGATCCAATCTGCTTATCAGAATAATGCGGATTCCATTCCTGCTTTGCCTGATCATGAAGATCTTGGTGGTTTCGGTCGTACACACAAGCGTAACAATCTCAGCGTTAGTGATCCTGTTCCAATCTTGGACGGTCAAACTCAATTACAATCTACCTTGTATACCTCTAAGGCAAACGGTAAACGCTCGCTGAAATCACTTTTCCGTCATCATTAAAGAGTTTTTATTATTTTCGTATCTGCTCTGCTTTATCTTTCGATTTCTGTATATCTCTGTTTTCCCCCTTTTTTTCAGCTCTCATCTTGATGATGGGATACATTCATGTACCAATGCTCTCAACTTTCACGCTTGCTTCATTTTTCTCAAAATCGACAAATACCCTGGTTTATTCATGTCACATTTATCTCACACGCATCCTTGTCATTCTTGTTTTTCACAAATAAGCAATTGATCAGCATTTCATTTATACATCAACGATATGATCAGCAGTAAAAAAAGAAGTGTTTGTGTGTGTTTGTTTGCATAATGGTATAAATAAAAGATGATTTAATTGGCTAAACCCCTAAAATTACGACTTTGATTTGTTTCCCGGAATCGAAGGACGAAATTGACAACAGTGACGGCCAACAAGACACCGCACAAGATTGTAGGACCATAAGCATCAAAGTAAAAGTTTGAAGATTCACGTTTACGAATTTTGAGTGATCTCATAACGTAAATCGAGCCAGAGTAAGCGATTGCCAATAAAGAAACGATTGTGAACAGCCCACTAACGATCAAACCGATTTGATCACCTGGTTTAGAATAATTAATCATTCCAACGGCCAAAGCACTAATGAAGATTGACATCTCTAGCCATTTCAAAAACGTTCTTTCAGCAGCGAAATAAACTTTTGGTTCGATACGAATTGGAACGGAAACCTTTTTGCCTGGTGCTGCATGGAATGAGTTAACGTATTCACGATTTTCTTCTTCATCACGAGCAGGGACAGTACGAGCAGTAGAAGGCGCACCATCTTGATCATCTTCATCATCACCATCTTCGCCGTCTGCGTCTCTACTGTATTTGGCACGCCATAGACGTTTGATATTGTTTGGCGTCAATTTAGTGAAATAATTTTTGTCAAATGCTGTACTTGTGGAAAGGATTTCTTCTCTCCCCTGTTTGGGAGCTCTATTGACATCGCTTAACCGTCTTTGCATTGAGATTGTACTTTGTTCTGCTTGTAATGCTCCAGCTGCATGTGCGCTCGTTGCATCTGGATTTTCTGCTCGTTGCTTTTCCAACTCTGCTTGTCTTCTTTGAATATTTTTCATTCTTTCTTCACGTAAATTTGTCAAATCACTGATTGGCAAACCTAGGCTATCAGCTTCACGTTTGGGATCTGCCATTGTTCCTTTGTCAGGTCCATGATGTGAATCATCATCGTGGTCTGCCTCAAATTCATCTTCACTGACGGGTTCGTGATAAGGTGATTCGCCATTCTTGCTGCCTGGCGTGGATGCGTTGGAGTAATGATGGGAAGGAGGTCGTTGAATTTCCAATTCACGCATAGGTGCTTTACGAATATCGATATCCATTTGTGGCAACCAGAAAGGAACGAGATCAACTCGATTGGGCAGCAAGGTAGCACAACCATGAATGAATTTGGAGAATTTAGGCACTGCTTCAACCAAATGACTTGCGACCAATTCACGAACCCATTCTGGTGGTTCTTGACCCATTTGTGTTTGCAGCTTGACTTCCAATACACCATAAGGGAAACGTTCAACGTCTTCGGCCGGCAATTGTTCGAAAGGATAATCGATTCCGATATCCATTCTACGCCAATTATCTCCCGCGCGCTTTCTACCATCCCAATTATCTTCACGTACCAAGGTCAACTCAGTATCCAAACTGATACGAACACGGGCATCACCGGGCAATTGGAAAGCAGTACGGTTGTAGAAACTACGCATGACAGGTGTCAATTGACGAGTGAGGACGGAGTATTGTACTTCATTGGCCAATTGTAGCATAGAATCGATTTCTTTATCGCTCTTCTTTCCTTTTTTACGTAATGCTTCGAATGTATCATCCATACGATATTCACCACGCATGAACGCATTCACGTTTTCTTCTTTGATTGGGAAACGTGCCTTGACTGACTTTTCTCCTGTCCAATCTTCACGATGCGTCTTACGTTCAACAAAGATTTGCTTGTTATCCATACCACCATACCAACGCAAACGCACAGCTTCAGCACCTTCAGTCTTTTCTAGTCTTCCCAAGTACAATTCCAAATCTTCATTGTCGTAGTAAATACTTGTGATTGCGCTATCTTCCGGTAGATATTCTTTGTCGGGGTTGAAAACGAGCACTGGCAAATGCTTCAAAATGACCAATTTGAGTGGAACGATGTTGTCTGGATGAACCCAATACTTTGTCGTTTGACGAACGAAAGCGGATTGCGATCCACCCGCACTGCTATCTCCTTGAATTGGGTTACCACGTGTGCGGACAAGGTCGAACAACTTCGACAGTTTGACGATTAGCATGTCGTAATTCTCCTTGTAGAATGGGCGGGCTGTCAAGTAATGCTGAACGAACTCCTTGCGTAATAGGCGACCGGTTTGTTTATCGTGCTTTTTGACAATCTTGTGGAAACCGGTATAGTTCAATTTGGTGAATAGAGCAAGATCGTGTACATCTGCGATGATGACTGCTAAGCGTTCTTCTAGCTCCAAGAAGCGCTCTTCGTATGCATCCGTATCTTCGGTGTCTGTGTCGAATTCGTCATCGGTTCCTTCATCGTGATGAGCAATTATATCATCATGCTGATCTGATGAATTTCCATTTCCACGTCCGTTGTGACCTTGTTCAGATGTATTATGCGCATCAGATCCTTGTGTAAGTGAAGAAGCTGAATTTGCACGAGAAGAAACCAAAAGATGAACTTCTTGTTGTGCTTTTTTGATTCTTTCAGTTAATTCTGTTACTTTTGTTTTTTGAAAATCGTACACTTTATCCAATTCTTTTCGTAATTCATCCACAAATTCATCTTCATCTTTATCTGTCCAAATTAAACCACCATTTTTTGCAATACGAGCTTTTATTTCTTTTTTCAATTCACTGTATCGAATATATTTTGATGACCACTCTGAATAGAGAGAAGTTTTGATTGTACGACCGAACTTCATCTTTTTTGTGAAATTGAGTGTTGAATGATGATCGTTGGTAGCATGCAAGCACGGAGCTCCTTTTTTTGGTGTGAGGAATGAAGGCCCCCCGTGCGCGAAAAAAAGAAAAAGAAGTGCAAATAAAGCAGAAATAGGAGACTGGTGGAGAAAAGAGTGAGAGCGTGTTGAGCAGGAACGGTTCCGTAAATTGAGAGAGGACCGCTTGTTTTTTTCAACTAGGAAACCGTTGTGAATCGGTCTAGATCGCCGAGAAGAAGTTAAAGGATGGAATGCAGGGACGAAGAAGAACCAAGGCAGACAGACATGTGTATATGTTCCCAATGATGTGAGTGTTTCAATTCAATCCAACCAGACTGCTTCCTAACTTGCATTGGTTTCAATTCTGCACGAGTCGACGTGCCTTGTTGCATTACACTTCTATGCGTGTATGTATTGGCAGCTAAAAGTATATTTCCGGTATACGGTGGAGGCAGTACATGGCTTAATGCACCGTAAACTACTTTATTGAATGCAAAGCACGTCCTGCAATGCACACACACACATACGCGATACGTATTCCACAACTTTTAGCGTAAATGGTTATTTCTGATGCTGTGGCTGTCTGCCTGTTTGGTAAGTTTGACAGGATTAATCTTCTTCTTCGAACCGGCGATATCGAATGATAAGTTTCACCGTTGCAGGCAATTATGCGGCGAAACTCATCAGAAGTATTGTTTAGCGATTTACAAGTGAGTACATACACTATACTCCCTATTCAATGTGAATCAATTACAAGCTGCTTCATAGTATTTCAAGGCAAAAGAGGACAATATGCTATCATCATCCATACGCTAATAATATGCATTGGGGAGGAAGTCATTGTAACATTTTTCAATTGTTATGATTGGATCTGCATGTACACGTTCCCTCAACCGATTGTTGAGCGGAGTTGAAGAATATTGTTTGTGTGTATTGTGTAGTACGATTTCACGCATCAAACCAGCACAACACTGCATAACGCGTAGAGCCGCGCTAGTTTAAATTCATATCTCGCCTCTTTTCCCTTTGCGTTCTTCCAACAATGCGGTTCAATCCCTACCCGCAATATCCTTCTTGGCATCGGCTGAAAGGAAAAGATGACGGCTTATATAATGCATGCTAATGACAATCATCATCTGGCTCTTCGGGAATCTGCTTGCACATTTAGAAATCACAGAATGAATTGTTTTAAGCTTTTGTAATATATATTGATTGTTTTATTTCTCACCATCCTACTCTTCGCTTCCGAATTTGCTGGACTTCCTCTGCACTTAAGCGCCAAGCGATACTGTCATCGTCATTTCGATTATTGTTTCCCATTCCTACGTTTGATTGATCAGCAGAAGCAGTCGAAGTATCAACATCATTCGTAGAAACGTCTTCATCCAAATTGACCAAATAAGAAATATGTGTCAATCTTCCAAATCTTTCTCGTAATCCACCAGTTGCACTTTGAGAAGATAAAAACGTTGATACCGTTCGAATGTCTTTATCGAATCGTAAAGCTCCTAATTCACTGTATTGCACATTGAAAGCCCACGTCTCCCATGCTTGTACCAGCGCATCAATCGAAAGTCGCAATAGCACTTCCCAATTATCAGACGTGAACAAGTCCTTGTAACCGACTGCATGAATCACTTGATCCCAGCCACGGGTTAGCTTTCTGACAAAAAGGGAGGAACCACCATGACTTGATGCTTCTTCTTCTGCGATCGCATAGTCGTCCTCGTTAAGAACATAAGATACATCCCTTAAGCTTTCCGACAATAATTGACGGATACGTGCTCGCAAAAGCGTTGAGAAGAACAAATCCATATGTGTTCTCACAATATTGCGAATACGTGGAACTAAGACTGATAGCGCTTGAATGGTAGATGAAGCAATCGCTACATCCTTTTCGGCATATTGCCTTTGTAGATTATGCTCTTGCGAGAGCTCATTCAGAATCCTGGTCAGATAATCACCTGAAGTGCTCAAAACATTCAAGTACACTCCAAATGTAGAGCGTATCTCTCTGCTTGCTGCATCTTTGCGTGGTCCTTCAACGACCATGCTACCGCTATTTGTCCTTGATACCAAATCTAACGAACGAACGATAGCCTGAATGAAATCTTCATCAATGATGTAACGCACGTTGCGGCTCATTGTGGAAAGAATGTCCAAGTTTGAAGTTGAAACAGCTCGGGCTAGAACCAATCGAACCAAATAGAATACATCATCCAACAAAGGCGTAGTCAAAGGTCGTGCTGTAAGATCAGGCGTATCGATGCGATGTGCTTTCTCAATGCTACATCGCAAGAACCAGCTCTCTAACGGTACATAAACGCTTTGCATCAAATCATCAACCTTTGTCCCGAGCTGTGACTTCTTTATCACGCTTAAAGGCAAATTCTTCTCCTGCTTATCGTGCTCTTCATCTTGCTGTGTCTGAGAAGCACGACGCCTTGAAGGATCTAATGAAGGCAGCAGCGATAGTCTTCGATTGTCAAGCGATGACCTGCGGAAATCCTTCAGTTCGTCGGCCCCTCCATTAGATGCATCTGCTGAATGTGTGTTCATTTCCTTTGTATCCAGACGTACTGTCAAAAAGTGCTTATATGTACCCCAGCTGGCCGCCATTGCTGCCAATTCTCCAACGATCTTGTCAACCTCTCGTGTATCAACCTGAGGCGTATCATCAGCAGCAGCATTTTGTGGTGTAGACGGCGTGCCTGGACGACCTGGGATATTGAACCCACTTACGACCCTAGATCCTACATTTGCCATTCTCTTGGCTGCTGCAGTAGAGGATGAAGATGTACCGATGGATGCGACATACGTGAAATTGTACGATTTTGCTTCTTCCAACTTTCTCCGCACATATCGTTCATCGTACCAAGTATCGCATACACGTTTACCTAATCGATCACATTCTTCTTGCAACTCAGGCATAACACCTTCAGCAAAGTATCCTTGGCCATAATGCGAGTCGACAAGTGGCTGATGCTGATCGATCAAAGAGGCTAAATTCTCAAATAGATGCGTCAAGATTTGTGCATGGCGTAAAGCTGCTTCGCTGTTTCTGCTATTGCCCAGCAATTCACCGATGCTCTTACCTCGTTCACGTACCATTGAACGGGCAAACTGTGCATATACAGCCAAACCTTCCGCTGTCCATCCGATCTGAGGAAACATTGTGAAGAACTTGGTAGCCTCTACAGTATCTTTTGCTTCTGTAGCTTGTTGGAATCGCTCGGTAAAGACTTGCAAGAGCATCTTACGCATCGAAAGTAGTTGAACTGGAGGCGGGTCCGGGTATTCAGATGTAGGAACCATCATCGCAGCAAATCTTGACTCCAAAACATCTTTGTCTATAGAAAGGGCTCGAATGCAATGCTGGGTTGCTGTTCCATAATCTCTCTGTTCGATCGCAGCAGCCATTGAAAGCAGAGATGCTTTCAGATCGCCTACCTTCTCAGTCCATATTGCTGCTTTTTCCACCCTTTCGCTTTCTTCGTCTAATCGTCGTACACTTTCACTGATTCGTTCTGCCGTCGTTCCTGTTTCTTTCAGTCTACGTGCCAATACCCTTGCTTCATCTGTGATTAAATCCGTTTGACGTCCTAGGCCTGACAATGCCTGACGAGATGTGAATGTACTTTCCTGTGCTTTTGCAAGATTGTCTTGGAGTGCTTTATCCAGTGTTGCTGATTGGGATGCCAACTGTGCCAATGCTTGACGAACTTCACTAGCTTTTGTCAAAGGAACAGGACGTACATTTGAATTTGAAGAAGATCTCATCACTGCTCCTGCGCCACTTATGCTTGGTGATCTTCTGTCTATCCTTCCATTTTCTCGTGATCCAGATGCGATTCTCAGAGATGTTCCATCTCCAATCGGACCTGCAACGGACATCTTCTTCTCACTCCTTTGCCATTCGTGTTGGAGGAGGAGTAGAGTGAGTGTACGCTAGCTAGGCCTTCCTTCTCTTCTTCCCCCGCGTGGTCTTGTGCCAGACTATTCGCGTTATCCCGATTTCCGCGCGTACAAAATAAGGTCGAGTATATGCTCTTTCAAAATACATTTCACGGCACAGATAATGAACGATCATATACATACAATGATGCACATGACGTAGATGCAGTGAGAGAAGAAGTGAAAGGTCTGATTGAAGCAAATCTTGATCACTTTATAATTCTCACTACTTTTGGAAACACCTGTGTGACCTTTGATTATCGAATCATGAAAGAATTATGAGAAATTGCTCTGTTTTGGGAACATAGATTGCGCCCATCCAATGCGATGTATGAATAATCATAATCTGAATGGATATACTTGCACGTTCAATTGACAGCGAAACAGCCACATGACTGTATGCAAGAACATTCAAAAATAATCATAATGTGAAATCGTATTTCTAGACAATTTTTAATCCCTTCTTCTTCTGTTGCACAAATAACCGCTTCTTCGTCCTTCAGATCCTCCAAAAGCATACGTAACACTGTACCAGCCCCTAATACTGATCGGTAATGCCTAGTTGACTTGAAATCTGAATCATTAAACACACATCTGAAAAGTCTAATTGACAAAAAAGAACGGTATTCACTTTGTTGGACACAATCACGAAAATATATCCGAAGCATTTCTATGTCTACTTCTGGACTGCGAGCGTGTTGAGTGAGATGACCATCTTATCTTGGAGCGAGACTGCATTGCAGCTGATCCATATGTTTTTTATGCCAGTTTTTTGATTTGTACAGTTCTTTCTAGCTTAAGGTCTTTTTATACATCAATACTTCTTATTCATTTACGTAACAATTTAGTAAAGACACCAGAGAGAAAGGGTCTTCTCAGTGTACATGAGCAAATTTAAGTAAATCTTCCTAGACATTGTGCTAAAAATGATGAAAACGGATTGGAAGAATATTATAAGTGACTTAGATGTGATGCTAGTGTGATGTATCTGGATGAGGTCAGACCGTGGCGCTCTTTCATTTACGCGTCTGCTTATGTACGCCCCTCTAAAGCAACACTTTTGCCCGCGTTTACGCTAGTGGTCCCTCCCTCGTGATCTACGCGTTATTTAGGGGTTATATTCTATTCCTAGTACGTGTTGTTTTGTTTAGGGGCTCAAGCGATTAGGCATTTTAACAGTTGATTAACAGAAAAGGGGAGAAAAGTGTTGATCTTTTTCAATCAAACACAGTGGGATAGTGTGTTGTATTGCATGCCGATGACATTCATTCTATCTTTTAGTCTCTGTTTCATTTCATGGATCCCATTCAAAGAGGGTAACTTGAACTCAACTTGCATGCAATCACGCATCGGCCATCAACCTTTTTATTCTTTTCAGCGAGGCACGCGCGCATTTGTGCATTCAACGTTCATACTTGACTTTCCTATCCTTCATTGCTGCCATCATCTGGAGTTCAAGGGACAAGGAGAGCAAAGTGATCAAGAACTATAATACATCAAAAGACTTCATCCCGAAGTTATTACGCGTCAAACTCCCCTCTCTCTCCGATCACCAACTCTTCTTCTTACGCGATCATTACCCCAAAGGTAATAACCATACAACATGGCATCAGCCACCAATGGAGACCTTGCCGGTCCTTCTCGTGTAGGCGGGTTACCACGTCCAGGTGCAGCTGCTGATGCTGCCGCTGCAGCTGAATTCGCAGCAAAGAAATGGGTTTGGATTCCTGATGGCAAAGAAGGTTACTTGCAAGCATTCGTTGTAAGAGAAGAACAAAATGGTGAAATAAGCGTTTGTAGTCTTGCAGACGGTCAATCACGTCAAGTACCTACCGATGATCTGAGCAAAATGAATCCTCCCAAATTCGACAAAGCAGAAGATATTGCCGATTTGACTTTCTTGAACGAAGCAAGTGTGGTACATAATCTTCGGCAAAGATATTTCAGTGGTTTGATTTATACCTACTCTGGTCTCTTCTTGGTTGCTGTCAATCCTTATCGTTCTTTGCCCATATATACAGATGCAGTTGTGGCATCATATAAAGGCAGAAGGAGAGAGGAGAATGCACCGCACGTTTACGCTTTGGCAGATGTGGCCATGCGAAATATGTTAGAAGCCAACGAGAATCAAAGTCTACTCATCACTGGTGAATCAGGTGCAGGTAAAACGGAAAATACCAAGAAAGTCATTCAATATCTAGCCGCAATTGCGATAGATCCTTCATCCTCTTCAATGCCAAGCAGTAGCGGAAGCGGTGGTACTCTCACACGTTCCGCAAGCTCGACAAGACACGTTATGGATCATTTGCGAGGCATTGAAGGTATTGCAAGCAAGAAATTAGGCCTGCTAGAACGTCAAATCTTGCAGGCCAATCCAATCTTGGAAGCATTCGGTAACGCGCAAACGATACGAAACAATAACTCAAGTCGATTTGGTAAATTCGTTCGAATCGAATTCACTTCAGCAGGAGCAATCGCAGGCGCAAATATCGACTGGTATCTACTAGAGAAGAGCAGAGTTACAACACGAAGCGAGAAGGAACGCAGCTTCCACATTTTCTACCAGCTCCTACGAGGCGCAAATGCTGATTTGAAATCCAAGCTTTTGTTGGGTAACACGCCGGAAGAGTACGATTATCTAAAGAACACCAGGAAGCATGTTGAAGGTGTTGATGATGCATCGGAATGGAGGCTACTGCTCGAAGCATTGAACGTGGTCGGTTTCTCTCCTGAAGAACAACAAAATCTCTTCCGAGTCATCGGTGCAATCTTGCAAGTCGGAAATATTCAATTGGCCGATGATCGATCAGAGCAAGCTCGTATCACAAATGCAGCACAAGTTGAAAAAGTCTGTCATGTCTTGGGTCTGCCCCAACAAGAGCTCAACACCGCCCTCCTAAGACCTCGTGTTAAGGCTGGTCGTGAATGGGTCACACAGGCCCGCACGCGAAGACAAGTGTTGGACGAAATGGCTGCTCTTTGTAAGACACTTTACGAAAAGACATTTGCCAATATCGTTGATCGTATCAATCAAGCCTTAGACCGACCTACAAGCAAGAGTAGCTTCATTGGTGTTTTGGATATCGCAGGTTTCGAAATCTTTGAGACCAACTCGTTCGAACAATTGTGCATCAACTATACCAACGAAAAGCTACAACAATTCTTCAATCACCACATGTTTGTTCTAGAACAAGAAGAATATGCTCGGGAGAACATTGAATGGGACTTCGTCAACTTTGGATTGGATCTGCAACCGACGATCGATCTTATTGAATCCACTACTCCGATCGGTATCCTATCCTGTCTCGATGAAGAATGTATCATGCCAAAAGCAACTGATTTGACATTCACAGAAAAGCTCAACAATATCTGGTCAACCAATCGTGACGGAACCGCACGCGATCAAGCTGGACTAGCGATTGCCAACGAAAAGGGAGTTGCACATGGATCAACAAAGTATGCTCCTGCCCGATTTGCTCAAGGTTTCACAATCAAGCATTATGCTGGAAATGTTGAATACCGCACAGACGGATGGTTGGAGAAGAACAAAGATCCTCTCAATGATAATCTCACTCGTGTCTTATCTGAATCGAGTGATCGTTTCATTGCTTCCTTGTTTGCTGAATATGCTGTCGATGATGAATCTGCAGCGGCACAATCGGCACCGAAGCGAAGGGTGAAGCGCGGTGCATTCCGTACAGTTGCTCAAAGACATAAAGAACAATTGTCATCATTAATGTCTCAACTCAGTTCAACGCAACCGCATTTCGTCAGATGTATCGTTCCCAATCCTGATAAGAAACCAGGAAAGATGAACGTTCCACTCGTTCTTGAACAATTACGTTGCAATGGTGTTTTGGAAGGTATTCGTATCGCTCGTCTTGGTTATCCAAACAGATTGTTGTTCACCGAATTCCGTAATCGATATGAAGTCTTGACACCAGGTATCATTCCACGTGGTTATATGGACGGCCGTAAAGCATGTCAACGAATGGTCGAGGCTTTGGAGCTCGATCGTGCAAGTTTCAAGATCGGTTTAACAAAGATTTTCTTCAAAGCAGGTGTTTTGGCTGAAATGGAAGAAAGACGTGATAGGCATTTGCATGACATCTTTGCAAGATTCCAAGCTGCTGCACGTATGTTTACTGCAAGAAGACAGATGAAGAAGATCTTGAACAGAGCAGCTGCTGTTCGTACGATTCAACGTAATGCTCGTTTGTACGTTCAATTGCGTGATTGGCCTTGGTGGCAATTATACACTCGTGTTAGACCTTTGCTCAAAGCTACAAGACATGATGAAGAATTGAAAAAGAAGCAAGCTGAATTGGCATTGATCACTGAAAGAGCCGAAAGAGATCAACGTGAAAAAGAAGCTTTGGAAGCACTTCGATTCCAATTGGAAAACGACAAGAAAAAGGTGGAAAGTGAATTGCATAGCGAACGTGCTCTTTTGGTTGATAAAGATCAGTTATTGGCAAGATCAAAAGAACGAGAGAGTGCTTTACAGGAAGAACTTCAAGCGATGCAAGCTGATATCGATCAATTGGACAATCAACTCGAGAGAGCGATTGCAGGTCAAAGAGCTGCCGAACAAGCACGAGATGAACTGAAAGTTGCATTTGATGCTGCTGCTACACATTTGCAAGATTTGGATGCCAAACAGAACGCATGGGAACAAAGAGAGATGGACTTGATGTCCAATGTAGACCGTCATTCTGAAGAGGTTGAAAAGATTCGTGCCGAACATGCAGCCTTGCAAAAGGAAAGGGTTGATCTTGATCGACTCGTTCAAGCGAAAGAGCAAGATATCGAACGAATGCAAGTTCGAATGCGTGAAGCAGTTGCGGAGCTGGAACGCAAGCTGACCACAGAAGCAAAGAATCGCGAAGAGGAGATTGTCAAGCGCACTCAATTGGAAGAACAATCCCGTCAATCTTCTTACAGATTGTCCGAACTTGCTCGTGCTTCCACTGATCATGAAGAGCGTATCAAACAGAAAGAGGCTGAACTTGCAAATAGTCAAGCCAAATTACAATCGATCACGAGCGAGCGCGACAATCTAGGCAAGCAATTGCAAGAAGCTCGAGCAAAGATTGAGACATTGTCAGGTGATTTGCGCAGTGCAAAATCCGAACAAGGTCGAACTGTTGAACAGCAAAGTGCACTGCAGAAAGAACTCGATGAGACACGAAGATTGATGCAAGCTAAATCATCAGAAGATTCTAAACAAAAAGAATTGCAACGAAGACAAGAAGGTGAAATGTCTTCTTTGCGTCAACAAATGACTCAATTACGCGATGAACTTGCACAATCCAAACATCAATCACTCGAACAGATCAACTCTACTCGTGCTGAAGCAGAGACTGCTAAACGTCAATATCAAGAATTGGTCAGAGCACACGAGGATCTGAAACGACAAGTCGAAGATAATGATCGCCATATGACAGAAGCAAGTGCAACACTAGCCGCCGCTGAACGTGCAAGAAGAACGGCTGAAGGTGAACTGGGTGCTATTCGCAATCAAGTCGAATCGCACAAACAAGCTATCGCCGAGGCACAATCTGCCAAAGATGCAGCTGAGAAACAATTGACAGCATCTCATCAAAAGCATCAAGATTTGGAAGATGCTCTATTGGAATTGGAACGCGATCAATCGAATTGGAAGTTGAAGGCAGATCAAGTCAATACTGAACTGTTGGCCGAGTCGAAACGTCGTGAATTGGCAGAAAGCGCTGCTCGTCAAAGCAAGAACACTGTTCAAATGCTCGAAGCACAACTTACAGCAAAGGACAAAGAATTCCTCCGAATGAAAGATGAGCTAGCATTGACACAAGCAGATTTGAGAAAAGCACAATCGATGACCAATAAGACTATTGTCGAACACGTTCACGTTTTGGAACAAGCAAAGAAGATGACTGATCGTCAATTGCAAGATGCTTTGGATAAATGTCAAGCATTGGCCAAACAGTTGAACGCTGTCGAGAAAGCAAAAGATCGTTTGCGTATCGAGAACGAAGATTTGAATCGCGAAAACAGAAGATTGCAAACGGATACAGGTGTCAGTCACGGTCGTGGTGTTTTGACGACAACGACTGCCAACGTTGCACCGAGTGCCAATCATTCTGCTGATAGCAAGATGGTCAAATCATTGGAAGGCAAAGTTCAATCACTCACAGTTTCGTTGCGAGAGAAAGATGTTGCTCTATCTGATGCTCGTCGCAAAGAGTTACAAAGCGAATCGAATATGTCAAGAACCGTTCAACAATACGAAGCACGGATCACTGAGCTCGAACGTGAACTTCGCGGAAGTCAAACTGCAAGAAGTACAACGTTCCAGAATTTAGCCGATTTGGTGCAAAATACAAATGATGGTGATGATGGCGCGTTCAGACGAAAGCTATTGGAAGAATTACGTGCTGGACATGATGAATTGGAAACGGACTTTGCGGAAAAAGAGGCCTTGTTGCGAAATCATAAGATGGGCAATGGAGCTTCACCTTCAGCAAAGAATGCCAAACCGCTCTATACGTTTGGTAACCTGCCACCTTCCAAGAAGAGCAGTAATGCAATCGTCACACCTTCTGATTTGAGAAGGCAATCAGGTGGTGGTGGATATACGAATGGAAATCATACTGCTGCATCGCCCAATCTACGCGAAGAAGAGAACAGGAGACAGCTGTTGGCAGAGCATCGTAAGACACAAGCCAGATTGGAGTCAGAGCTAGCCGAATTACGTCAACGCTTAGGCCGTGAAACCGTTGCTCACAACGAAGAAAAGAGCGAAAATCGTCGATTACGAACAGCATTGCAAGAAGTGCAAATCAATGTTGCTTCTGATAGTCAATCGTTTGCCAAATCACGAGATGAGGTATCCCATCAAAAAGCAAAATTGGACGAATATCGTAATATGATCGATCAATTGGAAATGGATAAACTCAAAGCGCAAAAGGCTGAAAATTTAGCAAAGCGAACGTTGGTGGACGTTGAACATTCTTTGGCTGAAAGTATGCGCGAAAGAAGATCTGCACAAGAAAAGATTGATGAACTGGAAAGCTCTTTGCATGAAGCAGCATTGCAACTCCAAAAAGGTGGACGTGATTGGCACGAAGTAGAATCTTTGCGCAAGCGAATGGCAGAAGAATTTGATGAAGAACGTGGAAGATACAAATCAGACATTCGTCATTGCGAAGAGTTGATTGAGAAATCACGTCAAAGATTCCAACAAGAGTTGTCAGACGTCACTGCTGAAATCAATGCTAATCGTGCAGTTGTTGAACAGCTACGAGAGGAGAATCGTCAATTGCGCAATTCATACGATGAATTAACCACAGAGATTGAGCATGGTGCACTATCGCAAAGTGGCTGGCAACGCGAGAAAGAATCGATGGAAGCCAGAATCTCGGATATTACCCGAGCTTATCATGATTCTTTGAACTCTCAACATGAAGCACAAAAGCAATTGGATGAGATGTTGAAGGAAATTCACGATCAAAGCATCGCTTTGGGTCAAGCAGAATATCGTTATTCCCAATTGCAAATCCAGTATAACTCCCTCATTTCCAATGCTGGCGTTGATGAAGATATGATCAATTCATTGGAAAGTGCTGTTGAGAAATATCGCACGCAAGCTCAATTGCATTTTGAGAATTGGAAAAAGAGTACCGAAGACCTTCAACTTCAAACGAAAAATTTACGATCACAAGCAACGATCAGAAGACCTGGCTCAAGTCAACCGGAAGGAGCAGGTTTAGCAAGTCCTTCACGTATGAGCGTGAGGGCCATGTGAGGGTAATACTCACATGAATTAACAATTAAAAATGTATATATTCCCATCTCTTTTTTCTCTCTCGTTTTTTGTCCTCAGTATCGTTTTATGTGCTAATGCCTTGATATCATGTATACAATTTTATGCCGAATGGTTAAGCATCTTAACATGGTGTGCTGTGCAATGCAGTGTCTCTGACTGAGCAGCAATTATTTAGGCTGAGTTGCATTTGTGGAGAAGTGCATCGCGCTAAAATTAAACTTGTTGTGACCTTCTCCTGACAGCCATCACATTGCACAATGTCAAAGAACCAAGGAGCTTCACAGCTTCCATATCAATTAGTATTGGATACCATCTTACCTTTGCTTGATATTCAAACATTGATCAGATTACGAGCCGTTTCGCATGCGTTCAAAGAAGCAGTAGACGATAATGTCGTATGGAGAAGGCGAATAAGGAGTGATTTCAGATTTCCACTACAAAGTTCAGCTCGAACGACAGGATGGAAAACGATCTATCGCGGGCTAGCAAATCCTGAGCTGTATACATGGGGAGAAGAATCGCATTATAGGCTGGGTGTAGAAATACGAAAAAGACAACCGAACCAAGATGAATCGGAAGCATTAGAAGGAAGTGATTTTAATCTAATCAAACGATATCGTTCTGCGCCTTTTCCACTCTCAATCAAATGGAGAAATGCAGATTTGTACGATTCAAATGCAAGGGTTACCGAATGTCATCAATTCGATTCTGAGCGACCGCCAAATTTTGAAATTCGTCAAGGTATTCCACTCAGACGAATCTTGCCAAACGGAAGAGAGAGTAAACATTCGATTGATGTTGGTGTTCCGGTCGAAATACATGCTGGCGGTTGGAGTTTCTTTCTTATGACAAACAAAGGTCAAATTATCACTTGGGGATCAAGTACAGGAAATGGAGATTCTTCAGGAACAGAAGAGATGTTCCAAAAGCCAACACTGTTGGATCTGAACGGAAGACAAGCAACTTCTCTTTCTGTTGGTCGTCAACATGCAGTAGCGCAAATGGACGATGGCAGTATATTTGAATGGAGTAACAGATGGGATAGACCTGCAGTACATTTCCAATCTTCCATTCTCAAAGAGATTCAGACAAAAGAAGAATTGCATATTGACCAAGTGGAAGCAGGATGGAATTTTTCGGCTGCTTTGGTGAACAGTGATCATGGAGAGGGCGTGGGTAATGTGCTCATATGGGAAAGCAGATGGACGTATGATCTGCAAAGAGCAATGTGGTATGAAAGGGCAATCCAAGAAGGTGCAGATTCTTCAACTATTGAACCTACTTGGCAAGTTGCTGTGCCGACGGTTCTGCTTCCTGTACCACCGAAACGATTTACCAGGATCGCAGCTGGAGATAGATTCATCATTGCTTTGAGCGATGATGGTCTGGTGTATTACCTTGAAATTCCGGAAATTAGACAAGATCTGCGTACCCAAGCATCCGATACGCCCCAAGCAAGCGCAGATAGATTGAGGAAAGAGTTGGACAGAAGATATACTCAATGGAAAAAATTGAGCTCTTTCTGTGAGAATGTACGACAAGCGGGTCAGGAAAGCGAAGATGGGGAGAACGTGTGGGACAGGCCTGGCTTGAATCATCTACTTTCGTCCAACGTACGCATCACTCACATTTCTGCTCAATTCAAGAACTTTGCAGTTTATGCACCTGAAGCTGGAAAAGAAGGTCGAGATGTAGATGTACAAAGTGGAAAGGGATTAGGAATCGTTCTTTTGGGTTCGAACGATGCACATTTACGACCGAAAATCATTCCTGAATTGCAAGGAGTTGGAGTGATTAAGATTGTTCAAGGCGATTGGCATTCGGGTGCATTGTTGCTGGATGGCAGTGTAAGAACGTGGGGATCTCAATCAAATGGAGCGTTGGGAACGTGGGATTCGATTCCAACTGTTGAAGGAGCGCAATCAGTTTTCAGTGCACCTCAGCCTCCAACGAATGATTTCTTTTCCAATATGGGTGGTTTGGTCACTGGGATCTTCCGACCTGCAATGCAAGCACGTCAACAAGCACATATTCGAATGCAACAAGAACAAGCGGAGGCTCAATCAAAACAACAAAGTGGTGAACATCAACAAGGGGAGTCGTCTAGCAGATCCAATAATATGGTAAAAGCGGAAAAAGATCGATACCTTTTACGCAATTTACCCGATCAACAACCTGAACCGAAAGCTGTTCGATTTGGGTTCCCTAAAGTTGGAGAAATGCGTAACGGTAAACGAATTGAGGAGAGTGATTCTATGGAAACTAAATATGCATTTGATATAGCTTTTGCAGGTTGGCATAGCGGTGCATTGGCTGTTGATAGAGCTCTAATTTTTGATAGTTGATTGTATAGTATCACGCAATGCTATTCATTATAAACTGTTTGTGACAGTGAGGACCCTTGACACGATGTAGGAACGCGAACACGCGTAAGATTAGTTGTGTTGATGTTTTTTTAGTGCTAAAAGATCAACACTTTCTTTTGAATAGGCGCCGCGCTAGTTATGCTGTGCTCATTTTGTTTGTTGATTGTCTATGCGGGCGTGCATGAAGAAAGTTGTTTGATATATGCATTAAAGAATTGCCATTTTGGTCAAAGATACAATAGAATCATCATTCTGTTTTGCTACCATCACCATTTATCAACCTATCACTCAAAGTGAGTCTGGCAAGAATGCCTTCTTCTTCCTCATCATCATCATCACTAAACACAATGCAAGAAGACGGTCAACCACTAGTAATTCATGCAGAAGGATTACCATGCTTAAAACGACAACAATTGGAGAATCTTTGTATCCGCTTAGGGGTGAAATCAACAGGAAAGAAGAGTGAACTGATCGCTCGTTTGGAAGGATTCGCAATGGGAAAAAGCGCTTCTGTCATGTCTAACTTGAACGCACAAGCCGAGGTTCCTGAGGAAGTAGTGGAAACAGAACAAGCTCCAGAAATGAACACAGCCTCTCAAGAGAGCCCAGATGAACAAAAAGAAGAGGACGAAGAAGGAGCCGACGATGGCGATATTAGCATGCTACCAAACACAGCCAGCATTCGAGTTATCTCAAAGCCACGTGAATCTCACTTTGTTAGTGCCATGCCAGATCCATTCGAAATGGAAATTGGTGTGGTATTACCCAGAAGCGATAGTAGTAACGGCAGCTTGAGCAGTTTGAGTAAACGATCGGTTAGCGGTACCACTCTCAAAGAACTTGATATGCAGAAACCAAATTTACCCAGCACTCAACAAAATCACATGGCTGAAGAGAAATCCACAAAGCGAACAGTCTCGGGCAGCTCTCTCTACCCATGGAAGAAGCTCATGGGCAGTCATAAGGCAAGTAGCGAGTCATTGTCAAAGAAAGATGAGTCAAGCGAAGCCAATAACGCACAGCAGACCGCTGCAGGACCTTCTACTGCAGAGATGGGACTAGGCTTGACCGCAAGTGATAGTCAAGCCAGCATCTCGAGTGCTTTCCGTAAATGGCTCAAAGGTGAGGGTACATCGAGTATCACTCCATCATTTCCTTCCACTCGGAGGGTCACCCGAAGCGCTTCTGCTGCTAGCAGTGTACTCAATGCTTCCAAAGCGGAAGAAGAGAAAGGTCCACTGCAACAAGAAGTTGAGCAGCCTCAAGCCATTTCTGAAGCACCCATCTCAAAACGTAAGCGCTCAATTGGTGAAGGTGATACATCTCATGATGATTGTGGTGTGCCCACCTCACCTGAAGTGCCACAACGCCGTATCAAACCACGACCAAGTCGTGCAAAGAGGTCTAATGTGACACCAAGTATGGAATCTGCAACCTCACCATCAGCACAAGAGAAGGTCTGGGCAGAAATGCAAGCTCGAATGGCTGCAAAAGCAAAAGAATCTTCAGAAGGGGAGAGCAGAAAGGTCTCTGGTGCATCTTCGATCGGAAGTGGCGCTCAAACTCCAAATTTGCCACCTTCGCCTTTGAAATCGGTCAATAGCCGTACAAAAGGTAGATTCAGTTCACAACATGATAAACAGTTTGGACGGATGGATAGCATTGCAAGTCATTATTCTGCTCGTAGAGATGTAAGTAGTGGTACAGGACGTGCAAGAAAGGTATCTGAGGCTATCGAAGATGAAAAAGATGCAGAGAAACAAGTCGCTCCAGTCAAAAAGGCACGCTTGGATGCTCCGGCTGAAGACAAAGAGGTAGCTCCAGCAGCCAACAAAGCAATCACGATTGCACCTGCCGACCCTGCTTTACCTCAAAGGACAGATGAAGAAAGGGCTGCGATCAAACGAAAGTTGGAATTGGCACGTCATAGGAGGAGAAGCAGTACTGCAGCTGCAAGAGCCAGTGCATCCTCCGCTACTGCACGTCGAGCAGCTGCTGCCCATGCTGGTCCTTCTTCTAAGTTATCCAGTGCGATCAAATCGGGTGGATTTGCATCAAAGATTTCGTTTGCCGTTCGTGGATTTATGGGAGCTGCTGCTCGTGGCCTGACAAGCAATAGCACTGTTGTCCCTCCTGCTGTTGAAAAGGTGAAAGAACAAGAAGTAGAAAGAAGTACAAGTACATCCATGGCACCTCCAGCCACACCTTCGATTGGACAAAAGAGTTTGGAGAAGAAGCCCAGTGTACAAACATTGACCGCTACTTCGCCTTCGAAATCGTCATCAGCACTTGCTAAGAAACGCTCCACGTTTGATTTACAGGCAAGCTTGGCACGCAAGCCAACAGGCTATACACCTTATTCAGCAAAGGAAACTATTGGAATGTTGAACAGTTCTCCCATGAAGCCAAGCACGTTCAATGCAGATTCTTCTTCTGTCTCACGCTCTAGCAGCATTAATTTCCCATCTACTTCTCCGGTCAAAAAGACAGTCGTGAAAGAGGAAATGGAGGAAGATACAGAGAATCAAGAACCTTCAAGCATGTCTCCAACACCAAGTACGCCTGTCTCTCCTCGTGTGGGAATGGTGAAAAAGACACGTTCGTCAGCATCCCATTCGGCACGATCGTCAATCAAAGCAGGTAGAAAGTCCAACATCAACAACGCATCAAGAGCATCAGCTGCACGATCTTCCGGTGTGAATGGAACGCCAAATTCGCGTAAACGACCACCATCTTTGCAATCCGTCAATCAAACAATGGCAAAAGATATAGTTAGCGCTCGTCGTTCACGTACGAATGCAATGCATACGAGTGGAATACCACAACGTCAATTCAGACAATCTGCTTCGCATGGAAATCGTAGATCAAGTGCTGCTATCAACGCAACGGCAACTTTACGCAATTCTACCTCTTCTACTATCAATGCTCCTCCTCCTTTGCCTGCTCCTCCTGCAGCAGGACATGGATCGCCAAGAAAAGGAAACAGCTCTGCTTTCGTTGAAGGTAAAGGACGTGGAAAATCCGGTTTCTTGGAAAGTGATCATGATAGCATCCCAAGGGCAAGCTCTCAACCACAACGTAAAAGAAGCACGCAAGCCTTAACCATGCAATCGTAGAATCAGCTTTTTCTACCTTCTGTTGTATAAATATGCTTATATCTGTATTATCTCTCTCTACGTTTTTGTCATACTAGAATCGATCACTGTTTACGATAAGAGAAGTATTGCATTGATGAATATTTGTTACAATGAGAAGAGGACACTAACGACGTTTCTCAATACCACGTGGACGTTCTTTGACAACCATTCTGTTACCGTTCTTAGTACCAGGTTTACGTGTACGTGGACCTTTAGTCTTTTGACCGTAAATGGAACGAGGATGTTTGTTACTCTTACTCTTACCACGACCACCACCATGAGGATGGTCAACTGCGTTCATTGCAACACCACGAACTTTAGGTCGACGTCCTAACCAACGCGATCTTCCTGCTTTACCCAACCGTTCGTGTTCATGATCGATATTGCTTACACGTCCAATCGTTGCACAACAATCGCTCTTCAACAAACGTACTTCGCCGGATTGTAAACGTACTTGTGCATAGACGGATGTCGTTCCACCTTCTTTATTGTTTGCATTTTCACTTTCTGCTGCTTGAGCACTTTCTTCGAAATTTTCAAAGTATTTACCGCTTCCCGGTAATGCACTTTGAGCGGGAGAACTGGCTGCTTCTCCTTTTGCAGACGTCTTTGCTGTTTGTTTAGTCGTATCGGAACGTTTATGAACAAAAGCGACCAATTGTCCATATGCACCCGCACTACGGACTAACTTTGATGCACCTCGAGCTTCAAGCGAGATTGCATGCAACATCGTACCGATCGGGATCAATCGTAATGGGAGAACGTTTCCCGGTCGAATGGCTCGGGTACGGAACATACCCATGTCTAATGCACTACCACCTGCTCCTGTAGCTTGTTTGATGGCTTCTTCGTCCAATCTATAGCTTTGTACATTGTCCCCTTCGCGTAAGCCATCTGTTGCCAAGATGTAACTTCTGATTTTCGTTTCTGCATGTTCTACCAGTGCGATATGGGCAGAACGTCCAGGATCATATTCGATTCGTATGATCTTTTGCGGTCCACTTTCCCATCTATGAAAGTCTACCACTCTGATACGCTTGCGATGACCACCACCTCTTCCACGAACGGTGACGTGACCATGATGATTTCTTCCACCTGTGCTGCGTTTAGTGATCGTAAGGGCACGTAAAGGTCTTCCTTTATAGATATGAGGTTGTATAGAAGTTCGAACCCAACGTAAAGAATGGGTGATTGGTTTGAACGTTTTGAATTGTTGTTCATTTCGTACGAAAGGCGAAGTACGTTTTTCTTCAATTCCTGCTTGTGCGAAAATGCTTTTACTCAACTTTTTCTTCTTTTCGGCTAATTTGCGTGCTTCTTTTTCGGCTTTTCTTCTTTCTCTACGGAATGGTGTTTGTGGTAGTTTATCCGCTTTTTCGTCCATCAATTGGGCTTTACCGCCAACTTTGAGAAGATGAGCAGCTTGTCCAGAACTAAGAGAAGTTGAGCCAATCGAAGGAACCTGCGAAACAGAAGCACGGCTTATCCTTGTCGGTTTAGGATTCGAAAGTCGGGCACATGTCGAGAATGAAGTATGCAATGATCCATTCTGTGCTTGTGGCAATTGCCGTAGCAGGGATGGACCTGCCAATATAGATCGCATCTTTGATCACCAAAGGTTGTGATGATATGGTTCAGTGTTAGCAAGTATAAAAAGATCTTTCATTTCTTCTTAATCAATTCGGATAAAGTCGCACCCAAGCACGCACGCACACAACCACTAATCTCAATTCATGTAAGCGTGTGCAGAAAAATGGCGATAATCACGTGAGTGTGCTGTAAGTGGGCGCTGCGCGTTTGCCAGGCCTAAGCTATGAATACCGACCTGATCGTGTAGGGTACATGCTCATGGTGGTGTTGGTATGTTACCCAAATGTAACAAGAGAATGGTCAAAAAGCCAACTATAACACTATCTCATGATTAACGGTATATCGACATTGAGTCTGTGTGTGTGGCCGTGGAATCACTTTAAGCCCAGAAGGAGATATGCCTTTCCCGTTTCTTTATCATCAAGGTCCTCGCAATTCTGACCGAGATGCTGCAAGGTTCACAAAGTAAAGCATTAATCATTGTGCGTGCTTATGCTCATTTCAATGAATGAAAGTGGTTCTATAGTGTACATGAGATCAAGGTAAGAGAAGGTCTTGAATCTAGATCAATTCATCAATTGCAACGCTCCATGGATGTTCGATACGTCCTAATTGAATATCATTGATGGTATCCAACATTCTCTTTGCAATCGGTCCAACACCTTCTTCTCCAACAGGGATATGAATATCACGTCCTTCATATCCAATTCGATCAACAGGTGCAACAACCACCGCCGTTCCACTACCAAACATTTCCATCAATCTTCCTTCTTTTCCTGCTTGTTCAACTTCTTTCATTGATAGCTCACGTTCTGAAACAATCAAATCTTCCGGTAATCCTTCGATACGCATCTTTCCTGATGCATGATCGCGTGCAAGTCCCAAAATTGAATCTCTTGTCACACCTGGCAAGATTAAACCATTCAATGGTGCTGTGATTAATTCAGTTTGTCCTTTATCGTTCTTGATCGCAGTGAATAAGTTCATCGTTCCAACCTCCGTCAAAAGATGTTCAGGTCCAAATAACCACAAGTTTTGTGAATATCCACGGGTAGCAGCTTCCATTTGTGGTTGCAAGCCAGGAGCATAGTTCAAACCCAATTTGTAACTACCTGTACCGTTTGGCCAAGCACGTACTTTGTTGGGGTCAGCTTCCAGAGCCACGGGCTTAAATCCTGATTTGAAGTAAGGTCCAACAGGCGATAAGATGACGAACAGCATTGCTTCATTGGCAGGATGAACGCCTAGGGCAGCTTGTGTACCGATCAAAGTTGGTCGAATGTAGATCGAATGTCCAGGTTCGGAAGGAACGAAATCAGCATCGAGAGAGACCAACTTTGCAATCAGTTTTGTCAATTCTTTTCCGTTTACTTCTGGTAATGCGATACGTGTTGCTGATCTGTTCAATCGTGCCATGTTCATATCTGGTCTGAAAAGACGAATGCGTCCATTGACGTCTTTGTATGCTTTCATGCCCTCGAACAAGCTAGGGGCATAATGAAAGATTACGCTAGAGGGATCCAAAACCAAAGGCTTGTAAGGATGAATTGCTGGAGGTGCCCAGCCTGTTAAAGAGTTCCAATTTGCAGTGACCATGTGATCCGAGAAGCTATGACCGAAAACCAAAGTGCTAGAAGGAGGTGGTGCATTTGGTGCTTGAATCTTTTCGATCGTCACTGCTCCATAATCCAAATCAGCATATCCAGTCTTTTCTCCGGTCATTGGATCTGTATGGAATGAACGCATTTGCTTGCCATTCAAAGCAGCTTTGGCTGCCATGGCCACATTGGCATTGCGTAGACCGACTGGCATGGCCAATTTCCGTCTTGCCAACGTTGTTGTGGTGAATCTTGATAGCGATGCCATGTTGGGCAAAGAATAATTCTATCCTATATGCAAGCAATCACTTCTGTTACGGACTTTTGTCTCACGGAGATGTCGGACACTTAGCCGGACGTATGATGAAGAGATTGGGGATGAATGAAGATTCTGTCGATCTTCTTATTTAACCTTTTCTTTGCTTGTGCGCTATATTTCTTTCGGTAATTTTTCCGAGGCATGACTGGGTTGAGTTGAGCGAGCAAGCGCTGTTGGGGGATTGAGCGCGCCAGGCACGCGTTTGAAGTTCAGAAAGAACTCTTGTCGCGTGGGCTTGTGTAATGTACTCAAGTGACTCCGTAAATGACTCCACAGATACCTTGTTTTCGGGGATTAACCCGAAGAGCAGTCAAGAGAGGTAGCTGGAGGGAAGAGTATGTAGTTGCATTTCGAGCATTAGAATCATTTAGCGTTGCTGTAACATATGTTTTTCAGGGTCAGGTGTTCAGAGCGTAAGCAAAACTAAAAAAAGCAAAAAAAAAGAACAAAAAAAGAGGAGAAGGTGATTTGAACACCTGACCCTGAGGGAATTACGTTACAGCAACGCTAAATAATTTTAACGCTCGAATTGCAACCACATGCTCTACCCCTGAGCTACCTCCTCGTAATTAACTCGACTCGAGGCTGTCACTTTATATAAGCTGCTTGATAGTTAAGCAAGGAAATGCCTCTAAAATAGGCGACTTTCGATAATCGGACTACAGTAAGATTCATTTAATGAAATCTACGTGCTTCGTGCGTCGATGCAAAGTGTTGTTCTTGCATCCTGGCTACCATCAAGGTCCATTGAGGAGGCGGAATGGCAACGACGACGACGACCGATGATGTACAGCCAACACCGGCAGGATATTATCGTCATTTAAATCAACACAAATTCACCATAGAGCTAGAATTACTCTCTTCACTCGCATCTCCTGCCTATCTGACCAATCTCTATACGCAAGGTATACTGAACGATGCTACATTTATTCGTTATCTTGCACATTTGATCAAAACTTGGAGTGCACCACAATACGTTCGTTTCATTCGATTTCCTATGGCTCTCACTTTTGGTCGTGCATTATGTCAAAGTTCTGCCTTTAGACAGATTGTTGGAACAGATGGTTGGGAACATCAGGTTACACATGAAATGATTGCAGCTTGGGCAGGTAAATTTGATCAAGAACAGGAAGTGGTGGGAGACGCTTCAGAGAATGACAAAGGGATGATCGATGTACAAATAACAGCTCCTCAAGATACGGATGACATGCAAGTGGAAATACCACCTATCAAACAGGAAGGCTGAAGAAAATTATATTTTAAGAAGATGTACATTTTTGTGTTCATGACCGATTCATGTTCGGCGTCGTATGTAGGATATAATCCTCATTCAACTTGTAGCTATACTTCATCTCTATAAATTGTACCATTAGGATTCGATATCATATTGTGCTAACCCGCAGGCCGCTCAAGAGATTAAACGCAAAAGAACAATGGAACGCAAGATTGATCACTGTTTTTTTGTGCATGAAACCAGATAATGTACAAATTAGTATTTTTTTGCTTGTAAGAGAGTACATAAAACGAACCAGATCATCGACGTCACTATGAGCGAATTCCCTTTTGCTAATTCCATCCTGCAGATGTATGCTGCATTTCAGCTTGCATTCCATCATTTGCTTCAAATCCATCATTGCCACCTCCCATCATTTGCGATTGCATATACATTTGTGATTGCATAACAGACATAATCCCAACCAAAAGCTCTTGATTACTTGGACAATATTCATATGTGTTATACCATTGCTGTGCAACTTTTAACCAATTTTCCGATTTTGTCGGATCAAAAGAAGAAAGATCAAAGTTGGACAAATCTCCTACACTTTTATCAACCCAAAAGTTTGCATTTGTGTTCGATGTTGATTCATTCTCATTGATCGTCTCTCCTCGGAAACTTTGTTTATTTTGCTGATACTGTTTTGCGGGTTCCGATCGAGGTGGTAGAGATGTCTCTCTACTACCTTGACGGACTCTGCGGTCCTCCGAACCTGGTCTTTGCCATGAGCTTTTTCGTTGCTGTTGTTGTTGCTGCTCCTGTTCCTGTTGGGCAGCAACTCGACGAAGCATAGCAAGTTGATTGGGATCAAGACTGGTCCCTGCAGCCGGAGCACCGGTATTGGCTTGTTGTCTAAGGAAGAAGGTATTGTCAAGATTAGTGGGCCGCATAGACTCTTGCTATTAATCACTTTACTCACCCTTGATCGGCTGATGCACCTTTTGCAGCTTCCGTCGTGACCGCTTTTGCTCCTGAATTGCCCAGCATTGCCAGCAAGTTGGCTGGTATTCCAGCTGGCGCGGGTGGTGATTTGGTTGTCCTGCTGTTGTTGGTATTTTCATCTTCATTCATCAACATTCCGTATGGACTTCCCATCGAATTGCCTATTAAGCATCATGATCGAATGCGCATATCATCAAAAAAAGACACAAAAGATCAAACGTGCATGAAGAGGGAGAAAAAGGAGGGATGCAGATGATTGATATAATTTCAGTAAATTGATCTTTTCCACAGCATATACAGCACATAATGTGTTTAGGTGATGCATCATTAATCGATAATAACCTTTTTCATCTTCCTGTGATCGGAAAGAGGCATGACTTGCCCCCTCACCTCGAAGTGCTTTGGACCGTATTCTTTCGAGCATGCCCGTGTCGAACGTGTTTGCCTTGATCCATATATCGACAACTTTGGCGACCTTTTCCTGTCAAGAGTTCAGTTCGAATAGTCAGCAAATGTGTACATCCCTACAATCTTTCTCGTAAACTCACTCTTTGGTCCGGTCGAACGCTTTGAGCGGTAGAAAGAACGATTTCTTCTACAATCTTCGCACATGCACCGAGGAATGCATTTGCAGCATCTACCATAGCTTCCTTTGTCCCAGCAGCAGAAGAGCTACCTTTTGGTGGTCTAGCATCCTTGTATTTGAATCCTGATGCTTTCCGCCGTATGACTTCTTGTGCACATCTTGCCATTGCATCAAATAGATACAGAGATGAAATTTTGGTTTTCGCCTTTGCTGAGTCGTGTACCTTTACGATTACGCTGGCCATATCATCCGCATGCTGTGTGATTGTACCGCGATAGTTAGCATGTGAGCCTCTTTTCATATCACCTGTACGTTCAACTTACGTCAAAGTTTTCTGATGCCTCATTCCGTATACGCTCCACGCGAGACGAAGACAACTTATCGCTCGAAACAATATCGGTGAGAGTTTTCTGAAAAGTCTGTTTGCATTGTAAAAAGAGATGAAGAGCAAAGTATGTGATGAGATACATGGATGCAGTAGTTTTGTGTGTAAGTAAGGGAATTGATTTTCCCTTACATCTTCCCTCCAATGCTTACCTGTAATGCTGTCATTGTGATGGTGGAACTGAGTTTACTCTGCCTTTCTCCACTGACCTTGCTTGATGTTTGTATACCCCTCCCTACACTTTCTCTTTTCGATCTTTGCGCCCTGTTCAGCAAGGTCAAGGCTGATTTGGCGTTTACTGGCGTTGTTTCTCGATGATGATGACGGTTGCCCAAATTGACCGCGTACAATTATCAGTAAGACTAATAGATCAATCAGTCAGTCAGAGTCAGTAAGCGGCGCTTGAATGAATAATCAAATCTGACTTTTTTTTCTTTTGTTTACTAAAAAGAAAACATTCAAAACGCGCGCGTGTCTATTAATACTGACACCAGGCCGGCGCGCACGCTAAAATTGCAGTCCGACTCGGACTACTTACACTGCTCCGGAGCCTAATCTTTAGATCCCCGGCAGAGGAAAGAAAAGATCCAATCTCCTCCCTTCAAAATATTAACTCTCTCTTATCCTACATCCACATACACACTCTCTCAAGACGAAAATCGACCCCTTTCTCAACCCACTTTCTTTCACCCTTCTTTCTGGCCAGGTAGCCATCAGCAAGAAGAATATCAAGTCTCTTTTTTCATTTCATTCAACTCTGTTTATCAATCCTCTCACGGAAATAATTTTCAGGGTGTATATCGACATTCGACCTCTTCCATTCTACGATCCAGCAGATAATATCCGTTCAACAATCTCGCTCGACACACGGTTTGAGGATCACATTCGTTACTTTACAACTTTTCGTTTCACTCAAAACATTTTTGTATTACATTGAATTCAACGTTTTCAAAAATACCATATTCGAAGACCAATCTCAGCACATATTCGACTATTCAGCAAAACACAACAGCAATCGACAAAATGACACAATCATTCTCCCAAGATCACAAGCGTACTGAACGCCGTCATCACAGAATGGACGCCGAATTGCAGGCGCGCGCAAGACCATACTCTCTCGTTCGCAAAGATCCTGTAAAAGAGATCAGAGAATTCGTAGAAAGACACGCTGAAGACGGACGTTTGGAACGTCGTCTTGGCGGACTTCTTGGCGGCGGCGATAGTGGTGGTGGTGGTGATAACGGTGATTCACCATCAGGTAGCTCAGGAGAGAATTCAAGTAATGGATCTCAGCGAGGTAGTGGGGATAGCGGTAGCAGCAGAGGAGGAGGTAGCGGTACCGTTGGCGGAGGCAATGCCGGTGGAGGCACCACGGGAGGAGGCAACACTGGTACCAACACCGGTACAGGAACCAACACTGGTACCAACACCGGTACAGGAACCAATTCTGGTGATAGATCCGGTAATAGATATGGTTCAGGTTCAGGTTCAGATTCAGATTCAGGTACAGGTACAGGCACAGGTGCAGATGGCGAGAACAGCAGCTCATCTTCTAGTTCAAGTTCCAGCTCCTCTGCTGCTAAAGAAAGCAAGGGAATCATCAAAAGTCTAGAATCCGAGCTTCGCCATTCTTCAACGAGTTCAACTTCTTCCTCTCCCACTAGTACCTCGAGCAGTTCAACACCGACTATAACATCTACATCTTCATCATCCACATCAACAACTCCCATGACACCATCAACTTCTGTTGCCTACGTCACACCTACTGCTGCCTCGCCAACTCTGAACAATGCAGCAGCAAGTGCAAGTGTAAGCCCATCCGATACTCCCAGCAGTGGACCAGGAGCTGGCTTGATCATCGGTATCGTTGCTGGTGCCTTAGCGGGTATTGCTGTCTTGGTTGCTCTCGTAGGTTTCTTGATCAAGAAGTTCTCAAAGAAAGATGATCCATACCAAAACAATCCATTTGACAGCGGTGATTTCCGTCGTCAAAGTGCAATGTTGCCCGACACTTTCGATGATATTGATCCCAATCCTGAAATGTCTGAATTCAATCATCGCGACAATATGAGCCCTTTCAATGATGAAATGGAGTACGCTGCTGCTGGAGCAGGCGTGGGAGCTGCTTTCAACGCTCGTAACGAATCTGGCGGCCCTCGTCCTCCAACTATGTTCCAAAACCATATGAATGCTCCTGCTGCTCGATCAGGCCCTGGTGGTGATGTACCTCCTGTGCCCATGATCGGCTCTGTATTCAATCCAAATGGTGTTGACCCCTCACCACAATTGCCTCCAATGGCATTTGGAGGATCAGATCCTTACAGTATGGCAGGCGTTGGAAGATCAAACTTTGATAATAACATCAATAACCCGTACGGATATTTGGACCGTCAATTCAGCGCATCCCGTTCATCTCCACAAGACAACTTTGTCGATGCACCTCAAGGCTATGCTGATTTAGCTCGGACAGGATCTGACGGATCCACGCAAAAGAGCGCAGGTCAAATGTACTCTGTCCCAGAAAGCAATGAGTTCAGATCGTATGACTATCATGACACGGCCGGTAGACCTGGTACCGCAGAAGGACGAAGTGGTACACCTGATCTTCCCAACGTTCAGCAAACTTATGCTATGGCGGATGACCGTGAAAATGACGGCCGAGTTCAATCTCCAAACAGACAGATACTTGCACCTTCACCTCATCCTAGTCAAGATTTCCTTTCGAACGGAAGCATGCAACCAAATCAACAACACATTCATCAAACACAACAATACAACCAGGATCAATTCGACAACTACCAACACTCTGACTCACCAAGTCCTCCTTCGCAACCATTGCAAGTGCGCAACTTGTTGCCAAATCCACATCTCGCTGTTCATCAGAATAACGAACAGCGTCCTGTGAGTGGAGTGAGTAGCGTGGTAGAGGACGAAGCTGCTTATGGAGGTGTTTGGTAATCGTCTCTACTAAAGTACAAAGCTGGAACTTTTACTTTATTGATATGGTATCAAGATTTTCTTTTTCAATCTTTCTCACCTCAATTTCTCATCGTTTATGGAGCTTTGCTTTTAATTCTCTGCTCGATATTTGCTTTCTATTTTCACATTCTTTATTGCACGGACTTTATCTTTCCAACTTGGGCTATTGCGCACCACGTACACTTTGTTTGCTCGAGTACGTTTGGGTAGCGCCATTCAATGTCCTGTATTCTTTTCCATATGATCATGAATTGGATCAAATTATCTTATAAATGAGTGCGAGTTCCTTCAGTGTATAGGCTTGAGCGTTATATACATTAGAAGAGAAGAAGTTAATTTGGGCTGCCGAGCATCTCTTTTAGTCTATTTGCGGTACGTGGGCGCAGCGAAGTGCTGGAAGCAGAGCCCGTACAAAAAACAAAAACGCACGCTAAAAAGAGTCATACTGTACGCCAACTCAAACCAATTCTTCTTGCGGATATCAATTCTGGCTCGCTTATCTCCATCATATCATCCCTACACAAATACGCAAACAGCGTATACCATACCATCTAATCATGGCCAACGTATTGCATCACGCAGCCGAAGCGTTGCACATCTCACAATCAAAAGAAACAGCGGGTCAATCAACCGGCAGCGGTTCTACATTTTACGTAGACGAAAGCGGCAAAGGAAATGATGAAACGGGAAAAGGAACAAAAGAATCACCTTTTGCTTCTGTCGTAGGTGCTTGGCTTGCAAAAGGACAAGAGGCTTCAATTTTAGTAAAACGTGCACCACAATCAACAAAAGCCGGTGAAGAAGATGTACCAAAAGACGCCGCAGCAGATGCAGATGGTTATGCGCCAATCTCTGCAAGCGGAGTGAAAAAGGCAAAAAAGTTGTACGATATGGCATTAAAGAAGAAAAAGAAACAAGAAGAACAAACGGCAAAACAACAAGAATCAGCTGGAAGTGATGAAAAACGATTGGAAGAAAGCAAGAGCGTCGTTTTGGAAAAGCCTACCGGAGATTTCAAGAGAATCAAGATTGCACATGGCGTGGACACAAGAGATCAACCTATCCGCGTACAAGGTTGGGTGCACAGATTACGTAGTCAAAAGGGATTGATCTTCATCATCTTGCGAGACGGTACCGGGTACATGCAATGCGTTTTAAACGGAAAGTTGACACAGACGTACGACGCTCTCACGCTCACTTTGGAATCTACTGTGGAAATCTATGGTACTTTGAAAGCATTACCCGAAGGTAAATCAGCACCAGACAACCACGAATTGGTGGCAGATTGGTGGAGATGCGTCGGAAAGGCACCTGGAGGAGATGAAGCATTCACCAACAGGGTTGCCGAAGGAGCTGATCCTTCCATTTTGGCTGATTTCCGTCATTTGGTCATTCGTGGAGAGACTGCGTCTGCGGTGCTCAAAGTACGTGCTGCTGTTATGCGTGCTTTCCGTGCAGAATATGAATCTATGCGTATCACTGAAGTTACACCACCATGCATGGTTCAAACACAAGTCGAAGGTGGATCTACTTTGTTCAAATTTGATTATTACGGACAAGAAGCTTACCTAACACAAAGTAGTCAATTATACTTGGAAACGTGTTTGCCAAGTTTAGGAGACGTTTTCTGTGTTCAAGAAAGTTTCCGTGCCGAAAAGAGTCATACCCGTCGTCATTTGAGTGAATATACCCATTTGGAAGCCGAACTTGGATTCGTTTCATTTGAAGAGCTATTGGAACATTTAGAACAATTGATCTGTGGTACGATCGATAGAGTGATGGCAGATCCAGCAGCAAGTGCACTTCTCAAACAATTGAACCCTGGCTTCCAGGTACCCAAAAGACCTTTCATGCGCATGGATTATCGCGATGCGATCAAATGGCTCAACGAAAACGATATCAAGACAGATGAAGGAAAGGACCATGTTGTTGGAGATGATATCGCCGAAGCTGCTGAACGTAAGATGACAGATGCACTCAACGTTCCAATCTTCTTGGTTCGCTTCCCACGAGAGATCAAAGCATTCTACATGAAACGTTGTCCAGAAGACAAAGAATTTACCGAAAGTGTGGATTGCTTGATGCCTGGAGTGGGAGAGATTGTTGGTGGAAGTATGCGTATGTGGGATGCAGAAGAATTGCTCAAAGCGTACGAAACTGAAGGTATTGATGCAAAGCCATACTATTGGTACACCGATCAACGTAAATACGGTACATGTGAACATGGTGGTTATGGTTTAGGTGTTGAACGTTTCTTGGCATGGATCTTGAACAGATGGACGGTACGTGATTGTTCACTTTACCCACGTTATACCGATAGATGTACACCTTAGATAGTGTTGATAAAAAAAGCACGTTTTTATGTTGAACTCAATATGATTAATATGATTCAGTAAATGATTCTAATAACTGTTAGATTATCTCAATGAATGTGGAAGGCGAAAGTTATCTGCCTGAAGCTGTATTGAATGATGGGGAGAGAAAATGAAAGATGATATACAAAGATGCAATAAGAGAAAAGAGGCACGAAAAAGGAAACCAAAAGCGAACAAGCTTCTCAAAAAGAAGAATCGGCTAAAGCTTGATTTTCTTTTGATGATACTTTTGGACTACTGTTTGCCAAAGTAGAAGCGAACAAAGTTGTTGGTTTACCTTTAAAATGATGTTTCTTTTTTGCCAAATTAAGTTTTGACGTACAAGGAGAAAGCATATTATCCGTTGGTGAATAAAAGTTATTTCCCGATGCCGCACGGGCTGCTAAAGGAGCAGTTGCTCTTCGATGACCTTCTTCTTCGGTAATGCTTGTGATTAAACCGTCTGTTGCTCTTCGTTTGATCACGATTAAATTGCGAATACTGTTTGCTGGGTTTCCTTCTTGTTCTGTAACGTTGATCAATTGATCGATGCACATCGTACGGGCAGGCAATGATTCAGGAGTACGTAACAGTCTTTGTTGAACCTTGATCTGGTTGTTGTTACTGTTAAACTTCTTTTCGATCGCATTTGGTCCAACAACCACATCTCCATTTGGCATTGTGAAAACAACATGTGGTGAAAATACACTTAGAGTGTTTGATTGAATTTTTCCACAATATAATTCTGTCAATGCTTCCAAGATTGCTACTTCGTCCACATTTGTTTCTCTTTCGGGTAGGACGAGTGAATGATCAGGTGTTAAACCTGCTGCGTTGAGCTTTGAGGTGTTCATTGGCATCATTGTAGCAGCGTTTGAGGTCGGTTAGGTGACAAGAGAAGTTTATCGGGAAAGGTCAGGCTTGAACGTTGATGGTGTTGGAGAGAGAAAAAGGAAAGAAACTTAAAGAATAAAAAGTAAATCTAAACTTTGCGTCACAATAGGCAATGTATGTACTTTGTTTTCCCTTCTGCTGCTTATTGGAGTGTGTAGAAGAGTTACTTCTCATTTAAAGTGTTGGTCTCGCCCGTATGCATAAACTCAGTATAAGTTCTCAGAACTCTACGCGCTTAAAATGCGAAAGAGAATTTCAACCAACACATTTGTGAGCGGAATAAAGTTTGACTTAATTCACCGCCTGTGTGTAAGCTTGTTGTCGTGTCGGGTTTCGGTGTTTGGCTTGAGTGTTGGAGTGGAGATCTTTTTTAGCTTATTGTGACTCAGGCAAAGAGGATGTGATCACATCTTATCAACCCCATAGAGCAAGATGACATGTCCGGTACGATGTAGCACTCGGATCTTTGGTCCTCTTGCAAGCCGGCTAGGATCCTCAACATATCTCACTATATCCTACACAGCAAGTAACAATGGCCGAACATATCATCTTAACAATCTATCAAGATCATCAAGTAGAGCTTTTGCATCTACATCTCGTCTTCAGGCAGCATCTTTTGGAAGATCCATTTCTGAACTGCCAGACAAGGTATCATTACGAACAGGACCTCTAGGAAGACTATCGAAAGTCAAAGCACCACGTGAATCAAATAAGATCACAACAAGAGTAGGCAGTAGTTTTGGCGGTAATCATTCTTTGGAATGGTGTCAACCGCCTCGAAATATTCTTCTGATCAAGAAACAGAACGATAGGAAGACAACAGAAGCTATGCGAAACATAATACAATACCTCCATGCAAAGTATACCGATATCAACTTAATCATTGAAGGCGGAAAGGATGATGGAGTTGAAGCATTTTCAGATCTTGCCGACAGATTGGTTTGCATAGACCCGAAAGACCATACTCTTTTGGCGGATAAGGTGGATTTATGCATCACTTTGGGAGGAGATGGCACGATCTTGCACGTCTCAAGTTTGTTCGATCGGTCCGCCGTTCCTCCCGTTTTGAGTTTTTCGATGGGAACGTTGGGTTTCCTTTTGCCTTTCCATATAGACGCATTCCAAACCGCATTCGAGGATGTGATAAATTCAAAAAGTTCATTGCTGCTTCGAATGCGGTTACATCAAACCATGCACGAAAAGGATGGTACGCCAGTGAAAGATGAAGGAAAGGGAACAAGTCGAACCGACGTTCATTTAATGAACGAAGTTGCATTACATCGTGCAAGTTCTCCGCATATGACAATGATTGACGCTTTTGTGGACGGTCGTCATTTGACTCAAGCGATTTCTGATGGTTTGATCATCGCAACGCCAACGGGATCAACAGCATATTCACTTTCGGCCGGAGGACCGATCGTTCATCCATCCGTACAATCACTCGTTCTAACGCCAATCTGTCCGAGATCCTTGAGTTTTCGAACGGTTCTCTTGCCGAGCGATGCAAATATCCAATTAAAAGTCTCTAAACGATCAAGAACGGCTGCTCAAATTAGCGTAGATGGAAGAGATGCACAAACACTATTACCCGGACAATATCTGCAAGTTGGCATGTCACCTTATCCGATCCCATGTGTGAACCGAGCATCTTTTTCGCAAAAGATATCATCATCCAGCAATAAGCAGAAGGGCTCAATAGGTGCCAGCAATAACGAACCTCAATTGATCGAATCGGAATCTAGTGATTCTTTCGAGGATTGCCATTTTTCACATTCCGAACGTGGAGAGGATGATTGGGTAGGTGATATAAATACTTTGTTGCGCTTTAATGCAAGCTTTTCCGGTAGAGGATTATTAGGTGGCAATGGTGCATTTGAAGAAATGGAAGATCATTCTGGAAGTAAATAGTGTATAACATAAATTGCAATTCATACGGTAGTGTCTTGAAAATAGCATGGCTGTGATGTTCCAAGAAGGTGTAAATTTTGAGGCTGTACGCGGCAACGTGTTTGTATACAGACCGTACGCGTATTCGAAGTGTATGTGGGCGTAATCATGATTCTTCCAGTCGCATACAGACAAACGTTCTTCCCTCATACGATCATCGAATAGGCATCGATATATGAATTGTTCTTGCTGCTTCATTGCAGAGAAAAGAGGAATCAAATCACGACAAGGTGAATAGAAGATAAAAGCATTGGGACAGTGACCGAATTTGAGAGGCAAGACAGAAGTGGCAATCAATGGCTTCATTTATTGACGTTGCGGTAGATCAGCCAGGTAATGAACCTATCAATATGGATGACGATATGATGTCAGAGTACTACAACGCTCCTACCATCAATGGTCCAGCCGATGATCATGCAATGATGATGATGGAAGAAGCCGATCAAGAATCATCAAATTTGATTGCCGCCGATACGATTCTCAATGATGATGAAATTGCATCCGTTTCAAATGAAGTCGTGATGGAAGAGTATGGTAATGATGGGAAATTGAACGAGAATGTTTCATTCGCAAGTACATCTTATGCAGATCCATCTATACCTGCAGACGTGGAGATTCAACACTCTGTCGGCGTAGACCTTCCAGACGAAACAATTGGAGATGCAGTATACGAAGAGGAAGAAAATGAACATATACTTCCGGCAGGCGACGGTGTCGCTGAAGTCGAACAACCAAATGATATCGCAAAAACAGCTACTGATCAGACAGGAGAGTCAGAAGCAGCGCAGATAGCGAAAAATACAGAGGAGACTACAGTGGCGCCTGAACATGGCACACTGGATTCAAACGATGAATATGCAACGGAAGGGCATTTAAGCGAGAACGCGAATGGTGGAGATGAAAATGTGACAGAAAAGATAGAGATAACACAAAACTCAGTAGACAATGGCACCGGAGAAACACTTGTTGTCAAAAAAGAAATAGAAGAAGTACAACCGCATGTACAGGATGAGGTGGCAGGAGAAGGTCAAGAGGAACATATCTCATCAACTTTGGCAGTTGTTGAACAAAATACACAGGCAGACGCAGAACAACATCCGCCTGTCCAGCCAAATCCAATACGGATCACGTTTGATGGTCAGGACTTTGTTCTATACCCAGATGAAGAAACCTCAACATTCGTCTCAGTGAACCAAGAGCGGGTTCAAGCACCCGTGCTTCCAGTTGAGGCAAAGGTATTCAGTGATCCATTAGAATCTCTCTTCGAAGCATTGCGCATTCGAGAAGCTTTGGGAGATTTCTTGGATGAAGGAACCGAACTTTGTTTGACGTTTCATGATCTAGACATGATTGCACGTGAAGATGATATCTATATCCGTGAAGTTACTTTGGATGATATTCAGAGGTTACATTCAGGCTTAGGGTATACGTCTAGCATGCACATCAGCGTTTCAGAATCGCAAAGATTCATCAGTCGATATAACGATTTGGCCAACCAAGTCTCGCTTTTGATTGAGCAGAAGACGGGCATTGAAAGTGTCGAGGAAGGAAAAGGAGAGCAGCCAGTTGAGTCCTCAGCGGGTGATGCAAATGTCCAAAAGGGACATGGCGATGCCACAAGCCCATTGAAAGCAGAAGTCGCGGTCGAGCTCCCCATCGAAAAGGAAAGTGACGGAAAAGAGGCGGGAGAGGAAGAAGGTGATCAAGAGGAAGAAGAAACATTTGCGACAGTCACAAACGATCAAGAGAATGACGAAGAACAGTATGTCGAGTCTTATGAAGGAGGCGGAGAAGTACAGAATCGACTAGAAGGTGACGAGGATGCTAAGCAAGATGAAGAAGATCATCCAAGGCAAGTTCACCTGTTCTCCATACAAGTAGCACCCGCAGAAAATGCTGAATTTGCTCATGCTCCTGAAGAGACCGAATTGGAAGCTGATGCGAAAGAAGAAACGCAGAATGAACAATTCACAGAAGAAGCGGAAGGCAATGAAGAAATTGCCGGCCGAGATACTGCCACCACTTTGAGTGGAGACGGCGAGGAGCTCGACAATCAAGCTGATGCTGAGTACGAGCCAGCCGATGAGATTTATGATGAAAAAGCAGACGAAAACGAAGAGGAGGGCACAGAAGAATTGAGAGGCGTTGAAGAAGTCTATGAGGATTATGAAGAAGAGGACCAAGAAGAGACTTACGGTGATGACGGGGAAGAGGCAAAAGATGTGCAAGAAGAAGTATATGAAGAGGAATTTGAACCTCAGACTGGCACACACGGTCAAAAGCGTCAATTCGAAGATGAGCTCGATTATTCAACAGAGGATCTCAACGGAGAAGGAATCGATGCTTTGGAACACAACGAAGATGACAACAAGAGGGCACGATATGAAGAGCCCGAGAAGGATGACGCTTAGTCAGACTTACTCTTCTGAAGCATATGAACAAGAAACCGTAATCAAGACTTGGCATAAAGCCTCATTTCGGACAACAAGACTCCCATTCGATCAAGTGTACAAAAATTGAGGTCTATAGAGAGACTTTCAGATACCCTCAGGTAAGGGCAAAAGAGCCAAGAATTGTTGTATAAAGGTAAAGAAAGAATGGAAACGGTAAGTCGATCCTGTGGTATGGGAATAAAAGTGTCTACTCACCTTCTCTCCTGACAGCAAAACGTATAAAGTTCTTCCATGACTCATCATCAACTCATACATGTATAATTAGACATCTATATGTCACCTTTCAATACCATCATATCCAATAATATCTTTTGTGAGCGTTTGAAACAGATGACCAAGCATGTCAATCATCATCTTCGCTTAAGCAAATAATATCCACGACAGCTTCCCTTGAGGAGATTGCAAAGTTGTATAAAAAGCAATTTCTATCTCTATTTTTAAACAAGTGTACAATACATGATATATGAAGACCAGTCACTAGGCTAACCAAGTGGCGGCACTTCGAAGCTGTTGAAAGCAATGTGGGAATATTTGACTAGACAGTAACGTCCAATTTGCGTTGACTTTGTGAGAAGCTGTTCGTGCCATTTGATTGAACATTTTGTTGTAATTCTTGTTCTGATGCCTCTTGAGCTTGAATGATTGCACGTTTTGCTAAAAGAGATTCACGTTTTTGGTCATACATGCCAAAGTGTAAATCATGACTTTCCTCAAACATTGGAAGCTTTTTGGCCCATTGTGGTTTTGCTTCGATTGCCATTTGACGAAGGAAGGGAAGGTAATCGCCCACCATCGTTCCTAGAACATGATATGGTAGCAAATAAATATGATCTGGTGCCTCGTATTTCTCGCCCTCTTTTTGTTGTGCTAATTCTGCTTTTCGCTTCTCCCATATTTCCAAGGCTTTCCTCTCGTTCTCCGCTTTTTCTTGATGCAGTTTACGAATGAGTGCTATCCTCTTATTCTCATAATCTCTTCGACCTTCAATTGTGGGAGGCAATTTGTATGATCCATCCCAGATAGCGCGAATCAGATGGCTTTGGAAATCACTGGTCCAGAACGGAATAGACGTCACTGTTAAGTTTACGAGGGCCAGGGTTGATGCACGTTCATGCATGATTTGCCAAAACAATCCACTAACACGAGGAGGATTATTGCCATCTTCATCGAATGAGGTTCCTCTTGGTGCGTCAGATATGGATCTCCAAGGCGCGTCAGAGTCGTTGGTCGGCAACCATTGATCATCTGGATCACCTCCTCGGAGATTAGGCAGCATTTGAGCTTCTCGCTGTGTGAGTTCTCTATCCAATACGTTTACAAAGGGAAATTTGCCGATTTCATATCCAACTGCCAAAATGACTCGATCGACATCTTTGATCACTTCTCCATCTATTAAATGAATGTCCAATTTACTCTTTCCATCCTGCTCGCGAACGACGAGTTTTTGCATTGCAGGAGCATCCCGAATCAACGGGTCAGGTAAAGAAACATAAAAGAACCATGCCTTATGTCTGCAAACTCGAATGACAGGCTCATGCTTTCCGAGCGTACGACGAGCGGCCAATTGAGCACAAACATCGTTGCCTGAATTTCCATTACCCACCACTACGATTCGTTCTTCCTCTCCGTATGGCTCAGGTCCACGATACCATTTGCAATGTTCGATGAAACCTGCCTTACGTGCTTCAGCCATACCGTCAATTCTAGGATAGAGCGGCTTATCAGTCCAACCAACAGTGATGATGACTGCATCCCAATATTCCGTTCTTTCCTGACCCCCTCTTTGCCAATCACGAGTTCGGACTGCCCAAACGTTCTTCGATGCATCTTCTGGATGAGGTAACTCCCAAACGCCTATGCATTCTGTATTACAGCGAATGTGAGGTTTCAGAGGCTTCGCAATTCGTTGTAGATATGCATAAGTCTCTGCCAACGTTGGGAATGGATCTGCGGCAACTTTTCCTTCTTGTATTTGCTTTCCTGCTTCTCTTAGAGCCTCTTCAGAGCTCTGTGGTGGTGGGAAAGGTTGCGTTCCAGAAAGAGACAGGAACTTGGGTAATACATTTCCACGTAAAGCAGGATAAGCAGGACTTGGCCAGTAAGGTTTTGAGGATGAAGATGAAGGAGCAACAATCGGCCAAATGTCATTTGCTGTTCCCTTTTCATGTGATTTTTCGAATTCGACACATTTATCATCCAGATACCATACTCCGCCAATATTATCCCTTCTCTCGATTAGCTCCACACGCTCAAATGGTGCATCGTTTGCCTGGGTAAGATCTACACCACCTTCTTCAACCAAAGCTCTAAGAGCGGCAAGACCTGCAATACCACCACCAATGATCAAGATCTTCTTTGGTCTTGGATTCTGAACAAATGGAGGCTTGAGTTGCTGTACCATCTTGTCTTGATTATTGTGTTTGCCTCACTGCCAAAAGCAGATGGTGGCTTCAAGGCATGCTCGTGTGAAGTGTTTCTCTTGCTTTCTTCCTGTTGGTCGGACATATGCAGTATGCAATAGAGCACGTACCCTCATGAACCCGTTAACAGACCGCCCTTGGCTTATCTCAAGCACGTCATTTTAAGCTCAAAACGCATAATACGCATAATTGTATTAGGAAGGAAAGCGCTTCAGGCATTTACAAAAATTAAAGATTCTTTCTCCATGCCTGGGCAGTAAGATTAGGTCCAAATATAGAAAATGGTTCAGTATGGATTAAAACGAAAGTAGAACCTTTATATATTTTGAGTAAAACATCCATCCTTCATAATTTAGTGCGTGTGTATAATCAACTTGCTTCGCAAAAGAAACACAACTTTCGATTGGATGTTAAAGTGAAAAGCTTTTCATTGGACGTGATGTCTACAGGAATAAGGTCTCTCTTGGTGAAAATAGGAACCAGAAGGAAGAAAAGAAAATGCTATGTACAACAGAATGAAAATAAAAGAGAAAAACGTACCCTTCTCAGACTTGTAAGCTGGCCAAAAGGGCACGACGAGTGTCAGCATCCAAAGTAGATGCCAACCTGATCACTTCTTGTGATTTCGCTTGCTTGACGAGACCATTGAATCGTTGTGCAAATTTACCATTTGCATCTTCCAATGTTTTGATCATCGTTGCATCGTCAACATCATCCAATCCAACGCCCAATGCATCTTCCAGGGCATTTCGCGCAAGTTGGGTATCAGATGAGTAGATCGAGCTTGCGGATCGTAATGTCTTCAAACATCCTTCTTCCAACAATTTACGGTTCAATCGTTGGTAGAAGTATCTACGAGCTTCTTTCCACGGAACAGCTTCGCGAATAACGCCAACTGCAGTCATTCTTCCAGTCTTGTCGTGCAAATCAGCGTATGCTGTAGCAACTGCTGAGAAGATTGGTGCAATTTGCTTTTCACGTTGAGCCAATGCTTTGCGTGCTTCGTTGCTTGCGTTGGCAGATTTAGCTTGAGCGGAAAGTTTGGCGTATTCTTGATCCAATCTGTTCATCGTTTCGCGTTGCTTGTCTTGACGGTATTTGACACTGACAATACCTTCAGGTTCCAAAACACCACCACGACTTGTAGGATCAGCGTACATTTCCATCAATCCGTTGTCATTGATTGTCCTGTCAACAACAACCCAAGCTCCACCACGTAATTCAGCTTTTGGTGGCAAGTAAACAAAGACAGGTTGCTTGTATTGCACCAATCCATCAACAATCATTGAACCGTACTTGAGAACTTGTTGGAACATATCTTCTTGACCACCAGAGAAACCACGCCAGTTTGCCAAAATCATCAATGGCAAACCTTCACGGTTGAAGTCCAAGATGGCTTGTGCAGTCTTGTAGGCTGAGTTAGGGTACCAGACCTGACCGGCTTCCATAATTCTTTGTTCTTGCGAATTTGGGTTGGCAGGATCAGCTGGAACAACACGTTCCAAAGTACGTGTTTCGACTGCAATAATACCGATTGGGATACCACCCAAACGTGCACGACCAACGACAACAGAAGTTGCCCATCCAGCAAGAGTTTCTTGGAAGGATCCATTGTCGAACAAACCAGAGATGTGTTTGTTGGTTTCAGCGTCTGTTTGACCTTCGATCAAGAAGCGTGGGTCGTATGCTCCAGTTGGTGGAACATAGTCAACCGAACGATCCCAAGTATCGGCACCGACTGTTGGTAAGAAGCGAGGCAAATCCAAAGATTTCTTTGAAGGAACGAAGGACAACCATTTCACAAACGATGTCATGGCAGACAAATCATCCTTGACGGTGATGTGAGAAACACCGTTCCGGTACATGATTTGGGGACCACCCAATTGCAAGTTACTTGTGTACACTTCCCGACCCAAGAGCTTGTTCAATGCTTGGTATCCGGTCAAGATCATTGGTGATCCTTCCACTTGAATCACACGTTCACCAAGACGGGCCAAGTAAGCACCGATACCTACACTTCTACCGGTAACGATTGTTGCAGTAAAGATTTCTTCCTTTGCTCTACTCGTTTCACCGGCAATCAAACCAGATCCAGAGAGACATTCGACACCCAAACCATCTTGAGATGCACCAATGATGTCTGTCAAAACGTGATGAACACTTCCGTCTCCGTTGGTCTTCTTCTGTGTACGAACGCTGTCAGGTGCGGTTCTGTTCAATTGTTCAAGACCTTCATTGTCCAAGTATAGGTACTCGAATCCTTTCACTGCATCATCATCGACGAATTTGACCTTGAAAAGATCCATCACTTCTGTTGCCAAACCAATTCTTGCACCAGAGTTTGCTGAAACGTACAAACGTGGGATGCCCAATTGACGTGCCATGCGAGATGCAGCTGCAAAGAATGCATCTTCAGCAGGTCCGAATGAACCAGCTTGAATGGTAACATCGTTTGCAATGATGATCAAGGGACGACCATTAGGATATTCAGGTGTGAGAACTTCGATCAACCAAGCAACCATACCAATCTTGTTCATTCCTGGAGCACGTTGCACTTGTCGCAATTGTTGATTGTCATCCAAGACCAATTCGAAATGAGATTTGATTGGGTCAGAAGGATGCTTCAACGATGTACGCTTCCACTTGGCACGCAAAGATTGACGTAAAACATCAATGAAGTCATACGCGAATGTGGTTTGCAATGCGTGTGCTCTGGAACGACGTGATTGCAAGGCAACCTTTGTTGAGTATGGTTGGTTGGCAGGTTGCATGTGCAAAGGAGCGGGTGCAGATGGACCGGCAATGTTGGACAAGAGAATTTCTCCATCTTCGCCTGGAAGTTCTTGGTATGCTTCATAACGAACAACCAAACCAGTCTCATTGGTGATGAAGGCACGCATTGGCATACGTTCACCATCCTTTCCGCGAACGATCAAACGAATCTCAGCAGCGGTAACACGCAAACGGAAGAGACGTAAACCGTGACGGTCAATGAAACCTGCCAATGCTCTTTGAACATCTTCAATGGTGATCTCCAATTGGTAGATGAAAGACATAAAGATGTGAGAAGCATCTGCGTTGCGGTATTCTGCTTGACCCATTGCAACTTCCAAAACGTTCAAGATATCGTTCACGATACGATCAGAAGCGGAAATAATGTACTCAGCTTGGTTAGCTGTATCAATACGACCGGGTCGAACGAGAGAGCGAACAAAGAAACGGGTGTCGGCTGGGTTCGCAATACCACGTGCAAAGTACAAGTGGATTGTTGAAGAAGAGATTGGAACTGGTGTCACATCGAAGTTTGTAGTCATACGTTCCAACTCCAATTGATAGGCAAGAGCAGGCTCGATGTTACGAATGAACTTCTCTTCGGCCCATTGACCACCATCTTGACTTCTTCGCAATGTGGTGAACCAAGGGTAAACACCTGGTTGACAATGCAAGAAAGTAACACGACTAATGCAAGCAGCGTCGAATTCGGATGCAAATGTGTTGGCAGCTTTGATGAATAATGCACGAGCTTCAACATCAGTTGTCTTTGCTTCATTTGTCACAGCAATGTTGAGAACATTTGTTGGTGCGTTCAATCTAGATTTGAAGTAACGCAATGTTCTTGGGATCACTTCGTTCAAATCATCGAAAGTGGCACAGCTGGTCATTGTACCCTGTCTTAGCTCAGCAGCAGCACCACCGTTGATACCATGACCGTTGGTACTGTGACCGAATGCATTGGCATCTGAAGCTGCTTTCATGGTAGCCAAATCACTTTCAGATACTTGTCTCTCGGTTTGAGGTCTTCCGGCGGGCAAGACTTGGAATTGCCATGTGAGAACAGCACGTTCTTCGTCATCGTAATCTTCTGTTGCGTATTCAAAGTCCACGATTTCATAGGCACGGTAAGCGCGCAAGACGTATGTAACCAATGCGGCGTAGGCCAAATGAGGTTGTGAAGCGCCAAAGAAGGTGTGCAAGACGTCATACACAGTGTATTGACTGTCACTGAGCTCGCGAAGAGTGTTGAAATCAGGTTCATGATATTCACGATCGCCACCATAGGATGATGACATAATGGACGTCTTGAGAATGGATTCCATTTGCAATTTACGATCGTCCAAGCTTGGCAAATCACGAGCGAGAGATACTTCGCGAGCTTTCAATGCAACTGGAGCGGTAGATTTACCCTCCAAAGCAGCCAAACCGTTCAATGCACGACTGATCTTTGAATCAGCAGTACCACGAACCCAGATTGCAGCTTGCTTTACCACCTTGTCCAAAAGCGAAATCACTAACGCATTCTTCAACAAGACACCGTTATGTGAAAGTTGTAAAGCAACAACTTTGTCTAAGCTGTCTGCCTCTTGACGAAGTTTCAAAACCACATCAGCTTCTCCAGAGAATTGACCTTCAACGTCGGCATAACGTTGCAAAAGACCTGCCAAAACGTTGGCTCCGTGTTGACGCAAACCAGGTGCGTATTCATCAAAGATGTGCATCAAAGGCGCAACAGTGGTTTGCACTTGACCTTGAATAGCCTTATCAGCGCTATCACGGATGTAGTTGTCAGTGACTTTGCGTAAACGGGCTGCTGGGAATTCCAAACCCTTTCCGTGACTGGAATCAATGGAAGTGCGGATCAATTCTTCCAAGCGAGAAGGAATACGTCCAGACAAGGAAGAGAGAACGTGCAAGGCTTCACCGTATGGCAATTCAACGTTGTGCAATAGGTCCAATAACTCATTGAGGCAAGCTTGCATTAACACGCTTTGATCGAAACCGTCCAAGATATCGCTCAAGACGGACAAGACGTATGCGAATCTTTGATGAGATTTGGAACCAATGATGACTGGCGACCCAGAGTCAGGCAGTTGACGATCGAATGGCTTTGCGCGTTGAACCTTGGATGGATCATCAAGCGAAAGAATTGCCAAAATATCACCTGCATTGACTGGTGTACCTGGAGACATGAGGAAGTTTACAATACCGCTCTCTTGACTTGTCAAAGGCATGTACATCTTCATCACTTCCAACTCAGCAATAGGTTGACCGGCAGTGACGTGAGATCCAGAAGAAACCAACAAACTGACCAATTTTCCGGGAGATGGACTGCGGATTTGTGAAGGATCAGTTTCGTCTTCCAAAAGGGCGGTCTTGCTGTCAACCATGAGACGCAACGAAGAACCGCCACCTTCTTCACGCCAGTAGGTAGGGTGAGAACGTCCGGAAATACTGATCAACATTCCACCATCACTCAATGAGCGTGTTGCAACTTGATGTCTTCCACCGTTGAGGTAGATTGTCCAACCAGCTGCAGATGAGCGAGAACATGTTACTGTGAATTTGACACCGTCCATGGTGAAGGTAATGTCACTGAATGTGGTTCGAAGAGTATCACGAGGTGGAACTTGACCTTTGTGTAGAATGCTCATGTAAAGAGCTTCGCATTCTTGCCATCTCAAGTGTGCTTTCACGACCGCACCACACAATACAGCAACTTCCAATGGAGGCTTGTCACTTGAGACACGATCTTTGATCAATCCATCAAGCCATGCGGTAGAGATTTGGTTAGATTCGAAAGCAGGCTTCTCCAACAACATGATCAAGTATTCAACAATTGTTCGGAAATCACCACGAATGTTCAATTCTTTGAGAGAGACGACCATGTTTTGACGAGCCTCCTCACGAGACAATCCATAGGCGAAAACGTGACCGAATTGTGAATCAGCAAACTCGTGCAGTGCTCCTGATTGACTGACTGAGAAGTATCCCCAAGTGGATGTGGAAGAACGGAAATTCAAATCGGTCAAAGCACCCATTCCAGGCTTGAAACCTGTTTCTGGATTCTCTGAAGTGATACGACAAGCAATGACATGGCCTTTGGGTTGAGGCTTGCGTTGAGTTTGCAAACTTGCTGGGTCTTTGAAGTCGAAATCGATTGGCTCTGTTCCTTTGGGGTCCATTCCGTACAAAGTACGAATATCACGGATGCAGTACAATGGCAAACCCATTGCAACTTGCAATTGAGCAGCAGGAATATTGACACCAGAGACCATTTCTGTGGTAGGATGCTCCACTTGCAAACGTGGATTTAGTTCGAGGAAATGGTATTCGCCTGATTCGGGCGAGTAGAGCCATTCGACTGTACCTGCGGATACATAACCGACAAGTTTTGCCAATCTGACTGCTGCCTTTTCCATAGCTTCACGAGCATCTTCAGGTGCGATTGTGATTGGTGCTTCTTCAATGATCTTTTGATGACGACGTTGAACGGAACAATCACGACCGAAAATACTGATTGCATTACCGTATTGATCTGCCATCAATTGAACTTCCAAATGTCTTGCTTTTCCGGCCAATTTCATGACAAAGACTGGAGATCCAGGAACTTCACCAAGGACAGCGTTATATAGTTGACGGAAATCTTCTGCATTTCCGCACATACGGATACCTTTACCACCACCACCTTCACTTGCTTTGATCATGACAGGGAATCCGATTGTTTGTGCACGTTCAAGACCTTCTTCGGATGTGTGAATGCATGCTTTTTGGTATACTTCGTCAGAGACGGTCAAGAATCCTTCGTCGCTCATGATTGTATCTTTGACACCGGTACCGGACCATGGCATACATGGTACATCTGCGTGTTGAGCGACAATTGTGGAAGAAATTTTGTCACCCAAAGAACGCATAGCAGATCCTGGAGGTCCAATGAAAACAATCTTTTGCTTTGAGGCACGTAATTGTTCTGGCAAACGTGGGTTTTCTGATGCGTGACCCCAACCTGCCCAAACGGCATGTACGCCAGTTCGTTCTGCAATATCGACAATCAAGTCCACATTTGCGAAATTGTTGTTATTTGTTCCACCGGGCACTTCTACCCATTCGTCTGCCAAACGAACGTATTCTGCGTTGACCTTGAGATCTTCTGGTGTTGCCATTGCAACGAATGTGATTGCACGTTCATTTCCAAATGTTTCGTAAGACCATTTCCGGATTGAACGAATCTCTTTGACGGCAGCGATACCGTTTGTACACAGAAGGATACGTGTGATCACTGTATGACCTCCATTGCGACGAACGAAATCTGCTACGCTGCTTGAGGCGGCTGTGTCCAGAGAGTTACCACCAATGAAGTGTTGAACCTTTTTATGGCTCACCATTGTGGTGGGAGGTGTAGTAGTCATATTGTGCAAATGTCTTGTAGTAGACTGAGAGTTGCACTACTCAAAGGGACATAAAAGACAAATTTGATGATAAGGAAAAGATGAGGATAATAATATGGCAAAGGTCAAGAATTGATGTTGATGAGGGAAGATATGTGATCCTCTGATGACCAATAACCAAAGGGATGATGGAAGAAAGATGATAACGATTGAATGAATGAAACGTCCAAAGTTTAATCGGTAACCTTCTTTACCCCATATGCCGTTTGTACAATTATTCCAAATGAATTTCGCTTCGGATAGAATACAAACAAAAAAGTGTTGTTGTATTTGGTGACCTACAGTTAGTAGTTGCACATGTTTTCCCAAAAGTTTGAAGCATGGGAGCAGTATAATTGTTTAAATTTTACCCAATTGAACATGCATTCCAAAAAAAATAAAATTCACCCAACCAAACTTTGGGACTTGTGGAGTGTCCGTGCATTTTTATTTTGAGCGAGAAGACAGACAAACCAAGCAAGCACCCCAGCTTTTTTTTCTTACTTTAACCTTCCTGGCGCCAACTAACGCGTACACTGGGCAGGTCAGCCGACTTCCTTTACCGTCTTCCGTTCCTTACCCGGATTTGTATTCCGTCAATACAAGAGTAAATGGTGATTCATGCCATAATTCTCATTCATTGTTATAAGTACCTTCGATTAAATCTTGATATTTCTTTAGGATTACCACCTATTAGTGACACGGAAGCTCGTTGATCATTTCGAAGACAGAATAATGAATTAGGCACACAAATCTGCAAGCCTTGCAGCAAGTGCATATACGCCGTACCACTCTAGTGCACAATAATAGCCTTTTTCTTCTTCTCTATCAATACACTAGCCAAAATTTTAAGCTACAATTAAATTCAAGGACAATGCCGTAAAGGATAAGAGTTTAATCATTCATTCGGGATCGCAATAAAAATAAAATTTAAGTACATTATATTTGACCTTTCTTATCACAATGATCATTCATTAGCACATCTATTCATTTGACAGTGAGCCCCATACGCTCACAAAAGAAGAACGCATACATGCACCGACTTCAGCCCTGGGCCGCGCTTTGGGCCAGTTGCAAGAACCCCAACAATGAAATAACGCGCTTCTCGCTGGAGTGCGGCCTGCCCGACTGTACGCGTTACTATACACACTAAAGTTTACTCCGCAAATCAACTCCGATCTCGGGCCAACCTTGAGTACCTCACTAACATTCCCAAAAAGAACAACACCTTCTCACGTGAAGTGTCATGGGTTGATCACGATCTATTCCTATAGGATGGTCTTGATGAACAACTGTCAAATGAACAAGACGAAATATCATTAAAAATAGAATATGTACAATACACTGGCAGAAATAAACAAATCCCTTAACCTCGTCGCTCTTCAACACATTCACGTACGGCTTCACGTGCTAAACGTAAGAAATCATTCTCGTTCATCATTTCCAATCCAACATCACCGTTTGAATCATCGGAATTATTACCGGAAGATCGATCGTCCATTAACTTCCATGCTCCTTTGATGATCATTTTGATTGATTCATTACGTTTCTTAATTCGAACGGCATAATCTCTTTGTCGTTGACCGATTCGAACGGATTCATTGTGGGCTTGTTGTGTTGTGATTGTGGCTTCCCGTGTTGGTCGATAATTTCGCATCTTTTCGATTCTCATAGCTGTCGATTCTTTGCCGTTTCTCTTATTACCTCCTCCCATATTGTTATTCTTGGATGATCTTAATTGGAACAACATCGAACTTCTTGGCTTTTGTCTTTCTTGAATCGTACTTCTCATCACGCTCATTGAAGCATCTGAAGCATTATCTGCCAAAAATGTATCACTAGGATGCAATGAAGGTGAAGGCGGAGAGAAGATATTACTGTTACGGTCACGATAACCCCCTAAAGGTTGAATGCTATCATCCATTTCTTGCGGATCGCCTTCGTCCATGAATTCAGGCTCCATCTCCATCTCAGAATGTTGACCGCCATGCATATGCATCAAAGCGTCTTCTTGGTTGATTTCTTGTTCGCCGCCAGCTTCATCAAATTGTGATGGATTGCTTCGATTTCTTCCTCGATGTCCAGTCACCGTATCATGATCATTGTTCGAACCTCTTTCTGATTGGTCTGATTGAAGTTCTTCTTCCTCGTTCCATTGACCCTGATCACTGCCTTCTAATTGACTGGCAACAAAGCTATTGCTCTTGTTGAACTTAGGTCTGATCGGACGTTCTTCATCCAAATCTTCACCGTATCGTGTATCAGTGCTATTGATCAACATTGCATTTTGGTCTGAATCAATCGATTGTCGTTGTTCGGATTGTTCATGATTTTCTTCTTCTTCCTCTTGTGAGCGCTCAAATCCATCAGCATTACGGGTTTTCAGACCAAAGTCGTCAAAGTTCTGAACTAGACCGGCCAGCATATCTGCTTTTTGTTGTTCTTCATCATGATGGTTTGAATTACCCGTCTGATTATTTTGTCCAGAATCTTGATTATCGTACCGGGCCCAATAGCGTTCTTCCTCTTCTTGTTCACGACGTTGACGATCCTCTTCCGATTCTTCATGTTCAGAATCGTCATTATCTCCATCTCCGTCTTGATCCTCGTTATCATCTCCAGTGCCCGCCCAGAAGTCTTTAGGATCGGTGTAGTACTCAGCAGGACCTTTTTCGTTTTCCGTATCTGTTTTTTGTGGCCACGGCCTGATCGCCTCTTTGTCATGGGTGCCAGGAGAGTGGATATCACTGTTGATTCCGGTTTGAGGTAAGCCCTTCCTTACAAAATTATCATCAAATGAGACATCATTGTCGAGTGATTCATCACGTTCAGAAGTATCCTCATCGCCTTCAGAACGATGACCGGCAGAAGCAGTCGAATAAGCAGAATCAACGGTTCCGATTGTGCTTGTAGTAGTGACAATGCTGTATGATCTAGCTTTCTGCACTTCCAGATGATTCTTTTTGCCTTTTTCAAGGTATTCTTGTGCTTTTTGAATACTTTCATGCCAGCCTTCAGGAACGACATCGGAAGGTAAAAGATTGTCAAACTTGTAATCTTTTGAATCCTCTTGGTCTCCCTCCAAACGCATGATCAAAGTCAAAAGTGTCTCTTCCTTTTCTTCACCCAGATCAATTGCTGCCAAGATGCATTCAGATTCGGGAGTTCGAAAACGTACATTTGTCAACAACGGACTTGATTCGTCTGTATAATGCGAAGAACCCATTTGTTCCACCTTTTCTCTTAGTTGATGTAACAGTTCAATTGCTCTTGATGGCGTATGTCCTTTGGGTGATGGATAACAATCTGTTACCAGATAGTCTTCTGGATCATCCGCATACAATGAAAGCAGATTGTGACGACGATTTACATCTTTTGATTTGATATCGTTGGGCAGATATGGTGGACTTGCAAGCAAAAAAGAAAGCATCGAAGAGGCAGCCTTGCGTACGGCAGATTTTTCTGGACCAGAAGTATCTTGAGGTGGCCTTCCTATTGGAAGACTCATCATGCTTGACGACATTTTAGAGGTAATTGGTAGGGAGAAAGAAAGCTTCACATAAAACGGTTGTTGTGGGTTGACAGAGGATGTATGCACTTGAGTATTCTTTGCGAATGACTTATTTGTACGTCGACGAAGGGAGTCTGTGCAAAATGGATTACGTTTCTTTGATTAGGACCTTGACACCTTTTCAGAACCTTGATCACTGTGGAGCTGCTTGGAAAAACGCTCAGGCCGCTATCGATTCCTGAATGATGTATGCGTGCACTTTAAGCAAGGCCTGAGCGTTATTTGTGCAAGTTCATACAGCTCTATCGCAGTTTTAGGAATGGTGAACATCGGGGGATTGTTTGCCAGCAAAGCCTTACACCATTTTGACGAACAAAGTTCAATATTGTCTGTTGCCCCGTGTTGTTCTCAGTGCTCTGTTTCACGAGCGAATGACGCTTCTTGAGAAAGAGTGGGAAAAGATCTCCTGACCCCTAGAGCAAAAGAGGATAGTTTGTCTTTACCCGTATTTCCTTCCCTGTGAGCGGCCTGTGTCTGATGGTAAGAAAGCAGCCCTGTCCGCCATCACTGATGTCAAAAACTTAAATTCCCCAAAAATGAAGCTTTATCGGAAAAGCCTGAGATTTTTAGTCTAACCCGTAATCCGAGAAGAAGATGAATAATCAATCACGGCGGCGTGCTCACGCCCTGATAAAAGGCTATTAGAGTGGGCGTCTGTTTGCTTACGCGGGAAACGTATCTTATGATAGATTGCCGAACAAACACTGTCTTAATCTGCAAGCAAATACAGTAACAGGGCGGAATTTATAATATCAGTATGACTGTACACGCAAACACACACGCACACAGAGGCAGGGTCAACTCCAGACTTTTGCTGCATTAAAAGTGTGGGCAACCCATGCAAGATGAGCCTGAATTAATAACCTTACGTATATCATACTTTCACCTTCTCTATCCTCATCTTCTCCCCCCTTGACCATAAAAAGATGTCTGCTCAGCAAAGATTATCAAACATTCAACAACACATCGAAAATAGTGCGGCTGCAAGCATCTTTTCAGATGTGCCACAAGCACCACCAGATGCAATCTTTAAATTAACCGCTGCATACAAAGCTGACACTTACGATAAGAAGGTCAACCTCGGTGTAGGTGCTTATCGTGATGATGATGGTAAACCTTGGGTTTTGCCTTCGGTCAAGATGGCAAAGAGAGCACTACTCGAGAACGAAGATATCGATCACGAATACCTTGGAATCACTGGATTAAACGAATTCACATCTTCCGCTGCTAAGCTGATCCTTGGCTCATCATCCGAGGCCATCAGCGAGAAACGTGTATCCAGCGTTCAAACAATCAGTGGAACAGGTGCAAATCATTTGGGTGCCGTATTCTTGAACAAATTTTATCCTTTCGATAAAGCAGGTGGACAACGTCAAATTTACATCAGTAATCCCACATGGGCAAACCATAAAGCCATCTTCAACAGTGTTGGCATCAAACCGGTGGATTATCCTTGGTATGACGCAAAGACTGTCGGACTTGATTTTGAGGGTTTGACAAAGACTTTGAAAGAAGCACCTAAACAATCAGTCTTTCTCTTACACGCATGTGCTCACAACCCAACCGGCGTTGACCCAACGAAAGAGCAATGGAAGCAAATCGCTGATCTGTTTGAACAACAAGGACACTATGCATTCTTTGATTGTGCTTATCAAGGTTTCGCTTCGGGAAATCTAGATGAGGATGCCTACAGTGTTCGATTGTTCATTGAAAGAAGAACGATTCCAGTTTTGGTTTGTCAAAGTTTCGCAAAGAATGCTGGATTATACGGAGAGCGAATTGGTGCTTTACACATCGTTTCCACCACACCTGAAAGAGCAGCTGCCGTTACAAGTCAATTGAGTGTGATCCAAAGAAGCGAAATCAGTAATCCACCCGCGTTCGGAGCCAGAATTGTGACAATGATCCTGAACGAACCAAAATTGTGGGATCAATGGCAAAAGGATGTTACAACGATGGCCGACCGTATCATCTCTATGCGTAAATCGTTACACAGTCTATTAGTGGAGAAGTACAAGACACCGGCACCCGGAGGTAACTGGGATCATATCCTTAAGCAAATCGGAATGTTTACCTTCCTCGGCTTAAATGAGAAGCAATGTGCGTTGATCGTCAACGAAGGTCACATTTACATGACCAGCAATTCTCGTATCTCTATGGCTGGATTGACCACCAAAAAGTGAGTAACAACCTGGATGTTGTTTCTTGTTGAGCATTATACTAACATTTTTTCTTTTTTTCTATCAACAGCGTTGAATATGTTGCTAGCTGGATCGATAAAGCAGCACGTTCATGAGTGATATAAATTGTCAATCTCGTGAATACTATCATCCCAAAAAATGATAGGTCCATAAAATATAATTAAAACAATAATTGCCTATTCTTCTCACTGGACCTGTTTTTTTGATCATTGTCGAATAGAGACATGTATACGATATATCCTCTTACGAACCGAATGCAACACTTACAATCAACCATTTGGCTCGTTTCCAGAATTGAACGAATTTGTGTGCTGCTTTAATTTGAACCCTGTAAATAAAGAAGGCTTTGCGTGCGGGGAATGATTTTACCGTCCTCTAAGCTAGGAGAGAAATAAGGACACCCCCCGTACCACTTCTCTTAATTACTGGCGCCCCTCCCCACGCACGGCAAGATTTGAGAAATAGCGATCAAATAAGCGTGAATGCAAGCAAGCAAGCACAGGGCCGGTTTCAGCTTACGCCGAGACAACCGGTGGCTTCGCTTTTGCGGGTTAAGCAGAAAGAGTGCACTCTCTCCACAACTTGATGGTACCCTATCATCCTGTTTTGCTATCATCCAATTCAAAACAAATATAACGAAAAACACATAACATGAAGGCATACGTGATCGATAAAGATATAACCCTACCAGACTTGTCGAGCAGGTTGCGAAACGATGCAGAAGAACCTGAAGCAGATGGGGATCATGGAGAGATTTTGGTAGACGTTTATTCGAGCGCATTGAACTTTTTTGATATTTTACAAATTCAAGGAAAATATCAAATCAAAAAACCTCATCCTTTTACTCTGGGTGCAGAATTTGCAGGTATAATCAATGAAAAATCCCCCATTCCAGAAGGATGTGATTGGATTCCTGGAAAAACACGAGTGTTTGGAATGGCAAATGGTGCTTATGGTGAACGTGCATCGGCAGATTGGACAAATGTACGTGAAATTCCTAATGGGATCTCATTCGAACAAGCTTCGGGTTTGTTTGTAACTTGGCCAACAAGTTATGCGGCTTTGAAATTCAGAGCAAACGTTCAACCGGATGAATGGGTTTTGGTTCATGCAGGCGCAGGTGGTGTTGGATTAAGTGCGATTCAGATTGCAAAAGCATTGGGTGCAAAAGTGATTGCTACTGCAGGCAGTGCTGAGAAACTCAAGGTGTGTATCGAACAAGGAGGAGCGGATGAAGTAGTGAATTATCGCGATAAAGATTGGCAACAACAGGTGAAGGATAAGACGGACGGAGGTGTTGATGTAGTGTATGATCCTGTTGGAATGATCATTCCAAGCTTGAAGTTCATCAAATGGAACGGAAGGATTGTCGTCGTTGGTTTTGCAGCTGGAACAATCGAAAAGATCCCAGCAAATTTAATCTTGCTCAAACAGATTTCCGTTATGGGTGTCTTTTGGGGTGCACATATCGCCAATGAACCTGAACGAATTCCAGAAGCATGGAAAGCAATCTTTGATTTATTGGAATCCAAGAAATGCAAACCAACAGCATTTGATAAGATTTATGATGGATTAGAGACATTACCACAAGCTTTGAAAGATTTACAGGACAGAAAGACATGGGGTAAGGTAGTCGTTCGATTAAGGGCAGATCCTCTCTTCCCTCCAAAAGGATCGTCAAAGCTTTGATGGTCGATGTCGATCTCATTATATTGAATGATACTCTCACTGTACACACTATATATGCTCTTTCTTTCAATATGAATACGCATTGATGCTACTTATACATGGCGCGTGTAAGTGTGAGCGTGGGGGGATAGCGAGAAGAATGAAAGATTAAGCTTTTGGAGAAATGATTGAACACATACTTCTTGCACTCCACCTTCATTTCGCATCACACGATGGGCATTTCAACTGCTGGACATTTGCCTTCTATCACATCAACGTCTTATCCAGCTCTTACATCTCATCTTCTATCAGCATACAATGCACAAAAAGTTGGAAATTGGACAGTTTCAGTGAGAGTACTGCGAAGTGTACTTTCGTTGGACAATCAAGATGGAACGGATGGATCACATGGAAATCAAACAAGGGCAAAGTTGATGTATGTCGTTCAAATGAGCGAGTTTCCAAACGATACTTTTGTTCTCATTGAAGATTCTCAAAGCGAGACCAGGGCGAGTATTCGTGCGAAACATGCAATGTCTGTGATGCAAGCTGCAGCAGTGGCAGCTGTTTCTTCTACAAATCAAGAGAATAGTACAGCCTCACAGCAGATAGATGCGGAACCGAAAGCACAGAATGGGGTCGATGCATCTGCAAATAGCATACAAGCTGAGACACAGGTAGGCGGAGAAGAAGATGTCAAAATGGGAGACGTCAAACAAGATGAAAAGACCGAAGGAAAGAAGGAAGAGGAAAGCAAGAAAGATGAGGCGAGCGCTACTGAAGAACATGATCGATCCACTGATGCTCCTGCAAGCGCAGCAGAGGTAGACGACCTCTTTTCCGATCCGCCCAATTCCTCAGAAACACAACATGCAGAACAAGTCAAACCATCACAGATAGCGTCGGAGCCTGCTGGAAACTCTTCTCCCATACTGCCTTCTCCCGACTTCAGCTATGTCTCTGAACGACCTACAAGACATACACTCTTTGCAGCTTCTGCACAGTACCTTCTTTTGCTATCCAGGCTCAACTTACCTGCTCCTTTAGGTGCTCCCTCCGTAGGCGATGGTGGGATAACAGCGGCTCATGCAGGCCCAGGAGCATGGGTACCTCGAGGTGCCCCGGTGTCAATTCAAGGTGCAACGTATGATATCCCATCTGCAACGGGATATGGCTCGGGTGGTGCTGAATGGCGTGTTCGATTGGGAATGGTACAATCAAGTGGAACACGTAGTGCAGGAGCACTTGTTGAAAGTGAATATTTACCAATCTTACGTTTAGCAAGTGATACGTTTTTGTCCAATTATTTGCATAATTTGTTTCCTGCTTATCTTACAACACCTTCTCAAGCAACAACACAACAGAACGTAAATGGACTTTTGCAAACTGGAGTTGCTCATTCTGCTCCTACGCCAGAACAATGGCAAGAGGTCATTCCTGCTTCTAATCAAGCCTGGATGGAAAGTGTGGGAATCACTTCAACAAACGATCAAGGGATGAAAGAGGCACAACGGTTGCCGCTCCAGCAAAAAGATCGAATCGGATGGCAGGGGAAAGAACGGGGAAGAAGGTTGGCCTATCTCTACATCACCCTCTTGCGTAATCAATCAGTCATTTAATCACATCACTGTAAAATCAACAATTAATGTATTTTTATTCAAATCTAGAGTAAAGTTTATTTTGATAACAATAAAAAAAGTACAAAAGTGCACGACTCGAGCTTTTAATTCGCTGATCCTCGTCCGATTGCAGCATGCTTAGATGCATTGACAATGGGCAATGCTTTGACCGTTTCTGAACTGCTTGCGTCTCCATTGATAGGCTGACCAGGTTGCTTCTCGGGCTTCTTCAGGTAGCCGACAGCCACCAACCAGGCCAAATAACGAGCCAAAACATCAGGGTTGACACCTTGAACGACATCTTGTTCGCCGAATGACTGCAAAAGGGTTTGTGTATGTCTATCGTCCAATTCAGCAGATTTAGTAGAAGTTGGCAAATCATCAAGGACAAAGTGCAACAGAGGGAAAAGTGCATTTTGTTCTTCTCCCTCTGCATCTCCTGCATTGCCACCCAATACGTGTTCTTCCAACTTTGTACGCCAAACAACATATTCGATCGTCTTGGCGTTCCAACCGTAGGTTTGAAGTGCATTTAGCATATCATTGAATCGCACAGTAGGATGACCAGTCACATGGTAAACCCTTGCTGCCGTTCCAGGTGTTTGTTTCTCGATCATGGCAGTCTCCAAAGATGCCAAAACTGTAATTCTAGCAACATGATCAACAGGTGTCATATTTACGCTGTTGTGGATATCTGGCACCAAGCCCAATTGAGTACCACTCTTGACCAATCTCCAGATGAAGTCGTCTGTGTTCGTGACTGAAGTTTCACTGTCTCCCAACACATAACCAGGTCGGATGATACTTGCACGCAGACCCCGTGCGGCGCTGACCATGATCAATCGTTCGGATACGTACTTTGATTGTCCATAACCCACATTCAATCCTTTTGCACTTCCAAGCAGATCATCTGTTTCTGGAACACCGGCCAAAGCGGTGGAACGATCAACAGAAGTATCGTTGGCAGCACTACATTGAATGATACTGTCGGACAAGCGAACATAATGATCCGAATCAAGAGCAGATGTTGAAGAGACAAATGTCAATGTCTTTGGCTTTCCGCTTGCACAGAATAAGATGCAGGCCAAGGTTGATAGAACGTTTGGTGCCCTCAAGCTCTTGTATGGATAAACCCAGTGTACCAATGCTCCGTTATGAATGACAGCGTCGACTTCTTGTGCCAATGTTGACCAAGTTGAACGGTCCATGCCTAAACGATCGGCAGCTAAATCACCAATGACAATGTCTAGCTTACCAGCAGTGACCCACTCTTCATTCCAGCATTGACGTGCTTCACCGATGGTTCGTAGTCGTGAAAGAGCTGATTCTTTGTCTTTTGCACGGACATGCACGATTACCTTTGCAACGTAATCCTGACGCTTGACAAGTAGATCCCTTAAGATGAAGATACCCAAGAATCCAGTTGCACCTGTTAACAAGACAGTCTGTTGATGTGGTTTTGCAGGTGAAGCAGCGGTGAAAGAGTCAGGAAGTGAGCCGGACAAAACACCGACATCTTTATCGTAGTCTTCATCGTTTAATGTTTGCCCTTCGGCATTTGTCTTTGCTCCCTCAGGTTTACTTCCACTCAAAGTAGATGCCACTACACTTGCATCAGAATCGATTTGCAAATCGGCCGATTTCAATTTGTCTACTTGACTTGCCAGTGCGCTGACCGAAGGGCTTTCAAAAACGACACCGAGTGGAACATTAACCACAAATGCTTTACGCATTGCGAATACCAATCGAGTTGCTAGAATTGAATGACCTCCCAAGTCAAAGAAGGATTCGTCTGTAGGTACCGGGCGTGGGCAAGAAGGCAATAGGTCGGCAAACAATCCAGCAATACGCTCTTCTGTTGCGGTAAGCTCTTTCTTGACACTTGCAGATCCATCTGTTTGGCCATTGGTACGAGCTGTGGAAGATGATGACAATGCAGCATTGGCCAATGCTGTATCAGGGAAAGGCAAAGCAGGCTTGTCAATCTTTCCGTTGGGGTTCAAAGGCATCTTGAACAAAGGCACGAAGAGGGTAGGAACAGAGTATGCTGGCAATTTCTTCTTCAAATGATCACGAATGTCCTTAATTAATTGTCTGTGTCTACGCATACCACGAGCAAGATCTTTGGCTGTGATTGATGCGCCTGTTTGTGCTTTGCTGTCATCTTCACTCTCACTGGCTTCTTGCAGGGAAGTTGCGCCTGGACCGGGTACAAAGTAGCTGACGAGCACCTTTTCTTCGTCTTTATCACGTCGGACCAAGGTGACATTTTCACGTACGTGTTGATGTCTGCTCAAGTGAAGATCAATCTCGCCCAATTCGATACGGAAACCACGAATCTTGACCTGATCATCAGCGCGACCTGTACACTCTACCGTTCCGTCTGGCAAGTAACGACCCAAATCTCCTGTCCTGTACATACGATCACGAACGCCTTTCCAGAATTGTCCTTCTGGCTTGCTGGCGAGCGTATCTTCAAATTTGACATCTTTCGCCAAGAAGTTCGGGACGAATTTCTCTGCAGTAACTTCGGCTGGACCCAAGTATCCCTCTGCAAGTCCACCTGAGCGAACGTAGATTTCACCAACCTCGCCGACAGCACATGTTGCTGTACGTTCATTTCTATTGACGACCAATAATTGAACATCGATCATACCTTGACCTGCTGGCATGACATCCTTTTGAGTAGTCAAGAATGTTGGTTTGCCAGCAATATCTGGAATTTCGAAATAACTCACAGCACGTTGAGTTTCCGTTGTTCCGTACATGTTGATGATTCGAACATTCTGTGCTAAAGCTTGTAATCGTGTACAATCTCTTTTGGTAAGAATATCACCAACAAAGAAGGCATTACGCAAATCCGGGATTTGAGCAGTTGCTTGTGCGGATAACAATTGACCCATAGCAGGTGTCAAATGTGTCACTGTTGCTTTTGTAGCAGCCATCCATTCGGCCAATCTGCCAGGTGTGCCGATATCATCAGCCGTAGGGATGTGCAACTCAGCACCGAAAAAGAGAGGTGTAAAGATATCACGTTGGATCGGATCGTGAGCAATACCACTCAACATTGTAAATCTAGAATGAGAGCCTAATTCAAATCGTTGGCCCATCCAAGGGAAAAAGTGTGTCAAGCTGTGATGACGTCCACGTACACCTTTAGGGATACCTGTTGAACCTGAAGTGAACGAGAGCGTGGCCACACTATCAGGACCCAAAAGCATATTTGTGCTTTGTTTTGCCTTTGCTTGAGCTGCTGAGAGAACATCTTGGCCATTGTCACCGTTTCCTCCAGTCAATGTTCCATCATCGTGCAATTCCAATGCTGGCACTTCTGTACGGATATCCAACTCCTCTTTGATGCACTTACGCACGGATGGGTGTAATGTACCAGCTTTAGCCAACACGACGAGAGCGCGAGGCTTGGCAACTTGCAAGTAGATGTTTTGTCTGCTTGGCGGATAGGCAGGATCGATCACACTGAATGTGGCTCCTGCTTTCAATGTTCCAATGACAGCCACTACAAGGTCCACGCCACGATAAGCATAAACGGTAACCACTTCTTCTCGTTGTACACCGGCTTGGATGAGGTGATGAGCTAGAATATTACTTGCTTCATCGAGTTGAGCATATGTGATTTCACGTACACGGCTAGCAGGTGGCGGCAGATCGATAGAGGTGGTGTCTAGTGGTGGTAGGGATTCGATCAAACAGCGTCTATCGGGATGTTGTTTAGCATTGTGCTCGAAGATGCTGGTGATGCTTCCGCGGAAGCCACAGAAATCCAAGTCTTTACGAGGGTCGGGCAATAGGGCATCTTCGTTTGCAGTACGTAAACCAACAGTCCCTACCAATGCAGAAGGGTTAAGAGAAGCAGCAGTGATTACGTGTGACATATGTGCCAATAATAGCTTGGTTCGATTATTGGAGAATAACAGAGCATTGTAGGATACTTGCAGCGATAGATCAGGCACGACTGAACCTCTAGATGGTGCTTGCGATGAAGGAGAGCTGTGAACGACATTTTCTGCTTTGACTGTGCTTGTGCTAGAAGCGAGATCACTCTTTACCTCTCCCTTTGGGCCCAATCTTGTAACAAATACAGTCAGATCAGTTGTTAAACTTGTATTTTGCAAGAATGACCTCTGTCCTGCACCAGTTTCATCAAAGAAGCGAACGCGGAAGATCGGTGCACTTGGAGTTGCTGTACTTGCATCTTTGCCTTGTTCCAATTTGTCTACAATATCATCGTAAGCGATCGCATCATCAGCAGCTTCCCGCTCCACTTGTTGTATCCTACGTACGATTTGCCAGAAGGGATCGACGGGCTCGATAGGAATTCGCAAGATGATTGGCTCTCCAGTCAAAGGCGATGATGAACCGACGACGATATCTGTATCACCGGTGTATCGATGCAAGATAGTAACGAAAGCGGCTAAAAGCAAATGAAAAGGAGAAGGAGGTGCATTGTCTGAAATTGTTGATTGTTGTGTATCTTGTTCTTCCTCGTCATCGTCATCGAACGAAGCCGCATCTGTCTCTATATCATGATGAACAGCAAGACGGACCAATGCAGTGCGTGCTTTAGAGGAGAGATGTAAAGAGTTTACCGCTTGAACGATTTGTGATGTTGCAGGTCTTGGATAATCGGTAGGCAGGGCAATACTAGGCAAGCTTTGAAGACGATTGACCCATCTTTGCAAGCGAGCCTGTTTTTCCTCTTCCGATACAGGATTGGAGGACATTGTCATCCTTCAAGCTTCAATGTTGTGTAAAGAAGCTGATCAGGAGGTTGATGTGGTGAACAAAGCTGCAATCACTTTTGACTGACAGTCTTCTCAAGATAGCGCGCTTAATCTTATGCGGAAGAAGCCTCTCAATATTTTTTGGATTTTCTTCTTGGCTTTCGGAATTATGACTGGGGTGTGTCAATCCACCGTGCTGCGCAGGCGCCGTGTCAGATAGAAAGGACTTTAGCGTTTGAATGCTACAAACCTGCTGCTCAAACATTCTCGAGATTATTTGATTTATTACCTGCGTTCAAGAAGTATACTCATTCGTTATCATAACCAGTTTCATGCCTTATTGACGGCGAGTGATTCACTTCTTTACTTTAAAATGTCATTGAATATACATAAAGCATAAGTGATACGATCCAGAGAGAAATGACGATAAATTGCATGTGATTGCCATTACACTCTTCCGAAAGTGAAGAGGTGTTGATATGTGCGCCATTCAACTAGCATTCATCCTACTCGTTCGATCCATAGGTTTCAAAATCCGTCGATCATAGCATACATGCATACACCTTCATTTACGGTAAACGCTAAATTAGGCGGCCTTTGAAAGATTCGCGAACCAACATTCTTCCTAGCAAAATGTCCTATCATCAAATATTATTTCGGGCCATTTGCCTCTTCATCGCTTTTCGTTAGTTGTTCCTCTTTGGCGTTCTGTCTGTGAAGCTCCGATCTAGGAGGCGGAATCAAAGCATTTGTTGATTGTGGATGCTTCATTTGAAAAATTAAGGCACCATTACCTCTCTTCCTATACTTTGTTGTTGCTTCTCCGCTTTCTGTTGATGCTTTCGTACGACACTGCCCATGATATTTCAACCTTTCTTTGATGGCTGTAAGATTAGGTAAGACATCGATGCAAATGGCGTCTGTTCATTTCGACTTCCTTCAGACCAGCTTGTCAAACCATCAAGACTGCCAATACAAGAGTATAAGAAATCGAAGGTAATTTGTTGCTGTATTTGTCGTACAGCCGGCCCGACCCGCCCTCTGAGAAGGGCGTACTGACATCCACGATCGAAAGTCCAGCTTCGATCGTCTTGGTTCCTGGGCTGTACTTTTTACTGGCCTTTAGCTCTTTGCACCCTTTCATTGAGGTACTATTGATCTACTTCAACCTGCTAGCCGTTATGTATTCTATTTATTGGTTGTGAACATCCATGCTTTCTTATCACCATGATTTGTGTTTGTGATCGTGTGAATGATGATTCTTACTTGTGTTATTTTTTAGCCTAAACTCTAAACACAATCAATATTCTTGGCGGCATGCGTAAACGCGTCAGCTGTGCCTTAATTGGGCGTAGCTGTGTGATAGAAGTCAGTGTGTAAGCATGCCTACGCCTTCCCCGCTGTTTCCGCGTTCTACAGATAATATTTTTTTTGGCCGGTACACACACACGCACTAGAAGATTTGATGGGGAGTGTGCATTTTTAATTGCGCTTTTTTTGCTATTTACCGGCTGAATTCAATCAAACAGCGCTTTTTCCGAACAAAAAAGACATTCCGCATATTCAGCAATTGATCAGTGTGATTTTTAGAATGTTGGGCTTTTGTCTTTATAATGGCGATCGATAATGAATTTGGCAGTTCGTTAATGTACATATAAGGTAGCATTTATCCTCCTTTTTCTTTCTCAACTTCACTCTTCATCTCAACATGCTATACGATAACCTCCTTTTGGCACTCAAAAAGCGAAAAGAGAAAGGAATCTTACGAGGTCTGAAGCGATTCGCAACCTTACAAGAACCCTCTTTCACCTCCAAAGATGGTTCTTCTTCATCTTTGCCTCTGGTCGACTTCTCTTCCAATGACTATATGGGTTTAGCCAGGAGTAAGGCACTAAAACAAGATACCATCAAAAGAATGCAAGATCACGGTAACATGCTTGTTGGAAGCACAGGCAGTCGGCTATTGGACGGCAATTCAGAAGAACATGAACAACTTGAACTTCGACTTGCACAACATTTCAGCGCACAATCAGCGCTCTTATTCAATAGCGGATATGATGCAAACACTTCTATGCTATCTGTTATGCCACAGCCAAACGATGTGGTCTTATACGATGAATTGGTGCACGCAAGCATGCATGACGGAATGCGTTCTTCCCGTATTCCATCTTCTCGAAGAATACCATTCAAGCATAACGATTTAGACGACTTTACGGTTAAAGTGCAAAATGCCTGGAAAGCTTGTCAAACAAAAGCTGCAAATGTGTTTGTAGCTGTCGAATCAGTATATTCTATGGACGGTGACATTTGCCCTTTACCACAACTGATCGCAATCTTGAACAAACATGTACCACAAAACAGCCGATGTTTGATCGTCGATGAAGCGCATGCAGTCGGTTTATATGGTCTCAATGGATCTGGTATCTGTGAAGCTATGGGATTGCAAGACTCTGTTGACGTTCGATTGGCGACATTTGGAAAAGCGTTTGGATGTTCGGGTGCAGCTGTTTTGTGCTCTGATCTTGTTCGACTATACCTGATCAATTATGCGAGACCTTTGATTTATTCGACCGCTTTACCGCATCCTGCCTTGTTCACCATTCAAGCCGCTTTGGACCTACTCAACACGCCAGATGGCACATTACGAGCTCAACATACATTCTTTCTTACGCATCTCTTCATCGAACGTCTGCATGGTTTGATGGGAAAGGTTGATGCTACTGGAGGAAGCAAGCAAGTACAATTGCCAAGTGATATTCAAAAGCGATTGGAGTCCAACCCATCCTTCACGGGCAAACAAAAGGAGCATCCTTTAAGTATTCCACAACCTCCAATCGTACCAATCTTAACTTCTCACGCGCATGATTTAGCCAAATATCTCGTTTCACATGGCTACCTGGTACGCCCGATCGTCTACCCAACCGTTCCTCGTGGATCAGAAAGAGTTCGAATTTGCATTCATGCTCATAATACCCAAGAACAAGTGTTCGGTTTGACTGAATGCGTTGCAAAGTGGATCGAAGATGGCAAGGTCATTACGGAGGATGGTTTTGGGGGACAAGTAGAAAAAGCAAAATTATAGATGTACTATATCCAGTAAAGCACTCATCATTTGTATTATAATCAATCAATCAATCAAATTTTCAAATTACAATGCCATTTCATATCTTATTCGATTCGATCAAATTTGATTCGACCGTCATCATTGATCATTTTGATCAAAGTAGTGTTTCGTAATGCGGCACCCGGTGTAGAAACCCCGGGAATAATGTCTTTTTCGTGTACCAAAATTGCTCTTGCAACGGAAACGAACAAGATTGGCGTTGAAACATATCCTGGCTCAGGACCACGAACTCGAACGACAGCTTTCACGTCTGGTTCACGGGATGTCTTTTCTTGTAGGGCCGTATGGGAAACACCTCTTGCGATAAATGTGCTGGAGAATTGTGTGTTATCCAGTTGTTCTTGTGTAGGTCCTTCGTGAGAAAAAACACCTCCAGTGAAGAATTTGGGGTATTTGAGTAGTAATGATCGACCGACTTCAAACTTGGAGAAGAAGCTGATCAACATGCCATAGAATGCCATGAAGAGAGCAATGTATAGAGACGGAACTGCGAACCAGCCTACAAACTTGACAGGCTCAAACTTGGGATCATTCTCCATCGTCAAAGATTGACCCAATCGAACAACAGCTGGATCAGCGGCCATATGTGGTAATAGCAAAGCATCTTGTTCTTCATCGTAGGTTAGTATGCCCAGACGCTTTTGACGCTTAGGAATACCGGCTGAGAATCCTTTTGTGGCAACTTTAGGTGTTGCTTTGGGTAAATTGGCATACAGCTTTTTGCGGATGCGAGAGAGTAATTGACGACCAGAAGGCGATATTCCATTTACAACACATGCATAAGTTGCAAAGTGTCCTGCCAACCAACCACCGTTTGTATTGAAAGTTGCCATCATTTCTACGCTTGCTGGTGTGACACCTTTACCCAAAAGTGAAACGGCAAAGATGGTACCAAGTTCGGCCGGTACAGAATCGTAGGCTGAGGCGGGTAAGATGATAGATCCAGCCAATTTTGCACGCTCGCGATATTCCAAAATAATTCGTTCGATAAAGTTGGGTTCTCCGCATAAATCAATGTAATGAACAGGAGGTCGATTGGATTTCTTTAGCTTTTCGCTTGCTTCAATCGTTGCCAAGACGACATTTTCACCAAATTTGTAGTAAGGACCGACGCAATTCAAGATCAAACGTGTTTCACTTGCTAAGGTGCGTAGAGAGTCAATATTGTTCACATCTGCGATCACAATGGAAGGCAAGAGACCTTTTTGAACGTTTGTTTCGTCATTCTTTGAAGATGCTCCTACCAGTTGTTTGATCTCTTCACGTACTGCTTCCAAAGCATCTTTTCTACGACCTGCGATTGACCATTGAAAAGGGGACGAGGTAGATTTGTGCAAGACGCTAATCTGTCTAGCAACTTCCAAAGCAACAAACTTTCCCGTGAATCCAGTTGCTCCTAAAACACAAAGAGTTGTTCGATCGGACATGATTACTCCTAAGATTTAAGGTAGGGGAAGAGAAGAAAGAATCGAAGATGACCTTTTTCCCCGACTTTCTCTCCACATCCCATGCGCCGCGCTGCCGGCCTTTTTCTTCCAAGACTTTTAAAGTTTAGCGTGAGCAAGGCTTATTGGGCCCCCACCGGCACAGGCTAGGAGAGATTTAGAGTGAATGCATTTGAATTGATCAAGTTCAACTGTCTTTTGTTTCACCAACTATTATGATGATCAATCACCTCATCTAGGATAGACATCCTTAAATCCAAACCGCATTCTAAATGGATCTCCGTAGCCTCGCCCCATCACAGGCGGCGGGGCTATCGGTAGGAATGAATGGAATGATGGAGCAACACAATCGAATACAAAACAAAGGCTTTACAGCACAAATGATGACCACAGAATCACCCGGTAGAAAACCGCCTCCGGTCCATACAACATTTAAAAGATTGGAATTGGTCGGAAGAGGTGCTTATGGAGCGGTATATAGGGGTGTGCATATCGCCAGCGGGAAGGCGGTAGCATTGAAAGTCGTCAATTTGGATACGCCTGATGATGATGTCTCAGAAATTCAAAAAGAAGTCGCTCTACTGTCTCAACTGAGGGAAACCACGAGCAAGAATGTAATCCGATACTGGGGCTGCTGGTTACATGAAGCAGAATTATGGATCGTGATGGATTTTGCTGAGGGAGGCAGTGTGAGAACGCTGATGAAAGCCGGTCTGATTGCAGAAAAGTATGCTTGCATCATTGTACGCGAAAGTTTGATCGCATTGAGCTTTTTACACAAGAGTGGAATCATTCATCGTGATATCAAGGCAGCCAACATTCTCTTGACCACCGAAGGACGAATTCAATTGGCCGATTTTGGTGTAGCAGCAACGTTGGTTTCCAGCAGCGTTCATAGTCGAAGGATGACATTTGTCGGAACGCCTTATTGGATGGCTCCAGAAGTGATCACTCAAGGTAAATCATACGATCAAAGTGCAGATATATGGAGTTTAGGGATAACGGTATACGAAATGTTAATGGGCAATCCACCTTTGAGCAACGAAGATCAAATGCGGGTAATCATGATGATTCCCAAGAATAAACCTGCAAGACTTCCTGCAGAAGGCAGTTTCTCCTCAGCTTTGCGCGAATTTGTCGCACTATGTCTCAACGAAGAGCCAAAGGAACGTCCAAATTCTGACGAATTGAGTAAGACAAAATGGATCAAAGCAAGTATCAAAACGCCTGTGTCGATCTTGAAAGAACTCATTTCCTTATACAATGCATGGACGAAGAGTGGGGGAATGCGTATGAGTCTTTTGGGAGCCGAAGCCAGTGATCTCAATGATCCAGCTAATCGCGAATCCTTCATCTTTGACATTCCAGATGGAGAGAATTCGGGATGGGAGTTCACCGATGCGAACTTCGGAGGTTTTAATAACATGTCAAACACACCATCAGGACCTGTTCGTGATCATCCACTCTTGCGACTCTTCGAGCAAGAAGGAGATGAATCAATTGCTACAAACAATGCCGGTCCTACTCAGGCAAACACTCCTCTCAATCTTCCGCAATACAAAGGTGCCGAAATTCGTCTTGCACCGGCTCCTCCCCTTTTTGATGCAGAAGTTACGGCATCGGTACTGACTTCGACTACAAGTGCCTATAGTGCCACAACATTGTCAACAGCCAGACCTGCTGCAGCAATCGATGACAACGACATTGACAAGAAGGCTTTCACGGGAACTGGTGCAAGGCCTTTCCGATTTGGTGGAGGAGGCGGAGCAGTGGTTACGCCAGTGGAAGCATCTGAGACAATTGTACCTGCTCATCAAGCAGAAAGTGGCGGAAAGAGTGCGGAAGAAGTTGAAGACTTTCCCAATAGACGGAAGAGTTTTACAGCTTCTAATCTTACAAGACACCTAGAGGATTCCGAAATGATGCCGCCACCACCGCATTCGAATAACCCACTTCAACCTACTCCAGGCAGATTGCACAAACGTCAAGGAAGTACAATGAGCGCACATTCCAATAGTCTGCCTTACGACAGCAGCTATCATAATGGCGTTGGTATCCCTGGAAGGCACCTTCACGAAAGGACCGATTCGAGTTCGATCTATTCACATTCACCAGCTCAGAGCGAATCAAGTATACCTGGCAGTCTGGCAGGTCAAGATCGAAGACCTCAACCGAATGGCACACACAACAACATCACGGGAAATTCAAACTTTAATGCTGCGATGCCGCCATTTGGCCGTTCAATGAGCGAAATGCCGTCAAGCCATATTCAGGCAATCTCTTCCATTGCTGGAAGACAAAACGATGCAATGTCAAATTTGGCAAGCCCAATAGCAGAGGGCAATCGTAGACCATCATTGCAAACTTCAGCTTCGACGACAAATGCTACTTCCAGTGCCGGAGGAGCATATCCTATGCCTTCATTCGCAGCTCGATCAGGAATGGGAATACGCAGCAGAAGTGGAAGCAGGCCCCGTTTGGCAGCAATGGAAATGGATGGTGTAGATATCAATGGTCACTATGTCGGATCCAGTGCGATGCCTCCGCCTCCGTTACCCAGTATGGCCGGTAATTATAAAGCAGGCTTCTCGAAGCAAGCTGGAGGCATGCCAGTACGGCCGTCAGCTAGTCCAGGAGGATCAATGGTATTAGGATCACCTGCCGCATTACATCAACGCAGACAACATGGCGGAAGTGATCCAACGCAAGTCCTTGCTCGTCGACAGTCACAATTTGATCCTTCAATGGAAGGCAATACACAACATGCTGGCGTGACGACCACTACATCTGCTTTAGGATCGATGACACCAAATCAGCATACGTCGAACAGTAGATCCTTACAACCATCACCTTCGCTTGATCATAATAGAGATGAAAATATGAGGAATCTGTCTTCCTATCGTCTACCGCCTTTACGAACTCTAGACCTTGGCCAATTGACACATAAAGACGATGTGCATAATGAGCTGGATTATACGGTTGAAAGTCTTGGAAGATGCTTAGATGTCATCGGCACAGGTTTGGCCCGTGTTGTCGGACAGTAAAGAATGATTTACTTGCCCTCTTTTTTTGTATCATATTTTGCCCGTCTTTCTCTGAAGTGTATTTTAGCAATGTTGTATTATTCACATTCTTTCAAGATCTTATGTACATTAGAGAAGCTTTGATTTGTGGGGAGTGCTATATCGTACATATGTGATGAGGAAGAGAAAGAAGATAGAAACTAAACATGTTCAACGTTTACGCCCCTTTATATGCATACTTCATACCGTTGAGACCGACTGCCTCCATTTCGAATTTGTCAATCAATCCTTCACAAATGCAAAGAACGGTCAGTGCGACTGTCGTGATAGCCCACCAACCAGCATTGATGAAATTTCCAGCGCCAAAAGTCATTAATGGTAAAGGCGTACTTGCCAATGTAAGCAAACACAAGTAAAGCAAACGTGGTGAAATTGTTGTCCAGACTGGAGGTGGTCTATCATCTTTATCAGCCCGAATGCCAGAATGTGTAGGATGCCAACGAATATCGGCCAAGACGGGTGCCAAGATTGCAGGTGCTGTGCCGAATTGATGAGGCTGTTGTGGGAATGCAAGGCCTTTTGAGCGGATCATACCCATGCGATCCATTGTTTCGTAAATTCCACCGAACAGCAATCCACCTTGTAGGAAGAGTAAGACGAGGTAGATTGGGAATGCCGGTAATCGAATCAAATCATCATGAGATGCTTCATGAATATGAGAAGTATGGAAAAGCATTGTCAAATGACTTTCGGGATGATCTCCGGTAATATAATCAGGAATAGGCGTAAGGTACAATACACCCACTAACCCCAGCATTACAAGCATCAAAGCTCGAAAGATATAATTGGACTTCTCATTGGCTTCTCTGAGTGATTGAATAATTTGTTCTTGCTCTTGTTCATCAAGTGGTTCTGCTGATCCATCTTCGTCCAACTTTGCCAATGGATCATCTTCTGCCTTTTGCTTACCCTGTGATCTTTGTTGAAGTGTAGAAGATGACATTACCGTAATTTTGTGTTGTTCAATTTTGGCTTGACATGGTAATAAGAAGAACGTTCCCTTTTGGCCCGATCCAACACTCAACACAACACAGACTATCTGATTAAGTTTGACGCGTCTGTGAGCTTAATTAATGAATAAACTTTATCACGGCTTCGATCAACAAGTTCCAACGTGTACTTAAGATAATGTGCTTAATGGTGCTTGATGATATGATATTTATTCATTGGAGGTATCACAAAGAGTCTTAAATAATTATTATGATCTAAAGTGAGACTCAATGTAGGCAGTCACATACCTGATTGCATTTATAAAGTCCGCATAGAACGGGTTAATGTCGATCTCAAGAAGGGAAAGACTATCTCGAAGACAACTGCGATCACAGTCTGTCAATCGGCCGAAAGCTTTCTCTGAACGAGGCACGGATGAAATCACCATTTAATTAAAAGAAGATTGAGCAATTGGTGAAGAGGGATGTGCAGGAAAAAGCAAGAATGAAACACATGAATAGCATCACTAGTAGCTTATGACGCGGAAGATGCTGCCTCTGTCGTGGTATCTGCTGCCATCGTTGCTTCATCTTTTTCGATGGCATTGTCCGAGACAGAGACTTCTTCTTTCACAACAGATGTGCTCTCATCGGCAGGCATCGGTTCTTGTTCTGCTGCCGCTTCTACAGCCTTTGAACCGTTTTCGACTGGCTGAACGGAAGTAGATCGACTTGATGGCTCAATACTAGCAGTATTATCACCATTTGTTGAAACGCCAACATGTGTTCCTTTAGATAACGAAGGACTATTCAAATTCTGATTTTGTTGTTGTTGTTGTTGTTGCTTGTTTCGACGTGAAAGTGTACTTTGCAATCTTTGTTTGTCAATTGCCTCCTTGCAAAGACCATCCAAAGCACGAAAAAGGATATGCATCGGAATACTGAGAATCAAATCTCGAATCCTGTTCAACGTTTCAACTTCTTTATTCTCCCCTCCATCTTCTTCGTGTTGCAAAGTAGAAGATTGCAAAAGCATCCGAGTCAAAGTCCAAACGAGCAAACTGGAATGTGAATGATGCGAATCGAACTGAGTCTCTTTCACAGCTTCCATCAAAGGTTCTGCCAATTCTTTTTCTGTTGGCGTATTGATACTGTTTGGGTTTCGATCAGATTGTTGAACGTTTACGATTCGCGCAATTAATTCGTTCAATCCTGAGCCAGCATCCAAATTGTAATCCTGCAAAAAGCTTCTTCTTTGCAATGCAGTTGCAATAAAAGACTTTTTAACCCATTCATCGTACACGTCCGTAAGTGTAGGAGGTGGATCAGGATCAACAACGTACATCTTTCCGATCCATGAACTCATCGGTTCTGTGGAAATGGAAGATTGCATTCCGGGCAAAATGCTAAGCCATTCGCTTAGGTTACCGGTACGAATCCATTTTGCCTCTTTGGCAGTTGAATCGCTCAAAGTGACCAAAATTGTCATTTCTCCAGCACTTCTTATGTTCTGAATTGTCGCTTCATCTGCTTCATCTTTTGGGCCATCGTGTGACCCTAACAAACGGAAGAGCGGTGGAAGACTTTCGAAATCAGTCAGAACTGACTGACTCGGCTTCTCCTTTGCTCCGTCCTTCTCACCCTCCTCTTCTTTCTTGGCGCTTTCTTCCGCTTTTACTGATGACTCTTCTTCATCGCCGGCTTTCTCTTTGTCTTCATCCGCTAATGTCTCATCCACCTGCTTACCTTCCTCTTCTTCTCCCGATGAGCCCCGTCTGTCTCGCCAGCATGCTTCCAGCTCCCGTCGGGAGACATGAAAGTACGGACCTTGATCGTCATTGCGTGCTTCAAGCGAGACACCTTTTGCGATCACCCATTCTTCCGCTTTCGGTTTGTCGCCATCCGTTTGCTGGTTTTCGTTCGTTTTATTTGAGTCTTCTGACGTTGTAATGTCGACTACGATCCGGACTGTTCCTTGAGCTCGATTGATTTCGATCAATTTGATCACATTTGAATCAATCGTTAATCTACGCTTTGCTGAAGCATATGATAAAGTGATTCGATTGGACGAAAGTTGAGGAGGTGTACGCGAGAACGGTGTCCAATCAGCTTTACCGGACTTGCCGTTTTCGGCCACCTCTTTGCCTTCAACTTTCACATCTTTCGTCAAATCGTTTTCGGTATTCCCATCGTCGTGTTCTTCGGGTGTTTGTGTATTTACTTCATTTCCGCCATTCGTCAATGCTTTCGGCCCAGTGGGCGCTCCAGCAGGTGGCGCATTCGACTGAAAGGCGATTCGAAGTCGATAAAACTCTCTTTTGACATCGCTACGTCTACGACCAGAACGTTTTGATTTCTTCTGCTCTTGAGCATCTGTTGCATTTGAGTTTTTGTCGTCATCGACAGCATCTTCCGCCTCTTCCACTTCATCTTCACGCTGCCATATCCATTGAAGAGGATCGATTTCGATCGAATGAATATTGAAATCGGTAAATGTACGCTTAGCAGTGATAGGGACAGGTGATTCGGCAGGATACGTTGTCCTACCTTGCAAGAGCGGAGCTTTGTCCATTTCCATTGCATCCTCTTGTGCACCTTTCTCTGCAGTTGGGCCTTTGGTTGCTGTTTGACCTTTTCCGCCTCGATTGTTCTGATTTCTATCTGGCTTATTGGATTGTTGTTGTGCATGTGCTCCTGATGGATTTCGCGATGATCCAGGTCCAGATTTACGCATTTGTTGATTCCTTTGACCTTGACCGAAGCCAGGTCTAGACATACCTGCTGCTGGTCCGACCGCATTTACACCCATAGGTCCATTAAATCTGCCAGACGATGATGAATTGTTGCTGTGACTTCCACCGCTATTCCTGCCTCCGCCAGATCGATTAGCAGCTTGCCACTGCTGAGAGCGTGTTCCTTTCTGTCCAGAATTATTGCTGAACGATCGAGACGGACCACCTGCCATTGGACCTGCCATATTTGAAGGTCCACCTGCATGCGGCGGAACGGCAGGACGACCAGGGATAGGATGATGAGTGGCAGAAGGTGCCCTTTGAGCAGGTGGAGCACCATGACCCATCGATCTGCCTTGAGGTGGTCTAGATGGAATACCACCATGTCCATTATCTACTCGAGCCCGTTTTGCTGCCGGGCCAGGCTGTGGAGATGAAGCAACACCGTAATATCCGGCTTGCACAGGTGCAGAGGGTTGAGGAGCAGCATTCATGTATGCATTTGGAGGTTGTGGTTGCCCATATCCAGGCTGATTCCAACCATAAGATGTCGAATTGACGTTTCCTTGTTGAGGTGAATATTGACCGTAATAAGCTGCGGGCGATTGTTGCTGAGGCTGCATAGGCGGTGCAGCTTGTCCAGCATTATATCCGTATCCTTGTACCTGGGGCGGCGGGGCCATCTGGGATTGAGGTTGGGCTTGCATAGGTGGATTTCCTCCAACATTTGATGAAGCTGCAGCTTGTTGAGCATAATATTGTTGCCATTGTTGATGCCATCTTGCTTGTTGAGCGTCATTGGCAGAAGTACCAGCATTAGAATTAGCTTGTGGCGCTCCGTAGCCATAGCCACTGTAATCCGCACCTGTTGCTGAGCTTATTTGACTTGCCATACCAGTACCGCCGGCATTGTTGATTGGCGCTTGTTGACCGCCTTGTGGTCCGGTATAGGGGTATGATCGTTTCATGTTGTGGTGTACGCTTTCCTGTCCCTGTATTGAATGCTACCCTATTAATGAGCTGAATAGGGTAATGTACAGATCAAGGTCAACGGGATGATGATTGAACGGAAGAAAGGAAAAAAAGCAAAGACCATCATCACACGTGCGGAAATGTCTTGTTGTTCCAACGAACGAGAATTTAAGCTATAACAGCGAGGCGCTATGGATTTACGTGGGCGCCAATACTCGTCACTTCTTCCAACACTAACAGGCTAGAGTGACAAGGGTGAACAAAAATAACACAGGCTAAGCTCCTCCTGTCTTTTGGTTTAACTGAATACGCGTAAGTGTTGGCGAAAAGTACCTCACCAGTTGAAAAAGTAGGCTAAGGAATTCATGCATTTAAAGCCTCACAGCAGTACAGTGGGGGACACGGAATCTTCAAAGTTTGTTAAGACTAAATTATCATTTCAATCATTACGGCTTGCCGAAGAGGAAAAGGCGGAGGCGCTTCTTTATTACTTGATCTTCATATCACAATCATTTCCTTTATTGCTGGCATAAAGGCTTCTTCAACAACCTTTTCAGAACTTATTTATAGTCCATTCCCTCGAAGAATATCTCTCAAGAAAGGACGTCAACTCTTCAACCAACCGCGGCCAATTCATGCTGCACTCTGTGAACAGCTGTGCCTGAACCCGCGTCATAGGTTATCATCATGGGTGTCAAAGGTGGGGGAAGAATAGATGTAGCAGCCGCTGGGGCTGTAAGTCCGATGGATTATATTCATGTTGAATCAGCAAGACCAACATCTGCCAGTAATTTTGATTCATCCGATCATCGAGTAAGCAAACGTCCCACAAAAGCCAAACATACAAGTACGCCATCTACACTGCCTTCCTTATCAACCGGCATTCCCACAGATTTGCATTTAGCACTGCTTCTGAATAAAACTGTCTTATCTTCCGCTGCCATCTTAGCACGACAGTGGCTCTTGACAGGTCATTCAGAAGCACTTCATAAAGCACACCAGCATACGCATATATTTAATGAATCTGCCAACAATTCAGCAAATGCATCAGGATCCAACTTTTCATCACTCATCCAAGCAAGTAGGATCGCATCACCATGGGCTATTGCAACGGTCATATTCTTTCTTGCAGCTGTTGGACAAACGGTCTGGTTGCAAGTTTGGACATGGATACCATCCCTACGTCGCTCGGACCCGCAAATGAGTGTCATGCCACGCAAGATACTTGTCTTAGGATCGATCATGTTCACAAGCACACTTATATGGCTGATGGCACTAGAAAGGCTAGGTGCAACTACAGTAATCATCTTTACACAATTTTGCGAGATTTGGATGGCTGATCTGGTCAGATCATTCAAGATACGATCCCATGGTGGTTACTTCGTCGTTGGTGCTTTGGTGTGCTCATTCGTGCTGCAAGTCGTCTTCCCACCTTCAGCGAGTGCTCCCGTTTCAGAAGCATCTTTTCCTTACGATGATGCGGACAATCCACTACCCCCATCCCTACGTCATACCAGACCTATGCATCTAGCAAGTCCGTCCAAATTACGAGAGAACAGTCTTCGCGCCGAATTGGAAGCAAGGTCTTACTCTCCTTCTGGCTTACTATTTGGACATTTGTTGCTACTCGCATATGCTATATTGACTATGGAGCGTGAACGTGCGACGAGGGATGCTAGTACGCAAACAGGAGGAAGGAGACGAGCACAAGTCCTTGCATGCATTGCAATCGCCATTCCAGTCTTCTTCTTGTCATCTTTTGGCTCTCTAGTGGGCTTTTCAACATTACCACCACTCAATTCCCTCATCCCATCTTTTGGGGACGCTAGTGCTTCGTCTTCCGGTCATTCTGCAGCGTACCTTTTGCTGGCAATTGGTTTCCTGATTTTAGAACCACTGGTTGGTGCTGCATTAGAACCTCACGCAAGTACGACTGCTAGAGTTACGCAAGGCTGGCCTCTAGCTGTAGGTGCAGCTATGATAGTTGGAAAGCTGGGTTTCGGTTTCGGGTGGAAATGGATCGAAACTTTGGTTGCTCTGATTGCTGCTATCGGAATACGATCTATCTTGAAGACCTCACCTTTGTATGCCAATGAAGAGCAAGACAATACTTCTTCTACGGGTGATCGAACAGTGTCGGCCAACTTTGACGGTACTGCAAGGACGCATAAACGGAAATCATCCGAGCCATCAATCGATGATGCAATGAGAAATTTAAAGATCTTTGCGAGTGCGGCGCAAGATACGGTAGCCACAATTTGGGCTAAAGAAGATTCCCGGAAGATCTTTCAGTTTCTTGTTTTGAATTTGCTGTTCATGGTAGTTCAGCTTATTTGGGGGGTTTGGACAAATAGTCTGGGGTTGATCAGCGATGCGATCCATATGTTCTTTGACTGCTTGGCCATCGGTATGGGTCTGCTAGCAAGCGTGATGCAAAATTGGAAGAATGATCGGGTGTTTACGTACGGATATGGTCGTATAGAAACATTGAGCGGCTTTGCAAATGGAATCTTCCTATTACTGATCAGTACATTCATCGTCTTTGAAGGTGTAGATCGAATCATTCATCCCCCAGAGATGCACAACACTCGTCAATTGCTCATTGTAAGCTCGGGTGGTCTTGCCGTCAACCTTTTCGGAATGTTTGCAATGGGCGGTCATCATCATCACGGACATTCGCATGGACACGGACACGACCATGGGCATGGTCATGACCACGGACACGGCGGGCACGATCATCATCATCATTCGCACAATATGCTCGGTATTTATCTTCACGTGATGGCGGATACATTGGGAAGTGTAGGTGTGATTATCAGCACATTGTTGATTCAGTACTTCGGCTGGACAGGATTCGATCCGATTGCATCGTTGATGATCGCAATTCTTATCGTGGGAAGTGTCATCCCGCTGGTGATTGATGCTGGTCGGATATTGTGCTTGGATCTTGGCTCAGAACGAGAGCAAGAGGTAGAAGATGCATTGCAAGATTTACACACATTGAAGGGCTTAGCCTCTTTCTCTGCCGCACACTTTTGGCCAAAAGATGCCGAATCAGTCGTTGGAACGATTCGTGTTCAGATGCAAATGATTGCTACCAGTACTGACTCAACGCCAGGATCAACGGTTTCAACGTCATCCAACGGAACATCCTTAACGTTCAACCACAACATCTCGAAGGATACTTCGTTGACCTCACTATCCAGTCATTCGGGGGAGAATAGTCCCACTTCAGCTTTACCTGCAGGAGACATAAGTGGTGCAGCACCTCAACTAATCACTCCGTCCAATTCCTTATCAGCTTTGAATGGCACTCATGAAAGTCCTTTGGCGCAGAACAATATTCCAACAACGCCTGCGATATCACCAGAAGAACTGATGTGTCAAGTTGAAGCTATGCTGAAAAAGCGAATTTTTGGATTGGACTTTGTTCTGGTGCAATGTGAAAGAAGCAATGTCATCGTCAATTGTGCAACTGCCAATCGAACAAAAAAAGCTGACGATCATCACCACCATTCCCATGATCATAAGCATGGACATGATCATCACGACCATCATCACCACCATTAAGTCGTATTTCGAGATATTTCTTATCTAACGCATTGTATTATCAATTCATTCATTAGAGCTATGTGCTGTGTGATTGTTGATTACGAATACAGGTATAAATTTGGTAAAGGTACAAATACATGAATGTATGATAGACATCTCTCTCAAATGAGTCCTTGCCTTTTCAAGAGCTCATAGGTTTTGCGTGAATATGTGTTTCCGTGTTCATCTTCAACCTCTTCGGCATCACCTTGTTCATCAGCGACAATCTTGCCTTGCTTTTTCAGCTTATCAGCAAGTGCTAAGGCATCTTGAATTCGTGTGATCTCATAGAAGTGCTTTGTATTTGGCAGGCCAAGTGCACGCATGCCGAATGCATGTCTACTTTCGCTAAAGTGTCTTTCAAAATTCTTCCTTCCTTGGTATACGTAATCCGAGCAAATTTCACATTTGAACTCGACACCCAGTCCATGCAGCTTATACAGCCAGAAAGGGATCGGTCTGCCATCCCATCCCAGAGGTAATTTGAGTGGATTATAGATCTTTTCGTTTTCATCTTCATCATCTTCTGCTTGCGTATCTTCTCCAGCACCTTGAGTAGAAGGTTGTGCAGCCAAAGCTTCTGCTTCTGCCTGCCTTTCGCGCTCAGTCAAAGCAGCTTTTCGTTCAACATTGGCTCGTGTCTCAATTCGAACGGAGTGAAGTTCTTGTCCCAATGCGATCACCATCGTTTCATCCCGTGCAATGGCTTTTGCTTTGCTGATCCGCTTTCGTTTTTCTAGTTCTTGAGCTTCGTTGGAAGGGCCCTGCTTGTCTTTTGCATTACCACCTGAAGCCATTCGCTCTGTCGCTTTGATATGCTTTTGGCCTTTGAGATGCGCATCAAATACGGTTTGTTTGGCAAAACTTCGCTGGCATGCTTCGCACCATATCCCATCTGTAGATCTCGCCTGAGTCTCAGCAGGTGTCCTATCTTCTCCTTGGTTCTCCCAATCTTCCACTCTTCCCTCAGACCAATCTTGTTCAAAGCCGGCCAAGATTGACAATTCCAATGCATCAACATCACTCAGCGGTCGACTTTTCCTGAGAAAGTTCAAGAGGTATGTTTGAAGGCTTTGCAGATAAGTCCGATAAGCTTCGGATCGCTTTATCTCTACAGGTATACGCCCTGAGCTTCCCCGCAGTCTATCGAAGGAATCAAGATATTGTAGATAGGTGATCCGTCGAACGCCTTTCAAGTTCAAGAATTCGTCATGTTGGATGTATAGATCGATAAAACGTCCACCCATCTCTTCTCCACTGAACATTCGATCAATGTTGTCTATACCACTTTCCATATCGGTATCTTGTGCACCTTCTGCATTTTCTGTGTCTATAGTGAATGCATCTGGCATTGCATTTGGATACTTCTTGTGGTAGTCTCGTATCCTATTTAATCGATTGTAGAATTCCTCCATGTCATCGGTTTCGGATGCGCCATTAGTATTACTAGGTCCTGCACTGGCATTGCTTAATACTAGTCGTTCTTGTTGCATGTCACCAGATGCATCTCCATACAGATTATACAGCGTTGCATTTCGTGATACGATACGATCCAAAAGGGAAGAGATTTGATGTTGCTTTCGTATCGAATCCTTTGTTATATCGGACGTGCTTGATGATACCAATACATCCACTGCTGCTTGTGTATACCTTTCCACCTCTTCGTGCGTCTGTCTTGTGACCTCGAATATTGAGGTATCCGCCATCTTCCCAACAGCCTGATACTGATTGCAATGATGGTTAGAAGCAAGTATGGATCCTGGGCTTCCAAATACCTTTGAGTCCGAATTCCGTTTAGAAAAGTGTTAGACACGTGATGTCGCCTTGAGATTGAGTGCTTGTCTTGCGCGTAACACTAAAGGGGGGGATACGCGCTGATTGCAATGTTTATTGAATGCATGCAAAGCCTAAAAGTGACACACACTCTTGTGTTTATTACGACGATGACGATCAATTATAGCCTGTCATGATACAGCTTTACATTGCAGCATCTTGATCGAACTCATTCCAATTAAGCAGATCACAGATACAAAAACACACAAGGCCTCATCGGCCATTATTGGCTGCGACACAATGAGCTCTCGAAGCACAACGCCTGAAAATCCACGATCCGATTCTAATGATGTTGCAAGAACGCCAACAAAAAATTCGAATCTTGCGGCGGATAGTTCGCGAAACGGTGTGCAAAAAGAACCACCGAGTACTATGAAGAAGAAAGATTTCAAGAGGCGATATGGTGTTCGTATTACCGACGATGAGCCAAGCATGGCTGACGCATCTGATAGCTTGGACGATAGCGAAGCAGAGTTGCGACGTGTTCAGCATGATATCTCTCGTGCAGACACTACGACTGGAGATATTTCGGTCAATGATTCAGGTGCAGGCGGCGCCCGCTCTGCTATCTCGAGAAGATCAGCCGCAGGCATTTCACTAAAAGATTCAGAGGCACGAATCAAAAAGCTCGAATCCGAAAATAGTGAATTACGGATAGAATGCGATCTTTGGAGACATCAAATGCGCTCTGATGAAGCACGAATCAAAATTGTCACCATTTCAAAAGAATTGGCGAAACAGAGGAGAAACAATGTCGAATATATGCGCTTATTGAAAGAGCAAGACAGCTCAATCAAAGAAAGTAGGCGTATTCTCAAAAGATGGGGTGATCTAGATCCTAAGGAAGAGGTATCAAAGAGGCAAGATCTAGAGAAACGGCTTGAAGAGGCTCTTGCTTTGGCAGAAAGTGAACGTCAGGAACGTCTACGGGTAGAAGAGGAGCTTGAAGAAGCGCGCAATGCATCTATTGGCGAGAAAAGCATGGCAGACAATACACAAGTAGTGCAACTACGTCAACTTCTTAATGACCAACGTGATGATCATGCTGAGGAGCTTTATACGTTGCAACGTGAGAAGGACGATCTACAAGTACAGATCGAAGATTTGCAAGGACAAGCGTCTCGCGGGACAACGGGAACTGAGAAAGAGGATCTTCATGCCGAGCTTGCAAGGATGGAAGCTGAGAATGATAGCCTTACTGCGCGCATAGACGAATTGCAGCGAGTACGTTCTAAACAAGAAACAGAATTAGAGGATCTACGGTCAGAGCTTCAGCAGGTTCAAGCGGCCGAAGACTCCCGATCGAGAGAGCTAGAAGTCGCACAAAGAAGATTGGAGCATTTAGCAGCCGATCAGGAAGACAGTGAAGAAAGGTCAAGAATGACAGAGGCTGTGCTATCGGATAAATTCACTTCTCAAATTGACAGACTTCGAGATGAGCTTGCAGAGGCGAAACTAGACCTGAGTAAGAAAGATCAACAGCTTGACGAATTAGAGCGATTGCGGGAGGATGATGACGTTCGACTTCAGGAACTTGAACTGGAGCTTGAGCGAGCTGCCAATGCTATCGAAGAGCGAAATGAGGATATCGACAAATTGGGCGAAGAAGCAGATGGCCTGGATTTGGAATTGCAAAAGACGAAAGAAAATCTCGAAGACGCTGACGAAGAGATCAAAGAACTTTCTGAGAAGCTGCAATTACGTGTTGCAGAAGTTGCGGAAGCTAATAGAGAGCTACAAGAGATCTCACAAAAGTTGATGGACTCTGAAGATGACAATGAAGCCTTGAGACAGGATGTTCAGGCATTGGAGACCGAAGCACAAACACTTACCGACCAACTTCAAGAGCTACAAGAAAGAAGCGAGAGAAGGGAGCTCGCATACAAAGAGCGTCTTGGGCAGACGGAACAGCTCAAGGTCGAAATCCAGAGTCAATTGGATGCGATCGAAAAGGACTATCAAAATGCAGCAGAAGATTCCCGGGTACTCGGACGAGATGTCGATTCATTGCAACAGGAAAAGAAGGATCTTCAGCTTGAACTCGAGAAAGTCTACGCTAAATTGGATGATGCTATCGAGGATTTGAAGGAAGAGGAGAAGCGGAGAGAGATGCTGGAGGAAGAGATGGAACGTAAATTGGAATCAGAAGAGACCAAATGGACTCGACTCGTCGATGAGAAGGAAGACGCAATCGCTAGTATCGAAAAAGAACTCGAAAGCTTACAAGAGAGTCTGGCCAACAGCAAGGGTGATGTTGATAAATTGCAAGATGCTCTGCGTGACAAGGAGAACGAGAGTGTACGATTAGGTCAAACTCACTCTAGTGACCGATACTCACTAGAACTAGAGATCGATAGACTCAAGAGAGATCTTGGCCGATGTGAAGCTGACTTGGAGCGTTCGCGCAAGGAGTTCGAACGAAAGGACGATGCATTGCGAGAGAAGGAAGGAAAACTCAACGTTCTTCATGATCAAATTCGGGAGATGTCGAGCAAACTTGCAGCCGAAAGTCAAACCAAACTTGGTTTGGAAGAGAGGATCGAAGCGCAAAACAAGCACATGTCCGAAGCCGAACGTCAAGTGGACGAGTACCGCGCAAAGATGGAAGAGTATGAACGTGAGGCAAATATGGGTGAACGCAGCTTGATGGAAGCGGAAGCCGGTATGAAAACTCAATTGATCGAACGCAATACCCTCCTTTTGACCATTTACCAAAGAATGGAGAAAATCTTGGGAAGCGCTACGCCACGCAAACGAGGTGAAGGTGACGTAAAACCGTTCACCAATTTTGCCGTCTTCCATGACAGTATGATAAGTAGATTGCGTAAGGTCTCAGAATTGCAGGTGCAATTCGAACAAAAATCCAAAGCGATCGAAGAAAGATTTGTAGAGAAGTTCTCAGCTTTGAAACGACAACAAGAATCTAGATTCCGTCGAATCGATCAATTTGAATCGTCGATCAAAAAGGCTACAGACAGACAATCGCAGTGGAGTGCAAGATTGAACACCAAACAAAGCGAGATGGACGCTATGAAATCTACCAATGCGGAATTACAGATTCAAATTGCTTCTTTGAAGACCCGATCTAATCTCTCTTCGCCTGCCGATGCAAGCAAGATCAATGCTCTTACTGCCAGAGCAAATAATGCAGAGAGAAGGTTGAATGCGGCATTGAATCAATCTCAAATGGCAGAAGAAAGATTGACGGACGCAAAGAGTAAATATGCCGAAGCAGAAGGCAAATGGGCTGCCAGATTCAAAGAAGTGGAGAGCAGATGCAAGGCAGCGGAAGAACGAGTGAAACGTGAAAGGCAAGGGGCCAAAGAAAGAGTTGTAGGATTGGAAGAACAACTTCAAAGGGCGCAAAAAACACTCGAAGAAGAGAAGAAGAGAGCAAAAGTTTTGGAGAATTTCAAGGCTACCTGATAGTCATTTTATAACAAACTTTTTTGTACCTTCTTTTAATCTGTTCATATTGTATACCATTATATTTGTAATACCTTTTTTTCGTGAGAGCGAGGTTGCCCGACGAATTCTTGATTGCTTCGCCGTATGAAAGAAGGGCGAATAATTTCGCGAATTTCACCTGTGGTCATCAATCTTGACTATTTGCTTGTCATTACGGTGTTCCGCAAAGGCGCAGCGCTGCGCCCTTGGAATGTTCTTTCATGTAATTTTATCCGCCTTTGAATTCGGGCAGAATTGCTATTTTCGGTCACAATGGAATACATGTCTCGATGAATCATAAGCGGTCAATCTAAGAAATGTTTTTCACCATCATGACTTACCTCCACCATTCCGATCAAGATGCAATTCTTACTCTTACTCTCTTTTGCTTTTATTGCTTTGTCTCTTTCTGTTTTTGCTCAAGACCACTCTGATGATGTCTTAAAACGCAGTTCGGGAAATGCTCCCTCTCCAACAGTATTTGAAAAACGACAAAAGCCCAAACAAACAATCTTCAAACCGTTCCAATGGCCAAGAATTGACGGACCACCACAAGATTTCCCATCAGACGATGCGTTTGAGTGAGTGCATCTTTAGGTGATGTAGAAAACAGTATCTGTTGACGCTTTGATCTCTGCTTTTTTATAGGATTGGCTATTGGACATTCAATCTCACTTTTATTCAACGTCTTTTAGAAGTGAATAAGACCGATCATTTACAAGCTCAAATTCTTGCTTATCAAGCATCGGTTGAATATGAGCTTTCGTGGCGTGACGAATGTTACAAGCTGAGTAATGTAAGTGCAGTAATGATGCAACATCAAAATACATTAGCAAGAGTTTTAGCATTTCCACATCAAGACAGGAATACAAATTTGGACAAAGTTTACAAATTAGCACCTGCTATTAAACTTTTATGTATGGAACGTCCAAAAGGTGCAAATATAAATAAATCGATTGTTAATCATTCAAAGACACTTATGGATCTATTCGGTTGGGATAAAGCAACGGCTCAAAGAAACATGCAAGGAATACATGAACACCTTCAACCAACAACGAATCAGCCAATTTCAAATCCATCAATGACTTCGAAACCGAACACAAAGCCAAAGACTACATCAACGTCAAACAAAAAGTCAAAGACGAAGTCAAAAAGCAACACATGGCCGAAATCGAACAAAAAGACACAATTGATGTCAGGACCTTGGTCTTCACCATGGCAACAATCTATGCCGAAATCAATGTCGCCGCCCGGAACAGGGTCAGGATTCCAGCCTGGATCGATGCCTAAACAAAAATCACCGCCAAAATTCATGCCGATGCCAAAGAACAAATGGTAAAAATGGACTCTTTCTTTCTTTATAAAATCACTTTCATTTCATTTTTGTATTTAGACTGATCCCTCGTCTTAATTTACATGCTTCCTGTGACATTCACTTGAAAAGCAATTAGCTGACTGGAAGCTGAGGTGAGACTGCGCTTCTGCGCGATGTGATGTAAGAAATGGGAAGTGCAGATAATAGAAGTTGTACAGGAGCGGTACCGTATTCAGCCTGAATATGTGTATGAAATTGCTAATACTTGGCAATTGGTAAACAAAGCTTGATTGACGGACGGGGCCGAGCTCCAATCATATGACCTTCGCCTTGTCTGAATTCTAGCTTTTGGAAATTGGCAAACGATTCTGCAATAGCTGCTGCACATCGTACCAATACTTTGGCCCGCGTTGTTATGCTTCCGCTCAACGATAAAGACTTTGATATCGATGCAAATTATCACTTATCAACTACAATTGCTACTGTTTGTTGGAAAGCGACAAAGACGGTGATCAAAATAAAGCAGTCGTCAATCATATAGAAATATTGATGAAAAATCTTCATTGGGACAAAACATCCGCTTTGAAAGTGCTGGAAAAGCAGTACATTCAGTTCGTTTATACATTACATAAAACGGGCATCCCAAAATATACAAAAATAAAATAATGTAAAATGTCAAGTAAAGAACATTCTCCGCTTCTTCAATACGTGTTTCCACTGTCACCTTTATTATGATGTCATTTCCTAAACTGTGAGATGGATTTTGGAAGAGACAGCCAGCATCAAAGTGACATAAGATAGCCGGCAATGTTATTATAATCTAGGCATAGAAGGATTCTTTTCATTCACGCTGTCCTTTGGTGACGCCAAGCAACGTCGTAAATACATCTAAATGCTTGGAATAGGATTACTAGCGGCGATAATCTTATTGGCAATGGCGGCAAGCGCTTGTTGTTTGCCTCAATATTTATTCGAATGTTGAGCCTTTTATAAAATGCAAGTCAAGGTCTAAAGAAGGCTTTTCATTTATCACTCAACCCCGACGTCGCAGCTCTACCAACATCTTTCGCAAGGCATAATGCGTCATACCATCTTTGTCATCTTTGCAGCCTTGTTTATGGCTTTGGCTCAAGCTCAAGTTTCAGTCAGTGGAATTTCCTTACCTCTTCGAAGTTTGGATGATGATAATGATTTGCAGATCAAGCGAGCTGAACAAGCGACATTTCAATGGCCTCGTGTTGATGGTCCTCCACAAAATTTTCCAGATCTCAAGCTTTTAGAGTGAGTATGACTGTAAGATGCTCTCGTTATTTAGTGCGAGTATTTGCTTACCCAGTCTTATCGATCCAAAAGTGTCGGCTATTGGACCTTCAATACAACGTTCCTCAAAAGTATGGAAAGTCTCAATTTGACCGATCCCATGAAAGCAGCAGAACTGCTATTTAGTGGCATGGTAGAATATGAATATACATGGCTTCACGAATGTTGGAAGTTGAGCAACGCATCTGCCAAAGCAGAAAGTCGCACAAATACCTTAGCTCGTGTTGTCGTTTTCCCTACAGATGATCCTGCTTTGGGTATCGATCCAATTTATCAATTAGCAACGCCTATGATGCTCGCTTGTTGGGAACGTGCAAAAGATGGAGATATTAATGTTGCTGTCAAGAATCATACGCAAGAGTTGATCAATTCTCTCAAATGGGATAAAGCGTATGCATTGAACTTTATCAATGAGCAAAAGAAAGATTTTGCTCCGGTCGTTCAAGCGAGTGCTAATTCTACTTCCCCAACTGTCATCAACCCACCACAAGGTACTTCTTCTTCCTCAAAGGTTGGTACTCCGGATTCGTCCAATTTGCTCCTCACTGCAAATCCCTATCAAAGCTTGTTCCTCTCTATTATTTCTGTATTCATCTTTTTCATGATTTAAACGTTTTTCCTTCCTTAAATTTTTCGTCATTTCCCTAAATTTATGATTTTTCCACCCTTTATTTTGATTTTTGCGAGTTGATTGTCTGTGATTGACAGAATATGCGATTAAAATGCGGCTTTGCCAAGCATATCTTTTCTTCCACTCGTGATACGGAGCGGCCGCTCATTCGGTAAAGTATTCTTTGTCGGAATGTTTTTGTTTGCGTAATGAATCACGGTGGCCGCTTAAAGCGCCTCCGCCCTCGTCATGGTTCATTACGGTCAAAATTGAGCGAAATTAAGTGAAAGCGGAAGCATAGTAGTATCATAACAGGATTGAAGATAGAGAGCAACACACACAGTACAATGCTCTGTGCCTCTTCTTTCTCAAGGTATAAAACACCTCTTTCTGATCCTTACTTCCTACGAAACTCTATACCCTCGTCTCCTCCTTCTTTCACCTCTTGATCATTCAAGATGGCGATGAACAATTCCATCTTTTTCGTCTTTGCGGCCATATTTGTTGCTTTGATCAATGCTCAACAATCAATCAATGGTATTGCATTACCACGAGATTCATTCCAACTCGAAGATCTTTCGGATTTAGCATACAAGCGTGATCTTGATAAAAATGGCCTCCCTGCACCTTCAAAGAACTCACCAAATGTTACTTTCCAATGGCCACGAATTGATGGACCTCCAGAAAATTTCCCACCGATCAAAGACTTAGGGTGAGTGCATTACATATTTCATGAGGAATTGTGTCATTGAGCTTTGTTTATTCTTTAGTACGGCTTTTTGGACTTTCAATTTGACTTTCATTAAACATATGCAAGAAGTCAACAAGACTGATCCTTTACAAGCAACAGAATTGGCATTCCAAGCTGCAGTTGAATACGAATACAAATGGTTACACGAATGCTGGAAGATGAGCAATCATTCTGCTGCAATCCATCACCGTACAAACACCAAAGCTCGTGTGGTTGCATTCCCATACATGGATGCAAGTACCAATATTGATCCAGAATACGAATTAGCACCTTCAATCAAATGTGCTTGTTGGGAACGTGCAAAAGGTGGAAATATCAATAAACCGATTGTCAATCATACCAGGAAACTGATTAACAAATTAGGCTGGGATAGACGTACAGCTTTACGTAGAATTCGTAAACAGCATAAACATCTCAAGCCCATTAATCCTGGTGCTGGAAAGCAGAAGGGTAAGAAATCAAAGAAGCAAACAACCTGATCAAAACTACTTTATTGCAACGATTTCCTCTCTTTCATTTTTGCTCTCTTTACTTGTACTCCTCCTAATCTCTCTTCTTTCACTTTATCCCGCAGCCAGACACAGTTCTGATAGCTACTGCAATTATGATATCTTTCTTCACTCTATGAACGTTATGATATCTTTCCTCTCACCCTATGAACGTTATATTACCTTATGATACCACATGGAAAGTTATGATGGCAAGATTGTCAATTTCACTTGTGACTTTGTTTTGGTAGGAGGGAGGAGTAAGCCATGATTCATACGCGTTCAGTCTAAATACGCGTGCGTGTGTGTTGTTTTGATGAAAAGTCCACGTGCTAAAACGCGCCTGATTCATCCTCCGCGTTTGTATACCTTCATTAGGTTTAAAGAGCAACACTCTGTCACATACATACTCTTGTCTTTTCCATCATCCATCCATCAAGCATCACAAGACATGTCATTGCCACCACAAACACCCCTTGGCAATGCAAGGAGTAGTAGTAGCAGCAGTAATAGCGTCTTTGGAGGAGGAGGTCGCTCAATGCAAACGCCACTAAAAACACCATCGAAAACACCGCTACGTACGCCAGGTGGTGGTGAACAATTATCACATACGCCAGTGATCAATTTTGCGGCAATTGAAGCACATAAGGAAAACGTTCAACCTCTTGTTCAAGGTAGATCAGCACATGCACTCAATACCGCACTTTCACAGAGACAAGCAGAATTACGAACGCAGAGGAAACAATTTGAGGACTTGGTAGAAAGTGAAGAAAATGCAGATAGCGATGATCCGATCGATGCTTGGCAAAAGTATGTGAAGTGGATCATCGACAACTATCCTAGCGGTCAATCATCAGAATCAGATCTTTTGGTCATCTTGGAACGGTGTACACGTCTGTTCAAAGCATCTACTCAATATCGCAATGATGTTCGCTATTTACGCATGTGGATCTTATACGCAAGAAATGTTGATTGTCCAAGTGATGTTTACAATTATCTACTCGCAAATGAGATAGGGACAAGTCTAGCAAGCTTATATGAAGAGCTAGCTTTGGTCTACGAAGGTCAGGAAAGCTTTGAGAAATCCGACGAAACATATAGGATGGGAATACATCGATCTGCACAACCTATAGATCGTCTAAAGAGAAGGTATGCAGAATATCAGAGTCGCATCTTATCAAAAGAAGGTCGTGGAGAAGATGAGCGTATGGCATACAAAGATGCTCTACGCTCTGCTATGAACAAAGCACAGCGGTCTATGCTGGGTACAAAATCAGGATCAATCAGCATGAGCGCAAATTCGGTTAGAGGGATGGGAGGAGATGCTAGTCTCCCATCAAAATCATCCGCACTTTCAAGTAACAATAATTCACGTAAACCATCCGTTTTCAAAGATGCTGATGGAGAAGATGTCTTTGCTAAACGTTCAAAAGGAGGTGCTGAAGGAACGGCTGGTTGGACGGACATGGGTACAGCAACGAGTAGAAAGCAAGAAAAAGCAGGATCAGAAGCTAAAGCATGGAAAGGTGAAGTGCTTCCACAACGTGAACGAGGAGCAACGCCAAAAAGACCTGCGATTGCAATTTATCGGGATAGCGATGATGAAGATGAAGAAGGCAAGACGCCTGGTAAAGTGAAAGGTGGTGACGTGTTCTCCAAAAACCGCGAGCCGAGCGAAAGTGATCGGTTGAGAAAGAATCCTTTTGCCAATTATGAGGCCGTTGATCTCAAGCCGCAAGTGAAACCAGCTCAAGCGCAGTCGACTCGGGAAGAAAAGGTCAAGTCAAGCCACAAGAGCGAAGAGAAGGCCAAGAAGAAAGTTGTTGCATCATCTTCGACAAAACCATCGTCATCAAAATCATCATCCAGCTCAAAACAAGAAAGATATGCTGTTTCTCTTGCTGAACTCTATCCCGGTATCGACATTGATCAAGCGGTAAAACGCACATCAAGGAAGCATAAGAGCGGTGAAATATGTCTGGAAGAATTGAGTGCAAAGAGGATGAAATTGCATCATTCGGACGACACTGATGACCCCTGGGCATTCCTAGATGCTTTGCAAGGTCAATGGTTGCCCGAGATAAAGCCACCTCAGAGAAAGCAACCTATGAAGCGAGATCCAACAGTCACAGCATTTACCAGAGCTGCTCAAGATGAGGTTCTACAAATGTTCAATAACGGAATGGTCGATAGCGATGAAGATGAAAGTTCTGAAGATGAACAGAGCGAATCAGAGGAAGAAGAGGATGGCGGTCAGATTGCACAAAGCTCAGTAATAAAGCCAAACATGGTCCAAATGAAGGAAAACGAGGTGGACCCATTCACTCCAACTCCTGCACCCAAATCGTTTTCTGTTGCTCCACAAAAGCGTACACTGCTGGAAGAAGTGCCAATGCTAGACACAACTTCAAACAGTGGTTTACCAAATGGGCAATCAAAAGCCATTCTGGCTACACCCGCTCGAAAAGTGTTTGGAGGCGATCGTAAACCATTGGCAGCCATTGCGCAATCTGAAGCACATGCTGAGCAGGCTCCACCTCAGAAATCTCAACGGATCACAAATGAAGTATTTATTGAGGAGGATGACGAAGACTCCGTACAAGAGGACGACAATGCAAAGGAAAAAGCCAATGCGGATGTACAAGAAGATGAAGTGGATTACCTTAACAGACCGATGCGTGAATTGGCACCATTATCACCAATCACGGAAGCGACTGAATATACCCGCTATACGCAAAGCACTAGAACTTCTCGTACATCCACATCAAACGGCCGGAGAAGTGAAGCTTGGACTCCATTTGCTTCCCGTGAACAGGGTTCGTATGAACATTACGAAAATGCAGATGAATCGCATTATGGCAATCGTTCGCATGAACAAGAGGAAGCTCAGACTTCGCTTCACATACCTCAATATGATGAAGAGCCAATTGAGACTCAGTTGCCTGAAGGGCATGTGGTAAGTCATCCTGAAATCCCTAACGACAATAATGGACCATTGTGTCCATTTGAGACAGAGATCATCGATGCTATCATTGAAAGATTGCCATTGTCTCTGGAATCTTCGGATGACTTTATCAATTTACCCAACGATACTGCCAATCAACTAACAAGCCTTCAAAAGAGAGCTGCTCATCTCACTAAGCGAAGATCTTCAAGCCATACATCCCCTTTGATCAACACAAAAGACGGTTCAGCTGATTGGGTGATGCACGTTGCAAAGAACACATTCACTGTTCGTCAAAAGTTAGGAGAAGGTGGCTATGGTGCTGTTTTCTTGGCCGAAGATCAAGCAGGCATCACAGGTCGTCAACGTTTGGTAGGCGGAATCAATGGCGATGCAAGCTTTGCTGCTTTGGATGATGATTATCTTGATGAAGATGAATATGACGAAAATGAACCTAAATTGATTGCTATCAAAGTTGAATCACCGCCAAACAGATGGGAATTCTATATTCTTGGTCAACTTCGCGCTCGTCTTTTGGATGAAAAAAGGTTGAACTCCATCATTTGTGCACGCAAGTTCTTCTGCTTCCAAGATGAAAGCTTTTTGATGCTTGAGTATGCCGAAAAAGGAACATTGCTGGAGATCGTAAACAGTGCCGTGAAAGCAGGCGTTGCATCAAGTAGTGCAATGGCAGCAGGCGGTGCGATTGGCGGCTCGAATGGCTCTAGTGCTTCTGTTGGAATTGACGAAGTCTTGGTAATGTTCTTCATCATCGAGGTGATCAAATGCGTGGAGGCGTTACATGCTGTTGACCTTTTACACGGCGATTTGAAGATCGATAATTGTCTTTTACGTTTGAATGAAAGTGAAGATTCATGGACACACTCTTACAAACGAACAGGTGAAAATGGATGGTCAAGTAAAGGAATCACTTTGATCGATTTTGGCAGAGCGATTGATTTACGTCAATTTTCTCCAGATCAACAATTTTTGGCAAATTGGACGCCAGAACAGCATGATATGCCACAAATTCATAAAGGAGAACCTTGGAGACACGAAATTGATTATTTCGGAATTGCAAGTATTGCATATTGTCTCTTATTTGGAAAATACATCGAAACTGTTGATCAAGGAGAAAACCAATACGGAATCGATAAGCCTTTGAGACGTTATTGGCAAACAGAAATTTGGACATCTTTATTCCAACTTTGCTTGAATTCAGCGCATCAAGATGACTCTGCCGCTCAACTTGCAAGCATTCGCGATAGAATGGAAACATGGCTAGAGGAGAACTGTTTCCGTGCAGGAAAGAATCTAAAGGGTAGTCTGAAGAAGCTAGAAATTTGGAGCATGAAACGTAGCATGTAACGATCTATATTTCTCGCACAGATTGCCTTTGTACATTATTTTAATTTTCATATATACATACAATGCCAAAGAGGTGATGATGGAAAATGCATGCTTTATTATGATTCTTCTTCGCTACCTCTCCAACCACCGCTCCATAGACTTGGTCCTTCGATATCATAACGTTTTCCACGAACTGCCCATATTCCCCAATTTGCTTTTACCGCTACACGAGGATCAAAATCAGCAACTGCCCATTGTTGACTTGCAAACACATTTTCACCCGGATTGATGAGCCATTCAAATTCACCTTGAATACCTTCAACGCTTTCGAAAGCCAAGATATCTCTTTCAACATCAGCAGGACTGAAACCTGTTGAGATAAGAGCACATTTCGTGCTGAGCATTTGACCCAACGCTCTTGCCCATTCACGTTGTGCTTGCACGATTGGAGCAGTGGTTAAGCTAGTGTAGCGTCCATGTGGCATTTCAGCAGATGTTGGCTGATCAGATTCTGCTGGTGGTGGCGGAGGTGGCTCCGCAGCTGGAACATCACCACCTACTGGGTTCAATCGCTGTTGTTCTGCTCCTTCGGTTGGAGCTCCTCGTGCAAAGTATGTATCTCTTGCTGCTGCCATGCGTTCCTTTTCATCACGAGCTTCCCATCTTGCTCTGTTTACCTCTTCTTGTCCTACCATACTTGGGAAACCAAAACCCGGGCTGAAACAGAAGAACATATCTGTGTAAGGATCAAAAGGTTCCAATTGTGCATGTACATCTTCGTAATTGCATTGAATCGATGTCAGTGTTAATCCTTCTGAGACAACGACAGTTTTGCTAGGAACTCCGTAGTTCGAACTCTTTTGTTTTCCACGATGCATGGATGCGACACTGATGTTATTATTCTCCTGCGAATTGGTTGATGGAGCCTGTGCGCCTGCCACTGCTCTTCCAGTTTCACGTGGAAGTGTAACTTCTGGACCAATGAAAAAGATATGAAGAGGCACACCGGGGAACATATGCCGTAGTTGATCCCAAACGAGTGGTGGTAATGTAGATTCTGCTCGAGCACCAACGATAAAGATTCGCGTCACATCAAGACTTGGTCTGGATCCCAAAACAGGGTGAAGAGTTTGACGTAATGCTACCAAACTTCGAAGTCCTTCGTGTGTCAGCCTTCCATTTCGCTTCGTGTAAGGACTATTCTCGTGTAAAACACCGGCAACTGTGCAGGGGAAAGAGAGCAATTTGGAAACATGCCTTCTTGATCTTTCAGTTTCTATAGAGTCGTGATTACGTGTGTAGAAGAAGATATCCCATGATGAAAAGTTGATCACTTCTTCGAAACCTTGATGACCCGGTAGTTTGAATTCAGTCATTTCCCTTCCACTTCGTAAATCATGCTCATCCTCGTTTGCTTCACGTAACCTTGGAACGTACTTCGCATGCTCTGTATCTTCGCTCCACTCTTTTTCGCTGTAATGTGTTGGCCAACCGCAATCTGGACATTCAAATTGAACCAACTTCCTTACCCCATCACGATTTAGAGTGACTGGACAAGGAGCCATAGACTTTATTCTTTCTCCACGTGCACGCATGGATGGTATAGGCGACTTGCTTAGCGGATGAAAGAGATTATCCTGTTCCAAAAGGACAACTTGACCTGAACCAGAAACACCTCCTGCTTTTTGCGACTTCTTTTTATCACCACCAAACGAAAATCCGAATAATGTTCGCCGAGAAGAAGGTATAACGTTGTAAAAATGTGCCTCCTTTCCTGCCATCAAGCCAATTGGAGCAACACCTCTCCGATTGGCCCGATAGGCCAAAGATAGGATAGGTCGCATGTCAAACACGATATCTCTTTATGATGGATCAAGATCGATGGGGAGAAAGATAGAGAGAGTTGTTTTCTGGATTATGTTTCTTTTGTCAGCCTTCCACTTTTTCAAGCTTTGTTCATTTTGCCGTGCTCCGAAGCCAGGCAAATCATCACTGACTGTGCGCACGAGAAAAAGCTGAGATGATTAAATAAGCACACAATGACCTTCTTCTTCTTATTTTCGGACACGCAGAATCCTTTTTAGCGGAATGACACTGCTCATACGCCCTTCAAACCCCCGTGCGCGGCGCGTTTTGACTTTGATTGGAAATGTCAACATCGTGCAAAGCTTTCTTCTTGCCATCCATCCATCCATTCGATCTCTGCAAATATGCCAAACGGAACTGGAACTCGTCTCTATGTGGGCAACTTGGCCCCTGATACGCGGTATGTATACAAATAAAAGTAAAGCAAGTTGATAGGTCTGAGCTAACACCGTCTTTCACATTTCAGAGAGAGCGATTTAGAAGATCTTTTCAAAGGATATGGAAAAATCGTTGATCTTCGTTTGATGGGTAACTTTGGATTTGTCGAATGGGACAGACCTGAAGATGCAGAAGATATCATGAAAGACTTCAACGGAAAGAAATTCATGGGAGACAATCTGAAAATCGAATATGCCAAGGAAAGTCGTAAGAATCGTCCTCCTGGCGCTCCCGGTGGTCCTGGCGGTTATGGTCCCCCTCCCCCAGGATATGGAGGATACGGTGGTGGCGGTGGCGGCTACGGTGGCTACTATGATTACTACGGAGGAGGTTACGGAGGCGGTTATGGTGGAGGTGGCTATGGTGGTGGTCGTGGAGGATATGGCCCACCACCACCAGGCTACGGTCCACCACAACAACGTTACAACAATCAAAACCAAAGACGTGGTGACAATGTCCGCCGCGGTCAATACCGTCTCATCGTTTCCAATTTACCACCAAACACCTCATGGCAAGACTTGAAAGATATTGGTCGTGAACACGGTCGTATCTCATTCGCTGACGTTGATGCACAAAGACCAGAAAAGGGTGTCATCGAATACGATAATCCAGAGGATTATCAACGTGCTCTTGACCGTATCGAAGGCATGGACTTGCGTGGTAACAAGTTACGCATCGATCCTGACCGTGCTGGACCACCAGCAGGACCTGCAGGAGGTGAAGAACGCGGCGGCGCTCCTCGTGATCGTTCCCGTTCTCCTGGACCTCGTCGTCGTGGCGGAGATGATGATCGTGAACCACCTCCACGTCGTCATGACAGCCGTAGTCCACCACCACGCCGTGAGCCTACAGATTGGGATTAATGCATAACAAGATGAACGACTTCCAAGACTCAAAGTCGATTTGAAGCTATTCTGCTCGGGTTTGTGTTGTTGCTCTACTGACCTTTTGCCTCCTATATAGCGATCATATTCTTGGAGTTGGATTGGTTTCAGGAAGAACAAAGTGTCTTTTGTCGTTATGTTCCGTTTTATTGTTCCTTATTTTCACTGCTTCTCCTCGCGATCTGTTTTATTTATTTTTTCCATATGGATTCCCAAAAAAGAAGAGAAAAGAGGAGAACAGTGCAAATTTCAAAAAGAAATCAATTCAATGATCATATGGTCTTCAAATTGGATAATCGCTTTTTCGGGAGCGTGTGTGGACTCGTGAATCGTTTCTTGTTTAGGTTGCTTTTCATTGGATGGTCGTGCGTGTAATTGGTGTTTTGGAGAAAGTTTGATTGGCCGTGGTCCCTTTGCGTTACGAACGAGGTAGGATTTGGCGTTGGACGTGAGGTCGCGATGGAACGTCTATGTGCGGATGTCGTAAGAACGAAATAGAAGAGTAGGAAACATTGTATAGAATGACGATTGGGAGGTGCGAGACGTGGCGGAATGATTACTTGGGAAGCTGTGGCTCGTGATGATTGTGGTTCGATGGGGCGGTGTATGGTCGTGGAGTTTCTCAATCTAAGATGGAAAGGTCGTCGTCGTTCGTGGTTTTCTTGAGAATGATATAGGAAGACGAATTTGTTCTTGGACCGATACAGATTGCAACCTGGAAAGGCACAAATTGGACTTTCATCTTGCTTCAACCTTACACAGGCTTCCGTTGATGCACCTGAAAGATGGCCAGGAAGCTGGACAGGACCAAATGGCGTGTATGGGCAAATTGTCTAAGTCTCTTAGGTCATACACGAGTTCGATTTTTGGTGATCGTCAATATCGAATCGGCGTAGCAAAGCTCATTTCTGACTTTTAATAGTTTTACACACAGCAGGACAAGAAAGGCCTTGTTGGGATAAATAAGGTAAGTGCATGATAAGTAGTTTCAAACATTGATAAAGATGCATTGCACGGATTAGAGGTCATCCTTTTGGGGTGTTTTTGTGTATTGATACATAGATAGAGTATTTTGGCAATGAGATGCTTATGCAAATGTATAGTAATGTGTGAGAGGATTGTCTCACTTCTTTTGCCTCTTAGAATTGCCCGCAGCCAGATCAGAACTTGAACCGTTTGCTTTCCGTTTAGCCAAGCCGTGTTTGCTTCGAATATCGGACCAAGACTTGTCATATTGCTTTTCGAATTTCTTTGCCATATCAGTGACTGCTTCATCGCTTACATTGAATGTATAACAATTATGCAGCATCAAACGAATATCCGCATCAAAGTCATACATTGTTCCATATTGTCCTGCAGCAAGCTTGCTCGCGATTGTTTGCAAATCTCTAGCATCTTTCTTTGGAATAATGTTGTGATAGTCCGGAATGCCTAATTTGACCGGATCTACAGGCTCCAAAAATAGTATGGCTCCATCCACACTTCCCAACTTTTTCACCAAACTTTGCAATGTTTTTATCTCCACAGGTTCAAGCTTTGGAATGCATGCAATACGCCATTCTCTCTCAAATGCTGTTGCGAGCGCATTGGCAAGTTCAACGGGAAGCGTTTCGGGCGGATTGAACTTTCTGCAATTGGCGAATATTAATTCCATATCTGCTTTGAATTGACCCATAGTGGAATATTTGCCTTCATTCAATTTTTTGGTCATTGTTCCCAAATCCATAGGATGTTTAATCTCATCAAAATACGTTGGTGCACCATCCAATACCGGGTCCACAGGTCTCAAAAAAATTGCAGCTGCAGGTTCCTTCTTCAATGTATCCAACAAATTTTTGCATTTTTTCGGAAGAATCGGAAGATTTTCCACATTTGCAGTACCATTTGCACTTTTTGATCCGTTTGTAAGCTTTACACTCGGCGACCTAGAAGCAACGGGTGACATAGCCTTCTCTCGTATCACGATAGGAGAGGAAGTGCGAGATCTTTGAGCGGGCGAAGGACTTCTAGAAGTAAAGCTCTCCTCAACAGCTCTCGACGATGCTCTCGCATTTTGCTGCTTGGGTACTGTTTGCTTCATTTCCGGCTCGTAAGCCCGATCGACAGGAGCAGGAGAGTCATCGCTTTGTGCGTTATCGGTAGACAATTTCGGTTTAAGCTTGATTTTGAATCCAGCTCGTGCAGGAGCAGCAGGAGGCGCCATAGGTGTTCTGACTGGAGCCTCTTGAGGTTCAGGCTGGGGAACTGGAGAAGCTTCTTCAGCATCCGCAGATTCACGAATCTCCGGTGTTTCTTCTGTATTTCCGTTTCCATTGGTAGCTGCCATATTGTTGGCTGCTGCATGTGCCAAAGTTTTTGTAATACGATTCCACAAGGTTTGGAATTCACGATTAAGTGAATTAGCAGAAGTATGAACGAATGCTTTTGGATCTGGCGTGTATTGCTTTGCGTTATTGATGACCAATTCGAAATCTTCTTTGAATTCGAATCGATCTTTGTACATCCCTTCGTTCAATTTGTTCTCGATACTACTTAGATCCATTGGATTCTGAATCACATTGAAGTAATCAGGAACTTTATCACGAACAGGATCAACAGGTTTGCGAAACAAGTGCGAATGTTTGCTGTTTTGCACCCTTTTCAGTGCATTTCGACAAGCTGTCAGATCTGTCAATGTCATACCAGAAGCTTGACCAGGCGCAATCGGTTTGATCTTTTTCTTCTTTACCGGAGCAGCAGGAGTCGCCGATACTTTGTCCTCGAATGCCACTCTTGGAGTCGTTTCGGTACGAACAAGTTTGATCTTTGGTGTTCCCGTTTCAGTTCGTTGTCTCGCACCTGAAGCTTGTTCAACTTGCTCGGCAAGTGATGGCATGCGTACGCGGACAGAGACCTTGGGTTGGAAGGGCACTTCATGTTCTTCACTTGGCTTGAATAGCAATTCTCCCAATTTCAACAATGCCCAACGTTCTCCGATATCAACGCCTGGATGAAGAATAGCCTCCAAAAAACCTTCACGAACGCTTGCTGATCGTCCAACTTCCTTGCGGATGATCTTCAATGATTCTTCCAATTGTTGTTCTTCCGTCTTTCCGTTTTCACTTTCGTCAACAATTGCTCTATCACGCTTCTCCCCGACTGCAACAAAAACGGCCATCGATTGACAGATTGAACGTGCAAGTGCACGTTTGACTGCTCGGCTCTCGTCAGAACGCAAAAGGGCGAAAAAGTATCGTGTGAGAATCTTGTGTTGCAATCCATGAATCAACAAGAGGTAGTCCAGGGCAGTGATGCGAAGAGAGGTATAGTTGCCTTGACGAGTGTAAGAATGGAGGAGAGGAAGATTGACCGGGATAATGTTCGCCAGCATCAAATTTCCCTGGAAGTCCAAACATGACATGCTGACAACATTGTGGAAAGATGGAACGAGTCGATCAAGCTCTTGGAAGCGCTCTACCTCTTGGCGTGCAGATGCTAGCAGCATGTCGTCATCAATAGCTGAAGGATCCTCGTTTGCAGGGACATATTGACCCCAAAGTGAATCAAGCGGCACAAGTGCATGAGCAAGACAACTAATAAGACCGGCAATGTAAAAGTCGTCTACAAAGCGATTCTTAGAATTGTCATTGTATCGCAAAAGATTGATGATGAACCGTTTCACTTGGGGTAGACTTCTGCCGTGCTCGTTGCGTACATTGCTGATTGCTTGGATGAGCGCACGCTTCACGAAATATTCTGCATAATCTGAGAAGTCATTTGCCTTGGGGATAGAGGGCGCATCCAGATCTGTATTGTTTGCAGTCTCATGACAATATGAGGTCCTGAAAAGCATCAGTAAATGAAATAGACCAAGATAGTCCAAAGACTTGAGCGCACATCCTACCAGCTGATGGATTGCTTCTATTCTGATTCTGAAAAAGTACTTTGTCACAAGCACTGTACGTGTAAGCATTGAACTTGCGATTGCATTTGGCATCCTTCCAAGCGCCTGAATTGCAGCTGCTTGAGCAACAACATCCCTATCACGCTGTAATTGAGAAACCCACATGTAATCCTTTTGATCGAATTGTATATGAGCAATCCATTCAAAGTCGGCATCCATTCGAATCCATTCATAAGGCGCTGAAGACATTTGCGCTTCTTCCTCTTCGGTCCAATCAGCTACCCGCCACTTTTCACGCTGCTCTTCTTCTTCCCACATACCCAAACCGAAACCCAGATCCATTAAAGAAATATCTTCTGCCGCACCTTCATCACCTTCAGCTGCAGCTTTGGCAGCCGCCTGTCTACTCTTGAAACGTTTGGTATTTCGCCTAACACGTTTATACTTCGTATTGAAAGGCACTTCGAATCTCCTTTGTGCATCATTCATATCAAAGACGTGCTCGTAAGGCGTTCCGTCGGCTTCATGAATTCGAACAGTCATTTGACCTTCGAATAATTGAACAGGATTCGAGCCGGCTGCTTCCAGTGGATTCCTTTGAGCGTAATCCCAACTTGGCGTATATTGGTGAAAGTTAAATTCGATCAAAAGCTTCTTCTTGTTGAAGTTGGCATTACAAACAAATGTTGGGCAACCGCTACCATAGATCCATTGATCAGAGAAACGACGCAATTCTATCCCACTCACTTTGCGACACGTTCGCAAAAAGTTACTGGTGCTCAAAGTAGCATTCACCATCTCTCCAGTGATGGCTTGCAAGAAGACTTTTGGAATCGCACGACCAAGACCGAGGGTTGCACCAGCTTTGCACAATCTTCTATCAAGAATGTGAAGGACCAAAGGAGCCTTTAAATTGATGAAAGAGAGATAGTCTTCTTCAGGTGCTTCTTGTCTTCCGGAGATGTACAAAGGTGGCATGCCGATATCCCATGTCAATAATCGATCACAATCCTTCTTGAGCCTGAAACGGTATTCGTTATTTCCAAGTAGACGACGCATGAACAATCCAGAGATATAAAGACTAAGCCCGTTGATCAGCCAAGTATCTGACCATGTTTTCTGAATGATGTTGATCCCAATCCATTGGAAAGCCACACAATGACTCAAAATTTGACGTGTTTCCAAAGCCTGATCGATGACAGTCGGCGGGTGCAGTAAGTCACTCGAGCAAATCGCGAGTGTAGACGTATTGTGAACATCATGAATAGGTTCATCAACAAAGACGACCGACATTGAACCAAACGGATAAGAACCAAATTCTCGGCTATAGAAGTCTAGAGCCTGATGGACTACAGCCACACTATTGAACATTTCCTCTTCTCTACCCGGCAAGCAAAACGCCACTGCACGTCCACTGGGCTCATCTCGTTTTGCTAGAGGGATATCGTACATCACGAACGGTCCTGCAGCAAAACCGATATGCTGAGCAGACGTGGCGGATGCTTGTGAGAAATAGAAGATGCTCTTGTTCGAATTGTGTGGATGAATGACCTTTTCAACTAAGTCTCCGGATGCGATCACTGTCATCATTTCGCCATCCAATGTTTTGGGTACGATAAATTCCAATTCCCATGTGCATCTTTCCCACAAACTGTCGACGCATGGAAGCCAAGACCTAGTCGCATCGGGGCCGGTTGCAGAGGTGAAAATATGGGGTATCCTGTGAGGTGCTTCGTCCGATGGCATAGCGACTTGCACAGCTTCTTTCGGGTCTGTGATTGAATAATAAATGCGGACAGGGATAGGAACGAAATCAGAAGCTGCATCTTGATTTGTTTCTTGTACAACGTCAAAAGGAAGAAGGATGTCCAATTCGCCTCCTGCTCCATCGCTTGCAGCAGCAAAAAGTTTACGCTTTAGCTCTGGATTCTTGTGAACATCCTTTTCGGATAAGACAATGTTGGAAGAGTGGTCAACGATCGAAAACTCTGCATCTTGACCAGAACATGTTATACGTTGAACGTGAACCTGTTTTGCATTGAGGTGAAGCGTTTTTAGAAATTTATCATTGGGAGATATTGTCAACTCTGTGTAGCCTTGGATGATGACATTATTTTGCGAGGTGAATGACAATTCTAATGCCACCTTTTGATGACTGACGGAAAAGCCTCTTCCAAGTCCATCGGCACGCTGCATATTGTTCTTTGATCGAAAAATGGTCGATCTTACAGCCGATGAAGTGATTATTGGTGGTGCTGCATCAATTCGATCATCTAAGGCAGCATGTGTTGTTGTTGTGAAGTGAGAAAAGAAGGAAAACTTGAATGCAAACAGGTAGATAGTGGAGAGCAAAACACTAATGAATGCGACGGGTGCCCTAATTTTCTGCCCACATTTTGGCTTAACAAACACACCCGCCCGCTCTTACGCAAAGTGCTTAAGGCTTTTGGCACTGCACCGTCCAGTCGGATTCATAAGAACGCGTTTATTCTACTTCACATTCTATCCTCGCGACAATGATCATCGCGAGAGGACAAAGAAATGAATATGGTCACAATTCTACCAAGAAGGAGAGGTGTAAAAGAATGATGAGGCTGAGGCCTGACACGACTTGTTGCAATTCAAGGAAGTGACATATTGTCAAACGAGCCTTTTCTTACATTGAATGTCAGGCAGGCCCGATAAGACTTCTAGCAGGAATCAAATTTGAGCTAGAACGGAGACTTTAATGGAAATGATAGAATGTATATCAAGATTTGATGACATTGCTAGAATGATGATTGAGGGTCATGTGAGTGTCATTAGACATAGAAGTAAGAGGCGTAATGTTGGGCGTCGAATTGAAGTTTTAGTGCTTTTATCATGATTCTTTCTGGCACGCACTGTGCGCCGCCTTGCTGTACGCATCTCCTTTAAACCTTCCTCTTAGCTTCTCCTTGTTTCTTGAAATAACCCGCCCTTACTTGACGCCTGTGTGTGTGTGTGTGCTCTCTTGGGCAAAGTGCCACTCTACTGTTAGCCGACAATTTAGGGCGGATCTGCAAGCTGTACATCACTTCTTATTATTATTAGTTATGCATCTTTCATTCACAAACAAACCACGCCATCAGAAAAGAATATCATCTTCTATCTTCACAACCACGATCTGTTACGAACAATCAAAGGTTATCTTTGACCTTGTACATCTCTTTTATTCTTTCCGGAAGTCATTGGAGTAAACGCTTTGTGCACTCGGAAGGATCTAGAATCTGTCTCTCAATTTGGCTTGGACATTACACGATAGCAAAGAGGCGCAATCACATGCAGCTTTGGTGACAGGTTTCGCCTTTCGTTTTTCGACTCTTTTGATCGCCCTAGAGGCAGGCAATCATTCAAAAACTGTAAAGTAAAAATCGTAACAGGACTCTTCCATCTTTCAACACTTCCAACTCTATACCTTCTCATCATGCGGTATACATCAAATATAATAAAGCTGGCATGCTCGATCTCCGTCGCACTCTGTCTCACGTCTACAGCTTTAGCCCACAACGCAGTCATTGGTCAGCGACCGCATAAAAGAGAGTATGATTCACATCACTACTACGCATTGGAAATACGATCAACGCATAATCACATCGATCCAAGGGATGCTGCCAATGCTTTGGGCGTTGAATTGGTCGATAGAGTCGGTGAACTAGCAGATCATTGGTTGGTTCGTAGCGAAAAGCCACTATCTATTGATGCCACCACCAACCTACAAAAACGGTCACATTTGAGCTCATCAGAAGATCCAGTCCTACAACGATGGAGCTTGCTTAGCAGAGCGGTCACGACACCTTCTTTGGCAAAACGTGCGTCGATTGAAGATCATCATATTCATGCTGCAAGAGCAATTCGATCGCTCGAAAGACAAGAATTACGACAACGCTACAAACGTGATAAAATTATTTCGCCTTGGGATACACCAGAACTGTTCCCTCAAATTCGTGATCCTATTCCCGTACCAGGACCTAATCCTTATCCGGAACCGCTTCCTGCACCCCCAAAAATCATCAGCGACAAAATCGCCAAAGTGAAAGATCTCTTTTCAATCAATGACCCAATCTTCCCTAATCAGTGGCACTTGATCAACGATAAGAAGGAGAATTGGGACTTGAACGTGACCGGAGTATGGCAGCAAGGCGTGACTGGAAAAGGTGTAAACGTTTGTTTGATTGATGATGGAGTGGATCACAAAAGTCCAGACTTAAAGGATAATTTCTTTGCTGGTGGTTCATACGATTTTAACGCACATACTGATTTGCCTGAACCAAGGTTGTCAGATGATCAACATGGAACAAGGTGTGCTGGTGAAATCGCTGCAATGAAAAATGATGTTTGCGGAGTGGGAGTCGCATACAATGCGCATGTTTCTGGTGTCCGCATTCTATCCGGACCAATTACAGATGTCGATGAAGCAGCTGCTTTGAATTATGGCTATCAAGACAATCACATTTACTCGTGCAGTTGGGGTCCTCCAGATGATGGGCGCAGTATGGACGCTCCAAAAGGTTTGATTGCGAAAGCTATCTTGAACGGTGCACAAAATGGACGCGATGGCAAAGGCAGTATTTTCGTCTTTGCAGGAGGAAATGGTGGTGCATCGGATGATCAATGTAACTTTGATGGTTACACCAACAGTATCTATAGTATGACAATTGCTGCTGTTGATCGGGAATCCTTGCATCCATATTATTCGGAAATGTGTTCGGCTATCATTGCCTCCGGCTGGAGTTCCGGTTCGGGAGATCACATTCATACCACAGATGTCGCCTGGAATGGCGTCAATCGATGCACAACAAGTCATGGAGGTACAAGTGCAGCAGCACCTTTGGTTGCTGGTGTGATTGCTTTGGCACTTGAAGTTCGTCCCGATTTGACTTGGCGTGATATGCAACACATTGCTGTCCGCTCTGCTGTTATGATCAACCCGCAAGATCCAGATTGGCAAAAGACGCAAGCAGGACGTCATTTCAACCATAAATTCGGTTATGGTGTGATTGATGCATATCAATTCGTTGAAGAAGCCCGCCGTCACAAGCTCGTTAAACCACAAGCATGGATGGAAGGTAAGAATGTTACCATCCCCAAAGATGAATCTCTCATGACAAATTCGGGTGTCAAAAGCACCTTTGAGGTGACCGAACAGATGCTAAAGGATGCAAACGTGGAATCATTAGAGCACGTTACTGTTCGAGTATGGATCACTCATGATCGTAGAGGAGACTGTAATATCGTTTTGACCAGTCCACATGGAACAAGAAGTGTTTTGGCACGTCCGCGTCGCTATGACGATGCTACGACTGGTTTCCCTGGTTGGGGCTTCTCAACATTGAAGCATTGGGATGAATCAGCTATTGGTACTTGGACGATGGAAGTGTTTGATCGCGCTAATCCTGATAAGGTTGGTAATTTCTGGGCATGGTCAATGACTTTGTGGGGAGCTGCGATTGATTCGAGTAAGGCAGTGGCATGGAACTTCCCCACAGATAGTGTCGAATATCACGAGACTTTGGCCGCTGCACCGGCAACAACGATTATTCACAAACCACCAGGACAATTGACCAAGCCTACAGATCATCTTCCATCGGACCATGGTACTGCACCTGGCGAATCTCACCAAGGATTCACCAATCCTGAAGCTGATACAGGTTATATCAAAGGACTCAAGAAGAACTCTACTTGGCTATTTGCTGCTTCAGGTATTGTGTTCATCTTTGTCGGTTCGATGGTGGCATTCTTTATTATCCGCAACAGGCGCCACAGACGTGATGCGGCTGCAGAAGCGTATGAATTCGTACCTGGAGAAGATGACGATGATGATGATAATCTACCTATGGCACGTCTTGAACGTGGAGTCGTTAACAGTCATGGAAAGAAGAGAAGCAAGCGAACAAAGGAGCTATACGATGCATTCGGTGAAGGAAGTAGTCAAGATGAAGAAGAAGACGATGAACAAGGATTACTATCTTCGCGAAACAACAAAGATAAAACTGGAGCATATCACGATGACCCAGACGATGAAGAAACCGATGCAAGATTTGCAATCGAAGATGAGAATGAGCCAAAGAGTGCTGAACCTCATGCGCAAAAGACAAAAGAAGGTAATTTGTTATTCGATGCTTCTAATGAAGAAGAACAAAGTAGCGATGGAAATAGCTGGCAGGATGTCCACAAAGAAGGATGATTTTTCCTACCTCATTCTGTACGTTTATTTACAATTGCAAATTTATATTTTCACACATGGATTTCCTGCATGATCCAATAAGAGTATCTGTCATTATATAATACACGGTCCTGGCTGTCAAGTTGCAAGCTTGGCCACAATACGATCGGCTGTAGTTTCCAGTATTTCCTCTCTTGCTCTCGTCACTTCGAATACAGTACGTAGTGCACGAGAAGAGGATTGATCGCTGCGTAATCGTAAGATGGCACTTTTGCTTCGTAATTCGATCGCCAAATCTTCTGCTTCGATCCATTTTTTGCCTTGAGCATTATGAGTTCCCGATGCGAAATTTTGTTGTTTGGTTGTGTAGGAAGGTGGAGCTTTTACATCTTTTTCTGTTACTGTGATGCTTGATGAAACTGGTCTAATCACTCCAACCCTCCTTCCTCTTTGAATGACCAAATCTTCGATCCTACATTTCGGTTGATGATAGGCAAATAGATCATTTTCACCTTCTTCGTCATCGCCTAAAGTTGATTCAAGGAGTGAACTTTCGAAAGATTCGACATCTGATCGTACAGATGCAGCCACGAAAAGATCCAATATTCTTGTCTCTCTTCCTGCTCCTTCACCACTTCTGCGTGTTGCGGGTGATTGTAATGCATCAGGATTAGCAAGCCTGCTACGTACGATCACAGGTTCAGAAGCCGATGGAATCGCTTGTCCAGCTGGATAAGGATCGGTTGTAAAAGGTGCACGAACCCTATTCATATACCTTTGAATATATTTTGATCTTAATAAATGCATGCATAGCAAATATAAATCTTTTGAAGCGAATCGAACATTTTTATGTAAATTTGAATATCCTATTGCTTGTTGTTCAGGTGAGAGTTTTGGATCGATTAAATGACTCAAGATCATTAGAACTAGAGATGCATCTAATCCCCTTGGTTTGATGAATGGCTTACCCGTGCCATTTCCATGATTGGCTACTGTTTCGTATGCTGGTGGTGGTAAAGCACCCAATACTTCTGATAATCGACCCATCCTAAGAGAGTGATCAAGATCAAAGTAGTGAATGTGGAGAGAATAAATGCTCATATTATATGGAGGCGGTGTTGGTTTCATGCATGCACCTTTAAAGCGGGCGTGCTTGTACCAATGTATTGTATTATAGTTTAGCGCGTGTGTATCAGCCGATTACAGGCAAGCGCTTCCATGCATCATCTTCTTCGGGCAATTAATCCGATTGAACCTTCTACACATTCATCATCATCATCAAATCATACCCAATGCGCTACAACAACTGAATGCTCCTACAACATGACAGAGGAAGAGGAGGAAAAGGTCTCTTTTGCTAATCTGCGATCTCGATTTGAGGCATTAGCAGCTAAACCAGAGCAATCCTCAAGCAAGTCGATAGCCAAGCCATCACCTTCTCCTCATGCTGAACCACCACCTAATCAACCGGATACAAATGGACAGACGAAAACATTTGCTCCTCCACCAATCGTTCCAAGAAGACCACTTACACCTTCAAGAAGCTTGCCATCCATCTCTAATTTCCCTGGAGCATTAGAAGCATTAGCATATGCAGACACACCACCATCAAGATCGGGTACCCCTGCTGCACCTTCACCGCCCCCACCTCCAATTCCGATTCGACCAAGTGCAAATCAAGCTTCATCAAGCGTACCCAGCTCAACGCCGGCTTCCCTAGAAGAAGAAGATGCTGTTGCTTCCTCTGCCCCATCAGAAAGACCACCGCCATTCTTATTGCAAAAAGCAGCTGATGAGCATGCAAAATTCTTGGCAGCCCGTCATCACAGAACGCATAGTACATCAGAAGCACTTCGGGTATTGCATTCCGCCTCACATAGACTGACACATCTCGGCAGATATGCTTCACAGCACAGAAGGCATGACGATGGATCTGGAAATAGCACACCAAACGAGCCTGATTCGCCGGCTTCCAGTCAAGTCTTTTCTCCGCCAAATGGAGGTAATGAGCTTCTACCTCCGCCACCTCGTAGAATAGTGCAACCTAAGCCAATGCATGCTGAATCGGGAAATCGATCTCCAAATTTCAATGGCTCGTACGCTAATTCCAACAAAGCCTTACCGCCTTTAGTTACGGGTGAGGATGCTGAATCTTCAAGTGATACAGAGGAAGAGGTAATGTCAGCCGTACCTTTTGGATCCAAAGCTGATCCAAATGCGCCTGATGAGTTGCCTGATGCTTCTCGTGCGAATCGCAGACCACCCGATTATACTCCTCCAAGAGCAATACCGTCAAAAGGAGGTCATACATCTGCAGTAGCAGTGCACAAAGATATGGTTGTGGTGGGATATCATGACAAATTACGGATTCATGTAGCAGATCGCGGTTGGGATCCGATTACACAACATATCTACTTAGGCCAAGAACGACGAGAGAATCGATTGAGTGCATTGTGTTTCCCGTCAGGAGGAAATGGACGCTATCTATGGTGCGGAACAAAGGAAGGCGATATGTTTGAATATGACATAGAGGCAATGCGTGTGACGTCAACTCGGATGAGTGCACATACAGGGCCAGTGCTTATTTTGCAAAGGGTTAAAGACAATATGATCAGCATTGATGAAAGTGGAAAGATCTGTACATGGCTAGCAAAAGATCAATCTCTTCCATCACTCAAGGATCCGCCAGTCACACAACGCATCGTGATAGATAAGTACTCATGCACTTTTGTATTGGGAGATGAAGTTTGGGTAGCTTCTGCAAGTGATACTGCCGGATCTACTTCCAGGACCCCAAGAGTACGCATCTATCGCCCATTTACGATCGATAAACCTTTTAATGCAAATTCTCGACCTGTTGGTATACCCGATAATATCGGACCTAGCCATCTAGGTCTTATATCTAGTGCAGCTCTCGTCCCTCTGCAACCGGATTATGTCTTCCTAGGCCATCAGTCTGGACATATATCGATATGGAATCGGTTCACATATTCATGTGTGTATGTTCAAAAGCTCAATATGGCAGGTGTGACCTGTTTATGCGGTGTACGAGGTCACTTTCTCTGGGCGGGAAGCAGACAAGGAGAAATACGAATTTTTGATGTTCGAGAACAGCCATGGCAAGTGATCAAGATTTGGCAAGCAAACAAGGCTGGAGCAGTAACGCAGATGATTGTTGATGCTTCTCCAATTGATGACGGGAAATTACAAGTTTTGGCCACCTCTTTGGAAGGTGAAATTCATATTTGGGATGGCCTTCTCAAGACTGATTGGATGACTGTGGAACTTGAACGTCGACTGACAGAGTATTCCACATTCCGCACTCTGAAGACATTCCATCTCACATTCAACATTGACGCTGCTACTGTGATGGACTTTGAGGGACACGAATTACCTGGTTTTGAGTTGCTAGAGGAGAACGACATGCCGGATGTGATTGTCATCGGGTTCCAAGAGTTGGTCGATTTGGGCGATACACGTATTATGGCGAAGAATCTGATCTTAGGCGGTGGAAGAAAAAGCAAGCAAGCCGATGCAGGAGAAAGGTTGAGCCATCAAGCAAGAGCTTGGACGCAAAGATTGTCGGTAGAAGTGCAGAGAAGGTTTCCAGACTTTAAGTTGCTTTTGCAAGATAGTCTGGTTGGTCTCTATACAGCTATCTTCGTCAGGGAAAGTGAGCTATCAGCAATTCGTGATCCTGGTATCGCGACTATCAAGACTGGTTTTGGCGGCAGGATGGGAAATAAAGGTGCAATTGTTGCTTCTATGCGAATAGATGATACACCTTTGGCATGGATCAATTGTCATTTAGCCGCAGGACAAAGGCATGTCCGACAAAGAAACGCAGATTTGGTCAACATATTCGAATCTACCTTGAGTCAAAAAGCAAGCAATCAAAAGTTGGATTATGAAGTTGATGCGTATGCAGGCGGAGGTGATGGCTCGATGATCTTGCCGGATCATGAGATCGTCTTCTTATCTGGTGATTTGAATTATCGTGTTGACCTTAGACGGGAACAATGTTTCGATCTTATACGCAACGAAGATTGGCAAGGCTTAATGGCAAAAGATCAACTGCAACGTCAACTGAAGGAGAGCCCAGGACATAGACTGAAGCCATTCCGAGAAGCAGCAATTCAATTTGCGCCAACATACAAATATGATCGACAAACAGATTCGTACGATACAAGTGAGAAACAACGTGTACCTGCTTATTGCGATCGAATAATGTGGTATTCAAGAAGTGAAGATGCCCATGCAATTCAATGCTTACAGTATACCTCTCAACCTCATATCAAGATGAGCGATCATAGACCTGTTGTTGCTAAATTCTCCTTTCAAATCCGCAAAGCTGATCCTAAACGCAGGAAAGCGGTTCTCGATGAATTGCTAGGAGATTGGCAAGTCGCTCAAGCTGAACGATTAAGAGCTGCGAGAGAGTACTACAACTGACACCTTACACACACATACAAACGAATGTACTATAGACACTTTTCACACATAGAATTACCGCACGTCTTCTGGAAATGGAATCACAATTAAAAGATTATAAAGGTTGCCTTTTTTAGGTTACGAGACGGGAGTGCTTTGCGGATAATAAAATACAGATATGATTAAGAGACGTTTGCTTTTTCTATTTAGAAATCTTCTTTGCCTGTGAAAGCAGAGAAGTCTTGCTTTGACCAAGGTGCATCGGCACTGCTATTGCCGTTCTGTGGTAGGATAGAACCGTTTGCCAAGTATTGGGTTAAGCCTGCAGAGACAGGAAGAGTGGTAGCACCATTTGCACGGGTAAGGCCAAAAGGTGAAGCTGTGGGCAGTTGACGGAATTGCTTTGGATCGGGGAATTGAGCAGCTGAGAATGTCTGCTCTTGTTCGTCTTCCTGTGTGAATGTATCTCTTGTTCGCTTCAAATCTGAAGTGCCTGATTGACCGCTAATGCTGCCATCAATCATTGCGTCATCCTCTTGTGGTTCATCATCGAAGAAGTGAGCGGCCAAGGGATCAACATCTTCACCTTGTTCTGAGTTGCCATTTGAGCGATTCAGGACTGAACTATCTTCCAATAGAGTGGGACGAACGCTCATTCCACCAAAAGGTTGTAACTCATTAACGTATAAAGGAGCACTTTGTGTTCTTTGCCATTCCTTTCTATTAGACTTTACCGCATGCAAAACGTCGTTTTCTGTTACCAATCCTGAACGGGACGTCAATGCGTTCAAATTGACATTCGTTGAACAAGAAGGAGGTGGAGAACCATAACCACGATTAACGTTGAATCGAGTACGCATTCCAACACTTTCTAATTTACTTCGCAATTCTGGCGGAACTGCTGCTTCTTCTTGATAACTTTTTTGTCGTTGAGCAGAAGGTCCAAATGCTGATGCTCTTGTGGTGGTTGTTGTACTCAATCCACTTGGCTGTACATTCTCCAGATCATCTTTTGGATTAACAATATGAACTCTTTTCGAAGCGGGTTCTTCTGGCATTGAAGGTCGACGTTCAAATTCGAACATATTGATGGCGTTGCTTGTGAATCGAAATGGTGATGAATGTGATGAGGGTGACTAGCTTCTAGATTGTTTGAATGCAACTTTGTCTTGAATCATATCACAAAGGGGGGGGCGTCCATCCATATTCAGCCGGCCAAACTTTCCTTTCCGCCTAAAACCAAAACATCTAACACATCAAACCGAAAGTCGCGTCAATTTACGCGTAGAGCGCGTTCGAACGCGTGGGAGCGGTCGGGGCGTTGGTTCGCGTGTGTGAAATGAACTCAATCTTTACTTTGCTTACTAAGACGATAGAAATATTTTTATTTTTGGTTGCATTTGTTCCTTCTAAACATGCAAGTGTATCTCATATAGAACCATACCATCTCTTCATGCTTATTTCGCCTCTGATTCGGCAAAGCAGTACACTGATTCGGAACGTCAGAATAATAGGCCATGCAAGAACGATGACAACTTCGACTGAAACAGAACAAGTTGCATCTTCAGCAAAGGTGGAGGAAAGGACGGCTGACAAGACGGATGTACAGACGAAAGAGATACCCAACAAACCCCTCAAAAGATCACTTGAGTCGAATAAACTACCTTCATTTCCTGTTTCTGGTATCTTTGGTATTGTCAAACCAAGTGGACCTTCTTCAATGCAAATATTGGACAAATTGAAACCTATGCTAGGAAAAAGTAAAGTATTTCAATCAATAAACACCAATCAACAGAAATCACGCAGGAATCGTAGAGGTGCAGGTACAATACCAAAGATAGGACAAGGAGGTACTCTGGATCCATTGGCAGATGGTGTTTTGGTGGTTGGAATCGGAGCTGGAACGAAAAAGTTGCAACAATTCCTTGATTGTTCAAAAGAATACAGAACAGTAGGATTGCTGGGCTGTTCAACATTGTCTTACGATTCTGAAGATCCGATATTGGAACACAAGCCGTTCGACCAAGTGAAAGCTGAAGGTGTCAAAGAAGTATTGCGTGAATTTGAAGGGGATCTAATGCAATTTCCGCCTCTTTACAGTGCAGTCAAAATTGACGGTAAGCGATTATTGGATTATGCAAGAGCAGGTGAAGATTTACCAAGACCGATAGAAGCACGAAAAATCACAATTCATAAATCATCCCTTGCAAAATGGCAAGAGCCTGATCAACACGAATACAATGCTCCCAGCAAGGAATGCAGCGCAGAAGAGAGAAAGATCGCAAAGAGGGCCAGAAGAATGGCAGGGCTAGATGGGAAACAAACAGAAGCAGAAGAGGAAGCGGCTGAATCGAGTGAATTGACATCCAAAGAACAAAGAGCTCCCGCATTCACATTGGATCTTACCGTTTCTTCAGGAACGTATATCCGCACAATCGTTCATGAAGTAGGACAAAAGCTCGATTCTGCAGCACATGTTGTCAAATTGACTAGGACAAGGCAAGGTCCATGGGTAGTGCCAGGGTATGAAAGCAGCCCGAATGATACTGCAATTTTGCGGGAAGCAATCGAATGGGAAGTGTTGGAGAAAGCAATCTCAGAATACCATAATGGGGAAAGTGCAAAGAAAAGAAAGACAGAAAACGGGCAAACCCAAGCTACGAATGACGTTCAAGATGATCAGGATCTGCAAGAATGGGAAAGGCTCATCTTAGAAAGGATGGAAATTTGTTAGAATATAGATCGGATTATGCATACTCTTTGTACAATATAGCATAGCATTAAGTCATAAAATACTTTTAAAGTGAGAAGAAGCCATCATCTTGCCAGCGTCATGACCAACATTAGGTACGTATGCGAATGTATGCGTTGCTGGCCAAACGAGAGAATGTAAATGATTACACCAATTTTGGCTTCGTTCGAATCGGTTCCTTCCTTGTGCCATCGCCAAAGGTCGTTCATCTCCTGTGCCAAGATCCCTTTCGCCATGCAAGTAATGCACCTTTCTTTGTCGAAAGCGCAATGTGAGCTCTTGCGTGCTTATGGAAGCAGCAGAGCTATAATGGGCAAAAGCTTTCTGTCTTCCCGCCAAGCCGTATTTGTAAGGAATATCATCTCGAAGGTAGAGGTAAGTACTTGGATTCATCACCACAAATATTGGCTCAAGATGTTCAGCATGTTTCGTTGCTTTGCCCAAGACCGAATATCTCTGTACGAGCTGACCTCCAAGACTGTGTCCTACCAATACAACTTTCTTTAGCCTTGTGAATCTCGTAGGATCGCTATAATAGGAAATGATTGCGTCCAAAACTTCAAAAGATGTAATAGGACTGCCAGCAGTCGATTTACTCGGTCCGCCTTCACCCCAATCGTTTCCTCTCCAAATCAATAAATTACTTGCTTGTCCGGCCGTGTTTGCCGAGTCTGTCCCGTTGAGAAATTTTGGCGCAATAATTAATACATTTTCATCTGATAAATTTTGACGAGCTTGTCGGAGGATTTGCATAGCATCCCTCTCTGAACGGTAAAGAGAACAAGTGTGTTTTAGTTGAATGCTGATTCGATCTTTGACTTGTAATACACTCACCTCTGCCATGACACACAATCAACACTGTATGGACTTTATCTTGAGCAGGTTGATGTACTTCAACGGCAAGCTCTATAGCGACATCATGATTTATGTTGTGTGGTTTAAAGGAGAACTTGTTCCATGTACAGCCATGTTGCATGATCTTGTTCTTAGGGGATAGCTTGGAAAGGATGGAAGGCAACATGATGGTGTGGAGAAGAAAGGGGTTACTCCTATTAACGGAGATTAGGGCGCGTGCACGGGGAGATAAAGACACAACAGCATGACACCTTCTTTAGCTTGTACCCCACCTTGCTTTAGCGTACAATTTGCATTGTATCATCAAACCGTTCAACCGTTTCTCTACTTCGATGATCATGGGTATATGCACGCTAATTTAGCCACAACTTTATCATATGGTGTCAAAAACACTCTTGGCATTTTACCCGGCGGACCGATGACATTCACATATGAACAAAGAAGGAAATGCACATGGAAGCTGGGGAGTAAGCCCCATGATTCTTCGGTATCAAGCATGTACAGAGGGGCCTTCACAACACATACGCGGTATTTTCTCCTTTCCTTTTGGACAAACTTCAACATTTCAGGGGATTGTGACGGACATTCCGCATATATCGGCGCCGCTTAAAAGTTCCTCATCAGCAGAACATGCCTTTCCTACGCTGGCATCTTAAAGGCACTCTTCTACCACCATCCTTTTCCCCTCCAAAAGAATGAAAATTCAAACTATTTCTTGGCTCGCTGCCTTTTTGGCTACCACTTCTTTTTGCAATGCTGACGAATCTCAAGACACCGCTGGTCGTCCACAATATTTCGGTCGTTTGACCAGCTTCTCTTCCCAAAGACCATTTTGGGATACGGGAGATGCCACAACCTCAAATCCTTATGCAGGTAGGACAGATTTAGATCTGTACGAAGAGCAACAGAAAGCGCTTACTTTTCTTTCTAAACTACGTTATGGAGCTACTTCGTGGTCTTCTTTGTTTGATTTAGCATATCAATCTCCTGCTTTTAATTTGGTTGCAAAACAAGGCAGACCAGCAAAATTCAATGAAAATGTGAAGAACCATGATTATATGCGAAGCAACATGAATCAAGGTTTAAGCAGCCTCTCTAAACGCGCTCAATTCATTCCTTCTCATCACAACAAACGTGATGTTCAAGATCCATCCCAAATGGATTATACAAAATTGGTCAATCCTTTCATCGGAACTGGCGCAACGGACAATCCTGGCAATGTATTCCCCGGTGCAGCAATTCCATTTGGCATGGCAAAAATTGGAATTGATGTTGATGAATATGCTCCGGCAGGATACAATGATGACCCACAAGGCTACATTCGTGGAATGAGCTTGTTGCACGATTCCGGTACAGGTTCTTCCTCGGGAAGCTATGGTAATTTCGAATCTATCCCAGTCATTTGTTCGCATGACAACTTTGAATTGTGCCCTGTCTTGTTGGACGATCGCAAACGTTGGCGTGAACCAGGAAAAGATAAAGCCTCACCGGGTTACTTTAGCACAACATTGAACAATTCCGTTCAATTGGAAGCAACTTCCACTCGTAGAGCCGGCTTGTTGCGTTATACATGGTCACATGAACAACTCTCAAAGCAAAACTCAAAAACACCTTTTGTTGTATTTGATTGGACAGATGATTTGCCAGGTTCATTTTCTGGTGGAGAGATTGATGTTGATCCCGTCAAAGGTCGGATCATGATGGGAGGCGTTTTCAAGAGTAGTTTCGGCAGTCAAATTTACTCATACAATGCATATTCATGCTTTGACTTATTGGCAGAAGGTAAACAAGAAATTGATTTCTACGGACTTTTCCGTGGTGATCGTTATGGATCTGATTATAAAGTGCCAAAAGCCACAACAGCAAAACAAGTCAAAAATCAAATGGGAGGGCAAATTGCTCAACAAGGCGCACTTATTTCATGGAAGACTACGCAAAAGGACGGTAAAGGTAATCCACAAGTTCTTATCAGAGCAGGCGTATCTTATGTTTCAGCTAAACAAGCTTGTCAAAATGCCGAAAGTGAAATTCCTCAATTCGATTTCGCCGCTGTCGAAAATCAAAGCAAGGCAATGTGGAATGACAAATTGCGCAGATTACAAATCGCAAATGATTCTGATCCAACAATCGCTGAATTGATCTACTCGTCCTACTACCGTTCTTTCCTCAGTCCAAATAATGCAACATTGGAGACACAAGGTGCGTTTGCCGGCACTGCTTATCCTTACTTTGACGGCTTGTATTGTTCTTGGGATACATTCAGGACATTCCATCCTATGCTCTCTCTCACTTCGCCTGACGATTATTCTCAAATTGTTGAGACATACATCGATGGTTGGCGCAAGTTGGGTTATATTCCAGAATGTAGAGCAAACAATGTTCCAGGTATTACCCAAGGTGGAAGTGATGGTACAAATATCATTTCTGATTTTGCCGTAAAGTACAGAAACGCAAGACAAGGTGTCAATTTTGATGATCTTTACAAAGCATTGTATGATGATGCAACTACAAATTCCATCGAATGGACTTCTGGTGGTCGTCAAATCGGTGTTTATGAAGAATATGGATATATTCCATTTGAGGTTTATGATCGTACCACGACTGGAAGACAAAATCGTGAGAGTTCACGATTACTGGAATATTGTTTCAATGATTTCGGTATCCGTAATGTGGCATTACTCCTGGGAAAAGAAGAAGATGCACAAAGATGGTCAAATCGTTCCTTGTTCTACAAAAATGCGTTTGATAAAAACACTAAATCTTTTGGTTTTGATACATTCGTTCAACGTCGTTATCCTAATGGAACTTTTGGAAACATTGATCCAATCACATGCAGTCCGATTGATATGGCTGGTCACTACTGCAGTTTGCAGCAAGAGAACAACTTTTCCATTTATGAATCATCATCGTGGGAATATTCCTTGTTTGCACCGCATGATTTCGCAGGTTTGATCAAATTATTAACAAACGGTGACAAGACACATTTCATCAAGCGTTTGGAAACATTCTTTGCGAAGCAATTATACTATTCTGGCAATGAACCAAGTTTCCAAACTCCGATTGCTTATCATTACGCCAACAGTCCAACGCACAGTGTTGATAGAATTCGAAAGATTGTTTATACTGATTTCAATACAACAAATGCAGGCTTACCGGGCAATGACGATAATGCAGCAATGGCAACATTATTGCTCTTCCATTTATTGGGTCTTTATCCAGTACCTTCTACACGTGAATTCTTGATCACTTCACCATTTGTTCCGCATTATACGTTGACAAATACTCTATTCGGAACAGTAACCGTAACAGCAAACAATTTCGACAAATCAAGTCTAAACAAAGATATGCCAAATAATGTAAGAGCTTACGTGAAGAGTGTTTCGATTAATGGCAAACAACAATCTTCACGTTGTAAACTCTTTTTCGATGATTTATTCCCTGCTGCTGCAACGCAAAATGCAAAACCGGGTCATGTTGATATCGTGTTTGAAATGGCTACCAAAGATCAAGTTACCGATTGTGGTTCTTCGGCCGGTGATCTTCCAAGCAGTATGAGTACCGGTGGCTTTGACATATTTTGAGTAAGAGCAAGATCTGCATTAGCCAATAGTTCGTCTACTTCTGTTCCTTAGCAACTCATAATGAGATCAATGAATGTCTCCAATCACCTGATCAGAAAATGGCGCTAGCTTTCTTGAGTGACGTCAATATCGAATGATCCTTATTCTGACTTTCAATGAGAGGACTGAGCGTTGATAAGATAGAACATGCCCCGCTATTCAGTTGTGAGCGTTCCATATATGTATTGCAACACTTTTCGCGCACCAAGCCCAACATTTTGACATCTTCATTCTACTCGCGACACGGTGCCGAACATATAAAGTTGAGCCTTCTATAAATCTTTCCTTATTACTCATTCAACTTGACATCAAAAGTGTGAATTATTCATACTTTAAGATTAAAGTTTCCATTTTCATAATGAAAGTTGAAATTTGACATGCATCGAAAGAGCATATACTCGCATGCATCCTGAAATCGTTCCTTATCTTCGTCTTCGGATGGCGAGAGTGATCCTTTGTCGGCATTCAAGTTCTTGGTTCAGCCCGCATATGTAGACAATTGATCACATTAAGCGAAAAAGATACCCTTTACACTTTTCAGGTTGGTGTTGGGACCCCCTCACCTTGCATTCGATCGAGTTTTGTGGCGGAGTGTGAATTGATGATAATCGAGAACCTTAACATTTTAATCATGCATACAATGTGTCCTGCATACTATTCTGCAAGGGTATTTCAATCATTCTCTCTGTATTTCTAATTCGACCCAGGCTCATGGAAGGGGGGTCTCGTCCGCCACAATTCTAAAAGCGTCAAATACTTAACAGGATTTCTTGCTTGTCTTTAACTGGTATTGTGCCTTGTTCCTTGTGTGAGATACACACTTTTGTTGGCGCGTTGAGTGTATTTATTGGTCAAGCAGATGCACAGTGTGTAATCCAACAATTACAAATGTGCACTGACTTTAATTTTATTTGCTTACATTTTTTCGGAATTACACATCCTTGACCATTCACCATCATTTCCACTATACCCAAACCGACAACGGTGACAATGTATAGCAAAACATTTACTAATGCAAATATGCAGTAGTATCACCACTATCGAGCCATTCTCTCATCAATTTCAGTAACTCAATACAAGATGAACGGAACAGAATCAACCTATTCCGAGAATCGAGGTTCTCCAAACCGGAGATACGCTTCAATCGATTATCAAAGAGGGGACGAATCCAACATTTCAAATCGCAATGGAACTTCTTCCAGCACAATACGGCCACCTCTGAAAACAAGAATGAGCAATGATAAAGCCGTCAACGATAGGATACAAGCCCCAAATGGCTCAACTCCGGCACTACAAAATCGTCTATATCGTTCAGGCTCTGCCACTCTAGCCCCACCGTCAAACGACTTTCGAGCCAATTCTGTCGTCTCATCTTCTCCCAGTAAAGGCCGAGCTAAACGGAACAAGAGAATAAGTGAGAAAGAAACGGAAAGTATTCAATCACAGCTGGCAAGGAATTTTGAACGTCTATCTCTGCAATCTCGCAGCGCACTAGAGAAACAGTATCGAAAGCATGGTCGTAGGATAGCAAGACATCCCGTTCAAACACTAGTGCTCACTTGTCTGATCGTGACATCACTCTTTTATCCGGCAGTAGGAATATACCTTTGGTCTTCAAAAGGTGGTCCTGGTGTGACTAGAGGCGATGCAGGTAGTGTTTGGCGCAGTCTCAGTACGCCTTTGCTTGATTCGTTTGCAAGTAGTGGCAGAAAGCATCATAATAGCATACGAGATTTGCGAATGATCTGGGACGATGCTCCCGACTTACGTGCTATTGATGCTAGGGACTCAGACGCATACTCTATCGGCAGCAGTGTCTCGCACTGGCATTCATCCTTGCAGCATGGAACACACGAAGAGATCAAATCTAACACGTGTACCTCTGTACGTGTCGAGCATGTCTTTATCACCACTGAAGATGTGATCATGGGCCTAGGACATAGGTATGGATCTTTGCACACCCCAATCCTGCGTTCGGCACTGAATCTACAACGAAGCATCGAGACTTTCCTCGAGAGTGGCGAAGGACGAAGCGCGGGTCTTCCAAATTGCATACGCGATCTGAGTACAGATAAATGCTTAGTCCTTTCGCCCTTATCATATTGGTCGATGGACAAAGACCTTATCGCCACTGACTCTGCACCTACAACGACAATTTTACGATCTACACTCAATTACACCGAGCAAGGTGTCCCGATCACGCTTTCGACATCGCTAGCAGGGAGAAGTCACTTATTCCAACAGCTACCACGCGCGGACCATTTGGCTTTAACATTCTTCTTGGAGGACGAAGAAGGCTGTAATACGTCTTATTCAGAAAGTTCATCAAATGATGCAAATCCTGCGCATTTGGCATGGTCTTCGATGTTGCGCAATATTACTGGGCGACAAGTGAGCCTTCTTAATTCTGATTGGCACGTACCGAAAGAGATCGTACTGCAATTTATACCCCGTCATCCGGAAGAAAGTTTCCCGACACAGAAAGTTTTGTTGGCTGTTGGTTATATCGCCATGATTGTTTGGCTGACTCGAAGTCTATTCAGGATCCGAAACGTACATTCACCACTAGGTCTCGCTTTCACAGCTTGCGTGGAATTGGTCATCAGTATGACGCTGGCCATCAGTGTTTGCGCTTTGAGCGGTATACGATTGACGTTGGTACCATGGGAGATTTTGCCATTCGTGATCGTGGTGATTGGATCGGAGAACATGTTCGCTTTGACAAATGCAATTGTATCCACTTCAACTTCTTTATCGGTCGGAGCAAGATTGGCAGCGGGATTCGAAAAGGCAGGAGTGCCAATCGCCGTCACTGTTCTTTCAGACGTGCTACTTATGGCCACAATCTCATTCGTGGTCAACGTTCGAGCAGTCAGAGAATTCTGTATCTTTGCAATCTTTGCATTGATTGTCGATTTCTTTATGCAATTCTACCTCTACGCAACAGTATTGAGCATCGATATGCAACGTTTGGAATTAGCTGATCTACTCTCACAGGATAATCGTGAAGTTCAAAATGGCAACCACACCCTGAATGACGATACTGAATCGATCCATTCTGAATCAGCCAGTGTGGATGACGCAATGACGGATTCATTGTTACCTTCGAGGGGAGCGTCTCTCATCAAACAAAGTTGTCGTGCTGCATGGCGTGCAAGGACTGCGAGAACATTCAGCTTATCGCTTCTACTTGCGTTCATGGCTGGAATTTATCTGTATCATGGCTCAGGATATACCAGCTCATTCTCTTATCCCTTCTCTGTGCAAGAGAATGAGAGAGCAGCTTGGAATCATGTATCATCTGATCTGACTCCGCCTTTGCCAAGCGCGGTAACCAATGGCGAACATGCTTTCGATCCATTTTCCCATCTTCAAACAGGTGAAGATGGAGCAATAGATCTCAACAATCCTCCGTCGCCTTGGTGGCATTCATCTCCTTCTGCGCGTTTGTGGCAAACGTTGAACCCGAATGATGCTGCTTCCGTTCATGTCAAAGTGGAACCTTGGACGGTCGTTTCACTACCTTCAGCATCACGTCAACATGTGAAACGGAGAAATTTCGCAAGTTGGGCAATCTTTAGGCCAAGGGTTCGTGCTTTCATCTGGTTTTTCAAATTGGTCATTCTGCCTATTGCAGGAACGACTGCGTTATTGTGGGTGCTGCTGCTTTACCTTTTAAAGGATACAGAATTACTGGATGCTAAACGAAGTAAGTTTGAGGAACAAGACGAATCGGACGAGGAAAGGATTCAACTACAAAGAGAAAGAGTGGAATCAAGTTCACATCTAGATACAACCTTGGCAGTTTGTGCGGAAGGCCATGGGTTTGATATAACACTCGTATGTTATGCAGGCGTGCATGTTATCAGTGTTGCAGCCGATTCTACCTTGCAAATAGCAAGAGCATCACGAAAAGGAACCAAGCTGGAGAATTTGGTGATCCTTAAAGATGTCTTACAGTCGTATCATCCTGTCAGTGCTTTGGCTGCGGATCTTGCATCGGACATGATTATGATCGGTCATGCAAATGGACACATCAGTTTATTCTCGATTTCGTCACTACGGTTGATTCGCACCAGTCTGACGGATCAATTCACAGAAGAAGCACGACCATCCAGCAGAATATCAAATATGAGATTGTTACCAATACAACAACCCTCTTCGCCACTTGAGCCGGTTTCAATTTTATCTTTCCACAGAGACGGAAGCGCATGGCGCTGGACATCGGATGGACCTCCAACTAAAGCAATAAGTTTGAACCCAACACAAACTGCGTGGGCAGCAATTGAGGTTTCCAAAGGTGCGCTCTCAGCAAAAGATGTTATTTTATTCTCTTCCTCTGATGGATCATTCAGCGTGTACAAGCTGATGGAAGAAGCACCTTATGCAAAGACAATCATGTCTGCACGAAGTACAGCTGGTATCGTGAAATGTGCCACGCTACTGAACGTACCGACAGACTCAAGCCGTGCTTCCAAGGCATATGTGGCTGTTGGAACTGTTCTCGGGAAGCTTGTGCTGTACGAAGCGGATACTAGTAGGCATGTGGCACAGATCGATCTTTGTGGAAGTCCAATCGATAGGGTGAGAAGTCTACATGGGGATAGCACAAAACTATCAGAGAGCGCACATGACGGATTTGATGGAATCTTGTTAGCTGCTGTTACATCCTCTTCCGCTACGCTTCTGAGCTTGGAAGGAATATTGTCCACACCATCTGTTTCTGGCAGTCATATTGTACCACCAACAGTCTCCAAATGGAACCAATCATCTGATCAAGGTTCGACTGATGCATCACATGGACCTCCTGGTTCTCCCAACGGATCGCCACGTGCTTTACGAAGAAGTAGTCATTCGAGACCGCCAGCGCCAGACATGAATGCACATGAAAGATCACCTTCAGTACGCGAAAGCAACGAGAGCATTCACAGCTCTGATCCAAGTGGCAGCACTACACTGTCTGGCACAAACACGTTTGGATTCAATATTTTTGCTGAATTCGACTGTCGTAGAGGTGGTGCAGATGTGGTGCTTACAGCGACAGGGGCGAGTTTGGTTGGGGTACGCAGGCTGGCATTCGAATATGCAGGAATGCGAGATGCCGAAGGAAATGGAGCAAACAGATGGGAAATGTTTGAAGTGAACTTATACGCTTTGTGGAACAGCAAGTATGCCAATTCACATAATGTACTCTATGAGTCAGATTGTGAACATCTTGTTCGAAAGGCGCCATTGTTGATCGAAGAAGAAGCATCATTGGCCCGGATGAATGATTCTTATGACAGTGGAGCGATCACAACAGCACGAGAAAGAGGACAAAATAGCAATATGCTAAGAGGATCCCGAGCTGTACCAACGACGTTATCATTCACCCGTTTAGGTCACGTAAGCGCATATTACAAGAATGATCGGTCACCTGCTGCGAGTAGCACGAGGTTGCCCGTTCTTTTCACATTTGGTAATGCATTGGGCATTGCTTATGCAACTCCGGACAAGAGCGTACCGAAGAAAGTTGAACCAAAGGTTAGCTATCAAACCATTCGAAAAGGGCAATAAGCGAGAAAAAAAAAGGATGTTTTTGTCAAGAGATAATTGTAAATCATTTCACCTTTGTATAATTAATTCAAATTTACATGAGAGTCGTCAATTTCATGAAATGTAGTCAACAATGGTACAGTGTAATCTCGTTAATTTGTTCGTCAATTTGTTCGTTAAAGGCGTTATAGTTTGGAAAGCGTTGTGGTTGACCTTTTACGATGTCGAAATAGGTGGTGCGGAAGGTCATCGATTTGGTTTGATCGACTGAACATGATGGTGTTATTCGTCTTCTGTTGCATCTCATAATCAGCATCAAAGAGTGCTTGCAACTCATTCCAAGTATCTGTATCGAAAGAAGTATTGCTGAAACGCATTCTGAGCGCGATCGATCCAGATGTATTCTGCGCTTTATCCGTGAAGTGTCGTAATCCGCTCATTGCACCTGGAATACAATTATCCAGGGTGAATGCCAACAAAGTCGGACCAATTGAAGTTGCAGTGATGGGTAAGACACCTTCTTGCTTCGATCGAGAATTGATCGTTTGCAGTTGCTCCGAGTGTATGTTTGGCACACTTTTGAGTAAATGATGCAAGGTACATTGCATGTCGGCGTGTTGATCTTCCTCTGCATAAGACGGATTGGCAAATTTCGAGCTTTTATGAGATGGTATTCCAAATAGATCTTCTGCTACAACTTTCGAGATTACGCTGTTCGATGGCATTTGAGTCAAACTTACAAAAGCGCTCGGAGTTGAGCCATTTCTAAAAGCGGATTCTGATGATTGACTCAATTGAACGATTCCCGTCATTCTTGTCGTCCATGTTCGTTTTCCATTATTCATGACTGGGATCAATACCCGAACGTGCCGTGATTGAGTTGTATGGCTCTGTCCAATGGAATGTACGATTAATCGTACCTTTGTCGAAGAAGGAATAGAGCCCAAAAATGTGGCTGTGATGGAATCAACTTTGTATTGAACTGCATTCGATTGAGGAAATGTCTGATATGCAGCTTGTATCATCAATGCAACCATCAACCCTCCAAACGCGGTAGATTGACCTAGAGGTGGTAAAAGTGTTTTGTATGACCATTGAGCACCATGACATCTCTCACTTTTGTAGGATCGTAGCTGAAGATGACGTAGAATTCTATTCGCATCTGAGATAGGTGCTTTGAGTTCCATTTCCAGTTGTCGACGGGAGAAAGGAAATTGTATTTGAATGGCACACATTCGGCTCTATAATTTATATACTCTTCAAAACAATCTTATCAAGAACGATATTCCCTTATCCCTTACACAAGATTATAATCCATGTACGCCAATGATGTGTGGCGTTTGAGATGCATATTCTACACCGACAGGGGTTGTGGAGGATGATGACCGAGTGTATGTATGATTTATTACCCCAGAACAACAAACCTCAATCGGAACGCGGGGAAAAGTGATCACCAGTTCGGGCTGTTTAATGCAACGTGTTTGTTTGTGGCTTGATTGTGTTTGCTTCTAGACTTTTGCACTGCATATGCATCAACGGTACGCGGGCGGGGCATACAAATACGCCTCCTCGCATAGATTGAACGTCGGCCTATTCTATTGTTTCTACGCTCCGTACATCTTGCTAACGGGATACGGAAATGACCTTGAAGGCACAACACACATCCTCGGCATTTGCTGATCTCTAAATTATCTCACACCAAATGAAAAAGTAAGCAGACCAGCTGGCATTAGTGTGGAATGAAGGAAGATTATCTCGGAATAATATTAGAGTAATATTTACATCAAAGCCCGTCACCTGATTCATATGATCAACCGACTGTACCGTTTCTGGTACTTGGTCCAGTGATGGTGAAATCCGTGCCATTGGTTCCAAAGCAAGCTGTATCAAAGTTGGCTGCTTTGTAAGCGTTTTCATTTTGATATTTGATGAAATCGTTCAAGTTACACGTTCCATTTGCATGTCCTGCACAACCTTGTCCTTCGTCCATTGGAACCAAGGCATCGTTCAAGATTGTACGGATAATTTTCTCATCACTTCCTTTGCATGATGCAATTTCAAATACCAATCGAGCTGCAAATGGTGTGATGTGAGACAACACAAATGTACGACGCTCATCCATGCTGTTAGCAGGCAGGTATTCGCCTGCTACTTGTGTAAAGTTGAGAGCGGTCAAAGTACTTAAAACGTTATCATCATGGGTGAAATCGGCATAAATGGTTTGATTGTTTGGAACGGGAAGAATGGTGGTATTTTGTGTTGTTACTTGATCGGCCGGAACGGTAGAATTGGTCAATCTTGCTAAAATATCTTGTGCAAGTCCAATACCTTGAGCTTTACCGTTAGGACTCATGAAACCATAATCACCTTGGAATTGCAAATCCAAAAAGTATTCAAATCCTTTCCATTCTTCTTCAGTGAACAATTCACAAAATTGAGAATATCCCAATCCAACTGTTTCGTATGCACATAAAGATTGCATTCCATATGCTTCTTTCGTGGTAACGTTGAAACCGGATTGAACGTATTTTTGTAAACGAGCGGCAGCATCTTTCAAATAGATCTTTTCCCAAACGGGTGTCAAGTAAGTATCACCGACAGTGATTGTGTTGGAGTTGTTGCAGGTATCATAAGGTGCCAATGTATTGTTGAATCCATCACCTTCCAAGATGACTTGCAAATCGATCATGTTAGGTGCATTAAGACCAAAGAATCCTGCAGTCCAATATTGTGCAGATTCCAACATTCTTGATTCACTTGTGGTACGAATGACAGGCTTAGCAAGGTTCTTGGTTTCGTTGTATAATGCACCATAGTCATAATAATGTTTAATACCAGAATTAAATTCTTCTTGAGCGCCTTGTGGTACGAGTAATTCAGCACCAAGCTTATAGGTCCAATTGGACAAGAATGCCAAAGGACCGCTGACTGATAAATTCTTAGCTGCTGTTGCGTTGGCAATTAATTGACCGAAATAGGGCGCTCCTTCAGTGGGACTTGAAGTCGGATAACGAGATCCGTGACGGTGAATGATGATAACTTTTTCGATTGTGCATTGTTCATCGATTTGGCGATACTTTTGCGTCTTTGGGAAGATGGGCGAAGGAAAGTAAGGCGAAGTATTACCCCATAATTGAGCGATAGGTGTGCTTGAACTGGTGATATTGTCACTTCCATTGTTGCATGGAGCGGTTCCATTTAAAGGAGTGTAACGTAATTCGATCGAAGCTCCAGTTTTGGGACAAGTGGTATTGATGCGATCTGTTTCAGCCAAGAAAGGTGCTTGACCGGCTTTCGTTGGACCCAAGAAACCCACATTAGTTGGATATGCAGGATCTAATGATACCGTTGAATTGGGCGGTACGATACCTGCTTGACGTGGGAACAAGGTAGGGGTTGCCAAGGTGGATTGCACCAAAGCCAAGGCTATCAAGAGCATAGCAGGAGCAATCATTTCTGGGGAAAGGGCGGTGAATGGGGATGGGGGTGGTGTTTTTTGAAGAAGATGTTGGTGTACCGAAATGAAAGAAACGGAGAAGAAAGTCAAAGTTCTTTATATGCGTTTTGTTCTATGAGAAAGTTTAATTTATGAATTATGTATGCCGATTACCTTCTAGCGCACGTTTTGGTCTTTTTATTTTAGCGTAATTTATGTAGGATGACGGTAAGACATTTACGGCATCCGTCCCTCTTCTCAAACAAATAAGCCAGGTACGATGACGTCCTGAGTTTCAATTAGATGAACGTGATCAAACACCAAATTGTATAGATGGAGGCGGTCATCGTGTACCTTATTATGTGATGTTTAGCTCTTTTTCTCATATCAAGGCCTGTTTCAGTAACACACGTTCTTTGTCCGGTTCAGTAAAAGATTCCCCGCAATGAGATTAGGTGAAAGAAGGTACCCCTCCTGAGAAAGCGTGAGCCGCAATGTTTTCTTCCGAGAAAAAGACAATAAGTGATTATTATGGAGTAAAGAAGTAAAGGAGATCCTCTCCAGATGCATGATGCATAGAAATAGAAACAATCACTTACACGCATAGCCAGGAGTGCATCCTTCACTTCACACACACGCACACACCCTGTAGTCGACTGTGCGTTAAGTGTACTTCTTGTGTACGCTGTTTTAAAGCTTAATTAACACTTATTCACGCTAACACTGCCCTAGTGCCTTTCCAATTGGCCAGCGGAGGTGCACCGCGCAGCTGAGCGGCAACTTTTGGTTTTTTGTTTTATCTGGGCCTAACTTTGAAGGTGATCGCCGAATTACAAGCACTTTCAAACCATCACCTACCTCTCTTTTATCCGCCTATTTATCCTGGCATTCACATCTTTATTCTCTTTTTTGTTGTTGCTTACAAATCAATCACATTTGACAAAAGCACAGCTCATTTCATCCACACTACTTCATCTTCAAACCACCATCTTGACAAACAAAAGTGAAATCAAGGCTCGACATCGTGCGACAGTACAGACCTGCAACATTAACACACTTGATTATCTCCAGAAGATCTCAGAAGCAAGGCCGCAAAGAAAGGCCTCAATCCACTCGCTCCTTCTTGAATGGCATGCTGCTTGCATAGGCTAGACAGGTTGAGGGAAGAATCGAATATAGCAGTCGATAGACTCTGAGTACCAATACTCTCGCATCACATCCAGTGTCATACTCTATCGGACAACGAAGGATAACTGAATGTTATTGTGACGAGCTTCATCTGCCTTTTTAATACCAACAAATCCACATTCACACACAAGAGAGAAACTCAAAAGTCTCAAAAAAAGTAAGACAAAGTCATCTCAAGAAAGATGGCAGCTGTTGCCTCTTCCTCACCACGAACGGGAGAATTTGGCTTCCATAAGCAAGCAGGTGCTCAAGATGGCATCTTACCTTTACACTATCATGCAGGAGGCTCAGAGCCGGTAAACGCATCGAATGAAGATGGAGGCGCTCCATTGGATGGCTTTCCTGCAGATGAAGAGCTTCCAGAGCCAATCTGTGGAGGATGCAAAAAGATGATCGATGAGGAATCTGCAGATGCTGGTGTCATTCATTTTGCTACTCAACTATGGCATGTTGATTGTTTCCGATGTGCGAAATGCAAGAATCCGGTCACCACTGATCGAGACGATATCCTGCTTTTGTCAGATGGACATCCGATTTGTGGTCAATGCAATTACTCTTGTCAGATATGCAATCTACCAATCATGGAAGAAGCTATCATGACAGGTGACGAATCGTATCATGCTTCTTGTTTCGTTTGTCGGTCTTGTCGAACACCGATTGCAGAATTGGTATTTGCCAAAACAAGTCAAGGTATCTATTGCATGAAATGTCACAATCAAAGAGTTGCAAGAAGTAGACGACATGCGGAAAAGAAACGAGCAGCGGCGGCATTAGCAGCTGCAGGAGGTTCTGGTACCAGTAATGCAAGCATCACAGGCACACCTGATCTCAACAAGACACCAACCACTCCTAGCGGTAAATTTGATACGCGCTCGCCATCAGCATCCTCGCAGTATTTGCCTGTTAGTCCCTCGATCGATGGCTCATCAGGCCAGCCACGTTTGCCTCCCAAGGATGATGCTACATCTTCAACATCCAATGCAGCTGCCAATCTCAGTCCTTACATGCAAAGTAGTTCTTCTACCAATCTGGGCAGACCTAGCTCGGCTGGAAATGGATCAAAAAGACCTGTAAATGCACCTACGCCATCTGCTCAACGCACCACCGAACGTCGACGTGATGGGCCTGGCAGACCTTCTACTGCTGAGCCATTCTCGAACGACTTGACTGCAAGTGTTGGCTCATCCTCAGGTATCTCACCTAGAATGAATGCACAGAAGCTTGCTCAACAATCTACTTTGGCCAAATTAGAAGGCAACAAGCCCGATTCAGCGTCACCGCTTCTGGCAAGTGCGTTCGAACAAGCGGCTTCGACTGAAAAGCTGAAACAATTGGCCGAACGAAACAAGGCAAGCGGAGATGCAGATGCTAGCAAGGGAAGCGACTCTCACGCCTCTGAAAAAGATCAAAGCTCGCTAAATGGGTCGCGCAATCATGCTCATGACAGTCTGGATCGCAGTTCTCCAAAGAGCGGATTGTTGTCGGTAAATCAACAATCAACGGCTGATTCGGTTGACGGGAAAATACCAAAGTCAACATCAAAGGATTCTAGGCTGTCAAGAGCGTTTAGCTTCTATGATCCTGATATAATTGGATTGATGGATTCTTTCGGTAAATTTGACAGCTATGAAGATTTCAGTTTAGATAACGACCCGACAACGGGAAAATCAAACGCAAATCGTAAGCTTGAAGAACCTGCATCTGATTCACATTCGAACACACCTGATTTGAATGATAAGGCTATGCAAAATGCACACGACGCACAGAAAGGTGATACAAAGAAGTCAAAAGAGGCCAAAGAGGATCCCTCATCATCGCTGTCAAAATTGTCTGAGACCATGCGTAAATCCATTCAAAAAGCACATGACGGTCAAGTCAATATGGACACTAACGTGGTGGAGAACATGTTAGATGAATTAGAGGCCACTCGGGATCGAATGAAAACACTTCAGCGCAAGTATGAGCGTATTAGAAGGGCCAGTCAACAAGCTGCACAAGGCTTTTCGTCAGCACGAGAGGAATACGAGCATGAAGTGCAGGCAAGGTATGATGCAGAAGCTGAGATGTTGAACTTGAAACGTCAACTACATCTACAAGCTACCAAATTGGCTGGCGTTGCGACAGAAAAGGACAAGCATGAGACTTTGCAACGAAAGAACACCGAAGTGAAGACCTCGATAAAGAGTATGGAGAAAGACCTGGCCAAATTGCAAGCCGAACGGGATCTTGCATTAGCTGAGATCGATACACTGCACAGCGTTGGAAAACAAGCACCTTCCAATAGTAGTCAAGAAGAGACTGCTAAGCGTGATTTGGTCGCACGCTTTGAAGGTATCAAAGAAAAGTATCGTCGTGAAATTGACGGTCTATCAGCCGAGCGTGATGCTCTGTTGATTGAGATTGAAGAACTTCGACAATCCAGAGACGTATTTGCCGATGAAACGACAGCATTGAACGCCAAGAATGAAGAACTGAATGGTACACTTGCATTACTGCAAAGACGTGTCGAACATGCGCAAGTTTCAGACCAAACGGGATCTTCTCAACCGGCTTCGATGCCCTCTACTGCTCGTGCAGTTCATGGTGGATTCGGATTTGGATTCGGCGGTGCCAAGAATGGCAAGGGATCCGTCAGTGCGAATGCCACCCCGACGATCTCAGATTCAATGATGACAAGCCAACAAGCAGGTTTTATACCAGATACCACAGAACATTATGCTATCTCTGCGCCTATTCCAGTAACAAAGGTCGAAGCTGCTCCAAGAAAGTTCAAATGGATGAAAGCACCCAAATTAACAACGGATTCAGCGCGAAGTGCCGGTCAACATATTGTTGCTGCCTTACCCGGTGTTTCACCACCGGTTCCTCCAAAGAGTGCAAATGCATCTTCTTCCTTTGGCATGCAACAGCAGCAACACAAAGATCAATCAAGCGATGCACAATCGCAGTATACCCAATCATCCAACATCTCACACCATCATAAGCATTCTCAAGATACGGGAAGCAGTACTCTGCACAATGGTTCGATCGGCGCTACAAGCAACGGATCGGGCGAGATTGTTGTGAAAGAGCATCTTTTCCAACCTTTCAACGTCTTGCGTCCAATCAGATGCTTCGCATGCCAGAAGAATATGTGGGGTCAATCAGAATTGAAGTGTCAATTTTGTGGACAGGCCTGCCATGTTCGCTGTTTGCAAAACCTACCGATCTCTTGCAATCAACCTTTCTCGCGATCTGATGAAGCTAGTGCAGATTCGCAGGGTCCTCCTGTATTTGGACGTAAGTTGAGCGACCATTTACAAGAAGCTGATGGAGGCTCAAGAAGGGTTCCTCTTGTTGTGGAAAAATGCGTAGAAGCTGTTGAGCTTCAAGGAATGGATTATGAAGGAATTTATCGTAAATCGGGTGGAACGTCTCAATTAAAGATTATTCAACAATTATTCGAAAAAGGACAACAATTCAACTTGAACGATCAAGACCGTTTCAATGACATAAGTGCAATCACCTCAGTTTTGAAGAATTATTTCCGTGAATTACCCGAACCGCTTTTGACGTTTGAATTGCACGAAAGATTTATCGAATGTGTTGAATCAAAGAATAAGGATCAAGCCCAAAAACGTTCAACGATGCGCGATTTGGTTCATCTTTTGCCCACAGAACATTTTGATACGTTGCACTTCTTGATCGATCATTTGTATCGAGTTCGATTACGCGCAGATGATAATCGGATGAGCAGTAGGAACTTGGGTGTCGTTTTCGGTCCAACATTGATGCGTTCTCATGATCCCGCTCAAGAATTTGCACATATGGGCGGAAAGGCGATGACGATCGAATTTATGATTGACAATTCCGACCTTTTTGATTGATATCCGGTACCAAATTAGCATCACTAATCTCAAGTCAAGTCGCTCTGTATTCCATAATCGTCAAAGCAACAGATTATACCCAATCTCAAAACACAATTTATTATGCATACCATTATTCTCATCTTTCAGCTGGCTCTGTTATTCTTTGGGTTTGACTAGGTGTATAAAATGATATAATACAATACAATTTCTGTTTCTGTATACAATTGTTCGAAAATGTTTCTAGATTAGTTCAGGATCCTGATCTGCTGCTGTTGCAGGACTTTCCGTGATGGTCCAGAAGCTGTCTGACTTTTCTGGAAGTACATTTGAAGTTTGCTTACTTTCCTTTTCTATTCCTTCAGGTTGGGGTAAAATTGCTGAAATAGGTACAAATGTTTGCAATGCCAGATCATTGAGTGCATTACTCAATTGGCCCGAATTGAGATTTGGCACTTCCCGAATGGTGAGATAATCTATAGAACGATCAATGCAAGATTGAGGTAGGGATGTGCTGCTTGCGGAATCGGATTGCTTCTCTTCGCTTTGCTTTTTCTCTTTCTGATTTGGCCTGTCTGATGCATAACGCTCTAAATTGTTACAGCACAGCAATACTCTTGTCAAACCGACAGGACTCCAATTCGCCTTTAAGAAATTTTCGTACAGGGTCGATGTACAATGCGGCATGAATACGAACGTTGGCTCTTCCAAAGTATGACGACCTTGCTTATTTTCCTTCAAAGAGACAACTTTGAACGATCTCAAAAGTGCAAAATCCTCATCTCCGCAGATCGGATCGAAAGCCTGCATATGTTGAACGCCAAGACGCTCGCAAAGCAGTAGGAAGAAAGCCAATTGTACCTGTGCAGGCCGAGCATCTTTGACCGATCCTAAACCCAGAGCCAGGGCAGACTTGCAAGAAGCTGCGGCGGCTGCTTCCTCTTTTGGTAATAAGTCATTTAGCCATTCACGAAATTTTGCATCTTCCTGTATTTCTTTTTTGCGCTTTTCTATATATTCGATTCTTTTCTGTAGAATGTCTTCACTGGAGAGACAATTAACCGCACCATTCTGTCTTCCCTTTCGATTCTTTCGCTTTTGTTTGTTTACCCTGTTCACATAGGTGAAAGCAGGTTCAGAACCTTCATCTTCATTATCATCTTTTGTGCTGCTTTGCGTCACCGTTTCTCGTTGTGCCATAGCATCGTGCGGCAATGATTATGATGGAAGATTGTCTAGATTCTTTTTTAGCAAAAAGAAAAAGTCTAATTTTCCGCATTACAGTGCCGCGCTGCGCTGCGCTTGCACACGGGGTTAATGCAGGCGAAGTCTAGTGACTTTTGCAAGAAGAAAGAGTCACAATGGGGTACATCATTCATCTTCCTTCATACGTACACACCTACTTACTCTCCATCTTAAGCAATCATGTCTGGAGGCACAGACAAGATCACTGAGTCGTTAGCGACAACATCAATTCAGGAAACACCTTCCACCTCATCACAAGCACCAGCGGGAACGCAGCCGATCACACAAGAAGCAACAACAGCACAAGAAGGTACGCAAAAAGTTACACCTTGGGATGTTGAAGGTGCGGTAGTGAACGGTGTACAAGTGGCAATCGATTATACAAAGCTAATCAAAGAATTTGGTACAAGAGAAATCACACCAGAACTATTAGAACGATTTGAGAAATTGACTGGCTGGAAACCACATCCTTTACTAAGGCGCGGAACGTTCTTCAGTCATCGGGAATTGGACGTCATTTTGAACAAATATGAACAAGGTAAACCTTTTTACCTCTATACCGGTCGTGGTCCAAGTAGCAGTAGCATGCACTTGGGACATCTGATCCCATTCTTGTTCACCAAGTGGCTACAGGACGTTTTCGACGTACCACTCGTGATCCAATTGACAGATGACGAAAAGTTCTTATTCAAGCCAAACTTGAAATTGGAAGATGTTATGAAGTTCTCATTTGACAATGCGAAAGATATCATTGCATGTGGCTTCAACTTGGAAAAGACTTTCATTTTCTCCAACTTGAACTATGTCGGAGGACCGTTCTACCATAACGTCGTTCGAATCGCACGTTTAATCACAACCAATCAATCAAAAGGAACATTTGGCTTCAACGATAGTGACAGTGTTGGAAAATTGCACTTTGTTTCCATTCAAGCAGCACCTTCTTTCAGTAATTCGTTCCCGCAAATTTATGGTAGCAAACATGATGTTCCATGTTTGATCCCATGTGCGATCGATCAAGATCCTTATTTCCGTCAGACGAGAGATGTTGCCGTACGACTTAAATACCCTAAACCAAGTTTGATTCATTCGAAATTCTTCCCTTCTTTGCAAGGTCCACAAACAAAGATGAGCGCAAGTGATGAAAATAGCAGTATTTATATGACTGATACGATGAAAAAGATTTCTAAGAAGGTCAAATCAGCTTTCAGTGGTGGACAAGAAAAATTGGAAGACCATCGTAGATTAGGAGGAAATCCGGATGTGGACGTTGCATACCAATACATGCTCTTCTTCGTTGATGATGATGAAGAAATGGCAGAATTGGCAAGGCAATATCGTGCAGGAGAATTGTTATCTGGAGAGATGAAGGATAGAGCGGTTGCCGTTTTACAACAAATCGTTGGTGCTTTCCAAGAACGTCGTGCAAAGGTGACTGATGATCTCGTAAATCAATTCATGGACAAAGATCGAAAGATTGACCCCGCACCAGCCAAGCCAGGCTCAACTGTTCATCGCCAAGCAGAACTACTAGCAACGGCAACCGTAATCAAATCGGCCAATGCTGCACTTGCAGCTTCAAAAGCACAAAAGAGTAAAGATTAGTACCTTTTCAGCATCTATCTCTCACGCTTCATAGTAGAATTGCTAAAAAATGAAATTCTGTGTAAAATTGTACAGGGTATTATGCAAATATTGGTCGTTATAAGCGTATTTTGCGAGAGAAATAAAGAGCGTGTGCATCGATTTCTAAAATTGAATAATGAGTGTATTGATGATTCAGACGATCAAAATCGTCTATTGCATTCTTGGTCTTTTGGATTTATCCGCACCTTTGACGAGCGAGAATAAGAAATTGCAAAATCGAGTTCCATAAGGAACAGGATGAATAGAAGAAATCATTTTTGAGTTATGTGTGATGCTTTTCCAATAATGTTCGGATCTTTTGACGGAATTGTACAAAGTCAAAGTGTCAATGATACCGAAATAATAAATCCAATCTGTTGGACGATTTTCCATATCTGTTGAACGGAAACCTCCATCATCTTGATAAAAGATGAAATGATGACTATCACTTGTCTCGCGTTCGGGTAATTTGGCTGTTGCTGTTGAATTGAGTGCTTTTGCATCAGATCTACGGATAGCCGTTCGTAATGCATAAGCTTCTTTTTCCATTCTTGTTGTTGGTTCCCTTCTCAACTGTCCAGGTGGACCGCCGTTTGCCACCTTTTGATTTGCAGTGTTGTTCGGTTGAACGACTTGCAAGGCATCCTGACGTAGACCTTCTTTATTTCCTCTCTTCATATCGTGCAATCCTATCAAGAGACTGTAATCCATTATGCCCAATCGTTGTAGTAAGGCAACATCACTTCGGATTTGTGCCTCTAGCATTGCATTCTTTGCTGGTCCCAATTCAAGTTCCCTGCCTCTTTTTATCCAATTCAAGTCCTTCAAAACTGCTCCCTTTTTCTGTGCTGCCTTCTCTTCAGGGTACTCCCTTCCGACTGCACTTCCTTTCAAATCATATGTTTCGTGGATATCCTTGTGGGGCGGGAAAAGATTGTTCATAATTACGAAATGGATCTTCTTTCCTCCGGGCAGCTTGACACGATGTAAGCCGTAGAATCTGCTCAATAGAGTGTGTGGGTTCTCTTTGATGTGCAGATGATAGTCCTTAAGAATCCGTCTCAAAAACTTGTGCTCGTTATGTCGGATGGTCTTGATGATGAAACGGTAGTCCCTAGAGAAATAAAAGAATGATCCAGACTTTCCTGGCGATCCAAGTTCGGAAAGGATATATTTGGATGTCAATGACAACAAATAATCGGCTGCATCCAAGTGAAAATGTTCACGTAATTCACGAAAGACCCAAGGAGCATAATCCTTGAACTTGAAATCGTACTTTGCCGATGGTGTCAATTCATTACCGATGATATCAAAGGTGAATTTATGCTTTGCCATGTAATCTGCATCAGTCAAAGGCCGTTTCATTTTGGCTTGACAACGGCTCACACCAATTCGAATACCGGTAAGCATGTTGTACATCAACACGTAGTTCACATGGCCTTCACCGATAACGTTCCCGATGAGTGCTTTTGGCTCTTCGTCCGTTTGACGACGTCCACTTCTCGCACGTACTAGAGCTGATCCACCTTTCACGACACTATCAGAAGGCTGTGCTTGTTCAACTTCTTGTTCACGCATCTTCTTCTTCGATTCACGTTCGCGACGTAATTGATTAAATTGTTTTGCGATCGCTTCATCGAACCCTGCGTCTCCCGTTCGCAAAGGCGTTGCAGCTCCTGCTATTCCGCTTCCAATTTCATCAAAGTAGGATGATGTAGCAGCATTTGGGCCCATGAAGTCTCGTTCACGACTACTGTGACGAGAATCTCGCGTTCCAGTACTGCCGACTGATCCTGTTCGACGTTTTGGTTGCCCAACAGCACTCGTTCCTGTTGTATTGCGACGGATGGGTATCGGTTGTCTTTGGCCGGCTTGGTGTGTTGAAGAGCCTGAGATAGCACCTATCGAAGGGGAGGGAGATACCCGACGTGAAAGATCCGATCCTGCTAATAAGCCAGTCTGATCAGACTTAAGTGCAGAAGACGGATGCAAAAGTGATGAAGTTGGCTCAGCTGTCAAAGGAGAATCAGTAAAACGTTGTTTGCGTGATTCTTCGGATGGATCTTCTTCTTCTGATAAACCTTCGTGAGAGATAGCCGAATGGTAAGCTGTACTTGCATTGGAGATCTCACTGGGTTCGCGCATCATATGTTTTCGTGTACGTTTGCTGGAAGGTGGATCATCCGTCATTGCACGACGAGGTGCTGCTCGAATGACAATTTCAGCCGATGTACTTGTAGAGCCTTGTTCATTCGAGCCAGCCAACTCAAGGTCTTTTGAGCTAATGTACTGTTGCATATCAGCTTCAAGCGGAGGCGATGGCGGTAACTCTCCTGCCATTGGACGTCTGACCAAATTTGGCATATCTGTTGATCCAGTCGATTGGTAGCCTATACTACTATTTGGCGCAATCGCATTCAGTCTTCGATCTTGATTATCAAGCGATGTTGGAATGACGCTTGACATTGCTTCACCAGTTCCATTCGATCTGTTCGATGAGTTGGCATGCCTTCTACTGACAATCTGGGGTAAATGAAGCATCCTGCGACCTGAAGAGACAGGGGATGATCCGTTCACTTCTTGCATCCCTGGTTTACCATTGGTCACTGCTTCACCATTCATTGGTGTGATTGGTGTCATTGTGGCAGCAGAAGAAGGTGTGACTATCTGACTTGAATCTTGTGTATCTGTCTCACTTTGTGCTTTCTTCATCTCATTGCCATTGTGTACCACCGGGGATGCATAGGGAGCCGATTGACTTAAGTTCAAGTCGTATATTTCTCCCGTTCCCTCATCGTTGACTCGAACGATATGGTGTTCCTCATCTTTGATAGCATCTCGAATTGATTTTAATGGAGCATTTTGATAAGATAGAAATGATGCACCGCTCAACATGAGAGGCGATCAATCTTTGTCTCTTGAGAGTTTGTAATGATATTATTTGAATTTGGTTGTTGAGAATCAAGATTGCTTCTGTTGTTTCCTCAAAGCAATTTGATCTTTGGTAGATCGTTATGCATCAACATTCGTAAATGGCGATGCTTGTGTTTCTATAAATTGCTTGAAAAGTGGGGATTGGTGATGAAGACAAAAGAATGCCATTTACCGCGGCTTCAAAGTTGAACGGGCAGGATTACCGTGTTTGTAAAACAGGGCTCCCTTTGAATGGAAATTTGTGTACCGCTCAGGCATTGAAATGTGGACATTTACTACCGCGCCAAGCACATCACAATTTAATTCATACAAAGAAAAACACGTCACAAACTATTATGCACTTTATCAGTCTATATTTATACCCGTCACTCAAATAGGGCTGAATAAGGGGCACAAGCACAAGCACAAGCACAAACACTTTATGAAAATCAAAGCCTAGTTAAAAAATATTTCCAATGATTGAATAGTTTCTTTTCTAGGAACAAGCCAAAAAAACGATAGTATCCCAAGTTCGATTCTCAGCAGCTTTCATCACCTTTAACATCCTGTTTTTTATACACGTTCACGCGTGAGTGTTGCTTTACTGTGGAGGATTTCTGGCCGAACATGTGACTGAAGGAGGGAGCCGTCACTGCGCCCAGGAAGAGCTATATCATCGATTGTATAAGTGATTTCTTCTCAAGGGTATTTCATGATTCGCGATTGATTCATAATGTCATATTTAATCATTGAAAGGAGTATCATTTTGTACACCATTTAACAGATTTGAACAAAGTATAAGCTGATTGCTGCGTATCAGACCTAGGGCAGAGCGAATAAGAAAGCCGCACGACACTGACGCGGTTACTTGCTTGAATGCTTAGAGAAAGTGCCCTCTACTCAGCGCGGCGCCCATTGAGTCGCTAAAATTAATAACACTTTTTAATCCAACACACACACACGCACACAAAGTGTTAATCTATTTGGGTGTCCTTTTCTTCAAATCTTTCCAACAATCATCTCTTCGATTCATTCGATAACAGCGCGCTCATCTTTCAATCAATCACGCAAAAGCTGTTGAAGAAGAGCTGATTCAATCCCCCCCAAAAACATTCTTTTTCCCCTTTCCTTTTTCACAGCTACTCAGCGCTTTTACACAATCATCACGCTCCGTATCAAACAAACAAATCTTGTGGTAAATCTTCAAATTTGCCCACCATGAATGCCGCTGAATTGCTGGCAAACTCGCTCAGTCCTGATGCGGCAACCCGTCAAGGAGCAGAGCAAAAGCTATCAGCAGCAGCTCAAGATAGTTATCCGGCATACATGACAACTCTCGTCTCAGAATTGGCAAACGAAAGTGCTCCTTCTCATATTCGTAACGCTGCCGGTCTTGCGATCAAAAATGCACTCTCGGCTCGTGAAGCTCAACGATCAGACGAATATGCCAGAAGATGGTTCGAATTATCCGAAGATGTACGTAATGAAATCAAAACGAAAACGTTCAACACACTCGGCAGTCAAGATTCTCGTGCTGGCTTGGCAAGTGCACAAGTGTTAGCAGCAATCACAACTGTTGAATTACCTCGAGGCCAAAGTCAAAATTTGATCAGACAATTGCTAGAAGCAATGGGAGATGTCAACAATAAAAATCTTCGAAGGGCAACGTTGCAGGCAATCGGTTTCATCTGTGAATCAGCTCCAGCGCGCACTCTTGAAAGTCAATCCGACCAAATCTTGACAGCAGTGATTCAAGGTGCACATCGCGATGAATCGTCGCCTGAGATTCAATTGGCCGCTTTACAAGCTTTGTTCAACTCTCTCGAATTTGTCAAAGCAAACTTTGAACGAGAAGGAGAGCGTAATTATATCATGCAAGTAGTCTGTGAAGCAACGCAAACTGCAAACATTGACATCAAAGTGGCAGCATACGAATGTCTTGTGCGCATCATGCAGTTGTATTATGACAAGATGCATTACTACGTTGAACACGCTCTCTTTGGATTAACCGTCATAAGTATGCGAGACCCCGAACAAAGAGTAGCACTTCAAGCAATCGAATTCTGGTCAACAATTTGCGAAGAAGAGATCGATTTGGTTTTGGAAGCACAAGAAGCAGCAGAATACGGCGAAGAACCCGTTCGGCCTTGCTACCATTTCGCCCGTATCTCAGCACCACAGATCATGCCCGTTTTGATGGAATTGCTACGACAACAAGATGAAGATGCTGATGAAGACGAATGGGATGTCTCAAAGGCTGCCGGTGTTTGTATTGGCCTTTTGGCGCAATGCGTTGCAGATGATATTGTGCACCTTGCCATTCCCTTTATCGAAGGCAACATTCGCAGCACAGAATGGAGAGAAAGAGACGCAGCCGTTCTTTGCTTCGGACAAATCCTTGACGGTCCCGATATGCGTACTCTGACACCACTAGTCGAACAAGCTCTACCTACAATCATCGAAATGATGACAGATTCTAATGCAGCAGTGAAGGATTCCGTTGCTTGGACGCTTGGAAGAATTACAGACTTGCTCATCGAAGTCATTTCTCTAGAAGTTCATTTGCCCCCTCTTGTGCGCGCGGCAATCGCTGGACTTGGCGATCGACCACATATTGCCATGCTTAGTGGATGGATCTTGCTCAATGTGACTGATCAATTGGGCGGCTCTGCAGCTTTGCAGCCCGATGGCTCACCTGCACAAACAAGTCCAATTTCACCGTTCATGCCCGATATTGTATCAAATCTTCTAGCTGCAACTGATAGACCCAACAACGAGCATAATGCACGTACATCAGCTTACGAAGCATTGTCGACCGCCATGTCCGGCTGTGCGGCTGACTGCTTGCCTCTGGCCAGCACAACAATTGTCACAATGTTGGATCGTCAAGAGCATCTAAATGGTGTCGTGTCTCAACTTGTTGGTATTGATGATCGTAATAATTGGTCAGAATTACAGACAAACATTTGCAGTGTTATTCAAGCAATCATTCGTAGATTGGGCAAAGAAATCGCACCGCTCAGCGATAGAATTATGAACAGCCTTTTGACCACAATCCAGAATTGCGGAAGACAGAGTGAAGCATTGGAAGATGCATTCATGGCAGTTGGATCGATGATCATTGCGCTAGAAGCAGACTTTGAAAAGTACTTGAGCGCTTTCTCCCCTTTCCTAAGTGAAGGATTACGAAGACATGAAGAGACACAATTATGCAAGACATCTGTGGGTTTGGTGGGTGATATTTGCCGTGCTTTGGGCAGTCGTGCAAACACCTACGCAGGAGAATTCATGAACGTTCTCTTTGGCAATCTTCAAAGTCAAACACTCAGCCGAGACGTCAAACCAACGATCTTGAGCAGCTTTGGCGATATTGCACTGGGAATCGGAGCTGGATTCGAGCCATTCTTACAGACAACTATGGCTGTTCTACAGCAAGCTGCCGCTTCTGTTGGCACGCAAAATCCTGCAGATTACGAAATGATTGATTTCATCATCACTCTTCGTGAAGGTATTGCAGAGGCATACGTTGGAATTGTAGGTGGATTACGTGGTGACAACCAGATCCAATTACTCAAACCGTTTGTGGAAGCGATCTTTACTTTCTTGCAAAGTATTGCAACTGATGCTGGTGCAGAAAGAACAGAGCCATTGTTGCGCAGTGCAGTTGGTCTTTTGGGTGATCTTTGTAACGCATTTGGATCGGGAGAATTGAAACCAATGCTTTCTGCAGGTTGGATACCCGATTTGATCAAAGAAGCTCGTAATCGCACATTCGGTCAAGAGACAAGACGAACAGCTGCTTGGGCAAGAGAACAAGTCAAGATTGCTTCTGCTGGAACTGGTGCTTCTGATCTAGCGCAAGGCGCTCCTAATTCAGTCAGTATGCCAGCTACAGCATAAATTATTTGTCTTGTGTCAGTCGTAGTGTTCAATCAATCCCTTTTGTCTTCTTTCGTCCATTGTAAGCTTAACGGTGGACTTTTCTTTGGCCTTTCTCTCCTTTTTTCTCAACAATCCATACTCTCCTAGAGCATCTTCAATATGTTGTTTTATCATTCATGTACTTCTCGTATTGCATAATCGCAATGCAGACAAAAATCTCTCCAGCATCAATTCTCCTTTTTACAAAATATATCCAATGTCCCTTTTATTCAGATAAATTCTTTCTACAGTGAAATGCATTACAATATTGAAAAAGTGTTATATTACAGCTAAGCTTCGATTGTCATTTGTTCATCTTCTATACCAGTTTCATTCCCGCCATTATTCGCATTTGCCGAATTGGCAATTCCTTGAGTTGTAAATTGTGCATCAGTTGAAATAGGTATCTCCCCTGCCAATTGCCTACCAAAAGATGCATTATCATGTTCTATAGCCTCGATCAAAGGTTGTTTCAACAACCAATGATTTGATTCACTCGATCGTCTTGGAAGTCCGGCTTTGGTTGGCTCATCATCAAGCGCCATTACATCTTCATCAGAAGGTGAACGAAGTTTTGCCAGTATCCGTTTTGTTTCTTCAGTGGCCGAGTAAACGAGGAAGTTGATTGTGTTCTTCTCATTGAGAACATCAAGTAGATACGCTTCCTTAACCTCACCAGCGCATATCCTCCACCATTTATCCTTCCCACCGTTATCGTCTCGTTGACAGACATACGCCCACGCATTATCAATTCCATCGTCTACCAATACTGCTTGAAGCTCGTACTTCATAGTTTGGTATTCAGGGTCCTCCAACATTTTCTCAAAGTCATCCAAAATTGCCGATCTTGCTCTTTCATTCTCTACTTTCTTCTCAATCAAGATAGAATCAACTCTTGCAACCTCTTCTTCCAGATGAGCAAGAATTGCCTCTAGCCTTGGACCTGCTTCATTCAGACTGATCGTACGCAGTTCATCCTTTCCATCGTCGACGCAAAGGCTCTGGAAATATTCAATGCTAGCTCGTAGATTTGATCGAACATCTTCTCCTTCATGCATTACGATTGCTTTTCTATATTTCTCCAGCTCCTCTATACGTGTTTGACGTTGCTTGACATCAGCAGGATCCAATCCTAATTGAACGCCATTTCGACGATGAAACATGAATGCATCCAAGTAAATAAAAGGATCTACTTTAAATGATGATTCGGCATCCTCTCCTCCGCCTGCCTGCCATCCTGATGCAAAATTGGGATTGTATAAGCCTGGTCTGCCCAAAGAAAAGAACAGGCTTTCTGCCGGGTTGGAATACAACGTTTTTTCTTCTGCCAAACATGCGTATAAAGCACGATAAATTGTATTGTTTGTCTTTGTTTGCATTACCGTATGCACGAATGATTCGTACGGATCACCACGAGGTTTTCTTGGACTTTTGAGTTGATCCTCTTCTTTTAGTGGTGCAATTGCATTGACAGTAAAAGATTGAAAAGTTTTCTTGAATGCTAATGAATTACAGGTTTGTGGTGATCGTCTCTCCAAGTCCACGCTCACATTGGTCAAAACATCAAGAAGGCCTTGTACGTAGCAAGCAAGGATATCGTGCGGAGGCTTACGTTCGCTATTCATCACGTAAGAGTAATTCGTTCGAATTGGACTATGCGTGATCACATCTTCAGCCACAACAAGTGATCTTTTGGTGTATGTCATAAAAGCGAATAGCGTCATCAGACGCATAAAGATATCGATCCCTTCTTGTTCCTTCGTAAGAATTGCATTCTTTACCCATACTTCTCCTGCAGGTCTATTGATATTTGCAGGACTTCTTCCGCGCCAATAATCTGTCATGAGATCGTCTAGCCCCTGCTCGTTTGCTTCTGTTATTCGAATATCGGTGAATTGTACGGCTAAAAGAGCATCGCGAAATGGTTCTGCAGCATACAGTGCTTGAAGTGCCAGTGCAAAGATACGCATGAATGGCAGTGGTGCTACAATACCTACCGGTTGATTGTTTGAGCGAATATCTTTTCCGCCTATCGAATCAAGGTGACTGTTGGACAGTGCCGGCGTTTGATCTCGTGTATTGGATGAACTTTGAAGCATGCTTGCCTCAATCGCTCTATTTAAAGCTTCTTCGTCTGCATTCACTCCGTGTATCCCACTTGCATTTTGTTTGCTTTCATTTCCACCTATGCCGTACTCTTGATGTCTTTTTTGACGATTTGATTCACTTTCCAATGACGCTTGCATAGCTTTTCGAAAATCTTCGTCTTCATCATCGCCTGTTAAATCGATCGGAGATGATCTCTTTTTTGCATTACGTTCGCTTCTCCGAATGCCTTCGCTTGCTCGATCGGCCCATGATGTCGTTGTGTTACCATTATTGTTGTTGGTGGAAGGCGGTGTTTTTGGACCTATAAATGAAGGTGGAGCATCCCAGCCTGTAGGTTGATCTTGTGTCGAAGCGTCATTGGGAGCGGATTGCACTGATTGATTATTGTCATTTGGTGCTTGATATGGAACGATGGCTTGTTGATATTGATTGGCATCATTCGTTGCAGTGGCCGCGGCGGCGGATGTAGAGGGAATGGTGCCACTGAAATATGCATCGATTGCGCGTTCTGGATCGCCATCATAATGCTGAAGGATTCTACGAGCTTCGTCTGAGCCGCATTGTAAAATGTCCACCACTTGCTTCACACCCTCTTCCATTTCCACCATTACGACCGAACTAGCTGATAGTAGTAAAAGTACAAGATGATTGTACCTCAACACTTCGCATAAGAACAACACTTTTCTTGCTTACAGGCCCGTGCGAAAGGATGCTTTTTAGCTTGTAATTGGCGCATGACCGAAGTTGTCTAGTATGCTCAGTGATATGATACCATTTCTATACCTAGGTACTGTTGTCGTTATATGAGGAGTAAAACCGTGCTATTACGTCCTCTCATCCTTCAGCACCACCACCACTGCTCTTTCTGTTCATCCCCTTTCCCAAAATCACCCGTCTTTTCTTTACCTCCCTCATTCTTCCGAACAAGATATATTCATTCAACATCTTCCAAAATGGCTAGCAGCAAGACTGTAGCCCCATACGGTACATGGAAATCACCAATCACTGCCGATATATTGACACAAAAAAGTGTTTCATTTGGCGAAATTACAGTTCTGTCATCTAATGCAAATCAAGCGGAAATTGCTTATGTGGAAAACAGACCTGAAGAAAGCGGTCGTGCAGCCTTTGTAAAACAGACGATTCGTTTGGATTCACTAGAGGCAGCTCGTAGCGGTGTATTAGTAGAAGACAAATTGGATCTTTCAAAAGGAGAATACAATGTACGTTCTGGAGTACACGAATATGGAGGTGGTGCGGTAGCCAAGTTTGGTGATGGTTCTGCGATTTTTACAGACTACAAGTCTTTTAATATCTTCATTGCTGATGGAAAAGGGAATGTGCGTCAAATTACAGAAGACCATAAAGCATTCCGTTATGCCGATTTCAGCAAGCATCCCACTTTGCCATATATTTTGGCCATTCAAGAAGATCACACATTTGATGAACCATCAAAAGTGGTCAATACACTAGTTGCTATTCATACCGAAACAAGAAAAGTCTACACAGTTGCTCAAGGCTACGACTTTTACACATCGCCTCGTTTCTCTGCCGATGGTAATCATGCGGCTTACGTTGCTTGGAATCATCCAAGTATGCCATTCTGGGCAACAGAAATGTGGGTTGCTAGATTCGTACTGGAGAACGATCAACCGCGCTTCGAAGCGGACAAGAAAGTATGTGGTAATAACACTGATGAGGTCGCAAGGCATCCTGTCTGGGCTAGCAGCGACACTTTGTACTTTACTCGGGACAAGAGTGGATTTGCAAACCCATGGAAAGTAAGCATATACAGTGATGAAAAATCTACCACCATTCAAATCAACGATCTCAAGCCTTTGCTCACGAAGCCGTTCGAAGGGGACTTTTCCAGTCCACCATGGTCATTGGGCAATTCAGATTTTGTCGTACTATCACCCGATTGGCTAGTATGTATCGTCACTTCGCATGCATACAGCTCTTTGAATTTGCTACACATTCCAACAGGACAAATTCGACAATTGGAGACACCCTTTGTGGACATTTATGCGTTACAGCTGGCCGGTCCACACTCTGTCGTCTTCCGTGCTACCGAAGCAAGTCAGCCTTCTTCTCTGATAGTTTTGGATTTGGTTGAAGCTCTTAAAGCTGTGAACGGAAAGCCAACATGGCACGTTATCAAGCGTAGCTCTAGCATGATTGAAGATGGCACAATTTCGCCTACGTTCCTACCAAAGTGTGAACCGATTGAATTCCCTACAGAATTACCTAACGGTAAGAAGTCCACTTCGCACGCTTTGCTCTTCCTACCAGGCAATCCTGACTATATAGCACCGGCAGGTACGTCTCCACCGTGTATTATGAAAATTCATGGTGGGCCTACAAGTCATGCTACACCGGGACTAGATCTATCGACAAGTTATTGGACATCCCGAGGATATGCACTTTGCAAAGTCAACTACGGTGGAAGCACGAGTTTCGGCAGAGAATTTATGAATCGTTTGATGGCTCAATGGGGTGTTGTTGATGTTCGCGATACGATTGCTGCTGCAAATTATCTGGGAGCTTCCGATCATGGCAAACAGAATAGCAAGGCGACCAGACGAATCGACTCAAAAGCACAAGAGCAAAATGTATCTCTTAAGGAAAAGCAAATGATCAACGGTGCAGTAGAATTTTCACTCAAAAGACAAACCTCGTGGTTGGATACTATTATGAACGTGTTGATAGGTACAACAGTTGGCGCTGCTTCCTCATTCATTCCAAATGTTGATGCTCGTTTTGCTGTCTTTGCCGGTGGATTGACCTGGCTTTTGCGTCATATTACCCGTGTTCAAAGCGAAAGTGTGTTGGTGATGCCTAATACCGGTATTCAATTGAGCACAGTGCGTGGCTTCCACTTGCCGAAGTTCTCAAAAGAACTTGAAAGATCAAACCTCATCGTTACAAGTTCTAATTCAAAGCTTATCCCCCGAGATGCAATTTTAGACGTATTTACAAAAGAATCGATCCATCGTTGGAAGGTAATTGATTACGTCGCTGTTGCGACAAAAGCTCCTGGAAGTACCCTCGCATCTGAGAAGGCTTCCAAACCAACTTCATCTTACGGAAACAAATTGCAAGTGCTTTTCCCAAACTTACTCCCAGGATTGCCAGTAGTCGAACGAGTCTATCGCACCATTTATCCAGTCTTATTCGGTGAAAAGGGAACTTCCACAGTCTCTGTTCCTCCTCGTGCTGACCCGAACAAGATTGCAATCAGCGGTGGATCGGCCGGTGGGTATACCGTGCTTGCTGCTCTTTGTTTGAGCCCTTATGCATTCGGAGCAGGAGCTGATTACTTTGGAGTTTCTAACATTGCCGATCTTGCTGCTGAATCGCACAAATTCGAATCGCAATATGTCAATCAATTGATGGGAGGACCTCCGGAAAAGATACCAGAAGTGTACAAATCTCGTTCTCCGATTTATATGGCAGATCGTATTCGTTCCCCACTCTTGATCTTGCAAGGCGAGATTGATAAAGTGGTTCCGCCAGCTCAAAATAAGACAATTTACGAAGCTGTTAAGAAACAAGGCGTCAAGACAAAGTACATCGAATATGAAGGAGAAGGCCATGGATTCAGAAAAAGTGAAAATATCAAAAGATCATTGGAAGAGGAAGAAGCATGGTATCGAGACGCCTTTAAATTGTAAAAAGATGCTAAACACATTGTAGACATCCTTGTGCTATATAATTCCATCCCTTCCTCACTCATCCTCACAAAGCTTTTTAAGATCTCGAATATAATTGCAGTTGATGTACATTTTGAGTTGATTTAATGTTTCTCACTTTTTGCCCTTCTTCTTCTTTTTCTTATTTGCACCACCACCGCTACCTCCGCCAGCTGTCGCATTTCCTGTTGCCGCACCACCTGCTTTAGTTGTTGTATCTGCTGCTCCAGCAGCTTCTGTATCGATATCCATAACATTTTGTGCCGATTTCGATAAGGCTGCTGCTGCTGCTTCTGACGGTAGTGGTAAGTCTGCCATTAGTGCTGTCATATCGCGGGTAAAAGATTCAAATCTATTGATGATGATTGCTGATCTTGCTCTGAATTTAAGACACTGTGGAGGAAAGGAAAGTGTCAGCACAAGCACAGAAATGCTACTCAAAGTGCAACAAGATCTTACCGTATTGTCGTCTGTCACTTTCAAGACTAGCCATTGCTGTGATGGTGTGGCTTTGATGAGGTATCGGGTCTAGAGCAAGAGAGAAGAAGGTGTTCTTGTGTCAGTTCTTGCATCAAACGATCATCGTCCATCTTTCCTACTCACATCATTGGGTGATTTCTTGTACAATTCCACACACTTTGAATGGAACTCAGCCCATCGTTTTATGTAGACCATACTGTTGGTCTATCGTAGTTGTGATGATGGTGTGCAAGATCTGCGATTGAGCGGTCCGCGTGACTGAATGAATGGCATTTCTTCGCGCCGATTGAATTATGATTCGCGCCTTCTAGGCTAGGCACAAAAGAGAGCTAAACTGCCTAAAATGACCCCGCATATTGCAACTTCTTTAACGATGATCATCTTGACCAAAAGATGCTATAAATCACAGGATGACTTGACATTTCAAAAATGAGTGATAAAATGGAAAGTGGTCGATCTCAAATTGCAGAGAACTCGAACCGATTCAACGGACCAAGCATGTATCCGTTCATCGAGGGCAATAGACCAATGCCACCAGCTTCTCCTTATCCTTTACTAGAACGAGGGGCAGGGATATACGAGGAAATTCGTAGTGATGCAGCAGGATTGCCAAATATTACAAACGGTGGTCAGAATACATACGCTGGCGGACAGGAAGAGGAGCGGGAAGAGGAAAATGATTCAGGCAAGAAGAAACCAAAAAAGCGAAGAAGGGTGGTAGTGGCATGCGATACATGTAGACGCAAGAAAGTCAAATGTGAAGGATTACCGAACCCGTCTAATACCTGCAACAATTGTGAAAATATGGGATACACCTGCTCATTTACAGTGGAGCCTGATCGAAGCAGAGGTCGTTATGAGATATTGGAATCGCAAAAGGATACCCTCTTAACAGCTTTACGAAGTGTTGCACCTGAATTGGCTTCGCAATTCGAACGTGGAGACCTACACATCACCAGTCCGATGGGGAGCAAAGGAGATAATAATGGAGAGGCAGCCCGTAAAGAGAACGAGAAAGCGTCTACATCCGAGAGCAAAGCTCAAGATGATCATTTCGCACATTCGGTATCTGAATCTTCCCGCACCGAACATAATCCAATGGTGCCCGATTTGGAAGACGGAAGGCCACGTTACTTTGGCGGAAGTAGTACTTTTGGCAATATCTCAGGTCTTGATTCACGACCGACCAGTCCTTCCTCCCAGAATAGAAGGCCACTACAGGAGCCGGGCAGCTCCACACAAGCAACGCAATCCGTACATCCGCTCGAAGCGAAACGACCTAGAAGCTCTTCGGTCAGTGCAACAAAGAACAACTTTTCTGTATTGCCTTCGCCAATGCCACAATTCCCTCGTAATTCGATAGGATGGGTACGAGAACTTCGAAGGAAGACGCTGGTGGCTGTCGGTAGGGACGACGTCTACGCTAGCGATGGCTGGTTTCAAAGATTTCACTTTCCGTCAACAGAATTGCTGAACGAATTGTTCGACTATTATTTCCGATGGCTACATCCACTCCTTCCAATACTTCATGAGGTTTCATTACGACGTGATCTGCAAAATGGTCGCGCTGATAGGGATTCAGCATTTCGAGGCTTGATATTCACCGTATTGGCCATCTCCAGTCGCTTCTTCAAAGATGATCCACGTGTGTTGGCTGATCCCAAAGACCCGGAAAGTGCAGGAGATCATTGGTCATCAGCATCAAGATTTTATCATCAAGTTTACGCTGCAAGTTTGATCAATGTGCAGGTCCTCATCTTGTCAAGCGCATTCATGCCTGCCAGTCTAGGTGTTGGTACCAGTTGGACTGTTTTGGGAGCAGCAATCAGAGCAATTTTTGATATTGGATTGCACACCGAAAAGGCATACGTTGGCTATACACCCTTTGAGCAAGAGCGAAGACGGAGAACATTCTGGGCAGCATTTGCATTGGATTCGATCTTGTGCCTGAACATGGGAAGACCATTCGGGATTCGATTGGAAGATTGTTCGGTGAGATATCCACTCATGTGTAGTGAGGAGGCTCTAAGTGAAGCTGAACGGACAGGTGGTCGAATTGAGGAAATGCGGATAGATGACACAACGCCATCTTTTATGGGCGGATACGTTCATCTAATCAAGGGCGGCATCCTCATTCGCCAGGTGATAGCGTCCATATACCAACCCGCGAAAACTGCAGGTACATACAACGGATCCGCATCGTCACCAAGCTACAAGGATATGACGATAATGTGTAAAAAGATCGACGAATGGATTGTTGAATTCCCGCCTTACTTGGATGACGTGAAGACGACTCCGTATCCGATTCTGTGTGCATTCCTGCAATCTGGAAAGACTAATTTGCGTCTGTATACCCTCAAACCGTTCATCTATGACGTCCGTGCAACAGGTCTGCCTTCTAATGACGATTCCATTCTACGAAAGATGTTGTTGCCCCAATGTGCAAACCATGCTCGTGGTACCCTTCGAACTTTGCGGGATTTGCAACAGATTCGAGGTATTTCAATCTCTTACTTTTTCCTACATCAGAGCTTTTTGAGCGCTTCAACATTCATTCTTACTATTTGGCATGGTACAAATGACAAGGGAACGCTTTTGGAAGATAGCGATATTATTGAATTTTCATTGGAAGTGTACAATCAGCAAAGCCGATTTGCAAGTGTTTTGGTCCAACGGGCTCATAGGATACTACGAAATATTGCTCTAAGATGCTTGCCACTTCTTAAAGATGAAGACAGGCGAAGGAAGATGCAAGAAATGTTGCGTCAGAGTGGCGTGCTTGGAGGTGGTATTGCACCTGCTACATTAAACGCAATCGGTCAAGGTGGGCTGGACAATGGACCGAGGAGTGCAAACCGATTCCGTTCTGAGACGAGTACGACGGATGGAGGCTATCAAAATCCGTCGACTAATTCGCCCTTGTCCAGTGGTCAGCAACCAGCTTCTATTCAGCCGTACAATGCGCAACATGCCGCCCATCAAGCCAGTTCTGCTGTTCCGATCGGCCAACAATCAACATTCAAGAGACTACCATCACGTACTGATTCTGACCGTGGCCGTTCAAGTATGTCGCACGTCATCAGTGGCGATCAAATGGTACCACAACAGCATTCTCCTGCGACTGGCCAACATACACATTTATGGAACCGGATGAGTGCTGGAGAAAGAAGTGGTGGAATAGGAATAAGTAGCCATGAATTCAATCCATCATCCCCTCACTCCTCCTCTCCTTTACGACCTCAGCATGCACCTTCACTCGATGTGATCAGCGGCAATACACCGATCAATATGGAAGATTTCCGACCGCAGTTGCTTGATGATCTCGGTACGGGAATGCAAGGCTTCCAATTCACTGGTGATCTTTCATGGACCGATTATTTCGATCGATTCTTGGGCGGTCTTCCGGATCCTTCTATTGGAAGATCAGCAAGCGTTGGTGGATCGCCTAGCAATTCTACTGGCTTGATGAATCCTTTTTCGTTAAATGATCGATAATCTTATGCTTTTTGCTTATATGCTCTCTACTGTATTTTATATTTTCGTTGCTCTTGATTAGCATGTGTTTACAATACTGACCTGGTCTCGGCGCGTTTCTTCAAGTGTGTGAGCTAGAATAAACTGGAGTAGGGTTACTTTAATCTTTTACTCCATCCCACATTCGCGATAAATGCATCATCTTAATCCTTATGCAAATCAATCGCTGAATTTCATTGAATTGCTGGAAAAGGATGATGGATTAGCAAAGATAGTAGGAAAAAGAAAAGATGGTAATTGGGAACAGATTGATTTCAAAAATTCTTCTGTTTTGCGTGCGGTGACAGAAGCTACATTGTTGCATGAATTCGGCATAACCATCACGCTCAAAGAGGACCGGCTTTGTCCAACAATTCCTAATAGGCTTGATTATTTGGCTTGGATGGAGGAGATATGGAACAGTACATGTCTACATGAGCTCGAAGACTTCATCGCAACTTCAAATGAGGAGATTGCCGCCGATGCCAGACCACCAAAGCGCAAAAGAGTCGAAAGAGAGACCTCACTGCGAATCTTAGACATAGGAACAGGATCATCATGCATATACCCATTGTTGGGCTGTTCACTGCATTCGAATTGGGAATTCATAGGCACAGATATCGATAAAGAGTCCCTAAAGAATGCTCGAGAAGCGATTCACGATGCAAGGAACGACCGGAATAGCGCTGCCAGTAAGGCATCTCATCCTCTCAATTTAACAAAGCGTATTCACTTGCTGGAAAGGGAAAGAGATCAGTCACTCTTTCCAAGCTCACAGGAAGTATGTGCAACATGTCTGAATCCCGTGCATTCGACATCGTCACCTTCAGAAGAAGGATATATCTACCATATGACGATGTGCAATCCACCTTTCTACGCCAGTCAAGCTGAGATGGATGAATCACTGCAAGCAAAAGCAACACCACCAAATGCTGTCTGTCATGGATCCGCAAACGAGATGATTTGCGTAGGGGGCGAATTATCATTCATCAAGCAAATGATCGATGAAAGCACAAGGATGAAAGACGAGGTGATCTGGTTTACGACCTTGATCGGAAAGCTATCGGATGTGGAGCCGATTGTGGAGGGATTGCAAAAGCGAGACGCTTCACATTTACAAGTGACCGATTTCTTACAAGGAAAGACGAAACGATGGGCGGTAGTATGGACGTTTACTGCTTTTCGGTTGCCAAAGCTGGAAAAGGCCAACAAGTTAACTTCGCTGCCTGAAAATAGTCAGCATATCTTTGAGTTGGATGAACATGGTGATGTGATCGATTTCGCAACTCGCCTCAAGAACGATCTTCGGGATTCTGGCTTTTACGCCAACTTAGCCGAGGATACATTTCAGACATCTACCCACCTTATTGTCTTTGCCAAAGAGGACACATGGACCCGCAAAGCTAGACGTTTGAAGGCTCGGGGTGCTGTCGTACAAACACAAGACTCCTCCCTACCAGTGGTCGGTGTCCGCATCACATTGCGAAAGACGGAAGGTAGACCTTTGACACAGATGCTACTTGTTTGGATCTATGGACGTAATAGACAACTCTTTGATAGTCTTTGCATGTCAATTCGCAACCGGATTTTGGCCAAGAACAATTAATCAATGTACATCATTCAGACAATACTCCACATATTGTACACTAAAAAGCAATTTCATTGAAGTAAATCATCATGTTTCATCTGCATTACATCTAGAGTTTGGAGCTTTCAACGAAAGAGACACCCTTTGAGATGTTTCCGTTCAACTGACTAACAGCGGTTTCGAGGAGTTTCTTCTCGTAATCGGTTGTGTTACCGATTGGCAAGATCTTCTCGACACCGTTCTTGCCCAAAAGGACAGGTACACTGAAGTACTCAGCCTTGCCTGGCAAAGAAGATTCGATCTCCTTACCGCCAGCATCGGCTGAAAGGTGAACGTATGTGTATTCGGGTTGTTGGGAAGATTTTCCGCTTGCAGCTTCCAAAACGGCGGTTGCGAAACGAGCACCAGCGAAAGCCATACTCAAAGTGGCTGAACCAGCACCATCCTTTGCCTTGACGACTTCATCACCTCCGAATTGGATACGCTTAACCAAACCTTCCAAAGTGGATTGATCAAAGTTGGAAGAAGGTTGAGTTTGGCTCAAAATTGGAACGATTGTTTCACCAGAGTGACCACCAACGACTGGGATACGGTATTCAAGAGATTCGGTTGGCTTGCCTGCAGCTTCGGACACGAAAGTGGAAGCACGAACGACGTCCAAAGTTGTAACACCGAACAAGCGCTTAGGGTCAAAGACACCCTTCTTCTTCAAAACTTCAGCAACAATTGGAACGGTAGAGTTGACAGGGTTAGAGATGACCAAAACGAATGCCTTTGGTGCATGAGCAGCAATTCCGACAGAGATATCACGAACGATGCTTGCGTTAATGTTGAAAAGGTCATCACGGGTCATACCTGGCTTACGTGGAACACCGGCAGGAATGACAACGATATCTGCATCTTTGAGAGCGTGTTGTAAACCATCATCTTTTGGCAAATATCCCTTTACGATTGAAGGAGTGTTGATGTGAGAGATATCAGCAGCAACACCTGGAGCGTTTACGACATCGTAAAGAGCCAATTCTTTGACTAAAGTGGATTGTTTGAGTAAAAGAGATAGAGGTTGACCGATACCACCGGCAGCACCAACGACGACAGCTTTGAAAGACATTGTGTTATGAAAATCTAGAATATTTCAAGATTGGATGATAATCAAGAAAGGGAATTACATTGGAATTGGAATCGGAGCCTCTTTCTTTTCTGAGAGTCAATATTGGGCACAAGTCCGTCTGTGCGCGAAATCACATCAAAGCTGGGGTGGTGCTGTAGGTGCTTGGGGCAAGTTTGGGGAAATGACTCTGCTCTCAAGCCGAATTCGCGTTCAACATTCAATTCTTCTCATTCACACACACGCACAAATCTCCACTCGGTAATCTACTTTTACCGCTTTCACCGCGCAACAAGGCAATGCCTTATATACTACACGTGTGCCTTGCCCGACTACTCCGATCCGGTCTTACATCCATCCTTTTACGTGATCATCCTCTTTCACGGGTGTGCTCGGAAAGGCTGTAATGTCTATCATTTATAGCACACGTGAAATGTACTGATCATGTCGAGGTCTCATCTAACTTAGTCAGATGTTCCCCTATTGTAGATCTGCTACCAAACTATCTAAACTTCATTCAATAAATTGAAAGGATCCGGATGTAGTACATAGTGAGATCGTCAATGCAGAAAGGGGATGATAAAAAGTACATGATTATGAGTGGTGTGTGTTTAATAAACTATTTTCTTTTCTCTTGATCATTTGAATTTGATCGTGCGGCAATCTTTTTCAATGCACGTTCACGGCTTTCATCCATTCCACGTTGTTCTTGTACAACAGATGGAATGGCATTCCTATTCTTTCGAATCACTTGAACGGTATGTTTTTGTTGACTTGATGTACCAGCAGAAATACTATCCCAGAAACCCAATTCCTTGCCCTTTCCTTCAAACTTTTCCGGTTCGTGTACAACACGTTCGGGCAACTTTAATGCTTTGCGTACCCCGCTCAAATTCAAAGTCAACAATTGCAACAAGGACAAACAACCGTTTGTGAGCCAATAACAGAACACAGCTGTAGGGAAATTCCAGATGAATGGAATTGCAAGAACGGTAACAACACGGAAGACGTTTCTCATCGTCTTTGCTTGCGGTGTCGTATTACCTCCTGAAGTTCCCATTTCCGCACCAGTCTCCAAGACGAGCAACATGGACAAAGAAGATAAGATTGGCAGAACGCATGTTGGATCAGCAACAGTCAAATCTGTGAACCAAGAAAGTCCCCCAGTCTTCATCGCGGGCAATCCAGCATCGGCTAATCCACGTAAAGCGAAAAAGAAAGTCATAAATAATGGTGCTTGAACAGCAGGAACGATCAAACTTTTAAGTGGATGACAGTCGTTATCTTTCATCAATTGTTGAATGGATGTTGCAGATTTTGCCATTAATTGATTGTCACCAGTTTGTTTAGCGTATTGAATATCCTTCATGTAAGTGTTCATTTGTGGTTGAATATTGGCCAACAGGATAGCATTCTTTTGACCTTTAAGCACGAGAGGAAGAACCAAAATACGCACTGAAAGTGTTACAGCTGCAATCGTTAACCACCATGGCATCCCTGTTGCTTCGACGAGCCAATCCAAAACTCTTTGAGCTGCTTGAACATTTGGCCAACTGGATAATTGACCTAAATCGGCTAGCGTTTGTACTTGTTCAGTAGCATGTGCAACGGATTCATTTATATGACCAGCTTCATTTGCCAAATCGGCAGCTGCAAGAGGATCGGAAGGAGAAGTAGCTGAAGTGAAGGTAGCCTCTTGTGGACTTAGATTTTCAGTCTTTGCGTCACTAGCATTTGGCAATACTTCATTAGATGGTGAGGGTTGTGTTTCTTTAGAGAATGGCCATAGAGATAGATGTCTGGCTGAGCCGAGTCCAGTTGCATTCAACGTCGATTGGTTTAGTAAGCCGGTTCGGAATGCATTTGGGCTTCTTGAGACCGAAGTTGTTGTTCTAGAAGGTGAACTTGTTCCGATCAAGCCGGTTATGCTTCTCTGTTGTTGTCTAAATGCTTGTTGTTGTACATTTGATGACCTTGACAGCGTGATTTGTCCCGCCTGTCGAAGACCCGTCAACACTTTCAACACCATCTTGCACCTTTCCTGATGATGATCACGATTGCATTCTTCCCAAACGCGAAGAAATGCTGATGCATCATTTCAGTAATCCGGAAAATATTTGCTTGCACGTGAATCAATAAAGATTAATTGACCTCCCTCACCTCTCTTCCTCTTGCTTGACAACGCTAACGGAAAGCTGTGCATTAAAGAGCGAAACCAACACTTCAATCAACCTCGCTCGAGCCATCATTCCCGTCTTGTCCTGCTTGCAATCACCATCACCTTGCAACAAAGATGAGTAGCGTTTTACGAAGTGGTCCTTCTCGACAGCCTTCTCTGTCATCTACAACGGGAGGATCAGCTTCAGGATCATCTTCCACTGCAGGTATACCTTCTTCCATCAATACTCAATCCACCCTTTCAACGCTGTCAACCAATACACCAATCCAACGATTCAGAAAGTTAGTATGGGATGCCACAATTCCAATCTCAGTAACTGTAGAATCAGCGGATTTAGCAAGTTTTGGAGTGGTTGACAGATCTATAGAAACATATTATGTTCGTGCACCTCGGATATCCTACCTGCCGCTGGTCTTGCAAGAAGTTCGTGCTAATTTATTGTCGATCATGGTCGACGATGCCATCTTAGCAAATATCAAAGAAGAAGACTTTTGGCTCACGTACGAAGGTGTACCACTCCGGTGGCATTGGCCGATTGGGCTTTTGTACGACTTTCATGCAGTCAATATGGCACCTACGACGCACAAGAATTCCTCTTCAAGCTCGAACTCAGTGAACACAATTACCAGTACAATGAGAAAGCTTAGCACTGCTCCTTCTGTCGCTTCCAGTGCTGGCATTCCATCTGTGGACGGATACTTCTCTCCGCCTTTACCGGACAATTCGTCATTTACTGCACCTAATCCGCAATTGCCATGGCGACTAGTATTACGCATCGGGAATGCACCTCTGGACAAGATTCATTCTGCTCCTGGACTGGACAATTGTAGATCAAGCTTTATGAGCATGGTAAAAGAAGCGGATCATGTGCGATATGGAAGTACGAAAAGGGTAGTCAATCTACGAAGAACAGAACAAGATCAACTTTGGGATGGTGTTATTCAACATGATTTTGACGTATTTTGGTCTGTGGCTTCAAAATTGATTCCCAATGCTCAACAAACAGCGAATACACAATCGACAGACACGGCAGGTAGTAGCCTATCTCCTTCTCGAGCGGCATCTTTCTCGTCCGCAGCAGGTGAAAGCGTTACCGGTGCTGAAAAGTACACAGCGACGTCAAGTCAGCTTACCGCTCGACCATCACTTATGCAACAATATAATGAAAGTCAGACAAGTCTTCACAGTGCAGCGCCAAGCGAGACGAATATGAGCGTAGCAGAGAGTGCAGTCACGACAGGGAAAGCCAGTACTTCTGGTGGTGGATCTTCATCCTATAGAAGTTTACCGATGCGTTTTCATTTGGTCAATGGAGCACCCGTAGTACAAGAACCTGTTGCGCCTTACACTGAAGATGGCAAGCCGAACACGCTGCATTCAATTTTATCTGCACTCTTTCCACTCCTCTTTCCGCCCACTCCAACATTCTCGCCTTCTTCCACTCCTGCTCCTCCGCCTCCATTGGCTTATGCGGTTGTTCAAGGTATCCGAATTCCTCTAGATGCAGAAATACCCTGGATAGGAGCACTTTTAGGTTCAGCAGACGGATGGGTGGCAGTTTGTATACATTTATTGGCAGAAGGTGAAAAGTTGTAATTCAATGATGATGTAAATGATTATACCCCTTTGTTCAATCCCAACATTCTTCAATCCAACGTCCTTGTGTTTCAATTTGGTTGATGTAGTCTTCTGCTTGCTCTTCTTGCATTTTGCCATGCGTACAACAGGCTTCAACGATACTTGCACGAACGGCTTGCGGCATCTTGCCTGCACTTCCACAAACATAAACAAGCCCTTTAGGATTAGAGATTATCTTCCATACCTGTTCGCTTTCCTTACTGATAAGATCTTGTACGTAAATCTTTTCCTCTTGATCGCGTGAGGCTGCAAGGTATGGTGTGATGCATCCTTTCGAAGCGAGGTCGTTCCACTCTTCTCCAAACAAAAAGTCTTTCGCTTGATTGCGGAACCCAAAGAAGCACAAATTATCTTTAGCCTTCATTGAACCGTTTAGAGTTGCGTATCGATCCCATAATGCACTACGAATTGGTGCAATCCCCGTTCCTGGTCCAACGAAGATTGCCGGTGCAGAATGATTCCGTAAGGCTTGCGTAGGCATTGCAGAAGGTGCGATTGAGATCGGAATACGTGCACCTGGCTGAAGTGTAGACAGCCATGAAGTACAAACACCCGTCCTTCGATCTTTCAATCGTGTTTTATAATCAACAATAGCAACGCAAAGTTGAATCTTGTTTGCCGATTCGACGATGTGCTGCTTAGGCGCATTCGCAATGCTAAATTCACGTCTTCTCAAAAGGGGAAATACGTCCAATACATAACGAATCGGAATTTGAACGGCATCAAACTCTTGCAAAACTTCCAAAATCGTTCGCCTGACTCGAATTGCATATTCATACATATCATCTGCTCCTTCTCCTGGCGTACAATATTCTTGTAACTTTTCATGTTGCATATGATCCGCTGGTGTGAATGGTAGAATGCGTTCAAAGAACGAAGGTCTAGGTACACTCTTGAAGTCTAGATGTTTCGTCAAGAGCTTGCGTAGAGTGAGTGGTTGATCTTGCAGTAATCTGCCCGGTATCCAATCTTCTTTACTTGCTGGTATGAGTGTTAGTGTGTGATCTGCTACTTCGGTCCATCCAAGCCTACCAAGTATGGCAGTCACATCCTTTTCGTTATTCTCTGGCACCACCGATAACACATCTGTTGGTCTGAACTCTATATATTCCCCGTTTTCCTCTTCAAATTCGATCAAGCGAACGTCTTGCCAATGGTCTTCCGCTGTGATACGTTTATTCTTTGTCAGTCGGGAAGATAGCCAGCCCGTATCGATGCTCTCGCCTGGGCTGCCATTGACTGCACCGTTCTGTTTCGCGTGTCCATTTGTGGTGCTGGCTAGTTGAACATCAATAGCCGGCGGCAAAAGGTGATCATCGGGAAGGATGGCTTTATTGTCTGGCGTAGGCGGCAGTACGTCATCCAACGTACTCCATAGCGTATCCAGCCAAGGTCTCAATGTACCATCTATGCCGAGGTAATGCTGATCATCTGCTTCTCCACCTTCTATTATCTCATATGCTCCCAGACCTTTTAGTCGCTTGTTGATCTTTCGTGCTGGCCAGCAAAATCGTTTGTAACTGCTGTCGCCTAAAGCAAACGTTGCAAATGTCACATCTGATAGGATATCTTCTGGTAAATCTGATCGTAGTAAGAATCGCCAAAAAGATAAAGCTGAAGTGGGAAAGTCGCCATTTCCGGTTGTAGCCACTACCAAAACTACCAATGCTTCATTGATCAGGTTTGTCTGGATGGGTGAAGGGAGCAAATTCTCGTTAGTGATGATTCCTTATATACTCTTGATGTTGCACACTTACAATGTCATATTCATCCATAGAATATAAGCGAGCATGGACATGCCGCCTTCGTGCTTGCCTTCCGATTCTTTCTGCAACGTCTTGTGCATTCCCGCTTTGTGTGGCGTATAGAACTGTTAACGATCTCTCCTCTTCGATATCTGATCTCTCGTTTGAGGAACTGCTAGATCCAGCCATGTCGTCCTATTTGGATTACCGGTATGGCATGTCTGATTGTAATGAACGTTGATTGTTAAGAAGATTTTAGAGTAGTAGTGGAGCATAAACTGAATAAAAATCTGATTACAAATCCGCTAAACGTTCGCGTGATTTTGTATTACGCGGACCCGAAAAGAGTATACAAGACGCTATTCATTTCTAATGCAGCAGCTACTCTCCCTCTCCTTGAATGCTATACTTCGTACTTTATCCTAACATAATCAATAGAAGAGGACTTCATATTTTTACTATCATGAAGTGATTCTGTCTTTCAGCTCACATGGGAGGACATTAAGGAGAAGAGGAAGATTGACTGACATCAAACGTGCTTTTGTGGAAAAGACACTGATATATGACTGTAGAAACCGCTTTCCTAAAAGCCAAACGAGCTAAATGCATCCCGAGGAAGAAGAACGAAACGTAAGAGCAATGTTCCACTCGTGAACTTATGTTGAATCAATTTGACCGACGTAAACTCTTCATTTTCGAATTCAAAGTTTGATATATCTGGTGCTGCTTGCGCCCATTGTAGTTCAATAGCTTGTGATCGTAAACCTCTTGTAACTTCAACCAATTGTCTAGTGTTTTTCATGATATGAAGAAATGCGTTATCACCTGATTCGCCGCTTTTGACCAGAGCGTAGTACAGTTGTTCTTCGAACGATCGAATCAATGCATTGTTATGAGTTGTAAGTGGTTGATCGAGCATTTGGACAGATATTGAAGATTGTATTTAATGAATGTGATGATGATAGCTACTGCTGAGAATCAAAGAAACACTCAGTCCTCTAATAGTGCTAATTGATATTTATGCTATGGACAGCATTGTAAGACATACCTCAAATTAGGAGACTGTCCGAATTCATAAACATTCATGTTGATTAGATAGAGACCTCCATCCTGCACTTGTTTTTGAGGAAGCCAAAATTGATTTTACATCGTGCGGATCGGTAAAACATTCACGATTGCTAACTTGATCGAGAATATATGAAATCCTTTCGTAAGCGCGGGCCCATATCAACGGTACCGGGCGATTAATTATAAGAAAAAAGAAGCCGATCCGGGCGATTGTTTCAACAATTTCATTCATATGATAATAAACATTTGCGTGTTTTCTAATTATTTATAGAAGAAAGAAAATTCTATGGCTCACATATCTTCAAAGTCACCATTTTGGAACTTTTCGATATAGGCGGAGGCTTTGTCCAAACGTTGCTTGCGTAATTGTAAATCTGCACGCTTGAAACGTACTTCGTCTGCTTCGCGCAAGAGAGCATGTGCTTTAGCCGAAGTGATGTTACCATAAACGCCCATGGATTCGCAGAGACGGTCAAGACAAAGTTCACCAATCGGTTTGATCAATTTGATTTGAATGACCAAGCGAACATAGTCTGTGAAACGTTTAAAGGCGACCTGAGTAGAATAAAACATAGGAGTGTCAATTTCACGGTAAGAAAAGCTAATGACGCTATACTCACCTGCCAATAAGCACGAATCTCAGAGGCAATTTGAATTTGTTGTGATACACTGATATCAACATCATTTTCTGCACCTTTTTGTGTTGCAGCTTGAGCTTGAACATGTTGAATCACGCCTTGAAAGCTGTTTGGATCCGGCTTCGACAACGGTAATTCCTGTTGACGCTTTTCAAGGGTACGTTCACAGTAGAACTTTACCTTGTCACAATAGTAGTGCTCATTCATCGAATAGATGTACTCCATCTCGCAGTTGTTGATGGCGTCCAAGATCATTGAGCACTTATCACCCTCTTCATCAATCAGATTGAGCAAGATTTCAGTAACGCGGCCACAAAGTAAACTGTTAGAGAAAGAATCCAAATGTTGATTTGTCACTAACTTGACGGTGGATTTGAGAAGACCGATGGTGTCTTTCAAGAGATTACTGCTGAAATCGGGTAAAAATTTGACAGCTTTCTTCATCATGCGCTCTTTGATTTCCCAACTGATGTTGCCAGGCAAGCGTTCTAAGGCGCAGTCATTCAAAATGTTTTGAATGGTACTGAGATCGAGATTATACTGAGGGACTTGCATCTTGTAGATCTCGCCTTTTTTGATCCATTTGTTAAGCTTACCATCTTCGTCCTCTGGCTTTGATTCACTTGCAGCTTTATAATCACTGGCTAATTCCTCATCATCGAAAAGGTCTTCAACATCATCGCCGATCTTGATTTTGATTCCTTTCATTGTCTGCTCGTCCTTAGTAAAAGGTTGGAAGAACGGACGACTTTTGTAAATCTTTTGACGGAAGAGAATTGCCAAAAGCTTGAGGGGCAAAGCAAATACTTCTGGCTTTTCGTCGCCGCGAAGGGTTGCTTTTACATCAGCGCTGAGTTTTTGCAACAACATGTGCAAATGTTGAATAGCAGCAGCTTCAGGTACTTCCTTGGGCAAATGGAAAAGCTCTTCATTCGTTTCCGCGCTCAGTTTACGAACCGTTTCGATGGTTTGAGGAAGTTTGTCTTGAATGAGCTTCTCGAGGAGTTTTTCGAGTTGCTTGCCCAATTGTTTTGAGCCCAATCTTTGCTTTGTACCAGCATTGAGCGAATGCCATGGCTCCTTTTTGAAATATCCTTTTTCATCATCACGGGCATTTTTGTGACTGTATCCTTCTTTCTTGAGTTGAGCACTGCTTGGATTCTTCAACACGTAGTAACCGTGAAGCAGTGGAAACTTTTTGCCTTCAACAACCTTCGTCCACTCGCTTAAATCGTCTTGCTGTACTATATCAGGTTTAGTCAGTACACCCAATGTGCGTTGATACTTCGGATCTGCGTCTTGAGCAAATTTGACACCGATTTGGTTTTGGTAGTCATCCGTCATAGTGATAGTCATGAGAATAAGACAACCTGGCTTCGAGATTCTTTTCTTCACGAGTTCTTTGATCAAATCGACACTTTGATCATCTTCTGCTCCACCCGTGGTAGCAATGATACCGGGTAAGTCCACTAAAGACAAATCAATCAACTCTTTACCGCGAATATCGAGACAGATCGTGTTCTCTGAAAAGCTGATTTGGTTCTCAGGTGCTTGGTCAGCTTCAACCTTTGAGCCAATGAATGACAAAGGGTCCTTGTCTGGATTGAGAATTGCACGTTGAGCAGCCTTGATACGTTCTTGAACTTCATCGCTCTTTGTTAAAGCTGGACCAAACTTGACAATTGACGGTTTCTCCAAAGGTTGATTGGAAGCGTCACGGTCGATGCGCAACGTAACGACACAGCTCCATTCTTCAGATGCATTGAAAAGGCGGACCTCACTGTTCAAAAGTGATAAGAAAGAAGGATCAAATTCCTGTACATATATAATGAGAGATTGACCATCATACTCACGTTGGACAACGAGTGCATGTCCCACTAGCACGAGGAAAAGCGATACCAGAAAGGGCTTCCAAGACGCTTGATTTACCCGTCGATTGGCTTCCAATGATGGAGATGGTGGGCGTGTCGATATAATTTTGAATGTCACAGCTGGACAAATGATCGTTGAGCCAGCGGAGACACTTGCCATACGTTGACTGTTTATCGTCAGTCAGATACATCGTGATAGATTGAATTTGAAAAGATCAGAGCAAGAGAGAATATTTTGTATAAGGGAGTGTGATGGTTGGAATTGGGAAATTGTGGGTTGCCCACATCACTCTTTATATATCTAGCAAAAAAAGAAAGAAAAGTTTGCTGAGCACACAATGAATGTTGCTGAGCACCTTTGTTCTTCCAACAATGGTACTCTTATCATATTTTCACATATCTCTGCGGGCGTAAATTACGGACCATCGGAGCGGTTCTTACTGCGGCAAATTAGAAGGAAATTTCGAACTATTCGGACTTTTGTGAGGGTTTCTCTTGTTTTCAGCTGTAATTGAGGATAGCTGCTAATAAATAAGTGAGCTTACAACGATGGATGAAACTAGTTTGTAGAGATATATTTGATGATCTTTTTAGACAAAAGCTCGTATTTTCCATTGTTCTGGAGTCAGCAATGCACAACTCTTTACATCAACGTAATGCAATTCGAAATGAGATTTGGTGGAATCAAAGCGGAGCCGTTGTATTTACAGAACAATGGGTGATGCTTCAAATTTACGGATTGCAAGACTGTCGGTGCCGTCAAAAGCATTCATGAGAATTCGTACGGTCTAATCTGGGCGCTTTTACTCGATTCAGCAACAATTCGCTTTATTCTTGTCCGTTTCAGCAACGCAATTCCATTATTGAATGGATCAAGCAAGATGTGAAAGATGATCTCACAATAAGCAAAAATGCCACTGGCATGCAACGAGGGGATCCTCTTGTGCTGTCTGGCATCATACACACAATTCGGATCCGTACGCAATCAAACGCCGTTTAACGGATGCCGCGTGTTTGACCGCGTGTAAGAATTTACCCGTTCATTAAAATTGATGAGAAATAGGCAATCGCTGATTGGGCGTAACGCGTTTGGATCTTTTTCTTTATGGCATTTAAGCTGAAGAAAGTTTAATTACTACAAGTGCATATAAGATGAGATCTGCATATATGCAAACATCCCTATTCCCCTTCTTTACCACCTCTTACTGTTTTACTCGTCTTGTATTTATCATGCCTTGCGCAAATTGTACTTGTCAAAACAAATCTGGCTGTTCTTCAGTCATTGCAAATGGAGCTTCAGCACCATTACGATCCAATGGCAAAAAGACGGCAGGTGAACGAACACGATTGTGGGCCACAACGGAAGGATCTTCTTCCCAATACGGAAGCACAAACGGGAATGGTAACTCAACCGAATCTGAAGGACTTTTAGAAGAAGCAGAAGTGGCAAGTTCAAGCACAAGTACTTCTGGTGCTCCCCCGGCCAAATGCGAAAAACATAATGGCGTTCGTGGCGTTTGCTGTCGTGAACTCAAAAGGGAAGAACGTCATTTGATCGATCCGGACGTCGTACGTGATGTGATCATCGGTCTTTCAGATGGTTTGACTGTCCCTTTCGCTCTTACTGCAGGTCTTTCCGGTGTCGGAAGCACAAGAATCGTTGTTCTTGCAGGTTTGGCAGAATTGGTTTCGGGTGCTATCAGTATGGGTGTGGGAGGTTTACTCAGTGCCCAAGCGGAAGTGTCACATTACAACTACAAATTAGCCTCAACCTCTCAACGTGTTCAACAATCTTGCTCCGGTGAATTGGAAAGAGAAGTCTGCTCAATACTGGAACCATTTGGTGTACCAGAAGAGATTGGTGCAATGGTGGCTGCTAAATTGCAAAACGTCGAACAGCGGGATTCCAAGAGAATTTTGAATCAAATCACACAAGAAAGCGGAGAAGGTTTACCCGCTCCCGCAACATCTTCCAACTCTGCACCGCCGCCACCGCCACCAACCCGTCGTTCCGATGGTTTGGTAGGACCTGAACGTGGCTTGACACCATTCTTATTACGAATGGGAGAAGGTTTAGAAAAAGTTGAAGAATCGCGTGTTTGGCAATCGGCAATCGTGATTGGAACAAGTTATTTCGTTGGAGGTTTTATTCCTCTTTTACCTTATATCCTTCTTGCTTCTATTCAACAGGCTTTGTTCATGTCAATTGCAATCACTGGTATTGTTTTGCTGATCTTTGGTGTTGTAAAACAAAAGGCAACAGGTGCAGCAAGCGATACTAAAGGATTGATCTATGGAGCTTTCTCTACGCTCTTTGTCGGTGCTGCAGCAGCGGGAAGTTCATGGATCATCGTCAGGGCCCTTGAAGGTGGTTCGGCTTAAAATTATATCTGGATTACATCCTCATCAGAACATTATATTGACCAAAATTGCTAATGCTCTATATAGAATCTTGTTACCTTAATCCCTCCTAATAATCATATTCGTGAGACTGATGTCATTTTAAGTATATGAACAAGTGTGCCAGCATTAAAGTAGAAGGCTTTATGAAGATAAGTTAGATAATAAGCATGGACGTCTGTCGTCCTTTGTCATGATGCAAAATCGCGCAAAAAAAAGAGGGAGGATATTCGCAGTTGAGGTTTATCGTAAAATGAAGGGGAATGCGTGAATTGGAATGTGTACATCAACGATCAGATTTGTTGCGGAACCGTAATAGGGGCGCTAGACTTGATAATGGACATGCCATCTGTAGGAATGGATGTTGCAATAATTCATCCGCTGTTGCTCGACTTTTCACATCTGCGCACAAGCAGACAGCCAAGAAGCCCTTTAATTCTTTCGATAGCTTTTCTGGCTTTTTCAACGTCGGTGTACCGTTTGTGGCGATAAGGTATAATGCCTTCAATGGCTCTTCATCCAAGTATGGTGGCTCATTCTCAATCATTTCGATGGCCATAATACCCAAACTCCAAATATCAACCTTTGCACCGTACTCCTTCTGTTTAACAACTTCGGGTGCCATCCAATACGGAGTTCCGACCATAGTTGCTCGCTTTGACTTTTGATCGGTCAATTTAGCACAGAAACCGAAATCGGTAATCTTTACCTGACCGGAAGCATTCAACAAAACGTTGTCTGATTTGATATCACGATGGATGATACTTTGGGCATGTAGATGTTCGAGACCTTTGCATGTTTCCAAACAGATTGCAGCAATTTGATCTTCCTCTAGCACATTATTATTATCAATAATATCTGTAAGTGCACCACCTTCCATGTATTCCATAATGACCCATAATTCATTATTCTTGACCAAATAAGAATCCAAGAAGTTGACAATGTTAGGATGTTGACTTTCCTTCATGACTAGAATTTCATTCACAATCAATTCTTTACGAGGTTGTTGTGCAAGATCCATAGTCTTGATAGCAACACGTTGTCCTGTTGCCAATGTCTTGGCCACGTACACATTTCCAGATGCACCTTGACCAACCTTTTTGATCTTGGAGTACAACGCATTGGGGTCTTGCGGATTGACAACGCTGCGCAACTTTTCCATAATTTGTGCTTCGGTCATCGTGCTAATCCGTCTTTCTGACTCCTTCTTGGAAGAACCATCTTTCTTAGATGTTTGCAAAGGCTTCACACCCGTTGCCGTTCCAGCTGAAGGTGCAGGTGGTGGACCAGGCTTTGTCGCCGAAGGAGCAGAAGTTTTGCTTGCAGATGAGGTATCCTTTGGAGGTGGCTTAGCAGGAGATGCGGAGTCAATCTTCATCTCTTTTGCCTTTAAATTCAAGGCTGCCACTGCTTTGTCTGCTTCACGAGCTAGTTTAGCCGAATCGTTTGATGTAGACTGTTGCAAAGGTGGTCGAGTGGATGAAGAAGTTGTAGAGCTGCCACCAGGAGCAGCGGGTGCTTTTCGACTTGCGACCAAATCATTCGATGATGATCCAGATGTGCCTTGTGCGCCACTTGCTCCTGCATTCCGAGAGCCTGAAGACTGTGATGGTGGTACAGGTCGATTAGCTGAAGAAGAGGAAGAGCTTCCGCCTGTACGCATTTGGCTTGCTGTCATTATTCTGTCATCGGAAGAACTTTGTTCACGAGATGACAAGCTAGGTCTAGGTTGAGCCTGAGATGCGTTACTTGGACTTCTAGACCTTGTTGGTTGTTCGTGGGGTGTACGAAGACTTGTTTGACTGCCATCAGCATGGCTTCTGCTGCCATATCCATTGTTTGCAGTCATTCCTGAACCAGCACTGGAAGATTGAGAAAGACCTCTACCGTCGTTTGCCTCACTGCCAGCATACCCTGTACCCGCTCCGAATCTGGCTGGCGCTTTGTTAGTTGCTACTGTATTACCTCCGGGTCGTAAATTCATCGTAGGAGTTCCCAAACCGAAATCATCACGTTCACGCTTTTGGATATCAGTGTAGAACTCCAAAACGTCCAAGACAGCTTGAGGATTCTTTGCATAATCTTCTTTAGTGATGGCACTTGTTGTGAGAAGACGTGTCCATTGCTCGGGTAAACCGGTAAATGCACCGGAAACAGGATCAAATCCTACGTGAACTTGATGTACGAAGTTGGTAGGGGAAGAAACGCCCATTAAAGGTGATCTACTGTAGATATCATCTTGCCAGCCGTACAATTCTTCATCATTCTTGAGTTGCAAGAAGAATGTGCGATCCTTTGATTCGATTTCCAAGCAATATGGTTTCAGATCAGTTCTTGTGACATTGACAATTTCTTTGAGAAAGATAAGTGCAACAGCTTGATAAGAACTTTCATTTTTGTGGAAGGTTAACGTCTGTTCGCGTAATGCCAACCAACGTTTGCTCCAAATCCAACTTCGAATTCCATCTTCTTTTACGCTGACCCATCCTTTTCTAACAATTCCACCAACGCCGCCTGAACCACCAGTGGGTGAGCCAAAACCACTTCCTCCGCTTGCTCCCCAATTGGCCGGTCCACCATTGTTGGCAACAGCACCCGGTCCTGCGGGACGCAAAGGGCCTGTATAGCTACCACCACCTGCTCCCAAACCCGTTGATCCTGTAAATCCGGAAGATTGTGAAGATGATGCTAGAGGAGGTAAGAAAGGATCGTTATGCAATGATTTGTTGGCCAAAGGAGCGCCGCTGCCATGTGCACTACCAACACTCCCTAGACCACCATTTCCACTTGTTGCGCCTGGAACGGGTGGTGCTCTACGTGATGGAGTAAGTGAGCCCATACCACCACCTGCACTATAGCCAGACATGATGTTTCAGTTCTTGTATTGGTCTATCTGAATGGGTGAACTTTATCGAGAAAGGTGTTGCGAATTGAAAAGGGCTGATAATAATTCTCGAGCTGAAACGCGATCTTTTCGTGCGCTTGCTATTCGGCTTTAGAGGAAAGCGATCGTCAATTGTTGTTTGTCAAAAAGCCTTTTGATGAGATGATAATCGTTGTCGATGTGATGAATATCAATTCATACATGGGCGGATTAATGATTGATCGATGGTTGATCATCTAAGTGCAAAGACGCCCTTAATTTCTTTATAACACAACGCACGCACAAAGAGTGTTTAATCAAACCCACAGGTCATACTCCTTTATTTCTTTCTCTCTCTCTCTCCCCAAACACAATAGCGCAACGCCTGCCAAAGTTGCCAGCTGCATTGATCGCGCACACACGCGTGTTAAGTTAAAACACACTCACTCACTCTATAAGCCTCTCTTTTCTAGCGTAAAATTAGACAAAAGGACATCTCTCACACACAAAGGGTTAATCGACACCCACAACGCCGCGCCTTTCTCCTGTCTGTTACGCCCTTAAAACGCGCTGCGCAGCGCTGCGCCTTAGCCTCCTTTTGTAATTTTAATTCACGCTCATTTACATGCAAGGGAAGAAATCCGGGAAGACTTCGGGGTGACTAAGCAAATGACAATTGACAATATTATTACAGCCGCTTTTCCTTTATTCTTCTCTGAGCATCTTCTAAAACAAATAATGGCAAAGGCATCGTCTGATCTGAAGGAGAAGTCTCTGGCGTATCCAGCAGCAAATTGCAAGCATAACATAAAAGATCCGATAAATTGATTGGATATTGCTCATCGACCTTTTCCACCTTTTCTTCTTCTTGCTTCTTATCAACTGTTAAGGCTTTCCTCCATTCCTGTAATCCACGTTGAGCGGGCATTTGACAAAGGGGACATGCATGATGGCCGGTAGAGTGCGGCCAAGATTTCACAGAGAGGTACACCTTTGCACCTTGTCCACCTAATCCCAACCCACGAACGTTTTGTTCCAGTTCGGCAATTGCTGAACCTGCTCCGTTGCTCTCCTTTGTCTGCTTTCGCCGCCTTAGTGGCATCGAAGGACCGACAGCTTCAAACACTTGATCACTTTTATCTTCTTCCTCATTTGCAGCAATGTGAGAAGCTTCTTCGTCATTAAAGACTAATTTGCTGCTGGTCCGGTTGACTGTGCTAATCGTTCCCGGTACATTGCCCTCGAGTAAATTGATCAATGATTCCGTCAATCGTCCAATACTAGCCTTATTTCCACTTCCGCTGCCATCTTGTTCGGACAACAGCTCGGAAACGATCAAATCGTCCGGGATAAGACTGTTAATATTATTGGTACGAAGGTAGAACGTTACCTCTTTCGAAGTGACATCACTCAATGGCTTCAATAAGTAAACATCTCGGAATCGAATTGGACCTTCTTCCATTGGCATCTTATGTCCTTGACCTCTGCCTAAACCTTCAATCGTTCGTATAGCCCTCCTTGTTGCATTTTCTCCAGTCAAGAGACAGCTCACTTCTCGTCTTTCTGCCTCTCTCCTCAAAAGATGTGTGATGAGAAGTCTGTGCATATCTTCAGCTCGAGATCGTGCATTGGCCAAAGCCGTTCGAGGAACCTTTTCTGGACGAATAGTAGAGAAAAGACTCCGCAGAGCGTCCAATGATGAGACTTGAACAATTTTGTCTGATATCGATCGTGCCTGTTTGAAACCTGCCGTACACGTTGTCGCCTTGTCTTCTTCAAAAACATCTTCGATCCGAAGAGGGATGAAATTGAATCCAACACTCTCACCACCTTCTTCTTCGACAAGTTGTCGTACTTCCTCTGTGCGACTTTCTGTTGTAGGTTGTAGTGCGCTATCGTCAATGTAAACCACATCAACTGCAAAGACCTCATGCGGCTTTCCCTTCTTTGCATCATAATTTGGAGGCGGCAAAAGGTGTTCTCTGAGCATCCTGAGCAATGCTCTACTATTCGGACCACCACTCAGTCCCAATAGAACTCTACCTGACTTACTCTGTCTTGCATTTCCAAATTTGGATGAAGCTGTAGGATCAGGCTGTTGTGAGGACTGTGGCTGCTGCTGTTGTTCTTCTCCTTCCATTCTTTTGATGTAAGCACATATCCGTGCTTGTTCAAGCCCTGTACGTACTTTCCCTTCAAAGTAGAAACTGAAACATGATGTGCAGAATTTCGACGTCTGAACGACAATGGTACTGGGTTCCTTTTTGCATCGTAAGCAAACCGGTCTTTTCAGATTTGTCGAAGATGCTCTCTTGTCAGCTGGATGAAGTGGCAATGTAGCTGCAACTCGCTTTGCCAACGAGCCATCCGGATAACTGGGTCCAGATCCAGAACCGTTCGTCTGACCGTCGTTTAGCGATTCTTGCGTCATTGCTCGTATCCTTTCTCTATGTATAACGCAATGGTCATGAAGAAGAAAGCTTTCGCACGACACTTTGGGTGGAGTAATTCTAAAATTTTTTCCGTTAGGTGATAGCGCGGTGCATATATGTGACACAGATTTCGCACACGCGTGGAAATTGCATCTTGGACAGACTGAGTGGATTGCTGAGTGTTGTCCTTCTCTGCCATCATCGCCCTCTCTCATAAATCAAAAATGCCACCGCAACCTAGTGCAAGTGGTAGCGGACAGCCTAAAAGGCCTAGAGGAGAAGGAAATAGAAGAGGTCGCGGAGGCGGTAGCGGAGCAGGCGGCCCTGGTCGTGCAACAGCGGCTGCAGCAGGCAGTGGTGGAGCTGGAGGTGGTAGGAGAGGGATGGGTGCTGCAGGAGCAGCTGGCGGGATAGGACAAGGAAGAAGGGGTCCTTTCGTATACAAAAACGAATTCCGAAAAGACATAGAAGGGTTGATGTACGCTTTTGGGGACGCAGAACATTCAGATCCTGATTCGATCGCATTAATGGAAGATATGACTGTTTCTTTTCTTGTCGATCTTATCAAACGTGCAAGACCATCTCCCGTACAATTATCCGTTCCATCCAATCCAGCTCGCGTTCAAATGATCGCACAAGCAGATGCACAACAGCGTCAATGGCAAAATGAACAAAGATTAGTCGATCACGAAGCCGAAAGGGCAGCAGCAGGAACATCAGCAACTGCCATTGCCAAAGCACAAAAGCGAGTTGCAGCTGCAAATGCAGAACATGAAAGAAGGCGGGCACATGAAATGATGACCCGCACAAATGTTCATCCGTTCGTTGGAAGAACAAGGATGACGGTTGAAGATATCAAATTTGCCTGTAGAAAGGATGCAAAATTAACAAGTCGTATAGAAGAATTGATTTATTTGGACAAAGAAATTCAAGCCGCAAGAAAAGTGTTTGACGTTCCTGCAGATGAAGCCATCCAACAGGAGAATGCCAATTCGGCTGCAGTACAAGCAGATATTAATGCTGCACAACAATCTGGCTCAAAATGAAACCCATCAAAGACAAAAATGACCTCTTGTATAGTATTCTTAATCTTTGTAATATACCAACACATTCAAATTCATCCTGTAAAACAGAAAGTACCAGCGAGAGTATTGCATTGGTATAGTGTCATACTATCTAAACACATTAAGTTTTGGTTTAGTAAAGGAGAGATCAGATCTAGAAGATGAATTTTGAGGATAACCCAAAAGAGAAAGCAGACAAACGAAAAGAAAAAGACTCGACATGCCAAAATTTCTTGAAATTTGCCAAATGTGCGCATAGATTATATTGACGACTTGTAAGATATATCAATTTTTCACAAGACAACTTTTTTTGATTTGCTTAGATTTACAACGAAATGCAGAGACGAAAAATTTTTGTGTGAGGCAATGCATGATGATATTTTGGTAATGATGGTTCCTGAATCATCTTTTATTATTTTGATTGGTAATGTGTTTTGTCCGTGACTTTAGCGTCGAGACCAGGCAGATTGTTGAGTAAATCTGCTTCTACGTGGTGATGCCGCTCCTCCAGCAGCTACGTTGGGACTCGTTGCGCCATTTGGTGAGGTTGGACTGTATTTGGGGCTTGTTGGGGAATATTGAGGTGAGGTAGGTGAATATACCGGTGAAGTAGGCGAATATTGCGGACTCGTTGGCGAGTATTGAGGAGAGGTGGGAGAATATTGAGGAGAGGTGGGTGAATACTTGGGACTTGTAGGAGAATAACGAGGAGAAGTGATTGCGCCAGCCCGACCGCCTTGCATAGCAGGTGATGTCGGCGAATATGCAGGTGAAGTTGGAGAATACTTTGGACTTGTAGGGCTTGTTGGACTGTATACTGGACTGGTGGGCGAATAAGATGGACTGGTTGGTGACCATTTAGGCGAAGCAGGTGAATATCCTGATCCACGTCCACCTCCGCGACCTCCATATGCAGGCGAAACAGGCGACATATCATTGCGCGGTGAAGTAGGTGAGTACGTTGGACTTGTCGGCGAGTATGCTGGAGAAGTTGGCCCGTAACCGATGTTGGGTGAAGTAGGCGAGTAGCCACCAGCTCCGCCTCCTGCGCCATGTTGGATATAAGGACTCACCATTGCAGGGCTTGCTGCATAAGCAGGACTTGCAGGTGAATAGCCAACCATGGGTGAAACGGGAGAATAGCCGCCTAATGCACGAGGTGATGTTGCTCCCATAGGAGTTCGCATTGGTGTTTGACCTGGTGCCAAATAGTCATTGTACTCTTCTTGCGCTTGAGCCAAAGGACTAAAGGCAGCCATATCTTGAATCTGACCATCATAGTATTGCATTGGACTTCCAGAATCATAAGGTGTCATCATTCCACCAGGAGTCTTTCCACCCATTGGATCTAATTGAGCTTGCATAGCTGCTTGAACGGGCAATCTATGATCAACGATCACCTCCTTGAGTAATTCAATATCCAAGCAAACATCAAACGCTCCTGTACCCATCGGTGCCATTTGACCCAATAGAACATTCTCTGCAACACCTTTACAGTCGTCCAGTTGACCCATAGCAGCTGCCTCCATCAAAATTTCGACAGTTTCTTCGAAAGTACAACGCATTAATGCACCTTGACTTGTACGGTTAATACCATGACGAGTGATGGCCATCAAATGTCCTTGGGTGGTCATGATATCACACAACATTGCCAAATGTCTATAATTGACGTATGAACCGTCAAATTCAATAACCGCCTTTGATTCACGGAGAACGGAGTTTCTGGCTGCTTCAATTCCAAATACTTGCAGGATTTCAACGCAATTATTCGAAAGCGTTCTGGCAGCATCGACACCCGTCACTGCAAGAACCTCACGTAAGTTGGTTCCATCAGTTTCCAAGATCCATTCACGCACAGGTTCCCATGCACCAGTGATTTGGTTCACACGTTGATGAGCCTTATCTTGAGACACAATAAAGACTTTCTTGATACCCTTGACACCCTTTAGATCGATTGCATTCAACATATCCTCGGACAAAAGCTTCAAGAAGTCATTTTCACTCTCACTTGTTTGTTTGTCGGGATCATTATCCACAACGCGGATACGCAAGACCAATTGCTCAGCATTGTCTTCCGAATGCATTACGAAAATATCATCCGAGAATGTTTGAGTGATCTTTGAAGCAACTTCTGCCATTGTCAAGTTTTTGTCCAACATTTGAGCACGGTCCAAGACCAAGCGCAAAAGCCATGCGGATTGACGGTCAAGCGTTCGTTCAACTTCTTCATCAGGAATTGCAAAGAATGCTTCAACGAAATCACGATCGTCTTCGATGATCGTGCTGGTTGGGTTGGGATCGAAATGAATCTCAACTGCAGATGTGACAGTTCGTAGCGTTGTATGGGTTAATGCGGTTTGAATCACTTTTGCGGCCTCTTCAGTTTGGCTATACTCTGGAGTCAGGTACACAGTTACTGAAGGTGTTTTGATATTCTCGGCGCAATTGATAATTTCCTTTAGACGGGGAACACCAAGCGTTACATTTTTACTTGAAACACCAGCATAGTGGAAAGTGTTTAAGGTCATTTGAGTTGCCGGTTCTCCAATACTTTGGGCTGCAAGTGTACCGCACATCTCACCAGGATTTACGACTGATTTTCCGAACTGCTGTTCGATCTCTCCCAAGACCCATGACCAGGCTTCACGATTCAAATGAAGCTTTTCGATCACATTTCGGGTACTCAAGAATGATCGCAAGTGAATCTTGAACAATAGAGTAGCGTTTTCTTGAGCCGCAATACTGATCGGATCATTACCGCGGACGACAATGAGTCTATCGATCACTTCGCGCAATTCAAGAATGATTTCTTTCGGCGAAAGATCTGTTGGCTTTCTCGGATCGATGTTGAATTCTTGACGTGCATTGAGCGCTAGACGAGCAATGTTCATCGGCAAGTATACATCGGCACGACTGTCTTTGAAGATTTCTGTTCTCAAGATCTTGCGATCACGAGAAAGTTGCTCGAATTCTTCATCCAAAAGATCTTGCAGCTCTTGCGAGAAATCTCCCAAACCAGCCTGCAAAGTGCCCCTTTTGAAGCCGCCCGCATTCAAGTCTACACCGAAGCGATCACGGAATTCAGCATCATTCAATCGATGTGTCAAAAGATTTTGACGTTCGACCATTGCTCCGTCTATTCCATCTTCACCATATGCAAATTGAATGACATTATTTGTAGAATTACGCACCGTTCCGTCATAGCAAACCATAACATCTTCCAAAGCTTTGACCAATCTTCTTTGAATGTAACCAGTTTCAGCAGTTTTGACCGCTGTATCAATCAAACCTTCACGACCTGCCATGGCGTGGAAGAAGAACTCTTGTGGTGTAAGACCACGCAAGTATGAATTCTCCACAAATCCACGAGATTCTGGACTGAAGTCATCCTTGGAGAAGTGCGGCAAAGTACGGTGACGGAAACCAAATGGAATACGCTTTCCTTCGACGGATTGTTGACCTACACATGCAGACATTTGGGAGATGTTGATGAAAGAACCTTTTGATCCTGCAATAACCATTTGCTTCACATTGTTCCAATTTGGCAAGTCTTTCTCTGCACGCGAACCGACGGTATCACGAGCGGTGTTTAATTCACGATTCACCTTTGCTTCGAAAGATTCACGCAAAGTCATACCTGCTTCGGGTTTCATGCGATCGTGTCTCGCATCTTGGATGAATTTGTCTACCTGTGCTTTGGCACGGATGATTTCTTCTGTAATGAATGTTGCGGTTGCCTTATCTGCTACTGTATCACCGATACCGATACTGAATCCGTTGTGTAAGAGCCAGTAATTTACCACCCTCTGTGCACCACCAAAAAAGTCACGACAGATTTCTGGTCCACGTTCACGGAAGATGATGTGAATCAAACCACCAGCCGCAGATCCGACAACCTTTTTGTTAATAACACCGTAGAAGATTTCACCATTTTCGATGTAAACACCGTCATCTGTCACATTGTTCTTCTTGGGATCAATTGGGCTACCCAAGAAGACATTAATACCCTTGGGGATGCACATTGATAAGATCTGCTTTCCAGACCAGTACGGCTTTGGTTTCAAGATGCAAGGAGTAGGCACAACACCATCCCAGAGTGGAACCCAAAGCAGAATATTTTGGACTTGATTGAAGTCTAGCAAACAATCTCTGAGAGTGAATTTTCGAACACCACAGAGGGTATCTTGCACGATACCCATGACGGGTTTATTTGCTTGAGGCGAAACAATTTGCTTTGCTACCCAGGCGATCTGGCTTAATTCAGCTCTGGTCTCTTCACTTTGAGGAACGTGTAAGTTCATTTCGTCACCATCGAAATCGGCGTTGTACGGTGGTGTGACGGATAAATTCAATCGGAAAGTGGAGAAGTCCATCAATTTGACTCTGTGCGACATCATACTCATCTTGTGCAAACTGGGTTGACGGTTGAACAAGACATAATCTCCGTCCTTCAGATGTCTTTCGACAGTCCATCCAAATTGCAGAGCCATGTCTGCTCGTCTGTTGTATTTTAAATCGATACGCTCTCCGGTATCACGAACAACGTATTTCGCGCCTGGCCATTCATTCGGTCCATTTCTGACAAGTTCAGATAGGTACGAAATATTGTAGGGTGTCACCTTTTCAGGATATGTCAAATTCCTTGCGATACTCTTTGGCACACCAACTTGATCCAATTCCAAGTTTGGATCACCGGTAATGACGGTACGTGCCGAAAAGTCAACACGTTTCCCCATCAAGTTACCACGCAATCGTCCTTCTTTACCCTTTAGACGTGCACGGATTGACTTCACTGGTCTTCCTGACTTTTGCATAGCTTGCGGAATACCAGCGATATCGTTATCCATGTATGTTGCACAATGGTATTGAACCAAATCTTCAAATTCACCAACAATGTGAGGTGGTGCACCCTCTTGCTCGAACTTTTTCAATTGAGTACTCGCTTTGATGATATCGGCCAATTTGTATGTCAAATCATCTTCACCTTTTGCCGTTCCTCCTTCTGCAACACCAGGACGAACCGGTGGTGGTGCGACAGGTAAAACGGTAAGAATCATCCATTCAGGCCTTGCTTCGAGCTTGGACAGGCCCATCAATTCAATGTCTTCATCACTAATCTTTTTCAAGATTTGCAATGCTTCCGAGGCTGGTAATGGTCTTTTGTCTGCTTGTGATAATTTACTGCCCTCCTCTTCATCATCTTCTTTTCCTTTCTTCCAACTAACGTACATCTTCAAACCCTCACGTCGGTATACTGGTTGCGTGTGACCGCATCCACCATGTCCCACTGGCAATTCTTCTTCGACTCCACCGAATTCATCTTCTTCTTTTACTGGATCGGCTTCGCAAATGAGCTTCTTGGAGCAGACTTGCCATGTGCCGTGGAAGCGTCGTAGACGAGAGTAAGCGGTTTTGGTCGACGTTGATCTGACTACGTTTGCAAAGAGTGGATCCGTATCGACATCCGCTTTGAGCTTTCCGCAGTGGAAACAAACCGATTCAAGAATCTTTTTAACCTTTTTGATAAAACCGATGTGATACACAGGTCGTGCTAATTCGATATGTCCAAAATGTCCCGGGCAATCGCTCATCGATTCACCACATGTTTGACATTTGAATGCACGATCAGTTGTACCCAAACGAGGATCAGATAATCCTCCTGCCAAAACTTTTCCACTTTCGTCGCGGATGTCACTAAACTCAACCTTGAGGACGGACATGCTCCGCTGTGATAGAGAAAGGCAAGAGAACGATCAGTACTCAGATGTTCCCAGAACGTTTGGGTTACATGAACCCATCTACCATTTTATACCTACAATTTCGTCGGGACTTAAAATTCCGAATTGGACCTCTTTGACCGGCCGCTGGTTAGCGGCTGATTCGGTAAAGCGACCATGTGAGGACATTTTGTCGAGAGGGAGGTGACACGAAATCGAAAGCTTTGTTCTGATTCGATCTGAAGCGGATCGATTATGATGAGTAAATCAAAGACGCTGTCTGAGACTACGAAAGGAAACGAAAGGATGACCACGCTTTCGAAACGAGATTGTTGAAAGGATTGATCCGTCTTCTCTTTCGATTGAGTCGTCCAATCTGCGAATCCAACTTCTATTAAACAACGTTTGCCACTGAATGACCTGCCCAACCCGGACCACCTTCACAAACCACACAAATAACAGCCACGTCCCACCTCTTCGATTTTAATTCAATTCCACAATTTTGATATTTCTACCTTCACCCCTACTACTCCGAGAGCCTTCTGACGTCTTTTATGATGAAACGTCAATAGCACGACCAGCGAAGGTGTGCAATGCAAATGAAACAATTAGATTCGTCGATTGAAAAAGGTGAGCTTTGGCAAAAAAGAGAAGAAGGATGAAAAAAGAAGAACTAGTCGTCTTTTTCTTTTCCGTCTTTTGCTTCGATCACTGAAACCTGACGAATCGGATTGTCGATATTATTAAGAACGAGAGAAGGCGTCCTACGGTGAAAAAGGGATGATGGAAGTGGATGGTAAAGTTGATTACAATCATTGTCATTCTCGCGTGCACACTCTTGAACTTGGATTTCATTTTGCAGCAGCAGAAGACAAATGCGACAAAGCTACAAAGGGTGCGCGCGCGCGCGCCTTTGCATTCCATTCCTTTCCAGCCTTCTAAGCGGCGATTGAAGGTTAAGCTAAGCTCACGCAGGCCCTGACTCAAAAACAAAAAGAATCAACACACGCGTCTTCTAATCACAAAAAGGCTCAAGCGGAAACAAGCTCAGCACTGAGCCAATAAACGCTTTAAGCTCACTCTGGCCCTCCCTGGCTCTCCATCAATTATATCATGCATGCAGTGAAGCCGTGCGTCGAATTGAACTTGGGCCTGTACTGGCTTGTCACGCGTTTATTAATGAAATCAACACACACACATTCAGTAGGAGACAACTGGGGTAAGACCACCAAGTCTTCTTCCATTCCAGCTACATCTTCAGAATCATCAATTTATCATCATTTCTTGTCAATGTCGTTGTCCAATTCAGTGGAATAATTGCTCATCTTCTCTCGCATCAGACGATCGAATGATCTGCAAAGCAATTCCACGTCAACATGTCGGGATTGGAACAATACTCTTCCTATCACAATGCTTCACATGGAAATCGCTCTGATCGCAGATCATCAATAAATCTCTCAAGTGGTCATAATAAAATCGATACATCTAGAAACATTCCAGCAGAAGATGATGACGATCTTCTATCACCTTTGGCCGGTCCAACACGAAAAGCAAGAGCTCGAGTAGATTCTATGTCCAGTATGGGCTCAAGTGTTGCTCCTGCTGCATTACCTCAACATCGTAGTAGACGTCATGGAAGTGCAAGACCGAAATCGAGAGATGAAAGTTTCGCCAATGGTGCTGGAAGGACACAAGTTCCTGAGATACAGTTGGCATCGCATGACAGCGTACAGTCTGGATTATCAGACCGACTGGACGATCAACCGATGAGCATTGGAGAAGGTGGTCTGGAAGCATGGCTACGCACACAGGCTCAGGCGGGCCCTCCCAATGGAACATCTTCCGCTTCGAATGGGCGCTTTCAAGGTATTTCTCAAGATGCGATGCGTCGTGTAGATTCTCGACCGGAAATACAAGATGGCATGTCAGATACAGGTAGATCTACAGGAGCAAAATCTACAGGTTTACGAGGTAGTAAAAGAAGTACAGGAACGACTGGAAAACGCTCAAAATTACCGGATTGGGACCTCGCCGCTATCGATGCAGATGCTGCTGGGCTAACGAGTTCTGCATCTCGTAAGAATAATGAAATGACAGGTAAAGGTTTGAGAGAATGGCTAGAATCGGCAGAAGTTGATAGTCAGGTGGCCTCTGAAAGAAGAAGAACTCGACGTGAGCTCAGCCCAGGAACAATGAGTGCAAGCGGAGTAAGATTACGTGAAGGTGTCAGGCGTAGGGATCGTAATAGTTCAAATGGAGTAGGAGATGGCGGAATGAGCATTGATGGAGTAATTCACTCGGCCAGGGAACCATCTTCTTCTCAGCATCAACCTCGATCGGGCACGCTCAGTGCATCACCATCCATGACTGGTACTGGAGTATCCCTTTTGGCAGCATCGAATGCTATCTCAGCACGACAAACATCATCCTCGCATAGATCAACCTCGCTTGCTGCACGTCATTTGAAGAAGGAAACCATTCTTGGCTCGCCAATTCGAACATGGGCAAAATCCATGCTGCTTGAGAGAAGCTTCCCTGGCGCAAAGAATGAGACAGGCTCTACAGTTACAATGGCCATCACTGTAATAAGCGCCATTTTGATCAGCACTTTACTCAAATGGACAACGGGGCTCTATGGCTGGAGTGGAAAGGGCGTTAGTCCGATGTATGGTGACTTTGAAGCACAGCGGCATTGGATCGAAATCACTTTGCACCTACCAGCTTCGCAATGGTACTTTTACGATCTTTCTTATTGGGGTTTGGACTATCCACCTCTAACGGCAAAAGTTAGCAAATGGTGTGGACAGGCTGCCTCCTACTTTCCTCGTGTTGCTGAGCATTTTGCATTGGACAAATCTCGCGGAACCGAAGCGAACGAAGTGGCGCTCTTTATGCGAGCCACTGTATTAGTACTGGACACTCTCCTATACGTACCGGCAATTCTCTTCTTCTTAAACAGGCGACTACAAGGACGAGGCCGAAGAACGAGGGCAATTGCGATTTTGACCGTTTTGCTCCAACCGAGCACAATCTTAGTCGATCATGGGCATTTCCAGTACAACACTGTCATGCTTGGTCTTTCTGCCTTTGCTTTCTCACTTCTTTACACAAGTTTACCCAACCCGGATCTCGGAATAGGTTCTTCAGAGCTACGCAATCGAATGAAGAGCCTTAGCAGGAGGATAAGCTATGAATACATTGCAGCTGCCGTTTTCTTCAGCTTGAGTTTATCGTTCAAACAAATGGCGCTATACTATGCACCGGCTGTCTTTGCTATCATGCTTGGACGATGCGTTGGCCTAGCAAGAATAGGTTTCGAACGTGGTCTGATTTGCTTCACAGGTATTGGCTTGGCAACGATTATTACGTTTGCAATCGTGTTCCGAGAATGGTTAAGGGATATCAACCAATTAGGTCAAATTATTCATCGCATTTTCCCAGTGGCTAGAGGATTGTTTGAGGACAAAGTTAGCAATATTTGGTGTTTCTCTTCAGTCCTTCCTTTACCTGCAAAGTATAAACTCAGAAACGCTTTATCGATCGACTCATTGGCACGATTAAGTCTTGCAACAACATTGCTAGTGATCTTATTGCCATGCGCTCATCTATTTGCTGCTGCTGCAGAGACAGTACACATTGAAATGTTTTTGGACGAAGACAGTAAAAGACAAGTGCTTGCTTCTGAGAAGCGTCAAAAAGAAGGAAGTATCGTTGGCGGATCATCAATATCCGGACGAAGACCAAGGCATCTATCTCAGGCTGCTCCAGCTCCGTCTGAAGCGGGTAGCAATCTGGATAGCATCTTGGGTAGTACGACACAATCGGCAGTAGGTGGACAGACCACAAGTAGACTAACGGCAAGTCCTTCGACATCAAGAATTGTTCCCACAACAAATGCTCAGACTGTTGCATCATCTTCGCCTTCTCCTGCTGCATCAGTATTGCCATATGCTTTGCTGTCCACATCGTTGGCATTCTTTTTGTTCGGCTTCCAGACTCACGAAAAGTCAATCTTGATACCGCTTTTACCGATGACCTTGCTCATCAGTGTGAAAGCTGACGAATGGGGTGGCGGTGCTGGAAAGACGGATTGGGAATGGGCAATCTTGATGAACAACGTATCTTTGTTCAGCATGTGGCCATTATTGCAACGAGATGGCTTGGTGTGGCAATATGTTCTGCTTTCGGTTGGTTGGAATTGGGCAATTGGTTATCGACCATTCAACGGATTACAGTCCTATCGTAAAAGCTTTGTCGCATGGGCAGCAGCCATCATCCACTTGGGAATGCTTGCTCTGCATTCGTTCGAGATCATTTTACCTCATCTTCCTTCTATCGCAAAGCCAATCTTCTCAAGATACCCAGACATATTCCCTGTCCTCAATGTCTTGCTTTGCACTCCTGTGTTTGGCTTGATATGGCTTTGGTCTACAAAGAGACAATTGGAGGTTGGCTTTGCGAGTGGGATTGATATTTTTGGTCTTCAAAAGAGTAGTACAAAGAAGAAGACAACCAAATAATAATTATTGTAAAGCAAGTTTAATTAAATTCACTGTAAAACTTCTTTTGCCCGTTTGCGTTTCTCATCCCGTGCTGAACGTTTAGAAGCTTTCATTTGTAATCTATCGGCATTTCCCACAGCACGTTCTAGCTTTGCACGATTTTCTGCTTTTCTTGCATGACCTCGTTTTCGTGAATTGGATGATGATTGTTTAGCATTACCTTTTTGTTGACGTAAAGCAGCCAAAGCAGAGATTGACAAAGAAGAAGCTTTTTCTTCGTTTGGTTCACGAGGTCCTAATGATGTTGACGGGATCTCTTTACGCTCTAAACGCTTTTGACCTCCGCTGATTGCATGACTTGTGCTTCCGCCTTTCTTGATGGCCATTTTGTCTACCAGTAAGAAGATGGATGTAATGATTGACATTCTCCACAACATTCTCAAAAATCTTTTGTTCGAAATTTTAAGTTTCACTCAAGCACGCGTATTGTCATATACACGCGCGACCTCCCCGCCCCTCTTTAAGTGCGTTAGCGTGTTGTTGTTGCGTTCCGGTTGTATCAGCCCTTGTGCGCGCAGGTACTACAGCTCTGTGTTGGTGTTGAACCCTTTTCTCATAACCATCAACACCAAATCTTACCCGGTCCAATCCAATCAATCGTCATGTTCTCACGCATTTCCATCACATTATTTTGCATGATCGCAATGATCTCACTACTTTCAATCACATCTGTTCAAGCAGCAGATACCATCCAAGCACGCAAACAAGCACCTGAAATGCATGATTACACCGTCAGATTGTCCGCACAGGAAAAGAGACAACGTGTTAAACGTCATCTGCCAACAGAGTAAATTTGCAAATAGTTGCATTTTTTGTTTACAAAGTCAAGGGTTGCAGGTGATCTTACAAGGAAGGTTTCCATCCTTCAGCTCAGTTTTTCAATAGACCCAATACCCGTTCCGCTTCTACATCATCAACTTCAGTTCCTACACCGTTTGGAGGTCCGGATCCTGCCAAACCACGCAAGGAGATATCATATACCACCTCTTCGATCTTTTTTACATCGTACTGGATTACGATAACAAGGAGGAAATATTGGATTTGTCAGCCTTTTGTTTTTTGGTACTTATTGATGTCCTTTTGTATTACTATCTTACTCACCTTTATGCTATCGAATCTTTTGCGTAAACTATCATTCTTCAAGTTCAACATTTGGAAACCAGTGTGTAAATCCTTGACGAATGCGCTTAATCGGACTGGTGTACCGAAATCTCCCAATGTGACGCTGTTGACTGCCAATCGCGACAATTCGTTCACCAGGCTGACCAAGGCATGTAGGTATTCTTCGGTTGCCAATTTGAATCGATGATTCTCCGATTGTGGAACTGCAAAAGAGTGAGAGGTGGAAGCGGATGGTTAGTGAATGAAACAGAAAGGGAAGATGTAACAAAGCATTAACACACCTGCCAGAACATCGGCTACCTGCTCCTTTGTGATCAGTCTACCCGTTCCAAGATAATACGTATATGCTATGGAGAATACGATTCTCTGTATAGTCATGCTCCACGTATCGTTCCACTAGAAAGCACATTAGAAATACTTGTCAGCATATATGCTAGTCACATCTTCAATAGAACACACATACCTTGTAATACTCATTTTCGGGAACAAGCTCGATCAATTGCCGAATCACCTGTCTTGTCTCCCCGAACGACGAAGCGACTTGCTGCACCAGGTTTTGGACTAAAGCAAGAGGAGATGTAAGCGACATTATTGGGCAAGAGTGATCCTTTTTTACCTACTTTCTGAAGATGGAGTTGAATGTGACTTGTTCAACAGCTTTGCCGCGACTCGATATGACTTTTCCAGTTCTTTCACCTGCTCTCTTAGCTTCTCTCCAAGCTCTTTATTTGCTTCTAGTTCGGCCAAGATTGGCTCAAAATCGACAGAGCTCGTCATGATGTGGTGTTGTTGTTGCGGCTGGAAGAAGGTTGTCTTTCTTCCTCCACGCATACACAATTGATTAAATAATTTTGTCAAGTCCGAACCTTCTCTTCACTCTGTTTAATGAACGCGTTGTGTGCGGTGCAATCAACTTTTAGCCGATTGAAATGTGAAGTTCATGCAGAAGCCGCCCGCGTAAATTTAGAGGTATAGGCAGAAGAGTTGCATAAAGATGCATTCATTGCATACAAGGCCTAAGGGGAAAGGCGGCGAGCCATGGATCCGTTTATGAATCAATATTGACAGTCTCTCTTGATTTTTCACGCTAAAAATTACAACCGCACACACACACACGCATACTAAAATGAACCAAATGAAATGAATTGGAGTACCGATCGATTTATCCTTTTCTTTTTTTGGTGAAACCTCATCATTGAACACAAGCAAAGCCGCTCACTACCACATCAGATTGTTATGCTAGGGTGACAGAAATACAAAGACAGTAGGGCAAGGTTATATCATCATCCCACCTTATGGATTGACAAATCGTATCGTCTCAAACAAACCCCGCATATATCCAAGCTGTATAGCGGCCAACATGAAGGCTTTTCAGCGTTGGAGAAGTCAGCACAATGGCACAGGCGAGAGTAAGGACTCTGCAAGGCAACGTACCATATCATCAAAAGGCTTGGCAAGTTCCTCATCCACAGGAAATACAGGTTATACCGACCCGCAGGATGTACTATATCCAAGCAAGATAGGTACAAACGATCAATCCAAAAATGCTTCCATTCGACCGACACGTATACGAGAGAATTCCAATGGGAAAGATAGCACTGGCAAAAAGAGAGGATTTAAGAAAAGGCAATCTATGGGCGATCTACATCGCTCCAAGAGCGCAAATGGGAAAACAGAAAACGATACGTCAACGCCTCTTCTATCTTCGCCCAAGTCGCAAGGCGTAAGAATTCGATTAGATTCTTTGATGGGTAGAAAGGATACTTCCTCTTCTCCTGAGAAGACATCCAGCACAGTGAATGGAAAGGAAGATAAACATAATCCAGGACGATGGGCAGGCTCGGTTCGATCAGTCAATTCACCAAAGAGTAAAGGAGATACCGATTTACCTGCAGATATCGTTTCCATGCCAAAGATTTCCTCAAAACCAAGACAAGAACGAAAAGAGGACGCTCCTCTATTAGTCGTAAGCAGAGGCGATAACGGAAGTGCAAGTAGAAGCCCAATGCCAAAGAAAGCGGAACTACCTGAATCTACAACGCAGCCCTATGGCAAGCATGACCTGAGCAGAAACGGCAATATGAATGGTCATTCAAGCGCTTTTGCAATGAAAGAACAAGGTTCCAATCAACGAAAGCAGCACTCAAACGGAAAGAAGAAGCGTACTGGAGCAGATTTACCTCCTATTAATACAACAATCGGACAGAGCAATAGCCTTTCACCCCCGGCTTTTGATAAAGACGCTACTTTGCGAAATAGCAGGAGCAGCAGCGGCCTTCTTCAGTCTTCGCATGATACAGTGTATCACACACCTTCTCAGAGATCTTCAATCTCTTTTACAGATAATCAAATCGGTCAAGCTCCACAAGTGGACGATCGCGATATGTATGCTGCTTCCTCGACGCTCAAAACACAGTCATCCGCATTCTCTTTACGTCAATCCCGTGGCCGTATCAGTGGTCTCTTTAGCATAAAGAATCGAAGTACGCCGGGACTTACGACAAAGGAAGGATCAGAAAATTTCAGATATCCGTCTGTGAACGGGAACTCTGATGTACTTTCTTCGAGTGTCTCTATGCCTTCAACACAATCACGATCACAGAACCTGGCAAATGAACTTAATGATTTGGCAGTCGCATTCGAAGAAGGTCTCTTGGGCGATGACGAATACAGATTATTGCGTCAAGGCGTTTTTGATTCAATGATGAGGACGGGAGCGATGGAACTACCTCAGGAACGTACGATACGCTCATCACAGAATCTAGTGTCCTCTGAACATATGGCTGCCGAGCATTCCACGCTGGCGGCACCTTCCTTAATTTCAAAGAGATCTGGTAAGAGCAATGCGATGTCGTTGTTTCGAAGAAGTTCTCAAAGGTCTCAACTTCCCGATTCAGCTTCAGGTGCATTACCGAGTAGCAGAAGCATGGTTGGTAGCATGGCAAGTTTTGGAACTCGGAATAATGCGCAAATGAAAGCAGCTTTGCAAGATCAATACTCTCAGGAGAGAAGGGCACGCACATTACGTAGCGTGGCAGGCATCAGCAGGGAAATTGATCCTTCTCCATCTCACAATGGAGATTCAGCAAGTCGGATAGGAAATAGTGCCCAATCGGGTATCACGCAATTCTCCCTAGGCGGTTTAAGTATTACAAGTGGAAATGCATTATTGGGAAGGGATTATGCCGATAAGAGCAGTGCAGAGATTGAAGCCGAGATTGCGGTTGTTGAAGCAGAAGGAAAAAGACTTTTGGACAACTTCAAGACGTTAGAATTACACGCAGTAGGAAGGTATGATCTAACATTTGAACAAATTCGTCAAATTGTTCGATCTGCCGAAGATATGTCGCCTGGTTCGACACCCGCCGATATGCGTGATGGATTCATTGTTGTATCTTCAAGTGAAGAAAATATACCAATGTCACCCAATGGATCCAAATCGGGCGGCAATACAAATATGTTTTCCAAACGAAGACAATCAAGCTCTTCTTCTAATGGCTCAACGTCACCTTCGATTGCTACACAATCTGCTCGACCGATCCGACCTCGCGTTGCTCAACATCCACCTTCTTCGTTCAAAGGTAGAGATCCACATAAGCAATTCAGTGGAGCCAATTCTCCTGAACGACAGAAAGCACTCTTGGCATCGGATGAAAACGATGAATCATCTTCGCAAAATCTCAAGAGAGAATTAATCGAAATTCATAAAAGAAGGGCAGACGTTGTGAAAAAGTATGATGATCGTTTAGCATTTTTGAGAAGTGCTATGCGAAGTGCAAAAATTCGAGAAGGATTACGATGAAAGCGAAAGAAGGTTATTATTTTGCTAAGTCAAATGCTTGACTGTATTTTATATGAAACATCCTTTGTATTAATTATATTATTTGGACAAGTGATCTTCGATGAAATCAGCATTGACTATCAAAGAGTCATAAAAGTTTGTTCCCCTCAGTCAGACGCGGTTTAAGCTTAAGTAGAGAGCTACACCGGAAACGGAAAAAAAAGACAGCGCGTAAGGACAGTGCGAATTGCAGTGAAACGAAATTAAGAATCTTTTGTGTAACTTTCGTTCAAAACTCCATCTGTACGTGAAAGAGACCATAGCCAAGGGAACAAGGCGATCAATATGGCACCAAAAGTGGATACATCTGATCCACGTATTCAGAAGTTGTTAGAACAATTTGCAACGATTTCATTCACAGGTCAAAAGGCTAACGAGACTCTGAGAAATGCCAAAACCAGCGAAACACTTTCGACTTTGATTGAAAAGAATCAACTTGAAGGGAAAGGATTAGATGCAAAGAAAGGTCAATTGATCGTTTCTGCTGCTACTGTTGCACCTCCTTCGTTGGATCTCGAAAAACGATCGTACATCGTTCAGAGAATTTTGGACGGAAGCTTGGATTCTGCTGATCGAATCAGCGAAGCAGGAAAATATTTGGCAGGTGTCTCCGATGTCAAGAGTGTCAATAAGGCGGCCTTTGACCAAGCATGTGGTGTAGGTGAGTATTCGATGAGTATTTTACACAGAGGATGAGATATATCAAACAAACGCATGTATTAGAGCCGCAGGTGTTTCACTCGAAAGACCGAATGGCATCTACTATGATTCTGATGTTTATTCCCTTTTTGGGCAAATCTTGAATTGATTACTGACTTCATTGTTCTACCTTCTACAGGAGTTGTCGTTACGCCCGAACAGATGAGCAAAATCATTGGTGAACATATGAAAAAGGATGCCGCAAAAATTGAAGAGCAAAGATGGAACTCTCTAGCCCTGCTGATGGCCAACCTGAGAGGTGATCAAAGACTTCGGTGGGCCAATGCATTGGACATGAAGAACGGTGTAGAAAATGCTCTGGAGACAAAATTTGGACCAAAAAACAAACAACCTGCTCCCAGCAAGCCTGCCAAAGAAGCAAAAGCACCAAAAGAAAAGAAGAGAGCAGCTGATGCAGCTCCAGTTGAAGCAGATCCTAACGCGATGTTCAAAGAAGGATTCTTGTCAAAATTGCACAAGCCAGGAGGTAATCCACAAATCAAGCCTGAATTGAAAGAACAACATCTCAAAGCAACAGGAGGACGGGTGATGACACGATTCCCTCCTGAACCAAATGGCTTCTTGCACATCGGACACAGCAAGGCCATCGCTGTCGACTTTGGATTTGCTCGATACAACGGAGGATTGTGCTACTTACGATATGATGACACAAACCCAGAAGCAGAGGAAGAACAATATTTCAATAGCATTCTAGAAATGGTCAGATGGCTTGGATATGAGCCATTCAAGATTACATATAGCAGTGACTACTTTGACAGACTATACGAACTAGCCGTTGAGCTAATCAAGCGTGGCAAAGCATACGTCGATCATTCGACAGGTGAAGAAATTGCCCAAGGCAGAGGAGGAAAGGAACATGGACCTAGATTTGCGAACAAATATCGCGATAGGCCCATCGAAGAATCTTTGAAGGAGTTCGAAGATATGAAGAATGGCAAATACAAGCCCAACACTGCCACTTTGCGTATGAAACAAGATCTGTTAGGTAGCGGAAATCCTCAAATGTGGGATTTGATCGCTTACCGAGTTTTGGGCGCAAAGCACCATAGAACAGGCGACAAATGGTGCATCTACCCAACTTATGATTTCACTCACTGCTTGGTGGATAGTTTTGAAAATATCTCCCATTCGTTATGCACGACTGAATTCATCTTGAGCCGTGAAAGTTACGAATGGCTTTGTGATGCTGTGGAAGTCTACAAGCCACGTCAATACGAATTCGGTCGACTAAATCTGGAAGGAACAATCACGTCCAAGAGAAAGATTCTCAAACTGGTAAGAGAAGGGTATGTGCAAGATTGGGATGATCCAAGATTGTACACTTTGTTGGCTCTAAGAAGACGTGGTATTCCGCCAGGTGCTATCCTCAGCTTTGTGAATCAACTAGGTGTTACCACGGCCACAACTTCTATCGAAGGTCAAAGATTAGATCAAACCGTACGTCAATATCTCGATACGAGCACACCAAGATTGATGATGCTCTTGGAGCCAATCAAGATCGTCTTGGAAAATGTCGAGGACGACTTTTTCCTCGAATTGGAAAGACCTTTGCATCCTAAAGTGCCTTCTATGGGCAAAGCCAAAGTACCTTTCACCAAAGAAGTCTTTATCGATGCTTCTGATTTCCGTACGGAAGATTCTGCGGATTATTTCCGTTTAGCACCCGGAAAGACGGTCGGTTTGCTTAATGCACCCTTCCCTATCACATGTACCTCTTTCGTCAAATCTGCAGACGGAAAGGGAATCGATCATATCGTTTGCAGATATGAAGATCCATCAAAGAATGGTGATGCAAGCAAGAAGGCAAAGACATACATCCAATGGGTCGCCAAACATGCACCATCAAATTCACCTGTCATGATTGATGAAGTACGTCTGTTCCGACCTCTGTTCACAAGCTCAAATCCTGCTGCTGAGACAAATTATCTCGATCACATTGACCGTGATAGTTTGGATCGCACAAAGGGTGCAATGATCGAAGTCAGCTTCTGGAATGTGGCTCAAAAAGCTTTGGCTGATGCAAAAGCTGAAGCTGAGAAACGAACTGAAGAAGCAAAGACTGCAATCAAAGCAGCCGCAAGTGATGTCCCTGCATCCAAAGAGGCAGGTGACGCACACGCTGGTGATAGTGAAGGTGCACCCGATCGATCTTCTAAACAATTGTATGGCAATGAAGTGGTACGCTTCCAAGCTATGCGTATTGCTTACTTCTGCCTCGATAATCGCGATGCAGATCTAGAGGGCAAACGTGTCATCCTGAATCGTATTGTATCGTTAAAGGAAGATGCCGGCAAGAATTAGTATGACTCTCTCTCTTTCCCTCTACTTCATCGCTCTGGCACTGTATTTATGCACATCATAACGTCACTTTAACAATACCATCAGTTTGCACTCCTTACCCATTCGCCTGATCACACTGAACACTCAGACTTTTGTATTTTAACCAGATAAACTCATGAATTTTGAGGATATAGACCTAGCCGTTGTGCGGCGCAAAGTACAACGGACTGGGGCCAGTTTGAGCTTTTTTGAACGTCTCCTTGACGCTGGAATGAAGATCTTGAGGATCTATTCTCATTCTTCCCAATCAATGAAAAGCGATCAATATGCATATGAGTACAAAGTGTGTGTGTGTCGTTCGTAATGCGCCGATGATGGAAGAAATGATTGAATCTGTGTGTATGTGTGAAGTTTTATGCTGAAAGATTTTGAAGTGACAAAAGTTTGGTGTTCCGGTCGGATCGACATTGTCAACATTTAGAATCGGAGAGCAGTGAAGAACCAGCGGTTCTTTCCGCTTGCGTAACGTTCTTCGAACAATTTCTTAATTGTCTTCTTGGCATCTTCACGTTGGCTGGAAGATTCTTTGAATGTATCATGTTTGATAACACCCTTCAATTGTTCCAATTCCAAAGTGTAACGGGTTGGCATAACGTGATTGTAGTTGACGACCTTGATGAATGGCTTAACTTTGCTACGCTTTGCCAATTTCTTTGCACCCATTGATTTGGTGACCTTTAATGGGTAACGTTCAACACCGGCAACCAACAAATGAGGGAAAGCACGTTCGCGGTTTCCGTCATCGTATTGTTGGATAACGACGACCTTCTTTCCTGCTTGTCTTCCTTGGAGCAGGACACCAACTTTGCCGGGCTTGTAAATTTTGGTCATTGTCGATGATGATCTATTGTTGTGGAAAGATGGAAGTTGTCACAAGGAGTGAATTGGATTTTGTCACAAGCGGTAAAACTGCAAAGTCAAGGCTAAAGGCAGAACAAGAATAAGAAGTTCATGCATCCGTTGCCGCACACGCTCTCTCATTCGAACGCAGGCTCCAGTCTAGGCAGTGCTGCGTATGAATTAGTAGCATTTCTACACGCTTGGCTTAATTGTTACTATATTGAATAGAAACGCGCGTCGGCCGAACCGCAGTGTAATCAGAAAATAATAGAAAGCGTCAAAGTTCAATACAATCCATTCATCCAAACTTTCCGTTGAAAGCGCCGTGTGTCGCGACTGGCTTGCACGTGACGCCATTGCTCATGGCCACCTTAACTGCTCTCTACCATGATCAAGGACATCTTTACAAAATCACGTATATCGATAATATTGATGATGAAAGGATAATACAAAATGCAAATTGGTACATAATTCTGTGAGATTCGTAGGTCAAAAGACCTTTTGTCTTTATTGCGACAAATATGAGAAGCGGGAGGTTGGCTGAGTATAAAGTGGTATCAAAATAAGTTGCATAAATAGAAGAATAAAATGTATTCGGAGGTAAGAGGATATCGAACATCAAGCTCGACATACGGGTGAGTATACTTCTTGCAAAGCGCACATTCTCTCATTGACCTTCATCCATCTCCATATCATCAAAATCATGGGATGCTTGACGAAGAGGAGATGCACGAACGGGTATGTGGATAGAATGGGGATGAACATTGTCACCTCCACTGCCGTCCATATGATCGACATTGATGATAGGCACCATAAGATTTGAAGGATACGATTCTGGTTGCGAGACAAGGTCTTGAATCGGAGTAGAGTTCATGGTCATACGCGCTTCCGGATTTGGTTCAGCTTCCAAGATGGAGAGTAGGAAATCGAGATTCTCATATATAAGAGCACCACGAATATTGAGGACCTTGTCTTCATCATCCACTCCTTCTAATCCGAGGGCTGAGCGACCTGATGAAGTTCTTTCCATCTCAACGGCAGAATGGACGGATGTATTGCCTGTATTGTTTGTGGACGTGAATGGCCTGGGTGTACGTGGTTCGAACATATCTTCTTCGATGTTCATCTCGGTATCGGCTTGCAGATAACCTTCGTCCTCAGAAGCCAAAGCAGATTTGCCGTGGAATATCTTGTTACCACTTAACGATTGACTGCTTTCGCCACTTGGAAGATCAAATACGGGCAATTGATCCAGTTCAGACATTTCCACACCCAAAGAACATCTTCTTCCGACAGCTTGCAAAACGGGATGTTGTCGTAATTCGTTCAAATTTGGACGTGCTTCAGGATTTGATCGTAAAAGGCTTTTGATCACATTCACGAGAGAAATGCTAAATGCGCTCAAATCAACATCACTGAAATCGTCATTGCGAATCTTGTGCCATGGCTCTCCATTATCAGGCAAGATTACATCGCCTGCTGCTTCCAACATGACCAGACCTAGACTGAAAACATCTGCTGGCTTTCCGAATCCGCCACGAAGAATCTCAGGTGCGATGTATTCACGATCGCCTTCACGTTCTAGACTTTTCGGGGTATGGTTCAGCAGACTGGATGTCATCGCATCGGCATTCTTGAAGTCATCGTCTCCCATATTGGCTCCTTCCAAGATCGTCTTGGTATCAACCCGAGGCCATCTTGTTGCCAAGCCAAAGTCACCGATCTTCAACGTGGCAATCTCTGTGATGAAGATGTTTGCAGGTTTCAAGTCGAGATGTAATACTTGCATATCATGGATGAATCCTAATCCTTCACTTAGCTCCCGCAAAACTTTCCACAATCTAGCTTCATCCATCGATCCGCCCATGTTGGAAAAGTGTTGAAGGAAACTTGAGAAATCCACACAAGGGCATAATTCCGTTTGGATGTACAAATGACCGGCTTCTTCCCATGCATCAAAAAAGGCAACGATGTTCAAATGACCGCCATCTTTGCCGAGGTATCGCAAAATGTCCACTTCTTCCAACTTCCGTAAACGATCTCTAGGTCCAGTGTAAGGCTTCTTTGCTCTCTTTACAGCATAGAGCACACCATCTTGTTTATCCTCCACCTTGTCTACTTGACTAAATTCACCTTGACCAAGGGTACCCTGAACGGTGAAACGAGAAGTGAAATGAGAAGGACGATTACGAGAAGCTGTTAATCCAAGTCTGCGAACAGGAGCACCTTTTTGGATCATCTTTGGCGGAACACTTCCACTCTTGTGCCAACTTTCCCTTCTTGCTTCATTAGCACGACGACGATGAGATGGCGAAGGCGTAGAAACAAGTTGTGCTGCTTCGTACCACTTAATCGTTGCCGAATTGCGCGTTGGTGTTGCTGGCGTGACATCATAGATTGTTGGCTGAACGGTCAAAGAAGCAGACTGCTCGGAAGTAGGTCCAAATGAACTCTTTCTCTGTAATCCGATCGGTGGTCTGCTCAACGAAAGCGGTCTTGTCATCACTTTTGCACGTAAAGATTCTTCATTTGCACGCGATTGATTTGGCAAAGATTGTCGCATCAATACTTTTCGAACGTCAATGTCGCCATCAGGAGAAAGAGAAGATGGTGTGGCATCATTTGAGCTGTTCTGCTCCCGATCATGACCAAGCATCTTCTTTGATGGATCCCGGGTAACAGCTTCTAACATGGACATTGGCGAACCAGTGCTAGCATGCGAAACAGAGTTCAAGCCTAAAGTTGGACTTTCACAATCTTGCTTCAAGAGAGGCGAATCCCCTCCATACGTACTACCACCGCTGCTCGAATCGTTACCGTCATTGCTTGATGGCGAAAGTGTCATACCCAAGCGAGATCGATGATTATTTGCCTTGTGAGCTGACGTGCCTAATGTTTGACCTAATCCTCCAAATGCACCCATTGGTCGTTTCATCGGGGTATCTGGCATTACCGATGTTGCTGAAGAAGCAGATGCGGCTGCTTTGTGTGCATTGGCAGCTGCAACTACATCACGAAGTCCCAAAGAGGCGGCCATACTTCCAGATGATTGATAAGCTGAAGGCACACCTGAGCCAACGTTGTAGTTCAATTTGGCCGGTAGAGGTGGCAGTGTTTCACCTGTCAAAGGATCCAAATTGGCCAAACTTGGTCTTGTCCGCTTTGATGCCAATCCGGTCGACATGAATGCAGTTTGCAAAGGAACAACATTCTTGTAGTTCTGTGGAGTCAAATATGGCGCAGTGGTACCCTCAACAGCAAGTGAAGAAGATGATAAGGAAGATCTTTTGTGAGAGTTACGATTCTCGCGTACAGGGCTCGTCAATCCTTCCGGTACACTTGCAGCTGTTCTGAATGACCTATGCACATCCGGCGTACTCTCTGTTGATGATGGAGCATCGCTGAAATGAGCTTCGTTTGCCAAAGAAGATCGAACACGAGCACTGCTGAAAGAGAGGTTACCGACATCATTGCTTGTACTGGTATCCGAGGCAGACCTTCGAGCAGCTGCTTGTTTAGAAGGCGAAGGTTGCATAGCATCCTCCCTCAAATGACTACCGGCAAAGTGCTTAGCCGCCATACGTTTCTCCGATCCTAATCCAGGTGCCGGACTTTGCATTGCAACACCGCTATCGTCAAATGCGAATCTACTTGGAGAATCTATACTATGTTCTGGATCACTACTCAGTCGAGCTAGACCGTTCAATGACGTTCGTCGTCCGGCCATAATTGAAGCAGCACTTGGAGTACCTACTTTCTTGTTACCAAGAACCATATTTGCAGACGACATTGCCTCTCTCCAAGGGCTTAAGGAACCAATAGATCGTCGCTTAGCATCTTTGCTAGTCTTGATTACATCTTCGGAAGAATCAAATGCATCGCCCCGATTGATGGAAGAAGAGCTTGCCGAGCCAAACAATGTACCTTCCTCCGATCCAGGTGGAGCCGCGATTGGTGAAGCAGTAGAGAAATTCCTACCTCGCAAAGATGATGAGGATGATCCTTGAACGCGTGCACGACGTTTGCTGGGTGTCTTGTACGGTGAAACATTACCTGGCGAACGAGTTTGATTGACTTCAAACTTCGAAGAAGCAGACGTAGCGACCGAGGAAGCGATTGAATGTGTGGAACCCGATTCACGTATGGAAGATGTAGTCGCTGAACGTGCCATACTCTCGCCTCCGGTCATATCGTTCATCAAGCCCATCGGATGTGTTTGTCCTCTAGTATGCGTAGCAGAAATGCTACGAATACCACTCATCCTTCTGCAGGAGAAGCTAACGCCTGGACGTAAAGTGTTCATTTCCTCATCAGATTCTGCGCCCGAATCACATTCGTCCGATGCATCTCCATCATTTGCCATCAGACTCCAATCCACAGCAGGAGAAGGGGACGGAGGCGAAGAACTTCCAAGATGCTGTGTTTGCATGGTATGCAAATCTATCCCTTTCGCTGTATTGGACTGCTTACTCGGTGTTGTTGCAATTCTACGTCGGCGAGGCTGGAAAGTGGCGTCAATAGAAGATCCATCTGATGTTTTTGATCTTTGATGTCGTGATTGTTCTGGGCTTCCTTGAGATGGGAATTGCTGGACCCTGTAATCTTGTTGTGCGGATGCAATAGGCATCGCTATGCTTTCTTGTGCCTGTTCCTGCTCATCGGCGTCTGTTGAATACAGATGTTTGTGTAATGCCACAGTTCTGCGGAGGTTGCTCTTATTCGAAGGTTGGATGGGAGTACGTGAGCTTGATGCTGAGCCTGATCCTTCACTTTCACCATTCATCACAACATCACGTTGTGCTTCTTCGATTTGTTGTCTGATCTTGGCTGGTGCATTGCTCGGTATACAAAGACTTGAGCCGTTCAAAGGTGACAATGGACCAAAAGCTTTTGACCTTGGAAGTAAGTTGGGATAATGATGATGTTTCTTAGATGTCTCTGTTAGTGGAAATTCGATCGGAATAGCCGGATGAGCAAAAGGTGATTCGTTGACGTGTTTTGCACTTGGCAATCGTGCCGGAGGTGTCATGCTCATCTTTGTTTCGAATGATCTTTCGAACCCTAGCCCAATCGTGGATGCCATCCTTCTTGCAGTCTTTCCACGCCTTCTAGGTGAAGGTATGGATGGATCCTCCATGTGTAGAGCTGCTTGATGAAATGCCGCCATCTTTGCCTTGAGAGTAGTTTCTCTCTCTATGTGTTGCCCTGCTAATTAGAGAGTGGCAAAAGAATGGCTGAGCCAGCAGCAAAGTCGAGAATGTTGTCGATAAGATGGTGATGGCAATGTGTGTAAGATGGATGAATAGAATGTGAATGAAAGCCAATCTGTAACACTCGAGTGCTCTAGCCCCCCTCTCTCTTATTTTTCTCTCTTTAAGCGGTGGAGGAAAAATGAAAAAAGCGTGTAGAGAGCGTGTTGCTTTTTTTTCTTGACGCGAAATCGGGGTACAAGCCGAGAGGAGAGAAAAGCGCGCGTTTTGGGGGGGGTGTTGACTTGAGCAACTTTACCCTGTTCAACGTTTTGTTGTTGTTATGATCTGTATGAGAATGAGGAGGAGGAGAATGATAATGATAGCAATTATCGTTAGTGACTTTTGTCAAATCTTTATCGATGAGGTAAGGATCGCTGACACCAAAAGTTGAAACCCAAATAAACAACAGTATGCATATCTTTAATGTTTGATAGTATTGGCATGCAGGGGAAAGTCCTCCCAATTTTCAAGGAAACAATGAAGCCCAAAAGACAAAACTTACCAAAACGATTCGGCCTTGAGTATGTGTGTGTGTGCTTAGAGTGATTTCCGTTGATCTGGAGTAGGGAATATAATCTTTGAGTAGCGTATGAATAAGGATGCAGTCATTCAGTCCATTTGCGAACGGGGAATGGCATGTATGTAAGAAGAAGAGAGTTGTAAAAAGGATGCACTTTTACAGTCAACTCAATTTCCCGGGTCCTTAGCTTGTCCTTAAAGCATAAGGATGTATGTGTGCCCTCCTTGTGTGTGTGTGTGTGTGTGTTGTTGTTGTGTTGCAGAAATAGAAGCACAGAAAACTACTCATACATAAATCACTCTCCGCCCCTGCGTAAATGCGCATACATGCAACAGACACTAAATGCGTTCGCGTGGCGCGTCTTTTGGTGTTGTTGTTTGCAAGTGTTGGAGTTGAGCCAAATCATACTGCTGTTCTGCTTTCATTCCTTATGATTTCATTCATGTTTGTGTGCTTACCTCTTGATCCACTCATTCATACAAAAATGCATATTGAATAAGGTTCAATCTAGGTAGTGCATCGAAACATACATACAATCATTTACACTAATTCTCCCCCTCGAAAAAGAAGCATTCATTGTACTTTAAGCACACAGAAGGTTGAACTGGAAAGAAGCGCGTCGCGTCGTGATCCTATCACGTGGATTTACCTGCATCTGGGAAAGACAAGGAGTTCCTTTAGTGTTAGGTTGATGGCCTCCTCACTCACTCACTTCCGCTGCAGGGTTGAACGGGAGCACTCTATTGCAATGTTCACTACATAAGCTTCCTTTTGGTTTTGTTGACCAGATTTGGAAATTAAGCAAGAGAGATAAAAATGATACAAGTCTTTAAAATCTGTGAGTTAAGTTTTAATCTTTTTGTCAGAAGGCTAAAAGAGAAAGGAGATGGTAAACATTTCAGTTCCAACAACATGCAGGGTCCATAGAATATAACTCACCTCATTCGAAGATGCTGGAACTGCAGCACCGAACCTTTCAGCACGTTTACGTTTCTTCTCTTCTTCAACCGGATCCAAAGCAACAACTGGTGGTGCAGCAACAGATTTCTGCATAATCGTCGGGAAGATGTAATTAGCCGATGATCAACAACCTCAACGATCTTCCTAGAATACTCACCTTTTCAGCATTCTTGGCTGGCTTTCCAGAAGCTTGACCATTACCGTTCTTTTCTGCTTTGGCTTCTTTTCTGTTCTTCTTTCCACCTTTTAGTTCTCCATCTAAAGCATCTATCGAAACAACAGATTCTTCCTGTAATCCAAACTTTTGAATTCTTTGAATCTTAGCATCAACTTCATCAGTCGGCATTCCAAATTTGATAGCTCTTGCTTTCCTCTTTTCTAGTTCTGCAATCACTTCTGCTTTTTGTGTTTCTGCATCTTTTTCCGGAACAGGTGCAGGTGCACTTTCAGTCGTTGTAGTTGGTGCTGGTGCGGCTGCTGGTGTTGGTTTGGCTGATGGAACTGTGGCTGCTGGTGCTGTTGAAAGTGATTGTGGTGCCTCTGCTGTTTCTCTGTGTGGATGAAATAAGAGATGAGCATCACTAATCTCACATACTTCTGTCCATTGCACTCACCCTAATAGATCCTCTTCATCTGCTGCTCCAGCTCCTCCTCCGTTCAAAGATGCAGTTGCAGAGGGGTTCTCCAATAACCTCTTAATCAATTCTGCCTTTGTTCCTGATTGTGGTAAAGCTGCATCTCCTAATAGCTTTTTCAAGTCTACCACTTTTAGTGCTTGCAATTGTGCTTCCATCTTGATAAAGAGAGTGTTGGGATGATGATGATGATGTATGATTGAAACGCGTGCGAATAATTAAAGCGCGTAATGCAGCAGAAGAAGGCAGACTAAAAAAAAGATACTTCTCCGCAAGCACGGACCTTTTTCTGTTTAACAACTTTAGATCCTTCCTCTCTACCATCACGAGTTCAAATGCTGGCATGAATGTCGAACGTGAAGCAAGATGATTCGATATCGTTCCAAAAGCGAGTTGATAGCTATGAACCGATAGCATCGGCCAACAGGCTCAACATCGCAATGGTGTCTGACTTTTTCTATCCAAACGTAGGCGGAGTGGAAGGACACATTTATGCATTAAGTCAACATCTAATGAAAAGAGGTCATAAAGTGATCGTGATCACGCATGCATACCAACCTGATCGTTCAAACGTTCGTCATCTTTCTTCAGGTTTAAAGGTTTATCATGTCCCCTATCGTGTGATCGCACGTCAAGATACATTACCAAACTTTTTCGCCTTTTTTCCTATCCTACGTTCGATTCTCATTCGTGAAAATATTCAAATCATTCATGCTCATCAAGCGCTAAGTTCGATGGGATTGGAAGCGCTCTTACATGGACGTACGATGGGTTTGCGAACGGTTTTTACCGATCATAGTCTTTTTGGATTTGCGGATACGGCTTCCATCTTGACAAACAAATTATTGCACTTTTTCTTGTCGGATATCGACCATGTGATTTGCGTAAGTCATACAGCAAAAGAGAACACAGTCTTAAGGGCCAACATCAAAGACCCGTCAAAGGTCTTTGTCATCCCGAACGCCATCGTGTCTGAACAATTTACACCAAGGACAGAAATTGTTGAGAAAGCAAAAGACAAGATCACGATAGTGCTTTTGAGTCGACTCATGTATCGGAAAGGGATAGATCTGTTGGTAGGAGCCATACCCAGACTATGCGAACAACATCCAGAGATATCATTTATCATTGGCGGTGACGGTCCAAAGAGGATAGAGCTAGAGCAGGTTCGTGAACAATATGCATTGTATGATCGAGTAGAACTTTGCGGAGCGATTCGTCAAGGAAACGTTCGAGATCATTTGATTAAAGGTGATATCTTTCTAAATACTTCTTTAACGGAAGCTTTTGGAACGGGAATCATTGAAGCTGCAAGTTGTGGCTTATTTGTCGTTTCAACTCGTGTTGGTGGGATACCCGAAGTTTTACCGCCGCATATGATTCGATTGGCCAAACCTGAAGAGGATGACATCGTTGATGTTGTTCATGATGCTATCGAGTACGTCAAAACAGGTAGGCATGATCCGCAAATGCATCATGAAACCGTACAAAAGATGTACTCTTGGTCAGATGTGGCTGAACGAGTAGAAAAAGTTTATTCATCAGCACAAAAACAAGAGATACCTTCATTCATTGAACGGCTAATGCTCTATCGTACCGTTGGTCCGATCGCAGGCATCATCTTTTGCATCATCGCCACTGTTGACGTTCTCTTTCATTCGCTTCTCAATATTCTCGTCCCGGTTGAAACGATCGATATCATACCCAATGCAACAGTCTAATTTCCCTTTCATTTCTTCAACATTGTACAATGAAACACACGTCCGTCATCATCCATGTACTTCCATCCTTCAAATACTTAATCGTTAGGCAGTCAAGAACACTGTTCAAGTAGGGCCTTTCGCCCATTAGCGATGTGGTTTTTTTCTGCTCAAAAATCAGGGTATATAAGCCCCAATTTTTTTTTTTTTTGAATTTTTCCTTCCTCCCTACCAACACATTTCATCTTTTCTATCATCACTTCCAATAATCCTTTCGTCATCTTCTGACTTTTCTTACACCATTTTCTCATTCCACATACGTTAATCTTTTTCTGACATGCCTCCCAAACGTAAGGCAAGCCAATCAACTCAAAACATTCCAAGAAAGAATGCACGTCGCTCATACCCTCATCGACAAAAAACTCTCACTCTACGTCAAGCAGGTACTTCAAGCTCGGAGCCTATTAACCTTCGTGTTAAAGGTGGTATCATAAAAAAAAATCAAATATATCTAAAGAGAATATACCAGAGGATTTAGCTATTTTCCCTATCGAGTTTTCCAGCGATAAAGATAAGAAAGCCGAGTCTAGTAGACAGGGAGGTCTAAGTATTATTCAAAAGAAAGCTGCTACCAACGATGGCGATAGTTCAGTAGAGCAAACCGATACTGGTGATCACGACGATTTAAGCATTACTGAAAAGAAAGCTGATACCAACGATAGCGACAGTTCAGTGGAGCAAACCGATACTGGCGATCACGACGATTCAAGCATTGCTGAAAAGAAAGCTGATACCAACGATGGCGACAATTCAGTGGAGCAACCCGAAGCTGGTAATCATAGAGATGCAAGTATTGTTGAAAAAAAATGGCTGGTACCAACGATGGTGACAATTCAGTGGAGCAATCCAAAGCTGGTGAACAGGGAGATTCAAGTACCGTAGAAAGATATGCTGGTACCAGCGATGGTGACGATTCAATGGAGCAACTCGAAGCTGGTGAGCAGGGAGAATTGCATGATACAATCAAGATAATCTGAACAAATTTCTAAAAACCCAAATTGTTCGTGGATGTCTATATAAAATCCATAAAGGTAATCTAAATTTACAGCGTGTGCATTGAATGGGTTTTATTTCATCATATTTTCTCGACAATTCTACTTTCAACTTCTCTTCTTCCTCTCTAGTACGGCGTTGGTGCTGGAGAATGCGTCGGATGATAGTATTGCTGCGGTTGATTTGGCGGTGTGAAATGTTGTGAAGGTGCAGATGATAAACCATGTGGCTGACCTTGCTGTTGTGCACCAATGTCCGGATGCATGCCCGGATTTTGATAACCATATTGACCCATCTGCTGTGGTTGTGGTTGAGGAGGATGTGCATAATGATTCACAGGACTGTGACCAGCATACTCCGAAGGCTTTGTACCTGGTGGAGGTGGTGGATAATGAGCCATATGTGTGCTCGACATTGATGGTACCATCCCACCCGCCTGTGGTGCATAACCCTGTTGAGGTGCATAGCCATTATAGTGTACCTCTTGAAGCGGTTGTTGAGGAGGATAGCTCACTTGACCGCTATATGCTTGCGGGTGAACTTGCTGTTGTTGGGGAGGCACACCATTTTGAGGAGATGGATTTGAGTGTGATTGACCAGGCATTTGAGTATATTGCTGTTGAGGTGGTTGTTGATAATTTGGACTAGTTTGTGCAGGTGGAGCGCCATAGTATGCACCTCCAGGTAATCCTTGTCCAGCTTGAGCATAAGGAGCGGGAGATGGCGTACTAATTCCCGGACCAGGTGTTGGCGTTGTGGATGGCAAAGGTCTGCCAGAAGGTTTTGGAGGTGAAGTTGAGCTACTTGCATTTGGCATCACTTGCGGTTGACCAATGTACGAAGCAGGTGCTGGAGGATACTGGACATTGTTGCTTTGATAAGGTAGAGGAGATGGAGCACGACCCTCATTCAGATTTTGTTGAGTCGACTGACCTGTTGGAATAGTGGGCAAGGCATGATATCCACCAGGCGTATGCGTTCGTGGAAGTGGCGGTTGAGGAGCCTGCTGAGCGCCAGGAATACCTGGTGAAGAAGGTCTGAAAGACATACTTTGTGAAGGCACCAGATGCGAAGCTGACTGTTGCTGATGGACAGGCGTAGAGTTGTAAGCTGCCGTAGGGGGTGCAGGATACGGCGAAGAAGTGGCATAAATCGCACTTGAAGGCGGTGCAGGAGAAGTGGGTGGTTGGTAAGGTTGTTGATACACTTCTTGTTGTGGTTGAGGTGGTGGTGCACCGTATGCGTAGTGCTGGCTGCCAGCTTGTCCAGGCATAGTAGGAGGTGCTTGAGTCAACACTTGACGGCCAAATTGATCGATGCTCAGACTTGGTGGTATGCCTGTAGGTGAGGTGACGATTGACTGACCATAACTCGCACTTTGAGGATGATAAGGAGGATATTGTGTCAAGTTTTGACTTGAAGCAGCTGTAGGAATCATTCCCGGTTGCTGTTGAATTTGCTCTGCTGTGCTTGGACCTTGTGGGATGTGACCCATGGATATAGACGACATCGATCCTACAAGCTCATCCATTCCACCTCCTACCTCACTCACACTTCCGCCGCCATGCCCTGGTCGAATAGTGGAAACAGAAGTCGAATGCGGCAATTGACTGTACGTACTACTGCCAGACATTTGTTGACTTTGTCTTCGTAAATTCTCCTGCATACGTTGGGCGACGATGGTTGAAGGAGCTGCGTCAGGTAATCTGTGCCCGTAAAATTGTGCACTAGGCGATGGTGTAATCGTTGCAGCACTGTCTGACCTTTGATGACCATCTTGAAAGCTCGAAGGAGTTGACGAAGGTGCTGGACTTCTCTCACGTTGGATATGAGGAGGAGCATAAGGAGGCGTATACGAATCAATCTGTGCTAAAGAAGCACTGGGCCGCAATGCTGATGGCACACTTTCTGATCCTGCTATACTTCCAAATTGTGCATGAGAGTGAGAGGAAGTCATTCCCGAAGTATTCTGACCACGCCTGGACTGTTGAGCTGGCATTGCCGATAATTGCGATGAGCTTGCACTACCCGCACCACGCATGAACCCGGACGGAATAGGAGCATGACCTGAACTTTGCTTTTCCGGTGGCCGAGGTGCAAATTCGGATTCATCAAAGTCTTCCGAGAATGTTCCTGCACCTCCATATGTTGTATTTGCTCCAACGTAAGGTTTGGGAGTCTTTTTTGGTTTCGGAGGTGCGGCAGAAGAATAGAAAGTGAGTTCCAAGTATACTTCTCCAGCATAACGATCTTTAGCTTTGATCGTGACCCATTCATCAAATTCACCACTTCGCAATGTATCCGTCAAATCCACAAAACCTTCTCCGATGAATTCGGGCTCTTTGTTATCGTCTGCATAACACGATACCCGTAAGGTTTTACCACTCTTGTCCTTCTTCCTTCCTGCAGACGATAATGTCGATGCTTGTGAGATTGATCCATTTTCATCTGCGCTCTTTTTGCGTAATTGATCTTCCATATCCTCAAAGATTTCGAAATGCAATTGTTCATCCCATGTTGGATGTTGTCCTCCTCTTTTGTCTGGCTTTGTCTTTTGTTGTTCTGTGCCCATTTGAAGAACGCAATATGGATCCTGTTTTCCGATGGAGCGTTTGTTTGGCAAGTTCTTCGCTTTTAGAACAACGCATACCAGCGTACCACGATGATTAGGTTCCTTCTTTGTACTCATCTTGGCAGCATATATCGCAGGAGTGCGAATGAAGTGAGCCTTTAATGTTGCTTTGGTGGTGGTGAATCGTTCACCCCTCTATGATTCTTGCACTTCTGTTCTGTTTGCTGTTGTTGTATATCACAAATTTATTTACAAGGTGATGTGATGGTTGACAAACACACTTGAGCGAGCATTCCAAATGAGTGTGCATGATGTTGTTCGCAAGTCAGGCAGACAGGCAGTCTTTTTGCCGAAACGTGTTGAGTTTTTGACCGTGCTCAGATAAACACTTTTTTTGCATTCAGTCGAGCTGCTGCTTGTTGTTGATGTTATGTTATTTACGCGTCGGAGTACATGGGTAAAGCTGTGTACGCTTGCTTAATTTAGCTCCTAAAAGAAAGTTGGCTGCTTAAATTGTTGCTTAAATTGTTAAGACTTAAAAAAAGAAGAAACAAAGCTCCACTTCCAAGTAAACTTTCTTTCTCTTCTACAATTGGCAAAGTGAAGGTGATGGCAAAGAAGAACCTAAAAAATGCACTTCGAGCTCATGAAGCAAAAAAGACCCAAGCTTTGAAAGAGGAAAAGGTCAAAGAAGCAGCACAACGAAAGGCAGCGAGTATAAAGAATGCAGCAGGTACCAACAAGAAAAGGAAGAAGGATGTCGGACCAAATGATCAGGAGGAAAAGGAGATTAAGAGAAGCGTGGAAGACACGGCTTCGGACAAGAATAAAGGACCGCGAGTAAAGATGTTTCAAGCAGATGAAACGATCTTGTTGGTCGGAGAAGGAAACTTCTCGTTTACCAAATCGCTTCTTCAATCTCCGCATAATCATTCTCCTTCGCATATAGTCGCAACTGCCTTTGACAATGAACAGCAATGCTACCAAAAGTACCCAGATGCTGAGAAGAACGTCAAAGAGATTCGCTCGATTGCCGGACGGCAAGATATCGTGTTGTTCGGAGTAGATGCAGGGAACTTGTTAGCCCATAAAGGACTTCAAAAGGCCACAAAATCGATCAAATCAAACACTTTCCCTGCAAGCTGGAATAAGGTTGTGTTCAACTTTCCGCACATCGGTGCAGGACATAAAGATGAATCAAGAAATGTACTTGCAAATCAGCTTTTGTTGATCCGATTCTTGGTAAGTGCTGCACCACTGTTGAATTCAGGTCAGCCTCCTCTTTACGTTCAAAAACAACTCGGGAAGTCTCAACCACAAAAGAGAAAGCGTGTGGATGAAGAGCAAGACGATGATGAGATTGAAGGTGAATTTGAAGCAGATCATGATTACGAGAACGACTTCTCCGATACGAACGATGAAGAGGGTAGAGAACTACCTTTGAAGACATCAAGCGCAGTACAACCGACTATTGTTCGTCCATTGCCATATGCTGGCAGTATTCTGGTAACTCTACGAGATTGCAAACCATACACATTGTGGGATGTAGCCACATTAGCAAAAAGGGTTTCATCTGTTTGGCAAACGATTATGCAAAGCGCTCCTTCCCCTGGAAAGGGTATTCGAATGCCTTCCAAGGAGGATATAAATCTTATTTCAAAAATAATCGAATCAAGCAATTCGTATACATCGACTGCTAGGAAGAACAGTGACGGTAGAAAAGGGTATTTGATTTGGCAGAGTTTTGCATTTGATCCCAAGGACTGGCCTTGTTATGCACATAGAAGGACAATCGGATGGAAAGAAGGCGTGAGTAAAGCTGAAAACGAAGAAATTTTGAGAGGCAACCATGACGATGAACAACGTGCTCCTTGTCGTACATGGCAATTCGGTCTGGCTGGATGAGAATCTGTATCATTGTAATATAGTGTAATTCTATCGCATGTTTAATCGTATTTCCCATTGTTCCTGTATGTCGTTTAGTGAAACGTGAGATAAAGCCGTCGCCACGCCAGCTGACCACTTTCGCTTAAGGTGTACATCTCGAGTTGAAGACGATCCAAACAATTTGGTGAAAATAAATTTTTATAAGTTTAAGATATGGATGTCAAACGTACTTTCGATTTTGTATTGTTGTTTTGCTGACCTTAGATAGCTTTTAAGGATGCGGGTTCTTTGATTGTCGGCCATATTTCTGTGATTGAGGGGATTTTTACTGCACAAAAACAATAAGTTGAAATTGAAATCTCAAAATCTTAATAAATAATAAAATAATTCTCGTAATTTGATTTTATGTTTGTAAAGCATCCAGATGTTTTTTATACGTCTTTGGATATCCTCATGTACATCTAGGGTCTACTGGGATTTCTTGAAGTACTATTACCATTGATCTTACTTGTTATACCGCAAATTGTTGAGGAAAGATAAAATTGTTTATTATTAGCACTCGGAAATTAATTAGGAGACACGATGAAATAGCAAACTTGAAGCCTGCTTTAGTATCTTTGAAGAGAAAGAAAGCTCTATCTACTTCATTGCATTTATACGAGGGGCAAAATATTATATCAGATCGAAAGATTATAACGTCACGGGTCGATTGACAAAAAAATTAAGGACATATCCGAAGTTGATTGGAGATGAATTCGTTGTGGCCGTAAACGCGTGTTGGCAGGCTTGAAAAGGGAGAAAAATAGTCAAAAAATCTTTCCATCCCCGGGGTCGAACCGGGTCTTTTACCGTGTGAAGATAACGTGCTAACCGGTACACCAGACGGAACTGTAAAACCGCTGTGTCAAGATGAATAATTCAATTCAGGTGGGCGCAGAAAGCATATATGAATACTGTTGACAGATTTGAGAAATAAAGACTTTTTTTCGCTAGCCTTTGTTTCTATTCTAGCGTATCCTTGGTCGTTTCTGTTTTATACCATCCCAGTCGTGATTGATGCCAGCCACACAAATACTCAGACTCTCTTCAGCAGCTTCTTGATGGTTTACTGGATTAGATCCTTCATCGAGACACAATTCGTTACTCAGGTTATTGTTTGAGAAAGAGCCGAGTATGAACTGATCTTCACCCATGTTTGCGTTACGCTGCAAACCGCTTCCGTTGATCGGATGTTCAAACGCGTGAAGTGAAGTTTAAATTAACCGCTAAAGAGAAAAAGAAAAGGTGGGGAAAAAGAATTAAGCATTCATTCATTACCACCATCAAAGAATAGGATGTGTCAAATTGTAAGATGAAAACATGAGACAGACGGAAAAACAAAAGAAACCAAAAAGAGTTTACAGATATTTGGAGGGCTTCTTAAGCGAACAAGAAAGGGCAGAACACGAAGCAGAATCAGAAGCAGCTGAATTAGAATCACATCTACAAAGTGAACAAAGTGACGGAGGTCCTTCTCAAAAAGGAAAAAGGGTAAAAGTAGCAAAAGCTTGTCTGTTTTGCAAACGCAGTCATATGTCTTGCGAAGATCAAAGGCCATGCACCAGATGTATTGCAAGAGGGATCGGTGATCGATGTTGTGATACAGAAGCAGAAGCATCAGCCAATATCGCAAATCACACTAACGGAGAGAACGGGCCACATTCAAACCCTGTCTTTGGACTGACACCTGATCGAAATCAGTCGATTCAGCATCAGCATCCCAGCATACGAAGAGATAGCATGTTAAGCAACAATTTAACAAACCCTTCACCAGCCTCAATACGCGAAAACGATCTGCTAGGTACAGCAACTGCAGCAATGGAGGAGATTTCTCCTACTTTTGACGACATCATGTCATTCTTGGGTACTATGGATGCCGCCACGACAGCTTGGGGTCCTGTTCCAACGCAATTGCAGGGCAACACACCTTTGCAAGATTTGCATAATACTAATTGGACGCCAGTCGGTGTTGCATCATCATTCTCGCCTTCAACCGCAACGCAAGCTGGAATCAATAACAATACTATACGATCTCCGAACCAGCCTCTGGCAGTCACGCCAAGTCCGGCAACATCAACGAATAGACCGAAAGCTGTCTCCTCGATGGACATTGCTAAAACGCTTACGGAAAGAAGTAAGCCGTTTATATCCGGTCATACAGCTGAATACAATGCCGAAATTGCGAGATTCCAACATCCGAAGCCTTGGCAGAACGTTTTAGCCCCTGACTTTACAGCTTCAGGTAGCTTGGAAGAGAGTATTACGAGACCATATCAATATGCATACGGCTATACACGCATTGAAAGATGGATTCGATCGCCACTTTCGGGATGGAATGAAAGATCAGTGGAGACGGTGCAATCAGTGCTAGACCAGGTACGACCATTATTCAGAAATCGATGGGGACGTTTGACAGATTTGCAGCTTGTTCAACATGAGGAACGATATATGTCCATCGTTGATCATTATCGAAGGAACGTGTGCGAAGCAGTGCCTATGCCAATGGTAATCATTCGAAGGACATGTGAGATCGTATGTGCAAATCTAGCATTTGCAAAACTATGCGATACGGAAGTGGAAGCTTTTGACTCGGGTAGAATATGTCTTTATCAATTATTGGAAGAAGACTTTATGGTCAACCTTTTCGAAAGATATGCAGATGTGTTTATGCGTAAGGCTGAAACGCCCATAAGGCTGGAAGGCGAATTGAAATTTGCTTGTACATCTAAACGAGAAGCTGATGTGACTCCAAACGGAGACAGACAACCAATCACGACAAACAAGAACACAATCGTCACAGATGATCATAATGGAATCGCTTGGGATATTCGACATATCCGTGCTCGCGTTCATTTATCAATGGAACCTATCATGGATGAATATGATTTGCCTTTATGTATCGTTTGTACACTTATACCTCTGTCTTTGTCAAATAGGGATCCAGGAGTACCTTCTGGAAATGCTTAAATTGTATCATATCATGTATTACTCACCCTATCGTGCGAAATTGCATGTGTGTGCAGCGCCACCTTTATTTAAGCCCTGATCATACGCCAAGCGCTGAGCCCAAGGAGCAGTGCAGGCAAGACGCATACACCAATGGTCATGCATAAATTCAACAGCCGCGTATACACTCTCCATCCTTTCCACCATCATCTATCTCCACTTCATCACAATGGCAGATACAGTACCATCTGAACAGACGACCGTACCTGTGACCGAAAGTCAGCCATGGTCAAATGTCAAAGTGTTCAATCCACCCAGCGATGCGGGACCATCAAGATTACCGGCAAGCCAACCAGAAGATCCTAAACCTACGCCATCCGAACTAAAGCAAGCGTTTGCCAGTCATATCGAACAAAGGAACGGACCTGATGCTCCATTGATGACATCTGCGATGCGTGAAAGGGAAGCGATAAAAAATGGAACGCAAAAGAAAGAACGTGTTGAAACTCGAATTCGAATTAGGTTTTCTGATCGAACGATGTTAGAAGGAACATTTTCGAGTACGGATAAGATTACGGTTGTGTACAGATTCCTGAGAGAACATCTTGCTACGCAATATAAAGCAAAACCATTCACACTTTATCAAACACCACCTAAAAGAGATTTCCCCGAACAAACAAAAGATCCAAAAATGCAAGGGAAAACGTTGAAAGAGTTGGGTTTGGTTCCACAAGCTTCTCTCAATATTCGTTGGGAAGATGTTTCGATGAATTCAAACTCTTTCCCTGCTCCATTGGAACCTTCACTGAAAGGAAAAGCAGAGAATTTACCTGCTCCGAAATCATTTGAAGAATCAAGTGGTAGCAAATCAAGCGGAAAGTCAGACGGAGACAAGAAAATATTTCCAAAATGGCTCAAGGGACTTTCAAAGAAGTAAAGAAATTCAATCGAATTTTTCATATACCAGTATAGCAATAATGTACATAGAGGCATTTCCATCTCGTTAAATCATCAACAAAAGGCTATTAAGATTCGTTATAGGTCATTAGTGGCTGGGGGTATCTAGCGAACAATTCCATGTTCTCTGGTAAAGTTTACATGTCTTGAATGGTCATCTTCAAAACTTCTCCTTGCTTGCAAACTTTGTTCTGGTCTCATAAGATGATTTGGCGTTCCTGAAACAGATCGAACGGTGTTTGAAGCATATGCATTTCCACTAGGTGGAACTTGCATCGTCTGTCTTCTGTAATTTGGCGGAGGGTTTGCATTATATCCATTGTCTCTTCCTTGAGAAATCGCTTCAGGATGACGTGGAGGTGGCTGAGGAGGCAAAATACCGGCTTTTGTAGTTGCCATTGAAACACTTGCTCCGATTGTTGTGTCACTCGTACGATAATGACGTGCAGAGCAATTCCAACATCCGCAACTGCTAGCATGCGGTGGCTCATTGGACGTCGTAGGTCTACTGCGAGAAGTATTGGATGATTGATTGTTATAGTCCTGTCTTCCGAATTCATCTACGCTGCCTCCTGATCGGATTTGTGTAGGTGCAGAATCGTATCGAGCTCTTGATTTAGAGGAAGGTGCAGTTGCAGAATCGTAATGACCATAAGCTGATCCTCGCGGCGGGTTAGACGATGAAGCAGTAATAGTGCCGTTTCGAGTCGTATTGGATGAATAAGCATGTGCGATCTCTGGTATACGACGAGGAGAAGTAGGGGTAGGGATATTGTCCCTTCTTCGTGTATCCTGAGGTTGCATCTTATCTGCTTGATATAATGCTTTCATTCTTGCCACAAAGCTTCTCTCGCTATCCGTACTTAGTGAGCGTGTCACACTTGGTCCTTCAATTCTACTTCCTCCCACTGCGGGTGTATATCGATCAGGTTCATATCGCGAAGCCGGAATTTCTTCCTCCAAACGTATAGGACGAGAGGCAGAAGATGATGACTTGGGGACAGGCTCGCTATAACGAGGCCTTGCGTTCGCCCGACTCGATTCTGCCGCATCACGGTAATAATGATGTTGATCATATGGAGATTGACGAGTAGCTGTGGAGTATGAATCAGGTCGATCCATCATTCTCAATCGATTTTCCGCCTCTACCAAACGTCTTTCTAGTTCCATCTGTCTTTCACGATCTCTTTCTCGTTCCCATACACTTGAACGAGAGGAAGCCTGTTCTTCACGACGTTCGCTGGATTCTTTATTACCATCTGCATTCTTTTGAGTGGCAAAGCGGGTTCCTATTCCTGCCATTGTACTCTCATTCTTTTCACGATTTTGATCGGCATTAGTAGGTGATGTGACACGTTTGATGTATTCATTTTGTTCTTTCGCCAAATTGTTCTCCTCTTTTTCGTTTGTTCGCCATTCATTTCCTGCCTTATCATCCACGCCACGTACGATCACATCATCTGGCTTTTCATCAATAGGCGTCAATGGGCCAGCAGATTTTGAATCGGGAAGGAGAGCATTCGAATCCTCTGAAGTACCTTTACTGGTCGCAACAGTGCTAATACTAGCGCTCATATTGGAAGAAAGACTTGAAGGGACATCTGAAGATTCATTCGGAGAAGGAGGACAATTGGCTTCATTCTCATTGATCGAACCACTTTCTTCCTTTACGGTTTGCATGCGTGTAGGTGCTTCATCATCATCTTTCTTCTCTGGTTCTGCATCCCGAATAATTACAGTTCCTTCGGCCATAGATGATCCTTGCAAATGATGACTTTCGTATGTGTTTGAACGAACGGAGGACATCCTCTTGGCCTCGCTTGCTTTATTGTTGGATGCAGATTCTGCTACATTTGGCTCCGATGGCTTTTTTGACTTTTGTGCATCTACCAAATTTCCGTTACTGTCTAAACGAGGCAGATTGGCCATCGTGACTGTTGACTTGCCATCCTTCTCCTTTGCTTCAGAAGCGGCTTTTGTGGGAGATTCTTCCGTCATATTCGTTGGCGGTGTCCAGCCCAATTGTTGTAATTTAAGCATTGCATGTTCATCCTCGAGCTGTCTTAATCGGATCTGCTCTTGTCTTCGAATCTCTTCACGTATCTCTGCTTCTTTTATGGCAATCCTTTGTGCGATTCCTGAGCCATCATCACCCAGATCGATAGGTTGTGCTTTTGCGATAGCTTCATTGGTGGTGAAGTTGAGCCATTCGTTCAACTTTCCGATATGTTGACCGGATCTTCGTACAATTTCGCAAACTCCCTTGTATTCCGTATCTGCCAAACCACCCAAGGTAGCAGCAACCAATAAACTTGTTGAGAACGTCTTTGTTCCAACGCTTGAGCTATGAGAAGTTTTCAATTTTGCCATATCTGCTGTTAAGCTTTGCATGTTTGCAATGAATTTATCGTGTGATTCAATGGCTAATTTACCGCCCTTCTTTGCCGATTTATCGTATGAAGCTTGCGTTTTCTTAATCTTGCTATCCAACGATTCCAGCTGTTCGTCATGTGTACGTTCCTCTTTGGCAATTCGCTTGAAGTACTTTGCACATTGATCGTTCAAAGCATCATACTCTTTTTGTACAATCTTTGCTTGTTTAGAAGAAACTTCCATTCGTGCATCAAATAAATCCGAAGCGGCTTGAAGTGTTTGAGAAGGAACTTCTTCGATTGCTTTCACTTTTGCCATCTCATTCAGACCTTTTGATAATTTCTTTTCACATTTTGCCAATTTTGTACGTAGATCACGATATTCATCCAATGAGATCAAGATTCCCTCTAATGCCTTTACGCTCTTATGGAGATCATTTCGTTCGATCGCATGAGATTGCATGTTTGTTGCACTTGCATTGGAATCAGAAAGGATCGGAACTGTCCCCGGTTGTACAGTCGTCATCGTGCCAGTACTGAGTACTGTTTGACCGGTGTATTGAGGTGCGATATGTTGAACGGCTGCCATTGGACTTGCACCAACATAAGATGTTGAGCTTTGCAAAGGAGTGAATTGAAGATGTGTCGAACTAGAGTGTGAATTGATTGGTGATAAAGCCAAAGATGGAGGAAAGAGCTCGAAAGGGTTCACATTGTTCGTTGAGGGTGTGTGCGGGGATAATAAAGAAGGAGGCGTTTGAAGTGCTTGACTTGAGAATGAATGAGAGGCTCGAGAATAAAGCGGTGCACGTTGTGATGCAGCAGCAGTAGTTGATCCTGCCAATGAAGTTGTTTCTGATGGACTTGTAGGTCTCTTGCTTGTTGCAACAGTATTTGTTTCACTTGTTTGTGCGGGTGTATTGTTTGATGAATTTTGATTGCCAAAAAGTCTCTTCATTTTTGGTGATGATGATTGTCTCGCTTTGGGTATATTATTTGCTGATATAAATTCAGGATGAAAGATGAACTTCAAATGACCATCTATGCGATTGCATTAATGAGATGATGATGGTGATGATAGTGAAATGGTATGAGGATCTTTTCTTTCCCGATATGAAAGAGGTCCAAACTTTGTTGTTGATAGGTATCTGAATACACGGTGAATGAAAGGTAGAGAAAGCTGTAAAAGGAAAACAAACAGATAAGAAGATGTCAAGTCAGACCAGCTTTTTCCATCTGCATCACGGCATGGCCTACTTTTGTGTCCAATACATGCAAAAACACCATCTCTTTGTATTGTTTGCCATGATGGAAGTGCCCCTAAACCAACACATGCATGCATATATCAAAGCGTCGCGTTTACGCGTAAGAAAGGGCATTTCATCAGTGCTTTCTCTCTTTTTTTGTGGTGGAGATTGGGAAAAGGTTAATTTTTCGCGCTAAGGATTTCAATTCATTGCCCCTGAGTTGTGATGGATTTGTTTATTGCCGAGACCAATACGATATTATATAAAAGGCTTCGAATAGAGAGAATACTCAATGAATAGATAAATGAGAGAGTAACCCAGATGCCATTCACATAATATTGTTAGCTTCTATTTAGGTAAAAAGAACAGATTTTCATTTGATCTTCATCAGACTATCATATGCCTTTTACTAAGTTCCCCGCTTTTTACGAACGATATGAAAGTAGAATGAAAGATCGGTAATAAAAAGCCATGGCAGGAACATGAAATCGGGAGGCGGGATTATATAAAGTGCTTAAAAATGAACAACGCGTTTTGGAAAACCAGGCACGGGCCAAAATTAACAAAAGATATTCATTCCCTCGACACTTTCTTCCATCCCGAAGGCATTGATCATCAATCCCAAAATGCTCAATCTCGGTCAACCAAGAAGATCAGAGCCAATACCGGCTATCTGGAAAACAAAGTATGAATCATTCGAAGAAAAGAGAAGCAATGCATCTTCTTCATCTTTAGATTCAAACACTCCTTCCGCTTCTTTGGCTGATGTCATCAACGTTCGTGGAATCAAAATCGCAGGTTGGACGATCGAAACGCATAGAGGTTCAATCGCCGATAGTAAAACGATTGATGACCTCTCTGATTCTTGGGGTATTCCATTACCGGAAATGCCGTTTGATAAGAATAAATTGGTGATCAGATATGATGGCGAACAACAATCATGGCAATATTCATTTGATGGAATGAGTGCATTGCAAAGTGTTGAAGGAGTTAGTGAGTCCTCTGCCTTAAAAGGGCTGGAGCTCAATCAATCTGCATCACACCACAAAGGCACAACAAGATTCGGAGAAAAGCCAAAGAAGAAACGTGTTCAAGTCTCATATGCAAACGAATGGGGTAAAAAGAGAGATCAACAACAAAAAAGTCGTTCAGATTCAGATCATATACCTGGACCAGAATCTAGATCCAACTTCGGACCAGAAATTGCAATGGCAGCTGCAACGAATTCAATCGCAACAGCACGAGATTTTGATTGGACATACACCTCTACATGGCCAGGCAAAGAGGATGTTTCGAAAGAGAATGAACAAAGTCTTTTCGCTGCCGGTCAAGATCCAAATCGTGATCGAATCCCAATTGAACGTCTTGGTCCACCGCCAACGCCTGGTGCCAAAGCTGAGCCGATTTTATTCTTTGATGATCTGATCTTGTTTGAAGATGAACTTGGTGATAATGGAACGAGTCTTCTTAATGTCAAAATTCGTGTTATGCCTACTGGCTTATTGGTGTTGCAAAGATTCTTCTTACGGGTCGATAACGTCGTCTTTCGTGTATTTGATACACGAATGTATGTTGGCTTTTATGATGATCAAACAATCAATTCGCACACACCATCTTTACAACAAGGACAAAATATCTCTAGAGCTACTGAACAGCTCACAAACCTTTCACTCGACTCTCAATCACAATCAACGCCCGCTCTGGCCTCACCGTTCCGCGTGATTCGTGAATGCAGCGGATTAGAAGAACCTTACACTGCTATTCGATCAAGATTGCCGCCGTACAAGCCAAACGATTTATCGCCTTTGACAGATGTAGGATGGGTTGCACAACAATTGACAAAAATGGAAGAAGATCGACAAAGAAAGTTATTCACAGCACACCAATCACGAGCAGGAACCCATCCCGGTACTACCGTATCACTTGAACAATCGGATCCTACGCAACCTGCCGTCTTGCCAAGCGATACCGTACCGGGACAAGAATCTAATCGCATCTTGGGTGAAGTCGAAGATGACGCAGAAAATCGATGGGAAGGGCAGGGATATCGAGTAGATGTTGCACTGTTGTATTAAAATCTATCACGCAAACACAAACCCGGAATCACCATCATACAATTGTACATTAACAATATTCAATACAGTCTGGCCACTTTGGCAGCCGGTCCACTTCCATTTTGATGTTCAGGTTCAAGACCTGATTCGATGATTGTATCAACATCAACTCCGGTCAATTGACCGTATTCGTCCATAACACTTTCAAATGTTTCTTGTAATTTTGCAATACGTTCTTCATGTTCCATTTGTTGTAAAACGTCACGATTGAATGTAAAAACACGTGCTTTTACTTGTAATCGAAATTTGGTTATTTGTTCTTCATCTTGTTCGTCTAACATCATTAACATACACATTTCCACTAATCTGTCCCATTGTCTTTTGGCAATCTTGTGACGTAAACGTTCTGATTCAGACCACTTTTTATCAACTGGAGCACGCAAAGCACCGCCTTTGACATGCTCTTTTGCTCGTAACAAAAACCCATCTTCGGGTGAAAGAAGTCTCTTGAGATCGTTCGTATCGCGTAAGCGATCAAAAGCTTCTGATGGATCTTCAATCGTTAGCTCAACGATATCATCACGTTCTTTTGCCAATTTGACTACCTGACCATACAATTCCGAACCATGTCCTTGCACTTGAAAAGGCGGAAGGATGACAAATTGCGAAAGACGTAATCGATGCCAAGAAGGATAAAACCAAAAGTTATACAAGCTTGTATATCCGACAAAGTGATATTTAGACGTTGCAGGTGTAACTTCATACACAACCAAGAACTCCCAATTCTTTTCACCTTCATCGATATAACTTGCTCCTTCGATGAATAGCAACGTGAATAATTGCATCCGTCTGTGGTATTCGCGAAAGCCTGGCGTATTCCAATCGCAATGATACACTTCAAATGTACGTACTGATTGACCAGCAGCAGCGGCAGCACCTACACCTGCATTAGAGGATGATCGTCCAATAATCGTGCGATCCTGTGCTTTACCTTTACCCTTCCCGTTTGACGGCTTTGTCGTGCGTGTGTACGTGTGGATCTTCTGTCCGAGAGGCTTAAAAGCAGGTTTGGATGCAGACAATTGTTCCAATTCGCTCAAATTTTCACAAACATCCTCTTTCGGCAAGTATTCCATTAATGCAGCTTTTGGATCATCAACTTTTGCCGTCTTACTTTCCAACTTTGCATCATATTTGATCGTCAAAGCAGATAAGAGTGAATCACTCTTGAGTCCTAATTCAACTTGTAAGTTTGAATATCCATAGATTGTCTCTGCTTCTCCATAGATTGGATAAGTGAACGTTGGATGAAATGTTGCTTCATCGTAAAGATGTTCTGAATCTAACAATTTGATACGAAGTGCAGAATTTGAAGATGTTGCCCATTGTTCGGCCATCTTTGTCTATTACGATGCTTATGGTGTAGCAGGAAGAAGTGTATCGTGTTGTGTACAAAGTTAAAGTGTTGCTCTGTATGCTGCAAAGGCTTTTAATTCATTCACTACATTTCGCGCTCGCGTTCTCTTTACGCGTTCTTAAACAAACCGTTTCTTTCTCCTACTTAAGCTTGCGCCAATCATGCTAACACCAAAAGTGATACCAAGTGCTTCCTCATTGGCGAGAAGTTGATTAACGAAACGTGCTTATATACAAACATGCAAGTAGAATACAGTCTGATGCTAGGTGCTGAGGGGGAAACAATTAATCGAAAACGAAAATGAAAATAAAACTTATCGAGCCACTCCGTGAGCATGAATATTCTTCGAACTTCCACGTCTTTGTTGTGCGAACGGAACGGGTGCACTGTCTTGTACATCTTCTACTCTTGAGATCGTACGAGAATAATCCGTGGTAGGTGCAAATACACGATGTCCATGATCGGAATTGGAAAGGTAGGGCGTCTTGGCTGAATAGAATCGTTTGTGTTGTGGGGATTGTCTTGGGGAAGAAGTCGTGCCTTGACTGATTGAGCGGTGATGCATGGAAGAATTTGAGGTGACAGGTACCAGTTCGATGTCCGGACGCTGTGTTAGGTCAACATGTACCTGTTCTAAACCTTCTGCCTTGAATGCTTCATTGTTCAGATTGTACAGCAAAGAACCACTACTTTTTCGGCTCATATTACCTCCAAAATTTTCCACACTTTTGAATTTCTTGGGAGACATCTCCATTGATGACATCGAATCGTAGCGTCTTGATGAAACCAAATTTATACTGTCATCTCGCACGATATTGGGGATGGAAGGCATCGAAAGAAGCGGTCGGAAAGAGTTTGTCATGGGATCAGGACTGCCACAATTACCGAAACTGGATACCTGACCTCTTTCTGCATCTTTTGTGTATTGAGTACGTCTGACAGCTTCAGAAGTTTGGCGGAACAGCATGCCGGCCATCAATGGACCTATCAGCACAATGATGCCGCAAATCAATACTTGAAATGAGGTGTTGTTGTTGACCGTATAGTAGACGATCAAAAATGCAAATCTTGAAAACTCCAAAATGAGGAAATAAATAATACCTTGTCGCAGCAGTAATCCTTTCAAAGACTCTTCTTCCTCTTCTGTCTTCTCTTGTGACCTATTTGGCAATCGAGTTTCGCATATCTTGCTCACTTTGGTCAAAATGACTTCTCCCAAACTCAATAGCCCTCCTTCCAATAGTCGATGCGTTGTCAATAGAAGAACTAAAGTATCCAACAAAGTCATTATGACAAAGAAAACGATAAAAGCCGTAGCATGCGGCTCCGAATGTGTCGAGAATGTTTGATATGCACAAAAGTCGGAATATGGAATCTTGTAACCTCGTCCAAATTTGATCACGCTATATGAGCACAGGGCGACGTAGATCAGATACAAAGATCCCAAAGAGACGGTCAAGAGCATGTTCCATCCATACACAGCCAGAGTGCGTTGTACGAAGATCAAATCGACAAAGATGAATGGGATTACCCACATCACATTGACAGCAATTGCAAAGCGATCACAATCAGTGCCAGGCGCATTCATAAAGATCAAAGTGATCAAAAAGAACAAAAAAGAACCGTAACGACAAAGAAAGTATGCAAGTCGATTTAACGCTGAATGAGGTTCTTTCCAACCAATTCTTTTGATTAGCTTGTAGTCATACCCCAAATTGAACACCAATTCCAGACTGATCACGCCCAGGCAAAATGCAAAGACGAGCATTGCGCCCAACAGGCCTGGAGCTTGAGAATTTGGTACATGATGAAAGACGATATTGTTGTATTGAAGTTGGTAGGAGGTTGTTGACATTATACGATCAAAGAAATAAGATGATGGTAAGAGACAAGAGAAGGGGAAAAATAATTAACAATAATACTCCATGATTGTATAACAGATACATAAAACCCAAAACAATTATCGCGCGCTCCGGTGTTTGTTTTTGGGGATCAGACAGACGGACAACAATGCATTAAATTGCTCAACCAACTTGCTTGCATGCACAATATTCTCCGTTTTTGTTTGCGATTGACTACATACATCTATGCATGGAATCAGAACAATGACCAACAAAAAAGATGCATACCCCACAATGAACATTACTACAACAGCATCTCGGAAAAAAAATGAGTTTACCATGGCTCCCCATTCTACATTCACCGTAAGCTGATTTTAATCTTAGCTTGATTCGGGAAGAAAACAAAAGCAAAAAAGTCAGGGTGCAGCCTTTACGGAAGGAAGATGTATGGACTTCCTACAACATAGTCTTATGCTAATCACAGCCTTTCCGTAAAAAAAAGCTGTGCTTCTCGGCTACATGTTCAGCCACACCCTAATGTTAAAAAGCCAAATGTTTATTTTTAATGTACGCGTGGGGTTGACTGGCTGGTTAGAAGAGGAAGAAATGTGGGTCTCTTCTACCTGTACAACAAAATAAAATGTCCGTATGAGTCAGGATCATTCTAATCCCTTGTTTGCAGGATTAATCGCAATGTAGGTACCAGGGCTATTGTTGTATGCAACTTTTAGCGTGAGATTTTGTTTACTTCGGCTCCTCATGATGGGTAAGACGCCAAAGAGTCAATTGTACTACTCATGTCGACTGTGAAGAGCTGCAATTCTCGCTACTGCTTACGCTAACCGACTTTTTCATCATTGTACCCTGTTTTCTATCAAAGTCCCACGCTTCAACGGATGTCAGCTTACTCCAACAATTACTCAATCACCGGCGCTAATGATTGCCAAATATTCATGAAAGGGTATTATTCAAATTGCATGCTATAGAGAAAAGATTGAAAAAGTGAAGAAACCTTGACTCGAAGAGCACAAGGTGATGAAAAAAGGGGGCCTCCAGTCCAAGAGTAGTCTCGCATCGAGTTGTTTCTGAAAGATTCAGAAATGCCATCGATTGCACTCAAGCCCAAATCGACTGCACAATCAGTACTTTCTGGGCATCCTCCTCATTTTTACCCTGATATGCTAAGCACTGACCTAGATCAAACGCTAGCATATGCGACGCTCTGTTATATTACCCAACATCAAAGCTGTGTCGACACATCAATCTTCATCAAACATGCTCAGGTCAAGTAGAGATGTTCAAGTTGCAGCAAATATATGCTCCCCGAAAAGGTTCGATTTCAGTCTTCACAAAGACGTACAACGTCGGACGATGTAGTCTTCATCAATTTCGCAAACACATTCCCAAATCCTCTATATGGGTTGCATTGCTGTCCTTTTTGGTCGCATGATCGCACTCAGAGAGGCCAATCCCGAAGGACTGACTCGTGAATTGCGTCAAGGTGCTCAGAACATCCCACACACACCTACAGCTTCACCGCATGGGCTAGCTGCTCAATTGCCCTTCTGACTAACAACCCTCTTCCTGAATATCAGACGTCTTGGGATTGCATCAGACCAGACAAAAGCACGGCTTAACGTGTGTAGAGACGGAGCAGGACAGTAGATACCCTGAGAGAACATTGAGTTTGCATTCGCTCCATCAATGAGTCTTTCCAACATCATCATAAACGTCGGTATACGTAAAGAGGCCACATTGAATGTGTTCATTTCTGGTGAGAACCTTTGAATGAAATTATCATTCCGTCCAGCTAGAACTGTAAGAGCATTTGAATACTTGAAGCAACGAGAAAATCCAACGACCGTCCTTACGATGTGAGTGAGAGAAAGACGTAATCTCAAGCTTGCCGTAAAAACGGAAATGAAAAAGGTAACCGGTAAGCAGTTCAACCTGATAAACAGGTAACCCTTTTGCCGTCAGTAGCTGTCTCGATCACCAAAAGGCGATCGAAAGGGGAGTAGGAGTATGCGGACCTTCCCACTCGCAAGTCCCAACATTTGTATTGCTCCAAAGAGTGCAACAAATGCATAGGAGGCGAGTATCGATGGCCTTTGAACTGGAGGCTGGTGGTAGAAAGAGGTAAAGTGGGTTGTTGTTCAGCGTTGTCGTATATATTAAAGCGCTGCTACGCCTCAGGCAGGAAATTAAGAATGCGAAAAATCTATGCTCACGTGCCGCGCTCGCAATTTGGCTTTTAAGAAGAATGGGAAACGCGATTTAAAGTGCTTCGATGAATGCAAGCAAAGGGCGCGACAATCAATCGATGACAACGATCACCATCCGATTCAAATATTGATCAAAATGGCAATTGGAAGCGCAACAAGTTCTTCGTCTTCGGCCTTGCACCTCAATTTCCCGCCCTCGGCAGGTGCAGGAGTTTTGAACTCGCGCTCTTTATCCGGTGTACAAGTTCACCCTGTCGCTTTATTTTCCATCTTGGACCATTACTTACGCAGATCCGATCAAGAATCAGAAGAAGATGGTGAAACAGAGAAAGTAGAAGGTGAAAATGCACCTTCTAAAACCCGTGTGATCGGAACATTGTTGGGAACAAGAAATGGCACAGAGGTTGAAATCAGAAGCTGCTTTGCTGTTCCCCATCTTGAAACCAGCGAACAAGTTCAAGTCGATATGGATTTCCACCAAAAGATGTACGAACTACATCATCGTGTCAACCCTGAAGAAGTCATCGTCGGATGGTATGCCACAGACCCAAAACTAAACATGTACACATCTCTCATTCAAGATTTCTATTCACGCGAAACTGCTCCCCATCAAGCCATTCATCTTACAGTTGACCCAGACGTACGTTCGGATATGGGCGTAAAGGCATACGTAAGCGCACCTGTTGGATTGAGTGTGAAACCCGAAAATGCAGCCTTTGTTCCTCTATCGGTCAACCTATTATCAGCACCCTCAGAACGTCCTTCTTTGGCATTGATGGCACGCGCACAAGGCGGTTTACAAGGCACAACAGTTGCAGGTGGAAGTGGTGTGATGTTGAACGATATGGACGCTTTGTCCGCCTCTTTGGAATCCGTTCAAGCACAACTACGTAGAGTTTTGCAATACGTTCGTGAAGTATTGGATGGTAAACGAAAGGGTGACCCAATCGTTGGTAGATATGTGATCGATGCCGTCTCTACTGTTCCAATCGCTGCTACTGTTGATAAGAGTGGAGCAACTACAGGTGCTTCTGATTTGGAGACATTGTTCAACAGTCATCTCCAAGACGTTTTGATGGTATCGTATTTGGCAAACGTCGTTCGCTCTCAGGCAGAAATTGCTGGTCGTCTTACACTCTTGACGTAAGCGTGAAAGTGTTTTTCTCTGCTGCAAGTGCAAATCGTTTCCTCACTTTCTTTTTGTACCAATAGAAATCCCCAAAATGAAATAGCATACTTCAATGCATACATACACAGCTGTTCTGCGAGATATATAGATTGCTAATTGATAAGAATACATGGATATAGATAATGTTAAGACAGCAGGTCAGCCATCTTGATTGGTTTACGGACGGCATTAGAGTAACCTTCATGGTAATGGTAAAAGACTTTTAGCTTGGCCTTCTTCAATGCAGGCTCGATCACATCGTCAGAATCGGTATGATCAGCATTCTGAGCTGATGGTGCAAGGTTTTCTTTCTCCTGTCTACGTGCTAAGATTGATTGAGGTAATCCCGTGCCGCTCAAAGGAGCCAAAGACTTATTCTGTTGTTTGGCCACGATCGGACGACCAAAGAAGTCCACCGCTCCTTTCGCTTTCTTGGGAGCTTCTTTGGGTTTCGGCTCTTCTTCTTTCTTGCTCTTTCGAGTTGAAGCACTTTCGTCCAAATTGGTTTGCTTTTCACGTAAACGTAAAGCACGCAATTCAGCCGTGATCATTTGTCGAACGTTGAAACGAGCTGCAATTCCTGTATTTTCAGCAACACGTTTACCCTCGAAATGAGCAAATGCTTCAAGAGGAGGATCGAATTTGTAGTAAGAGTGACCTTGCTCGTTCTTGTCCATAATGAAATCAATATTGAGCGTATTCATCAAATACACACAGGAAGCCAACTTTCTCTTTTCCTCAACCTGTACAACTTGCGCATTGATCGGTTTAAGATCGGGCGATAGCAATGGAACTAACATTGGACCAAGTTCGGTTACCAATGAACTCTTGTCAAATTGCGTTCGTGTTGATAATGGTAAACAATTTTGCAAATCAATCGTTACTTCATCAAATGCTGTACGCTTCAAATAATTTTGATAATCGGTCCTAGGATATTCAGGTAGAACGTTTGCTGTGTTTGCAAATAATTGACGCCAACATGCGAAACTCCATGGTAGGTAAGAATACATCTCATTCTGAACGCCCAATTCCCATCCACGTTGATTGAGATGTTCATACCAATGAATCCAATCGTGCATCTTGCGGAATCTCCACCATCCATCATCGACTAATTTAAGGTTTGTATAATGTTCAAAGCAACCTGCCAAGATTTTATCCATCTCTCCGCTACTGATCACGCTTGATACAACTTCATTTGTTTCGTCAATTTCGGCACCTGCTGCAGTATTCTTCGCTCGCATCTTTGCGCCACGTTGGCGATCCTTTTCTCGAGAAGTATGTGTTCGAAGTAATTTCATCCAAACTTGATGAATGTTTGAATTTCCATCCTTGATACTTAAGGCTGATACGATTGATATGTCATTCGGATCACCTTGATCTCCTTGCAATGTAGCAGCCGTCAAGCCGCGCGAATCAGATTGTACCAATTGCAAGGCATTCAAACAACTTCTCAAATCTCCTTGACACAAGCTGATGAGCAAATTCAATCCTGCTGTATCGTGACGTATGGATTCGTGCTCACAAATCTGTCGAAGCCGTGACATCAAGGCAGGCGTCGAGGGTCTATTCAATCGGACTAACTTGCTGTGTGGTCGCAAAGCACGCAAGGAAGGTGCATACGGATCATTGCAAACGCAAATGATCGGTCGAAGCAATGGACGACCCTTTTTTCCACCTTGCTTTTTGCTTGTGCTTCCTTCTCCTTCAGTTTCGGATGCTCCTTGTCGTACTAATTTGATCAAAGCTCGAATGAAGCCGCCTCCCAAACCATCACCTCCGGTATTGGCTCCACCTGTTGCACCGTCAACTTCATCCAAGATCAAACAAGTGGGTTGTTTTCTAGCAGAACTGTTGTGCAAGCTATTACTTTCCAATGCATCCTTGACCCGATCTTCCACTGTACGTGCAGAACGGTCGTCACTAGCATTGATCTCATGGACATGGTAGCCAGCAGCTTTCGCAGCAACATGTGCCAACGTAGTCTTACCCATACCTGCCGGTCCTCCAAGCAATAGGATTCTTTCTCTTGGTCGATCCCACTTATCTTTGACAAAGTTTGAACTCATTGGAGCGCCATTGAAAGATGGCTGCACTTCTCTGAACCTCTTCTTCCCTGCTTGCTTACCAAATACACACTTGTCCCAACTCTTGAGCCAGGTCATCACATCTCGATGCGTTCTTTCTTCTCCAATCAACTCTGTAAAGCGTGAAGGTCGATAGCGTTCCTGCCACATCTCTGGTGTTTTCTTTGTGGGTTTTGGTCGGTGTGCGGTATCTTCATTGTTCTTCACTACTTGCAAAGCACGCATTGCCTCGACCCGATCTACGATCTGATGTACGGGTCTCGAAAGAAGTCCGGTGGGTCCAGCACCATAATGAGCAGGTTTTGGCTTCCATGCTGAAACTCGCTTCCTTCTCTCAAATCGAACTTCTGTTCCGTCCAATAAGATCGTATGCACCAATCCGGCAGGGATGTACTTTGGTAGACCGTTTGCGCCAAGCTCTTCCTCTTCTGATTCTGGTGTAGCAAGAACAGGTTGTGCTAATGCGATACGAGAAGATGTGGCGATGACGGGTTCACGTCTTGGAGGATGTTGTGCTACGTTTGATCTGCTCGAGCTTGAACGGGATTGTTGCTCTTCAGCATTTGCGATTACGGCTACCTTTTTGGCAATGGGAGGTGGTGTAAGAATTGGCGAGGAGGATAAAAGTTCTGATACATTGCTTGCATTGTCCTTATCAGTATCTTTGAATGCTTCCATAACGAGTTCTTCCTCTTCTTCATCATAAGGTGTAGGCTGAGATTGCTCTTCCTGTCTTAGCATCTCCTCCAATTCAAGCTCGCGATCGAAGTCGAAAGGCTCTCCATTATCTTCGCTGAATAAATGAGATCCTTGCATGTCATTGCTCAAACCATTATACCTAGGTGGTGAAGGATTCAAGCCAAGTTCGTTCAGTGCATCTTGAGGTCCATTGGCTTCTGGCGATTTGCTCTTCAAATTGAAGAAACCCAAATCTTGGAAATCATCATCGTCATCATCCTGCCCAGGCAAAACAGCTCGAGGAAAGGATGTTGTCTCATCCACCTCCATCATTGCGAATGTCTAATGGAGAGGGGAACAAGTGATGGAGAATACTGAGAAGTGTATCTTTCCTAATTAAAGTGTTACAATTAATTTGTCGCGTACTTGACGCGTATTGTCGCGTGTGGTGATAGGCTGAGATAAGCAAGCCCCCCCGAATCTCTTCTCCGGCTAGAGAGCAATAAAGGCCGGAGCGTGGGGGATCGCAGTGCATTCACAAGCGATGTGTGATCAACCCATCAATCCTCTTCACCACGATCGCAATCATGACCACACAAAAGATGCGAATAGAGCAGCCAGATGCTACATATAAATCACTTTCGGCATTATTGGCTTCACCTGCTTCAACCGCATCTTCTCATTTATCTTTGATTGGGTCCAATAATCTATCTGCATCCATAACCCACTATTTGGCAACGTTGCCTACCGAAGAAGCAAGCAAATTTGCAAGACAATTGGTCACAAGTACAGCGTATTGGAATGATGCAGAAGTAGCTAATAGCGCTGATTCTGATCATAATAATGCGGCTGCTTTCGCCAATGATACGCTATCCAAAGCACGATTGCTCTTTGAAGCTACAGCCCGTGCGGTACTTGGTCGTATACAAGTCATCGTGCATCAATACAAAGGTAATCTAGGATGGGCAGCACAAAGGGCGTTGGTGTCTTGGATTCGTGCTTTAAGTGATGCGGTTCACGTTGACCTTGGATCCATTCCTCAGAAATGCAGACCTCTTCCTATCTCCTCTTTCGCCCTCCAAACAGGGCTGGTTGCTGGCCTTCAAGCAGCTCGAGCTCAAAGACAGCAACACGATGCCAAGACTGGTGGCCCAATTTCTTCTACGGGAACATTGAGCAGTAATGCACTCAGTACGAGATATGCCTTAAGACGAGCTGAAGAGGGATGGTGTACGACACTTGCGGAAAGTCTGAGGATGGTGACAGAAGCTGAAGCGGCAAAAGAGAAAGAAGATTCCGAAGAGGATGAATGGGAGCGAGAGTTCAGAAAGATGTCATTGCATGCAGGAATAGAACAATCTCGAAAATTTGATCCACGTAACGATCTGCAAACGATACTGCTTTTTCTGGCAGCGCAAGTATCCCCTTACGTATCGGCAAGAAGACTTTCACTTTTGCATCCGGCTGATGTCATCAAGATCTTGTCGGATACAATGCTTAACCTTTTCGAGGGATGTGGAATCTTCCAATCGTTACGAGAGGACATTTATCAAGATGCGCAAGGCTTGTTAGTCTTGTCTGCATCTTCGGGTACAGCTCTGCGTGCACAGTTGTTGAATGATCATCCTCTCGTCAAGGTCTTTGGGCCATTATCTCGTCTGCTCTCTCTGGCTTTCTCAAACATTACTCGATCTTTCACTCCTGCACAAGTGCAAGAGGTTCTGCTTGGCCTAAGTCCTGAATCATCTCTCGCTCCACTAAGCAGGATGCATGCTATTGCTTTGGCATGGGAGGCAAGATGGCTTGGAAGCAGGCTGGCAGGAGCTGAAGAGAAAGAGATTTCACAATCTAGTCGACCACAAACGAAAATGTTGTGGGGAATATTCAAGACTTTACTTTTCAGTTATACAATGATCTTTGATGCCTTGATGGAAGCAATAGTTGATGTCTGTCCAACACCTACGGAAACTAGGCCGATATCGATGGATGCGGGAGATAATACAAAAGTAGGTAGTAAATGGCTAGCAACGACGGAGTCAAACATTCCTCCAGTATATCTACAAATCGTACGAACAATGTTGCTCACATATTCAAGTCTCTCGTGGGTAATTTCAACTTTTGGAACTGGTGGATTCGATGCTTATCGAAGGGTGTTCTATGAAGCACTTGAAGTTCTCAGTCGTGATGGTCGTGCAAGCGTAGAGTTGGCTATCCAACTCATCCCATCACCGCTAGACACGATCCAAACCAATGCAGCTCGCCGGGCAAGAGCAACATTCTTCCTCGATGTGGTTGAACAACTTGTTATTCAATTGCCCGATGATATGATAGAGGATGTCATTTTGCCAGCATGCAGACCATACTTGGACGATAGAACATATCAAGAAGCTTTCGAATCTGCTCATTCAGTCGTCCTAAGTGTTTTCTCCTCCGGAAAAGAATGTTTGCTCGAACTTACGCCTTATTATTCGCAATTGTTGCTTACATGCTTCCCGACCAATCTATCCGCTGAACAATTGACTTTGGCTTTTTCCACCGTTGTGGATGCAGTATCTGATCGAAGTGATACACTTGCTTGGCATACGTTGGAATTATTATGGAGCGCAATCGAGCATGAACGGTTCATGTATGCACATCACCAAAAGAAATTGACCGTAGGACCGGAATCACAGCAAGAGGATGCACTTAGTGCAACTGTTAATTCTTCGATCGAATCAGTCGTCAAACCAAAAGAATCAGAAGAAGAACAATTTTCTAAAAGAGAGAAGGAACTAACGGACGTTTATATTGCACAGCTTGCAAACGTGAATCTGGTGTTGTTACGTTCAGTTTTGGATCGTGTGAAACGCTTGATCATGTACCGAACTCGTGCAAGCGAAGATAGATTGCATCTCTGTCAACGTACATTCGCAAGTTTAGCCGGTTTGGATGCAAGTACACGCGAAGAAGGCGTACGTTGGTGGCTAGCAGAAAGGGAAAGATTTGGCGTCTAACTTCACACATTCTCTGAACAAATCCCGTTAACATGAAATGCGGATTTCAAAAATGCCTTATAAAGGCAATAAATACATGATTGCTCGCGAATGCATATCGTAATACATCCTTATTTTTGTGTGAGATTTTACAAAAGAGATGAAAAGAGTAAAGGGTGACAAGTTTTAATCACGCTTTTCAGCATGATCAGCAGCATGATTGGCGTTGTGCATATCCCACTCTTCATCTTGGCGGTTATGTTTTGGATCAATGTAGGTTGAAGTTGCCAAATTGTTCAATTGATCTTCTTCAGCATCGATACCTCTGTACATGATTGCAAAGAGGATACCGGCGACGAAAGAGATACAAGCGAAACAAGTGTACATCCAAACCAACAATGGATCTTGAGAAAGAGGCAAGAAAGCTTCTTGAATAGCAGATCCGATTGCGGTTGTGAATAAACCTACACCCATGACCAAAGAACGCATATTCTTTGGTGCTTTTGTGAATGCATATTCCAAACTGATAACTGATGCAAACAATTCCGAAAGACCTACGAAAAAGTATGGACCGACTTGAATCCAAACGCTCAATGGAGAAACACATGCTTGACCATTAGGACCAGTACTTGCGCTGGCATAATTACCACAATTAGATGTCTTGTAGATGTAATGTTGCAAAACTGCTGCCCAAACCATAGCAAGAGAAGCGACAAGGAAACCTGTAAAGATTTTCTTCAAAGCGGTGAAATTGAAGCCCAATCTACGTAAACCAGGGTAAATGAGGAATTCAAAGATGGGAACCATGATAATAATCGAAAGGGGATCGAAGTTTTGCGGAATTTCGTTGGGAACACCGTTTAAAGTCATTGATGCACCTTGAGAGATCAAGTTACCCGAAATTTGGTTATAGACCAACCAGTAGAATGGGAACAAAAGGAAAACGTAACAAGCCTTGAATCCACGACGAACTTCTTCAACCCATTGATCATCGAATGTCATCCATGTAGGCTTTGAAGTACCCAAATTGCTTGGCTTGACGTTCTCCCAGAAATCATCCGCACGCAAATTCTTATACCATCTGACAGGATTGAAAGAAAATCTTCCTTTGGCTGCAAGTGCCAACAGTTTGAGAGCGTTTGACAAAACGCTTCCTTGAGGAGGATGTTTGACGTAACGGTTACGTGCAAAGTATAAGACGGGGATACATAGGATAAAGATGATTGTTGGGATCAAGAAAGCCAACCAGTAACCGTAATACTTCTCGGCAAATGGCATAGCAACTTGACCTGCGATTGCACCAACGTTGATTGCCAAGTAAAAGAAATCGTACAAACGTGCAGCAGTTGCGGTTGGATCAACAATTAGACGTTCACCTGTCTTTTCATTAACTTTGATGTATTGACGTTTAGCTTTGATTTGTTCAGCAATCAAGACGGAAACGGTAGATTTGAAGAAACCAGTTCCGACACCGTTGATGATCACACCAATGATGAAGCAAGCCAAAGATCCGTTCAAATCTTTGATAACGGGCGGGATAGCACTGATGATGAATAGAATGTGACCGGCCAAAGCAATAGCAACACCAATGCAAATCGTGTTGAATCTTCCCCAGTATGTATCGGCAAGGTAACCACCAATCAAAGGGTTAACGTAAACCCAGAAAGTGTTAAAAGTTGTGATACCGGTAGCAGTTTGTTGACCTCTTCCGTAAATACCTGGAACACCATCTCTAGGGTCCATGACATTTTTACCCGTCGTACTTCCAGCAGGTAATGGATATTGAATCATGTTTTGGAATACTTGAGTTGTACCGTAGTAAGAGAAACGTTCTGCCAATTCACAAAATCCGATCAAATAAGCAGTCCAAGGCAAAGGAGCGGGAACACGGCGAAGAGTAGCACGGTCTTCATCTGTTACGTTGTAATCCAAGCCATCTTCTTCACCTTCACGCAAGAGTTTTTCTTGAACGTCAGGCTTAGCGGCCAAACCATCAGTGCCTGCGATACTCTTTTCGTTTTCTGAACTGTTCTTATCATCACTTTTGACGTGATGAGAATGATCGTTGTGTTCTACTGGAGGAGGAGCGATTTCATGGTGGTTCATACCAGCTTCGTCAGCCAAGGCATTACCGTAACCACCAAATTGCATTGAAGCAGCCATTTTGAGCTTTTGTTGGTCCTAATAAGGTTAGGAAAATTCTTGGTCTCCTTTTATGTATAGCGATAAAATCACCAATCGTACAGCCTATGCTTTGTTTTCTATTCTAAACAAGATCACGCAATGCGATGTATGGATCGACGTGATCTTCGACCGAAAAGACGGCGAAGATAGGAACGTGGAAATGAGGGTAAGAGGAGTTCAACGAGAATGGACCTCGAGGCTCCTGAATGTATGCACACAGACGTTGAACGTGCGATTAGGATGGGGTGGGAAAAGAAGGATGCAAGATGAATGCAAAGCAATATTTATATGAAGATGAATAAGACGGGGGGCGAGATTGCTTATCGGAAGATGAATGCGAAATGAGAAGGGGGCAAAGGCCGTTTTGCCAAGATATCAGTGACAAAGTGGCGCGAGTGTTTTTTTCTCTTACTTCGTGAACGGTTCAAATCAGGTACGAAAGAGGGAGAAAGATGCAATCTCTAGGGGAAATGTCTGAGGGAATAGAAATCGACTATCCAAGTCGAGACAAATATAGGCTCATATTTTAGATCACAATCAATTTATGACTTGCATGATCCCTTTTGATTTGCTCGCCACCTGCGGTTTTGGATGGGTAAAACATCGTTGCGTATGTATGCGAACTCGCACGCAATCTTCTGCAAAGACGCCCCTACAAGAATAATTTTAATTTTTTTTTTCTCGGTAAACTGAATTCCTTTATCACCGTACAGGCGGTTTCTGACCGCTTTTTCCCTTTCCGACCCGTAGGATGGGCGAGACGCACGAGAGAAAACTAAAAAAAAGGCGTGGGGGGATCCAAGCACTATTTCTGCTTTGCGCTTATCAATAAAGAGATAATTTATGCTTCTCAATTCCTGCGGACCATGTGGTACAAAAAAAGAGTTTTAATCGACGCTAGCTAGAGAGGCGTTTTAGTGTTTTGGTATGGGCATTGCAAGAGTATCTTCTTTTTAGTCTTCGGTTAATCACCGGTCTTAGTGGACGTAAGCGGGTAATAACGCATAGCCTGCGGAATCTTTTTTTCTGCATCTTCTTTTCTGCGCAGGCTTATGCATATCTTTGAACGTAAAAAGCTTCCCGTACTGCTTTGATGCCCAATCTCGGTTAAATCGCTTCAAATTCCGGTTCAACGCAAATCTATCTAAAATAATCTCAATCTCGGAGAAAGCGCCGATGAATTAGAACAAAAAGAAATTTGAATCATTGCGTGCGCCATTCGTTTTACGCACGTACGAAGGTAAGGAGGCACCCAAGCACTGTTCTTTTGCGCGTCTTGGCATGAAGCTAAATGACAAATTTAACTTGTCTAATTGGCTGCACCCCACATTAACTTATCTTTTTACACATGGTCCGATTCCTTTTCAACGGGTGGCCATGATGATAAGCCAATCAAATCTTCGCTCCCGCTTACTTGCAGACGGACAAGCGGACAATCTTGCGAGAAAGCAGGAACATGAATTCTGGCATTCTATCTCAGGAACAGACAGAAAGATAAACCAAATCAACTCGCTTAGATATTCGCAATCGTGTAAGATAATCAAGAATGAATGCAAATATTGGTGGCACAACACTATTAATACAATGTAACAAGGAACGTTTGAAAGCTTAAATCGAGCTGAGCAAAGCACGTAATGAAATAAAGAGTGTGTAAAGAAAGGTAAGGGCTTCTTCCTAAGCATTTGCGCTATCGTCCCCTAGAACATCCAAAACTGATGAATCAACAGGGTCGTATCCTGCTGGTCTGCGAGTATCATAATATCCTCCTGCACTTCGCATGGCCGAAGCTGATGAATAGTTTCCAGCTGAGTTTGCGCTGGAATTCATCTTTTTAGCCATAGGTGTATGACCTGCATGCAATTTGCGTGAAGGAGAAGAGATTGGTGAACGAATGCTTGTGTTTCCATTGAATGTTGGGATTCCACTTCCGCTCATACTTCTGCTTGTATTGTTGCTCGTTCTGCGTACTCCACTTGACATCGTTGGAAATGTGGGAATAAATGAACCGATCGGGCTTACAGTTTGAGCAGTATAAGATGTATCGCCTCCTGTTGTACGACTGCCATGTGATGGGAATCGAATACTATGCGTAGAAGGAGAAGATTGATTGGATGCTTGTTCTCTACCTTCATCCATCCCTCTCTCACTTCGAGCAGCGATAGATGAAGAAGAAGATGAAATGGAAGCATTTAACATATCCTTTCCTCCACCAAAGCGCTCTGCCAATCGAGATCGAACATTGACGGGATTATGAGCAGGATAGCGACCTTTTCCATCCAAGACTAAAGATGAAGAAGTAGAAACGGATGGCATAATTGTAGATGCACCACTGGTAGATTTACTCATTCCAGTAAGCGATTTAGACAACACTGGCAACTTGCTCGATCCTTGATCAGACGGACGTTTTCTGAACACTGAAGGTCTTGAACCATCTTCGGCAACGCTCCCATCTTCAGAGGATGCTATGCGTGCATGTGTGCCATGGCCATGACTTTCAGTATCTTCATCGACTTGACTAGGATGTCTATCGCTTTCAGAGATCTCGTTGAGCTTCTCATTTTCGGGTGGAGAAGCGCTATCGTGTGAGAACTGTAATGGTTGCTCTTTGTCCAAAGACCATCGCATCTCTTGTTCATCAACCGTTCTCAAACCCAGAACAGATGGATAAGAACGTAGGCTGGGTGAACGAGATCGATCAAATGTAGGCGGATTCAAGGTGTTATTCGGATCGTTTTCTTGTTCATCCTCTGCATTGTCAGTGTAGCTTTGATGGTCTAGATGAAGACCATCTCGTCCTTGTTCTGATTGCAGAGCTTCGATCTGATCAATCGTCGAACTGGACATGATTGGGTCCATTCCCGGTTCATGTTGCATCCTTCGACCTTCTTGTCTTCTTCCAATGATTTCATCTTCGATTCCAATAGGGTCAAATACCCGCCTCTTGATCGGGAATAAATCTTCTTGCAAAATGCTCACTGAACTGCTGCTCGTGGGGCTGGTAGCATTTACACGTTTTGGATCTTCTTCGTTGGAATGATTTCTGTCCATTGTACTGGCTCTCTCATCATGCTCTCTGGGTTGTGAATCATGATCGTAGCCGTTCACAATTTCCATCGTTTCGTCAGCACCATCATACGCCGAGCTGATAACATCATCATCCACATCTCCATGCGATCTCCTAGCAGCGTTACGCGAGTTAGCAGCATCATCTACCGCACGTTGAACACGTTCCAACAATTCGCCAATTCGAACACGATCTGCATGTTCAGCTTTCAATTCATCTTCCAATGCTTGTACGCGACTGTTCAATTGTTCTTCACGTTCTCTTTGTCTTTCAACCTCTCGCTGCAATTCCAATACACGTGTTACCTCTTGATGTAAATCAGATTGCAATTGTTCATTCCTTGATCGGACATCCAACGCTTCTGTTCGTGTTCGATCCAGCATATCCAAAAGACTATCACGCTCCAATGCATGACGTCTCTGTAAAGCGGAAACGCTGGAAGATGGTGAGGCAATCCTACCATTCAACAAAGCCAACCTAGCCGTTTCTGATCCTTCACTATTGTCAAATCCACCTCTAGCAGAATGGTACGATTTCGTGAGTTGGGCCACATTACCACTTGCACCGCTCGCAGGTCGTATAGAAGAATGATGTAAATCTTCCAAACGACCCCAATCACGAATCGAGCCTGAACGACGATAGGATCCCGAAACGCTTTCAGGGTTATTACCATTGACCGAGGCAAGTGCAGGTGATTGATTTCCTCCCGTGAAAGAGTTGGAATGAGTATGAGCATGACTTCCTCTACCATTACCACCACCACCACCACCTGAGCCGGAACCTTGACTTGCAATTTGATTTCGAGTTTTACGATATTGCAATTGTTCTTCGATTTGTTTTCCAGTCAATGCCATCGAACGTAGACCTGCTGCAACAGAAGATGAGTCATTAGAAGCAGCTGAGGTTCGCTTGGATTGTTGTTCGGTCGGAAATCTTGTCGAACTTGGAGACGAAAAGCGAGATCGCATTTGCCAATCTTGAACTTGTTGAGATGTTGATCGAACATGCGTCGGACGTCCTTCGCTGTTTAGGGCTGTATGATTTTCAGCATCGGGTAATCGAGGAGTGCCTTGTGTTTTGACGGTGATCGATGGCGAAGTGCCCGAACCAGTTCCACCGCCTGATCCAGTAGCAGAAGAAGAGCCTAAACCAGCGTATAAAGGCTCAACACCATTGTCAAACTTGCGCAATACGTGTGGAGCATCTTTACTGGTGATATCATCCTTCGGCACATCGAATCTGTTTGCTGTGGCTTCTTCTGCCTGAGAGCTTGCCAATTTAGAGTACAGACGTGGCGGTGAGGAAGATGCAGCTCTTCTCGATCCAAAAGATCCCAAAGAGACATTGCTCGATCTTCCACGTAAGCCAGCACTCGCTTGTAAAGCAGAATCCGAAGTTTCTTCCGATAAGTCAGGCAAAGGTCCCATGTACCTCGATAGAGCATCGCTATCGCGTAAAAGTTGTTGACGAGCAGAGCGCGAAGATGTTGCTGAGATTGGAGGAAGAGGTGGTACAGCAGGTTGTGCGTTCGCTCCTCCTCGATCTGTCAAATCTGCTAGGTTTTGCCTTTGAATTTGCTGATAGGAGAATGGCGTAGGTGCTGCACTTTGTGTCCTTTCCCGAACATACTTTTGCTGACTACTGACTCTTTGCGATGGAGATGCTTGAGCTGCTTCTACATACGAAAGAGCAGACGATCTCGGCTCATAAGGCTCATTCGTGTTTTGCGAAGCAGGTGTTGGCTGTGACAAAGCTGCACGTCTACCGGACCAAGATCGATTGATAGGCATTGGTGATGGTATTAGCTCAATGCCAGCAGCCGAACGAACGAGTTCAATCATTCGTTCATAAGCTTGTTCAACATCTTGCATCGATTCTTGTCTCACACGGGCTGCACGCATAGGGGTTGATTCACGCAACGCAGGAGATCGTTGACTTTGCGAAGACGATCGTTGAACATTGGCAGGGCTCGTGAGCAAATCTCCACTTCCGGCTTTATTAAAGCTTCGATTCGGCGAGACTATGGCCGGGACAATTTCAAACTCTGGCGAACGTGAAACATCCGAATCTTCCTCATTTGGAATTTGTGGAAGTTGTGAAGAGCTGATGGCTTTGCGCACTTGCCTGACGGCATTGACGATTGCTGTATGTTGTTCAGGCGGTAAGGTGATCCGGGCCAATCTGGCTTCATCATCCAATGCACCTGCTTCCGTATCATCCACGCCTGCATTACTAGCATTGAAGACTGAAAAGCTGCCAGTTGAGATATTCCCAGCATTGTAAGGAGACAAGATGTGTTGGCGTAGAATATTTGCGTCCATACTGCCTTCCACAATATGATCATGAAGGGCTGCCTCAACAGCTGCCAAGCTTGTTTCGATATCCTGCACACTCACGTCTCGACGAACGTGTCCAAATTCACCGGTTGTATCGAGATATGGCGACTTATTGCGATCGTATGCGTCTCCTCCGAATGTATTCCGCTTTGGTGTTAAGGCAGAAGGTGTTTCTTGTGAGATATGTGAGAAACTACTTTCGTCTTGATCGTCATCGATTGATGTAGAGAACGACGTATCATGCGTTGACGGGAATTGCACAGACATATGCTGTCTCCCTGAAGGCTGAGATGGTGATGCACCAAATCGAGTGCCACTCTGCATCGGTGCATCCTTGTTCAAATTCAATTCTCGATTCTTGGGCGTCGAGACGGGTGTGGAAGAAGACGAAATACGTTGTTCCAAATTCTCAATCAATTCCGACAATGGGCTGGGAGCAGCTCGAGGAATAGACTTCAATGAATCAAAAGCGCCTTTTGTGGATACTGACAAGCTTTCGTTGGCTGGATGCTTTGGATCAGGTGTTACACCATCGCGGAAAGAAGGAGCCGTCCTGAAAGATGAAGCCGATCCACTAGTGGCTGATGACCCATATCTTATCTTAGAGTGGAATTGATCATGTGTAGGGCTATCATCCAAAAGACTTGCACGGGAATTACGTGACACTTGCCATATCCGTGGAACAAGCGATGACGGTGAAGCATTTTTGTCAAATGTTCCTTTCTCCTCTTCTGTCAGTACACGACCACGACTTCCTGGCGCATTTGTTGGCGTAGGCGTTTCCGTAGTTTGAGATCCTCGTCCTGATACTTGTTGAAGATCTGTTGTCATCCTTCTTGGAGTCACGTTAGGGCTACTTGGTACACTCCCTCCCCGTCCCAGGTTTGGCGAATGAGGCGATAGAGACTGTAGTGTGAGAGATCGATCCATTCTGGCTTGTGTGTCAGATGCACCAAATACTTTTGGAGGCACTCCATCCGAAGAAGGAGGCAGACCAGATATACCCGTATTACTCGTTTCCATGCCACTGGATGATCCAGTCGTGTCTTGTGTTTCGCCTACATCCTTTTCAACCTTTCTTTCAGCAATTTGAGGAACTTGAGCTTGTCTCTTTCCAGGACTAGATATCCGTGTAATCTCTGTCTCTACTCCTTCCAAATCTACTCTGCTTCGCGGTGGTGTCTTAGCTCTACCGAAGCCAAAGAAGCTGCTATGCTTGCCAGACATATCCTTTGAACGTCTATGATTGGTTGGTAGAGCGACAGGTTTATTGGATGGCGACTTTGCCTTTGAGTCTTGCGTCTTTGAATCTTGTGAAGGCGGTTCTTCAACTTCTTTGATTGTATTTGTTTTGTCGGCGATCAAAGAAGCTTTTGAAGGTGCCGATTGCGATTTTGACCGAGCTCGAAAGATACGACGAACGCTCGCAAAAGGGATTTTGGAAGGTTTTCCAGTTTGCTGATGAAAATCTTGATTTCCCCATTCTAGATGATCGCTTTCAGCATCTGCACTTTTGGTTGGAGATGTTAACCTTGCCAATTGTTTATTTTGATTTTTGCGCATACTAGTAACAGATTCTGATTCGGCTCTTTGTCCGTTTGCCCTTCTTACGCTCAGCTTTGAAGCTGCTGGATTAGAGTTGAGTGAGCTATCATCGAAGAATGATCTCGTTCGCGTGAAACCATTGTTGTCCTGATTGACAGTTGTAGGAGACATTTGTCCTAATTTGACAGACTGATTTGTTGCATGAGTATGGTCTAAAATGCTTGAACGGTTTGCAAATGGCGTTTCGGTTGAGTTTGGATTGTCGTTGTGTATTGCATATGATTTGGATGCAGGAATCGAATCCGTTCTTTCTCTTGAAAGTGAATTTGTATAAGAAGGCGGAATACGCGTACTATTTGATCTTCTTACCGGTCCATCGGAAATGTAAGTCATATTGAATGTCGAATTGAAACACCGAGCATGCTTTTGTTTATATGTTTGATTCGAAAGAAGAAGGATGTGCTTTTATTGATTTCTTTTTATTCTCCGAATGTCGATCAATATCAAGAAAGCGGATGCCGCGACGCCAATGACGTAGCTTGATCAATAGCTTGGTCGAGCTTTCTTCGAGCTATTGCAGTACAACGATAACAAGACGATGATGGTGACTTGTTAGGATGGATTGTCAGTTGAATGTCATTAATTCTCTTCTTAAAAGATAGGGTCAATCCCTATGTCTATATATGCTAATATGTGTGCCTCCCTCCATATACGCGAGTCTCTATGCATACGCGATTTAATCTTGTTTTTATGCGGCCCGCGTTTGAGGCTTGAAATTAGCGTAAGAGTGGGTGGGTCTAATGAATAAAAATCAGTCTTGCTTTGTTTGATTTAAGCTCCGATAGAATCAGCCTCTTTAGTGTATAAAATTACTGTATGCGTCATATGGTAATGAAAATGTCTTGGAGTTGCATTTGAGAGATGACTTTGGAAATTTGATCGGTAAGATTGTCTGGCAATCAAAGTAATAAAGCTAACAAATTCAGCCTCATACAAAAGTTGACTAAGATGTACCTTACTTCAGTATCAAAGCGCCCTCAATAACCTCTCATCAGATTAGCATGGATTAACACAAACTACTCGTTTGATGTCTCATTATGACCAGTGTAGTCTCCCCGTAGCTTTCGATTGGATGTCATTCAGGTATCTTCCCGCCCTTTAGCGCTTCCAAAGAGATGGTCAAATACATATTCCAGCAGTAAATGGAGCGAGGTTGTCTAACACATCTCATCTAACCACCACGACATTCTTCACTTTTAGCATCTCTAATGGTCATCATCATAATAAATGCTACAGAAGGCTCCTGCTGTTGCCATGACGTATTCGGAAAGTAAGATCCGACCCTATTGATCTTACGGTGCTTAAAGTAGGCAGAGCAAAAAAAGAAGATTACACGTGTTCTTACAAAAACAATCTTCCAATACGTGCGCAGAGGCATTTCAGCAGCCCAAAAAACAATTTGTCAGTGCACACGCGTCTATTGTATGCTCTGTGCTCTGCTGGTTACAAGGCGTTGGGATTGCATACATTGGCCCCCCCCCATCTTCCCTCAGTAGATGTAACAAATCACGGCAATTTCATGTAACAGTGCGTACGTGCGCGAACTTCCCAAAAATTGAATTGGATAATGAATTGAGAAAGGGAGAGGGTGCAAGAGTGATTCCTTCTTTATCTTCTTATCACCATCTCCTTTTTTCGCAAAAAGTGCACTTTTTTGTCGTTGTAGCGTTTCACATTAACCGCATACATCGTCAATCTGTCCTTCATCAAACGTTTAGATCGTATTCGTGAACACCTCTTGCCCACCTCCACCAAACAAAAAGACAAAATGGCTCCTGAAGCTGTTGCCGATATCGGTTTGATTGGTTTGGCCGTTATGGGTCAAAACTTGATCTTAAACATGAACGACAAAGGTTACACCGTTTGTGCATACAACCGCACAACAAGTAAAGTTGACGATTTCCTCAACAACGAAGCCAAAGGAACAAAAGTCGTTGGTGCTCACTCTGTTGAAGAATTTGTTGCCAAATTGAAGCGTCCCCGTAAGATGATCATCTTGGTAAAAGCTGGTCCTGCTGTTGATGCTTTCATTGATACTTTGACTCCTCATTTGGAAAAGGGTGATATCATCATCGATGGTGGTAACAGTCATTACCCTGACTCTATCCGTCGTTGTGAAGCTCTCGAAAAGAAAGGATTACTCTTTGTCGGTTCAGGTGTTTCAGGTGGTGAAGAAGGTGCCCGTCATGGTCCATCTCTCATGCCCGGTGGTTCAGATGCCGCTTGGCCACACATCAAGGAGATTTTCCAAAAGACTGCCGCTCAATCTGATGGTGAACCATGCTGTGACTGGGTCGGTCAAACCGGTGCAGGTCATTACGTCAAGATGGTACACAACGGTATCGAATACGGAGACATGCAATTGATCTCTGAAGCATACGACATCTTGCGTCGTGGTATGCGCTTGAGCAACGATGAAATCGCTGACATCTTTGAGACATGGAACAAGGGTGTTTTGGATTCTTTCTTGATCGAAATCACCTACACCGTTTTGCGTTACAAGGACACTGACGGTGAATCAATGGTTGACAAGATTCTTGACTCTGCAGGTCAAAAGGGTACCGGTAAATGGACTGCAATCAACGCTTTGGACTTGGGTCAACCCGTCACTTTGATCGGTGAAGCCGTCTTCGCACGTTGCTTGTCTTCCCTCAAGGAGGAACGTACCCGTGCAAGCAAGAAGATCAACGGACCTTCTATCAAGCCATTCGAAGGAAACAAGCAACAATTCATTGCTGATTTGGAACAAGCCTTGTACGCCTCAAAGATTGTTTCCTACGCTCAAGGTTTCATGTTGATGCGTGAAGCTGCCAAGGAATACAACTGGACATTGAACAACCCAAGCATTGCATTGATGTGGCGTGGTGGTTGCATTATCCGAAGTGTTTTCTTGAAGGATATCACAAACGCTTTCCGCAAGAACCCTGAATTGGAAAACTTATTGTTCGATGACTTCTTCAACAAGGCAATTCACGATGCACAAGAAGGATGGCGCCGTGTTGTTGCACAAGCAATCTTGTGGGGTGTTCCAACACCTGCTCACTCTACCGCTTTGGCCTTCTTTGACGGTTACCGTACCGAAAGATTGCCTGCTAACATCTTGCAAGCTCAACGTGATTTGTTCGGTGCTCACACTTTCAAGGTTTTGCCCGGTAAAGAAAATGATCACCTCAAGGCTGGAGCTGATATCCACATTAACTGGACCGGTCGTGGTGGTAATGTGTCTGCTTCCACATACACTGCTTAAGTTTCTCTTACTAAAAGATGACAGACAACTCAACACGCACTTTAAGGAATCAGGATATTTGTATCTAGAGAAAATATGATCTGAATTGAATTTAGAAAGTTCGAATATGATTTGACTGGGGTATACATGTGATGGATGCTGTAATGTACAATTGTGTAAGGGTCGTAACGTTTTAAGTGAAGGAAACTGATTCGCCAACTTGCAAGAGTGTAGCTTTGGAAGTGGTATTTTCAGTCTTTTCTATTTGATCGATTGCTTGTTGAGCTTTCTCTGCTCTTGTAGCCTCTCTTTCAGCATCGAAATCTTGGATCAATTGATCAGTGTTCAGCCAATATCTGCGTAACAATCGAGCAATAAGGCCACGCATATCCTTGAACTCTCCATGGGTATCGATGATATAACGGGCAGGGTATATTGGTTTCGTGTTTGAATCACCTTGTATCATCTCCAATACAGCGGCAAGACCCAAATTGACAGTACCAGATAGCCAATGAGGTAATTCTAACTTATCAAACATTGTCAAGATTGCCCAATGTTGAATTGACAATTCTTTGTTCGTAAGCCAAGTAGGAATACTCTTGGGCGTAAGACCATGTGGAGAATAGACGATCGAGTTCAAACTCTCCGCATTTGTTGATCGCCACAGGAAGATCAAACCACCATGTAACTTCTTCCATGCCATTCCTGCTGGTCCTTGAAAGTAAAGGAACTTTTCTTGTGGCAAAGCTTGTAAGATTTCCATATTGTTAGGCAATGGTGTACTGTTTTTATTTTCTGATTTTTCACTGATCCAACCGGGTGGCGTATCCATAGAGGCTGCTTTGATGACTGTGATCGAGTTTGATTTGCCTTTGCTGCCAAGAACTTTTCTTAATGCACCTTCTGCATCTTGCGTGACGAAGATCGGAATTCGTTCTGCAACACGTTCATCAGTAAGTGTTTCAGGATGCAAATGATCACTGAAAGGATGACTGATGACGATTGCGTCTATCTTGTTGGATGGTGGACGATCATCAGATGCACTATTTGCGACATTCTCTTGTTCTAACACACTTTCCAATTCTCCAATCGAAGATGCCAATGCTGCAGTTTGACGTTTTTGACCTGAAAACGAAACCACTAAATCAATTTGTTCTGCATCGGATAACCAAGGATCAATCAACAGATTGCATGTGCTTGTTGGATGATCAGCGGGGTTAGGTAGAGTCAACAACCAAGTTGAATCAAAATTGATTCGTCGAAGTTGTGCCATTTTAACAAAGATGATGATGGAAAGAAAGGTTGTTGGAATTTGTGTGCATGCACTCCACCTTTTAGTGCGTTAAACCCTAATAGCACACCCTTTATGAACAACCAAATAATAAGCCCCCAACGGTAAAAGCGGTACCGAGAGTTCTCGATCGTTGTATTGCGTAATTTGACAAGCTCTCGTAATGCTTTATTAGGAGCAACGTCTTATTGAAGAATCGATCAATGCATGATATCTTTTGAGTATGGTATACATAAAATACAAGTGCGTACAGTAAGGTTGCAGAATGAGCAAACATAGTAAGAAGGAGCAAGACCAGGCGAAAGCAAGAAACCGTAGATTGGAAACGCTTGTCCAATTCTGTAATCATACGCTCCATCGACCAATCAGGTAGCAGCAGGACACTCAACTGTCGGTAAACAGCAAGCCATGGCATACCAACAAGTCAATCCAAAGGCTATAATCAACACTGACTTTGCTGGGTTAGTCAAGATTGCATTTGGTCCCGCAGAACCAACTTCATCGATTGGTGCAATCACAGTCGAGACCATTTTTGGTAACATCATGTTCCATGTTTTGGACAAGCCAACTCCATGCAGCAATCGGATATGATCTTGGCATCGCTCTGAAAGAGACAATCAATATGGTCAATCACCGATTAAACGTCAATCCGATTCCATTGGTCTTGTGCACCGATTCAAAGTCATTGTATGATTGTTTGGTAACCGTCAAACCCAGCAAAGTCAGTGTTGATTATAGCCTTTGGATTGACTTGTTGGTATGCCATGGCTTGCTGTTTACCGACAGTTGAGTGTCCTGCTGCTCCAGTGTCACAAATGATACCTTGGAACTTCTCGGCTGAGTAAGGATCTAACAAAAATTGAGTAGAAACTGCGTTATCAGCTAGTATTACAAAGTCTGAAAATTGCAATGGTCCTAATCCGATTCACTGTCGGATTCTTCTGATCCTTGTCCAACAGCTGTAGACAACATTGCTTCACTGTTTGCTAAAGCGCCAGCAGCAGCAGCGGCAGCCATTGCTTCTCCCGAATTGTTATTTGCTGATTTGGATGCTGCTTCAATTCGTTGTCTTATTAGGATCAACCTTGCTTCTCTATCTCTTCGTTCAAGTTTAGCAAGTCTTTTTTGTAAATCACGTTTAAGATCCCAATTTGGTCGTTTTGGTGCGATGTTGTGTAAGTCCAAATCTTGTTCTCTTTTGATTTCATGTTCTGCAATCACACCTTCTTGAATGCCAATGATCATATTTTCAATTGTATCTTTTAATCTTGTATAATCCACCCTTTGCTTTCGATCAAGCACTCTGAAACTTCGTATTAGCTTTGCTGTTGACCATTTTTCAACACGTTTGCGTAGTTGTTCAACATCCGTCCCTTCATCTTGCATCTTTTCATCTTCTTCGTCAAATCTAATCTCCGATATCGATCTTGGATGATCACCTTTCACCTGATTGGCATTGGAATCGGCAGAAGATGCTTCTTTTCGCCTTCTCAGCTCCTCCAGCCGAACCTTTCGCGAAACTGATGCAGCTTCCATTGCACCGAGAAGGGATTTGTTATTGGACAAAGGTGGAAATCATCAATGAAGAAGTTAGCATTTTGAATTTTAAACATTTTCCTATAAACGCGCCTTCGCATTGATATTCTGTAGTGGCCCAGGCGTAGAATGCATAGCGTACGCTAATTGATGAAATGACATAACTTCATTGTTGTTCACTTTGATCATCCATTTGACACCATATCATCAACTACACTGAGCTGAACATTGCTTCAATATGCTTATCAAAGTCAAAACACTAACAGGCAAAGGTGAGGAGAGAATGCGGCCTTTATTCTAAAGCAGGACGAATAACTGATGGCGGTGGCACTTCTTCCTTTCGCAGAGATTGAGCTCGATATCGAGCCAACAGATAAGGTAAGAGAAAGAATGATGTGAGGGTCTCTTATTCTATTCACTCACACACGCATACCTCTTTGCTAATCTCATAGATTCAACGTATCAAGGAAAGGGTGGAAGAGAAAGAAGGTATTCCTCCTGCTCAACAACGTTTAATCTTCGGTGGAAAGCAAATGTTCGTACTTATACCGACAAAGTGAGGGGACACTCCCACTGACGTTCTTCCCTTTCTTTTAACCACAGGCACGATGATAGAACAGCAAAAGATTTCGGCATCGAAGGTGGATCTACTCTCCATGTGAGTATTACCACATCATTGGTTGTTCTATGAAACGATTGCTGACATTATCGTGCCCTTCTTCTTTCACAGCTTGTCCTTGCATTGAGAGGCGGTAGCATTTAATCTGAATTCATACAAAACTGCTCAGCACACCAAATGTAGAATAGAGACCATGCAAGGATCATCGTATACGAATCATAATTCAGGTATATAGTACATATGCATGCAGATCACAGCGATCAAGTCAATCGGATAAGGAGAAACATTACTATCCAACTTGAACATACCATGGCAATTGCACCTAACGTGATCCATCCCATACCTCTTGCTTTGCGACTATAATCACCAAGCTTGCCTCTCGTTCGGGTCATTAATGTCAGATTGCCTTGTAGTTTCTCATCTGCTTGCTCTAATATTTTTCGATCACGCTCCAGTGCGTCAGCAAATTTCATCGAATTAGCTTTCAGAATGCCTGCCATACGCAACAATTCGCCCGACAAAGAATCTTGTACACTTCTTTCCGATTGCAAGGCGGTAGGAGGGGCATCTTCTTGTGCTTCTTTTTCGTTTTCGGTATTGCTTACTCTTGTCAGCGAATCTTGCGTGTTTGCATTCTTTCTCCTGCGTAGAGACGCAGCTGCTTCATATTCATCCATACCATCATCAACATTCTTTTCTCCTAACTCTTCTGATTCTACCTTCTCGTCTGGCTTGATACCACCAAGGGCGACATTGTCTTCGTCCTTCACATCTCTGTGCAACTCCTCATCCAGTGCATTATCTTCGAATTCGGAATCGTCATCACTATCTTCCAAGAGATCGTCTTGCAGCAAGAATGATCGAGTATCAGCAACTTGCACAGGCTGCATTTGCGTCTGAAACGATCCACTGAACTGCCTCTGCATTGTGCGTGGTTGTGTCTGTTGCTGTTCCAATGGATACAGTTGAACATAAGATTGTGTCGCACGTTGTAGCCGAGATCGCATACTAGCAACCGTTGAACTCAAACCTTGTTGTGCTTGTAATTCGCTTATGATCGTTTGTGCATGTGTTAATGCGATTGCAATGCCTGCTGCTTGCCAAGTGTTGGTAGTCTTTGCTTGTGATCCTTCTTTCAATTGATTCTCTAATCGATCTAATAATCGTTCCAGTGTCAAGACTGAATATTCGTTGATCGAGCTAGAGCCTTGACGACCAGTGGATATCACTGGTACGCCCATAGCTGTTAAGTGGCTTGCTGTAGCTGCCATGTTCGGTGATTCTTGTTGATGGTGAATTGTACGAAAGAGGAACGATTGATTCGTGTTACTCTCATTCACACCTTTACAGTCTGTGCTCAACGCGGCGCTAAGTTTTTCTTATCCCCGCTTTACAATTAGACTTTTTATTTGAAAGAAGCATTCATCCCTGTCCTAAACAATGATCAGCGTGATTCAAGACAAAGAAATATGAATGATGTAGGGATTGCTGAACATGATCAGCGATCTGTTTGGCGCACACAATGGCAACAACTACGAGGCAAGCTTGACAGACCGATAGAAGACGAAGATGCTCTCTTGGATCTGCTGTTCGCTCCATTCGATGTCCTAGGTTTAGCAATTTATAATGCAGATGACGAACAATCACACATCATTCAGACGCACTCGCAGTGGAAACGGCTTAATCTGGGAGAAAATCTTCCCGAAGAAGCCAAGAGGAACTTTCGATGGATTGAGGACATGCAATCGAAATTTCTGAGAGAAATAATACCAGATTGGCATACGGTATTGGAACGTCGAGGTCTGCTAGAAATCGTCTTACAACAATGGTTCAGTCCGATGTCAATAAACAGAGAAGATAGAGCAACTATTGGTGCAATACAGCTTTGTGCCTTGGATACTGTTAGCGTAGCACTCTCCGATCGATTGCCTGATGCAAATGGACAAAGACGACAAAGACCAGAAACATGGAACATATTGCAGAAGATTCTGTTATCGCTGGTAGATCGATTATCACTTCTTAGTATTGCCCATGCCTGTCAAGATCTAGTATCTTCTAACAAAAGGCAGCTGCAGTGGACCTCTTCCATACGACAATTGCTCTCACTGCCGGATCGAATTGCGAATGCATATGAAGGAAAGTTCCCAGATACACTGTCTTTGCCCAGAATACGCTCAAAGGTTGGAGACGAAGTCGGAATGATGGTCCAAGGAGATGTGGACCGTCTTCTCGTCTCGGATGTGATCAGCAAATTGTTACGTGCAGGATGGTTTCAAGACGTACAAGGCTGGGAAGATAGATCGTACAGTGTTTGGCCTGCGATCCTTCGTCGAATATCTAACAGGGTAGAAACTGGTGAAATCAGAAAATGGCCTCTAATCGTTGGGTCGATGCAAGAGAATGATCAGAACGCTTTACTCATCTCCCTCGTCAATGCCCTAGACCGAGTCTTGAAGAAGAACGGGAAAGCCAGTTTTATCAATGGGTCGGAACTGGTTCGACCAGGCGCAGAAGGCAAAGAGTTTTTGTCAGCTTCTACGTGGGAGTCAGCTTTGATCGTGGCAAATGTCATTGAAATCTTTTTGCCTATTGACCAAGATGATGGCGAGGCCAAAGTTGATGTAGGATGTTTGTCGTGCTTGTTCCCGAACTCATCAAGCTTTCCGACGTGGTCTCCCCTTACCGCTCGCATTCTGATACACATCTTATTAAAGTACGATACCAACTTTCAATACGGAGAAAGCCTTCTTTTGCAATTGGTCAAAGCTTGGTCGCAACAGTCAAAGGTTGCCTCATTGGATGAAGAAGTGTTTCTATCAACGCTCATGCTCCTTCTCATACATGTGGCGCCTTCTGATTCTGAAGCAGTCAAACGATTGAGTACATCTCCTGACTTCATCAATGGCGTTACACAGCATTTGAAGCACCTATCACCATCTGCCCAACGATTGGGCATGCTCTTGGCCGAAACAGTGTCTGAGCGAGCCGGTAAAGGTATAAATTTCGGAAAGAGCGTCTGGGAAGGAAAGGGAAAAGGACGTGAAGAAGCCAGAGTATTACGGTCTTTGGCTCTGGGGTTCAAAGGCAGACAGATGGATGTGAAGTTGGGTAAAGAGAACATGCTATCATCATTGCACTTGAAGACAATCACAGAACAAGCTCAAGTTCAACTTTTCAAGCCACGTGCAAAGACTACCAGCGGGCCTACTACTAGAACTTTGCCGGCCCGCAAGCCAGCACCTACACGTAAACCCATAATACAACTTCTAGATGGAGATAGTGACGGGGAAGAGGACTTCCAGCCAGAATCGGAAACGAATGACATCCCCTCCCTAACGAACATCAATGGCAGTCGAAAACTAATCAGCTCTATCTCTGATGACGAAAAGAGCTCATCTTCTGAGTCAGATACATCCTCCGATGAAGATGGTCCTCGGAACGATCAAGAGGGAGCGACAGAAGAGGGCAAGGCCTTTGGGATGGCTGCGCCCACCAGCAAGAAACAGCTCCGACCGCCAATATATATCGGCGAGCTGGCCCCTCTCCTTCGGGAGAATGAGAGAGATAGTGTACGGATGGGAATGAAGTATTGCGAAGATTTGATACGACGCAAAGCAGGTTGGGGCGGAGAAGTAGAAGAGAATGCAATCGATTTGGCCTTGGCTTTGCTGTCCATTCACAACAATTTTAGAATTTCTCAATTCGAACAAAGAAGAATCGGTGCCCTTACAGCTTTGGTGGTTGCTAGTCCTACACGTATTGGACCTTGTTTGGCAGAACAATATTTTGATCATCAATACGCAATGGCACAGCGAATTGCTATGCTGAACGCTTTGGCTTTTGGAGCGGCAGAATTGGCAACTGGCACAAAGACGAATGCACGAATTGGAAACGACCGAAAGGATCAACAGAAACCGGCTTTGACGGCCAATAAACTTGCCGAGCAATTCTCACAATTGGCAATGCAAAGAGCTCGTGAGGAAGGCAAAGAGAGAATGCCAGAAATACGGAACGAGGAAGCATTACTGGTGAGCGGTACCCATTCAAAGACAAAAACGCAAGGACCTCGAATTGTAGAAGTGCAGAAGCATCAAGGGTCGTACACATCCGTTGCCAATACGTGCTTCATTTTCCCGTTAGTGAACAGATTATGGAATCATATTCAAAATTCCAGTGCTCTTGCAGGAAGAAGTGCATCTCGATATTCAGGTTCGGGAAGTAGAATCATAGACTCGCCCTTCATGATGGGATCATTGATCGATACAATCGCAGTGCTTTGCAACTATGCCCAAAATGAGCCAAGGTTCCGTCAAGATGTGATTCCAGAGGTTGTGCAGCTGGTTCTCACCATCACACGATCTCATTTGAGCTCATTGGCGCAAAATGCTACGATTGATGACGATGAAGAAGACGATGGCGGAAGTCGATCGACAATCTTGGGTGCAAGTGCTTCGCTTGTTTTGGTTTTATTGGATGCTGCTTGGCAGTTGGACTTCGGTATGTCGTTAGCCAGACAAAATGCAAATCTGTTGATGGAAGTACAGTATTGGGCATCTGCAATCTTTGAAGCAGCAGACGGGGGATCTTCACAGGCTAGCTCAATAGACCGATCCGTCGGCGTCATGGATCGTTCGGGAAGAGCGAGTGCCGCAATCTTGCTTCGAATTAATGAGATCCGTCAACATGGCAAGGGAGCATAACAAATGCGTGTATTACTAAAATTGTACAATATTAAACACATCAAAATTACAGAAAGTATGTCAAAAGAGTTTTCCGAGTACACGTCAACGGCTTTTGCGACCCAACAGAGATTCCAACCCCATCTTGTCCAAATGCAGAACATGACCACGCTCTCTTCTTGCATACACAAATGTATACAACAAGGTAGCCGTTCCAATTGCAGCAAAGCTGACATCGGCAGCATTCTTGAACTGACTGGGTCGTGACCAAATGATGGTGAGAGCATAATGCAACAAATCCAATGCATTTTGTAGTGCAAATTGTAAGCCCATCAGAGCATTTCTTCTGGGATGTAATCGAAGAGCTTCTTGTGCTTGTGCAAGTTGGGCCAAGTCAAACGACCATAATCCTATCCTACTCAAACTTAAGCCTGTGAACAATAAAGCTGTATTCCAATGCGGCCTTTGCTTGTTCGATGCTCCTTCGTAAAAGCTAACGATTGCCATACTGAGTGGCAAGAGTTCTGCCCAGATTGACCAGGTTCCCGTCCTGACCAAACCGATCTTTTTTGTTAGATAAGGTGTAACGAACGTTCCCAATAAGCCACAAACAACACAAACGCCCCTCATACCAGCGATAAAGGGATCAGTATAGTTTGTCTCACTTTTGAGATAAGCAATGAATGTCGAATCGAATGAAAGAACGCTCATGTACAGTAACGAGATTGCTAAAGAGCTAATAAAGATTGGCATCAAAGCGAACGAATGCCAATCTGCAATTTGTACTTTTGCCCATCGCTTCATTAGAGTAAAAGTGCCTCGCAAACCCTGCTTGGATAACCATTGATGCCATTTCATAGAAGTTGGCACACGTCTTGGAGGATAGTTTGCCTCGCCATTAGGTGCTGCAGTCTGCTCTTCTGCTGCTGCTTTTACGGGTCTTTTCTGTTGACGATTGTTTTGCTCTTCCTCACCCAGTATAGTGAATCGTCTGAACACAATGCCGATGAATGACAATTCAAAGACGGTCGTGAATGCGCTGATACACAGTAACACAACGCAAGATAGCGGATAACCCAACGTAGTCGTCAACAAGGAAACGAATAGTGGAGCGACCAATTTTGACAGAAGATCGATTCTACGCATGATCGCATTGAGCCTTGTTAGTCTTTTCGAGCTTCCTCTTGCAATACTCGTTACCCAATCTCTTTCCACACTGACAGAAACGCCAACGTTGCACAAGATCAGGATGCAACCCAAAATCGTGATTGCTGCAAAACAGGACCAAACATCAGCACGTCTAGGTGCATTGGGATTTGGTCCTCTTCCTCCATTCTGCGCTGCTTGACGTAGATTGTCGCTGTAGAATAAGACCAAAAAGATCCCGTACGATGCTGATACAAACAGCTTTTGCGAAAAGATGAACGCACGTACGATCCGTAACCGATGTGTGTTGAACGTATCCGTCAAGCCTCCAACTGAACCGCTAAAGACGATTGCTGATGCAGTTGTGATGAATCCGTACAAAGAAGCAGGCAAAAGGGTGTTGGTGAACAAGACAACCAAATAAATGCTATAAGCATATTCTGCTGCTCTGTAGGAGAAGGAACTGCTAGCTTCTTGAGCGCCTAGTAAGATCAAAGCATAGACGTCAATATCCGATGATTCTTCTACTGTCTCTTCTCCCGGAACTGCAACGTCTTGACTGTCGTCTACTTCATTGTTATCGTGATTGGAACTTTGACGAGTTGCAACTGGCTGAATAGCATCGAAATCCTTTTCATCTCCATTTCTCTCGCGCCATTCCGTTTGGGCCACCTGATCCTTTGCAACGTCATCTATGGAGATGCCCTGCCTATCTAGAACATTTGTGGTGATCTCTGCTTGCATTGTGACTCCGGTACCATTTCTTTCCTCTGATTTTGAATGATAGTAAGAAGGGCCGAGCGTAGATAAGATAACACTTTTTTTTCATTACCCCACTAGTCAGCCTCAGCACACAGTCATGTCTGCGCGCCTAGCTCGTTCAACGTTCGGATGCCGGGTGGCATGGTGAAAGTTGTCTGTGAATAGATTGATCCTTCCTTTCTGGATCTGGCATCGGATTTGCATAAGAAAATGTCAAAAGTGTGGATGAATCATATACTCTTCAAGAGTCTTTGCCTTCCTTAGCCCCTTACGTAATCAAAAAATTGACAAAAGCATAAAACAGAAAGAAAAAGAGTATCTCTTAATCCTAATCCTCGTTCTCGTTTTCGAATGCCTTTTTTGCCAAGGGTTTTCCAAGGACTTTAATTTTAGGTGGCTTTGATAGATTTAAACGGCGACTAAGATCTATATTAATTGATAGACTCACGATCAGATCAATCAATTTAATTAATCATCCTATCATCAAATGCGATCCATCCCTTGGCCGAGACTGAGTACGAAAATGAACCGAAGCATAACCGAGCTCGGCATGGTTCCCGCTTAAGTATAGTTTCGGTAGAATACTGTCAATGTGCCAAGTCTATGCATCGAAACAGAGAAGCATGAGTGTGCGCGCGCGCGTATTCTTATTTTGGCCACAAAGACTGATTGGCTTGCCAAAATGAAATTTGACGGGAAAAAGAAGACAGACATGGTATGCATGTACGGCCAGAACCTGCATTATGCAATCCTTCACTTCATCAGTCTTTTAAGAGGTTATCCTCTATGAGGAGCCCCACCATAATAGGAACAAGGAACAAAAAAGTGCAAATGCGCATTCTTGCCATCAAATCATCATCTCCTGATCCTCTTCATTCCATTCGGCCAGATTCAACGGCCTCTTTTCGGGCTCGGCATATGCTTAGCGTAGAAAGAGGATGAAATGAATACAAAACAAGTCAACCTTTACAACAACTTTTAATCGGCGAAATACATACCGTCACAAAAGGGGGGTCCAACTGTCAAAGCTTTACAATCTCTTCCATTTTGCCGTTCTGAGTTGGAGTGCATGTTGTACTTGCACTGTACCTAGTCATATTTCCACAGCATACATCGCCACCCTCCTTCGCTTGGCATCCTTCTTGCTTCGGTGAGATTGTTCAAGCCTTTCTCCAGTTTGTGCCTGCCTTTTCCCCAACTGAAAGGGATAGATTAGACGCTATCATTGTATATTTTGCCGAGCTTAGCGTCTTTTGCATTCTTTTCTCAATCTTCAACCATCATCAATTCTCTTCGGGACAACCCAATCCTTCTTCAATTACGCTACTCCCCACATCACAGGGCTGATGTATTGTTGATCCCCGCACATAGGTCAAAGTTCGGTCAAATCAAGTGACTGGATTCATCTCGTACGGCAATCGTCAGATATAAAAGGAAGAATGAATTAAACCTTTCCATTCCCTCATCCTTCAAGCCCCTTTTCTTACGTCACAATCGTACAGCATCATCATCCTAAGCTCAGCCCCATTGGTGAGAAAACCCCACACATTCAAACACATATCCACAAATCTCATCGCCACAAGACGCCCCCTTTACATCGTGTATGACTCTTTGCGTACCTACCTCAAAATAAGCAGCCCCGCCATACGCCTTCAAAAAAACGTTGTAAAAAACAAGGGAAAAAAAAAGCAAAACAAGCAAGCTTTAAATAAGACGCAATCTTGTTCTTCTCTCTTCTTATTCTACCATCATCTTCAGGTAGTTTTAATCCTTCCACCTCAAGATTGACCTGATTGATTACCAGTCATCATCGACGCAATGGCAGCAGCAACAAGACAGACAAGTGTAGATAAGGATCAAAAGACGACGGATGTGGTGACAAAATTCGTAGAAGCGGAAAAGATCCAAGATCCTGAATCAGACGTTCACAGTCTCAATATGTCATCTGCAAATTCAAACACTGAAAAAGGTTCTACTTCCGGATCGCACGGAACATCAGCATTTAATGCATACATGCTCTTTTGTACGCTCGTTGTTGGTTTGGGAGGTTTAAATTGGGGATATGAAAATGCCCTCGTTGGACCAATTTCTGCCATGAAAAGTTTCGTCCGTGATATGCAAGGAATCAATGCAGATACCGGACAATACGTTTTAACAGCACATCATCAATCAATCATCTTTTCCGTTCCATTAACGGGAACAGTCGTTGGTGCTTTACTTACCACTCCCGTACAAAATCGATTCGGTCGTAAATGGGCTTTGCTTGGATCTTATTGTACTTCCATGGGTGCCGTTTTCTTGCAATTATTTGCGCCTAATTTCGTCGCTTTCGTTATGGGTCGTTGGTGGAATGCCGTAAGTTATGGTGCTGCTTTGGCAATCGCACCAAATTTTATGGCAGATCTCGTTCCAGCAAAGATGCGTGGTAGATTCGTTTCAGGTGCCAATATTGCCACGATTGCAAGTAGTGTTTTAGCAACGGTTGTTTGTTATGCAGCACAAGAAACTCACGGTGAAGATGCACTTTCGTACAAAATTCCTCTTGCAGTTCAAGCTTCTTTGCCATTTTTGATGACAGTACCAACACTTTTCGTTTGTGAATCACCTTCTTGGCTTCTTACCAAAGGTCGCGTTGAAGATGCTCGCAAGACACTTCGTTCGATTCGTGGCTTTAGCGATGAAGAAGTGGAAAAAGAGTTGAATGTCTTACAAGCAATCGAAGATGAATCTCGTCAACGTGAGAACCCAAGATTCTGGGAGATTTACAAGCCTGAACATATTCGTCGTACTTTGGTTGGTGGATCAATCTTTTCGTTGAACCAATTGTCTGGTATCATTCTCAGTACAACTTTTGCTGCCGTATTTTTGACTCAATTGGGAGCCGGTAATCCGTTCTTGTTCTCGGTTATTGGTAACTTGTGTTTGTTAGCAGGTACGATTGGAGCACCTTTTGTTTTGGACAACTTTGGTCGTCGTCCAACAGCTTTGATCGGTTTCTCAATCTTATTGGCAATTGATGCAACTGCAGGAGCATTGGCATTTTTTGCAAAGACGCATCGTAATGCTGCAATTGTGATTGCCGTTCTTTCATTCGTTTTCAATATCGTTTGGACTTTGAGTTTCTATTCGATCTCTTTGTTGATGCCAGCAGAAATTCCAACTGAACGTTTACGTAATCCAACAATGACTCATGCAATCGGATGTGGTCAATTAACTGCAATTTTGACAACTCTTGTTGTACCTTTGATCACGGCAGAAGATGCAGCAAATTTAGGAGCAAAAGCATATTTGATCTTTGGTGGATTGATGGCAGCAATTTTAGTTTTAGCAGCATTATTGTTACCCGAAACCAAAGGAAGAACAAGTTTGGAAATTGATGAATTGTATGCTCGTCATATTCCCGCTTGGAGATGGAAAGGATTCGAAACGAGTGCAAACAGATTGGCCGCTCAAGCACAGTAAATCTTTGCTTACATATATTCTCACCACAACCACATTGTATTATAGTCAGTTATTTCTCATGATGATAGGTATTGAATTTGTATGACCGATTTCTTCTTATTGGTGGTGATGTGAGCCGTATTAAGTTTAAAATCCAAAATAAGCCACCCTTAGCTGCCGACGGCCGGAGAATGAATGCTTTAAGCAAGCTGTGCAAACGCGTTAATGCAAGCGTATGCATGCGTGCTTCGATTTATGCACTATACCCTTATGAGCCTCTGGTCTAATTTACCACAACGGCGTTCCGAAGTGCATAACTCTTACGATTAAAGGGAAACGCTCCTTTTCCTCTTTGCAACCATCATTGACATCATCACAAAGTGTCTGGCTCAAGGTCAGGCTTGCGATTTACTACCTTGATTCAGAAAGGCTTCTCCTTCCACACAATCAATCATGCCCCTGTTCTCCTCTAGTTCAAGTCCCAAATTAAACAGCGGTCCTTCATCGCCCAGCATGTTTTCATCAAAAAGTAAACGTGATTCAGCAGCTGATCAATCAGGCAAACGATCGTCTCATCATGACGGAATTGGCACAAGCGGTATGATGGGCACTTCAAACAGTTTGGCAGAATATTACATACCCGATAAGCTAGTCTCTTCACCTACTGCTTGGGGTGCAGAAGCAAGAAAGCAAAGTAGATTGGCAGTTGGTGGCTTTGGCGCGGCTGCCGGTCGTAGTTCAAGAAATGCAAATAAGATCTCTAAAACCGATTCTATGCAAAGTTTACCTGCAAACGATCGTCAAAGACCAGGATCAAGTTCTGCTCTGGCTTCTGCTCTCGAATTGAATGGATCTCGTCCGGACAACAGTATGCCAAGAGCACGCAAGTGGGGTGCAGGTCGACATGCTTGGGGCCCAAACGGTGGTGGTCATGCTGCTTTGGGCGCAGGTGGATATGAAAGTGACGAAGGTGTAGAAATCGATTATATACGTGATAGCTCAAGCCTTCACGATAAAGGAAAATTCCAAGTCAAACCAACACGAGGATATGACAGCTCATCATCCATTCCACAAGTTAGCACACTACGTCAAAATCAGTACAGCGATGAGAATTCCTCGTCAGACGCTTCCAGTCGTAGAGGTCTCTTTTCACGTTTCTTTGGAATGAATGTTCCTTCTGTACAGCGAGGCAAATGGAACAAGTTCAAATGGATCTTGTTCGCTGCAAATTTCGTTTTGACTTGTTATACAATCGCTGGCTTTATTGCCATCATGCTTGCTTGGTCAAACTTTTTCCCAAATTCAAGCGCTCTTCTTATCGTCAATCGAACGGAACTCATTTTGGGAACGATTGCTATGTGCCTTTGCATCATCACAGCAATCATTGGATGGACAGGTATTTTGCTAAACAATCGTGCATTTTTGTCTGTCTATGCATTGATGCTGTGGATTTCGTTTGCTTTCATCCTTGCACCGGGCTATATTGCCTACAAGAGACGTACTTTCAACTTGGCCGGAAAGATGAATCATTTATGGTCTCGTGAATTGACATTGACAGGTCGCAGAATGATACAAACAGTTCTCAAATGTTGCGGATATTATTCTCCCTTTATTGAAGCGGCAGCGGATGGAAACCGTTGTTATGCAAGAAGTGAATTGCCCGGTTGCAAAGGTCCGTTGATCGAGTTCGAACGTGAAGCCTTGTTAAACATTTACGCCGTCGCTTTCAGTTTGGTTCCTGCTCATTTGGCATGCGTTGTGATTACGATGTTATGCGCCAATCATGTCACTTACAGATTCGGCAAGGGTATCACACCAGCACGTTACCGTGTTGATGATCAAACGATCAAAAAGGCTTACAGAAAGTCTGTTCTTGATGAAGGTACGGTCAATTCACGATCACACTTGCTTCTTGTCGATCAAACACCACTTGATCAGCCTAGACCACCGTTTTGGCATGATGTTAGCTCTAAATCGGTGTCCAAATCCAAGTAGGGATTACAACTCTTTTGTACGATGTCATTCACTTTATGGTCCACTTTTTGTCACGATAAATCCAATATATTTATCTTTTAATTCTATGTCTAGTAATATACAATACGGGTAACTAGTCAAGAGAAGCATGAGCCCCAAAAATGATACAGTGAAATGAGAACCATAGAAGACAACATTCCAGAAAATAATATATATATAAGAAAGCGAAGGGTAAGATGTATGGAGAAGTAGTCGATCTACTTCCATAAATTGAACGAGCTCTTTCGACGAACGGATTGTTGTTGAGCGGGAGCAGCAGTACGTTGAACGCTATTGATTGTATTGATAGAATCGTATGATTGATCAAGGCTGGTCCTTCGATCAGATTCTCCGTCATCGTATGAATCACAAGCCGAAAGAGCTCTTGCACCACCACGACGCCAGAATGTGACTGGAGGTGCGCCAGCACTTTTTTGACGTGCACTCGTTGGTGTTTTGACGGTATTGACGGGAATTTGTTCATCACCATCATAAACGTAAAAAGGAGAAGCAGGATCATAATCAAACACTAACCCACGAACACGACTACGCAAACTTGCAGCACGTGAAACGCTTGAAGAATTTCCACGAGAATTGGTATAATGGCCGGCAAGTTGAGTTGGCATGGCTTTTGTGGAAATTGTAGATGTACGACGAGAAGCGCTACTTGCTTCAGCAAATGCACGTAAACCATCGGCAGCAGTCATACGATCTTGATCCAAAGATTGACGTAATCCATAAGGCATTGGATGAGGTGCTAAAGAAGCACTGCCAAAGATCTTTTGAGATGGACTACTTTGTGGCGCAGGTTCATCGGATGTCGTTGTTGGTGTAACGGGTACATCTGCCAACGGACGAGCAACATCCAAAGCATTAAATGCACTACCACCGCCCATCTTTGACAAAATACGATCTGCCAATTGAGCAGGAGGACGAGTACGATCGATTGAACCTGTCGAATCAGCACTCTTTACAGACGGAACGAGTGACTGTTGACTTTTATTATCCAAAACGTTGCTAGTACTTTGTCTACGTTGACGAGCAAACAAACCTCGCAATCCAGATTTGGCAACTGGTGGAGCTGGAGAGCTTGGTTGCATTAAATCAACTGTCGATCGACTTGCTAGTGCATTACGATGTTGGTTGATGGTTGAAGTAGAAGAAAGATCAAACACAACCGTGGAGGAAGATGCATTGCTTTGTGCAACTGGCGTTGGCTCAAATTGTTCACCTTGATCAAGCCAGGAGCCCATGAGCTGTCTCTCAGATCGTTCAGGACTTGAGGCAGGTTGACTTTGAGCTGTCTGCAAGCTTGCAATGCGGACTGGTGCTAGAGGAGGAATTGATCCTTCTTGTGGCCATGGAACTTTAGATCCTCTTCTACGTCTAGGTGCTTTTGAATGACTACTGGATGCATCGGATGGCTTACGATGATGCTTATTGCTAGAAGAATGAGTAAGCTTGTCCATCGTTGACGTAGATGGGAAGGAAAAGTCTTGACCGATCATTGATCCATCCACCGATCCTACTCTGGATGAAGTTGAAGGTGGCAACTGTCTCATGCGTGCTTGTGAAGTTGGACTGCGAGCCCAAGAAGCAGATGAGCCGCATTCCGAGATACCCGCAATGGAAGATGGACGGGTGGAAATGGTTGTTGCGCTGGAGAAGTCTCTGCTCATTGCACTTGAAGAAGTGATGGAAGAAACACTATCATGTCTATTGGCAATAGCGGCAAAGTCATCGTGTGCTTCTTCTTCCTCTTCTCTTTCTTCATCTATGTTACGCTCGAAGCCCGCTGCTTCGGCTGCATAACGAGAAACTGCATCTGCCAAACCTGCAAACATGGGCAAGTGAGCACGTTTGATGCTTGAAAGTGTCTTTCCATCTTTGCCACTCATTGTCAATGTTCCCAAGTCGATTTGCGGACTGGCAGTTGGTGTTACGAAAACATCGCTCACGCCGCTCAAACGCCATTTGTTCTTTTGTTGTTGCATTTGTTGTGATGGCGTTTGGAAGATTGAGATAGAAGAATCTGAACCTGGGAATGTATCAACTGATGATGAAGGTGGCGTACTTGCAGAGCGTGTGAGGCCCAAGCCAGCCGTGAAAGCGGAAATTGGACCTTCTGATGGTGTCATTGCTCGACAAAGTTCTTCGCGTTCATCATCGCTGCTCACCCATGCCAATTCATCATCAAGCCAATCGATTCCAGTCTTTTGGGGAACAGTTTTTGATCTTCGCATCATAACACTGTCCATGCTTGACTGAGGAGAGCAAGAATCTGTGTCAAATCGTGAAAGACCGCTAAGTCTTTTTGCTTGCTTATGCGCTAGCCGTGACCGATTTGATTTGGAAACAATGGGTCTAGTAGAAGGAGGCTGAGGAAATAATGCATATCCTCTCGAAATAAAAGATGCCCAATCATCATCATCATCGTTTGCCTTCTTTGATGTTGCTGGCTTTTGGTCGATTGGTGGCAATGCTGCCGCTAGCCTTGCCGGTGATCTCTTTGGTCGACATGGTGGCTCTGGCAATTCCAAAGGAGAATCAGCCAAGACTTTTGCCATGTTTTCCGTAGGATCAACCGGTGGCAGAGGTGGTAAAGGCCTCCCTAGCATCTCTGCTAGCTCTTTTGCATTCCTTAAGTCCCGCGATTTTCTCAATGCGTGACCGAGTGCTTTATTCCTTTTCCTTCTGATATTGTTTTCTGGATGCGTTGCTGTCATATTTGAGCATTGACGTCCCGACTGGATTAGCTCTATATCTTCGCCAAATTGTTGCGAAGTTGACATTTTTGTTATTTTGAGTGGAGCAGTTGATTTGAAAATCTTTCTCGGTTGAAGCAAAGGTAAATGCCTATCGAATAATCGTCTTGAAGGACTCGGAAATGGTGCACGACTATGAACGTGTGCAGGAGTAAGTTGAAGAAATTCCGCTTTGTCTTTTGCGTCTCCTTCGTCAATGCTATTGCCTCGTCTTCTTCTTAGTTTGACGCTCTGTGATGCCAAGTCCAAGATCAGTGCGTTCGCATTGATTGGGAACACATCGCCGAAACAGCATTGTGAACCGTTTGGAACCGTTTTGCGATCCATATTCGAAAAAAGGTAAAGAAGTTCGATAAGCGCACATCAAGTGAGCAAGAATATATAATGTAATTTTAGGGTTGAAGGGAAGAAGAGAAGGGTAAAATTGGTTTTCAAGAGAAGAGTCAGTAAATATGATCCAATAAACAAGCTCTATGCTTTTTAAACGATCCCGAATAAAATATGCCAAGAATTTATCCGCAATTCTCCTGTTCTTCACCGTTCATTTTTTGGTTTACCAATGCCGCCGGCGTTTCAGCCCACTTGCATGGTAAATGACATTAATCATTGGATCTTCCAAGAAAAATTGCCACATGCCAAGACAATTTGCCTGAACACCATACAGGCGCCATGCAGTACAATTTATTCGTGCGGTTCGTTAGCAGGATCAGAAGTCTGAAAATGCTGTTCAACGAATCGAAGATGACAAAGGAAAAAGCTTGCCCGATCATCTTGGACACAAATATGAGGATCACAAATCCAACAAAAAGCAGCTTTCCGACCCTCATCTTCGCCGCTTGAAAGAGTCCGAGCAGGTTCGCGGAATCAATTCAGATCGTCAAGGAGGATCGAATAGTGCATTTCAATGTCATCATGCCGGTACATTACGCAGATACAGGCCAAATAACTGTTTGTTATTCACCTTAGATTGGCGTAGAGGGGCTTGAATGCCAAGAAATCGTGGCAGGAGATTGAAAAGAAACACCGTACCACATACAACGATGATGACATAGAAGCAATCGATTGGGCGTTTTCGATGGAAAGGATAAAGTGTGATTGATGATGATGTAAGAATCATGCCGCTTTATACAGCACGCCTTCTATGCCACATGCAAATTTTTCTATTACGACGCCCAAACCAGAACGCCACAAAAGATGGATCTGTTGGTCTTTTGCTTGGTAAGAAAAAGCATTCCAATTCCCGTCTTCAACGCCGTTTTCATTCTCCCCCTTTCAATTTCCTTCATCTTTCAACACCGCAGAAAGTCCTTTTTTTCAAACATGATCCTGAGCTGAATACTCACATTTCAACTATAAACCGACTCCGTAGGATCTTTTGCGTGTTCCTGAACGGTACCGTATAGTGAGGAGGAGGAACGCCTTCTTGAGTGTGAATTCAAACTGCGCTCCAATTCGATTACGGCGCGGGACGGGATGCTATTGGGTGACAAATAGCCGCTTTTGTGATGTTTTCTGGTCTGATCGTGAATTGGTATGTTGTAAAGATTCAAACGATTGAGTTGAAAATGTTGAGATACAAGTGGGTCAACGTAAAGATCGATCGTTAATGAGATAGACATATTTATACTTCCACCACAAAGCGCATATATTCAGAACAAAAATGCAACGTACGTTAGATTGAATTGATCTTCATTTTTAGGGTGCATCTAAAGAGAAGTATATAATGTAAAATAGATCCACCTCCCTGCTCTTTCTCTTGTATCGGAACGTCATCGATGTTGAACAGAAGCAGCAGTGTAGCAGCGCCTTTGAATCGGCACCGTTGAATGGTGAATAATAATACATTATGAATGAGAATGATTGCACAAATGCGCGCGCGCTAATGCAGTCAATCTGACAGGGAAGCAAGGATTCGTGTGTATTTTACAAAGATAGACTATTGACAATATGCATGCAAGCAGTATATAATAACAACTTCTTTTCAGGGCCGCTTTCTTTAAAAATATATTCAGCTTCAAATCTTGATCTTTTTTTACCCCTTTTCCCACTTTCGATTCATTCTTTTGATTGAATTCGTTTCGGATTTTGTCAAACCGTGCAACTACACCAGTCTAGGAGCTCTTCCTCTCGGTCAAAAATGATTGAATTAAATTGCCGATTGCCAGTCTTACTTTGCCTAAAGATCGGGGAGGTAAAGCGGATTACCAAAAAAAAAACTTAAAAAGGCTGCTGCATATACGGACAAAAGGGAAGCAAAAATTTCTGGCTCATCGGGAGTACGAAATATATTGCGCCCAAGAACTTTAAAGCCATGCCGTTTAAAAGTGAAAATGGGGTGCGTGTTTGCAAAAAGGGTTGTCATTGTATTGTTTAATTGTGGCAGTTGCAACAATTTAGGCAAGCAAACGGCCTTTAAAGCCAGATCAAGCCAAAAAAAGCTTATTTTTTCGCCAATTTAAATCTCTCTATCCGATTGCATGAGAGTGTGCTGTGCACAAAAGGAGAATAACCGATTGATTATGCAAGGGAGTTATACGCGTGTTTGTCTGCTGTGCACCCCTCCGTTGCATGCGAAATGTATGAGTAAAAATCAATCATGCAAGGGCAGCCACACCATTTTTAACAACCAACAGTTCGGACGAGAGACAGAAAGAGAACATTTTCATTTCAGTAGCCGACGAATCTTAATTTCAGAATATTCTACTTCCGACCTTGATTTCAACTCAGATTTATCAACGCCACCAATTCAGATCTCTCTTCTCTTGAATCGGAATTCGGCGAGGTCACTCGGATGTTTTTCGTATCTCGTAGTCAACAACTTTGACATTTCTTCTTCCTAATCATGATGTATTGTCATCATTCAATGAATTTCAACTTTCAAGTCTAAAGCATGGGGGTTCTCATAGCAACACGCTAAAATCAACAACCTTACTTTAGCGCGCTTTCATCCGATACGCTAATGCAAACAAACGGAACAACGCGTTGTGATGGCAACAAAGGGTGTGTAGCATGAATGATGAATGGTACCTTTTTCTATGTGCATATAAGATAACTTCTCCTGACCGGGACTGTTTCACATTTAGGAAAAAGAGCAACTCTCTGCAATTGGCCGATCACTCTCTCCCGTTCAATACGCTAATCGTAAAGCCCTGACAGGAGAATGCATTTTTTTGGAGAAAAAGAGATGATTTACTGGACCTGAATTATGATCTGATCATTTAAAAGGATCAGCAAAAGATAAAGCATAGAAGCCGATCAAGGCGTAAAACTTCCGATGAATTCACGATCATTCTCGATTCGATCAAAAGTTGGTTCTTCACGTGTGATCAGTGATCACGAGATGCACATTCGGAAAACGACGTTCTCAGTTGCATGTCGGATTTAGTGTGACTTTTTTGAAAAGTTCCTGCCTTGTGATCCCGGAAGGATGCTAAGAGGCCGTAATGAATGCCAAGCGATTGACCTCGTGACCTTTCTTCCTTGTGATTCCGATCTCACATGACATACCTCCCTGATATTCTAGATTGTCATCTGACCCAAATTTCCTTATTGATTGATTGCTGTTTTTGTTTTTCCGAAATATTCAATTATTTGATTCAGTGGAGGTTACAGACAGACAGACTGTACGGCGCCGCATACAAAACACTCACCGCACGCACGAGCCAAATGCCGATGCAAAGAAGTCGTTGAGAATTTCACGCTAAAATGTGGGGTGGGGGAAAGAGTGATTCTAGAAGGATGAATGTCAAGGTAGAAATAAACAATGTCTTTTACCAACAACGACAAACATCTTCATCTCTTTCTTTGAGTTATACAAAGATGACATCCTCTGCCAACGCTCCAAGACTGCAAGGCCAAGTGGCCATTGTGACAGGAGGAGTAAGTGGGTTTGGAAAAGCAGTTGTTGATACATTCATTGAACAAGGTGCAAAAGTATTGGTGATGGATTTGAATGCGAATGAAGGTGGTGGTGGTCTGAAAGATCATGATGAAACCGTTGGACAACAACTTAAAGCAAACGTTTGTTCAGCTCAAGATTGGAAAACGGCAGTAGAGATCTGTCAATCTAAATTCGGTCAAACGCCAACGATTTGCGTGAACAATGCAGGTTGGACGTATTCAAACAAATCAACATTGACAGTCACTGAAGAAGAATTCGATAAAGTGTTCAACGTCAATGCAAAATCATTCTATGTGAGCGTAAACACTCTTGTACCTATCATGCAAAAAGCAGGAAAAGGTGGATCATTCATTCAAGTTGCATCAACGGCAGGTGTGCGACCAAGACCGAATTTAACATGGTACAATGCCTCAAAAGCAGCCGTAATCGCAGCAAATAAATCAATGGCACTCGAATTTGCAAAAGACAAAATTCGATTCAATTGTGTCAATCCAGTAGCAGGCGTTACACCAATGTTAAGTCTGTTTGCAGGTGCTGCAAAAGTAGGAGATGCTTTAACTGATGCTCAACTTAAACAATTCAACGATAGCGTTCCTTTGGGTCGTCTAAGTATGCCTGCAGATGTTGCAAATGCAGTCCTATTCTTTGCTGATCCAAAGTCGGAGTTCCTTACCGGATTGGATCTCAACGTGGATGGTGGCAGATGTGTGTAAATGTATATACCATTGAATGATATTCTGGATCAAATTTCATGGTAGACCGCCTGATGATAGTGACAAAGAGCGAGTTAGTACAGTACACGCTTTCAAGCCCAAAGAAATACTCACGACCTGAATTGATTGCATCTGCAACCTGTGAAGTGCCGGGTCGATTTTCAGCATAACGGGCATAAGAGTCAACGTAAAGATCATCAGTAGAAGTTGTAGCCTTGAAAGAAGGATCATTGTAAAGTGCTTTCTTGAATTGACCAAATCTACTGCTTTCATTAAAGACTTTATCGAGCTGCAATCCACGATAGTGGCCCAACACGTTATCAGCTCTCAGGATCCAAGGCGCGACTTGAATATCCACAAATCCGAGTTGATCGCTTCCGTCCCAAAATCCGCCGTTCTTGGCCGGTAGCATACTCTTCTCAAACGCTTTTAATTCTTCCACGAATTCTTGTCCTAATTGCACTTGATCTTTAGGCTCCTGTGCTTGCAAGTATCGGTAGAAAGCGGGAAGCAATTTGCGATTGATGTGATCTGCTGCTAGTCGTTGACGTGCACGTAAGTACGGGTCTTCTCTTGGTTGTAAATACGAGTTCTTCTCTTTCGCATTTCCGTATCGATCCTCCAAATAATCCAAGATCACCGTACTTTCGCCTAAGCATTTTCCATCTTGACCAATTTTGAGTGCTGGCACGAGTCCTTTTGGATTGACATCAAGCAACTCTTTTGGCTTTTTGTACGGGTCGATCTCGACGTATCTGTATTCAACCCCGCCCAATCGTTCCAATGCGATCCACACACGTTGAACGAATGGACAAAAGTTTGAACCGTACAAGGTTAATGCTTCTCCGTATTGATCTGATTTGGCTTCTTTGTGAGCGTTGACGGTTTTCAATGCTTCACCTGTACATTCAGTTCTATAATTGATCTGTTTACTCATTGTGTCAATATCTCTATTGGATATGGTGTTGAGTGAAGTGATGATGGCAAATGTTTCATGAGAATGAGTTGATTGATTGTTGGCTCGTGCATGAAATGGCATCATCCATCGGATATAATGCGTGTGTGACATTAAGTCCGTTGCTAGATGTGGAGTTTGACTTTCAAACTTTTGACTGATATGGTGCCCTTCCAAAAGCCGAAGTCGGCACCGATTTCCAACTGAAATTATGCAATACGAATCAACCCTTTTACGAAGTATATAAAATGAAGAATTAATATTGCTTCAATTCTTCTCTCACTTCCACAACAATATATACAAATCATACACTCAAAATGCCAGCAATCGGTCCAGGTAGTTTAGTCCTCGTCACGGGAGCTTCAGGCTTCTTGGCAGCTCACTGTGTTCATCAACTTCTAGAACGTGGTCATTCAGTTCGCGGAACGGTACGATCAAACGAAAAAGGAGAATATCTTAAAAAATTATTCAAACGTCATGGTGATAAGTTTCAATATGTAATCGCAGAAGATTTGGAAAAACCAAACGTTTTCGATGAAGCAGTCAAAGGTGTTGATGGTGTCTTGCATACAGCTTCTCCTTTCCATATGAACGCTGAAGGTCGTGCTTTGGACGCTTTGGTCAATCCTGCCGTAAATGGAACAAAGAGTGTTTTGGCTTCGATCGCAAAGGAGAACAAGGTGAAACGTGTAGTCGTTACAAGTTCATTCGCTGCCATCATTGATTCAAAGAAAGTCAAGCCTCCACATACATTCACAGAAGCAGATTGGAACGAATCTGATCCAATTCAAAGTGAACAAGAAGGAAATGCTCAAAGTCCAGCTATAAATGCTTATCGTGCATCGAAAACGTTGGCTGAACGTGCAGCATGGGATTTCGTCGAAGCAAACAAGCCATCTTTCGATCTTGCAACAATCAACCCACCTTTGGTTCTTGGTCCAATCATTCATCAAGTAAACAGTCCCGACTCATTAAATACAAGTGCAGCAAACATCTGGAAATTGATGCATGGTGGTAGCCCAACAGCAGCCGTTGCAGTTGATGTCCGTGATACAGCCAAAGCTCACGTCGAGGCTCTACTACGTCCAGATGCAGGCGGTCAAAGGTTCGGTCCAAGTTACGGTCCATACACTTACCAAGAAGTTTCCGACATCATTCATGCCACAAAGGTGCCAATTCCAGATGAATGGAAAAAGAACACACCAACGGATATCAACGACTCTAAAGCTCCAGTCAATTTGGACGGTAGCAAGACTGAACGTGAATTGGGTGTCCAATATCATACATTCAAACAAACTATCGAAGATACTCTCACTTCCTTTGTTGATTATCATAACAGAGGTTGGAAAGGAGTTACTTCAGAAGAAGTCTTGTATTTACCCTGATCGCCTTAATGTACTTGCCTGAACAAAAAATAATACAAATTCCAAATTGATCTGCTTGTCCAACAGCATGAAGAAAAGAAAGAGAGATAAATCATACAACCAAAATAAGTACACAGATTACCATGCCGTTCCCGGATCGGCAGTCAATACACGATCCAATCCTGCCCTAAAGCCCGGTAAAAGTTTCTCCAAAGCAGATTGTACTTTTACCGTCGGACCAAGCTTTTGCTTTTTCATTTCGTATGCCGTCATTCGAGTTTTTCCACCTTCTCCCATCAATTGAATATCCAAATTTCCATCAGCATCTCCAGTTGCCCATCTACATCCCATCTCCATCTGGCGTGTTCTCTTTCGCCATGCATGTTCGACAAGTGCTTCCAATGCAGCCCGATCAGTTCCTTCTGCCTGCAAAGGCGATTTATCTTCACCGCTTGGCTTTGCCCAAAAGCGTGCCAAGATATCGTCCGTTGCGCCACCTGATTCGCCTGTTTCCTTGAATCGCAACAATGATGCAACCGATTGAAGCCATTGAGTGAAATCGTACAACAACGAATCGCCCAAAGAAGATGCATGTAAGAATCTGTACCAATCCGGTACTGCGTCATCCAAGAGCAACGTCAACGTGCTCAAGCTTCTCGAAGGATCTTGAACGCGCATCCGCAATCCTGCTAAAACGTCCAGCAACTTCAGACAGAATTGTTGTAGATCCAGAACGACATCCCGCTTCTCATCCTTTGAAGACTTGATCGATGAAGCGCTCGAGTCGGACGTTCTATCAGTGGAAGAATGGATAAGCAACTTGCTCTTATGAAGTCGTTTGAGAAGGTCCAGCAAAGGTTGCAATAAAGCAAACACGATCGGTTTCAATTCCGCTTTTAGTCCTTCTCTGATCTTCTTGCCATCTCGTTTTTGACATAAAAGTCGTAAGGCATGTTGCATATCGTAAATCCTTCGCACATCCACGTTAGCTTTTAGCTTGGCCTTCTTCTCCGCGTAAGTAGGCTGTGACCGGATAAACTCTTGATAGTGTTTTGTTGCGGAAACCACTTTCTTGATTCCTTCTGCAGATAACAAAGGCTTATCACTTCCACGCATGATGGCAGCCACCAAGGGAATATCAGCTTGTTGTGCTGCACGTCGAACGATCTGCTTTTGCCAGGTAGAGCTCTTTGAGAACACTTCCAATTTCTTCATAACAGTCGTTCCCAACCGTTCCCGCAAGTGTTCGATTTCAATATCCAGCTTCCTTTCCGGTACATCTTGCAACATAATCGCCATGATCTTCTTTTGAACGAATTCGTCCAAGAAGCAGCTTTGAACTTGTTGCATCATCCAGCCGGTACGTTCACGCAAGGCCAAAGAGAGCAATTTCCATGGAATGCAGGAGATTGCCTCTTGGAATCGATCGAAGTTTTGTCTTGCTTCATGACTGTCAAGGAAGGTTTGATGAAGGAATTGTGCTATCTGTAAGTTGGTCCAAGAGATCACTCGTTGGTATGGTAAAGGCAAAGCGCTAAAGGTGGTGTTTTGCTGAACGGCAGACAAGGCACGTTCGAACCCGTTGCCTTCAACGCATTCACGCCATAACTGGTTCATCTCTTGACGTAATTCGATCACATCCCTTGATGAATCTTCGATCATCTGCTTTCGCGTTTCCATCTCTGCTTCATCTACCTCACGTCTAGATTGAACATCAGCGCGGGAACCAGGTTTCAAGTCACGTTCCAAGAATGCATCATTTTCCAAGAAGCTTTTCGTTTGTTTTGCATGACCGGCTCCACGAATGCTGAGTGTATCGCGTAACCATGCACGTACTTGCTTCCTTCTGGATTCTTCGTCTGTCGTAATTGGCGTCAAAGAAGCCAAGATCGAAACATCGGTCGTACTACTATTCTTCAAAGCTGGTCTACTGGCCGAAAAGATTCGTGATCCTGAACGTTGACTACCCGTCAAAGCAGAATGGTTGATAGGTGATTTTTGCGCGTCAATACTTCTTCTTTTGCTGGTCGCTTTGGTATGTTGAGATGTCAATGAGATCGTACTCTTATTCTGTGGAATGATTGGGGACTTTTTGGATAAGACAGGTGATCGAGTAGGTGGAACACCGGAATCGTGACTTACATGATCTCGTGACATTGGCGCTCCTCCCAACGATGACGTGATTGGCGAAGAAAGGTTTTGCAAGGACGATGTACTACTTGAAGAGCCATCGTTTGATTTGTACACCTTATTGATCCGAATAGAAGCACGACGAGTGCCAAGCATGTCTTTAGTAGGTGAGCTTGATGCTGATCGTCCGTCGAGCAAAGATTCATCATCTTCCATAAGCGGTTGAATGGTGAGATCTGCATCAGGGGCAGGAACTGGACGAACACGAGCCTGAGGTCCCAATTCTTGCGCAAGCGTGATTGCATAGTTGTAAAAGTCGCTTTCTGATCTTATCACATATCCGGCCGGGAATCCATAACGATGAACGGAAAGAATAAAATCGCATTCTCTTGCTTGAGTTCGCAATCGCGAGCTTACCACATTCACTTCACTACCGCCTTGTTTCAACATATTGAATGGCTTTCGATGTGCAAAGAATGAAGCCTCTGCTGGGCTGGGAACTTTAGACCACAAGAAGCCATGTCCTTTTCCATCTGCAAGTGCGGTGATGAAACGACTTGTTAGCTTAAAGATTGCAGAACCCATACGATCCAACGTTGAAGGTGCATCGGACATTTCATCTTGCCATTCTCCATTCAAGTCTACCGCTTTACTGATTGAATTCGAATGGAGGAAGCGAAGTAAGGGCAACACTCCACGATCCATAAATTGGCTGGCATTCGTCAGTCGCGTTCGCATCGCAGCAGCACCTTCGATCGGTGTAGCAGCACTGAAAAGCGGAAAGGTGCTCAAAACATGTTTGATAAGGATTCGAACGATAGGTAAATCTGGGGTAATCTGTCCAGGCGATAGTTTGAGGTATGCTAGATCGGATTTCGGCATCACATTTGGTGGTGAAGGGCGCTCGAGATAATCCATGCCTTTGACTAGATACAAACGATCCAATTCCCATCTCATTTGTTGGTTTACCATATGCCTAATCAAATAATGACGTTCTTCGTGTGCCAGATCAATCTTATCTAGCCATGTATCCTCATGCGTGAGCGGTGCAAACTCAGCGTTTGTCGTGATTTGCAAAGGTGGTGAAATAACAGAAGGTGCATCAAAATACGATGTGCGATTTGGTTCAGCAACAGCTCTCGGTGTAGCTGCATCGTCTTCTTCCGTTACGCCTTCTGAAGGTGTGAATGCTGGAGTGGCGATCAGGAAATCACTCGAAGAACTCGATCCAAAATCAGACGTTTGCCTTGAGAGTGCTTGGGTATATTCTGACTTTTCTTGTTGGTGCACTGCAGTATCATTCTCGGCGGGAGAATCAATGGTAATGTCGGGTACATCTTCTACTTCGCCTTTTTTTGCCGTTCCCGACACTTCCTCGACAGGCTCTTGTATTTTCAGGTCTTCCAGCGCTGGAAGATCTTGAGTCGGTAGTTCGGTCTTCTTGTTGTCCTGCTGTACGATAAAAGAACCCGGAATGGATGTGAGATGCCAATCATCTTTCTCGGGTGCTTTTTGATCCTGAGATGAAGTGATGCCCATCTCTTCATTAATCGTTGGAATGTTACTAAGCAAATCGTTTTCGGCTAAATCAGCCTCCTGCCATTGTTCATCACTTCCAAGTGGACTGCCAGGCGGTGAATCACGACCTGCGATACTTTCATCATCGACAAGACTCGGCTGAACGCTGTGTATTGAATGAACACGCTGAACACCACCAAACTCGATCGTACGTTCTCTAGATGCGTCTTGGATTGGCAAATCTGACTTACGTCTTGAATGTTTCATTTTGGCATCTACAGTAGCGTCCTCTTCGCCCGGACTGGATGTCAATTTCTCATCAGATCCTGACGCATCTTTCACCTCTGCTGGGGTTGATAGTACCGAGAAAGGTCCTTCCCGTAGTTTTTCATCCATTGTAGATGCTCTCTTTTCACGTCTGCTTATCCGCTTTAGCCTTCCGAGAATACCAGCAGACTTTGATGTTGAACGCTGTAGTTTAGCATCTTTCGATCCTCCTAGGCCATCGGGCTGGTTAGGAAGCGTTTCTGCTCTTCGAGTTGATTTTGGTTCCTTGTTCTTGTGAGGGCTTTGTGAGGTTGGCGTTGATTTATTTCCCACATCTTCGCCGGAGAATTCCTTTGTTCGGCCACGTTCGACGATATCTTGTAAGAAAGGCCTTTCTGGCATCTTTAATTCGGTCTTGGTTTGATAATGTTCACTTGAAGCCAAAGCTTCTTTTGCTCGTTCCAATAGCGAGCTGGAGTCTCTATCCCAGTCTGTATCTGCGGGACTTACTGGCTCGTCATTTTCATCATCATCCTCTTCATCTGTCACTGCAGAATTAAACCAAGAAGATGTTGCTTGCATGCCAGTGGATGCATCACTTGGCGTTCTCTTCCTGCCGATCAATTCTGGTGCTGTGATGACGCTAGGACCACTGTTGTCTGAGGATGATAGCGAGCCAATGCTAGCATCTTTTGAGGATTTTGTACCATTTTGACCATTGACACTGGTATCTGGAGTACTTGCAGATAAATGCGAAGAAGATGTAGAAGAAGAAGGTTGTCTTGATTCTTTCTGTTGTTGGTCTGCTAAAGGGTGCTGACTGGTTGATGCTTTGGCCGAGCGCAAAGGTGATTTTGGAGGTTTGATAGGTGAGCCTGAGGTATTTTCGCCTTCTTCTTTTGTCACTAAAGGTTTTGACTTTAAAGAGAGTGAAAATGCACGACGAGCAGCGCTCATTGTGTTTGTTGATACTTCCTCCTTCAAAATGATTGTCCTGAGGGCTAATTCTCGTTGATCAGCTTATATCATTTGAGCTTTCTTAGTTGTTGATGGTGATGAATTGTGTGTGTGTGTATAAAGACAATTGTGTACTGCAACTTCATACGCAAGACTTGCTGCTTATTTGTTTGCTTGCTCTTTTTTTTCTTCGATTGTTCAGTATAATCGGCAGCATTGAATTATGCATACTGCACACTACTACTACAACGCATGCAGCATACAATCAACAAAACATTGAAAAATGACTGTCTACTACTGTATGTACAATAATTGACCGTAGACGCATTGCATATGAAAAAAGGGGAGGTCTTCAAGCGCACACTAAAAAAGAGCTGTCAGTTGATTCACACTGTGGAGCAATAGGGTAAGACAAAAGTCATTCTTTAAACACCACATCCTGGGTCCCTACTTTTTTTAAATGAGGAATACGCTAGTCTTTCCAATCGAAGCATGATTTAAGTTGCCGATTTTTGCATGAATTTCGGGATCATGGCAAATATTATATAAAGTGATACATCAAATGATACACTCTAGTCTGACTATAAACACCTTTCGATTGGAGTACGTTGTCGATCTATGCATTTCAATTCTCCCGAGTTACTGAATCAAACGAAGCGCGCCACAACTGGAAGAAGTGAGAAAAGAACAATATGACGGCCAACGGTTCGTAGCGGCGCCGAAGAGAAACGCACTCCGGTCCTGACTAGAAGCGTGTTAGTCTGGATACAATCAAACGGGAAAACAATAGAATTAAATTTATAGAATACATGATATTATTATGTGATGAAAGAATCAATCGAAACACTTATCCCAATGTGCCCATTCATTACGACCAGCCAATGCTTTGATAAATTGATCACGTTGACACATTCCATCAGCACGTGAATCACATCCTTTAAGTTGATGCAAATCCACAATTGCTTCATTGATCAATAAACGAATATAATGCTCTCGTCCATCATCCGTTTGCATTGCTTGTACAGATTTCGATCCACTCTGGCGTCCACTTCCGAACCATCTGGCATGGATATCCGAGCTAGGCTTCTCACAAGAAATCTCCTCGAACACAAATCGACCTGCATAAGGTGCAATTGTTGATGTTCTGAATTTGCGTCTAGGATCGGGTCGATGTAGATCGAGCGGTTGATTAAACTCTTCCAAATTTAGTGCAGCAAGAACATTCGTTAGCAACGAATCATGTGAAAAGTCAGCATAGAATCGTCTATCAACCGGGAACGTCTGTGGATCATTGTTGAACGTGCGATTCTCTGATGTGATCGTTGATTCGTTCCATGCAGTCTTGGTCAATCGGGCCATGAACTCGTTCACCCATCCAACACCTTGTGCTTTGCCTACCTCACTTCCTGCTCCGTACGATCCATAGAACACCAAATCCCAAAAGTATTCATAGTCAAGCCATTCTTGTTCTGTGAACAAGCCACAGAAATCGCTTCTGCCAAAAGCAACGGTATCATAACTGCAAAGTTGTTGCATAGCATTCAACAACTGCCCGTCCAACTCCACTCCCTTTGCGTATGGCTTGAGTCTCTGAACGGCATTTCTCAGATATTCATTATACCAATCTCGTCCCCATACCAATCCTGGTTCGGTCTCCTCCCTTCCTGCACGAGAACAGGCGAAATTGGGTGCTAGTGTGGTATTGAACTTAGCTGCTTCGATCTGAACTTCCAAATCAGCTTTCTGTGTCCAGTTTTGTGCAAACATTCCTTGCATGAATGCGATTGCACTATCAACAATTCTTTGTTGACTTCCTGCACGAATGAACAACTTGCCATGATCTTTGAGATCTGCATCGATCAAGTTACCGTATTCCATTTCGTGTTGTACACCACTCTCAAACAGTTGTTGTCGTCCTAGAGGCACCAGTAGTTCCAATCCTAGTCTTTCGGGATCATATGTATTTAAAAATTCGAGCGGTCCACTGAATTGCAAGGTTGCCTTCATATCGCGGAACAATTTGCGAATCAAGTTAGCGGAAGACGAAGTGGTCGGATAGCGGGATCCATGGCGGTGCAGAATATGCACTCGCTCTATCCGACATCCTTTTGCCAAAGCACGGAACTTCTGTGTCGAGACACCAAAATCAGGAGCTGAAAAGTAGGGAGACATATTGCCCATATGCTTGAACAAATCAAATCTACCCACTTCGGGAATTGTGGTTTGAATTGGCGAATTGCCTCTTGCTGGATCTCCTGTGAAATTGTCTTCATCCGCAAGTGCAGCAGGTTTGCCCATCTCTGTGGGACCGGGATAGCCAACATCGATAGGGAAGGTATGATTGACTGGTGGCTGTTTGCCATCAGAGTGCCAAATATCCCCAGCCCAATGGTAAACTCGATGAAACCTTCCGTCTCCTTCTTCGCCTGATGGTGCGAAAGCGAATGTGAAGATCAAGATCAACAGTGTGATCAGACCCAAACCGAAACAAATTCTCACCCTTCTCGATGTTCTTGCAGCGTAAATGCTCTCTTTCAACCATTCTGGTCTGCCTGTTTTATCTATCATCTTTGCTTCATTGGCGGCTCTATTTGCGCGAAGAGCGGCAGTAGCTTCTAGATCAGCATCCCGTAAGAATGCTTCTTCATCACCTTCTGAACCTTCAAATTCATCATCGATTCCATATCGAACATCTTCTTTGTGATACCTCTGACGATCTTCTTGACCGAATCTACTTGAAGGCAAAGTGTCCAGCCTATGTAGCGCCAATGTTTCTTCTTCTACGTCTGAATCTGATCCATCGTTGGATTTTCGAATCTTGTATTCTTTTGACATTTCGCATATATGATGATGTAGTCAAAAAGGGAGGATGATCATAGGAGAATTGAAGTTTTAGTCGCGAATAAGGAATGTGTGCATGTAAGCCGCTCGTTAGAAAAAGAAACGTTTACGCGTGTAAGTTGACACAAAAAAGCCACCTAAGCTTGCTTCCTTCTTTTGCCAGAAATAAAAAGTCAACGATGCTTTTACGCACACACCCACACCAAATAATGTTGGACCGCCGTGCTGCACCCGCCGCACCCTTTGCTTTCATGATTGGAGAACTTCCCCCACTCCATACAATTCCCCCCACGTCGAAGCATTGCCATTCTGCTGAGGAGAGAATGAATGCGACTATAAATGCTCAGTCAAGTGTCCCTCTACATCCTCTTTACCATCATTGCCAATCCAAAGAATGACTGAAGCACCAATTTCATCCTTGATCCCATTACCGTCAACGGACGTATTGCGAGCCCGATTCGTCGGACGTCCAATCAATGAATTACCAACGCCATCTATTCTTTTAGACAAGGCAAAACTGCAATACAATTGTGAACAAATGTTACAAACCGTTGAACAGTGGGATTGCATGTTTCGTGCACATGTGAAAACGCTCAAGACTGCTGAATCTACTACTGCTCAAGTAGGACAAAGTCGTGAAAAGGCAATCATCGTTTCTACTCTGGCAGAAGCTTGGGGTGCAGTACAGTCAGGTCTGGTAAAACAAGGTATCGTAAAGGATATCTGTTATGGCGTTCCTCTTGGTGTTCACAAGATTCCTGAATTGTTGTCCTTGCGTGCTACCATGCAAACTCATGCTCCAGATTCGGATCTGAAAGTGCTCATCGATCATCCTAATCAAGTCAAAGCCTTACAAGCAGCTTTGGAAACAGATTTAGGCAAGTTCCCGCCCATGAACGTGTTTATCAAAATTGATTGTGGATATGTACGTGCAGGTTTATCGGTAGACTCTCCAGTACTTCCAATCCTCGTTCAAACATTAGCACAATCTTCGCAATTGTGTATTTTCGGTGTATATACCCATGCCGGCTTCTCGTACGACAGCAAAAATTCCAATGAAGCAAATTCTTACCTTTCAACGGAAATGCAAAGTTTAGACAGGGCTGCTCAATTGGTCAAACAAGTATCATCAAGCATTCCATCAGCAAAGATTCGTACCCCTTTAGTGCTTAGCGTTGGCAGTACGCCTACTGCTCATGCTGCAGGAACAAGTGGTCAATCGGGAGCAGCGGTAGCAATGAAATCAAAATTAACCGGAGGAGAGTTGGAATTGCATGCAGGTAACTACCCCGCTTTGGATCTTCAACAAGTGGCAACGAATGCGATCCCAAATGCGCAAATACCTGGAATCGAACGTTGTGCACTTTCAGTGTTAGCCACAATCACTGCTTCTTATCCTTCTCGTTCTGCAATGAACGGTAATGCTCAACCTCCGCATGCTGATGGTTTGGCGAAAGAAGGTGATGAAGCGATGCTGGACGGTGGCGGAATAGCTTTTGCGAAGGATTTAGGCCCTATTCCAGGTTATGGACATGTAGTTTGGCCGAAAGCGTACATCGGATGGCAATTAGGCCGTGTTGCCCAGGAACATGGAGTAATGACCCTTCGACCTGGTACTCCAGCGGAATGGTACGCTCAATGGGGCTACGATCAAGACTCTCAAAAAGTTGCAGCTACGCAAATCAAAACTCAAGCTCCAGTGCTTGGAGACAAAGTTCAAATCATCCCACAACATGCTTGCATGACAGCTGCAGCTCATCCGTGGTACTTTGTCTTTGATTCTTCTACATCAGAGCAAGTTCCTACCGTTGTGGATATTTGGGTACCCTGGAAAGGATGGTGAACTATAAATAGATTATCACTTCTGAGAAGATGTAGAGGAAGGAAGAATAAATCTGGTATATGATAAAATCCGTTGATAAATGCCCATCGAGCCTTGTTTTTCGTTGCTCTTGATTGTTGCTAATGGACATACACGAAGCTTTACAGCCCCATACGGTTGCAACTCTACTTTGATAGGCTCACCGACTGGCTTGCTTGGGCCGGGCGGGAAGCCTTTATTCCATTGACCGTCATCGACTGGGTTCCAACTATCTTTCATCGAATATGCATCTGCTTTGATTGAGCTTGGGGCCTTACCATCGTCAAAGACAGGAAAAGCGAGAGGCGTGAAAACAGTTTTATTAGTTTTGTCTTGGAATTCTAGAGAATCAGTATCGATGGCAACTTTCCATGAATTAGGATCTTTCGGTAAGCGTGCATTATCTACTGCCTTGGGTTCTGTTGGATCCTTACGAATCTCTTTCAGGTCGTACTCTATCGGTAAAGCATATAATAAAGCCCCCTTTGAGATGTGGACAACGCCTTCTGGAGCTCCTGCTGCTTGTGTTACCTTAATCTTAGAAGAGAGGTGTATTCGTGCTTTGGAATCGCCAGCGGGAACAATGAACGAGAAAATGTGATCGTCATAATTTGTTCGTACCTCCTCAAGCTCTTCAGCATCTTTGGCAAAGCATACACCTCCTGACCAGGAAGGTACACGTACTCCGAATCGGAACTCTTTGTTTGCTTTGAACGTATAGCGAACCGTATTCTCGAAAGGATAATTTGTTTCTGCTGTCACTTTGACATTGTTGTCCTCGTTTAAGGTGATTTGACAGATGGAAGGGATCAAATAAACTTGCAGTAGCATCGCTTCATTACCGTTCGCAGCTTCTCGTTTGAGGAATGATCTACTGACAAATCTTGGTAAGCCTTGAGAATGATTTACCGTACAGCAAGGATAATTGGTCTCCAGCCCAAAAACATTGCTATCTTCACCAACGTCATTGAAGGGGTTTGTCTTAAATGGTTGACTTGTAAGTTGCATCTCTTGTTGAACATATTGTCTTCCCCACCAGTCACCCGTCATACAAGCAGGAAGACTGTTGAAAGCAAGTCGTTCAACTCGATCGGCGTATTCATTCTGACCAAAGATTGCATACATCAATGAAGCTGACCACATTAATTCAACGACCAAACAAGTTTCTGATCCTCTTTCAGGTGACAAGCCTGCCAAGTGTTCATCGGCTGAGAAATGTCCTGCTTCTTTTCCATGATATCTGTAGACGATTTCCCAGTCATGTTCCGCTTCATCCTTTTCTGCCTGATTGTTTGTTACACGCCACTGCAATGCAGCTTCTTTCAATGCCATTGCGGCATTGACACCATGAGAACGCATAGTTCGTTCACCTTGACCATCTTTGTTGAATATTCCTTCCGAGAAGAATGCTGGCCATCCTTTCCCTTCGAAATCACCCGCTAATTCATTCCCTTTTGTACGAATAAAGGTCATATCTTCCCACAACATCTTTTGAATGTTTTCTTCCCGTGGGTGGTTCTCAAAGAGCCACTGTAAGATAAATGTATACTCCGCCGTACGTACACATCCCCATCTTTCTAAACCGGTAGCTTCATTGTCCGTTGACCGCAGGGATTCATGCGTAGCAACCACAAATTTGTAGATGAAATCTACAATTTGACTTGCTTTCTCAGGTACAGCTTCAGCATAATGCATTGCGCCAATTAAGACTGGCCATCGTGGCCAAAGAATCTTTGGTTCAGGACCAAACCAACCGGATTGATCTTGATCATTGATCATATAAGTCAAAGTATCATCAACCCAATTTCGTAAACTTTCAGGTGCATTTGTTGTAAAGACTGCTGCAACTGCTGCTTGGAAATAATAGGGTTGTGATTCATTCAAGGATGAATAAGTCGTATTACCTCCTGTAAACGTTCCATCTTGCACCATTGCATAGAATTCTTGTTGTTGACCTGCCAATGCCGCCAAGGAAGCCTGTAATTGTGCATCAATCCATCCTGCTGATTTAATGCTTCCCATAGGAAGTTCACGAAAAGCTGGCGGGACTAAGTTTTGACGGAAAGGTGAATCCATTTTCAGGCTGAATGTGATGATGGCGGATGCACAAGTTGTTCACACTACATCAATTCAATTATTGTACGTTCATGCATGCCATTTCTTCGGTCTGATTGCCAGCCAAATGAAGCTAAAAAAGGGGCACAGGTCACATGGATAGTATACAGAAGCTACAATTCGTGCAAGAGCCATTCACCGGCTTGACCCAAGTCCCAAAGCGCAATCCCGGCGCCGGGTTTATCGAGAATGACTTGTAATCTTTGTTTCATGGTATGTGCACTGGGGAAATAAGCTCGGAAATAACTTGCATTTGCCATTGGATTTTCATCAACATTTTTAGTGGGATTCTTTTTGGCCATATGTTCAATAATCGAAGGTGATAATTGATCAACGTAATCGAAATATTGTTCTTGACTTTTTTCGTCTAATCGGATTAGTGCTTTGTTGTGCTTTAATCGCGCTTCTAGATCACTATGCTTAAATGGTGCTCCAGCAAAACGCAACAAAGGAACAATGTTTGCAGTTTCACGATCTTTCTTGTCTGCCTTTTCTCTTGCTTTGGCTTGGGCATCAGCGTCATTGTCATCGGCCACCAAAGGTGATGCAGGTGGAAGACGGGGAACACTATCTTGCGCAATGATGGTGTTATCAAACCATGCGATAGGGTACGTATAGCCATACAATGGGAGCCCGACTAATAGACGTTCTGCCGCTCCCTCTGAATTATAAACAGAATCGACACCTGATCCAGACATGGAGAATTGTGGTCCTTCCATCACTTCTAGTTGGCCGGTCAATTGTTCCAGATTCTGTTCCAGAAACTCCAAAGGTGCATTTGGACCGGGTGTTCGAACGCCATCTTGAGCTAAGGCACTTCCATCAGGTAAAGCACTTCTATCGTAAACATCTCCGTATTGTACGCCTGCCAAGCCTGCATGATCGTACGTCATGACCATTGTATAGTCTGCAAGAGGTGACAATACTCGCATACCATGGATAGCAATCTTGTTTGATGTGGTAGCCTCTTCACCATGTTCGCCACGTAAAGCAGGAATGACAACAGTTAACGTTTTCTTCTCCGCATGAAGCTTTTCTCCGATCAATTTGATCAAAGGTTCGATTGCCCATACTGCCGCACATTCGAACACTGCACCATCATATCCATTATCCATCACCGAAAGATAGACATTTCTGGCCATCTGTTCCATCAATTCGTCATTTTGTAGCAATTCCAACAAATCTTCCGCAGTGAATTGATCCAATACATAACGTGGAGAAATGTTGACAGGTGGAAGTGGATTACCATTTCCATCTTTGCCAGGCTTTTGCATTCGCTTTATCCATTCATCGTCCTTTTTTCCTGTTGTTCCTCCGCCTACGTTGTAGTATGTCTTTCCGTCAACATGACCAGGATCGATTGTATGCCATGCAGGAGAGATGATGTCAAATTTTCCTCGGAATTCTTCAGCCAGGCTTATTCCGCGAGGATTCCATGGGGTAACATATGCCAATACTGTACGGCCGGATGTATGCCTTCTGATATGGTTCACCACAGTAGCATTCTCTCTGGGTTTGTTGGATTGAGCAAGGATCGTTGTTCTTGAAGGGTATGGTGAATATAGCGATTGTGACTGACAGAGTCCAATAAGGACACCAAAGCAAATCAAAATAATTGGCACTTGCCGATGTATCGAAATAATCATTGTTGAGCCCCTGCTGCGAAGGATGTCAAGATGTTGTGTAAGTTTAAGCAGTCTACTTTCGCGCACCCTCCTTCTTCCCGCTCAGGTTGCAAACTATCCGATCTTGATCGGGACATGTAGAATCGCAAAAGCGGCGTCTCCTTCATTTCAAGTGTAAATTGTGTCATCACACAGAGTGTCTCGCAATAATACTCACCTAATGATGTTGCGAGAGCGGATGTGGTAGTAAAGATGGATGTGTGTCGGTCCAATTCCCCCACAATGAATACACGCATGACAGCACTAGAGCACACACCCACACACACACACACACACACAACGGAAAGAAGAATCTGCTTAGCGCCGCGTGGAACACTTTTAAGGTTACTCACTCACACTCTCACACACACATACGGTTCAGGCTTAAGGCGGGTAATGCTACATACATCTTCATTCATATTATCAAAATGCATAACATACACTCAATCCATTCGCATCGGCGATCGCATACCAATCTTGCGGATATCCCGTTTCATCAGAAGCCTTCCAAAGTTGTTTAATAATTACCAAATTATCCATAATCGCTTGTTCCGTTCCTAATGCTTCTAAATATAAAATACATTTTTTTCTTTGTTCTTGCGTGATTGCAACAGTTGAGGCTAAAAACCAAACCATCCACATATCCCACGTTTCAGAAGGTGTAAGAGCAGTTGATAACATATCTGCTAACGATAAAATTTCTTGAAGAGCAGTTTGAATTTTAGCAGCAAGTGCACCTAAATTGAGAATTCTTTGATAAAATGAAATTAAAACTGCTTGTCGCCACATCTCATGAACGGCGATTGAACGAACAAAAGCTGCTCCGTCGTTGTTATTCTTTCGTATCAATCTCGCTTGACGGATCATGCATTCAACTTCTTCTATCCGGGCTTTCTTGTCGACATCGGATAACAGATTTTCGTGAATATCAGCGTCCAGATTGCAAATGTGCAATAAAGCTTCGATAATGTCACAAGACAAACAAGAAAGGAATTCGTACTCGTATAAAGGTCCTTTCTGTAAGTCTTGAGCCAAAACCTCGCTGTTCAATGCACTAAGGGAAACGGAATCAGTTGCAATACTTGAAGAAGGCGTACCACCATAAGCAGGCGAAGAAGTGAGAGAAACAGTCGGATTTGACGCCAGAACTGCACATCTCTTATGTCTCTTTGTTGCTGCTTCAAATATATCGATCACAAGTGTACTTTGCAACATCACACCCAAAATTGTTCCGCAATAACTGGTGTACCGCAGATAATGTGTACTGACACCTAATTCGGTCAATATCTTTCGAATTTCTTCCATATAAATAGAGCCAGCACGAGCACCATCCAGGCCAATGATCGTATAGCGTAAATTGAGCAAAGTGGCCAAACGTTCTGCCATTGAATCTTTACTGCCGGAACGTTCATATTCGTCTGCAGCGAATTGGTACCATTTATACGTCATACTTGTATGATCTTCAGCTGTTGCTTCACCTTGGCTAGATTCTTTTTTATTGCCTTGGGCATCTTCATGCTTTGTGGGAGGTAAAGTTGGAGTGCCTGTTGCGTCATCCTCCATTAATTGATGAATGAAACCCATTCCACAAGAAGGTCGATCCATATTTCTCTCCCTTTGCATGAGCATATGCAATGATAAGCAAGCAGATACTGATGCGGCTCTACATGCTTTTGATCGCCTTGAAAGTGTCAGAATGGCTCGCATAAGACCATCATCCTTTTCCGAGACAGAGATTGTGGATCTCCATACTTTCTCGTATAGAGGTTTATACTTTTCCAGCAGTTCGTCCAATTCATCTGATTCTACGATTCGATCATACTCTGCTCTTCCTGTAGGTGCGTCTATTCGTTTTGATGATGTTGAAGGTGCTGATGTGGCTGGTGTGGTGGCAGTCCAGGTGGACGATGTTGCCAATGAAGTATTTTGAGGTGAAACATTTGCATTTGCATTTGCAACATTTGGTTGATTATTGGCTAGCCAGATAGCATCTTGATAGATTGGATCGGATAAATGCGAGAATTCTTTAAAGAAATCGTTGAGCCATGCAGCATCTTGTAGGTCATTCAAAGGTTGAGCACCATTAGTTGATGTGGAAGTAATGGGTTGCTGTTGTAACTGCCCTTGAGGTAAAGATTGCAAGAATGCAGGTTGAGACTGAAGAGATGTAGAAGCTGGTGGTAATGTCTGATTGAGGCCTAGAGCTGAATCTGTATGAAGACTGCTGAAATTGATCGAGGGTTGAGAGGAAAACATACCAGGCGCTGGAGAAGGATTGTGAGATCGAGAAGACAAAGTGGCCACTTTCTTGTGAACAGGTCTTTGTAACGGAGTTTCATCTCCTTGTGGACTTGGAGGATGACAATCTAAGCCTTTTTGAAAGCATGAACTGCAAGCAAGTTTTCCACTTGGACGTAAATTGAAATCTTCCGGACATTTCTTCCTTCTTGATTTACACATTTGACAGCCATTTCTCGATCTCTTTTCTCCACCCCCACTATTTCTGCCACCACCTCTAAGACTTCCAGATGCTCCATTGTTGACTGGATTGATCAACCTGTGGCTGAGAATGCTATTCGCCATGCTGTTTATTGTCACTGCATTCCCTGGCACAGAAGGTGAGCGTTGAGTTGTATAAAAGGAAGGATTGTTGGTGAAGTTGGAAGATTTCAATTGTTTTTTGCAAATCTTCTTTTCGATTTTTTTCCCTTTTGCATGAAAAAGTTAAAAGTCTTCAACAAACCACCACATGCTTTTTCATGCAGGGCAAGGGAGTCACTCACTTAGTCGGGCTGTGTATGCATAGAAACACGCGGATAAACTCAAGCTGCAGTAATCAAAAGGGTGCGGCGGGCAGGCGTGGCTATTAATAGCGTCCACATGGCAATCCGCTTCCGGAGCGAAGATCGGAAGGTGATTTAACCGTTGAAGGTTTCACCATATCATGAATCATCGTAAAATTCAGTCTTATATAAGTTCGTCGTTCATGATGTGCAGTCAAAGGCGACGGATATACGCATCTGGTTAGCATTTTAACAAACTATGATGTGGTCTAGTGATCTTGATACAAACATATCATACTTCACCATAGATCAAAGTGATGGGAGATTGTGGTGCAATGTTAGGAAGTGACGGCAGATGACACTAATATTGACTAAGCTGGGGTCCAAGTAGGCAGCTTTAGTATACCAATTATCAAACCTGTGAGAAAGATTACCCCAGGAATAATGTATCATTGGCTCAAATTACCATCCCTAAATGGTCATCAAAAATATGTTATTCGGTATCTGAACATCTCGTCGTTATGAGAGCATTGCCAAGGAAAATGATGACGCAAGAACCGAAAACCACTTTCATCATGGTGTATGACTGACTGATAGATAGAAGCATGAAATATGTTTATCACCGCGGTTTTTCCGTTTGAATATAAAAAGCCACTTACGATTAAGAATGTTCATTAAACTCCGCTCTTTGGTTCGTACGAATCGACGAATGTCAATCAAGCGTTACGCAGCGCGCTTTATTCTCCGCGGACAATGCGAATAAGCCTTAGCTTGATAAGCTCAGCAGAATAATGCGAGACTACTTTAATCTTGGCTGACAGTAACAATAATAAGGCACGAATGAAATCATAGCCTATCGCCAAGCGAGGGGGCGTTGAAAAAAGGGGGGCAAGCTTTATACTCATTGCCAGAGCCCGTGATTTAATGCTACTCCGAGGAGTTAAGGACCGTTGTGAAAAATGTTGATGCTAGACGCGCGCTCTGCACAGGCTCGGCGACTTATATGGTTGTAAGATAATCTGCATGAAATCTTCTTTATGCCACGGACTTTGCGTGTTTCATGATTTCGCACGCGTCTTGTGCTTAATCCAATTAATTTTCGGCCCGCAAAAGTTTAGACGAAAAACTTGCAATACGCCCAGAGAGTAAAATCAGCCAAGATGACTGGTGTAATGCTGTATTTTAACTTTGATCATTTTAGATGAATAACAAACTTACTCCATGCAGAAGAAGGTCGGAACATCAGCGTACAAAATGTATAAGGTAAGGAAGGGAATCAGATCTGACTGTGTTCCTACCGCATAGAACATAGTCCGTGGAGATTATCCTCATGCGTCATTCACTTCAAGCAGTCAAGAAGAAGGGTATCCTGCATTGGAAATCAACTTTGTTTGTTTTGTTTTTTTTTTGGATCAATCCGTCATGCTCCTCTTGGGCTGCGCGCGCGAACAATCACAACATCGGGCCCATTTTCCGTACCTCCAAACTTTGCTGATCACTGCTTTGGAGGCAAAAGATATATAACAGCGTTCATTTCTGTCAATCTTCCCTTCTTGCTTCCCATCTTTCGTCTAACATTAACGCAAATTTCACCTTTTATTTGTGTTTTGGTGTGATCACCATACACGAGAACAAAAACACATCCTCGGCGTGTTTTCGGGGATAGACAATCATTTTGACGCATACATCCGTTCATTTATTGCGTTCGTCAAACAAAGATGTCTTTCCAACAAGAATCTCAAGCCCGTCTTGAGGCAACAGCCACAGGCGAACATGCTGCTGGCCATGATTCAGCAGCTCAACAAGTCGAAGAGATGGACAACCCACAAAAACAATCTCAAGGTGTTAATGTCGAACAAGCAAAACGTATCTTTGACGATATGGAATCTCAATTAAACGAAGAGGAAGGTAATGATGGTTCAGGTACATCTTCCAGTCTAGAAATGGCCGATTTGGAAAAGCAAGAAAGCAAACATGTTGGTCAATTCAACTTACGTGATTGGGTTGCCAATTTCCAAGAAGAATCTTACAAGGCAGGTTCAAAACGCAAACAATTGGGTGCAAGTTGGAATGAAGTGACTGTTTTGGGTACAAGTTCTATGGACTTGAAGGTACCAACAATTCCATCAATGGCTCTATTTGAAGTCATTGGACCAATCTTTGGTATTCTCAAAACATTCGGTATCAACTTGCCAAAGCAAAAGTCACGTAAATTGTTGACCGGTTTCACTGGTTCAGCCAAACCAGGAGAAATGGTTCTCGTTTTGGGTCGTCCAGGTGCCGGTTGCAGTACCTTCCTCAAAACGATTGCAAACAAACGCAACGGTTTCATTGGCGTTGAAGGTGATGTTCATTACGGTGGTATCGATGCAAAAGAGATGGACAAACGTTACATGGGTCAATTGATCTACTCTGAAGAAGATGACGTTCACAACGCCACCCTCACTGTCTCTCAAACCATCGATTTCGCCTTACGTGTAAAGGCAACATCCAAACTACTACCCGAACATTCCCGCAAGACTTACCGCAAACTGGTCCGTGATACCTTGTTGAAGATGTTCGATGTTGAACACACAAAGCACACCCTTGTCGGTAGCGCCACCGTTCGTGGTGTTTCCGGTGGTGAACGTAAGCGTGTCTCCATTATGGAAGTTCTCACAACAGGTGCCACCTTGATCGGTTGGGACAACACCAGTCGTGGTTTGGATGCAAGTACTGCTTTGGATTACGCAAAGAGTATGCGTATCTTGACAGATATCACCCAAACAACCATGTTTGTCTCCCTGTACCAAGCATCCGAGAGTATTTGGCAACAATTCGACAAGATCATGGTTATCAACGATGGTCACTGCGTCTACTTTGGTCCACGTACAGAAGCACGCGAATACTTCCACAGCCTCGGTTTCGGAGATCGTCCACGTCAAACATCTGCCGATTACGTTACCGGTATGACTGACAAATACGAACGTATCTTCCAAGAAGGTCGTGATGAGACAAACGTTCCATGCACACCTGAAGAACAAGAAGCTGCTTACAGAAAGAGTGATATTTACAAACGTGTTTTGGAAGAGAAGGAAGCCTACGACCTTGCCGTTAAAGAAGACCAAAAAGCCAACGCAATCGAATTCAAGGAAGCTGTTTCTGCTGAAAAGCACCCTGGTGTCCGTCACCGCAGTCAATACACCGTTCCATTCTGGGAACAAATTTGGGCATTGGTCTTACGTTCTATGCAAATGAAGGCTGGTGATAGATTTGACATTTTCATGTCTTACGTTACTGCAATCGTTTTGGCTCTTTTGGTTGGTGGTTTGTTCTTTGAGATGCCTAAAACTTCCGCTGGTATTTTCATTCGTGGTGGTGCACTTTTCATCATGTTATTGTTCTCTTCTTTGACCGCTTTCGCTGAAATGCCAACTCAAATGCTCGGTCGTCCAATCTTGGCTCGTCAAGCTGGTTATGCGTTCTATCGTCCTGCCGCTCAATTGATCGCCTCTTTGATCGCTGATATGCCTTTCGGTATCCCACGTTCAACTATTTTCGTCATTATCGTCTACTTTATGTCCGGTCTTCATCGTTCAGCAGGTGCTTTCTTCACTGCTTGGTTGATCGTTTTGGTGTCTTATTACGTGTTCCGTTGCTTGTTCACATTGTTCGGTGTCGTGACGCGTAACTTCTATACCGCAGCGCGTTTGGCCGCCATCGTGATGACAGTCTTGGTCTTGTGGGCCGGTTACGTTATTCCTCAATTCACCATGGCTCGTTGGTTGTTCTGGATCTGTTATATCAATCCAGTCTTTTACGCTTTCGAGGGTGTGATGATTAACGAATTCAAACGTACAATATTCACATGCGCTGACGCTCAAGTCATTCCTAGTGGTGGCAATTATCCGGCCGGAATTGGTGCAAATCAAGTCTGTACATTGGCCGGTTCCACTCCTGGTTCGCCACTCATCCCTGGTCAAGATTATCTCGATGCTAATTTCCGATACTACGAAAGTCATCTATGGCGCAATGTCGGTAAGTATACTTCCCCCTTCATCACGTATCTGATAACACATGCTAACATACGCTCTCTCTGCCATTGCACCAGGAATATTGTTTGCCTTCCTCGCGGGATTAACGGCTATTACCTGCTTCGTTGTGGAAGTTCAGGATCAAGGAGCATTTGCATCTGCCATGACCGTCAAGAAGCCGCCGTCAAAAGAAGAGAAGAAGCTGGATGATCGTCTTGCCGATCGTCGCTCAGGTGCTACAGAAATGACCGAAGCTAAATTGGAAGTGTTAGGACAAAATTTCACATGGCAAAACTTGAAATACACTGTGCCTGTCAAAGGAGGAAAGCGTTTGCTGCTCGATTCCGTTGATGGTTATGTCAAAAACGGCAGTCTTACCGCTTTGATGGGTGCATCCGGTGCAGGTAAAACTACACTTTTGGATGTTTTGGCAGATCGTAAAACGATTGGTGTTATTGAAGGTGATCGTCTTATCGAAGGTCGCAAGATTGATAACAGTTTCCAACGTCAATGTGGTTATGCAGAACAGCAAGATATTCACGAGCCAATGTGCAGTGTTCGTGAAGCTTTAAGATTCAGTGCTTACTTGCGTCAACCTTACGGAGTCCCCCAAGCTGAAAAGGATGCATACGTTGAAGATATCATCGAACTGCTTGAATTACACGACTTGGCTGATGCAATCATTGGTTACCCCGGTTTCGGATTAGGTGTTGGTGATCGCAAGCGTGTTACCATTGGTGTCGAATTGGCTGCTAAACCCGAAATGCTTTTGTTCTTGGATGAACCCACTTCCGGTCTTGATGGTCAATCCGCTTTCACAATCTGTCGTCTCTTACGTAAATTGGCTAACAACGGTCAAACTATCTTGTGCACAATCCATCAACCTAGCGCTTTGTTATTCGAAACCTTTGACCGCTTACTCTTATTGGAACGTGGTGGTAAGACTGTCTACTTTGGACCTGTCGGTAAGGACGGAAAGCACATTATCGACTACTTTGCTCAACGTGGCGCTCAATGCCCTCCAGGTATCAACATGGCCGAGTACATGTTGGATGCTATTGGTGCTGGTAGTCAACCTCGCGTTGGTGATCGTGATTGGGCTGATTGGTATTTGGACTCTGATTTGTACAAAGAAAACTTGCAAACAATTGCTCACCTTAATGAACAAGGAGTCAAGAAACCTGTTGCCGAAGGACGTAAGAGCCAATATGCTGCACCATGGAGTTACCAATTCACCGTCACTCTCAAACGTACTTTGCTCTCGACTTGGCGTCAACCCTCTTACCAATACACCCGTTTGGTTCAACATTTCGTCTTTGCTCTATTAACTGGCTTACTTTTCTTACAATTAAGTAATAGTTACGTCACATTGCAATACCGTATCTTCGCCATTTTCATGTTGGCCATTATTCCTGCAATCATCATGGCTCAAATCCAACCTTTCTGGATTCAATCTCGTTCGATTTGGATTCGTGAAGAAACGAGTAAGACGTTCGATGGTACTGTCTTTGCTGCAACCCAATTGATCTCTGAAGTCCCGTATGCACTCGTTTGTGCAACCTTCTTCTTCATTCCATTATATTACTTGGTTGGATTCAACAATGGATTAGTGGATGCAAGTGATTCTAATCGTGCCGGTGTATTCTGGGTGATTGTTTTCATTGTCGAATTATTCGCAATCACGCTAGGTTCGCTGATCTCCTCTTTCTGTGCAAACGCATATTTGGCAAGTCTATTCGTTCCTTTCTTGATCGTAATCATGTCTTTGACTTGTGGTGTCTTGTCACCGCCAAATCAAATGAGTAGTACGTTGTACTCGCAATTCTTTTACAACGTCAACCCCATTCGATTCGCCATTTCTACACTCGTTCCCGATGTTATGCACAATCTTCCCGTCCAATGTGCTGAATCAGAACTGACACGATTCACACCCCCAAGCGGCCAAACATGTCAAGAATGGGCTGGTGCTTATCTCTCTCGTGCTGGAGGATACTTGGCCGATCCCAACTCTACCACTTCTTGTGGTTACTGCCCAGTAAAGAATGGTGATGAATTCTACGCAGCATTCGGCATGAACTTTGACGAAAGAGGCAGAAATATCGGTGAGTACAGTCGCGCATTGAACAGTATCTTGATAGCACATGCTAACATCACTTCTTTCTCCAAAATTCACAGGAATCCTTATTGCCTTCACTGTATTCAACGCAATTGGAACGATCTTCTTCACCAAATACTTGCACTTCAGCAACCGCTGATCGCCATCAGCTGTCTTGGAGCGTCTTTTTGGAATCACAAAAATTTCTTTGTATATTTCTCGCACAAAGTGTGCTTATTACCCCACCTTTATATAAATATCGGATATGATTACTCCCCAATAGATCAAGTTTCTTCATTTCTGGTTTGAGCGTGTGAATGTTTGAGCGGTCTGTGTGAAAGCATGATCGTTGGATGATGTTGGCGGACAAAATATTAACGCGCCAATGACCGTCGGCTTTAAAAGCGGGAGTTTCGGAGATAAGGACCGCATCAGGCGTGGCTCCCGCCTAAGAAGCAGGAAGCCAGCGGGCGCAGCGCATGATTATAAACTGATAAGATAATTCATTCTATTGTCATCATCATCGAGTAAGATTGTCGGAAAGAATCAATCTCAAACTCGCCAAAGTATATTCTTAGAGCAGCAGTTGACGATCGGGGATCATACATTACAAATTCTGCAAATGTCAATACTAGAAAGGTCAAATTGTGTACACAAGGGGCTTCAAATTCATATATGAGTGGTGATGAACTTTGATTTTGCATAGTGTTCTTGTTAATAACAACCATCATATATCCAACTATGCGTGGCTTCTTAGTAGTATTGATCATTGCAACAATCGATCTTGCATTGGTACATTCAGCTTCTCGTCCAGCGTCACCTAACGGAGTGAATTTAAATGAGTGGTCAAAGCTTGTAGAAGTTCCAGCTGATCATAGTCCGTTGGAATATCCAACTTACTCGCAATCACGTCAAAAATTCCCATCAACTCGTCCAAAATCACCTCCAGCCAAACCTGTCAACTTAAAAGAATGGTCAAAACTTGTAGAAGTTCCCGCTGATCATCATCCGTTGGAATATCCGTCCTTGGATTCTCCAATTAAAGATCATGAGCGAGTACATGTTTTACACTTTCCAAGTACCAAATCAAACCCGAATTCACCTCCTGGTAAAATGAATGGTGTTGTTAAAAGCCCAAAGCGAAAAAGAGTTCTCGATACTGGTATTGTGGAAGCACGTGTTCCGACAAGAAGGGCACAATTGAAAGCAATGATTCAAGCCAAGACAGCAAAAGAAGAGCATTATACAGAGTTGGAAAACATCCGTAGTAGAGAACGTTTGAATAGACAGAAAAGTCGAAAGAATAGGTCTAAACGATTAAACGAAATTAAAGACCCGAAAGGGGCGTAAACAAACCTAGTCTGGCCTACTCTTGTTCCTACATTTCCTGTTTCTGTATTAGCACTACCAATACATCTTCACCTTTCGACATACTGTTTAGATAATTTTGTTTTGCAAATAGAAAGCGAAGAATTGTGAGAAGTTGGTATTCGGAAAAGAAGATCAGCTTAGAGTCCTTTCAGCAAATGGTATAGCCTCCTCGCTGAAATGCACCATCATTTAACTTTTATTTTATATATCATTTCCATCTTCGCTATCACAAATTCCCATTCTCCTATCCATTCAGATAACGAATTCGACTGGACATCGTTTCTAGTGGATTCTCCGGAAAACAATGTCAGCGGCCAAGAGCCAGTAGCTCAAGCATTTCATCCTATACAAGAAAACTCGAATACCCTTGGCACACAAAATCCGGAGCTTAATTTCAAGCCAAGCAAAAACAGAAAGATTCTTGATGCGCAAGCAAAGCTGAAGAAGAAGGAAACAGACCAGAGATGGTACAAGAAGTATATGAACAATATCAAGACAGATCCGGAAGCTATGAAAGCGTATAAAATGAAGCGTAAGAGTATGCTTTATACGAACAAAGCAGAAAAAATCACAAATCCCGTTGAGAAGGAAAACTACTTACGAAGGGTACGTGAAGTTGCTTCATACTCTAGAAAAAGGTATGCTCATCGTATGAAAGCCAAGACCGGCTTTGTAGATAAACAAAGTAAGCGATATCACGATAGTGCTTTAGCGATCAAAGCTGGAACTGCAACAGAAGAAGATATCAAGCGAGTGCAAGAAAGAAGACGAAGGTCAAGAGAAGCTTACCACAAGAAGAAGATCCGCAAAAATGCAGAGTAAGGAGTTTAATTAATTTCAACGGAAGCTCTATCAATACTTTCGGGGCGGTGAAAGTTTCAGTTGAAATCGTTGAATTGTTGTTAAAATGTTGTTGTACAGGTCCGTAGAATCAAAAGAATTTCTTCGTTGTTGACCACGATTCTGTAGTCAACCATGCTTATCATACGAATTCTTCTGGTTTTCTTCTTGATTTCGATAATTTGTGCTTCTGATGTATCCCAATCTGCTTCACCAACATCATCAAGCGAATGGAAGAAAAGTCAAGCTGAGACATCTTTACTGGCTGCGGAAACAGTGACCGTTGAACCACAAACTACCTCTCGAAGTCGAGCCAAGACACTATCAAACACCAAAAAAGCTATTAAAAGCCGAAGATACCGAGCGCAACTCAAGGGAGAAGATTTGCTTAAATATAAAGCACTGAGAAGAGAGTCTAATGTGAGAGCTTATCGAGCCCGAAAGCTTTTACGTGAAACAAATCCTGAAGAAATGGCTAAGTACAAAGAAGCAACAAAGGAAAGAGCCAAAAAATATGACTGGCGTAATAAAGCGAAAACCATACAAGATCCTGAAGAACGAGAGATCTATTTACAGAAACATAGGGCGGCAGAAAATTTCAGCCGTAGAGAGCGATATGCAAGGAAGTTGAAAAAAACAGGCGACGGTAAAAAAGCTGTAAAACAGCGACCTCGAGCAGGAGCAGCAAGTTTTACAAATGTTATTAAAGCGCAAAGCATGCATGAGGAGAACATATAAATAAGACGGAACCAGTCTTTAATGGAAAAATGTAAAGAAGAACGATGATCCAGGAGTTTTTTCAATTTCAATGGAAGCTCTATCAATATTTTCGGGGCGGCGAAAGTTTCAGTTGAAATCGTTGAATTGTTGTTAAAATGTTGTTTTATAGGTCCGTAGATTTAAAAGAATTTCTTCGTTGTTGACCATGATTCTGTGGTCAACTATGCTTATCATACGAATTCTTCTGGTTTTCTTCTTGATTTCGATAATTTGTGCTTCTGATGTATCCCAATCTGCTTCACCAACATCATCAAGTGAATGGAAATCATTTCTCAATCTTTCACCAGAGAAAAGTCAAGCTGAGACATCTCTACTGGCTGCGGAAACAGTGACCGTTGAACCACAAACTACCTCTCGAAGTCGAGCCAAGACACTATCAAACACCAAAAAAGCTATTAAAAGCCGAAGATACCGAGCGCAACTCAAGGGAGAAGATTTGCTTAAATATAAAGCACTGAGAAGAGAGTCTAATGTGAGAGCTTATCGAGCCCGAAAGCTTTTACGTGAAACAAATCCTGAAGAAATGGCTAAGTACAAAGAAGCAACAAAGGAAAGAGCAAAAAAATACAACTGGCGTAACAAAGCGAAAACCATACAAGATCCTGAAGAACGAGAGATTTATTTACGTAAACATAGGGCGGCAGAAAATCTCAGCCGTCGAAAACGTTATATTAGGAATCTAGAACAAACTGGTAAAGGCAACAACATATACGAGTGATTGAAAGCGCAAGAAAAACGACTTCAAGCAAGGATAGCAGGTCAAGCTGAACTTGCGAGAATAAGAAGCACACATGAGAAGAGCGTGTAAGCGATATAATCAGTCAAGATTGGAAACATGGAAAGAGCACTAACCCTCTATGATCCAGTAAACGGGTTCGCTCGGGGCAACGAGGCTTAAAACAAAATTTTGAAACTCTAGGAAAAATGACAAACTTTGCATACTCTGGAACGCTCGAAGGCTCTTGACATGTTTCCATCTTTACTCCTTCTATTGGTCATACTATCGTGCCCAAGAATATGTTACCACGTTATTTCTTGAGTGTGTTGCTACTATGCCTTTCATCGCAATGCATTCCATACGGATCTGAACCATCTTCGCCGGCATCATCGGAGTGGAAAGAATTTCTCAACTCCTCTCCGGAGCAGATCCACCCTGCTCACTCTGAAGCAACCCATGAGGCTCATCACAAGTTGCCACCGCCAGCTATTTCACAGTCACAACCGGCGGGAAAACAAGAAAAGAAATTATCACAACGTGCAAACGCCGTGAACTCTCGAAAACATCGCGAAAAGATGAAAAGAGAAAATTTGGAGGATTACAAAGAGAAAACAAGATTATCAAGTAGAAGGAGTTATAAAACGCGCATGCAAAGGATACGATCTGATCCGAAATCATATGAGGATCATTTGGCAGCCGAAAGAGAGAGATCGATAAAGTATCGTTATAAAGCAAAGGCAGAGCTAATAGAAGATCCGGTAAAAAGAGAAGAGTTTTTAAGAAAAGCGAAAGATGATGCTAATGCTAAAGCAAGGGTCAAGTATCAATTGAGAAAACTCTTCACAGGTCAGCCAGGTAAGTCTCAGCATCAATTACGCAAAGACAGAATTAAAGCAGGAACAGCTACGCAAGAAGATCACGAGAAAGTTAAAAAAGAATTGGAGAGAAGGCGTAATTGGGCACGTCAGAAATTGAAGGATCAGCAAAAAAGTGGTTGATAGGTTCGATTTGATCATACATGATATCATACAAAACATATAATCACTACACCCCATTCCAACCTAGTTCAGCCCGCACACCAAGGTGTGTTAACTGAGCATCTGGAGTATCCGCAACGTTGACTATCAATTTGCACGCTCTTGGTGCTTGGTTATCACGTAACCTTTCCAAACCTTTTCTGACTCCGGCTAAACCATCAGGAACGATTTCATACTTGACAGGATGCAGCTGTTTCTGTTGCATGAGCTTAGTCAAGTCTTGTAGAAGCTGTGTTGCAAATACATCATCCCCGTAGAAAGTTGTAGAAAAGCTGATCCGATGTACAATCACATCTTTTGAGCCTTTTTGAGGATTCTTTGGATCGCCTGCTAGACAAATCATCTGTGCAGGTGGAAGCGTGGACGAAGAAGTGCCGATGTTTGCTGCTAGATCATAGCTAAAGCCTGCCGTCTTGGAACCGACTGTATCCACAATAAACTGCAAACCGCCGTCATTCTCACATATTGAGCGTACCTTCTCTGCTATCTCCTCTTGAGGTAAGAAGCGGTCTATACAATGTGATACGCCAACTTGTGCGGAAGTTAGGTAGTCGATATTGGAAGACGAGGCAACAGCAATCACCCGCGAACCTGACAATCGCGCAAGTTGTGCTAAGAAGATACCTGTAATTGCACCGCCTCCATAAATAAGAACCCATGGACTGTTCTCTTGTGGCATAAACGAGGGTGAAGCAGATATTCGGTCTTTAGAAGAGGTTGCGACAGCTTCAACATTACCACCCGTTAGTTGTGATGCTCTAGGCCATCTGAAAAACCAAAAAGCAGAAATTGCTGCTGTTATCAAACCAGTTCCCAAAGTTGCAGCTTGTTCATCTTGTATTATGTCGGGAACCAAACCGATGTGAACTGCTTTTGCAACTGAGAAACCTTGATAAGCCCCTGAACGACGGTCACGAGAATCTGCACAAGTCCAAACACGTTGACCAGGTAAGAGGTGCTTGACATTTTTACCGACCTCTTTTACCACTCCACAAACATCCCTTCCTAACACCCAAGGTGATTGAGGTATACCAAAGTTATATAAAACGCTTTTATAATCTACCGGATTCAAACCAACACTTTTATGTTGAATTAAAACTTCATCTTCTTGTTCGATTGTTGGAATTGGCCAGTCTTGATGTAACTCAAAACTTCTTTCCCATCCTTGACATTTTGATCGGATAAGCAAACTAGCACTTGGCGAAGCAAGTTGGGAAGACGAGGGAGAGGGAGAGCGAGATGATTCTAAGGATGATTGCGAGGTGGACGATTGTTCACTTGTGGCTTCGATAGGAGAAGGTGAAAGTGTTGCAGATTTAGCTAGAGGTCTATCTTCCCAAGCGCCATCCAACACAGCATCTTCATCAGAAACGAGTAAGAATGAAAGAGCTTCTTGTCGTTCATGGTCAGACAAAGCCGAAAATCCGGACCGGACCGGTTGTGTTTGAACGGTTGCCATGGGACAGCAGGCGATAGAAATGGCAATGATGGTGATGAAGAAAAGAGTGCAATTCGATCGATCAAATCGCATTTCCGATTTCACGTGAGAATTGTCATTCCAAACCCACATCCATGAGCGAGGTCCGATTCTGCAAGCCAACGATAACGCAAGAATGAATGTCGGAAACGTCAGATAATATTTATCGTACGAAAGAAGGCACTAGAACAGTGTCGCGTTAAATTAATATCGTTAGCCTCCTTTCTTAGCCAACGGTTGGGATGGCGTGATCCGATAATATGACAAACGTCATTTAAAGCCATCATCTTCATTCGCACGGACATATGAGAATTAAGCAATATGATACCAGTAAAGAAGCATAATGGTACTACTATGCAGACAGGTTGAAGCATAAATAATGTCAGGTGGATCCGAACATGATGTTCTTCGTCACCATCTTATTCCCTCTCACTAATCATGGCTCCGACTGCCACTACAACAAACGGAAGCGCTCCTGCTAGCGTGAAGCCAGGATCAAACAGAATTCAACCTGATCCTGAACTAATTCAATATCCAACATTCGAATCCCGTCCAAAAACGAGGGAAGAATTCTTCCAGCGTGCTAAACAAGTTGCCGATTTATTACACCAAGATGAAGCCGTACGTGATCGTGGAAACGTAGTACCTTATAGACAAGTACAATTGCTGAAAGATGCAGGCTTGGTAACTTTACTCGGTCCTACTTCTGTCGGCGGTGGTGGCTTGCAGTGGCGTGAAGCATATCATGTTATTCGTTTAGTCGCCCAAGGTGATGGAAGCTTGGCCCAATTATTGGGATATCATTATTTATGGTTTTGGGCATCGGCTTTAGTGGGAACGGACGAGCAACGTAAACGAATCGATGAATGGATCACAAAGAATAACTATTTTATCGGAGGTGCAGTGAACCCTCGTGATTCAGATTTAATCGTCACTCAGCATCCAAGCGATCCTTCAAAATTGGTATGCAACGGAAAAAAGACATTCAGCACTGGAAGTAAGGTGAGCGATGTTACCATTTTGGAAGGTACTCTTGCTGGTCCAGATGGAATAGTTGCTCCTGATGCACCTCATATCTTTGCGCCCGTTTTAAGCAAACAGGCTGGCATTGTGTATGGTGATGAATGGGTTGATGTTTTGGGAATGCGTGGAACTCAATCAGGAGGAGTGACAATATCTCACGTTGAAGCACCTTGGTCAGATGCTTTAGGCTTCAATGAAAAGCATGAATTCGTTCCTTTGGGCCCATACAATACCCTTAACCTTCCTACCATTCAACTGGTGTTCACTTCTTTCTACCTGGGTATCACCCAAGGCGCTCTTTCCCGTGGCTTGGTATACACAAAAGCAAACACACGTGCATGGCCATTTGCAGGTGAGCCCGTTCAACGTGGAACTGATGAATTTTATATTCAAGAAGGTTATGGTACCTTACAAGCCCGCTTATGGGCAAGTGAAGCACAAATTGAAAAAGTGATCGAAGAAGCAAGTTCGATTTTACACGTAAAGGATCGTACGACAATTACTGCTGAACAACGAGCAAATTTTGCCGTTCATGTTGCTGCATCAAAAGTTGTGATTGCTGACGTTGGTTTGGATATCACTAATCGTGTATTTGAGCTACAAGGTGCAAGAAGTATTGCTGCCAAATATGGTTATGATGTTGCTTATCGGGATCTTCGTACGCATACTTTGCATGACCCAATTGCTCATAAACGTGCAGAAGTGGGACGATTTGCTCTTTTGGGTCCCAAAGAAGACGGTTGGCCAACCCCAACTTGGTATACTTAGATACATTCTGTCGTGATAAGCCACAATGTAGACATAAGTTATCATCTAATACAATTAATGAATGATGCATACAAAAAGCTATGTAATGTGAAAACGTCAATCAAGAGATTTAAGCAAATCTTCCTGTAGACTGTCTTTTAGCGTTTGTTTGTTCTATTGCGCAATTTTGACATTCGATGATGCGTTGAAGATACGCTAAGAACTCCGTCTTGCATTTGCAAAGACCGTTGAACAATAGGAATTTCAGCAAGTGATCTTCTTGGCACTCTGAAATTGTACATAAATCTAGCCGACACTTCCTAATCTTCCCCAGTTCTTCTCCCACCATTGTCATTCTTTTATCTTTCATCTCTCCTCCCTCTTCATCCAAAATGTCTTCACCTGCTCCGCCTCTTAGCCAAGGCGCTGGATATGGTGTTATTATCGGGCTCGGAGCATTTTTTGCTATCGTCGTCGTAGGTCTATCACAATCTTTACGAAAGTTTGGTGGATTGGCACAATCCTCAAGTGAATATTCCGTTGCATCTCGATCTTTGGGTGTCGGTTTAACAGCAGCCGGTGCGGTCAGTGCATGGTGTTGGTCAGTAACCCTACTATCTTCCGTCACAACTGCTTATCAACAAGGTTTAGCAGGTGCTTTGGTTTATGGAGGTGGTAATATGAGTCAAGTTGCTTTGTTCAGCTTGTTTGCCGTTCAATTGAAACGTAGAGCTCCGCATTTGCATACGCACTTGGAGTTGCTAAAAATCAGATATGGTACTTTAGGTCATTTGACATTCTTGTTCTTCGCTTTGGCTACGAATATCTTGGTCGTCAGTTCCATTTTAGTTGGCTCGGCAGCTTCAATCAATAGTATCACGGGAGTAAACGTTTATGCATCCCTATTCTTATTGCCAGTCGCTGTTGCTGCTTATACCCTACAAGGCGGTCTTCGTTCAACAATCTTGGCAGATTATCTTCACACGTTGGTCATCTTTATTATTCTTTTTGTCTTCTTCTTTGTTACTTATGCAACAGGGAAGGAGATCGGCTCACCATCAAGAATGTATGACCTATTAACATTGGCAGCAGAGCGCAATCCATCCTCAAATTATGCCGGAAGTTGGGTCACGGTCAAGAGTTTAGGATCAATCAAATTCGGTTGGCTTTCGTTTTTGGAATACACTGCAACTTTCATCAACGATGCTTCTGCACATCAAAAAGGTATTGCTGCAAATCCATCAGCAGCAGTACCAGGCTATATTATCGGATCGCTTTCTTGGTTTTCAATCCCATGGACTTTGGCCACAACGGCAGGTTTGGTAGCTTTGGCATTAGAGCAAACTTCACCACATTTTCCTACATATCCAAACCGAATGAGCGAAACAGAAGTTTCGGCAGGTTTAGCATTACCTTATGCAGCACAAGCACTTTTAGGTAAAGGTGGTAGCGCAGGTGTTTTATTGCTCATGTTTATGAGTTCAACAAGTGCAATTTCCGCTCAATTGATTGCCGTTTCGAGTATTTCGGGATATGATCTTTATTCTTCTTATATCAACACAAAAGCAACACCAAATCAAATTTTACGTGTTCAACAATGGGCTGTTGTTGGATTTGCTTTGTTCATGGCAGCTTTTGCAAGTTTATTGCATGGCGTAAATGTCGATTTGGGTTTCTTGTATAATATCGTCGGGGTTGCGAGTACCGGAAGTCTTCCTGCTTTAACATTCAGCTTCTTTGGTGATCGTTTGCCTACATGGGCAGTATTCCCTGGTATTTGGGTTGGATTTGGGGCTGGTTTGGCTGTTTGGTTCTCCCTTGCCAAGAGGTTGGTGGGAGAGATTTCATTGACCGCACTCAAGGATACAGAAGTGGATCTCTACGTTTATACAACTTGCATAGGTACTGGTATCTTGTTATGCACAATCGGTAGCCTGTTCACCCCACAATACTTCGATTGGTCATCTTTACGCAACCATCATCGTGGTGATACAACAGAAGAAAAAGAAGTAGCTGCGATCGAGAACGATGAACGATTCCAAGACAAATACTTGAAAAAGTGGTTGATTATCGCCGGTGTTTTAACAACGATCATTTTTGTGGTATTTATGTTGATCTGGCCATTGTCACTTTATCGTGATTACGTTTTCACAAAATCTTTCTTTACTGGTTGGATCGTCGTTTCGGGTATCTGGTCGTTCTTGGCATTCTTTGCTGTTGGTATCTATCCTCTGGTTGAAGGATTTCCAGCGATACGTTTGGTGTTCAAGGGTATTCTTGCATATTTGCAAGGTCAACGTGGAACGCCCGATCAGGATGCAGTCCTACAACACGATCATCAAGTTCAAGAAAAAGTATCACACATTGAGAACAATAAGCCTGCTTCAGACGGTAGCGAGTCACCAACGGACACACCCAACAGCGAGAATGGCTCTTCCAAAAAGATCACCGCTGCTTGAAAAGTGAAAGTTACTCTACTTAAGCCTTATAGACTATTGGGATTACGTGTAGATATTATGTGAGATATAAGCCATTGCTGAATGATGTTGGTGGTTGTGACGCTTAAATGCGTAAAATTGACCGTCATTATTTTTGTTTTTACGGCCTTATCAAAAGCGGGCACATCCGCCTATATCCGGTCTACGCCTTGCTATACGCAGTGCAAGCCACAGAAATGCTTAGCGCCGTACTTTGCATTTTTTGGCCCGCTTGATAATTTCGGGTTTAAGGAGCCCTTAACGCCGGTCTATTGTATGCTGTCAAAAGAAGCCAGCATTGCGTGACCATACATTTTCCTGACCAAAGTATTATCAGAAATGCCGTCGGAAAGGTATAAATAGACACCATTTGATCAAGTTGATGTCTAACAAATCCTCATCAATCGCAATCACTTCTACCGAATACACTTATCCCCAGCATACTACTCCTCAAAATGGTTTCAAACGTTTTCGTCACAGCTGCTACCAGTCAATTGGGTTCATTGACCGTTGAAGATTTATTGAAAGGATCAGAAAGCAAAGATATCCAAATCACAGTTGGTGTTCGTGATCCAGCAAAAGTTCCAAAAGAATGGACATCTGCAGGTGTAAAAGTTGTCAAAGCTGACTACACAGAGAATTCTGAACAATGGGCTAAAACATTACAAGGACAAGACAAGGTTCTTTTGATTTCTTCAAATACTGGAATTGGTGCAGAACGTGTTCAACAACACAAGAATGTGATTGATGGTGCTAAAAAGGCAGGAGTGAAAATCTTAGCTTACACGAGTATCCTCAATGCTGATCGCATCAAACTCATCTTAGCCCAAGATCATCAAGCAACAGAAGCATACCTCAAAACAGTTGGATTGCAGTATGTCCTCTTGCGTAATGGCTGGTACACGGAAAATGTCTTTCAATCAGCTGCTGGCTGGCCACATACCCATACACATTTCTCTGCTGCAGGTGATGCTAAGTTCTCATACGCTTCTCGTGCTGATTACGCAGCGGCGGCAGCAGCAGTCCTTCGACCTTCATTCAAGCCCACCAAAGTTGCATACGAACTTGGAGGTGATAAAGCATACACCTTGAGCGAATTCACAGCAATCGCATCAAAATCGTTAGGATACGAGCTTAAACATCAATCACTTCCAAAAGATGATTACGTTCAAGTCTTGACAAAGAACGGAATTCCTGAAGGATTTGCAAACATCTTTGCTGATGCAGATTATTATGCCGAAAAAGATCAAAGTTTGTATACTGAAAGTAAGGATTTGTCCATTTTGATCGGTCGTCCTACTGAACCAATTGAGGAATTCATTCCAAAGTACCTCAAGAAGTAGAGCTTTTCTCATTGTTTCCTGTATCCATCTCTTATTGACCCTTTAATAGATCTTGTCTTATTTGAAATTGTGTATGAGGTTTAGCTTGCTTTATCTTAAGCCTGCGTTCGGAAATGTTACCCCACGTTGATGACTCTAGCTCGGAAAACCGTTGGCTGATTTTAAGATTTGGTTCCTGACTCATGCGCATACAGTCTTGCTTCACAACTTCATCATCTACCATTGGAGCAGGCGCAAGATGAAGGTTTTCGTCAGAAATGTTGCAAGGACAAAATGTTTACCAATCTCTCAATTACAGCTGAGATCATTTGCTACAGCTTCTGAATCATCCCGTATCCCAAAAATCAATGCTGATCGATTCCATAAAACACTTCATGAAACGTGTGAAAAGTATGGTGCAGCACATCGATACGGACAACGATCCGATGAAACCGGAATGGCAAGATTGACGCTGAACGATGATGATATAGCCGTTCGTAAATGGCTTGAAAAGGAAATGGAAAAAGTTGGTTGTACATTAAAGGTTGACTCAATGGGAAATATGTTTTTCATCAGACCAGGATCAAAAGCAAATAAGGCTTTACCTGTTGCAATGGGTTCTCATTTAGATACTCAGCCAATGGGAGGCAGGTATGATGGCATCTTGGGAATCATGGCAGCCGTTGAAGCAATGAGAACGATGCACGATCACAATGTTCAAACAAATGGTCCGATCGCATTGATCAATTGGACGAATGAAGAGGGTGCAAGGTTTTCCAAATCTATGTGCGGTTCTAGTGTCTGGTCAGGACAATTGTCAGAAGAAGAAGCGCATTCATTGATCGATGTGCATGACAAAAAGACAACAATGGGCCAGGAACTTGAGCGGTCCGGTTATCTGGGAAAGATGAAAGCACATCATACTGCAATGCCATTAGCAGCACACTTTGAACTACACATCGAACAAGGTCCAATTCTGGAGCGAGCAAATGGAAAAGTTGGAGTTGTGCAAGGTGGGCAAGCGTACAAATGGATTCAAGTAACAATAAACGGAAGAGAATGTCATACAGGATCAACACCATTCGAAGACCGTGCTGATGCGATGCAGTCAGCCGCAAAAATTATTGTTATGAGTAAAAAATATGCACGCAAACAAGGTGGGCTAGCATCAACGGGGTTATTGTCTGTCTTCCCATCAAGCGTTAACACTTGCCCTGGAAAGGTGACTTTCACCTTAGATGTTCGACACAAAAATGATGCAAGCTTAGAGGCAATCCTGTTTGAAATAGAACGTGAAGCAGAAAGGATATGCAAAGAAGAAAGTGAACGGGGAACAAAGATGGATTGGAAGATCTCTTTCGCAAGCACAGCTGTAAAGTTTAACGCAAATTGTCATTCTGCAATTCAACAAGCAGCAGAAAGGTATGTTAAACCAGAGGAAATCATGCCAATCATCAGTGGAGCAGGTCATGATAGTTGTGCAGCTTCGATCAGATGTCCAACCGCCATGATTTTTGTACCTTCAAAGAATGGACTATCCCATCATCCCGAGGAATATACCTCTCCAGAAGATTGTGCAATCGGAGCTCAAGTGCTTATGGACTCTGTTTTGACTTACGATCAGCAACATGTATAATCTTAAGAATTTAAATAAGTTCTAAGTTCACTATTCAGGAAAAAGACGACCAGCGCCTTTGACATTGGATAAAGATAAGAGAAGTATGTAGTAGATATGCCTAATCCGCCTTCCTCAGACGGCAGCAACGTCTGCACCGCTCACAGCAGCAGGTGAGGCCATCGTCATCTTCTTGCTGTGCTTGCCGTGATGGCCAACATGACCATGATGACCAGGAATATGATGAACGTGTCTACCCGTACGTTTGAAAAGACCAACTTCTTGAAAAGTAGCTTCATTGATATCTCGGCGAGCAAGACAGCTCACTCCTGGTCTGGGTTTACATGTTGTACCAACTACACGTTTTGCTAAAGCCATATTGCTTTCGTCCATGTCAATGAGTACCGGACTTGCCAAAATTGAAGTAGATGCCGAGAGAAAGGCTACTGCGATAGATAAGAAAGTCGACTTCATTTTGATACTTAAATTTAATGATGGATGTGCTAAATACGGAACTGTGTAATAAGGTGTGGGATATCACTTGCAATCATGAGATAAAATTTCTTCGGATACGGGGATAGTGATGCCTTCGATACTTAAAACCCCGATTCATGTCGTGGCACATGCTGCAATGAAGTACATCGGGGATGTGCGCCCCCGGAGCAGGATGGAGAGGCTATGCTTTCTGTGTATGCTTCGCTCTTGTGCGTTCGATCAGTACTTTGTCAAGATAGAGCCTTCCATAAGAAAGTATCGTTCAGTCATTGTGTGTACGCAAAAAGACACAACAGTATGACTAATGCTTGTGAACGTCTTAACAAAGTTCAATATCATGGTGGGTTACAAATCATATTAGAGAAAGGCGACCAGCGAGTAAAGACGTATAGAAAGGAAGAAAAGAGATACTTGTGAGGTTTATTGAGCGGCAGACATATCAGAAGCTCCGGCATCAGCTGCTCCAGCGCCAGCATCAGCAGCTCCAGAGGCGGCCATATCAGGAGCACCGGCTGCCATTCCACCTGCAGCAGCACCACCGCCCATTGCCGCAGCTGGAGGCATTGCCGCCATTCCCTTGGATTTATGACCGTGATGACCATGATGATGGCGATGGTGATGGCGATGTTTATGTCTTGTACGTTTGACAAGACCAACTTCTTCGAATTCATCACTGTTTCTTTTACTTGCACCAACATTGTCCAGAGCAGCATTACTACGTAGGCTTCGTCCTGTAACGTATACAATACGCTTGGTCAATGCCATGCCTTCTGAATCTTGAGCATCATTGAAAGGCTTTGTTAAAACGGAGGAAGATCCGATGACAAAGGTTACTGCTACGACAAATAACACCAACTTCATCTCTGCTGAAAAAGATTGAAGGGAGAACAGCGTATGAAGGTAAGGGGGTTTGAACTTAACAAAGAAAAGCTGCTTTTATATCGCTGGCCTGACTTGGAAAATGAAGAGATGCATTGATGACGGGGCGCAAATGAAGGATGAAAAACGCAAATATAGATGCGATGCTGAGGCTGAATGTAGGGTAGCGGGCAGTTTGACACTTCGGCGATCTCTTCATCCGCTGCGATCAAGCAATATGGCTTCCTCTCGAGCACGCTTTTTCTTATGATCAGCTTTGAATTTTCACAGCCACTAGACGCCATTTTGCATATTTCAGCTCAAGCAATTGAGAAATTGGATTTTGTCAAGACAGAAAAATGGAAGAGCGGTAATTATTTACGCAAGAGGCTATAACGTGGTCACTCTTTTCACGGTTGGTGGAAGAATTATATTAAGATAGTAGACGGCCAGCGCCTTTAGGTGGTACGAAGAAACAAAGAGAGGAAAGTCATAACAAACACCGCTCTGAACAAGAAGCGAGAGAAAGGCTTGGACTTCTTTGAGAAGCCTATTGGCCAGCAGACATATCGGGCATACCGCCAGCCATCCCACCGCCCATACCGCCACCACCGGCCATAGCACCAGGAGGAGGACCCATCATCATACCACCCTTGCGGCCACGACCATGACGGCCATGCTTGTGTCTGCCACGCTTGACGAGACCGACTTCTTGTGCTTGACCAGCGCTTTCATCATTCACGTCACGGCGTTCGACCAAGTTAGCAGCCATGATTGTGACACCTGTTGTACTCATGTCACGTTTTTCCGCTGCCAAACCGATCGTTGGACTAGCCAAGACGGATGTTGAACCGACACAGAAAGCTACTGCTGCAAAGACGAAGGTCAACTTCATTTTGAATGTATGGAAGAGAAATGTTTTGATGATGAAAGTGGGAAGTCAAAAAGAGGAAAAATGGCCACTTATATACCTTTCAATATTTCAAACCATTTGATACTTTTACATAAAACGAAAGGCTCTTGTCCGGCCATCAGCATCGGTCAATTAATTTGTCAAGATGGTTGCTGCGCTACGGGGATGATGATGCAGAGCCTTCGTATCGCCGCATTACGGAGGCTATCGGACGGGAAAAGGATTTTGTCGAGATTATAGTTTCTTAAACGGAAGTTACATAGAGGCTGAAAAGATGTACAGTATACCAAACATCCGAAAAAGCAGTGTGATTTCAAGGATGCTATACAAAACTGCCGAGAAAGTACACTGCTCTTTGAAGGCCTGTATGATAAATGCTCGGAGGATAAATTTTGTCAAGACAAACAATTTCCTTCGGAGAGATGACACTCCGTGGCTTGAGGTCTTTTGTCAAGATGCCAAGGCTTACGATGATCGAGCAAATCGAAGAGGTTTGGGCGCCTTTCCATGACCTTCATCGCATTCGTCCGAACTGAGTCCGTAACGCTTACAATTGCTAAGGTTGCGTCGTTGAATACTGCTCTGCAAGGTAACTCCTTCTGTTTGTTTTCTCAATAATCGGAAAGTTTGTTCAGACTCTTGTCCATAGCGGTGCTCCTCTCCCGAAAAGAGTTCCACGCATGCAATCAATCCAATCATGGAGAGAATGAGTCCGATAAAGCAATACATTTTGCAATGAAGCATCATATGGGTGGTTGTACTAGCTTGGATCAAAAAGAAGCCAATGGTGCCTATTTGACGGCCTTTCTCCAAGTCTCACAGATGATAATGAAGCTTGGTTGCATTCTATGAAAGGCAAGGAAGCCCCAAGGGTATACATGCGAATAGCAAAGCAGTGAAAGGGCTGTGCCGTACAGGAAGTACATGGGGCATTAAATCACTTCTTCAGATCGCTTCTATAATAATCATCCGCTTCTGTCCCTTGCAGTTTCTCTTGTGCTTCCGCTTTTTCCACCAATGCACGACCAAGGTCATCTTCCGCTTCATCAGAATCAGCAGGACCATCTTCAATCACGCCTCCCAACCCTCTACGTTTAGACCATAATGTTTCAGCAACTTCGAGATTTTGTGCTAATGCCATCGAACGTTGAATATGACCTTCGTTTGCACGATGAATTTCACGTCGAATCGATCTTGACAGAAATGTTTCTAGAGTACGTACTGGCCAATGAGATGGAACGAAAGCCAAAATTTCCTTGGGTGATAAATGAATAGCTTGGGTGTTGAGCAAATGCGTTGCAGCAATCTGAAACTCGTTTCCAACTCCTTTTTCCATGTAGACGTGTAATAGTGTCTTTAAAAGGTTCAATTGATCCGTCTTGGTGAATGCACTTTTCCGTTTCAAAGATCGTGAAACAAATGTTGTGTACACTTTGAATTCTGCAAACTCGATACTTTGCAGAGCGACCAATGAAAGAGGTTTACGATCTTGACTGCAATACGTCTCTGCAGAATTGGTATCGCGTAATGTGATCGCCAATAGCTCTAAAGCGGCAGTGTCGTTTTGCTTTTTACCGAGAACGATCGCTTGCTCGTATGCCAAGATTGGGAACTCTCTCAGCACGTTTTCGACTGATTCGACATCTAGCACAGTGCTTCCCTGCAATAATGCCATCAGCTTGAGCCTTAGCTTCACTGTCGATATCGTCTCAGCATGCAAGGACAAGTGCGAAACGAACGATTCCGCATATGCTCCCTCGACAAATTCATCAGTCACACGCTGCAAGCTTTCCCTTTCACCTGCTTCTAGTGCTGTTCGGACTTTGCTTACCAGTGTGTCGAAAAGCCGACGGTGAATTTGGGGATCTTGTTGTTTCCTTGTCAATGCGATAGCTTCCAAAAATGCCATTGCTGCTTTATCGTCCAGCCTGCTGAGTTCGTCGAGAATTTCATCATCTGATCGTCCACTCGTACCTCCTGCTTGAGTCTGACCTTTGGTGAGGATTTTCACACCTGCCGCTGCGTCATGTTGTACTAGCCAGATTCCGTATTTGTGCACCAACTTTGCATCATCGCAACGGCTTAGAATTGCAGCAACGGATTGCGTAGTTCCATTGAATGTTGGGTCAATAAGCTCGCCATCCAATAATTTCACTTGCAATTCCAAAGCTGATGACAACTCTTGTCGATCTTCATAAATGCGTGCTAGTGTCGCATAACATCCAACATCAGCCAAGTATGGCTCGATCACGTCCATGTTGCACTTGTTTGCACTCCCTAGAAATTCTGAAAGTGCTTCACTTTGTTTATCGCGCACCATCAACAACGCATGTGAAGTGTCTAGAACAGCCTGTAGGTCATCATCATCGGATAGCGATGCATCTGACCGGTACAAATCAAGCAAAGATCGTTGAAGCCGCTGTATGCGTCCTGTCATTGCATCGTTTAGCTTCTTCAGTGATGAGTTCTGATCAACATCCAATGGCGGACAGTAGTTCATGATGAGATTCTTGCGTGGCCAATCGTCAAGATTACCTATCTGATCTAGCTCATCAGCCACATCGGTAAACAAGTCCACTTGGTTCTCCGGGATACCTCTGTTCGCCTGATCGTATATTGATGGGAACAGTGACATAACAAGCCTCTGGTCCAATTCACCACGCTCTATAAACTTTGCAGCATCTTCAAATCTCAATAATCGCAGGCAAGCTGTTGCTAGCATTTGATTGACGTATAGTAGCTCCAATCGTTCCAAACTTCGCGTCTCATAAGCAGCTCTTTGTTCCCATGCATCTTCCGCTAATCGTTCTGCTCTCACGATAGCACCTCTCTGTATTGCCTTTATTGCAGAATCAAGCGTTCGGGTATTAAAGATGCCTTGAATGACATTCTTACCGATCATCAAAACACGAGAACTCGATCTCCGCTCAGCAATTACCGAATCCTGCCAAGTTGTTTCTTCAGCCGCTTCCCGCCGTCTCTTACCACCACCTTCTAGAACGATTTTTGTGATCGCCATTCCTACATCCGCAGAGGCTTCCCGCATGGCCAATTGACTGGAAGCATTAGAAAGCGTTCTTGGTTCCAACAGAGGCGGCAGATGAATCGTCTGTTCCTTTTGCATGGAAACAAGGTTATGCACTTCGATCGTATCATTTCGCAATAATGCGTGCAAATAAGGATATTCAAGTGCCAAAGCTCTTGGATGACTTGGCCATTCGATTAAACGTGCAGTTGGTTCACCATTTTGTCCGATAAAAACTCCAAGCGTTAGATCTTCAGAATGACTTGTGATTAAAAATTCACATCCTTTTCCTTTATGGTCGGGTATCGATACGATTGAAGGTCGATTTGACGCAGAGGGAGATTCGTTGGTTTGACTGATCGGAAGACCGACAGGAGAAAGGGTTGCTTGCTGTAAATTGACGATATTATATTCGGAAGTAGTCGAAATACAAAGCCAATCACCAAATCGCTTCGCATTCGTTGCTCCTCCGGGTAAAGGTATCTCTTTCATTATCCTCCACGTATCTTTACTCATTTTTACCAACATGATCATCTTTCGTCGTATGATACACATATTCACCAACCCTTCCGAATCTACTTGATTGCCGTTTGTCTGCTCATCATCCAATGCCAAAGCTGCCACTCCTTTGACGTGTGGTAAGACCTGTTGTGGAATTGGCAAGAAGCTGGGTAGCTCATGAAAAGTGACTGTAGATTCGCTCAAGACAGCAGCGACTTTCAAAGCCGAGATGACTACAATACGTTCGATCGGTTTGGATGAAATATCGCGAGTTCCAACATGTTGCAAGTCCTGATAGCGTGAAGGTCCTGCACCATCCAAAGCGGGTTGTGCAAAACAAAACACATTCCCATCCGTTGAGCCAAGATAAAGATGTTGCTCAAAAGGTTCGGCACATCGTAACGATCTTGCCAATGCGGCTGGAGAGGTTGGATTGATTGACGTATCGATCGGTAAGGCAGGGTATAATAGAGGCCTTAGCTCGCAGACGTCAGGTCTGCTCCTTTCCTGTTCCTCCATTTGGATGGCGGGAGTTATGAGGAGGTCGGGAGTAAGGAGTGGGAACAAGAAGAAGCAAGACTATACAATCTTCTGGTCAAACGCTCAGGCCAATTATGTGGAACGCGCATCTACCTTCCCGCACCCCATCATTTCCGGGGGAAACATTCTCTCTCTCTCGCCATCATTATCTCACTCTACTAGAACACATTATGGTATGATTGCAATTATTTGAAATCATCTTCGCTATATACAATGCGGAAAGAGCGCAATCGCCTGGATGCGCAAAGCGAGGCCAAAAGGAGAAAAGGAAGCAGTAATGTACAAAGCAGTCATTTGGACATGCAGCAGTAAAAGACAAGAGAATTAAAAGAAGGGAGAAGAGACAATGAATACAAGTACAAGATTGTTGATGCCAGACTAAGACCTATATAGCTGCTGTGCATAATGATTCTGATTCTGATCGTAATAATCTTGTTGACCGTATTGTTGATGTTGGTCTTGTTGTTGATAGTATTGTTGATAGCTAAGATCTTCATCAGATGGTGGTGATCGTGGATAAGCAGGAGGTGGTTGTTGTGGTAGGAGTTGTCGTTGTGATTTGGATGGTTGATTGTCACTTACTAATGAGCCAGCACCAAGATAATGTGCATAATTCCATCCGGCCTGTCCGACTGATCCGACACTTGCTTCTCCTTCCAGGTTTCCATCTTTATCGTAAATGTATTGAGTCTTTCTGGCTTCACGCATCACATCTCTCGATCGCTGGCTTGTACCGTTCAATCTGACAGTTTTCATTTCATCTTGAGAAGTCATGGAGTCACGGAAACCGCCAGCTGCGATTGAGGCGTCCAATTGCTTTTGTCGTTCAGCAGCTTCTCTCTTTCGTCTGAAGAACATCAAAATCGTCATTCCGATAAAAAGTAGAAAGATTACTCCAACTACTACACCAACTGCGATTCCAACTGTTTTATCCGTAGCTGCATGAGCTCTAGCCGCATTTTTTTCTTGAATAGCTTTTTGTTGTGTTTGATTGAAACCTCCTCTTTGGCCGTCGTGGTTGAATCCATCTCTTTGACCGTCCTGATTGAATCCTCCTCTTTGACCGTTCATTCCGTTTTGCGAGTTTGAAAGGCCATCATCGCTTGCTAAAGGTGTAAGTGATTGTTGTGTTCCATTCGGGTCTCCAGTTCGTGTTCTATTTTGTCGATGATGTCTGTGTGAAGATGTAGATTGACCTGCATCGGGTGAAGATGTATCATCTGCTGTACTTCCGCTACTTGCATCGTTATTTGATGGATCTTCTTCATCTTTTCTATGTCTTTGTCTCTTTCGCAAACGTTGAAAGCTGAGATGTTGAGCTGAAGATGGGTTGACGATTCCATTCATCAATCCTTGAATTGGTTGGGCATTCATTGTCGAATATGTTGTTAGAACGATTGAATAGATGTAGTTTTCCTTTTGTTTCAATTCGTGCCAAACCAGTTGGCAAGATGAAACGATGTTAGTGAGTGGGTCGTATCGTTTGTGTTAAAGTAGGAGTGAGTGGATGTGATGAAGAGAAGATAAGATCCCTTCGTTTGGGTTAGAGGCATGAAATTGAACTTTTTCTTTTTTTGGTGTTTGCTGTGCCAGTGCGAGGCAACGAATACGCGCTCGCTCTGGACGAGAGAAGCCGATTGAATAGCAGCAGCAGCAGCACGAACTTGTCACACGTCCTTGTAGTACAGTGAGTGTGCATCAGAGTGCATTCAAATGCACAGAATCGCAAGTGCCTCCTCTCAGTTCCTGCCGAGAGAGAGGGTATTCTATACAATAGGAGCCACTTCTGTGTACAAACAAGAGCACAAAGACGCGCAATTTGTACAATGATGCCGTTCACACAAGGGCCCCCCTCAATTACTCCAAGAAGAGGAGGATAAACACAGTGAACCTGCATCAAATCTGTTTTCTATACACTTTATTTTTTGACATTTGGCGTGGAATAAAATCGAGATTAAACACGCGCGCGCATACAATCACAGTAAGCATTTCATGGTCATCGGGCCAGTGTCATAAGACCATCCAAAAAGAAACCCGAGGCAAAAGCACCCTTTCCGCCGTTACGCGGCCCAATAGCACCAAAAAGAAAGACGCGTCTTTGAAATGTAGGTAGTTAAACAGCGCACCTTTTTTCTTTTTCATTTTCAGGTCCATGTGGTCAAAAGTTCTATTTTTAACCCTTGATTGAATCAATTGCGAATCGCTAGGTACACATAAAACCCAGCCCTATTCATGTTCGTTTGCCGATTAGTGTCTTTATATACGCTATTATGACCTTTAAAAAGAAGGCTATTAACAACAGTATTCTCCGAATATGAATGAACGAGTGAGTGTGTGTATTCGCTTGAATTTCCCATTTGATGGCTTGCATTGTATGCATCATTGTGGCAGTAATTGTATGCTTTGCGATACACCAAGCGCGCACGCTTTTTGGACGTGATTGAATGAATGCGTGCTCTTCTCACCATTTTGCCATGCCGACGGTAATGTCGATTAGTGGAATATTCTAAATACGTCATTCACTTTGACACGGACTACAGACGTTTATGATGGATACATACATACATCTCCCCGAACCGATGTATAGACGAAGGTTGAGTTATTAGGTAAGCAGATCACGTTCACTTGGAGTATTCCCCTCTTTACCAAATCAATGGAACAACTTTATGGACTACATGCACTCTGATGGTCAGCACTCTGATGGACAGCATTCTGATAGACAGCATTCTGATAGACAGCATTCTAATAGACAGCATTTTGCCTCTCGTCTCGGCCACCAAGCAACAAATGAGTAACTTCATTTGGGCAGAAAGAGCGAGATCGATGCAAAGGCAGTGCGGACGAAATGTCATCCTTACGAGAATCATTAAGTCGACCTTTTCCAATCGACTTTTAGACTTCTTCGACTAATTCGTGCCATTTGCTGCTTCTTATCGATTACAGTGAGCCATAATCATCTTTCTGGCTAGGAAATCAGCTTTTGCTTAGTCAGCTAGCCTTCATTCGGACGTAAGCACGTTTCTCTTAAAAGCCCGCTTCTTACTGTCGGTTCGTCCGTTGATCAGATAAGAATGATTAGGTCATTCCCCCCATGGACTTGTATACGAAATGAAAATGATATAAGGTCCGAAAGGATTATTCATCTGATCATCATTACCATGCATGCATAAAAGAGAGGGCCGTTGTTTGTATGGTTAAAAATCAGCTGTTTTCTCTTAAGCAGAAATGTTGTGCATAAATACTTTGGCGCGTACTCACACCACCACTCACTCATTCACTCACTTAGCGCGGCTCCCGCTTACGGTGTTCAGTTGGCCTACTTCTAAAACGAACTAAACGAGCAACAAACAGTACATAAACATATGATCTTGATCACCTGCAAACGTGGTTGTACCTACTTGAGATACGGCAAGAATGCCAAGCACTATATTAAATTCACCGGACTTTCTACAAAGATCAATTTTATAAGCCAGAAAACGGCTCATTTTTATTTCTAATATGTATACCGAAAAATGGGCATACCATCACACAATCACGCAAGAAGTGATTGCCTCTCTGACTTTAAAATTTAAACAGCACTTTTACAGCCACATAGGTAGAACTTGCAATGAACATAAGCCTATTTGCACGTCCGATTAAACATATGATCTACAAATTAAAATGGATAAACAAAGATGGGTCCATGCCCTGTCTCTTTCCGGTGACTTTTTAGGGTCATGTCTTCTTGGCACACCCTTCCTCTGGCACGGTTCATCAACATATGACCGTATGTACAAAGCCGTAAATGGCTCGATTTTAAACAAAATAGCGTATTACCTACGCTAGATTTATTCTTTCTGTTCTTTCCAAGCATGTTAATGACCGAGATTTCCAGTATCCATCCACTCAACGGCTTTTGATCTCCTTAAGTGAAAAGGTATATAAAACAAAGATTGGTAAAGACCCTCTCTGTCTTTATTATCCTCATCAACAACTTTCTCAACCCCTTCTCGTCAACACCTCCCCCTAAAACCCCAATTTCCCATCATGGTTAAACTATCCACCCTTCTCATGGCTGTCGGTGCAGCTTCAGCTGTTGTCGCCGCCCCTGCCAAGGTCGAAAAGCGTGCTGCTCCAGGTCAAGCTGATATCGATACCGTCATTCTCAACTACGCCTTGACATTGGAACATCTCGAAAACGCATTCTACAGAGATGCTTTGCCATCCGCTCAAGCATTCAAGGATGCCGGTTACCACCCATGGATACGTGAACGTTTTGTTGAGATTGGTGGACATGAAGCCAGTCACGTTGCATATTTGACAAAAGCTTTGGGTGACAAAGCAACAAAAGAATGCAAGTACAACTTTGGCGTTACAGGACCAAAATCTTTCATTGCCACTTCTCAATTGTTGGAAGGTGTTGGTGTTAGTGCTTACTTGGGTGCAGCTGCCAACATTACCAACCCAGCTTACCTCACAGCTGCAGGATCTATCCTCACAACCGAAGCACGTCACTCTTCTTGGGTTCAATCATCCGCTGCTCTCTCTGACCCAGCAGGATCTCCTTATGATACACCAACTGACTTTAACCAAACATACTCTTTGGCCGCTCCATTGATCGTTTCTTGCCCAAGCTCAAACCCTGCTTTACCAGTCAAGGCTTTCCCCGCAGCATCATTTGCCAAAAACCCAACCAAGCTCGGTCAAACTGTCACGGTCAAGAGTGACAAATTACAACAAGGTCAAAAGCTCGGTTTCATTGGCGGTGCAGGTGCAATGTCATTCGCTGATATTAACAACGGTAAAGTTACTTTGCCAAAAGAAGTTACTTGGGGACGTACTTACGCTTTGATCGTTCCAAGTGACGCAAAGACAATCACTGATGAAAACACAGTCGCTGGACCAATCGCTTTCGACATCTTGCCAGGACCAAAAGAAGCAGCTGATTTCTACTCCAAATCCAACTAAATAATATCTAGACCCTTTTCGTTGTCTTTACAACATATTTAATCACCTAACCATTATCTAAACAGATAGGCAAATATACCTCTTCTGTTATTACACACTTTCGTTTTCAATCATGACTCGTTCAATTATTATTAGTATATTAGCGTGATATGAAGTGCAGTTGAGGAGTCCGTTGAGAGCAATTCGCGCTTTAAGCTTCTTTACATCATGACTCCGTTCGGAGCCCCGTGCTGCTGCATAGAAACGCGGGAATAAAGTTTTAAAAAATTTCACCGAAGATTGATTTAATATAAATACTGATGGTGGTAAGAGAAAACAATCTTTCTGTGTCCCTTTATCATTCAATACATCAAACACAATGAGTAGGACGACTTCCGTCTTAGAGTCTTCGGCATCTGCAGTCGAACTACAACGACTAGGAAGAGATGACCAAAGTACAACAAACCAAACACACAATAAGTCATTATGGCGAGATTCATGGCTTGCAAGACCCATCATCATCAAAGCATTACCGCCACAAGCACGATTGATCATGATCGGAGCTATCGTCTCTATTTCTGGGCTGCTGTACGGTCTTGATACGGGTTCAATCGGTCCGGTAACAGAGATGGACCAATTTTATAAAACTATTGGTTTTATACCTTCTCCTGCTTTGCATGGTTTCTTTGTCGCTTCAATCCTTTTATCTGCTTCTATAAGTTCGCTCTGTAGCGGCTTTGTTGCTGATAAGATTTCAAGAAGATTTGGTGTCTTTACGGGAGCAGTCATCTTCACAATCGGAGCAACAATCTCAGCATCATGCTCTGCATTTCCTGCTTTAATCGTCGCACGTTTAATCACCGGTATAGGAGCAGGTCAAATGATTGCAGTAGCATCAATCTATCTTATCGAAATCGCAACATCTGAAACTCGAGGTAAATTAGCTTGTATGATCCAATTTTGTATCGCGATCGGTATCATGACTGGATATTTCATCACTTATGCAACTCAACGGATCAGTTCAAGTTTATCTTGGCGTTTACCGTTTATTGTTCAAGCTTCAACCTCTGCTCTATTGGCACTTTTGATTATCGCTTTCGTTCCATTTTCACCTCGTTGGCAAGCTCAACATCATGGTGAGCAAGCAGCTTTGGATACTTTACGCAAAATTCGTTTACCTGATTTCGAAACTACATCAAGATCGGGTAATGAGACCTTACAATCTTTACAAGAGTCTCAATTACAAAAAGAAATTCTTGAAATTCGTGCTGCTATAACAGAAGCTCGGATTTGCCGAAATAGTGCAAGACGTGGTTCATCGGCAGGAGCAAGTAGCTATAAAGAATTATTCCATCGAAGGTATAGAAAGCGAACTGCATTGGGTATCTTTCTCATGTCGGCTCAACAGCTCTCAGGTGTGGATGTCGTCTTATACTTTGCACCAGTGGTTTTCTCGAGCTTATTCTCATCTCAAACGGCGTCTTTCCTTGCTTCTGGTGTGTCTGGTATCATTCTAGTCGTATCAACGATTCCCGCTCAAATCTATGTTGATCGTTGGGGCAGAAAGCCAATGATGGTAGGTGGAGGCATTTCGATGGCCGCATGTTTCTTGATAATCGGATCACTTTTTGCTAAATTTGCATCGATTGAAAACAACACTGTTCGTTTAGCACAAGGTCCTGCACGTTGGGTTGTTGTCGTGCTCATTTACCTTTTCCTTGCCATCTTTTCGATGACTTGGGCTGTGGTTTGTAGAATTTATGCGGCAGAAGTGATGCCCACCCGATTACGTTCAAAAGCTGCAGCAGGACAACAATTAGCAAATTGGACAACAAACTTTGTCGTTGCTTTGACTGCTCCTTCTTTCTTACGTGCAACGCCTTCAGGTCCATATTTTTTCTTTTCTGCTTGCATTGCATTTACAACGTTGATTTGCTTTAAGTTTATGATTGAAACTAAAGGCCGTTCACTGGAACAGATTGATAACCTTTTCGATCAGCACAACGAATAAACACAAGCTCACTTTCTCCTTATGTATATACTTTTTCATTTACCGGTCTAGCTTGTTTTTTTATTTTTATTTCGGAAAAACCAGAAACATCTTCATTCGTTGTAACCATGCATAGATTGCTCTCATTTAAGCGAATTTTTGTGGGGAAAGGCACAACGAACATAATCGTTGACTGATGAAGTGCATCAAAAGAAAACACCTTTTCTCATGCTATTTAGCGTCTACTTATGTACACTAACTTTCTCCTTGGCACTTGTTCTTGACTTTATTCGATCAACTTGGCGATCTTTCTCACGCTTCTACTCCTATGCACTAAAATTGTATGATTGACTTAGGGTTCTGCTGTCGTTACTATTGTTTGTTTGCATACGCTTCGAATTCACCGTGTGTTTTTTATCCCACATTGAACAATCGCATATAATATCGTAAGGTTTTCTTCGAAAGAGTATACTTTGAGGGGATGTGTAAAAGCCTTTATGTCATTTAGCATGAAACATGCTCTTTTCTGCACCATCCATAAACGGAACGTTCTGATTTATTCCGATATTAATAACCTATTTCCGATATCGGTGTCTTTTCTTGAGAAGACCCTTTTCTTCGATCTCTTATGAATTAGTAGGAGTATAAGAAGGCAACACATTCAATTGCAATCCACAATCGTTTTTCCATCTCCTCATTCATCTCTACCCCTTCACCCTTATTTTTCTCTTCGCAATGTTTTTCGCTCGCTCAGCTTTGGTCGCCTTTGTTGCTGCAACAGCTTCCAGCTTAACAGCTGCCAATCCAATCTCCTTGGAAGCCAGAACACCTACATTTGATGGAAAATGTATTGCTTTAAGCTCTGCAAGTTTAGCGGCAGAAAACAAAGCGATCAGAAATGCCTACATCGTTCCTGATGTCTACAACAGCTTTGACCCAAAAACAACTGTTGCGCTTTATTATAATGAAAAATTTGTTCCATATGGAGACAAATTAACCGCAACACAAACACTTTTACAACCAAACGTGTATTTCCCAGCTCCTGAAGGTGATCAAGGTGATAAATATACAGTGATCATAAACGATCCTGATGTTCCTTTGGGTATTACACATCCAACATTCTTGCATTGGATCAAAAAGGGCTTAACGCCAAATTGTCAAACACCTGCAAGTGATAGCGGTCAAGATGTTCGTATTTACATCTCTCCAACACCACCACCAGTTCTTGCACCAACAGAACATCGTTATACAATCTCTATCCTTAGAGAACCAAAGGAAGGTTACAATCCAAGCGCACTGAAATATTTGACAGAATTAATCACTTTTGACGTAAACGAATACGAAAAGAATACAGGTGCCAAATTGGTCGGATCGACTTACTTCTTGGGTTCAGCCACGTAAATACGTTCATACTAGCTTTTTCTCTATTGCAATCATATAGTGTTACTCTCTGTCATGTGTTTATTCAAACGCCGTTGTTCCACTCTTTGTGGGGAAAGTAGTGCGCTGCGTACGGATTTGTCGGAAAAGGATAAGTCGGATGATTAAGCGGTCAACGGTCTTTTCCCCAACGGACACAAAAGGTGACTAACGGTGAATTTAGATTAATGATTTCATTTCGTACCCTGCGCACCTCGTCTAGAACACTGCATGTACCTATTTACATACATACAGAATTGAACTCTTTTATATTTTTAGCGTTTAGGATTCAGTTCGGAGCACCGAGTAATGAAATTCCGAATATATCCATTCGTTACTGTGACTCAATCATCCTTTGCACAATCATATAAAGATGATGTCTTGATAGATACATTCAAGTAACAAACCTTAGGATGCCCAATGGAAACCAATACTTCAAGTTCGATTGACGTCCCAAGGACGGAACAAGTTAGTATTGATGATGAACAAAGAATAAAAGTTGAATGGTCAAAAGATGATCCTCAACATCCATTTAATTGGTCAAAAAAGAAGAAATGGTCAACTGCTCTTTGTGCTTTATTATTCAATTCTTCAACCGCATGTAATGGAACGGCTTATGCTGCTGCACGAATTCAAGGTTCGATGGGCGTAGGTGTTTCGCAAACGGTTTGGCTTTTGGGTATGACTACGTATTTGGTACCTTTAGCAACTGCACCTCTTCTTTTGGCACCATTAACAGAACGTACAGGAAGAAGGCCAACATGTGTGATCGCGATGATCATTTATGTGGCAATGTTTTTACCGCAAGCATTGGTACCGAGAATTGATGCTATCCTTGCTTCTAGATTCGTTCAAGGTGCTGCAGGATCAGTTGGAAATACAATGGTTTCCGCAACCTTGACGGACTTATTTCCAAAAGAAGAAAGACTGATCCCACTTGCGGTTGTGGTTTGGTGTGTTTTTGCAAGTCAATCTATCGGATCAACCGGTTCAACTTGGACAGTACATGATATGAATTATCAATGGGTTTTTTGGTGGCTTGGAGCTGTTGCTTTGGGTTCACTTGTCGTGGTGATTGTATTTTTACCCGAAACAAGACATACGAAATTATTACAAGCAAGAGCAAACGCACTTACTAAACAAACTGGAATCAAACACTACATTTATCAAGGTCCAATTCAAGCAAAGTCACAATTTTGGGTGACAATCGAAAGGATGACAAGACCTTGCGTTTTCTTTTTTACCGAACCAATCGTTGCAACTTTGGCACTTTGGGTTGGATTCTTGTGGGGTGTTGTATTTTTATCATTAGAAGGTATTCCGATCGCAATGGAACCGTACGGATGGATAGAACCAAAGCGAACATCATTTTTGGCTTTAATGGCTTTAGGCGCTTCTTTGGGTATAGCATGGCAACCTATCTCATTACGAATTTATCGTCGTGCAAAACAAAACAATCATGGCTTACCACCACCGCCCGAAATACGATTGACATGGTGTACGATAGCAGCATGTATGACATGTGCTTCTTTATTTTTGTATTGTTGGACAGCTCGTGCTTCAATTTCACCAGTTGTGCCAGCGATCGGAATGGTAGGATTTTATTGGGGCGTTTTTGAGATTTATCTTAGTACGTTGCTTTATTTAGCAGATGCATATGAAACCTATGCTGCAAGTGGGATAGCATGTCAAGCATTAATGAGGAATATTTGTTCTGGAACATTTCCTCTTTTTTCGACGCAATTTTATGAGAAACTTTCACCTCCTATCGCAACAAGTATCTGTGCAAGTTTAGCAGGTGTTTTAGGTATTGCACCATTTTTACTTATTCGATTTGGACCGATGCTCAGAAAGAGAAGTGCTGTTGCTGTTCTTTTGCAAGCTGATGAAGATCAAAAGCAGAAAGAGACGGGAGATGAGAAAGAAAAGGCTTAAGATCAAATTAACTGTATATTAATAGAATTCATATCATATCCATTCAGTTCTGATCGTTGTATGTGTGTGTGTGTGTGTGTGTGTGTGTGTGTGTGTGTGTGTGTGTGTGTGTGTGTGTGTGTGTGTGTGTGTGTGTGTGTGTGTGTGTGTCCAGGCTTTGTGTTGCGTTGCGCCCCGAGTTGACTGACTTCCCGCCGGTTGATCCCTATTTTCCTACGCGTTTGCTTATGTGCGGTGCCGCGACTTGTGGCTTATGCTGTGTTGCATCAGCCGTTCCCTTGCTCGTGTGAGGGGGAACAGGCGTGAGTGTGAGTAAACAATGCTGATCATTTATACCCTAACTATAGAATGAGAGTGTACGAAAACAGGGTTGATATAACACGTCTTTAATGCGGGCAACAATGACGGGCAAAGGTGCCGAACTGCCGCCGGCTCGCATTTTGACTAACAAGTTGTTATAACTTGTTAATAACAAAAGAGATGATAATAATGCATCGATTGTACCCTACATAATCTAATGAAATCTAACTTGCCTTTCTTATCATCATCCTTCAACCCTACCATCATGCCTCCAATCATGTTGGGCGGCAAAAATGGATCGCGATTGAGTCCAATCTTGATCTTTTGTTTGTTTTGCTTTGGTTTTTTATTCTTCGTTCGTCCTCATTTGAACGGAATAGTAAACGGAGCAAGAGATCATTCAAGACAATGGGTCTCAACCAATCAATCGATCGCCAAACCATCATCCGCTTCTCAACCACCCCTTTCATTCGATTGGGCTTCCGATGTTAGCGTTGTGTATACTTGGGTAAACGGTTCAGTTCCTGAACAAGCTCGTTTACGCAAACAATACGGCGGTCCAAGTATCAGTGGAAGATTTCGTGATAACGAAGATTTACGATTTTCCATGCGAACTTGGATCAATAACGCTCCTTGGCATACGGGTAAAATATACATCGTTTCGCCAACTCCACCTGATTGGCTTGATTTGACACATCCAAGGTATGTACATTGATGATATTCTCACGCATGCTATGGGCTAACTCCCTCCCTCTAACAGAGTTGAATGGGTGGATCAAAATACCATCATTCCAACCAAATATCAACCAGCCTTCACTTCTAACATTATCGAACAATACCTTTATCGCATTCCAGGCTTGACCGAACGATTCATTCACTTAAACGATGATTATATGATCGATCGTAAGATATCACCGTCGGATTTATTCACAGCTGAAGGAGGAGCACGATTCTTCTACAGCCGAACAAACGTGAACGATGATCCAAGACCAAGGACAGGTATCTGGTTCCGAAGCTTGTTGAACACGGTTGATGCCATCGAAAGGGCATATGGAACGGATAAAGGTCAAACACGATTCTTGAAACATGCTCCGTATGTTTACTACAAATCAGCAATGGAAGGCGTTCATCGACGTTTCAAAGATGTCTTGGAGGTAACCAATCATCATAAATTTAGACATGAACAGGATGTTCTATTGCCTTATTTGCATCATGCCTACGTCATCAATGAAGGATCAAGATGCTGTTCTCTAAAATACGATGTCGTCAATTGGAAAAAGACTGCAAAAGATTCCACTTTGTTGATCTGGACAGAGGATGTAGAGAATAATGTGTATAGCATCGAAAACATCGGAAAGCCATTATTCCTTACCATCAACGATTCTATGGGACGTGGAAATCCGGTTGCAGCCGAATTACAGATCAGGCAATTCTATCAATCTCGGTATGGACACCTTCGATCACCATACGAGAAGGAGCATTTACGGATCTAAAGCGAGATTACAGGTTGATCTCTTCTTTACTATTATCATTTTGTACATTAAGCAATCATGCCGGAAATCATTATATTCTATCACGGATCTATCACCAAGCAGCAGTGTGAGTCATTCTGCATTCGATTGAGAAGCCTCTTAGTTAATGTGTGATGGTTGTATACAAAGCAGCAGCGGTATGTCATGCTGCGTTGGGAACTAAGCACTCAAGGGCACAAAGCAAGAATGTTTTCAGATAATGACAATGCAATGAAAAGATAGAAGGAATGCTAAAGTTGTACATCTAGTAAAAAAATGAGTGTGTATGTATATATGTGTGATTAAACCTTGCGACCATAACCTCCGCTTGATGCTCTCCAAACGGCTTTGGAGAATAGCAGAGCCCAATGTTCGAAAGTGTATGTGAAGCAGACGGCAAAGACTGATAAAAAGATATAAGAAGTGATAAAAGTTACCAAAGTGGCAGCCCAATAGGGTGCACCTTTTTCCAACATTGTCAAACAAAGCCAAGCACCCCATGTCCAAAATACGATACCATGACAAAGATAAAATGCCATAGAATGACGACCGAACCATGCCCAAATACGTAATCTCCAAATTACTTGGAACCAAGAAGAAAGATCGACCAAAATAAAGATTGACATACACCATAGCCAGCTCCAAACACGTGGATCTTGATAATGATAAATCATGTCGGCTTGCAAGGAATTGTGTTGCTTTGAGGTGTTGAAATTGGGATGATATCCGTATTCTATCATATTCAAATCGCCTCCTGGACCATTAGGAATGACTAAGAACCATTGTTGAACGGCACATGCCAGGAAGAATGCCCAAGCAAAGACTGAACCTTTGATACGAACGCCAGGGATGATCAAGATCGGAACACCTTTCTCAGCCCAAGTACGATAATCCAATTTGCTATCCAAATCGGCAACGATTAAACCACCCATGAAGAACATATCCCAACTGTTGACGTACCAAGAAATGATGACGCAGATAGCATAGAATGTGTATCGCTTCCATGCTTTCTTGATTTCATGTGCAACCAAAGCACATAACATACACGTCCATAAACCTTGAACGATAAGTGGAATTGTCCAAAGTACACCGGTAGCATATCCTGTAACCAAAGCGGGACTGTCTGGTGGAGCGGCCCACCACAAGGTGATGTAAGAATTGATAAAGACCAAAACGTTTTCGTAATTTTGATAGTATGCCCAAGTAGAATATGTTCTTGAGGCCAATCTACGAACCCATTTATACCCGTCAACATCGATCATCATATAATTTGCAAGACATGCTCCTAGAACGGGTAACATCAAACGAGGTAGACGACGAACCGTACTGTCTGCCATAGTTGACAAGCCACCTTTCAATAGATACCTTTGACACATTGTACGTGCAGGCATCAAGAAGAAGATGCCCAACAATAATCCGGCATTGACGTATGTTGGACCTATGATAATTCTTAACCATTTTTCCATTTCTGGATAATGGTACGAAAGTGGATTGGTATCAGCCACACCGTGATAGAACATCAAGATGAAATGCGCAACCGAAACACCCAAACATGCAAATCCACGTATACCATCCAAATAATCTATACGACGTTCGCCCGTTGCAGTTCTCATTCCATCACTACCGATAAAGATCATAGAATGTAAACGTTGAAACATCATATAAACGAAAGATTGTTGAACGGGAACGATACTTAATCGATGTGTGATTGGATCAGGATTGATCGGTTGAGCCAATTGACCTACTGAACTTTCATCTGTACGTCTTTGCCAATTCACAATTGTAGGACGTGAAAGTGGTTGCCATCTTGATTTCGGTCTTGTGTGATCTACATTTTGTCCGCCAAAAGGATCTGGCTTTTGATCAGCGGGTGTGTGTTCTGGTTGATCTCCTTCTTTCATACTTGGACCGCCAAATCTATACGAATCAAAACGAGAGAGTGCTGGCATGGGAGAAGTGAGAGCGGTAGTACTTTCGGTATGACCATGATTACTCTTTCCCAAGAATGACATTCGCATCGAACTACTCCTATCACGATTTTTGCCGTTGTGTTTAGCGCTACTCCTTCTTCGCATGAGCATGCTACTCAACCGTCTTACTCTTGAACCACGTTGTTGTGGTTGTGGTTCGATTTCTCCTTCAATCACTTCTGCATCATCAAATTCATCGCTATCGTATTCCGATCCACTATCTTCCCAATCATGATATAATTCAGGAATTTCGGGATTTTGTTCATGTAAACTGGAAACGTTTGCCAAATATCTCTTTGAATGTTCATCACCTTGCGAAAGCCCCAATGGTCGTAAACCACTCTTTGGACGTTTGGAGTGGACCGATTGGTTATCTCCATCTCCTGAAAGTGCAGGTGGTCCTTGACCATTCTTTTTCTTGGCGGCATTGATGACCATACCGTGAATGACGACTGCGATGAATAGAGCAGCAAAGAAAGACGTTGGAACAATGGCCCAGAGGGGTGATTTGAAGTGTGTTTTGATCGGCAACACACGTAAAAGAGATTCTGGCGAGAATGTTGTACTGTTTCGCAACGTCAAGTCTTCTGTACTGCAAATAGCAGCACGAGTAGACTGACATTGCTCAGAAAATTGATCATGTCGAGCAAGCAGAGTTGAATTGTAGAAGAAACGAACGTAGAGAACTCTTGTGACCAAAGGTTGATACATCGGTGGACCTTGACTGACAGTAGGCTCTCCATTTGCCCAAGTCTGGAAACTGACGGGAGCAGGAGTGGTGGGTATATTTGTGGCATTGACACCTTTCTCATAGGCCAAGAAATCCGTTGATGAGTTCAAGCCGTTGTTACGAAATTGAACCATTTTATGATTTAACCAATCCAAACGATGTTCAATGGGTGAATCGGTATTCAACCATGTCAGATTTACGTTACGTGGATCAGAACCGTCATGCAGATATGTCAAATTTGTCTTGACCGGATCTGCATTAGCCCCTGAAGCAGAGAAACTCCAACGTAATGTAGAATTTTGCGGATTGTCGGATAAAAAGATGCCCATATCAACCGTTTCACTTTCATTGTATGAAACGCCGAATTTGAATGCACCTCCATAGCCTGTTGTGTTTGCATGTTGAATCATTGCACGGAAAGAACCGTATTGAATATCACGACGACGGGTAACGATTTGCGATCCATTAACGATGTGATTTTTCAAGTTTACCGGTGAAATTTGCATTGCAAGACCGCTGGTAGAAGTCATATTATCAGCATATGTGTTATTATAGCTAACCGCTGAACGATAGGTTGCACCGAAATCTTCTTCCCACGGATTGACCAAGTCACCTATTGCTGCAAATGCTTCTTGTCCCAAGCCGGTATCTCCGGCTGTAGAATCACCATAAATTCCAGGAGATTTTGTTGGTATTACGACTTGATCCATTCCAGTTTCGTTGAAATACACAATTGTTGCATCTGTCCATAGAACATTTGTTGAAGGATCATGATAACCACATTCACATGATGCCCTTGCTGATGATATCCTCGATAGCAAAAAGCCGGCTATGAGTGCTGTTCCAGAAGCAAAGCTGATCCTCATCTTGGCGAGAAAAGATGAAGATAGCAAACTTGAGAGGTCGGAAGATGACGAAGATAGTTGATGTTGATGATGGTGAACTATAAAGATTGATTATCAATTCTATTCTTATGATAAGCTATCATGCTTCTCTGATTGTACATTACTCGATCTAGATCCCTCCATCTAGATTCCCATTTCCGTCTTGTGTGTCTGCTAAAAGGCAAAACCGCCGTAGCCCTTCCATCGAAACAATTAAGTCATACGCAGTACAAATCAATTGCGTATATCGTGGCTTGTACAATCATGTCAAGCAGGTACATTATCCCATTGGATTTCCCAGATCTTTACAACGATCTTAGCTGTACGAGAGAATCTTGCATATCAATTAGCGTTTTTTTAATTGTTTCAACCAAACAAAAAGAAAAGTCTAGACAAGTCAACAGTGAATAGTGGGAATACCATTTGCGTGGATCGGTTTGATGATTATGGTTATGTTTCAAACAGCGAACGCTAAAAAGAGGAATCATTCTTTTTCTCACTGTAGAGTCAAGTCACTTTCTTTAAGCGGGACACGCTATCTTTGCATAAATGTCCGCAAAAGGGAAAACGCGCGTACTTTTGGACTATGTGGCGCATAAACGCTTTCCCGCTTCAGGGTGACAATGTTAACCCCGCAACAAAGGCAGAGTACGCGTGTGTCTGCGCTTTTGATTCTTTCCGCTTTTCCGCAAATGGAAATCAGTTCTTATAGTTGAAACATATGAACACATCATACTGTGTGCTAGCGTATGCAACCTTGAAATGGCAATGAACATTATGTTGATTAGTAAGCCGATCAAGATGATAACAATCGGCCAACCTTTCCAATGCCCCACGCTATATCGACCCGAGCAATCTTCGATCCTTTGACCCGTGGACATGGTTACGAAAATCATTGACGCCCAATTGAATCTGGATCTTATATCCCCGAATTCAACGGGCGTCGACTTGCCAAGGAAACAGTCCGCCTTTTGAGATGATGGCTGAATAGACGTACGTGTGAATGCTATATAAATAATACAACTTCTGTACTTTTGTAGATCTTCTTCTCCAAACCATCTGATCGAGTGCTGGCACTCTCTGTTTGATTCTCAAGATGTTCAAGTTACGTATTTTATCTTTGTTCTTCTTATTTGCATTTGCAGGTTCAAAAGCATTTAAACCACAAACAAACTTTGAGACTTATGATGAAGAACCTAAGCTCAGAAATCATAATCATGGTGATCATGTGGCTATTTTACTTAAAGATGATGGAGAAGTAGATGTGAAAATTCCAGATCACAAAGATGTTTATATCAATGAAGAAGATGAAAGCGATCGTGCTCCTTTACTCATGAAACGCGGAAAGGGTGGACGTAAATGGAAAGGTTACAAGTATGGACGTGGTCCTAAATGGGGACGCGGTCGTTATTATGGCGGCTACAATAATTACAACGGCCCCAATGGTCCTGGAGGATGGAATAATGGTTATGATAATTGGAATTAATGTTAAACATGACTTTAATCGCCTCAGGGGCACTCTTTGTATGACATTCACTACTTTTGCACTTCTACAATGACATTATTCTTCAATAGATATTGCTACTAGAAAACTTTTCTTCGTTAGTACGAGTACTCTTGTCCGTGATACAACCTCAAAATACGCATGAAAAGGAAGTCAAGCTGATTTCTCAGAAGCTTCTAGGGCTACTGTCTCTATGTTTGTGCAGCCTTGGTTCTGGTAAATGACATATGATCACACTGGAGCGCCCATATTGTGTTGCTGTCAAACTTATGACGTAAACGGGGCAACGATCTACCCATCGAAGGCGTTGGGGATGAAGAGGCTTTGAAAAGCCGTGAGATCCCCGAATGCCAGGCGCAAGTTTGCCAAGAAAATTGAATCCCCTGCTGAAACGTAGAGATGGCTTACTTGAGATGGTATATAATATGTGCTCTGCGAGATAATTCTACCTTTACTTCATTCCATATTAGTTCTTCTACTTACACAAGATGAGATTGCAATTTGTTACCCTGTTGTTCTTGATTGCATTTGCAGGTACAAATGCACTCAAACAAGCTCTTGATCCGAAAACAAAGGTCTTGACTGTAGCCGAAACACCAGAAATCAACAAGAATGAATCTGTTGAGGTCAATTCACCAGTCGAAGAGGAACTAGACGAGATCATACTTGAAGATGATGACGACACCGCTCCTACTCTCATGAAACGCGGAAAGGGAAAAGGAAGATGGAAAGGAGGAAAAGGATACAAACGTGGTCGTTGGGGTGGCGGAAAGCCATGGAAGTATGGTCCAAACGGCGGTTATTATCAAAATGGTGGTTATTATGGCGGCGGTCGTTGGAGCAGAAAGCCATGGAAATACGGCCGGTATGGAAAATACGGTCCTTATGGAAAGTATGGTGGCGGTAATTGGAATAACAACGGGCCTGGTTGGAATAATGGACCTGGCTGGAACAACGGTCCGAACAACGGTCCGGGTCCTGATAACTGGGATTAGCAAAGTTTGCGTATGCAATACAAAGAGCTTTTCGTCATGTATATCTGTCAATTTGCTTTCGATATAGATAACATTCATGTAAATACTGTATAAATGTCAGCCTTTTTACCTAGAGATATTTTATCCGTTGTGTTTTGTTTCTGTCTAGCCTTGGCTTTTCTGCATCATGATTTTCCATAATTGCGCACGTTCACTTAGTGCACCTCGTTCTATCATCTGAATATCTGTGTCAAGACAATTCGAAGAGGTGATGAGCAGTGTATACACCGCAAATGCTAGGGCCTAGTGACTTGGATTGCGACGCAACGGGGCGATGTCAAGCATTCGCCCTTGGGCAAGAGTTTGAAAGCTGAACAGGACGAAAGGTATAAAAGAGAGAAATTTTACCCACCTCATCCCCTTCCGTCATCATAACAGTAAAAACAAATTCTGAGTGCTGGCATTCAGAAGCAAACGAAAAAGATACAAGATGAAATACACCGCAGCCTACTTACTCGCTTTCGCTCTTATCTTTCAATTGGTTACCGCTTTTCCCGTTTCAACAGAAGAGAGCAATGTCAAGTTAAGCCAGCGTTCTATTGAAGAACAGGCAGAAGTACCGAGATTGATCAAACGTATTTACAGTCGGGCCACATGTCCGGAAGGAGAACACTGCATTCATCGTCGCGCTGTCGGACAAGAAGCAGAAATGCCTAATCTATCCAAGCGTGGCCACCATCACGGTCTATTTGGCGGGATGTTTAGAGGCTGGCGTCACCGCGGTCGACCCTGGTGAAAGTCATACACCTTTCGTCAAGCATGAAAAAGAGCAGCTGTCTAAGGGTATCTTATAGTATATATCCTAACGCAATTACCTTGAATTATCCTTACACTCCGTGTCTAGTATATGCCGGTCATAATACTATATCATTTTATTGCATCATGACGTTAGAGGAAGTTCCGGTGCGTGTAGGAATACACATGCCATCAATATCAGATTGCATCTCTTTGATGTGCTTCATTGTGACTAACCGCATAAGTTGCAGATTAAAACGGATTATTACATCACTTTAAAGCATCGCTATAAGGCTATGTCAAAAAATTGCCCTTAGACCAAGTTCAATTAAGGATAAAATACAGCAAGAGAGAAAATATATAAAAGAGCCATTTTTCCCCATCCCTCATTTTTTAATCACCCCAGCCTGCTCTTAGTATTGGCATTCGGACAAAGTTTAACGATACAGAATGAAGTATCTCGCTGCTTCTTTCTTACTCTTTCCAATCGTTTTCCAAATCATCATTGCTTCTCCCATTGCTATCGTGGAAAGCAATACCAAACTAAACAAGCGCTTTTCCACGAAAGAATGTGCACCAATTGTGCACACTATATGTCCTGTTGTTCGTGATGTTGCAGAAGAACCACAAGAGCTCAGTCTGGTCAAACGTCATCACCACCATCATCACCATCATCATCATTTTTGGGGTCTATGGTAGACTTGACTTTAGAGGCATGTTCAAACACTGGCACCATCACGGTCAATTTTAGTAAGCAATGCGCCCGTCGTAAGTAGAACGAAATGGCAGCATATTTTCAAGATTTCAAATTTACCTCTTGTCATTTCCTAACTTATTCTTACCCTTGTATTCTTCTTCAAAATATTTCAGAGATGAACAGAAAGCTTCTCAAGGTATTCGCCGTCCTTCTTTTGTGACGTTGACATATCAATCTCCTCATGTAAGGTATTTGACAGCTAGCTACTTCCTACTTCAGAGAATTATGTATACTCTGATAAGCTTGTATAATTCTTTCTGAAAGCGTTGACCATGTTAGAAAACATTACGTCTTTCACTTGTGGGTGTTGAAACGGCAGTGCTTTGAGATTGTCGGGGCTTCTGACCTTAACGCATATTTAAGTATCGCAATGGGGCTACGTCACATAATTTCCCTTAAGCCAAGCTCGAAAACAGATGGGTGGCAAAAAAGCTATACGGACAAAATTCCCTCTATCGACTTACCCCATTCTACCATCCGATAAAGCTGAGTACTGGCATTCAGACATTACCAAGACTAATGCACAATGAGACCCGCTATTGCTTTCGTCTTATTCTCTGTTTTCGTCCTTAAGGCTATTACTACTTCACTTCATCCTCGTGAAGTCTCAAAAGAAATGGAAGAGTCTGCCTTGACCAAACGTTTTTACACTTCTACCACTTGTCCGCCCGGAGCTCATTGCATTCACCGTCGTTTTGTTGGAGAAAAGGTGGGAGTGCCTACATTGGTTAAACGTGGTCACTCGGTTCTTGCTGAAAACCCCTATGGGGGTTGGTCCAAAAAATGGCTCCCATGTCCGGAAGGGAAAAACTGCGTCAGCCGCCGTGATGTTGCGCAAGAGCAGCAAGCATCTACTTAGATCAAACGAAGTCAACATCGTTGAGCATTTCTCGGCCTGTTGGAAGGCTGACGTTATCTGGGAAATTTTGGAGACAAACATATGCTTCCAGTCAAGTACTAGAAGATATATATGATATGACGCCGGGCATCATTTCATCTTTTTTCAAAGATCTGATCAACAATAGATGCACTTCCTGTGTACATGATATATTAGCAATGAACATACTGTTTATTTTGAGTGCATCACCTTGCTGTGTTTTCACGCCAAGACTGACCCCGTTTGCGTATCCTTGCAATTATTTGCATTTAAAAATGCATCATTGCTCCATATTATAACATCGCATTGAGGCGATGTCAAACATTTGCCCTTGGCCCAAATTCGAAAATTTGAACAGCAAGTAAGATATAAAAGAGAGGTGTTTTCTCACTTTCCTTCCCCCCAACTCAACACATAACAATTTCAAATCCTGAGTGCTGGCATTCAAATAAAAAACACTCTTACAAGATGAAGTACCCTACTGCTTTCTTATTTATGTTCTCTGCGTTGATTTTTCAAGTCATCATTGCTTCTCCCGTCCCAACTACTGAGGAAGGCAATGTCAAATTGAACAAACGTAACCCTGTCGAAAGTACAGTAACCGTGAACGATCTTCATCTTCGTAATCTTGCAGAAGGATTGGAAGCACCTACTTTGGTCAAGCGTGGTCATCATCATGGCTGGGGTGGCTTTGGTAAACATGGCTTTAGAGGCATGTTCGGAGGCTGGCGTCATCGCGGTCGATTCTGGTGACGGTCAAGCGCTTTTTCCAGGAGATATGATTGAAAATGCTTTAAGCGGCTATAGTTTTTTCAGCTGTACTGCACTTCAATTCTTCACCTTCCATCATCATCAGAACTTATCGATATCACTTCTTGAGCTGACCAAAAAACTTCATAACATCTTTCCAAAACCTTGCTTTTGACAAGCAAGAATCATGTTCACATTTCTCTTCATGAATAATATTGATTCAGCCCCTTTACGCAGAAAAAAGTCTCTTTATTTTGCCTTTCACTTCAGAAATTGCTTATAAGTAAGAAAAGTGTGTTACCACGACTTTGCATATCATTACCACAGCTTTGTGTGCTGAGAATTGACAGAACACACCCTCTCAATGCAGTATCACAGTAGGGGCCTACTGTCTTGTGACGCATGTGAACACAAGTATAAGCATCGCAACGGGGCTACGTCAAGATTTGCCTTCAGCCCAATGTAAGGGTTAGATGGCAGGAAAAACACAATTATCATCCCAACCTACTACCATCAAATTATAAGATCTGAGTGCTTGCATTTAGAAGAGAAAGAGCAGTGCAAGATGAGATACTTCGCTGGTTTCTCAGTGATGCTTTTATATTTTATCTTTCAAATCATCACTGCTTCTCCTGTTCCAATAAAGGAGGATATGTTCAAATTAAGCAAACGGAGCGTCCTGAACCGTCGTGATGTTGCAAGAGAGTCGGAATCACCCACCTTGCATAAACGAGGTCAACAAATTCTTACAGATTATGGTGGCGCCAATCTAGAGAAACGTGAACCTTACAAATGCGTAGCAACAATATATACTGACTGTGTTCACCATCGTGATGTTGCAGAAGAGCCGGAATCGCTCACTTTGATTAAACGTGATCATTACCGTTGGGGCTTCTCCTCCCGCGGCTGATTCAGATGAAAACCATGCACCGTCTAAATCTCAGAGAGTGCGTGACAGAGGGTCAACCTATTTGTACCATTAATCCTCCCAATAACATGTCAATAATATGGTTTTTATTTTGTTGTTCCAAACGCTATAGTTGAGCGCCCGGATTCCTTTTGGCGTCATGCAAGCGCGTTTACACGTGCAAACAAAATTTGGAATCATGAACTAGAATACTGAAGCTCCACTGCTTAATACCATCATCTCCTACAACAAGCAAGGATGGCGGGCATCAATCCAGGCGATGCAAAGTTAACATTCGAGAGTAGTGAAGAGGTAAAAGTTGCACCCACATTCGAAGCTCTTGGATTGAAGGAAGAACTCTTGAGAGGTGTATACGCCTATAATTTCGAACGACCATCTGCGATTCAACAAAGAGCAATCTTACCAATCATACGAGGACGGGATGTGATCGCTCAAGCACAATCAGGAACAGGTAAAACTGCAACCTTCTCCATTTCAGCTTTGCAAAATACTGATACGACATTACGAGAAACACAAGTGTTGGTACTAAGCCCAACGAGAGAGTTGGCAACACAAATTCAAAGTGTCATTTTGGCATTAGGTGATTATATGAACATTCAATGTCACGCATGCATCGGAGGTACATCAGTCGGGGAGGATATCAGAAAGTTAGAGTATGGACAGCACATCGTTTCAGGCACGCCAGGTAGAGTGTTCGATATGATCAAACGTCGTCACTTACGAACGAAGAATATCAAAATGCTCATTATGGACGAGAGTGACGAGCTGCTGAATATGGGATTCAAAGATCAGATTTATGACATTTATCGATATCTACCACCCGCCACACAAGTAGTTCTCCTATCTGCAACACTACCGCATGATGTTCTTGAAATGACGACAAAGTTCATGACCGATCCCGTTCGTATTTTGGTCAAACGTGATGAATTGACATTAGAAGGAATCAAGCAATTCTTTGTTTCTGTCGAAAAGGAGGATTGGAAATTTGATACCCTTTGCGATCTTTACGATAGCTTAACAATCACTCAAGCTGTTATCTTTTGTAACACACGTAGAAAAGTGGATTGGCTAACCGAAAAGATGAGAGAGGCAAACTTTCAAGTTAGTTCAATGCACGGAGAAATGCAACAAAAAGAACGTGATGCGATCATGAACGAATTCCGTCAAGGTAGCAGTCGTGTATTGATTACGACTGATGTTTGGGCTCGTGGGATTGATGTTGCAGGCGTGAGCTTGTGTATAAATTATGATTTACCAAGCAATCGTGAAAACTACATTCATCGAATCGGCAGAACGGGTAGATTTGGTCGTAAAGGTGTTGCAATCAATTTTGTCACGATTGAAGATGTTCGAATTTTGCGGGATATCGAACAATATTATGCCACCCAAATTGATGAGATGCCTGTTCGGGTTGAGGATCTCTTGTAAAGTAGAAACGAAAGTAGAAAAATGTATAATATATCCTTTGAGCACCTTTTAATTCATTGAAATAGTATGAAAGGTTAGAAAAAGCATCACTCCAACGAAGGGGTTTCTCGTGTCTATGATGTGTATTTCGATACTGCTCTTGTACTTTTCACAGGTCAAGAAAGAGTTGGAGACTACGTAGCAAACAGAGATTGATGTATTTGATGAAATAAAATCCATCCAATGCCCCGACACAAATGCGGTGCTTTACGGTTTTGTGTTCAAACATGCAAATTAGTCAGTAACAAAGAGACTTTTTAAATTTAACAAACTATTGATCAAGATCTCGAGCGAGAGCAAAGGAAAAGGAAAGGGTATATGAAGGCATGGGAGCAAGGAAGTCGTCAAAGCATATTTAACTATAAGGCTCACTTTCAAAAACTCATAATCATGTTAAACAGATATCTTGTGTCTCGGGGTTTTGCTTCGCTTGATATATTGTTAAGACTCAACTTGCCCCGATATGTTTAGATTGCTAGCGATATAAAAAGGTCGTATACATATCAACTCACTGCTGAGCATCATGTCTCTACATGCAAAATAGGCGAAAGAAGAGATGTACAATCGTTCTTTTGCAATGCATTTGGCAAGTGCTTTTGCTGTTCTCTTAATCTTTGCTGCCCTAACAGATGGACATCCGATGAGGCCTAACTTTCGTTATTCCAAAAAACAACGAGATGAATTCAAAAGAGCAAGAGTAGAAATGGATAACTCTAAAAATGAAATTAAACGTTTAACACATTTGCATCGTCAACATACAGAGGCAATAGAAGCATCAAAGAAGGCTGAAGTGCATTTTGGTCATTCGAATCATAAGGAATGGACGAATAAATACGCACAACTTCAACGGGCAGAGACCAATATAGGCAGACATGAAAGGATGGCAAACATCTTAGAAGAACATCATAATCCAATCAGTCAAGCTTTGAGGGAAAGGGCCGACAAATTGAAACAGATGCCTCCACAGATTCAGAATGAAATGGCAATGCTTAAAAAGCATAGCAAGCACAATCCCGAACTAGAAGATACTCATTACTTTGAAGATCAACGAAAACGTCGAAAATATGATGAAGATATTACCCGGCATTCTGATCGCTCTTTAAAAAATGCTGGTTATCTTTTAGATCATAATCAGCCTTATCACTAGTAATATACTTTACGCTCTCAGAATAGAATGTATCGAAATTCTGCGACTAGGTATCCTGTATATTGAGACAATCGTAATACTATAAAGTACACTTACATCTATCATATCATTGCTGGTTTAGACTGGTCTTAAGAGGGAAGAACCATATCGATTGAAACGTTTACGGAGAGGGGTGAATTTACGAACTATAGAGCGGTACAATCTTCACAGAAAATTATTGTTATTCTTTTTGACGTGAGATCAGAGTTTGAAGTTACTGCCAAGATGAGCTTTGAGTGATGATCAATGAGAGCTAGCCGATGAGACAGAAGCCTGGAAGAAGAGAAATCTCATCAGTGAAAACGATTTTGAAACTTGTCGCGAAATATATATACTGTACCTAACCGCAACAACCGCAAGAACAATTCCAAGAACATTTCCTGAGAGGGTTCCAACAGGCCCTTGGTATACCGCGCTTGAACAATCTTTCGTATAATTCTGCTGCCCCGCTTGTGCTATCATCGCTTCGAGTCATGATTGGTCGGTTTTGAGCTCCAGTGAGCTCGGATCGAATTACAACCAGCTCGCTTCTATTTTCCACGGAAGAAGTAGGAGCCTGAGAAGGAATGAAAGTTAGATTTATTCGGAAAAAAGGGGTGTAGAAATAAAACTCACGGGCGTAGTGTTGACTACTAAAATGGATAAAACCAAGAGAGAGAACTTGTTGAAAAGCATCTTGTCGTCGATAAGGGATAAAGACTGGGAATAAAAGCTTGATATGATGATGATGACGGTAATGGTATTTCTGAAGTGGCCGGCACTAAAGATGGAAAGTGATAGGGAATATGATAAAGATAGGAATTTGGATGGAGAATGGATGGAGAAAAGAAAAACTGATGAAGGATAAAAATCCTTCTTTTATAGTCTTCTCTAAATTGATAAAAAAGGATGTCCTTCCTTCGATAACGACCAACAAAAAGCACAATCATGCCCTATCTTTTAAAGTAAAGGCGCAAGTGAACAAGCTTTAAGCGCCTACTACCCGAGAGTCTCGATATGAATAAGGTTTCAGGACGTCAATTAGCCACTCGACTTAGAACGTAGAGGCTTTTTCGACGCCTATCAGCTGATCTGATCAATTCCCGTGATGTTTTATGGGGAAAAGTTCTTTTTCTTACTTCTTCCTGACCTTGAAAAGTCTGACTTTTGATATCGCAGCCTGTGCCGACGACTTTTTGGAGAGAGGTGATGCTTAAGTGCCAAAGGCGTAACCTTTTCAGCCTTTTAGGCGTCATGTATGCGACCAATCTGTGAATTCAACCCAGAAAGCTGGATGACACGTTTGCTTATTCAATAGAACCTGAAAATGTTGATGCTGAAAAATGAAGGTTGCGGTCACTTTGGATCAATTGCTATACAACAGAAAGAGCGTGATGCAATCAAGAACAAATTTCGTCTACCTCGCAGTCTTGCTTTGATAGCGAGGCTGATTTTTGAACTCATGCCATTCGGCGTTACAGGCTAAACTTTGTAAGATTAGTTCATTCAATATGATGACATTTATGCATGTAGATGATGAGGGGGTATCGATACAAATGTGTGATAGCTCGTGACACGGATATTGTAGCATCCGTCTATTAATTGTGTCTCGGTTTTTTCTTCTTTTCTTTCACTGTCCAAAGGCTTTCTCCAAACCTGAAATGAGCCTTTGTTCAAAGATATCTTCGCAAAATTCACCCTCTTCTGTGAACCATTCACCCAAATGACCTAATTCGACCTTTTTGTTCTTTGCTTCACGTAAGAGACTCTTTCCTCCGTTACTCTTGCGTGTATAATCAATGGTCAAAGTGTAAACGGGAGGAGTTGTCCACTTTTTGCCATCCGCAGAAGCTGTTTTAGCAGTGATTGGCTTTGGCAAAGCAGGAGAAGCGATCGTCAAACGTTCCGTTTCGATTCGTTTTGCCAACATTTTACGTTTTCCAACAAAGATTGTTGAAGCGGTATAGTATGAATCAATTCCTGCAATGATCATCAAAACGGCATAAATCACAACTGCGATTCCACATGCATGTTTATTCTTTTGCCATTCTTTTTCGATAAAGTATGACCATACGCTTGTACCGATCATGATTGCTGATCCGATAAACCCGATTGCCAAACGAAAATCTGTATGAAAGTGAGAAGCCTTGAAAGGTGGGAAAGGCTCAGTTGATGCATCTGCTGGAACTCGTAATAGAGAAGCGGTTGAAGAAGATGGGGATGTTGGAGATGTAGGCGAGGATGCACCACTTCCAGATGGGCTTAGACCTGGTGCAGGTGCCAGAGATGAGGACATCGATGTTCTCGTCAGGATCTAAGATGAAAGAGTAAGAAGCGAATAAGTTCTCTGCTTAAGTGATGATTATGTACAAATACTCACCCTTTCCACTGCTTCGTCACATGCCGTTTTGAGTTCTAGTAAGCTTGAGTTGTCGACATAGATGCGTTCTTCTGGTGCTATTAATTGTTCTTTCCCATTACTGATCGCATCTTTTTCTTTTGAGTTCGCCATGATTGCAAAGGAATGACGAACGAGAGGGAAAGAAGAAAGAATGCTTGTAAGCTTGCTTGTTTGCTGTGCTTGCACCTTATTTTTTCCACTAGTCTGCAGGCAGCGCAACGGCGGCCAGCTCTGCAATAAAGATCAATTCAACCGACAAGTATGAGCTTTACGCCCACGCCGCCTTCAAAGAGGCGCCGCTGCTGCTATTCACTCCGCAGGATCTACTCTAACAAATGTATCAACATTGGTATGAAATACAACTCCCTTTCTCTCTTTTGTTTGACGACGAGAGCACCTTCTACTCAATCAGACTGTCTATCTTTATTGAATGAATGTCACTTAGTAGGGCAATCTTATAACATAATAAATCTCAAAAACACCCTCCTCGGCATCACTCAAATCTTAATATCGGAGTTTATCCCATAACAAACAGAACCACCTCAATCCTCCGCTCCTCCTTGGTAAAATTGAGTAAATTCAAGCTTTATTCGGTTCAACTTGATGGAGAGAGCAGGCTGTTGTTAAGAAGAAAACTTCTGAAGGGGCAACACTAGCCTAAAAAGCTTCACCCGCATTGCGTCAGTGCTGCTGCTCCAATAAAACTTTCCCGTTTAGCCCTAAGCCTTTCTTTTACCCTTACACACGCGCGCTACACTACTACTGTACACATACTTCTTCTTCCTTAAAGCCCTGCACGCAGATTTATCAAAATGAAATTTTTATTTTTATTTTGGCTCATCACCATCATCAAAAACTTCTTCTTCTTTGACAAAAGTCCACTTTACCATTGGACTTTAACCAAAGAAAACAACTATCATTGCGCGTCTATCCTGATCGCAGTTTACCTTTTTCCCAGCAAAAGGTGTGCTACGATCGATCGACGTACAAGCATCTCTTTTTTAAACGACAATGGCACCTAAAAAACAAAAACAGTCGCTTGCCGACTTCTTGGCTGACGAAACTACCGGAAAGGTTGATTGGGCAGATGACTTTGACGATCTTCCAGCAGCTCCACTCCCAAGAGCCGATCGTGGAATCCCACAACGTGGTTCGGATTGGCTGTCTTCTATGCCTGATCGTGCTGATCGCGATCGTTCTTCCGGCTTAGGTTCAGAAAGACAATCTTATCCTGCTCGTGAAGAATTACCTCTTCCAACTCAACCGCCTTATACAGCTTTTATCGGTAATCTCTCGTTTGACGTTTCAGAAGAAGATATCGCAAGCTTTTTCGCACCCGACCAAACCACAAGTGTTCGTCTCGTTACCGGTGGTGATGGACGTGCAAAAGGCTTCGGTTACGTCGAATTCGAAGCTCTCGATGGTCTCAAAAATGCTCTCACCAAATCTGGATCTCAATTAGCAGGCAGAACAGCTCGTGTCAGCGTTGCTGAACCCAGAGAAGCCAAAGGTCCAGCATTCTCTAGCGTGGCTGAAGAAGCTACCCAATGGCGTCGTGCAGGACCTCTTCCTCCTTCTTCCGACGGAGCTTCTGGACCTGGTCGTCGCGGTGGAGATCGTCCAGGCTACAACCGATTCGAATCGAGCGGCGGTAGTAGCGGTTTCGATAATATGGACGTTGTCGCGGGCGGCGGTCGTTCTGGATTCGGATCAAAGTTTGCTCCATCTGCTCCTCGTGAACCACGTAGAAATGTTGAGCCTCTTGAACCAAGTCAAGGTGATAATGCATCAGATTGGAGAACAGGTAAACCGGTTAGCGAAATGGCATCTCCCATGCATTCTTCTCGTCGTCCTTCGGCAAGTCCGGCAGCAGCAGGCGCAGAAGGTGGACGTGCACCTTCTTTCCGTCGTCATGGTGACGCTACTGAAGTGGATGAGAAATACTCCAACCAAGAAAGACTTGGTTTCGGATCCAAATTCGTCGCTACACCTCCAGACTCTCCCTCCGTTCAAAAACGATCTGGTTTCGGCTTTGACCGAAGAAATAAAGACGCTGCCGCCGCCGCACCGGCAAGTGCTGGAGATGGTGCTGATACATGGCGATCAGCTCGTCGTACAAGCGCAAATGGCCCTGCATCAAATGGTGCAAGCAAGAGTGCTGAAGGTACATCTGGCGAACCTGCTCAAAGGAAAAAGTTGGAATTGAAACCACGCTCGACACCTGTTGGAGGAGATGCACCTGCCGATGCAGCTTCATCTGATAAAGGCAACAATCCATTCGGCAATGCCAGACCAGTTGATGCTTCGGACCGTCAACGTGAGATCGAAGAAAAGATGGCACAACGCGAAAAAGAACATAAAGAAGAGGAACGTAAACGTCGTGAAAAGCAAAAGAGTGAACGTGGAAAGTCGTCAGACAATGTTCCTACCGGCCCAAAAGCTGACAGGAGCCGTAATAATGGTCGTGCTAATGAAAAGGGAGATGGCGCTGCACGATCGAACACTGTTTCAAATGAAAAGGCCGTCAATGGAGAAGGAGTGAAATCACCAACAACAACAGCTGCTGCCACACCTAAACAGCCAGCACCAACTGGCGCTTGGGGTGGCGGTCGCAAGCCAAGCGGTGCATTAGCAGGAAATCAAGAAGGAAGTACAGAACAATCAACAAACTCTGACGTTGATGCTCTGACAAGTAATGTAGAAGCTGTCTCCGTCAAGGATGCATAAAAAGATTATTGATATTGTATAATGGATCGCAAGGTGTAGTTCCTTTCTGTGGCTACATTCAAATGGACGATAGGCTTTTATTCGAAATTTTCCTCCTTTTTTTCTTCTATCGATCTTTTGGCAAATGAGCGCATTTGTACTCGTAATTGGGATTGCAGGGATCTTCATATGGTACTGCTTTTGCTTTTCAAGACTGTTTTGTCGATCTTGTCACCGTTTATCACCTGTCTGATTTTCAACTTCTTCTTTTTTTCATGCCTATCTTTCATTCCTTCTTCTTTCTACCTCCCCCCACTCAAAAGATCTGAGATGAACGTTCATCTCATCAACCTGACTGAAATGGCCACCTTTATGTCATTTTGGGCTTCATTCGTGTATATTGATATATGATCCATTTTTTCAATTATTGACTTGTTTATGATGATGCTTGAATGAAGGCAAGGCTGTGTGTGTGTGTGCGTGTGTGTGCGCTGGTGTTGGGTACGCGATATTGCCAAGGCTTGAATGCATTTAGCGTGCGCTGTACTTCAAAGAATCAGATTTAATCATAAACATCTTCTTGTCATTCATCAATGAATACTTGCTTTGTCTTCGGCAACACGTAGGGATATCGGATATGAATCATGGTGTCGTACAAAGGTGGTTACGACAGGTAGTCGGTCCATACGATGATCCGGATCGCGTATATGCAGATATTGATCGAACGTTAATCGCAAATTCCTCATTATCGCCAAAGACGGAAGTGTATACGTATGATGATGGAAGATCACAATTGTTATTGGTACTAACGGGTACTGTTCCGATGCAATATAGATCGGCAACTTATAATATCCCAGTCGCATTCTGGATACCAAGATCGTATCCTAAACAACATCCTCTGGCATACGTCACGCCAACGAATGACATGTTGGTCAGAAAAGGTAGGCATGTTGATCTTAGTGGTCGCATTGGAGGAGATTACCTGGAAAGATGGCAGAGAAAGTGGGAAGGATGTAACCTGCTGGAATTGGTACAAGATTGTCAAGCTATCTTTGGTCAAGAGCCACCGGTATATGCAAAGCCAAAAGATCCAATCCCAATTGCTCAAGCCAGAACTGGCTCAGCCTCACCAAGAGCGTCTACCAGTGCCATATCTCCTGGTCAGAACGTGCAACAGTCAGCAGCACCCATTTCAGCCTCTTCAGATCCACGCGAACGTGCTCCCCCTCCAAGACCAGGACATGAACAAGCCTCACCAAGTATGCTAGCTGGACCTCCGAGAAGACCACCGAAGCTACATCAGGGTTCAGGCACATTTGACGATAGCAGAAGGTTTTCCAATGGAGCAGAGTATGCCGCAGCAACCACTTCACCGTCTTTCAATCCACAGCATCGTTGGACAGCATCACCAGCAGGACAGCATTCACCGATGATGAACTCAGAATACGGCCAAAGATACACAGCTGAGCCAGGAGCGATGCGACCTCGAGAATTTCAAGGTCAACCAGAGCAGAACAGTAGACATGCTTCTTGGAGCGCTCATAATGGTTCATCAAGCCAGAGTTTGCCTTACCAACAAGGTGGACCGAGCGGGCATTCACATCGAGCAGCGTCCTATTCTTCCACTACATCGTCCAACGAAACAACTCGACAAAGAGACCCAAACTCTGCTCCGCCAATACCTCCTCTACCGTACGCTCATCAGCAATCGCAGCCTTATGGTCAGCCTAATGCCGGTCAACAAGATCCATACAGAAGACAATCGTACGACCCGAGCCAACGTGGACCAAGTGTTGGAAATGCGGCTCCAGCACTTGCACCGCCTAGACCGCCAAATCCTGAATTGTTATATATGCACAATTTGTTGTACAACAAGATTCAAGCAAGGATTCATCATTTGCGTACGACGAGTGAACAATCACAAGAACAGATGAGATTATTATCGGACGATTTAGATCGAGGAGAGATGGCAGTAAAGGATGAAATGGCAAGATTGGAAGCAGTACGTGATATTTGTCGTTCGACGGGCGATCAATTAGAACAAACAGTAGAAGCGGCAAAACAAAGGATAGCAGAATTACATGCAAGAGAAGAACCCGATATTGATGGAGTATTATCGGCAACCAGCTTAGTGGGAAATCAATTGATCGAATTGGTAGCGGAAGATAATGCGATCGAAGATACTCTTTATCATTTAGGAAGAGCATTAAATTCGGAAGTGTTGGATTTGGATCGATTCCTTAAACAGACAAGGTTCTTAGCACGTGAACAATTTATGCGAAGAGCATTAGCACAAAAGATTTCCCAAGGAATGGGATGGGAATCGATGTAGTAGTGCGGATAATTTGATCCCTCATGAACGGCATGTAAAGGGGTTAATCCGATGGAATGAATGTTTGTTCTCGTGATCACAATCACAGTCACACTTATTTAGGGTCTTGACTTCCTTTCCGGATATCCGCATCATCATTATTATTTGTTTAAACTGGCTTGTGCATTTGGCGCTTTGTGAACAAAACAATACAATAGTATGACTTTGCTTTTGCTTTGCCTTGCTTCTCTCCTTTACTGGCTCAATGCACAAGATTATGCAGGTTTGAGGGGTGAAGCTCCACTCGCGTTTTATCGCCCTTTCAAATGAACCCACCACCACGACGCCCTTGCACACACAATTGAGTCAGTCACTCTTTTTTCGGGGCTGCTTTGAAGTTTAAGCTTTTTATGATGCATAATAACATAAGAACCCTATTGCCCTTTTTGTTTTTTTTTTTTGTGATAAGCGTCACCCTTGCTCAGCAATACGTTTTATAACCAATAGATTAAGATTGTTATTAAAATGTGTTTGTATGCAAGTACAATTGCTAAGTCTGGCTGTGTAAAGTCCGTCCGCCCGTCCGCGTATGCTTGCTTGTGTGTGTGTGTGCATGCATGTATCGGTAAAGGTGAAAAGAAAAGGGCCACTACCGACACTGTCCACGCTAATCAAATAGGCAATCGAACAGTCAAGCTTAATCCCAAAGTATGTATGTACACTATGATCATAAAAAAAGTGTGGTTCATAAAAGAGTTGCTTTAAAGAGGTACACTTGATTGCATCATCACAAGTTCCAACTACTATCATATTTCTGACCTTTTGAATAAATTATCAAACAGGTCAGAAGTGCAATCGACCCAAAACAAACTTGCAATCAAAGAAGGAAAGGATGGGATTGTTGCTTTCTTGAGAAAATTACATCATTTTGCGCTGCATTCAATCATCAGGATCAATCAATAACATCCTGCTGTCAAATCAAGCACAATAAGACGCTCAATCAGAATCACATAAACATTTAACGCAAAAATCATCAATCTCAAAAAGAAAATCGACTTTTGCCGGGGACACCTTTGCGCAACAGTCTTGCAAAGCTACCATCCCATCACCATCTGCTCCTCTCTTGTCGTGATCGACTTTTAGCCCACAACGCAGCGCAGATTTCAAGGACAGGGGGAGGGCGATAGGCCGTCAAAGCGGGCCAGGCTTGCAAGGGAGACCATTTCACAACGCAATCAAGGATCTTCTTCTTCTTCATCTCCCTCAACACGCATTCAAATTCGTCCATTAGGACAACCTCCTTCAATACCTTCTATTTTAAACGATTCTCAAATAAACATAATGACAACAAACGGCTCAGAAGCATCCAATGGATCTTCTTCAGCTGTACGGGCTGCCAAGAGTAACGGGCATACAAACGATGGTGGCGCTTCCACTGACTTGCAAGGACTCAGCAGTACAGATAGCATGATGCAGAGTACAAATGGCTCATCTTCCATAAACGGAACAGGCCGTGCTTTCAATGGCAATTCAGCAAATGGTCTCGGCAATGGCACAAACGGTGTAAATGGAATCGATGACGATTTTGCAAGTAATACCTTTACACCACTCTACGAAGGCAGTAGTCTAGACCGAAGAGAATTCATTCGCATCACAGTGCAAAGCTTGCGAGAATTGGGCTTAGAGTCAAGTGCAAAGTCACTTGAATTGGAATCTGGAATTTCGCTAGAGCATCCCTCCATCATTGGATTTCGATCGGCCATCTTATCGGGAGATTGGAAGAATGCTGAGCGTCTTTTGCTCGATGGCCTTACATACGGTGCCAGCAGAATGATGGCCAGAATGGGACCCTCAGCGCCCGAAACGTCAAGAAATGGTGCACTTTCGATGGCATCATCATCTTCTGCCGTTATCGATTTAGCATTGCGTGATCCTCATTCTCGTGGAATTGATTGGATCAAATTTCTCATCTATCAACAACGATATTTGGAGCTTTTGGAAAGTAAGCAAACACGTAAAGCTTTATCGGTTTTGCGAGATCGTTTGGCTCCCCTCAATCATGGTTCAGACACCCTGCATCAATTATCAAGCTTGGTGATCTGTGGAACACCTGAAGAATTATGCGAGAGGGCAAATTGGCTTGGGTCAGGATTAGCATCTAGACGTAAGCTATTGGAGGAAATTGAGACTGCCATCTCGCCTTCTGTAATGATCCCAAGTCGAAGGTTGCCCCAACTTCTTGAACAAGCACAACAATTACAGAAATCTCGCGATCCATTCTTCAATCTGCCCTTGGACACACGAATTTCTCTTTATGTCGATCATCAATCGGATCGTTCAGTATTCCCTACCCGTACAGCTGCCGTGTTGACCGAACATAATGATGAAGTATGGCATGTCAGCTTTTCAAATGATGGCACCAAACTTGCATCTGTTGGAATGGATCATGAAGTACTTGTTTGGAGCGTTGGCACAGCACAGAGTGATTTCCAGGTGGTAAACAGATTAGGGCCAACAACAGGACATATTTGCCATGTATCCTTCTCGCCTGATGATGCTCATCTTTTGGCTACTTCAGATGATGGAGAAGTGATTGTTTGGAATTTGCATGATGGAACGAAACAAGAATATAAAGGACATACGTATGCTGTTGGTACGGGTGCTTGGATGCCTGACGGACAAGGCTTTGTGACAGGAGGTATGGATCGAAAGGTATGCTTTTGGGATATCGATTTAGGATTACAGAGAACATGGAATACAGGACAATTCCGAGTGCAAGCAATAGATGTTTCACCTGATGGTCGATATTTGGTTGCTGTAAGTCATCGATATGTGCCTAATAATGCCACTGGAGGAGTAGCGCATCAAACATCCACCAGTACTACTTCACGGATCGCAGCGCAATTCTTAGGAACAGCATGGTTTGATTATCCTTCGCCTGCCGTGCATGATGAGGAATGGCATATGGCACGGTCGCACGATGAGCATGATTTGATCGATTTAGGAGGAGGAGCAAGAACGATGACAAATGAGCGATTTCAATTGCATTTTTACGATATTCGAAGAAAGGAAGATGTAGGTTCGATTTATATGATGGAGGAAATGACCAGCGTTAGCTTTAGTGATGATTCAAAGTACGTTTTGATTAACCAGAGACCCAATGACGCTTTGATATGGGACGTACAAAAGCAATCTCTCGTTCATAGATTTACGGGGCATAGGATACACCAACATGTAATCAGAAGCTGTTTTGGTGGAGCGGAAAATTCGTTTGTGATCAGTGGAAGTGAAGATGGATCGATTTACGTTTATCATCGAAAGACAGGTAAATTGTTGGATCGTTTACGTGGTCATAGTAAGGGTAGTGTGAACAGTGTTGCTTGGCATCCAAGACAGCATAACATGTTTGCAAGTTGTGGTGATGATGGAACGATTCGAATTTGGAGACCCGAATCTACGGTTGACCGTGAATTTCACGGTCCATTAGCACCTAGGCATGAATCGAACGGGAATGGAACGAGTGCAAGTGTAGGAAATGGAAGTCAAGGATTAGGTATCGGACGAGTGAATGAAGGGCATAATTCTCAATTTACTCAAACGGAAGGACGTGATCGCGAGATGAGCAATGATGCAGCGATGGGACCTTCACCTTTTCCATGGCCTACCAGTCCACGTGATCCAGGATCACCTTCGGGAGGATATTCCAGAAGACGAGCGAGAAGATTAGCTGCACGATTGGCAGCTGCAACTGCTTCTAATTCTGCTGTTGCAGGAGTTACATCTACTGCCGATTTTGAACGAATGGGATTGGACAGAGAAGAAGAGGAGGAGGATGATGAAGACGAAGAAGATGAAGAGGATGATGAAGATGACGATGAAGAAGATGAAGAGGATGATGATGAGGAAGACGAAGAAGATGCAATGGAAGAAGGAGGCGATTAATCATTGGCACAAATAAGAAATCTATCAACATATGCAATACCTACAATTTTCTTTTTTTCTCTTTCTTTCCTTTTTCTTTTGCTTGCATTATAGTTACACAGTATTCTCTCAAATTCATCATATCTCCCAGAGTGCTATTCTGATGGCCATCGATATTGTAAGCCTGGGAGTGCTGAACAGCCACAGTGCGTTGGCCGTATGATGAAAGTCGGCTAAAAGGTCTGTGCGTGCTGAGTTTTAAATAAGTAAGTCATCAGTCAGCCTTTAATTGATTGCGTAAAAATACATTAGTACAATTACACCTTTGTAATGTGTCTTGCCAAGGGAGAAGAGTGGAGGAAGATGCCGAATAAAAGGATCATTGTTCGATAAATTAACAATGGAGGCTTTGGCATGCCGTTCTGGCAGAACACCGCACAGGGCAATGCGGAGAAGGCCTTTTTCCTGAAAAGAGAGGAGTTGTGCCGTTTAGAAAAGATGACAAATGCATTAGCCATTATAGGCTGGCTGTGCGCCTGCTAAAGCCCGATTGCCATGGAGCATTTTGGCTTACCCCATTACAAGAGGAGGTCAATTTAGCATTCATCAGGGTTTCGCGGCCCGGAATGGAGTAATTTGTCATTCGATTCTCAGCATTTGTTTCTTTCTTCTTGAACTACCATCAACCTTTTCACACACACAAACATGCGTGCTGGTAACCTTCTCTTGGCCGGTGTTTTGGCCAGTGGTCAAGCATTGGCTTCACCATATGCATTCTCAATGGAAAATCATCAAATGCCAATCATGGACTCAAGTTCAGCAGGTGTATTTAGTGAATTATCTCCTGTTGCACCTTTGTTCAATTGGGTACATTCTTCTTTGAGTAAATGGTTACCTTCTACCGTCTCAAACGAAGACGTAGGATTGTTCAACGCTGATAGCGAACTTTCTGCTTTCGAAAAACCTGATTTCCCGGATAAGACGATTTGGGAAGTCATTCAAGAAAATGAATATTTGACAGATTTGAAGAAAGTTCTCAAGTACAGTGGACCAGGTGCTCGCAAGCTTTTGGACGACAAGGAGAAAAAGTTGACATTCTTAGCCCCAGTCAACTGGCACCACGATCGTCACAAGGACGAAGAAATGAACTGGTTCAAACTTGGTCAATGGAACAATATCGAAAAGACAATCAACATGTTTGAGAATGAACAACCAAGCACTTTCGAAGACGATAAAGATAAAGAACGTAAACGTAAATGGTTAGCATTCATCATTGATGCTACATTGAGATATCATGTTATCGAAGGAAAAGAACCTTTGAACACATGGCATATCACACAAAACAGTTCAGTAGCAACTGATTTGACAATCGGCAAAGGCAAAGCACGCGATGTCTTGGGCAACTTGATGGACGGCTTCCCTTACCGTTTACGAGTCGGCAAGAGTTTGCTCCCTCGCCCTTCCCTCTACTTCAACTTCTATTCCCGTTTGGTGTACCCTGACGTAAACGTTGGTGGTTCTTTGGTTCATGCTGTTTCCTTGCCCTTGCTCATTCCACCATCTGCTATGCAAACTTTGTACTTTAGCGTTCCGGAATTAGCAGGTACAGTATCAGCATTGCAAAAGACACACACAGATGGCTACTTCCGATTGCCAATCAATCATTCGGCCATCGACCATGAATACTCTCCTTTCGGTCGCAGTGCTCACTGCTCACCAATGGAGGCTGCAGAAAGACTAGAACACATGTTCGGCCAAGTGTCTGTTGATGAGATCGAAGCTTTGGACGCTCAACGTCATACCCATCACCGTGACGAAGATGGCAGTCCTCATCATGGCGGCAGAAAGGGTCACTCCGCACCAGGTCAACCTGATGTGACACTCTTTGCACCTGACAACCTTGCTTGGTACCGTTTACCTCCATTGTTGCGTATCTTCTTGTGGTCTCCATACGGCTCAAAAGTGTTGGGTAAAGTGTTGGCCTTGCACTCTTTACCAAAGACGATCTTCTATGCAGACTTTGTTCACACCCGTGATGACAAATTCCAATTCCAATCCAAGGAGACTATCTCCGCACATGATTTGGTCAATTCACCTGAATGGTTGTGGGGTCCAACATCCGAACAACCAAGTGTGCCTTTCGGTGATGCCGAAGTAACACGTTACACATTCAACACAGCTTTGCCCAAGATTCATCACAAGGATCCAAAAGAGGGCGGTATCACTCTTGACAAAATGGAATTCGAGACCGTAGACGTTGCTGTCTATCGTTACAAGATCTTGCCTGGTGGTCGTGGCCCTTTGCAAACCCGTGTAAGCGTTCAAGGTGTACCTGTCGTATTCCAAGATATTGCTGTTGCCAATGGTGCTTTGCACGTCATCAGTCGCTTCATCAAGCCAAAAGGTCACCCCCACAAGGGTATTTGGGCTTATGCATCCGAAGAAGCAAGTAAGTTCGGATTTGGTGATGGCGATTTAGCCGCTCAAATGCTCTAAGAGGATCGTACCCAAACACTTAATTTTACTGTATTTATTTCTTCTTCTCTGCCTTTAAATCATTATGACTATTGAAAATAGAATATGCATTGTGACTACCTTTGACGAATGGAACTATTCTTTTGTCAGATCTTCTTCACTATTTGCTTTCTTGCCCACCTTTGCAGCCCGAGAGAGATATTGTCGATGCTGTACTTTCCTAAGTCGCTCATCGATCAGAGTTCGAGCATTTAATAAAACTTGCTTTTCGATCTCTGTTTGATATAGTTCTGATAACATTCCTCGTTCTCTTTCATGTAGCATAGACAGCTTTTGCTCGATACCTTGATTGATCTCTTCCCGGTCTTCTTGGAGCGTTAGGACCTGTTCCTTACCCTCGACTTCCTGGGTTTGATGATTTGGCGATGCAGATGAAACTACGCCATTTCTGTCTTCTCTACCTTTGCCCTTCTCCATGATATCTATATCTCATCTTTCTCCATCATTTTTGCATTCGACATGGTCGTCTTGAATCAAGAAGGGACACGTGAGCCCACACGCCCTACACGACTTTATTGACCTCACTCCATTTAATATACACGTATTTCGCGTAAAGGCAAAGGAGTGTTGCTTGTGTTGCTCTAAACGCGTGTGTGTAAAGCATTCATTCGCCATTTCCTAATGAACGCGTTTTTCCTTCTTGTCTTTTATATTGTCATAGAAAAAAGGAGGAAGGATGCATCAAGATGGCAATCAAACAATCCAACATATCATCATCTTCGGATGGTGAATTTGGAAATGGTGAAAGTTTTGCAGGTGGAAGTAGTGGAACTTTATTGAATGCAATACGTTCGATTGATCATCCTTCTCCTCCTCCTTGCCAAACACGAAGAACGCCACATGTGCTGAGTGGATCAAACCAGGCGATGAACAGTGTATCAAGATCAACAAATCCCAAAGAACAGAGTTTTGTTCTAAGCGATGATGAATTTGACTTCAGCGATAAGGAGAACGATGTGTCTTTTCAAATGATTAGGGCATCTGCTTCTCCTGTCAAATCCAACCCTAGACCTGCAAAGCAAGAACAACAGCCACGACAAAGCTTGAACTCATCTGATCGCCCTACTGAAACATCTTCTGTACGATCGAATAATCAGAATGGACTACAGGGCAAGAGTACGGAAGTTCTAAAGACGATGCTACAACAAAGCACGGAAAGCTTGAATAACACCTTGAAGAATATGATGGAGGGTATGCGTGGTGGATATGAGTTAGGAACGCAAGATGAAGAGATGTTAACATTCACGCATTCACAGCTTGAGAAGAGGATTGCGGAGATAAAAAGCGAACTTGCGACTCGATCGGATCAATCACTTAGTCAATCAAATGCATCTTCTGGCATACCACCAAGTAACATCGGCACAGGCACTATTGCATCGCAGAACGGCAGACAGCCTTTGCAGCCAAGGGTCAGCAATCATAGCATCGTGGAAGAGCGCGAACAGCCAATTCTATCTCAGAAGAGACTGAGCAATAAGCACGAATCTCCTCAGATACCCTCACATCGCCTGTCTAGCTCACCTATTCGGGTGTCTCCTGTCCGTCCTTCTGCCTCCAATGGTACTCGACAAGCATTTCAGCAATCAAATCACAACAATAGAACTCACGCATCTGCTCAGAATAATATCGAAGAGCGAAATAATGCGACAAACTCGTATAGAATATCCGACTCTCCCGTTCATGTTTCGCCAATTCGCCAAGCCGAAGGAAGGACTTTCTCACGAAACATCTCAAACTCAAGTGTGGTGGAAGTCAACGATATGGCTGATAACTTCATCGATACAAATGTCCGAAAGACTGTAGCCCATCAGTCAAGGCCAGCAGAGCGATACCAGCCGAATATGCAAGCTGAGAGAGATCATCAAAGCATGCAAGCAGAAAGAAATCAGCCCAGTATACAAGCAGAAAGACCTCAACCAAAGCAAGCTGAAAGAATTCAACCAAATAGACAAGCTGAAAGGGCTCAACCTGCCAAGGCAACTGCCAAATTTCCGTGGACAGCAGATGCGTGGAGAGCGTTGCGAGACGCATTTGGATTACAATCCTTCCGACCAAATCAAGAAGAAGTGATAAATGCTACATTGGGAGGTTATGACGTCTTTTGTCTTATGCCTACAGGTGCCGGTAAAAGTTTGTGCTACCAACTTCCAGCCATCGTAGAGTCGGGGAAAACAAGAGGAACGACAATTGTCATTTCTCCTCTGCTTTCTTTAATCACAGATCAAGTTGTCCATCTTGTTCAACGAGGTATACCAGCCTTGAGAATCACCGGTGACATGGATGCAAATGTACGCACGGAAGCATTACGAGAAATTCACAATCCAAGATGCGACCCTCCTAGACTGATCTACCTCACGCCAGAATTTATGAACAAGTCGCCAGCTGCGAAGAATGTATTGGCTGATTTACACAGGAGACGTCTTTTGGCACGTTTTGTGATTGACGAAGCACATTGTTTGAGTCAATGGGGTCATGATTTTCGACCAGATTACAAACAGATGGGAGCCCTTCGTGATGCATATCCAGATATTCCGTTCATGGCTCTGACTGCAACAGCAACACCACGTGTTATTAAAGATATTGTCTCGAATTTGAACCTTGAATCCCCTCGACTGAAGAGATTTACCCAATCTTTCAACCGTCCCAACCTGCTTTACGAGGTACGACCAAAAAAGGCAGGAGACAAATGCGTAGATGAAATAGCAGAATTCATTCAAACCAATCACAGCAATCAATGTGGTATTATTTATTGTACAAGTAGGGCTGTCTGCGAAGACATAGCAAGCAAATTACGAACTAGGCACAATGTCATGGCTCAACACTACCATGCTGGAGTGGGAAAATTGGACCGTGAGCGCATCCAGACGAACTGGCAGAAGAACATTTTTAAAGTGATTGTGGCCACTATTGCATTCGGTATGGGAATCGATAAACCAGATGTCCGATTCGTCATCCATCATTCTTTACCTACATCTCTGGAGGGATACTATCAAGAAACGGGAAGAGCGGGAAGAGATGGAAAGCAATCGAGTTGCATATTCTTCTATCGTTACTCAGATTCAAATTATCTCATGAAGCTGGCAAGGGAAGATGGCACTTCTGCTCAACAAAAAGAGCAGCGCGAAGCTAACTTGCGACAGGTAATTGACTATGCATCCAACGAAACAGACTGTAGACGGCAGTTGGTTCTACGATACTTCAACGAAAACTTTGACCCGGCCAATTGTCATAGAGGTTGCGATAATTGTAAAAAGAGAGATCCAAGATCTCACGGAGCAATCGAAGATAATCGTCAACCGGAAGATGTGACGGAGATGGCAAGAGTGATTGTCGACATGGTCAAGGTGATGTGTCAATCTGACGGCTGTACCACCATTAGAGCTATAGCCACTCTGATGGGATCGAGAAGTAGAAATATCGTCGATAAAGGCTTCGAGAATCTACCTCAGCATGGGAGAGGCGTCACATTCGGAAGGAACAATACCAACCGCTTGGTACGTCACCTGTTATCTGAAGACTATCTGAGAGAGGAATTCGTTACGGTCGCCGGCAAGTTTGTAGTTGCGTATCTGAAGTACAATGAGGAAGCGTGCGACAGGCTTATGGACGAAAGGTCAAATGAGAAAGTCGAAATTGTTCTGGACCAGGTCGAACAAGCTGCTAAGCCTAGAAATGGTTCTGGAGGAAACAAGAAGCGGCTTCCGGTCGTTGCTACACATTCACACGATAATTCAAACGACTTTGAGATGGACATCAGTGAATACGACTTTGATGCTCCCAATGTCACAAACGGTGGGCCTGCAAACACAACAGGTTCGAGCTCGAGGTTCACAAGTGTGACGAAAAGGCAAGTATCGCCTATGCGTGCTCCCATTCTACAATCAATTGACTTCCCACCACCAAAACAAAGAAGGGTAGAAGAAGAAGTGCCACAACCAAGGGGCTACAAAAGCGCACCATTGAACTTGAACAGGTTTACCTTTGATGCCACCGCAGCTGATGCAGCCTCTGAACCTGAAATGCAGAATATTGACAGGTCTAACAGTACAGCAAATTATCAAAGGGCTCCTACAAATGGAAGTCATAGCAACCATACCACCTCTTCATCAACTCGTGATACTACCGCTAATGGCAAACAGCCACAACGGATCATCAATGTTGATCTTCTCGGTGGCGGTGGAGTGAAAGCAATGCCTGTGGCCGGTGTGCTTTCCAATTCAAAAAGCAGTGCTTCTAATGCTTCAACAAACAAGAATAAAAGATTTCAACCACAAAGTCGAAAGAGATTTTGAGTAAAAGAAAATAGTTTGACAATGCATTGTACATTATTCATATAGTCTTTTCAATATCATCGTATTTTTATCTAGAGACAAAGTTTCAAATCGAAAGGTGAACAGCCGATAAGGGGAAATTTGTTTAATTCCGCGGGCTGAACTGTTTATGCATGCACGCACGCCTCAATGCTCAGCGTTAAGGCGGTGCTCAGCTTATGGGGATTTGCTTACGCGTGCGGAATCCATGGAATTCGAAAGTTCTAGTGTACCAACCAAAAGGGAGAATACTCGGCGTTAGAGGTGGAGCGGTGATAAGGAACATCAACGGAAATTGTGAATCGTGATGCATACATTGACAAGGGGGCGAACTATATTTAATCAAAGGTAATCCTTATTCTTCTCATCTTCTCTTCCTCTCCAAACAATCTCTCAGGGGGACATCATCATATTGTATGAGCAGAGCTTTGGCCGCTTTCAGAGGCCTTCATTTTCAACAACGAGCAAAGACTATCATCATATCCTTCACTACTCAACGTCTGTTCTCCACATCATCAACCACAATGGCCACTACTTCAATGTCAGTAAACACGGCCACAGCCAATATCCATCCAAACGGATCGCAATCCTCTTTGCCTGATTCACCAACTTCAATCTTGGCAGGAACAAAATCTGGCAAAAAGATGGCTTCAGGTTCTACAAATACACCCTATTCAGCGCCACCAATCCCAAAAACGTTTCGTGATTCTGTTGGTGCTTACTTTCGTAAATCAGATAGTGCAGCTCCAGAGCTATACCTTTATAGACATTCAGGATACTTTCAAGGTGCAACTTTGCAAAATGCGCCCAATGCTGATCTGATGACTGCATTCAAAGCCGCTCAATCGCATTCCCTTAAAATGTCACAAGGGGCAGAGCATCCTGCACAACAATCAGGCGATGCAAGACAACACTTGGAAGCAGCATTACAATCACAACAAAGTGTTGCCAATAATGCTCATACAAAGGGAAAAGATAGAGCGACAGTTGGTACGGAACTCAATTCGGACGGTAAGGTTGGAAGCATTCGATTGGTTGACATTGGATCCACTACTTCTTCGGGAGGTGGTTTTGCATCATGGTTTACCTCCGCTACGCCACGAATGATTAATATGCTAGAAATCGGTACACTCAGACCGGTAGAAGAGGTACACGCTGATGAGAACGAAGAAAAAGTAGTCCTTCTGCACGGGTACGGAGCGGGAACAGCATTCTTCTTTCAAAATCTGAAATCGTTGGCCAAACATCCCGATAGCAGGCTGTATGCTCTAGATTGGCTAGGAATGGGAAGGAGTAGTCGAGTACCCTTCCATATCACAAGCAAGCAAGCCAAAACAACGGAGACACGAGTAGAGGCAGCTGAATCGTTCTTCGTTCAAGCTTTGGAAGATTGGAGACAAACGATGGGTTTGAAGAAGATCACGCTTGTCGGACACAGTTTGGGTGGTTATCTGTCAGTCGCATATTCGTTGAAGTATCCACAGAATGTCAACAGACTTGTCTTGCTATCTCCTGCGGGTATACCCGAAGCTCCTGAAGAAGCAAAGAGTGACGCTAACAATCCGCCACCCAGACCTGCCGATCGTAAAGATGCAGATAAGATTGCAGCAGAAGTACAGCAATCCCAACAAGATGTTGCACCGGATACCGAAGCGCAAAGAAGACTAGATGCGGACAGAACGATTGACGCAGCGTCCGCGACGAAGAGAAGAGGAAGCAATGACGTTAGCGAACGGATACAAACAATCAAACCGGGCGAAACATCTGATTCAGAAGAAGCAACAGGTAATCCGCCTAAACCCCCACCGAAGAGAAGCAGTCGTACTCGTAATATGGTTCAATTCTTATGGGAGGCCAACTTGAGTCCTTTCGCCATCTTGCGAACGAGTACAATCTTTGGACCCATGTTAGCAGGTGGATATACGTCAAGACGATTTGCAAGCTTACCCGATGAAGATTTGCGAGCACTGCATGCATACTGCTATGACGTCTTCACCTCTCGTGGATCATCAGAATACTGTCTTGCTCATATTCTTGCACCTTTTGGTTTTGCAAGGATGCCAATGGTTCATCGTATTTCAGCTTTACCGAAAACATTACCCGTCACATTCATTTATGGTGAACGTGGAATCGATTGGATGGACGAATCAGGTGGAAATGAATCAGTAAAAGCATTAGCAAAAGCAGGAAATCCACATGCTCGTTGCTTTGCCGTTCCTCATTCTGGTCATCATGTTTATCTTGATAATCCACGTGCTTTTGATACCCTGCTAGGACGTGTTTTACGTGGTCAAGCTGATGATGCTGGAAAAGCTGGTTCTCTGGCCACACAAGGGTAATCTCAACGAGATTTATATAGATTTCATTTTACTAGATTGTTACAATAGATGCATTTTTTTATAATCAGGCAATTCTACTCTTTATTGCAATTGAATTTCGAGCAATGTTGCACCTTCTCCCAATGGTTGAGGAGTTGCAACGCCTTCCATCGTTAGATTTACGTAACGGGCCTGCAACGAACCTGAACCGCTGGTGGAGTTTGATGCGGATGTTGAATTTGTCAAATCGATATCGGTAACATTCCATGCATTTGGTAATTGAACGATTGCTTGTTTCACTGCAACGTCATTCGCATCATATGGCGCAGTGATATTGATGGCCATACGATCGATAATGGTGCGATAAGCGGATGAAGTACTGTTGGCACTTTCTGTCTGATTTGCTTGAGTATTATCCTCTGAAATGGATAAAGAAACGAATTGAGGTGGAAGTGTACCAAAGTTCAAATGAACCTTGCTCAACTGTTGTACTTTACCCAAATCGATCATCAAAGAAGCCGATTGGTTCGCATGAACGGGTTGATAATACGTTGCATTTGAACCATCATTTGCTCCAAAAGCAACATTTGTACCCGTATGTGCAGCCTGGAACATACTCGTAAGTTCAGCAGACGATGTTGAATCCGTTACGTTTGCCTCACTTCCGTCATCGATTGAAGTGCATAAAGCAAAGTTTGTCTGATTTCCGCTGTTATTGTTCTCAAAACTGTCGATCGTTCTTGTGGAAACTTGAATCGATTGTCCAACTGGAACGGATTGTGTTCCGTTATTTGTTTGGATAGAAACGGGTGAAGATCCATTCCTATGTGTGATTGTGGTAGTCATGTTACCCAATTCAACATCCAAAATACTATCACCATGATGAACACCACGAATCGTCAATCCACCGGATAATTGAGGTGGCAAGTTTGGATCGATAAACATACTGTTATCCGTTGAATTTCTTGCACGATAGCCCAAGAAGCCATGAGTGTACATCTGTAATAAACCACCATGACCGGTCAAGAAGGTATAAGCAGGATTTGTACCTCCTGCTGGATTTTTACCACCATTGGTTTTGTAATCATCGTCAACCTGTTCACTAAATTGACCGAATTGACGTTCATATGGTAATCCGGCTTGAAGTAATCTTGTGAAACCTTCGCAAGAGGGTCCAAGGTACGTATCCTTTTCACCATTGAGCTGTGTTGCGGCGATACCATAGATAGAATAAGTCATACCTGGGCCTGAAGGGTCAGTTGCCTCGGAATAATAGTTAAGGTCTGATCTTGGGGCTGGCTCTCGATCAGGGAATTCACGATTGTACTCTAGCGGATAGATGAGCAAAGGAACATCTGCTTGTTTGACTTGCACTGTACTGTTGAATCCTTCATATTCCAAGACGATGTTTGAAGAGTTCTCGCGCAATAGTGTGATCTCATTTGCAACTGCGCTCCAGTTCTGCGCACTTAGAGATTCGATAGACTTGTTGAGCAAAGAGGCGGCGTACAAAGTATCCAACATGACTGTTGTCAAGCCTGCATTTGTGAAAGCACCATTGTTCTTATGGTTTGCATATTCATCCGGATCTGTTTCGTTCAAAGTTTCATAACGACGCACACCGGCAGGAGGATTGACGGTACCATTATTTTCCCCTTGCAAAGTTGCATTTGACGGCGTTGGGGTAACTTGTGAAGCCCAAAAACGTGAAACGCCTTCCATGATTGGCCATGCTTGATCTGCCAAGAAAGTTTGATTATTCGTTTGTATGTAGTATTGCCAGTGTGCCAATACGATATCATTGTTCAAATGATATTCATAATCATAACAAGGTCCAATTCCTGTGCAATTTTGAAAGCGTGCACTCACCCATGGGTAAAGAATACCTGGCTTTCCGTATTGTTGAGCGTTCTTCTCTAATTGATCGGGTACCTTTGAGCGATAGTTAAGCATCGATTCAGCAAATTGTGGATATAGCAGAGACATCGATGGGAACATGAACGTTTCCGCATCCCAAAAGATAGAGCCAGCATAAGAATCAGATGTTAGACCTGCAGGCGCAATAGAATTATCTCCTAAGCCTGGTCCTTCACTTCCACGACGAACGTTTGTTAGAATGTGGAACAAACTTGCACGGGCTTGACGTTGTAATTGACGAAGCAAAGGAGTTGATTGATTTTGAATGATGATATCACCTCCATCATCCCATTCTTCTTCCCATTCTTGTACATGTTCATTTATCAATGAATCCCATCCATCAGCTCGTGCTTGTTGTGTGGCCGAAAGTGCAGTTTGACGTGCAGCTTCACCAAAAGCATCACTTGATGCAATACCTACCGCTTTCCATACATTGATCATTTGTGAATTTCCATCGACTTGCACTTCGTATGATTGTGTGATAGTTGATGCGTTTTCAGAACCGATCAATTTGCCTACTGAAGTGGGCAGGCTGGTATTCGAGCCTAGAACCGAATCATCTCCTTGCAAAGCTGAAAACATGTAAGCGGTCACATTGGGAATGCCATTTGGCTCAACAGTGGAGTAAATGCTATTATCTTGTTCTGTTGTTTTACCACTTGTGCCATTTTGCGTTCTTGCTGCTGCTTGACCATCAAGAGCATCAGTGATGACAAAAGAAGTTCCGTTAGTTAAACCGGAGACCTGTAATTGCATCAAACCTAAAGGAGCACGTTTTCTATGTGCGATCACTGTATAACGTAAATTGATCGGTTGTGTGTATCCTTCAGGTTGCCATTGAACATCGGTGATCACAGTTCCATTTCTGACAGATAAAGATTGAGAGAAGTATTTGATCGTATTTGAATCAACTCCAGGAGCATAAGTTGCTTCTGATGAATTATCGGTCGAATTACGAATTGTGAAGAACAATTGCGGCCAAGAAGGTAAGAGTGAAATAACTTGTTCTCCTCCTGTTTGTGGGAAATTTGTACCTAAAGTTGAATTTTGTTGGTCATAAAAGAAAGCTACCATTGTTGCTGTAACACGAGGACCAAAGATTGGCCATCCTTGACCTAATGCTTCTGGATTATTTGGTTCGGGGTTGAATGATTGAAATCCAACGCCTGCTGCCGGTAAACGTGCGCCGATATAACCATTTGAAACATAAGGTTGAGCAGTAAAACTTGTTTGATTTAAAACGGTTTCTATGAATGTCCAATCGGATGCATTTACAGTTGAAGAAGATGAATTGACGGATTGTTGTCTTGCAAAGAGATCATTTACCAATGCACTTAATTCATTTCTACTTGTCGGTCTTGATAATATTGTTGTCAAGCTTGCCAAAATGGCAGCCCAAATAAAAGTATTTCGCATGATTGATCCCGTCAACCAATTTGCTTGTGATCGTAATAAAGATGGATGAAAGGACGGAGAGACAAGAGAGAGAGGGGAAGTGGTATCTATTAGGGGCATTCATTATTTCGCTCCGCATGCCCCGGATTGACTTTTTCCGCGTTTGATGAAAGCGTACCTGATCATCACAAAAAACGACAAAAGTCTTATTATTCAATCTAAAAGCAAGATGACGAAACAAATTTACGGAAAATCACTTGGAACAAATTTGTGACGCTAGCAATAATTTGGCCGATGCATCTTCAGGTACACTAAAATTTACACAGACCTCTTTCTCTCTTTCTGTTAAATTTAGGCAAGAAAGCGGGATGTTTCAAAGCCATGACTGTCGGCGTCTTTTTATGTTCGCTAACAAAATGCAAAACTTTTCTTTCTTTTTTGTGTGGAGAAAATGCTCCACTTTGGGCATAGCAAACCGCGCAAGCACAGCGGCGGCCCCGAATAGGAGGGCAAGAACGGCATTGCGGGGAGGAAAACAGTAACAACCGCGCGGCACACACAGTCTTAAGGCCGCCCGCATACGGCTGGCCGCTGCTCGGCTTATCGATAATTCATGACGATAAGTAAATCCTTGGCACAGCACTACTAACACCTAATTTATACTACTTATTCGCAAATCGGTGAAACTATACAAAGAAAAGATCAATTGCAAATGGGTATGGTACAAAAGTGAAATTGAGATCTTAATGCCGTGTAGGGTTATACACATATCCCATATCTTCCTCACCCTCTTCTTCTTCCTCGTCATCGATAGCAACATGTGCACCTTGAACGCCATCACTGGATAATGTTGGCAAGATAGCCGCTGAGGTTGGCAATCCTCTCGCATGCAATATTGAGGATCGATTAGGTCTATGAGAAAACCTTTGATTATGGTAATCAGTCTGGAAGCCTTGTTCATGATGCATGTTACTCAATCGTACCCTTCTAGGTGAAGACGAACTTCTACTTAGAGGACTTGTTGGCGATCGGGTAGGATGATGAACGATATCCGTCTTTTCTTCTACAAAAATTTGTAATGGCTTATCTTCTCCTCCGCTCTTGGATGAATTGTCATCCAGGTTCGTATCCTTTTCTGCACTACCAACGTTTAATGTTGATGGTGAACGTGTGGGATCGAAGTCGTGTGTAAAACTCAATCTGTTCGTTGGTTGAGCACTCGTTGATCTTCCCCTACTTGGCTTTGGTGTATAGCTTACAGGACTTGTAGGAATCACTCCAACAGTTGACGATCTTCCACTGCGTCTGTTGTTGCTGAATGCGTTACTGGTATTGCTGGTCCTGTGATCAAATTGACATTGGCATTCGCTACTTCCATAACGTGATCTTGAACGATTGAGTGCTTCGGATGTTTGACGGAACATCAATCCTGCCACCAAAGGTCCAACGACAACCATTTCGGTTACACATAAGACTTGATAAGAAGTCGTATTATCCTTTCCTAGGGTATAGTATAAAGTCAAGAAGAGGATATAGGATAATACCAAAATCAGGAAATATCCAATCCCTTGTCTTAACAGCAGATTACTGATAAAGAACTCTCCCACATCATGACCTGCCGCTTTTCGTTCTTCTTTGCTTTTGAGTAGATCTTGTGATTTTGTGCTGATTAAGGCGAACGTATTCGTTAGTCCTCCTTCCATCAACTTGTGCGTGCAAAGCAGCAAGATTACCGTATTGAAGATCAGCATCAAACAGATAAATACGATAAAGATTGTTGCATGAGGTTGATCATAAATCGAAAGGACTTGATAACCACAAAAGTCGGAAAAAGGGATTTGATAGCCTTGACCGAAAAAGATGATACTATACAAACTCATGCCTGCATACGAAATCATTCCGATCGTTAACGGGATGACGACATTCTTTCTCCAACCATAAACTGCAAGTGTACGTTGAAAGAAGATGAAATCCGCCAAGATTAGAGCTAGCCAAAAGAGAATATTGATAACTTTTCCCGTTTGTTTACAATTCATTCCTGGAACGTTTAAAAATAAAATTGTTAAAATTAAAAAAGCAGCAGAACCATGACGACATAAAAAATAAGAAATTCGATTTGATGCTTTCATTGGTTCTTTCCAACCTTCTTTTTTTATCAATCGAATATCATATGCAACATTTCCAAATAATTCCATCGTTATCAAACCAAGTCCGAATGATAATAACAACATGTTTGCCAATAAACTTGGTGCTTGTGCATTGGGGACATGATGAAGAGATACATCTCCAAATTGAGCAAAGTCGCCAAAATTGGACATGGTGATTGAGACTGTATTTTGACGATTGGCCAAGAAGGCGCAATCTAATCTCAAAAGCGTGAAGATCGATTGGCGACCTCGTCGTTGATAATGATGATGATGATGATGATGGAAGCGTGAACGAGGGCGAAGAAGATGTCAATGATGGATACATTCAGTCATGATTCCCTGAATGAATGTGTGCTGTTTTGTTTTGTCTTCTCCGACTTACTTCCGAGTGCTTAGCCAAAGGGTCATTATCCATACCATTGTTTCCTTTGCATGGAACATGTCCTTAAAAATTCTTTTAGAATTTCCCCGCAAGAGAATAGAATCATACCTGTTAATGTCTTTTGTCTTGCATTTTCCCATGCACGATGTACAACTATTGTTCCTATTTGATGATCATTGTCTAGGCACATCAAAGTATGTGTCGTTTCAGGCTAGAAAATCATTCGGAATGCATTGGAAGAGTCAATGTTGTGTAAAGATGACGTTAAAATGAGTAAGATTGTTTCCTTCCTTCACTTTGACGGTGTAAAACCGTTGGATGCCTTTTTTACAGTGAGAGATGCAGGGATAAATGCATATATTGAACTTTAAGAAGCGCGTAATGTACCTGAACTAAACAACGTATTAGCGAATGCATTCATTCATTGTTGCGGGATTTGAATTTCCTTCATTCTCTTCCAACTGATCCCAAAGAAATCCCCATCAAGACAATGAACAGAATCAAAGAATCATCTTAAACGGTGTTTATTTTACGTCCATATGGATCAGAGCATAAATTGATCTTCATGTTTCTGCCTTTTTCCCGATCCGGTTATAATGAAAATTTCATCCAATATGCCGAGTACACTGCTTTTATGCCTTTAAACCGAACGCGTGAATTGTTGTGGCTTTGGTTTGGCATTTATTCTCTCCTTACTGTCTTCAGGCACAGGCACAACCCATAACTCCGATGTTGATAATGGTAAATTGGTTGAAACAGCGCAATAAACCTATACATACAAATGCGAAAGAAGTCTATGTATGTATGTAAAAGTGTTGGGGATGGGAAAAATTTGTTCCTCTTTTGGAAATGATTGTGGGGTAAAAAGAGGGTCCTCATCGAACAAATATGGAACATATCGATTTTTTTATATCAAAGTGCCGATCATGATTTGCATGCATATCTGATCAAGCGTTCACATATCGTAAAGGTTTATCGGGAATGATTTGTACCAAAACATTATCTTCATTAAACGAAAGTGGTTGGGCTTGAACTCTTCTTGGATTTACCTTTGTTTGATCGAATCCATCCTTTTCATAAAAGCAAGTATATGCGAACCAAGGTTTAGAATCAGGTCCAATAAATGCACCACCTGAACCCGGTCCATAAACACCTGTGTTACTGTTGGATTTCAACACTGTAGTACCTGTACTTTTGTTACGCCAATTGCTTACTTGTAAAGGATCCAAAGAAACGTCTATTGCGATATTGAGAGTATCATAAGCAGGTTCAAAGAATCCATTCTCGCTATAAAACACGTTGAGCGTATTTCCTTGAATGTATGCACCTGGTGCTTCAATCACAGGTGTGGTTCCATTCACCATTCTTGCTGGAACAACGACAACTTCTTCTGATCTTGGCGCAAGTTGTGTGAATCCATCTAAACGTGAAAGAAGGATAAAGTGTAAACCACTATAGAGTAAATAATGATTACCGTTTGGATGTGTGAATGCGTATGCATCATAATTGATAATCGGATCACCATTTCCGTATCTTACAGGTCCTAAGTTTTGCCAACCATTCAAAAGATCTTGACCATCATTGTGCAAAACATAAATGTAACCATGTCCGTCCGCTCCTACGCTACTGACATACAAAAGATAATTGTTTGCGTCCCATTCGTATAAGGAAGGAGCTTCTGGTCCAATTTGAGAAGTGAAGTTGAAGACTGAATGTTCATTGGAAGGTTGGGATAAGACGGTGTTCAAGTTGGTAGAAGATTGTATATACACTCCTCGGTTCTGTTGGAAGGGTAGAGGATATCCTGTCAGTATTTCACAATATAGCGGTCAATGATCGAGACTTACGAAGTCAGACGTAGGAACTGTATGAAAATTGATGGAGAGCAATGTGTATCAGTCATTAGGTCCAGGTCGCCTTGTACGTATTTCAACTCACAGTAGTAGTGTCTCTGTCCATCTGCTTCAATACGAGAAATCGGAGAAGGATCTTGTCCAGCTGCGTGAAAGAAGAATAGAAGAAAGATTAGCATAACGCAGAAAATATTCACAAAAGCCACCAGCCACACTCACGACCGAGAGCATTAATTACACCATCATTACCCGATTGAGTTGACTTAGATTCCGGTTCAGGTTGTGCAAAAGGATTACCTTGACCCAGCAAAGTATTAAAGATTCCAAGACCGAATTGATTAAGACTGAAACTGTTTGCGTTTTTACTATTTGGAAAGATCCAATGTTGAATACCTCGAGAAGGATTTGTCGATCGAAAATGAAACTTTTCATTTCGATTGTATAATCCTAACGTAGAGGCATTGCAAACGTATACCAGATACAGAATGACGATGATCAATATCCTTGCGTGAACCATTTTATCAAAAGATGGTCACGAATAGGATATATAGAAGATGGTGATCTTCATCAAGGAATGGATCTTATGAAAGCGCCGTACACATTACACACATTCTGCAGTCGATCTTTAGCGAATACCATTGACAATAAACTACTCTATCGATACTCATGAGACATTTCAGTTATGTATCAGTTGTGTATTTGTCTCATTCAATCAGCGGATACTTTAGGACTGTGCGGCGTAATTCTAAAGAACCGTACCTAATAAATGTCCCGAGAAATCGGGAACACAATCTTGTTTCCGTAGAATTTCCATGAGACATACATAATCACCCTCAGTACACAGAAGGGTTCATCAACGGATAGAAGTTTGCTGCGAGGGTTGTCAATATAAGCGTTGCGTACCCGAGATGGAATGATCGAAATAGCAATTTGCTCGAGACCGACTTTTGCATGTTTCTCCTTTTAGCAAGAATGATGTATCATTTAGATCTGCTTATCATGCACAATCATACACAGATGAAATTCTATTTTTTATAGTCTTTACACAAACATTTCTTCAACTTCACCACGCACTAAATCATATCCCGCTTTTAAGCTTTAGCGCGGATTGCATTCCCATCATTGCGCTAAATTTGGGCATGGCGAAGAACAAATGGACTGCACGGCGTGATACATCATACGTCGGCATCAGCAAGGGAAAAGGCATCTTTTAAACGATCGAGGACAAGATTATGTAACCTTTTCGTACGAGATCCGCTCTGATCTAAGATATGAATTATCGAAAAACAATCCATCCAGATCACTTTTAGCAAATAATTCATTGTGCTTTTGATTTAAATATACATAGAGCAACAGATGCTAGCAAACAGGTAGACGGTAACTTTTTGACGCTTAGCTAGCAGTGAACAACTTCTTTTCATACGAGGCCAAGCCATGAACACCACCTTCAGTGATAGCAGCAGCTGAACGTTTCTCGAAACGTAATTTGCCCAAACCGACTGCTTCACGCAATGCAGTCAAATCTTGAACACCCATATCTTGCAAACTGTGACGCAATCCAGTGTAAAGGTAAGGAACAAAGCTATGAACACTTCCACGATCTTGAACGGCACCTGAGACACCTTGAGCGACCTTGACTGCATCTGCTTCGGAGAAGTATCGTTGAGTGGCAGCATTTTCAACGCTAGCCTCGAATTTGGATGCCTTTGCTGCTCCTGCTCCAGTTGCACCGGCAACTTTACCCTTCTTTTGATGTTCCATAGCATCAATACTACCCATACCACGGTAGCCCTTCAAACGTTTACCTTCACGGTAAAAGTATTCACCAGGTGTTTCACTTGTACCGGCTAATAAACCTCCCATCATAACAGCAGATGCACCGAGGCACATAGCTTTGGCAATGTGTCCAATATTACCAATACCACCATCAGCAATGACTGGGACACCGAATTGAGAAGCAAATTCAGCAACAGCATGAACAGCTGTACCTTGAGGACGACCAACAGCCATAACTTCTTGGGTTGTGCAGATCGAACCACTTCCCATACCGATACGCAAGCCATCAGCACCTGCTGCGATCAAGTTAGCAGCTTGTTCACGGGTGACCACATTACCGGCAATGACATCGATTTGAGGGAAAGTAGATTTGATCCATTTAATCATGTCGATTTGGTAGCTAGAGTTTCCTTGGCTGCTATCAAGAATGACGATGTCCAAACCAGCTTCGACCAAAAGAGCCAAACGTTCGCGGTCTGATTCACGAGTACCAACTGCAGCAGCGCAGTACAATTGCTTGCTGTCAGGACGCTTGCTGGCCAAAGGGAAGTTTTGATTCTTGAGCAAATCAGAGCGAGCCAACAAAGAGACTAGGCGGCCTTGTTCATCAACGATGGGCAATTTACCCTTCTTGCTATCACGAAGAATCTTGTTGGCTTCTTCAAGTGTGACGCCCTTCCTTGCTGTAACCAAATCTTGAGTCATGACTTGGTTCAAAGGAGTTGATGGATCACGGAATTGGACGTCGCGAGCGGTGACGATACCAAGCAATTTACCATTGATGGCACCGGTATCTGAATAACAAAAGACGGATCGAAAGACAATACGTCAGTATGGCTGTCTCTGCAAATCATGAGAATGATACATCTTCAGAAGACATAGGTTAAGTAATAAGGTTTTCTCCATACCACCCCAAAGAGGTTAGTCAGAAGAACGAAGGTTACAGCAGTTTAAGGGTTTCATCCTGTGTGTGTAAAGGGGGATAGAACGAAGCACAATACTCACCAGTGATAGGAATACCACCGAATCCAAGACGTTGCTTGATCTCCAAAACATCTCCGACAGTCTCTTTGTCACTCAAGCAAAGAGGTTCAGTGATGAAACCATTTTCGAACTTCTTGACTTTGCGAACCATTGAGGCTTGATCAGTGGCGCTCATGTTGTTGTGAATGACACCGATACCTCCCAGTAATGCCATGGCAATAGCCATCTCGGTCTCAGTGACTGTGTCCATTGGAGAAGAGATGAAAGGAGTGTTGAGGGTTACATTGCGTGTAACCTTAGTTTGCAAAGATACCTTTGATGCAGGGAAGTCGATATAACCAGGCAAGACGATGAAGTCGGTATATGTCAATCCACCGTTTGAGCGTGAGTCAACCAATTCAGACATGGACAAACCATCGCCATGCTTGTAGGTAGCCAAATGAGCGATTGCTTTTGAAGCATCCAAGGGAGCAGCCGAAGTGGAAGCATGGAACAAACCGTTGTCGATTTGTTGGCCATCGGCCGTTACTCCGTTGGTAGAAGCGACAGGTGCCATTGTCCTTAATGAATAGAATGTAAGAACTGAGTTTATGACGAGTAAGTTTTATTAGCAGAAGCAGATGCTGCTGCAGGTGGGTCTGGGAAGATGACCAACAAGAAACAGAAGAGGTGAAGTAAGTTGAACTCGGTTTAAGGTAAAAATTTCAATTTGGAGCTTAAACAGTCATAAAAATTGCTGGCAAAATACGAGTCTGACTTTAAACGATAAATTTTTATATTGAACTGAAATATGAAAATTTGACGCGCTTGATACAGCAGAATAGCAGTGTAGCCTGTCTCTGACACGAAAGTTAACGCGAAGGATTACTGCAATTAATGCTCTTAGTTGCACGTGGAAGAAATGGAGCACTTGTCATTCTTCGCAATTCATGCTTGGGCCATAATTAAAAGCGCGATTCTGAACCAACATACATCCACTCTTCTCGACATCATACTCGACACAATGAAGGTCACACAGGCTACATCATCTGGAGGAGGTCCTTCAGGATCACGAGAAGCCCGTGTTGCAACTCATTCACACATCAAAGGATTAGGATTGGGTGAAGATGGTTTACCACTTCCAGGAACCGCTCAAGGTTTTATCGGTCAAAAATCTGCTCGTGAAGCATGCGGTTTAGTGCTGGATTTGATTAGAGCAAAGAAATTCTCGGGAAGAGCGTTGTTGCTGGCAGGAGGACCGGGTACGGGAAAAACTGCATTGGCATTGGGATTGGCACATGAATTAGGACAAAAGGTTCCTTTCTGTCCGATGGTGGGATCAGAAGTATATAGCTCTGAAGTGAAAAAGACGGAAGTCTTGATGGAAAACTTCAGAAGAGCAATCGGATTACGTGTTCGTGAAACAAAAGAAGTGTACGAAGGAGAAATCACAGAACTGACACCAACAGAAGCAGAAAACCCACTTTCAGGATACGGCAAAACAATCAGCCATGTGGTTATCGCTCTGAAAACGGTCAAAGGAACAAAACAATTGCGACTGGATCCAAGCATTTACGAAAGCATTATGAAAGAACGTGTCAGTATCGGAGACGTGATCTATATCGAAGCAAATACCGGTGCAGTGAAGCGTGTGGGTAGATCGGATGCATACGCAACCGAATTCGACCTGGAAGCAGAAGAATACGTTCCCCTTCCCAAGGGAGAAGTCCATAAGCGCAAAGAGGTTGTCCAAGATGTCACTTTGCACGATCTCGATATGGCAAATGCCAAGCCACAAGGTGGTCAAGATATCATGAGCGTTGTTGGACAATTGGTAAAGGGCAGAAGGACAGAAGTAACTGATAAACTACGCGGAGAGATCAATCGTGTCGTGGACAGATACATCGAACAAGGTATCGCAGAATTGGTACCTGGTGTGTTATTCATTGATGAAGTGCATATGCTGGATATGGAATGCTTCACCTACCTAAATCGTGCACTTGAATCAACAATTAGCCCTCACGTCATCTTGGCAACCAACCGAGGCAGCTGTGTTGTCAGAGGAACAGAATATGATGGTGTCGCAGGTAGCGATAGTCAGGGTATCGTTGCACCTCATGGAATTCCTTTGGACCTTTTGGATCGTTGCATGATCGTGAGAACATTGCCATACGAAGCACCAGAGATTAAGGAAGTTCTCAAATTACGCGCCAAAACAGAAGGTTTATTAATCGATGAAGATGCTTTGGACAAATTGACGCAAGATGGCTTGAGAAGCTCTTTGCGATACTCACTACAGCTCTTAACACCTGCTGCCATCCTGTCTCGCGTTCAAGGACGAACACAAATTTCATTGGCCGATTTAGAAGAGTCTACTTCTCTTTTCATCGATGCAAGGGCAAGTGCACAAGTTTTGGCATCCAATGCTTCGGCCAATGGAAGGATGTTGTGATCGTTCGAATGCCTCAAAATCTAAAAAATGTATTCATAGTATATAAAATTCATGCAGATGTTCTAGTAATGCGTAAAGAGTGACATTTCGTGTTATTATAACGATAAAAAAGCCGGGGTATATATACAAGAAAATAGTTAAAGAATGTATGAGATGGTAAGGTTACCTGCGAATGCTTAACGAATTCATCCAATGTTCCATTTCTTGCGAATTTGGAGCTTGCAAAAAGTACGAATTTGCTGCAGTATATAAACCAAAAATGCATTTCTTGTTCAACATATTTTCAATATTTTCATCATGTTCAACACGAACGGATCCTAAATGCATTGCCAGCAATTCGTCTAATTCCGAACTTGATTCATAAACGTATAAATATGGACGTCGAAGAACGAACCATCTTTTCACCCATTGGTCGCTAAATGCTTCGATCGGCATAAACAGATAACCTCGCTTATTGGCTGTGTCACTCTTTGGTACTAGGGTGACAGTTGCTTTGAGCTTTGTGGGAAGTGGAGCCTCTGGTTCTTTGTCGGTGCCATGATTTGCCTCTTCCTTGCCGTTGGGTACGAGACCGTTCTGCTCTTTTGTATCTTCACCAAATTGTGTTTGCCGATTTTCGTCAATCTCGCGGGCCAAGACAGACACTTTGGCGTCCATCATGACGGATTTCCATGCATCAAGTGATTTTCGGATAAGTGCTTCTTCGTCAATTGATTCTCCTTTGTGACCATTATTTTCCAATAGGGATAAAGGAGGATGAGCTTTAAGCAAGGCACGAACACCTTCCACTTCTGCATATCTTCGCTCTTTGCGGACAAATTGCGCATATTCATGAATCAATCCAACACTTCTTGGCTTCCATTTTCCTTCTAATGTTTCTTGTCCACGTACGTATTTGGTGGCGGTGTCTAATCTCCATAATTCTTTACTCTTCTTTGTCATAGGAGGCGTAAGTCTAACTGCGAATATATTGCTTGTCTTTGTCAGAACTCGACTTCCAATTGTGGCAGATTCAAGCATGTTGAGCAGCTTACCGGGAGCTTTGGCATCCCTTGCATGAATTGTTACAGCAATGTCCATCTCAAATGCGACAGGCTCAATGCATGATTCAACAGTCACTTCGAATTTGAGGTTGAGTAGAACACGTTGATTAGACGCTGTTGTTCGATTCAAAAAGATGGAATCGTGCATGCTGCTATCCCACCAAGTCCACAACTCTAAATCAGTGGTTCCATTTGGATTGAAATTGAGCGTTTGTTGCTTGACCGGAGTCTTTAACGAAACACCCTCTCCCAATGTAGAAGAGTGAATCTTGCCTTTTGAATCGAGCAGACGAACAGAGCCTAAAGTCACATTTGAGAAACTTGACCACGGGAATTGATGACCTGAGTCATGGCGTAATTGGATCACTAATTTGCGTTGCAACCCTTGTCTGAGGTAAAAGGCGCCTGGATCAAGCATCGATTGAGATCGGACTTGCACAGGTTTGTAGGTACCAGAACTATCAAGCTCACAAATTTGAACAGCGGCCAATATATCATGACGCTCTTCAGACACCATTTCTCTTTCGCTCAAGCGGCCAGAAGAAGTAGACTTGACGGTGAGACTTGGACGTTCGTCTTCATGATCTATAGAGCTTGCATTGCCATTGCTCATTCCATCCTGAATTGGTGCATGTCCAATGGTGCGGTCCGCTTCTTTACCCGTATCGTATATTTCAAGAGATTTGAGATAACCTTCTTTGACCGTGGCAAAGAATTCGACAGGCAACATTTGTTCCCGTAATCGAGAGATGTTCTCCTTATCAAGTATGAAAGAGATTGTTTTGCGTAATTTGAGATCTGTTGAAGATTCGGCCGGTATGGAAGTGAAAATGTCCTGACTGCCTTTCTCACCAGCTAAAGCTGCCATTCGCACTTGCAAATGCATTTTCTCGAATTCGTTCTTGCTTCCTTTTATACTGACTGACTCGATTGACAGCTGGCATCCTAGCTTTTGACCAGGAAGCAAGTCCCCATTGCCTGTTCCAGCTTCAGAAGAACCATTGCTTGAGCCGTTTTGGGACCCAGTAAGACTAATGAATTTCAATTCTGCTTTGCATGATCCTATCTTTTGGTGTGTATGTCGTGAATGTATCGGAAGTTTGGTATATTGTGCTGATGTTTGACGGTATAAAGGCGTAAGGGGTATCAAAGCATTGCCAATAAAGGTAAAGTTTACGCCATGGGTATTATCATCATAGAATGGGTCAGCCCAATTGAAGTGTTGGCTATATTCCGGTCTATCAATGAATGTGTAGAGGTTCCTCATCTTTTGTAATCTTTGCTCAAGCTTTGCAATTGACCAGATATAGACCGAAGGATGTGCATGATCGATCACTTTCACAGCTACGCACGGCTTTGGTGCACTTGCTAGGGATGCATCGGCAACATCGTCGAATTCCGACAATCCTGCAATGGCCTCGACATTTGAAGTTGGGTTAGACAGTACACCCTCGTCCACAATGGTGAATTGATATGTGGTAGATTTGCGTAATTCTCGACTGATCACATTTGCTTCTTTGAGCAAAACTGCATTTGACAAAATATCTTCTGCCATGGAAACTTTTGTTTGATTTCTCCATTTTGCCAAAGCGTTCTTCAACAGTCTCTTTTCTCGTGGTGAGAAATTTGCAGGTAAATCAAGAGATGTGATCTTCTGTTGAACGGAAAGCTTTGTAATCTGGTCTTGGTAATCTTTCACTTGCTTGCGCAGATCGACAGTTTCTTGTGATTCTTGCTCTTGCTCAGGCTCTGGTGTGCTCAGAGAGGGTAAGAGACTGGGCCCATCGCCATCTATATTAATGCTCCAAGGATCTAAGCTTGTATCATCGGTATAAGCGCTCATCGAGTACGGTCTTACTTCTGAGCTTGCAGTCTCGCTGGTATTGTCATCAAACGAGCTCAATCGGCTTTCCGGTCGCCATGCTCCGCTGCCGATCTTTTTCGAACGTGCTTTCATGATATCTTCATACAACTTTTCCAGATCATCTTCGTTCAAAGCGTCAAAGTTGACATCTTGCCCATGTACAGCGGCCAAAGCAGCTTCCCTGCGAGCATACGTCCAATCAACATTGCCTTCATTCGCGTCAGAGGTTGGTGAATCGGATCGTGGGATATTATCATCCGTTTCATCTCCGCCAGCCGTTGAGGCTAATCGTATTCTATCACGCGCTTTACGTACCTCTTCAGGATGGTTGAACCGGAAAACGTGTCGGAAATCATCACCAAGAATGATACGATACCCTGACCGTAGCCTTCTTGGTTCTTCTGGTGTGACTTTCTTACCGTTGACCATGGTTTGCGATTCTGAGCTTTTGGTATGTAGAGTGACAACTCCATCTACGTTTTCGAATAGACAATGCTCTGGCAAGATTGTGTCACCACTAAGACGAATTTGAGCAGTGCCTTCTGCTGCGTCACCCGCAAGATTGCCTACAGACGTAGTACCAGGTTTGAGTTGATAAATAAGACACTCAGACATGAGCGGATCTTCGTTCAAGTTGACAAGATGTGGTAAAGATTTGGGCGTATGGACACCAACGTTGCCTTTGTCCACAGTGATACCCAACTCTTCCAAAGCTTTCTCTCTTTCGATCTGAATGGCGCGAGTTTGAGCAACTTTTTGTTCCCAGCTTTGATTCAAACTTTCCATAATCTTTTCGCTTTGTTCCAATTGATCCTGTAGTTCTGCTTTAGTAACCGTTTTGATTTCTCCATTCTTCGTCTTATATCTGACAACTTGCTTTTCCGGTGGAACACTTGGATCCCATGTTCCTTCTCCTTCGCCTCCACCACCAATTTGAACACGATTTCGCAACATCTCCAATTCCTCTTTGAGTTCGCGAATAAGTTTTGCATTTGGATCTTCGTTGACGACGGCTTTGTTCTTGATCTTCTTTGCTTGATCAGCATATCGTAGAGTACTGAGAGTTTCTTCATAATCTGCTGGAGAAATGGCAGCAATCATGGCAGTTTTGGAATTACCTCCGAGACTATCTTTTAACAGCCAAGTCAAGACTGAGTCTCGATATGGTACAAAATTTTCTAGTGCCGCTTTCTTCTTCGCACCTTTGGCGGGTTCCATGGATGCTTGTGCTAAAGCTGCAATAACCTTACCCAAGGTTGTAAGGGATCTATTGATATTTGCACCTTCTTTCAATCGCGATCCCGTTGCACCTGTAGAGTTTGCTCTTTCAGATCCAGCTAGATCGACTAAACTGATTCGTGAAACTTTTTCTGCTTCTAGATTTGTCTCTTCATCTTTACGCTTTTGTGTTACCACGAGCGTGAAGACAGCATGCGATCGAGATGAAGTTTCGTTCATGTTGGTTGCAGCAACAGTACGTGCCTTGTTACCTTCGTCCATTAAGCTCTCAATATCTTGGAAATCCTTCACCACCAATTTACTCAGATCTTCGACGTAGGGACCTAGACTAGGATGTTCACGAACACGGAGATTACCTTTATTCTTCGGGTTGAGTAAATCCCGCACCTTTTCGTTGTAAATTTCAATGTATGAGACTTCCACTGTGATTCTAAGATTTGGATCCTTCTCCATCAATCCATTTGCGTCATCGAACAAACGAGAGCATGTCAAAGGAATCAAACCTTTTGCTTCAGCGTATCCCACCATACTATGTGACTTTCCCGAACCTGTTTGACCATATGCAAAAACACAAGTGTTGAAACCATTGAAGCTATGCTCTAGCAATTCTAGACCGACATACTCGAATAATTCTGACTGTTCTGTGTCTTCATCGTAAGCCCGATCGAAGGAGAAAGGCATAGCTTTCTTCTTTGTCGCTTTTGCATTTTCGCGGGAATCTCCTTCGCCTGGAGGATTGAGGATTAATTGATGTTGGTCTTTGCATTCGATCAAATGAGAGGCACCACGATTCTTTTCACGTGTGTTCAATGGACGACATCGTACCACCACTTTGATATTACCTGAATCAGCCATAGTGGGCCACGATCACTTGACAGTCCCGATTCCAGGCGAATGAACCGATCCCTTCTCTCAATATACAATCTACTTCTATTGGCCGCCTTATATATTTGCAACTTTGTGTGTTTTTGCTGAGAAAGTATTGTTAGAAGTGAAGCATACGGATGTAGTCGAGGGGGTTAATGATGATGATGATGATGATGGATGTTTCGATGTACAGCTTAATTTGAAGCGGACAATTAACACACAGTGAAAGAAGTAACACACAGCTGTTGGTTTCAGACACAAATGCAGTGTGCCAGTGCCTTGCGTACAGATTAAGATTTGTCTTCACGCGTTAAAGTATTTTCACACTTTTGGCGCTTGTACGAGGAGGTTAAGAAGATCATGACCGTGCGAAGAATCTTTCCATCATGTTTCAATGCTATCATCATCGTCTTCTGTCCAACAAATGCTTGTGCGTTTCTCGCCTGTCACTTTGGCACGGCAGAGGTGTCTGACTATTCATCATGTCATTCGACGAGCATCATCACAGCGAGTGCCGGCTGCCAACAAAGCCATTCGCCTATCAAAGCAATTCACCCCCACCCTTAAAGCGGAACAAATTGGTAATGAACAGGTAGAAAGTGTGGGACTTTTGATGAGAGGAGGTTATATCAGACAATCTTCCTCAGGGTTTTTCACTCTGTTGCCGAATGGATATCGAATGGTCAAAAAGATTGAACGATTAATTGATGAAGAAATGGAGGCAATCGGTGCAAGTAGATTGGAAATGCCAACGATGCTATCTAGCAATCTATGGCACAAGAGTGGACGGTTTGAGACAATGGGCAGCGAATTATACAAGCTAAAAGATCGTAAACAAACAGAATTCATCCTTGCCCCGACATTCGAAGAAGAAGTCACCAAATTGATCGGAGAAGAAGTTCAGTCTTACAAGCAATTACCCATCAAAGTGTATCAAATTACCAGCAAACATCGAGATGAACCGAGGCCTAGGAGTGGATTATTACGTACTCGCGGATTTATCATGAAGGATCTTTATACCTTCGATGCCACTGTCAGTGACGCTGAACGCTCTTATGAAGAGGTCAGAGCAGCCTATGATCGTATTATGACAAGACTATTTGGACCGAAAGGAAGTGGTTGGCAGGTAGCAGAAGCAGATACAGGAGCGATGGGAGGATTACGATCACACGAATATCAGGTGCAGGATCCACTTGGCGAAGATGCTTTGATATCGTGCAACCATTGCGACTATTCTGCCAATATAGAGAAAGCAGCTTCATTTCCCAGAAGGGACAATTTGCCTATTGAAGCAAGTGAAGTAGATGTATCTCTACACGGCGCAAGCGATCCATCCTTCCATGGCTGTACGCTAACAGCAGTCGTCGCACCAAAAGGTCGAACTATCCACCCGATCAAATTGAAAGAGGCGATCGAGAATGGTCAATATGCGCCAAATACCATATCCACAGATCAGCTTTCTCCTTTACCGGCAACCGAGGGGGAGAATGGCAATAGCAACCAGTGGGACTGGAAGGATAGACCTGAAGGTCCTATAGTACGCTTTGACCATATTCGCATCCTTCTCGATCACGAATGCGCAGCTTTGGAGCCGGAAGAAGTCCAACTTGCCGTCTTAAATGCTGCTGAACAATTTGGCTCACCATCGGGAACGTCCTCTAAGCGAAGCAGTGGATCTGAAGGCGCTCCTACACTGCATGACTACTTTGGTGCACAATTTGCATCAGCTCATGATGCCATCCCGCAAGAATACGTCGATATTAGACAAGCTGAAGTGAATGATACTTGTGCATCGTGTGGGAAAGGTCAATTACAAGAAGCAAAAGCGGTAGAAGTTGGCCATACGTTCTTGCTTGGCACACGATACTCGAAAGCACTGAATTATCAGTTTATGCCTGATACCAAGACCACGTCATCCAAAAACGAGCCGGCACTGTTCCAGATGGGATGCTACGGCATTGGCTTGACCCGCATCTTGGGGGTTCTGGCACAAAACGCTCAAAGAACATTCGACAAGCTGAATACGCCAATGTCGCAAAAGCAAACAAAGGTCCGAAAAGGATTTGCATGGAATCCCGAAATTGCCCCTTTCAAGGCGCTTGTTCTCACTTCAGATTTGCACAACGAGAAACAGGCTGCTGCAGTCGAGTCTCTGTGCAACTTGCTCACACGTAGAGTCAGCAAAGAAGATGAATCCCCGTGGGATACAGTTCTCTCTCGTTCTGGTCTGTGTCTAGAGAGCGATATTGCAATCGATGATCGTTCCACAATGTCAATCGGAGCCAAGTTGAACGAAGCAGACTTGATCGGCTACCCGCTCGTTTTCATCTTGGGGAAGCATTTCGATAAGAATGGGGAAGTCGAAGTCAGGTATCTCAGCGATGATGCAATTCATACAACTCATTTGCCCATTCCCACTCTGTAATAATATTCATTGTACACCACCATTGCATGCATGAAATCTTACTTGTAACATTACTCAGAATAAATTATAAATTGACAACAATTAGCATATACAGAATTGACTCTATCGTATAAACTTCTTATGCTAATCCTGCTTCGACCATTGCTTTCTTCATCAATTCTCCGATCTTGGCCGGGCTATCAGCAACAATGGCACCTGCCTTTTCTAGAGCGGCAACCTTGTCACCTGCACCACCTTTTCCACCTGCAATGATTGCACCTGCGTGACCCATTCTACGTCCTGGAGGTGCGGTACGACCGGCAATAAAGGCAACAACAGGTTTAGGGTTCTTGCGTGTCTTATTATGCTTTTCAAGGTATTCGGCTGCATCTTCTTCCATTGATCCACCAATTTCACCAATCAAAACGATACCTTTTGAATTATCATCTTCCAACAACAATTTCACCAAATCCAAAGTTGTACTTCCTGGGTATGGATCACCTCCAATACCAACAACGATTGATTGACCCAAACCGTGTTCGGTAGTCTGATTAACGGCTTCGTATGTCAATGTACCTGAACGTGAAACGATACCAATCTTACCGGGAGTGTGAATGTGACCGGGCATGATACCGATCTTGCAACCTTCAGGGTTAATCACACCTGGGCAATTTGGTCCGATCAAACGAGATTTGGATTGGTTCTTCAATGCATGTGCGACGCGGATTTCATCTTGTTGAGGAATACCTTCTGTGATTGCGACGATGAGAGGAACTTCAGCCTCGATTGCTTCAATGATTGCATCTGCAGCAGCTGGAGGAGGAACGTACAAGACACTTGCGTCTGCTTTAGTCTTTTGCATAGCCTCTTTTACGGAAGCAAAGATTGGCAATCCCAAATGTTCTTGTCCGGCCTTTTTAGGAGAGACACCCCCGACCAGGTTTGTACCATATTCTAGCGCTTGTTTGCAGTGGAAAGTTGCAGTCTTTCCTGTGAAGCCTTGACAGATAATCTTTGAATCTTTCTTTACGAGAATGTTTTTGATTGTATCTTCGTAACTACGACGGATTGCGCTTGAAGAGAAAGCTGCTTTTCCACCGTTTGAGAAAAGTATACTGCTTGGAGATGCACCCTTTAAAGCTGCTTTGCCAAGCGAAAAACGAGAAGATGAGCTTAGAAGGCCCAACATCTTTACTGTGAACGGTGTTGTGATGGTGAATGGTGTTGAGTATCCTCTCCTTATTACTCTCAAGCGTCTCTCTCTCATTTCCTTCAGCCTTCATTCGAAGCGCCGGCGCCCACGTTGAATTATTTTTGCCCGTGCATCCGAGGTTGTCCTTCTTTGCAACCTTCAAGCTTGGCGGATTCTTCAGCCGGCCTTTCTGTATGTACACGTGTGATTATATAACCAAGCAAGCCTTCCACGCCATTCGCACAGATGTTATTTTGCGCCGACGCTGTGCTATAGCCTTTATGCATGTAGTAAAGACTAATCAAAGTAAGAAGAATCCAATGTGTAAGAGACACAAAGGGCCGCGCATTTGTTCTCCGAATACTATAATCATCATCGGACTGCCTCTGTCGAAAATGTAAGTGTGATAGAGATAATCAAAGTAAGCAAAAGATTCTAACAATCTCTCCCTCTCACAGGTCGATCGCAGTGCAGTCACCGGATATTGCACGGATCTCGCTTCATCGGCGGATACCGTTGGAGTGGCATTTGTATGCTATCCCTTTCTTGTCACTCTATCCCATTTGGGCATATGGATACTTCGCAAAGTATGATACTTGGGTCAAATCGGAAGAATGGACATTCGTCTTTACTGTTGCTCTATTAGCTGGCCATGCTCTCAGCTTCTTGGTCACAAGATGGAGCATCGGAGCAAAGGCTTTCATCACTTGTCGTAATGTCAACTCTATCAACGAGACTGAGCTAATTCGCATCTTCCCACACGCTCACAAAGGTGAAGGAGATTTAGTCAAAATCGATCGTCATGCTCGCTCTGGAATGCCAACCGAAACGTCTTTTACCTATCAAGCCGACAAATATATTCTCACTTTACCCGATCAATCAGCTTCCGTCACTTCTGTCCTGGTCTCGCCTTTGGTTAGCGAACCTACTTTCCGTCGCTTGCCTTACCCTGTTGACTCAAAGCCAACAATGGGCAAATTCCAAAGCACAAAAGGTTTGGCAAGTGAACGTGATGTGGAGATTACCAGACACACCTTCGGTCCAAACACATTCAACATTCCCAAGCCTACTTTCATTGAGCTCTTCATTGAACATGCTGTTGCACCTTTCTTCGTCTTCCAAGTCTTTTGCGTTGGTTTATGGCTATTGGATGAGTACTTCTGGTACTCGTTGTTTACCCTTTTCATGTTGGTCGTTTTCGAGGCAACTACAGTGTTCCAACGTTTGCGTACATTGAGCGAATTCCGCACAATGTCTATTCAACCTTACCAAATTCAGGTTTATCGTGCAGGCAAATGGCTGGAGATCTCTAGTGCAGAGCTTTTGCCAGGAGACTTGGTATCTGTCACTCGTTCTAAGGAAGACTCGGCAACCCCATGTGATCTCTTGCTGTTATCAGGAAGCGTTATCGTGAATGAAGCTATGTTGAGTGGAGAATCGACGCCATTGCTCAAGGAGAGCATTGAGCTACGCGACGCAAGTGATACATTGGACGTGAACGGAAACGACAGGAACAACGTCGTCTTTGGTGGTACGAAAGTTCTACAGACTACCGTTTCTGAATCATCCTTCAATGGCATTCGCTCTCCGGACAGTGGTTGCTTGGCAGTCGTGCTAAGAACAGGTTTCGGTACTTCACAAGGTCAATTGATTCGATTGATGGTATACACCAACGAAGGACGTGTTTCAGCTAATAACTTGGAGGCATTCTTGTTCATTGCTTTCTTGCTCGTCTTCGCCATTGCGGCTAGTTGGTACGTTTGGACTCGTGGTCTGGCTATGGGTAGACCAAAAGGAAAATTGATCCTTGACTGTATCTTGATCATCACTTCGGTCGTTCCACCGGAATTGCCGATGGAATTATCAATGGCTGTAAATGCATCATTGATGGCATTGGCCAAGCATGCAATCTTCTGTACAGAACCTTTCCGTATTCCTTATGCCGGACAAGTAGATGTTTGCTGCTTCGACAAAACGGGTACAATTACTGGAGAAGACCTCGTTGTTCAGGGAATTGCCAATGTTGGCGCTCGTGAAGCAAAGGATCTCGTCGACGTAAAGGCTCTCGGACGTGAATCAACGCTCACTTTGGCAACCGCACACAATCTCGTTCTTTTGGAAGACGGTCTAGTCGGAGATCCCATGGAAAAGACCACAGTGGACGCTTTGGATTGGCAATTGCTCAAAGGTGATATTCTTGGACCCAAGAATCCATCAGAGGCACGCTTCCGTATGCAAGTTAATGTTCGTCGTCGTTTCCAGTTCTCTTCAGCATTGAAACGTATGGCATCTGTCGCTTATGTTGTTGACGGTGGTAACCGACGTCTCTTTGCTGCAGTAAAGGGTGCACCAGAAGTTTTGAGAGGAATGTACAAGCATTTACCTGCCGATTACGATGAGACGTACAAGACCTTCACACGTAAAGGTAGTCGTGTTTTGGCTCTCGGATATAAATATCTGGATGGTGTTAATGCAGAACGTATCAATCATCTCGCTCGTGATGAAGTAGAAAGTACATTGGAATTCGCCGGCTTTTTGATCTTCCACTGCCCACTCAAAGAAGATGCTGTCACTTCTATCAAACAATTGAACGACTCCTCCCATCGATGCATCATGATTACAGGTGACAATCCTTTGACAGCCGTTCATGTTGCCAATGAGGTTGAAATTGTTGATCGTGAGACTTTGATTTTGGATATTCGTGAAAATGCTACAAGTGATCAAGAATTATGGTGGCGTACACCTGACGAAAGCAAGGTCATCAACGTCAAGGCAAGTGACCCGATCGATCAGAAGTTGTTCGACTCGTACGATATCTGTCTCACTGGACCTGCAATGAAGCTCTTCCAAGATGTACCGGACAAGTGGGATGCACTCGTACAAAACACATGGGTCTATGCGCGTGTAAGTCCTTCCCAGAAAGAATTCATCTTGAACTCGTTGAAGCGGTTGGGATACATTACTCTAATGGCTGGTGATGGAACAAATGACGTTGGTGCTCTGAAGGCTGCAAACATTGGTGTTGCATTATTGGACGGAACACCGGAAGATTTGAAGAAAATTGCTGAACATCAAAGGAATGAACGCATGAAGAAGGTATACGAACAACAATTGTCTCTCACATCCCGATGGGGCCAACCACCACCACCCGTGCCAACTGTATTGAAGGAACTATATCCTGAACTAGAAAAGGCACGCGAGGACATCGTTAACAAGTTGAAAGACTCTAAACGTGCCAATCCCAAAGCCACTTTTGATCTCTCCGCTCTTACGTCACAAATGGCAGATTTGGACTCCGAAGATGGACCACCTCAAATCAAATTGGGAGATGCAAGTGTTGCAGCCCCTTTCACATCCAAATTGAGTAACGTTTCCGCAATCACGCAAATCATTCGTCAAGGCAGATGCAGTTTGGTTGCAACGATTCAAATGTACAAGATTTTAGGTCTCAACTGTTTGATTACAGCTTACTCACTTTCGGTGATGTACTTGGATGGTATCAAATTTGGTGATTATCAAGTGACTATCAGTGGAGCTTTGATGAGCGTCTGCTTCTTGATGATTTCTCGCGCACAACCCAAAGAGCGATTGTCGAGAGAGAGACCTTCGAGTAATATTTTCAACGTATACTTTGTCCTCTCGCTCTTGCTTCAATTTGCGTTGCACATCGCAAGTATGCGCTACATTACCTTACTCACTGGTCAATATGAAAAGCCAGAGGAGGTTGTTGATTTGGAGGCTAAATTCACACCTTCCTTACTCAATTCGGCCATTTTCCTGATCAGCTTAAGTCAACAAGTGAACACGTTCTCGGTCAATTATGTTGGTGAGCCGTTCAGAGAGAGTATGACGCAAAACAAAGCGCTTTATTACGGTTTGTTGTCATGCTTTGGAGTTGCATTTGCAGGTGCTACAGAATTTTTGCCCGATTTGAATGCATGGTTGCAACTCACTCCTCTTCCAACACCATTCCAAGTTCGTCTGGTTGCAGCAATGGCGATCGATTTCGTTGGATGTTACGTTATTGAACATTCAACGAAGTTCTTATTTGCCGATTTGGAACCACGTGCATTGATTGTGAAAGGAAGAGAAAGAAGAGACGCAAGAAGGAAACAATTGGCACAAAATTTAGAAAATATCGCCAATGGAATCAAAGCTCAATAAAAGGTAGAACTATGTGCACTTTTTTAAACTTGCATCTATCATCTTCATAATCATGCACATCATGTGAACCATACTTTTATTTATCATCTCAATAGCAATTCACGGTTAATTAAAAATTTAGCGTGAGCAATCAAGCACAGATCTTGGTGATTATGCAGTATGAAAAGACTGTGAAGTAGATCTGTAGTATTGTAGTATCGCATCATTGATGTTAATTTAAGTACACAATCGTCTACTAGTGAAAACGCTAAGAAATCAAATTAAAAAGTCACGGTGTTTGGCATCGTCCGCATAAACCAACCTCCCAGCCCCAAATGCCGTACCATGTGGCAACGAAAGGGTTGAGATATCGTGAAAAAAATGTAGTCATGATCACCTTGTTCTGAAAATTTTTTCATCACAAATACAAATATACTTTATAACACAGGCTATCAACGATAAAATTACAAACAACAACAAAGCAGAGCTGAAGATTGTTATCGTTTGATCATCAGGACAATACTGAATTTGTAGTCATGCAGAGACGCAATCTCATTGGGTGCCTTAATCTTATAGCGATCGATTGATAACAGATGATGTACAACACAGAGACGTCACCGTATTTGGGTTACCGGAATATTTTGGAACGGTGAATAACATAATTTTGGTGCAAATATGATGGAATAAACTTCAAACGAAAAAAAAAGAGGTAAACATCTGGCTATAGAGTCGTGGGGAAACGGGCTGTATTATCAAATTCTGGCAGCAAGAAATAAATTAAAAGATCAATTTTCGTTCGATACTAGACGAGAAATGACGATGAAATCAATAAAGGTGTACGGATATCCAAAAAATCGATCACGAGACTTCTAATGCTTCACGTGCCCACCAGAATATTCAATTGCGATCCCCAATGTCACTTTGATCTCCGACCCATAACTGCAGGGGGTCATTGACTCTAATATTTCATCTTAGGTGATCATATCCTACATTTTCATTCTCCGGAAATACTATACTGTCAAAGTCAGGCACGATGATGTGCTTGCATCTGAGACCAACACACACGACAGACATGTGATAAGGGTTCATTCTTTTTTTCATTTTGTATATGAACGATGAATTATGAAAAGTAAGGAGGTTTTGACCGCTTTGTACAGAACATAAACCTTAAGGCACGAGCACTGCTGCACGTATTATTCATATAAGCATAAGCAGAGTGGCGTTGAAGTCCGGGAATTGGTTTAATAAACTGTACGTGGAAACACGCGCCTACGCGTTTTTATAAGGCACATTTCTATTAAAAGAAAGGCACATTCAAAAGCTAAAAGCAAGGGGTAAATTATGTGCGCGTAAGAAAAGAAACACTTTACCGACGGCTTGACTGCAGTAATGAAAAGGTCCGAATCATTATAGAGAGGGGATGTGCCGTCTCAAATGAGATCATCTTAGTGAATGTCAAATGGAGACCGGAGTCGGCTTTCTACTCGATTTGTAAAGTAACACATACCAAGATTATCATCTTAGCGTACCTTTCCTTTAACAACGCGTACAATGATGATGTTTGACAAGCAAAGTCTCACTGTATGTGAGGGAATATAGTTCAACACCCCAAGCGATCTCTTTCTCTTTTAAATAACATCTCCCTGCAGTTAGCAGGCATTTCAACGCACGCGTAGGCCATTAGAACTACGCTTAATTGCCCGGAATGGAAAGTGAGTAAAAAGGAAGATCAAGCCACTTTTGATGTGCCATACCTATTCGTACGTACAATTATGCAGCATCATCATCAATAATTTCATAACGATCTAGATCCTCTCTCTGTAATAAAGTGATCAGATGCACCTTCTTCCCAGAAAGGAAAGTTATATAGATTAAGAATGAATGAGCCCTTTCATTGATATCTTTTTGTGTGTGTTGCTTGAGCCGCCTCTTTGATCTTCCTTTTTCCTTCTCGCGCCTTTTTGCATGTCTTGTGGATCAAACACAAACAGGGGAAGTCATGCATTCACGCCAATCATTATCATCATTTGTGGCTCTAACCATTGCTTATTATAGCAGGAAACGTGATGATTTCTTTTTTGTGGCATGGTACCCTTTACTACAGCATATGCATATATGCAACTACTACATACTTCATACCTTCCTGGTTGGGTATAGTGAAGACTGGGGAAGAAATAGCATACATTCATACTTGCATCTGCATGACGATCAGATCTGGAATATTTATGAAGGGTTGGTTCATTCCAGTGTAATTTACCGGGACAAGAAAGTAGATATATAAAAAGGTAACTTGATTGTCTATCCGAACATTCATCAATCCCTCCTGTCATCTGTCCTACCTTTCATCACCATCAAAAGGACTCCTGGTCCTTCACTGTGAACAATAATACATTCACATTCCATTCGATCGTCTTTCGCCTTCTTCTACTCACTCACTTCTTTGGTTCGGCTTTACATTTTCTGGCATTCCATCATCCTTCTCGACATTTTCACTGCAAGCAACATATTCAACAATTCATCATCTTCTCGTATTCATTTTATCAACTCGCACATTCACCAACATTCACACACACTAGACAATCTTCATCATGCGTTCCGAAATTCAAGCAGCCATCACCCATCTTTGCACACTTTTATCAACAAAACTTGACGGTGAACAAACACAAACGTTTTGCGTTACATTACATACCCGTCTTGAACAAAGATATTCCTCCAATTGGTTTGTTCATGATGGAGAACGTGGCTCGGCCAATAGAGTCTTGCTTTGGCATGCTCATGGTGGCGGTGAAGGTTTGGATGGTGATATCACATTTGCATTGAGCAAAGCTTCATCTTTGCGTTCTTTTGAGGATGCCTTTACTTCTTCCTTCACCCTTTGGATCGATCCTGGTTGCGTCGCTATCAGACTTGGCCAAGGTCCAGGAACATTTGTTGGAGCAAATCATGTTCCATCATCAAGCTCGGTCAAGACACTTTATGGTACATTGCCAACAAGTGCTTTGCCAACAATTCAAGCCATGACACCTGCACCACCAAAGTTGGCACTCTTACCTTCTACACCTGCTTTGGATACCAACGAAGCCGACACAACGGCCACCTTCGAAAATCAACGAACGTCCAAGCTTTCATTAACAAACAGTTTACTTCACTACCGTCAACCTTCATGGTCATCCGCCAGTCATAGTGAACATTTGCTTGACGGTCATCGTACTGCAAGTAGCGGAAGCGAAGGTGAAGGTAGCGAAGCATGCCCAAGCTTGGTCGCTGCTTCTTCTACGCGCGGCGATAGTGATAGCGAATTGTTTGACGAAGGTGATGAAGATGACGATACCGATAGCGAATTATCAATTCAAGATATGATTGACCGTGGAGGATTCAAAAACTTCGACATCATTGACGATGATGAAGATGAAGAAGTTGGAGATGAAACTGTTCAACATATCACCGTGACAAAGAATGCCACCTCAAACAAAAGCCCCACTAAAGCCATCAGTGTAACAAGTTATGATGGCGGCAATGTTGGCGTCTTGGGTGGTGGAGTCCGATTGGGAGCCAGCAAACCATCCGCACCTTTACAACATAAGACCAGCACACAAGCTTTACGTGCAAAGCAAGCAGCTGCACCTGTTTGGCATCCATCTCAACAATTGACAAACAGTCAATCACCAGCACTGTCACCTTCTAACATGCCTCACGGTAATGCAGCAGCATGGTCACCTTATTCGCCCAATTCGGGTTTGTACAGTCCTTCTATCAACACAAGCGGTTGCCCTTCACCACAATACGTCATCGTTGACGGAGTTGCCGTTCCGATTGCCACGAAACGTGGTCGTGCCCGTGGCAGACGCAGTCGTGGTCGCGGAGCAGGAAGAGCTGCTCGTCGTCAAGCAGCAGCAGCCGCAATGAAATCCCAAGAAGAATTGTATGGTTGGAGTCCATTAGATGAAGAATCTTCTGCTTCTTCTGCTTTAGGGATCACTTTGAACCCAAGCACAAGCGTACCTGATCTTGAGTCAGAAGAACGTTTGATGGCAATGGTTCGTCAACGTGCGGATCAAGTAGCCAAAGATTTGGTTCGTCGTCATTTAGAACAACAAAAGCAACAGCAGCAACAACAACATTATACCCCACGTCAATCAGCCACTCCCACTTTGACTGCAAATCAACAACCTTATTATCATCATCATCAACCACAAGCATTTTTACCTGCACACATGATGTCGCATATGCAACCTCAACGTCATCAAATGACAAACTATTCACCAGTCTCTCACAACGCTCAGTGGATTCACTGATATACCCTACAACAAACACACTTTCTTTACTTTTTGGCTTCCTTTCTCAAAACTTCTCATATAACTCTTTTTTATCATCATGTCAATCGAGCATGCGTGCAGCGCCAAGGAGCAGACTCTCTATTCCCTACATCATTCTTATTGTAGAGCTCCCTCGGTCGCGCCGCCCCCTTTGTGCATGGTATTTAATACACATATTATATTCAAACATTGTTTCTGATCTATAAAGTTTATTGAGTGGTGGTGTCTTTTTCCTCCTTTTCATCTGCTTTTTCAGATGTTTCATTGTTTGGTGGTGTTGTAGATTGAGCTTTGTTAGATTTGCTTCCTTCTACTTCATCCACATATTCTTGTAGAATTTCCTTCTGTCGCTTTGTGAGCGAACGTGGAATTGTGACTTCAAATTGTACCAGCAAGTCTCCCTTGTCGCCTCTTCTCATCAGGCTTGGCACACCTCTGCCTCGCAACAACATCTCGTCGCCTACTTGAGTTCCTGCTGGCACTCGAACGTCTACATCTCCGTCCAAGGTTGGAACTCTAGCCTTTCCTCCAAGAATGGCGGTATGGAAAGGAATAGTGGCAGGGTAGTAGAGATTGCTGCCTTGTCTACGCCAAATCTTACTGTTGCGAACGCCGATGCGTACATAAAGTGATCCAGCGGGACCTGCTCCTTGCAAGGGTACGTCACCTTGACCATCCATTCGAATCTTTGCGCCATCGTCAACACCTGGTGGTACCTTGACATCGATTGTCTTTCGTGATCTAACTCTGCCCACACCTTCACATGTGCCACATTCATCACCGGCTGCTACCGTTTGACCTGCTCCGCTACAGGCTGGACATGTGCTGGCCATCTGAAATCCGCTTTGAATAACAAACGTCCGCGTACCTGTTCCATTACAGACGGTACATGTACTCTTTTTTGCTCCCTTCTTCAGCCCTGCACCTTCACAGGTGTTACATCTCTCAACAGGAGCAATCGTGACATTCTTTGTCGTTCCCCTACAAGCTTCCTCAAAGGTGATATTTAGTGTAGTTTCCAAATCCTCTCCTCGCGATTCTCCAGCAAATCCTGGACCAGAATTCCTAGATCGACCTCCTCCAAAAGCGCCAAATAATCCTTCAAAGAAATCTCCTGCATCTTGAGCATTACCAGAGAATCCTTGAAAACCACCAGCACCTCCTCCAAAACCACCAAAGCCGCCACTGAAAGGATCAAATCCTGCCGCACCACCACCACCTCCGCCGAACGGATTAAATCCACCTGCCGAATCATCCGTTGTGCCAAATCTATCAAAAGTGGCTTTCTTCTTTTCATCGCTTAGGATATCGTATGCTGCCTGGATTTCAACAAATCGTTCTTTTGCCCCTTTCTCCTTACTCGTGTCCGGGTGAAATTTCTTTGCTAAATCGTAATAGGCACCTTTGATATCTTTTGCCGATGCGTCCCTCTTGACGCCTAGAGTAGCATAAGGATCTTTTACTGATGCTTCATTCCTTGCAGTAGAATGAAAGGATCGAGCGAAAGAAAGTGTTGGTCTGGATTGTTTACGTCTTGCGGAAGGTGTGGAGGAAGAAGTCGAAGCAGTAGTGAACGAACGACGATGTTGAGTGGCGAGGTTTAGGTTTGATGAACTTGCGATCTTGTTTGGTGCACTTCGTATCCGAGTTAGAGGGTTATGCGATTGTCTTGAAGTTGAATTTTGATCATTACTCCTTTGATGAAATTGTCGTATAGGATGACTTATTGCATTTGCGATTGTAGCAGAACTGGCCGCCACAGCAGTCGGTATAGCTGCCGCTGAAGAAGCCGCCCTGACAAGCACCATGTCTATGTCAATATAGTATCGTGGTTGGGAAATGGATGGTGATGTCAAGATTTACAATTTTTCTCCGGGTAAAAGCATTCGTAAGAATAGGCGGAAATAAGAATTATTATCCCTTAAGCCGAGTGTATTGATTTGCAATACAAAAAAATTCCAATGCTTCCAATAAGGTTCCAGAAAGAGCTAGATTACGCGCCTTAAGTGAAAAGCTTAAAAAAAATCATAAGGACACGTGATAAATTGTATTCAATTCTGTTCTTTGACTTATGCTCTTTATTCGATTAATGCATAAAATAATGCACAGACCTACACTAATGGATTTCGTGGGGTGACTTACGAAGATCAACAATCCTGATTACCATCACAAGCCTGGCAAGATGGCTTCCACTTCTACAGCTGGATCGCAAGGTCTAAAGGTGCTAGAAGCATCTCCGGTAGTATTGGACGATGCCAATGATGCAGCCGTTGGAATCACGATTCGATTACATCCATTGCCCATCATAAATATGTCAGAGCATATGGTCAGATCGTCTGTTCAACCGATAGGAGGAAAGAGTAATCGAATTGCAGGAGCACTACTGGGAAATCATCTAGGACGAGAAGTGGAAATTCATACCACTTTTGAACTTTTGGTAGGAGAAGAAGATCGAATAGATCAAGAATACTTACGTGCAAGACAGGCTCAATTCAAACAGGTATTCCCTACTTTTGATCTGTTGGGATGGTATTCCAGTGGATCGATTCCATTGCCACAGGATATGAGCATTCATAGACAACTGCTAGAGTACAATGAATCACCACTATTCTTGCAACTGTCTCCTTCACAAAATGCAATCGGTCAAGCACGTTCAAAGGGGGAGTTGCCAATTGGCATTTATGAGACATTCGTTGACGTTTCACACTCTGTTCGACCGGATCAAGGTGAAGGAGCTGGTTTGGAAAAAGGTCCAGATATGTATTTCAGACCTGCAAATTATCAAATCGAGACAGGAGAAGCAGAGCGAATTGCAGTTGATCATACAAGTAAACCTCCCGTCGATGATGGAGATGGACAGAGTAGCTTGATTGCCAATTTGACAACACAACAAAATGCGATCAAAATGCTTTTGGATCGCATTCAATCCATCGTTTCTTACGTGGATGACGTTCAAGCAAAAAAGCTTCCAAACGATCATGAAAGCTTACGTCAAATTGCCAGCTTGGTGGCCGGTATTCCTGCAAGCGGAAATTTACCAGAATTCAAACAAGAATTTTTGACGGAATACAATGATCTTTTGTTGACTACTTATCTTTCAGATATGACAAATGGTATAAGCACTATGAACGAATTGGTTGACAAATTCGATTTCACTCAAGTTGGAAATGATGACGGTCTTGGTGGAATTGCAAGACCATCTACTTCACGTTTTCGATCAGGTAGAGGCGCACACCGAATGGGACGCAATGCCAAAATGAATCAGTAGACATACACACGCTAGCATCAATTCAAACTGTATATTACTCAATTTTTGATTACCAATCAGACAAACTCACAAACAGCAACAGGATATTGATTGATAAACATAATAAATGCATCAAAGGGCAAACACAAAGAGCAAAACAGTCGAAAGAACAAAAGTGCTTTGAACGAAATTCGATCGAACATCAGAGGCAGCATTGATGCTTTGATACGAATTTGAACGATCATTGCTTAACATTGAGCTGAACTTGTTCGCTAGAGATTGTTGAGCATTCATTGTGTTGGTAGCAGAAGCAGATTTTGTGATCAGAGAAGCTTGTGCGGTAGAGGAAGGTGTGGCTGTGGGCGTATTGTTCAATACGAGTGCACCTTCACCCCATGGAATTGCCGGTGATCCACCTTGTGGTTGATTTGCGTTTGGAGGTGGAGTGACATTTCCTGCTTGATCAGCAATGGCAAATCTTGTTGTCCAAGTAGGATCTTTTCCGCCATCATGTGAATACTGTAAAAAGTAAATTGCCGAATTAGGTGTAACTTGTGGACAAGTATAATTGAACGAAGTCAAATTAGGATTTGTACCGTCGATATTACTCGTCACCGTTCCCAATTTTGTCATTTGTAAGTTTGATCCCGTCATCAGATCGATCGTCATGTTTTTCCATGTCGTTGCACCACTCTTGTCTGGAATCCATGATGCACGACATGCACCACCTTCAATAAAGACGTCTGTAGCTGAACCTAGAGGTGAGACAGTTGTGGATTGTGGTATGGGTGCAGATGTCGATGTTGATGTTGAAGCCGAGGCTGAGACTGAACTTGAAGCTGAAGTTACGGATGCTGAAGTGCTTTCATCGGGTCTGTTGAAATATAGTGCAGAAGCTTGAGAAGCAATGCAGAATAGAAGGGCTAATCGGGCAGTGAGATGAACCATATCGAAATCTGAAACACAAAGAACAAAAGAATGACCAAGAAAAAGAATGAAAAGAACCGATTGATAGTATTCGACACCTGGTCGAATGAATAAAACGAATGTAGAAGAAGTGATAAAAAAACGAATGTGAATCGCGATCACGATCAACGTGGACGAAAAGATAAATGAGAGTGAGGGCAGAGGTGGTGGTAACAAAAAGAAAGAATGAAAATTAAACGCAATACATAACCCAAAAGAGATATCAGGAACAGCTACTGAATTATATCATTATTTGTTGATTGAGGATGAAGCATGTATTCCAAAAAGGGAAGGTAGATTGTATTCAGTAAAAGGACTGCTTTTATGCAGGAACGCGGACTTCCATTTAATTTTCCGTCATTTAGGCTTTGGCTTACACGCGCTGCACACACACACACACTCGCACTCGCACGCATAAAGATGTGACTTTAATGAAAATTTAACCGCACATAAGGGTAAAGAGTGGTACCTGTTTATGAGTAAAGTGTATGTCCATTGCGATCACTCGTTGGGTCATGGCGATCGAGCCATCACCATGAGCGGATAAAGTCGGATATTAAGAAATCGGATCGACGACTTAATGTGAAAACGCTTACACTACGATTGTACCTAACCATGAATAAGGTTTGCTATCCGATCCCGTAAGGTGTTTGTTCGCACCTTCACGGTCCGATAGAGCGGGGAAACAAATAAGAACTCGATCGTCAATGCGTCTTAAGTTTTGCTAGAGCAAGAGTCACTCAATCGGATGCTGTGATTTCGTGCAGCTTTAACCTTGACTCCCTCTTACTTACAAAAGTCTTGGCAGAATATGTTACCATAACGCAATCTTTGCTGCTTAGCATTGCCATCATGTCTTCTTCAATCTTCCATCGTATCTTCTTTCCACGACTCAGTTCAATCTCGCAAACAAGCACTTACAAGACAAGATGTCTATCTTTATTGCACGTATTTTCAAGAAGATCTTTAAATGTAACAACAACAAATCAAGCAATTCAATCGCCTCCTTTGGAAATACCAGAACATCCGAAAGCGATTTCGCATTCGAATGGGACGAGCGTTCTTTCCAATGCCACAGCCAAATTCGTGTACCAGAGATCACCCTGGAACGCATACCAAATAGTTGGCCCATAGGCCCAAGTCCATTGCCACTGTGGCAACAAGAGAATGGAAGCTTGAATGGGTTCCAGAGTCAATCTTATCAACCTGAATTCAGATATGGCACCGCAAAGTAGTTTCAGCTGTGAGTATGCGGTGTGTCGAATGAGTTGGATGCAATCTTCTGACAAATCTGCCATTACCCATGCATCCTGAACAGATGAAGACGGCTTCCTTCTCCCAAAACTACGATGAACCAGATAATTTAATTATAACTCACAGTCTATCTATCCCTCTTCATCGTGATAATTTCGTATCTCCCAGTGTCAAATGTAATCGTCCTTTCCTCACACTTGACTGCAAAAGTACACAATTAATAAGCAGGCTGTCCTTTACCTGTACACTCAACGCATTCATTGAGGATGCAGATCTGTAAAATTAAGTATGCTCACGTAAATATACATTATACACCTACAATCAACTCGATCGAACGAATTTGGCAGCAATGCCATTCTTGGATGGCGCAGGCCCTCCTCTTCCGGCATCACCCCTTCTTAGAGTGGACATTGTCTTTCTCTTTTTTGATGCATTGTTGTCCTTTCCCGCTGATTTCTTTCCGATTGCAGACAAGCCAAGGTGTGCCATCTCTCCACCCTTCTCGAATGCTGGATCTTCTAGTCCAAGAGGATCTTCAGCTGATTTTTTCTTTTTGGATTTGCCTTTTTGATCGTCAGACTTGGGTTTCAGTGCACGTGAAGTAGACGGTAGGGAATCTTGAGTGCCATTCAAGCCTAGTCTGTCTTTTTTGAACTTTCTCGCTTTGGCAGTGGGCAAACTTTGTGATGAATCCACAGCTTCTGGTCTCCTGACAATATCTTCAATTCTTTCAATTGAGGGATCATCGAATTTTCTCTTTTCTAGTACTCGAACTGTTGTACGTCCATCGTTTAGCCTTCTGATCGATTGTCCGTCTTTATCCTTCACTATTCCGCCTTTCCTTTTTGCTTTTTGACGAGCTTGTTCTTTTGTTTGTCCTTCTTCATCATTGGTAGACGTAGAGGTTGAGTCTGCAAATGCTGGCTTGGAGAACGAAGCAGCAAAGAGAGCTGGATCAAGCCTTTGAGTGGATGATGCACTTCCTTCAGCGTTGGTTGATTCCCTTTCTTTGGCTCTAGTCATATTTGATCCTCTGTTGTGTTCGTTTGGAATGGTATTGTAATGTAAGAAAATACCTTGTTGAAATTTTTAGTCTGCCTTTTGCCAAAAATTCCTTCTCGGCGCTTTTTTCGTTAAGCAGACAGCCGAAACGCGCTTTCTTTGGTTGTAGTACACGCTTTAGATTAACGCGTTTATGTAACACTTCTAATCAAATCAAGTGTTGCATTCCACTTCTACTTCTTCTCGATCCTACACTCCACCCTTGATTGAATTCGTATGTCATTTGCGAGGTTGTTCCGTACATCTGTCATCCATCCTCATCGATTTCAGACTTCACTCACTACTCGCTATCTCGCATTACGACCATCGCCTCTTGTGATCATGGCACCAAAACGTACACGTAATGAAGTCACTTCTACTGCTGACGCAAAGGAGGACAAAAGCCAACGTTCAACAAGGAGAAAGACATCAGAGAATGGAACAGCAAAAGAACAAAGTGCAAGTCCGGCAAAGAAGAGCAAGCAAAGCGCTACTACCGAAGATACACCCAAGAAAGGAAAGAAGGCAGAAGTAGAAAAGAGTCCAAAGAAAGGCAAGAAAGAAACAGTAGTCGATGAAGGCGAAGAACAGAATGGCGAAGTTGAATCACTCTCAGCACCTGAACCACGCAGCAAGACAAACTACGAAGCTGCTGAAGGACTGCCACGAAATCTAACTATTCCAGATCCATTGGAATTATCACCCAAACCAGAAGGTAGTTCAAGAATTGCAAGTTGGAATATTATCAGCTTGAAAAGTTCAATGGGCAAAGGGTTGATTCGTTATATCGCAGCAGAAGATGCAGATGTTGTATTTCTGAGCGAAACAAAATGTAACGATGTTCCGATGATACTCAAAGAAAAATATCCACATCAAACATGGGGAATAGGAAAGACGAAAGGATATGCAGGTGTTGCACTTTTATCTAAATCAAAGCCTATCAAAGTTACAAGCGGATTGCCTGGAGGTGATCAAGATACAAAAGCACGTTTGATCACTGCAGAATTTGAAAATCATTTCATTTGTGGTACGTATGTGGTAAATGCAGGTGAAAAGTTAAAATCTATGCCTGCAAAAGTTCATTGGAACGAAAGATTTGCTGCTCATTTGGCCGAATGCGATAAAAGCAAGCCAACGATTTGGACAGGTGATCTAAACGTCGTCTTGGACGCTCGTGATTTGAGTAAAGCAAGTGAAAAGTGGAACAAAGTTGCAGGTTATACGGCAACAGAGTGTAATCATCATCGTCAAGTATTAGCAGGTACGGCTGTAGAAGGAGCTAAACCTTATGTGGACATTTGGCGTGAGCGAAATCCGGATGCTATTGGTCATTTTACCTACTTCGGCTTCAGGGGTCAATGCAGACAGAAAGGAATCGGATGGAGATTAGATAGCTTCATCATTCCGGAGCGCATTAAAGATTCAGTTCTTGATGTAGGAATTCGACATACCGTATACGGAGCCAGCGATCATTTGCCAATCTACATGGACATCAAAGGCGCTCTCTGACTTTAGCAAATGCAAAAACGACAACTTGTACTATAGACGCAAATAAAACATGTTAAAATTATATATATTCTCCTCTACAATGAAGCTTCGGGAAACCCAACAAGTCGTCTAGATGCTGCTAGATGAAATGAAGAACCATTTGCTGATGCTTGGGTCAATAGCAGCGGCAGGCTGAGCCTTAGCAGCTGGGATGCTGGATTCTTGTACGGCACCGAAAGCTTTTGATCCTTGAACGGTGGTGTTAGCGATATTAACATCTCCTGCATCAGCTTGACCGCTAACGAGACGTTTCCATGCTTCGTTGCATTCGTGAATGACTTCTGTGGCGTATTTCTTGTTCTTTGCCTCACCGCTAAAAGCGAATTGGTTCTCTGGCTTACCATCTGGGATTTTGTAGATACGGAACCATTCATTGGTTGCACGAACAAGGCCAGGCAAGTGACGTTCGACATCTTCGATATCGTTCAATTTGTGAGCCAAAGGATCGTTAATGTCAACGACGATCACTTTCCAGTCAGTTTCACCTTCGTCCAACAAAGCCATCACACCCAAAACTTTGACTTGTTTGATTTGACCGGTGTAACCAACTTGTTCACCAATTTCGCAAACGTCCAAAGGGTCATTGTCACCCTTTGCTTTTGTGTCAGGATGAGTGGCAGAAGGGTCTTCCCATGTTTGTGGGAAAGCACCATAGTTCCAAATGTAACCATGGTGAGGGAAACAGTTACGAACGAAACGCAATTTGCCCTTCTTTGTATCTTGTTTGATTGGGTTCAATGGATCTTCTTTTGAAATTTCACATTTTGCATTTGTCCAACGAGGAATTTCGACAACCATGTTCAAGATTGTCTTTGATTCATCGGCAAACAATGGAATATCGTGCCATGATGAAACAGGTTGACCTGCTTTGTTTTCTAACCAAACACGCCAATCCAAAGTGTTGGCAGCGCCTACTTGACGAGGACGGAATTCGTTGGCCATATTGGAAGAAGAAGCAACTGAACTAATAGAAGATGAAAGATGTCGTGCGTGTTGTGATAGTCTGCGTATAGGTGTGCTACTCATACGCAATTGAGAGGATACTCTAAATAGCATACGATGGTGGTGAATACGGTAAAGCCGTACAAATGAAAGCGAGAAGATCTGACTCTCTCTTGACATATGAAATCTATGAGTGACTGCAAAAGTGCCTCCGTTCTCGCTCTGTTCTCTCGCACAGACTTATGCTCCGCTTAAAGCACGCGATTTTTGCAACTCAACTGCCCTTCTGCATCCTTCCTTGCGAAATCTCCCGCGCTACAAGAGAGAGAGAGCATCCTTGGTGGCAAGCAGTCACGTGTACTTTCATGGTGAGCAACTTATTCAACAGAGTCATCATTCAGTTTATGATCATTATAAATTCATTCAAATGATTATGATCTCGAAATCAATACATATACAGAAAGTAGCATTTAAAGAACTTGCGATTGTTTCTTGGTACCAAGTTTGAGAATATGACTTAAACCAATAGCGCTACGGTTGGTATCACGACCAGTTTGAGGTTGCCATTTACCTGAGTTCCAAGGCTTCAACTTCTTGTCTTCGTACATTTCATTAACTTGTTCCAATGATAATCCTTTCAATTCAGGAACGACAAGGTAAGAGAAGATTGCTGCGAAGACTAAAACGCTTCCAAAGATTAACATGATGAACGTACCATACTTGTCGGAAATCTTGTTGGAGAAGAAAGACAATAAGAAATTCCAAATCCAATTTGTTGCACTGCACAAAGAGATTGCCTTTGCACGCAAATGTTGAGGGAAATTTTCACTGCAGAAGATCCATGGTGTTGGACCCCAGAACATACTATAAAAGGCCAAATGCAAGACTGCGAATGCGATAAATGCGTTTGCGCTTGACTTTTGTGAAGGAGTTGTAGCCTTTGCATTCTTTCCGTGGGGAAGACCATAATGTCCGACGAAAGCAACTGTGAATGCACAAATTGCTTGGAGAATAGCACCCCAAACCAATGATTTACGACGACCAACCTTTTCGATCATCAAGAGTGCAGGAACGGTACAAATCAATGAAACAACACCAAAGATCAATTGGATCAATAATGGTTCAAGAGGAACATTTGCTTGAGTGAAAAGGGTAGGACCGTAAAGGTAGTAGAAATTTTGACCACAAAGTTGTTGTAAAAGTTGAAGCATGCATCCTGTCAATGTTCTACGCCACATTTGTTGTTCAGTGGAGAAGCATAATTTGTAACCAGTGAGGTAATTGTATCCTTCAAACGTACGTGCTTCTTCACGAATACCTTCCAACATTTCTTCAACATCTTCTTCCATCAATTGACGTGCAGCAGGAGCAGCATCTCCTCCTTCTAATGGAAGACCACGCATCCTTGCCATAACCTTTCTTGCTTCTGGAGCGCGTTCTTTTTGCAATAACCAACGAGGACTTTCAGGCAAGGCCAACATGATGACGATCAAAACTAAACCCCAAAGAAGTTGCAATGCGACAGGAATACGCCAACAAGCTGAAGATGTTTTGATTGTGTATGTTCCGTAAAGAATGCAGTAAGAAACGCAAATACCGGCGATGATGAATAATTGATAACATGAAACCATTGCACCACGAATTGCTTTTGGAGCTGTTTCTGCCAAATAAAGAGGAGCCAAACCACTCAAAGCACCAACACCCAAACCTGCGATCGTACGACCTGCGACGATTTGACCTACATTGGCAGCGGTATTTGCACTTTCACCTGAAGTAGTTTGAATAATAGCACCAATCGAGAATGTGATTGCCCAAACCAACATACTTTTACGACGACCCATAAAATCCGAAATAGGGGCTTGAGCTAAAGCACCAAAAAAAGTACCTGCACTCAAAAGAGCAGTGATCAATGATTGACGATTAGCTGATAAAAGGTATCCTTCTGAATCTGCGAGCATAGCTGTAGGATCATAAACACCCATCACACGAATAAAAGGTTCCATGATCAAACAACCAGAGATAACACCCAAATCGTATCCGAACAAGAAACCACCAACACAAATACCAACACCCAAGAGCATGGCAGGTAAAGTGATTTGAGCGTGTGAATGCACTTGCATATCATCTTGCGAATATGTTACTTTGTTGTATTCTTGCTTGCGTTCGACATCGCTTGTGTGGGTATCCAAATGACCAAAAGTGTCAGGCTTTTTCTCCTCAACGGAGGGAGTGGACGACATCTTTGACGATACTCTCGAAGGGGAGATGTAGTTGATAGGAGGAGGATATATGCACCCCGACTATCGAAAAGAGGATGAGGGAGAAGGGGGCGACAAGGACGAAGAATGATAGGGTATTATATATAGTTGTACAACCTTTGTATTCGGCAAGAAATGATCACACAGGATCAGTGCCTGCCCCAGATTGTATCGTGCGGGGAGATGAGGAGGAGGTGGATGGGGTTACAGTAGCATAGTGGGGAAGATGACGGAGAAGTGCTCATAAGCGAAGTATCTGCAAAAGGTTGAAGAAAAAACAAAAGATTACCGAAGACAATAATGTTCATCAACATCCTTTGTGCATTAATGTGTGTATGCGTTTGGTACCTGAGACTTGGTAACGATTTGTTTTATCGTACGTTGTCATCGTTGTTAACCGTTGTTCCGCGGAAAGGCAGAGAAAGAAGAATAAAAAGATTTAATTAAACACACTTTACCACTATAACATGAGATTACCGGATTTTTAAAGAAAAGACGGCATCTTATTAGCCTGTCAAGCAGAATCGCAGCTCCACAAGATGCATCAAAGTTGACAGGTAATACGCGCAGGTAATGAATATTATGCAGGTAGCATACGGTGAGCAGATAAAAAAGCGGACTATGCGGGGGGCATTTGAGCAAGAAGACGGGAATTTAGGCAGATCTTTTCGACCGGCAATTTAGTAGATGCGCCCTACGCGTCAAGCCGATCTACGATTCCAATAGTACACCACTGTAAGGTTAATTCGGCTTTCTGTTCTTAGCCTTTTGTGCTGAGCTTTAAAACAAAGATTACCGAAACCCTGTACCATTCTCGGTAATCTTTTGATCGCGTTGAATGATAGTATGAGCAATACAGAGAGCATCACCATCGAGATCGTATCACTAAGCATCTCTGCTCTCTTTTAAGGTACGGCTATTGAAATGCAGGTCCATACCATAATTATACGCCACATACCTTAGATCATGGCCCCGCTCGGCTTCTGTGGTATATGCCAAGCCGGCCTGATTTGAGATAGCAATTCCCTACCTTTCTCGGGGATTTTGGCCATGAACTCCAGGAGCGAGATAGAGGACGACCACTGATAAGAATCTATGTAAGATAAATGATTCCAATTATAGATTTCCGATTAAAATGATCATCATATCTACCCCGCGCTTACTAAGCAAGATTAAGGAGAAGAAGCGGCTTTTCTTCCGTACATGCATGCCTTTTGCTGAATGAGTTCACGCGACATACTTCCTAACATCATCATTCCATCAAGATGCCAGTCAACGTACGTTCGAATATTGCAGCGATCAATGAGATCAATGGAATGGCACCTATACCTGGCTTAGGTGATGGGCTGTCAGACATATACGATCCCAATGAATATATTGCAAGAAGGAGAGGATTGATCGCTCATGAAAAACAAAAGAGATTCGATGCAGAAAAGCGGACTAAACGAACAGAGACAGAACGTAAAGCGGATGACTATGTCAAACAACTAAGAAAAGAAGAGATTGAAAAGGTGTACAATAATCCAAATGATTTAGGTATGATGAAAGGAAGTAGTTGGGCCCTATCAAAGAGTAGAGGTGTTCAGAATGGATCGCTTTACAAATTAATCAGCAAGATGCCAAAAGGTGCTGTTTTGCATTGTCATATGGACGGAACGATTGATGTGGAATGGTTGATCAAGAGGACTTACGAACAGGAAGATCTCTTTATAATTTCTGATGTGCCGCTAACAGAGCATAGCACACTATATACTGCAAATGTGCGGATACGACAATTGCCCAAACAAGCGGGCACAACGGAAGACGAGGGAAATGCAAGGGCTAATAAAGAGGCTGATAATATCTTCTCTGCCGGCTATCAGCCAAATACATGGGTCCGACTGTCAAATGCACGCCAGGCTTTCCCATTTCCAAACGTTTACAGCACACCGGTTCCAGGCTACGAATCTCATCTGAAAGATTTTGCACAAAGTTCCGATCCATCAAAGCCAGCAAATTGGGTTGCATTTGATGCATACCTTTTTTCCAAGATGACATTTGCTCCGGTGCCAACTGATATCCTCCCTTCAATATATAATTCTCGACAAGCATGGGATTATTTTATCAAAACGTTCTCCTTTTTGAATGCATTGCAAACGAAAGAGACCCGAACGGAAATGTACAAGAGAAGCTTTCGTCATTCGATCCAGGATAAAATTTCCTACGTAGAAGCAAGGGTAAACTTTTTCGATGAAACACTTTTGGACGGAGAAGGAAAGAGTACTGTTACACATGCAGATATGTTGAACGAATTCAAATCTGCTCTTGAAGCTGTTCAAGCAGATTTACCACAAGGTAGATCATTCGATGCAAAAGTGATTTATAGCACGTTACGATTCATTGATGCAGAACAACTTCAATGGTACATCGATGATGCTATCAAGCTGAAACAAGAATTTCCCAATCTTTTGGTAGGATTTGATTTGGTAGGATATGAGGATAGTGGTAAGGCTCTTTTCGATTATTTACCACAACTACTAGGGATGCGAAAACGGTTGGCAGAGCTACAGATCGATTTACCTTTCTGCTTCCATGCAGGCGAGACTCTCGGGGATGGTGACGCAGTGGATAGTAATCTATATGATGCTTTACTGTTGGGATCAAAAAGAATCGGACATGGTTTTAGCATCAGTCGACATCCCACTTTGGTTGAAGCAGTACGTCAAAAAGGCGTTTGTATTGAATCATGCCCGATCTCTAATCAAGTTTTACGTTACACTGATACCCAAGGCGTTCATCCAGTCTTGACTTTATTGGCTTATGGTTGTCCTGTTGCTCTGAGTCATGATGACCCATCGCAATTCCTCAACCTTGGTCTCTCACCTGATTTTTATTCTATCTTGATCGCATCGGATCACTTTGATCTTACAAGTCTAGGCGTTTTGGCACGAAACAGTCTTCAACATTCTCTCACACCGGACCCACAACAGAAACAAGCACTAATTGACGACTGGGATCGTCAATGGACGTTGTACATAGATGAAATTGCTTCAAATATTTAATAATGCATGTGTATTTCAGTTTCATTCATTTTGAATCATTCGACTGATCTTCCGTTGAGAGTTTCTCTTTGGATTCCGCATTTCTCTCAGAAGATTGTTCTATCGGAGCCTCGGCTACCGACACATCCTTCTTGGGCGTTTGCATGTCTTCCTCCTGCTTTTCCTCTGGCTTTTCATCCTCATGTTCGAGCTCTTCTTTTTCCTCTCCTTGCTCAGCAATGACAACTTGGTCATCGCTCTTTTCTGGATCAAGCGCCTGGTCTGCAATCTTTTGCTCAGTATTTTGGCTTTCTTTTGACTCTTCATCCGCCTCCTCTTTTGCAAATTGCTCAGCTTTTTTCTCTTCCTTCTCCTCTGCATGCTCTTTGTGCTCGTCTACACGCTCTTGTGCTTGTTCCCTCTCTTCCTCCAGCTTCTCTTCTCCCTCCTTCTCTGCTTCACGCTTCTCCTCCTCTGCTTCATGCTTTTCCTCCTCTGCTTCATGCTTCTCCTCCTCTGCTTCATGCTTCTCCTCCTCTGCCTCACGCTTCTCCTCTTCTGCTTCATGCTTCTCCTCCTCTGCCTCATGCTTCTCCTCTTCTGCTTCATGCTTCTCCTCTTCTGCTTCCCGCTTTTCTTTCTCTCGCTGCTCTTTCTCCAATTGTTCTTTACGTTCTCTTTCCAACTTCTTTCGAGCAAAGAGGGATAATTTAGGTTGAGGCGAGCTAGTCGTCACTTCTGCATCTTCACTTTTGCCCAATTCAACGGAATTTTTCGTATCTGTTGACTTTCGAACTTCTTCTCCTGCAGCAGCTTGCGGTGCGGCAGAGGCTTGATCAGCAGGGCTGAGCGGTAATTCTTTCTCTGCTTTTTCGACTACTGGTGATTGTTGCTGCTGCTGTTGTTGTTGTCGTTCTTGCTGCTTGCGTGCGAATAAGGATAGTCGAGGAGTATAAGAAGTGGGCATGATGGATGATCGAGTAGGAGGAGATGTAGTGGAAGACTCTTCTAGAGATACCTTTGCTGCTGTCGTAGGCGCTGGAGGTTCTGGCGCTTTGCTGACTTCTTCAATGGCTTCGTCAATATCTTTGACGATCCAATCAACGTGCTTAAGCGTTCCAAACTTTTCATTGAAATGATCCCTCACAGCTTTAACCCGTTTGGTACTATTCTCATCATGCGTTTCAATCTTGCGAAACTCTGCAGCTATCCTTTTATCAATAGAAACAAGTACTTGTCCAATCACAGCTTCTACAACACTTGGTTGAAGGTATTTGCACAACACTTTGTGTAAGGTTGTCGTCTCCTTGACCAAATCCATCATTGGCTTGACAGCACCTACGGGACCATCGCCTTCTATTGAAGCTGCCCATTCAATGCTCGACAGGGATCTGCAATGTACAGTCAATCTATCGCTCATAATGGCGACCAATTTCGAATGAATCTCAAATTGATGTTCTTGATAATCCCTTTTGAGCTTATCGAATTCAACCAACATGACTGCTTGTCGAGCATTCAAGTGTCTGCGTACCGCTTCACGAATGTAGGGAATGAGCAAAATCATAATCGAAAGAGATTGAGAGGCAAGAGCAAGGTGCTTTGCAGTGATGTTCTTCAATCCAGCAGATCGCATAGCACCTGCACCGAGAACGACTTGACAAGTACGTGAGTTGAATTGTTTCAAAAATTCCACAACACGACCCATGATCTCCGTACTGAGTAAAGGCAAATTAATGATCACTTGCAGATACTCTACCAACATGTCAAGAACATCCAAGCTTGCAGATACAACAAAGAATTGCTTATCTTCAATCGTTACCGATTTCATCTTTGGTTCGCTATCCTTGTTTTCGCCACTTTCCTTTTCAGCTGATGCCTCGCCTTGAATCGATTCCTTACCTACAACGAAGCTTGGTGGATCGGATGTTGCACTTTCAATGACCAACGTGATCTCACTTTGTTGTCTGGGCAGTACGTCTGCCTGTCCCCATTGCTCTTCTTCGACAGCTTTTGCCGCCTTTTCAATACGTACTTTGTGAAAGTTACCAAGCCACGCTTTTGCTTGATTCAACACAACTCCTCGTAAACCGACAATCATTCTTCCACAAATACCTTCAGATTCCAAGATGAACGTCCAAGCAAGATGGAAAACGCCAAGGAATTGCCGCAAGGGCAAGACGGTATGAGTCAATGATCGCAGCGATAAGAAACGTGAAGCAAGAATGTGGGTAGCAGAGCATGCTTCTGTGATGATACCCGTCAAAGTATTTGGCAACGAAGGAGACACTCCGTTCGGCATCACAATCTCAATTTGTGCTTCTCCGTTTGTACCAGTGCTAGATTCATTGTCCTTTGATCTAGCTTGTTTATCCAATATATGAACTAGCACACGACGCTGTGAATCCACTCCGCTTACAAACGCTGTCAATCCACGCAAAAGAGTACGCAGCAGACCAAGGAATTGGGTATGCTCCATATTTTGTAGCTTCTGTGCTGCCTCCAAGCCACCCGGTCCCAATTTTGCATCCGCTTTACCTTGAGCAGCTTCATCATCTTCGATCAAAGTTGCAAGATGATTGAGCCATTCTGGCTTTTCGTTCGTAGATCCATTCAAGCTAGGTAGCTGAGCATCGCACAAGAAGGTTCGCATGATCTTGCGTGCCTCTCTCAAGATGGCGTCTTTGTATGCTGTCATCAAGCGATCCATGCCACCTGTACGGACCAAGCCACCGATGTGTGCTTCTATGCGTTTAGACAGTGCCTCTTCCTCTTGGGTGAGATTCTTGATAGATGATAGGGTGAGGCTTCCATTTGGCGTGACTTGATTGTTGTCAAAGCCAGCTGGCCCAGGCGATGTAGCAGCTGATGCTGGATTGTTGATGTCTTCCACAGAAGGGTCAATATTGCTCGGCTTAGCAGCAGTATCTTCGACCGGCTTTCCTACGCGATCCGTCAGATCGGTTAACAGGATGTTCAAGAGTTCCACTTCAAGTTGTGAAGAGATGTTGTTTTGCATTTCCTCTAGTTGTGGACCAAGAGCTTGCACAGCGACAACATTTTCGAACTCTATTTCGACATGAGGTGGGATTGCACTGTTATTCTGAGCGCCATCTGTAGGACGTGGTAATAGCTTGGTCTTGCCTTGGATCACATTTTGCAGATCTTGCATAACGTCCAATGCTTCGCTCCATTCGTTATTCTGGACGAGTAATTGACACAAGTCACGTTTCTCACATAGTTGGTTCATGAGTCCGACAGCCTCTAAGCGTTCAACAGTCTCCCTCCGTTTGGCTTGCTCTCGTATCAATGAAAGTCCCGCTTTCGCAATGCCTTCATCTCTATCATCTAATTCTCTTCTGAGCTCTTCAACCTTGTCCAAACAACTTCGAGATTCGGCCTCTAGATCTTTGAGATTCCCTAACGCAGCAAAGAAGGAAGAAGAGCGTGCAGAGATTTCAAGGATCAGATGCTGTTCGACAACATCGCTGTAATATGACAATTTCTCTTGGAGCATTTGATTTAAAGCCACATCGTATCCTGTTGCGATGGAACCATTCCTGCTTGCATTTCCAGATGATGTCGATGAAGCAGCTTTGTAACGTTCTGTGACTAAGTCGAATGTGTACGGATTTCCAAGATCGAACTCTTCCGAGAAGAATACTTGAGGCACCGTGCTTAGAGGAGGAAGGCGCTTCTTACCCAATGCTCTTCTCGACACTTCTTCGTCATCGACAGATTGCCTTCCTTTTGTCGTAGATGGTGCGTCATCGATCACCGAGACGTCTCCTGCATCTCCGTTCCCTTCTTCACCTTCGATTCGTGCTTTACCGCGTATTCCTAATTTTTGATTACGCTGATATCGATCCCATTCAGATTTGAGGCTATTGATCGTACTTTCATAGTCACTTCTTTTGACTTTTGGTATATCGGTATGTGATTGACTGATAGAAGGATACCGCGAAGAAGAAGGGTCGATCGGTCTTGATACTTTGTTTGGATTGTTGAGCAAAGTGGAAATCGCATTAAATCCGACAAGGCTTGATCCGGCTGTATAACCATGATCAGCACCAAGTGCAAGGCTGAGTGAACTCAATCCTGCTCCCTGAAGGTTTCCCAGCTTTCTTGAGGTATTCACTGAATCTCTCCTTCCCGTTGCCGTACTGCTGGTAGATGAATCTGCATCAGACAGAGCTGGGCTTAAGACACGAGAAGGGGATTGTATTGATTCTCTTGTTTCCCCATATTGCCTCGACCTTGACGATCCGTTGGCTTGACTTCCGCCTGCAGAAGAAGAAGTCATTGATGCAAGTGAGATTGATGTTCAATCCTTCTTCATCATCGATCAATGGATACTTTTTGGTTAAAAGACAAGTCTGAATTTGTTCTTTGGCTTTGGTGATGCAGCCGCCCAGTAATGCAGAGTCCAACACTTTCAGTCATTGCACCGTCGCCCTGCCCTGCGCCTTCGTTCGCTGTAGAACCCTCTCGCGCCAATTGGAAAGCCTCTTCATTTGCTTATGCGTGCACAGCGCTGCGCCTAATGATAAGATTTCTGCAGTACGCTATCTTCTCAAAGTCACAAGGACGGAGTAATAAACCGAGCGTGAGTAAAAATAGGAAAGAGTCATTCATATTCCCATTTTACTCTACATTCAAATACACCGATACCTCAAACCTTATCGAATGTCTATCATACAGTAAACGATCCTCACTACGAGGATGTTGATTCAAAGAGCACGTTTAAGTGCAATACGATCTTCATCATCCTCTTTGCAACACTTTTCAACTCATAGCAAAAGACTACAGGCCAAAGTGATCGATTCCACTTTTGGTCAACAAGATGATCAATTCTTTGCTACACACAATGAAGGCCGAAGAAGGGCAAGAGAGGCTCTGCAAGCAATGGACAAGATCCAATCCCCACCTTCTACACCGTTCTTGACTGATAGGTTTACTCGTCAGCATACATATCTACGCATTTCACTTACAGAGAAATGCAACTTTCGATGTCTATACTGTATGCCAGCTGAAGGTGTTCCTCTGACTCCAAAGGCAGAGCTCTTAACAGCCCCAGAATTGGAGAGATTGGCTCAACTATTCGTATCACAAGGGATCAATAAGATTCGATTAACAGGTGGCGAACCTACTGTCCGAAAAGACTTGCCTGAAATTATTGCCGCACTAGCTTCGCAAAGACAGAATGGACTGCGTCAAATCGGAATGACAACAAACGGTCTTACTATTTCAAGACATCTGCCCAGCCTTGTCGCAAATGGTTTGACTCATTTGAACATCTCACTCGATACTCTGGATCCATTCAAGTTTGAATTAATGACTAGAACGGCTGCAAAGGGCATAGAGAGGGTTCTGAATGGGATTGATACTGCCCTGGCGCTTGGAGTGCCTAATGTGAAAATCAATGTAGTAGTCATTCGAGGACTCAATGACGGTAAGGATATCCTGGATTTCGTTGAATGGGCTAAACATCGTGATGTGACTGTTCGGTTCATTGAATATATGCCTTTTGATGGTAACAAATGGAGACCGGAAAAGTTGGTCCCATATTCGCAATTACTGGAAAGTATTACAAACAAATTTGGTCCATTGGAAAAAGTTGGAGATGATGCAAATGATACCAGTAAGCACTGGAAGGTTCCTGGTCATCAATCTCGATTGGGCTTCATCACAAGTATGACTGATCACTTCTGCGGTACATGCAATCGGCTAAGGATAACAGCAGATGGTAATTTGAAGGTGAGTAGATTCTGGAAATACATTTGGCAGAATGTTGATATACTGACTTATTCCTTCCGCTTTCCATGCCAGGTCTGTCTCTTTGGCAATGCTGAAGTTTCGTTGAGAGATGCAATGAGGGAAGGACTTCCAGGTTTTGCTGAAGGGCCTGCAGATGATAACCAATTGCTGAACATAATTGGCGCCGCAGTCAAGCGTAAGCATGCAAAACATGCAGGAATGGCAGATCCAGTCGAATTGGCGCAGGGTAAGAATCGAGCAATGATTCAAATTGGCGGCTGAAAGAAGGTCAGATGCTTCAGGGTATGTGTTGACAGCCCTAATTGTGTAAGCACTTCTTTCATGCGAATGCTCAATCAGGTGCAAATGGACAATTTCTGACAAACATTTCTGTCTATTGTCCTCCTTTTTGCACTTCACAGGTCGCAGACGACACCAAAGGATATCCTCGATACCAATGCACCTTTTAAGTCTCAAACCTTCTCCGTTAGGAAACGTGCGGATGTACTCTTCCATGCCTCAACGTGGGCCATGGGATGATTTGGATGACGCTTTTGATACAGCCGGATCAGAGGAAGTTCGTCAAAGCTCTGATTCTACTCCACTACATTCCGATAATGACGCTGGATCTGTGACATGGTCTGAATATATGGGCGTGAAAAGTGACGATGATTCTCCTTGGGCAAGTCTCGATGCTTTTGCAGATGGTGTTCGACAGAATGAGAATACATCGGGTCGGACAAAGTCCAATGCTTCGTCGATGGAAGAATGGGAAGAAGCAGCGATTGCAGCAGCAGACGCATTTGCAGCAAGACAAAATATGCAACAAAGCATGGAATATAGCCGAATGCCAAACGCTTCCAATTCGCAAATTCAGAATGAACCACAATTCAACGCAGCCTCACGCCTTACTCATATCGACGCCGAACACAACGATCGTGCGGCAATGGTCGATGTTTCGGAAAAGCAAGTGACGAAACGAATCGGAACAGCAAAATGTCGTGTCTACATTCCCAGTCATGTCCTGCCCTTGCTTGAGGCAACGCAATCAACAACGGGAGAAAGTGCAAGCGTGCCTCAATTCGGTAGCTCTGTTCGCTTGAAAGGTCCAGTTCTCCATACCGCACAATTGGCAGGGATCATGGCTGCCAAAAAGACGAGCGACTTGATCCCACTTTGCCATGGATTAAACCTTTCCCATGTTGACGTTAAACTGGATGTGCACAAGATGACAGAAGAAGAAATGGAAGAAGAAGGTACAACTTTGAGCGCTTATATAGAAGTCACTTGTACCACCACAACCACTTCAACAACTGGCGTAGAGATGGAAGCATTAACAGGTGCAAGTGTAACAAGTTTGGTACTTTGGGATATGCTCAAGAGCGTGGCTGGAAAGGAGATGCGTGTTGATGGCTTGATGGTAACGCATAAATCTGGCGGAAAAAGTGGAGATTGGCAGAGGCAAGGATGAAATGTAAGAATGCATTATATTTGAAATGTCAATATTGTACTCTATTTCTATAGATCGTCTTCATCGATTGGAGAAATATTGTGAGAAGAAAGTACCCATCATACCAATGACGAAGAAATAGACTAAGGTCTGGACGTCCATGGAGAATAATCCAAATTTATTTGGATTCACCGGCTTTTTAGCCTCAGTTTGCACTTTCTCTTTTTGTATGAGGGTCTGATTGTGCAGCAGGGTGTTAAGGGAAGCTTCCATACGTTCAAAAGATGCTTCCAATCGATTCAGTCTTTGTGATATAGCATGTATGCCACTCTCTTCGTTGCTCCTTTTCTCTTGAGCCATAGTCTCCTGAGGCATTTCCATGTGAGCTTTATTCGAATGAGCAATTCTTTCGATGTACCATATCCATAGACTATCCACCAATGCCAAAACAGCATTCACATCCACAATGCTCAGCAATGGGTTGTTCTTTGCTCCTTGTTGCTCTTGATGCCGAAGATGTGCTTCCTGTAGTTGACTCTTTGTAACCACAATCTGCCCTTCGTTCAAAGAATATGCAATGTTTCTATCATCGTCATTGGATGGACTTTGAAGATCTGAAAAAAAGAGAAGGATTTCCACCGTTGAAGGTGACCAAATATGCATAAGAGAATCTTCTTGAGTATTTTCGGCTGATTGTGCATCCGATACCTGTTGTTGAAATTCGTGCCATTGCGCAGTCGCCATTACAGTCCATCTTAATAAACGTTGTTCAAGACTGAAAGAAGTGAGTATGCGTGAGTGCTGCAATTCATCTTCACTGCCGTCTTGGAGAAGAAGACAAGGTTTCCCTATGCGTTTGATCTGGTCTCGCTCTTCATTGCCAATCGGAGTTCGAGCCGGCTGGCCGCTTTTGATTAGGGAGAAGGAATCAAAAGCATCATTTGATAGAGACTCGAACGAATATTTTGACGGATTAATTTGATCTTTTGCTGGTTGCCAATTATGAACGACTCCGTTCAATTCGCCTTCATCCAAACTCCACGCATGTTTAACGGAAAAGAATGTCTTTAGCAGCTGCGATAATCCAAGCTCCATCGCTATACGTTGAGCAACGTTGAAAGGCGACCAGATACCTTCTCTCGGCTCTAGACCTGCGAGTGTAACATCATAATCGCCTCTTTCACGCCGCAGATCGAAGCGCAACAAGCCATTAGGAACGCTCAGTCCTGCCAATAAGAACATTCCGTCAATTGAAAAGAAAGGCTGCTTGTGTTCAGGATCAAGTATCCGAATCAATTCGACGTTTGTATGTCGAACAGTTAAACAAGGACATAGCATTCCATTTGTTTTGCGAGAAGGGTATAATGCAAATTGTACCGGCAACGGTCGCCTTTCCGCCATACCTGACCAGCTCATATCCCGAAATGCGTTGACATGTTGGTTAGACATAGAATCAAAGACTTTTGATCATATGCCATTCTACGCTATACCTTCACTGTCATCATGGTATGAAGCAAAGAAGTACATGCGTGGCCCATGCATACATCAACGTCCATATCCGCAATTAATATAACATACTCTATATTTTTAGTGTTTGTGACTTTGCACTTTCTTCGCGTACGCTTAAACGCGTTTATAACTTCTTCCATCATTCTTGCCTATCAAACATCACATCGCTGTAATGGCTCTTTCAGCTGAAGCTGGGCCTTCTTCCCTGCCCGAAAGGGTATCAAGATCGCCATTGTCAACTTTTCGACAGTTGAATGATGCTTTGGAAGCGGCAAATTCGACCGTTCCAACTGCAATCATTCATAAAAAGCTGAAAGAAGCCTTACCGGTGCTCAAATCTGTGTACAAGCAGAAACGAACTTTGGTGGTGAATGAAAGCAAAACAAATCTTGACGAATCACTCAACAATGTCGCCAAGCAATGCGCTATCTTGCATCAGGTGGAAGAATCTGAGATGAAGTCTCTATTGCGGCTTTATCTTGATAGCGAGGACGTTCGATTGGATTTATTGACAAGCCGATCAAGATCTATCTCACGTCCTTTGATGCCGTCTCGTTCCGTTCATGGACGTCAATCGGTCGCACCTGGAAGCGAAGATGTCAACACACAGCTAATTGATGCTCTATCGATATTCTATTGTGAAGAGCAATTGTACGCGATTCGTTGTATAAGTGCTCTCCTTCGTATCGGCGATGACAATTATCACGACCTTCACAATATCGCCGAAGAGATCTTGGGTCAATTCCTCGATCAAGATTTTGCACTACAATGTCTTGCAAGAGTAGAAACGCTTTGTGCACTTTCGCTGTCCGACTCTGTTCGCGAAGTTCCTCGCTATAGCACCTTTTGGTCCAAACATTCTGTAAGAGAACAAATTGGTCTTTTGGAATGCGTCTTTTTGGCCTATTATAGTCGCCTCGAATCTTCAGCCAAGTTTGTGGAGAAAGTGCATAGTATCATACAGTCCACCAATTTCGGTCAAAATCATTCATGTGCCGGCTTCTTTGATGCAGAAGCAACCTCTTTGCTGGATAATCTTTCCTACCTCTTAATCTTACTGGCTATCGAAAGCTTGGATATCGAGAAATTGGTAGACGGCGACAACTTCCTCACACTCGGAAGACCATCGGCTGAGGATGATGCACGTCGGCAGCTGATCGATGCACCAGAAATCGTCGAGAAAGTGATTGATTATTTACGTTCTTCAACAACCCGAGATCACCTTCGCGGTCCTTTACTCATTGGCTGGGCACTTTTTGTAAGTCGCATGGATGGCGCTGTCTGCGATTGGACAGAAGCAAGAGGGACAGAAAGGTTACCAAAACATCTTCAAGCCTTGAATGTCGCCCTTGAAAAGCGTGGAGGATCAGGCTCACTCTGGCCTGAACTAGTTTCAGCTGCTCTCTCACCTGAGCTTGGTGTCTTTTCCACTCTATACAATCTGGTAAAATCTCCCTTGATTCGATGGGATGCCCGTTCAAAGTTCGCAATTGCCGTTGCACCATCTTCATCTCTAGCAATGCGAGCAGTGATGAAAGGCTTTGTTTTGTCCATCAATGAATTGGTCAAGCCAGAGTACATTTCCGATTATATGAGTTTTATTGATATTTGGCAAACGACGTTTGCTAACGATGACGATGTAGATCGTCAAGTCATTGGGCAAGCAACGGATGGGGCTGCTGCTCTTTGCGCGCAATTCTGGGAAGTGGACTATCAACATGAACAAAGAAGAGCTCTTATCGATACTGCCACACGCAGGTTCCCCGTTAGTTTCAGACCTCTCATACGTCTCTGCAAAGCATTATCAGGAAGTAGCCCCGGCGCTTTGCATACTTCAGATGAAGCCTTCAAAGCAAGTACTGCGGTTTACAACTACTTGGCAGAGGTACAAACCATCACGCACGTCCTGAATGCATCGTCTTCCCTCTCTGCACCTTTTGAAGTCATCGATGACCCAGAAGATCCGACAAAGATTGTGCATCGAGCCAAAGGGACAATACCTGTATTTGGCAGACATTTGCAGATCCCCGCCGGGGCGACCGGAAAGATGATTTCTGCCGAAGATCAAGCTGCAATCATTATGATTTGGGACATCAGCGAGACGCCATACAGTATTTGGAGACTTGGCAGAGATGTTTTAGCAGGCTTTGCGGGACTTCTAGACCGTAAAGATGACTTTACCTCACAAAGCAATACTCGGCCAAAAGACGCAGCAGTGTTCGACGAAAAGGCAAAGATTGCATCTTTCGCATCACTTGCTCCGGATGAGAGTCAGACTTTCGATGGCGATGTGGCAGCCGATATTATGGATCTGTTCGCTTCTATTCTCTCGACAGAGTCTCGCGTTGCAGTGGAACTCATAGTACATCTTGAGGGAAATGATATAGGCACAACAAGTATCGCTCAACCCAGTGCTTTGGATGCGCACAAACCGACCTTGATCTCGATCACGACTGGCATTTTGAATCAAGCACTTTCTTCGCCATCTTCAGCTTCACGAGTGATCATCAGTTCTTATCGTCTGTTGACTTTCCTCATTTCCGCTACACAATCACAAGCCGTATGGCCTTCGTTAAGGTCATCCGGTCTCTTGATCGGCTCACATGGCGTACGATCTCTACTCACACGATACGATGCCTCACAATCGATTGAGTCGTCTACCTTACTTGCCCATGAAACCTCTATAGGCAAGTATGCTGGTTTGTTGTCGTTGCTTAATTTGCATCACGCCCTTTTGGCTGATGTTCTCCAAACCACGTACAGTCTGAGCCAAGTAGAAAGTGAAGTAAAGGTGGATGTGATTCTACGGTCTCTTCGCTTTATTACCGATCAAGTATGGCTAGAATACCAGGGATGGAAATATGTCAACATTCGTCAACGCATCGAGATCGGTAGGAAATGTGTGCAAATCTATCAGCGGATCTTGGATGATGAGACTTTACGCTTTGCAACAACGACTTCTAACCGGATATACCATTGGATGGCAGAGACTTTCGTCAGTCAAAATGCAACAGCGTTGATGCTCAGTCCATTGATTAATGCAATCGGATCTAGCATCCCTTTTATTCATGGCCTTCAACGTTCATCTCGACAGATTGAAGTTGAATTGGCTAGAGAGCATGTAGAGGCTTGCCTTCGCTTTACCCGGACCCTCATTGATGCCCGCCGGGAAGCCATCACTTCTATGCCTGACAGGCATGTTCACGAACCGATCTCTTTGTTGGGACTTTTGGAGCGAGTGTTCCTGGGCGAGTCTGTCTTCCAAAATTTCAACCCCAGCGCAACGATGAAGAAGAGAAAGCTTCAGTCCAACGCTAGCACTTCAGTGGACTCATTAGACGACAAGAGCCTTGCCAATGCGCTGTTCCAGCTGATCTTTACTTCACATTCTCTCGGAGGTCGAATCGAGGCAGTACGACTTATCACAACTATTTGTGGCTCTATCTCAGATGCTCAACGACTATCAACAGGTCCGCCTTTAGTTAGTCGATTGGGTTCTGTCGTGGACATGGAGGATGTCATGACTAATCTAATCGATCTCGTGGAGGATTCGGACCAAGATGATCAATTGCGAGCCTTTAGCTTCAATATGCTCTCTGCCTTGGTCAAGAGTCAACCTGGCATTGCAACCCTTTTGCTTACTGGTCAACATGTTGCAGATGGTATGCAATTCGACGAGAAAGGCGAATCAACCGAGAAGGAGGGCTCTGCTGATCAGAGAACAGCTGTACAAGTAGCCGCCAAGCTTGTCGAAGATGCAGCAAAGAATTATTCAGACGTGCAATCAGACATTAGTCAAATGCGCATCTTGCAAGCTTCATTGAAATTCTTGGAATCAGCATGGTCACATGTAGGAAGCTATCAAAAAAGCTTAGGAGCTTTACGTCAATCAAAGGGCTTTTGGAGTGCAATTATCAAGATTGGTACTGAACATGATGTCATCCTCTCTCCTACGGAACCTGGATCGATTGAGGTGGAAGATGGTGTGTGCAAAACAGATAGAGATGGTCCAATCGGAATTGCAGCTATTATCAAGTCATGCAGCGCTCTTGCTTTGCAGTTGATCGCAGCTGACGTGGCTTTCCCGCTTTTACCTACAAAGACTGGTAATAGCAAAGTGGCAAGCTTGGAAGAGCTACTGGAATTGTTGAAAAGCGAGAAGAAGTTCGGAAAATCTTTGCAAAGCGTGATAGGGGTCGAATACGATCCTTTCCGACAATTAGACGTCACACAACGTATTGAAGCAACATTCCCTGAGTTGTTGCTGGAGCATTTTCGTCTGCCTGTCAAACTTGACGAGAACGACGAGAGAAGACAATATGGTTGTCAATACGTATACAATCTCGAAACATTCCGATTCAAATTAGACGGTCTTATTCGGGCATCAATTCAATCAGGCGATTTAGATCATTCAATGATCGATACTGACGCAAATCTCCAAGCAACAATCTTGGTGGCAGGCGTGAATCTGAATTGGAGCGCAATTGATGCTCAGAGCATGGTCATTCGTGCATGGACGAATTTATTAAGTGTATCGATTGGGGCGATCTTTACCCGCTTTGATGAAGACAAAGCGCTTGCTCGTCAATTACGTTCAACAATTGCAAATGTTTGGCTCGAATCTAGCAAGACTATCAATAGCGAGCAAGCCGGTAATGAGATTGCGCAAGACATGCATGGTTTGCGGGTTGCATTCTTGGCCGTTCTTCTGGACGTTGCTTGGACTTGTCTACCCTTGTCGAATAATGATTTGACAGAAGAGGATAAAACAGTCACTTTAAGCGTAATGGATCAAGTTGTTGGCTTGTTCACTCATCCTGTCCTATCGATCGTTGATATCATGAAGAAGGCTCATCTACATCAGGAATCCAGCTTACATCGTGATATCGCACGAATCAATTTGCTGACAATGCAGCGCTACCGCCTCATATTTCGGCAATCATCGATCGGAGGAAAGGAAGGATCAATAGGTCGATCTGAATTGCTTAGGAGCTTGAAAAAGCAAGCGGAAATATTGAATACTCAAACAATCACCTTCACTCGACTCGCGTTGGACAAATGCTTATCATTGTTGGATGTACGAAGGGCAGAGGTAGGAGATGAATATGTTGATCGAGCAACGTTGATCTTAAATCATGATCTTCAACTCTTCTTGTCAGGATTGGCCATTCAGTTACATCAAGATTGCGAACTTTCAGTACATTCCTGGTCTCCAAGATTGCACTCCTCTGCTCTCTTATCTGCGGCATTTGACCTTTTCAGTCGATCAACGTCGCCCGTGCATCATCTGCTTCCAGCCGGCAATTCTACCCATGGAGATAGTGATAATAATGGATACGTGGATGAGCTTGGCAGTGGTCTAGTACCACCATATTGGGATTCCTTACTTCAATTCTTTTTGGAATTGGCATGTCAAACCACAACGGCAGAAGTGTTAATCTTAGCAGGTGCGACAAATGCATTAAATGTGAACGCTATCTCACTTGCTCTCGATCAAGCACTTTCCGCATCGAGGTCTGACTTGGCACGCATTCCACCAAGATTAGAGAACGGCTCTACAGAGAATGCTTTGTATGTTCAATGGGTCAAGATGTTGCGAATTTTGGTAGCCTTGATGAACTCATTGGACAACATTCCTCGATCATCTTTTGTTGGCCAAGAAGTGATGAGCTTCTTCAATATCTATCATTCGGCCATCGAATATAGTTTCCAACGACCTCTATTCCAAGCAACAAGCACGATGGGAATGCGTGCCATATTAGCAGGAACTCGACAATTTGACAATACCCGAACTGCTATTTTGACATCAGAAACGATTACAGTGAATCAACTGCACGAGATGGATTTGATCTTTAACATCTATCACCACATCTTGCAACATGTTCAAAAAAACCAAAGACCCGACTCAAAAGGCTGGAAAGCAAACAGCACTTTATTGATCAACAAATTCGTCAAGCATGCCACTCTACGTTTGCAAGAATGCGTTCACCTTTTGCAACATCCTCACGAGCTATTGGCTCTTTTAGGCCTAGATGAAAAGCAAAAGGACCTCAAGTCTCATCCTAATCATAAATCAACAGTAGCAATGGCTACAAGACTATTGATGCAAACGAGTATCAACATCGTGAAAAGCTTTTGGTCATTAACTACTGGTATGGACACACTTTGTTCTTCAGATGCAAGTTTGTGGAATTTGGATCATGTATTGGTTGTGCCAACTATTGGAACATCACCTTCACGACCATCTTCAATTGGTACTCTGTTGGATCTCGCAGGCTATTTGACAGAATCACTCGAACGCTTAGATAGCTCAAAAGGTGAAGTGAATGACAAGAGTGCCTTGGTGGCTGCAATGGAGCAAACGGTATCATTAGCCTCTACGCAATTGGGTCTGGCAATGCATGGACGATCGGTTGAGAACCAGGGTGGTCCAACCAGTACAACAAACAAGGGTGAAGATGCACAAGGGCAAGATGCTTCGACACTAAGTAAAGCCGCCAATGTACATTCCTTGGAAGTGGAAGTAGGGCTGGGACGTGACGTTTGCCAATCGAGCGAGTCTGCAAAAGCTGCCATTCATGGTCGCAAAGAGAGCACGGCCTATCTGGATATCATTTTGGCATTCCAACGTAAATGGCTGATCTCTTCAGAATAAGACTTGTACAGTAATCATAATGAGAATGAAAGATGAATTGCTAAAAGTACAGCAGTTGTTGTGAAAGCGTTAAAATAGGGTATCTTCATCACGCAGATATTCTCCTACATCTGCTTGATGAAAGACGATGATGCTTGTAGGATCCAATTTACGTGTGTCAATTGTTGATCTTGCCGTTACACCAAAGCCCAAAGCCACATTTGCCATACTCATGATTACTACTCCTGCATGTTCTGGTGTATCGTCCGTTATTCTTCCAAGATGTGCTTTAACGACATGATTTCCATACAAAAACGGAAGTTCTCCGTTTGGTTTAATCCAAACTTTATGTTTTGCATATTGTGCCAAAGTGTCTAAAGCGGTAATATGAAGTCTAAATTTTCCCGTTTTACTGAATTTTCCAAAACATACTCCTAAGGAGATCAAATTTGGTCGTGCGATTGAAATTGCTTGTTTCATTGCTAATTCTGAAACGTAATACACTCGATCTCTGTGTAAACGAAAAACGTGTGGAATTCCATCTTCTCCTGAATCTACCAGGTGGACGATGTTATTGCCGATATAATGTGACAGTTTGGTGAAGAGTGTCTTTGTCTCTTCTTCCGTTAGAGGTCGCATGTTGAGTCAGTGTATGATCAGGGATGGCAATGCAAAGCAAGAAGGAAGATTGGAAGAATGATTTTGACTTCAAGTTGTCCTTATGCATGAATAATGAATGAGCTTTAACTTTTTTTTCCTTTAAACGCGTTAAAATCAAAATTTTGGCTTGCACGTGTGACGAGTGGTCAAGGCACATTAGCAGTGTGCTAAAATTATGAAATAAAAATTTTAGAAAAAAGTGGAATCCGTGGGGGATAAAGAGAGCAGACACTGGTGAATTACCATGTTCAAAGGTTAAACCTTTCTTCTTGTCTTTCATATTCCTTGAGCCATATATACCACCAAAGATGGCAATGGGTAAAGGCAGATCGCCTTCGGATAGAAAAGCAAAGGGAGGCTTTGGTACCAGTGACCATGTGAAAGCACGTCAAGAGAAGAGACAAGGTCGAAGTAATAGCAGTGGCGGTCCAAAGAGCATTCATGATGTTTTCGAATATGCAACTGAACAAGAAGAACGCGGAAAGGGTGGAAATAATAAAGGATCTCAAAGACGGTTACAGAGAGCCACTACGAACGGTACAGAAATGTTTGATCGTCCGAATGGCAAAAGGGCAGCAGCAGATGACTCTGATGAAGAGGAAGAGGATGAACATGATGCCCGAGCTCATGCATCTTCAAGTAAACGACCAGATTACGGTACAGCACCCATCTTAGGAGATGATGATGAAAATGAGTACCACGTCACAGAAATCGCTTCAGAAGATGATGAGGAAATCGACTCAGATGAAGCTTTCGGTGAGAGTGATGACGAAAGGTACGCTGATTGGAAATTTGCCAGCGATAAGAACAAGAAGCAAGGGATGAAAGGAAAGCGATCTAGAGGTCCAGCGAACGATGAAGAGGATGAAGAGGCTTCAAGCGGCAGTGACGAGGAAGAAGATGAAGATGATGCGGACATGATGGATCTATCAAAAATGCTGGATGGCGGAAGTGAGGATGATTCTGCAGATGATGATGAAGACGACGACGACGACGATGATGATGATGACGACGAAACACTTCAGAAGCACATAGAAGCGTTTGGCAAAGGAACATCGAAGCGTGATAGCGAAGCTGCTGCACTTGGCTCTGGACCTTCAGCGAACAAGAGAAGAGTGTTACAAGATCGCACTGAAGCCGTTCCCGAAGGTGAATGGAATGCTCCGATTCGTCGGGAAGGAGCGGGCTTGACAATCGATGATCTATTGAAGCCTATTGCTGATCACAATGGTACATCATTAACTGCCTTGCGAGGCACAGCTAAAGCTCTTCGTCCTCCCACATCCGCCAATGACAAACAACCAGTAGCATCCAAAAAGGGAGGTGGTAAATTACATGCACCTCTACCAACCATCGTACAAGATCGTTTGGACCGCTCTGCAGCGTACAATGAGACGAAAGCCGAGGTGGATGGTTGGCAACCAACTATCAAACGTCTAAGGGAAGCTGAACATCTTTCATTCCCACTTCAACCTGATCCAGTCGTACGTCCATCTACTGCTGCTCTAGCTGGAAACTTTAAAGCGTCAAACGATTTTGAGCAAGATATCGCAGCCATGTTGGAACGTGAAGGTGCTACGGAGAAACAAATGACGAAAGCCGAAGAGTTGGAGATGAACAACAGAGGCATGTCTGCTGATGAAATCCGAAGAAGAACGGGTGAACTTCGTCGTATGCGTGAGCTACTATTCCGAGAAGAGCAAAAAGCCAAACGGGTCAGTAAGATCAAGAGTAAGACATACCGTCGTATTGCAAGAAAGCAAAAGCAGAGGGACGAGGAAAAAGCCCGACAAGCAGGTCTGCTCAACGGTGAAGGGGATGAAGAGGACGATGAAGAATCTCGAATGAAAGCTGAAAGAGCACGAGCAAAGGAACGTGCCACTTTGAAGCATAAGAATGCCGGAAAATGGGCGAAAGATGCAATTGGTATGAAAGGAATTCACGATATGCCTGAAACACGCAAGGCTGTTGAAGATCAGCTGTTGCGGGGTGAACAATTGCGAAGAAGGATCCAAGGGGATGGATCGGATGACGATGAGGACGATAGTGATGCTGATACCATGCAAAGCGACGATAACAGGGACAATGATCGAGAAAGAGGATTTGATGAAATGGCAACATTGAAAAAGAATCTAGCAGAGGAAGATGCAAATGTTGCAAATGAGGGAGAGAAGAAAGGTGTCTGGAATATGAAGTTCATGCGTGAAGCACGCGAACGTCAAGCGAAGGATTCGTTAGATCAGATGGACGCATTTGAGAAAGAGATGCAAGAGAATGAGGGCTCAGATGATGATGAAGTCACTGCTGCATCCATGCAAATCGGTCAGAATGCCGGTCGACGTGTGTTTTCAGCCACATCGGATGCCGTCCAGAACGGTAAAGCTGCCGGTGATGAAGGAGAGGAAGAGGCTTCACACAAACCAAAGGCGTACAAACCATTGACAAAGACGGATGCAGTGAATATTCGAGTAGATGACGTTCGACCGATTGATAGCAAAACCTCTAAGGGCAAAGATGAGACAAAAGACGTCAATCCATGGCTGGTAGATGCTTCTCAATCCAACAAGGTTTCACGCAAAAAGAACGAGGCCACGATTAGCAAAGACGGTAGTGCACTCAATAAAGCAGCCAATCGAATTCAGAAACATGCTAGCAAGAATGATGATGCGCGTTTAGCCGAGCAGCAGGATGGCGAGCTTGTCATTGATCCTGAAGCACAACTAGCATTACGTCAAGAAGCAACTCAGAATCAATCAAAGAAGCAAAATGGAAAGAAGTCAGTGAACACTCGTGATGCAGATGAAGATTCCAACGACGACAGTGATGGAGAGGAGGATATTGATGAGCCCGTAGAAGTCAATGTCAGAAAGCCAAAGACTGCCATGCAACAACGTCAATTGGTCAGCGAAGCGTTTGCGGGAGATGACGTTTTGGCAGATTTCGCTGCAGAAAAACAAGCGGAAATTGATGCAGAGAAGCCTCAAGAGGTCGACACGTACCTTCCTGGTTGGGGATCATGGTCTGGAAAAGGAGTAAGAACATCAAAGAAGAAAGCTGAAGAAAGGAAAAAACAATTCACAAAGACAACTGCTGGTTTGGATCCAACAAAACGTAAAGATTTCGGCATGTCCAATGTGATCATCAATCAAAAGCGTGATAAAAAGGCAGACAAATTCAAAAGTGATGATGTGCCTTTTCCTTATACTTCTCGTGCACAATATGAGATGGCAATGCGTAACCCTCTTGGACCTGAATGGAATACCCGCACCCAACATCAAAGGATGACGTTACCAAAAGTTCTCACTAAACCCGGCAAAGCAATCAAGCCAATCGAGAAATTATTTTAATATAGATCCATCATGTATATTACCATCATTTAATTTACCTTTTCTCCTTTAATCATCACTTGGGACACTCATAGGGTAGATCGTGTGCGGGGGCCTGAATTATGCGGCGGCGCTTAGATGGTAAAGTGTTTGGGCACTTTAGCACAGGTTGTGGTACCCTCCTGCTTACGGAAAAAGGCCCAATGCAGCACGCGTTAGAGGGGTCAAATCAGCAGTGTCTTAAAAGCATAACGAGATGCAGGATTGGTGATTGTAGCAAATAATTAAAGTCATTAAAAGCGCAGCGCTTACACAGCACAAAAAGAGGAAAAAAAGAAAAGAGAAAAAGGATGATCAGATATCTTTCAACCTTGATCACGATCCGATTTATCTCAAGCAAGAGAAGGAAATTAAAGAGGGTCATTCGTGGGATTTATTGGACAGGAAAAGAGAAAAAGACCTTTTGAAGGATAAGAAATGAGCTCAGGTCCATTCGAAAATGATCAGGACGGGCCGAGTAAAGAAAGGGAAACTTTGATCGAAAATACAAATGACATTGTAGGAGGAAGAACGGATGAAGGCGGAATTGGGCAAAGTGTGAAAGATGAACAGCTGAGTCAACCGATAGAGGCAGAATCTGCTCCCGTAAAACATACCGCCGTCTCACTACAAGAAGGAGAGTCAGCAATACTACCACAAGATGCCACAATTCCATCCAGTGCGGACCTTGTCAGGACTGCCTCAGCCACCTCTGCGGGACAAGATGATGGTCAAAGTGCATCAAATGGAGCTCCATCTGTGCCAATCTCTTCTCCGGGACTTGCGTCTGCAAATGCTGTGAAAAAGTTCAATTCGTTAAGCGTTGCAAAACAATTCTTACAAAAAGCTTCACCCACTCTCGGTAATGCAGCAGCAGCTCCAATCGCTTCTACAAAAGCTGCTTCAGGCATACAGTCTGGTCAATCGCTTAGCAGTAGCAGTAGGCTCTCATCAATGGTACCTGCTTCTCGTCTCACATCCGCCAAATTGACAACCTCTTCAAAACCTGCCGGAACAGGATGGGCCCAAGTATCATCACCAGCAAGCACGCCTCGCACAGCTGCTGAAACACCTTCTGGTGCAAGTGCGGGTAGTGCTAATGCAGCTTCTACTGCACCTGCTCAATCGACATCAGGACAAGAAAGTGCCGCTTCGCCAGCTACAACCCCAGCCGCCGCTCCTCATTCTAGTGTTCCAGCATCGGTAAATGCTCCTTCGCCCGCAGCGCCTTCACCAAGACTTGTCACTGCGCTATCAGCAAGATCTACTTCACCTCATGTTCGAAATGTTGATGGAAGTAAGGGAAGTCCTGGTTTGAAGAATGCCGCGATTGCTGGTTCAGGCAGATCGGCCAGTCCATCGGTGAATAATGCAACAGGCAGTGTATCTCGAGCTCCATGGGCAGCTGTAAAGACTGATACAAAGGCACCAGCAAAGGGTATAGGCAGACGATCCGATTTCCCTACAGCTGCTGAAGCTGCACAGGCAAAGTTAGAAGCAGAAAAGAAGGAAAAGGCAGCAGCAGCAGAAGCAGCTCTAAAAGCTGAACAAGCTTTACAAAATTTGGAAAAGTTTAGAGGTACAGGCTTGGGCACGCATTGGGATGAGATGGATGACGATGATTTCGGAGAGGGAGAGTTACAATTTGGTGACGGTTCTTCTTACAGAGTTCCTGCACAACAAGTGGAGAAGCAGATTACTAAAGAAGAGCGATTCCGTGATGTTGGACACGATCGTAGCTGGCCAGGACAAAATGCCCCATCGCAACCAGGACAGAGAAGTACGCCTCCTGTCAAACCTCCGCAACAGCCAGAACGTACGAAGCCTCACAAAGTTGAAACTGTTGCAGTGCGAAGTGGAGAAGGTATCTCACTTGATGCACCATCAACTATCGATCGAGGACCATCCTTCTATGGAGGAGGAGGCCATCAGAAAGAGAGAAGATCTTCATTTTTGGGGCGATCCAGAGAACCTCGAGAGGATCATGGTCATTCTTCCGCCTCTCATGCAGCTCCACCTGTGGCTCAAGTGAGAGCTTGGGGTCCTTTGGCGCAAAGGCAAGCCTCACTAAATCCAGATGCACCGAAACCTGCTCCAGCTGTGCCAGCGGCTATTCAATCACCTCCGACCTCTTCGACAGGCGGAAAGGAAGCAATACCACAAGATGCAAATGTGGGCGACAAAGTGTCACACGAACGTTCGAGAAAACCAGCACATACCCAGCCGGCTTCGATTGTATCGCCGCCAACACGACCAATCACAGATGGAAGAGCGTTGCCGCCTCATCTAGCGCTCAATCGACAATCTCAACCTTCTCAACAACCTCTGCATCGCCACAGTGAGTTGGGTACGGTCGAGAGACCGGATTGGCAAACAGCCGTTCCTCGTCAAATAGAAGAGGAAGCACAGCCCAAAGAGGTCATTGCACGACCCTATGGATCTTTTGTCGCTTCTTCACGACAAAGTCATCCACAGGCCAAATCTAATACGTCATCAGGCCGGCCAGAAAGCTCTCGCCGTAAAGAATCTTTCAGTACAGCCGAATCAGCTGAAGATCGTGCATCAGCATTAGAACGAGCACGAAAACGCAAAGAAGCAGAAGAAGCAGAACGAACAAAAGAACGTGAAAGAGCATTAGCGAAAGCTGCTGCTATTGAAGCAAAGATGCGAGAAGCGGAGGAAGCAGAGAAAGAGAAGAAGCGTGCGGCTGAGGAAGAACGTCAAAGAATTCAACGGGAAGCACAGAAAGCTGAAGAAGCAAAGAGGGAAGCAGAATTACAAACACGCAACAAAGCTGCTCGTGATAGTAATGTTCCCCCAAGAGGTCCTCGCAATCGTACCTCGTTCTCTGGTGGAGATGTTCCACCTCACACTGCTTTACAAGTGTCTACGTCATCAAATGTTCCGGGCTCATCACTTCTCTCTCCTAGTGACGAAGCTGTTTCGTGGAGAAGAGCTCCAAAGATTCCATTGCAAACCGCTGCACCGGGCATGACGGAAGAGACGAACGTCAGAGGAGACCATCGTAAGCAGGAAGTGCAACCTCACAAGGTTCTTTTACGCAGGCCGGACGGGCAGCTTAATGAAGATTCAGATAGAGCCAAAGCTGCAGGAAAGCGAGAGCAAGACAATGAGAGAGTGGACAAGACTGTCGGCACTGCTAGTCGTGACGGACGACGCTCAGAACGATCACGTGTAGAAATCATTGCACCGACTGATGAAGGAGCAACGAAGCACATGCGTGCTCAACAGGAACGAGAACGTGAAGCCAGACAAAACAAGGATGGAATCGCAAGAGTGCCTGTCGGTGTACTGAAACCTGCCACTGCAATGGAGGTAGAGATGAATCGACAAAAAGCTCAACGTGTTCCAGTCTTACCTGAGCCAGAGCAAACAAGGACAGAAGTTCCGTTTGATGGAGCTCCCGTATGGAACAAATTCCAAGTACGTGTCGGAAAGCGAACTGAGAAACCCAAATCTCGTTTGAGCAGAGATGAGTTCAAAGCGCAACAAGATCGAATCGCAAAAGCAAAAGATCAGTCCGATCGATATGCACCAAAACCTGTATCAATCTTGTCCTGGTCTCCACCGATTGTGGACCTTTCTGCGCGAACGCTTTCTCGTGATGATCAATTCTTCCCAAAGAAGTATCGCAAAGGCGTAAGGATTGCCAATGTTATCATGCCTCGTGCATCGATCAGTGAATTGGCCGAAGAGAATGCGAAAAAGAGGGAAATAGATCAAGCAAATGCTGTAAAAGCATCAAAACCTGTCGATTCGCAAAGCTTCAATGCAGGAATACCCGGAGTTGCATCAACAGCTTCAAAGCCAGCAGTACGAGTTCCCGCTGTTTCATCCATTCCTTCGGCTGATGTCAATCCAGCTATCGATTCGTTCGACAATCGTAACGCTATACCTACAGGTCCACGTTCGCAACAACGCAATCGTGATGTGAATGGGGCGGTAGGATTCGCACGCTCAGATATTGCTAGAGAGGCTGCAACGCCATCGCCTGTTAGCTTTACAGTGCAAAGTGAAGTGGATGCACCGATTAATGTTCCATCTGTTATGCTAGGCAACAACAATCTTGTCACAAAGAAGTCTGCTTCTACTTCAACTTGGGGCGAAAATTCGCTAACATTTGCCGGATTGGATTCGAGCGGAAATGGTGACGGGGCAAGCAGTCTTATCCAAAATGATTCAGTCGATGCGGAAAATGAACGAAATCGAATCAAGGACGTTTGGGGATCTCTGCCTTCCGATCCTGCCAATGAGCAAAGCAAACCAACACAAAATTCACTAAAGGATATCGTGGATGATCTGCCTTCCGCAATTTCAATGAGTGTGGATGAATTACGTGCGGATGATATGTCATCTCAAAATGCAGAAGGTGCTCATCCGACGCATACACGGTTATACACCCCAATGGTGGATGGAAACCGAGGAACAGCAGCTGCTGGCAACAACGTTGCACGGGTTGGCACGAACGGAGGGGCGTTGAATGACGTTGCTGTCATGACTGCAGCTTCTTCTCCAGTCAATGTTGCAAGTCCATCCCAAAGTAGCCATCTATTTGGCGGGGATGACGTTGGTCGTCGTGCAAACCTGCATCATCAGATCGGGAGAGCAAGAAGTCAGTCACCTTCATCGATGCGCTACTCGTCTTCCACTGCCACAACCAATTCTAACTCCAATCATCTCTTGGGTATGACTTCACCATCTTCCAATACTACCATGACAAGTGCAGGTGTTGGTCATCATCAGAGGAATATGTTTGTTCAACAGGAGAGAGGTGGAGCAACAGCGGCCTTCGGTCCATATGCTTATCCTAGCAAGACTGGTTACTCTTCCGGTATGCTTTCCACGCCTTCTCAACAACAGCAGCAGCAGCAATATTCAGCGTATGGCTCAGGCCAAGGCGGATTTAATGCTCAGAGCAATTATGGCACAGCAGACTATGGTTTGGGATACGGGAACAACGCTTACGGGTATAATTCTCGTGGATATCGTGGAAATCCCGCCAATCCGGCAGCTTCTGCAATGGGCGGACAAAATGCACTTCAAGGCTATGATTCATTTGGCAATACGGCCAATGAAGCTGCTTTCAATGCTTTTGATAGTCGTGGAACCTACCCAAATACCAGTATGCTAGCTGGAAGCGGAGGTGAAATGAGCGGTAATGAAACATCTGCATCGAATTTCGGCAGCATTGAAGGAATGGAAGATGGTTCCAGTGGGATGACTACAACAGCTTCCACAGCAGGATGGCCATTAGACTCTCCCGCAGGATCTTATATGGGATCAAACTACTCTACCCAACCGAATGCCTACTTTACCGGTTTCAATTCCGGTTCTCCTGCGACAGGTGCTTCAGGCTACGGTGGTTTCGGACAACAACCTTCACAGGGAATGGGTTCATCCTATGGCCGATCTGCTTCACAGCGCAATGGATTCATTTCAGGTACTGGAACGTATAGGGGATCAGGCGGTAGTATGATGGCCAATGGATATTCGAATAATGGTGTTGGCGGTCAATGGGGAACGAGAGGTGCACGTACCTACGGAACAAATCCGACCGATCTGACCGCAAGTACGACGAATTTGTATCAAGCTCCTCAAATTTATCAAACGGGTGGAAATAAAGGTTTTGATAATAATCGTTTGCCTGCAGGAACAAGCTTGCAAGCAACTGCTAAACCGTTTCAACTCGGAGGCAATCCAACCGCAGGTAGCGGAATGACAAATAGGGGCAGAGGAGCCGGAGGCGGTGCTTCTCGCTATCAACAAGGCTATCCAAGGGTTGCGTCTGGTGGCAGTGAAATGGAGGCTGAAGGCGTTCAACAACAGTACACAAACGAATACGGCGATGCATACAATAACAATAATGGTCAATGGTGAACAGATTGTACGTATATGAATATGCTGGCATGCTTTTTATTTATTCTACTTGTGTAAGACTGTGAATAATCTTGTATGAATATATCCATCCAATCATACACACATTACAACAAAAGTTTTGAAAGACATGACCATTCAGTACTATGTACAGGAGCAAAGAAAGCGAGAAAATGGATCAAAAGATTGAGAGGTATATGAAATGAGAAAGATGTAGAAGTCGAAACGTTGAGGGAAATTAACAGAGCGATAGGGTAAGAATATACATCCACAACCGATGCTTATGTCGATTTACATTATTATTCAATTGCCCAAACCTTCCTTGAAACCACGACCTCCACGGAATGCTTTACCGCCAACGAAAGCGACAAAAGCGAGCATGAAAGTTAATTGAATCCAAGTGATCCAAGCGAAAGCTTCCAAAGCTTGACGACTTGAATGGTAAATGAATGGGTTATCGTTTGTAGAAGCAGAGATTGCACCTGCACCTGCCAAGACGAATAACCAAGTGAAAAACAATCCGACTGCATGACCTGCGATTGAAGTTACTGCGCCTCCAGCTCCTGTCAAAAACAAGCCAAGGTAAATCAAACTGAAAAGGAATGTCCACCATTGAGCAAAGACATTATAACGAACTGCTCCTGTTGTTTCAGCGCTTGGAGAGTTGTGATTTTTGTTGAAATCGCTTGTGAGTGTTGATGCAATCACAGCTGCGATGAAAGACCAAATGGCCAAGAAGACAAAAGAGACAGGGTGTCTGTAAGGGAAAAGGATCTATTATTAGTGTCTTCTTTCGTTGTAATTTTTATTGATTCTCCACTCACCCTCTACGGATAGCAGCGCCAGTGTCGACCATGTTGTTTTTCTATGTTGTTGTTGTTGTGCGGTATACTTCCGTTGTTGTTCTGCTTGATGATGTGCGGATAAGCGTTGAAGTTAAGTACTTGCTTTTTACCTTTTTAGGAGATGATGGTGGATGGAAATGATAAAGATGAACAAAAGGGCTGATTGTATAAGAATATATAAATTTAGAGACACGCAGGTGGAGTAAAAAAAATAAAGGGCCTGGCTTGCTGGGTTGTATTTTCCGTTCTCCCTTTCTTGCTTGTCTGCCTAAGTTGCGCGGTAGTTTGTTTTGTTTTTTCTTGAACGCCTGCATTTTGCCTATGTGTACGTGCGTACATACGAAGCGGGGCCGTTGCGAGGCACGTAATTCTGGCTACCACAGCCTACGGACGGCGGAGGGGGGCTATTCTTCGTATCCATTCGGATATTCGTACGACTATGTGAGCCCCTTTCTCCTTTTACCCAAAAATAAAATAAACGGCTTTTTTCGTCCCGAACTGAATTTAACAGTTTAACAGTATATATCAAGTAAGCCTTCTCTTTATTGCAATGATCATCATTACTGCTCAAACATCAAAAAAAGATGAAGTCATTTCCAAAAAGCCATTCCAATTTAACGCTAGTGGAGTAAGAGTGAAAAAGGGCAATAACGCGCACGCGAAAAAAAAAAAACACTGCATTGGAAGGCGTTCGGCACCTCCGGAGACGGAAGATTTTGTCCGTTTAGCTTGCGTCATAGCAGCTGTGCTGTGCAAAAAGGCAAAACTTGGCACGTATTCACCACACACACACACACACCCAGCCTCTTACATAGCTATGCCTGCACAGAGCAGCGCTAATGCATGTAGTCAATCCTATTGCGGTTGTTTAATTCCTTCTTTTCTTTCTTCTTCATCAGATCATACCATAAGTCCAAAAGGTCATCTAAGTTTTGCCGAAAGAGCTACTTGTATTGCAGATCTTAATAATAAAACCCTGATGTGTCTAACGCTAATCCAAATGCGAATACAACTTATAAAGAGAGCCAAATCTTATTTCCAGGATAGAGGAACGGACTGCAACGTAAACTTTGAGATAAAGAAATGCAAATACTATATTGAGATGAATAAGAAGAAATAAAGTGTACAAGTTTAGACGATATTCTCTACCATCTTAGAAGCAAAGGAAGTGTTATGTGAGAATCATACAATGAGATATTTATATCCGCATCACTGGAACATCATCAAGAATGACGGGAACCAGAATGAGAAGAGAGGTTGTCATGTGGTGAATCTTCATCGTGAGCGCTTGTCTTTTCAGCCTTGTCACTGATGGGAACTTGATTGCCTGATAATCTTGAACGCATTGTTGTGATATGATCATCGCCAAACTTCTTGGCCAATTCGGCATCCAATTCTTCGGATGAAAGAAGTCTCTTGTGCAATGAAAGATAGCACGCCGTGGTCATGAAATGAGACCATTTGAAGAAGCTTCCCTTTCCATCATCGTAGGATTCAGCAAACAGAAGGTCTAGCTCCTCCAACGAACGTCTCTTTGTCTCGACGAAGAAGATGTAGATGACGGGAATGAAGAATGCGTTCAAGACGGTGAAGATCAAATACGTTTGCCATTTGATGTTGTTGAAAGCGATGGGTGTAATCATGACAATTAAGAAGTTGAACAACCAATTGGACGATGTTGCGATTGCAGATGCAGGAGCACGGATACGGATACTTGTTACCTCTGGAGGGTACAACCATGTCATACCTAACCAACCGAGTGCAAAGAAGGTGTTGAACAGGTACAAGAACACGGAAGCCACGTAGGATTCTGGCAATGTTTTTCCTGGGTTATCGTTAATCTGTTTCACGGTTCCTGCCAAAACTGCCATTGATGCACTCATTCCGAATGCAGTCCACATCATCAAATTTCTACGACCGAGCGTATCAATCATGAAAAGTGCTACCAAGGAAGCCAAAAAGTATTCTGTACCGTTACCACAGGTCAAAAGACGAGCAGTCTTGTTCTCTGGTTGGACAGAAGCGAAGACAGTAGCAGCATAATACGTGATAAGGTTGATACCGGAAAGTTGTTGAAAGGCCTGTGCGACAAAGGCAATCGATGTACGATAAAGATTTTGTTCTGGTCCATTTTGCAAAAGTTCTTTGTAAGAGAAATCTCCCATCAATTCTTCTGCTGCTCCGATTGATTCTTGCAATTGACGTAATTGCGTTTGAACGGCTGGATCATCTGTTGTTGTGTTATCCAATTGGGCCAAGACCTTTGCTGCTTGTTCGTGATGACCTTTCTTGATCAACCAACGAGGTGATTCAGGCAAACAAAGAATACCGAGCAAGAGCACAATTGCGAAAGCGCATTGGAATGCGATTGGGAATTGCCATTGAACGGAGCTACCGTCAATCCAATAAAATCCATAATCGATCCAATAAGAAATCATAATACCACCTGCAATCAATGCACCTTCGATCAAGACCAAAAGACCACGGTTGTGTGCTTTTGAAAGTTCGGATTGCCACATTGGAATTGTAGAAGTGTTTAAGCCGTTACCCAAACCAGTAACCACACGTCCGATAGCGAATTGAGTCAAACGTGAATTGGCATCATATTTGATGTTAACTGCAGTCATGATAATTGTACCGACAATCATAGTGCATGCACCAATTGCGATTGAAGAACGACGACCGATTTTATCACCTTTCCATAAAACGATCAAAGAACCAACCATTGCACCAATTTCATAAATACCGGTAACTGCACCTTGAATTGTACTATCGAAAGCAGGATTACTTGGAACTGAACCACTTGTTGCTAATGCATAAGGAGGAGTTTCTGCCATTTTTGGGAAATAAGCTGCAAATTGACCTGCTTGGAATAAACCTGACATTACACCTTGATCATAACCGAATAACATGAAACCTACACCGGAAATCAAAGCTACAGCAGCAGTCAAGGATCTACCCTTGAGGGCCGAGCCTGTGAGGCAAGGCAATTGCTTCACCATCTTTTCAGGATGAGGTGGCGAGCAAGAAAGTGTGTATGAAGGAAAAGATCAACACGCAATGATGTATATGCGTGTAGGTCTTTGTGTTGGTGGTAAAAGCGAAAGGGGGGCAAGGTTATACTTCTTGTTTTTAGGAGTATTTAACAACCTTAAAGTTGAGCTCACAAGGTACGAATTGGTTTTGTTGGAGTCGATTGAAGTGTGCACAGGAACGCTGTGGGGATATCTGCAAGGGTTCGTTGGAAATAGGAGAAGGCGTAAAACAGGTCACTTCACTGCCAAGGATGACAAAAACTTTAAGATCTGCCGAACTAGAATGGGATGAAGATGCAAAAACCGGTGTATTGGTTTAAAAGTGGAGAATTTGCAGACCATGTGCACAAAGTGAATAGGCACAATTCCATTCATTTCATTTTTCTTTAAGCGAAGAGAGAATTCGATCGTTTGCATTTTGGGACGGAGGATTGATGAACAATCAACACACTGCATCATGCGTCATTCTTTAAGATATGCAAGTGGATTTATTACAATAAAAAGTGTAAATTCTTTCGTAATTCGCCGTTTTTTAATTCTGCGTCCAGGCCGCCGGTGCACCCTTCTTTTTCAATCGGCGGCAGAACTCTTGGTTTCTGCTCTTTTGTGACATTCTTCCATTGGCGCGCGGACGGCCAAAGTGTGTATGTAGTAACTCTACGCCAAAATAGCCGTGTGTAAGCGTCTTATCTCTTTAACAGTTGTGCTTTGCTGTACGGCGTTTAAAAAAGAATTCTCGTTCTAATTGGCATGATTCTCCCGCTAAAATGGATATTTTTATCTCTTTGCTATTTATTCTATCCGCACTGCACTGCACTGAAAGATAGGGGCACATCTTCTCTCACACGCTTGTCGGTGTTCTTAGTTCATTTAGTAAACGCCATCCTCCTATTATTCAATTGAATCAATTCGGCGACTAGATTCATAGTCAGCCACTCATCCGTGCTTTAATAGGGTTCTCAACAAAATGAAACTAAGAATTATAAGAAAGAGCCACAATAGTGGATCAAAACCAAACCATCTTTCCACTAATCATGCACCCCACATCATACCACCGACAACTTCACGGGCTAATTCAAGGAAATAACCTTTTAAATCGAATCATTTAAGAAATCCTTTCTCAAATCTAGGGTGGAAGAAATCACATTCATATAGGGGATCATTAAGAAAGACATGATAAGGCTAAATTGCTACAATAATTCAGCTTTCACCTTGATAAGGAGATGCGGCTTCATTGATCGAGAAAGGTTGTTGATGTTCGAAAAGGTAGGTAACATCAGGAACCTCTTTACGTTTGTATTGAATGGTACCTGAAATTGTTAAATCGCTTCCATTTCCAAATTGTAAAGGACCATCAGGAACAACGGTATCCAAAACGATCGGTTGACCATATTCTTGTGGAGGAATAGCCAAAGAAGCAACAAATTGTAATGGATCATTACCTTCTCCATTAATTGCAACAAATAAACTTGAAGGATAAACATCTCCTTCTACTGCGCAATTTTGTTGATATTTAATTTGAATTGGTTGACCTTTAACAACGTTCTTTGAAGGTGAAACGCTGAATGTTCCAAATTTACCATTACCCGCTTGTGAGCATGGAGCAGGACCTTCAACACGTTTGTTTAATGGACTTGCATTTGTTGCACTGAATGCAAGGCATGAAAGGACGACCAAGGCTGCTTTGGAAGAAAACATTGTTGGATTGAGAGAAAAAGGTGGATTGGATGAGAGAAAAAGGTGGATTGGATGATGAATATTGGATGCTCTAGAGAATTAAGCTGTCCTTATATAGGCTTCTATCAACAGCTTCCTGAGATCATGACGAGAGCTCGGACTCAGGAACACCGTCGCAGGGGATAGTTCATGAGAAGAAATAGAACTTAGTCGGCAAAAAAGGCATCTTTTGTTTAGTGACAGAACCCCTTCGGTGATGCTGACGTGCAGTCGGAAAGTTCTTTCTTATAAAACACCTTACCGGCACTGTGCCGGCGGCGCGCTTTATTTTTCATGCCGAACTCCGCGACAGTTTAATTTAACCAACGGAATAACGACGACATCCAGGTACTATCAAGGTGAGTGGGGCTAACGACCACGGGCTAGTCGCTTTCAAACTGACATGCAATATGAAAAGTCTAAAACAATATTGAATTAAAGTTACAGTGTACTAAATTTGTTCTCCCGCTTCAATTGCTGCTTGATATTCTTGGTGCAATTTGATTTGCTTTTCATATTCTTTCTCCATTCCTTTCTTCTTGTTTTTCGAGATTTCTTTTCCTTCTCCGTCATGGGTTGGAACTCCACGTTCATCCCAATTCGAGTATTCTTTTTCCGGCACGTTCGGAGCTTTGAACATTTCCGTTGGTGCAACTTTACCCTTTAATAGCTTCTCCTTTTTTGCTTGTTCTGCTTTAGCTGCTGCTTGTGCTTTTTTGTTGGCTTTATCAGCTTGCATTCGTTCTTTCTCTGCTCGTGCTGCTTGTAATTGAGCTGCATCTACCAATTTCACCAAAGCCTTTCCGTCTTCTTGATCTTCAAGTGCAACTCCCAAATTTACCATATCGATATCTCGCAACCGATCTGCTAAATGCATAAAGTCAGTATGTGAAGCTTTCTCCTTTGCCAAAGCGCGGACTGTGTCTCTGAAAGTCGATAGAGCCCGCAAATAAGGTATCAATAGCTCTTCTCGATCGACACCACCACTTTCTTCACCGCCTTTTGCGCTCTCGCCCCATCCGATATCACCCTCACGCACAGCTCCTTCTCCCAATCCGAGCATGCGAAGCATATCACCAACGTATTGTGCAACCGCCTCAATCACGCTCACATTCACTTCTGCTCTTGATCTTGACCGTTCGTACACATTGGCCTTAGATACCAAATCGATCAAAGCTGAAATACCCGTTGGCGTATCAAAGCTATCCGACATTGCTTTACGGAAAGATTGTTGGGTATCTCGCAAAGCCTCCATCAAACCCTTTTCATGATCTCCATAATGGTTCTCTCCATCAGAAAATGTTTCTCCGCGTACTTTTGCTTCACGAATATTAGCCCTTGCAGCGGCAAAGAAGTTGTTCAATGTATTTTCTACATTTCTCACTTCGGCCAAAGCACTCTCTTTGAAATCCATTTGAGCGGACCATGATTGCAGTAAGAATGCTAAACGCAATTGTCTAGCTGTAAATCTTTCCAGTGCTTCTTCGATTGTGATGAAATTTTTCAGACTTTTCGACATCTTCAATCCCTCGATGTGCAAATGACCTGTATGCATAAAGTAGTTGATCCATTGTTGGCAGTTGTGATGGGCTTCCGATTGAGCAAGTTCGTTATCGTGATGTGGGAACTTGAGATCCACACCACCACTATGAACATCAATCTGTGTACCCAACACTTCGGATGCCATCACACTGCACTCAATATGCCATCCTGGTCTTCCTGGTCCCCATGGTGAATCCCAGGCAGGTTCTCCTGGCTTGGAAGATTTCCAAAGTGCAAAATCTGATGGTGCCCGCTTCCCTGCGACGGTGGATGCACCAGTTGATAATGATCCTTCACCTTCTTCCAGTAACTCTTTATTTCCTTTGCTCCAAGGTGCTAATTTTGCGTATGAATGCTTGTCTGATCCACCTTTACGATCTGCACCATCAAATGCACGTGTATCAAACCAAACGTTCTTCTTTCCATCTCCAGGTCCTGCATCTTCGTATGCATATCCATTTCCGATAATCTTTTCGATGAAAGTGACAATTTCAGGCACATATTCGCTGACTCTCGTTAGGGTTGTGGGCGTTTGAACATGTAGTCGTTTCATATCTTTGAAAAATTCTCCTTCCCAGAATGCTGCCGTTTCTCTAAAGATTGCTGGATCGCTTAACGATTGACCTTTTTGTGCATCGATAAAGGGACCTAGAATATCAAGCGAAGACTCAATCAGAGCCGCAGCCGATTCACCACTCTTGTCACCTGCTGTGACTGACATTGTTGCTGCAATGATCGCTTGACGAGATTTGTTCAAAGCTGTGAACCACATAGACGTTTTTGGCTCTGTTTCTGAGGCCTGCTTTGTCCAAGCAGCATCCTGTACCATCCTGCGTGAAATCTCTTCGAATGCGGCTTCATCTTCTGGCTCTTCAGGTTCACCGGGCGGTGCTTTAGGTGCCAACTTCTTCAGCGTTTTACCGAAGAAGATCGACCAGGCTTGCCGAACATCCTGCAGCAACTCTTTCGATAGTCCTGTTTTCGAATGTTCTTCTTTGTATTGTTTCAATAGATGTGTATGTCTGGCTTTCAAGATAATCTTGTCATCGATATCGGTAATATTCATAACAAAATGAACATCATATCCGAAATAATCGCGTAAAATTCTTCGTAAAACATCTTGAGTGACATAATTACGTGCATGACCAAGATGACTCGAGTCATAAACTGTTGGACCACAGGTGTACCATGTGATCTGCTTGCCATGAACGGGTACGAAATCAACCTTTGTTCTGGTCAAACTGTTAAAGACTTGCAAAGAAGGTTCTTCGAAGCCAGCCTTTACGGCTGGCTTGTGCCATGTTGGCTGCTTTACTGAAGTCGATGCAGCTGATGTTGATGTGCTGGCCATCTTTGCTGAAGTGAGAGAGACTGATGTTGGAGTTCGAGAAAGTATAACTGTGTGATGAGGTAGTGCAAAGCGTGCTTGTAAAGAATGACGAAGAAGTGAGATTGATTTGTTTGAGAAACGTAAAAGCATAACCTTTTAAGCACAAGCAAGTTTGTACTTTCCGGTAACAGATTCAGGAGAGATTTGCCTGTTTTGTTTGCTGTTTGTGGTAAGGAGCGGCAAGTGTGTCGCTTGCAAAGAAGAAGAAGAAGAAGCTTAATTGACTGTGTGACTCAGGAATGTTTAAGCGGTACACGTGTTTGTGATAGGGTTACCCCCTTACTCTTTGCGCGTATCTTAACCACACTCACTCACACCTCACTTCTCTTGAATAAGAATGATTGATTCATGATTTAATAGATATAAGAGATGAGATAGGACATTGTGGAAGGATAAAGAGAGTTGATAAAGCACGATTGCATTGCAACTTGTGCCTGCTTAATCCTTGGAAGCGAGGGAGATAAGAGGAAGGGAGAAATAACTTGTATCGGGAGTCAAGAAGGATCCTAATCCTAAATAATAAGCAACAAATGCAGTTGCAATGCCCAATGCACCTCCTGCTGTTTCCAATTTTGTGTTACCGGTATAGTAATAGGCACCCAAAGTGATAAATGTAAGATCAAGCAAGAACAACAATAAGATCAAAGTGACTGAAGATCTTGCGGCTCCGAACATGAATAAAGTTGTAATTCCCATCCAAATCCAGAGGTATAATCCGATTGCACTGTCTGCTTCGCTGGCTGACATACCGGTCATTGAGTAAACTCCTGCAACGCCATCGTAAGAACCCATTTCACCAAAGAAAGGAATAAAGATGAAACTGAATCCCCACCAGAACATTCCATAAGAAACAAAGATGGAAGCTGTGAAAAGAGAAAGAGAGAGAAATCAGCCTCATTCTCTATATTAACTATATCGTTCAATTCTACTCACCACCAAGAGTGTTACCACTTGCGAATTCCCATAAACCGGCCAAGTATTGTGTCAAACCGCCGTAAAAGAGACTGAAAGTCAAGACTGCATTTGGCATAGCAATACTCTGAACTTTTAAGTTGTATAAACTTAAAACCAAAGTTGTTGTTGCGAAAGACCAAGCTCCCATTGGCAATGGATTTGCCAATTTACGATGACCTGCTCCGATTGCCAATAAATCATCATTTGCAACATGACCACCTGGAGTAATCGTACGTGTCATATTTTGACCACCTTCCATTTTTGATCCGTTTTGATAGCCGCCATCATCTTTTCCGAATCCGGCTTGATTGCCGTCTGTCATGGTTCCATTTGCTACCGACATTATTGTTATTTGATTTGAGGAGGGGATGAGATAGGAATGATTGTGATGATGATGATGGTGAGAGAGATTTGAATGATAATAAGAATGGAGGGAGTTGTTTGATTATACTTGCCGGAGGATCTCAAAGTTGCTGACTTTTGTGGGGTGATGCAAATGATCAGGTTATGCAAGAGAGTAAGATCCTCTTTTTTGCATTTAGTTCAAGTGCCATTCCACATTTTACGATCTAAGCGACTTCATTTATGCACCTTGATCGCAATTGTTTAAGCTTCGATTTCTCAGGCTATAATTATTTCAAATGGACATCACCATGAAGACAAAGGAGGTGCCTTTGAGACTGATACGGCATTTGATTAAAAATTGAAAGAAGGAGCAAATCATGAGCCGTCCCGATGAATTGAGGCTTATTTTTTCAAGGGATAAAATATGGTGAAACACCCCTTGATTACACTTTACTCTCCACTTTTTGTTTTACCCGTGCGAAATGCACTAAACAATCATTTCTTAGCCACCAAAGCGGCAGCCGTTGAGCATTTCTCACGTAAACTCCGCAAAGAGAAAATAAAAAAGGAAGACTGAATTAATGCACTCCAACGTACTTGATAGCGCATTTACCCCGCATTCGTATGTACCTCGGGGAACAGAACTATACTAATTTAATATGTAATCGTCAATCTAATTGTTCTCTTACTTGCGGAGTTGTATTTTGCCGAATCAATAAAATTGAATTCAAATAAACACTCATTCTTTGGCTAAAAAATAAAACGAAAGTGGAGAATGCTGAGAAAATGGAATTAAAGGAGTTAAGATACACATGCAATATATCAGTCAATCAATCATGTTGAACAAAAAACGGCAAATATTCAATTAAACGGGGTAGTGCGATCTGTAAAACACAAGAACCTTGCTCATTAAATTAAATTAAAACCGCTACCGATCCGTCACAGTTCCCGTCGTAAATTGAATGATGTAAAGAATGTGTCTTATTGTCTGCATGGGCCTTTGCAATCACGGAAAAAGTGCAGCAAAAAGATAAGGGGATGCAAACGAGAAAGCTACTAAAATACTAAGTCAAATGGTCTGATCATAAGAGTGACCATTCTATTCACCCCCGCAAAAGGTTACAATTCTCCCAACCTTATACTTGAGTGTAAATATCTTATACCTCTCCTTACCATCATCACCATCATCACATCTCCCTCCCTCTTTTATCATCACCTAGTATCCTTTTATCAAAATGAGTCGTACACTTAAAGAACAAATGGGTATTCACCCTGACCCACACGCACCTGAACATACAATTTCAGGCGGTAAAAGATTGACAAAGGTTGTCTCACGTAATGAATACGATAGTCAACAATTGGGTTTACCAACTTATCATCGTAGAATTGCAAAGTGAGTTTATCACCTTTTACATTGTGTGCCTATCATCATTCTGACTTTTTTCTCTCATTTTTCTTTTAGCCCCTTCCCCGTTTTTGCAATCGGTGTTGGTGCTTCTTTGTTGATGCTTGGATTACTCCTTGTCGAAGTACGTGGCTTGCAAAATACTCAAATCTACCTCAATGTTGGTTTACCGTTAGGAGGAATTGCTGTAATGACTGCATCCATGTTCTCTTTCGCAGAAGGGAATACTTTCTTAGCAACCGCAGCAGGAACATTGGCAGGTCTTTTGGGAGGTTTATCAATGATCTTTATTCCATGGACAGGTATCAAAGAAGCATATGCAATGGAAGCAAATGGAAATGAAGTGTTGACAATCATTTATTTATACAAGGCAGTCGGAATTTTGTTCTTTTGCGCAATGATTCCCGTCTTTTTACTCTTTTTGGCTTCTTTGCGAACTGCCGTTCCGGTCGCCTTTTCTGCATTATTGATCGTTGTCGCCGCAATCGTTCAAGGTGCCGTTTATTTGAATTATCCAATGATACACGCTCAAAAAGCTGCTGGTGCTCTGTTCATCATTGTCGGTATAAGCTTATGGTATTCAGCTTTGGCCGTCATCTTGAACGAAGAAGGAATTAGCATTTTGCCCGTTTTCCCTTTGCCTCGTTTGGAATAAAAGCATTGTCCCCCCCTTGCGCACAATCCAATCGTCTGCCCGATTCTTAGCTCAACAGGCAAGACAATGTACATATTCCCACTCATTTCAACTATCTCTCACAAATGAATAACTTTTGATTTCACAGAACGACCTTGTTGAATTTGAAATGATGATAAAAGTACAAAAGATGTTGTTTTCAGGTATAAGAACGATAAGTGTGTAAGTTTATAAAGAAAAGAATGTTTGCAGCATTTTGCGAGTGTAGAAAGCGCTCTAGCAAATTGTATAAAGCTAAAAATAAAGGCCAGACATACGATCAGTGGATATGGGTGCTTCTGATCTTCGTCTGCCATAAAGTGCTGAATGTTGAGGAGCATTGGCAGCGGTAAGTTCTGGTAAGGGTAAACTTGGTCTGCGCGGTGAAGCGAGAGGATTACTATCCAGCTCATTCTTCTCCAATCCGTTTAGAGAATCACTCTCCGGCTGCGTTGTGATACGTGTCGGATTATGCTGAACGTCTGGAATGCGGAACCATCCTTGTGCTAATGGTGTCCAATTATCTGATTGCGTTGGCACTTTTTGACGATCAGTGTAGATCTGTTGATGACCATTGGAATCATCCGATGCTGGTATTGTGAATGCAGTTGCAGATGTAGGAGTAGGAGGTAAGCCGATCGTTGGAGATGCAAACGGAGACACTCCCGATTTCAATCCTGAAGATCGAGTCATGATTGGCGTGACTGCAACTGAAGGAGATGTTTGTACGGTGGAGAGTGATGCTTTGTTACTGATCGTCACGGGAGCAGGCACGTCTTGCTTGCTGTCTCTTTGCAATTTTCTGTGTGCAGAGAAAGAATTGTTCACCATGGGAGTTTCAATGTCACTTTCATCACTTTGGGTAGCGCTAACATCGGCTCCTTGTACTGGAATCGCACCAAACTTCAGTCCGGAGAACAAAGCCATGTGGGGATCTGGCATGGTGATAGGGGCAGAAGTACTTGTTTCATGCATCAATGGATGCTGTAAGCCCGTAAAGCTGGGATCCACATGCCAATCACCTCGAGAACGAGCAATACCCATCTTGCTTGGAGGAACGGGTGCTACTTCATCATCGAGTTTGTATTCGTTCAAACCATCGTCCCTTCTTCCTCTTTTGCCATCCTTGATCAATGCCATGTATTGCGGCGAGAGTGGTGGCGTTCGTGCTGGAGCCAAAGGTTTTGCAGGTGGCGGAGGAGGTGCAGCAGTTGGTTCGGTGAGCGAATATTTCCTACGAGAAGGTAGACTTCTTTGTGATGAGTTATTACTACTTCCCACTGCTGAAGAAGGGAAATCGGATGGTAGGGTTGGAGTGGTATTGATCGATTTCAAATTGTTCTTACGCTTGAGTTGCTTGAAACGTGAAGATGTTGACGTTCTACCGGAATTTTCTGGCCAAAGGCTTGACTCTTCGCCTCCTAGCTCAGCAAAAGAAGAAGCAGCAGTAGGCTCAAGAATCAAGCCTCTTTCTGGTCGTGGATGCATGTCAAACTTGAGTGCCCGATTTTGCATTGGTGGCGGCACCGGAAGATGACCGTCATCAAGTGATGACATCCTTCTGGGATACCGTGAAGAAGCGGCTCCGATGCTGCGAGTGTGCTGAACAGGAGCGGGTATAGAGATTCCCGTCATCAATTCGTCTACCGTAGCACCAACACTTTCCGGTACGGCAGGTAACGTTCTCGTCTTTTCTTGCAAAGGTGAAGAAGATGAATGAGAAAGCTTTTTACGGATTGTGAATGGAGAATTTGCCGCTACTACACGACGAGCAAAGCCACCTTGACCTCCTGCACCCTTTTCATCGCTAACGTTCCTGCTGCTAGAGTTCGGTCCATTTGCCGGATCGATCAATCTTGCCATGATGGCCGCAATGCAAGCTGAACCAAAGACAACTGCACCCCAAGCTGCAATAACACAGGTATAATAAACGATATGCGCCAAATCCTCTGGTCCTTTCTGATAGCTCTTGTAGAGATATCTAGCCAAAGAAGCTGAAACGCCCAAGTAAAGTGCTGCTCCCAAAACGATTGCAGCGTACAAAACGGTCAAATTGATAAAACATCTTCTCAAATATTTGTATCGTGTGTAAGGAGTTCCTCCAACACTACTCAATCGTTTCGTTCCTGCTCGCCTTTGCATTTCCGGTTTCATTGGAGGAAAGAAAACGTCTTGACCTTCTTCACCTTCGGTGCTATTCGATCGCTTCTGTTCGTTCGATTCGCTGTGATGATTGTGTGAGAGCTGTGTACGGCCTTGGACAACTGTGCTTGGCGTTACGGGCGGTGAAGGTGCAGCTTCAGGACCTGCGATTGTCGTTGCTCTTTCCTGTGAAGAAGTGAGAGGTTGAAATAAAAGGGATGAAGTTGGATCGTGCGGTGCACTTTCCTCTCCCAGACTTATGATTTGTCGCATTGCAACTGCGCCTCCTGTACTATTTGTTCCCAACCTTCTGTACACTTGATTTCCGGGTCCTAAGCCATCTTCCCTGGCCAGCTCACGCTTTCTTCTTTCGATCGCTTCTTCTTCGATGTACTTCTCCCGTAATTCGATCAAGAGTGACTTTTGACGACGCAATTGACCCCAAACAAGGTAAACGAGATATCCACCTGCTGGCATATAAAAGATGAGAAAGATGGCTGCCCATACCGGCCAAATAGCATAACCGATTGCCATATAATAACCTGTCTTGACTTGCATGTCCCAGATAGTATTAGCCGTTGATAAAAATTGCAAGGATTGTTCTGGAGAGGCAGCAATGGGATTGGAACCTGCTGATGCGATTGCGGAAGCAATTTGCGCACGAAAGATTTTGTAAGCGCCAAAAGCGTCGTTTAAGTGATGTTGTGTCAATACGATGAGCGGGATAAGAGAGATTATCAAGATCAAAGGTGTACCGATGCAGAAGATGTTAATCACCAGCGGTCTCGGAAGGAATTTTCCTAGGCCATTGGAGCGTAAAGGACCTTTATCCAATGCACCAGGTGCAGTGTAAAACGAACCCCATCCTGCCATGAAAGCGCCGATCCAAAGTGGCCACCAAATGATAAGATTGAATGTGGCAATATGCTTTTGTATTTCATCCACTTGTCTCCAGTAGCCTTCGTATTGAATGATGATGAATGCAAGCCATAGCGCAGCAAAAACACCTTCAAACAACAAAAACGTATTTAACGCATTCGGAACCAAATAAATACCTTCTGATCTCCTTGTTGCTTTGAAAATCCAAAATGCTCTTTGTGTTACACGGGAGTATATTGTTGCCAAACCAACCAGGACCAATGTTGCAATACAAGCACCTGCTACTGCCATTTGAATGAAAAAGTTCTTTGGGAGATCAAATGCAAATAAGCCATGAATGAATTTATCCAATTCCGAAAGACTTTGAGCAGAAGCACCAGAAGAGGATTGCAAGCCAGTCAAGATTGAAGCAGGAAAATCTACATGCTTCTCATTCGCACTGCCGATCAATTCGATCGCCCTCTTTGCCACGCCTTCCATCATGGTGACCAGCAGGAGAAAGAAGAGCAGAAACTAGACTGTCTGGTGATACCGGATGCCTGTTTGAATGTGATCAAGGTCGCATATAGAGTTGATTATTGTTTGAAGGTGATGATGATGATGGTGATTGTAATGATGATAATCGGTAAAGGTATACGTGTGAATTAATCCGACTTTGCCGAAGTTTAATCTAGTACCTTGTTCGTCATGGCACGGGAAAGATTATTCTGCTTATCAAACATCCGTTTCCATCAAAGGTATCCGCAATTCATCCCACGATTGGTTGCACAAGCTAATGAAAGATGGTGAGACAAGATGAATGGAAAACAATATACAAATTACCAAAATAAAGTTGATGTACAATCAGAAAGACGGAAGCATCATATGCATGCAATTGCATCTGTATAGGTAGAGTGTATACAGTACTCCTGTTGATGTACTCTCTGTCTGTGCGTTTGCAGTTTAAGATGTCAATCATCAAGACCTTCTCTTTTGCCCGGATCGCTTGATAGAAGCATCATTGAAGCGATCCAGGCAAAATAACAACGAAAGCAATCGTTTTCGGCATCAGATGGAATGAAGGTGAAGAGAGGGTGTGTGTTGGTCTGTAAAACTCGGGTCGTTCACTGTGTATATGCCTGGAACAAAAAGAGAAGCCACAGTTGTATTGTTTATCGGCTTGTAATTGCCTTGGGAGCGCGTTGACAGAAAAAGAGCCTAACTCTAATTGATACAATTCATTCCTTCACTGTATGCACGCGTCAAATGACGTGTTGTATTCGATACGCTCTCTGAAACACGAAAAGCAGTCTATTCAATACAAATGCGGACAACTTTATGCATTTCAATCAATCAATTCTAAAACCCAATTCCTACGCTAATCTAACCAAACGCGGAGATGGATGCATCCTAAAAAAGAGAAGAGGGGGGATTGAAGAATGATGAATCACGTGCTAGATCAGGACTTCTTCAAGGCCATCTCTACAACTGTAGTGAGTGACACTGTGATGGTGTTCTATTCATTCAAGTGCCAAAATGAAATGATTCAACAGTTTCACCTGCTGTATATTTGGATGTTCCTAGTGTCGAAGAGAGGTAAGATGTAATGTGCTATGTCTGAAGACGGATGGCAATGACAAAGATGCTGGCAGCACGTGATTATAAGAAAGCATTACAAGCATCTGTCAGGGGAACAGAAGAGCTGACATAATCTTGCTCTTTGCTCATTCTTGTATCCCTTACACTTCCCCTGTGCTGTATTTTGTTAGAATACCGCTTTGACTTAAAGTCACCGTGGCCGTGCACAATGCATTGATTGTTGTGTATGTGTAGTGTGTCAGCAGTGCAGACTTTAGTGTCAAAAAGTGTGTTTAATGCTCGAGTGCAGGAACGTCAAACAGTTGTGGTACGGTGTACATAGCAGGATTAGCAAACAGTCAGGGTTCAGACTGATTGATTGAGTGCATATACTGACTAGATTGATGATGATGTTGAATAACCTTTGATTGTATAATCAGAGGTAAAATAAGACGTTAACTACAGGTACACTCTTTTTTTAGTCTCTTGAACATCAAATTATTCTCACCGAATAAGCATAAAGAAAGCTTTCCGTACTATAAAAAAACGATCATCCGGTTTCACTCTTCTCCTCTTGTTGTTCTTGCCTTTGATGTATGTCTGCCTCTACTGATCCAGATCAAGAGGAATATCAACATCAACCAATACGGTCACCAGATTCACCTAGAATCGATTCTCCCTCTTCCTCTAATTCTTCACAAGATCATCTTTTGGGCGCATTCAGTGATCAAAGATCAATCAAGATGATGCAAAGATCCGATTCATACAAATCCAAAAAGGACGGGTCGAGTGAAGGAGAAGAACGTTCGGAGCCTGGAACTAGAAATGCTGCCGGTGGTCAATTATGGACGGGTGTCGCTCCTGTCCCTGATACAGATCGCGTGAGCAGAGATAGCGATCTGAGTTTAAGTGATCTCTTTGATCCTCAACGAACGGCAAAAGAAAACAAATCACTATTGATGAGTTATGAATTGGACAGAATGGAAATGGGAAGGTATCAATGGTGCATCTTTGGTTTGTGTGGATTAGGATACTTTATTGATCTTCTTTGGGCTCAAGCACTGGGATTGATCGCTGTCCCTCTCAAAAATGAACCTACATTCGAAGCAAGTGATACAAATATCGCAACTCTCTCCACCGCTTTCAACGTTGGATTAACCGTAGGAGCATTCACTTGGGGAATATTGGTGGATGTTGTAGGAAGGAGATGGTCTTTCTACTTGACATGCTTGTTCTCAGGCGTTTTCGGTATTGCAACCGGTGGTTCCAATTCTTTCCTCACTTTGCGTATCTTGACCGCTTTTGTCGGTTTTGGAGTAGGTGGTAATATTCCAATCGATACGACGATCACCTTGGAAGCTTTACCCACCCGAAGACGATTCTTGTTGGTTTTGCTCTCACTCTTTCAACCTGTTGGTGTTTTGGTCGCTTCGGGTATCGCATATGGTTTCATTCCCACATATAGCTGTGCAAGTGGTTCGGCGGATATCTCTGGGAATGCAGCAGCGGAAGCATCGTGCACAAGTCATGAGAATCGTGGTTGGCGTTATTATTTGTTTACCTTGGGTGCAATTACGATGGGAATCTTTTTGTTACGGTTTTTAGTTTTCACATTTCATGAATCTCCGGCATTCTTGATCAATCAGAGAAGGGATGAAGAGGCAATTGCCGTTGTAAAGAGAATCGCAAAAACAAACAAAGCTCCCCAACCACAATTCACCATTCAAGATTTCCAAGAGATCGATCGAAGATGCGCAGAATTACATGGTGGATCAGAAGACTCTGATGAAGATGATCTCGTATCGCCAGGTAATGGTGGATCGGTGAGACGTGAAACTTACTTGCAATCCTTTAGACGTGCTAGTAGGACATTTGTTACCCAATTCAAAAACTTACGTATCCTTTTCCGTTCTCCCATCATGGCAAGAGCAACAATTCTACTATGGCTTACATATATGGCCGATTTCTGGGGCTTCAACATCGCCGGTTTCTTCTTACCACAAATCTTGGCAGCACGTGGAGCAGCAGCAAAAGTTCCACTTTCAGAGACGTATCGTGATTATGTTGCCATATATGCACCTGGTATCGTGGCATGCTTATTAGGAGGATTGCTTATTGAAATTCCACGTTTAGGCAGACAATGGAGTATGGTGATCGCATCTGCATTGATGGCAGTCAGTATGTTTTTGTACACGATTGTCGATTCACAAGCAGCAAGTGTTGGTTTGAATGTGTTGGAGTACTTTATGCAAAGTTTATTCAACGCAATCTTATATGCTTATACGCCTGAAGTGTATCCATCAGCCATTCGAGGAACAGCAGCAGGATTTACGTCTACACTTGGTCGTGTGGCAGGTATCGTTGCTCCATTGGCAGGAGGAGCTTTGTTTGGAGGTGGTGGTGACACACCTGAAGACAAGATTCAAGCATACAAGAATGTTTTGTATTTGGGAGGTGGTGTTACATTATTATGTCCTGTTGCTTTGGCATTGTTGCCATTTGAAACACGTGGTGTTCGTTCGTATTAGCATTTATCATCTTTTCTTTGTATCATCATTTTATCTATTGCAACACAATTTATCCGGATTCCCCGCACTTTTCTGCAAAGGTTGATGCGTGTGTACATGTAAGCTGATTTGAGAGAACAAAAGGGTATAGGGCGTGCAGCAGGTACGTGGCGCAGGGCACATGCACGTATTTAGTCACACACACACAGCCGCCCGTGGGTAATTGCCGCGTTTTCTCGCTTATAAGAATGCACGGCGTGCATTGTTGGCGTGAATGCTTACCACGCTTTATTGCATCGTAATGATACCGCCCGCAATGCAACAGAACCCTGCAGGGTGCCGCGGACGTTGACGCAGTGCTCCGATCAAAGCACGATCAAGATTCGGAGTTGCCATCAAGAAAGTAAGATTTTCAAAGCGAATCGATAAAGGATGAGAACATCAACCCATCCACGTGATGATCTTAATTGCGGTTTCTTTTATTCTGGATACGCTAGATTGATTCTTTATCCCAGGTACGCACGCCATTGTAAAAGCCAAACAAAAAAAAAAGAAGAGCCTAATCTTTACGCCCTTTTAAACAATTGGTGAGACTTCAGTCCAGCAAGATCGCCCCTAAAAACCATAAAGGCGGTGCATACAGAAGACACTGATAAAATGCATGGCACGTGTACAGCTGCTAGTGGTATAGTGATCTGATGCCTTTTGTATTTCTTATCGCTGTGCATCAAAAGAAGCCAAAAGGCGTGCTAGACTGATGAAGTGCATTTGTTTTCGATTGCACTAGTTGCAATATAAGGTTGCTTTGACTCAAGATTCCACGTTACAATCGAAAAAGATGGGGAGAGAATCTAAAGGAAGCGGCCGAAGAACCGCAGAAAAGTGACAATCTTCTAGCAATGCATTGACAAAAGGCCTTTTATCCGCATATACACTGATAATCTGTTCTTTCTCGGCATTTGAGACTTTTTAGGCAGCCTCGCTTGGAAGATCAAGATGTACATGATCAGTAGTTCAACTGCTCTTTTCTTATCAAAAAAATGACGATATTTTCGGTAGCTTATTGCGACTCCGCTCAAATCAAATCAAATGTGTGTGTGTTATGGACTTGTTCGGCCAGAAAGAGAGAAAGTGGGAAAATGCGCGTGATCCGTCTGTGTATTGTCCTTTGTGTGTACTGTATGTATGTATGCAAACAGTAGAAGGCATTAAAGCACTCTGAACCCCCCTCCCAATTTTTTGGAAAGGTTAATTGAAGCGCTCGCGCAATTGCAACTTTTTTTTTTTTATTTTGGTATACTGAATTACATACAAATATTTTTGGCTGGCACCCCGGAGTACAAACAATAATTTCTTAATCAAATTCAAGTTCAAATTACACTTTTATCACCATCATCAAGTCTTCGAAAAAGGATTCTTGGGCTCCACTCTCTCTCTCTTTCTTTCTTGATTCCCATTCTTTTGTGCCCTTTTTCCTCCTTAGTGCCGTTCGTGCGAGGGTGAGTGTTGATTTGGAGATACACAACATAATCATATGCGGCCGAGATGATGGATTGGAAGTGGTCAGGCTGCTCTGCAGAATGGCTTCTAGAGTAAATCATATCTCAAAGGTGATGAGCTTGTCTTTTGAGCCACCTCATCGCACTTTCTAGTCAGCATCTTTGGTTTCAAGCATGCTCACGCATACACTCTCTTCTCTCATTCTTTCCAGTTCACATTTCGAGGAGTCATTCATTTGATCTTCCTCGTCCTGTGTCCCAAAGACCACGTATTGAGCATTCGGTTCCGATCATGACAACATCACTGGCAACAAATCAATCAGCTTCAAGAATACACAATCAATCAACCACCAGCGTAAGTGTGAAACATGCAAAAATAAAGAGGGACCCTGTTCCGCTGACCGATTGCGAAACACCTTGCCTCTCTCAGAACAACAATCGCGATCAGAAAAGCACAATGTCAACTGGTATGCCAATGAAAGGTTTCTTTCATTCTACACCTTCACAAAGTCCCCCAGCAGCTACAGCAACAAATATCAACGGAGTAAGCGCAGCCCGATCAGCTCTCAATGGATCTGTGACAGACAATGGTGACAGTACAGCAGCAGCATCGATACCTTCCTCTGTTCCCAAGAACGGTAGGAGAAGGGAATCGATCAGTTCGCAAATGCGTAAATTGGTCAGCGAATCTCCTGCTTTGGCAGCTGGCGGAGGCGGTGGTGGTTTAAGCTTTCATCGTTCGGTAGGCAATTCAATTTCTCCCAGACTATCGGCTTCGCAGAAAATTGGTGATAGCAGTGCACTTTCTACTTCATTAGGATCAGCTGCGGAATTTTTATCTACTTCTGCAAAGACCGTCTCTGGTGCAAATGGAGGAAATGAAAACGGTGTAAAGGCTGAACGTGCTGGACATACTCATTTCGGTCAAGAGTGTTACGTACCCGTTTCGCCTGAAAAAGCTGGAAGCAATGAAGATTCTGCTTCGTCAACCGCTCGTGCACGTAGAGGTTCATTCAGCTCCGTCACAACGGATGACGATAAAAAAGAAGGCGGAATTCATCGATGCGAAGCATGCTCAAAAGTATACAGACATCCAAGCTGTTTGATCAAACACAGATGGGAACATACAGTGTACTGGAAAGAAGCATCGAAATTCTTGATGAGCAAACATCAACAAGTTCAATTGTTGGAAGCTGCTGCTATTTTGGTTGGTATGGATACTCATGCTCGTTCATTGCCTGAAGAGAAAGCATTATGGCCAGCTGCTGTCAGTCCACCGGCATCAGGATTGTTGGGATCAGATCGAATCAATTTCGAAAAATTGCTCGCCCAAAAATCTGCCAGGAAATCGCAATCACCCATGGTTGAACGTAAAGAAGTTGATGGATCGAGCAATGTGGAGAACGGTAATGGAACGATTGCTCATTCCATGCCTACCCATAGTGCAAGTTTATCGCCTTTGAACAATTTCACTTCGCTCAACCTTGGACGTTATTCAAGTTCGCGGAACAACGATATCAACGGTTTCCGTTTGGATGAAAGCGCTGAACGTAGCGTGCGAGAAGAAAGTTTAGAAAGTGAAGAAGATGAAGAAGATCGTGACTTTGATGATATGAACGAAGGAGATGAAAGTATGACGGGATCAACAAGCATTTCGACCGGATCGCCTTCGCGTGAAGCGGAAGAAAGGGAAAGATATGGTGCAGGCGCTGGAGGAGATGTTTTGGCCGAATTGGAAATGGAAGGTGTTGAGTAGCATTGAACAAACACAAAAAATTCCAACTTTTTGCAATCAAAGGACGAGCAAATTACACCGAAAAGAATGCCTTTTTTCCTCACAAAAATTATCACTTCCATTGAATACTCGTTTGCTCTCTCTTTCTCACTTTGCTTCTCTTCCGTCTCATCAAGTAAAGGTTCTTATTGTTTCTTTTTCAGATGTCCTTTGTCTTTTTGAAGAAAATGTCTCATCGTATATTTTTATTCTACCTTTTTGCCTCTTTTTGTTGCTCTATTTTTTTTCCAAACGTCACCGATATTTTCACAACGCCCATCATCAACTTCAATCTTTTTCCCCTACACACACACACGTCCCACAACAAACAAACAATCATTGCCGATCCTATTTAACTATGAAATACTGAATGTAACACAAGTGAAAGAAAGAAAATAAACATTATAACCATTGTGTTGATTGTGAGAGTAGCGTTGCACACGTGCACTTTTAAGCCTTTTTGCTCAAAGCATGCCTTGACCCCTGCCTTGCTTCACGTGTGTTGTGTCTGTGTGATCAACGATGGCATACGAATGAATGCAACGCCGATCTTTGTGTTGAAAGAGAGAGAGAGAGAATGTCATCAATGGCTTGAGAATTATACTTCCGTGCACATCATACTTTCTCACGCCTTGAGTGTAGTAAGCAGTATTACTGGATGATGTATGTGTGAAATCCGGTTCCCCGCTCGCAAAATTGAATGGGGAGCTTTTACGATACACAGTGCTGCATTGTATGTATCATACCATTTTTATCTTTTTTCATTTTTCATTCTTGCCCCACTTTCTCTCGGCGCTCGGTTTCATTTTCTCTCCTTTGCGCTGGATTTTGGGCGGGGACGGCGTGTGCTTTTTATTGTTGTTGTCATACCTGTGCTCAAATGCCTCAAAGGTGTGAAAATGAAGCTATCTATTAGACTAGAATTAATCTACCCGCTCCACAGGTTCGTCTTGTCTCAGTCAAGTCAAGAGCCTTTCCGCACTTTATACACCAGAATACATACATGCATGCACTTGACCACTTTATTTCCTACCATTGATGGAGAGACAGGGCTGAATTGTGCCTGGCCAGTCAAATAAAGGAGATTTAATTCTCTGTGACTGCCCCACTCGCACTCCCATTCTGATTTGAAAAGATTTGCGAGCGTTTCACTCCTTCTTCTTCCTTTTTGTCCACCATCTCCCACCACCAAAACTGATCTCCATCCCTTCCCCTACCGCTGTGTTCTTTGCTATAAGAACAACCGTCAAAGCGCTGAGGAAGTAGTGACTGAGAGATTATTATCACTTTTAACACACAAACACTAACTATATAATTCATCACAAATAAACCCGCATTCATCATGTCTACCAAAAAGAACATCGATGGTGAAGAAGTTCTGGAAGGTTACCGCGGTAATCTAACAAAAGATCAACAAAAATCACTTCGAGAAATTTACAAGCGATTGTTTGAACTTTATGATCAAAATAAAGGTCGTTCAGACGAATTAGAAAAGCTTGGAGGTCCAGCAGCAGCAGCAAAAAATAAACCAAAAAAGGACGATGGCAAAGGAAAGAAAGGAGATGAGGCAGGCAAAGATATTCCAAAGGACGATAAAGCCAAAGAAGAAGCCAAGAAACAAGAAGAATTACGTGATTTACGTGATATGATGGATACCTTTGGTGGTCCTTACCTTCGTCGTGGTCTTTGGGAATTCGTCAAACATGATCATCCAGACGCAGGAATCTTGCGTTTCTTGCGTGCACGTAAGTGGGACTTAGATCGTGCCTTGGCAATGTTGGCAGCCGCTTTGAAATTCCGTTTTGAAATGGACGTCGAAGGTATCATTCGCAAGGGTGAAGCTGGAATGGCCGATGAGCCAGGTTTCTTGAATCAATTCAGACGTGGTATCTCGTACATCAAAGGTAACAGTGATGCTCCAGGTGAATATCCAATCTACTTTATTCACGTAGCCCGTCACTTTACCAACGCTCAAAAGCACGAAACCCTTCAAAAGTTCGTCTTGCTTGCCATGGAGAATGCTCGTCAATTGACCACGCCTCCATATGAAAAGGCTATTGTCGTTTTCGATATGCAAGGTTTCGGTTTGAAGAATATGGACTGGCAATGCGTCTTATTCTTGGTCAAATGTTTGGAAGCTTATTACCCCGAATCCCTCCAACGTATTTACGTTCATTCCGCTCCTTGGATTTTCAAGGGTATTTGGCAAGTTTTGCAACCGATGTTGGATCCCGTTGTGCGTGATAAGATCAAATTCAGTAGTAAAGCTGCTGATTTGAAAGATTACGCATCCACCGCCAAATTACGTAAAGGAATGGGCGGTACAATGGACTGGGATTGGGACTATATTGAACCTGATCCACAGGAGAATGACCTGCAAAAAGACACCGAAACGGTGGAAGCCATGCAAAAAGAATACGACGACTTGGCAACCAAATTCGAAGAAACTACACGTGAGTGGATCAAAGCAGGTGATTCAGACGATGATGCACCTGATTTGACATTCAAACGTGAAGTGATCGCCAAACAATTGCGTTTGACAAGCTTGCGTATGAACAGATATTGCCGTGCACGTAACGTTTATCAACGTGCTGGTATTCTAAAAGATACTGGTAGATTCGAATGGGATTACCCACAACAAGACGGTGAAACAATTCATCAGACCATCAATGATCGTCACGATATCCTTGCTCTACGTAAGTGGCTGCAAGAACATGATGAAGATACTCTTGATGACTCAGTCTCGGGTAAAAAGGGTTACTGTGGTCCAGAAGCAGAACCGCTCAACCCTGTCGGAGGTCAACCAAATGCTGGGGGTGGCGCAAAAGGCGGTCAAGAATCTCAACAACAATCCAAGCCTCAACGCAGCAAGAGCGAACGCAAGCCTGTTGCTGAAGGTGCTGCCGCTGGAGGCGCAGCTGGCGGAGCTTTGGGTGCCTTTGGTGCATTGAAGAGTAAGGCCAAGGGTAAGTCTGATGACAATGAGCAAAGCGAAGAAAAGTCTCAATCGCAGCAAGAACAACAACCACGTTCGCCTACACAAGAAAAGCCAGAAAGACCACCTCCACGTCAAGCATCCATCTCACAAAGTCAATCACAACAAAAGAATGGCTCTGCAGAAGGCGAAAAGGAAGAAGAACCAAAGACGTACACTGGTGCTGCCATTGGTGCGATTAGCGGTGCTGCTGCCGCTGCTGGTGGAGCTGCTGCAGGAGCTTACGCCTATGTTCGTGGTGGTGAAAATGGTGAAGAACAACAAAATGGTCACCAAGATGAGCACAACGAGGAAAACTATGACGATGAAGACTACAACGAGGATGATGACGATGATGCAGAATCCAATTACAGTGACGAATCAATCACTCCTGATACAAAGGTCGATCTCTCTTTCATCGGTGATAAGCCACCTACTGCCGCTCAAGTGAAGCTTTCGGATGAAGAATGCAGACGTGACTTGGGCACCGTTCGTGAAGCCATGTCTCTTTTCTTGAACTCCAAGATGCGTGAAGCAGAAGAATTGTGCTTGGAAGGTGCAGATGTTCGATTGTACAAGGCTGTCGGAATGGCTTTGATCAATGCTGTCAAGTCCATCATGACTTTCGAGCCAACGGATTTCGAAACTGCAATCGCATGTTGCAAGCACGGAATGCAATTGGCAAGCTTGTTGCGTAAGAAAGTCGGTACCGTTGGTAAGCTCGTTGGTCAATCTAAAGAAAAGACTTTCAAGACCATGACTCTGGTTCAACAACATGCAGAATTGGTCTACACTGAATCTATGTTGCTCAAAGCAGTTTTGGGTATCTTTTACGCTGGTGACAGTTTGGCATTCGTCAAGCATGCTTTCAGCTTGCGTAATGCCTACTTTTCCATGCGTGAATTGATGAAATTCGTCGAATATTGCGATGGTGAAGCAGAAGAAGCTCAAATTCATAACCGCCAAGCCAAGGTAACAATCGATCAAGATTTCCGTTCAGGTGTTTACTTTTCTAATGGGATGTGCTCGTTGATTTTGAGCTTGTTGCCAGCCAAGGCCCTCAAGATGATGGAAGGATTAGGATTCACTGGAGACCGTAGATACTCTTTGGATCTCTTCTCACGTGCAGGTGGATGGAACAAGAGCAGACCTTTGCCAAGCGTTTCAGCAGATGAAGAAGGTGTTCGTCGTCCATTGTGCGATTTGGGTATCTTGACTTATCATTTAGTCATCTCAAGCTATGTGCCGGTAACGGATGTGGACTTTGAATATGCCGACAAGGTTTTGAGTTGGAACTTGGTCAGATTCCCCAACGGAATCTTCTTCCTCTACATGTCAGCCCGTCTTTATGCCGCACAAGCATTGCCCGAAAAGGCAATCGAATACTTCAGAAACGCAATCGAATCGCAAAGTGTTTACAAGCAATTGCATCACTTGTGCTTCTGGGATTTGAGTTTGACTTATTTGGCCACTTGCGACTTTGCTCGTGCATATGAATGCTATGATGTTCTCTCCAGAGAATCCAACTGGTCAAAGGCAATTTACCAATACGCCAAAGCAATCATGTTGTACGAAACTGGAATGGACGAACGTGCCAAGTCTGCAACAATCATGCGTACCGTACCTAAACTAACCAAAAAGATTGCCGGTCGTCAAATTCCATTCGAACGATTCGTCATGCTCAAAGCAAAGAAGTACATTGCCAACAACAACAGATTACCATTGGCCGCTTTGGAATTCTCGTACATTTGGCACTGTATGGCACAAACGCCTGTGTTCTTGTTGGTGGAGAATACGTTGACAAGAATTGATGAGTTTATTGACGAATTGGAATCTTATCATGACCCCAAGGCTTATGGAACAGGAGAGAATGAATACTGGAGCGCATACTGCTTGGCATTCTTCTTGCGTGGTGTTGCACTTCGATTCGTTGCTTATCCTGAACCACATACGCTCGTCAGATTGCCTTCTGATGATGCAATCGGACCAATCGAAGAGATTACTGCTGATGCAAAACAATCGTTCGCAAAGGTGTTTGAAAATGGTCATAGATTGGACGAAGTTGATCGTTATTTGGTTTATTTCTCTCATTATGAAAACGGACGATTGTTATCATGCATGGGCAAAGAAGAAATGGCCAAGAAGGAATTCAAAGCAGTCATGTCTGGAAAGGCATTGGAGGCCAAAGGCAAGAAGGGCGTTTCAGGTGGAAAAGCTTCTTATCTTTTGTCAAATATGTGTCAAGTTCGTACACATGCTGCTTTGGAGACTATGAGAATCACAAAGAATCGTTCGGGAAGCTTCTTCTCCAATTCAAGTAGTTCGTTTGCCGGTGGAAACACTTTGGGTTCCATGAACAGTTCAAGTAGAACATCTTATGCTTCAAGTGCTCAATCTCAAGGTCGTGCAGGAAGTGCGGCAACCCGTTCTACCAGCGTTAGCAGTCGTGCAAGTCAAGTCAACAATAATACCAAAGCTGCCGGCTCTCGCGCAAGTGTTGTGACTGCCAATTCACAACCTACAAGTTATGCTTAGAAGGAGGGTATTGACGGACCTTCTTGCTTTGCTATGATCATGCTCTTCATTGTATATAATTCGGATTTTGCTCTTTTTTTTCTCTCTCTCTTTCTCTATATGCTATTGTGGACCGCGGTTATGAAATGAAATTTGTTTTGCTTTTAAGTATTTGCATGAGAATGAAACTGGGAATATCATTGCATAAAGACTACGATTGTGTCTTTCTATTACATGTATACGTACAGAAGCAAAAGGGAAATAAAACAACTTGCGACTAATAATGAAACACACTTCAAGACTCTTCATGCTTTGGCGAACGATTCGGTAGTCCCAAAGGAGGTAATTTGTACGAGCTTGACTTTTCTGCATTCTCTGAAGGGGAATGGGTGATAGGGCGAGCTAATCTTGGGCCTATTTGAGATGGTGATTGATGAAAGCTTGAATTGCTTGAGCTAGGTCTTTGTCTTGAAGATTCAGCAACATTTGCCGGCGGTGGCGGCGGCGGTAAAGGTGGAAGAACAGATGGTGATGATCGTAACGGAGGAAGGATACCGTTTGCCATTCCTGCTGATGCGGATCGAGCATCTTCTCGGGCCCCGGTTTCGTCTACGTAAGGACTTGCCGCTGGTCCCCTTTCGCGTGCATAAATGCTGTTGCCGCCGCCGTGCTGGAATTCGGATCGATGAAGCGGCGGTTGTCCTTCATAACGTCCATATCTGTGATAGTATTCTTGTTCGTTCATACTGCCAGAAGGCGGCGGCGGCGGAAGCGGTGGAAGAGCATGTCTTGAAGATGATGTTGATGGCGCAAATGCAGCACGTCCTCGATCGTGATATTCTGGCGAACTTGTATGACGGACAAACCGTTCTGATTCTCTTGGATCGTTCGAATGCGATATTGGTCGATTGTACTCTTCAAAACGATCTGAATGCATTGAACCCGGAGAAGCGTGCGAACCTCCGATTGTACCTCTTGGACCGGAGGATGGAAGAACGGGTACGCCTTCCATCGGATATCTGGATGGTCCAGCTCGATAATTTGGCATTGATTCTGCTCTGAATCGGTCATCTTGCATCATTTCATGCTCGTGAGGCGCACGATAATACTGATGATGAGTCGGATAAGGAGGGTATTCGTGGTATGGCGGTTCGTTCATCGGCATGCGAGGATAAGGCGGTGGATAAGGCTGATAACGACCATCATAATACTCCGAATGACCTTGATGACTTTGAGCGTATGCATGACGAGAAGAAGGCGAAAGGTCTGAATCGTATGGATGGGTAACTTTTACCCTACGTGCTCGTGGTTTGATTACATCCGTTTTCAAACTTACAGGTCTTGGCCTTCCTTTAACTTTGGCAAACAATCCACAAGCGTTACACAACAAGCCACCTTTACCATCTCTTCTCCAAAGAGGTGTTTGTGTTGTACGACAATTACTGCAAACGGGTGATGAATCGGATTTTCTTTGTTGTTCGTTTGCGTCTCGATTTGAGGAAGTGGATGGATGACCATGCGAAGATGACCAAGATGATCCCAATTCTTTTGGAGGCATGGATGCATCTGAACGAGAATGTTCTCTGCTTTCACTTGATCGAGGTTCGATGGATGATTCGCTCGAATGAACTGCTCTAGATGATTCTGGGTGAATAGGTCGCGGAGGAGCGTTACGATCATCGTATTTACCGGGGTATTGACCAGGTGGTGGTCCGGTAAATTGATCATACTCCATCCTATCACGACGAGCATTTTGTTCCGAATTTGGACTTTGATATGGTGGTCTTGCTCTGTCGCCATATCGATCTCCCGCGGAAGGAAGAAGAGGCGGAAAGGACGATTGAGACTGGAATCGATTATGAGGCGAAGAATTTGCTAAAGGTGCAGGCAAATTTGATGAAAATGGAATTTGAACTCGATTTCGATTTAAGTCAGGCGGCGAAGAAGATGTTGTATCTATCTTTGGCCTTTGACGATCAAAATGAGGAGAAGTGAAAGGAGATTTTTCGATTTCACTCGCTCTGAGAGGCGGAAGAGGTCCGGAAAACTCTCTTCTTGAATGTCTATCCCTCTCATCGAATAAGGAAGGCAATCGAGTATGTTTATGTTGCGTCCTTTGATCGTATGGATGATAGTGTCTTGGTTGGTAAGGATCAGATGGATGTCTTGCGTGAAAGACTTCCCTGGAAGAGGGACCGGATGCGTAGATTGTTGTCATTGTATCTTGCTTTGGAGTATTTTCTCGTTTTTGGCTGTCATCAATCCCTTGGGGATCATCACCTTTATTCGACATACGGTCAATGACAAAAAGAGGAAAAGAAGAAGAAGAGGAGGAGAAAAAGGGAAATATCTAGAAAGAGTACATGGAAAAGTCTTGATCATGGGATTTCTTTTTCAGAACAACGGGATTACTGTCTGGATTTGATTCGACTTGAAGCCAATTATTCGGATAACAAGGGGAAAGAAAGAAGGACAGCAATGTTTCTTTTATTGATACCTAAATCTGATCGGCGTAAGAGAGAACCAGAGTAAGACTGTAAATTGAACCTTTTCGCCGGACCGCGTGATTGCTTTTCTTTCTTTTGAAGTGAAGGCGGAGAATGGAACGGAGAAAGAAAGTATAGTGTGTTTATTCTCTCAAATCATTTGAAATGAAAGATCGAGATTGTGACTGAGCAGATCGGACAAATAATCACTTTAAAGCGGAATGCCGTGAATTTGAATGATGAAAGTGTATTGATAGAAAGTCCGATTGCAACACAATCACCTCTTCTTCCTTTTCCGATAAGCGGGATCTGTATTTGAAACGATACGCGATCTTTTTTGGTGGTGAGGCGATTCGAGAACCGGACCTGATCCTAAATCACTTGAATGAGAAAGTGAAAGAGAAGAAGGAGGAAGTCTTGAATGTTTTACTATATGCCGCACCCGATACATTCAATAAAAGGTAGAGGAAGAGAATCAAGAAGTGTGAATAATTCCGTGGCAGTGAAAATTATACAAAATGGAATGTTGTTGTTGACAGGTTGTTGATGCATATTGATGGAAGGACGTATGTATGTATGTGCGTTCGTGTACGTACGCCCGTTCTTCTTCTTCTTTCAATATAACTTGTCACACAAAACAAGAACCCCACCTCTGTTTGGGAGATAAATTAGGTACATAGAAAAGCGCAATTAATCTCTCCGCATAGTTGTTTTTTTGGCAATCTTCTTCCTCGATCCGTTTCACCGTTCTTACAACGGTATTCTATAGATCGGGCAAAAAAACAAGGGAGTTTAATTCGGTGCACCTTGTAAGCATGATGCACGGGTAGGATTACCGACAAAAAAGACAGTGATTTGGTGGAGACCGAAAAGAGGAAAAAAAAAAGAAAAAGGCTTCCAGCGTTCCTGTTGTGGATGCAGTTCTGTTCAATTTCGGTACACTAAAACACACTGTCTTTGCGCGCTGCAACATAATTACATACAGACTTTTCCAACGCCGCCCACGCCCTATGTTCATTTCAAACTCCCAATTTTATTTCTTGTGCATGACGTCGTACATCATCTCGGCCAAAGATGGGCGGCAGCAAGAGCAATTCATATTCAAAATAAAATCATCGGTCATACACGGTGCGGCACCGGCGTAAATGGGCGCTGTAACGCCTTTTTGAAAGGGTGACCATCTTGAAAGCCGTCCTCATTTCAAAAAGGATGATGGAGTTCCGATCATGGTCACAAGTGAATGCAAAGAAATAGGGTGTATGTGGCTGGCTGTTCAACAAAACCCCCACTCAATTCCATTCACAATCGCTAAAAATAGATTGCTCTCCTGCAAGGTTCATCGAATTAAACGTTAAAAGATTGTGATTGCGCGCTATGATAGAGAAGATAATCAGTTAGATAAAACCCCAACGTACTTACAATGAATTGCTTTTGTTTTTTTAGCGTCAAGATGTGTTTTGTTTTCTTCTTTTAGCTTGACAGTTGTTGAGACTAAAAAAAGATTCTGAAAAGACCGCGTGCGCTCTTTTCATTGTCTTGCAGCGGAACGGCATGTACAAGAGAATGACCGAGAACAATGATGGAAAATAAAAAACTGAGAAAATGATTCTCATCATCATCTTTATCACAAGCCAAAGTGATGAGCAGCATGTACTCCCACTTTTATTGTCTCACTTCGGTTCCGATTATAGAATTAATTTATGATCATGAATTGCAGAAAAGTGCAAGATGTGCGTCGTTGCATCGTTAGCGTACGCTAATCTCTGTTTTTGCATATTTCCGGCAGCAGCAAACATGCATAACGTATGGAAATCGTTGATAACAATATATCTAAATGAGAATCGGTCTTCACTTTGATAATTAAAAAGATTTGATTGCCTGTCAATTTTCCATTCTCGGTTATTCCGATTCATCCATGCGTTTGTTGCATCTTGATGTACGTCAACGGTTTTTTTTGTGGCTTTATTTTGCATTGTTTAATTAAATATTTATCCATTTTGGCTAGAAACGGTCACCGGTTCCTATAAAAATCTAGACTCTTCCTTTTCTTGACATTATTCTCCTGCATCATCGTACATTCTTCATTGTTTCAGATTATCTTTTTAATCTTGATTAAAATATTCTTGATTGACGGATCATGCCTGCACATATCGGCTTGCTCTTTTATGATGTGCATACATGAAAGATGGAGTTGTACTTACATTTCCGCTTTTCGGAATTCCGTGAATGCTCTTGGGAGAGCAAGGCAAGGCATTGCTTACATAAGGCGATGATGGTGGTCATAGCACATGTGTTAATGTATGAGAATGCTTCTCAAAGTCACAGAAGACAGATTGATGATGATCTCATGATGATTGTGATATCATTTGGCAATTTGATGATCAGGGAAATTCTCCAAAAAGGAACGTCGCGCTAAGAAAAGGGAAGAAAGAAAGTTTAAAATTGCCTCTTTCGCACGGGCATCTTTGATTTTGACCATCATGTTCTCTCTCTAGAATCGATGGCGTCCTAATCATGTCTCAACAACTATACAACAGGCTCATAGTTGGTGATGCAAACAAGAAGATATGGATGCCAAACTTTCGATCTTGCTTTCGACTTTTGTTGATTGCAAGAGTAATGAGTGCATTATATTCAAATATAACCGATTGTGATGAAACGTACAATTATTGGGAACCATTACACCTTTTAACTCATCCACCAGCCCCGTCTGGAATTTCTCAAACACCTTTTCAAACATGGGAATATTCACCACAATTCGCTATTCGATCTTGGGCTTATATCGTGCAATATGCTCCGATTGCTGGAACGATCATGCGCTTGCTTGGTAAAGAGAAATCTGCTTCTTTTTATGCAACGAGAGCGTTTCTGGCCTTTTGTTCTTCTATGACAGAAGCTGCTTTGCTACAAACGATTGCAGATTTCATTCATCCTCATATTGCACGTTATACACTCGTGTTACTGGTATTCTCAGCTGGACTCTATGAAAGCTCAACTGCATTATTACCTTCAACTTTTGTCATGTATACGACAACATGGGCAATGTCGTTCGCTTTCAAGCCATCGACTGAAGGGTATGATCGTTTTCCTATCAATAGGACAATTTCGTCAACCGGCAATCGTTTCAGGACGTTAGCAGCAACGGCCATATTCGCATTGGGCGCTTTGCTGGCATGGCCTTTTGCGTTGGTGCTGGCGCTACCATTCGTGTTTGAAGAGCTGTTTTTGCCTTCTGGGCTATTGGTTCAAGGAAAAGGATATATTGATTTTGTCTTGCTTCGTACCGGCCGATGGATTAAGACAGTGGTGATTTCCGCTCTGATTGCCGTTCCGATCATCTTTGTCGACTCTATGGCGTATGCAAGGCTGGCAATCGTGCCTTTGAATATAATCACATACAACGTTCTCTCTGCTCGAAGAGGAGCAGGTCCTGAATTGTACGGGGTTGAGCCATGGTATTATTACCTCTTGAACCTTGCGCTGAACTTTGGACCAGCTTTGGTGTTTGCTTTGATCAGCTTGCCAATGATGTTGCTGATCGCAATCTTTGATCCGGAGCGTATTTCATTCTCGTCATCGAGCACATTCGCACAAGATGCATCTAAAAAGAAATCAAATGCGAATGTCATCGACTCTTCTCCTGGTCTTCTTTTGACTTTTCGTCTTTTGCCGTTCTACTTGTGGCTTGGACTGCTTACCCTGCAAGCGCATAAGGAAGAGCGATTCGTGTATCCCGCCTATCCTCTCTTATGCTTCAATGCAGCGGTCGGTCTGTACTGCTTCAAATCACTTCTGGACGCCATCATTGCAAGCTTGACAAATGGTCAGCAGAGCAAGTCTTCTCGCCAACAAGGCTTCGGTATAACAACGATCATAACTGGTGCCATCCTGGCTGTGACTTGTTTGATTTCAATCTCGCGATCTTTGCACACCACGCACTCGTACAATGCGCCATTTGACGTCTTGCGGCATCTGTCAGAGGAGGAGTTGCCTCGTGTGATCAGGCATAACTTTCCAGTGGGTGCAGGTGCCAAACAGATTGGTTCACCTCAGGCGGCTAGAGGAGAAGTAGATATGTCCCTGTTGCTCAAGCTCCCGAGAACCTCTCAGCAAGAAGAGCCATTGAGGTTATGCTATGGAAAGGAGTGGCATAGATTTCCGAGTACGTACCTTGTACCTGATGGAGTAAAGGTGGACTTTATCGCATCCGAATTCAGAGGAATTCTTCCGAAACATTTTGCAAGAGGAGAAGAAGCAAAGTCTGCCTCCGTACAAACGAATGCCTTCTCCAATCTATCCCCCACGTTCTGGCCTTGGGGATTATTTACCCAACCGATGCGAGATGGTTTCAATGATCTCAATCGTGAAGAGCCAGATAGGTACGTTGATATAGACAGTTGTGATTATTTGGTGGATATAGATTGGACGCACAGGTATGCAGATCAATCACTGGTGGAAGAAGCTGCAAATTCGAGAGAGCCAAGATACCTCCTGGACCAGGAAAAGTGGACTGCCATTCATTGTACTGATTTCTTGGACGCAGGCTGGAGTCGAGCAGATCCAGGAGCATCAAAGCTGGAAAAGGTACGAGCGACGATCGATCGTGCTTTTCATATACCCAACCCTTTCCGTGGCCGAACGAATCGATATGGTCAATACTGTCTTTTGCGAACGAAACGGACAAACAGCTTTGCCAATCAGTGATGAGGATATATAGACATTGTTCGCTGCGCTAGATGCTGTATACTCTAACACTCTCAAAATCATGTAAAAGTTAAAATGGTCAATTCGCCCGCCCTTTCAGGATGGTGATCTAGTATGATCAATGAAATTGATTGAATTATATAACAGTTACACAAATGTTTCAAATGACTTTTCGAAAAACTGCCGTTGACGAACTTAAATGTCAAATTCTTTCAGAAATCAATTTTATTGATCTTGAGGATTCGTAATGTACAATTAAAGTTCAACATATCTTCATCAACGAATTCAAATGTACTCAAAGTCCATTTGTGTTGTTTCAGTCTTCACTGTGGAAGAACTTGATTCGGATTCGCATGCAGTCATTGTCTTGGCCTTGAGCTTGAGCATGTTAAAACAATTTTCGATTCTCTCTGCATGTGCATCCGAAATGTCTTTCAGTTTATCATTCAGTGTCATCAGCCGTCTACGAAAGTCGAGCCAAATCTTCTCTTGTTCCGGAAGGGCTTCGAACATGATATGCTTTCCTCCTGGAGCGCAACTTTGACCGAGTGTGTTTGTCAAATACTCCCTGATACGATGAACGCTTTCGCTTTCGTCAGGAAAACCAAATTGTACTACCCTGTGCAAATTTCCAAGTAATATGCTTCGCGGTCTACTTGAATGCAGAAAGCTGCAATTATCAAGATCGACCACTAGAAGATGAGTCTTGGCCTCACCAGCAGCCCCTTCCCAGCGGATTTCGATGTTGTCACCCGAGCCCCATCGTAAAGTCGGATTCAATTCAGGTCCAATGAAATGATCCGGATCGATGAGCAATTGCTTCAACTTTAGTTCTGCCGACCCACTAAACCAGTACATTTCTTCCCACAGTTGGGTACGAAATTCGGGTAACTAAACGTTTTTGAACCACTTCTTTTCACTTTTAGGCATCATTGGAACCATGAATTCATTTTTCTCGGTCACGGTCTCTTCGCTTGCATTCTGGGACGAAGAGTGAGTCTCGTCCATTTTGAAGTTGATGGAGGTAAGGGAAGATGATCTAGAGAATGTATGCACTTACTGTTAGGATGATAGAACGGAGAGAAGGTTGGAAGACGGGGCTTTGTTGTGTCTTATACGCGTCGCGTATCTTGTAAACCTCCTCCTCATCTGATTTGAAAAGAACGACTCAGCACTTTACACACATATGAAAATTCCCAGTCATTATTATAATGTTAAAATTGTTAATTAATAAAACGGGCCGAATTTGTATGTGTTTATGAAAAATACGATGATAAAAATACATTTAATTGATAATTTACAAAAGATTGCGTAAACGAACATCCTCATCTTGTTCTAATGCAAGACGAACTTCATCTTCTGCACATGTTAGAACATAACGTGCATACCTTCCACTTCTTGCGGCCGCTGCACCTGTTCCAACGGCAATCACCAAACCTAAAGCGCAAAGGTGATTGATAAGGTAAGACATACTCGTCAATCTACCCAAATCATCTTCATCGTATACGACTCGATGAATGCCAACCTTGGATTCGTTTTGAAGTTGAATTGCATGCATTCTACAAAGGCTTGCATGTGTGTTTGTGATTGTGCTTAAATCCACTTCTGCTTTTCCAGCACGACGAACGGCAGCCAAAATTGCAACGATTGTCATCTTTTGTTGGAGTGATAAATGTGCAATGTGTGCGCCTTTACCGGATTTCACCATTGCATCCAATACTTTTTTCATTTCTCCGATCGTTACCGGTTGATCGAGGTGTACCACTTTTGTACCTTCTTCAACAGCATCGATCGAACGTCTACAAACGTCCAGCATTCTACGTGCATCACCGGAGACGTTTGAAACACGTTTGGCAAGGTACACTAAAGCTTCAGGAGCGAAAACTCTTTGACAGCCTTGTGTGAATGGTGAAAGTTGGTGCGGCGGTTCTCCCGTTTGAATTCCTAATCGTGCATGAACGATTTGAACCAGTTCACGGTCGTTATACGGTTTAAATGTGATTCGTGTCATTCCCAATCGACTGGCAACTTTTGCATGCAAGATACGTTCAGGCAGATCCATCGTATTGGCAATCGCAACAACCACCAATCTACTGTCTTGACTGTTTGGCCAATTGAACATATTGTACATGACATCTTGACGTGTGGTGACCATTTGATCTAATTCATCCATCAAGACAACTGTTGTTGCTCGTCCAGGTCCCATCATTGAAGAGGGAGTGATTGCGAGCTTGTTGCTAGACCGTTGACGGGCTCCGAAATGTTGAGAAAGATGGTGTAGTGCATTCGCATTAGAACAACGCATCCCAGTCAATGAGTGCCACAGAACACCATAAGCATCATGTGCGTCTTGTAATTTCATTCCATTGATTTCGACGAAATTGAAAGGACTTACTTCATTCCTCTCTGATCGCTTTTGAAGATTTCGAATCACTTCACGTACTGTTGCCGTTTTACCCGTTCCTGGTACTCCGGAAACATAAACGCAACCTCCCAAACCATCTTCAACCGCATCTTCCAAGCATGCCATCACTTCTTCAAATTGGTCTTGTCTGCATGGAAGTGATTCAGGTGTTGCTCCGACGTGTAACAGACGTTTTGCTCTTTGTTTGGCTGTCATGCTTTCAACTTCTTTGATTGGGAGTGCATCCAATGCTTTTGGACGAGCAGGCAATGCTGTTGGTGCCAAGGACACCGTGCCCAGAATACGCATCTTTGATTTGGGTGTCGCCATAGCTTTCACGGGTGAGCTTGTCAAGCCATCCAACAATTTACGCTTTCGTGGAGTTGTAGGCGCATAGCCTGCCCTTCGCTTCTTACTTGGAGTCCGACGTACAGCAGTATCCCAATCATGTTCATCTTCATCATCCATGAATAGAGCATCATCGATATCCAGCATGCTTTCCGCTTCACTTTCTTCTTCCAAAGCGAAATCATCATCAGAAGTGACAGAAGTAGCACTTTCGTCTGAATCACTTTCGTACAAATCGCTTACGCTTTCTGCGCTACTTAATGCGCTGTCGTTGTTTCGATTCAGCCGTGCTGGTTTTAGCGGTCGATCGCCAGTAGCTCTTGCCATTCGTCTTTCTTCCTTTTCTCTCATTCGCTTTTGTCTTCTCTTGCTTGGCGTGTCTAGTAGTGCAGCAATACGTTTAGCCTCCAATTGCTTTCTGATCTCTTGACGATCTTTTGCCGTGGAACTCAATGTGATTCCCTTTTCCTTTGCCAGCATTTTTGCCCATTCGTTCGCATTCTTGCCTGGGGTTGTTAGAGGTGTGGTAGTTGCTTTTGGTTCATTGTCCTCCATTCGCTTGCGTATCTCATCATCCCCTTCAGCAAGGTCCCACTTGCCATTCTTCTTTCCACGTTGAACAACCGCTTCCCAATCAACGTTCCAAAATACTTCCCTTTGTGGATCGATTGCGCGTTTGACAAACAGATGGGAAGGCATCCGCTTACGTTTGAATGATACGCCATTTTGTCGAGAAGGGGAGCTTGCAACTGCTTTCCTGCAATTTGAAGCAGATGAATGCATTGTAACTTTGCCAAGGATTGCATCTGCTTTTACCACCATGTTTAAGAGTGATGGACCATGCTCAAAGTTATCCGTCAATGCTTCACCACCTTTGCCGCCTCGTGATGAGTTCTTCGTCCGCCTCTTTCCCAGCAGTCTAGGTGCTTGATGGGTGTAGTACACTTCATCATTGTCTACCAAATTTGAGAGCTTTGCGCTGGTGACCTGACTGACATCTTGTGGCCAATACAGATAGCGTAGCTTGCAGAGGATTGTCTGGCCTTCCTTTTCCTCTTCTGCTTCTTCCGAGGTGAGAATGTCGGTCAGAATACCTAGATGCGGCCTGGTGAGATTGGATTCGATATAAACTACATCTCCTAACGAGAAAATCTCTTGAGATGAGCTACTGGGAACGAATGTGCTCGTATGCTGTGATTTGCTTGCTTTTGGTGTTGAGTCAAAATCGTCTTCTTTTTCCGTATCTGAATCATTTCCGGCATTTGACAAAGATGAAAGTGAAGAATCACTCTCCATTCCTTCATCTTCGGTGGAGTCAAAGGTGACGACCGGTAATCGTTTCGGATTCCATGCTGCTTTTTCAACATTTTTGATTGCCTTTTTTGCAAATGCCTCATAATGAATCATTTCATCATCCGCGTCGGTAGCGTTTGAAGTTGATGCGATTGGCTGTAATGGTTCATAGTGATATGTGATTTGCTCTTTCGAGCTTGAAGTTCTTCCACGCATGTTTTGTTGAATGTGATGAAGGTTGAAGGGATATGACATCCTTTCTTCCATTTATCTACCAAGCATATATGCAATTGATTGATTCTCTACTTTTGAGCCTATGACGTGGGAAAGAGGCACTTTATCACTATTCACGCAAATGTAGACGCGATTAATTTACGCGTGAGGAAGAACGCGTCGACGTGTTAACAGCACGCGTTGGTGTCGAGCACTCAAGACCTTCTTCTCAGCCAGGAGGCATGTTGCATGATGCCTTGTTTCTATCATAACTCAAATGTGTGCAAAATGCAATTATATCCGGTTGCATTGGTAATTGCCACCTTGTTGGCATCGCATGGATATCGTAAAGGTTCACTGTCATCATCTGGAGCATTGACGGCTTTTGTGGTGGGTTACATTTCCTTGGCAAATCCAATCAAAGCTTTCGGTATAACGTTGATTGCGTTTTATTTGACGGGCAGTAGAGCAACAAAAGTTGGTCATCAGATAAAACAATTGCTGGAGATTGAATCACATCATATTGCAAAAGCGAAAGGGAATGAGAGCAATGCCAAAAAGCACAAATCAGCACAGGGAGGTCAACGAGATGCTTGGCAGGTGCTCTGTAACAGCTTCGTAAGCGCAACAGCTGCTTTGCTATTTAGACTATTGTACGAAAACCCCGCCCAGTGGAAAGATGGCAAAGCATGGTGTTTGTTCGAAAAAGCCCCTTCCAACTTTTTCGGCAGCAAGACTGTGCTGGAGAGCGTTCTTCCGGACGTGATCGCTGACAATCTCATCACCAGACATACGCCGCGCTTCTTGGTTTTGCTCATGATCGGACATTTCGCTTGCTGTATGGGAGACACATTGGCTTCCGAGTTGGGTATCTTGGCCAAAAGACCACCAAGATTGATCTTACCGCCTTTCAAAGTCGTTCCACCTGGTACGAATGGGGGCTTGTCTGTTCAGGGCACTTTGGGATCACTGATTGGCGGTGCATTTATTGGATTGATCGCAGGATTAACAATCGTTTTCAAGGATAATAAAGCGTGCTATGCTGCCTCATCCCACATACTCATCAAGACAGTCTTCTTGGGTGGATTAGGCGGTATTGCAGGAAGCGGAATAGACTCTCTCTTGGGCGCCACCTTACAACGAACATGGTACAATACGAAAACAAAGCAAGTCCTTCTGGGAAGATTACCCCCAGCGAATAAGACCCAGAATGACTGGCAAGTCATCACAGGATTTGATGTGTTGAGCAATAATTCCGTCAATTTCATCTCGAGTGGCTTGACTGCGATTCTAATAGCATACCTCGGTAATTCCTACCTTTTCTAGCAGAAATGCTCTCAATGTACATTTAATGCATCCATTATACGATTTAGCAATACAAAATCAATTACACTTTAAGCAAAACTCTCCTCAATTCGTCTAGACCATCCACACTACGCTCGTCCCAACCTCGCTCCTTGCCTACACTTGCGAATGCGCAGATGGCCTTGCCGCCTTCAACGATGTCTGAATCAAGCCTCTCCAAGCTAGTTCCCGCAGAAAGTCCTATACCGTTCTTACTGGGGCTGCTCATTGTTCGCTCCAATACATCCCAATCCACATAATCAATCACTTCTTCATCCTCTTCTTCGTGTTGGCCCGCATCTGCAGCTGATCCATCCCCTTGACGATTGGACTTGAAGCCGAAAATGCCAAAGATGCTTGACAAAAGAGAGTTATTCGAAGATCCACCCGTCACCTCTGACATTCCTCCAACTTTTGTCGTTCGTCTTGCACCGAATCCCATTCCAGCTCTTCTGCGGCCCAATTCCACTTCTACTGCCGTTCGTGCACGAGTCAGTAGAATTGCCCGTCTCTTGCTCTCGTCTGCCGACATGGAAGAAAGTGAAACATTGGCCAAATGAGGCGAAAGGTCGGATCTGGTAAACAAGAGTACCAATGTTGGAGGAACAGATTTAGCGTTTCGGCGACTTTTGGCTAATTGGATAAGGATTTGGTGCAAATGATCCACTGCTTCGATCAAGCTGCCTTCTTTGGCAACTCCCAGTCCGGCACCACCACGCAAAGCTTCTTTTGCGTCTAGACAGAAAACGATCACATCGGATTGTTTGATGTAGTCGCCAATAATGCGGTCTTTAATGCGCGGATGTCCTGGTGTATCGATAAGAAGTACATTTCTCTGTTGCTGTGAGCTGAACTGGTCCTTTTCGTTCGAGGTTGAAACTGGTGCAGCCAAGTTGATCAAGCTCTCAGATTCTCGCTGTGATGGATGCACAGATGGGACTGAATTGAATGCCAAAGCGCTAAAGAGTGAAGTCTTGCCCACGCCAGAAGGACCAGCAAGAAGAGTGAGCGGAGTATCGCTTGCTTTTAGCCTTCTCTTCCTATTTGTGCTTCCCTTCTCGGCTGTAGCATGTTCAGCAATTGCACGAGGATGACGTGCTTGTAAGGCGGTGATTATGAATGTCAGGAGTACAATCACAGTAAACGAAACCAAGATTGAGAACAAAAGATCTGGCGAAAGTTCGGATAAAGGTGAAGGCAGATGGGGTTGCCATTTTGCGAGGATCTCTTCTGCATTGAGACCCAGCGCATCTGGCCATCTGACAGCCGCTCCCAAGAATGCCATTTTGCTTGATGATGATGATGATGATGGGGTGAATCTGGGTGTAAGTGTGGGCCTGTCTGTCATTCTTCTAGCGCTGTTCTGGCTCCACGTGAATGTGTGTGTGTGTGTGTGCAGTGCAGTGCACAAAGTGAGAAGACGCGTACGCTTATTCAAATTGCCCAATGCGCTGATCACTCTGCGTTAAGAACATCACTCAAACGATTCGTGGCCTTCTCAACATCATCATCATCATATCTCATAAAAATCATGTTCCGTAATACATACGATAGCGACAACACAGTCTGTGAGTATATTCTCTTTCCCATGAAACCCTGGAGCACATATTGACCTCCCGTCCACCCAACAGTCTCGCCTCAAGGACGGCTGCATCAAGTCGAATATGCTCTTGAGGCTGTCAAACAAGGATCGGCAGTTGTCGGTCTACGATCTGATACCCATGCAATCCTTGTCGCATTAAAGCGTGCTCCAAGCGAATTGGCAAGCTTTCAAAAGAAGATGCTAAGGATCGACAACCATATCGGAATGGGTTTCGCAGGATTAACATCAGACGCTCGTGTTTTGAGTAATTATATGAGACAGCTTTGTCTTTCTTCCAGACTGCTTTATTCTCGTCCATTGCCAGTCTCACGTCTTATCTCAAGTTTATCTGATCGTGCTCAATTGAACACTATGCAATACGGAAAGAGACCTTACGGTGTGGGATTCTTGGTCATTGGAGTAGACTCTCAAGGACCGCATCTATACGAATTCTCACCAACAGGAAATTGCTTCGAATACTTTGCAATGGCTTTGGGAGCACGTAGTCAAAGTGCAAAGACGTTCTTGGAGCACAACTTTGAATCTTTCAAGGATATGGATTTGGATCAATTAATCATTCAAGGATTGAATGCTTTGCGTGATACACTTCAGCAAGGAAAAGAACTGGACGCGGACGCCGTCTCGCTCTCAATTGTTGGACCAAATGCAGATGCAGACGCTTCTTCACCAGAATCGAAAGGAGCAGAGAAGTTCCGCATTGTCGAAGGTGACGCACTAAAGAAATGGTTGGATCAATTGGAGAAACGTAAAGGACCATCAACTACAGGCACAGGTACACAAGCCGGCGGAAATGCTACAGTAGGAGATGTTGAGCCTATGGAAGAGTGATCCTGTATTATTTAAACGCAAACAGCAATCAGATGGCTAATTTGTAGAGATTGATTGTGCTGATAAAAGATACATTAAGCTCCCAGGGAAGTAGCTTCGCGTTCTGCTAATGAGCCACTTCTCTTGTCTATGTGGGAATAGGTAGACTTGCTTTGGTTTGTCTCGGACTCTTTCTCTGGAGCACCCCAGCCTCCTCCTCCGGGTGTCATGACAACTATCCGGTCTCCTCTGTTAAATTTCACCGTTGTCTTTCCACCAAGATTAACAACCCGATCCTTCCTTTGACCATCTGCATTTCGCTTGATCCACAAATTGCGTCCATTCTGTGCATCTTGACCTCCTTGTAGGCCATAAGGACGAAAGACTCTTCGCTCACTCAAGATGCTTACTTGGATTTGTTTTGACAAAAATTCGATATCCCGAACGACACCATCCCCTCCTCTATACTTTCCTGCTCCTCCACTTCCATCTCGAATAGAAAACTCTCTCAACACGACCGGATAACGTCGTTCCATAATCTCAGGATCGGTGATGCGGGTATTTGTCATGTGGGTATGAACACCTCCAGTTCCATGCCAAGATGGTCCTGCACCACTTCCACCTGCGATTGTTTCATAGTACCCAAACCCTTCCACATGGTTTCCCTTCTCATCTTGACCGCCTAATCCGAATGTGAGATTATTGCAATCACCTTGACTTGCAGCACACGCTCCAAATGCTTTCAACACAACATCTGTGATTCTTTGACTTGTCAACACATTTCCTCCCACAACCGCTGCTTCATCACTAGGATCCAAGAAACATCCTTGCGGGATACGTACTTCGATTGGTGTCAAACAACCTTGATTCAGTGGAATATCCTGATCCACCATTGCACGCAAACAATAAATGATTGCCGAAAACACGACACTCTTTGGACAATTGTGATTGCCGTACACTTCTGGTCCCGTTCCCTCGAAATCAAAGATTGCTGAGCCCTTTTCTGTATCGATGGTCACTTTGAGCTGGATTGGTGATCCATCGTCCATATGATCCACTGCTAAGAGCTCTTTTGTGTCATTCTCCTTTGCTACCTGACGCAGGAGATTTCTGACAGCAGTTTCTGCGTTGGCACGAATATGACCCATGTAATCCTGAACTGTTTCGAGACCCCACTCTTTCACAAGACCATGAATGAGATTGATACCTTTCTGATTTGCGGCAATTTGTGCCTGTAAATCACTCTCAACATCACGCAAGCATCTCGTTCCACTACAGCCAGGATATTGCGCCGGATCTTCGAGAATATGCTTCAATAGGCCTTTTCGATCATACTCCCCTTTATTGACAATCTTGAATGACTTGATCTGTGCTCCTTCCTCATAGATCGTTTTGGAAGTGGGTGGCATGCTTCCAGGCAATATCCCTCCAATATCGGCATGATGACCTCTGCTTGCTGTGAAAAAGATGATCTGTTTGCCTGAATCATCGAAAACAGGGGTGATGCAAGTTATATCAGGCAAATGACTTCCACCTGCACTAGGATGATTTGCAAGCAAGACATCACCTTGATGAATGCCATCTTTTCCCAAACTTTCAATTTGATAACGAACGGCAAAGCTCATCGAGCCCAAATGAACGGGTAAATGAGGTGCATTTGCAACCAAGCCACCATCGGGCGAAAAGAGCGCACAACTGAAATCTAAACGTTCTTTGATATTTGTACTGATTGAAGTTTGTTGTAATGATCTGCCCATTGCCTCTGCAACGCTCATAAAGCGAGCTGCAAATAAAGACAGCAAGATCGGATCTGCCTCTTCTTTCGTCATCTTGAAAAAGGTGGTGGAAGTGATAAAGTCTGTGGAGCGTCAGTCATGCACGGTGCATATACCCTCTCCTCTTAGCGCGTTGCAATCTTCCATTCGAACTCCACCATCTAAAATGACTTCAGTAGAGGTACCAATAGCAAGCACATCAAGAGCGACAATCATTCAAGATACATTTGGCGGTTTCAGAAGCGAGATAGATGCATACAATGATCGTCGCGATCGATTGATAAAAGCATCGCGTGATATAACAACTGCTTCAAAACGTTTAATTTTTCATCTTCATCGGTTTCCTCATGCCGCTTTTGGAAAGGATATTCAGCCGAAGAGCGGAGCGGGAAAGATTCTAGCTGAAGGCAGAGCAAAAAAAGATGAGATCGTATCAATGATCATCGATCTGGCAAGACGAGAAGGACTAACAACAGAAGAACACGTTGGTGGAGGGATAGAGAAAGATGTTTCGATGGAAGGAACGACAATTACAGACGTCTTTGAGCCTGGAAGGGCGACACGCTACGATCGAGCATACGGAGGAGGACTGGAAGAGTTCATCGAGGGAATCTCTTTCTTGCACTTCCTCGAACATGGCAACGTCATCACCCTAGAAGAAGTTCAATCTTTGTTCGTCAAAGATGGTCAAATCATCCTTCCCGTCACGCCTCAACGCTATGTGCTTGGTTTGTCCGACCTCAGCGGTGAATTGATGCGATTTGCGACCAATGCTTTGGGTGATGGTGATGCACATGGTGTCGTTTCAGATGTTTTGCGTATATTGCGAAGTCTATGTACAGGATTAGACCCATTCGTTCCTCTTATCCGCGACTTTCGAAAAAAGCAACAAGTCACAATGCAATCTATGCGAAAAATTGAAGATTTATCCTATGCTGTCAAAGTGCGAACTTCCGAATTCGGATCCGATCAAAACGCTCTACGAGAGATGGTCAGAAGAGCTTTGGCAGGCGATGGTGCAGGCAACAGCGGCGAGAACAACGCAGACGATTCGTGACGGGATAAGGTCTTGTCAATAATTTAACTTGTAATTACGTCAAAAGGAATTTTCATGACTAAAAGTATTATCCACCTCTCGTTAAACATTAGACTATATCCTAGGTATAGAAGAGGATAACTATTATAGCTTAGTTACGTTCTTACTAACAAGGGAAGCTTCTCGTCCTACTTAATACCGAATGGCGAATAAAGTACTCTATATTGAAAGTAACTGATCACTTCTGTTCTTAATAAAGAGGGAGTATAGTATATAATATTAAAGTGTTGCTTCTGATGAATCTTACCAACTCTATGTGATACAGGAGGTTGGGTCAAAGGTTTGCTGCGTAACCTATGGCGTACAGGCAAAGTGCGAATTGTTCAATCATAGGATTTGACTGAGTAATGCTGGAGATGTTTATAACAGCACTATCGACAATACCTTTCAAGCAAGACCGCGTAGCTCAATCGGTAGAGTGACAGACTACGATTTCACCGGTTCCTTAAATAGGAATTGGATCAGTAGCGTCATCTGTAGGTCGCGGGTTCGACCCCCGTCGTGGTCTTTCTTTTTTCGTCTTTTTTTTCTTAGACGCGATACAGAGGCTTAAGGTGAAAATTTTATACACTTTTTTCGTGTGCTATCCTATTGATATTAGGATCTATCGTATTATGCCTAGATGATTGTTCGCTACTCAGATGAAATCGTGATTATACGTTGTGGGGTGTAAAGTACACACAGTAACGGCCTTATATGATCTCAAAGCTGTATACTCTTTTTTGTTAGGCCCTAGCTTATTCGTATTCGATAAAATTAGTAAATTACCTAGAATGGCTTGTCAGCCAGTCTAACAGAAGCTGTAGATTCTCAGATGTAGGCTGTGCTTTGTTCGAGTGAGGTTGCGGGTGGCTTATACAAGCTCTAATCTTAGCAGACTATGATATTTCAGATAAAAGCTTTTTCTTGGTTTAAAACATTGCGGTTTTGAGAGTGAATTAATTATGCTATAAATTGACATGTTACTGTGTTCCTACTGCTCAAACTGCCTCAAATTTCAGCGGAGACGGTCAATCACACTCCATTAGTCAGCTTTAAGCTGATGCGGGATTTTTAATCGAAAGAAGATTGAAAGCTTGAAGCTTTTTGGGTTTTTTTTTTCTTTTTAACATGATTATAATTATATCATTATCTTCAAAAACAATTTCATCATTTCAGCTTCTTTATGAGATAGGCAGAAGAGTTGCTTTGACTACATCACGAGACACACTGAGATCTTTTGTGACTGATCTGTTCCTGCTACCGCGATAATAGTCAGAGAAGTTTCGAGATTTCAAATTTCCGTGATGGCAAGAGATGAGGATCATGATTACATAATACACACACGTTCGCCGGTACTATTTCCGTCAGTGGAGTATGGAAATGCAAATGCCCCTTTAATGATTTGTACCAACACTTAAACACAAGACGTGAAAAAGTAACAGAAGATTTAGCGCGTACTTTCGCGTGAGAAGGGGGGATGCTCCTTTCCATGACAATGTCAATGATGACAAGACAAGACAAACAAGCAATTGTCATGCTAAGTTGAACGCATATTGTTCGTTATGGAGCAATACGATTACGAATCAGAAGATATACTAAGAAGGGCAAGTGATGCAGGAACATCAGCAGCAGCAGCAGCGGCAGCACAAGAAGAAGAGGCAAGCAACACCAGTGCATCACAATCATCAATAAAAGAGGAAAGTGATCATTCTTATCCACGATTAACAATAAATACCCGTAGAAGGTTGATCAGAAAACCTCTACCCAAGCCACCCGGACAAAAGGAGACAAGGAAGGGAGCAGGGCCACAATCAAACAAAAGCTCTGCTCCAGCCTCCTCAAGTTCAGGCTCAAGATCCGACAGCATACAGGAGGCTACACATCATGATTCTCATCAGGTTCGAAGTGCAGGCCTCACACATAGCGCAATCTTTGCCAGGAACAATCTTCAAAAGCAGCATACATTGACACTAGAAGAAGCACGAAGCAGGGCACGCGAATTTGTCGCCAAAGAGAAAGCCATTCTGGAATGGTGGCCAGATATTAATCATACAATCAAGGCCGAGACGGCACAGGAGACATCTTCAAATGACAGAGAAGGTCAATACACCCTCAACGCGCGATGCCGATTACATCTTGAGAGAATTGTCGAATTTAGCATTTTCACAAATAGCGACTTGAGCAAAGCAGAGAGTGCCGGTATCGCACGAGGTATCATAGATGCAATCGTCCAATGTCTCAACACGTTGACCAAGTCAGAAGCATTGGCTGCATTGCAACAGACATCTTCGGTCATGTGGCGGGTTGATGCTCTCGTACGGTCGAACGAGCAATTATCCGGTGCAAGAGGTGGCTTGAGTGCTCTTTTGGGAATATTGGGTGTGCGATGGTCAAAGCTAGCATCTTGGCGTGGTAAAGAGACGGGAGAGCTGCCGATTGATGGTTTGGGTGGTTCTAGGACATTGATGCCAGCTCTGGATAGGAGGACTGCTTCTAGCTCATCCTCAATCACATTGGGAACAGAACAAAGGAGAAGGAAGCGTGATGTGGCCATGCAGCTACTCAATAATGCATTCTGGACTGCTGGTGTCAATGTGGAAGGAGAAGAAGTTTTAGCGAAGGAACACGATGAGAAAGTCATCCACGAGGAGAAGAAGCGACCTGCAGGCATGGCACCGTCTTTGCTCTCCAAACCGATGGCACCCACAGTTGCTTTGACAGGTGAGCTAGCGTCTTTGGATGCAGAAGTTCAAGCAAGTCAGAAGGACAACGCCAAGGAACAAGACAAGAGCGAAAAGCTGCCAGTGCCAACACCGATGGCCGAGCGTCCATCAATGCTGACTGATCGCTTGGCAATGCAATTGAGAAATTCTGCAAAGCTTCAAGCGGAAGGATCTGTTGAACATGCAGCAAGGGCCGGCACTCTTCCCGCAAGGAATCCACTGAGTCGTACAGTTTCACATGCATCGATTCTTGACAAGAACAATCAGCCAAGCAATAATGCCGATGCAGCCAAGGTGAAAATCGCTGTTTGCAAAGTATGCGTCAGATTTGAGGAAGAGTGGAATAGAGCAACTGCCAAACAAATACGAGCGAGAAGAAAAAGTGAAACTCTCACACTAAAAGATGTTCGAAGAAGGCTCGAGAATGTGTCCAGCATGTCTGGTAGATCGGACAAGACGATCGGTCATCTTCTTTCAGAGCAACAACAGAGTGCTCAAAAAGATTCAGTGGCGATCGACTGGCTCCCGGACAAGTTTGAGGGAGAACCCCTACACCTCAATCCGCTCTCATCTGATGTTGAAGGAAGAGATGCAGATGATGCGAATGACGGTATCAAGATCATCGGTGGAAGTTTTGTTGTGTATGGTGTCGAGGAGAAATTAAGGATTGTTATACACAACACGATCGATATTGCCTTGTACGCTGCCATTGCAATGGTGCTCGAGACAGCATTCTTGATGGATTTTGATTTGGATCCAAAAGGTGACATTGAAGTTGACTCTGCAACAGAGGGACAGCAATCTCAGCCTGAAGTTCGATTCGCAGAGGAGACCTCACAAACTGAAGAAGATCAAGAATCCCATCTAGAAAAAAACGGTGTCAACCCAAAGCCAGATACACCGGAACAATCAGAAAGTGACAAGAACCAAGGACAGTGGCGAAAGAGTATCTGGAGTATGCTTCATATGGGCAGTTCTAGTGCCGTTGTCCCTGCCACGCAAACTCCAGACACAAAGGCGAAGCGTTCCAGCGTTATTTTTCCACGTACAAAGACTGCCGATGCAAACTTGCAATCCCGTCCAGAGAAGGACGCGGTTGCTGGGCAGTACAGTCGGCTAGGACGGATCTTGTCTTCTTTTACTGGACATTCAGAGAAGAAAAGCCCCACCGGGCACAATGACAAAGCGAGAATAAGATCTTTCTCTGATGCCAAGCAATCGAATCTCGCTCAATTACTGGAAGATGAGTCCACAATAGAGGCTGTTGAAACGAACCCAGACCAACAAACCTCTCTCCTGGACGGCAAGCCGCCAAAGTACATATCTGCATACCGAGAGGAAGAACCATTGGAAGAGGAGGAGCAAGACATAAATGAGGACCTGATCGAAGAATTGGTATCCCGACAAACGCTTTCTGTTCTAATTCTGGAAGGTTTGGATATCTCCCTCCCATTCGCGCGACAAGTTTCAACGAACGCCAACAGCAAAGGTACAAGCACAACAGCGCCTGCTAATCCCACCACAGAAGCAAAGAAAGGCTCAACGCTCTCCGTGCATCCATCCACTCAAAGTAGGATCTCTTCCTTTTCGCGAGCGACGGATAGCACTGCGCAGTCCAACCAGGATACTTCCCTGAGTGGCCGTGCTCAACGTGTTGAAAATCGAGCAGAGCAACAATTCAATTTCGAGAAACAAAGAAGGGAAGTTTTGTTCTATCAGAGAGGCGGCAATTGTCGTGATGCAAGCCTTGGTCAGGCAATCGAAGAAATGACGGCTAAAGCGATCGTGCTTCATAATGAATGGCTACAAACGGAGAAAAGCAGCAAACGTGAAAAGGAAAAGCAGCTTTCTCAAACAAATTCGCCAACATTCAAGATCGCTCAATACCTCCATGGTCGCGACAAGATCACGGTCTCTGCAGCAATCATCAAATCAACAACACCCGCTTCGGCAAAAATGTCAAGTAATGTCACGGAAGCACCCACTCCAAACGCAGCTGATGCGAAAGAAGTCGCAAGTGCACTCAAAACGGACAAAGATCTTGCGCAAACGGCTTTGCGACTCGCAGAGCACATTCAATCTGCAGCACAACATCAACCAATCGATAATGGCTCAACACTCAAACCTCCTCACAAAGCATCGATCGAGATGTGGCATGCTGATATGCGAACAGGACGTCAAACGGCGGTCAAAAGTATGAGTGATGCTACTTATTTGGCCTCTTATGGTACCTTTTTGAATGATTTGATGACTTCGCATTTCTTCACACAAGAATCTCCCTTGTTACTCGCTCCTGGTGGCGATGATGCGGAATTATTGGACGCCTCTGATGATCCAAAACGTGATTTGGTACGTCTTTTCAAGATCGACAACGTTATTCTCAAATTCCACGTGCAGACTATCCCGATTCATCATCTGCTCATTGATGGTCCAGTCGTTTGTTTGGAGGATTTGAATGATGATGAAGGGGAGGACAAAGCCACAAAGAAAGAGAAAGACCATAACACATTGACAAAGTCTTTGGTCAAGGAGACGAGGCTGGAAGTGCAAGCATTCTTTGCTAGCGTGAAAGAGGAAATATCTCGAATGGAACAAATGTTTGTGGCAAGAGAGCTTGATGTGAATGGAAACACAGTAAAGCCTCCAGCTCCTTCCTCTTCTGGTCACGGTTCCATTCGCAGCGTATTTACACTGGATACGGCAACGGAAGAGCAACAGAGTGATCGTAACTCGATCGCTGAATCGACAACCAGCTCATATGCAGGTGCGGCCACTGGTCCTCTAGAATTGCTTGGAAAGGTGATGTCATCGATGCGCAAAGCAGAATTCAGGCTATACGAATCGCTCAAAGAAGCCGATGTTTCGGCTTTAAATGACGTTCGCCGTCAATTCCTAGATCGTGCTAGATCTTGCAGAAATCGATTGGTTGCTTGGTCGAAGAAGCACTTGAACAAGAGTGAATTAGAACAATTGGGCGCTTTGAAATTCGCAGAGCCATACTATTTCGAGAAGGGCAATCATGCACTACCGGGCAGTCGATTTGTTCTCCGTCAAGAAGAGCCCTTGAGCATTATCGCATACAGTCTTTCATCCAGGGACTTCAATGAAGAAATTCACGCCACAAAATCATCACAAAAGAAGCATTCAGACGTGTTGAATTGGAGATCGAGTGTGGCTATAGGTGAAGGAAGAGAAGATGCTTCCTCTCTACTCTCTTCCTCAGTGGCCAGCTCAAGTGCCGCTAGCGTAACTTCGAGTAAAGCTACGGACGAACTTGATCCTGATCAAGATGATGACTTTCACGTTCCAGAGCCATTGCAGGTGAATATGAAAAGGAAGAGAAGAACAAAAGATACAGGAATTTTGTCCATTCGAATCCGGTCAAGTGTGTACTCCAATGCACAAAAGGATGTAGAGCAAGATGCCGGGCTAGAAAGTGTAGATCACTCAACGGGCGAGTCAATCTTGAGCGCAAACGATAATTCATCCACTCCGACAGCCAGCAGAATAGGCTCTGCAGCATACACTCCCTCTTCTACGCATTTCGATACGGTCACTTCCAATAATGAAACCTTTCATGCTCACGTTTCCACCATCTCCCCGCGTGGTGCATTAGGCGATCTCTTTACGCAGGAGGGTGACCATTTTGGAGATCTAGCACCTCCAAGCGATGATGGTCACGAGGCTGCAAGTCTCCTATCTTCCAGCGTCAGCAGCACTTCGAGTGGAACGGTGAACAGAAAGGATGTACGAGAGACGCCCAAAATTCACATTGATGCTCAAACGGATGCTTCTCATGACGGAGAGAAGAGCGCTGATTTGGAAAAGCTGTCAAAAGAGATCGAAGATGTTGATACCAGCACAAAAGGATCCGTGAAAAAAGCGCAAGTAGAATCAACACCTCGGATTGCGCCGCCACTCAACAAATCACCAGCATCTCCTCATATCAAACACACGATCATATCTGGAGATCTTAAAATCTCTTGCGTTTCATGGTTTGCTGAAGATTTCTACAAACTTCGCAAGACATGGAAGATTGAGGATGACTTCATTGCAAGTCTAAGCAGATCAAAAAGCTGGAATAATGTTGGTGGAAAAAGCAAAAGTGGATTCTATCTCACCGGAGATGGCAAGTGGATCGCAAAGCAGCTGCTCAATGTATGGACGGTAGATGAAAAGGAAGCATTCTTGGAATTTGCACCTGCTTATTTGCGGTACATGATGAATAGTGCAGTGAATGATTGCCCAACGCTTTTGGTAAAGATTGCCGGTGTTTATAGCCTGAAAATCAAAGACATCAAGACAGGCGAAGTGAAATTGAAACTCAGTGTGCAAGTGCTGGAAAATGTGTTTGCAGGAGATGGCGGACGATCGATCCGATTCGACCTAAAGGGAATCCGAGATCGAAGGGCACAACAAAAAGTGCAAAATAGCGAAAGTGCACCCCAACAACAAGAAGGAAAGCCTCAAGTTGCCTCCAAAGAGGTGGACGAAGAAGACGTCAGCAATGCATCTGTCTGGTGGGATGGAGAATGGATCGATACAATGCTACCGAGAGCCTTTGTACCTGAACAGCAAAAGACACAATTTCAACGTGCTTTACGCAACGATTTGGCTTTCCTTACGGCGTCCAACGTGATGGATTACTCGTTGCTTGTAGGGGTAAACGAGCCAATTTGTACATCCTTTTCCAAAGAAGGCTTAAAGAGCTCCACCGACAAACATCCCTTCTTCAGAGTTCGAATTGTGGACTTCTTGGGTGCATGGACATTGGTGAAACAATTGGAAAGTAGTGGGAAGAAAGCCATCAAAAGTCAAACGCCAACAGTCATTCCACCACAAGATTATGCAAGCAGGTTCAGTCAAGCTATTGAAGGATACTTTATTGGCTGTCCTGATACAACAAATACTTAACGTCACCAGATTATACCTTTTAATTCATTACTGTATCATAATTGATTTATTTACCATGCTTTTCTTACTCGGTCCTACCGTTGTCGGCGCCGGCGGCCGAAGTTGTGCCTTAACTCCGACCGTTGACGTGCTTGCACTGATTTAGCGCGAGCTTACCGTTGTGGAGTTGTAGAGTGCATGCTGACGGGGTATCTCTAGAGCATCTGCTTGATCTAGTCGGGTGACCTCTTTCCTCCATCATCTCCATCAATCAGAATGGCAAACGTACCTCTCGTATCATTGAAAGCTGGCGCAAAATTGCCAAAAATTGGATATGGCAATGGAACTGCTTTATTCAAAAGTGATAGTACCACTTTAGTGGAAGGCGCATTGAAAGCTGGATTCACCTTGATTGATACAGCAGAAATGTATGAAAATTCAGGTTATGTTGGTGAAGCATTAAAATCCAGCAAACACGAAACACAAGTGATTGCAAAGATTGGAACACTTTCAAAGATCAAACAAGTTGCCGTTGAAGAAAGAAAGTTGTTGGGTAAAGATCGTTTGAATGTTCTTTTATTGCATTTACCTCCTCGTGGCTTGGATGGCTTGCCTTCCAATGTAGAAGCTTGGAAGCAAATGCAAGAACTCAAAGACGAAGGAGTTGCAGATATTATCGGTGTCTCAAACTGGTTAAAGAGCGATATCGAAGATGTCATCAAAACAAACCCTAAACATCCCATTCAAATCAATCAAATCGAGCACCATCCTTTATTGGCAGGTTCGCAAAAGCAACAAAAGTTGTTGGCCTATCAACGTGAACAAGGTATTGCCAGTACAATCTATGGTGCATTGACACCAATCACAGAAAAGCCAGAAGAGAGCAAGAATCTGCTCTCCGTCTTGGAAGCTATAGCTAAACAAGAAAGCGGTTGGTCACCTGCAACTGTTTTGTTCAAATGGGCTTCTCAAACAACAAAGCACGGCAATAGTGCGGATGAAGAAGGTATCATTATCACCACGGGTAAAAAGACGGAAAGATATCCGGGCTATTTGAGCTTGTTCAACAGTCGCCCTTTGACTGATGAAGAAGTCAAAAAGGTCAGTGATGCAGGCTCTCAAGCAGGCGTACACAAAGTTCGCATGCTCAAATATTTCGATGGTCGTGATGAATGAAATGATGTACATTGTCTATAATACATATGTTTATCTTTGTTACAAGAGTGTCACCACTGTAAAGATGGTGCAACTCGTCTAACTTGCTGAAGTTGCTGCTCGTCAAGCAAAAGCCAGCGCATGAAATTCGCTTCTCGAACGGCGAGATTAAATAAACCAACTCGATCCTGCTTGCGAACCATATTTATCCTGTGTCGATTGTACCCCTTCGCAATCAAGCTTGCCTCTTCTTGTGCACCTTCTTGCAGCATTGCCTCTACTGCGGTTTGTATAAAGTACTCTCTTTGATCGTCAATCGAAACCATTTTGTGGACAAAAGGTGCATATTCCAACACACCCTCAAGCGATGGCATACTACTCTGCATGTTGATATTCAGACTCTCCAAAATATCATCAATCTCCTTTGATCGCCATGCACGAAGCTGATGACGACAATTAATCAGGTCACTGTATTGCACTTTAAATTTGTGTTCCGCGCTTGCAGACAAGATTGAAACGTAATCCGCTTCACGTCCGTACATCGGCAAACATACCTCTGCACCTTTGGAGGGAGAGTGGTAAATAGATTTGCCAATCATTTGTACTTCATCTGGACTAGGAGCAAATTGCTCATGCTCAAATTCTGCTACCACTCGATCAAATGGCTTAGTGAATGTAGAATCTACAAATGACTCCAAGTCTGTAAACGAAATCAATTGTCGTAGTGTCTGGTCGTCAAGTCGTTTTCCGGGTGACCGCCGTGAAGATTTGGTCCACTTGCATTCATATTGCAGTTGCATTATCGCTTGGCGAAGATCAAACTTTAGCTCTGCAATATCGCCATTTTGTGTATTCATGAGCGGACCGTGCGTTGGCAACATGAGTTGTTCATTATACTGTGATTGCTCTTCACTTCGTATCGTATCGCAGTAGAGCTCGGCAGCCTTGCTCTCATCCAATTGATGCCCTTCACAAAGCGAGATCAGCTGAAGATACGGTACCGCAAGTGAGATTGAGGGCTTGGCAAATTGCAAGATTTTCTGGATAGGCAAACCTTGAATCGGGATGGATGAAATATCGTTGCACGTCAAGATGATCGGACGCAATGATTGACCTGCAAGTTCGATCAATCCAAGCCAAAAGCCTTTATCGTCTTCATACATCGTATCAGCCTCTTCGACAAGGATGAGTGATTGTCTGGCCTTCAAACCGTTTGATTGAGCGGTTAAGCTGGCCTCTCCGCCGTTTGAAACAGTCTTTATCAGTTTTCCTTGGAATGCTCCTCCTCCACTTCCTCCGCTTGACACCATGTGATTGCGACAAAGATCGCCGACCATTGCAGTTAGCGTCACTCCGCTTCGTTTCCCCATTCCAGGGAAAAGTTCAAATACTTCAAATCCAAGCTCGTTTGCACATGCGTAGACGGAGGAAGTTTTCCCGCAGCCCGAAGGACCCTCAATCACCATCACATTGGTGAGTCTAGTGGATTTGCTAAAGTCCAGATCATGTTGATCAGCCAAAGCACTCATACTAGCAGAGCTATCTTGCGATGATTCGGTTCCGACGTCCTTCTTACGAAATTGATCAAACCAAGCTTCTTCTTCTGCATCATCTCCTACGATGAAATCGTCCATTTCTTTCATAGCTGCAGTACGACCTCTCCTTTTGGGCGGAGCTTTTTTGATGATTTGACGTGCTTGCGGTGATCGATCAGTAATCTCAAGAGCTTGTAGCCAATCTCTCATATAAACAGATTGCTTTTCATTGCCTAAAACATGTGCTGCTTCTTTAGGTCGCCATTTGTCAGTCCAAAGGATGGAAGATTTTTCTTCTTTCTTTGATTCGGCCGCTTCTTTTGCGTCTTTGATAGATTTGGGCAATTGACCGTTTGAATCGAGGCATGATCGAAGGTTCACATGAGATTCAGTAAAGTCCTGCACATTGAGATGATGACCGTTCTGCTTCTCCTTCCCGCCATCTGTTTCGGGTGTAGGTCCTTTCGTCGAATGTAGCCAAGACCATGCATTTTCATCTTCCTGTATGCTTGAAACTTCGTGGAAATGATCGTCTCTTTTCTCCAACGCGGTCAACCCCAACGAATGACTGGAGGGATTCGACTGCTGATCATCTGGTTGAATAGACGATTGCCCCTTTCCCGGCCAAGGTGTCTGTAATCCTTTCAAAGTCGGAATACTTTTGCTTGATCCGCTCAATGCTTGCTTCTTTGTAGGAGGCTGACTTGTAGGAGTGGCACGACCTTTACCTTTTGCATCATTCTGTTCAGCCTTTCCATCTTCTTTTCGAGCCCTTTTGGCAAAGAAGGGATGTACTTTCTCTTTTGATGCTTCAGGTACAGACTCCTCCAAAGGTTGAACGGGTTGCGTGATCGGAGGTACTTGCAACGGTCTTTGACCAAAGGCTAGTGTAGATTGCCGCATGATCTATTACATCAAGTTCATTAGGAATGCATATCTTCTTATTGTGATCAACCTGGAAGGTATGTAGTAGTGAAGATTGTTGAATTGGAAGAAGAGTGTTGCTCTCTAACCTTTACGCGTAAAGGAGGAAGCGCGTGTAAATGCGCGCCTGGAACGCGTGCATTGGCTGGTTAATAAGAGAAAAGATCAAATGGGAGCCAAAATGTTGATGCAGCTCTCAAAGACCAACTTTCGATTGAACTGATGATCTTAGATAAATAGGAAAGGTACATTATGTCAAAAGCAGTAGATATAGATACGCCATTATAGTATATAGGAGTAGATCAGCGGGTGATAATGGCTAAAAGCTTTATGCACGCATTCATAAATTGCGTGATGGGTTATTCATACTTCAAAGATAATATTGTGTGATACATTCCATTTCGATCAATCAGAAGTCAGTAGGTTTATAAAATTTAGGTATAATGACTGAAATTTGATCGCAGCCTTCGAGGCGAATGTTAGGTAACATTTGCCTAAACCAAAGTGCGTGCATAAGCCAAACAATGGAAATGTTTGTTCAAACAGACCGTGAGCCAATAACTGTGAAAGCGGCTTGTTAAGACTTTTCTTGTTGTACCTAGGGCTCGATCGGTCAAAATGTTTGTTTCTACGGAGGATTATTTTTCTCTTACAACAATAAAGGAGGGTGCGATAATTGACTCTAGCCTCCACAAAATTGAATCGTGTGCTTTTATTACGCTTTCCATTCAGGTATCGTCTCCTCTACCGAATAGTCTAACGTCCATTGGTAGCTTGACTCACAAGGGATGCATAATTTACATTGTGATCAAGCTGGCCGAAAGGCAGTAGTAGGGACTATTGAATGCAGCAAGAAGGATTCCCCATCCACAGAAATGTTTTGAGCTGAGCATATCCACTTCCCAAACAATTGTCACGGTAATCAGGTAGATCACAGGATCTCAAACTATCTACTTCATTTGGTCTAAAGGATATGGAAGTCTGACAAGCTTTTACTGTTGAACTATAAAAATCGGCTTAGCATATCTACTTGATGGCAGTATTTAGCAACTCAAATACAGGCGGGTCATTGCCTGCCTAAAATTACACCTCCTTTTCCGTAGGGCCACGATCATGTACCAATCAATCCAATGATAATTCAATCAGATAAGACTACTTTCTTTATTCGCACAAATCATATAAATCCCTCCTCACAATCTGCCTTCTACGCCAAACAAGAGTCGCACTTGAGAAGCATTGCGAAGGTTGATTTGTTCGGTGGCAAGAGGTTTGAGATATTCTTCAATTCGTTCGTAATCCCGTGCTACTAACTCTAATGCACGACTGTGAACGATCGTTCGCGTTGTAGGCGCATCAAGAAGATCGAGATGAGTCGAAGATATTAGCGTTGGAGAACCGAGAAATTCTTCAAATTTGTCCAAAGATTTCTTGATAAGATCTCCATCTACTTGTACCTTCTTTTGACCTTCTTCCTCAACCGCACGACCGATTGAATCCAACCCGCTTTCTACACTCAATTGTGTGTAATGTCGTTTGATCAACTCCTCCACATGTTGATCCAAATCTTCTTCTATTCGACCAACGGATCGAGCTGCGAAATGATGGAACTCAATCACGCTTTTCACATAGTTCAAGCAATTGATGAGGAAAATATCCCGTTTCCAATGCGCTTTCTCCTCTACTTCATTTCCTCTTCCACGACTTGCGTTGAGTAAGGCATCACCCATTCGAGTGCAAACATCCATAATCGGCTCGATCAATCGAGAAAGTACCAATCCAAAATCACGCGATTCATCTGGCGGTAAATCCTTCAACGGCAAAGCATCTCCAAACATATCTGCTTCCGAAAGTGAGGCTTGATGGGCCGATAATAATTCCTTCAACGTTGCAGATGCTCCCAAGACTGGAGCGGGAGGACTCAAATCTGCTTCCGGCAAATCGTGGAACCGTGCAAGACCTGCTCCAAGCCTTTCTAGCGTTGACAGGAAGGCACGATAAGTCATAATACTCAAAGCTTTCAGTGTCCTGCTCAAGGCTGCTCGAGTACCTAATGTTCGCTCCATTGTGACCCGATAAAATTGTATCAAGCTGGCCAAACGATACGTTGTAATGCATCCTTCCTGCGAATTGACAGTTTGTTCGATCCGAATACGTAACGAATGACAACATCCTTCAATCACCTTATCAAGCGTTTCGCGTGTCCACAATTCGGCTTTTGGAAGTCCTGCTGTATCATCGCCTGTCCAATCAATACTGCCTTCCAATCCTCTTCTCCTTTGACCTACTCTACGCATTCCCTCCAACCCTCGAAGATCTCCAATCTTGGAGAAAAAGGCCGTCAAGAATTCTCGCTCCGAAGCAACAGATTGATGCACCCATGCCAACATATCACCCACATATCGAATAGGATCATGGGCATGCAGCTCAATAGGACGAGGTAGGTAAGTCGGTGCAGGTCCACCAACGGTAAGAGCTCGCTGGAATGCATTCGAAAGCAATTGTGCTCTTGCACCCGATAGCGTCTTCAAAGCTGGCCGTAACAAATCCTCTCGTCCATCAAGACGTAAAACCGCTTCACGAACATGTTGTCCAACCTCTACGCCCTCTCTGGCAAAACTTCGCATTTCCGACAAGAGCCACTTTCCAATCTTTTGCTGTGCTTTATCGAGAAAAGTTGATGTTTCGTCCATTATACCCATTCCTGCCCTCATACCTGCTTTGATGCCTTCCTCTTGTCCTACCAAGAGAACTTGACATTCAGTTCGAATGCGATTGATCTTATCCATGGCTGCAAATAAAGCCGTTCCGACAGGGATCGAGCGTGATTCAATTGTTTCTTGCTCTTTCTCTGTGAGTGTGAATCGGTCCAAAAAGATATTGAGAAGGTTGGATTGTTGAACGGTGAGTTCATGCTGTTTTCGCAAGCCATTGGCGTGTTGTAACAGGTAGCGAGTAGAATGATCTGCTTCGCCTAAGCGGGTGTTTAGATCATCGCATGCCAGTCTAAGTTCGCCAATATGTGCTCCCATCTCAATGACTGATGCATTCACCACACTCAATGCGTCCAAGTAGGACTGACTAGCTTTCTCTAATCCATCTTGAGCATCTTGTGCGACACATCTTCTCGCCTTTTCTGTGTCCACACTGATTATTTTTCCACCACTTTTGCCATTCTCTTCTGTTCCTTTTGTGCTCTTCCTCTTGCTCTTTCTTTGCCCATATCGCTCTTCTATCTCTTGCAATGCTGCTCTGGTAGCTTCAGCATCTGCGTCTGCTGTATGTTTGGATGAATTGATAAAAGCAGAAGAAGAATCAAAGATTGATCGTATCCTTAAGCTAAGGGGATGTGATGATGGAAGTGGATCCAGCCTTGAACTCGATCTCCTTTGCGTGGAAGGACCTGCTACATCCAATTGAGCGGCCATGTCTTGTTTGTGATGATGTTCTTGAGAAGAAAGTGTTGTTGCGCTTATATAATTATTATCTTTTTCAGCAGCATGGCCTAAACGCGACTCCCTTAGCCTAATGCAGAGTGATTATCCCCTCCCCACGGAAATGACGATTCCGAAACACAGGGGTGAATTGCGTGTCTCTCTCCTTAAAGCATGCAGACCAACACATATGCACATCATTGATAAGGGTCGCGCGACTTGTCAACTCCATTCCACCATCATCCTCAAATCGTTCAACTTACCAATCGGTAAGCAAACGATTACAATCGAACATGTCCAGAATCACTACCCTCTTAACCCTCTTTGTGGGTTTATCTCTCTTTGCTGCCAATTCGGCATCCGCTGTTTTGGTGGCGCCCCTATCAAGTGGAGCGCAGGATCATCAATCCCTACGTAAATCACTCTCTTTCGGACATCATCACAAACATAGAAAGTTTGTCACAAACGATTATGTCCCATCCAATTCATTCACTGCATTATCCATCAACGACATCCACCAGAAAGCATTGGATTTGGCTGCAAATGTCGTCGGAAAGCGTGCATCCAACGATCAAGGCTTCTTTGTTCGTTCAGACTCTTACACTGATCCTCAAAGTGGATTGATTCACGTTTACGTCAAACAAACCATCAACGGTCTCGTTGTGGAAGATGGAGATATGAACGTCGTCTTTTCCGCAGACGGTCAAGTTCTATCGTACGGCAGCTCATTGTATGCAGGTGAGGTACCTTTGGCATTCTCCAACCCAATCCACACGCAACTAACATACTCGGAGGCACAATGCCAATCAATTCGCGATGAGATCACTTCAAAGTCAAGCAAAAAGTTGTACAAGCGTGACCAGCTTGTCTTTATGGCAGAAGATGGCGAGCAAAACATTGCCTCTTCATCAGATGACAGCTTGAAGACCCTCCAACACGACTTGTACATCAATTGCAACGATCCCTCCGATTCTCCCTACCTCCAAGGAAGTGAACTCGGCTCACGTATCCCAGGCACCCTCTCAGGTAAATCGGCAAGTGACCCCATCATTGACGCCCGCTTGGCCGCTCTTCACTTTGTCAAGATTGCAACTGCTGACGATCAGATCGCCTTCAGTCTCAGTCAATCAGATGACAGCGTCGAAAAGGCAGCCGCATCAATCTCATCCACATTTGAACAATCTATGCGACCTGATGGACGACATGAACAAGTGGAGAAGCTTCATTCCGTTCCTGGCACTACTGATGCAGTCTCTGCTCGTCTAGGATACATTCAAACAGAAGATGGTTTACTCAATTTAGTCTGGCGTATGGAAGTACCAATGGACCACGCTCAAAACAGCAACTTCTATCAAATCACAGTGGATGCCACCACCGGTGAAGTACGCACGAGCGCTGATTGGGTGGCTAGTGCACCAGCCCATGCATTTGAAGACGAAGACACTTCTGAAGCATACTACAAAGTTATGCGTTGGGGCTTAAACGATCCAAGCGAAGGCAATAGAACTTTGGAAGGTGGTGCATTCGATCGAACCGCTTCACCTTACGGCTGGCACACTGTCCCTCACAAAAAGTCTTACAAGGACACTCGCGGAAACAATGTGATCGCCAGCGCATTCGGTGCTGGAATGGAAGATTATCAAGATCCTACTCGACCAAGACCCCAAGGTAAACGTGCAGAGAATGGCTCTTTGGTATTCGACTTCAAGTTCCCATGGCGTGCGGCTGACAAAGCGCATGAAGATTTAAGTCCGGATGACTATGCTGATGCATCTACAGTCAATTTGTTCTACACACTCAACATGTACCATGATCTCATGTACTTGTACGGCTTCACACCTGCAGCTGGAAACTTTGAAGAAGGCGAAGCAGAAGAAGGAGGTCGTGGTGGTGATGCAATCATTGCTTATTCCATCTCATCTGCTGGTATTAACAATGCCGACTTTACAACACCTCCCGATGGAACCAAGCCACGTGTGCGTATGTACAAATGGCACACAAAGGAAAACAGAACTGAACGTGACGGTGACTTTGAAGAGGGTATCATTGTTCACGAGATGACGCATGGTATTTCAACACGTTTGACCGGAGGCCCATCCGATTCAAGTTGTTTAGGTTGGGGTGAAAGTGGTGGTATGGGCGAAGGATGGGGTGATTATCTTGCTACTATCATTCGTCGTAAATCGCCAACTCGTGACATCTACACCATGGGAAGCTGGGCATCTCACAACAAGGCCGGTATCCGAAAGTACCCTTACAGCACCAACTTGACTTTAAGTCCGGAAACTTACAAAACACTTGACTCTCCTGCCTACTGGGGTGTGCATACGATTGGCGAAGTATGGTCGGCGATGCTATATGACGTAGAAGAGGGATTGCGATCGAAGTTAGGATGGTCACCAGACTTGTTCCCACCAAGTGCCGATGCGACCCAAGCGGAGCAAGATGAATTTTGGCTTACGGCCGAAGAAGTGAACAATTTGACCGGCGGTAAGCCAAGAGCCAGTAAACGTCGTGTCCCTCGTCATGGAAACACATTGGCCGTTCAATTGGTCATCGATGGAATGAAATTACATCCTTGTAGACCAAAATTCTTTGAGGCGCGCGACGCGATCATTCAAGCAGACAAACACCTAACTGGTGGCGCCAACGAGTGCGTGATCTGGGAACGCTTTGCAAAACGTGGTTTGGGTACCGATGCAAAGGTTGTCGGTCAAACACCATGGGGCGGCGGTGTTCGCACAAACGGTCACAAGGTTCCGGCCAAGTGCTCTAAATCGGAAGATTGATTTCATTCTCCCGATCACATTGTTGTATCTGTTCTTGCTTCGTTTCTTTTCTCATCTATATCATAAATGTGCGTACCTACATCGAGACTCAATGAAATCGTATTAATATTCATTCCGGGTGTGTGTATAGTATACATTGCAAAGAAGTGGTGGTGAGAAAATTAACGAGAAAGTATAGCTACTGCTCACATCACTTGGACACTTTTTGCAAAGCGCGAGCAATGATTGCTTGACGGGCAATTGGAGATGACTGATTTGCCAATTTTTGTAAGATACGTTTGTTTGGCGAACGTAATACAGCAAGCAATGCTGTTATGGCTGTCAATAAAGCAACACTTCCTGCTTGATGTGCGCTTGCCAATTCGATCGGAACGAGGTAGATCAGCGTTGAAATTCCCAAAGATGCTTGCGTGATTGCAGCCAATGAAACGAGAGATGCAACACGAGGGATGGCAGGAGGCATCTTCACAGAGGTAATCATTGAACGGGATACCCTACGAGCATAGAAGCCCAATCCAATAGCACTAATAAGCGTTGTGACGGCTAGAGTACGGTGCATGAGCTGTACAGTAACGGGATTTTGAGTCATATTACCAAACACCAATCCTGCCTCATCTTTATCGTTCTTTCCATGCCATGCATACTTTTGCTCCAATAACTCTTCTTTCGGGGGTACAATTCCTTCGCCCATGTAGGGGAATTCATTGTACACCAAACCTGCATCAAGACCGGCCACAAGTGCACCAGACATGGATGTAATGAATGCCAAACATAGCATACCACGAGAAACGTTTCTGAATCGATTGATACGTGGATTTTGCATTGCGCTGACCAACTTTTGCACATTTTCACCAACGTTCATCATCCAACCTGCTGCTTTGCCTTTTCCGTTGACCAGTTTATTATCCCGCAAAATCGACATTCCGGTATGCAACATACCCATATACACCAAAAATGCTGTTCCGAGATGAGCTGCTAAGCGGAAATGGGAAACACGAGGATGCCAGTCGGAAGACGCACTAGATTGAGAATCTTGACTTACACTTCCGTCCAAGCGCAATTCCTTTGCTCCTGCTGAAACGGTGGTATTCGGATGTTGTTGAGCAATGACTGGAGGTGTAGATTCGGGTGCCGTTAATCCACTCTTTACCATAAACCAACCAAGAGCACCTTGAAAGCCGATACCCAATGCGATTGCCAGTAATTTCCATTTGGTACCTTTAGCCACCTTTCCACGGGCTAAAAAGTATACAGTCGGCAAGAGAAAAGCAACACCGATAAATCTTCCAATGATTCTATGAGACCATTCCCACATGTAAATCTTCTTGAAATCTTCAACAGTCATATGTCTATTCAAAATTGCCCATTCAGGTGTTTGTTTGTACTTTTCCCATTCCGCGTCCCACTCCGCATCTGTCCATGGCAAGCTCATTCCTTTGAAACCAGGGTTCCATTCGGTGATACTCAAGCCGGATTCTGTAAGTCGGGTCAAACCACCAACGACGATGATGAGATACACCAAACCAGCACAAAAGAATAAATGATAGGCGACCGAATTCGAAGAAGTAGTACTTTCCGAGGAGGAAGACTCTGATTGGCTCGTTGTGGGAGAGGCAGCAGCAGGTTGTACTTGACGTGGGAATGAAGTTGAGAATAGTCTCAACATTGAGCGGGGTGCAACCTTGTCCTTGCCTGCTATTTGGCTCTGTATGCTTGCTTTGGGGGTTGGCAGTCTAGCAAAACTCTGTAAGCTTGGTGTAGCCGGCTGTTGGCTCAAGGATCTTGTGATTATTCTCGTTGACGATGTTGCCCTTATACCTCTCAGACTCTGCAGCGAGCCCAAGAATGGCCGCATCTCCGTTAGCAAGACCATTTCTGTCGATCACGACGGAAGTTATCGTGAAATGAGAAGAAGAAGAATTGAAATTATCAAAGCTTAATTTTTATGCACTGCACACACGCATTTTGCTTACGTACGAATTGAGTAAACCAGTAAAATTTAAGCTAACCCCCAAAAAGGGTGCGGGAAGTCCATATCGTACGCGTCCAAATGAACACAAAACCAACACGCACGGCTCACTACTACCTCGATTGTTATCATCATCATCAATCTTCCAAGCATCGACAGCCTGTCAAAGTAGAGGCACGATGTATTGGCCAACAACAACAGCAAAAAGGCTGCATCTCTCACCTTCCGGTCTAAACTCAGAACAGGATGCAAATGCTCACATCATACACGCAGCCGAATCGTACGATGCAGATTTATGGGCAACATTAACTGCTTCCACCTTGACAATCTGGTCATATAGACCTTCACAAGTGGTGGCAGCATTGGTAAGAACACCAAAGAGTATCGAAGAGTATGGCGCAAATGTACGCATTCGATGGAAGCCTGACGGGTTAGGAATATTCGTCGAAACGGATCAATCGTATCTCCTATTGTATTCTGTCAAGTTTGTACCGCAAAGACAAGCATCAGTTTATTCATATATACCCTCAAATGGCAGTGGAGCCAGAAGTAAAACGACAAAAGAAGTTTTGGCTCCCAGCTTATCCGCGTTACGATCAACATTTGCTCCAGGACCCGGCGAAGGATCCAGTCTTGGCGAAGGAAGACAACTTGCAATCGATATACGATTCAAGCTAGTGCTACGGATAGATGCAGGACTTTCAACATCCGTCTCTACAGATGATCACCTGATAGTGGCAACCAAGAATCCTCCAGCATTACAATGTATTCCTTGGCCTGAGGATCCGAGCGGCCCACGTAAAGGCTCGCCTCAAACAAGAACAAGCGTACTATCTCGACTGGAATGGATCGTCAATGAGCATTCACAGAAGCAAGGTGACGATAAAGAAAAAGCTCAGGATACGCCACCTCCTCACATTGTCGATCTGGTATACTCCCATGAGATGGACATATACCTGTTTGTGACATCAGACGGAAGAGCGTATTGCGCTCATCTGCAAATGGACAGTAGAACGTCGATATGGAGAGGACATTGTTTCCATGGAATATCGGATCGAAGACGGCGGCCTTCAAATCTGGACCCAAGCGAAAGAGAGAATGCTCCCTCCACAAGCCTTCCTCTCGAACACCGAGGACGATGTGCTGCAATCAATGCCAGATTCAGTCTTTTGGCCGTTGGGTTGGAAGATGGAACAGTGACTGTGTACACATTTCGCGCTCCCGACAAAGTTGCCTTATACTCCCACTCTTTCTCCGTTCGGGAAGCAATGCGGAGTACGGCTTCATACCTCAAAACAGGTCATTGTACCTCTCTAGCGTGGTCGAGCGATGGCCATGCATTGGCCACAGGTTGGCAGAAAGGTTGGTCGATTTGGAGCACGTTTGGCAAATTGATGGGATGCAGCTTGACAGAAAATTGGCAAGACGCATCCGAGAAATTCTCCGATACTTTTCTACGTGGAGTTCAAGACCTTTTCTGGGGTCCGGGCAACACAGAATTGTTCCTGACATGCTACTCCAACGACGATCAGCCCTCTAAAGACCTCGACAGACAAATATTTGTCTTGCCTTTTGCCAAATCAGCTGTTACCGGACAGCATTCTCCCGACAATACTCGCTACGCATTCGTACAACTTGACGATAGCGTGCTCGTCTATCGAGGTTCCGATCAACCTGATATGAGCATCATCAATCCCGAAAGTGACGTGTGGCACCATATCAAAATCCCGCAAGAATACTTGGCAACAAATTGGCCTGTACGATATGCTTGTATCAGCAGTGATGGACGTCTGATCGCTGTTGCTGGTCGTCGTGGATTGACACACTTTTCTAGTCTGTCAGGTAGATGGAAACGCTTCCAAACCACAGCTCAAGAGCAAAATTTTATTGTTGATGGTGGACTCCAATGGTATCAACACGTTCTCGTTGCAGCTTGTCATATCCCTGAAACAAACGAACACCAAATCCGTCTCTATTCGCGGGATTTGAATTTGGATGAAACGTCTGTGCTCTATACTGAGCATCTCTCCTCGGCAGTCATTCTTACAAGCTTGTTTGACAACAGTCTGCTGGTTTATACAGCCGATAATACTCTGCACCACTTTCTCATCTCCATCACCGATATGGACATCCATCTGACGCTATGTGGAAGCATCACATTCGAAGGTGTCGTTGGTGAGCCTGCCCGCGTGAGAGGGATGAGTTGGCTTGTGCCTGCGCAACAGCAACAAAGTGGTGATCCGATGGACGATCTTATGATGGCAACAATCATCTTCTTAATCGACGGTAAGCTAGTACTCCTAAGACCGAGAAGGTCGACAAACAATGAAGATGACGAAGAGGTGTCGTACGATATGCAAATCTTGGGTGATCGAATTGAGTATTATTGGACACATTTGCAAGGTGTGGGAACGCTAGAGAATTCGCTGTGGGGCTACGATGGACATGGGATCAAGTTGTGGCTCGATGCATTGACCATTGAACAGGCTGGTGTGATCAATGACAATGACGAAGAAGAGGAGAAGCCGGAATATCGTACGATCGAAGAAAGCATGTCGATCTCGCTTGACTTTTATCCACTTTGTGTTTTGATCGAAAAGGGAATTATCATTGGTGTCGAACCAGAGGTGTCCCTTCGTAGGTCATTGGAATTTGCAATTTTCAGAAGCACAACGAACACGCAGCTATTTCTACATCACGTTCTTCGTAGCTATCTGGAAAGAAGACAATTACGGGAAGCGGTCCTGTTTGCATCTTTCTATAGGTCTTTGGTCTACTTTGCTCATGCACTTGAAATTCTCTTACACGATGTCCTGGAAGAGGAAGCGGACAGCGAGTTTGCACAACAACTCACCTCGTCTTCTTCAAATGGAAGCTTAGTTGATCACGAGAAATCAATGGACGTATCAGCTTCGGTTGATTCAATCGAAAACTCACGAAATGGCAGCAACACAAGAGCTCATGCTCTACTTCCTCAAGTGATTGTATTCTTGGACCATTTCGATGAAAGCCTTGACGTTGTCGTCAATTGTGCTCGCAAGACAGAAGTCGCAAGATGGGATTATCTATTCTCAATTGTTGGTCAACCGAGAGAACTATTTGAAGTATGCTTGGAGAGGGGCAATTATAAAGCCGCAGGATCTTATCTGCTCGTTTTGCACAATCTAGAATCTTTGGAGAACAGTAGAGCCTATACCGTTCGCTTATTGACCGTAGCAAGAAGACATGGCTGGCACAGATTATGCAAAGATCTACTACGCTTCACAAGAAGCTTAGATGATGATGGCCGTGCATTACGGGCTGTAATTGAGCAGGCAGAACTGTTCAACCATGAAGATGCAGGAGATACATCTGAACGTGAAAGAGGTCTGATGGAACGAATGTATTCTTCCACAGCACCTTTCGATAAGACAAATTTCGATACGAGCTTCGATTCCTTGCAAACGCCGCCGGACAGTGTGTCCTTGCAAAGAACGACTTCTGCACCGAATATTCTCAATTCTACCATACTTGAAGAAGAAGATGAATATGGCACAAGCGGTGAATATGGATTTGATATCACTTCTGTTCCTACACCTACAAAACGCATCACACCTTTACGTAGCGTTTCTTTATTCACATCTGGAACACAAGAGCGTTCAAATGGTCCGCCTAAGGCAAGTATTGGGGTCAACGGCAGAATCATACCCGCTTCACCGTCTGATCTAAGACGATCTTCCACAAGCAGTGGTAGCAGTGGAAATACGGTAGGCGGTCCTATCCTATCACCGTCAAGAAGGTCTCCCAGTATCAGTACAGGATTAGGAATGAGTTTGAGTAAAGTCGGTTTACGTTCATCCGATCATGTTAGCTGGGACGGTAATGTTCGATCGCCATCTCGTGAAAATCATCTATCACCGCCTCCAACATCCTCTTAATGTACATTATTTATACCATGCAATACGGATAATTTCATCGTCATTGTTTGATATTCCAGGCCCAGATTCGCTCGAGAATCCGCTTTAGCCGCGCAATGAATGCCGGCCGTTGGTGGGTGGGTGGGCTGCTGAATGAAATGCACGTCCTTTTTTGTTTGTTAAACTCCACTCCAAAGTTCAATTTTGGGCGTAATGCGTGGGCTGCTGTCTGTCGTGCGGGCCTGGAAGAATAAACTTTTGTGCGGAGGGAAGCAGCGCTGCGCCCTTATCTTTAGTGGAAGATAGAGAAGTGTATGCAGATTTGTACATGTACCAATCTTCCTTCTTACTTTTATACTACTCCCTCAAACTATACTCATCATCATGACTTCTATCGATCAAGTATTACAAAAAATCGATCAAAACAAGGAAAAGCTCATTGCCAGATTGGCAGAAGCAGTTGAAATTCCTTCAGTTTCAGGTGATGCTGCTTATCGTAAACATGTGTTCGAAATGGCAGATTGGCTAAAGGCACAATTGGAAAAGCTAGGTGCAACAGCTGAATTGAAACCATTGGGAAAGCAAAACTTGGACGGACAAGAGATCGAATTACCTCCTGTCATCTTTTCAGATTTGAAAGCAAAGACTGACGCTGACAAAAAGAAAACAATTCTCATTTACGGTCACTTTGACGTTCAACCTGCTTTGAAATCTGATGGATGGAACAGTGAACCATTTAAGCTCGTTCACGATGAAAAGACTGGTCGTTTGTACGGACGTGGAAGTACGGACGACAAAGGACCCGTTATCGGTTGGTTGAATGTGATTGAAGCACATCAACAAGTCGGTTTGGATTTACCCGTCAACTTGAAATTCTGCTTTGAAGGTATGGAAGAATCAAGCAGTGTTGGCTTGGATGATTTGATCCGCAAACACAAGAATGACTTCTTTACCGGCGTTGATGCAATCTGCATTAGTGATAACTATTGGCTAGGAACAAAGAAGCCTTGCCTGACACACGGCTTGCGTGGTATCACCTACTTCAAACTTCGCATCTCTGGTCCTCAAGCTGATTTGCACTCTGGTGTGTTTGGAGGAATGGTACACGAACCCATGACTGACTTGTTTGCCGTCATGAGCAAGCTCGTCACCCCTCAAGGTGAAATCTTGGTACCGGGTATCAATGAATTGGTTGCACCACTCACATCCGAAGAAGCTCAACGCTTTGACAATATGGAATACGCTTTGACAGATTTGCATTCCGCAACAGGCAAAGATGTTGCCATCAATGATGACAAAGCCAAAACTTTGATGGCCCGTATGAGATATCCTTCTCTATCACTACACGGTGTTGAAGGTGCATTCTCTGCTCCAGGTGCAAAGACTGTCATCTGCGCAAGCGTTATCGGTAAATTCAGTATCCGCTTGGTGCCAGATATGAAACCTGAAAAGGTAATCTCATTGGTCCAAGATTACGTGCAAAAAGAATTTGCCAAATTGGGATCAAAGAACACCGTTCATATCGAGGGAGAAGGAGGTGCACCATGGTATGCTGATCCAAACCATTGGAATTACGTCGCAGCCGCAAAAGCAACCAAAAAGATTTACGGTGTTGAGCCTGATCTTACACGTGAAGGAGGTTCGATCCCCGTTGCTTTAACGTTTAGTGAAGAATTGCAGAAGAATCTTTTGCTCTTACCTATGGGCAGAGGAGATGATGGAGCACATTCAACAAACGAAAAGATTGATATTTCCAACTATATCGAAGGTACGAAATTGTTGGGTACTTATTTGCACGAAGTTGCTGCTGCTTCCTGAAAACACCTTAATACAATTGTCCGTGCAATCGAGATTTGATTTCCCATTAGATAAGTTCCTATCATCATCATCATATTGTAAAATGTGTGCGGCCCAATTGCCGGCGCTAAGGAATACTCGGAAAACAAACAGTGGATAACTTTATTTTTTCTCGGGACACTTGTCATACGCCAGTGTAAGCTGTAAGCAATTACTAAAAATGACCTTGTGCTGCTGCTTCTGCTTTCTTCCTTTGGGCGTGGGGGTTATACGTACGATAACAGCGCTGCAAGGAACGGAAGACAATTATCACTCCATCCCAACGATCATCTCCCTCTAAACACATAGCCAAAGATGACCATCGAAGGTTTGATAGCGCCAGAAGGCGTATATACGATGACAAGTTCGTATATCTTACCACCTCAACCTGCTTTCATGACTGCATTGCCAACGACGAGCAGTTTGGCACCAATGTCAAATGTACCCAGTACATCAACCGCAACGACAAATACATCAACCAATAATCAATCAACACCCTCAAATTCAACCCAAATGGCACAGTCATCAAGCAATAATACATCATTGACACCAAATGCAGCAGGCACGCCTGGAAGCACAACAAATGCTGCCAACACACAAGGTACATCACCGGGAGCCCAATCTACACCACTTTCAACTCCTGGATCACCACCGATGGAACAACCACTGCCTTCACTAAACTTGAACGACTCATCTTCTCAACCCAAAACGGCTTTACATCATATCTCTATTCAAGCACCAAGCGCATGGTCACATGTTGCAATCCTTCCACCCAGTAGGATAAGTGTTGCAAGTGTACGTTATCCGCCTTCTCAATCTCAACCTTATTCGGCCGTTCCTTCTTTGAGTAGAAAAGATCGTCAACAACAAAGTCAAGCTTCAACACTCGCTGCTCCACCTTTGGACGGATCGGCGGAAGGCAGTAATGGAAGTAACTCTGATTTAGGCGCCGGAATGGAGGCCAGCGGATTGAGTGAATCGCAATACGCAACAGGTGCAGACGCTTATGCCAAACATTCCACCTCTTCAAGACAGAATTGGGGACCTGTTCTAGAAGCCACCTTGGCATCACAGGGGATCGATGGTCCATCATCACACGTAACTGGAGGAGCTGGCGGTCTGCCTGGAATGTCGGCTCTCCAATTGCTCTCACATTTGGGCAACACTGGACCATCGGAAGATCAAAATAATCTCTCCATATTCAACCCCAATGCCTCGAGCTCAAGTGCTGCTTATGGAAGCGTAAATAAAAACTTACCAAAACCCAAAAACAGTATCAAACAAACGAGTAGTTCTTTCGTACAAAGGCTTCAAGGTCATTCAGATTTGGCAAAATTACTCTCTTCACGCCTTGAAGGAACACAGATAGAACGACATGCGTTTGTGAGTCGAGCAAGAATGCTATTTTGGCTTGGAGAAAGTTCTACAGGATGGATCAAAGATCCCCTTGCCCGTCTAACATTTGCATCGCCCATCACATCTCACGATATAAATCAACAAACACGATCCCCGAATCGATTGGACGTGATAATAGCTTTCAAGACGTCTGATCTTGTTTGGTTGGAGGCAATTTCTATGCGATACTCTCGAATCAATAAAGCGGGTTGCATCAATGACGCTCCCATCACATCCGTACGTTGGTTACCGGGAAGTGAAACACTTTTCCTCACAACGCACAATGATGGAACATGCACCTTGTTTGATATCACAAGAGATGATAGCACAACTGGTTCTTGGGCTCCGGCCAGTGCGATCAAGTGGGATATAGACTCTTCTGAGGGGTTAGAAGAAGAGCAAGAAGTTTTGATGGCCCAAAGTACAGCGCTAGATGGAGATCAGCAAGACAGTTCACACATTCCCTCCCACGCAGTACATGCTTGGGAACCAAGTTCAGGCATCTTGGTCACAAGACCTGCAGCAACGGAAAACGAAACGCAAAGAAAGGCATGGATGAAACTTAATCCGGTCGCACATTGGCGTATTGCTCGAAATAAATCTATAACCGATATGGCTTTCTCTCCCGATCATACAAAGTTGGCATTGGTGTCAACCGATGGCTCTCTTCGACTAGTGAACCTTTTGACAGAATCTTTGGAAGGTACCTTTCAATCGTATTATGGAGCGATGAATCGTGTGATATGGTCACCTGATGCAAAATTTTTGCTTACTGCCGGCTGTGATGATTTGATCAGTATTTGGACAAGTGATGGTCGCTTACTCAGTAGATGTCCGGGTCATTCAAGTTTTGTGACGGGAATCGCATTCGATCCATGGAAATGGAAGGTAGAAGATCGAACGTACAGATTTGTCAGTGTGGGTGAAGATGGTAGAGTGTTCTTGTGGGATTTCTCTAGTGCGGCATTGCATAGACCTCGAATGCCACATTCGGCTCATTCTGCCAGACGAGCGGCGAGAACTGGTCATCAAAGCTCAGCTTCTTTACCAGATGGAAGAAAAGGAAGTGCAAACACGGGTGTCAAACAACATTCCACTCCAAATGATGATCCTCACCTCAACGGTCAACCTACTTTCCGTAAAGCACCACCAAGAGCAGAAGTTGCAGAATTACAGCCGGTCGCAAGCTATAATGTGGGTGTGATTCCAATCTCGCAAAATACAACCAACGAATCTGTCAATGTGATTCCTTTCGTCACTGCTCCCGGACAAGGATCCCTGCAAATGACTGCGTCCAATTCCACTTCCGCCAATGATGGAGCTGCTCCTCAAAACAACGCTACCGGATCGACCACCACCAACACGCCCGGGACACCAAATACAGCACCTGCCACTAATCCCAACGAGCCGGGCTCAGCTTTGGATCTTTTGGTCGACGTTCGATGCAGACCAGATGGTATCTTATTGATGCACAAGAGTGGCACGCTTCGCTATTTGAACAGACCGACAATCTCACATTTGAACGGTTCAATATCTCAAAAGATTACTGCTAGGTAAAAGTACAAATTAATCAATTAGACACATCATCCCTGTAAACATACATACATGCCTAATCAAGGGTCTATTTTGACATAACTTTCATCATCTAAATTTTTCGTATCTGCTTTGACGCTTGCATAAACTTCCCCAACGATTCCAAGAGCTGTTGCACGTAATCTTTGTGTTTCTTTGCTAACATTTTGATCATAAAGAACTCTTTCTGCAACTTCACGAATGATCGATTCCACTTCCAATTTAGCACCTTTGAATAATGCTCTCATTCCTTTTTGAGCTGCTGCTTCTTCTAATTGCTTCTTGCGTTCTTCTGTGATTCCCTTCTCTTCAGCGACAGCAAGTTCCTCAAACACTTGCTTGAGCTCCAATGCTGCTCGTACCGTGCTCACTGTCTCGCGAACGACGTGGTAGGAAGATGCTGCCGAATGGAACACTCCTCCGATTCCCCACAGAATACCCGTTGATGCCAAATAATGCTTTGATTTGGCAACATACACAAATCCAACAGCGTGCAATAATTCAACTCCATAGCTCTCCTGCTTGAGTTCCTCTGCTTCAATTCGTGTGATTTCTCGGAAACTTTGTGCAACTTGACGTTCTAAATCGGCATCATTTGCATTTCTTACACTTTCCGTATACACGCTCACTTTTCGAATCAAATTTTCGGCCAACTTTCCTACTCTTTCTTCCCGTTGACGTGCACGTTCTTCATCTCGTTTACGTTCACGTTCTTCTTTGGCAGCTTTTTGTTCGGGCGTTAAACCTGCATCTTTCTTGCCAACAGTCTTTCCTTCGCCTTTTGAGTCGCCATTCGTGTGAGCTAGAGAAGAATCATCAGTCTTTCCGTTTTGCGCTTGTTGTTCCTCATTATTCGCAGCACGTTCCAAGTCTTCTGAATCTTGCTGAAGTGCCTCTTTCATATCTTTACCAATACTAATCGTACCGATAATATCTTGGAATCTCTTTCCGCCGAAAAGCGATCCAAACACTTCCTCAGGATCAACGAATCCATCTTCCGGCACCAAGCCAGGCGTTTGCGCTCCGAATTCGTTGTATTTGTGTCGTAATTCGGGATCGGATAAAACTTGATAAGCAGTCGCTAATGTTTTGAATCTTTCTTCTCCTTCAGGATCGTTTGGATTTTTGTCAGGATGTAACTTGATTGCCAGCTTTCTGTATGCCTTTTTGATCTCTTCCTGTGTAGCTGTTGCTGGTAGCCCTAACACATCATAATATGTCATATCCAACGGTCTATCGTCCGTTCCAATTCGTCTTTTGTTCACCTTTGGTTTCTCTTTTCCGCCATTTTGTCTTGCCTCACGTATCAGTCTAGGTGCTCCTGGTGGTTCAAACCTCTGTTTACATTTACAGCATGTTACTCTAAATGATGTTTCTGTAATTGGCAATCCTGCCAGAGTGGTAGTTGAAGGTTGCGCATATTCAATGATCGCCTTGCAATTAGGATAAGGGCACGTTACCTGAGTGTAAGATTCCTTTGGCCGTGAATCAATCACTAATCCTGGTCCTGCAGCCGAAGATGAAGATGCTGTTGTCTGTGTTGATGTCATCTTTCTCGTTGTTGTGGTCGCAAGAAATGAGTGGAGCTGTCGAGCGAATGCCACAACAAGCCAAAAAAAAGACTACGCTAACCAAACATTCATCCCTTTGTGAATGCCCCCCCTCCTGCTGCGCCGCGCCAGGATGTAGTCAGGGTAAATTGTATTCAAAACAAAAAAACAATACAAAACATAAAATACAAAAAGTGGACTAACTTGTATACAAATAAAATCCTGCATAAGCGCGTATCGATTTTTTTTTGGAGGAATCTTCTCAAGCTCTTCTTTTTCCGCTCCCGATCCATCTCCTTTGTGTCGATCTCCATTACGTTTTTGCAACAGCATGATGAATGTCTCTAGATCATTACGGATGGCTATCAGGCCTCTGATGGGAGAGGCCAGTACATCCAGACTACAAGCTCCGATAAGATTCCACAACCTGAATGCTTCTATGCGATTGCATTCTTCAGCAAAAGTAATGGTAGACGACGTAAAGGACGCCAAACAAGTCACACTCGACTCAACAGAACAGCCAACATCGCCAGAACAGACAACATCGTCAGAACTGCCAACAATTGAAGCGGAGGATATAGTAGACGCCGATAAAGTGGAAGCCGAAGCAGCAGCAGAGTCCACCTCCTCAGAAGAAACAGCAATCGAAGCAGAAACAGAGATGCCCAAAGAAACTCCCATCTCCGCTTTTTCACTTCCAACAATGGCACCTGGTGAAGCATTACCCGAAAGTTTCAGAGCGTCTCAAATGTCTGCTTTGCCCGGCTCAGCCAGTCAAAGAGTACCATATAGAACTGGAGAACAAAAGCCTCATAAATTACACGTTCAAGCGACAAGAAATAATTGTATAATCACACTTACAGGACATGAAGGTTCAGTGATGAAACGTGAATCTAGCGGTTCTATCGGATTCAAGAAAGCAGCAAGAAGTGGATATGAATCGGCTTATCGAGTTGCCATTTCAATGTTTCAACATATCGAAACCAATAAAAGTCCTTGGCGTATCCAGGGTATCGATATCATCTGGAAAGGTTTCGGTCAAGGTCGCGAAGCCGTTTACAGAGCTCTTTTGAGTAGCGAAGGAACGCAAATTCGTAATCTCGTTCGCAGGATTAGTGACAATACTGCACTCAAAGTTGGTGGTACACGCCCTAGAAAGAGAAGAAGTGAGTTTTTTCTCGAGGGATACATTCGCATTTATGAAAGCAATACTGACACATCTTCCTCTCTAAACAGTGCTGTAAATTTTCCCACGCATGTATTCATATCACAGCATTGTGTAAGATGTAGAATTGAATGGATTCCACACCTCAGACAGAACAAGAACGGGGGATCGGTGACAGCAGGCGTGCGCCCTTGGGAGAAAAAGAATGTGTTTCCAAAAATGAAAGGGTCTATAGATAAAAGAAAGTGATTTGCAGTCCATCCCGACTTAATCTTGGGCATCCAAATATTTACTCGTAGGACTGCTCTGGGTTGAATAATTGTATGATCCGTCTACCGGGTTTTGAACGCTATTCCGTGTGATGGGTGTTGGTGGTAATAGCCCTGCACCATCTGATGAAACTGAGATTATGGCCGGGCTTGCGTTTGCCATTTCTGTATCTGTTGGTTGTGAGAAATCAAGTGGTGCAGGTTTACGCTTCACTGAGCCAAAGGAGTGCAACGTTTTCATTGGAGTTGGTGTTCGAGAAGTTGAATCGTAGGAAGAAATGATGGAAACTGACGTTTCACCTTCTTGTTCTCTACGTTCTTGTGCTTCTCGCATCCTTTTCTTTTCGCGGTCAGCATACACTGCTGCTTTGAGTTCACGCACTTCTGCATCAATATCCGACTCCTTTGTTCCAGTCAAGCCTGATCCTTCACTATGCACACCATGAGCCCAGATTTCACTTCGGCTGTTTAAGCCGTTTGCACCGTTGGCCTTGCGAGTTGATAACATGCTCTTCATCCTTCTCAATCCACTGGCAGGTTTTTTGAAGTGTGAAGAGAATCCACTTCGAATCGAGAATAATGATTGCCTATCATCATCATCTGCGAGGGAAGTGTCTAGGGTGTGTGCATCAAGTGACTCCTCACCCTCTTCACCTGAGCCTGCTTTTTTATGAGAGCCAGGACGCCAAATAGATGATCGTTTGGAACGCAAAGTTGACGAAGGACTTGCAGGGACGGGTGCTTTTGGCGGTGCAATTGTTTCATTGATCACCAACCAATGATCTTTATTGTCAAAACTGAAAGTTGCCGCATTGCCCAATAAAGAACTACTTGTCCTTTGATTCAATTGTGCACAAACCAGCAATGGCAATCGAGCTGCCGGACAATCGTCCAGCAGTTGATCTTGCCAAACACTTGCAAAGCATTCGTCAAACTCAACTGAAGAAACATTTGCCAAAATGTGTTTAGGCTCTCCACGTTTTCCGCCCAGGGACTTCCCATTCGTACGTCGACGTGATGCAACGCTATCTTTCTTCTCTGTCGCTAGAGCTTCGATTCGGTCTTGTTCCTCAAACACCTTTTCAAGCTCGGATTTTGGCTTGAACTTCTTGTCTAGCTGGAAGGCATCTTTCTGCATATCTGCCGGTGGTGCAAATCCGCTCGTAGTGAAAGCTTTCCAGTCGAGATTTTCGTCTTTAGACTCTGTCAAAGGAGCTAAACTCAAACCTCCTGGTCGTGCATACGAACTTGAACGAGAAACTGATCCATGATCATTTGGTGTGGTATTCATGCTTTCACTCGAAGTACCACGCGAAAACAATGAGCTTACACTATTGTACGAGGTAAAACTCTCCGAATTGTTCAGGGTATCATCTGTGTTTGGTTTACCTTCCAGTATATTCTTGCGCTTTTCCGATTCTTCAGCCGTTACCTCAAGAATACGTACGTCCTCTCTTTTGAACAAATGTGTTTCTTCTGCACGATCAGACTTTTTACCATTTTCAGCAAATGCAAAACTTGTCGTCTTCTCATACGAATCATCGATGTCAATATCGTCACTTGAAGGCTCTTTTGCTGCTGATGTTGCAATCGCTTTGATCGCCACCCAATCGTCCACATCTTCACTTGCAGCCAGATCGATATTAGTAGCCTTGAAAGAAGTATTTAGGATATCTCGAGGCGACCGACGAGCTTGTTTAGGGGTCATGATGACATTTTCTGTTCGAACCTCAACAAACAATGCCTTCTTGTTAGCGGAGGAAAAGGTACGCGGAAGCGAAGGTCTTGTTTGGCCAGGTGCAAAGTACGGATAATCGGCAACCAATTCCGTCAACCGAGAAGGCATAAGATGAAATTGCGCAGATTGTTCACGTATCATGACGAGGAAAAGATGTTCGGTCACTTTTGATGCTTTATCCCAGGCCGCATATGCTTCTTTGAAATTCAAAGGTTCATGATGTATACCAACCCGTCCGAACAACCAATATCCCAGCGAACGACAAATTCGCCAAGCTGGCATTGCATTGCTGATGTGATGTGCTGCAATAGTAGACATCAGATCCAAAACGATTTGTAACAGTCGTGCAGCATCTTTACTCAACAACGGAAGCAAGATCTGGGAGAATGCTCTGACCGGGTACTTTTGCTCCTTTTCCTTCAATGCAAAGGTGTCGTACCAGCTGTATTGTTCGGTGGCATGCAGGTCAGACAATCGCAATGTCAACCTACGAAGTCCCCACTTGAACAAGGCGACCACATCATGTATATTGGCGTAAGCTAGTTTTTTGCGAAATTCTGCTTCTGGATCAGGTTTTCCCAATGCATCACGCAATAGAGAAGATTGCATATTGATATCCAAAGCAAAGATGCCTTGATAAAGATGCGGTTCCGTAGAAAGCAGATATAGCTCAATCAATCTTTCCACCTCTTCTGCATTTTCTGAAGTTCTAAAGGGTCTAAAAACGCCCACCATTGCCAAACCTCTCATCTTGATCTCTTTTGCACATTGATCTAGCAAATTGCAAGCTCTTCGAACGTCCAATCTAGCTTTTTGGTGGTATTCCAGTCTTTGTTTCGGGGGAGCGGCTGTGGAGATGACGTACCTCTTTTGTTCTTCCGGTACTATTTGCGTGCTCTTTTCATTTGTTGCCTCTTCTCCATTCATCGGATGATCGTCTTCAATGTTTTCGATCAGATCATCTTCAATTGGTATCTTGAGCTGAGGCGGTAATGCATCAATAGCTGACACATTCGCTGTCCTTCCATTTCTACGAAAGATTGATTTTCTTTTCCGCATTCTGACATCCGTTCCAATACCTTGCATGCTCCTCTGACTACCATTCATGAAAGACGTATTTAATCCGTTACTGTGACCTTCACTGCTATGGAAGCCATTAGTGTTATGGGATTTTCCCGATTCAAATTGTGCACTTGAACCGAAAGAAGGACTGTTCATATTTGGTCTTTGATTACTACTGAAAGAAGTTCGAATTCGATGTAAGAATCCATTTGCCTGATTTTCATGACGCTGTGCCACCGAAGGGGAGGCGCCAATAGAAGAATTCATGACGTTTGCCTGTCTTGAGTGCTGTTGTGTGCATGTGATTTTTTAATTTAATGAAGAAAAAAGGGTATTCTTGTGTATTGGGTATAGTTGATTATTGTATGGCTTTTTTGCACTTTTGTTTGGTATCAATAAAGAATGAATTCAATCATTCAGGGTATACGTTCGCTGCCCAATGCAATTTTGCTGCCCTGTGCGATAGTTGGTGAGATCGTAATGGAAGAAGAAAAGATTAACCAAAAAAAAGATGAAACGCTTGGATTGTTGTAATGTACATTACATGACAATATACTCTTCATTCGCGCCAAATGCTGGCAATAACTTTAATCGTTAATACATATACACACGCAAGCAAATAAATGAAGCGGAAGGGTGAACCACCCCCTTTTACACACAAGAGGTATTGGCGTAAGGGCAGATGAACCCTATTAAATTTCAACCTCAGCTGCTCCCGCACAGGGTGATGGATGCAAAATAAAGATCTCCTCACATAACGCACAAAAAACAGCATTTCCGCTACGATCCGAAAGTCTTTCTCGTTTTGAACTCGTATGAACATGCATGAAGCTAAAAGCGAACAAAGCTCAACAAGATGCCACTGAAACCAATCAACAAATAAAATTAAGATTTTAAGAGCTGCATGAAATAGCATTTAGGCATTAGACAGGGATATATGCAAGAGTGCATGTTTTAGCGTATTTCATTCTATATTTTCAGCCATTCGATTTCTCTATTGATCTTCCATGCATGCTAATCAACCAACGGATTCACTGCGGTATTATAAGGGATTAGCATTGCAGAACATAATCTATATCACAACCATCTAAAGTTTAGAACCATCTCCACGAATTGGATCATCGCTTGAACGTGCATTTGCATCACGCAATAAAGGCTCAATATGTCTTCTCCATGTTTCAGCAACATGTCTGCCTGTTTCCGTACTTCCGTATTGGTAACGACCAACATTTGCATTATCGACTCCATCTGATTTACGTGTATGATTGATTGGATTAGCTTCTGCTTCGGCCATTAAACTTTCATAAACTCTGCCATCATAACGACCCAAAGAAGATGCCAATTCCCAATCTGTCCATCCGAATGCATCCGTCAAACCAATCACTTGAGGTAAAAGTTCTTCAACCAATTCTCTAACTGCTTGTTCCAATGATAAAACACTTTCAGGTGTTAAAACTGCCGTTCCAGCAGGATAATCTGCCAATCCACGACCGGTTGAAGAAGGTAAAACGAGAGGAGTGATATCACGTTGTAACGAAATCAAAGCATGCAAACAAACCAATTTACGAATCCATTCAGATTCTTGTTTTCCATATGATTCTGCATCCGTTTCAACTCCTTCGGCAAACCAAATATCAACAACAACTTCTGCATGACTACGTGCAACTTCAACGCAATCCCAACTTAAATCAACAAATCTACGTCCAGATTTGATCTCGGCAACCAAATCGGCAACTCTACGTGCAGCACGTAATTGAAGAGCAGTTGAATAAACTGATCTTTGACGCCATTGAGCAGCAGTTGTGGGAACTTGCAAAGGTAATGCACCCTTTGTTAGCAAAGCGTTCAAGAAGTTTGTTGTGTTTGTCAATTTGGTGTTCTTTGGATCATGTTCCAGTCCGTTGGCGTTTTTGAGTAATGCACGTCCAACTTGTTGTGCGAGCACATAGTTGTCACCTTCATAGGTTACAGCAGGTGCATTATCAGGGAAGATGGAAGTGAAACCAGCATACACTCCGAATCCATGCCCACCTAGTGCTTGACGTGATTCTTCGATACCATCCAAAGCTTGTTTGGTGCAGTATGCCTTCAAACTTGAAGATGCAACGTGAACGTCTGCCAACAAAGATGTATCACCTTGATCCAATTGAGCAGACATTTCCTCGTAAAGGTGACGCATATGACGTCCTGCAATAATGTAAGCGTAACTCTTGGACAAAAGCGGCACCATTCTTCTGTTCAAAGAAGGATAACTCAAAACGCTACGTTCTGATTCACTTGCATCTTTGCTATCAGGATCACGGAATTGTCTTCTGACCAAAGAATAACGTGTTGCAATCGTTTGTGCTCTTGATAACATCCATCCTGTACGATCGATCATTTGACTACGAATGAAGATCATACCACCATAACTCAATTTGTCCGATGGAGGACGAACGTATTCACCATTCTTCTTCACTTGAGCGAATTTGGACAACATGTTGAACCTTGGCAATTGAACGTGGTTGAAACGAACCCAACCATTATCCAATCCACCAAAGGCATCGTATGTCTTTGGTCCAATATCACCTGCAACGATGTTATCTAAAAGCTTTCCACTACGAACATCCCGTAAAGGGCAGAAGAAAAGATGAGGTCCGTATCTCTTGCCCTTAATGATCAATTGAGCTTGAACGATTCCGTGTGTGGCCGTTGTACCTGAACCACCAGCCCACCATTTTGTACTTGTGAGAGTTGGGCTGTGTAAATCGAAAGATTCGGTTGATTCGTTGTATGTTGCAGTTGTTTCTAATGCTTGCACGTTTGTTCCGTGTCCCAATTCAGTTTGCAAATAGCATCCCAAGATTTGATGTGTCATTGCACGAGAAGCCCATGCATCTACTTGTTCCATAGAACCTTGACCCATAATTACGGGAACAAAGGCAACCCAATGAATTGTGACGGGAGATTGCAAGTCCAAACTTGTTGCAGCTTCGATGATCATTTGTGTATCCCAATCATCTCTTGCTGCGATTTCCAATAATCTTCTGCAGGCTAAATGAGACATTGCCATCTTTTGTTCACGATTCATATGGAACATACGCTTTTTCCAATTTCCAAATAATTCATCCGAATCCAAAGTTTTGATCATTAAATGACGGGTTTCATTATCAATTCTGCCATCACGTAAGATATGTTCAATTTTCTTTGGATCAAATGCAGTTCTTGCACGAGCTGCTTCGATATCCTTCTCGGTTTGTTTTGCATGCGGTCCGATTGGAATTGGAAGTGTAACACGAGCGGCTGGGTCACCAGATTTAGGAGTTGAAAGTGGTTTCCATTCTGTCATCACTGCACCAATGCCATCAGCGGCAGCAGCAGGAGCAGAAGATGCACCGATTGAAGACATTCTATGGAGAGGGGTGTATTAGATTAGAATGGGAGAGGAGATGGTGGTGGCGTGAAGTAAAGTAGTTTGTATGGAATGCAGATGGATTATATACCTTTTGTCTCAGACCATAATAGCGAGATCATCAAGCGAGCAAAAGAACAACACTTTATCCAAATAATTGGAATGAAATGATCTTTGATGGGCATGCATACATTCCGGCACTTCAACTCAATGACCGGTAATAATCATTAGGCGATAGTCTGGGGTAAAAGAGGCCGAAAGAGGTAAAGTGCCTGGCATCACTAAAGCGAGCTCAATCTCCGAGACAAAAAAAGAAACGCGTTCGCCTGCTTAAGCTCGCATTCTTTGAAAGCAGAGAAAAACAAGCGAGGCTTACTAATAATGCTTACATAATATTGTGATTATATCATTCCATGGAACCGTGCTGCAAGAATCTGCATGGTTTGGCTTCTATTAAGATTCATGTTCCTTGGCAACATTGTACATGACACACAAAACATTGTAGATGATCGATCAAGTGTAATTCCTTCAACAATCCACAATCCTAAATCATCACAATAAGAGGCGGTGTTCGTCATGACACCTTCTCAAACCTCGTCCTGGGGTGCAGCCTCAAGAAGGGCTAACAAGTCATACATGCTGGCCAGCATCTTCCTTCTTTTCAGTCAATTCGTTCATGCCTTCCCTGCTCCAACAAAAGACAGTACACTCTCCGCCTTTGTGGAATCTTCTCTCCTTCTCACAAGCGCCAATTGGACGACTGAAATCGGAAAAGGATCTTGGTTTATAGAATTCTATACACCTATATCACAATCATGCAAAGAGCTGGCTCCAATTTGGCAAGAATTAACGTCAAACAAAGACATCCTACGAACAGGATATCCAGACGCTCCTCTTTCGCTTGCACAAGTGGATTGTAACGCAGAACAGGCTTTATGCGTTCGAGAAGGTGTGACGCATATCCCAAAGTTGAGCTTATACAAAGATGGCATTCAAACCGAAAGTGAATTCACTGGAAATCGAGAATATACAGAATTGGCCGCATTTGTAGATTCAGAAGCAGCTTCATATCGTAAATCAAAGGGTGTCAGTGATATTGCACATCCCTTAGAAGCTTCTACCGGCTCAACAGCAGCCAACGTCAAGGGCGATCAGATTGGACCAAAACCACAAGCCGAAATAGTCGGACCACAAAAGCCACCAGTTGATGATCCCAAGGCTGCTCCTGGTAATGGTAATCCAGCCGTAAATGCTCCCGTTCCTGGCGCTGGCGCTGGAGATGGAAAGGAAGCAAACAAGGCACCCATCGTACCTCCAAAGCAAGATACAATCAAGGGGCAAGCTATTCCAGTCCCACCACCACCAACAGTATTCCAACGACCCAATCCGCAGGGAAGAGTGTTACAGTTCGGCATCGACGAAGCTGTAAAGGATAAGCAAGCATTACAAGAGTTTCTAAGCAAGAACGAGAATCATGGTGCTACATTTGTCAAATTCTTTGCACCTTGGTGTCCACACTGTCGTGCGATGGCAGGCGCTTTTCGTCAAATTGGAGAAGCACTCAAGGACAGAGTCAGTGTGGTAGAAGTGGATTGTGAAGCAAATCATGCGGTTTGCGTTTCTTATTCTATTCAAGGTTTCCCAACGCTACGAATGTATAACGATGGTGAATCAACGGAATATCGTGGAGGCAGATCGTTTGATGCGATGAGAACGTGGGCTTTGAAAGCTGGTAGTGCTTCTGGCGTTCGACAAATTTCCGCCAAGGAGATTCATGATATCTCGCGGAATGATGAAGTGTTCTTCCTCTACTTACACGAAGAAGGTGTCCCGGAGAAGGAAGTGGACGCTGTCACACGTGCTTCACGTATCTTGCTCACCACACCTGTTCATGTCTATCGATCATCGGATGCAGAATTGATACAACGGTATCGAAGCAGGCTATCAAAAGCATCAGTTGGAACAAACGCACTTTCCGGCTTGCTCGTCTTTAAAGATCACGATGACACCACCCCCACAGCCAGTCTACATCCATCAGAAGAACGATCAAAAGGAAAGGATCTACAGACCAGCATAACCTCATGGCTGGATTCTGAAAGGTTCCCAAGTATTGTAGAAGTGACGGGAAATACGTTTAGCGAAGTGATCAATAATCGACAAAATACACCAGTCGTTCTTGCAGCCCTTTCGGATGTGTATCACAGCGGCAGGCGACAAGGAACAGGAACAGGGGCGACAATGAGGGATGAAGAGTTACGTTCATTACGTGAATTAGCATTGGCATGGCGCAAGAAAGCTGAAGAGAAAGTAATTGTACACAATGAAAATGCAGAACAAAAAGGTGAATATTTGTTGTTTGCATGGATAGATGCAGACAGATGGGCAACTGCAATCCGTAAATATTATTCGATCAAACCAACGCAAGTTCCAAGAATCTTATTGGCTGATGGATCACGGTATGAATACTATGATTTACCATCACGATTCGTCGATCCATATGCATCTAATCAGAAAGTGAATTGGTTGGACAATGATCAAATATTTGAAGCATTGGATTTGATCTGGAAAGGAAAGGGCGTTCGTGCAAAGAGTAGTAGAACGTATTTGGATCGTGGTGTACGTGAGACGGCATCTTTTATCGAAAATAGTCTGTTGTGGGTGTCAAATCACTTATTCACTTCATTCTGCTTGATGATCGTTTTCATCGGATTATTGGTATCTTATTTGCGTCGTCAAGCAAGATATGCTTCCCTTCATTCACAAAGATTGCCGGCGTATGGAAAAGTGGATTAATTCTTGGGGAAATGGACGGTGTTCAATTGCTTCATCTTGTATAATAGTTTACTAGCATTATCATCATCTTCTACTTTCTTACAATGGTTATTATACTCCATCTTCCGTCATGATAAAACGGAATTCGGCCCCAAGTCCGAGTACATACTCTGGGATTGATTAGCTGACCTGAGTATTTTTGTGCGGGGTGGTGGCGGGGTTCTTTAATGGACGCGGGCGCACAGAGTTAAGGCACGGCTGCTGTCTTACTAGACATTCTTCCCGAATTAAAAGTGAAAGTTGAAAGCGTATCCAGAAGCTAAGGAAAGGCAGCTTAAGTGCAGATCCTTTTGCTTTTTCTCAATTCTCGGCTTTGGGAATCAACTCGGTGACTTTGTTCTCGGCAATAAAACATACTTAAACGCTGAATCAAAGAAGTCCCCTAATCTCACTTCCCGCCACAATCTATCAAAATGGCTGTACAAAGGAAGAATAACAACATAGACTACAAGTCACTTCCGGCAGAATATCACAATGTGATCGCAATAGGAGCAGGAGTGACAAGTTTGGCATTAACGTGTCATTTACAATTAATGTCAAACGAAAAAGACTTTTTGATTCTAGAACGTGAAGGTGGTATCGGTGGAACATGGTGGAGTAATACATATCCGGGAGCAGGATGCGATATCCCCATCCCGCTGTATTCTTTCAGCTTTGCACAAAAACGTAATTGGTCTTCTTTCTTCGCTTTACACGATGAAATTCGAACATACCTACAAGAAGTAGCCGACCGATTCGATCTCACACGTAAAAGTAGATTCTTCACAGAAGTTCATTTGGCTGAATGGGATGAAGACTTGGGTCTATGGCATGTTTATACTAGACCCGCAAAAGGGATCAAAGGCGGAAATGATGAAACAGAATCTGCACCACCAAAGCATTACCTCTGCAAGATCTTATTTACCGGATTAGGACATCTCAATATTCCAAACGATTGCGATATCCCGGGTAACGAATCGTTCAAGGGACCAATATTCCATTCTGCCAGATGGGATCACAGTGTCAGCTTGGCAAATAAGAATGTGTTTGTGATCGGAAATGGTTGTAGTGCAGCACAATTTGTACCACAAATCGCCAAAGAAGCAAAACAAGTCAATCAAGCCGTTCGATCTAAGCATTGGTATGCTCAAAGACCGCATGATCCATTCGATTTCGCACTTTGGCGTTGGATGTTGTTATACGTTCCAGGATTGTACAAAGTTCAACGTTGGCTAATTGCACTCGCTCTGGAGTTCAGCATGCTTAACATGTTTAGACATCGTTTGGGAACATTCTTCCGCAACAGATTTGCGGCTAAATGCATTCGATATGCCAAAAAGACAGCACCGGAGAAATACCACAAAGCAATCATTCCTTCGTTAGAAGAAGTCGTTCCAGGATGCAAAAGAAGAGTGTTTGATACAGGTTACCTCGAATCTCTACAACGTCAAAATGTTGATTTAGTCACTTCACATGTGACTCAAATCAAAGAGAATACAGTCATCACAAAAGACGGAACAGAATACCCCGCAGATGTGATTGTATTGGCAAACGGTTTCAAAATTAAAGATGCAGGTTTTCCACTCAAGATCGTTGGCAGAAACGGTGTCAATTTGCAAGATTACTGGAAACAAAACGGAGGACCTCAAACATATCGATCATGTATGATCTCCCACTTTCCCAACTTCTTTGAGGGAATGGGAACAAACAGTGGAACGGGTCATTTCTCATTCATGTTCACTGCTGAATGTCAAGCACAATTTGCCATTCGTGTCATGCAACCTATCCTGGAAACTCCTAGACCGTTCATCTTTGACGCCAAGAATCCCTCTTTCAAGCGTGGTGCAACAGTGACCTGCAAAACAGAAGCAGAAGAAGATGAAGTTGTATGGGCACAATCCACTTCTTATCAAAAGATGGTATACGGATACAATTGCAGTACCTGGTACGTTGATGCTGAATCAGGACGACAAACGACAATGTATCCTTCTTGGCAATTCATGTTCTGGCTTCGTTCAGCTTATCCTCTATATCACAAGGATTTGATTTATCAAGATTGTAAGCCACCGGGAGGTTATCTAACCCAGTTCAGAGAATGGTTGGGTATCGGAGGCATTCCTAAACCTTCTCAAGAGCTTATTAAACGATTCAAAGCGGGAGAATTCACCACACGTGAGACACCAAAAGAACGTTTATCAAAGTGATTCGTCATCATATTGTATTCAGAGTTGTAGTTTTGTTAATAGATCATTGTTTGTTATGTGAAATGGTGGCATGAGTATGATAGCGGAGAATTACTAACCGCCGCTGAATATTATAATCATTATACCTGTACGCGTGTAGACTGACTGTTAATTCACCCGATTCATGCGGTGAGCCAAACAAGAAGGGTTACACTGAGTGTTTCATGCGTGGATCGAAATTATATCCTTACGCACCTTATCCGTGTTTGCTTCGTGTGATGGAGGGGTTAACTTTTGTTTAAATGAAAGCGTGTCAAGGTCATCAAATGAATCAACACAACGAAAAGCAACAACGACATTGACAACATTCATCCTACATTGTATATATAGACCTTCCACCTCATCGTCTCCATCCCAGAATACCTATCATACGACAACAACCTCTCAACATGTTGGACGGATAAAGCAGCACACACTCCACTCGACTTTGATTGCATTTATCCCCGTTTTTTTTCGTTTGTTTCGCGTCTCCGTCTTCGATGCATGAGCTATACACAACTTCATCGTCTCCCCCAACAATCTTCAAGTAAAGATGGATAGCAATACAAATTGGACAAAGCGTTCAATCGATGATCCTCTAACAGAATTAGAAGAAGAAGAAAGCGAACATAGAGATGAAGATCAACAAACAGAAATCCAAGAGGATGGCGGAGAAAGTGCAAGTCAAAGTAGAAGAGGATCAGATGAATCAATGGGAAGAGAAAGAAGAATAACACAAACCGGAACAAATGGCAAAAGATGGAACAGACTTCAACAAGGGTCTTCGCCTACCTCTTCTCCCAACCTAAGCGGAAATGGTGCCTTACCATCATCTTCTTCCAATTCTCCCAAAATTCCAGCAGCCGGATTAGGTACGCGAATAGGTCCAAGACCTGTTCCTAAATCATCTTCTTCCCTTCGACATATTTCATCAAAAGGAAGGACTGTCTCTTTCGGCACACCAATGCCCGAAAATAGAGATCCGAGCGAGCCAATCCAATCCATACACGATGGAAAGAGTACAGTAGAACGAACATTTGAAGCTGCTCAACGTAGAGAACGCGAAATGATCGAACGTGAGTCCTACTTAGATTCTGACGATGATCATCTAGATCATGCAGAAGAGTTGGATTTGGAAGGTTCATCCGTTTATACCACCAGTGGAGAAAGTGCCAAGCTTCGAAGGAATAACCTCAAAAAGGAAGTGTTGGGAAAAGACGTTCAAATGTCTGTAGACAGTGCTATCAAGTCATCCAACAGATCAAGGTCGAAAAGCGCTTTGGGTTTGAGCAGTAGTAGTAGCGAATCTGGAGACTACGATGACTACGACGACGAAGGAGATGCCACTTCTAGGGATGGCTCCAACAAAGACGTTAACACGCCTGATGTACGTGTCACTGCGGATGAATCGTACGACCAGCCGGCCTCTTCATCTTCGCAGAAACCATCTAGACCGCTGCGATCAACAAGAAGGGGCACCAGCTCACGCAGCCAAAGGAGAGCAAATGGCGCCCTGCATTTGGCGGACGACGACGATAACAGTCCTCCATTGCTAGGGATACCCAACGGTCTCCAGACACCAGGTCCAAACTTTCCACAAGATCTCAATACCCCGCTTGGCACTCCACCGGACCTGTCTCTGGAAAACACAATCACGCCACAAGAACGACTAGAATGGCATACTATGCTTCAATCAACTTTACGTTCAGAAGTTTTGAAATCCGAGACAAAAAGAATCATCTCTGCTGATGCGCCAAATTCTCAACCAGGACGAATCATGTATCAAAGATGGCTCGATATTCGTGCTAGCTTGCGTGGTAGAGGACATCAAAAAGGTGCTGCCGACATCGAAGAGAAACGATTGAATGAAGGTTGGCCGATCTTGCTAAGAAAGGTGGTTGATGAAGTAAAATCTTGTCGAACTGCTAGCGAACTCAAACAACCTTGTGATGACCTAATGGATGCGGATGAAGAGAAGGATAAAATCTTACAAGAAGTCGAAAACGTTTTATCTTCCGTCGAAAGCGCTGAAGAGCAATTTCCATCGTACCGAAAGCTTGTTGAGATTATGCCTGAATGGGGACAAGAGAGCTTCCAGCGCAGGTTGGACGGTCTGTACAGTTGGTGTAATGTCACCAAGAGCTTGCGATTACAGATCAAAATATTACAGGAATGGACTGGAAGCCAATCATTAGACGTATTGAGTACGCACAAGCTCCAAGAAGAGGGTGCAGACAATCAAGGCAACGACAATCAGACTTTCCGTGCCGAATTAGAGGAAGGGACATTCTTAGAGCGACTTCTCAAGGAGAATTCGCTACAGTCCACTTTCGAAAAGCGAACGCTACGAACGCTAAGTCAACTAATCATGAAAGCCAAACATGCAATCATTCACCATCATGCAGCATTTAGCGAAATGGCTTTGCCTTCATTTGAACCGGAATTGGTGCAATTGATTAACTTTCCTACCAGATTGATGGAAGGTGCATTACGTGTACGATTGGACTATGTCGGAAAGTTGCAAGATCCCAGTGTGCTCATTGTCGATTCGCTTATTGATGATCTGCGTGCTGCCATTGCCCTGGCTTGTCGTATCAAACTGCAATATTCTGCAATGATGGTTCCTCAGCCTGAGCGAGGATGGGATCTGCCACCTTGCATTGGTACAAACTACGACGCAGTCCTTCGTGAAGCATTACAGTACTTCTTCGATTTACTGAACTATAAGCTGAAGGGCAGCCTCTTCTTCAAGGAAACCGAAATTTTGGAACCTGAATGGCGATTCTTGTCCACAGCAGTAGAGGTGATTGAAGGTGCGGACGTGCTGGTTGCTTGCAGTATCACAAAGATCGTTAACAAGCTCTTTATTCGGATCGTCAAGTACTTTGAGAGAGAACTTTCGGCGCCAAGCACCCGCAAATCTGCCAAAGGTGCTGTAGAGGATGAAAGATCAGCAAGGCTGATCGCACCAATCACATCACAAAATGCTCCTCGTGGCCCGCCGGTGGCAGGAGGACTGACAAGGGGAAACGTAAAGATGACATTGGACGAAAAGGTTCGATGGATCAAACAAGTTTTCGACAGTGTTCGTATTCGCAGTCGTAAATTGTTAGGTTTCGCGAGGGATATCAGGAATCGACTGGAAAATGCATCAGAGTACGATTTGAGCACGTTACGATCTCCGACAGATTCTTCCAATACCAACAGTGGACGAAATAGCATCGATATCAGCGCTTCAGAGGGAGCAAATTCTACCACTTCGTCAAACACTGCTACAGCTTCTATCCCGCTCGCAAGTCGGGTTACTGCGAGCAGCGAGCGAATGGATTTGACGGAATTCTTGCAAGCTTTGATCAATGCAGGATACTTCTTGGTGTTAACGGGAAGTTTTGAAGCAGAGGGAACCTACTTGATCGCTGAACCCAGTCTGCACGACAAGCCCGAATTGGTGCAAAAGCTGTTCACCAAATGTTTGCATCGTGTACGTCAACACGATGAAGATTCTTTCCTTGCCACAGCCGCAGGAGAAGCATCACAAATGGCAAAGAAGCAAGGTACAACGACTGTTGCCGCTTCAAATTTGGACGAAAGTGGCAAAGAGGAAGAGTTCGATCAAGCAACGATGGGACTCAAGAATCCTTTGGGAAACACAAAAGACTCCACGAAACCAGAAACGCAAAATGCTGACGATGAAGAACCTCCTCGCTATCTTTTGATTTTGACACCTCGTGATGCATTCATGTGGACCGGAAAAGTGATGATGCTTGCCATGGAAAGGATTGATGTAAATCTCAAAGATCGTCGTTTACGCTTGATCGCTGATGGACCTGAGCGAAGGCTGGAGATGTGCAAGAAACATCTTTACAGCGTTTTTGGTGCTGATTATGCAGCCGTCAGTCTACAACAGGAAGATGAAGACAATGCGGAAGATCAGCGATTACAACGATCAAAGCGACGCCCGAGTGTGGTAAAGAATGGTACTGCATTCCCTCTCGAAATTGTTGACGAAAGCTTGGCACATATGAGTACCGTTCAAGCAGAGTTGCGCAGGATCAACAAAGGTGTTTATATACTCTCGGATAGTATCAATCGTGCTGTCCCAAAGATCAGACGTAACATGCGAGGCCGTCGCAAAGAAGAGCATCCTGAACAACAACAAGAGAAGCAAGCACCACAACTAGGATCTTCCAGCGAAGGTAGAATCGGCAGAAGCAAAGGTGGAGACTGTGATGATTTGATCCAAAATTGCTTTGCAATGGCAGCTGAACAAGGTTTCCGTGCTATGCCGTTCATTGAATCAGCCCGTCTACGTGGACAAATGACGTTGGCTTTAGCTAGCTTGGCGATCGATTGGGTTGCTTTCATTTGCGATGATTGTGAACCTTCGGATCGAAGAACGTTCAAATTTGCCGTCGCAGCTTTAGAGAATGCGATGCACATCACTCAATCAGATTACATCTTTGATATCAATGAAGAAGATTTCATGCTAATGCGAAGCAAGGTGGCAAGCTGTGTTGGGCTTTTGATCAGTCACTTTGACATTCTTGGTGCAAGAAGTAGCGTTGCCAAAGCCAAAGAAGAGGAAGAACGCTTGGAACGTGAGCGTGCAGAACGCAGCAAGGCTATGGAAATGGCAGCGGGAATGGGTGATACTGAATCAAGAAGCATTGCTGCTAAATTGATCGCTGGCAGTGGCGGAGCAGGAGCTCCTCCGATGTTGGGAAGAGCAGATAGCGGAATGCAAGCAACGGAAGAGAGATGGGTTCAAAAAGTGATGGAATGGGATGAAGCTCGTCATACGATCGATGCAGAACAAAGGTTGATCGGTAGAGTTTTGGATGATACCAGACTTGAAGATCAAGGGTTACAATTCTTAGCATCATCTTCTAGCAGGATTCAAATAAGGTGGCAACAAGGTCGCTTTATCGGTGGCGGTACATTTGGAACAGTCTATTTGGCTGTCAATCTAGACTCAGGAGGCTTGATGGCCGTCAAAGAGATACGATTCCAAGATATCAGCTCTACGCCTGGAATGTACAAACAGATCAAGGACGAAATGAGCGTGATGGAAATGCTAAGCCATCCAAACATCGTTGAATATTACGGAATAGAGGTTCATCGCGATAAAGTGTACATCTTTGAAGAATATTGTCAAGGCGGTAGTCTGGCGCAATTATTGGAGCATGGACGAATCGAAGATGAGATGGTGATGCAAGTGTACACCTTACAAATGCTTGATGGTTTGGTCTATCTACACTCCAAAGGCGTTGTCCATCGTGATATCAAACCAGACAATATCTTGTTAGATCACATGGGTGTGATCAAGTTCGTTGACTTTGGTGCAGCAAAGGTACTCGCAAAGAATTCACGTACGATCCAGCGAAGTCGCAGACCTGGTAAAGGACCTCAAGCTATAACGGGAATGTTAGGACCCGATGGTAAGCCTCAAGCTGCTGCTAGTTTGCAGGGAACTCCGATGTACATGTCACCCGAAGTGATCAAAGGAGAATCTCGCGGTCGTCGTGGTGCGATGGACGTTTGGAGTCTTGGTTGCGTTGTGCTGGAATTCGCAACCGGAAAGAGGCCATGGAGTCAATTAGACAACGAATGGGCAATCATGTTCCATATCGGAATGGCACAGCAACATCCACCTTTACCTGAACCCGGCCAATTGAGCGATTTAGGAATTGACTTTATCCGTAATTGTTTGGTTATTGATCCGTACGAGAGACCTTCTGCTGCTGAGATGAGGGAGCATGATTGGATCAAGAATTTGGTCGAAGCGCTTAATGCAGCAAACGAAGAGGAAGCAGCGGCAATGGCAGCAGAAATGTCTGCAAGTGCGGGTCCATCTACTGGAACAGGATCAAACTATCATGGGACAGGTAGCGCAACGGCAAGCTTGGCCTTGAGTGGAGAAGGAGGTAGCAGTAGTTATGGAGGATCTCTAAATACGAATGCTTTCACGCATAATGAAAACTCTTCGGCAGGAGTGGCTGCAATGGTGGCCACGCCTGGAACGAGATCGATCAATGGATTCAATTTTAGCAGACCAGTTGCACACAGTATGAATAGCAGTAATTCCACTTTCTCACGTTCTTCATTGGAGTCACCTAATCCGCTTACGGCAAGTATTGGTGGTAAAAGACAGCCTTTGGCCACTCCGAGCACGGCTGCCACGACAAATGTTGGTCCGTTAAGCTCAGAAGATTCCTTGACAAACAAACAATCATTCTTTAACGATGAAAGTGCTCAGCAGGCAATCGAAGAAAATGAAGCAGAAGAGTCGCCCGTCCATCGTTCATGCCATCCAAGTCATTCACACCCGGGCTATGATGCACTCGTAGCAGATTTAGTCTATCGAAGGGAAGAAGAAGAAACCCGTAGGATGACATCATCCGATATGTAGTCCTCATTTGTTTAAGTATGATGTATTCTTTTTATATACTCTTTCTTACACTTGTACATACATGATCGCAACTGTAATTAAGTATTGATGATATCGAACCTCGTGTGTTGATCGAGACTTGAGCCGATAACTCAGCTTTTTTCTGTTGGCAATGAACTTAGCACTCAGCCTCAAAGCCGGGTAAGCTGGGCTGAGCAAAACCGATGCGGTACCTTTTCCACTCCCTGGCGTATGGCGAGGGCTTACGCGATTTATTAAATTGGGGCAGCAGTTATCTTTACTTACTGAGCAGTGTTCAGCATTTTATCACCACGCGGTTGTTTAGAACATTAGGCGGCTAAATACACTCCGCAAAAGGGCGAAATAATGCAACGGTACAGTACTTCTTTATTGATCATGCATATACATTATTCTGTGCCTGGCAATTTCTTCCGATTTATCATTTACGCATTAGAACAGAGAATTACGCCTTATCAATCACTGCCTCCCTTTCCGATGCGATATGTAACAGGGTCATGATGGACAATTCACAGCTTGACCGAATGAGATCTGTAGGCACATATATAAACAGGTCTTCTCGACCTAGAGTTCGCCCCGTCATCCTATCCATAACAATGCTACTCTGAACAATCATCAATACGTCCAACTTACTACCCTCACACAATGATCGACGAAGAGCGAAGGCCTCTGTTAGGCGGCGAAGGCCAGACTGATAATCAAACAGACAACAACAAGGTCCATTCAAATCAAACTTTTTCGGACAAATTTCGTGAAAGATGGCCGATCGCAAAGCTGCTGATTGTCGCGCTTATGATGTTCATTTCCAGCAGTGCTATCTTTCCTGCTTTGATTCAATTGGTACGATCGTTCGCATGCGCAGAATATTACGAACAACATCCACATTCGGCCATTATGCAAAGCCTCGTTTCGTTCAAAAATGATCCGGTTGATCTTTGCGATATAGATGAAGTGGAAAGGAGAAGTGCTTCGATCTTGACATTCATTCAGATCATCGGAAGTTTAATGGCAACAATTTCGCTCTTTATCTTACAGCCCAAATTACGCAAATGGGGTAAAAAGACAATCTTTTTGATCAGTATTGCAATCTTACTGTTTGATCGAGTTCCAGCACTCTTTCTTCCGATTGGCTATCCTTTCCGATCTCCTGACGATCCAATGCCAATCTCTTCTACAACTTCGTTCCGTATATTTATCGGATTATGCATGCTCGGTAATTCGATGGGCAGCGAATTCGTTGGTTTGTTCTGTATGCGATTGTTTGTCACAGAGGCATCTTCGACAGGCAATAAGACGCAGGGATTACTCGGGATCGCGCAGATGAACATCATCTCGATCACCATTGGTCCAGCTTTGACGGCTTGGCTAGGGACTCTCATCCCATTCTCATCATCAACCTTTCTCAAATTGTTCACACTTTTTCGACATACACATGACGATCAAGAAAGGCAGCCCACCTTGCCAGGACCACCTACACATGGACCAATTCCACCAGTACCACCAGCGGCCAAGATAGAGAATGTCTCCCCGTACTTGATTTCTACGATTACAATCCTTTTGACTCTCGTTATTGCTTACATTCTCCTGCCGGCCGATCACCGTGAAGACGAAATAGAGGAATCCGCTTCAGACGATCATACCAACAAAACCAAAGTACGTGAACCGTTTTATTGGCGTTTGTGGCCGCGGAAAGATATTGATGGTAAACGTGATTGGCGTATCTTGAAGGTTGTTCTTGTTGCAATGTTACACATGGGCAGCGCATATACGATCAACATTTATATCACCTTTTTCGGGCATTCATTCCATTGGGGACCAGAGAGTGTTTCGCTGATTCTTTCTTGGCTTGGAATAGCAAGGTTGTTTTCCTTGTTCATCGTCACGCCTTTTTTGATTGCTTACCTCGAACGAGTTGTTCAAAAGCCAGCACCGATTCAACATTTGAAGTTGGAGGAGATCAAAGCGATTGCAAAAGAAGCACCGGTAGATGAACCACCGGTTGAATCAGCTTCTGAGTTTCGACCTAGGGAAACTTATGGCTCAACCTCAGAAGAGGAAGAAGACAACACAACTTCGCATACGATTCGTGGAGCAGTGGTCACTTGGCGTGCATTGGTGGATAGAAGTGTATTGAAGCTTTCATGGTGCTTTGATATTTCTGGTTGGGCATTATGTGCAATCTTTACGGTGTTTGGAAGTGCATCACTGCTGCTCTTGAGTGCTGCTGTTGTTGCTTTAGGTGCACCTGCTCAAGCTGTTCGACAAGCTGTGGATTTGGTGATCGTTGGTGACGTTCTTGCAAGGACGGCTGAACATCCTCATCAACGCATTGAAGGAGAAACAGGAATTGAAGAAGATCAACAAGTGGCACACTCAAATGCACAAGCAGATGAAATATACTTTTCACTCTCGTCCATTTTTGAATCAACGATTACCTTTATCGGCCCGATCTTTTCAACATACGTCTACAATCGTACTTTGACCACTTTTCCCGCTGCGAATTGGTTAACGGCTGTAGTGATGTATACGATTGCATTCATTTTGCATTTCAGTATCCCTCTTCATGTTCGATCTACAATTCGAAACGCATGAGAAGTGCATATTTATTTGTATTGTACAACACTTTTATTATATACCCTGCCTGCTCTTCGTCATGCTGTGTTTATAAGGGTTAGATGTGATCTTATTCCAAACTGTGCACGATCCTCTTTCCAACAAGATCAGCGAGAGAGAGAGAGGGTGTGATTTGAATGACGAAAATCCTATAAGAGCACGTCACAAAGGGGCAAACAAAGTGCTCTATATGTGCAATCTTTGATTAGATCCCAATCGTTCCTAATGCTGTACACCAAGTGTGCTCTAGGGTGTGGAGGCTTGATTGATAAAAATGAAAAGCCAGGACGGCCAAAGTGCGCGTGAAATGAAAGAATGACCCGGTTAGATCGCTTTTGTGCGTTTGGAGTTTTTCAAACAAGCAAAGTGCTTGAGTGTATACGTGTGAAACGGAGTAAAAAGGGCGGCACATGTAGGCAAAACTTTAAACTTGTCATTTAGCCTGTAAAGAGAGAAGAAATCTTGAAATGAAGTTAAGCAAAGCAGGCAATAAGCGAGCCAAAACGCTAAAAAAGTGATGATGTATGTATGTATGCGTGCTGCTTGTTCACATACATACGTTGATAATGGAATGAATATATGAATTTCTATTCAGGAGGTCTGTTCTCTCTGAATTACAAATGAATATTACCGGGGAAGTCTACGTGGCCGTTCTTCTTTACCACCATCATTCCATCTCAACTCTCACAACAAAAGGATGGATTTCTCAGACGGAAACAAAAGCGAAGCCGTTGGCAGTGAGTGAATGATAGCTCTTAAAATCAGCTAACGATACCTAAATTGACAGCATCTCTTATCTTTTCACTCATTAAAGGACTCGCAACTAGATTACTAGCCCGTGATCCGGTAGAATTCAATTCAGCAATCAATAGCACATTCACACCAGATGTAACTTATCGCGGTCATGGATTAGAGATCAGAGGAGCGACAAATTTAAAGCATGCAGCTTGGTTTTGGAACAAGATCGATTCCGGAAAGCCGGCAACATTCACACTGAAGGACATTCAATGGGATGAACAAAAACAGTCTGCTCAAATTCAAACCGTTCGTTTTGTTCGTCCAACGTTATTCCCTTTCTTTGGTTTTGCAGTGCAAGTTCCGGTTGAATTACAACTTACCTCCACAGGCGGAAAAGCATACGTTTCTAGATTTGAGGAAAAATGGTTTGTCGAACGTATTTTATCATATGCTTCAGTCGTTCAGGCCATTCACGAAGCTTTAGTTAAGAACATCTGGACCCTTTTCGTTTTAACTCTTTCCAATTTGACTTTTGCCGCTTTTGCTAAAGTACATTCAATCGATGCCGTCGATCGTGCCAAGAAATCTTTACCCTCCGATGTCGTAGATGGAATCAACTCCGGCTTCACTCAAGGATCAGAGATCGCACAAGGATACGGTCAGACTGTTGTCAATCTTGCACATTCAATCGCTTACCCTTTCATTCGTCTTTCGGAATCATTCGCTCAAGCTGGTACTTTGGCCGTCAATCGTGTAGCACCGTTCCCTTTGCCTTATCCTTACGTATACGATGTTCATGCACTGCCACCAAATGTAGCAGCACCAACAATCAGTGAAACAGAAGCAGCACCTATAGAGGAAAAGAGTGGCAGCTCTCTTCCTTCGCAAGATGATGCACCTCAATCTGAGTCGACAGCGAGTGTGATTGTTGCACCTTCAATTGACGGAGAAGACCAAGGAAAGACTGTTTCGATTGAATCTCGTATCTCAACAGACGCAAAGGATAAAGCAGCAAAAGCAACAAACGGCACAAATGGAAGTTCGTTGTATGATCAATTACGCAAAGAAGGAGAAGATCCGATTGCCGAAGCAGCAAAATTAGAAGCAAAAATTGAACAAAACGGTACACATACCGCACATTCAAGCGGTGATGATGAAGGCGTAAAGGAAAGTCAACATGCAAACGGTAACGGAGGAGGAAAGAAGAAAAAGAACAAGAAAAAGAAGAACACCAGTCCAAACGGATCTCATCAATCTGCTCCAACGTTTAAGGAAGGCTTAGCACAGACAGAAGCAAAATAAGCATGCTTACATGCTAACTTGTATCGAATCTTATGTACTCTTAACCTTTCTATCATCTCGGTCAACCTCTTTTTTCTTTCTTCATCAAGTTAGACTCATGTATTTCGACTAATACCACATCTTAATCACCTCCTGGCTCGAATACACATTGATTTTCCTACTCCTTCTCCGAACGTATCTCCAGCATTCTTAATTCTGTAAGCCAGTGGCTTGGCATTCCGGCCGAGTAACAGGAATGGGCGCGCTCATTCCCATGGACTTTGAAATTCGTGCTTTAAAAACGGCTTGAGTGGGAATTGACTGGGCTACAGTATGAAAGGTACACGATTGTAGTTGCATGAATTTCTTCTGATTAAATCGGCTCTAATGTCCGTTTGTGTAGATAGATTGATTAGCCTTTCTTTGTGGGTATAAAATAAAGGCCGTGAAATGAGAGTGCTTGTGTGGGATCTCAACCGGGCTCGCGGTGCACGTACGTAAAACGCGTCAGAGGCTTAGCGCGACGGGGTAAGCAAACTATGAGCCAAAAAGAGAAAAAGAAAGAAAGAAAAACTCACACAAAACAGGCGACAATTGTTGTTGTGTGTGTGTGTGCAGTGGTGCACTTAAAGAAGATCATTATGAAATCTCACGTTCAATGGATTAAGCTAAGCTAACAAAAAAGTTTTCCTTTGGTAAATCATCTGCCCACAATTTACACCTCGGTAGAACGGAGCAGATATGCATTCCGAAAATTTGAATACTGTAAAAAGGTTCCACAGTTAAATACATACAAATTTAGGCACAATCTTCTCTGTAAGCATTTCTGACATGATTTTCTTCTTAAAGTGATCATTTCCATCCATCATCGACTTTTAGTCCTATCAAATCTTTCCCTTTCGATCGGACTTGGTTTCGTGTGTTGATTATCTTAAAGTCGGATACAAAATCGACAGGCTGTCAATCAATACTGCACACGTAAAATCTGCATTCATCCATCATCCGCCCTTTCTTCATCGTTCGGAATTCCCCTTCTTCTCAATTCCCGCTCAACGTTCATTTAGCCCTTTTATTAATTTCGACTCCGACTTCGTTACCGTCTTATAGCTAAAATGTCATCTTTTGCTGCTTTCAGACCTGCCGCTCCTTCTTTGAGCGCAGGCTTAACGGGAAAGCAAGCCGGTGGTTTATTTGGTTGGAATACGAATAAAACATTCTCAAATACAGCTTTGAAAGGTCAAAATGGTTTCGCACGTAGAGGAACAGATGCAATTCGATCATTGGTAATGCCGCCTCTTAAAGATGCAAGTCCATTACAAATCCTTTTTACCATTTTATCAATCGTTGCAAGTCTTTTGATTTTGGAACAAATCATGTATCGTCGTAAAAAAGCTCATTTACCCGGACCAAAATGGACAACTCCAGTCGTAGGTAAATTTCTCGATTCGATGAAACCTGATTTGGCAAAATACAAATTAGGTTGGGATAGTGGACCGCTCAGTGTTGCCAGTGTTTTCCATATGTGCGTATAGAGTAATCAATTAGGAGTGCTTTACAGTTTGCTGACATTCACAACCTTTTCCTTCTCCCTTTTAGCTTCATCGTCGTTGCTTCATCCGTTGACCATACGCGCAAGATCTTAAACAGCTCTCAATATGCTGAACCCTGCCTTGTGAACGCTGCCAAATCGATCATTTGCCCGGATAACTGGTAAGTACAATATTGCAACTCAGAACGGCGAAGAAGATGCCGAGTCGTGCGATACAGTTGTGCACGGCTCGGAGCCGTTGAAAAGAGGTTGAAAGACGTCATTTCTTCCGTTTCTCCGCTTTGGTCGCTCTTTTACACGGATATCAGCTGACTCTATGTATTTCTATTTCTTTTAGGGTTTTCTTGAACGGCAAACCACATCTCGATTACCGCAAGGGCCTAAACAACTTATTCACTGCCCGTGCCTTGGAAATCTATTTGGGTATTCAACAAGAAATCTACAAACGTTATTTCTCCGAATGGTTGGCCGACAAGGACCCAAACCCAAAGCCATACCAAATGTTAATGCGCGATTTGAACATGGAAACATCTTTACGTGTTTTCTGTGGTGATTACATTACCGATAATGATGCTAAATTGGTATCTGAGAAGTACTGGGCTATCACAATGGCTTTGGAATTGGTCAATTTCCCCATTCCATTGCCAGGCACAAAGGTTTACCGTGCTATTCAAGCTAGAAAGATGGTCATGAAACTCTTCATGTCTGCTGCCGCTCAATCCAAGGTTCGTATGGCAGAAGGTGAAGAAGTGAAATGCTTGACGGATGCATGGATCAAAGCAATGTTGGACGCCAGATTGGAACGTGAAAACCCAGAATTAGGAAGTGATGCTCGTAGAATTTTGGTTCGTGATTTCTCTGATAGAGAGATTGCATTGGTCGTTTTAAGTTTCTTGTTCGCCAGTCAAGATGCTATGTCAAGTGCTCTTGTTTACTTGTTCCAACACGTTGCTGATCGCCCAGAAATTCTTCGCAAGGTTCGTGAAGAACAATATCGTTTGCGTGCTGGCGACCTTGATGCTCCTCTAACGGTTGACTTGATCGATCAAATGGAATACACTCGTTCTTGCGTTAAAGAAAGTCTACGATTGAAGCCACCAGTGATCATGGTTCCATACAAGACATTGAAACCCTTCCCAATCGATGCAAAGTACACTGTACCAAAAGGTGCAATGGTGATTCCCTCTTTCTGGAACAGCTTGCACGACCCTCAAGCATACCCTCAACCTGATGCATTGAAGCCTGAAAGATGGATGGAAGGTAAAGATAGCCCTGCACAACAAAACACACGTAATTGGCTCGTCTTTGGATCTGGACCACATCACTGTATCGGACAACAATATGCACAAATGCATTTGACTGCCGTTTTGAGTGCAGCAAGTGTGATGATGGATTGGGAACATGAAGTTACACCGCAAAGTGAACAAGTTGAAATTTTATGTTGCATTTTCCCAAAAGATCAAGCAAGATTTAAATTCACACCAAGACCAACACCTTCTTTGGGTATGAGCCCAGAAGAGGCAGCTGCTATGTAAGGTGTCAGAAGTGGACATTTTCTCTTGTATTATCAGGAAAGGCCGCCGCCGCCGCCGCCGCCGCAACAAGAATACCCTATTGTAGTGCATTCGAGGCATTGCAATCATCCCCATCTTTCCATGAGGAGTGGACGTTTTGGAGAGTATTTTCAAGATTACATTTTTCACTTAACACCCAATCAACGGAGGACTTCAAAAAAGTGGCGCATCGACTATCAACCTTTGCCCCTTCTTTTTCTTCATTTTCGTTCCAAAGTAAGCCTTAATTTTTATTTTCTACTTTTTTTTAATCATTCTGTACTTCCGTTCTTTTATGTGTACCTTTGATTTCTTTCTTCTTTTGCAATTTATTTTTCTGGAAACGTTCCGTCTTTATATTTCTTTACTGCTTTTTTGAAGGATTAATGGAAGTCTACGTCAATATCCACTCGGGAATGAGCAAATGCAAGATCCGTTGCGGGAAGAAGCGCGGGCGGATGCATCACGCCAAGTTTGTAAGCTTGTCAGGAAGAAGTCTTCTCGCATGAAATGCCTCCACAGAGGAACGAAATTTTGGGCATACATCTTTCCTTTTCTTGACCACCATATTCCCTCTGAAAGCAATCGATATGGTCAAGGGACGCAACAGAGCGTCTTGGGGATCGACAAACGGAATGAACGAAGAGTCAATGTCAAAGCACGTTCGAGAAAGTTTGGAAAGATTAGGAGAGCCGCTACCGAAACTTGTTGCATTTGATTTGGACTATACAGTTTGGCCAACTTGGGTTGATACAAGTGTAGATGGTCCATTGAAAAGACGAGGAGAAGATATAAACAAAGTGTATGATCGATCTGGATCACCTTTATCACTTTATCCTCATGTTCCTGCGATTTTGTTCTTTTTGCAAAGTAAGCAAATCACAGTTGCAGCTGCTTCACGTACTTGTGCACCAACAATAGCACGACAGGCGCTTAACAATCTGCTGATCGTCGATGATGGAGTAAGTCTACAAGAATCCGACAATACAGCCACAGCCTCATCGATACGACAAACAAACAATGGTAAAGGAAGACTAACGTTCACACCAATTCCAACGATGAAACTGTTTGATCAATTAGAAATTTATCCTGGATCAAAAATAACACATTTTCGTAAAATAAACGAAAAGACTGGAATCCCATTTGAGGATATGATCTTCTTTGATGATGAACATAGGAATGCAGAAGTTTCAACGAAACTTGGCGTTCACTTTGAATTGGTCGGTCATCAAGGAACAGATCTAGCAACATTTGAGAATGCTATAAGACAGTGGCGTGCCAAGAAGAAAGCAAGGCAAGGTGATTCAGATGCCGGTAGAGAGCTACTGGAGTAAACTATAGATAGGATTCAATGTATTATATTAGCACAATATATCCAATTATTTGTTTTACATTTTTTGCCATTCAGAGCATAGGCCTATTTTACCTTCTTTTTCGATGCAGAAGGTTTTGCCGCCCGCTCGTCTAAAGGTACAATCCCACCACGATCCCATTCTGATCGAAGCCACTGTTTGCACTCTGTCTTGGCATCCTCAATCGAATGATTTCGCAAATCTCTATCGAATTGCCATGCTTCAACTTGTTTCGTAATGATTGACATCAACGCACCCGGTTTGACCTGTAACGTTTCCAATATCTCCTTTCCATCTAGAATCACACGCTCATCGATGCGGGAAAGTAAGCCTTCTTCTTCCAATTGACGGTAGAAGTCATAGTAGCTTTCAGCAATGTGTGATTGAAGAGCCTTTTCTGCTTCATGCGCTGAGGGCGTTGATGATGACCAAAGGCTTTCGTCTAATGTCAAATCTGAGATCAGCGACCATAACAAACGCAACTCGATGGTAACTCCAATGTCTGTCCTGTGTAACTCTGGATGACGAGCGAGAAGAGCTCTTGTCGCCCTGTCACTGATCTTGTTTGATCCGAGAGATGGGATGAATCGTCCTCTGTATTGCTCATTACTTGGATCGAAAACCTCTTTAGTTGGTCTGTGTAGAATATTTGCTGATTTCCAGAGACAAATTAATGGCTCTCTTGTCTGTCTGACGGCCAGTTTGAGCCCCCGCAATATCACACATGCTCCCGCCCATTGCCACTTACCCTTCTTCTCTTCCCACTCTGCGGATCTAAGCGGCAGCAGGGCTGCGGAATAGTACAAAAGCCTTTGCGATTCCTCGTCATCTTTGATGTTGCTCAAGAATGGAATATCAGCAATGCCGTGCTCGTCACGGATGGTACGAATTGCGGCAAGTAACAAGACAGCTCTTTCGACTTCTTCATGACCTAATTTGCTTGCACGTATTATTTCACCGGGAGGCGGACCAAAAACGACATCGTACAAATGCATCTTTTCAATCAACGCAAGAGCTCCTGCAGGATCTGGTCCGAGCATCATTTTGTTCACTTCGATCCCAAAGCGTTCTCGAGAAACTTTTGATGAAAGAGCCAAACGAATTTCCGCGCCTCGTTCATCTTTAAGACAAGAGAAGATCTCTTGATCGATAATGTATCCAAGACGACTTGCGAAACGAACACAGCGCAGCACACGTAGGGGATCATCCAAAAACGTTTGCTGAGGCTCGAGAGGTGTTCGAATGATTCGGTCACGCATGTCGGATAGGCCCTTACCTGTGAAATCTTCGACAAGACGGGTGTGAACGTTGTAAAAGAGCGAATTGATGGTAATGTCCCTACGTTCAGCGTCTTCAAGAGCAGTACCGAATGTCATGATCGGAATACGGCTATTTCCTACATACACTTCTTTACGCAGATTGACGAAATCAAGAGACAAACCTGCCACTATTGCAGTTGCAGTTTCTAGATTCTTGCTCTGATCGGGATTGGCGGCAATCTTTGTTATGTGCCCTACAAGCTGATTCGTTTCTGATGAGTGTGCGTGGAATGGAGAGGATGAATTCTGAGCCAAGTCTGATTGCAAGAATTCCGGTGAGAGCAAATAGGCTTCTAAGAATAAAGCAAAGACGTAGCCCGTTAAACTTGACAAAGAGACGTCCAAGTCGTGCGAGGCTTGTCCCAAAAGTTTATCTCTCACCCAGCCTCCAGCTATTCTCGCTTCACAAGTCCAGCCATCACGATAGTCTACTTGTGCATTCTCGGATCGTTCTGGATCAGGCTGCGGTTGGTGTTTCTCGATCCATCGACAGGCATCATCAAGTAGCTGACAAATTGCACTTTCGATTGGTGTCAACTCGATCTTGGGAAGATAATCTCCATTTCCCACTGAATGCGAATCAGCAGAGGGAGATGCATAGAGAGGCTGAGTGGCATGCATGCTAAATGATCTATCCACAGCTGGACGAGGCACTTGCGAGACTACGGTAGCCGGACGTATTCCTCCTCTTTGCAAAGATGCGCTTGATCGAGGTCTTGATAGATTTCGTACAAATGCTCCGCTTCTTTGTATGTTATATGATCTTTTGATGGGACATGCTCTCATTGAATCGATTGCATGTCGTTAAAGTTGTAGTATGGAGGAAGGAAAGAGAAAATACCTTTTCTTCGGAAGTGCTATAAATTTCGTTGGCTTGACACTCTCTTACTGCCCGCTTGTGGAGTTTTAGGCGTAAAGTACTTTTCCATTTCTTCGCGGACCCATATAATGTATTTTAGCGTGAATGTATGCAAACAGGTGTTGGTGTTTGTTTGTTTCTTCCTTTTCATCATCCATCAACATCATGTCCATCATTTCATCATGTCAGCAGTAGTGTCAACATCAAATAGCCATCAAGATGGGCGGGGCAAGTCAGGAAAGCACATAGTGGCCCCTTCTAGCTCCAAGCCATCAGCAAAAATCGTCCCTCTGAACGAAAAATTACTACGTTCTTTCTACCCCGACAAAACATATGGAAATCCAGTAGTTACAACCGGAAATAGCATTACTTCAATCTGTTTTGACGATCGAGGGGATAGACTTCTCACATGTGGAGATGACGAAAAGATTCAATTGTTCAGCTTGTCAAGCGGTCGACTAGCGAGTACAAACTACTCCAAAAAGTATGGGGTTGATCTAGTTCGATTCACACATGATATAAACAATATGGTTCACGCCAGTACAAAAGTGGACCACGCCATCAGATATCATTCTTTAGCAGAAAATAAGTATCTGAGCTATTTCAGAGGCCATACGAATCGAGTATCTTCCCTCGATATGTCGCCCACCTCTGCAAACGCTTTCATGTCTGCAGCTGTATATGAATCCGTTCGACTTTGGGATTTAAGGTCAGCTTCTTCGCAAGCATGCATGGTGGTGCAAGGTCATCCGATTATTCGATATGATCCCACCGGAACGATCTTTGCGCTGGCTTTCAATGAAACAAACAAAGTGCTCCTCTACGATGCGCGAAAATGGGCCGAAGTGAGTGTATTAAACATGATATGAGAAGTAGCCCTATTATATTAACGTTCTTTCCCCATCCCAGAAACCGTTCAAGCAGATGGAGATTCCCGATCTGTTCAAGAATGAAGTTGGCGGTCAGGTTGCAGTCATTACCTCTCTTCATTTCAGTCCCTCTGGATCTCAATTGCTAGTAGGCACGTCCGGCCCTGCACACTACATACTCGATGCTCAGAAAGGATATGTCGTTCACAACTTGACAGGAAAGAAAACCCTACAGAAAGCTTCACCGGGCAACGATGCGGAGGAAGCTGGTGAAGTGCCGTCTACGTCGAAACAGAAAGAATCGCCTATGGTAAAAGAAGCTGGCATTAGCGGTACAGAATGCGGCTGGACTCCAGATGGAAAGTACGTATTTTCCGTCTCGGGAAATAAGGATGTGGTATTTTGGAGCGTCACAGAGAAAGAGGAAGGTGCACGAATTGTCTCTGAGCTTACCCCTACTTTTTCTTTGGATGCTTACCCTGGTGGGTTTATCCGATCTGCGGCTTTCAATCCACGCAATGCAATGATGGCCACAGGGGGCGATCAAGTCGCTCTATGGCTACCGGAAAGAGAGGAGAAGGAAGAGTAGAATTATAGTCTTTTTTGAGTCAGTCTGCAAATTGCATCTTATTGTACAATATTGTAACATTACAAATCAAATCCATTCGTCTACTTCCCCTTTCCATTGGAAGGTGCAAGAACAGCCAAAGAATCATTGCGCCAAACACGAACGATGGCCTGATCATCGACAGTGACGATAATCCGATTCATTTTGTTGCTTATCCCGATCGATTGTGCAATGACAGAAGGAGTTGTTGGAGAAGCTACAGTTGATGAAGATTGAGAGCCACCTGAAGCAATACGTAAAGGACTGGTCATTGCAGCCGAGATCGTTCGTCCAAATTGTGCTAATCCTTCATTCTCACCCATCGAGCTATTTGCAAGCCTTTGTTGGATCTTGTCTTCACTCATTGAGAGCATTGGATCATGGGCTTTTCTCAAATGACCATTAGACAAAGCGGGAGCCATGATCGCGCAAGTGACTGTTCCAGCATGTGCTGTAAAGTATTCCACCGAATCATCCAAAATGACGTCCGATCCATCTTTATGCTTTTGTACCTTTTTCTCTTCTTTAGCTGTAGAAAGTCGATTCTTCGTCTTTTCACCGGCACCCTTCTTACTTCCACTTCTCAGCAGACTTGTGGTCTTTTGATTTGCAGCTGCAACCGCATTCATTCCACCAGAAGCAATCTTTGACAACAACCCTTTTTGTGAAACGTCAAACAAATTAGCCGCACTTGCCCAAATATGAACTTGACCACCTTCACTGCTAGATGTTGCTTCGCTACCGGCAAGAATAAATGTATTGTCATCTGTGAGCGTTGCACGGATTTGAGAAGATCGATTGGTATACGTCTTTGCTTTGTATCGCACAATCATTGATTTTGATCCAATATCAAAAGCACGTACTCGACTATCGTTTGATGTAATCAAAACCCTTTCGCTTGCGCTCTGTAGATCAGACTGTTGTTCACCTTTTCCGTCAAGATTGGAAATAGCAGAAAAAGCATCTTCTGTAAGGATTGGCTCGATTGCAGTAATCTTTCTACCGCCTTTTTGATGCTTTCCAGATGCAGAGCGAACGGCAACAGAAGACGAAAAGACGAGCCCATCAGTTTGATAAAATAAAGCAGCACCAGAAAAGGTTCCCACACACGCAGTATTGCCCGAATGTGTAAATGCACAAGCTGTAATCAATCCTGGCACTTCTTGACTTGCTTGAACTTTCTTTGTCGATATATTCCACAAACGCAATTTACCATCCAAAGAACCACTCAAAAAGAACCGATCATCACGTGGATGAAAGACTGCACTCGTTACGAAATCTCCATGAACAAAAGCAACCAAATTGTTAGGCCAAGATAGATGCCAAACACGAGCTGTTTTGTCCATACTTGCACTAAGCAAGAAACCGCCTTTGCTCCAACTGAGATCCAAAATATCACTCGTATGTCCTTTGAATTCTTTGATTGGATCTGGTGTAAAGACCAGGCCGGAGTCGACTTCATGGCCCCAACCATTACTATGATCCACGTCTGCTTCACTTTCGGTTTTGTGCTTGTCTTCTGAGACACTGAAATCAGTATCTCTAGTCCTGGGTGATCCGGGTACGAGCTCTGATGGATTGACTTCCTTTGTCAATTGAAGTGCTGTCGATCGAACAGCAGGGGAATCCAATACGCCAAAAACTCGAATGACAGCATCCTGTCCTGCAACAGCAAGGTATTTTCCATCCAAGCTGAACTTCATCACCCATGTAGCCTTTCTCTTTCCACTAGCAGCATTTTGACCTGGATCTGAACCTGTCAAGCTCGTCTGAGACGAACTCGTCATTGCTCTTTGAGGTTTGAGCATTGGCGAACCCGACGGTGAAGGTCCTGTATTGGTATTTGCAGCTGCTCGTCCACCAAGGTGTAATTCTTGGACAAGGTATATGTTACTGAATTCTCTTTCCTTTGTAGGCTTATTGCGATATCTTACACGAATCCGACGTGGCTTCACTTCACCTTTCAGGGCGCCCAGTCGATATGATTTGTGGGCCTTGTCATCAGGCAAATGCGCGCCCTTGTGAGCCGACTTTCGACCTAGACTTGAGATATTCTCTTGTTCTGGCTTCGCACCCAATTCTTTGAGATGCGACAGAGCATCTCCTTCTTTACTATCCTTTACATCCTTCTCCGCTTCCTTGTTCTTGCTTGCTTCTTGAGATGACACATTTCTCTTATCTCTACCTATACCTAATCTCCAGAAAGGTGTGTTCTCTTTCTTGAGGTCCGGCAAAGAATCAACCACATTCAAACTTGCTGAACGAGAATGCGAATGTGTAGAATCGACGGACGACTCGGAAACATCACGTCTCTTGCTCAAGAATCCCAAAGGTCGGCGCATTCGTGTGCTTCCTTTGGGCGATTTGATTTCTTCTGATGCCTCTTTCCGGCTCTTGTGAGGAGAAGGTGTAGATTCATTGTTACCAGAATTGATCCGTGCCGAGCTTGAATCCGCTAAAGCCTTGGAAGAAGAGGCAGATCTTTGTAGCGTACTTGGTACCCCAGATTCTGTCGCGGGTCTCTGTTCATCAGGTGCCACATCTACCGCTTTGGAGGGTGGTGATGCATACTTCTGATGAAGCTCTTTCGCTACACTGGCTGCTCTTGCACGTCGCATAGGAGCAGCTTGACCTGCTCGTGTATTTGCACCTTGCGATCCCAAAACCACACGTTCTCTGCTTTGTCGAAGTCGTATTAATTCTTCAGGTGACTTGGGTCTTCCTAAAGTATCATTCAAGTCTTCTCCATCTCCCGTAAAAGCAGTATCGATGCTACTTTCTTCGAACGTATGATGACCTCTCCCATGGGCATGTCTATTTGGTCTCTTGGCGATATTGAGGCTATCGATATCATGAACAATCTCTGTCAAGTCTGTCCCAGCTTGTTTTCCACTAATCTCTGCTAACCGGCGAGCAGATTCAGTTGATTGCACCACCCTTTCTGCCGGTTTAGGCGTTGTTGATTCACTATAGTTCGCTTCAACCCATCCAGATATAGGCGTGTTTGGTTCTAACTCTTGTGAAGTAAATTGTGGTGATGCTGTCGAAACAATCACACTTGGTATGGCCCTTACTTCCTCTGTGTCGGTTACGTATGTTTGACCGAATTCTTGCGCGGCTGAATGGGGTGAAGTAGGTTGACGGTCAGCATCGGGTCTCTTGCTAAAGAAGAGCATAAATAAAGGCATTTTGCCTTTTGTGAGAGCATAGCAAAAAGGTATGATGATGAAGTCCTATTGATCATCTTTCTCAGACCACCGTTTTCCCATCTCGTCATACCCTTGCGCCGCTTGGCTGTCGGAGTCAATGCATGACGGAATTACTCAATCCGTTAGTCAAGCCGCGATAGTCAACTGTTTGCTGATATTCCGTCCTTCAGCGCACATCACCGTAAATACTCAATACCGGCTCTTCACTTGTTTGCGGTGTCAAATTACAAACCGGCAAACAATCTCCACTTCAATGGTCATCGATTGTACACATCACCCCTATGCTGACTACTCACCTTCTGATATATTTAGATTATGTTCGCTTCCTGTGATCCCATATTTGTGCCCTAGTGCCGTTGATGGAGTACGGTATTGGAATTCGTTCTGCGGCGCCGTTGTGGGAGGAGAGGGCGGGCCGAATCCTAATGCCTCACGCCTTGCCGTTGGGCGAATGAGGGAAGGACCATGTTGTCTTTGTGCAAAAGGTGCATAAATATCTTCTTGATCCGAATCATCATCTTCGGTGTCGTTGATTGTAGCATCTGTGCCTGCTGTACGATGAAACGAGTCAACAGTGGACGATTCTGTGCTTACAGAAGATACTGTGGACGATCTTCGAATAGATGCAGAATAATCATATGATTCTAAAGAATCATGACCTGCGCTCGAAGCGCCATCGAAAGAGATTGAACTTCGTTCCGATCTTGGCCCTTCTCGGATTATCAAAGGAGGTTCCAACATCTTTTGTCGATCGATATGATGGAAGGAAGGTATAGTTCCTGGTAACAAAGGCGTTTGATTGCGCTTGATCGGATCAGTATGCGAGAATCGGTGCTTTTGAGAGTTTGTATCGTTATTCTCATCAAAAGGTATCGTGCGACCTGATGGGCCCAGCATGATCGCATTTCGCACCCACGAAAGTAGTCCAGGAGACGTTGTCCTCGATTGCTCTCCTTCTGTATGCTCATCCAATTGACCATTTCCGTTTAAGTTGTGTGGTGTCGGAGTGACGGAAGTAGGTCTAGAAAAACCATTGGATAAAGGCCAAAAGCCGTTCGAATGGGTCTTTTGTTCATTTCTTGCTCTTTGTGCTGCTTGTGCTTCAGCAATGATTTGTGATAATTCTTCGCTGCCACTTCTACTTCTATTTTTTCCTCGACGTGGTCCGATTCCTATATTGCCATAACGGGTATCAGTGCTACTACTACTGCTTCCCTGCTGCCTTTGTTGCTGTTGAGAAGCACGAGGAGTAGATGACCTGTCCATCATGAAATGATTGGGTGGTAAGGATGTCTCCGGGGTATATGTTTTGCCTTTTAAAAGCTTATCGAGAGTCACTCTAACATTTCGATATTCAAGTCAAAGATGCAAAGGTGGCGGTGACAAGAGTAATCCGTTGATGTTCACATCTTATTTCATGCAGCATTCATTCAATCAATGGATTCCACATTGAAAGTGTTACTCTCTCTCCCGGGTTACAACCGCGGACCTGGCATATAACGGCGGGCGGCCAGGCGGAACTGGTAAGCGGAAAACAAAAAAAGTCAGAAGGGGCAAAAACGCGTCAAAATCTGAAAGCTTGAAAAAACGCGATCTCTCTCTTTTGTGCATATTCCAGAAGACTCAATTGAAGCTAAAGCACTTAAAATTAAACTTTTTACCACATCTAAACGCACACATTTGGCTGACAGGCGGGCAGGCAGGCAGGGTTATGCAAGCCGAAAACAGGGTGGACTTCATGGAAGACGAGATTAATGCATCTTCATCACAAGGGAAGTGTGTAATACACCGCGGACATCCCTCGGTGAATATCATGTTGAAATATTGCGATACGATTCATCATTAATGGTACAAAGACAATGTCTATTATCGTAACGAGACTTTCTCACTCTCCATAAATTACCATTCGAATCGATTCAACTTCTTTGGCATTCAATTCATCCTCTCCCGCAATAGCAAAAGCAGCTTCTCGCATATGGTTCTCATCCGTCGTTCCACTCAAGACAACACAATGTAAGCCCGGAATTCCGAATCCTTGTTTAACGAATCGATATACCACTTGAGCTTCCGTCCATTGTAGCCTTGTTGCTGCCTGTTTGACAGCATCACTGCTCAGCAATCTTGGATTTCCCGTTAATGTCCAAAAAGGCTGGTAAATGATTCCTGCTTCATCTTCATCATTCTTTGCTTTCGTTCCTACTTTGTCATTATCAAAATCGTTTGGTGATAGTGCAGTAGAAAGAGAAGACAACAATGAAACATCATGTCCACTTGTATGATGCCATCTATTCTGCAATATCCTCGGTCCGATTCGCTTTGCGGACCTTCGAACGGCTTCGAGTATACGTGCATCATACACGTTTGAATAACCAATCATTCTCACCTTTCCTTCCAACACCAGTTCCTCCATCGCATGCCAGGCTTCCAAGGTTTCTTCCAGCGTATTCAGAGGTGAATGTAGAAGATATGAGTCAAGCCATGCATTTCTCTTTCCTTTGGTTTCTTCTTTTGCAAAATTCCATTGCGGTCCTTGGTGTAGATTCTTTAGACTTGACTCAAAACTCTGACGAACAGCTTCTTTCGGTCGAGCCGATACGTCGTATGGAATTGGTCCCGAGCGATCCTGTCCGCTGAGCGGTGTGAATCTGTATGGTAAGAATAGGAATGATGTTTAGTCATCACTCGTGAACTGTTCATACAAACATGTACTCACTTAGACTGGATCCATAAATCTTCCCTTTTTATTCCTAAATCTTTCTCTGCAATGGTAATCGCTTCTCCTACCAGGTCTTCTCTGTAATGTTTTCTCTGACCCGAAACATCCACTCCTCTAAATCCATTTGCGAATGCTTGTAAGACGAGACTTGACGTTACTTCTCCTTTCCATGCTGTTCCGTACAAGAGTGAAGGAATCCTTTTCACTTGAGATGCTGAAACAGCAGCAGCAGCTGAAGAGCTTGACATGCTGTGATGGCACTAGTGTGAAGTGGGTGACAGTGATCTTTACACAGACCTCATCGATTTCATCCGCGTGTTTGATTATTTGATAGGGTGATGATAATGAAAAGAAAAGATTCGAATTGATCTTCCTAATTTAATGTGACATCGTTGAACTAAGAATATTTCTAACCGTTTCATGTTCCTATATACTTAGTATCACATTCTCAACATCATCATTGAACAGCTAGAGGGCTGAGGCACACACATGGAAGGCACCTTGATTGAACGTTTGTCTTTTTAGCGTGCATTTTAGCATAAAGAAAACCAGTCCCCCGGAGGTGGAGATCTGCAAAGATGAGCAAATACAATGTGCAAATTGCGTGCTTTGAGGATATTGCACGGGCCAAGAAGGGCAAAAAATAAAGTTAAGCGCTTGTCAAGCTGGCTGAACAGGCATACGACATCACCTTCCCGCTTCTTTGATCATGATGATATGTCTTCATTAGATGAAAGGTTAAAGCAAGCCAGAGCGAAAGCATGGCTGAAAACAGATAGAAGTACACCTTCATCATCAGTCACAAAAGCAACTGCAACTTCTCAGCAACATTCAACATTGCCTTCATCTAATGATATCGTAGGAAAGGATGACATCGAAGCATTGATAAGAGCAACGAGAGAGGAGGTGCATATAGAGAGATCACATCAATCTTCTGATAGTCTGGATGATGAAGAGACGGTTGACAGCACTGAGCTGGAAGATTGGTTGAAATCAGATCAACCAACAATACAAGAACCTGTGATAAGCAAACGTACGCTGGACGACACCAATCGACAGGCTACTCATTACGAGGGTTTAGCCAAAGATGCATTGCGAGACCTTCACAATGACAATCAGACAAAGCATCTACTCTCACAGCAAAACATGCTAAGCACCTTTAGCGATGATGGCCAGCCTTCAAAAAACAAATCTTCTTCCTTACTGGTCGTGGAGCCAAAAGAGAAACCCCAAATGGTCAGAACAAGTTCACATGGCAGTATACCCGGCAACACCGAACCAGAGCCCACATTGGAAGATGATCTTGCAGACGCTATGAACGATCACGCAGGTAGCTCGAGCAATCACATCAAGCCCAACAAAGAAGCACTGAGTCCCGCTACTTCATTCAATGAACCAGACGATCTCACAGCAAGACTAGCTCGCCTTCGTGTACAGAATATGAATATAAGCGTATCTGGAACAAAGGACAGCAAGGACAGCCTTGAAGACGAAGAGGTCGATGAAACTCTTTCTGGACTGCTCAACCTACCAAGTGCTCCGAAAGACAAGCCACTTTTCATACCCAGCGAAAGTATCAACAACATCGATGAGGATGATGAAGGGCGTGATATGTCTGCTTTCAATGCTTTGGCACAGCTGGATGCAACGAAGCTCGCTGCACCTTCTGCAAAGATACCAAAGACAGCTGACCCTACAAATGATGGAATAGGAAATCCAGACGATTGGTGCTGTATATGCAACGAAGACGCAACGGTTGCATGCAAGGGATGCGACGATGATCTCTATTGTGCTTCATGCTGGCATGAAGGTCATGACGAAATGGACGAAGATGAAAAGAGGGAACATCGAAGAAAGCTGATCGTCAAAAAAGATAATAAGAAACGTGCTATGGTGGCCGCGTAAAGGGAAGGAATACATCAACACATTTTTTGTTTATAAAGATATTAAGGATCAATTACATGGAACAAGTACTGCTAGCATCGAGCGTCTCAACCGCGTGCTGCTAGAATGAGATCAGCAGCACGCTCAGCCAACATATAGATGGTTGATTGAGGATGACCAGGTGGAAGCACAGGGAAGGAAGATGCGTCTACAACACGCAAACCATTGACACCATACACTTGCAGTTTGTTGTCCAAAACACCACCTAGCTCTTTCTTTTGCATAGAACATGTGCATGAAGCATGCCAAACGGTCATCAAATTGTTTCGGATCCAGTTTAGAATTTGATCATCAGTTTGAACATCTGAACCTGGCAAAGTTTCAGCAGTCTTTGCATTTCCGATCAAGATTGGAGCCATAGCCTTGGCGGCAAAGTATTGACGAGCACGTTTGAAGGCATAAATAGCAACCTTTTGATCGACTGGATCTGTTAACCATGCAGGATCGATAATGGGCAAATCTGATGTATCTTTTGATGCAAGGGTTACTGTACCACGACTTTGTGGTGCAACGAGAGCCATCAAGATTGTACTGAACCTGGATCCGTCTGCGCCCATTTCCGCATTTGTGGCGAGTAGATTGGAGAAATCTCCGACGGCACCGGGAGCGGAGAATGCTTCAAGAAAAGGCCAGTCGGAAGGATATGTGAGCAGCTTGGATGCACCAATGGAAGCTAATGTGACAGGATCAATTCTTTCCCAAGCCAACATATCAGCAACATTGTTTGTCAAAGGCCCAAGTGCGGCAGCAGTGTAATTGACAAGTTGAGTTGCCAAGAAGACTGGATTCGCTGCTAATTCGGTGAATGTCTTGAGAGCAGGATCAACTTTGTACGAAGGACCGAAGAAGATATGATCTTGCATATTCTTACCGACATTCTCATTGATCACAACAGGTGTAATGTTGAACTTTTGCAATTGTGCTTGTGGACCGATACCGGAAACCATTAATAGTTGTGGACTACCAAATGCTCCCGAACTTACAATCACTTCTTTGCGAGCGTATACGATGTCTGTTTCAAGAATACCGTTAGGCAATGTACTAATTGTTACTGCAGATGCACGTGGAGTATTACCATCTTTGGTGAATATAATTCGTTTAGCATATGTTTGGAAATATGAGTGAAAATTGGATCGACCTTGGGCATCATCCAAAAAAGCATGTGATGTACTTCTATGGTTGAACTTTGGATCCATTGTGGTAGGAGCGTATTGAATACCGTTCAACACACCACCATTAAACGATTGCGTAGTTGGAGTACCCACTTCATTTGCACTTAATTGCATATATTTGGAAAAGTTTTGCGGTAAATGTGGGAAAGTGACTTGTAATGGTGCGGTTAGGGCTGATGAACCCCAATTGGAAGCATCGTATTGCGCTGCAGGCGATTCTTGACGCAAGGCATGATTGGGGGGAGTGAAGGTCATACTACGTTTGAAAAAGTTGATGGTATTTTTGAAACTCCAACTTTGATCTCCGGTAAGGTCAACCCATTTATCCATCGTGCCAATGGTTGGTCTTTGGTACAACATAAAATTTCTTGTCGAACTACCACCTGAAACTTTTCCTCTTGCATAACGAATTCTTCGATTATTTGCACCTGCTTGTGGAACGGTTTTATAGCCCCAATCGATGTCATTCTGGATAAAATCGGAGTCAGCTGATCCACAACCAACGACATCACCGCCAGGCGTTTGGGAGAATTCTTTTGGTACAGCGTTGTAATCGATATCACCACCTGCTTCAATCACCAAGACGGATGATTTACCATCTTGACTCAATCTGGCTGCTAATGTTAAACCTGCTGTGCCTGCACCAAGGACGACGTAATCAAATGTGTTATTGGAAAGAGCAGGTGCTAAATTCGGCACTAATGGTGTTCCACCATTGATGATCGATCCGATCGGATTGGCGAGCGGTGAACCATTTACGAGGTTGAAAGAGGTGTATAATGCAATCACACTCAAGAGATTGAGAAATTGCATCTTGATTGGATGATAATGGAGAAGAATCTATCAAAGAGGGTACAATCCGGGGTATCTTCTGTTTCAAGCAAGCTTATATGAATGCATCCCGTGTAGCAATAAAAGCAATTTGAGAAATTTTTATTCGATGAAACATGTGTCTCAAAATATCAGGATATGCATTTCTGTTTCATTCGCCGCATTGATCAGAAGAAAGCGGGAGAAGACATTGTATATATCATTTTTGCTGATGGCCGTCCGCTGTATTTGCGGAGATGCAGTCATGCATCTTGACTACCCGCCCTTCTTTGAAAAAGATTTCAATAAACAATTTTTATCTGTAGAATGTTCTGTGTGTAAGTTTTGTGTTATTGTCTTCCTCCTTTCACGCTATCGTACACTTTGAAATGAAAAGTCGAGACCCACTTCTTCCAATCGCGTTTGACAGTGATGAGATGGCACAGGAACAAAGATGCATAGAAACATGTTCAATTAGCGTAAAAGAATCGGAAAAAATACTAAATTGTGAGCTTACGAACATCTGCTCCCGCCTGCATTGGATCGACAGTAATCTGTGATGGTGTCACAACAAGGTAGATATGCAGTGTTTACGATTCGACCAACTCGTTGCAAAAATGAAAATGCGGGGCTATCCTTCACATGTACATACATTAAAAAAACAAATAGGTCGTAGTACATACAACAAACTTTACAAAAAATAAAAAAGTGGGGTTGGACAAATTCATCACATTCCTTGTTCGTTCGTATCACCGATTGACCATGGGAATGTATTATCGTTCACAGCCGAAGCCGCGTTCAAAAAGACACTCATATCGCCAAACAAAGAACCTTCTAAAAATTGATGATGATCTTGTCCATTTTGTGGAACGCCAAAACGTAAATAATCTTCTCCGACAGCTAATTCATCCAAAACTGTTGCTGCTTGTACACCTGAAGGTCCTGCTAAAAATGTTAATGCTTCAGGCGCGAATTTTGTTGATTGAGAATTACCAGGTGTCAATCCTGTTTGTGGAGTGAAACCAGGTCCAAATGCAAATGTGTTTGAGGAACGAGGAGTTGGTGCAGATGTTGGTGGTCCCATACCGTGATTTTGGGTTGTTGGTTGTAAAAGATTGACTGATGATTGAATTCCATTAGATTGTTGTCCGCTGTCTCTCGGACTAACTCCTTGCAATCTCACTTTGTTCATTTCTGCGCTTTTTGGAGGTGTGTCTAGATCGTCAGGAACGCTGCTTCCATCACCATTTCTATTTGCTGCTTCTTCTGCCTCTGTACCTCTGTTCTCCGCTTCTCCCGTAGCGTTCTCGCCGTTGTCCGAGGGGTAAAAGCTTGCCCTTCTACCTTGCTCCATTCGCACGTTGCGTTCTACACGTTCAGCAACAGCACGTAGATAAGGAGCATAAGATGAAGCAGCACCATTACGCCATGAAGTAACACTTCCTGCTTTGGCCAAGGCGTCTGCCAATTCACGCACATGATCGATGACCAGCTTCGGATCAATATAAGGATGTCTGTCAGAATCCAGAGAGCAAAGTTTAAGCGCAAAAACGGCAACGTAAGCCACCGTTACGACGGAAGAGTTGTGAACATAAGTGAGACCCGTTCTGAATCGTTCGGAATACATTGACAAGTATGTCATTGCAGCGCTATAAGATTCTTTGTAGAACGGATCCAAAAGCTCTTCATCCGAAGTGCACTTTAATGCATAACTGTTCAAAATCAAACGAGCATACGACGCATACAGACTTGCATTCCTCATACGATAACTCGATCCTTCTTCTCGTTCCACATACATTGCCGTCCAGTTCGTAATGTCCGCACTTGACGCTTTACGATAAAAGTCCAACTGGAATCTCGAGGCAGCTGAATTGATTTGTGGTCGATCATAAGACGTAGACAAGATGCTATGTTCAAAGAATTCCGTGTTCTTGATTTGAATTCGTCTTAGGCCAATCAGAGCGACGATTGCTTCATCACCTGGGATTGCATATGCTGCTCTGTGCCAACCGGCACTTACTCCTAATATGACAGGATCTTGACTCAAGGTAGATCGTCTTCCCATATGCGTCGAAAGACTGTATTCGAATAACCATAAATTACACCATGTCCTTTCACGATTTCTCAACCTTCTCTGCGTTGCTTCTTCTGGGCTAAATTGAATGTCATCTTCGGCTAGCTTATTACTCAAAGGCGTATCTGCTTGTACACTCGTAGGTGTTTGTGCATTTTTGGCCATAGAAGACCATTCGCTCAGCAATCTTGCATTCATATCCAATTCAGCAGCAATTCGAATTCCATAGCCAACTAAAGACCAAGAACGATCTCCGTCAAGTGACTGTGTATTGGAGTGATAGGCGGCTAAGATGATGAACGCTTGCGAGATCTCTACAGATCTGTAACCTTTAAGCAGAATCGTTGGCAATAAGACATCTTGAATGTGAGAATCCAGCTTGTTTGCAATCTCTTCCGCATTATTGATATGCGATGCAAATCGAGCGGCCAATGCACAAGAAGCAGAGAGTAAGAGAGCACTATGAGATCGCACGAAGGAAAAAGTGTGCAAAATCGGATCCAACAAGGTGATTGGCGCATTGAGGTGTCGCATGTAAAGCCCATACAGATCACGAGCAACATCGTGCGACATCAGTCCTTGCGAGATTGGATCCAACGTTGAACCTTTATCTAAACGCGAAGAATACATTCCTATGCTCCAATAGCCACGTCTTGATGCTCCTCGTGTCTGGGTTCCTTTGGCGAATTTTGCTGATTTGGTCGTTTGACTCTTTCCCGAAGCATCAACAGTTTGGTTTTCAATTTCTTCGCCATCATCAGAATCTTCTTTGAGTGGTGTTTGAGCAATTGTATCAACTCTTGCAGGCTCGACATTTGAATCAGAAGCTTGAGCGAGCAGCTTCAGTGGATTACTTAATGGTGGCTGACCAAGCTCCTGCGATGCTGCTTCTGTATTCGTTCCCAGGACATCTGTCGGTTCCGATTTAGAAGTTGGCATATCAATCGTAGATGGACTGCGAGATGATAAGAATCTACGGGCTCTACCCGAAACATCTTCTAGCATTGCACTGAACCGATTCGACTCTTTTCCGCCATGGGAGGTAGTTGTTCCAAATTGCTCATCCGGACTAGAAAGGTCGTGCCGATGAAGTGTAGGAACGCTATTGGATTTTGCATATTTGGATGGCTCACCATTTGTGGTGGAAGTGTCACTTTCAGCCCTTCTTTTGCGACCCTGAGTAGGCTTCTCAGCGCTTCGATGATAGTCTTCTTCGTCATCCTCCTCATCTATAGCATTACTATTCGACGCTTCCTTGCTTCTCTTATACTCTGTCAATGCACTTAATGCCGTCATGATCGTGTCGACCGATTGTTCCAATTTGTGCATTTTGACTTGAGCTGGTTTACGTCCCCTTCTGTGCTGTTCGAATACGCAAGCTCGCTTGATACGTTTGCAACGATCACAACCTCCTTCTGCCTGACCGCTACATTTCACTTTACTCGATCGACATTCCAAACAGCTCACTTTGCGGTCAGGCTGGTTATTCGATCCAGAAGGTCCAGCATCGGCCGGAAGTCCAGACGATTTGTGCTGTAGAGATTCTGACGAAGAATTTTCCCTACGTGAATCGTACATTCCACCTCCATACTGTGGAGGCGGGGGCGGTCGTCCATAACCTTCTCCTCGATTTGGTATCATCACGTTATGCGGAGAGCTAAGATTGGATGCATGGGTGGATATTGAATTCATGGAGGATGTCGAATCAGAGTGATGAGGTCGTCTATTCTCAAACTCTCTTCTGGAATCCACATTTCCGTTTGCGTTGTTTTTGTACATCTGCTGTCCCATAGAATCAGAATTGTGACTGTATTGTCGATTATAATCAAATCCAACATCTGTCGGTCCAACGTTATTGTTGTTATTGTTGAAATGCTGTGTTGATTGACGTGGATGTGATTGTCTGTGAGATTGCATGTAATCTTCATTGGGCGAATACGACGATCCGTTTCGGTAACGATCATCGTTCATGTTTCTACCAACAGATGGACGTTGAAAGTATCCACTGTTTCCTGCGCCACCATTAGCGTTCCCATTACCGCCATTTGAACTGCTTCCCATACTGCTACTACCTCCCAATCCACCATTTCCAGGGCCGTATAGACTTTCAGGATAGGATTGAGGACCGGACATTCTGTTTTTGCTCAGCCAATACACTCGTATCAATCAGGCTTTGAGTGGATGACGTTTCTCGAATGATGAAGATTGATCAGACAATCGGAGATGATTCGGTGTCGTCCTTTGTACACGCCGTACCACCTTTGTGATCGAGCTATTCCCTCAGTGATGATGATAATCTAAGCACACGAGCAATGATTGGCGTCGTCGATCACTTTTTCTTCCAAAAGCTTAGTGAAGATCAAGAGGTAAGGATCACCAAGTATGTTTCATGCAATTTTTCTCTTTAGTAGCATGCTAATATCTATCAGGCACAGGAATATGCTGAACCGTAATGGCAGTTCGTACGCTGCTGTTTTCTTCGGGATGGCCATTAAACTTTTTCGGCTCTTTAGCAGCCTACTTTGTATTTTTGGATATATTCAAGAAAAGAAACAAAAATGAAAACACTGATTTCCTGAACCTTTCTTATTGCATAAAAAGAGCGTTGGACTACCTTTGACTGAGCGCCGCGCAATGCAGAGCATAGGCGCGTATTGAACCGGATTAACAACAATTGATGGGCAAGCAGCAAATAATAATGGCCGAAGATGCAATGCAAAACACGGCTTGTCAGGACTCAAAGCAAGTTGGGTCAATAAGTCATTAAGGCTTACTGCACAAATCCACAAATAAGGTACAAAGCCGGGATGACAGATGAAGAAGCAAGTACTATACTTTGTGAGAGTCTTCCCGGTTCTCCAAATAAAAAGGAAAGAACCCTCATTTTTTGAGAAAGAGGGAGAGGGGTCCACTTCAAGTGTCAGTGAATTAAAACTCCCCCACTCACAATTTATGTGTGTGTACGGAAGATTAACGACCCCGTGGGCGGAAAAGTGACATCCAGAAAAGATGAAAGAAAGTGGTGTAAAGCCGCAAGCCACTGTTTGTTTTTCTATTGCACTGCACCGCGCTAGTTTTTCTTCCTCTTTGATTAAACCTTATTCCTTTTTTTGCATTGCAGCAGCAAGAGGTTACTGTAGCACCTGTCTGTTCCTGTCAGTGCACATTCATGGGGGCTAGACTATTCTTCTACGAAATCCATTGCATCCGTAACACAATGCAGCAGTGATCCGGCTTATTCTCTTGTTTTTTCGGCGTAAGTGAAGTTGTGCATTGAGCGCCAAACTTCTCCTCTCTTTCTCCCTTAGGGGACTAGAAAGGAAAGGGGACAAAGCACACAAGAATGATTTACGATAAGCCTCGATCGGATCGGAAGTCGCGGTAGAATAGGATCCGAAAATTTGATTGGATCACATTAATGCAGATCTGGTTAGTTCTATCTTCCCAATCATTGCAAGATTTGGCAATCAACACGTGAACCCCTTTTGATTCCACTTTACGCGTGTATTCTTCCCTTTTTATAAAATTTAGCCTTGTTTGATTATTTTATTCAGTAGCTTAACTCCACCTTTATCAACATCATCTTTTGGAGGGAAAGGATGCCAATATGGTCGTGCCTTCAAGTGAACCTTCTTGGACAAGATCATGGACGACATTCACCGCAGGAGTGGCAGTAGCTTCTTCTGCCATTACTCTAATCAGCATCTTGGGATTTCAAAGATTTAACAGACAGAGAAGGAGGCATGAATTGGAAGATGATATAAAAGATGCAATGCGAAAAGCAAGAAATAGCTCAGACAATAATGATGAACAGGCCAAATCATTAGAGTCTTCCGGAGATACAGACTCCACGCCTCGCTATTTGGCCGCATTGGCAGCAGCACAAGAAGGAGTCGAAGCTCCACGTTCGGCAAGACAGTCAACTGCTAATGGCAAACCACAAGCGGCAATGAGACCTTCTGCCAGTTCAACAAGCTTTGCGAGTCGAAAGAGCACTAAACCTCACGAAGCCTTCCGATATGATGAATCGCTCATCCGTGAACAGCTTTCTCGTAATTACTCTTTCTTGGGAGAAGAATCTATGCAGAAATTACGCGATTCATTCGTCATCGTCGTAGGAGCAGGAGGAGTCGGGAGTTGGTGTGCATTGATGCTTCTTCGTTCTGGTGTTGGCAGATTACGATTGATCGATTTTGACCAGGTAAGCTTGAGCAGCTTGAACAGACATGCATGTGCAAATCTTGCCGATGTTGGAAGACCAAAAGTTCAAGTGTGCAAAGAACATTTTGCAAATATTGCACCTTGGTGTGATGTGGATGCTCGCGTTGAGATCTTTCGTGGTAGCGAAGCAAAACGATTGTTAGGACCGGCAAAAGCAGATCCTTCAAAGAAGCTACCACAAATGCAACCAACATATGTGGTTGACTGTATTGACAATATGGATACAAAGGTGGATCTACTGGCATTCTGTTATCACAACAAAATTCCATGCTTCAGCAGTATGGGAGCGGGAGCAAAGGCAGATCCTAGTCAAATTCAAGTGGCTGATCTCAATACTACATCCGAAGATCCTTTAGCAAGAAGAGTGCGAAGAGGGTTACGTGCAAAAGGTATTTGGGGTGGAGGTGTGATGGCCAAGAAGAAAGAAGATAAAAAGAACGAAGAGCGGAACAAAGCTGCGAATCCAAAGAAGAATAAGCCAGTGCCAAATAAAAAGGCGCAAGGTAAACAAGAATCACCGCGAGAAGATGACCGAAAGCAGAAGCAAGAAGAGGCACTGAAGACCCTTGAAAGTGGACAAAATGGTAACATAAGCCGAAAATTGGAGCATAGCGGTCGTGGGGCGGACGAAGGTCCAAGCTCGCAAGATCGAATGAGCGTGCAACAACAACCATCGGTCTCAAGAAGGGCTTCAAGTATTAGCTCTGCAGGCTCAGGCGCTTATTTCAGCCCGCTTTCTTCACCTGAAGATGAAAAGGAAGAACCGACTAACCAGAATGATGCTACAATTCGTTTGTCAGACTTTGATGCTGAGAAAAAGAACAAAAGCGCTGAAGAGACAAAAAATGCAGTGGTTGAGGAGGCAAAGAGCACAAGCGTTGTCGAGGAGACGGAGAGTGATAATAAAGATCCACGACCAAGCCTAGCTGCTTTACAACCATCGAAAGACAGTACGACTGCAGCAACTGATGCGACGGGCAGTTCTCACAGGACATCAAGCATACATGAACTGGCTGCGGTTGACGTGCAAAATTCGTTGAACGGGAAGACGATCAGCAAACTATCTCGTTTCTCGAATGCTGGACAAGATGCAGAACAAGCGGCAAAGGAAGCAGATCGAGCAGAACAAATGAGTGAAAAGCCTTATACGATCATGTGTGTTTACACAAATGAAAAGAGCGATATGCGACTTTTACCTTTAGACGAAGAAGAATTTCAAAAAGGTAGTGTGGATGAATTGGCAGCTTTGGAGGATTTCCGGGTTCGTATTTTACCTGTGTTGGGACCTTTGCCGGCCATGTTTGGTTTGGCAGCAGCAACGTTTATCATTTGTGAGATTTCTGGTCGTCAACTGGAGACTTTGCCTTGGAAAGCAAGAAGAAAAACTGCCGAAAGAACGTGGCATGAGCTGGAGAATACGGAACGTAAGTACCCTTCTCCTGGTAGCAAACTGACTGCTGCAGAACAAGGCTTTGGACCGAGACGGATTCCTTGGACGGCGGAAGATGTTGCTTATGTGTTTGAGGAAGTATACAGATGCAGATCTGTTGTGCCACCACATGAGACGCTGGCTCTGGGTAGACTTTTGCGTTGGGATTCGACCCTACCTTTGTCCTATTCCAACGTCGCTCTCTTCTCTCGCGAACAAGGTGCAGTGCATGAACGTGAAGTGTTGAAGAATGGACGTAGTCCTGTAGAAGTATGGGGAGAAGAAGCCACAAGGATGTTCAAGAGAAGAATGGCAGATGAAAGGCGGATGAACGTCCTTAGATGATGAAGCACTGTATTTATACACACACAATTGTATTACAATGCAAAACAAAAGACAACTATTAGTACATAAATCTTGTTTGACGCTCACGTTTCTCGTCGTCTGAATCGAGGATCATTTTTCATTTGTTCCCGTTTCTTTCTATCAGCAGCATCTGCAGATCGATTAGTCTTTGCCACCATTTGTGTATCCGGGAATCCAATCTCCCAGAAACCTTCTGGTGTTGATGGTGGCGGACCATAATCGCGATGCCTACTAATCTTCTGTAAATGTTCTTGACGTTGACGTTCAGAGCCTTTACTCGAACGATTTTTCTCGTTTGCATTCTCGTCATCTTCGTCGTACAAGTCTCCCTTTCGTACATCCTCATAAGGTCGTACAGCAACTGGCCCTGCTGCATCGTAATAGTCTCGACAACATTGGCAATCATGAGCGTGCATTTGCTTGCGTTTGATTTTGGGTCGTACAACGTCTTTGTGTAAATAAGAGACGTTCCCGTTCATTTCGGGATTGATTTCGAATTCTTGATTGATCGTCTTTGGTCTTGAGGCCTTCTCAGCAGAGTGAGTCTTGTTTGCTGAGGAAAGGCCAGGAGAACTTAGTGAGTTTGCAGTTGTTGTCTCACGTAATGGCGCGCGCTTGAAATTGCTGCTTGTCGTATCAGGGATCGGTGATGTCCTTGTAGATCCTTCTGACAATCGAGATCTCTTTGACAAGTTCTCAGTCCTTTTCAAGCGATCATCTGCCGGGGATGACGAGTCGAAAAAAGCGCTATAGCGTGAAGGCGTTGGCATGATATCTGTAATTCTCCTGCTTTTGAACTGTGAACGCAGCGGAAGACCGACGTCTTTGAGGATCTTTGCCTCCGAGTCTGTGATATTGCTTTCTATATCTTCTTCATTGCGAGGAACATTTGTGCTGTTTGCGTCCCTTTTGAGCGCATATACTCGAGCATCACTTGAGCCCCCCTTCTCTGGCGAGCGATCCTCTTGCTTTATTTCACTTGAGCTCTTTCTGTTGGCCGGTGTTTGAATTAATTGCTTTTTATGTTCCATCTTTCCTTGCCACCAATCTCTGAATGTTTTCCATTTTTCTTTATCTGCTGAATAATCCGATTCGAGTTTATTGTGTCGTTCTAATAATGAAACGTAAGATTCTTTCATTAATCGCATTTGATCTTCCATTGATTTCATACTTGAAATCATATTTCTAGATGCATTTTCGAATTCAAGTTGTGCAGGTGAATGCTTCGATGATCCGATTTGCATTGTATTATCGAGCTGTTCTTCTTCATCGCTTCTCATCTTTGGTTGATTGTTGGCATTCTTGACAATGATGAAAGGTATGATATAGAATGTGTTGCTCTCTCTCTTGCACGTAAGCCCCGAATGAATGCTACCCAATCTTTACGCGAAAACGCGTTTGGCCTCGTGCTCTGCTCTGGGCTTGTGTCGTGGTCTGAAAGCGGGACGAAAGCGGATTTAAAGTAAAGAAGTGCTTACTACTGCATCCCATTCCATTTAGCTCCATGGAGAGTGTCTTATTTTGCATACATGCAAAGCGGATAATCCAACCTCTTACCACATTATAAGGAAAGCATGCTATCTTTCTCAGGAGTATGAACCACATCCACATCTATTCCCCTTAAAACATCATCTTGATGCTTCTCCCCTCGACCACACAACGTCTCTCGAGGTCTCTCTTGTATAACAGCTCTAGCAAATTACCACTCCACTCAACTTCACCAACACTAATTCGACAGATTGTATCATCGAGAATGTCTTCCACATCCTCTCAAGCCACAATCCGTGAGCCTTCTGTAGCTCTCTCTCCTCCGGCTATGTATAAAACCACTCCTCCACCTCACCATACTTCAGCAGATCCGTCAAAACGTTCATTTCGTTCACCATGGCCATCAGCAGGAACGGGTGCATTAACATTATTGCAATTCTTTCGAATTCGATTGTTCGAATGGGAAAAGCCTGCTGCATTCTTGCATGAAATTCCAAAAGTTGAAAAATGTACTTGGAAAGATCAGCAGGATACAAAATTGGACGGAAAAATTGCTTTTACTTGGATCGGACATGCTGGTTGTCATTTTCGTATACCCATACCAGATTCCGATCAGGTTGTTACTGTGTTGACTGATCCGGTCTTGTCAAACCGTTGCTCACCTTCTCAGATTATGGGACCTGCTCGTCTTCAAGAAGCACCAACAAGTGTGGCAGAAATGGCAGAAAGTCAAGTAGCAGACATTTGGCCGGATGTGTTGGTTTTAAGTCATAATCATTACGATCATTTGGACTACAATACGATCAAGTACTTTTTTGATAGCAATACGGCCGGAAAACCTGTCCCGTATGTGTTCTGTTCGCTAGGCGTTGCGCAATTCTTTTACGATATCGGCTTCCCGAAAGAAGGTGTTACCGAATTGGATTGGTGGCAGCAACGTGAGATCAGTTGGTCATCCCCACAAAACCATGAAAAAGCTCTAAAGCTAACATGTGTTCCCGCACAACACTTTTCTGGAAGGTCACTCTCGGATAGGAATAAATCCGTTTGGGCAGGTTGGGTATTCGAAGCTTTATCGAAAGATGGAAACACCAAAGGAAAGAAGGTATACTTTGCCGGTGATTCAGGGTATAGACAAGTAAATCGTGAACATCTTCAAAGTGGGTATGCGGATGACACGCTCCCTTATTGCCCTGCTTTTGAAGAAATCGGTGACTTGTTTGGTCCGATCGATTTTGCTGCTATCCCTATTGGCGCTTATAAACCCAGAGTTGCAATGTCTGCCATTCATATGAACCCGTTGGAAGCCATACAAGTACACAAACAAGTACGTTCAAAACAGAGTATCGGAATTCATTGGGGTTCTTTCGCTCTTGCTGCTGAAGGTCATAACGAACCAAGAATCACACTCAAAGAAGAAATGCAAAAATCCGATTTACCCTTCGATCAGTTCACAACGATGGAAATTGGACAAACTAGATATTTTTGAAATAAAAAGAAGTACAAAAAAAGAGATTAAAAATTCACACAGGTATATTATTTGCACATATTGACCAACATTCATTGGTTTGTGTGGCGTACGTGCTGCTCTTTAAAGAGCACCAGCAGAAGATAATTTTGCATGTTGTCGTTTATATTCCAATCTTTGACTTCGGAAACGTTCATATCGATCATTCGTCACTTCTCTCATCTTCTCAACGTGCGATCCCAAAATGCACGTTCGCAATAAGCTGAAATCACAGTGTCGTGCATCCAAAACGCTTGAGCTTCCAAAACGGAATTCTCGCACAAATCTTGTAGATTGTGGCGGTCCAGGCGGCGGTGAAGAGAATGTTGCACCTTGAACAGAAACGGGAGTAGAGTTGGAAGATCGATTTCCACCACCGTTTGGAATGGGTGTGCTGCCATTAGACGTTGGGTGTGTAGAAGCACTTTCCAGAGATTGTCGTCCACCTTGTTGTCCGCTTCCAGCTCCGTTCTCAGCCTCTGCTTCCAATACTTCCACCTTTTCCCCTTCATGATTGGAAGGATCAGAATGACTGACTGTAGAACTTGTACCTGGACGTCCTTTCTTGATACTTGCAATATCATCCGGCAATTTGGGCACCGGCGGCAGATTTTCTGCGATGCTGTTCATGCTTAGCTTGCGAGTTGGTGGTACGGATGTTTGTGTATTAGATTGTTTGGAGCGTACTCTGATCGGTTCAGGAACAAATACGGAGAAAGGAACCATCTTTGAGATAGCTTCCGGAGCGGATTTCTGATCTTCTTCGTCTTCATCTTCTGCTTGACTTGCTTTGCTGTCAAAGAGAGGTGCTGTATGTCCCAAATTACTGCCATCATCCACAGTCTCATCGAATACATTATTTCCGCCTATCGAATGACCACTTGTAGAAGGTGCCATTCGTTCTCCCGAATGTGCACTGTATGATCGGCGAGATTTGATTCGGATCACCTTGACAGGTTCTGAACTTAAAGGTGCATCTGCTGACGATTCAGGAGTGCTTTCTTCCAACTCGCCTCTTTGTACGACAGAGGAGATCGGATGCGGCTCACGAGGACGAATTCTTTTCTTTCTACGAACGCCTTCCACTTCAAATGCGCCGAGATCAATATTGGCTTTGATGATCGAATTGCGCACTGCCGTTCGTACTTCTTCCAATTGTGCAGATGTCAGCGTATCGGATTTAGCAATGATTGGTAATACATTTGCTCGTTCGCTCAATCTTGAAAGGATGGATAGTTCACGTTGCGACAGACCTTCCACGCAATCATCTTCATCGTCCAACTCTTCCTCTGCCACCTCTCTGGCTTGTACATCGGAATTATAACTTGGCATATCAACGGTCGAAACCGATCCTTTAGCGCTATGTTTTGACTTTGCTGAACTAGATCTTGCTTGAATCATCTCCATCGATTGACGTAGTTGAGCAGTTTGTGCTTGTTTACTCAAACTCCCACTATAAGCAGCTGGTTGAGAAACAGAAGAATTGCCGACCATTGATGTACTTCGAATACGTTTTTGCTGTTGATCGTTGCTCTTGTTCCTTTCAGTAACTTGAGCAGAAGCATAACGAGCACGTAAGATTTTTGCTTTTCGTGTATGGAATCGATCAATCATAAATACCGGATCGATAAAGTACAATATCAAATGCATCAATCCATCTCCTCTTGGCTGTCTTTGCACTTTATTCTCTTCGGATAACGTTTTTGTCAATTTTGCCTCCAAGAAACGTAAGCTTGCGTTCACCTTTTTCTCAATCTCGAAATCGTCTTCCAAATTAAAATCAATTCCAGGTGTATCACAAATGGATAATTGCACTCTTCCACTTCCAAAACCGCTAGTGTTGTTTGTTCGAGTCGAGATCATAGAAGTTGTGCGATGCTTGACAGCAGGTGATCTACCCGTAGATTCCGCTCCCGCTTCTAACGCCGAGATGGGAATCAAGCAACTTGGATGCAAGTCAATTCCCTGTAAGACTTCATATTGTTTCGTACGCAAAGGCATGATCGGATCCATATCATGAGTTGGATGTTTATGATCAGGCGAGATTCCAAAAAGGGAAGCCGCTTTCTTGGCTTCATCCGTACACAAAGAAAGATCACACGTTGCCAGCAACGTTCGAATGAAACTCGTCTTTCCCGTTCCCGTTGCACCGAACACCATCAAATTCAATTCTGCCGGCGCTTTTGCCCTACGTAAACTTTGACTTCTTGCAGCGTCCATCACATGCCTTCTTTGCGATGCAGTTGGTTGGGGTATACTATTTGGCGAAACACGGAAATCATTTGATCGATTAAACAAAGCGGGTAATCCATGTGGATTATTTGCTGCAGAAGGTGGCGGTCCCATCTTTCTTCTTGATGCGGATGGAGGAGATGTGGATGGGCTCCCATTCGTCTGACTTTGATCTAAGCTAGCCATTCCTCCGGTATCATCTCGTACCAGATTACGTGTCCAAGGTAGATGGTACGGCACCGCACCTTGTGAAATGCTCCTTGATAATGAGCTAGTCTTAGGCTTGTGACCGATGGTATGTCGTGTATCCTGAGGATTAATGTTTGCAATATTGCTCATAGTATCATACTTTCGACTTTGTTGCAAGGAAGGAGTGACATCCACCCCAATCGATCCAATCCTGCCAGCATTCTCGAAAGGTTGATTAGATCTTGCATGACCATTTGACGTTGTTGTGTCTAGCGTATGTTCGTTGAATCCGTTTCCCAGATTACCCAAATGTTGGGTTTCGTTCCAGTCTAATTTCGGTATTTCCGGTGCCGATGGAGGAGGTAAAGAGACCTTTTCCTTTTTTCGAAACAGTGGCATGTTGACAGATGGATTAGATCTGGACAAGTGTGAGAGTGATGGATGTTGTTATGTGATTATGTCAATGAAGAACACTCTTCACAACCGCTCAATCGATCGACCAAATCCAATCTGCAATGTAGATCAACTGTTAATTGACTTGCTTGTTTGTGGGAAATATATGGTAGATGGCGAAAGGTTAAAAGAGTGGCTTTAGGTTATGTCTGATAATGTATGAAATGAAATTATGCACAAATGAAAGACAAAGGAGTCCAAAGCGCCATTCATAAAAAAAGCCGCTTTCTTAAAAACTTTATCTCTTTGGCTAGCCTAGTCCCCACACAATTCCATTTTCACTGCTTAATTGCAAGCATGACCACCTTCAAGCGTTACAGTGTGCAGTCTGCATGCATGCCCTGATGCACGACGCCGCCTAACGCCCTTGTCAAAAAGGGACAAAAAATCAACGGAGCTCCAGGCCCAGTCTAACGCAGTAATCGCCGCCGCCTTTCTCGTCTGTCAGCCTACAATTCGGGTGCGCGGCTGCCAACGTTCCTTTTCTTACATGCTCTCTCATTCATTCAGCATTCATTCACGCTTATTCAGTGAGGAGAATAACATAAAATTATTTCGTACGAGGGAGGAATGATGGTGCGAGTAAAAGAGAAGATGGTACAAGTCAAACTGAACAAAAAAAGGTATATATTCATATTGACAGAACACGTTTGTAACTCGTGGGGTGAGGGGGGGAAGAAAAAGGGTAAAATCAAATCCTTCAATTGCTTAATGACCATGAACGGTGGAATCTGCACCTGCGGGTGAAGTTGCACCGTGTGGAGCATCAGTTGGCTTGCCAACGGAAACTGGATGAGCTGCACCTGTTGTGTTTCCGGTCAATTCAGTCTTGCCATTTGCTCCTCCTGTTGTTGGAACATCACCTTTCAAATCGTTGGAATATTCGGAATATTTACCCGAAGTGAGTTGAAGTTGAGTGTAGTTAATCTTGCGCATTGAGTACAAGTGAACGATAGCGAAAACAGGCTTGGCAACCAAATCCAAAACGCCATAGAATACCATTTCACCTGTTGGGCTGATAACATTTCCACCGTCTGCCAATCCCCATGCGATTGGGTACAAGAACCAGATGAAACTCAAGATACTTGCACCGATCAAGTATGTCTTGCTCAATTCGTTACCCAAAGAATGAGATGCTTGACGACCAGGGAAGTACAACATGTAGAAAACGTACAACATGGCAGCGCATCCGAAAGAGTATAAACCCCATTTGTAATCGGATCTAACCAAAGAACCGATTAAACCAGTGATAATCATTACCAAATCAGCAAAGATTGTGATAATGATATCAGAAAGTGGCAATCCTGTAACCAATAACAATTCCAACAATAAAAGAGGAGTTGTGATTGTCCAATCGATATAACGTGCATACCAAATTGAACGTGTGACAGGATTAGCATCATAATGACCACGAATGAATTCAACTGGAATAGCAACTGAACCTAAATCAGAAGCCATGCAAAAGTAAGCAACTGAAGCAGTACCGGTAATCATCATGGATAAATGATGGAAAGTACGTTGACCATGTTTAACGCCAAATTGTGCCCAAATACCAACACCGATCGTGGTTGCTGCCATTACGGAGAAAACCATCCATAAGAAATCGGATGCGGCAGTTGTAATGTCAATAGTTGCGGTTGTTGGATTGATTTCCAAGGCTTCATTGCCTGCTCGGCGAACGAATTCGCTGATAGCCATCTTTGCTAGTTTGGGGGGATTTAGGAAGAGGAAGTCTTGCTTATGTTGATGGATGTGGATGAAAGTTAAGTGATGTGGAGAGAAGGTGGATTGTATTTATACTTTTTTTCAATTTACTCAAAAGCCGAACTTGGACATTCAAGATCGATTCTAATCTGCAGAGCAGGCAATAACTTGGCCTTAGTAACACGATTTCAGTACGGTGATCTAGATAAATTATGCTCGTGATGATCGATGCATCAAAACAGTCAATATGCATGGTCACGCTCCCAAGGAAGTCTCGTTCCGATCGTTGCAGCATTTTTTTTCTCAAGTAGGATAAAGGAGAGGGTGCCGTCGGAAAAGTTGTTAGAGGGTAATTTTATTTGTTGCATTCATGGTGATAGGGATAAAATGCGTCATTCATCCATCCAAAATCAGGAAGGGTTTTACCGGTAAAAGAAGTGCAGGGTCTTCTGGTCTACCAAATATAAACACTTGAACCGCCGCTTAGAGAATTTTTTAATTGTGGCATGGGACTGCAAAAAGCCATCAACGTAATCTTTTTGTTAAACTCTGTTTTTTTTTTCTGGATAGGCCTCCACAGCCGGTGGTGAATAAATTAAGTCAAAAGCTGACATCAGCTTCGCTGCATGCTCGATCTACGTGCATGCATCGGAGCATATTCTCATTCAACGGACGCCGTATCATTACCCAGAGAAAAATAAAGCTAAGCCACTGTAAAAATTAATTTAAACTGCATTCAAACTTGATCTTTAGCTTTAAAATTTCTCACAGGGTCATCATGATCGAAAATGGATAACTCGTTCCGAGAAAAGTTTAGTCCCAAGGTGAAAGTCTAGAAATTGTACAGAGAAGAATAGAATGAATGCTTCATTTTCCCATCAATTCATTATTAAATGAAGGTTCATCTTTAGGAACAATTGCTTGTATAGCTGAAGCGAAGGACTTTGAAAGTTAAGAGTGAGGCCGTGGATTGATTACTCCTCCGCTTTAGGTAACTTGATTAAGCAAAACACTGTACCTGCGCTGCGCTATAGACGCGTTTGTATTTGCTTTTACGGAGGCCCTTACCCTTACGCTAGATTTCTCTCCATCTGCATCGCGTACATACAAAGTGGAGTTAAAACAGGAAGGGCTCACACCCACGGCAATTGATGGAAAAATAATACGAATGACGTACACTATAACAACCCTATGCCTTCTATGATCTTTGATCATCAGAACAACAAAAGCCGAATGTCCGATAATCAGCAATCAAAGTGATCATTGATTGGAACACACTTTGGTTCAACGCTATCATCAGATCCGACAATGGACACAAAGTAGACAATAACATACTATACAGTCAAAGCAACCTCTACCCACTTTGTCTGGCCCAAGATGACAGGCTCATCATCATCAAGCACAAAATCGAGATCATCCTCAAGTGCAAGTAGTGAAACGAGTATCATTCCATTTCCAAAAAAGACGCTCCATCCATACCTGACGGGAAACTTTGCACCGATCAAACGAGAACTTCCTTTAACCCAATGCAAAGTAGCCTATGGAAAAGTACCAGAAGAAGTTTGTGGCGGACAGTATATACGTAATGGCGGTAACCCTTTCAAAGATGAAGATCAAGATCGACAAGCACATTGGTTTGACGGTGATGGAATGTTGACTGGTGTACTATTTCAATCAGACGGAGAAGGAATACGACCGCATTTCATCAATCGATACATTCTAACGGATGTCCTACTTTCAACTTCTCAAGCTAGTCGAAAACCATTCTTACCTTCAATTTCAACATTTGCATCACAGTTGTCATTCTTTGGCTTTTTTATCTTGATGGGCGAAATCATGCGTACGTTCGTACTAGCAATGCTCAGCTTTTTGCCTTTTCAATCACGACCTTCAGTGAAACGGATAAGTGCCGCAAATACCAGCATTTGGTGGCATGATGGGCAGGCTTTTGCCGGTTGTGAAAGTGGCCCTCCAATCCGAGTATTGTTGCCTGGATTAGAAACAGCTGCTTGGTGGACAGGTGAAGAAGAAACGGAAGGCGGATGGAGTAAAGGCGGAATGGGACCGATCAAAATGCTAAAAGAATTCACAACTGCACATCCAAGAATAGATCCTGAGACGGACGAACTGCTGTTGTATCACATGTCATTTGCTGCACCTTATCTACGGATAAGTGTCGTGCCAACACGCAAATCAATCGAAGCAGGTGCCAAGCCATTGATGGGAGCTGCTGTGCCTGGACTCAATAAACCAAAATTAGCACATGACTTTTGTGCGACTTCAAAACGAACAATTTTGATCGATATGCCATTGGTGCTAGATCCGAGAAATCTACTACAAGGCAAACCGATGCTATCGTATGAAGAGAACATGCCAACACGCTTTGGGATTTTACCACGGAGATCACCCGAAAAGGTGAAATGGTATGAAAGTGAAGGATGTTGCATTTACCATGCTGCCAATGCATGGGATGATGAAGCTACTTCTTCAACAAATCTCGTCGCTTGTCGTTTAAACAGTGCTACCCTAGTCTATGCAGCTGGAAATTTAGATACCCCCAGTCATGCAAAAGCTACATGTGGAACGGAAAAGTGTCAGTTATACTACTGGCAATTCGCAGATGCACCAGAGGATAATCAAGCAGTTCCTGAAAAGAACGAGAAAGCACAAGTTCTAAGAGAATTCGCTCTTTCTGACGTTCCTGTTGAATTTCCCACGATGAACGATTCTTACTCGCAGCAATGCAATCGTTTTGTATATGGTGCCAGTATGACCACAGGGTCGTTTGATGCTGGACTTGGATCACGGTCAGCAAAGATCGATTGTTTGGCCAAGTTTGATATTCAAACATTGATTGCTAAAGGCAAGAAAGCAATGGATGCCGGTCAGCTACAAAAAGGAGAAGCAGTCGACAAGCGAACAGTACAAGACGTCTTGGCTGCTGAACAAACTGAAGATGACCCAATTCGATTATTCGCTTTGCCTCCTCATCATTATGCACAAGAAGCAACTTTCGTTCCACGGTTAAACGCAAAGAGTGAAGATGATGGATTTTTACTGTTCTTTGTGTTTGACGAATCAACCGGATTGGATTATGACGGTGACGCACTTCCAAATGCGATTTCACAATTATGGATTCTTGATGCAAAAACGATGAAAGATGTAATTTGCAAAATCTGTTTACCTCAACGTGTTCCTTATGGTTTACACGGACACTTTTTTTCCGCAACGGAAATTCAAAATCAACGTCCCGTTGATACAGATCAAGTTCGTAATTGGGCTTTAGCACAAACTGCTCAAACGGGCATAGGCTTGGGTGGTGTAAAAGCCTCTTCGGATCATGACAACAATTTATCTTCATTTACCGCTTTTGCATATTCTGCTGTTGCCAACTTTCGCAATTCTATCGAACATTTTCTAGGATGATGTTACTCTCTCTCTTTTCTTTTGCAATTGTATCATATTCTTACACATTTTAAACAATGATATCTCTTTTTGTACAATTACATATAAATTGCCTTGAAAGCGATCAGCATGCGTTCCCACGGTGACACCTTGCTGCGACTATGACAATTCTCAACGCCATCCCTTTCAATAGCCATGCCTATGGAGAGATAGACGGCACATGCGACCCGTAGGCCTGTTTGTGCAGGAATATCGGGTAAGAAAGAGACAGCAGGAAGGCTGACACGGTAAATCTCTCGTGCGAATCGAACGAGGTTCATTTTTTTCTCGAAAATTTGTTCCAACAATACTTGATTGACATCTTCTTGTTGATAAACTTGCAATAATTCATCTCGCAACGTGTTGCGACCATTTCTTTTATCTTCTATCACTAGATAGCATCGTTGTAGCTCGTTTGCATCTTTCACCACATCACGGGCAATGTTGATCAATTGCAAGCTCACGCCCATCCTACGAGCATCTCGGAGTACTTTCAGCACGGTTGCGCCATCCATCTTTTTGGTATCAGCAGTTGCTCTAGCTGAGAGAGTGAGCGTGGGGACTGTTGTGACTTTGTGCGTTGCTGCACTCGTCAAACTTGTCTCGTCCAGGTCTCGTACTGTACGGTATTCATTATCTACTAGAACTCCAGATCTTGCCAGAACAACCCTTACACACATTTCACCGATTGATCCTGCTACATCTTGTGCATAACAGGCCAATTGCCGAAAGGTAGTGAACCGTGGACCACCTTTATGACAATCGGTTGTGTAGCCGTCGAGTAATTCTTCCCACAGATGAACAGGGACAATACCACGGAGCGTGCTGGCAGCTTGAGCACTGGTGCGGATATCCTCGAGTTGCTTTTGTCCTTCGACGTCATGCTGCGGGAAGAGGCTTACATTCTTTTCCAAAAGTTTGTCAATCTTCTTGCTTACTTTTTCGTCCGTCATATCTTGACTACCATCGAAAGCAACATTGACCAGGTTCCGGAGTAAATCCAGCTTTCCGTGTGAGATCTTCTCATCTTGCGTCACCTGCTCCACATCTATGAAATCGTCCATTGCTCTAGCAAATGCATATAGGCAACCCAAATCAATTCTCAGGTCCCACGGCAGTAAGGTGGAAGCTGTGTAAAAGCTCTTTGATGCAACTTGTAAAATGGAGAGTGCACGGTCTTGCGCTGACTGAGATCTAGATGGCTCTGGATCACTATCAAGATTCAAAAAGGTTGACCAAATCGTTGGTACGACTGACCAAGAAAGTCGGAAGGAAGTAGGCGAGATGGGTGCAAACTCCCTCTCGGCATTCTTGCATTGATCTTTTCGGCATTGCCAAACGACTCTATCAAAGGCAAAGCAAGCACTGACCAAAATCAGATTCGTAACAAAGAAGAAAGTCGCTTCTTCGATCGGTAGATCAGGTACCAAGAACCGTTCCAAAGATTTTGCCTCTGTTATATGCCACGTTCCTCGTCGTAATGCAAACACGTCTGCGTAGCAGAGGTAGGCCGTTGGGATGAAGAGACACATCAGCCATGGTTTTGCCTGATTATTCCTTAGCAATCCGATCCAAGATCTTCGTGTTCCGTACCATAGCAAAATAAGAGGCACAGATGCCCACCATGCAATCATACTGATGTAGAAGTGATGTCCATTTCCTTGCTTGCCGAATAAACCTGCAACCCCAAGAGAGAATGCGAGGATAGGCACAGCGGTTAACATAAGTGTAGACGCTGAGCTGTACTTTCCGTCAAAAGATCGTGGAGTTGACCAACGAGTGATAAGGATCGTAAGCAAAGAAGTGATGAGAGATTGCAGGATAAAGAATGCATACTCTTCTACGGGAACATAGCCAATCCTCGCTAACACGCAACTTCTTGGATACCACCAAGCTCCTTTTCGAACCAATTCATTGTCCCAGGGTGTAGTCCATACGAATGCAATGATTGGTAAGATGATCAATTTGCTGTAGTCCAGTTGTGTCAAAAATGGTTTTGCCAGAACGTAAAGGATCGTTAACGGCGGCAAGGTGAATACCAAATGAAAGTGGGAATAGTGCAGCTTACATGTGCTGTTTTCGTTGGTAGGAGTGCTGATCTGAGAGTCGCTCTGATGAATCCAAACGTATGCTGAGCATAGAAGAGAAAGCAGCACTAGTGAAATGCTTGAATGAATGCTCCTCCACACCATCTTTGTGTTTGGATGATGAGCAGAGAATTGAGTCATCTTGTCTCTTTAGCTACGAGGAATTGAGATCTATAGTCATGTTGTAAATTGTTCTTCTCCTCATCAAGCCTTCCTTTTATGTTTGGATGAGTTGTTGTAGGAAGGAAGAGAAAGGTGAGCCGCTTTCCTTTTCATTCTCAGCTAGGCACACCCGCCGCCTGTGTATGTGCGGTTGACCGAGAATGATTTCTGGAACAAAGATGCCGCCGCACTAACACACAAACGCGTTCCAAGTTAGCGTTTCGATTTAAGCCCAGGGTCTTGAGGTGAATCTGTTGATGCATGCATATATTCATTGTGCTTAGATAAAGATTGGATTAGGAAGATTGAAACGAAAGTAACACAATTGCACAATCACCATCACATCATCTTTTTGGCTTTGTGATCATGGTCTCAACCAAAAAAGATGCGAACGGAAAACACATTCTCATTATCGGAGCCGGAGTGGGCGGTTCTGCATTAGCGGCAAGATTGGCACACAAGGGATATCGGGTATCCGTTTACGAAAAACAAGATCAACCGGGCGGAAGATGTTCCTTAATTCGCACAAAAGATCATAGATGGGACGTTGGTCCTTCTCTTTATTTGATGCCGGAATTATTTGAACAATTCTTTGCAACGCTGGGTTTGGACATTAATGATTATATTCGCTTGGCCCGTTGTGAACCTTCGTATAAAGTACACTTTTCACCTCCTTCGCCGGGAAGTAAGCCTGAGCCACCTTTGGAACTTTCAACATCGTTGCCTTCACTTGGAGTACAGCTGGACAGGTATGAAAAACCAGCAGGAAACCCAAACGCATTAGGATCATTTTTGGCATTTATTGGAGAAGCAGGAGATCATTATGAAGAAAGTGTAAAGCACGTTCTACTGAGAGATTGGAACAATTTAGGAAAAGCATTGATGCAATGGGACATGTATCCAATGCTACTAAGGACACAAGCACTAAAGATCTGGTCAACGGCTTGGCGTAGAGCATGTCATTATTTCAAATCCGATCACGTCCGCAGAGCGATGACCTTTAGTTCAATGTACATGGGCATGTCACCTTTTGATGCACCGGCAACGTATACACTCTTACAATATGCAGAATATGCAAAAGGTGTTTTTTATCCCATCGGTGGATTTCAAACTTTGGTAGCCGCTTTCGAACAAGTTGCTCGTCAATTTGGCGCTGAATTTCATTACAACACTCCTGTTAAACAGATCTTGGCAGAAGATGATCATCGGGTTAGCGGGATTGAATTGGAAAATGGTGAAAAGGTATACGCAGATGCTGTAGTGAGCAATGCTGACCTGATATGGACGTACAACAATTTGCTGCCTCCTTCTCCCTACGCCAAACGATTGCAGAACAAGAAGCAAACTTGCAGTTCGATATCGTTCTATTGGGGTCTTAGTGAGACCGTGGAAGAATTGGGAATACACAACATCTTCCTTGCCGAGCAATACAGAGAGTCTTTTGATGAAATCTTCAAGGATGGACAGGTACCAAACGAACCGTCATTTTATGTTAATGTACCTTCACGAATCGATCCGTCAGCTGCACCAAATGGAGGAGATACCTTGGTGATCTTGGTACCATGCGGATCGATCGCATCAAAAGATGCACCGTTAGGCTACAAAGATAAAGAAACGTTTGCATCTATCAAAGCAGACGTACGAGCAAAAGTGTTGCAAACACTTCAAGCACGAATCGGAAGAGATCTTTCTCCTCTTATCAAAGAAGAACATGTGATGGACCCGTGGGATTGGCGTGAAAAGTATGGTTTATGGAACGGAAGCATTTTGGGTTTAAGTCATTGTATCTCACAAGTTTTATGGTTCAGACCAAGCAATCAACATGCATCCCTCAAGAATATGTTCTTTGTCGGTGCAAGTGCCATGCCCGGAACAGGCGTTCCTGTCGTTTGTGCGGGATCAGGTATCGTTGCCGACAAAGTGGATGAATACTTCACCAAACGTACCTCTGATCTCAACAAACCACTCTTTGCATCCTTCAATCTTACCACTCTCGTCGTTCTTCTTTTACTCATTCTAGCCATTCTTGTATACCACAAATAAAGTTCTCATCTATTTCAATGGAATACCCTACATTATCAATCCAAATCTAGATCTTCTTCCGCTCCGGTTGGTTGTGCAGTTCCTGCGGCTGCTCCAGATTTTGCAGCTTCGATCACCTTGCTCGGCAGGGCAGGTGCAGGTGCATTACGTACAACGGTCGTTGGGGCATTCGAGCCAGACTGACCGCCTCCGCCCATTAAGGAACCCAGCATATCTTGCATAAAGTTTGCATTTCCACCACGAGGAGGTTGAATGTCAAAGTAAATCTTGGATAGATCCGGTAATACTTGATCGAAATATTCATCTCCTTCTTCTTCCCCTGTTTCTTTTTGGAACTGACGGACTGCCGCAATCCATGTATCACGCAATGCATCGGGTACACGACTACCTTGCGTCTTCTTCTTGTGCTCAACTGCGGTCGCTGCCATTGCTAATGTCATTTGTGCAAAGTTGAGTTCAGGACTGACTGTGAGATAGAGTTGTTGTGCATCTCCTGGAGGTTTTGTCATTCCCGCAGGTGGTGAGAACGGTTTGGGGTTCGGCTGAACGGGTAACAGGATATCGGGATGCTTCTGTACCAGCCTTGACGTAAAGATGGAAAGGTAGGCCCTGGAAGCAGTGAGAGCACGAGAGAGCAATAGAGGTAATAAACCTCTCAAAGCGAAAGCACCGGCGCCCAATCGTTCGATCGTTGCCGCGTTTCCTCCATGCTCTTTGACTGCTTCAGCTGCGTATGCTGCAAGCCAATCGATCATCATCAGAGCGAAAGATTTTGGAGCATGTTCAGGGAACAATTCTCCTGCAGTTGCCAAGCCGGGAGGAGGGCTGCAAGCGACGATGTAGTGAGGTTCTGAGGTATGGAAGCTGCCATCCTTGCTCAAGATTTCAGCGATTGCCAAACGTAAATGACCATCTCCTGAAGGTGTATTGGTAACTGCGATTGACCATTTGATTGCAGCATCGATCACTTTCTTACGCCAAAAGTCATTCCCGGCCAATTGGATTAGATCAATGATCTTTTTTCTGGATTCTTGTGTACTTTGCGTTTGTGATTGTTGATAGACATCTAAAAGGTATACAGCTAAATCACAACCACTTCCTTGTTCCTTTTCCTGTAAGAGTTGACGTGATCCTTCGTACAAACTTGTTATCGCACCTTCGTAATCTTTCTTCTTTAGCTGACGAACTGCTTTCGTTCTTAGCTTTTGATGAAGTTCATATCCGCTAGACATGTTGTGAGGGGGATAGGGTATCGTGGCTGAAGGAGAGAGAGAGAGAAGAGAACATTAAGCTTCTAGTGCCAACCTTGTTTTTCAGCCAACGACACTCTGAGGCACTGCATGAGAGCAACACACGTGGAGAGGCGCGGGTTTCTGGGCGCGTATATTAACAACAAACACAGACTCAATTCAATTCTGTGTAGAGAACCATCATCATCCTACTGTCATGAAAGGCTTTTCCAAGAATGACGTCAGACGGGTCATCAATAGTCACTTGCCAAAAATATCAAAGGTCAAAGGAAATGATAATGAAACTGAAATTCTAATCTATTTGACTTATTTGGTCTTTTTGCAAGAATTGGCAGATGAGAGCAGATTAGAGATGCAGTTGGAGGGAGCTGCAAGTCGTCAGATAGCAAGAAGGCATGTCATTAAAGCAGGTCGAACAGTACTGAAAAAGCACTTTCGAGATGGCTAACGATATGATTCTAGAACGGGGATACAAAGAACACATCTCTCACTAGATACCACGACCTCCAGTAACCTCAAGAGTTTGTCCGCTAACATAACTTGCCAAAGGACTGGCCAAGAAGAGAATAGAAGCACCTGCTTCAGCTGCTTCTCCTGGTCGTCGTAATGGAATATCTGCTGCTGCATTAACAGCGCCTGCTTGGTTACCACGACCTGGGATACCCAAAGAGACCTTTTTACCGTCAATTTCAATCGATGCACCTGCTTCTTTTGAACCGGTCAAACGAGTTTGAATCCATCCGAAAGCCACGCAATTGGAGCGAACACCAAATGGACCCCATTCTTTTGCGACAGTCTTTGTCATACCGAGCACGGCTGAGAGGGGAGAGAGAAGGATTAGCAGACTGCTCTTGTTATTTTTGTGAATTTATACATACCTGATTTTGCAGCTGCATAGTTCAATTGACCAGTGTTACCGTGTGTGCCTGATGTAGATGAGACAAAGATGACACTACGGTTTTCTCGTTTGTCTTCATCCTTGATACGCATGTATGGTGCAGCAGCACGAATGATGCGGAAAGGAGCCACGGCTTGGGGGAGAAGAGGGTGTATCAGTGGACTATTGCCAGCCAATATTGAAATTCGAGGGGAACTCACTGTGACAATCGAGCATTTGCTGGAATGTAGCATCGTCTAAGTTGTGTAACATCTTATCGTTTGTGAAACCGGCATTATTGACGATATGATTGATCTTACCAAATTTATCAACGGTTGATTTGATCAATTTATCGCCAAAGCTAACGTCCATCACGTTTCCTTGAACGGCAAGAGCGTCACCACCGGCTTCTTTTATTAAGCCGACAACTTCATCTGCTTTCTTTCCATCCAAGTCTGACACAACGACTTTTGCACCATGTTGAGCGAAAAGCAAGGCAGCTGCACGACCGATACCTTGACCTGCACCAGTGATGATGGCAACTTGATTGTTCAACAGTGGACCAATCAAAGAAGGTGCATTGATGTGATTGGCCAATTGTGAAAGACGACTAGCAGCTGACATGTTGTAGGTGTATATTTGGGTGGATGATGATGGAGTGGAAAAGCCAGAATTCGTTTTGTTTAAATTTCGCTTTCTTCATCCCGGACCGGCCTGGGTATGAAACCGGTTCTCACTGTGTGGGGGAAATTTGGGCCAGCGTACGGAAGAGAAACGGATCGCGCAATTCGGCAGCCAGCGTAGAGCGAGGAGATAAAGCGCGAGAATAAGCTTACACAGGGCTGTGACTATAAGACCACGCATACATTGACGCGTTTCTCTTCATTGTGATCAAACACACCATCGTGATCAAATCTGTAATGATTTCAAAGTGATCAAGACAATATGGAGAATCCACATGAAGAGAGGCAATTACTGCTACTGGAACGAATCATCAAGAATGTACATCTGGTGAATGATGCTTTGGTGGAAATGACGAGAAGTGTAGCAGAGATTAATGAATTCAACAAGAATGTCACAATCGTTGGAGAATTATGGGAAGGGGTGAGTGTATGCTATGGGCGAAAACGTGGAAATGTACTGATTCGTTTTCTCTTCTTCTTTCTCAGTATCGACGAAACGTTGCATTCAATCTCAGTAGCATGGAAGAGCATGATCGAGATTCAATGGCCACACAAACAGCAGCAGCTGACCGATAATACTCACCCACCTTGGGTCCCATTGTACTTTTAATGAATGCAACATCTGTATCATACTACCAAGAAAAATGAATGCTTATGTCATCTGTTTTAATCTGTTCTTCTTCAAAATGGAACTGTGAACATCCATATTGAGCTAAACCTCTTGACTGCTTCTTTGTCTGTATGCTACCATGTGCAGCATGGATCCAAGCTCAGCCACATGCTTATAGTCATGCCCGTTTTATTATGACGTTTAGCTCTTCCCCTTTGTCGGATTCCCGTTTGTGTGTTGCATGATACTCTTCTTAGTCTTTTATTCTACATCAACACCACGCCTGCCTCTTTTGGTAAATGTACGCGTCAAACTTAAAAATAGAAAGAAAACAACGATGTAACACTTTTAACGGGTAGAAAAAGTTTTCATTCATGCATATGAACGGCAAGAGCAAAAAGCAGCACAGCCAATTGCATTCACACCGCTTACGCCTCTTCATAACAGGGGTCAAACGAAGGTGTTGCTTTGTACATCATGATATGCATACACACCACATGTTGCATAGACTGAATATTGAAACAGGCTTGATGTTCACTTCATATCCATCATCTCTTACCACCAACAAAATCTAGAGGAAACCAAAAACCATCTAAGAATGGCATCATACGAATACTGGCAAGATGATAGACGTCCGCCTGCCTATCAAGATGGCGGCGCTTCATCATCTTCTCATCATCGTCAAAGGTCTGGCATTCCAACAAATGCGTTCGATTCAAGTCGTGCGGTCGCAGATGACTATATGTACGGACTAAACAAGTCCAATCCTTCCCAGGAACAGGACAATGGCGCGGGAATTGGCGCTGGTCGCAATGCTTATATGGCACCTGATACTCCATCCATGTATACGGACCCATACGAATACGCCTCCACGGTTGCTGGACCTACAGGCAATTCAAAACCCGCAACAAGAGCAGGGGCAGCAAATGTAGTGGGCACTCGTCCCAATACAAACTTTCTTGATCACGATCCCTACAGCTCTCAACCTCAACAAAGTCAATTAGACCGTAGCAATACGATGAACACATTAGGTCCTGCTGACAGTGTCAGTGCTCATCATCTTCATGCACGCTCACAAGATCTAGGTACAAATGGAACCTACGATGAATACAACGATGATGGTTATCGGGAATACCCCTATCGTTCCTCTCGCGATTATCATTCACGCAACTATAGCCATGGCGGTGAAGGCGATGTGGGCGCAATGTATGGCGCCAGTGCAGCCTCTTTGCCCCTCAAAGATCATGCTGGCTATATGGGATACGCCGATGATGAAGACGACGAAAAGCGACAAAGGGATCGTTATTGGAATGGGGATTCAAAGGATGATTGGGAACGTCAAAATCCCCCATCATTATTTGCCAACAATATGCAAGGTCCTTCCGTTCCACGAAAGAGTGTGGATGAGAATGGCGACGATAGACGTGGTTTGTTAGCAAAGATGACTGGAGATGGCTTGCGACCTGGATGGGGTGGGTCAATAGAGGAACAAATTGAACGAAGAAGAAGAGGAATCGGACGTCAAAAATATCCAATTTTGAGTTGGATTTTGAGTATCGCATACGTTATCGTTTTCATCATTGAGCTTGTTAAAGCTAAAAGTGCTACAGGTCAAGCTATCCAGTTAAAACCAAGCATCAATCCGATGATTGGGCCACCATTTGAATTTCTGATCTCATTCGGTGCTCGTTTTGTGCCTTGCATGCGTAAAGTGCCCGCCGTTCCACTTACAACGCCTTTGATCTGCTTGAAGGATATTGCACAATTAAGCGTTCCAAGCAATGAAACGTGTCCTTTGTACGAAATCTGTGGATTGCCCAACGCAAATACTTATGGACAAGCATATCGATTCGTCACGCCAATCTTCATCCATGCTGGTTTTGTTCATATCGGCTTCAACTTACTTGCTCAATTGACTCTCGGTTCGCAAATCGAAAAGATATTCTCTTCACCCATCTTTATTGTCGTTTACGCAGCAGGAGGAATCGGTGGTAATTTGTTGGGAGGTAATTTCGGTTTGGTTGGATTACCGTCGGTTGGAGCAAGTGGTGCAATTTATGCTTGTATCAGTTTGGAATTGACTGATTTGCTGTACAATTGGAAGTATGAATATCGACCCAGATTAAGACTGATCATGTCTATCGTTTTCACCATTATCGGTTTTGCAATTGGTCTTTTGCCAGGTTTGGACAATTTTGCACATATTGGTGGCTTTGCCGTTGGAATTTTGGGAGGTGCTGTCTTGGGTCCTGTGATTCAAAAAACCCGTCGTCATAAAATCATTACTTGGGTCATTCGTGTGATCGCAGCTGCGCTTTTGATCGGATTCTTTGTCGGACTCGGGACTAATTTCTACAACAGCGATGATCCAAGTAAGGCATGTACCTGGTGTCGTTATTTGAGTTGCTTGCCTGTATTTTCCCAATGCAAGGGTGATGGTTTGACTGTTTCCACAACTTCTTCCACTGGAAATTGAGTTGTCAAACTTTTTTTTGCACATTCTTATTGCACTATTATTTGTTTATCTGGAGACCTTTTTTTTTCATCAATTGTATATCATTATTCATGTCATAGCATCGGATCCTATAACATTGAAATATAATCTTCTTATTTTGCACATTCTGTCTTTGGACTTTTGCTTTCCATTGTCTTTCCAAATGAGGATTCAGTCATGTGATCGCTTCTCGTTTAAGGTGGGAAAGGGAGTGTATATCCGAGTGTTAAATGTCTAGTTAGGGTTACATTTCTTGACCGAATGAAGGGCCGATGAAAGCGGACATAGAATGCAAAAAGTCTACCCCACAAAAAAAAGGGTAGCAAGCTCATTTAACACACAGATCCCTTTGTATAAAGGCTAATTGTGTGATTATAACGGGAGGAGTTTTTAATTAAAACGCACTCTTTGCTTGCGAACAAACGATCACTTTATGGTGCCTTTGTTGCCGGAAGTAGCGGCCCCATTTCCGCCAAAGTACCTCCTCCTTTATCCGAGGAAGGGATCCTGTGACCTGTTGTGTTGTTGTTTAATCGGTATATCCGAGTGTAGTATGCTACTTTGCCAGTATCGGATCACTTCAAGGGATCCGGTTTATTAGAGTTATTATGTCTATATTGCGTGTCCTGTGCCCGCATTAGCCTCAATTTAAAGACGTAATCCCAAGTCAATTTCCCCACATTCTCTGTTAGAGAGAGAGGAAGAGAGGTGCTGCGCATTAACCGTTGTGGAGTGCGGCGTATGTGTGCATCAAAAGCCGGTTTAATTTTAACGGCGTGGCTTCAGTGTATGAATGATAAAATGAATGAAATGAAATGCTGCTGCTATGTGTTCACATTGTGCATTACGCACAAGCCATCGACCCGAGTTATTCTTCTCTTTCTCTGCTTTAATGCCTAATCCCACAAGAAGATTCTATTCAACACTGACGTCTTGCGGCCGAGTAAGGAAGACAAGAGGGTACTCTCTCTCATCATACACATACACACACATATATGGACTGATTTCAACTTGCCACCCTTTCCTACTTCTCAACCACGATCATAGTTTTATTTCTCTGATCAAAACCATATTCAAAACTTATCATAATGTCCGCTCCTACTGCTAATCTCACCTTTGGAAACGGAAGCAAGTCTTCTTTCCCAACAGGTTTGTTCATCAACAATCAATTCGTTCCTGCCTCTGATGGAAAGACTTTCGCTGTCGTTAACCCTTCAGATGGTAAGGAAATCGCACAAGTTGCCGAAGCAAGTGCAAAGGATATCGATATCGCCGTCAAGGCTGCCCGTAAGGCATTCAACGAATCATGGGGTTTGAGCGTTCCTGGTTTCAAACGTGGTGCTTTGTTGATGAAATTGGCCGAATTGATCGAAAAGAATGCAGACGAATTGGCTGCAATCGAATCATTGGACAACGGTAAAGCATTCTCAATCGCAAAAGCATTCGATATCACCGAAGTTGCTGCCAACTTGCGTTACTACGGTGGTTGGGCAGACAAGAACATGGGTCAAACCATCGAAGTTGACCCAGGAAAGTTCCACTACTTGCGTCATGAACCAATTGGTGTTTGTGGTCAAATTATTCCATGGAACTTCCCAGCTTTGATGTTTGCATGGAAATTGGGTCCAGCCTTGGCCACCGGTAACACAATCGTTCTCAAGACTGCCGAACAAACACCTCTTTCAGCTTTGCGCATGTGTCAATTGATCGTCGAAGCCGGTTTCCCACCAGGTGTTGTTAATGTTGTTTCCGGTTTCGGTGCTGTTGCAGGTGCTGCTATCTCTCAACACATGGACATTGACAAGGTTGCCTTTACCGGATCCACACTTGTCGGTCGTACCATCATGAAGGCAGCCGCCTCCACCAACTTGAAGAAGGTCACCCTTGAATTGGGTGGTAAGTCACCAAACATTGTTTTTGCAGATGCTGACTTGGATCAAGCTGTCGGTTGGGCTGCCTTTGGAATTATGTTCAATGCAGGTGAATGCTGCTGTGCTGGTAGCCGTGTCTACGTCGAGGAGAGCATCTACGAGAAGTTCATGGAGAAGATGGAAGCCAAGGTCAAGGCCATCAAGACTGGTGATGCCTTCAAGTCAGACAGTTTTGTTGGTCCATTAGTCTCATCTCTACAGATGTCACGTGTGATGGAGTACATTGAGTCCGGAAAGAAGGAGGGAGCCAAAGTTCTCACTGGTGGTGGTCGCCACGGCAAAGAAGGCTACTTTGTTGAACCGACAATCTTTACCGATGTGAACCCTGATTCTAAGATTGGTCGTGAAGAAATTTTTGGTCCCGTTGTCGTTATTCACAAGTTTAAGGATCAAGGTGATTTGATCAAACAAGCCAATGATTCTGTTTACGGTTTGGCAGCCGCAGTCTTCTCGCGCGATGTCACTCGCGCAATTGACACTGCGCACAAACTCAATGCAGGTACCGTTTGGGTTAACTGCTACAATCAACTCAACCCTCAAGTACCTTTCGGTGGTTACAAACAATCCGGTATCGGTCGTGAATTAGGTCAAGCTGCCCTTGCCAACTATACCAACCAAAAGTCTGTTCATATTAACTTACACGCTCCTACACCTATGTAGGTTGTGTGATCTGATGACTATCTGATTCAGTCTTATTTCCTACCACATCTCTCTTTTTTGCTGTATATTTTCACCTCATCTCGAAACCTTAATGAATGAATTTACTGAGATTCAGTGTGACTGCCTGGATAAATCGGTTAGGGTTAGGATGGCCGCGTTAAGCCATAAAGTGGTTGTCAGAGAAAGGATGAAAGTTTTAGCGTGACAATTTCTCCACCAAAAAGTTACACTTTCACTTCCACTGCCATATTCCACACAAAGCTCTCAACCGCTATCTTTACCTGTACCCCCAATGTAGACGAAAGATAGAGAAGCTATATTAGCAATAACTAATGATGCTTCGATCGCCAAATTCGATAATTTAAGACCGATGGTAGTCAATTCAGATGGAACGATTTCACGCATACATAATTGGTAAACGATGACAGATGCCGAAAGAGAAAGAACGGCTAGATTGGTAAACAAGAGAAATCAAACATGATTGCGACAAGCACCATACATACATAGTCCGTACATGTGCATACCAGCCTACATCTCTCATTCACCTATGGTGCTTATCGACAACCACCATACATGCATAGTCCGTACATGGGCATACCAGCCTCCATCTCTCATTCACCTATGGTGCTTGTCGACAACCACCATACATGCATAGTCCGTACATGGGCATACCAGCCTCCATCTCTCATTCACCTATGGTGCTTGTCGATAACCACCATACATGCATAGTCCGTACATAGGCATACCAGCCTACATCTCTCATTCACCTATAGTGCTTATCGACAACCACCATACATATATAGTCCGTACATCTCAATTCACCTATGGTGCTTGTCGACAACCACCATACATGCATAGTCTATACATGGGCAAACTAGCCTATCTCTTATTTACCTATGGTGCTTGTTCGACAACCACCATACATACATAGTCCGTACATCTCAATTCACCTATGGTGCTTATCGATAACCACCATATATGTATAGTCTATATATAGGCAAACTAGCCTATCTCTCATTTACCTATGGTGCTTGTCGATAACCACCATACATG